TCCTTAGTTAGATATTTGTCCGATCCACCCGTATCACTACTTGAAAGTTCGGGAAATGGTTCCTCAGATATAGTTGATTTTGGTATATATTCAATACTTTCCAATTCGCTGGGGAAACTTTCAGGAATTATAGACTCGACAGTTGCAACAGTCACAATAGATGATTCCAATAGAACAATACTCTCACTTAAAGGTGTAACAATTGGTATAGTAGAATCATCTGTAAATTCTTTGTCAAAGGATTCTTCTGATATGAACTCAATACCCCCTTCTGCTGTTGAATCGAGTTGGAACTTATCTTCTGATTGTTCTGGATCTAATTCTGTAGACGCAGCATCAACTACAGAGGTAACAACTTGGTATTCATCCTTACTACTTATTGACTGAATTTTTGGATCAATGTTAGAAGATTCTGATTCAGTAGTGTAGTTATCAGGATAGGATTCTTGTGTTGAATCAACCCAACCTTCATCAGAAGAGGGTAATGACAAATGTTCGCGATCTATCGTTTCGTTTGTGTTAACTTCCTCAGATATAGCAAGAGATTCAATCTCCTCACTGTAATGAGAAATGTATTCACCAGTTCCTATACTGGATGAGTGTGGTAGCTCCTCGGTTATCAATATTGTAGCATCAGACAAGGATGTAAAAGCGTATGGTTCTGAAATTATGTCCAGGGATATAGGTTGATAATCTTCCTCGGTAGACATACTGGTTGGTTCATTATGTGGTATTGTTTCAAAATTAAAATCACTAGAAATTCTTATATCTAGTGAATCGGATATGGATGTGACTTCTTTGTAGATGTCACTTGTTGATTCAAACGTCAAAATCTCGCTTTCTATTAATTCTAGTGATATCTCTGATGAAATAACTATTGATTTCCCCAAACTCTCTGTTTCAATATTTATCGATTCTGCCGGAACAACATTTGAACTTGTTTCCAAATCTAAACCTTCTGAATCGTCAGTTGATTTAAAATCTTCAGTGGATATTTCATCAATTGAAAGAATTTCCTCCAGTTTGTAGTATTCTTGTTCTGTTTCTTCAGTAGAATATTTCCCAGTGGTATATTCTAAAATTCCTTTTGTTTCAACACTCAATGTTAATTCAATTGGGACCACCTGACCCGAAGATAAACCAAACTCAGTATCTTCTGTGGAATCTATTGAAAAAAATATATGTTCTGTTCTTGTAATAGATTCACCAGGTAATATTTCTTTCTCTGTTGATTGAGATTCTTGGTAGTCAATGTTTATGGTAGATAAATACAGCATACCTTCCTGGGGTGTTTCCATATTCTCTGTTTGATATTCTTGATTACTTGAAGTACTTGGTAAAGCTGGTGTTATAGTTTGTTCTGTCAAGACATCTTCGCTGACATCATCACTTGTAGCTGTTATCTCATGGGTTTCTGATGAAAACAATTGGCTTATACTCTCATTTTGAGTAGTGAACTCATCCAGGGAGACCATATCTGTTGATTCAAAAAGTTTCGTATTTTCAACTAAAGTAAAAGTTTCCGAATTAGTTGTCTCAGGTGAATGATCAATAGTTTCCAGACTTTGTTTGGTGGTTTCAAAATATTCATGGTTGCTAGTGTCAATACTTGTCTCCAATGCTATGCTTTCATAAGATATTGAATCGTGTATATTTTCCTCAGATTCAGATTCAGTCAATTCAATAACGATAGTCTCGTCAGATGATAGTTGAATCTCTTCATAGCTTCTGTCACTTGAATATATAACCACCTCAGAAATTGACGTCTCTGCAAATGGATCATCGGACTGACTAGTCGACCCAATCAAATTAGTATCTTCAATGATTATTTCTTCCATACTAGTAGTATCCAATGATTCCAAAGATTGAGAATCTATTATGTGAATGTATTCACTATTTATACTCTCTTCAGTTATTTCAAAACTATGAGAACCTTGACTTTCTTTTGTGTTGGTATAAACAAAACTATCTTCAACTGAAGGTGATTCTGTTGCTGTTGATTCGTCTAATAAACTAAAGCTTGATTCAGAAAAACCAGTAGTATCCAAAACAATCTGATCGAAAGTAATACTATTACTGTTGGATTCTGTTGATTGTTCAATATAATCTTCAGTGTTTGTTGATTCCTCATGCAGTACCTGCACACTGGTAGAATCCTGAATTGGTTCTTCCGACTCTTCACTAGAGTCACTATTGTCCGACAAAGATTCGAACATTTCCACATCATCAGTGGACGGTTCAGAACCACCTGTTGTATCATTGGAATCTCCTGAAATTAGTCTGTCACTACCATAAGATTCTATACTCTCAATTATAATGAACGATTCAAAATCAGATGATGACAAGAAATCTAATATTTCTGAAGTAAAGGGAGTTCGCTGTCTGTTGGTTGTGCAGATATAATCTCATCAGATGATTGTAAGTCTTCATCGTCTGTCATAGATACAACTTCAGAGGGTGTATTAAGTTTGGGGATCAGTTCATTGATATTATCCATAGTGGAGGAGTAATCTCCTTCAGTCAATCCACTCGGTTCCTTGCTTTCATAGTCAGCAGTAACAGAACTCTCTTCTGTATACCACTTTACATTGGATGTAAATGAAATAGTTGCTTCTCCAAAATCTGTCTCTTCTGGTTTCCTAGAGAACCCATTAGATAGAACAAGTGTTTCATAATCATTACTACCCAGTTCTGTATGTTCATCTTTTGTTATTGTTTCCGAAATAATTTCGCTGGAGTCTTGTTTAGAACCAGGAATATCAATAGTTTTTGAATCTTTTGGTAAACTCGACTCCAGTCTCTCGCTTTCTCCATAATCTGTTGATTCTTCAGACAGAATAGTTTTTACACCATATTCATAGGTTTCGGCATTAGTATCATGTATTAATTCAGACAGCAAAACCTCAACAAGAGCAGATTCATAATCGATATCACTGGTTGTATCACTTTCCACAAGTTCACTCATAGAAGAAAATTTCATTGAATCTTGTGTTTTTGCATCAGAATACCCTTGACTAAAATCTTGCTCCAGCTGGCTGGATACAATCACAAACGAGGATGTTTCCCAATTTTCAGTGTCATATACTTCTGATAATTCAATATAGGATATAGAATGAGATTTAGGAGAATAACTATCCTCTCTAGTGGCATCAGTTACAAAAAGAATACCTTCAGTTGTCGGATATTCATCTAGTGTTCCTTCATCGGATATTTCTAGTGAACTTTCACTGCTTACTAAATACACAAGCCTCTCTGTATCTTCTGATTTTGAATCTTTGTCAGTTGTTTCCACAGTAATAAACTCATCTAATATGGAAAGTTTTAAACTATCCTCAGATCTCAACGAAAACATCAAATCAGAAGATAATGGCATAGATGATTCTAGTATTTCCAATGAACTTAATGTATCAACTTCGCTATTGGTAGTAGTTAAAAAATCATATTCCGTGGGTTTCTCTGTAACCGAGTCATTTACAATTACTTCTAGTGACTCGGTTTCTAGTTCAGACTCACTTTGATCAGTTGTTGAATCTTCAGTTAATTCAAATGAAACTCCAAAGTCCAGGCTAGCTTGTAAGGTTATTTCTAAGGTCTCAGCAGATGTTTGATTGGGAATTCCATCCTCTCTTTCTTTACTAGATAAACTTTGATCAAAAGTAAAAGATTCTGCTAAAGTATCCTCACTTATTGAACTAAGAACATTGCTTTCCAATGAACCTATTGCAACTTCTTGACTATCAGTACTGCCAGTAATTTCATTTTCGTAACTAGTTTCCAAAGTTATTCTTGGGAACCACTCTGCCGAACTTTGACCAATAAATTCTTCTGATGTGTAGCCATTTATATCTACTTCGGTAGGGGCAGCGTAAATATCAGAGCTATCACCAATACTTACTGTTTCAGAAATATCAAAGTACGATTTGGAGCTGCTTCTAACATCTTCTGTTGTATCCTCTTGGAGCATTTCATCTTCATTATCAGTAGTTGACTGATCTGAGACAAAAATATCAGAGGTTTCTTTGCTTATATATTCGTTTTCGGATCCTTCTGAAGTTATCAGATTGTGCGAATATTCCAAACCCTGATAATCAGTCTGTTTGCTACTTTCGTGTGATAAACTAGCGGTTTCTGCAAACAAATCATCATTGCTAATATAGCTGTATACCATTTCTTCAGAAACAAGTAGTATTGTGTTTGATGTAAATTGATAGTCAACAGGTTGTAAAGATTCTTCTAATGAGGATTTAAAGTTTTCTTGATCGACTTCTGTGCTTCTTACATGATTACTTTCATCGAATGACCATGCCTTGGTACCTTCTGATGACTCTGACCACAAATCACTACTCTTCAGTAGTGATTTATCAAACTCATTATAATCAGAAATTGATGCTTCATTGTTACCATCTGTAGATTCAATGAAAACCTTCTCATAGCTAGTTTGACTAATAGTTTCTACGTTTTCTTCCTGATCACCTTCACTGTAGCTTGATTCTAACGTTTGTTTGTTTTGATATTCTGAAGATTGATCATAACTGAATTCATAACTAGAAGTGTCTAATGAAGAGTTCTCTGTTGATTCCATTATCAAAAGTTCGGTAGATATATCCCCCAGTATAGCTGCCTCATTTAAATCTGAGGAAGAGAATTCCACTTCCATACTATCTTCTGATTCGATTGTATCACCATCACTAAATTCACTACTTGAGGTTTCAAAGTTCAGCAAGGTGTATGTTGATGTATACCACTCGTGTTGATCATCAGTGCTGACTATAACTTCTCCTGTAATTGTAGCAGTATCTTCGATAAAAGTAGTGGTGTAGTGCTCAAACAATTTACTATCTGTTATCCATACACTTTTAGTCTTGGTAAAAACCGAAACAAGTGCTGTGAATGTAGTGTTTGGATGTTTATATGTAGTTACATAAGTTGTTGATTTTGGTGTCTCTTCGCCTTCATAGTCATCATCAAACGGATATGTCCTGCAATAATATTGCTGGTATGGGTCTTCAGGAGCTGGTCCTTGGTAGCTAATATGTTTACCATCTTTTTCAATTCGAAATAAATCTGGATCATATCCTTTACCAATTAGAAAGTGCATTATGGTGGAGCCTGCATTCAATGTTAATAGGCCAATTTCGGCATCATATACAATCCCGTTAGTTTTTGATATCGCTGTACTTACACCAATTTGGTTTCCTAAATGAAAATTCCACACAATATAAGTTTGAGTTTTCAGCCCCGTAACTCGAAGTATGGCATCTTCACCCAAAACAAACTTTTGGTTTCCGGTTGAATATGCAGACGTAAGCTCACCCACCGTACCGTCTTCGAGGTATATACAACCGTTTCCAACTATATTACCAGTACTTTGTTTGTAGTATTGGTTGTATAACTTGATTACTCCAGAGTTTTTGATTATAAAATCGGCTAAAAATAAAGGCTTGCATGCTTGCTCATATGTGGCTTTGGTAGGTGATGTATTTTTAATAATTATTGTTCCTCGATTTTGCCACAGTAAAGTACTTTTTATGGTGCTCTTTGCTTGGCCGCTTTTTGCAGTACTGTCAACGATTATTTCCCCTGTATTCAAAAATGTTACACATAGCATTTCAAAAGTATTTGCAGATGAATCATTTTGCATTTGAATTCTCATTTTGCCTGTGTTCTCAAAGATTACAGCACCAATCTTACCTACATCACTAATTGTAAATTTCTTTAATTTATTCCCACTAGTTATGAAATTACCTTTATTAGTAAATGTAAGCTGAAACAGAATACTTTCTTGTCCCAGAAACTCAAAAGTACCACTTGGGTCAACAACTATTGCTTCCGAATTTGTATAGATTAAAGGAGGGGGGACAACAAGTAGAGAATTAGTAACTGTCAATGCAAATATTGCTCTTATAAATATAATCAAGCAAATTATCCACATTCTAATAATTCAAGATAATAATTAAAAGATTTAGCCAGTTATTTGTGGAAATGTGATTATATATAGAAGAATAATTCAAATACTTTGGGACATTCCTATAAGCTTCGAATTGGGGGAAGAAATAAGAGCCCTTTGCTTTTAAGTGGTTTATAACTAGAAAAGAAATCTTGTACAAAAAACATTTGAGTAAAGGCTTGTAATTTAAATTTGCTATATTCTGAATTGTTGTACTTGATGACAGAACAAGTATAATCAACAAAACGGAATGTGTTAATATGATGTTGTTTATTGACGGCGTTTTCAAATTATAAGGACCACTTGAAACCTGGTCTATAAGTGGGTCGATTTTTATGACATATTGAGTGTGGATGCAGTAGAAGCACTTTTAGTCAGCACATTGTTGAAATTGAAATGTTTATTTAATTTGTAACCGTTTTTTTGAATTTTGGAATTTCCAAACCATTTTTTTGGACCGTTTCGCAGCTACTGAATACTTGATTAGAAACATAAAAGCAGCCTTCACTTTTATTGCAATTTTTCTTGAGGAACCAAATATGCTGTCATAAAACCAATAGATAAAAATAGAAAGTTTTGGAATATGTACAATAATCACAAACTATTGGAATAATAAGTCAAGTTTATGGACAAATTTGAAGCGGTGTCCATCATGCCTGTTAAACCGATGGTTATGAGAAAGATGAATATTTAATCCTTGCATACTCCGGTATTCTCCCCTTTTGTCTTGGCTCGTCTGTATTACACTTGATACAATATTGCATGATTATTTGGAAAATTCAAACCATTTTTCAAGTTTTGAGATATTTATTTTCCTTTTTTAATTCTGGGTAGATTTTGTTATTTATTGTATTCAACTGAAGAACTTTACCATTGAACAAATTGATGTATTTAATTGCACGTGAAGTGAAATTGAAAATACAATTGAATTTATCAATGCGGTAATACAAGTTTAGTGTGAGGACATTTAGTCATATTATTTGTAGCATCTCAAAAAAGACCTTCATATTCCGTATCTGCCAGAGGTAATTGTGAATTGCATGTGATAGACATGACGGTTTACAAGGGTTATGAACAAAATAATAGATATCTGAATTCTCACTTGGTAAACGGATAATCACTGGTAAATATGACACTTTTCTCAGCATGCCTCGATTTAGATGACCACCATGTTATTTCAAGTGGGGGTGTCGAACTAATTGTGCTAACTGTTAGTATCTGCCAGATCCAAGAGTTAGTTTTAGAACCTTGTAAGTGCGGCTTTTTATTATCCGGGTAACTAAAGTTCATTAAACTACAAAGAAAAATAACTATACATCTAATAGTTGCTAATAATATCTCTAACCTTCATACCATTAGCTTCAGGTCCTAATTTAACTTCCATCACCGAATCGACAATACCATCAAAATATTGCTTAGTGGCAATGGTAACATTTGGATAAAGAAGATTTGATATTCTTTCGTCGTGTAAACAACCTTTAACTGGTTGGTCTCCTTGGAGTCGGCGATCTAACCAAGTCCAGCCCGCAGGTCCACCTGCCAATTGTTCACCAACGTGGCCATTCAATATATCTTCAGCAAATTCGAATGAATTAATCCCCCATTTGCACCAGTTATTATAAGTTTTGTATACATCTTTAATTGGAACAACCAGATCTAAACTACCATGATAAACAAATATTGGGATTTCAGGAACATAAGTTGAATTCAAATAAACAATGGAATTCCCTTCTACTATTTCCCTCATGTCTCCATTTTCTAACAATGAAAACCCAGCAGGAATCATGGGATCTGTTCCAGTAAGAATATTTGTATTAAAATAGTGAAAAAGTGCAGGTACAAGACATTGTTTTCCACTGATACTGAATTTATCTCGGTATTGAGGAGCAACATTCTCTTCGATTATCTTTTTGGCTTGAGGATATTCATTACCAAGTCCAGTTAATGCAAGTGGGATCAAGGCTGCAAATATTCCACCATCGACAATTTCAGCCACAGCAGTAATATTTGTGACAAACCCACCAAGCGAAGCACCAACCAAGCTTTTCTTTAATTCAGGAGCATATGTAGGTTGGAGTGCTGCGGCCCATCCCGATGCCAATGACCCTCCAGAATACCCCCAAAGTCCAACTTTAGCATCTTTGTGGATCCCCGTGATATTTCCTGATTTTAATAGTGCCCTGACAGAATCAAGCACTGCCTGTCCTGACCTTCTTCCTACTGTGAATGCTGAATTAAACCCTTCATAATCTGGAGTATTGACAAAATAACCATTCTTGAGAGCAATCACCATGAATGTCATATCAATCTGTGATGCCAACGTATCAATTGGGGCTCTAAATTGGATTCCATATGATGGTGAACAAGTTATGTTTGAAGAATCTTCGAATGTTTGGTATGAAACAACTTTGGAAGGATCGGCATTATAAGGCTCCATGATTGTGGTAACAAATGCCGTGGGTTGGCCAAAAGAATCTTCCGATCTAACCACTAATTGCCAAACATTCTTGACATCAATGGGGAAGATAGCACTGGCGAGTTGGTTGGGTGCCGGTCGAACTTTCAAAATGTCTCCAGGTTTTGCATCTTTATATCCCTTGGGCAATGTGTAAAAGTCATCATCTAAAGGACTTTTAAGTTCAAGTGGAAGGGCAATTGATTGCAAAATATAAATAAACAAGAGAATTATGTAAGCCATCGGTTCCTGATCAGTTTAGTTGGGGTTGTCAAGTAAATTATTAGGGAATTATGTGTTATAAATAATAAATAAGACATTAGTGCTACTCAGTTAGGAAGTAGATACAGATTTGTTTGTCGCTAAATCTATTTTGGCTATATTTCCCAATTGGGAAAAGACTCACAAGTGAAAGTTTAAACACAAGACAAATATTGAATATTAGCACATGTCAATATGTTACTAATGCTATGTAGGCTATATCAAAGCTAAACAGGGGGAGGTTGATTAAATGGGGATGTGCGTGATTTTTTGGATCTCTTGTAGTTTCCTTGAGTAAGTATCCCTGTGATATTCTCAACGAGCATGAAATTTGTTCTGTTGCTTTTGTGTATTCATCCAGTTAAATGTCTATATTTATACTGTAATTATAAATTGTGAGGGTTTTCATTTCAATCTCAATTATACTTCAGTATTAAGGGGTATAAGCCAATTTTAGCCGATGTGCATCGTAATTTCCGTAAACGGTAGTAAATTTACCAAAATCCGATTTTAAGGCATGTGCAAAAAGATTGTATTTTTGCTTGTAGGTAGTCCATACTTGAGGGGGATAGAGTAGTTAAGTAGAGACTATGTTTTTATTGTAGGTACTAGTATAAAAGTTACCGTTTAGTTTTTTCTTTGCTAGCTCTGTTTAAGGAAAAAAAACTAGCATCAACTACCATATTTAGTATACATTGTATATCACATGCATAGTTATTTCATATGAACCCTATTGTTTTCTAAGATAATTTCAGTAATAGAATTGCAAGGTCGCCAGGTGTAGTGGTGAGCATTGGTAACATTGTATTAGACCTATAATTGTAAAAGTTGGGTATTAGTCGACAATAATGATTCCCCCCAAGAGATTCTCTAAAATATCTTTGATTTTGTAGAATATCAATTCCTTCGGTTTCTGAAAGTGATAGCGTTTGGTTTATACTTTAAAGGATTATAACTGTTTGCTCGTATTTTTGCAACTTTTAGCAAAAAATTATGAGTAAAATGTAAACTAAAATCACCAACATAATTTTAACTTATCCCATTATTTTTGCTACGTATACCACTTCAAAGATCTATGATTTTAAATACAAAATAACCCTATATTTCTCCACATTACAGTCTATTTGTGGAGAAGACAGTTGGCAGTTTGCTGTTGCAAATTGTAGGTGAAAAAAATAATATTTTTTTGATACATTTGAGGATTAACACTACACCCCCAAAGGCCCCCTCAAGAACCCCCTTACTTCAAGGTTATCCTTAAGTAAATAGAATATAAAAGACCAACATATTCTAGTTTATTCAACTCATCAGTCTTTGGTAAACCGAAAACATTCCAGAATTAAAGGAGATGCTGTCAAAAAAAAAGCTTAAAATTCAAAAGATCAAAGAATACGAAATAAACATGTAATCGAAGATGTCGAAACAATGGGAAACTAATATGTACCTAATACTAAGTTAACAGGTGTCGTTAACGAATCCTTCTTTAAAACGTGTACATATGTGGAGGCGTGGTTTGATCTAAGGCGGGACACGGATATCCTAAAATGGCCAAGCTGTTCCAAATTAAGAAACGATGGAAGAAGAAGAAAAAAAAAATTCCTGCATTTTTTCCGAAGCATCGGAGAAATTAATTTTTATTACACAAATTGTCAGAGTCGAATAGCCTGCATTCTATGAAATATGCATAATTTCTGTAACAGCAGAGAATGCCACTTGAAATTGAAAGTATGCAATGGATACACGAAAAGAAAACCAGCCTAAATAATGGAAAAGCCTTTACACGATTCTTCAAAACGTGTAAAAAAACGTTTTCTTTATCTATTAATCTGATTATTCATTGTTTGAAATAAATGTGTAGTGCCATATGGCTGGCGATTAATAAAACGCGAGAATCCCCTTTTTATTGGAACACGTCTAGCTAAGTAATTTATTTTTTTTTAAAAAAAGTGTGTTCCATTTTGTATTTTTCGTTACAAAAAAGGGTTGGTTATCTATTGCAATTTGAAAACTGTGATAACACAACTCCAGCTATTGACATCGCTACAATCACTCTAGCTTATAGCTAGACCACACCTGGTGATATCCGCTGGGCATTCCTGTTATATTCCAAATTCAGTTTAGTTTCTTTTTTTTTTTAAACTATTGTTGACAGAATTGGATTTAATGTTGACGTGTTGTATTCGTAATGGAGGGACAAAGTGCAAAAAGAAATTTTTCAGTGTTCTGCCACGACCAGCTTTACTCTGACAGAGAAAAAAAAAATTCATTGTTCGTGACCATTTTATGCAGTCCGATTGATGTTATATTTAGATACACCAGTACTATGCACTCCCCTACACATATTACACGCACCACACACACGCATAATATTATTATTTTTTTATTTTTATTTTCATTTTAATTTTTTTTTTTAAATTAGAACCACGTCGAGTCAAAGTATAAAAAAGGGTTTCAATCCTGAGTTCGCAAATAAAAACCCAAGTTTTTTCTTTCTTGCTCTTTGAACTTCATTAGAGTTTGCATTCTACTCAAAGTATACACATTAATACATTATGAAAGGATTGATTTTAGTTGGTGGTTATGGTACCAGATTAAGACCATTGACCTTAACTTTACCAAAGCCATTGGTTGAATTTGGTAACAGACCAATGATCTTGCATCAAATCGAAGCTTTAGCTGCTGCTGGTGTTACTGATATCGTTTTGGCTGTTAACTACCGTCCTGAAGTTATGGTTTCTACCTTGAAGAAGTACGAAGAAGAATATGGTGTTTCCATTACCTTCTCCGTTGAAGAAGAACCATTAGGTACTGCTGGTCCATTGAAATTAGCTGAAAAGATCTTAAAGAAGGATGACTCTCCATTCTTTGTCTTAAACTCTGATGTTATTTGTGACTACCCATTCCAAGAATTGGCTGACTTCCACAAGGCCCATGGTGCTGCTGGTACCATTGTTGCTACCAAGGTTGATGAACCATCCAAATATGGTGTTATCGTCCACGACAGAGACACTGCCAACTTGATTGACAGATTTGTTGAAAAGCCAGTTGAATTCGTTGGTAACAGAATTAACGCCGGTTTATATATCTTGAACCCATCAGTTATTGATTTAATTGATATGAAGCCAACCTCTATTGAAAAGGAAACTTTCCCACTTTTGGTTGAACAAAAGCAATTATACTCCTTTGACTTGGAAGGTTACTGGATGGATGTCGGTCAACCAAAGGATTTCCTTTCTGGTACCTGTTTATACTTGACTTCTCTTTCCAAGAAGTCTCCAGAAAAGTTATGTAACGAAAAATTCGTTCACGGTGGTAACGTTTTGATTGACCCAACTGCCAAGATTCACCCATCTGCTTTAATTGGTCCTAATGTCACCATTGGTCCAAATGTCGTTGTTGGTGAAGGTGCTAGAATCCAAAGATCTGTTCTTTTAGCCAACTCTGAAGTCAAGGACCACGCTTGGGTCAAGTCCACCATTGTTGGTTGGAACTCCAGAATTGGTAAGTGGGCTAGAACCGAAGGTGTCACTGTTTTAGGTGATGACGTTGAAGTTAAGAATGAAATTTATGTTAACGGTGCCAAGGTCTTACCTCACAAGTCTATTTCTGCCAATGTTGAACATGAAGCAATTATTATGTAAGATATTACAACCCTTGTAACTTTAGTGGAGAGTGTGTGTGTTTTTTTTTATATAGTTTAACAATCGGGGAAGTGTTGATTCGCTTTCTTTTATATATACGGGAAAAAAAGAACAATAAATATAATAGAATAACGTATTTACAAGTTATAAAGATAACAAACCATGAACACAACTTTTTCTAAGTGGTTCAGATAATGGTTTAACCCCACTAAGATATTGCAAGAATAATTGGTTACTGACAGATGGTTCATCCACTACTCCCAAGGGAACAGTTTCTTTGGTCATGGTGTTTACATAAGAAACACTAAGTTTACCTCCAGTTCTTGTTTCTAAGCATAACAAATGATTCTTTGGAACTGAATCTCTACGACCACGGAAGAGTTCACGGAATTGATCTAAACCCGAAGTTAACTTCTCACCAAGTTCTTTACTCTTTGGATGAGCAAGAATTGATCTGATTAACCCATCACGAAGATGGTTGAAATCGGTATCTCTAACTGGACTTATACGAGCCATGAACTTAACATCGTTGGCAAGTAATTCTGCAATCACTTCTGGTGATTCAGCTGGGGTAGTTAACTTATCATGGCCAAGTTTGGTCAAGATTTTGGTAGCTTTGGGAATGTCGCGTTGTGCGATATAGATCCCAATGGCATACACTCTCATTTGTAAGAATGTCACGGTTCTAACACCATATCCTATCAAATGGAAATCTTCTTGAAATTGGTCGGGTTTCTTGATCTCCAAGGGGAATGGAGCAACATTAGAGTCCACTCTAACAGTGTTTGGTTTCTCATCCTCGGTCTTTGAGTCTAACAACGTGGGTGTTTGGAGAAAAGCCAATGACGAAAACCCAATTGCTAAAGGAAGACTATAAGTAAATACATTTCTTCTGGTTATAACGCTAGCCAGTCTTTTGACAAAGAGAAATGCTGATCTCTGGGTGAATAATCGAAACATGGTTGGCTGCTACAAGAAAAGAAAAGTGGAGAGTTATTTCAGTGAAATTTTCTCGTAAAGGAAATCGTTTTTTTTGAGGAGATCTACACGACCAACAAAAACGCTATTTGACTTAAAATGTTTATGTTTGTTGGGTAGATTCAAGTTCGTTTTTGGTAATGTCACATATTTATTGATGTTCTTCAGTGTTAATTTTGAAAGAACCAAATGGGAGGCTTGGTAGAAACAATCTTAAAATAGGTCAAATTGTACTGGGCGACAACTACATGCTCTTTTGTAAACTAGCAACTCTAATTTTGCGCAAGTTGTTACGACATGCATATACGAGATATGTTGTCCCAGTACCACTCGTATTTATCTTTTACACTTTAATCTTTGGTTGCAAAAACCAAACTAATACAATCATTCTATAACTTTGAAATCTCTTCACTTACAGCATTAGTACTGACCAATGAAAGACCACTTGCCAATTGACATTTATAAATACACTCCCATTTATTCCAAACTTGTTCAACTGAAGTGATTTCACTATTTAACCAATTGAATCTTGATAAATAAGCAGCCAAGTATCCAAAAAAAGAGTCACCAGCTCCTGTTACATTGACTATATCCAAGTTCCGATTTTCTTGCGGAATAGGGAAGTATTCGACTGAGATTCCCATGCGACCTTGTGAAAGTTTCGTTCCCTGAGATGTGAGTAGAATCTCTGGCCGGTACTGTGATGTTGTTGGTATGGATTTGTAGTCGTCGATTGTTGTAGATAAACTGATTAGTATTACACCTTTATCTCCTAGCTTAACTAAAATGTTTTGAAAGTATGGCAACAAATGGAAACATTGTTGGAATACTCCTTGTGCTAGAAGATCTTTTATAGTTGGTGTATTGATTCTGTCTAATTTGTCTCTGAAATTGGAATTAATGTTGAAGGAATCCAACACAGGAAACCAATTATCTAAATCATTAAAGTATCCCTTTGATTGGAATGATTCATATATTGAATTCAATTCTTGGATCGTAGGTGTAATAAGTTGGATTTTATTATTGGGGAAACATTGAAGATTGAATTCTGCTATCCTTTTAGCTTTTATGTGCGACGTTGGCTCAAGAATTATGTTTGATAAACTAGATGATAATACTTTGCACGTTGTTGTTGGTGATAAATTACAATCCATTGCAATTAAGTTAGGTTGATTGTACTCGATTTCCTTTATGATATTTTCTGAAAAATCTTGTTCGATAAGTGACATATCAGCACATGCAACTACTAATTCACCTGCTGAATCATGAATACAAGTATACTGAGCAGTATTACCATTAGCCAAAGTAATCCCACTTGTATCTATTCCTTCATGTTTCAATTTATCAAGAATAAAGGTTCCCGCAAAATCATTTCCTATTTGTGAAATCAATTTCGAATTAGCATAACCATATTTGCTTGCTAATGAAATATTAAATCCCACTCCTCCTACTGAATTTGTAGTTGTTCCTGGATTTGAATCTTGTAATTTTGAACCTGGGTTCATTTTAGCTACCGTGTCTAAAGCTATCGAGCCAATGATTAGTAAATCGTTCTTGCTAGCAGGTTTGTTTGGAGTTTCAGGTGCACTGGAAACGGTAGATCCTTTAGTTAATATATGTGTCTCTTTACTTAAGACTTCTGGTATATGAGTGGTTACTTGCTGATTAATTTGTTAGTAGTTGCATTTCCAAGATTAGCATTCAAAAACATACCTTTTCAAGAGCAAGTAATTCTTTGCCAATTTCAGCTCCAGCTTTTGCATTATTATAAACTAGATTCAAATTACAATCAACCGATTTGCCTTGGGTTTGTATTGCAATTTGTGATAACAAGAATGGCGTTAATTGTTTTCCAGATATACCTTGGACTTGAGCTAGTTCATTTGCTTGATCTATGATTCCTGCAATGTATTCACTATCTAAAGCAGATTCTTTTGGTGGGGGTATACAAAACACATTTCCAGAAGTTAATCCCAATCGATTCTGATTGTGGATTATAGAGGCAGCTTCTGTGAAACTCTTGAAAGAATAAGGGGATAATACTCCGGATTTGCGACAGTAGAAGCCAGGAATTTCAATATTCGGCTCGTTCTCCTCATTGTAGGTCCCCACGTAAACTCCTTGAGTTTCTAAATATTCCATAGTTAATCCAATATCAAGAATAGATTTGGGTCCAGCACAAACCACACTTACTGGAGTTCTTCCCAATTCAGTCAAATCTGCAGAAACATCCATTGTCAATTGTCCTTCTCGATGTACACCACCTAATCCGCCGGTAGAAAACACTTTTATCCCAGCTAGGTGCGAAAGTATCATTGTCAGGGCAATAGTTGTTCCTCCATTCAATTTATTAGCCATGACATGTCCAATATCACGTCGAGATACTTTTGTTGCTTTAGATTCGGCCAATTGTTGTAATTGACCATGGTTTAACCCAATATGAGGGATTCCATTTATAAATGCACATGTGGCAGGAATGGCCCCGTTCTGGCGGAGAGTCTGTTCTACTGATAATGCCATTTCGACATTTTTCGGGAATGGAAGGCCATGGGTAATTATTGTTGATTCTAGAGCAACCACTGGTACTAATTTATCAGTTAGTGCCTGTTTAATCTCGTGAGAGATTTGAATTGGTAATCTTCGTAGTGGCATTGTTTGTGTGGAGTTGATAATAAATATGATTTTCCATTGCGAATTTAAAAAAAAAATCTTGAATCACTTTTGGTTATTCAATGGCGACAACACTGAGGTTGACATCTGAACAAATAGAAACAGCATTGGCTGGTGTTTTGGATATAAAAGATGCTATTTCTAGTATATCAACTCAATTGGACGTGTTAACTGATGAGCTGACTTTGAAGTTGGAAGCATTACTAACCAAATGCCCAACTGATATCTCGGATGAATTACAAAGACATTTGAAAGTAGACAAAACCTACAAGCGTTCGGAAGAATATTACCACTATCTACGTCTACTTCGAGTTTCTAAATATCATACTGATTTGCAACTAATTTATACCTTATCATTACACTCAAATCCAAATGTTCCATGGTGCAACAATATCAATTCACAAATTGTCACATCAATTATAACAGAGATAAACATGCCCAACGAAATAATTGAAGACTTTATAGAAAATGAATACAAGAGAAATATCCAACAAGTTAAACTGGAAAGAAGTTCAAGTGGACTCCGTCCCCGATTAGGATTTAATTCAGTAGCTAGCGAAATATCCTCACTGGAGCAAATTGAAAAACTCAAGGCATATCCAATTAGTTTATCGCAAGCTTGGTTTTTAATAGAGATTAGCACTGATAAGCATCGCTGGTGTAGCCAAGTGTTCAATCTTACAATTTCCTTTATATTAAATCTACTTGATTTACTGGATATAGAGATTAAAACTCATGCATGTCAGCTATTACAATTTTTACTATCAAAATCTTCACACTTTAAATTTAATTCCGGATTAATTAAGGAAGTAAGCAAATCACTAAGTAAATGCCTTGTTTACATTCCTCCCAGTGTTCTGGTTGACAGATCATTGCCGATTTTGAGCCAAGCTTATCCATGCTTAATTGAGGTGTATTCAACTTACGGTACTAATTTGGACTATGTTGAGTTGATTAGCACAATTATATCCAATGTGAATCACTTACTTACCAGTGAAGTGGAAATTACCGAGCCTGTATTAGTACTACTACTCGATCAGGTTCTTGTTATGCTGGAGAAGCTTGATACGGACATTACTATTTGTTTATCAAAGTTATTATATACCTTGAATCAAGTCATCGTTAATATAAACATTTGTGAAAGAGTACCACAAGTCATAGCAAAGGCATTAAACTGTCAATCGCGTATCATAACCATCTTCCAGTCATCCACGTCTGAGTTTAAGCAAATTTTATACAGCTATAGATTTGACTTACTAGGTGCATATGGTATCCTATACAAACGGATAAAACACTTTAAAGATGAAGCACAACTTATAGATTGCATGACCGAAAATATCACCCAATTTGGAGAATTATCACAGGATATTGACACCTACACAGAGTGGCAAGACTTGACCAAACTCGTTATACCAATTTATTAATATATATACAGGTAAAATTATTCTAACGACCAGTTTGTAAGGCTTCAACAACTTTAATATTAGTATCCAAGAATCTGTTCAAACAATTCTTAAGACATGATTCTTCATTAGAAGTCAAACTACCGTTGGTTATTGGAACATCTTTAAAACATTTCTTGAAGCACATATCGGTAAAGCCGTGGATTGATGATTGGACTTTTGACTTGGATTGTTCAGATTCTATAAATTGCATGATTTCTTTACGAGATGGCTCGTCAAGATTTTGAAGAGCAGCTGCATTAAGTGAAGACATGGTTGGGCTGTAATAGTATTTACCTCTTATGGTACTAGTGAAAAATTGTAGATTTTTTTTTTTTTTGCTTATTCTTTCGCATTTTTCGGTGATTTGATTTGTCTTGTTTGTTTACATTCAGAGACAACCAGAACTATACAATGTCAAAGAAACAACAGTTAGTTGACCTTGTCGTAAGTAATACTGCGGTATCTAGAGAGCCACCAGTAGACGAAATCTACTTCAATAAGTTACAAAAAGATATACAACGTGTCAACCAATTTATCACACAGGCAGATGTTGCCATAAATCATTTACAACAACATGAAGAGAGTGCAAGTATAGAACAGAAGATTATTGCCATGTATGATTCATATGAAAGAATACCGTATGTTCCAGACAAGAATGATACTATTGGTACTGCAGCCACTTCGTCTATTCTTAGTGAGTTAATAGACAGGAATACGCGTGAGTTAAAGGAGTCTGCCGTTGAAACCGAGCCAATCGAACTATTAATATCGGAGTATAAGCAGATATTAGACTTCCTTGCCAAAGACAAACAAGATAAGCAAGAAACTATCAACAGATTGAATTCTAAAATTGAGGATTTTCAGTTCACACCTTCAATCAAACATCTACTCATTCAAGCTGGTAACCTACATAGAGATCTACAACGACTGTTGAAGCGGGTTATTACTAGGTATTTGGCCATGTCTGATACCGGAATAATTGATAAATCCCAATTAAACCAACAATTGAAACAGACAACCAAGCTTATTAACCAATTATTGCTGGGTGACTGGGTTGATGTTCCTGAATACAGCCATATCAAGTTCTTTATAGACACACTTGTCAAAAACGACATGTTATTACTCAAATATTCCGACCTGGCTATGGTCAAATTACGAGGCTTTGATATTGAGTAGGTCGTGCACCACACCCCACGCCCCTAAAATCCGACATCAACAAACAAACAAAAAAAAATCAGCGCATTTAAAAATCAAAACACCCGACTTAAATCCGGAGCTTCAATACAAAATTACTTCAACTACCCAAGCATGTCAGCTCCGACTAAACGACGCAATCGTGCTATCCTCAGTTGTGATGTCTGTCGAACCAGTCGTACCAAATGTGATCGGGGAAACCCATGTTTATCATGTATAAAGCGCCATAAACCATGCACATATACATTGTCAGACAAGAAACTGCCCTCCACAGCGGCCACATCACCACATTCCCCATCTGATGAGGCTTTGAGACAAATCATGGAAATTAAACGGAAAATTGCTGATTTGGAAGGTTCAGTTTTGCAAAAGAAACCCAAATTTGAACACAGTGTACCTATTTGTAAGTCCGGAGATAACCCTATTGCTAATGATACCGATGAAATTAACTTTAATTATGGGTTTCAAAAAGGTGATCAAAAGCCACTTTTGGTATCTCATCGGCCATTACCTTATTTGTTTTTGATGCGACGTGATCCGGGATCTCGATTGGTCTTGAACTATTTGTTTGAAACGATGAGCAAACGCCCTCAGTATTTCAATATGGGACAACTGTTTCTTGAATTGACTGATGAAAAGCGAGATGATTTATCTATCAAGTCGAGGTTGATTTATGGAAATGGATATATTCCCACCTTGCAAGTTGCTTGTGGCATCCCCATGTCACAAATAAAAACAATAATTAATTATTCTGGTGTTAACAAAGGATTTGTGTTTATTCCCGATATCGATATATCCGATCCCATGAGTTCATATTTCCGCTTAATTCCACCTCCAGCTGTAAATGAAGCACTTTTAGATATTTTCTTTAAACAAATTTATCCATTTGTGCCAATTCTTGATGAACTTGACTTTAGAAACGATTTAAAGAGATTGCTTGGTGAAGAAGTTGGAGGACAGTACCTTTTCAAAGCACCTAATGTGGAATCTCCTGGTGATTTGGCTACGTTGGCCATGCATTTGGTTATCCTCAGAATGGCACATCTTACTTTATTCAACTTCACTACGAGAGGTAGTTCCAACTTGGTTGACTATCCAATTTCCCTCGATGTTATTAGGGCAGCTTCTACAATTATGAAGGAGTTTGACTTGTCACGAAGACAACCTTTGATTGTGTTGCAAGCGGGGTTACTTTTTAGAGTGTATCTCGGATGGGCACCTGAAAACTTTACGTCTGGTAGCAGAACCCAGATATCTATGGGTACAATTGTTCAATTAGCTTATTCATTGGGATTGAATCGTGATCCTACTTGTTTCACAATTACAACTCCTAGACAGGCTAATTTGCGAAGAAAGATTTGGCATGTCCTCGTCAGATTAGATGTGCTTGATTCTATGATTTGGGGAACAACATTATCAACTGACCCAACCACTTATGATACTCAGTTACCTACGTATGAGGAAGTCAGCTGTAATCTTGAAGATAAATCTTTAGAAAGAGATATCATTACGTCGTTCCCCAAGTACGATGCACTTTTGAGTGTTTGTTATAAGTTAACAGGAATACACCTACGAGTTAAGGGAGGACACAAACTTAGTGAAGTCACCAGTTTAATTTCCGAGCTCGAGGTGCTCTGTCAGAGATTGCTAGGTACAGTCAAGCAAGGATTGAAGAGTGATAATTTCTTGGATTTGCTCAAGTTGAGAATCCTTTTATTTGTTAAATTGTATTTGGTTTATAACCATTATAATTTGTACTTGTATTATGAAGCCCAACAAAACCCATTACAAATGTATTATTTCCGCAAGGTTCTTGAGATAGTTATGGTTGATATGAAAGAGTTTCCCTACCAGGCAATGAATACTGAAGGCAATGGATTTTCACTTATGTTTGCCCTGATTTTACAGGTTTATTTACATGTGGTGTTTTTAATCATTATGTGTATTAGAAGCAGGTTCATTCTGACTTTGTACGAAATCAAGAGAAACCCCGCTAGGTTTAAACACGACTCGTTGTTGGAATATACCAAGACAATTGAAGATAGTGATGCTGCATTAAAGACTTTTTCATATTGCAATTTAAGAATGACCAGGATATTGGGCGATCGGTACAAATACTCGTGGATTCTTTCTAAAGTTCACATGAATATTTTGCGGTTGTATGATGATAATTTGGAGATTTTTAATTATAATGAATCAAAAGCTGTCAAGGAAGCTGTCATTGATATGTCATTGGAGGATATCAGACATATCACTACACTTACTGAAGGGTGTATTCGAGCCAACAAGTTTGGCCCAACTCCATTTGGCAACGAATCTGAAGAAGAACTAATTCAAGAGATTCAACGAGATAATTTATGGCATCAAATCAAGAAGATCTTTACTGAAGAGACAGTCACCAGTGCTTGGATTGACAAATCAAAATACAATAATAACAGTACAATCACATTTGATTTCGATCTATTTGTAAATGATATTAATTTTGCACAATCTATAACTTAAAAAATGTATAGTCCTCGTTTATACCAAATAAACTTCCACACAATGTAAACCAACGCACAACTAGTAATTAACCCAAGAGAAGTGAATGTAAAGTATCTCTCTAAACAGTTGTTGAACAATCCTCGGGCATTGCCTGTGCATCTTGAATCGGCATTGTGTCCGTAAAACAAAGAATACAAGATTGATCCCGTGGCTGGGGCAACCATGAATGATCCCCATGTGGATCCCATAATGTCAATTCCCCATATGGATGCAACAATAGTAGGATACAATGTAAACATACCCCCGTACGAAACCCCATTAATCATGGCGATGAGGGAGTAATTCACAGGTGTATTTGGGTCCAATACCCCATTTGCATATTGACCAATTGCTCCGATAAAAATGACGACAATAAGAAGCCATACTCGACATATCCCCTTGGTTGCCAAGTAATCAGATGCTCCTCCGACTAAAAGTCTAGCTACTGTTGATGCAGTGGCCATTAGACTTACTTGATCGGAAAGGTCGGCCCCGGGAGTTATGTTCTTGAGGATGGATCCAAGATTGTTTTGATAACTTTCCATGGGTCCAATATTGAGAACTAATGATACAAGTAATAGCCATGCCGATTTATCCTTCAAGAATTGTATGAATCTCTGATGATGGTTAGGTGGTTCAATAGAAGAACGTCTTGACATCACGGGAGCCAACGGAGTTTCTTCATCAACACTCATGCATTCATCGGGTATTATGGGTGATTCCTCTTCTTCTAAATTGAATATCAATTCTTGTTCCACAATTGCTATTGAACTAGATACAAAGTTCAATGCGCCAATGCCAAAGTAAAGTATGCCGAAAAATCTAAATGTCTTGTACAAGTCCAATTGTCCTTGGTCTAAAAAGTAGTCTATTTTGAGCATTTGTGATCCTATCAATGCTGAGAACCCATAGCAAGTGATTGGTAACGATATGGCTAAGCCTTTATGATTGGGGAAGATCCGGGCACAGGTGATTAAACTGGAAAAGTATAGCGAGCTTGTCGCTAACCCAATCAAAAAAAATGTGAAACAGAATGCATAAATGTACTTGTTCAGTACTGGTTGCTCTCGAAGCACGCATACGATATAACTGTTAATCAAGTAACTTGGACAGAAAAACCAAATCAGAAACAATGACAATAATGCTGGGCCATAACAATCAGCAAGGTACCCTAGCACAGGTAGACAAAAGTACATTCCGCATGCAGAAAACGAGGCGATGGTGTTGATTTGCATAAAGCTTAACCCCAATACCTCATGGAATGATATTGTAAACAAGGAAAATAGCAAGATAGAACCTGAAACGAGACATGATATTAATGATATGACAAATGCTAATTTTCGAAGGTTTTTAAGGGAGATGTGACGGGATAGATAACTCTTTATCTTGTGTGATATTCTATGGAGATAAGTCGGTTTGTGCATGGTTTTGGTTGTGTTATCTCCCTTATCGGAAGAACAGGTTGGTTGTAACATAATTTCCCCATCTGAATTTTCTTTGGGGGTGTGACGGAATCGTATGAGGCAAACGAAAAAGAAAAAAAAAAAAAAAATGCTGCGAAAATTACCGACATGCGCGGCGCGCATGTTCCACCGAATTGGGAAACAACTAATAATGTCATTACTAAATACATATATACTAGATCTACTTAATATAAGTCACAAACTTTTCAATTTCACCCTTGGATCCCAACCAGATACCACTCTTGTCATGAATTCCCTTTGGTATCATATCTAAGATTCTTTCACCCTTGTCATTAATGGCACGTCCACCAGCTTGTTCCATCAACATGGCCATGGGGAAACATTCATATAATATTCTCAATTTACCGTTCTTAGACTTGGTATCAGCAGGGTAAGAGAAAATACCCCCATATAATAAAGTTCTGTGAATATCAGCAACCATAGACCCAACGTATCTTGCACTGTATGGCTTGCCGTTATCTTGAGGTTTCTTTAAATCTTCAATGTACTTCTTGACATAGTCTGGCCAGTAGAACGAGTTACCTTCATTGACCGAGTAGATACTTCTGGTGTTTGGTATCTTCAAGTTTGGCTGAGTCAAGATGAATTCACCTAATTGGGTATCTAAAGTGAAACCATTGACACCATAACCAGTGGTCAACATTAAATGAGCAGAAGCACCGTACATGGTATAACCAGCACAAACCATCTCAGTACCTTTTCTCAAAACATCGTTGATGGAACCCTTGGAACCCTCCTTTAATCTGTAAATACCGAAAATGGTTCCGACAGAAACCCCGGCATCGATGTTGGAGGAACCGTCAATTGGATCGGTACAAACAGCGTATTTACCGCCACCTTCAAATATAATTAAATCTTCTTGTTCTTCAGAAACTAGAACTTTGACATTGTTGGAAGATCTCATGGCATTAATAAAGATTTCATCACCGATAACGTCCAATTTCTTTTGAGTGTCACCGGTAGCATTGGCAGTACCGGAAACCCCGATTAAGTTAACCAACTCGGCTCTTCTGATATTGTGGGCGATAAATTTGAATGCAAATTGTAATGAGTTTAATAATAACGATAATTCACCAGTGGCACTTGGAGCAACATGTTGTTGTTCTTCCAAGATAAATCTAGTTAATGTGATAATGTCGGTTTCGACATTCATTTGCTTTGCGACTGAGTCGGCAATTTGAGCGGAGGTCATATTGAGTGTGTTATGTTCAATTGTGAAAAAGGAAAAGACTATCCAATAGAAAAGAAGGAGATTGGAAAAACTTTATAGGAAAAAAGGGAGTTATCAGGTTTTTATATCTGGCCCTGGAATAAATTACCCCATAAAAAAAAAAAAAACTCGCAACCAACCGCACAAAATCTTTACTAAAAATTTACAATTTCGTCCGAACTTATCCTGAAACCCCCGGGGTACTTTTTTCTATTGTAAAATTTATTTATTTTATTTTTTTTTTTTCTTATGTATTAATTATTAACTGATGACTAAAAAATTGCGAACGGTTTTAAACTTCCGTGTGGGTGTGGACTGAAGGAACAAAATTTCCCGGGTGGGTTGGTGGAGGTAGCTTTCCTTCCTCGTCTTTGTACTCAGCGCGTGCACAGTTATTTCTTTCCCACCCATCGGAACACAAGCGTAGGCTGGTCCATCCGAAGTAAGCTTTCTTTGTTAATATGTGGTATTTCTCGGTATCACCTTGATTCCTTCTGCTGATAAATCGATCTATTAATTTCAAATAATAAATCTAATGTGTTATTAGTCGTTCCCGATTTATTTCTAATTACGTCTTTAGCGTTATATTTCCCACTGGGATTTACTGGCTTTGTAGTGGTGGTCCATTGCGATGAAGCTTCTAATGATCGGTATATTTTAACCTGTTCCCCTTCTTTATCTTGTTTGGCTAATTGTAGGTACTTAGTATGGTTGGAATTGAGATAGTCCAATACTTCTGATGAGTTGAATCTAGATTCTACTTCTGGCGTTGGTTTATTTGATGATCCACTCGAAGGAGGAGTTGATTGCTTTCTTTTGGGTTTGTTTGCGTTCTGGGAGTTTTGTGGGGGTATGTTGGTTGATTTGGATGAACTGATAGCTAACTTAGCTGCCCAATCGTTAGACATGACTTACTTGTGTATGCTATTCAGATGCAGAGGGTTTTGTATGGCAATATATTTCTAGTTTTTCTGTTGAAAAAAAAAAAATAGAACCGTACAAGATGGTTAACCTGCAAAATAACAAAACTAGCAAAATTCCAGGTCCAATCTGTACAATTGTGGTAACCTGCAAGTCTATAATTCTGACGTGTTAATTTTAAAGTTTTTTTTTTTCCAACCACCGACTATGGGGGATCAGAACAGCAGCCAAAAAAAAACAAGTCTTACGAATCTTAACCTTCTTCTTCCTCTTTTCCCCAATTGACACCACAACAATTCCTCTCTAATAAATCAATATAGAATAAAATAATGAGTGGATTTCGTGTATTGGATTTGGTGAAACCATTCTCACCATTTCTTCCAGAAGTGATTGCTCCAGAACGTAAGATTCAATTTCAACAAAAGGTGATGTGGACCATCATCACATTGTTGATTTTCCTTGTCATGTCGGAAATCCCATTATATGGTATTGTATCCTCCGATTCCAGTGATCCATTGTTCTGGTTGAGAATGATGCTTGCTTCTAACCGTGGTACGTTGATGGAATTGGGTATTTCCCCAATTGTTTCTTCCGGTATGCTTTTCCAATTATTACAAGGTACCAAGTTAATTCTGGTTGACATGAGTAATAAAACTGACAGAGAAAACTTCCAGGTTGGTCAAAAGTTATTGGCTATTTTGTTGGCTGTCGGACAAGCCACTGTGTACGTGTTGACTGGTATGTATGGACCTCCAAAGAGCTTGGGAGTTGGTGTTTGTTTGTTATTGATTTTACAATTGGTTTTCGCCAGTATTATTGTTATTCTTTTAGATGAATTATTACAAAAGGGCTACGGTTTAGGTAGTGGTGTTTCCTTGTTCACCGCCACCAACACTTGTGAACAAGTTTTCTGGAAGGCTTTTGCTCCAACCACCTCTACTTCTGCCAAGGGCACTGAATTTGACGGTGCTGTTGTTGCCATGTTCCACTTGTTTGGTACCAGAAAGGATAAGAGAAGAGCCTTGATTGAATCTTTCTATAGACCAAACTTGCCAAACATGTTTCAAGTTTTTGCAACTTTGTTTGTCTTTTTCGCTGTGGTTTACTTGCAAGGTTTCAGAATTGAATTGCCAATTAAATCCACCAAGCAAAGAGGTTCTTATGGAGTTTACCCAATTAGATTGTTTTACACCTCCAATATTCCAATTATGTTGCAAAGTGCCTTGAGTTCCAATGTTTTCATTATTTCCCAATTATTATTCATGAGATGGCCAAGCAACTTGTTTGTCAAGTTGTTGGGATCATGGGAACCAAGACCAGGTTCTTCTCAATTGTATGCCAACAGCGGTATTGCTTATTATATTCAACCACCATTCTCATTAACTGAAGCGTTATTAGACCCGATTAAGACCACCATTTACATTGCCTTTGTCTTGGTTTCCTGTGCCGTTTTCTCCACCACTTGGATTGAAGTCAGCGGTACCTCTCCAAGAGACATTGCCAAGCAATTCAAAGAACAAGGATTGGTTATTGCCGGTCATAGAGAAACTTCTGCTTATAGAGAATTAAAGAAGATTATTCCTACTGCCGCTGCCTTTGGTGGTGCTACCATTGGTGCCTTGTCAGTGGCCTGTGATTTAATGGGTACTTTGGGTTCCGGTACTTCTATACTTTTAGCCGTCACCACAATTTATGGATATTACGAGTTGGCTGCTAAGGAAGGTGGATTCAGTAAGAACTTGGTTTCTGGTTTTTCTGATGGTATTTAGTTGTATTTTTGTATTAGTCGCATTTTGTTGTAAACAGTACAGTTTAAGAAGAAAAAAAAATCTCACGTTTAGCTCATCGAATACATAGTAAAATTTATACAGTAACTTTATACAGCAGCAGCAGCAACATGTCTAAAGAACCAACGATATTGGAAAGTTCGGAAACTGAATCGTATCATTCAGACAAGAACAAGACATGCTACACTGAGCTTTCACTCGATGAGTTGTTCAACAATTTACAGCAGGAAACATCGGGAAAGACCATAGCAGAAGAATCCGATCAGTTTACGAAAATAGAAACTTCTATCAAGAACTTGCCTAAAATCGAATCCAACTTGGAAGACACATTGAAAGTTGTCAAGAAAAAAGATGTTATAAGGATATACGACCCCGTAGCAACCGCTGTCAAGACCGACAACAAGGAGCAGGAAACAGACAGCAGATGGTTCAATATGAAGCAACCCGAACTCACCCCTGAGATAAAACGTGACTTACAAGTCATAAAACAGAGAAGCGCATTAGATCCAAAGAGACATTATAAGAAGGATAAATGGGAGATACCAAAGTATTTCCAAATGGGGACTATTGTTGAAGGTAATGCCGAGTTCTACTCCCGATTAAAGAGAAAGCAAAGAGGGACTACCTTGGTTGAAGAAATCTTGCATGATGATGACACAAAGAAATATTTCAAGCGTAAATACTCTGAGATTCAACTGGCAAAAACCAGTGGTAAAAAGGGACATTATAAAAACATCAAGAAACAAAGAAAGAAGTTTTAACTTGTTTATCGGTATATATTTGCATTTAATACAATGGCTGTACTTGGTTTAACCTGTTCTATTTATAAGTTTCTTTGGTTGTTGCGTAGAGTATAAAACTACATTGCAATAGTTATGCATTTAAATTGTCGTTGATTAGCATTACATAGAAGGGTCGTTACATAGCTATAAGTCTACTCCAATCCCGCTCGTTGGAAAACATCCAGACGAACCTTTTCCCACAATTGTTTCTTATCTTCTTTAGATAACTTGACTTTCTTGCCTTCGATAGTTCTTAATTCCATCTTTAGTTGGTCTAATCTTAATTTATATTCATGAGCCGTGGTAGCAGCAGCGGCCAAATTGATTAAATAATTCCGGATGGCAATTTCTTTAAATTTGAACTTTAAAAATGAATGTTGATGTTGGCTTATTCCCTTGCCGCTATTTATTTGTAATAATCGGGATTGCTTAACGGATATTTCTGCTACTGATTTCTTAAAACTGGTATCGAGGTTATGTTCTTGGTATAAATTGGATGTGAACAAGGTATAGATTAATTCCTTGTCGGATATATGCGGTTGTATTAATACAATATGACATGAACTGGCTAAGTCACCAATTAACTGTGGTAATGCATTTTGATTATATTGAAAATCAGGTATGGTCGATATAACTGGTAGTTGGGTAATTATTAATTTACAGCGAGTAACATTCAAATTCCAATCAATTAACGATTCACTGACGTTTTGATATTGTAAGTCCGAACCAAGTGATATCTTGTACATTTCTTCTGGATCGAGGTCGTCTCCTACAACCGGCTTCTCACTAGGTTGTTGCTGTTGGAAATGCGACTCATGCAAGGCAATATCGTTGACTAATTGTTCCACCGTGGTCGATATTGGTTCCAGATCTTCTGGTATGGTGGCGGTGGAGCTAGAATATATGGAAGGAGCTGACCGGACAGATCTTTTTCCCGATATGCTGGAGAATATGCTTGATGACGAACTTCGATGCGACATTTGATACTTGCTGTTGTGGTTTAATGGCGGGGCCGATCGTATTGAAGCGGCACCGCCGCTTGCTCCACCTCCTCCTCCTGCTCCTCCATTTGCAGGAGGTGATGTTATTACTGACGGTGGTAATTGTTGATAGATGGCATTTCTGGCGCTGTCTCTAAAATGGGATGGTGTCAGCGTCTTCAGACGATTATTGTTTGAAAAGGGTGACCCGTACATGGTGTGCGTATGTTATGCTATGAGTATGCCAACGTGTATATATGCAATAGATGATAAATATCTTATGTACTGTTATATGAAGTTGATATATTGATGGATTGTGTTGCTGGATATAAACTATGAATATATATATGTGTATGTTGATATTAATACTACGAGCCACTCCTATATTTAAAAATTTTTTTTTTTTTTTTTTTGGTTTTCCCTTGAGAAAGGGCGGAAAATTTAATCCCAAAAAAGAAAAGGGTACACAATGGGAAAAAAAGAAATTGATTGCACAAAAGTGGAAAAACGTTTCCAAGCGTGACTAGGTGAATTTCCGAACTTGACTTGCTACAGACGTAGAGGTAGAGGCAGTTACGAAGGTTAGTGATATCTTTTTTCGAGGTGATCGTTTGTTATTGTTGACGATAAGTCACCGGCTTAGCACATTATCATTCATTTCCTGCCTACAGTATTAGTTAGTTAAACCTATTTTTACATTCCTCTCATAGTGTAATATTGTGTCAGAACCACATCCCTTGTTGTCACCACGCATTCTCCCCCAATTTCACCCCAATTTCAATAAAGTTACACTAAGTTATCTTATAATTAGAATTCTCGGTACCATTCGGAAAAACTAATTTCTGCAATGGAGCCCCGCACTTTCAATTCCGCCGGAAAAAAAGCAAGACCTAAACTGCAAGAAAATAAATCGTGTGCTTTATCAAAAGAAACAACTTGCGGTAAGACTTTTGGGGTGGGGTAAAGGTGATGATTCATTCAAAGGGAGTGTTGTGTAGTCGGATCAGCGGAATCATTCTGTATATTATAATAATCATGCTGTACTCGTATCGTTGGTATAATTGTGCTATCTTTTTGACTAATTTTTGACTAATTTTTGTTCGGAAAATCTATTAGATCCCTGCAATAGACTACCTAGATATAGTATGAGTATAATTTGAACACCGATAATTAGATTAAACTATTTCTCTTCTAGCTTAAAGATCCTTTACAGATCAAACCCTTTCGCCTTGCATACAACATTTATCTTCAATGTAGTTTATAACAATCTGGTCAAGCCTTAATCAAGCAGCAAACCCGAAAACGAAACACAAACACAAATCAGTTAAACATAGACAGGGTACATCCACGCAATTGCCCCTAAACAAATGAATTAATAAGTGCAGCTAGAATAACACCACCCCTCCACCTCCCAATAAAAACAAGCACCTCTAACCAAATAAACAGTGCAGTATTTCCAACTTGCGCACTGGGTAGTCCTTGACTTAGCTGACTGACCAGAAATTTTATTCTTTACAGCATTACAAAATACTGCACGATTAAGATTTGGTATCTGCGTAGAGAAAGAAGCACCTTCTATTTAAAAGATAGTGTCAGTATTGCCACAGTTGGTAGCACTACCACGACTAGCACAAAAAGGTCGTGTACAAATGCCCAATTGTTTTTTTTGGTATAGTTCAATTTTTTTTAGCATCACTTACATAAACAAATCAATCCTAATTCTTACAACCAATACAATCCTATCCACAATGTTAGTTGAGGAAATCATCTCACAAGATTTAGGGTTTAAATTAGATACACCTGAACATGAAATTCCACTATTTGACACTCCGATTGATTTATCAGCCCATGGTAGTCAAGATTTAAACCTTCTTGCTGTGAATAATGACTTAAGATTATTGGCAGTATCTAATATATCACAATTGAAGTTAGTATCATTAGATAAGCTTGACAAATCAACATCCATAGGTGATGCACTTTCAATTACACAAGTTCATTTTAATAGCTCCAGATTACTTGTGGTTAACACACTGAGAATTCAAACATTGTCAGTATCATCCTACCAAATTGGTGATGTTGCCCATCTTGAATATTACCCTCATTTAAACAAGGATATTAAAAGTATATTGCCGTCGCCTTATACTGATTCATTTTTGAGTTTGACTGTTGACAACGAATTATACTTGTGTGACGATAAATCAAGTACTTTAATTGCATCCAATGTCTCCAGTTATTGTTGGAAACAAGATGGATCATACATATATGCATTAAACAATGATACCACTACCTTAGCTGGTAAATCAATTGAATTTGATGACCCACCACTGGAAGACTCACACATTGTAAGCATGTTCCCATTCAACCAATATCTTTTAGTTACTTACGACATCACCCTGGATGATTTTGAACATGATATAAAGTCATATGTTTTTGAAGATAAACCGGACTATTACATTCCTATGGATGTTGATACTGCTCCCCCCTTTGGAATGGTGGAAAGAACTGCCACATATTATACGTCCACCATTAATGAATGGGTTGAATCATACCTGTATTCTTTCATTACTTCGTCCTTAGCTACCGAATTAAGCATATTGAGTTTATCAGGGCATACCTTGGAACTAATTGGATACTCAGAAGATATTTATCGTGCCCAGTTTCCCATGAATGAAGAAACCGATGACGATTGTTCACCAGTAGGGATTGGTATTTCCTTGGAATTGTCTAAAGAAGTGGCTGAGCCATGCCCAGGAGTTGATTCGGTTACTGGCAAGTTGCCTAAGGTGTACATTCTTTTGGATACCGGAAAGCTAATATCCTATTGGGTATTTCATAAACATGGTTTGATAAATGACGAGGTGTCATTACAAAGAGTAATTGATTATGAAAAGAAATTGAAAAGTAATGCGAAGCCAGTTGCGAGTGCGCCATCTATAAAACCAGTTTCTAATGAACCATCTAAAGGTAATGAAGCCACTACTGTTCAACCGGAAAATCCTTTCGGTTCTGCTGAAAACCCATTCGGGTCATCGGGTGCAAACCCATTTGGATCTTCCTCTGCCAATGCATTTAAACCTTCCACCACTTCACCAGCAACTGGATTTGGTGGGTTTGGTCAAAAATCCGATAATTTTGGAAGTACTGGTTTTGGCCAAGCTAAACCAGAGGGTTTCGGGGCTGCTGCTACCAGTGGTGCTTTTGGAGGCAGTAACTTTGGCAAGAGTTTAACTGGTGGGGCATTTGGAAATCAAACAAAGACTAGTGACACCGCATCACCATTTGGAAATCAAACTACCACCATTCCTGGAAAACAGAATACTACGAACCCTTTATCTGGACCCACCACATTTGGATCCACTAGTTTTGGTCAACCAAGTTCATTCACAACTCATGGATTTGATAATATGACTAAAACTCCTCAAGCAGCAAAGAATACCGCCCATTCTAACTTTGCTAAGTTTTCTTCTTCTGCAGCATCATTTGGATCAGGTAAGACAGATATCTTTTCTCAATCAACAGATTCTCCATTTGGTAAGCTAAATGAGAAACCGGCAAGCTCTCCATTTGGTAAGCTAAATGAGCAAGCGGGAAACTCTCCATTTGGTAAGCTAAATGAGCAACTGACAAACTCTCCATTTGGTAAGCTAAATGAGCAACCGGCAAACTCTCCATTTGCCAAATTAACAAAGGAAGAGGGGCCTAGTGATATATTTGCTCAAAAGGATGCACCTAAAGAGGATGCCAAGAAGTCTGCTTTTGGCAATTTCTCGGGATCGAAGAGCATTTTTGAACAACCAAGTCAAGAAGATAAACCTATAGAATCAAAACCAAAGAGTGTCTTTAATCCAGTTTCATTTGCTCCAGAGACAAAGAAGGATCAACCAACATTCGAGAGCTCAGAAAAACTTTCCAGTCCAGGGTTCTCTAATTTTGGTAAATTATCATTAGCCAGTGAAGAAGTTAAATCATTAGCATCACCATTTGCTAAATTAACACAGAATGCCCCAGTGGAAACACAAAGTGAGGATGTTAGTGATTTTTCAGAGGAAACCGAAGAAGAGGAAGAAATATCCGAAGAAGGCGAATCAGAAGAATTATCCGAAGAAGGTGAATCAGAAGAAATTGGACAATCAATTGATTTGATTTCTCAAATGAAATTAAAGTCCGAATCAGTAATTGAATTACCCAAGAAACAACCAACAATCCCTTCAAAATCAAAACTTGCATTGTCCAATGATGTATTATCAACTAGCGAAGAAGAAGCCGAGACGCCCGAAGAAATCAACGCTCCAGTTGAACCAATCGAGTTCCTTGTGTTTGATGGATTGACTCGTCCTACTCCAAAACAGGGAAATGTCATTGGTGATGAAATTTCACGATTAGTCAATATTACTCAAGGCAATTTATCAGTGTTGAAAGCCAATATTCAATTGCTTGGACAATTCATACAAGATCACGACTCTCCAACTAGTGCTGATTTGTCTGATGTTCAACGAATTTCTCAAAGAGATTTGTTGACTCCAACAATTGAAAAATTAGTCGATCCATTACATGTATTAAAGCTGGATTTATCCAAGCAATTGGGCCAAGTTGATGAATTATCTACCCAAGTTCAAAAATGTTTGTATGAGAAAGTTAAACTTGATAAACTTTACAGTAGATTGGCATTATTGGATACTGACAATACCAAGAGCCACGCACTCAAGCATCGACCATTGGATATTCAAAACGAGTTGATGCAAATGAATTTACGGGAGAAGTTAGCCCATGTGAAAACATTGGAATCGAAATTATACTCATTGATCATGCCAATCAAGGCTGTGAATTCATTAAACAGTGAAACGTTGAACAATATTGAACAAGTTGTATTCCAAATCAATTCTCAAATTCAAAACCAACGCGAATCAATTGATAAATTAGAGGAAGAGATTAAGAAGTTGGAAGTTGATGATAATAAAGTTGAATTGCCTCAATTGACTTCATCTCCGAGATTGAAATTAGTACAAAGATTAAGACGCACCCAACCTTCTAGTACTGCAGTTAAGTTTATGAATCAGTAGCTTCATGTTGTATATATATAATTCTTACAAGGTTAGCACGTAGGCACCACTGGATGGTGCATTTGTATAACATCTTGCAACGATTCAACCCTTCAGCCGCATATTTTACGGCTCGTACACATTTTAGTTTTTGTTATCGTTTTTTGTTGATGTAAAATATTTTATTCTGAATCGGGATTGTTACAACCACACCAGCAATGACAGCATCAGAATTGATAGGAACAAACGTGTCTATACCAGGTTCTCCTCCAGGATATGGAACTGTCAGATATATCGGAGAAATCCAGGGCAAATCTGGGGTTTTCGTTGGAATAGAACTCCATGGCAACTTAGCATCAACGCGAGGTAAAAATTCAGGGTTCGTGAATGGGATCGAATACTTCCATGTCAAGATTCCCGGAAGTGGATTGTTTTTGCCATACGATAGATTACGCACGGCCAACCCAGGAATACCTGAACGTTCCAGTGTCAACATTTCCAGAATGTCGAATCGGAGCAGTATCGGCGGGTTTGTCCTAGAAAGAAGACAACTTACACCTGAACTTGGGAGTAGCACCCCTGAACCAAGGAGGAGAGACACAAACGACGACACGATTGCTAAATTGGAGTCTGAAATTTCCAGCTTAAAACGAATAATTCAAGACAAGGACAAAAGATTGGACCAATTTGCAGTGCAACGACAGGAATGGAGGGCTGCCATGGATGAATTGGTTTCAGTTCAACAAGACGGTATTGAGGTGTTTGAAGTCAAGATTCATGAATTAGAAGTTGAGTGTAACTCTTATAAACAGGAAATTGAACGATTGAACAGTGAATTGGCCCTCTCTGGATTACCCAACAATTCAAGCAAAGAACTTGCCCAAGCCAAGGAGAAAATTGTCCAACTTGAACAAGATATTGAGAATTTATTACTGAAACAAGTCAGTAATGTGGATATAAACAACTCTGGTTTACAAAAACAAATAGACAGTTTGAAAAGCGAACTTGAATCAAGACCTAAAATGGATAATCTTTTAAACTTGCAAAAAGAATTGGATGAATTGGATTCAATGTATCATGAACAATTACAATCTAAAGATCAACAGATTAAACAATTGGAACAAGAAGTTGAAAAGTTAAAGCGTAGCCATGGAAGTGCCAGCAGCGAACCATTTGCCATGTCTACTAGCACTAGCGACGAGCTACCAATTTACCAATCGTCAACTCCAGTTGATCCAAGTTCAGGTAAAAATGATTGGTGTGGATTATGTGAACGTGAAGGCCATAGCAGTATAAACTGTCCTTATGAAAATGATATATTTTAAAATACTATTTATGCTACATCTATATCTACCACTTCAGGTTCAAGGTCATCGTCACCTTCACCATTTGCATATACAATATCCTTTTCTTCAGTACTTTCTTCTATATCAATAACTTTTTGTCTAATTTCAGATTGTAATGTTAAAAGTTGTAATCTTCCTTGAATGACAATTAAATGTGGTAAAAGTTCAAGCCCAGAAGATAATTCCTTTTGTAAGTTCTTTAAGTTTGATTGGTCAGATTTGGCAATGACCCCCCCATAAGTTAAAAGAATCCATTTCAACCAGATTCCGAGTGATTTGTTTATAGAACAGTCTTTTGACACTTCGTTGCTTATGATGGAATATAATTTTTCAATACTAGTATTGCTTACTTGGTCAAACACTAATGCCTTGATGGTTTGTTTAATTGTTTCTTCGTTATTAATGCTGGAACATAATTTCACAATAGAATTCTTGTTGAGTTCCGTAGAGTTCAATTTTTCAAGTAAAGTTTCCAACAATTGTGAATATTCAACGTTGTTAATTGCAGTAATTTTAGGAATATGAATCTTGGCGTTTGGTAGCGATGACGAAGATGACTTTGTAGTTTCTGTGTTTATGATTTCTCCTTCGTTATCAGATATCCAGTGAATATCGCTAATTTCAACATCATTTAAATCTTTGTATGCACCAACCAAGATTGATTCATGGGTGAAAAGTTCGGTAACATTGTTGGTGGTAATAGTTTTGGAAACTTGCTTGTCCCCAAATCTGACCAAGTATACTTTTTCCTGGGTTGATACTTGGATATATTCTTCCGCGATATATGATACAGTGGACAACACAGTCGCGTTTCCGGTATATTCAATCTTAGTATAGTGGTCAAGGTCCTTTAAGTTGACAATGTATAACTCGTCCGCTAACACCGCAAGTAAATCTGGTTTTGTTTTAGATTGTATAATTTGGGTGACACCCTTGATTTCAAGCTCATGCTCTTGAACAAATTTGTTTTTAACTATCTTACCAAGGGATAATTTGGAACCATCGCTGAGGACAACATGGGGTGCTTTTCCTGGCAAGACTTCAATAGTAGTTGCAGATGGCACTTGAATGGAAATAACTGTGTCATCATCACTCGAGTACTTTATAAGACTGTCCTTAGACTTTATCCATATGAAATTATCGGCCTTGATTAATTTGGTGCCTGGGACCCTGGTGGTGAATTGTTTGATTGGTTTATTCAGTAATGGAGATAATACAATTAAATTTCCTGATTCGTCAAGAGCAATTAATGTGTCGTTTGAAATGTCTACTGGTGTATCTTCAGATGTTCTCTTTCTTCTTTTGGGTGATTTGGAAACGGAAGTGCTCCAAATAATGTCTATGATTGAATTTTCAAGGAATATCGAGTTGGCTACACTCGAGGTGACAGTTTCATTTTCTTGTGAAAGTTTGTAAAACCTAATTTCGTTCTTTCCATGACGGGATATTGAACATGCAATGTATTTACCACCTTCTTGAACAGCGAATCTCATGGTTGTTGTGTAGTAATTAGCTTGGAGTACTTGAAGACTTTACTTAATTTTTTTTTCAGCTAACAAACCGATGAGATGTTTGAACATCGCGCACGACTCCTACTTTTTATTTTTTTTATTATTTTTTTTTTTTTTTGTCAAGCAGCCAAATTGGTTGCAAATATCAAATAAACATTTTGAAAACTTACATAACAAAATATCTTACTTTACATCAATAATAATATGTACAGTATATGCTATATTTACTTCTTTTGTTGAATCTCAATCATTTGCTGCACTTGAAGTTTACACAACTCTTTCAAATCGAAAACATCAGCTTTTAATTCTTCAACTTGTTCTGATTTTTCACCAATCAATTCAAGCATAGTTTGCTCCTTCCTGTCCTTTTCCAGTATTTGCTTCTTCAACTCATCTATTTGAACATTCATTTGCGACATTTCATCATTCAACTTCAAACTTTCAAACAACTCTTGTTCAAGCTTCTCCTTATCCATGGATAATTTACTATATTCATCTTTCAAGGTGTTGAGTTCAATTTCCAACCGCCTTATAGTTGAACTCATCTTATTCACCAATTGAATATTATTACTGTGCGAACTTGTAGGGATATTGCCAAGGTGATTATACACCAGTTCTCCTCGTAAATCGTATCCGTCTTCAACGCCGATCTCCGTGAATGAAGTCAGTGATTGGTTGCGACTGTTGTCGATGTAAATACCTGAAAAGTCTCGATTTATGGCTGGTGTAGTCGATGATTCTCCAAACCTTATATCATTCCAGCTTGCTGCTGATAAATTGCCCAATGAAATTTGTCTGGTTGAATTATCCAAATTCAATTGTAATTCACTAGCTGATTTCTGTTGTTCCTTCAATTTTTCAATTGTGTCGTTCAATGTTTCAATCTTGGTGTTTAATTTAGCACGATCTTGATTATAAATGTGTTGTAACTTATCAAATTTATCTTGCAATTCAACAAAATCGTTTTCCTTGATCTTAATACTTAGCTCATGGTTCTGAATTTGTTGTTCAAGTGTAGTGACTTCTTGTGTTAATTTCCTAACTTCATTGTCCAGGGAAATTAATAAATTATTAACTTTGGTTAAGTCTTGAGTTAATTTATTCTTTTGCTTCTTAAGCTGCTCGATCGTGTTTGTCAAATTATCAATTTTTAGTAATAAATTAGATTCAATTACCTTCCAATTCTGTTGTGATGATAAATATTGCTTTTGAAGATTATGATGCGATTCTGAAAGCTTGATAAACTCCTCAATCTTACCTTTGTCGGATTCATCGCTGGTTTCAGAAATAGTCACATTTGACTCTTGTTCTAATCGCAAGTTTTCAATTTTATCTTCAAGACGAGAAATTTCTCTACCATAACTTTGCTTAGCTGACATTAATTCATTCTTCAAATCTTGCAAAATATTCTCCTTGGAATCCAATTCAAGGCTATGTTGTGATTTCATAATATCAATTTGAATTTTCAAATCATTAAGCTCTTTAACCGTTGCTTTATTTAATGAAACTTCTTGCTCATGTGTAAGTACAAGATCAGAATACTTTTGTTGTAAACCATTGGCTTGCTCCAATTCTTGTGTCGTATTGGCTAATTTATAGTTAAGCTCACCAAACTTTTCTTTAAATTGATCAAATGATTTAAATTTATGAAGACGCAAGAATTCTTGGAATTCTTGTAATTTTAAGCTTGATTCATCACTTTTGATTAAATAATCTTGTAAATTTTCTTCCAACTGTAGATTGGTGTTTTTTAATTTCTTGATGGTATCATTCAACTTCAATTCTTTATGAGAAAGCGATTCACCTTCTTCACGCAATTCCTTAATCATGGATTCCTGGGCAGAAATTTTCCTTAATAATTCCTCGCGTTCCTTCTCAAATGGATTGACGGTAGTTAAACTTACGGCCAGTGGAGAAGCCTGTGGAGGTTCATATGTAATGGGTTCTGGACTCTTTAATTTGGTTTCCTCGTTAGATTCTACTATCTCAACTGGGGCTTCTTCGGGTATAACTGTGTCAACTACGGGTTGAGGAGCAGGGGTGGCAGTAGTCGAAGCTGGAGGTTCAGCAGAAGGTGATTTTGATTTTGTTGATTTTTTAGATTTTCCTTTAGCAGCTTGCGCCAACCTTTCTTGTAATGTAAGACGCTTACGAACTGGCTTTTTGGGTACTGGTTCTGATTCAGCTTTTGTTTCTGTCTGTGTTTCTGTCTGTGGCTCTGGCTCTTTCTTTTCGGATTCTTGAGCTGGGTCTGATGATTCTTTGTTTTGTTCCGGTTCTTTCTCGGTAGCTTCAGGTCCTAAAGCCAGAGAGGTCTGGTCTATTGAATCTACTTGAACTTTGACGTCAGGGGCATTTTCAGATTGAAGATTTTGTTCAGTATCCTGTTCTGTTTCGGTTTTCTGTGATTGATCCGGTATAGGCTCCTGTTTGACTGGTTGGAGAACGGCACCAACTTCAGAACTTGATTGATCCTGTTGTGTAATCTTTTCTTCTTGAGTTATTTCATCAGATGGGGCTGTGACTGCGGGATCATTATTAACTTCGTCGCTATCAAGTTGTTGTGATTCATCTTTTGTTTCATTCTGTTGTGCAATAACTTCTGCTATGGGCTCATTTAAAGATATTAAATCTTCAACTTCATCCGGAGAAGCTAAATGAGTAGGGGAAGATGGTTTTATCTCCATTTCACCATTACTTTCTGGCAATTTTTGTGGTATTTCATCTGGTGTTTCAATACATACATTCTGTGAATCAAGTGGTTGTTCCCCAGCAGCTGTTTCCGTGTGTTGTTTGGATATTTCATCTCCAGACTGGGTATTCACTGCCGTTTCAGATTCCCCGTCGTGTATTAAATTCAGTGATTCTTGAATAGGTTGCTTTATATGTTGATCATCCTGTTGTTTGCCCAGCACGGCTGGCGTGTCGAGTTCAGTTTCGTCAACAAGTTTAGAATCCGGAGAATCATCAATCACGTCTTGAATTTCATTATTGTGAGAAAGTATCTTCTCGCTGGAAATTTCCTCCTGCATGCTTGGTTATATCTTGATCAATCGATAATTACGACCACTAACTATAAAGTGGTTGACAAAGATAGTCCGCACCGTGTGTAAAAAAAAAAGTGTACGTGGATATGGGTATATGCAGGAATGGTTAGATCCACTGGACCAAAACCAGCGTACCTAAGATGCTGCAAAAAACTGCAAGCTTTTAAATAAGGGGTATTTACGAAAGGATGTATTATTGAATCATACTAGGTCTTGGAATGTTCTGTTTCTGTAAATTTGAATGTTAAGGTTGGATTTTTGTTTTCCTTCTAATTTGATGCTAAGGCTACCATTAGTGCTCACGTGGGGTGTATCTTTATTTAGGAAAATTCCAAGCTTGAATTATTTACTTTTTAATCATTATGAGGAACTCTGACAAGAGTTGAACAATAATATATTACAAGCCTTGTCGTGTTTAGAAAAATTTTTAACAAGAAATGTTTCTTATTAACTGTCTATTTAACAACCTCAGTTGATTAATTCACCTTACCGCACGATCGAATCTGATAAAGTAAATTCAAATTGTTCATTCAACAAAACAATGAGCATTGTAAGTTTCAAATCAATGAAATTACAGGCGTGACTCTTGCATAGTTCTCTCGATGTACATCAACGCCTAAATTGAACCCCCCCCCCCCCTTTTGTAATTGATGTCATTGTATAATTCCAATCCCCGGAGTATCTGGTAATAGTACATAACCACGCTGATCTAATCCATAAGCATCAGTAACATTATACGGTTTACACTTGTTTATTCATCTAGCACGGTGTTCTCTATGATGTCATGATATTTTGTTCTACTAAGCCCAATTGTCATGGTCTATCTCGAAATATTTTGCTGGATGGGAATTATTTTATAGACGTTCTCTTTTCTGGTGACCCCCCTCCCCCCCTCTGTGATCCTCACAGGGAATATCCGCAATTATCCGCCCAATTGTTTCTCTTTTCTTTTTTGACTTACCCCCTCAACGGATCTATTGCAACGGTTCGGGAAGATTGCAAAATGTTCCAAACCCCTTCCGTTGCATTGTCATTAACAATCCTTATCCCCGGTTCAATTGGAACTGTCCCCTCACCTTGGTAGTTTGTTGGGCATTCTCCAACCAAGAACAAGAGATCCAACACAATATACTATACGAGTGTGGCTGCTTGTGATAAAACTAGGGTCCATTGTTTTATCATCATTCCACGGATATGCACAATTGCTAATATTTTCTATCATAGCAAAGCATCTCGTTTAGAATTTCACTGGCTGCACTTGTGATCGAATCTGGCGGTTTACTACATACGAATTGAATAATTAATTTGTATTTACAAATTTATACAAATACATCATAATAAATAATGGCAAATCAAGAACTGAAACTGAATATCATAATTAATTTAAGGTAATCCCTGGTTAATAGCAGTATTAGTGTCCTTTTGAGATTCCCCACTTGGTTCTAAATTGTCATTACTGCTTCCTGCACCAGCAACTGCAACCAATGCAGGTGGTTGATATACTTGTTGGATTCCCATAGATGGATACATAGGAATTGTAGGATATCGTTGGGTTGCACTGTGGTGAGGCAATGGCTGGGTAATTACTGATGGTGGTGGCGCCAATGGTGCCGATGCAACAGCTGCTGCGGCAGTGGTTGGATATGGTTGGTGATAATACATATAACTTGGAGTTTGACGTTGGTTCATGGAATTCGAAGTTTCCATTGATGCAGTACTTGAAGCACGTAATTGTTGTTGTGGAGGGTAGTTACCATACCAATAATTGCCGGAACTATAATCATTTTGTTGTTGTTGTTGCTGCTGCTGATGTTGTTGTTGAGATTGATTACCTGTTGATATCAGTTGTTCTTTAATATTAATATCCTTATTTCTATCGTTGTTTGTATTTTGAAAATCAGCCTTTGATTTACGATGACCATGTTTTTTTGTAACAATATGAGTATTTAAGTGATTTAAAGAGCCATAACTCTTTATGCAACCAGGATACGAACAACTGTACTTCCTCACAATTTGGTTGTAGCGTCTACGGAATCTTCTTCCGCGTTTATTAGCAATATCCATACCTGGAGCACCTGGATGATATTGCTGTAGAGAGTGGTGTATTGGGGCGCCTGTAGGAAGCATTTGATGAGGTGCTGCATTATAGGTTGGTTGCATGTATGGATAATTTGCAATATATGTTTGATTCATTTGCATGACATATGACCTTTGATAAGGGTCAACTGTATTGGTTGAAGTATTCACATACTCTGGCGATGAAGATGAACCATTAGTATCCGTTGGTTTGTACTGTTGCTCGTTATAGTAATGATTAGGAATGTCACTATTTGATAAAGAGTTTATGGACGAGTCAATTGGTGGAAGTACTAGTTTGTTGTGCTCTTTTGGTTTCGTAAGGATCAGATTTATAGCCATATTCTTATAATTCGCTGAGGCAGACGTTAACACCCCATTAGGTGTTTCAGTCGTTTCATCCTTTATTTGTCCATTTTGGAATCCCATTATTGTTAAAATTGCAAGATATAGCCTAGGTTTGTGCTATATATATGACCGAGAAATGATGCGGAAAATTGAACCAAACCAGAGACCGTAGTTGTTGTTCAGTGCAACTGGTTTATTAATGAAGTTAGACAAGTGATGCTTGTTGATTTTTTCGTCCAATTGTGAAATTTCAGAAACAACTGTCTTGGTTGTCCTTTGTTATTTGTCTTTTGCAAAAACCAAAATCCAGGTTACGATCGATGGCCACAAATATTTCAAATTGAAAAAAAATTAAGGTTAATGAATCCTAGTTTATCTATACCGATGCTTTTGACTTTTTTTTTTTTCTTTGTCAATTAGGTAAATTAATCTCTAGAACAGGAAGCCTAACTCAGCAATAAATAAAGTTAAAGGTATAGTATAAAAGAATGAAGGAGGGGGATATGATGAAGCGATTTCAAAGAAAAAAAAAATAAAAAAAAATTAAGTTCAACTAGTTCTTATTAGTAGTTAACCAGACCTGTTGATATATTTATATTTTTGGTGATTCAGAAACTCTAAAAAAATTGAAACTCAAAAATATCACAAACCCTGTTTCTTTCTGTCTCTCTTTCCTTTTTATTTTTTTTGTTTATTCTGAAATTTTCAATTGGGTTTTTTTTGGTGGAATTATTTTTTATGTATAGTAACAGTTTAATTATATAAATAAAAAATAATTTAAAATGGCCCTTTATAGTAACATGGCTTTTTCTTATTGCTTTTCTTTTTTTTTCTTTTTAGTGTCCGAATTTCAGACCATGGTACTTAACAATGGCCACTATATTAATTTTATATATGCTTCCACCCTATTACGTAACATTGTTATTTTGCTTTTTGGCAACAAAAATCAACATGTCTTTCTTTTGTGCACTTTCTTTTTCGAACTTGAAATCCAAATCTTAAAAACAAGACCAAGCATGAAAAAATTACTAAAGCTTAAAATTTTAGATGGAGCAGGACATTAAAAAATTGTCAGCTTGGGGTAGTCAACCTTCTAAATGCTACCCATATTTACAATTGTGTCCGATAGTATGCTGGAAATGGTCAGGTTTTGCCTACTTTGTGAAATAAAAAGAAAAGGGTATTTTTTCGGTCGGAATTACTAAATTGAGTACACCCGCACACATCCACACCACACCCACCCTTCTAGATGTTTCTTTTACATGATTCCTGTGATTCCATACTTAGCTAATGCATAATTCAATTTCAGGCTTAATGTATTATTTAAAAAAATAATAATAACTTTGTTTTGCTTTAGATTGTCTTTTCCCAAAATTGATATTATCACAAAACGAGAAAAAGATCACAAAAAAATAATCTTTATAAAAATCCCCCAAATAATAACGAACTTTTGTTGGATTAAAAAATATGCTGTTACATCCTACTCGAACCATGGGGGGGGAAGGAGAGATAACCTCTCGGGCGTCAATGATGTGACATTAGCAATAAGAATTTTAAAATATTCGATAAAACTTGTCTAAAATAGTTCTAAATCGGCAAAGATTTAAAGGTGATGTTCTAAATTCTAAATCAATTTAAATTAAATTAAATCATAGCCATTCACTTGAATGCACAGAATCACACAGACTACCAACAATTGAGCTTTTTTTTTTATTTTTGTACCCTTACATGGCACGCACAGTTCGGCTTAAGAGTGCAAAAGAAAATAAAACAAGACCGAAAAAAAAAAGAAAATGCCATTCCATCACAGGGACCATTATTATTTTTTATCAGAACAATACATTTATGTAGATGCGAAAAATATTTTTATGTTCCAAATGACATTCCGTGACGCTAAAACTCGAACAAATATTGCAACTTTCGGAGTATATTACGGTGAAACTAACGTAACCATATCCTTATTGGGGAAGTTCTTCGATAGGATTAAAACTTTTCAAATAATATTGTTATCGTTTCAATCGGTAGGACCCTCCCCCCCCCCCTTCTACGCTTTTTGATGGTGATCTGGCCAAGCATTCTAAGCCCACCCCCCGCATGGGGTTTTTTTTCTTTCTCGACAACCTGGACGGTTGAACGTCTTCCAGTTGTCCTTTCTACCATGTCAACGGTGTTATTAACCAAAATTAGTCGATCAGCTGACGATTACACGAGGTGGAAACAGTAATGGCTAGAAAGAACTTATAGTGTAACCGCCCATAATTGTTGTAAAAAATATCTGAAATTTCGGTAATGCATACTGTCAAATATGGCGCATCCCCCTTTTTATGCAATGCAACTATCAAATCAATAACCAATGGTCATGTGGCGTCTAATTGCTTGCTAACTATTGTTTTCTACGTTTCGTTTAAGATAATCAACATATGAAATAACCCTTTGTTTCGTTTCGGCATTAAGACTAAAAAAGAAACTTGCATTGTTTGTAATTTCTCGAATACATTACATTCACTTATCAGTGGAGGAATTAGTTTGACTATTTTCTTTAGCTTAAAGTGCATGAGAGGAAGCAAACACGGCAATAACGGGGCAATAACGGGGCAGTGCAAACATTTAGATATCTAAATTCACAATGTTTAGAATAGTGATTACGCAATATTACTTTCTGTGTAATTAGGAGATGCACGCAAAGCTATTAACATGAATTTGTCTTATTTCTCATGTTAGTTTTTGACCACCCCGTTGGATGGAATACGAGCTAGTTGATCTACCTAAGCTGCATGGTAGATTTCATTTCCCTGGAGAATGGTTCGATTTTACCTCTTTGTGAAGTTCCAAGTCTCCTCCCGCAGTAGCTTGCGTGGAGAAACACAACAATATCGATTGTCACTTGCAGGTGAATCATACGTTAAGATTGGGAATACAAATCTTAAATTTAGTCGCAGCAACTATATTTTTCTAGACCAGGGATCCGAAAATGGAATGACGGACACATTTCTCTCAATTTCCAAACGAGGAAATGGAACCTAAAATTATGATTTATTTGTTTGCTAACTTCCGAACTTTGCTTTACCGCCTCGCCCGGTAATCCACCTTGATACATTTTTGTAGTTTGGTAATCTTTAAACGTCTTTTATTATTTGTAACTAGTTGAGAGTTTTAAGCGTTGCCAGTGTATTCATTTGGTGCAATTTAGTTCTTTAGCGAGCACTAGCTAGCTAGATTGAACTATTGGTGAAACAGATGGTCTATCTCTAATTAGACACTTATGTTGACTGAGAACTACTCCAATTTGCTCTAAAAAATGGATCTATGCTTGTCTATTTCATAGCACTTAGTCCAAAAAACTCGACTTTCTATTACATTGTTTGTAATTTTTCAAATACAAACCCAATATAGAATCCAACAGCTTCTTTCTCGTCACCTTCAGCACCATACTTCCCGTCACTTCTTTTGATACCTTCAATTAGATGTTTATTCAATTTCAGGAAATAGCGAGGTATTTCTTGATTGAAAATGTCAATGAAATTTTTCTTATATTTAAGGGTAAGCCCATATTCTTCACATAACGTTCTTAAAGTTTCAAAAGGGACAACATATTCAGGTACATCGTCAACAGCATCCTTCAACCAATATCTATATTTATTACCAAATGGAGGACGGAATACACCATCTGCTGGAGGCTCTTTATCAAACGTAACTGAATATAATTCATTCCCAAATTTACATTTCCCAGCTTCAGTTTTATAATATTGTTTTTGAACAATCTTTGACTTGATAACATCTGACGATGGGATAGTTCCAATAAAAGCTCCCCCTGATCTTAAAGATCTTGTCACATTTGTCAATAAAGTTCGTACTTTTTCTTCAGATTCAAATGCATAATGTAAGGCAAATTGAATGGAAACAGCATCAACTGGGAAAGCACGATTTATAATCCCTGGAAAGTTTGGTTCCAAGATATTGGGAACAAATTCAGTGAAACAATCACCAGTAGCAAAACATGCTTCAAAGTTATATCTACTAGATCCATGTCTTCCATCCCTTGTGTTTCTCAATCTTGCTTTTTGTTTTGAATATCGTTCGTATGCTTCCCTAACTGATAAATCGGAAATATCGACACCAATATATTGTTCAATGCCTACAAATTCACATTTGTTCAAATCACCACCTTTACCACAACATAAATCCAAAAAGGAAAATATTTCTGATTCTTCACGGTTATGTTTAACGAAATTTCCTAACAACATGTATTTAATAGCATTATTAAAATTTCTTAATTTGTAAATTGGAGAATTGACTCTAGAACCTTGGAATTTGGATTGCTGTGTTCTTTGATTATAATGAGCTCTAACAATTGAATTGATATCCTTGTTTTCTCTATTTGTAATTCTACTTTGGAATGTATGATAGTTTGAGATTTGGTGGTTTACGGAAGGATTAGCAACATCTAAATTGGAATAAGGATTAACTTCTTCCTCTTCTTCGGGTTCTTCTTGGTGACGATTGTTTCTTTGATGTATCTTATCAATGCTTCTCTCTAATTCGTCACGAGAACGCTTTATACGTTGTAATCTTGGGTCTGACGTGGCACCAGTACTTGGTGTAGAGGGTGCAGCAGCAGCTTTCACTTGTCTAGAACCGTATTTATCGTATTTATGATCAACTCCTCTATCTGACTTTCGCCAAGCTGGTACTTCGCTTTCATATTGATATGCAGAAGCTATAGTAGTTTGTCTAGTATCTGCCGAATTTCTTCTTCTAATAGAAAATTCAGAAGGTAAATCATCCTTTGCTTTAATACGTTTGGCTAATGGTTCTTCTGGAGAAGCAGAGCTAATTTCTGGTTCTATTAGTTTGGATGACTCCTGTGTCAGCTCGTTAGACATGTTGGTCTTGTCCATCTTGGTGGGTAAAAGTTGGCAGCATTTAATTTTAGTTTAGTTCTTTCTTTTTTTTTTTTTTTGGCTGGGTACTATTTTTTTTTACTAGGTTGTCAAAATCATAACTATGGAGAATATCTATTAGCAAAATCTACACTATATCTCTACAACATTGACTTTTCAAGTAATTCCTCATTGAATATCTTGATGATCGGCTCAATGAATTCTTTCCTATTGGGCACTAAATGACCTCCATCATGAACAAATATCTTGGCTTTTCCTTCTGGATATAACGATTCTGCATATTGACTTCTAATGGGAGTGACAACGCTGTCATTGCTTCCATTTACAAATATTAACTTGGTAGATAAATCAGCTGGTGGGATGCAATAACGTTCTGCGTCATCTGTTATCTTCACTGCTTGTTTAAATTCTTCAAAATCTTCAATTTCATGGTTAATTCTTTCTATATTCTCTGGTGAACGATCACCACTTGGTTCAGTAAGAACAAAGCATGACACAAACATTGCAAGTTTAAATGAGCCATGTGAGGGTAATAACTTGTTAATACTATTAGTTATCATTAAAGCCATAGCAGCACCTTGCGAAAAACCAATAATTCCATCATAAGGACCATTTTGGTTAATATGTTTAATTACATAGTCGATAGATTCGGTTAACCCAACGTTAATGCCTGGACCTTGATGATCCCACCAACAACGGTTGTTACCCTTATCTACTATACTTTGCCATACTTGTTGGGCTTCAGGTTCAGTAGGTGCCAATGGGAATGATATTTTGTCTTTGGAGTCAATTAATTGTGGTGGATCAAGATAATCAAGTTGTAGATTAAGTTTCTTGGTTAGTTGTTTGCGAATACCAGATGATTTGGCAGCAAATGTAGATCCATTTTGGAGGAATCCTGGAAGGCAAAGGATTTTCTTGGTCATGGAATTTAATAGTTGTCGTTGTATAGTGTAACTCTAATAACAGTGATCTTCAAGATTTGTAATTTGCACGACAACTTTCACAAAGTAGTTACGAATTTAAAAGAGGGATCTCCCCCACTCCAAATGCTTTACTTGTTTTTTTAAGTAAATATTGAATTAAAACTGCTAAATTAAGTGCTTGTTGTGTTAAAAAAGTATTGAACTTGTTTTGAAAGACTAACAGTAAACATTTTAGTTTCAACTGCTTTGAAAGATGCTTCTCGTGTAAAGAATATCCTGAATTGGAATATATTTCGTGAAAAGTTTGCAAAACTAGTAAAAAAATTTATTGAACATTGTAAGATTATTAAATCACTCCATCAATTCTAACTAGTACAATGTCACTTGATTTAAAGATCTTCCAATATCAATTGTTCAGAGCCCAGATAATGTAATCATGATTAAGTAGTCAGGAAAGACGTTCTCGTCAAGGGAAATCTTACGTGCGGCTCAAAAAAAAATTGATATTCTTTTGTATAAATGCTGTCTCAGTTTTGAATATCAATCTCATCACTCATTTAACAGTAACTTACCATGTCACAATTTGAGAACTTTTTCAGTAAGATTCAGGATGAGATAGAGAAAGAGTATGTCTAAATTTAACCATGAAATTTAAAAGCACAAAATCGCTAACAGTTGACAAGTTTACAACAAAAATCTGCGTTGCAAGAATTAGAACACCAGTTGGATCTAAAATTAATTCCACACAAGAATTTTATTAATGAACTTAGTGCGTTAAATCCACAAGATCTAATCACCATTCCTACACTCACAAGCCCAGAAATCCCAATTCCGGAGATTCTTGATGAATTCACCACGTCATTAGGGAAATTAGATTGTAAAGCAGTCCAAAAGGAACGACTTTTAAACAAATCAATAGAAGAGTGCGCAGTACTTATACTCGCTTATCGCTATTACCGTCTGATTGGAGAATGTTTCAACACGGATGGTGAGACAGTAAAAGTTCCGATGGTTCTGAACTCACATTTGGTAGGTACAATTGGTACTCCACGTGAGCTCTCACATCTCTTAAATTTAGAGAAAATAGATTACCAGGTTTATTTATTGGCATTATTAAGAGTAGTAGATACCATTGTTGATTATACTAGTAGTACTGTTATTCGTTTGTCAATTGGATCAAATTCACCCAAAGATTATACCATTGCAATGATTAATCTGGAAATTGTTTCTAAGCTTCAAAAGGGGTATCAATTATTAGATTTGAAAAATGACATTTTGAGAAAGAAATATGATGGTTTAAAGTATAATTCACAAAGGCTAAATAAGATTGTCTACGATCTATCTCTTAGAAATTTGATATCATGCAAAGGTGAAGTTGTATAATTACATAGTTTAACCTATAATCTATTTTTAGTCGTTTTGCGTTGTTTTGTTTAACTAAAAGTAGTTACTTCACTACGGTGCTCGTATCATATTGTTAGAGCCTTAACTCTAAAAGTTAAACTACCTAAAAAGGAGAGAATTTATTTCTTAGAGGAAATGTCAAAACCGTGCCATGATTACTTAGAACAGCCAAACTTCCTATTTGGGTGTGATACCTGCATATAAGAACCATGCTTGCAACTTTTGATTGCATATGAGTTTTGCAACAACCAAATTCGTATCTAATTTAAGCTTTTCACATGGTTACACTATTAACTATATTTGAAGAAGTGTCTTATTTTAAAAAACTCTAAACCCCACAAAGTAGTTTATTATATAACCAGCTTAATTTTTCTGGAATACTGATTTTTATTTATCACCTGCCATTATAACCAAAATGTCAAAGTTTGATGAATTTTTCCATACTATTAAAGATGGAGTTGATAAAGAGTATGTATATACCACAAACATATAGGTTTGCATAGATAATTAACCTTTTCCATCCTGTAGTTTACAACAAAGAACACCTTTACAGGATTTAGAACATCAATTTTACTTGCAATTAATTCCCTACAAGAATTTTGTTTATAAATTAGCTTCCTATAATCCATCAGAATTGTGTATCCAAGATCGTGGAATCCAAGATCCAAATCCTGCAATTCTGAAACTTCTCTCTGAGTTTCTGTTATCGTTATTTAATTTGGATAGTGAAGAATCTCGAAAGAAACCACTTTTGAATAAATTTATTGAAGAATGTATTGTTCTTGTTCTTACTTTCCGTTATTTTCAAGTAATTGACGAGTGTTTCAATCTGGAAGAGTCCACCACTATACAAGTCCCTATGGTTGGAAACCATGATTCAACTGGGGTGATTGTTAATACAAATGAACTTCCAGATCTATTAAATTTAGAAAAGGTTGACTATCAAGTGTATTTGCTGGCATTGATAAGATTGATTGATACCATGGTTGAGTACACGAATGGCACCGTGATTCGGGGATCTATTCAATCAAAAGGTCCATATGGTAAAGATTATTCAATTGCAATGATCAATCTTGAAATTGTTTTAAAACTTGAAAAAGGTTTTCAATTGTTGGATTTGAACAACGAAAACTTGAGAAAGTTGTACGACAGTTTAAAATTGAATTGCCAAAAGTTGAGTAAAATGACTTACGATTTGTCATTAAGAAACTTGATAAATGTTAAAGGAGAAACTGTATAACTTATTTACTTTAGTCGTCTGATATTTCAATAATATGTTTGTTATTTATCTCAGGCAGCTCTACTCGATCCTCGGTCTTTGCCTTCTTTGCAGCTGGCTCATCCTCTACTTCAATGTAATGTTTTTCAGGATTCGACAGACTAGCTTGTTCAACTGGAACGATTTGCTCGTTTTCTTGTGGTGTTGTTCCATCACCACTAACCAATTCTTTCTTCTCTGCTGCATTATTGTCATTCAGTGCAGTATTTTGTTCACTAATCCCTCCATTTGCAGAAATGTCGCTTTGTCTCTCTTCCATTATAGTTGCTATCTCTGTTTCTTTCTCCAGATGTTCATCTTGCTTTTTATCTTTGACAATTACTTCATTATATATCTCCGGTCTATTCTTGAAAATGGTATCAATTTCATTCTTGAATTGTTTAACAATATCATTGGTCAAAGGGAATATATCTCTCTTGGCAATCTTCTTTTTAGCACCAAGCGAATCAGTAGTGGTAACAGTAGAGCTTGTATCTTTGAAATAATACAAGTATATCTTAAAGTACAACCCCACAATTGTATCATCAATTAATGAAGTTGGACCAAACCCATTATTATACTTTTTCATATCATTAAGTGCATGTAAAAAACAAACATGTGGCTCCAACTCACTAGGAATTCCCTTTTGAGTCATTAGCTCCATAAATGATTTAACATTAACTGTAAATGATTGATATGAAAGATTATTTATAATAGTTTCGGTAAATGTGAAACTTTCCCCAATTCCCATCAGGTTTCTTATGAGTTTGCATACTGAAGAACATAATCCTTCCCAAGCAGTATAAAGATTTATCATGATTGAGTTTGATCTTCTTAATTTGGGCAACATCAAGATGAGGCTGATTATATCCTGTTTGCTATTAAGTAGGTCAATGTAAAATTGGATATATTGAAATGTATAGTAGAAATGCTTCCCTGGTCGTTCATGCTCTGGTTTCCAAACCAGAATTAATGACTTATTTGTAGTTTTCAATGAAACAAACGAGGACATTTCTTCAATTGCTTCATCAATATCTTTAAATTCTTCATAAAGAATTTTGGCAATTCTAAATTTTGGTTTATGTTGCCAATTTTTCTTATCAAAATCATCAAGTTTTCTAAGTGCAGTAATTACATGCTTGTAAAAATCCAGTTTGGATTCACATGCTTCCACTCCAAGATCTACAATTGGATCCTCATTCAAAAATTTAATTCCTTGTTTGATATCAATCAAGTCTTGTTTGAGGTACTTGATCACAAGTGATACCAATGCATAATGTGGTTCAACTATACAATCTTGTGATTTGAACAATTCAAATGCCATCTGACAAGACTTCTTCATAGTAGCTAATACTAATTCATGAGGTTTTTCCAATTTCCGTTGAATTTTGGCCAAGTAATAATAATCACTCCAATCCTTGTTGTTTGACTTGATGGCTAGTTGTAATGATTGTTGAATAATCTTGCAACAAAACTTCTTGGAGACGGTAGCAGTATCAGATACATTAATAAATGAAGCTCCTGAAATTTTTCTAATAAACTTTGGATGCGTTTGCACTTTGAAAGCATGCATATCCATTGGACTCATACATGCACTAAACAATTCCTTAGCGAAGCAAGACATTAAATTTCCCATAATTGGTTTAATACTTTCTGGATCATCAATACTCTTGTTTATAGCCATCAAGTAACAGATTATTGATCTTCTTTGAAGGTTAGCTGTAGTAATTTTTCTATCTGCCACAGTTAATTTATCTGCTGTCCAAATTAAATCATCCTCAACGAGAAACCCATAAGCTTGTCCCAATAAGAACCAACTCTCAACTCGTGAACTTCCAAAAATTAAATCATAGGTCAATAATTGAATAACATTTTCCAATTCAACTGCTCTTCCTTGCATATTCTTCTTCCGGAGTTTATAACTTGAAAATATTGATAATCCTTGCAAATAGTATAAATCAGTAAATATTGAATGTTCTGCCTTGTCGATTCTTAAATTGAGCAACCCGTAGAAAGCATCTCGGAAAAATCTAGGTGATAGTATCGTTGATTCCAAGAAATACTCCAATGACGCATTATTTCTATATAAGGATTCGTTGGAATCAAAATCAGGATCACCAACAACATTATACATTTCATCAATCAATTGTTTAATTTCATGTTTTGGAGGATGGATAATTGGATTTTTCTTGAAACAAAATGGAATTACAAACTTGGCTAATTCTTGACAATCATTCTTTTCAAGTTCACTTTTCCTTTGTGAATAGTGGTCAACCGGATTGAAACCTCCAATATTGATTTTATAATGATAACGACAGAATATAACTTGTGAAAGGTCTTCATCACAATCTGGCAAATGACTTAAATAATCTTGTGAAATTTCTAAAAACCAGCCATTAGCTCCATCACAGATTCCACTAGCACCTAGCTGTTTATGCAAAAGTTTTATAATGGTTTGTAATAACTTGGGGTCATCTTCAAGTGATTTCTTAAACAAGGCAGTCATTAAAACAATCGTCTTAATAAATATATCCTTTAATTTTTCATAAGAACTGGTGGATCTCTCCTTAATTGAAGTACGCAATGATGTGATATAGGTTGCTTGTTCATGAGTTTCAAATAATAAACATAATTCAAAGAATTTGAGTAATATCAAAAAGTCCATACTATCGGAAGTAATCAAATTCCAATTGAATTTCTTTAAATTGGTAATCACCAAGCTTAAACTATCATCATAAAATCCCAAAATCTTTAAAAGGGTAGTTGATCTAATTGATTGCTCTAAGTTTTTGTAACCATCTGTATGCAAATAATTCACCAAAAAGTGTAAACAGTCATGGAATCCTACAATAAATTGTTCCCACATATCATCCAGGTTATTATAGAACAGAAGCAAAACTCTCCATAAGTTAAGTCTCATATCAACCGAAGATACCTTCAAGAACTCTTTGATTGAAGTAATTGCATCATCAGTAGTGTCAGCAGGACGTTTATTATCCATCAAGATATCTTCTAAAAGTTCAATAGCTTCTTTATTATCTCCTTTTGGTTTCACGTACAAAATTCTCCAAAATATTGAAAGCACGGATGTCATTGTTAATTGATTTTGAATAGCTTCAGGGTTAAGCTCAACGAAATTCTTATAATTAGGGAAATTCACTGAAATATTATACGACGATCCCTCGGTTATGTTTAATAAATTTTCTAATTTGGTTTTAATTGACTTGTTTTCATTCCATGACACCATTTGAGACTTTTCTTTCAATATTTGCGCCCATTGAAATCGACACCTAATTACAAAATTCTGCTCATCTTTATCACTTTCAAAAAGAAGATCTTCAATCAAGAGGGCCCATTTTTTGATTTTATCATTGATTCTAAGTAACTCTTGACACATACCATTGGCATTAGCTCGATTGAATTTCAGCTTTGAACTGATTAAATCCTTTACTTGTAATTCCAAACTTATTGAACTATCAATCAATACTTCATATACTGAAATCGCCAAGTTCAACTTGGCAAAAGTTGTTTCTTCTTCAGTATACATGAACCTTTCAAATTGGATTATCCATTCTTTAAACTTGGTATATAGCTTATCATCCCATATCGTATTGAGGATTAAAGAATCATTGTAATCTCCCAATAAGTGTGATATAATCTCAAACTTGATCTGTTCATAACTCAAGCCTCGACTATTTAATTCAGTCACATTTTCTCTTATAGTATCCATTGTTTCAACTTCATTAATCTTCAAATAGGACGGACCACTTGACAGTTTGCCATTATTTCCAAATTTGCTTAACAACTCTAAAAGCTTTGAGTTGTCATCATTTGTAATTTCTTTTGATTTAGACCCGTTGGACTCTGATCCAAGAAATGATCTCGAAAAGGAATCAGAATTCCAATCACAAAGAGTAACTATAAAGTCTTTGACATGCTGAGGAGTTTCTTTATTGGTCTGTAAATAAGTTAATGCAACGTCAAGCACCGAAATATCGGGAAATTTTGGTGATAAGGTGGTTGTGAACTCATTGACAAAGGTTGAAATGTTTGCAAAATGATGATTCTCAAGTTGGATTTCAGGGATTTCTGTAGTTGTATTATCAACTTTGGCCAATCTTTTGGATGCTCTTTGTATTTGTTTGGTTTCGATTGATTGTTCTGTTTCCGGACTTTTCTGATCATTATTTTCAGCTTTTTCCACTTCTTCATTGGTTTGAGTTGGTGTTTCAACTTCCTTTTCAACGTTGTTTGCAACAAAAGCTGATTCTGAGAACAGCAATTCTATTTTATCCATGACATCTTCAGTGAGAAGGTAAGGTTCCAAGAATTTAAGCCGAGGACGGTGAATATCTTCCACTTTTAAATCATCTCGAACATCTTTAACATGAAGGTTAATCGAGTCAATAATATTCGACCAAGTTAATTCTCCATGTTTATTTCCACATTCTATAGAAGTTACATTTTTCTTCTTTGACTTGGAGATCAGATTCAAAAATTCTTGTTTGAATGGCTCGAGAAACTTTAATTCTTGATCATTTGGCTCTTTAGTATACTCTTTGTTTGCTTTTTTCAAATGCAACTGTTCAAGGATGCGATTTAATCGTACTTTTGACGTGATGTTTGGTGGTATCAATCCTGCCAAATCATCACTTTCTTCTGGAGCAGTCAAGGAATACTCTAAGGTAAATTTGGCTAGTCGAGTAGATCCAATATACATGTAGATCCTATACAATGTATCCAAAAGCTTGTCATCGGCTTCATTGTATAAAACAGCTATGCACATATCGTCCAACATTGTATAAAACAAATCATTGGCTTTTTCGTTGACGTCATTTTCTCCTTCCAGTTCCTTCTTTTTATCGATCAATTCTTCAATCATTTGCTTATTCTCTGATTTTAGTATTCCATAGTATAAGAATCCTCTATTTCTGAAGATCAAGTACCGGAGTGACTTTACATTGGGTGATAAGACCGATAACTCGTCAAAAACCGTGTTTTGAGATCCATTCTGCACACCTCTAATAAAGTACTCTTCTTCAATATAGTGGTTTGAGATCACATCCAATCCAAATAGCTCTTCATAAATCTTATAGGCACGAATGTATTCTTGTTTCTTTTGGTGGATTAACGCAGTTTGGAATAATTTGAATGCTTGTTCTACTTGAAGTTCACGAGTATGCTCTTCCTCCAAATCCTTCTTGGAAACAGAAGGATCCTCTATAACATTCAAAGGAACAAAAGAAGACTTGTTTTGTTAGTATGTCTATAACATCTAATTGCAATTATATGGGCATGTACATACCATAGTGGCGACACTGTTGTCAGTTCAGTAGTGTTGCCAAAATAATCAACTTATATATTTTGGCGCGTTTTTAAATACAGGGCTGAAAAAAAAGGCTGTAAAAAGGTGGAACTATATTATGCGGATATATAAAATTAAGGGGTCATAAATACAAGTTATTTCTATTAAATATGCTGAGGTTTATCTTATACCGATGTGGTGTCGGGTTTCTCCTTGTCGTCTTCGTGCGATGCAATTACTGTAGCGTCATTTTCTATGTTTTCATCTGAAGAATAATCAACTTCTTTTTCTTGTTCAGAACGACCAAACCTGAGCCACCAAATAAAGTGACTAAGGAAAATACCAATTTCTAAACCTAACACGATAGCATACAAGACTATACTCATTATATCCATAGTACCAAATGCGACACTTAGGATTGAAAATAAAGCACCTAATGAGTCCATGGTCAAAAATACGAAATTGATACCAATAACCCTACCTTTTCTCTTGGCAAGTTCAAAATATGGTGGTAATAACCCAACTGCTAATAATACTGAGGCAATAATCCCGATAATCAACATAGGCCATTCTATTCCTCTTCTATAGAGGGGTCTCAACCATAGTATAAATCCAACTTCTAATCCAACGGCTACCAAAACAAACGCAAATACTAATGCTACGAGCTTTGTTCTTTTCATTGCCACAGGGGGATAGTACAATGATTGGATCCAGGAAATTAAACAGAAAAATGTAAACAATTGTGGTTGGATTCTTAATGGAATTGACCCATCTGTAGCAAAGAAATATATGGCGAAAGGAACACCACTGGCAGCCCATAGGAACAACATTAGTGGTGGTAATCCTTCACAATCCTTGACTTTATAATTTCTGATAATCTGTGGTACAAGTTGAATACACCAAAATACAGTACCTATGGTACCCAATACATTTTCAGCAACTGCGTTATACATCTTGATATCAAACTGGGTCTTATGTAGTTGCTACAAGGAAAAGCATTATACGAAAAGTGGTGATTTTAAAAACTTGCATAATCCTGTCATTTATATAATAGCAAAAATGACTACATTTTTTAACTTCTTCTTGTACAAATTCCGCACATCGGTTCCCGCATTAGGAATCCAATTCCGAAATCAATAAAAATATTTTTTTTTGTTCTAATCACTGAATTCAAATTCGATATCTGACTCTTGCAGGGAGTAGACAAAATCCGATACTTCCTGGTCATCCGATTGTTCCTCTTCTTCGCTGCTGGTGATTTCAATGGTTTCAGGTGAGATTACTTTGTTTGACCTTGAAACATATAATTCTACCCCAGATTGGTCTGGATCAGTTTTATCTCGATTTTCTGCAACTTTTGCATCTTTTGCAGCTTCTGTTTTCTCGTCACCAAGTTTATCTTCTTCAACGAGGAATCCCCCCTCTTCTTCGGACTCATTATCTGTATTAAACTTTATTGACGCGTTATCGCCTAGAAGTTCCCCTTTTTCTTTTGTAGCAGCTATCTCCAACTCGACCGAATCATCCTTATCAAGAAAAAAACCGCCTTCTGAGTCAACATTGGATGTGCTACCGCTGCGAGGTGCAGCAACGTGCATACTACTGTTATCATCTGCAAACCCGCCGTAAGTATCATTCTTATCTTCTGCAATGGCTCCATCTACTTCGTCAATCACAAAGCCACCCACTTCGCCTTCATCCTCGTCTACCATAGAGCCGCCATCCTGCACCACTTCATCGTCTATTACAAACCCGCCTGGAGTAACTTCCTCATCGACTACCATAAATCCGCCATCATATTCTTCTTCTTCATCAGCCACAAATTCCCCTGTAGTAGCCTCTTTAACTGCTGAATCTTGATGAACTTCTTCAATCTCATCAGAAATTTTCCCATGAATTCTATTCAATCGTTCCTGTACCCTAAGTTTCAACAAGAAATATTTCCAATTATGAAGAGCACTTGCTTCTATGGCCATTCGTTTTTCGGCCTCTTCTTCTTCAAGAAGGTGATCAAGAGTCACCATCAATGCTTCTTTGTATGATTTATCAATGACAATCCCACCTTCTCGCGCATTAACATTTGGTCGTCGCTTCCGCCTGGCCCCAAAATCAAACGCCACTATTGCTTTGGCAAAGTCTATGTCAATCAAATAAGCAGCTTTTATTAGCAACTTGATGGAATGTGTGTCCGAAATAGGTATGAAAGCACCATTTTCGGGTATCATTGTTTTGGTATAAATGTCAATATTACCAAATTCATTCTTGGGAACTTTCCCATCCACTATTGCAGGGGGTATATACATTTGAGTCTGAAACTCTGCATACAATCTAATGTTATTCTCGATGTCCGGAGCTTCCTTTACTTTTAACGGAATCGCGCCAACCTTTAGCACGCGACCTTTAAGATACCAAGCTTTCGCTGAGCGCAATCGGTGCACTGACGATCTTTTGTAAACAGGAATAACTTTATTTGAAGTTTTGGAGCGAAATGTTCCACATTTACTTGACTCATCTTTGGGGTGTATTATTTCATTCTGGCGTAATTGCGATTCTAGAGCATATAGAGGATGGTTCTTAAATGCTTGTAAATTATCAGGCATTCCTTCGGCCAAATCACGTTCATGAAACTCCTTCATTTCAAATATGTCGGTTGTACATGATTTCTTACGTAGGTCGCATGCACGGAGTACTTTCTGATACCAATCCTTGTCTTCTTGCGATCTGAATTCAATTCGTTTACGTATAGTTCGTGCGTTGTATGCAAAACTATATCTTCGGGTTACATCACGCACTCTTCCGTACTTGTCAAATGCAATGACATAAGTTAATTGGTTTCGAGGGTCTGATATTGGTGGTTCAAAGCAGGATTTCCTTCGCTTGGGACAGACTTCGATGGTTTGTAAACCTATTGGATCTATACTTATCCATTTTTTCGAATACTTGTCCCAAACTTCAACCCAGAAAATTGGAAATGATGAGTCTTTAAACTTTGTTTTTGACGATTTCTTGTGTTTCCTTGTTTCATTCAAGAATTTTTGTTTGCTAGAGCTAGGGGTTATCTTCGCTTTTGGTTCAGAATGGTTTTGGTTGTCAATGGAATCTGAAGGTGGGGTAATTATGGTATAATCGGGTGGTTGTAATGACAATACTAACCGGGCATTTAGCCCAACACCACGCAAAAGCACAAGAAATCCCTGTGCAGCTAAGTCTCGACTGCCTCGAAAGTTTTGTACAAATTTTTTAAATGTATCTTGGTCTACTGGTTTTATCTTTCTCTGTGGAATCAGTAATTCGTGCCAGTCCTTCCGTATTAGTCCCTGCGAGATTATGCGGAAATTAATATAGTAATTTTGCATTATCTTTTTCAATCCATCCAAGAGTCGTCGAGAGCGCACTGGGGTTATTACTTTTTCGTTGGGATCTTGGTTAATTAGCTTCAATATCGTCTCGTCAACACAGGAAATTTTGAGTAAATTGCCAAGGTTCTTATCATTACACCACGAGTTTCGAATAGTTCCATGCACAATCATCAAAAGGATATACATACGGTGAAGTTCAACTCGTCTGTTTCGTTCTTCTAAGCTAATAACTTTTCGTTTCTTCTTCTTCTGCTCCTCCTCCATTTCTGCAGGTTTAATTGTGATAGTCAAGTTCTCATTAGCTGGAGGTGGAGGCGGTTCCAATGGATTGATACTCGCGCTTAAGTCCACATCTTCAAAATCATCCGAATCGTCAGAGTCATAAGGTATCTTATCCAAATTGACGGTTTCAAATTCGTCGGAACTAGGTGAATTGGAGTTAGTCACGTTAACTACTACCTCGGGTTGTTCTAGGGATGGCGTTGTCTTTCTACGCTTCCTACGTGTACTTTCTTCGCTAGATGTTCCTTCTGTCTGTCGGAGCAATTGCTTATGATGAATAGTCGGGTAATTACTCATCTCTGACCTGTGTTTATATGATAAGCATTTGATATCGCGTGTAAGTCTATGGTTGTATCCAAGGATGGCTTGCAAAACACTTTCGCTAAGCCGAAAAAAATTCCGTACCGGTTTGCTCATCTTCATCACCACAATTTAGCAACCATATCAAATAGACATAGCTCACTTCTTCTAATCAACTTTGATAGCCTAGTTTTGTTCTTCCGTGGTCCTTTAAGAATACTGGACTGGCCCAATGGATATTTACAGCTGTTAGTTCAGTGTATTTGGTAGCGTCGGTGTCTTGAAGAAATTTTGCAGGGATGAAAAAAAAATAGTGCCCTTGTGATGAAATGATTCAATTTAGATCCAGGTTGATTGCAGCATATAGATGAGCATAGAGATAAATCAAATCATATAACAAGATGAGGAATTCATTTGGGGTGATACGACGAAAGCGACTACCGAATTTGCATCAACTTATTCAATATCAATACCGGCATAGAGCAGCATCATCATCATCATCATTATCATTATCACCAAATTTACAACCAACTCGTTCATCAGAACGAATACCACAAAAATTGTATGAGCAACATACTAAATATTGTAAATCTAGCATTAGCATCCAGCCCAGGGTATCGAACTTGTCGGTATATGCCAGGTTGGCAAACGAGGGCAAGTTTAAAACAGTGATCAATACTGATGTTCCTAAAATTCAACGTCTGTCAGGGTCAAAATTACTTCATTTGTTAGAACCCATCACATTTCATATGTGTCTAGTCATGCGTGAATCAAGCAATCAAAGTGAAGTAGACCAAAAGCTTCAACCTCAACAGGAATTCTTTACCAAGATTATCGAGATCCTTGCCCATGGGAAATCAATTCAAGATGTGAAGAGTGAGTTGCAAGAGAATAACGTAAACATCGACGAGGATATTCAGTTTTTGAAAAGAGATAAAAATGTAACATTATGCAAAGCTTTAGAATTGGGAACAATAGCATTCTACCTAGTTTGCAAACGATTGCAAAACTCATACACCGTGCATGACTTTTACAATTGGATCCTAGCAATCAGCGAGGATTCGATAATCCTGAGTCACTCCCGGATTTCCAACTTACAGGACGTACCCATTTTTGTATTATTTGACATATTGCTTAGAAATCCCATGTTTAAAGAAGAATACATCTTACAAACTGAAATCTGGAAACGCAATATCAAACCTATATCTGTGTACTGCATTGCCAATGTCTCGATACTAAAGGAAGTTTTTGATAATTTAATTTACTATGGACTAGTGTTTGAACCAAGCTATATATCCCCCATTATTGAGGGAAGTTTAAGTTTCTACAATTCTACACGAACAGGAGTTAATATTAAATTGGGTAATGATTTTCTTAATGATCTAGTTTGGAATGTTGCCTTTTATGCATCTAGGTATCGCTATTTGAATCCGATCTTGGTTGCCGGCATTCAAGAATTATTGCTAAAGTACTATTCTCGATCGAAAAAGACTATTCATGAAGAATTAAGTTTCAAGGCATATATCGGATTAGTATTGATGATTTCACGAGTATCACAGGAGAAAGCAGAAACTCTTTTCAAAGTAGCCGAAGAAAAGTTTCTTTCACACGGAGTATCCGTCTCCAAGAAGGACATGGTGGCATATCATATCGGAAAGATTTGGCTTGCGAATACTCCCGAAGAAGTTGTTCATTTTTTTAATGAGGCGTTACGTGAATATGAACGGTCATCGAAGTTGTGGTTGTTTATGATTCGGAAATTGAATTCAATGGGGTTACTTGATGAGAAGCGCTCTTTGATTATTCTTGCAAAAATCGTCGATACTGGTATAATTATTCCTAAAGATATTGTCACCGAGTTGCTACATCCAGTTCATGATTTACTTATGTTGGAAGAAATGTACAAATTGCTAACCAATAGAAAGACAAATAAAAAGAATTGGACAAGCAGTCTTCTCCCAAAGTATATCCTGTTATTATATCGAAACAATCATGATGTTATGCGACTTCCTCAAACTGTATTCCCCTGGGACCATGGGATTCAGAATCAGCAAGGTAAATACAAAGGGTTTGACAGCACAGTGGAATATGCTAGGTATCTCTACTGGAACCACGTTCCAACAAAATCGATATACTATGTTGGGTTAATGCTTGAAGGAGAAGCCAAGGCAAACCATAAAAATGTTTTCTCGTTGTATAAACTGGAATTACTTGATAAAAATTTGTCACCAAATATCCAATGTTTGGGAGTCTTACTCCAAGTTGCCACAAAGCTTGGAACTACCCAGGTGTGGAATGGTTTAACTCCACCGCAAGTAGCCATCAATCAATTCCAAACTCATGTCAAAGCCGATGCTAGTGCCTTTGGTATCATGCCCGATGATTTGTTGTGGAAAAAGTATATTGAGTTATTGCTGAAGTATCAGTATATCTCGGAGGTTTCCAAGATCATGAAATGGTGGGAAGATTTGAAGTACAATCCTCCCAAAGATGTCCTTGTAGTATTGTTGAGCGCATTGCCCGAAGAGTACGCAAAACGCCATATTGAACATATTTCCAAACTTAAACGGGAAACCAAGACAGTTGCCAAACCTAACTGGGAATGGCCCACATACGAAGAATACGAAGACTATAAGTCCCGCAATCGTGTGTGAACATGTATATAATATTTATTACCATAGACATTAATAGACAACAGTGTGGGAAAAGTCTCGGATTTCCGCATTCGGTGAATCTGCCTCTCCCCCGGAGTCCGTCCAATTAAATTTTGATTCGATGGCCCGGAAAAAAATCATGACAGCTCCAATTTCCGCCGAGCCTCCACGATATAAATTTTCAACCCCCATTTTCTTAAAATCTGATTCGTTTTCTTCTTTACCATTCAATACATAATAATGTTGAGATTATCCACTTCTTCCAAGGTCGCCACTAGAACCTTCACCTCCTCCAGCTTCGCCTTACAAAAAACCAGAATTGAATCTGATGCTTTTGGTGAAATTGAAGTTGATGCTTCCAAGTACTATGGTGCTCAAACCGCTAGATCCAAAATGAATTTCAAGATTGGTGGTACTGCTGCCCGTATGCCAACCCCAGTCATTCGTGCCTTTGGTGTCTTGAAGAAGTCTACTGCTATCGTCAATGAACAATTGGGTGCCTTGGACCCAAAATTGTCTGCTGCCATTCAACAAGCTGCCACTGAAGTCGCAGAAGGTAAATTGGACGACCATTTCCCCTTGGTTGTTTTCCAAACTGGTTCCGGTACTCAATCCAACATGAATGCTAACGAAGTCATTTCCAACAGAGCCATTGAAATCTTGGGCGGTGAATTGGGTTCCAAGAAGCCAGTCCATCCAAATGACCACTGTAACATGTCTCAATCTTCTAACGATACTTTCCCAACTGTTATGCACATTGCTGCCACCACCGAAATTTACAATTCTTTACTTCCAGAATTGACCAAGTTACGTGATGCTTTGCAAGCCAAGTCTGAAGAATTCAAGGATATCATCAAGATTGGTAGAACCCATTTGCAAGATGCCACTCCATTGACTTTAGGTCAAGAATTCTCCGGTTACGCTCAACAATTAACCAACGGTATTGAAAGAGTTGAAAAAGTTTTACCAAACTTATTGTTCTTGGCCCAAGGTGGTACCGCTGTTGGTACTGGTTTAAACACCAGAAAGGGTTGGGATGTCAAGGTTGCTGAACAAGTTTCCAAGTTGACTGGATTCCCATTCAAGACTGCTCCAAACAAGTTTGAAGCTCTTGCTGCTCATGATGCTATTGTTGAAGCCTCTGGTGCTTTAAACACCGTGGCTGTCTCCTTGTACAAAATTGCCAACGATATCAGATACTTGGGTTCTGGTCCAAGATGTGGTTACGGTGAATTAGCCTTACCTGAAAACGAACCAGGTTCTTCCATTATGCCCGGTAAGGTTAACCCAACCCAAAACGAAGCCTTGACCATGGTTGCCTGCCAAGTTTTCGGTAACAATGCTGCCATCACTTTTGCTGGTGCCTCTGGTCAATTCGAATTGAATGTGTTCAAGCCAGTCATGATTGCCAACTTGTTATCTTCTATCAGATTGATTGCCGATGGTAGTGCCTCTTTCAGAACTAACTGTGTTGAAGGTATCAAGGCCAACAAGGACAAGATTGAAAAGACCTTACACGAATCCTTGATGTTGGTTACTGCCTTAAACCCAAAGATTGGTTACGATGCTGCTTCCAAGACCGCCAAGAATGCTCACAAGAAGGGATTGACTTTGAAGCAATCTGCTCTTGAATTGGGTGTTTTGTCCGAACAAGAGTTCGACGAATGGGTCAGACCAGAAAAGATGATTGGTCCAAAGGACTAAGCCAAAGTGTTTATTTATTTATAACTGTATATATCGTAGAATGTGAATGTTAATTTCTATGCATTTGAACTCTGTATTTTAGCCAGCAGAGGTTGGTTTGACATTAGCGGGGGAGGGCGGCCACGGCGACGCGGCTAATTTAGAAATCACCACCGCAAGAAAAAATGATGGTTGTCAAATTGCTCATTACACCACAGTCCTTTTGTAAACAAGAATACAAGATGACGTTATCCACCATCTTGCAACAGATCAACAAGAAGGGTAAGATCCAGCCCAAGGTGTCTTCTTCAAGCTCTGGTAATGATGATAACCTTTCGTCTAGGATTCAATCATATAAAGCAACCACTTCTAACAAACCTATAGACCCGGTTGTTGCCAAATTAAAGGAAAAACGACGATTAGAAAGAGAGAAGAAGGAACAGGAGTTGCGATTAAAGAAAGGATTAGCACCTAAACCAGTCAAATCAACAACTACCAGACAACCCAAATCAACATCTGCATCACCTAAAAAAACCCAACCTAACAGTAAAACTAGTCGTGGACAACCACCTCCACCTCCACCCCCACACCCACTTCCAACCAATAATGATCTAAGAAAGAAGAAACTCAACTTTAACGAGTTAATGAAGAAAGCATCGAAAATAGACCATGATAAACTTTCAATCAAGTTCCCTGCCAAGAGCAAATCTCCTGAAGTAGGGCCTGCTCGGATAAGAACACCCGATAAACCAAACACTATAAAACCTGACATTCCAAGGGATGAAAGGTTCAAGAAACCTGTTGCACAACTAAAACGTGCCAATACTTTACCACCACCTCCTCCTCCTCCTCCTCTTAAGGCAACCTTGAAAGCGCCAATACCTACCAGAAAACCTTCAGAAAAGATCCAACAAAAGATCAACGAAAAGAAAAATACAAAGAAAAAGTACCAGGAATATGAGGAAGAAGAAGACGATGAACTTAGTTCATTCATTGCATCTGATGAAGAAGAAGAAGCATACGACTCAAGAGATTACGATAGGGATGAGATCTGGGCCATGTTCAACAGAGGAAAAAAACGGTCATACTATGACCGGTATGACGATTACGATTCAGGTGACGATATGGAAGCTACTGGTGCAGAAATCCTCGATGAAGAGTACCGTTCTAGAGTCAATGGGGAATTGGAAGATCGTCGTGAATTAGAGCAAGAAAAGAAGTTGGCGGCTCTTAAAAGAGCAAGACTTCATAAACTGCGATAAACAATAGCGAGCATTTAATTTTTTTTTTTATTTTGTGCATTTGACATTTTGTAGAATTTACATAACTTTGTAATGGATCCGATCTTTAGTAATAACAATGATATTAATGAGATTAGCAAGAGTCTTAAGAGGTCAGCATTATCGTTGACCAATCGTCTACAGTCGATAATTTACGATTATTATTTCGTATCTAAAGTGCATGAAAAATATCTTGCCCAATATCCGCTAGTTGCAAATGAGCGATGCGGTCTATGGTACGTCCCCAAGAAGTATAGGAAGGATACGTGTTATTTCAAATCTACTGATGGACATACGAATGTGTGGGCATTTTCTATGCGTAGATTGAATTTACATTTACTCCCGTTGATTCACCAGTTTGATGGGTTGGTGATTGTTGATTCAACGCGAAGAGGTAAACTCATGCCCGATGCGCTTCTGAAAACTATCCCTATCTGGTGTGCAGTTATAAATAGTATACTATACCAAGGTGAAACTGAAGAATCTATAATACAAGAGGTGCTTGCTGAAGGTGCAACAGCTGATGATGTAAAACAAATTGTCAAGTTAATGTCTAATAATTGGTTGTGTACTCCTCGTGCGATGGTTTCTGAAAATGAACATAATTCTATTGTCAAATTGATCCCTAGTTTCGTCAAGAATGTGACTCGTATGGGATTATTTTCCAAGGAGTCTATTATGACAACTCTTGTTCAACGGAAACCATTGGTTCCAACTTGGTACTATCCAGGAAAATGTGTGCCATTGAAAACAAGTTTTCAGTATAACATCTGCTGTCTTTCCACATCCAAAAAGGTCGAGTCCTCATACGAGCTAATCAGTGTTCGATCACTTGATGATACATTTGTATCATGGAATTATGTCCAAGGATCAGCTGACGATCATGAACTTTGGGTTCCTGATCATTTGTGCAATGGCAACTTTGGACCTGATTTGTTTTGGGATGTTGCATTTGCTGATAAGAGCCTGGTATTGGATGATAATACTGGATTTATATATTCCTGGTTGAGTGATTCAGAATTGGAATTGAGAATAAATGCTTATTTTGAACAGCTGCAAGTTACAATACCACAAACACTCGAACTTTACAAAGTGGGAGACATTGGACTTTCATTTGGAAAGATCGATTCCAATATTCCCTACTCATTATTTCTGGAAACATCTACAATTGTCATTTTAAGTGAATCTTTTTCCATTACTGAAGTACCTGAATCAAAACAGAAAATGATATTGAAATATCCAATACCGTCAGGCAAGAAAGGTTCCAATACGCTTAGAGCTCTTTTACCTGAAATGATGCACAGCTTAGACATATCCAAAAGTATCATCATCCTTTGTGAATCCGGTCGAGATTTAAGTGTGGGTGTCATTCTAGTTTTACTATGCACTTACTTTGACTTAGACTACAATCGTCTCACTGACCCACCGAGAATCAGCAAAGACTTGGTAAAACAACATCTAAGCAAACTTTCGCAAATCAGCAAGGCCAGCCCGAGCAGAAGTACACTTCAAAGTGTGAATACGTATTTATTTCTGCATCAATAATTATATACTATTCAAGTTCAACGCTATTGTAGTAGATTTGGAAATTCGACTTCAATTCCTGACAATACTCTCGCCACTCTCTGACTAAATTAATAATCTCGGGGTTCATGGAATATACCTTTTCGATAATTTGGTTAAACTTCTTGGATAACTTCACAATCGACTTGATTCTCTCCTGATAACTTTCACTATCTTGTGCCGACGCTTTGGCAGATAGCTTCTTCGCCAATTGCAAGCGCAAATTCTTAACCATGGTGGTAAATAGATCGTCCTTGTTCTTAATAAGCACAATCACATCCGATTCATGGTTAGCAATCAAATGAATCAAGTTAATACATGACAACACGGTAATATCCGCTTGCTCGTCACTTAACCCTGTAAACACAATATTTTGGGAGATTTCACTAAGGTTAACCTCATATTGTTTGAGTGTGGATGAATCAAGGGAAAATAAAGTATATAAGAACTCATAGAAAAGCTTTCTAATCTCCAACCCCTGGTCCATGGTATACTTGTACGGACCCATGGTGATAACTTTCTTAAAAGCATCTTCTGCCTTCAATTGTTGGAATATCTTGGGGAGCAACAGGTCATTTAAGTTGGGCAATATACTCAATGGTTTATTATGAAGCCCGGTCAAGAGATTACCCACCACGATTTGTCTGATATCTATGTTGACAATATCAATCCAAGAAATAGACGAGTTGATCAATGAGCTCAAGAATTCATCATATCCTTCCGAAGTTTCCGTACTACTGAGCAACAGTTTGATAATCACAAGAATAAGGTAAACCTCCCTCAATGGAGGTTGCTTCTTGCAATACTCCACAAGTGGTGCTCGCTTGGCTGGTGACAATGTAATTATTTTCCCCAAGACTTCACCTGATTTTCTCAACTCGGCAATTGAACACATTTCAAACTCAATTGAGGAATTGAAAATGAGATTCCAAATATAATCAAATACGGAGTCGGATTGACAATAATCAACAACTATATTCAACGCATCCATTAAATGACCACGGACATTGGTATCGTTATTACTCTCGTAATTATCAGCAAAGAATGAAAGGTTGGCGCTAATATCTCTACTAGCAATCAACCCCAACGCCGTAGAGGCCGAACTAATAACTGTCTCATTGGTCAATTTTTCATTTTTCAACAACTGTAATAATGAATCAGTGGTGACAGGAATAGCTCTCAGTTTCCCAATGTATCCAAGGAATCGAATCACAGGAACAAATTGTTTGGAATTGATGTCGGACTTGACAAACTTTTCGAATTCCAGCACTCTAGTATCAATTTCTAGTTGGAGATTATTTCCAAGGGCACAAATTGCCAATATTCTGGCACTGGTTTCACTGGCAGAATTTAAATTCGATTGCAAGTACGCAAACAATCCTGGGTCAAAATTACATGATGTCTTCACCAATTCGAAAAACGAATCATCACTGGCTTCAATGCTGCCGTCATTGACTAATTGAATGATTGTTTGAAGAAGTCTCATTCTATAAATCTCCAGTGAGAAAATATGAGCAGAGAGATAATTACAAGCTTGGAAAACATACTTGTAAACTTCCTTGTTTGATACTCTCAACAACTCAATCAAGTTTTGCAATACCACATCGCTGTGAATTTCTGTAGATGGAATCCGTTGAATAATGTTGTTCAAAAGGATGAGTGATGCCTTCGATGTCGCTTCAGTACTGGAGATAATCAACGTACTCAACTTTTCAATAATGAAAAACGCATAATCCTTTGAAATGATAGTCTCTGAAGACAATACTTCATTAAGTACATCCAAAGTGGCCTTACTGGTCGATTCGTTTGAAATGGAAACCTTGAAAACTTCCAAAATTTGATCATTCTCTTGGGATAATCCATGACATAAAATTTCACCCAATGCAATAATACAAAGACGAACCAAATCACTGGTGTACAATTTATGATTTTGCACTTTTAAAATCAACCCAGCCACAACTTTGTTTCTATAGTATTCAGATACGTTTGTGGCACTTGCATGATTACATAACAAGTTCAAGGATTTGACCGTTTCTGAAATCATATTGAACGATTTATCGGAAAGGTTGGTAATAAAGTCTTCAGTGATATATTCTAAAACCATGGTTGGAAGAGTGGTATAACTTTCAAGCACACTGGAATAAAATTGCAAGCAATCTAAAGACCCAGAAGTGGTTATACTTCTCTTTCTGAAGCACAAAAATGTAGCCTCGACAAGCTCAACATGTTGGAAACGATTCAAACTTTCAATAAATTTGAGAAACACTGGGAATTGGTCTTCTCTGATTGTTTCCAAACGGGTGATAATTATAGGTATAATAACTTGAATATTTTTCCAATCATTTTGAGAAGTCAAATTGATGATTGATACCGCTGCCCTCACAGCTTCAAAAATCACTTGATCGTTCTTATCTTCAATTGGAAGAATTGGAAGTACAGTTTCAGAAAATAATGCCAATGAAGCCGGGAATGATTTGAGGAATGGCGATACTAAAATTGACGCTTTTGCTCGCAATTTCCAAGAACAATCATTGTCTTCGTCGTCAGCTCCATCCCATTCATCGTCACTAAACTCTATATTGTCATCGTCATCATTATCAAAATCATCATACGAATCAGTATTCAATGGATCATATCTTAAAAAGAACTTAATCAAGTGGAAAACTTGTTCGCAAAGCTCGTTAGGCAAGTATCCTTGGGTGACAAAATTAATCAAAGTGGTGAATGCTTCATCTTTCAATAAATTCTCCTGAACAATTGCGTCAAAGTCCACATCTTGTTCTATGTCATCATTGTTGATGGGATTAACATCTAATGTAGTAACAATAGTATTGTAGATATCCCTTAATATACCCAATGAAGGTCTGATTCCCTTCTTCAAACATACAGAATACAATTGGAAGGCATGAAATAATCTATCATCGGTAGAAGTGATGCTCTCAACTCGTTTAACCTCCAACAAAACACTCTCAACCGTAGCTACATCCTTAGTCAACGCAAACACCTTTTCCAAGGCAACAATTGAGTTTTTGCCGATAATCCCAGTTTCTTTGAATGCAACTTCAACAAGGAATAATGATAATTTCAACACTTCGCCTTCAGTCAACACGTACCCAATTTCTGTTACTAGATCAATCAATAATTCCACGGTGTCAATGGTGACTTCTCTATGGGTAATCTGAGGAATCAAGTAATCCATAATTGCTCGGGATACTGCCGCATCAAATCTGTAATTGGAAGTTGACAACTTGTCAGAAACAAAATCCGAACTGTCTCTAGAGTTTGATTGGGCAAACAAAGAACGGAGAGCCATATTGGGAATGGAGATGGTGAAACTTTTCGAGGTGTTGTCATCAGCAAGTGGCACCAAGGCAAACAAACTCTTGATCAACTTTAAAATGCCATCATTGGATAAAAACTTAACCATTGGTTCAAACGACTTGATTGACTGGTTCTGTACATCTGGATTTTGATCCTCTAATAGTTTAAGCAAGGTAGGAAAGAAGGATTCGAGTTGATAGCTGGAGACTGCCGGGTTGGGGATTCCTGATTCAACTTCCAATCCTTTACGAAAATCCTCCAATGCCATGAATCGAATGTCTGGATCAACATCCAACGCTTTATCTTTCAATGTTGCGATGTTGATATCGGGCATAGTGATTGATTGGTTCAATTGAAGAGAAAAGAAGTGGGTCGAGGTGGTGTGTTGTTATGCTGCACCAGAAATTTCTACGGGGTAGCGCCTTCGTTTTTCTGGTGGTGATTAGAGGGAGTGTTATATTTTTCTATACATCTACTTCACTAATAATCAAGTTGCTTCGGGGGTTGTGAGCTGTTTTATCGTCTTCTTCTTCGTCTTCTTCGTCTTCTTCGTCTTCAGTTCCTTTAACTTTTATGACATCATCGGTTAACTTCTTAAGTAAATTGAAACACCTAACAGCATACTCCAAGTTGACTTCACTTGCTTTCTCGGGCTCAGACTCTTTCTTTTCCTTTTCTTCATTGCTAGTTTCAGATCCTTCTGCTTTCTTGGCCAATTCTTCTTCGATCTTTCTTTCCGCTTCTTCATATTGAACATTCCACTTTTCAATAACTTGTTTCAATTCAGGAATTAATCTGTCTCTCGATCCTCCCTGTAAGGATTCTATATACACAGCCAAAGAGGTTTCGTACTCCTGGGGGATATTCTTGATATTCTTTAAAATCCAATTTTGTTTCTGCTTACTGAACTTCCAGTTGTCTCTGTCAGTCTCAAATTGTTTCAAGTAAGTCAACTGGTCTTTTACTGGTGGTGGTGGTCTTTCACTCTTAGGCAACTTTATCCTCTTTGGTGGCTTTTTCTTTTCTATTTTATGTTGGGATTGAGCTTTAGTCTTGTTGCTCAACTTCTTGATTTGTTTGGTTGTTAAATCGGCGTTTTCTACTCTGGTGGTGGCGATATTCAAGGAATCATCACCTGAATCCTTCTTAACACTTAACCCTATTCTCTTCCATGCTGGTACTGTCGAACTCATACTGTGTGTATATGTATATGTATGTCTATCTCTATGTTGCTTCTATAGGGCTGTGATTATGTATTTACAACCAAAGGTTGAGATCAAACTTTCTGGCCCATCGCAAAATCCGGGTAACCTGAAGCTTTTTTTTTCCACTCCAATATTTTTCTAGAGACTTTGATAATTTGGTTGTAGTCATAAACTGCTACTACTCTTCTTCTTCTACAGCAGTAGCTAGTACAATCAATAGAAATATACACTTACACCAAAGTAATACTGTAGAAAATTTGCAAGAACAAGATTTAACTCGATTAATTCTACAACGATAGTTACTTCTCTTAGCTATTTGTTTTCAATTACTTGCTATATTAATACTATACATGGTTTGAGTCCGTTATGGAGAATTACACCTATAATGGATATAAGGATTGTATACATCTTACTTTTCTTCTGAAGGCTTCTCTTCGATGGGTTTGCTGTCGGCAGTAGAAGCCTGTTGTCTTGATTTCATCCAATTTTCGACCTTGGATGTAATTTCATCGGCGATTTCTTGAGCAGCAGCTTTCTTGTCTGGAGCAGCAGTCATTTTGTCATGTATGTTCTGAAGATACAGAAATGTGCTATCGACATACAGGGTGATTAAGGGATGTTCCCCAGCGGAATTGATCCCTTCTTTGATCTTTAAGCGGAGTTCCTCGAGCTTTTCTTTTGTGATTTGAGGATCCTCTGGCTGTTGCTGCTGTTGTTGTTCTGGTTTATTCTCTTCCGTTGTCATTGTTTATTGTTTATGATATATTCCAAAAGAGAAAGAATAGAGAATCAAAAATCGGTTGCAATTTATACTGATGCCATAACGATGTAATTTGCCCGGAAATTTCCTAATTAGGAAAAACCTATCCCAGCAGCCAGTATATGGTCAGGTTTTAAAATGACAATGTCATAGAATACTTGTTACAGTAATCGCCACCCAAGAACTCATTCTAGCGTATTCCACCATGTTCTTTTGCATATGACATACGTTGGACCGCAATGTTTAAGTTTAAACGATATATTCCTACATGATACACTAAGCTAAACACAGGTAGATAAATCAAATCAATCAATTGCCCTTGGATAAATTAATCAATTCTCTTTGGATTCACCCTTGTCCCCTTCAACTTTACCTAAAGCACCCTTGAGTAAACCTTCCTTATCTTGGTCAGATAATTTCTCAAACTTGCCAATAGCTTCCTGCGCTTCAGCACCAATTTCCTCGTTGCTCTTTCCTTCGGTAAATTTCTTGGCGATGTCACCCAATTGACCAAATTCTTTGTTATCGTCGGAGCTCATAATCTTTGTCTTTGCTATTTGTTGTGTAATTGAGTAAAAGAATGGAACATGTGAAATTCTCAAATTTAAGGGGGAGTGAGTCTAGTCCCTTTTATATAGACTCCGAAAAATTGGCGATGGCTCAGCACCCCCTCCCCCTCCCCTTTAATTCAGATGGCGACGGCTATTGTTTTGGGCGGTGCATGCATAAGTTTAGAGGTGAAATAGCACATACATAGTCAATTCTAATGCAATTGAAAACATCAGCTCATTCTAGCGTAATTGTAGTCTGTTTGAACTTGTATGTCGCGTCATAACGCCGTATGTATCTCTGAAAAATCTGTTTTCTTTTCCATTGTGTCAATCTCTATGCTTCGATCTATAGTTCGAATGCCCAGAATGAAACCCAGGATAGTAATCAGCGACTGGGATGAAACAATAACTGCCAAGGACACAATCAAATACGTGGCGGAAACTGCATACATCAACAAACCCAATTGCACACCGCCTTTCTCTTATTTCACCAATGTGTACCTTGACGCCTACAACAAGTATCTGAACTCATTTGGACCTCGATCTAACCTTGACCAAGAAATTAAATTCCAATCTGGTATGGCTGTGGTGGAAAACACCTCAATTCAGGCGTTGGCCGACCACAGGATTTTCCTGGGGTTGACTAAAGATCAGTTCCGTCTTCAAGCCAATAAGATTGAACTTCGGCCTGGGTTTGTTGAGTTCTTGACAAAATGCCAGACGTTGGATATCCCATTTGTGATTCTAAGTGTCAATTGGACCAGAATACCAATCATTGAATGTTTGAAATTGCATGGATTTTCAGTGGATGATGACAAAATTAAAGTAATCGCCAATGAGTTTGTCTTTGAAAAAGTTGAAGACATCGAAATCACCACAGGTGATTGGGATAACTCAATCAACGTCAGAATCTCCAGTGATAAACTCAATATAGTAGAACGATTACGCAGAGATAAGCAATTGGTATACATAGGCGACAGTTCAAACGATCTTCTCCCCTTGTTGGAAGCAGACATTGCCTGTGCCATACAAGGTACAAAAATCGTAGACATACTAGACAAATATAGTTTAAACCAGCCTAATTATCATATAGGCGATTGGCATAACTTCATAAATTTATTACAATAGCACTATATTAATATACACAAAAAGATATTCTGTACTCTTTCTATTGCTGGGGAACTACTCCTCCTTGTATTGGAACATACTGCTGTTGACTATATGCGTATCCAGCGGGAGCACCAGGCATACCGGGATAGGGGCCTCCATTAGGGATCATTTGTGGATGGTTCAATGGTCCACCTGGTTGTAAATGAGGTGGTGCTGGCGGTAATGCTCCTCGTTGTGGCCCAGCTTGATAAAAGTATTGCGGTTGTTGTTGTTGCTGTTGTTGTTGTTGTTGTTGGTCGGGAGGCAAGTATGAAGGTGGAAGTGGGTTTGGCAATTGTGGTAACATTTGTTGTTGACGGGGCGACTTCTGATCGGGTTTATAAGCATATTGTAATGGATAAAGGTATTGACTACCATTCTGTTGTGGTGGAACTTGTTGGTATACTTGTATTGGAATTTGTTGTGGTGTTTGTTGCACCATAGTCACTTCAGGACTGTCTCTTATAATAGGAGGTTGCATCTGTAATGGTGTTTGTTGTAACTTCTGTTGTTGTTGTTGTTGCTGTTGCTGTTGTTGCTGCTGTTGTTGTTGTTGTTGTTGTTGTTGGACCCTTTGTTGCTCTTGTTGTTGTTGGAGCTGCTGCTGTTGGCTCTGGATATAAGAAATACGTTCAGCGGTTGAAAGTGCAACAAGATCACGCAATAAAAAGCTAGGAACATCAGGCGGTTCTCGTAATTCTGGGATGGACCCTTCCTTCTTTGAAGCTTGTACCAAGGCATCTGCTCTTGATTCAAACACGCCTGCGTTCTTTAAATCTCCAATGGCTTTGAAACAAGCTGCTGCTCTTGCGCATGCGTCTGAAGCATCCATTAAATGATCATCGCATCGCTCATAAACACAACTTAATCCGTCCCATGCAGTAGCTGTCCCTTGTGATCCATCATCCATTTGTAATCTCAATGCTTGTGAATAGGCTGCTAATGCATCGGGCAATTGTTTTAATTCCAAGTATAATTTACCCACGGCTAACCATGTGATTGGAGAATTAGGTGCTCGACGTAATGCCACTTGATACGAATCGTACGCTAATCTTGGCTGGTCCATAAACGAATATGCCCTTCCTAACAAGTACCAAGGTAAAAAGTCTTCATCGTTTTCCTTTTCATTGGGTTGGGTCAACACTTTTTCTGTTTCCAAATTAACAATCTTGTTCAATAAATCAATACATGTTTGTGCATTCTTTCTAGCCAGTTGTGGATTCAACAATAACAAGTATGCATGTGTCATTAAGATTCTATCACTATTTCCCACCGTCATTTCGGCGTCTTCGCAAGCCTTAATTGCACCAGCAATATCATTAGCACGTTCTTTGGCAGTAGATAATGCACACCATAAGGCAATATGTTCATCTTTTCTCGTTAAAGCAGAAGGAGGTAATGATAAGGTAGCAGTCAATTCTGCAATCGATACTTCGATATTTCCATCGGCAGCGGCAATTGCTGCCAACTCAGCATGGGCTGCTCGCGCAGTTTCAATATCAGTACTAGAAAATTTCTTGACTGAGTCCAAGATCGACAAACAGTGTGTTAATGATCCAGTGGCATGACTTCGAGCACCGGCTCGAATCAAAGTTTGGGCACTCAATAGCCATAATGACGCATCATGGGGTGATAATTGTATGGCGGTTTGTATTGCCTGGTGGGCTTGGTCATTCAATCCAATCAACAAGTAACATTCTGCCAACTCCTTGAAAATTGCCGCTTCCTTCAACAAAGGGGGGAATGACTCGATCGCCTTGTTTAATTTTTCAATGGCGGATTGAGCCCCGATGGTTTCGTTATTCTTGATGCCATTCAACCGAAGAGAATAACTCAAGCCACAAAGAGCAGTGGCATTTGATGGATCGTGTTGTAGCACATACTCAAATGACCTTATGGCAGTATCGGTTTGTCCCATTAGTTGGGCACAACTTCCGCAGATTAACCAGACCTCAGCGGCAGCATTGTCGTAAGCGCTAGCGGGTGTTTGTATGTGACTGCGTTTCACCTGGGGTGATATCGAATCTTGTGATAATCTCTTTCCCATTATTCAAGTGTATACTGTTCAGAACTAGTTTTGCCAGTGTATAACTGAAGAGAGGGAGGGAGGGGGGGGTGTGAAATGTAAGGTGTAAGTGTGAGTGGTTTTTTTTTTGCCAATACTTTATGTTTTGTTATGGCGAAAATAATATTCTTTAACAAGGTTTGTTTCCTCTGACAGATTGTTAGCTTTCTCTTTGACAAATGTTGATAAACTAAACGTCAAAGTTGACTTGAGAAAAAGAACGTAGCAAACGTGAGTTTTTTTGGGAAAGAAGAAAAATGAAGAACGGAAATTCAAGGATGAACAAACGAAAAGTGTAGTAGTAGAATCATCAACTTCTTTTTTATTTTTTTGGCTTTTATTTTTTCACTTTGTCAAAGTTTCTACTCGAATAGTTACAAAATATTTTATTATCTACGATTTAAAAAATAATAAATTAGGATCAAATAACTCGTGTTGCATAAAAAATATTTAGATTCTAATTTCAATGCGAATCTAGTTACGTGGACGAAATCATTGTCCTATTATAGATTGTAACTTTCAGGGGGGCACTCACTATGCAGGCAAATAACAACAATTCCGCAGTGTCTAATTCAATCTAAAATCAGCATATCCAAACAACTCATCTGAAACGTCATTCTCATCTGGTCCAGCCATCAGGTCAAACATCACTTCTAACTTTAATAACCTTACATGATATTTTTTTTGCATTCTTCAACTAAATCTTATTTTTTAGTAAACTATTTCTCTGCAAATAGTATCAAAATTATTTTTAATTACCAACCTTTTTTTTTGCGTCATGCAGCTCCGTCAAACTTTAAAGAGAAAAGATTTTTTTTTTATTTTAACTTTATTTTATTGTGGCCCGAATTTCAGCTTTTTTTGCTTAATCTTCGTAAGATGAAAAAAGTTTTGTCCCCCATTATATTTAAGCCCACCATTATCACCTCACTTTGACACAAGAACCCCAAATGTATTAGCCCTGTATGTGGTGCCTTTTTCCGAGGCAACATCACAATGGACAATAAACACTAGATCGGCGTTCGTGGTGACATCAGAATTTAGCAACATACGGTTAGACCTAAGTAGATTTGTACACCTTAGTCAATTTACATTGTCAGCAAATTTGTTCCGGCCGCCCCCTCTTTGAAAATATTATTCAACTTTTGATGGAATGTTGGCTATCTATATCTAATTATCTGAAACCAAAATTTACGTTTGTTGGTAGCAACCGTATCTATATATGGTTTCACCTCACGGTTATATTTAACACAAGATAAAAGAGGGTAATAAGTTTAAAATTTTAGGTTCTTGCGGTTGCACGAAAATTTAGCCCTCGTCGCATTTTATATCAAACTTTTGCTTCTCAATTTTGTGCACGATACTTCTAGATCCTTAATAGGTTAGGCTATATGCATCAACAATTGTGTGGTGATGTAATCAGGGTGGGGAGTGTCCCGCGTTGTCTCCACCTGTATAATTCGAATTGTCACTAATGCGATAACGCTATCCCAGATACCAGATTATCATATCTCACGGAAAATAAGCACAGTTCGGAGAAATTATTTTTTATCGGTAGTTGCCAACTCACCATTATTTTTTTTTTTGTTGAATTAGTAAGGCTCATCTCAATTACTATTTATTATTTAGGGATTTAAATTTTGTGTAATGAAATTGGAGAATGAACACCAGGAAAAAAAACCGCAGGTAGCGGGGGATAAATGACTACGAGCAATTTAAACATTTAACCAGGCACTACTTCGTGTACTGTATATCTAAATTTTGTGACTAGTTTGTTTGAACAGACGGTGATTCGGAATGCCGTGCTACATCTTCTGATAAACAGAACACATTACATCTAGTACTAAAACGAACATGCGTTAAAAATTATTTCGCGGATAAGTGCTTTTCCCTTTCGGGGCCAACAAAAAGTACTCCAGATTTCTCACAATGTTCAGGGGATATCCACTGTTACAAGTTCCTTTGTTAGAGTGGGACTTTAGCTACTCCTCACTTGTGCAACCATGTGTAAAAATCGGCATCTTTCAACAGAATTGTTTTTGTTTTTAAAACAATGCAATTACACACGCAACAATAATTCTACCAAAAATAAATCTATTATTTCTAGAATTTTTAGCCATCAAATGATTTTTAGAAAAATTTTTCTTTTTGAGGAGGTTGGATTATTTTTTCGTATTGTTGTTGCCTTTTTATTTTGGTTCTCTCATCCGTAAATTTGCTTATTTTAAAATATTCCACGTACGTATTTACATCTTGCATGCATATGTACACAAACCTAAAATAATTTCTCGCTTAATAAAAATAAACCTGAGATTTCGCGGGTGGGCCAAACGGAAAGAAAAAAAAAGTGTCAGCTAAGTTAAATTGTAAGGCACTTAACACCTACCATTTAACCCTTTTGCCCTGGGGAACGGATAGATATCATGTGACGGTTGCGGACTTGTAGATATGACCAAGCGCGATTAGCTTGGCTTAGAAGAAAAAAAAAAATCTAAATTGTATTTTTTTTTTTTTTGCGTCTCCAACGAGCAATAAAGGGACAGGTGTAAAGAACGGAAAAAAAAACATTTGGACAGGTTCTGGATCATACAACATAAACTTTGCTCGTAAAATAATAACCCAGAAAAAACACCAAGCGCTGAAACTGGGTGCTTATTTTTACAGGCTGTGCATAATTACTATATGCAGCTGTATAGAAATGCTGGCTGGGTTAGGATCATGCAATAGATGCGCTCGTAAGATACGAAAGTATCCGTAGAACATTTGATGAAACTTTGATATTTCATGACATTAATACCATTTGCTTATTTGGAGAGGAACACCTAATAGTTCTTGAAATTAGCCTTTTGCATAAAAATGTGGATTAAGTTAAACGTAGAACTTTCCTCAAGTAGGAAACGGAATATATACAGTTTATTTTTAACCTGGAACAAACACCGCCTTATCTAAAAGTGAATTTCAAACGTTGTCAAGCATAGAATATGTGTTACTTCATAAGGAAATTACAAGAGACCAGCATAAAAGAAATCGGTTCATAACTCAAAACCATTACAGAAAGTCTAAGAAAAAATACGACACATCACCTACTCGCTTATATTGAATTAATCGATATTCCCATGGCTTCCTACTGTTTACAAGTGAATAGCAAGTGGGTTCGTACGATAATATAGTTGGGAAAACTCACTCCCACCTAGATTAATCCACCCATTCCTCTAATAGGAAATGATATTTAGCGAAATTCGATTAACCTGTTACTATGCACAGTTACTAAGTGGTTTTTTTTTAAATTTATTATTTTGACTAATCATTATAATCGAACCATGCATAATTACTCGATCTATTTCCTGTATGAATCTGCAGAACAGCCTGTTATTGACCAGTTGCATTGTCGTGCATCGGGAAATTATAAAAAACCAGGGGTGAATATGTGTAAATATTCGCTTTTTGACCCACCCCCCATGTACGTCTAAAATAAAATAAAAGTACCTTGAAAATACGCCCATGCGCAAGAATAACAGCACTGTGCATAATCTTGATGAAATAATAAACTATTTTTTTCTGTTATTTTTCTTTTTTTTGGATTAAATCCACGTCCTGCAAGATTTCGTTGACTAAATTTGCATGACCCGATATAATTTTTTTTTCGAGATGAGTACGGGTAGAGGTGTTTCGAATCCTTTAATCATGAGGTTTTATGTGAATTACTAAAAATAGAAGAAGACAAATCCGATGGAAAAAACTTATCGTTTCATCCACACAAGTTTTTAAACTTTTTGGTTACGAAGATTCAGAAATAGGGGACTTGGGTCATAAAGAAATAAACGTTAATTATTTTTTAGGCGCATTATCAGTTCTCTCTTGCCAACCTTATTTTTTAAAACAATTACACTTTCTTTTTTGTTTTTTTATTTTTCTTTTCCCCTGTAAATTCTGATTTAAAATTTTCAAAAAAAAAAATATTTTTAGAAATGGCACATTTTGTATCAAATTTAACCTAACAACCTCAAACTATATGCACAATCGGATATTATTTTTTTGAAATTGTGTTGTTTTGATTCTATTTTATTATTGTTGCTTTTACCTAACTATGCGCATGCATATTTCAATTTTGATTTAAGGTCATGATTCTTTCAATCTGGACTTAAAAATAATATTTTTCATCATCTGATTACCCGGAATCATCTCGGAAAAATCTGCCTAGACTGTCAGCTATTGGTTGCGAATTAGATGTTACCATGACATTACTCCGAAGGGACAAAATGCTTATAGTTTAGTTTGCGCATAAGTAGGTTAGTTTATTAAAAAAAACCTCTCCTTTGAATATAGTGAACTTTTTGTTGTAATTTCATTCAAAATTACCAGTTGCACTACATGAAGAGAGTGCGTGCAAGAAACATGCATACCTATTTTCCCAACCTCTTTTGTGCTAATCTCTGCCCAATTGTTCTTTCTTTGCTCTTAATGTGCAGTGGTTTACTCTTCACTAGTTTGAATTATAATTGTTACAACTTTGGTGATATTCGCCACAACCGCACGACCTTTTCCCTCATCGTGTGAAAAAATCACAAATATTTGATCTGATTATTATACCTTTGATTTGCAACCTTAATGCTCACCAATCTTATTAGAAGTTCGTTAAAAAGGAATTTTGTCCGATTTACCTCGACATCTAATGTCGCTCTTCCGTTTCTTTACGATCTTGAACCGAAATGTAGATCTTGTGGTATTCGATTACAAAACAAGGATGAGACGAAACCGGGATATTATCATTTGCGGAGTAAACAAGAGAAAGAACAGCAAAAGTTGGAAAGCTCTCCCAAAACGGCATATGAAAAGTATATGGCTAAGCTAAGCCCCGAGGATAAGGAGCTTTTATTGGGCAATATATTCACTGGGGCACCTGCAAACCATACCCCTAAAAGTGGACCTTCGGTGAAGGAACTAGCCAAAAGGGCATACGATATTAAACTTGATGAAACTGCAATTGAATGCGCAAGATGTCGTAATGCAAAAGTCCATTCAGATTACAAATTATCTCAAGAAGAATTCCCTATTCATGATTTAAACGCAATCATGCCGAAAATCCCATCTGATAGCCCCATAGTATACGTGTTCAGTGGTAATGATTTTCCGATGGGGATTAATGCCGACATTTTCAAATACCGTAATCCAGATGAAGTTTACTTTATCATGACTAAAGCTGATAATTTGTTTAAAAAAAGTGATGCAGCAAGAAACTTTTGTTTTACATTCTTGACCGATTATTTCAGGATCAAATATCAAGTGCCAGCAAAGAATATTTATATAACCCTGGCCAAAGAAGGCTGGAATTCTATCGATTTATTGAATTTCATTCCTGAGCTGGCATATATTGTAGGTAATGTTAATTCTGGGAAATCCACGTTAATCAAAAGTTTGATGTTGCATCAAGAATTGGAAAACAAACGCGATTTGGAATCAGATATTCCTTTCCACATTAAAGCTAGGGAAAAGAAGAAGTTCATTGATCGTTTCAATCAGAAAGTTGGCCCTGGGATCTCCTATTTACCTGGGTTTACCCGTGAATTTCTTCCCGTTACGTTAGGAGGCGTTAGATCTGTGTTTGATGTTCCTGGCTTCGCGTCTGATCCATACATTCATGAATTCTACCATAGATTTTCTGATGGAAAAACAATCGCCAGATTGACCGGCGGCAAACAGACATATAAGTTTGGTACTTATAAATCAAAATACGATTCAGTTAAAGGTCCCCAGGTTCTCGGTCTTGGAGGAATAGGATATTTACAATTACCTCAGGATTCCATGTATCAAATTCGCAATGTTACCAACATTGACTATCATGTGTTCTCGAACATTGAAAGAGCAGTCAAAGTTTCAATTAATCCTTCTGATTCTTTGAAAAAGAAGTTTATAATTGAACATGATGAAGCCAGTCTCGTGAACTTTGAACGGTATGTAATCCCTCCATTCTATGGTCAGATTGAACTCGTGTTGGAGAACATTGGATACATTCATATTAAACCAGTAGGTGCAAAAAAAACCAATGAATTAATGGTTTTGTATTTACCTCGTGGTATTACTGGTATGATCAGGCAGCCTATAGTTGAATATATCCAGAAAACATTCAAGGATTCCTGGGAACAGAATTTAATAAAAGGAAAGCGAGGTGGAAAAGGTAATTTGGTATTAAAGAGATATAAGGGAGATACGCCCTATGCAAGTATATTGATTCCTGCTACTGGAAAAATTACTGATGCAACAGGAGAAAATCAGTCAGACTTTGATCAGTTGAATGCCATGACAGCAGCAAAAAGGCCATACAATGACAAAACTGTCATAAATGAAGAAAATAAATATGAGTACTGGATTGAGCCAAGATAAGTCTCGATCTAGAATTAACAACTCTTTTATGTACATAGAATAACCGGATATAGAACAATAAGTTTATGGAGAATAACACCGAAAGGGGGGAGACAAAAAGTAAACACCCTACAAAAAAAAAAAAAAAAAAAATAACGCGTAATTTGTTTGCTCAATAACGTCTGCAACATCTGTCTAACTTTAAAAGTGATCTGCATTCCAACATCAGTCTCTGCATGCAGTATGTTCGAAATGAATCATGACGACCGTGTATCGAGAATGTAACAGACGTGTTTACACACATTTCACTGACTATTTGAAATTAGAACAAGAAAACTAAATGAAACAGTTAATAATTTTTAATATGATCCCATAATTGCATAGAGTTTGAATTTAGATGAAGCAACCTCTGTTACTATAATTAGAAATGTGTAAATGGGCAATATAATTGATTGTGTAAGTGTGTATCTTGATTATATGACATCTGACGCTTCCCATTTGCAACCAAATTATCTAATTAATTAATGGCGGCCAAAAGAAAAAATGGCCCCCACTTCAGAGTATGGATCTGCGAATGGAAATTAGCACTGATAAGTGCATTCGCCGTCTGTCGCCTTGGCGACACATGTAATTTGACTCATTACCTATTACGGCCTAATTGTGAACTAGCAACTTGCATGGAAGATACTTTAAAGTTTGATCTGACTCCAGAAAATTTTGCCTTAAAGTGGTGATTTCCATTATCCCCCTTTGTATAAGAAATGTAAACAATACACAAAAAAAATTTAAAAAAAAAAACAAACCAAAACAATCAATTTTAAATAAAACAAACTTACATTTCCAAGTACTTTAGTTGCCAAATTCCTAACCCTTTTTCCAACCTGGTTGCCATCCACATTTTATCCCTATTTTGTTTCCATCTCTTCTGTACTTAACTGCCAGGTCAGGGCTACAACATTTTATGCTAGTTGCTGCAAACAAGTCTCCATAAAATTAATATTCATTGACAAACTTCCACAATGCTACGCAGCCAGAGTATCAACAGTCTTGGTGAGCATAAACGCAATAAATCATCATCATTCTTTAGTGCCTTCAGAACCAAAAAAAGTCAACTGCAACTTCAACCTGCCAATGACAATTCTTCTCTTTTGTCTAATGTTTCCAGGAGGTCTCGGCGTTCGTTGAGTACCACCATATCAGCCTTCAACTTGCTGGAGATGGTGCATGAAGATTACGATGAGGATAAAGAAAATGTATATGAATATAGCAATGTGAACGAAAAACCATTGAGACCAAGATCAAGTGCCCCAATGTTAAACAAGCTGACTCCATCATCAGCAACTACGTCTACAACCAATTCCTTGGCAGCCTCAAAGTTCTACAGCACCAGCAGAAGAAGTATAAGAAGTTCAATGTTCATGTTAGCAAGAGTTGGATCACGACAGGTATTACCACTGCAACAAGAACATCCAGAAATCCATATCCACCATGACCAAGTGAATATATCTACTCCAGAATCCACGCTAACTGAGACTGCACCTAATTCCATTGACATTAATGTTGATTCAATATTTGACCAATCTTCGATTACTTGTGGCGATAGTGAAAATGATGACTATTCATTATCTTCATCCTCCACAAGACATCCTTCTCCAAATAACTCCCCTGATAAGCGGGTAGTAAGTCATGCTCATAGCTCGAGTATTGAACTTCAACCAGCTAGATTACATCGCACCATAAATTCTTACAACATCAACGATTTCATGCAAGGTATGAATGAAGATGACGATGTTATCATAACACGCCTACCAATAAGTAATCGAAAATCAATAGAACTTGAAAATAAACAAATTGAACAATTGAATCAAAAATTGAATCAAGAAACCCCCGATAATTGGAAATTGAATATTTCCTTGGTTGGAAATATCGTATTTGTTACTGGAAATGCTAAATCTGAGCTGGAATTATCATATTTTATGAAGGATTTGGATGATATTAATTATTTGGATGCATTGACAAATGAAGATTATATTTCTCAAATTAATGTTAATGATGATTAAATTTATTTTGACTAAATAATGCTGTAATTTTAATATGTTTTCTTAGTGGGAAAACTGTCCAGATATCTCTAATGGTAATATATAATGAAAGTTCAAGTAATCAATTCGTAGATTGTGGATTTGCAACTTGGTACATTTGAACCAATTCTCGGCAAACTTGTGACTTATACCACTTCCTCCGTATTCAAAATAGAGTGTGATATATATTAAGAGTAAATCTAAAGCTCCGTGGTTGAGTACACCCAAGAACTTGATAGCCACGGAAAATATTGTAGTTCGCCACAAAGTTTAATTTCTTGAATGCAAAAAAAATAAGCTAGTTTATGAACAAGCAAAAACATACCCTTCATTCCCCATTTTGCTGCCTCTATATTACCTTAATTGATAGGTATAATCAACAAAAGTATAATCACACGTTTTAAATCCTAAAAATATAAAAAAAGAATGCGATTTCTGTGGATCGAACACAGGACCTTCAGATTAAACTGTGACTGAATCTCTTCAGTCTGACGCTCTCCCAACTGAGCTAAAACCGCAAACATAAATCGAACCCACGCCGGGAGTCGAACCCGGAATCTTTTGATTAGAAGTCAAACGCGTTAACCATTACGCTACGCAGGCGATTTTTCTGAAAATTTTCCATTTTTCTTGGTGCCCATGACTGGTCACGTGAGTTTGATGTTTTGCAGATATTTTCATGGAAATATATATATTTGACCAAAACAACTGGTTGGTTTATTATTCATGTGTTTTTGAATTCTATATAATTATATATATATTGTGTTTAATTAACTGTGTTGTAAGTAATTGTACATAATTGTTTTTTCAATTATTTTGTATTTTTTTTTGCATTTTTTTTCAAAATATTAGAAGAATTAGGAAAGGTTGGTTTTTAAATTTGTGAATTATTTACAAATGAGAAAGATATCATTTGATATAGACAAAGTTGAACAAAAGAGGTAAGCGACTATCTTAAGTCCTATTTTACCAACACTTCTCACTCATCGAAACAATTCACTTCTCTTTTAAAGATTCACTTTTGTGATCATCTGCAACATCTAATGCAAGATTGGTCATATTATTCTCCATCTATTATTGCCGCTAGAATTATAGCAGGTGTAAAAACAATAACACATTATTTGTAGCTGATATTGTAATGAAAGATTCCATTACTGACCCAATTAAGGCAGGCTTATATCTTACAGTTTAGCTTGAAAGAAGAGTTAAATTTTCACAATCGCGAAATTACGGGCATTCTACAGGTTATTATCTAAGTTAAATATATTGATTCATGTAAGATCAGTTAAATCAATCTACATTTAAGCCATTGTATGACATCGCTTTCGAAAGAGATAGGAAAAACAAATTTACACGTCAATTAAACTGATTCAAGTGTAAATGTTGTGAAATAATATAGTTGGTAATCCAGAGGTAATATCAAGACTCTTGAGTATAATTAGCAAATCTGGCTTGTATCTATAAAATCAGGTATCCAGCAATTAGAACACAAGTCAATTGTGTTAGCAGACAATGTCTATTTTTTTGCAGCTTATTTTTTTTCCCCTAATTTGAAAAACCGGCTTGAGAACGAAAAAAAAAAATACCTCAAAAATGTGGAGGTCATTGTTGGCGCATTTATTATAATTTAATTTAGACAAAAATTAATGGATAGTCGTATAAGGAAATTCCAATGATGGTGATGTGAAATTCAATCCACATGGAGCCACACTAGGATGGTTTATTTGTTATACGAGTGGGAAAATCTGGTACGGAACTATACTTAAAAATCATGCGATTGGTTAAGATAGCCGCTATCTGCATTGTCCGGAGCTATTCTTTCTTTTTAATTTTGTGGGGGAGGGGGAAGGGAATTGTAGGGATGTTGAATTAGGGCCAGCTGCATTATTAGGGGAAGGAGGTGTCGGAAATGATTTTTTTTTTGTGATTTGATCACGTATTAATATTTTTTTTTGGTGCAATGCGTGATGGATGCGTAAGATATGCATAACAATAAGAAAACAAAAAAAAATAAAGATAAATTGCTGTCGTGATTGGATTTTTTATTTTTCAGTTTCGTATCAAATGCTACCTTAGTGGCGTACGGCATAGAGCAACCCAAGATAAAATGCAAACATACGGAAATGTAAAATTTACATTAAACTCCCCTGGTTTTAAGCTTGTAAGGGTAGTAATGAAAAGCTTGGAAGTAGATTTTGATAGACTAGTATAATTAAGAATCGAAAAAAATCAAGCAATTTTGTTTTTAAAATAGTTTTACGATTAATGCAGAAAACCTAATATTCCTAATCACGATAACAAAATGGAAAAATTTTTTTTCCGGCTGAAATAATAATGAGTGTTTGGTTTCACTTATTGCTGTCACCTATTGATGTAGTATTAATAAACGTACAAGGCGGTCAACAAAATAATTTACTATTGAGGTAATTTGAAATAAGTCATAATTTGTATGAAATCATCCTTATTACAGCGTAATTAACTCCTCGAAGCTTGTTCGTGCAGGGAATACTGACGTTTTTTTTCTATCACATACTATCTCAAATAATAAATAAATAAAAAAAAAAAAACTTTCAGTACAAAATTATAAAGAGGTTTTTTTTTCCAGGGATTTTCTTTTAACCTTAAGCACCGCAGATAAAAACCGAACTAAAGCAAGATCACAAAGCTTTCTGTATTGGAGAGAACCACAAAGATACAGAAACAAGAGTGTTACATCGATTTGAAATCTCCTATTAATTTCCATAGAATATTTTTGAATTAAAATTTCTTGGTATTTTACTTAGTCATGTCTGTTGATTCTTGCAATTCAGAAACTTTTGATAACAATATTGGGAACTTACCTAACAAGAACTTAACCATGACTTCAAAGGTTCTTCATACTTCAGGAGGAACACCCTCAAGCTCTAGTATCGCCACCACAACTAACGGTGTCACCAACACCAACAATATTCCGATTTTGAATGATAACCACGCTCCACGAGATATCAGACATACTATACAAACTCACACCGTGGCAGCATCAGGTACCACAGCAGGTGCAGCAGCAGCAGCAGCTGCTACGGTATTATTGCCCCCTGATTTGACACCCAGCTATCCTTACGACGAACCAGACGAAGACGAATACAACATGCATATAGGTACTCAGCCTCCACCACGAATATACACAGATGAACACCCTGAACCGGAGTTGTTGCCTACTACAGTAGGACGTGATTCACAAGGAAGAATAATACCGTCCACTTCTACCATTTCCTTGCTTTCGTTGAACCAACAGCCAGATATGTCTATGACGTCACCTAAAATTATCGTCAGCAATCCTCCAGTTTTTATAGATAGAAAGAATTCATTTGGTCAATTACGGAACTTGATCAATCACAAGCGATTACAACCATATCAAAAGATGAATTCGCCTAATGAATATACATTTATGACCACCACGACCCAATCAATACCGATTCAAGAAGAGCATGTTTTACAACCACCATCCCCTAATTTAGATCCAGTTTCACTTGGTGGATCACCCTCAAGATTTTGGTTGAATTCACCCACAATCACCAAATCGTTAAGTAAAACCCAGTTGCAATATACTCAGAATACCCAAACCTTACATAGTTATCAAAAACAACAACAGTTTCATCCACTAGCTCCTATTCCACAACTGGTAGAACTTCCAATGCAGCAAACGGACAGTGAATTATACATAAACATACAACACAGAAATGGGAGCCATTCACCCACTTTAGATCCAGTACAAACTCCATCAGAAGATCCTCCTATGACTCCATTATCATTAAATCGAGCTGTAAATGGATATTCTACCGATTATTTCAATTTAGATTCTGTAATGCAGAAGAATAAAGAGGATGAAGCGAATTATTAAATGATGAAACTAGAGGGTTAAATGAATAGGAGGCAGAAAGAGCAAAAGCTGACGATGACGTAATTTGTTTCCTTGATCAAGCATTTACGGAAGATGTCTATTGTATAATCATAATTTCAAAGAATTGTTTTCATGGTGGGGTAAGATTATGTGCTAATTTGGAATGTGCCGGTGGGAGAGTCATTCTTGGAATTTGCCAGATGCAAGAAGACTATTCTAGAGTTTGTCAGATGAGAGCATGTCATTATAGAATTAGGCTCATTCCAGGCACTTCCGACTCAGCCGCTATCACCACACCTTATAACACCCATCGAGTTGGGAATAGTGAAACATTGAATGATTCCGCTGTAACTGTCTGATCAAATCAACTTTTTGATACACTACTATTTTTTATTATTATATATATTACTAGTTAGCATTGAATGAAGGTTATGGGATTTATTTTGATAATTACCATTTAAGTAACAGTATAGATGTGTTCGTATTCAAATCAAAGCTCGTTTATGCCCATTTTGTAAAATTCTTCGTTTCGTTTTGATATGGAATGTATGAGTTGATGTGGAGTGTACAACATTCTAGACGCGATTTGTTTATGAAAAAGGCTACAGCTCCAGAGGTATAAATAGAACCAAGCCGCAGTTGTTGCTGTTGCTTAACGGACAAGTTAGTCCTAGTCAAAAAAAAAGCAGCACTATGATGTTATTACAGTTTAGTTTGTTATTTTTGCTTTTACAGTACTGCTTCGGAAAGCTGGAACCTTTCTTGGTTTCACTTAACTCTGATGAAACCATGGAATCATTTTATGCTTATGATATCAAGTTTCCCCCTACAGAAAGAGTTAGAGATTTGATTACGAACACCTATTCATTTGGCGACTTTAACGCATTTTCCGGGAATTTCCCTCCAGAAATCGTGAAAAGATTAGAAAGTTGTGAATTAGTAGCTGAAATTTCTCGCGATGTTAAATTTAAGGGAACAGTCCTTAAAACACAGGCAAATGCACCGAGACATTTGGCAAGAGTTAGTAGAAGGGCTCCCTTTGATTTTGGACAGCAATATTCCTATTTTTACAACAGCACAGCCCAAGGACAAGACGTGAACGTCTATGTTATTGATTCTGGTGTTGCAACCAAACATCCTCAATTTGGTGGCAGAGCGAAGTTTGGCAAAGATTTCACCGGTGAGGGAAGCGGCGATTCTACTGGACATGGCAGTCATGTAGCTGGTGTTATTGGTTCAAAAAAGTATGGTATTGCCAAGAAGTGTAATATAATCAGTATCAAGGTTTTGAACAGTGCCAATGCCGGGGAATTAAGCGTTGTGCTTGCCGCACTAGAATATGCCGCTAAACATCGTAAAAGGACCGGCAAACCAGGAGTTGCAAATTTATCCATTGGCGAGGAGTTCAGTGGTGTCATAAATAGGGCAATTAGAATGGCTAACAATACAGGGTTGGTGGTTGTAGCTGCTGCTGGTAACGATGGCACGGATGCATGTACAAAAAGTCCTGCAAGTTCACGCCATGCGATTACTGTCGGGGCGATCAGTGATGTTGATGATAGAGTAGCTTCATTTTCTAATTGGGGTAAATGTGTTGACTTATTTGCCATTGGTACAAATGTTGTAAGTGTTAATTCTAATGATTTCAATTCTCCACAAACTTTGGAAGGAACTTCATTTTCGGCACCCGTTGTCTCTGGATTGGTTGCAAATTTGCTTAGCGAGGGGGTTCCACCTGAAAAAGTCAAACAAGTTTTACTAGCCAGATCAACCAAAGGAAGAATTCCCCTGGATTCTTTGGCAGGTAAAAGTGGCACTCGTAATAGAATAGCACACAATGGAGTCCTGGGAAAGGAAGCAGAGTCACAACAAGGAACACAAGGAAGCTTAAGAGACCCATTTTCACTTTTTGGACTTTTTTATAAAACCTGATTCTACTTTAAAATACCTCTGATTAAATTGTTTAAACATGACTTTTAATTATAATTATGCTCTACTTCGTTCTTCATTAGCTACAAGTAGTTACCTTTAAACGTCTCAGTTTTACATTTGGTTGTAAAAAATCCCGAATCAGAGGCAAAAAATAAAGTACGAAATCGGCAACAGATCTCACCACTTGTATTCTACTCTCTACCCCCATGTCAACATACGAAGGTAAGTCTTTTTACTCTTGAAATTGAACTGTATACACACTAACACAATCAGAGGAACATAATATTCAAGATAGAGCAAATCCACGTGCTGACGATACCACAGCACGCGGTAGACAGCATGCAACACTTTCCAACATTATAGATACATTTTTAACCACAAGTGGATCAGATACTCCATCTAATGCATATGCCATGGAAGCACTTACGTCTGCATTGCATCATTTGAGTGATGCTGATGGATCAAGGCTTGCACAAACTCTTATGGAAAGTTTACAAGATAGTGGTGATATCGATGGTAAACGTAGCAAGGGAGTCAGTCAAGAGTATTTAGACACGCTAGAACGAGTCAAAGTCAGCTCTATTTCTGAGGACGATGCATTTTGTCCTATTTGTACAAACAAGTTCAAAGATGACAAGTATCCCCTTGTGGTAAGGTTACCTTGTGGCCATGGCGTAAACCACATATACGATCTTGAGTGTGTTGGTCCCTGGCTTCAAATGAACTCAACGTGTCCTCTATGCCGAACCAATGTTCTCGAAGCCGAACAAAACCGACGGAAGAAGATCGAAGAGGAAATCAGAAGGGCCAAAGAAGAAGATTCCGAAGAAGAGGAGGAAGATTGGGACGTGTATGGGTAAATATTAGATTTCTATATACAAGTAACTAAATGAGTTTTTTGAAATCATCAGATTTAAGTAATTCTTGAACCTTGACGGCAATTGGGTCTTCAATACCTTCATAAGCCTTAGGTAATTCCAAGTCCTTTAATTGTTTAAGATCTTCAACATAGTTCAAAGATTCACGGGCAGTCAATTCAACTTTGTAGTCTACGGTATCTAACTTATGTCTATTAAGATAAGACAACCATAAATCAACGACGTCAGGATTGGCATCATAAGCTACTATTCTTTTTTGGAAAGTTATTCTATGGAAATTTTGTTTAGATTTAGCAAACACGAAAGGAGCTTTAATCACGGTATATAATCTTTTTTCAGTTTTCAAACTCTTTAAATGGGAAGTTGGTATACCCAAGTAGTAGGCAGCTCTCATGGCAAACTCACCAGCTCTAATAATATCAGCTTCCTCATAACTTCTAAAGTTAATCACAGCAACCTGATCACCATGAGTTTGCGGTAAGGTCAAAGGTTTATATTTCAAAAGTTCAACATTTAAAGGAACAGGTCTGCCTTCAGATTGAATCACAGTGGAACTTAAGGTTTTTGGAGCGTATGGGATTTGATTGGATAATAACTCTTGTTTGAATTGTTCTTGTTCGATTTTCTCTTGTTTGACTTGTTCAACATATTCGTTAGGGGAGACGAATCCCTTTTGCAATAATGCCCCACGAGTGCTGAATGATCTAGTGATGAACCCACTACCAATTCTTATTCTACCAAGCATAGCTAGTTACACAGTTCTCGTTTGGTTGTACGATTTGGTCAAAGTTAAAATTTTTTTTTTTTTTTCAATTCCATACAATATTTGCTCCCACTATCTATACAGGAATGGAAAAAAAATCTACAGAGATGATATAGCTCAAGTTAGTAGGCAGCATGGGTAAATCAAGTAAGGATAAACGAGATTTATATTATAGACGAGCCAAAGAAGAAGGATGGCGTGCCCGTTCTGCATTCAAGCTCCTTCAGTTAAACCAAGAATTTAACTTATTCGACGGGATAACTCGCGTAGTGGATCTTTGTGCTGCACCAGGATCGTGGTCACAAGTGCTTAGTCGAGAACTTCAGGGTAAAAATGCCAAGATTGTGGCGGTGGATTTACAGCCAATGACTCCTATTGATGGAGTGACTACAATACAAGCCGATATTACCCATCCAAACACTTTACAAACCATTCTCGATATATTTGCCGGTGAACAAGCAGATTTCGTGTGTAGCGATGGTGCACCTGATGTGACGGGATTGCATGATTTAGACGAATATATTCAAGCCCAATTGATATTGTCGGCATTGCAATTGACTACATGTTTGTTGAAGCCAGGTGGAACATTTGTGGCCAAGATTTTCCGAGGCAGAGATATCGACTTGTTGTATAGTCAATTGAGTTACCTTTTTGAAAGAGTCATATGTGCCAAGCCAAGAGCATCAAGGGGTACTTCTCTTGAAGCTTTTATTGTGTGTTTAGGGTATAAACCAAGACCAGGATGGAATCCAAAATTGGATTTACAAACCTCAACTGAAGAATTCTTTGAAGGCGCAGATATCGGTAAAGCTGGTAATTTGGAACATTTCGAATTACCTGATGACGAAGAACGGAAAATCGCAAAGTTTGTGGCTTGTGGTGACATCAATGATGTCGATTCTGATGCTACTTATACTTTGGAATTGAATAGACTTGCATTAGAACCAGTACAAATGCCCACGGCGCCTCCATATAAGAAAGCTCTTGAAATGAAGAGAAGAGGAGACTTGATAAGAAGATAGTATGTGTATTATATATAAAACAAATCTAGTTTAAGCTAAATCAGCAAAGGCTTCTTCACCCTTCAACACCAAAGCATCTGGCTTTAAGGTTGGGAACAACAATACTTCTCTAATGGTGTTAGAGTTGGTCAAAAACATGGCAATTCTATCAATACCACAACCCCAGCCACCAGTTGGTGGTAAACCGTATTCCAAGGCGTTACAGAAGGTTTCATCAACCATTTGAGCTTCGTCATCACCTTGAGCCTTTTGTCTGGCTTGTTCTTCAAATCTGGCTCTTTGGTCAAATGGATCATTCAATTCGGTATAAGCGTTACAAATTTCCTTGGTGGCAACGAAAACTTCAAATCTTTCACACAAACCTGGAACATTTCTATCCTTCTTGGCCAATGGAGACATCATTTGTGGATGACCAAAGATGAAGGTTGGGTTGATACAGGAATCTTCTAAATCACCAACCAATTTGTCCAACATTCTAGCGTTGGTTAATGGAGGGGTACATTCAATGTTGTTATCCTTCAATAATTTCTTCATGAAATCACCGGCAGCTTCGGTGTGTAAAGTTTCACCAGCTGGGAACTTAACATTGTAAATTCTTTCCAATTCTTCAATCATATTGATTCTCTTCCATGGTCTGGAGAAGTTCAAGGTCAATTCTTCTCCTTCAGGACCATTAGGATGGTACTTGATAACATAACTACCAGTGATTTCTTTAACCATTTCGGAAAATAACAATTCAGTCATATCCATTATATCGTAAACATCAGCATAAGCTTGATAGAATTCACATGTGGTGAATTCAGGGTTGTGAGTCATGTCAATACCTTCGTTTCTGAATTGACGACCAATTTCATAAACACGGTCCATACCACCGACAACTAATTCCTTCAAGAACAATTCTGGAGCAATTCTCATAAACATTTCCATATTTAAGTCATTGTGATGAGTAACGAATGGCTTGGCGGTAGCACCACCAGCAACAACATTCAAGATTGGGGTTTCAACTTCAATGAAATCACGTTCGTCAAAGAACTTTCTAATATAAGAAATAATCTTGGATCTAATCTTGAAACGGTCTCTGGTAGAATCGTTCATAATCAAATCAAGGTATCTCTTTCTGTATCTAGCTTCTTGATCCTTGAAACCAAAATGTTCAGTAGGTAACATATGCAAACATGGAGTTAATAATTGAACGGTTTTGGCAAACACAGACAATTCACCATCACCACCTTTAGCAGGAGCAGTCTTACCTGGGTAACCGACAACACCAATGATATCACCTCTTCTCAACAATTCGTGCATTTTTTCAAATGCTTCAACAGATTCGGCATCTTGGGCTTGAGCCATAATTTGAACTTGAACACCATCACCCTTTAAACTGTAAAACTTCAACTTAGAACCAGCTTCTCTCTTGACCATGATTCTACCGGAAACACTAACAGAAACATCTTGCAAGGTTTCACCTCTTTGCAAGTGACTGTACTTTTCAACGAATTCAGGAATCTTGGTAGTAACTTGAAACTTGTGAGGATAAGGATTGAACTTGGTTGGATCGGCATTGTTTGCTTCTCTCAATTCGTTAATTTGACGAGATCTGATTTCAAAATATTGGTTTGGAGTCAAATCTTCATCACCCTTCTTCTTAGCCACCTTAGGAGCAGTGGCAGCAGCCTTAGCAGCCTTTTCAGCCTTTTTGGCATCTCTTTGTCTCAACTTTTCTCTCTTCTTCAATTCGGTCTTGGAAACATATTCTCCAGTGACCTTATCCAAGTGGAGATTGTTGACATTTTCAGTAACTTGATTGACTTCGTCAGACATGGTTAATCTTACTAGCTTAATCTAAAGATGAGTCAAGCGATTAGGGAAAATTTTGGCAACAGGTGAAAATTTTTTTCTGTGATTTGGCAGTGAAATTTTTTTGCTGTACAAAAAAAAAAAATTTAAGCAGAGATATCGACAAGACCAACACAGTAATAGCATCCACCATGTCTGACCAAACGTAAGTAGAATACAACAAGTAAAACATAGAAAGAAACGTACTAACAGTATAGTTCATCTGCCAACACTATTACTATTTCATCCAGTGTATTATTGTCTTTGATTAGACACACTTCTGAAAACTACCCATCATTATTCTCAGGAGCCTTGTTAGGGTTTGAAGATGATAACGGAGTTATAGATGTCACTCACGGGTTCCCATTTCCATACCCTGACCAATACGAAGGAGGCTCCTTAAAGTCTAGAAGTGGTGCCCAATACCAAAAGGATATTTTGGAAAATTTCAAGAAGTTGGGTTATGGAATTGAATTCCAAGGTTGGTTTCAATCCACCATATCTGGTAACTTTGTAACCAGTCAGTTGGTTGAAGCTTTGGCCCAGCAACAATTAGCCAATGCCAACTCTTTTATTATTATCCACGATATGTCCAGTATTGGCAAGGAGGTCTCTTTGAAGGCTTTAAGATTATCTCAAGGTTTTATGACCGCTTACCAAGATGGTAAATGGAAATCTAAGGATTTAGAACATCTCAAATTATCTTATTTCAACATATTTGACGAATTGAATGTTGAAGTCAAGAACCAAGCCTTGGTCAACTTATACTTGGCCAACTTGAAGTCTACTGAACCAGAATTAGACATTCTTAACCTTGCTTCCCACCAAACTTCCACTGGTCAATTATTAGAATCATTATATAGTCAAATTGATTCATTCAACTATGATCAAAACAACTTCAACTATTACCAAAGACAATTACAAAAGGAACAATCCAAAATTAACCAATGGAAACAACAAAGAAAGTTGGAAAATCTCGAAAGAGTCAAGAAGGGTGATAAGGAGTTGGATACCGAAGAATGGAAAACTTTATTTAGATTACCTAATGAACCATCCAGATTCAACAATATGTTGCATAGTCATGCCATTGATGTATTGGCTGATGATATTTTAAAGAAGTGTGATGAAGAATTAACCAAGAGTTCAGTTATTGAAAGAAAGTTGACCTTAGCTTAGTTTAATTGTGTAATATAGCAGCAGTTTATTTGTGGAGTATGGACTTTGTAGGAGTTGTAATGCCGTGCTTAGTATTGGGTATGTAGAAACTCACGTGATGCGCATCACACGACTTCAATTCACATGACTCACTGATTTGCTAATTTACGAATATCCGCAATCCCCCTCTCATCTTGCATATCCGCCACAATGCTGGCAACAAAATTACCATCTTTAGTAATCATAACAACAAAACTGACTAGGTAGCTTCAGTGACAAATGGGCAAACCCAAGGTATGTTTGCACGACACACACACACACACACACATTTCATTAGTTCATACTAACATATAGACTAGTATATTTTAATAGTGAGACATGGTGAGTCGGAAGGAAATTGTGATAAATCCGTCAATAGATATACCCCTAATCATTTAGTGCAATTAACTGAAAATGGCCACTTTCAAGCATTAGCGGCTGGACAAGTATTACGAAAGTTCTTACAAGATGAATCGTTTGTCAACAACTGTATGAACGAAAAACGTAATCCGTTATCTATTATGTTTTACACATCTCCATACTTGCGTACTCGACAAACATGTAATAATATCATAGAAGGAATTAAAGACTTGCCCGGGGTTGAGTATGAAGTTAGAGAGGAGCCAAGGATGAGAGAACAAGATTTTGGGAATTTTCAAGGATCAGCAGAAGAAATGGAAAAAATGTGGCAGGAGAGAGCTACGTATGGACATTTCTTTTACCGAATCCCGCATGGTGAGAGTGCGGCTGATGTGTTTGATCGGGTTGCCAGCTTTAATGAATCCTTATTTCGGCAATTTAGAATGGAGAACTTCCCTAATGTGTTGGTATTGGTGTCGCATGGGATTTGGTCGAGAGTGTTTTTGATGAAATGGTTTAAATGGTCATATGAAGAGTTTGAATCTTTGAAGAATATACCTCATTGCCAGTTCCTAGTCATGAAGAAGAATAAAGATACCCAAAAGTTTAATTTGAAAACACCATTGTTGACTTGGGATGATATCGAAGAAGAAGATATCGATGAGGAAGTGAGCAAGGAAATTGGAGACGCATTAGGAATTAACCAAGAAGATTTAGATATTTCCATGATTGTTCGCGCACAACGTGATGCCATCAAGTCCACTCGAGATAAGAACAAGCAAATCCAGGAAATGTATGCAAAGATAAAAGAAGGCTCCAAATCAAAGTATGCTGATAAGATCATATCCCGATTTAAATACGACAACCAAAGTGTGGTGAATAGCGAAGAAGAATTGCATAACCATTAATAGACCTGATACAATTATATAATTATTTGTAACAACTGCCGGTTTGACACATACAACCGTTGTATATTTGCAAAAAGTGTAAAATAACTATCATCATCACATGAGACTGCACACAAACCCGTTTAGCCCCCCCGGAGTTTTGATTGTGCTTTTTTTTTTCACCGTCGGAAGTTTCTGCTCCTTTTTTCCCTTACTCCGAAATTTCGTAGTGGTGTGGTTGTCAATTATATAATCTTCTTATTCCCTTCTTTCTTCTTTTACTCTTTCTAATCAATTGCTTCTAAATCAATTAACCCAATTAGTATAATTATCTCACAATGGCTCGTCAATTCTTTGTTGGTGGTAACTTTAAGATGAATGGTTCCAATGAATCCATCACCAAGATCGTGGAAGGTTTAAACCAAGCCGATCTCCCAGCCAACGTACAAGTTGTCATTTGTCCACCAGCCCCATACTTGGGTTTAGCTGTGGCCAAGAACACTCAATCCACCGTTGAAGTTGGTGCTCAAAATGTCTACACCAAGGCTTCTGGTGCCTACACTGGGGAAATTTCTCCACAACAAATCTTGGATACTGGTGCCACTTGGACTTTAACCGGTCACTCTGAAAGAAGAACTCTTTTAAAGGAATCCGATGAATTCATTGCTGAAAAGACCAAGTTTGCTTTAGATTCCGGTATCAAGGTTATCTTGTGTATTGGTGAAACTTTGGAAGAAAGAAAGTCTGGTGTTACTTTAGATGTCTGTGCCAGACAATTGGATGCCGTTTCCAAGATCATCTCTGACTGGAAGGATATTGTTATTGCTTACGAACCAGTCTGGGCTATTGGTACTGGTTTAGCTGCCACTCCAGAAGATGCTGAAGAAACCCACAAGGGTATCAGAGACCACTTAGTCAAGACCATTGGTGCTGACCAAGCTGCTGCCGTTAGAATCTTATACGGTGGTTCTGTCAACGGAAAGAACGCTCCAGAATTCAAGGACAAGGCTAACGTTGATGGTTTCTTAGTTGGTGGTGCTTCCTTAAAGCCAGAATTTGTTGACATTATCAAGTCAAGATTGTAAATTTTAGACAATTAACTACATATATATATATATATATATATCATCCTACTTGGGTATGCCAATTGAATATAACACATTTTCGTGAATTTGTTGAGGATTTACTGATTTTAAATCTGAAAGTTTTTGTAGTATACCTTGTAAATGCATATAATAACCCTGGGAGTTATCAGAATTAAAAAATTTATCAATAGGCATATCAGTTTCAGTGAGTATATGAGTTGGCTCCAATAATTGTACAATCTTAGTCAACATTTCATACTTCTCTCCATTTATATAGTTTGAAAATGAAAAGAAAACTCTAGACTTGCATTTTTTAATCCACATTTTGACAGTATCGAGTGATCCAGTATACGAATGTAGGATGACAACTGGTATATCCTTATGTTTTGCCACTTCATCATATAAAACTCCATGTCCCTTTACGCAATGCAAAGACACTTGTTTCTTTAATTCATTAGCAAGCTTTAGAAATTCCAGAAATATTTTCACTTGATGAGAGAGAATCACTCGATTAGGGGCAAGCGGTGCTGACTGATCACACGGATATTTCAAATTTCCATAGAATCCATTCAGGGGGATTCTGAACAACTTATCAACTCCAATCTCACCAATTCCATAAACTAGTTCTGGTCTTTTGGCGATTATCTCTCGGATTTTCAGGATATGTTGTGTGATACTTATTGGATCAGGCAACATCTCCAAGAGGGCTTCCGAAGGTGGAGGAAGCATTACGCTAGAATAATGCCGGCTTTTAAAGTCATCTCCTTCAGATTTATCTATGTAAAACAAATGACAAAACCAAGGATGTATGCCAAAATAAGGTACAACAATTCCAGGACAATCCAACTGATCCAATAGTTTGTCAAGCAAATTCAAATCAATATGATTTGTAGTCATGATATGAAAGAAGTGTTTGGGGAACTGTTCTGAATCATGGTTTAGTATTTCTGCTAGTTTATCTACATCTTCAGGTGTGCATTCTGGATTCAAATGACAATGACTGTCTGAGATTTGTTGTATTGTAGAGTTCATTGTGGAAAAAGGGTTGTTTATGTAAATAGTTTTTGATTCTGATTTTCGTTTGCGCTGCGCAATAAGAACGAGGCGGATTTTCTTTTTTTGCAACATCTAATCTTATTAGTTGCTATTTGCAAAACAAGGAGGCCAGAATCGATTTTTCGTATCTAATCGCTTCATGATTGTCTTGGTAAATCTTATCTTGGCCCCATCTATTAAAGATTTTATGTGCTTTTCTTTGACTGCATAGTTCATGTGGTTACTACATGGAAACCATTCCCACCTCAACATGGAGGCATTACAGTTACGGGATGCAGTAGATTTGAAGGGTTTATTGAATGCAGGCGGAAAACTTAATGCAAATTTTGCATCGATTCCACCAGGCCCTGCGAGGTTCTTCCCCTAATTTCTTAGATACAGAATACCCAATAAATAGTACACTCATAAGTTTTCAATGTAACCAATCTATATAGACATGGCAAATCAATAACATCCATCTGTTACTTATTTACAAGAAACTTATAAACCACACATTGATATAACTGTTGACAAAGAGAAACCCACCTATGGAGTGGAAGCACTCTAGAGAGAACATAGAAACTCACAATGTTTAACTCTTGCTGTTTGGTGTTTCATTCTGTCAATGGCTTAGAAGCTTCTTTAGAGTGAAATTCAACCGTGATCAATGTTAAACAATGTGAAGAAATGGTCATGAATCTTTCACTGGTAAGTGGTCTTATTATTAGGTCAGCAAAAGAATCATCTACACAGAGAAGCACAAAAAAAAAACACCAAATAAGATCATTATTGAAGTCTTAATTCTAGCAGTTTTATGCTTCATTCTACAAATTGATTGGAATCCTACGTAATAGCTAAGGAATATAGTACCTCACGGGTGCAAAACTATAACGACGTTCCTGATACTACATGTCTCATTAGTTACTTCTATAAATACAATATGTCACTTTAACAGCACCAATCCAGATTTACCTCTGTGTATTATCGTATTTGAGTACATTTATACCTAGCATACCGGTAATTCCCTATTAAAGCAAATGGTCATCTGAAATTTTTTTAGCACGTCATACGTTTTAAGCTGAAGCAGAAAGCGAAAAACGCAATTTGGCATGGAAATGTCATTCAAGGGCAAATAAAATTCGCACACAAAAACTCACATTCAAAATAATAAACACCACCACAAAACACGACACTCCAGCTTTAACCAGCAATCCTTGCCTGACAATTTAATTCCATTCACCCTTTCACGCATTATTAATTTTAATTGATTGTTACTACCGCTAACAAACCCAATCAATTACATTACTATTCTGATACTTATTTCTTACCCCGACTTATCGCTCATAACCTAACTTTTAAGTACCTTTTACCCTTTTTTTTTTTTTCCTAACCAAAACCAAAAAAAAGGGAAACTTACATTTACAACCCAGAAGAGCAAACAATAACAAACGCAAAGAAAAAAATATCTGAGGCGATACATACGATAAACATTACTCCTATTTTAGTTATTTACAATGTCAGAGTTCAACGAGTCTTCTCTGCCATTGACTCCAATTCGACTTCCTACCTCGGCCCCGTTCCCCGTGATTATATCCTCCATCTTAATTAATGAAGGTGATTCTGTGGAAAAGCACAAGACTATATTCAAGTATAAATACTGGGATTACCAAGATGATCCCAAGTCTACTGAGGAGCCACCCAAGAAAGTCAGAGTTGAACGAATAGGTACCTTTGAAAGTCCTGTCACTGGAGAAATTGACAAAATTAATATAAACATCTTGGATACAGTAACCGACTCCAGCGTGGAAATATGTACCATTAAAGAACCATGCACCCATACAGTTCAATATGGTGGGTTATGTGCATTATGTGGCAAATCCCTTGAAGATGAACGTGATTATTCCGGGTATAATTACGAAGATAGAGCCACTATTTCCATGGCTCATGACAACACTGGATTAAGAATTAGTCTTGATGAAGCCACAAAAATCGAACAATCGACTACTGACAGATTAACTGAAGAAAAGAAGTTGATCTTAGTGGTTGATCTAGATCAAACAGTCATACATGCCACAGTGGACCCTACTGTAGGAGAATGGCAACTGGACCCTTCCAACCCCAACTACCCAGCGGTTAAGGATGTGAAGTCGTTCTGCCTTGAAGAAGATCCAATCACTCCTCCTAATTGGACCGGACCAAAATTAGCGCCTACAAAATGTTGGTACTACGTGAAAGTCCGCCCTGGATTAGCAGAGTTCCTCGAACAGGTATCAAACAAATATGAAATGCATATTTATACTATGGCCACTCGAAACTACGCCCTTGCCATTGCCAATATCATTGACCCCGAGGGCAAGTATTTCGGGGATAGAATCTTGAGTCGTGATGAAAGTGGATCATTAACTCACAAGAATTTGAAACGATTGTTCCCTGTGGATCAATCCATGGTGGTTATAATCGATGATCGTGGTGATGTCTGGCAATGGGAAAGCAATTTAATCAAAGTTGTTCCATACGATTTCTTTGTCGGTATCGGGGATATCAATTCTAGTTTCCTTCCAAAGAAAAACGGGCAAATCACGGGTCCAACCAAGAAGCGAAAATCAATTGCAAAATTAGAAGCCCAGCAAGCAGGCCCAGTCGCTTCGGAAACTGAAGAAGATGTATTACTGGAAGTAGACTATAGTGAAAACAACACCCCTGCCACGACTACTCCACTCACGTCATCACCTGTGGAAAGAATCTTGGAACTTGGTGGTGGTGAAGATAATGCTAATTTGTTATTAGAGCAATCGATCTCGCGGAACCAGTCTATCGAGCAACAGCAGCACGACCGTCCATTGGCAAAATTGCAACATGATTTAGAAGCATTACATCAACAACATCATCACGAAGAAAACAATATCAATGAAGTAGAAGACGAGGAATCTGAAGATGAAAACTTATTATATGATGATGATAATGAATTGAACTCACTCAACAAAGTCCTTGCCAATATCCATGACGCATACTATAAACAAGCCAACTCTAGCAAACCCGATCTCACCGAAATCATACCGAGCTTGAAAAGCAAATGTCTTGAAGGAATTACTCTTTTGTTCTCAGGAATCATCCCGTTGGGAGTGCCACTTGACTCGGCTGATATCGTTATTTGGGCCAAGCAATTTGGTGTGAAAGTAGTCAATGAAGTATACCCCGAAGTTACCCATGTTATTTGCCGAGATATCACTCCGGAATCAGGACCTACTTTCAAAGCAAGAGCCGCTCATCACTTATATCCGGACACAATCAAGATCGTTAACCCCGATTGGTTATTTGCATGTTTAAGCACATGGAGCCGAGTGGATGAAACAGAATATTTACTCTCTACCACAAACGCAAAGACATGGCTAGTAAACAATAAAGATGTTGAAAAATACCAGAAGATGTTAGAAGAGAATCGAGAACGAGAATTGAATTTAATGGACATGTCAAGATTTGATGATATTGAATCATTTGAAGAGTACGATTTGGATGAAGCTAATCAAGAAGTTGATGATTTCTTGGCTGGGTTAAGTGAAGATGAGGATGACGGAGAAGGTTTCAACGATCAAGAGGAGGATGAAGAAAAAGCTGATTCCGAAGAACCGGAAGTTAACGAAAGTAATGGTAGTGGCCATGATACATTTATTCAAGAAGCATACAGCAAGAAAAGAGCCCTTGGAGATGATGAACCGACCCCAATCAAGAAGCTTAAACAGGATATCCTGCCGGAAGATGACCTTGAAGAATTAGAACAAGAATTAGAACAAGAATTACTTGAAGGATTTGACGATTTAGAAGAATAAGCTAAAATATCTATAGATATTTGTTTTGTATAATATGTATATTTAGTTTGTGATATTAGTTAATTAATATTTTTGTTACAATTGATTGGTTGCCTTACTATATAAAAAAAGCCTCCGCCCCTCCCCTATACCAATTAGAACGAACAGGTACTAATTTGTCAATGCAACCACATTAGCAACTTTTGCGACTCGGATATCACACAATTTTTGTTGGGATGTCACATTAGTGACTAAAAGCGCCTTGCGACAACAGTTATTGACAAATCCCACGTGCGTAAATACTCACAATAGTAGCATTATACCTCGTAGTCACAAAATTTACGACAATTACCAGATAACCACCACAAAATCAATCGGGGGGTGTCGCACGACAGGCTAAAAATAAATCACTTGAATAGGAATTTGACAAAGAGTTGACGAGCATACAAAAAAAAGAAAAAAGAAAAAGATGGCTGGTTGCAATTTTTATTTTTTTCGTCAAGGGGATGAAATTATATGGGGCAATGGATTTTTGCAATTGACTACAAGCCAGCGAGATTAATTAATGTCTAAATTGAGTAAGTTCATTGATCTCGTTTTTTGATTTTGTGGCAACTGACGATAATGACATGTGGATTTTGATTTTAATGATATTTTACCCCCTCATGATCTTCCGGGATGCTATTTATATCGAGAAATTCCCATATTCTTGATTTCTCAGAAATATTCTCAGTCTAAACTAACAACCATGTTATATAAAGTCTTTCGGATTATACTAATTTTCTTATCATTGGCAGTTACTTTATTGTCGATATTTGCCGTGATCGGATCATATGCCAATAAACCATATTTAACCGATGCGTATATAATCAAGTTTCAATTAACTAATTTTAATTTGAAACAAGTAATAAACGTTAATCAATTTGCTAAGCGAGAGGACTGGACTGCAACAACCACACCATCAGGTCAATGGGTGTATCCGACCCCTATGCCTACTCCAACTCCAGTGCCTGGTGTGACTACTCCTAATGGTTACTACACTTCTGTGCCTGCGGCCATTGGTGATTTACTTACAAGATTGACTCCAGCAGAATTGGGTATTGCTGATATTTATTCCATTGGTTTCTGGGGTTATTGTCGTGGTGCCTTGGTCGCTCCTCCTGCTAGATATTCCAGCAATGGTGCTCTTATCCAACAGAATCCAATAGTTAATTTCACTTGGTGTTCTGATCCAAGACCGGGTTTTTTCTTTGATCCCGTGAAAGTATTAAAGCAAGAAATGAACAGAGCTTTAGATGGGCAGATTGTTGATAGTGAATCGGCCGTACTCACGCAATTATCCACAGAATCCAAGAGTGAGATCAAAGTTCTTATTGATAACATTTCCTTAGATTACTTCAACTTACCAGGCGATTTAACAGCCGATCTCGGCCATTTTGAAAAATTAACACAAGCAGCATTTGGGTTAATTGTTTCTGTCATAGTGTTTGCATTTGTTGAAACAATTTTACTTATACTAGGATACTTTTTCAGTCCAAACAAATGTATTTTATCATTTTTGAATTTCTTATTTGAATTGATCATTGCTGTGTTGTTATTTTCCGGAACCACCATACTAACGGGTATTTACATGAGAGTAAGAAAAGTCACCAATGCATACATAGACACTTTTGGAATCAAAGCCACATTATCTATAAATATGTACGCATTTTTGTGGAGTGGGGTAGTTGCTGCTGTGCTTTTAGTGTTGTTTAATTTCTTGGGCCACTGTGTGGGATTATTTGGCTCTGGTCGCAGACATTATAGACTGGTTGGCAACCCTGAAGCTGCCTATGAGCACAACGAGGAACCAAAGGAAGAAGCCAAGGAAGAAACCAAGGAAGAAAAGAAGGAATCTAAGGAGGAAACTGACAGTGACAGTGACTAGTTATTTCCCTTTACCACAATGCATACATTTTAATTCAGTTCTTAATTATTTTATTGGATCGTTATATATATATATTTTAATTCATATTGTTAGCAGCAGACAACAGTTTCTTGTAGGTTGCCAGTACTGGTGATGCGCTCGAAAATTTCACACACAAAAAAAAAATCAATCTCAGTTGTAAACGAATAACTAGTATAGCACTACGGCCAATACACACCATGCTATGTCCAATATCAGGCGAGCCAGTCAAGGAACCGGTTCTCTCCCCCAAGAGCAAAACTATATTTGAAAAGAAAACCATTGTAAATTACATCTCCACAGCTGGAACCGACCCAATAACAAATGACCCTTTAACCATTGAAGAACTTATCCCCATAAACACCCAGACTAAAAACATTGTACCACCAGTTGCACCAAGAAATACATCAATCCCTGCGTTATTATCAACTTTCCAGAACGAATGGGATTCAATCGTTCTTGAATTGTTTACATTAAGAAAACAATTACAACTGGCAAGAGAAGAGTTGAGTGCGGCCTTGTATAGACAAGATGCTGCAGTAAGAGTAGCGGCCAAGGCAATCAAAGAAAGAGATGAAGCCAAGGAAGCACTCGAAAAGTTGGCAGTATCTCTAAGCGCCACCAATGGTGAAGAACAACCCCTGGTGCAAGATAAATTAGATTTGATTGCTAGCACTCGAGATGACCTTTTCAAACTTCATAAATCACGCAAGATTAAACTCAACTTTCCTGTTGATGCGATATTGAAGTTAAATTGGAAACTGGAGCTTATTGTAGGTGATACTATTGCCTGGGGTGTTGATAATGTAAACAAAACAATGGGATTTATTACCGATAAGGGGTTCGTTGAATATAAAATGGAAGCGGATAGGATACAAAAGGAATGGAATAAGAAGTACACAAATTTCTTTTATAAAAATGGAATAGTTATTCCTTGGAATGATCACTTGATTAAGTTTGATCATTATAGACAATTAGAATTTGAAGATACAATCGACCAAGTTATCTGTCATCCAACCTTAAACATTTATATTGTTTTAACCACCGAGCCATCGTTGATTGTATGTGATGACACAACCAAGATAACCAGCTATTCATTGAAAGATCATCTTAGTCTTGGAAAGATAAAACTGGCCATTCATGTTGATGGTGAAATTGTGGCTCTAGCATCAGAATCCAGTATTATCTTGATAAGTATAATCACTGGCAATAAATTAGCCTCATTACAAACAAATGCACCAGTCAAGAAATTAATGTTTGCCCTGAATGGGTATTGGTTATTTGCATTAACTGATACCGTTGAATTGTTTGATTTGAGAACAGCTAAAAGAATTAAACAGTTTGACCAAAAGGTAGATGATTTTGTTATAGATCCTTCGTCATCTGTGCTAGTTACTGTTGCTAATGAGAAGTTTTCTATTGCAAGATACTCGAAAAAGAAAAAGGAATGGCAATTTCAAGAATCAGAGGAGTACAATACTAAACATTCCATGACAAAGTTGGTATTAATAACTAGTGATGAAGATGCGGCAAAGGGAGAGTCAATTAGAATAATGACCATGGACGACAACCTCCGTGAAGGTAGTTGTTTCGTCTTAGATGTTAAGGAGGAAAGCTAATGTATTATTACAGTTAATAAAAAGTTTGATTCAATTAAATCTCAGTAGACCTTACCATGTAATCTATTTGATCCAGATATCCACATTTACCTCTTAGTTATAGGATCCTATCGATCGAAATTATCGAATTCAGGAATTTGGATTTCCTTGTATATTTAAGTTCATAAAATAGGATGAATCTTTTACAAACAACCTTGTAGAAAGCATGTAAATACGCAGAGATATATCTTCTTGCGTATAGAAGGTATTGAAGCCATAGATTTAAGTACGATCATAATACATACTGTTTATTAATCCAAGAACCACACAAATCTCCCGAGGTAAGATAGTGACAAATGATTAAATCGCGGACATTGTCCGGTAAATTTACAAAGTACTTAACCAATGGAGTTTTATCCACATAACCTATAAAAAAAAGCCAGACATTTGGATTATTATGTCATTGGGGAGACGAGGAAAGTACACCGTTAGAAACTTTGTTTCCAGGTATTATTATTGTCAACCATTATACAAATAAGAACTGTTTCAATTAGGTCGCAAAATCAACCTAATTTAATAGTCAGATGGAGATTTATCTTGATTCATTTAAGTCATTTGATTTTGAAAATTATTCATTTATTCAGCAGAAGTTGTATACCGATCAAGAACACGCTAAGCATATAACTTTAAATTCATTATTTCGCATTGCACACGCATAAGAATTCGTTACAGTATTTAAGCAAATCAATATAGGCATTCACAATATGATGGAATAGATATGATGTTTGAACTTTTAGTGAAATCTAGAAAACCGTTTATGTTTCCCCTTACCTCTAATTGAAACCTATCATGGCCAAGAGATGACAAGTTTAAACTTCAAATTCGATGCAACCTTACTTACGGTCTCTACTCATACAAATTGAATAAGAATAAATACAAACAATCTGATCTCGGATTTGGAATCGCAGATCGACATAGATTGAGCAGTAAATTTTGATATGTGATATTTGACAATGTTGCCAGAAATTATGCCATACTGCTGCAACATTAGTCCGAAGAAAAAAAAAACAGAAAATCATTGCCCCACGAGTCAGTTCTTCTCCTTTAATATACCAAGATGAACATAACCAACGAACATAAACAACAATTAGACACTTTAGTCGAGTCATGGATTTCAATTGATATAAACCCACAATCAAAACAAGAAATTCTTGAATTACAATCGCAGCAAAATTATGACGTATTATCCAAAAAGCTTTCTCATCGAATTGCTTTTGGCACAGCTGGATTAAGATCTTCCATGGAGTCAGGGTTTGCTCATATGAATGACGTTACCGTTTTACAAGCATCACAGGGATTGATTGAGTACTTAATTAGTGTATACAAAGAAGAAACTTCCATTGTGGTTGGATACGATCACCGTTACAATTCGCAGAGATTCGCTGAAATTTTAACTAGTGTGGCGGTTTCAAAAGGAGTCAAAGTGTATTATTTAGGTTCAGTTGAAAACTTGTCTAAACAAACTCTTGAATTGAGTGAAACATCGTACGATAACAATGATTTGGCAAGTGTGGGATACGTTCACACTCCATTGGTCCCATTTGCAATTGATTTTCTCAAAGCAAAAGGTGGAGTCATGATTACTGCTTCGCACAATCCCGCCAGAGATAATGGATACAAAGTATACTTCCTGAATGGATGTCAAATTATTCCTCCACAAGATCAGCATATTGCTGAGTCAATTGAAAGAAATTTGCAGCCTTGGGAAGGGGTATGGGATGTAGCTGGCAAAATTCTCTCTGGAAAGAAGCAAAATCTTATAGAACCAGTTAGAGAGTTAATTACGAAAGAGTACTTGGAAGGAATTAAACTGAAGTTGATCACTAATGACAAGCTCCTGTTTAACTTTGTATATACCCCAATGCATGGGGTTGGATTAGACATATTCCAACAATGTATTGACTTGTTCGCACATAGGGGAAAGTATGAAGTTGTGAAACAACAAGCAAAACCAGATCCTGAATTTCCCACTGTCAAATTCCCCAATCCTGAAGAAAAAGGTGCATTAGATTTATCCATCTCGCATGCTAAGAATTTAGGTTATAAGTTGGTTGTAGCTAATGATCCCGATGCAGATAGATTCACTGTGGCAATTGAAACCAAAACTGGCGTTTGGAAACAATTAACTGGAAATGAAATCGGGTTTTTGTTTGCCGTCTACTTCATTGAGGAAGTTGTACCTAAGGAATCTCTTAAGGATGTCTATTTAGTAAACTCCACCGTTTCTTCGCAAATTCTTGATGCCATGGCTGAAAACCAAGGGTTCCATTTTGCAGAAACATTAACTGGATTCAAATGGATTGGAAATAAAGCTATAGACCTTGAAAAGTCTGGATATAAAGTTCCATTTGGGTATGAAGAAGCCATTGGATTCATGTTTAATTTAGTGCACGATAAGGACGGTGTTTCTGCGGCAGTTATCTGGTTGCAATTATACGAAAAGTGGTTTGCTGATGGCAAACTTGATCCAGTAGAAAAGTTGGAACAGGGATATTCTAAATATGGTTGGTTTAAGGAGTATAACGGATATTATAGATTCCAAGATGGTGCATTACTCAACCAAATTTTTGAACTAATTAGAAAGTCATATACTGGACACTATCCTGAAACAATAGGTTCATTCAAAGTAGTTTCATGGAGGGATTTAACAATTGGGTATGATTCCACTTCGAAGGATAACATTCCGTTATTGCCGATTGACCCTACTTCACAAATGATTACTGCAGTTTTGAAACGAGGCTCTGGTGATGAATCAGTGAGATTTACATGCCGTGGATCTGGAACTGAACCAAAGTTAAAGCTTTATATTGAAGGGAAATCTAAAACTAGTGAAACAATTGCTCGAGAGATTGCCAAGGAGTGTTGGGAAACTCTAAGAGAAGAATGGTTTAAACCAGAAAAGTATGAATTGGAAGAGGTACATCCTTAGTACGTCGTACTGCGATTTTACTATTTTTAGATTTGAAATAACGATAGGAGTTAAAAATCGGAGTTAGCTTGGCACTCTGATTCGAATGCTTTAACTTTCGTAAATATTTCTTAAAAGTATCTTTATAGTAATGTACAGTGCATTGCTTCTCTAGGCCCTGTCTTGTGTAATCCGACTCGACCGCGGTGCATATGCTACGCCTCAAAAGGCCGCACCAAACAAAGTGCTGAAAATGCAAACACTAACAAACGCACAAAACCATGTTCACCAAAAAAAACACCCACTGAAAAAAAAAAATAAAAATAAAAAAAAACAGCACCAAAAATACACCACCACATTCCACCGTTGGACTCAGCCCATACAAAAAACGTTAACCTGGTATATCCGATATGACGCCTGATCTATATGGTAGCCAGAAGAAGTCGGATCTTCCTATGTACGTACAGAAAAAAAATTAACCAGTAGTTTTGTTGGATCATTTTACTAACCTGCATAGCTTCAATCGACTTACACCTAGGAAGCATAACCGGCGAATAATCATCAAACGAACATTTTATTCACTAATAGCCTTACTTTTCCTTTATACCATATACTCCCGATTTATTGCTGGCTCAGGAAGCAATCTTGCGCCTCCACAAGTGGCGAATGAACAACCAGTAACTCCACCCCCTGATCATGAACTATATAAAGTGACCAAAGACGGAGTATATAAACAAACCATTCTGGACTCTCCCGATGCTGATTTAAGCGATTTAATGCAGACTGAGGAATTATACAAGGAAAACATTGATATGTATGATTTAAACGACTATCAAGGATCCAAGGATGGAGGTAACAAAGGAGACGTTGTGCTATTCCTTATGCCATTGCGTAATGCTGAACACGTGTTGCCTATGGCTTTTTACAACCTTATGAACTTGACTTATGATCATTCCTTAATTGATATTGCATTTTTGGTTTCCGATTGTTCACCTAATGACCGTACTTTAGAAACAGTGTTTGAATATAGTGTGGCATTACAAAATGGAACTTTGGTAGATTTGTTGAAGAAGGAAGAAGAAGCTAAACATTCGGCTCAAGTTCGAGGAACTAATGATTTGTACCAACAATACATGGACCCAACATATATGGAAAGTGTACGCAAGGCATATAGTAACCCTGAACATCACCCACATTACCGGGCCCCATTCCGGTCAGTTTCCATTTTCAAGAAAGATTTTGGGCAAATTATAGGACAAGGGTTCAGTGATCGTCACGCAGTGAAAGTTCAAGGAATTAGAAGAAAATTGATGGGAAGAGCAAGAAACTGGTTAACTTCAAGTGCATTAAAGCCATACCATTCCTGGGTTTATTGGAGAGATGTCGATATTGAAACCTGTCCTGGAAATGTTATTGAAGAATTGATGTCCCATGATTACGATGTTATGGTTCCAAATGTTTGGCGTCCATTGCCTACCTTCTTGGGCAATGAACAACCATACGATTTAAATTCATGGATCGAATCCGATGCGGCATTAGATTTAGCCAAGACGTTACAAGAAGATGATGTTATTGTTGAAGGCTATGCTGAATATCCAACTTGGAGAGCCCATTTAGCGTACATTAGAGATCCTAATGGCAATCCTCGAGAAATAATAGATTTAGATGGGGTAGGAGGGGTTTCGATTTTAGCTAGAGCAAAGATTTTCCGACAAGGGGTCCATTTCCCAGCATTTACGTTTTTAAATCACGCGGAAACGGAAGCATTTGGTAAGATGGCCAAGAAAATGGGGTTCAGAGTAGGTGGCTTGCCTCATTATACTATTTGGCATATTTACGAACCGAGCGAAGATGATTTGAGTAAGATTGCAAAGATGGAACGGAAAAAGAGAAGAAGAAAGGGAAGATCGTAGTGAACCTTTTGTAAGTTATTGTATAATTCAAAAATAAACTTTTTAATAGAAACAAAGTGATTCTGCGCTTAGTTGTAAAAAATTTTATTTGTCAGTAGGAAGGCAGGGTTTGTAATCTATGTATTACCGTTTGATAATACTCAGAGATTGTTCACATCCATTTTATTCATCATAATAAAATTCAGCTATATTCGAAGATTGAACCTCGGAACATAAAGCTTCATATTTAATTTGAGGAAAAACACCTCCTAGCGTTTTTTCCCAAATAGAAACAAGGCAGATTCATTTGAACTAATTGTGCCCAAATTTTTTTTTAAAAATTTTTGCGGTTTGACAAATGGGCATCGAATCACGTGATTTATGATTTTTGCTAATACCTCGATGTAGACGAAGACACTAAGGAATTTTGGACTTTAAATGGATTATAAAGATCACCCTAGTGTATCTAAATGGAGAGTTTTGATTGATCAGGGTCAACAAAGGGAATGTTTGTCAAGATAGATCCGCTAGGATATAAATCTGATCACGTGAAAATCTTGAAATTTTCAAAATTTAAACATTTGCAGGATATACAGGGCTTAACTTGAACACATGTTCAACTCAAGTGTTAATGTACATATCTGTAAATTCATGGTATTGCATTGATGAACCCGCGAAATACTCGAATTGAAATGATCGAGTAATCTAAGACAGCCTGGTAACGGGTATCCTTGCTGGTGCTAAAAATAGCATTGTTCGGATTTAGCTTTTTTTTTTTGTTCCCGCGCGCGTTCAATAATAAAGTTAGGTATACGAGTACTTGCTTTCGCTGCAAGGTAACTTTCCAGAAATAGGTTAAACCAAACTATAATTCCTTCGTAATCACTAAAACCTGATAAAATGGAAATCAATAATACAATCGTCTATATCAAACATGAGACGAACCCATGCCCATTGTAAACTGTAGTCCAAGCAATACTTAGAACAATCGCCAAGAAGTTCTCGTCAAAACATTACCGAAGTGCAATACAATCAACACAATCAGCCTACCCAATTCAATCAAGACGCGTGTAGACATCTCCTTGTATGCACCTACCAGCCCATATGTGATGTCCAATTGTTCTATTTTTTAGTTTAATTGGCCAGGGGTATTGTCGGTGACTTCGACTAAATTTACCAAACTCGTGTTGTTATTCCCAAATAGGAAAATTAGCTGCACGATCATGTCACGTCGAGAAAAAGTTACCACAATACACATACAATTTTTCACGGTATCATTTGGGCTAAATACAACTATTATTATTATTATTATATTTGAATCGATCCGCTTAACTGGATTTACAGGAACCAATCTATTTCTCTTTTTTTTTTTGCATTCAACATTATACTGTCCTTTCACTTGTCCTTTGTCTGTTAGTATGAGGATAACTTGTATAGTGGCAGTTCTTGTCCATTTTTTCTTAATTACACATGCCCTTTTACCAGTGAAGGATTTCCGAGTCAAAGGCCTTGCCAACGAGATCCAAGGTGTCAAGTCAAGGGCAGTCGTGAATTCATGGTCGGAGCAAGTATTGTCATATTCTCCAGATGTTGTATTCACATCGCTTAACAATACACAAGTGTTATACACAGACGATACAAACTCGATCTATTACATATACCTTATCCTTGACGACGGGCATGGCTACAAGCAAAGATTCCCCTTGTTGTTGGACACAGGTAGTGCAGTCAGCTGGATCTACAACCAATCATGTACTTCCAACAGCTGTCAAAACAACAACGTCACCAAGTTTAACTACAATGGTAACTTAAAGTTGGGTTCTACATTTAGCATCACATATACTAATGACCAGGTTGATGGCACATACATATCCATTGCCGAAAACAATATTAACATGCAATTGGGGAGGGTCACTTCTGATTTCAAGGTACAAGACTTTAGTCTTGGATTAACTAGTGATTCACCTTCTATTTTCAACGGGTTTTCTGTTAGTGGGATTCTCGGAATTACCACCGATAGCAGTGACGAGAATATCGTCAGTCAAATGTACGATAGTGGGTTAATCAACAAAAAGGTGTTTGGATTATACTTGACTAATCCAGGACAAATTTATAGAGGTAATGTTCCTGCTAAGGAATTAGGAGGAGTGGTTTTGTTTGGACAAGATGTGGCAGACAACACCAAAAAATTTATCGGCAGTAATACTGTCAACTATGTTGACGTTGTTGATAATAACAACAACTATTGGCTAATCAACATCTCTGATACATCTGTTGTTAGCAGCCAAGGTGAGTCATCCAATGTCATTTCCGATTCAAGATTAACAATTATTGATTCAGGTACAACTGGTATTGTCTTCCCCTTTGATGATGCTGTTGCAATTCACAAACAATTATTCGGTGATACTGGATACCTTAATGATCAAAACGGGAACTTTGCTTTCCTTTGTAATTATACCAATGAGAATATTGTGTTTAATGTCGGTGGCACCAAGTTAAGCGTCAGTAGTTCAAATTTTAAGGGTCAAGCATACACTGACCCGCTGTTATTTGGGTACTGTGCTTCCAAGATTCAAGGATTGAACAATTATGGTCATTGGGTTCTTGGTCAAGCATTTCTCAAGTCATTTTATACTGTTTTTGATTTGGATGCAAATCAAATTGGATTTGGACAAGCAAGTTTGCAATCTTTTGGTATTGAATTTGGAAATGAATCCAGCAGTTCAGCACTGTCATCGGTATTGTCCACCACATGCGTGGAAACTTCTACTAAAAGTGTCCTCACTACAATCACCCATGTACACTCGAGTTCTTCAGCAGAATTTTCTTCGTCCCAACTTTCTACATCAGTAGTAAAGAACGAAAACAGATCTAATAAAACACACAACACTAATGGAACTAATCAAAATACCTTTTCATTTCTCGGGCTTCCTATAATCTTTTCATTATTAGCCTCAATCTTAATTTTATAGAATATTTATTTATATATATATATGTATATATCATCACAAGTCTATGTAATTACAGTCAACCATGAAAGTACCGAGTAAAATAATATAATTGGATAAATTGCCAACGTGACTCTACCAGGAAACACCCCTGAGCATTTCAAACTCATTATCCCGGCATAAATACTCCAAACATCCAATACAAACATTAAGCCTAATCTCACTAATTTCCATTTAATTAATAACGAACATAATAATTCACCAACGACAATAGGGAACATAGAATATCCAGCAGCACTAATTGCCGACATGAATGATATGGTGCCTCCCAATAACTGAACATTTAATCCGATAATTATAAAGAAAATCCACATGAACGAGAATGAACCGGTAAACACTTGATTAGTTTGATCTTTAGAAGCAGACACTCCTAAAGTCACAGCATAAGTCAAGGAAAAGATCAATGGTCCCCACAAATCCCATTCTAGGTTCTGTCCTAATAAATCACCACTAGATATGCCTGTAACGCCAACATCCTCTTCTTCTTCAGGAACCGATATCACTCGGTTATCCACAAGCAGCTGTGGAAGTTGAATACCGTTGGATGAAGCAAAGGTTACAAATCTGGATTGTTGTTGCTTGGCTAATTTGGACAACTGCATGGGCCAAACAACTATAGCTAATCGCTTAGCAATTTGAAGCAAGTCTCTCTTTAAAGTTTCTAAAATTGGTTCATCCAAGGTGTCACCTCCTGAATATTGACGTTCTCTGAATGTATTATTATCAGGTAATTGAACGTTAGTTCCTGCAAATGGAGCAAATGTGGATGATAAGTCGACTTTAGGTACGAAATTGAACGGTGAGAAGGTTGAGAACGGATTAGCACTTTCTGTGTTGCCTGTGCTGCCTGCATTTCCTGTGCTGCCAAAAGTATTGTTGTTGGCGCCGGTTTGTCTAGATTGTGGTGGTGTAGAATCTTCATCAGGAATGATGAATTCATCTACATCCGGAGTTATAGTGGTTGAATTCCATTGAGACATTATTGCTGTGGAGTCTGTCTACTTATTTACTGTAATGTACACAGTGTTTGATTTTTTATTCTCCTCAGAAATTTACTGCGCGAAAATTATCACCAAAACATTGTGAATTACTCTAAAAATTTATACACTATACAAATCTAAGCAAACACATTCCAACCAGGGTTACAAATTCTGTTGACACCTTCAACTTCAGCCAACTTGTTCAAGGTAGCAAAATCTTCATCGCTTAAAGTGAAAGTCTTTAAGTTGGAAATGATTCTTGCTTCGGTGACAGATTTAGGTAAAACAACAGTGTTTCTTTGGACAGCCCAAGAAATCAACACTTGTGCTGGTTCAACACCATTCTTTTCAGCAATTGAAACAATGGCTGGGTTCTTGATAATTGGAGAGTTGGAAGAACCCAATGGGGAGTAGGCTTCAATAATGATGTTCTTTTCCTTCAAGTAGTCGTACAATTCAGGTTGTGGTAAGAATGGGTGGGCTTCAATTTGGTTGACAGCAGGAACAATGGTGACTTCAGGATCACTTAAAAGTCTTTCCAATCTTTCCTTGTTGAAGTTGGAAACACCAATGGACTTGATCTTACCATTGCTTTCCTTATACAACTTTTGCAAAGCCTTGTAAGTGTCTACATAATCCCAGTCCTTGTAGTTTTCACCAGTGGCTGGATCAGTTGAAACTGGCCAATGGATCAAGTACAAGTCGACGTAGTCTAAACCCAATTTCTTTAAAGAGGTTTCCAAGGCTTCCTTGGCACGCTTGTGGTCAGTGTTCCACAATTTGGTGGTGACGTAAATTTCTTCTCTTGGAATACCAGAGTCCTTGATAGCTTCACCAACATATTCTTCGTTCTTGTAAATGGCAGCAGTATCAATGTGTCTGTAACCGTTCTTTAAAGCAGCCAAAGTAGCATTGTAAGCTTCATCACGGTCAGCAGCTTGCCAGGTACCTAAACCAACAAATGGGATCTTGGTACCGTCGTTTAAGGTGATAGTAGCAGTATTAGCCTTTAATTGAACTGGAGTGTTAGTCATTGTATATAGTGTATTTGTTTGAGATTGAAAAGATGATTTAAAAAATGAATTGAGCAATCTACTAGGGGGGGAGGGCTATTGGCACAGTTTATATAGCCCTGCCAACATGGCTTTTCAAGTCGAGCCACACAATCTCGCGGAGATTGACGTAACCATTACCAAATTTCGCAATAATTCCTCGATATTTTTCATTGTTATGTGAATTGAGGGGCGCTTGCAGAACACTCGAGAAAAATGAAATACTACTAGATTAGTAATCAGGTTAGAACAAACAATGGATTTCTCCCCCACCTTTCCTCCACCCTCCACCAAACGCAATTATAACTTCACAATTTTGTTTCGATTCTTAGATCCCTTACAACATTTAAATCATTACTATTGTATTTAAACTATTAGATAATTACATAGATTACTTCATAAGTCCAAACAAACCACGACCTCTTCTCTTATGTGTGGTACCAGTTGTAGATTCATTCTTGCTACTTCCCGAGCTAAGACTCACTTGTGAAGAAGCTCTCTCCAATTTATTAGATTCAACCGATAATTCATCTCCAGAACTAGTCTTTTCTCTACGATGAAGATGAAATAACCCATATTTCTTGTTAACTGATGTGGTAGCAGAAGTAGCAGCCGTTGCAGCAGATTTGATAGATGACGCAGAACTAGTTATCACTTCCTCTGCTTTTGTAGTTGGTACTCTTCCTAAAACACCAGTACCAACAGTATGAAACTTCTTCCGAATAGATTTGTCAAATGTCATTGGCACCTTATCCATGGAAACTAAATCGGAGGCCAGCTCATTCCTGGCTAATCTTTCCTTGGACTTACTAAATGGAGTTAATGAAGTTAAACCTCGTAAACTTGTATGTGATCCAGTTCGAGATATTGGATGAGCAGATCCCGTTGTACTGCCACCACCATTGCTTCTTTGAGAGTTTGTGGTATTCACGGAATTATTGGAAGACGATGGTACCATATCATGAAATCCAAAAGACGAACTTTCGGACCTAATCATAGCACTCGTTTCGCTGGGTGATTCGCTTGTTTCATGGGCGACAGTATGAGGATCAATTCCCGAAGACTTCCTGTTCTCGTATTTAACACTTTCGGTTCCGGTGGCACGTTTAAGTTTCAAGTCATCGTGATGTTTCTTGGATTCTACCAACTCTTCTAATTCTGATATCGCTCTTTCAATATCAGCTCTGGTTCTCTTCAAAATCCTAGTCATAGCACGTAAGTTGTACGCCCGCAACATTAATTTTAAATCGCTAACTATAGTTCCAGCCTCAAAAATCAAATCAATACTGTAATCAGAAGGAATTGGAGCATCAGGGGAAATTAATTCACCAAGAGCATAATTTGCATTCCGTTCAGCATAATCAGTATCTTTTGTACTAGTGCTTGCACCACGGCCTCTTTCATCTTCATCTTCAGCTTCAATTTCCTCTTCCGCTTGCTTGAGTTCCTGGAATAAGAAACTGTGTTTGTCGAATACGGATTTGGAACGTGGACCTATAGGGATTCCTGAATTGGCATAAGTGTCCAAATAACCCAATTCAATTTCTTGTTCTTCTTCGCTATTTGAATTCATTTCACGTTCGTCAGAAACATTAACTTCATCTTCTTCTTCAACATTAGTTGTAACTTTCTCAACAACATTTTCCATATTTTCTGGAGCACCTTCAAATGTATCGTCATGCCCGTCACTATCTTCATCGTTCCGTTCAAGAGTGTTATCATTCTCATCGCCACGAGATTTAGGCAGCAATTCCTGATCAGTCTCGACAACTTCCTTCGGCAGAAGTTCTTTACTAGATCTCTTCTTACTAAGCTTGGACATGGTTATTTTACTTACAGATTCTTCATCCATACCAGCAAACAACGAACTAGTGGATTTCTTTGAACTCTTCAGAGCAGCTCTAGTTTTCCTAGTTCTTGAAATCTTTTTTAAAAGTCCTATGTCCAAATATGCATCGTCCACAGTATCCATAAACCCTTCATATTCATCCAAGGGGAAACTGAAATTAGGGTCAGTTGGAGCACCCAATTGTTTCATCAAATCAAAATATTTTCGTTTTAATTTATTCCCTTCCCCAACAACATACGCTTCCTTTCTTCCAATGATACCAAATAATACTTCACTGATTAAGTCATACAAAAGTGGAACTCGATATTGCTTTGCAATTAAAAGATTGTCCAACACAGTTGGTGCTAATATCCACTTATTTCCAATTTGACCCGTATACAAATATTCACAAAATGCCTTGACGGTGATCGTAGGGAATGGGAAATATAATTTCCGAGGTATCAACAGCGGTTCCATTCTAAATGTGTTACTTTCAATATTGTCAAAATTCAACAATGCATTTTCAAACACATCTCCTTCCTGCTTGTCGATCTCTCCCTCTTTGGAATCTGATGGGGTGAATGGTGTTGGTGCTGAAATACTGCCGCTAGAGATTTGTGAACCTGTTCTTGACAGATCATCGTCACTGCTCTTGTATCCCTCGGCAATGCTACTATCTCTGGTGCCTTCCGAATTCATGGTGGAAAGTGAAGCTTTCTCAGTTCTGAGATCCAACGAATCCAGAGGTTTAGTCAATTCAGCAGGCTCACCTGCCATCAATACATCAATTGATCTTCTTCTATTGGTTGCAGCAGCTGATAATGTTCTTCCTGGACTGCGGAAATTAGAAAATGGCGAACCAAATAATTCTCCAGCTGAACTATTGACTGGATGATTAATACCGGGGGCTATCCCCCCCTGTCCTGACAATGATGCTCTGGGAGATGCAAATGGTGAATCTCTGGGAGATCTAGAAGTGGGTATATTCCTTAATACTGTTAATGTATGCAATAATGAAGCACGCGGTGAACCCAAATCTTGAGATCCTTTTCTAGATGAACTTCTAAATGATACTGGCGTGGCAGGTACTGGAGGTAATGATTCCGTAGGTAATGGTAGTTGTGGAGGGATATCTTGTAAATCAGATGGGAAAAGAGGATTAGTGTTAAAGTGTGAAGATGTCATTGAACTCCTGCGGAAATTTATTTGGTGAGGATCAACTGCAGAAGTGTTTGTTTTTAACGGTGGCCTGGGTGATGATGATGGTGACTCTGATTTGAAGAGAGGTTCTGCGCCTGGCTGTTCAGCTGGTTGAGGTGACGTTCTCAGTGAAGTTGGCAGATCTTGGAATGGTAACCTAAATTGTGGTGCATCCTTTGGTTGCTTCTTAGATGGTGCTGGTATTGAAAGGTACAATTTCACATTCTTATCGTCTTCCTTAGTTACAGATGATGAGGCTGATGATGGTATCGACAGCTGCTCCGATAATGTGGTCAAAGAACTAGGCGTATGAGTTGCTACTGTCTTTTCAGGTGGCAAATCTGATGAACTAACTGATGATCCACCAAGAGACATCTTAAACTTGTTAAAGGAACTGTTTGGAGAATTGCTTGTGGTGGTACCACTTGAATTGCTAGTCTTTGATCTTAATCTTTGTCCTTCATATAATCCCATGGCCTGCTGGGTTTCAAACTTGTCAACTGCTTGAACATATCCTTTTGATAATAACTGAACAAAATAACCGCCCCATCTTTCCATCAATACCACAAGACATACAGGTATTCTATCACCGTTGGAAGAAACAAGTTCAAAATCAGATACCATGTCTCCATATCTTTCAAACGCATTTCTCCCTAAGGTTATTGCTGCTGGTGGGAATACTGATCTGATAGTGGTAAAAGTCACCTTGGGTGCTGCATAATGGACATACTCTGTAAAACTAATTGCTGCAGGCGATTTATCGGTAGCTAATGTAGTAATTGAGTGTCTCCTTGTATGAAGCAAGTCATCTTCTTCATTTCCATCTGATGCTCCTTCACTACTACTTGTATCCGACAGGAACTCATCGTTATCAGTGGTTGTGGATGATTTACGACGGTACACTTTCGTTCCATCTTCTCGATGAAAATGACCACCCTCTAATTCTGAACTAGCCAAAATATTCGTGATTGGTAAACTAACAGTGACCATAATAGTAAAGTATCGTACACTACTTGTTGTTCTTGAAGTTAAATAATTTCCAAGCAAGACAACCTTGTGATGCGATTGCCAAACAAAACCTCCCCAGAAACGATGGCTACCATAATCATGATTACATACAACATTCAATCGAGACCATTTTCCGGTGGGCTTATTATATATGAAGATGGAAATATCAATCTCCCCTGGTAAAAATCCAGTAACAACTATGTTTTGTCCAAATAACCCTCCAGAGGGGTATCGTAAATTGAAGGGAGTAGTCAAGTTATTAACAATTTTCTTGCGATGTACCGGTAATGTTCTTCCTGATTTAATCAGTTTACCTAGTTTAAATGAGACTAATGAATTATGATGGTCCTCTTTAGTCGCGGAATATACGATAAGTGATTCTTCGTGTGTGGTGGATGTGTGGAGCGTCTTGGTTTTACCATCAATCTTTTGTTCCGATTCAACTTCTTCCACAAAACTAAGTATCATACCTGTGGTTGAATTAAGACTTAACAAATGGTCTTCATTGGCCTTGAAATTGTTTAAACCATGAGCTTCGTCCTTTTTTGGGTTTGATGTCGTGACTGATAATTGCAATGGCAGGGTACCAACATATCTCTTTTCAACTAAATCAAATAGTACATTGTCGTATATTTCTCTTCCTCGCTGGTCTCGTCCTCCACAAATAAATATACCAAAATGATCTCGTTTATTGACAAATGATAAACTCGAAATTGTGGCCATCTTATGGTTGTATCTAGGAGCTGGGATTGCTTTATCTCGGGAATAATCTACCCCGTCATGCAATAATGTCCATTTGTTTTTTTCGAGATTAAACTCCCACAAGTCATTAGTGGCACTCAAAAAAGATGCATCCCCGTTTGTGAAATCTGGTAGTACTAAACCTCCAAATAAGTAAATGCAATTGTTCAAGGCACACATTTGATGTAGTAATCTGGGACTTGGTCTTGATGGCGCTAGTGAATTATCAAAAGCGACTCTAGTCCAATGTCGTTCAATCAAATTCATATAGAACAATTCCCCCGAGAGGTATTTATCAATTGTCTTGAATCTTAAATTAGTTTCGTTTACTTTATTATGGAAAGTTCGATTGATCTCTTCCACGGTGTAATTTGATAATTCTAATGCAATAGTGAGTCCACCATAGGTGAATATGAATGAATTGTATAAAGTGGATGCGGAACCAGTCCGGACATTCAAATTTAATCTATCATCTTTCTCAGCAGGAGGTAGTTGTAACGGGTGGCAAGAACTTAACGTAGGGATTAACGAACCCATGTTGTATTATTTCAATGGGATGTATCAATTGAAGTGAAATATTGTATAAATGGAAAAATTGGTTATCTGGAAATTCCCTAAACAAGATATGTGGACTAGAATTAAAAGTAGGGTTCAACAAGTACGCACAAGACTTGTTGCACTAAATCAACAATCAAGGACTTAGATAAGACGACGGTTGTGATGACAATTATGGTATAAAATACGAAAAACCAGCCTTGTCTGGCTTCTTCTTCCTCTCTTTCAAATCCTTCTAAGAAAAAAAAAAGACCCAATCTGTGTAAATCTGTCTTTTTTTGTTGATATATTTAGAAATGACAGGTGGCTAATGCGTTCTGGCGATGTACGAAAGCTAAGATCTAGCTTTCTAGTGGTTGGAAAGTGGTGATTAGGATAAGGAAAGAAGGGGTGATTGTTGATTGAAAATGATGTTGTCAATTTGTTTCTGGTTGACCAGGTTAACCTTTTTGGTTGTAAAAATAATCTGAGGGTAAAAGTGTGGGTAGAAGCAAAAAAAAAATTCTTATGTTTAATTTTTCCCTTAGTGGATGAAAGGATGCCAGGGCGTGTACCTGAACCAATTTTGTGTTGTATGCCGCAAATGCCTGGGAGCGTTGAGCTATATTGGCCAAGAATTGCAATATACGCCAAGCGGTACTGCTATTCTTGGACTACTTGAATGAATGATCAGTTCGGATGAGTTACCGTTGTTATGTTTCTTTCAATGTACAATGATATAAGGTTAAACTAATCTTCGTACACTGTGAAAGTGAGATCTATTAAGATAACTTTCTCGTTGGTCAGTTGTTTTGCACCTGGTGACTGTGTTCATGTTATCAGTTGCTCGATCGTTTACTCTTCCTGCATTTAATAATTCTTGTTAGCTTTCGGTGTATTTTCCGAATAATTGGGATAATTTTCTACCAAATTAGTAAACTCCTTCGCTAACGTCAACGGTTCTAGACTGAAATAGTATAATTCCACAAGTATCTTTTTATTTGTAGTAAGCTGTATCTGAATTACTAAACAGCAAACTATGTTTGAAGCACTTAGCAAAGAAAACTTTAAAATTTGCACCCACCCTTACTAACAAGGTCACGTGCACGGTGTTTTTATTTTCGGAGGTAATTTCACTTCCCAATCCGGACGAGCCTTAGCTTACATGGTTTGGTTTCTGGTCCCCCCCTTTGTTTCTGACACCACCTGAAATTCGCTTGTCAATTTCACCGCAAGAATTCCAAACCTGACAAGCTTTTGCCCCAGAGCCGCCCCTTTTTCTAACTTGCTATCATTTTATTTTCTTTTTCCAACACAATTGTTCTCTTCCATTCCTTACTCACCCAACTCAATTGAACACTAGTTAGTCAATTGATTACCCAGTTATCTTTCAATTGATTGCACCATGTCCGAAAAAAAGTCCGAGGGTAATAGCATTTTAAAAACATTAACGTCCAGCTCGACATGGGTGTCACCATTTAGATCCAATGGTGAGACCGAAGGTGACAAGTCTGGCCCTAAGAAACAAAAGGTTTCCTTACTTCAACAATTCAAAGAGTCTAATAAGATTGATAAGATTAAGGTCCCCGAAAAGTTCACCAGACATCCAACATTAGAAGCTGAAAAGAGAGCTGCAAAGGAGGCTGAAAAAAAGGCAAAGGAAGAAGCCTTAGCCAAGGAAAAGGAAGCTAAGGAAGCTAAGGAAACTAAGGAAGCTAAGGAAGCCGAAGAAGCTACCGGAGATGCAGAAGCAGAAACTGAAGCCGAAGCTGAAGCAAAGACGGAGCCAATTGAAGGTGATCTTAAAGATAAAGAAGTAACTGCAGACATATCTAAGGATGCAGAAGATGAAGCCGACCTTGCCGAACAAGAAGAAGTTGAACCTGTTGCACCAGAAAAGCCAAAACATGATGCAACTCCGCTTGACAATACATCTTCGAAATATGACGATGAAGAACCAGTTCCAACTGATGCAAAGATTCCAGCTGATGTACCCGAAGAAATTGAGGAAGACAAAGAAGAAGAGCCAGTTGCTGCAGAAGAGGAAGAAATTGAATTAGTCACTCAACCAACAACTACCAAATCTACACCAGCTCCATCAGCAACCAAAGAAATCGAAGATAAGCTCAAGGAAAAGCCAATATTATTGAAGAAGTACCAAGATCTTAGTTTAGCAGCCACTTCTGCTGTCAATAAAGAAATTGACGATCCACATCGTGAAATTGATTTAGGTCTGGGTTTGAAAATGACCCAAGCTCAATTGATGGAGATTGCAGCTAAAAGAGTAGCTCCTGTTCTTGCAAATATCAATGAAGAAGTCAGCAAGACCAGACAAGAAGATGAAATTAAGCACCAACAAGACATCGATGCCAAAACCAAGAAGCACGAAGGTAAATTACAAGGTGAATTTCAGAAATACTTGGGTAAGCTTGGTAAAAAGAAGGATAAATTCAACACCGAGATTGAGGGCAAGCTTGCTAATTTGACGAGATCAATGAAGGAAGCTGATGATACAGCTGTTGCATTTGACAAGCAAACCAAGGACGAAATTGAAACCAGTAATAAAGAATATGAAGATCGTGAAACCAAGGCTGTAGAACAACATGAAACTGATAAGGAAAACTTGATCAAGAACCATGAAGAATTAGTCACCACCAAGAAGCAAGAACTTGAAGATGCCATTGCTGGTCACGAAACTACCACCCAAGAAATTGAAACCTTGCAAGAACAAAAGAACGACTATGATAACAAAAACTCTGAACTTTTGTCCAAGATTGAAGAATTGGAAGCTAAATTGAACGAAGAAACCGAAAAGTTGAATGACTTAAAGTCTAAGCATACCTTACATCAAGATGCTATTACTGCCAACTTATCACGTAAGGATGAACTTGACAAAAACATTGCTACCCTGAAGGAAAACTTAGACGAAAAGAAGAAAAAGCATGCTGGTCTCGTTGCTGAAATTGGTCTTCTCACCACTGCTATTGGTGCATATGGCGCCAAACTCGCTTCTTTACACTCAGATAAGGAACAGAGAGCAACTAGACTCGATGAAGCTAAGGACAAGTATAATTCTTGGCATGCTGAAAAACGTGACATGGCTGAACAAGTAGCTCGTGAACACGAAAGAAAGAGAATCGAAGCTGAAGAAGAGTACCAAACTAGAAAGCACCAAGAAGAGCTTGAAAGACAAAGACTCAAAGAAGAACGTGAACGTCAAGAACAAGAGGAAAAGGAAGAACAAGAACGTAAGCTTCAAAAGGAACGTGAAGAACGTGAACGTCTTGAAAAGGAACAAGCTGAATGGGAAGCCAAGGAGAAATTAGTTCAAGAACAACAAAAACGTGAAGAAGAGGAAAGAAGGAAGAACGACCCTGAAATTCAACTTGCTGCTGCTATCAAGAAGAGAGAAGAGGAACAAAAGAGATTAGAAGATGAAAGAGCTGAACAAGATCGTCTTTACCAGGAAAGATTAGACAAGGAAAAGTTGGAGCGCGAATCTTTGGAACGTGAAATTGCAGAATTACAAGAAGAACGTGCCAAGGCTGCTGAATTGGAAAGAAAGGAAGCTGAAGATGTTGCCCAGGCCAAGTTACTCCAAATTCAAAAATTAAAAGACGAACATGATGCCAAGCTTCTGTTGTATCAAAAACGTTTAGAATTTGAAAACTTGCAAAAACAAAGATTGTCGGAAGAAGTTGAAAACTTGAAAAAAATTAGAGCTCTTCGTGAAGAAAAACTTAGATTGGCAAATGAAACCGCCAAAGATCCAAAGGTGGAAGAAATTAAGAAGTTGATTCAAGATAGGGAATTGGAAGTTGAAAGATTAACCAAAAAGATTGAATTAGATCAACCAGCATTTGAAGCACAGCCTTTTTTAGGGATTAGCAATGAAGTTTCCGCCCCTGGAAACGGAGCCATTCCAAAGTCTAAAGACGTTGTAAATTCAAAAGAGTCAAATGAGAAGAAAAATATTGGAACTGGAGCAGTTGTTGGTGCTGCTGCAACTGGAGCAGCTGTAGCTAGCACTATTGGTGCTGTTGCGGCACAGGCAAACTCAGCTGCTGCTAACGTTGCAAAATCACCTTCTAAAGCTATCAATGGAAACACCAAGAGCAGTGCACCTCCTCCTCGTAAAGGAAGTCTTTCAGACAAATTGAAACTGTTTGGAAAGAAATTGACCGAAGCTTCACCAACCAAACCATCGAAGCAAGAACCAGTTAAGAAGAAAGAACCTGTACCAAAAAAACAAGTCGCCAAGTCACCTATTTCCTTACCTGCTGACAATGACGATGCATCATCATGGGAAATCCAGTCTGTTTATGAATTGGTTTCAGATAGTGAGTTTGAGTCACATAAGAATGATCCAAATTATTTTGAAGTTTCCGATGACGAGTTTGATCATCACAAGACATTGGAAAAAAACAAGAACCTTTTTGAAAGGATAGCAACATAGAGAAGAAAAGTTGATGATTTTTTTTTGTTTCATTCGTTATTTCACTCATTTTTTATAATTTTATATGTTTTATTGAATATACTTTATACTACAAATCAATCAAATGTAATCTTTTTACCAGTAGAAGGAACAATAGCAGCACTAGCTCTTTGAGCAGTTGCCAATGCCACAGAAGACTTTTGTCTCTTGTTGTTAGAGTCAGGTTGTCTTCTTTCTTTGAATACTCTCTTTCTTGGAGCTGGCTCTTCAGTTCTTGGACGACGTTCAACACGTTCTACAGGAACATGCTTTTCTTCGGGAACTTCGCCTTCTATAACTTCATCATTAGCACGGGCCCTCATATGTGGGTTCCTCTTTGATCTATCTTCACCATATTCTAATCTTAATTTTCTATTGATTAACATCTTTGCTAATTTGGATTTCAAGGCAGTTGTAGGTCCTTCTTCATCTTTGAAATCAATAAAGGCAAAACCCTTACACTTGCCAGTATCTTCAAATGTAGCCATTCTAATTCTGACTATATCACCACAATGTCTAAAGTGTTCTTGCAAGTTATCTTCGGTGGTATCAAACGATAAATTACCCACAAATAAAATTCTGCTTGGTGGATTCTTGGAAAGGGCACTTGTTGGACTAGCAGCTGGTCTACCTTCGAAGGAGTTGGCATTCTTGATTAATAATTTACGTCCGTTAAGTACGGATTCACTTAATGCAACTATTGAGTTGACATGAGCTAATGAAGGAACATCAACATAAGCGAACCCCTTGATTTTATTACCATCTTTCTTAGGAATATTAACTCTGGTGATATCTTCTTCTACGACCTTAGGTAACGACTCGTCCTCTAGCTGCGAAGTCTTCCCAACTATGAAACGGATAATATCTTCTCTGGATGTATCGAACGAAAGATTACCTATCCATACCCCAAATTCAGATTTGCTGGGCTTTTCTGGTTCAGCATCAGCAGCCTTAGGTATTGGGTGTTTCTTTGCAAGTTTATCCAAATCTAATTTACCTTTCTTTAAAAGACGCTGCTGTTTCTTGGATAAAGGAACAGAAGCAGTCAAATCAATCTCTATTTCATCGTCATTTGCTTCTTGTTCATCATCTTCTTGTTCATCTTCTTGTTCTTCTTCCGATTGCTCTACTTCATCAGTCTTTTTCAGTTTCTTGTTCTTCTTTTCTTGTTTTCTTAATTTCTTTTCTTTTTTCGATTCCTTCTTATTTTCAACTGGTTGAACTTCAACCGGGATATCTTCCAGACTTGAATTAGACATGGTATATATATTTGGTTCTATTACGTGGAATCAAGTAAGTATAAAATCCATCTCTAAACTTTTTTTCCTGCATCAAAAGTAAGCCATCGCTGCAAAAGAAGCAAAAAAAAAAATATAAATTGTATTTACAAAAACTGCAAAACTATACATTACGAACGTTCAATTATCATCAATCATCTCTACCCATAGCCATTTTCTCCATAATTCGCCAGCTTCCTGAATTATATTATCGATATAATTAACCTTATGGTTCTCTGCAGAGTCATTCAGAATCATTATACTGCTAGATATATCATTACGGTCATCATGAATAGGGTATGCCACTGGGGAATTGGATGAAGATGAAGAGGTAGAATTACCCTGCTGCTGTCCATTCTTCTTCTTCAGCTTATACTTGTATGCCTTTGATGGCAAACGAGATAAAAATTGTCTTATTTCATGTTGATCCAATTCAACCAAACTATTTTCTCTCGATTTTAATAATGCCAATGAAATGAAAATCAACGAGATGTGGGGGTCAAGTTTGGAAAATGGAATTGAAAGGGATGGCGCGACAGATGAAGCTGATGATGAAGTGGTTTTATGCGTAGAATCAGGAGAACCAGCCGCTTTAGTAACAACCGTTTGCGATAAAGTCAATTCTTCAATTAAATTTCGGAATGAATTTTGTCTAAGCACAGTTTTCTCTTCATCTTCTTGTTCTTTGAAATCAGTTTCCTCTTCATTGGTCAAGGACCAGAAAATATCGGGGCCTAATTTCTCCAAAGTGTTTCTATTTGGATAATTCAATTTTTCATAATAATAATTGAAGTCCTTTTTTGGATTCTGTAATCTCCATCCTAAAAGTAAATCCCAGATTCTACCCCGGTCATATCTGGACCAAACTTTGGACCCACAAAATTTAAGCCACCAAATAATCCATTCATCATCTGATGTGCCAAATTTCGTCAACACTTGCTCTTCTTGGAAAAATTGCGATAATTCGGGTAACAACTTTCGTAAACAATAAATGAAATACGAAACTCGCTCTTCAATTGTCCCACCAGTAATTGGCAAAGTTGTCTTATTTAACTTTGGCTGATCAGAATTATCTTCGTCACTATGGTCGTGTTTTCGTTCTTTGTTTGACTGGCTCTTTTTTAACATTGCAAGTTCTTGTCCGCGCTTCTTCTTGGAAGCAGGTTCAGGACAATGTAATAATACTAAAACCAACCGTTCGTAAACTTCATGGAATGACATATGGGAGATTCTCTCATCCTTGTAAATTAATTCCTCAAGATATTCTCTCAACTCAGGAATATTGTCTATATAATTTGAATAATCGTCTAATAAGTTAACTGTCAATAAATGGTTTGGGGAAGAATGATCTCTTCCCATTAATACCCACGGAGTTTTTGGAATTGGAGGGAACCATTCAGCTAAGTTAAGAGCTATCCAGGTTAAGGCTTCATCATATTTGATAATTTTCCCCCATTTTCGACTGAATTTTATAATTGAATGTTCTAAAGTAGATAGTATTTCATGCTCCAATTCAGATACCGTATATTTAGTATTGGAATACTTCAATCTTTGAATATATTTGGCCAAATCACGTCTCACTTGATGTTTTATGGCGTCATTTGTATCTGAAGATAATGCCGGCGCAGAAGCAGAATGGGAGCCCAGCTCAGTCGGCTTTTCTGCTTTAGTATTTTCCTTCGTATCATTGTTACTGTTATTAAGATTACGGTTTGCTTCTTTGATAATATCAGTATCTGGTTGGATGAAAGGGTTTAATACAAATGGATGATACTTTAATAAAATTGGCCATACCTTGAACCTAAGGAAAGGCGGTATTCCCTTTTGCCTAGCAATCAAGGCTAATCCATGATGGTTTTTGGTATTAAGATACTCCTTACACAAGTTAAAAATCTCCAAATTGTAATTGAATGATGGTTTACGATCTTCTTCCAGCTTTAATTTCTTTTCTTGCTTCTGTTTAAGGTATTTAGCATCTAGTATGGAACTTCCATCTTCACCATCATCATACTCTTCTTCGGTGGTGGTTATAGCTGATAAGACCGGCGATTCAGTCGGGGATGATGTTGATGACGATCTGTTTGAAGATTTACAACTTTCAGTCATCTTCTATGTTTATAATGTGGTGATGCCCAAGATGAAATTAACACTGTGATGAGTTTGTTACGTCCCCACTTTGCAATTTATGGTTATATAGCAATGTTTTGGGTATTCTTTAAGAACATAAATAACTCTAGGGGGTCCTAGTTTGTATTACACTTCAAACCAAGGTTTTAAATACGAAAAATGTGTGAAAGCCTAAGGATAATCGGATGAATCTGGGTTAATATCTAACGTAGTGTGACAGTACGAAAATCGAAAATCTAAACTTAAATTTCTCAGTCAAAAAAAAAAAAAAAAAAAAAAACCACACCACACTTTGCTGAGTGATTTTTCTGCTAGATGAGAAAATGAAAATTTTTTTTCTTCACCGATAATTTTTTTTTTCTTTGTATTGAGTCGACTTACTGACTGACACTGGATTGCTTTTTTATTTTTTATTTTCTTGAACAAATGATTCGGAAATGTCGTCGCTATTATGTTGTAGAATTGTCTGGATGCACACTGTAACGAGGATGCCAAATGTTTGATTTGTAATATAGGGGTAACTCTAAACCTTGAGCAAATCCAATTGATTCTAGGATTAGTTCCTGTAGTCAAAACACGGTCGAAATGAAACCCTCTTAGTATTTAACGCGTCAATTGGTGGAAAACGAAAAGCGATAAGGAAGTGGGGAACGGACTTTGAACTCCTAACAACTTTAAGTAAATAGACCGCCAACAATCAATAAATTCAATTCAACGTCTAATATAAGTAAAATGACACCCGCAAAAGCTGTTTGAATCCCACAATTGTGCTTTGGAATGTTTATTTTGTTTTGGTTGTAAAATTAGGGGGTGGTTGTAAAAAAAAAAAAAGACTCAGCTGAGGGATTTACTTCTGGTACTCTTAAACTGGGTCCAATTCTGTTTATATTAGCTTCGCAAATGCCTTTTTAGTTATATATGAAAACGATAGTGTAGAGTTATGTCTTGAAGAAAGGAGAAGAGAAATTGAAAGGGGAGTACTTCTATAAATATACAGAGGCAAAAATTTTAAGCACGAGCAATTTCTGTATAGGGGAATCAGAAAATAATGGATGTGAGGAGGTCAAAACAAAGGTGCAAATCAAGTGGGGGAGAACGACATTATCCATTTGACAGTGGCGTCGCTAATATCAACATACCTGTATATAAGACACCACCATAGTTACATAGTTACTGACTTTATCCGGTGTTGCCCTCACTACATGAAACTGCGAGTCATACACGGCTACTTACAGAACTTTATTTAGCACTAGATGCGTTAAATTGCACTACAACTGTCCAGGAATTTACATTACATCGAATAGCTCGATCAAGCCAGTAAAAGCAAGAATAATTAGAAACTATGACTGTAGAGCACTAAACTAAAAAAGATTTTCCAGCTTGATGGAAGATATTGATAAATTGTTGTTAAACACAACATCCCATTCTGTCTAGAATCGTGTAAAGTACTAGCGAATTAAGAAATTGTTACTAGCTAGACAAATCACCCCTCCCTGGTCCATCAAAGTTAACTTCTATACCGATTTAGCTGATTCAGCATAGGCAACTATTCCCGAACGACCCTGATTCAGGCGGAAATTTCATTAGGTGTTTGGTGATATTGCAATGCTGGCAAAAATAAAATTGAAATTATCATGTGCAGGACAGACCCTTGTCGCAAACTTTAATTTCCGTCTCTCTATAACCGTTGCAAATTAAATTTTGCAAAAAGCTAAATCTAAACACACCTAAGCCGATGGTTCAGCCGGATGTTTTCTGATTATGTCATTTAGGCAAGTTCAAGAACAGTTTTCAAATATTAAATGCAGTGAAGGATCATGCCTCCCCCCCCACAAAAGAAACAGTGAAGTTTCGCAGGTGCTTAACCGATGATTCCGAACATTTGCAGTCCCGCAAAATAAACCAGCTTCGGGTTTTAAATTTTTTTTGACATTGTATTTATCAGCCGACTATTCCTTTTCGGTGATAACTCGCCTCCATAAAATTTAGTAAAACATTAGCAATGATGATATAAAAAGGAACCAATTGTTATGGTTTCATTTTTACCGCCGTCACTTTTTCTATTCCCGTTTTAATCTTCTCGCAGGGCTTCTAGTATTTACCCCACTATATTTCACCATTTATAAATCTGTTGATAACCTCAGGTGATATCGTTTAACTTTATTAAATATAATTATTCAAACAGATAGTCATGACACATATAATACAATCAATAAAGAACATCACGTCTTCAACCACAGATTCAAAGATTAAAGATGGTACGCATACCTTATTTTAGTTATTAGGTGAGATGGTTACTAACATTTGTATTAGCTACCAATATAGAGCCGTTGGGTCCATACAACCATGAACTAATAGAACTCGCACAGCTTACTTTCCACAAGAAAGATTTATCCGTTATAATATCAGGAGTAACTAAGCGTTTGAACCCATTAGTCAAGATAGCAAATGAGAAAAGCGGTCAACCTCAGCCCTCCACTATCGAATCCCAATCCATGAGAAGGTCAACTTCCTTAACACTACCATCCTTTCACTTAAAGCATGATAGTGTACCCTCTCGTTCCAACACTTTCGCTCTATTTTCTCGGAAGGACAAGTGCCATTATGATTTGGATGAAAAGACCAGCCTCAGTCTATTGAAAACATGTGCAGTTGTATTGTATCTCCTTCAGAATGGCTCACACAATTATGTTGATTGGATGCAAAGTAATTACCATACATATTTTATACCATTGAGGAAGTTATCCTACCCTCCCAAATATTATGAAACAATTCGGTATAAATTACGCAAGATAATCAATTTCATGGAATATCCTGAACAGTTGCAAGATAATAGAAATCATATCCATAAGTTGCGAACTGATATCATGACACCTGGAGTTAAGAGAACCTCCTTGGATATCGACTTATTACACGTTCAACAACAGCAATCACCATTACGAGAGAGAAGATATTCACTCGATCGGGAGTACACTTTAGCATCACCTCCACCAGGTCCATTTGGATTCACTTCTCTTCCCGGTACAGTAAACGAAGTCTCGATGGCACCTCGAAGTTCACTACACGAACCAGGAAAGAGGCGTTCTTCTCATTCGCGTATGCAGCCAGAGCATCCGTCCTCACCTCCTAGAACGCCCAACCCACGTCGATTATCTTCAATGTTCTAGAAACGATTTTCACATGTTACAAAAGAAAAAAACAGCTTTCATACACTTACTTCCCTACAACATTGCATGTATATTTTTATTTATAAGGTCAATTGGTTCATGCTACGTCATGCAAGGGTCATTATCAGAGAAACACGCAATTTTTCTCGGATATTATTGTTATACGCCTGGTTAGAAACGGCTTATTATTTATTTTGTTAGTTTATTATTTTTAATTATTTATTTTCTCGGGAACTCATCATGAATTTCAACGCGCTATCCTCTTAATGGATTGAACATGTGTGTGCTAGCAGGTAGTATCAGTACAATAGAACGTGTTGATACTACCTAGATAACCAGCTAGAAGGTAACCAAGGTGTTACATACAACCCCTACATTTAAAGCCATTATTTTTGCAAAATTTTCAATTAATGTCGCAAAAGTTGTGATTAGTCATGCATTTCTGGGGAGGTAATTTTGTATTCCTTCCATTGCATTTTGTGTTTACACTAATTAATACTAAGAAATGCATGGAAGGCTAAACGCATAACGAAATTATGTGGTCAGTATAACCGCCTATCTGCGCTATTTTCTCAATTAGGAAACGTTCCCAAACTAAAGTATAATGAGATCAGGTAACCACATTCTTCTCGTTGCATCGTTGCGATGGTTGTCGTAAATGTTACCAGGTAATTTAAATAATTTTGAATTTCTTTTTTTTGCTTGTGTTCCAATTACAAAGAACACTAGATTATTTTTTGTATTGTTCCCACTTATCGCTGGAATATTCTGACAAATCCGACTAGGAAAAAATAGGGGTTAAGTGTGTGTGGCAAGCGTCACCAGGTTTTTTTTTGAGACATTTTCATATTCTTCGTCACATTTCCAGTGATTTCTATTGTATAGCCTCACCTTCCTTTTTTGTACATATTTTCGGTTGGGCCTGTAAATTCCGCACACACACAAACTATAAAAGGGATAAGAAATCGCCACTGAAATTCTGGATTTCTCGTTTCTCCTTTTCTTCTTTTCTACAACAACATTAATCAAACAAATAAATTATATATACTACAATGCAAATTTTCGTCAAGACTTTAACCGGTAAGACCATTACCTTGGAAGTTGAATCTTCTGACACTATTGACAATGTCAAGTCTAAGATTCAAGACAAGGAAGGTATTCCACCAGATCAACAAAGATTGATTTTCGCTGGTAAACAATTAGAAGACGGTAGAACCTTATCTGATTACAACATTCAAAAGGAATCCACTTTACACTTAGTCTTAAGATTGAGAGGTGGTATGCAAATTTTCGTCAAGACCTTGACCGGTAAGACCATCACCTTGGAAGTTGAATCTTCAGACACCATTGACAATGTCAAGTCTAAGATCCAAGACAAGGAAGGTATTCCACCAGATCAACAAAGATTGATTTTCGCTGGTAAACAATTAGAAGACGGTAGAACCTTATCTGATTACAACATTCAAAAAGAATCCACTTTACACTTAGTCTTAAGATTGAGAGGTGGTATGCAAATTTTCGTCAAGACCTTGACCGGTAAGACCATCACCTTGGAAGTTGAATCTTCAGACACCATTGACAATGTCAAGTCCAAGATCCAAGACAAGGAAGGTATTCCACCAGATCAACAAAGATTGATCTTTGCCGGTAAACAATTAGAAGACGGTAGAACCTTATCTGATTACAATATTCAAAAAGAATCCACTTTACACTTAGTCTTAAGATTGAGAGGTGGTCAATAAACTATATAGTTGAATTTAAATAGCTAATTGAATATTCACTGGTGATTAAATATATTGACTTGTAGTTAATCCTATATTCTAAACATCTATTTAGGCTAGAGCATTTCGGAGCTCAGTTAACACTATACTGGATGGTTCGTTCTTAGCAAATTCCTCGAGCGATTCTTTGATGACCTTTGCATCGTCAATAGTTAAGTATTTAATCAACGCATATGACAACTTAATGAATTGAATCTTAACATTTTCAATTGATTCTGGTAATAAGCTTTGTAACTTGAGGTAGTTCCATGTTCTCAATAGAAACTCCACTTGATTAGGTTTAAGTTTGGTATCTTTAAGAATATCAATAATGGCAATGTAGATTTCAGAAGTTTGTACCTTGGACCTCCACGTATTTGCAATGATTTTCGATTGAAAAATTTCTTTGATTTGATTGAAGACAAATGTAAACAAGGAGTCATTTACCGGAATATAGAATGCTTCAGTAAGGTTTTGCAAGAGATGTAACCTGCTTTCTTCAAGGTTAATATTTTCCTTAACAGTAATGGGTTCAACTTCATCCATTTCTACATCACTGTCATCATCCAGTTGGTAATATCCGTCACTGAGAACCTTACCCATGATCTGAATGTACAAATCAACAACTTCTTCATTGTGGAATTCATGGATATACTTTCCCACACTTAAAACCACATGTTTCTGATACTCTTTGTTTCTTCTCTTGACTTCAATAGTCACGGTTTTTTCAATAGCTTGATGGACGTCTTCATGCTGAGAAATATATGACTTGGATAAGATTGCAAATGATACCAATGCATCAAAGATTAACTCCTTACCTTCCCATGATTTCCCTTTATTTGCTTCAAGTAAAACCAGCAATATATCATGAATTAATGGTTCTGAAAATTCATTAAGATTGTCAATAGATTTAGATACGTCACTTAATGTTCTTGCTAGCGTTTTTCTCACTTCAAATTTGTTACTTTGAATGTACTTTTTAATCAAGTCAACAATTTCAGCAAGATAAAGCTTTATGGCTGATTTACCTCCTGAATGCTCGATCCACACTCTATCGAAATTTTCCCTTACTTGTTCAACAGCATCAAATTTACCAATATATGCTAAGGGAAGGAATGCTGAAGATACTAAATCGAACTTATCACCAGCATACTTAGAAACTGAGTCCGCCGCAACTGAGGAAATGGAACGGAATCGGTCATCTTCAGATTCGAAATACATCTTCTTGATCATTTCAGAATATTTGAGTATAGAGTTTGTTGATGCAATTCGACACAAGTAACCAGAAGAACCCGCATAACTTGAAGCAATAGTATCATTACGATCCTTAATTTGTGCCAGAGAAACTGCAAGTAATTTGTCTCCATATGGTTTAATAACTTGATAATGATTCATAATTAATGAAACAATCACACGAGATCCACATACTTTTGATGGAAGCCCCACACTTTTCTTAATTGCAGATTCTAAACGGATTATAAATTCTGGAAGATTGGAATCATCAAGTTGGGAAAGAAGTGTCTCGGTGACTTCCATCAAGGGGGATTTCCCAATACTTGTCAAACGACTGGCATCAATTGCATTGTTGTCAATATTATACTTAGAAGCATTTAAAGCCAAGTAATTGATAACCTCTGGTTCCAAACTAGAAAACAACAAGATAAAATTTTCAATTAATTCAGGAACATATGATTTAATTGCCTTGTTATTGGATTTGCACAACTTCAGAAGAATTTCCAATGAGAAATTCCTAACATCGGCAGAATCACTTAATACCCCTTTGTTCCCCAAGAAAAATGGAATTAAAATAGACAAAATCCCAGAAATCTTTTCCGTTTTCAATTTATAGCTAGAGGATTCAAGTAATCTTGTTAATTCTGTGGTTAACACTTTTGTCAATTTAGTTGCCTCCTTACGAACACTTTCTTTGATATCATCCATAACTCTAAAACTCATTGTCCAAATATCATCCAATTTAGTTTCATAATCTTCGACTTCAACCATGGTTAACAAATCATTCAATGCAGCAGTACCTGCTTGTCTAACTCTCCATTCTTTTCTACCCATACTCTTTAATACCTCAGCTAGAATAGGGTCCAAATTAGCAGTTACCGCTTTAGATGTATCCTTAATTAACGAGTTCCAAATATCATTCATTGACTTAGCTACACCTTCATTTGGGTCATACCTATATCTAAACAATTTAGGAATCAATCTGTTGGACATAGAAGAATCTTTGGCTAATAAACTATCAAGTGATGTTTGTGAAAGAATAGATTCTAATCCATAAGCAATCCCCTTTCTAGATGTCCACAAACTTGAAGATTTTGCAAGTGACATGAATTTATAAACTAAAGTAGGGTCACCAACTTCTTGAGCTAAGTTCAACACATCTTTGTAAGTGGAGATTGAACCATCATCTGTTTTTAATACGTCAGGTTCGAATAATTGTGTATCGGATTCAACTGTTCCTGCTGTAATCTTTACTGAATCAGTAGTTGAAGTAAATGATTTCAATAATGATTTAACTAAAGTATCCTTTAACTCCACATCACCTAGTTCATAAACCAAACCAAGACCTCTAGATGCCGATTCTTGAATCAATTCATCACGATCAGCGAGGAACTTCATAAATGCCACATGAATTTCTCCAGCACGACTAGTGATAGCTTCCAACTTACTACAGTGTTGAACCAAAGATAATAACCACACACAACCGGCTCTTCTTAATGCTGGTTTAGTGTTCTTACAAGCCCCAAGAACAGAGTCCAAGATAATGCCAGCCCTAGAAGTATCTCTAGGAATATATTTCACAATCTCGCCCGGGATATCCAATTGTTTGCTCAAGACCAGCGAGTCCCATCCAGCAGCTGCAATAGTCAACAGCTCAGCAGATGTGAATATATACTCAATTTGCTTAGAAATATGGGTATCATAAATCAGTTGTTCGTCTTCAGATAATCCTTCGATAGCGTCTCTATTGTTTGCAAGTATCAAGTATCCAAGTGTTAATACTGACTTTTCGTCAATCTTTTTCACTTTCAATTTAATTATGTTTTTAAATGTAGTAACATAATTGGATAGACCTTGATTTTGAATAGGTCCAAGAACTCCAAACATGGATAGTTGGGAAATAGAGTCTAAAGCAGAATAATAGGCCGATCCCTGCTCCTGAAGCATCTTTTCAAGAATATCCAAATGAGAAACTAATGTGGTTTCATCAATAATATTCACACGATCACGTAAGTATAATCGAGAGATAATATAACTAACAGCAAGAATGTTTGTTTTGTTATTCAAACCCAAGTCAACCACAAGCTCTTTGATCGATGAATTCACATTTGAAGGATGTGTTGCGATTATGCCTATAGCTTTACAAATCTGCGATATTGTGATTTCATCATGTACTTTATCCAATAATGCCACAAGTTCAGCAACTCGAGGAATCAAAAATTCAACAATTGGTGAGGACGAAAATGAAATAATTCGAGAAAGAATAGTTCCATATGTCGTATCTGTTGGCACAGTATGTGTAGATTGACCAATCAATGCATCAATACAAAGATTCAATAATTGAACAATTGGTTCGTGGATAGATATGTTCTCCATGTGTTGAGTTACTAAATTACGTACCTTGTCATTAACTTCAATAGCCTTGTCCAATCTAACCGCCCAATCCTGATCGGGAATTATAACAGTTTCATTACCTTTAATGCTTTCCATGACTAAAGCTTGTTGAGCAAACAAAATTGCAGTTGGTAATGATTTGAAGATACTGCTATTTTGAACTGATTTTGCTTTGTCAATCTCTTCAGTAAGAACATTCATAAATGCTCCGAATGACGGAAATATAACGCTAGTTTCTTGACCAAGCAAATATGATGTGGATTTAAAACCAGTAGTATAATTAACTTGACGAATATTAAACCAATAAGGATGAATTCCATTCTGAGCTTCTTCAATGGTCTCTGGAGCATTTTCCCTAGATGAACCCAAGATCGACAAAAATCTTGTTTCTGAATCTTCAAAAGGGAATGCTGAATTTATATGCTTGATGGCGATATATCTGCATGCACTGATATTAACATTATCGGCTGAAGCTGTTAAATATTTGGCTGCTAATCGCTTCAATAAATACTTGTTTTCCTGTGACAACTTCGATAAATGCATCGATAATCCAGATAATGCATCTTGAATGGAAACTCTTAACTCTGGTTGATCACCTTCTAAAGATCCATACAAGAATTCAATGAACGACCAATCTATAATTTGAGGATATGATTTCAAGATATTTCCCAAGGTTTCATATTTCAATTGACGATCCTTGATACGTTGAGCAAAGTTAACTTTCCCTTGGAGTTCCATACTTGGCCATCCTTCTGAAATAATATCATTTCGTAATTCACCTACCATTTGTAAGTTAAACTGTTCCAATTCTTGGTTGACATTATCGGATTGACCTAACCAACTAATGAAAGTTATTGCCAACTGACGAATTCTTGGATTATCAGAATGCAATGCAGTTTTAGAAATTACTGATATTTCTGGGTGCAATCTAATCCGCGTGCTTTTGATTAATACTCGCAAAATCTTGTATTGTAAGTTGGAATCAACAGCTGGGATACCTGGTTGGCCCAAGAATAATAACACCAAATGATCAATCAACGACACATTTCCATATATAGTTACATCATCCAATTCAATATTCAATCTTTTGAATAATCCTTCTGCTGATTCGTTAATACTTGAAGAAGGGTCGGCGGAAGCAACAAGTAATGGTAATGCCAATTGGTCGTTCTGAAATCCCGCTTTCAAGAATTCAAGTAAGTTTCGTTTTGTAGTGAATATCTCTTCTCTTGTTTTGTATGTAACTCCAGCATTGGATGTAAAGAATGAATTATCCTGCAAGCTTAAACCAGGGGTTGCTTTGTTGTTGGAATCGGGTAATAATAACAAAAACTTGGCAATTGTAAACGAAAGATACTTTTCAACTTCAGCATTCTTGTCAAATCCTAAGGTGGTACGCATAGCGTCATATTCGTCTGTACCTTTAAATGGAGCTTTCCAAGATGTTAACAACTTTGAAAAAATACTAAACATTCTTGCTCTAATGGCATCAGAATACAAATGAATATTGTCAATGATATCAGGAACCAATTTTATTCTTTGTTCATCTGTTATTCTATCAATTCCTCTAAATATGAATAATGTAGAATAAAGCTGCACTGAACCAGCATCAACACCAGGGCCCACTCTTGGAGATTTAACCTGTTGAACGAGGGCATCTATAGGTAAAGTAATTGATCTAGCGGCAGTTATTCTAGGAATCAAATGTTGTACAATCTTAAGCACTGCTTGTCTTACTTGGACATGAGGACTGGACAACTTTAATAATATGGGACAAAGGTATAAACTTAACGAATGTTGGAATTGCTCATCTGTTGAGGCTAAAGCAATTCGTAATTCTGCCTTGTTGACCAAGGACAATTCAGCTTCAGCCATATTCTGTGGTGTTGCAAGTTTAAGTTTGGTTGTAAAAATATTGTAGTCTCAATATACTTTTAATTTTTCCAGTGGCGGTGGCGGTTGGGGAAGCGAAATCGCAGGACTTGATAAATCACCAGTTGCAACCAGAATGGCAAAATCTGGTTCGATCTACGATTCAAGTTAGCTATTGGAATTTACAAAGATTATGGCATACACCTTGTATATGTTAGAATTTTCAATATATGTATTCTATTAACTATGTATTTTTATATTCTCTTAAAATAACAGGAACAGAACTTGGAGGTAAGGAACCTAATTCAGTAATTACTTTATCAATATATTCAGGGGGAGTCAAATCATACAAGATGTTCAATATATTCAAACTCTTCATTTCCTTCCAATTCTTTAATGGTTCTGATTCATCTTCATTAGATTCCTCAGTAGGAGTTTGTGTTCCTTTCTTGGTGTTTTGTTGTTTATTAGGCTTGTTCTGTTCTTCTTGTTGTTTTATGAATTGTTCCAATGCAAATGACTTCTTTTGTGGTGGTTTCTTTGAATCTATATTACGAATTAAATCATCAGCATCAGCTAATTCATTAGTAGTAACTGAATCTAATTGTACTTTATCTGAAAATTTGATTGATTCACAACATGTCAATACTGGAATGTTTCTTGTATGACACATCATAGCAACCAAAGCAGTACCTACTCTTGAGTAAAGACGACCATTGGATAACATGGCATGAGCACCTAAAAATACCACATCAACATCTCTTAAAAGTGTAGAGGCTAAAGAATTGAGTAAAACATAGTGCACGCTGATATGGTTCTTGGTAATAGGTTCACGCATTCTGAATTTTGCACTATTGATTGATTCCAAGTCATTAATATCGTCATCAGGTAAAAAAGTGTTTACTAAATTCTTCAACAACTTTTTACCTTCAAACAATGGTCTGGAATCAACAATAATCAAATTAAACCTTTTACCTTGTTCGAGAACGCAATATTGGAACAACTCTTCCAATACTTGCGAATGTCCATAGGTCAAAACTGTGCATCCATCCACGATATGCTTAGAAGCAATGTCGACAATCAATTTATCTGAATATTCAATCTTTTCCTTGACAAAATCATCAATTTTCAGACATAGTATTTCTTTAGCTTGAGCTTCGGTAGTGTCTATAGATATATTAGAAATCTCTTGCTTCAACCACCTAATGGCATTCCCCATAGACACAGATAATGGTCTACCCAGCTTCAAATATTCAATTTGGTGAGACAAATGTCCAGTTAAATGTCTGGTTAAAGTAGTATTTGCAGGAGTAACATAATCTTCAATAACTTTCTTAAAAACAATCAACATATTCTTGGCTCTGGAGGTTGAACCAACAACTTTATAATTTGAATATTTCAAAGTTAATGAAAGAATAGCAGGATGAACAATGTGGGATATTGAAGGACTTGAAGCATTACGTTGTTCTCTGGTTTCTAAATGTCCGAACAAATGTGGAACTTTTCTAACATCAGGTTTAAGTAAAGTCTGATCTAATTGTTTTTTCAAGTTGGTGGCAGTTGCAGTTTGTTGTTTCTTCTTTTCAATCTTTTGTTCTGCCATTTTTTGTTGTTGTTCAGGAGTAATACCTATGGCGGTCTTTTGCGCTGCTCTTTTAGCTGCCTTTTCCTTCTTCTTCAATTCCTTGAGTTCCTTATTAGAAAGTTGCTTAGATTCAGCAGGTGCAGAGTTACCTGCAGTTGTGGTAACTGCTGGAACGGCAGCAGTCTTGGCTTCTTCTGACATGTTGTTGTCTGTGCTGGTTGACCTAGATTCAAGTATTGCTTGTCAAATGAAGTTTAAAAAAAATTTACCATATTGACTAATTTGGGTCGTGCACCTAGATCAATATTTACAAGTTGTCATTATAGCTGACAATAATATCAATTGTGCTACAGGATCTTTCCTTTCTACGTAAATTTGACTCGATTTCAATTAAAACCTTAGTGGTCAAAGTTAATGTTCGGAATAGATAGCACCTTCAGAACAAAGACTCTAGATAAAGGATCAATAACGTATTGTTGTATGCTACACCACAAAAGGGAGATTTTGGTTAATACTTGAAACGTCTTTTCCCAGCTTTATAAAAGGTAAATACAAACATTAAACTGTATGTTTTCGTAATTTTGGTTTGCCATTGTCTCGAGGAATTACTTCACTTGCCAGTAGGAACGTAAAATGAGCATAGTATTATATGGAATCACAAATCAAAAGTGTTGCAAAAAAAAAAAATAGAAACAAAACTATTTTGATAACCATTAACTTTTTTAATAAGAATCAATATAGGTAGACAGATGAATCTCCATGAAACAAATCAAATTTGTATTCTTAGCAAATTTAAACGTAACAGTGAATGTACAACACATGTTTTTGTTGAATGTATTCAATGACCGTCAATTAATCGGCAATTAAATCTGAATATACCCACCTAGTCTGAATTTCTATCCTTTCCTATTATTCTGCCAAACAATCAAAACTGGGGTTTCTTTTATTCATTACGAACATCCTCCCCCTACTCCTCCTTCTCTATACGAAACTCGGACTATTTATGCAAATACAGCATATTCCCAACAATCAATCCGTGACTCATTACGCTTTTATTTTAGTAGGGAGTCTACTCTGGGGTAGGTAAAAAAAACATCACTATTTCTCAGGATTTCAATCAACCATTACAAACAGTTCTGTTATTTGCATCTCCGCAATGGTACTTCTAATATGGTGGAAATAAGAACAACAGATTGAAGTTGTCTGAATATTATAGACTAAACCTGATGTGAACTTGTAAAGAATTGATTCACTTTATTGTTTTAATCCCTTTTTATCACGGTGCCATTTCTGTTGTATAGTATAGATCAAATACCTAAACAGCTATTAAGTTTATTTTACTTATTAAATTAATTATATAATTATGTACTCTCACTCAATTCTCCAAAAACTCCCCTCTTTTTAGTAGTATCATACAATCTAACAATCTTTTCTTGATCTTGTCCTTCAACTTGCGAGAAGGCAAAACCTCTCTGTTTTTTAATTCTTTGAACTTGTCTAACTTTTCTAATCGCTCTTTGGAATTCTTCCATTCTTGGTCTTTGATCTTGAATATCGTACTTTTGAATTTCTTGAACATAATGATAGGTCTCAGGTGAATAACGTCTCTTATAAAACTTCCATGCGAAATCTCTTAATAAACACAACACAGCAACTCCAAATATCATTGACCAGAAAGTAATAGATGGATAAGTGGCTCTTAATACCCCACGTAATTCCTGCGATACTTTAGTCATTGGTGCCACGGTGGAATAAATAGGGAACCATAATAACCAGAAAATAAATGAACCGGGAATTGCAATTAACGTAAATTTTGTCCACAATGAAACAATTAATGCTGCTTTACCCAATGCAGTCAATGTACACGTTGTATACACTGCAGTACCCCAAGACCAATTATCGGCAGTCAACCCTGTAGATAACACATTCATATATCTATAAATCAAAAACGAACACAAAAATATCACAGCACTGTGATAGAATCCATTGGTAATCCAACTCCAAAATACTGCAACATTAAAGAATTTCCTTTGTTGACCTAATTGGTATAATTGAGGATATTTATCTAACAATCTTGCATTAACAAATTGATCAAATACACCAAGGACAAATGGTGGTAAAACAGTAAAGAAGACATTATAGAATGTCAATGACCAAGATTCCATGATAGATTGACCTGAAAACGCATTTGTGAACACAAACCAAAATTGTGTCATATATAAGGTAATATTCTTGTAGAATGAGTATAAGATTGCATTGGAAATACGTTGATATGACCATGTTCCGTGAACTAATAATAATTTCTTCAAGTACTTGAATTGACCAATGGAAATATCGGCACTTCTTGCTGCTTGCATACCTTCCATTCCGCTGATACCAACACCAACATGGGCTGCTTGGATCATCGAAACATCGTTGGCACCATCACCAATCGCCAATAATAATGATTTCTTCTTTTTCCGTTTAACCATTTTGACCACTAATGCCTTTTGTAATGGTGATACACGACAGCAAACAACAGCTTTACATCTGCTTCCTAATTCAATAAACAAATCCTCTAAATCTGATTCTAAAGCGAAGCCAAGTGAATGACCATCAATGATTAACGCAAGGGTAGATTCAAATGAACCGTCTTCGTTATCAAATTGATGATCTTGTATAGCAGTTAATTTTTCTTGTAAATTCATTCTGGTACCATCTTTGGTTTCTTCGTTAATGATTAACAAATTCATATCTTCACTGAGCAATTTACACGACATACCAATATTAATAGCAGTTTCTTGTCTGTCACCAGTCAAGACCCAAATTTTAATACCAGCATTTTGTAATGTGTGAATAGTTTCAGGAACTCCATCTTGTAACTTATCTTCAATTGCAGTTGCACCAAGCAAGAATAAGTTAGTTTCAATTAACTCGGCTGCAGCATCCAATTTGTCGGATCTATCATCTAAACTTGTAGATGCTTCATAATAAGTGGCTGACCAACTTTCATATTCTTCTTCAGAAATGATTCTCAGAGCAATACATAATGTACGTAACCCTTCGGCTGCAAAATCTTCTAAATGTCTAATAGTGGAATTGACAAATGGTTGTGGTTCGTCCTCCAGTAACCTTTCCAAAATAACCGTATCCGCACCTTTACAGAACAATCTAATAACACCATCAGGACATCTGAAAATTGCAGACATTCTCTTTCTTGTAGAATTAAATTCACAAATATTAAGCAATTCATATTCCGATTGCATCGTAGTCAAGGTATTTTCAATCGTAACATATCTTGGTTTACGAATGATGAATTTGTACCCTAAATCAGCAGCACCTTGAACTAAAGCACCTTCATCAGGAGAAGCAGCTTGATATTTAATTTTATCACTTTCGGTAATTTCAGGAATGACGGTATGACAAGTACTTAAAAGTGTTAAAAACTCGTTGATTATTGCTGATTGTTGAGTGTTTGTGTTTTTCAAATCTTGATGCAATTCATTGAATGTGTGGAAACCAATTTCAATTCCACCTTCAACAATTTGTGGATACCCATCTTCTGGGATTTCTTCAATATAACATTTTCCTCCAATAGACACAGCTTTAAATTCCATAACGTTTCTAGTTAATGTTCCCGTTTTATCACTGAAAATATAGTTAATTTGACCCAATTCTTCAACCAAAGACGATGTTCTAACCCCTGTTGGAGTATCAGTTTCTTCATAGTACATGTCCAAATCACTACCAATCATGAATGCCTGGTAATATTTAATTAATTCCACAGTAACAAACAATGAAATAGGAACCAAATTTGAGTATAAAATCCAAAAGGTTAAAATATCCTGGAAGAATAACTTGGCAGTGGAGGTTCCTTCCATATACAAATAGCCCAAACTACTATTATCAACTCTTGTCTTAATCACATTTCCAATGGTAGAAATCAAAGAAAGGGTAATCAACACACAGAAAAGAGCAATGATTTGTAAATTAATAATTCGTTCAACATCAGTACGTTTAATAGGTGTAGCAGTGGCATTACGCATTAATTTTGTTTCATGTCCAGTAAAAATAACAACCCCATGAATCCATTGAGTGTTTCTCAAGGTAGCACCACGTAATAGCAATTGCTCGGGTGTAAATGGGATATCCCTAACAGATCCATTTCTAAAATTACGTAAATTACCTTCATAAGTGTATAATGAACTGTTTGGTTGTTCTGAAACGATTTCCGCATCATGTAAATCAGAAAGCAAATCTCGAGGGTTGACTAAATATGCTGTTTCTGTTTTAGCTTGTTTGATCTTTAAGTTAGTTTCACCATCTAAATTAGCAGTTTCAATGTAACATAACCCTTCTGGTTCAGACGAACTTAATAATAATAAATCTGCTGGGAATGGTTCTTCGTTATTGACTTTCACAACATCCCCCACCTGAACTTTAATCCACTTTTTCCATACAAATGATCCAGACTCAGCATCAAGAACCTGAACTTTGGTATTGTTTAATTGTTTATCTGCATTTGCTCTTTTAATATCTTCCATAATTTCCTTAATTGCTGAAACCAACAACACAACAATTAATGTCCCTATAGTTGTAAATCTATTGGTAGGTGACACATGTGGAACTTGTTGAATAATACTTGTAAATAAAAAGAACAAATTAGCATATTTACTGAATTGTTCAAATAAGAACTTGGGCAAGAAAGTTGCAAAGTTATATTTTGTAGTTGAGATATAATTCCCATAGTATCCATAAGGTGCATTTAATCCATGATCCATAATATGAATCTCACGAGGCGTTGACGGATACTTTGAATCAGACAGGGTTCCTGGTTTCCCTGTTACCTTTGACCTGATTTTCCGGAAAATATGTCGAATATCGAAATCTCGCGGCGTGTCAGTTACATTGTTATTCATTTCAACATACTCACCACGTCTACCAAAATTAAACCCGGGAACTGGTGACTGCTGAGAAGTTTCATGATTATTCAGCCAAGGTGCATGCTGAGTTCTGGTAGTAGTGTATGTCTGCTGGTGGTGGTTGGCATATTCTGCGTCATCGTCTTCATCGTCGGATAAAACAAACTGATCAGCAAAAGGGTCTGCTCTTTGGGCTGAAGGGTATGCAGTAGAGGCACCAATTTCGAAATCATCAGCATATGGGTTAGATGCATGATCTAAATCTATATCTATCAATTGAGACAGCTGTTGTTGATGATGTGTTGCAGAAGTATCAGAGAAAGGATTAGCTGGTGGTGAATTTGACAGACGATAGTTATTTGACATGGTGGGGCGAGGTTTTTCGTCAGTATAATATGCTTGTGATCTTGTCCTAGATATCAGTAGAACTGATTAATGAAATACTTGAATGAATTGAGTGTATTTTTTGAAGTATTAAGCCTGATTTAGCTGGTGCACGTTGTAAGTGGTGATCTGGTTGATCAATATGTACACAGCCAACAAACACTTACAGAAACTAAGAAAAAAAAAAATAGATACACGCTTGCGACTTACACTTGCGACATTGATTTCACTTTTCGACATGGTCGATCTTTGCGACAATAAATTTCCTGCAACGGAGCCTGCTAGCGGATTCCTGAAAAAAAAGAAAGAAAAAGGATAGGATCTTGAAAATTGAGTCATCTTGTGTTCCTCTTATTGATTATTAAACTATAACTATGTCAGCAGAGTCCATTGCCAAGGCAGCTAATCTTGCCTTCTCCTCACTCAAGACCCTCAGCAACACCCAAAGATCAACAGCATTACAAAAGATCCATGATGCTCTTGCCGCACATAAGGATCAAGTGTTAGAAGCTAATAAATTAGATATGGATGCAGCAATTGAACACAAGTTCTCTAGCTCGCTTATTAAAAGATTAGACTTGTCACTGCCAGGTAAATATGATGGTATGTTGCAAGGTATTCTTGATGTTGCAAACTTAGAAGATCCGGTGGGTAAAATCACCTTGGCCAAGAAAATAGATGAGGGCTTAAACTTGTATAGAGTTACTGCACCAATTGGTGTCTTGTTAATCATCTTTGAATCCCGTCCTGAAGTTATTGCTAATATTACTGCTTTGGCTATCAAGTCTGGTAATTCTGCTATTTTGAAAGGTGGTAAGGAATCTTATCAAACTTTCAAAATCATGAGTGATATTGTTAATGAAACTTTGGCTAAAGATACTGACGTTCCTAAGGATGCCATTCAATTGATTCAAAGTAGGGAAGACGTTGCTGACTTATTGAGTCAAGATAAGTATATCGATTTGGTTATTCCAAGAGGATCTAACGCATTAGTTAGAAACATCAAATCAAACACCAAGATCCCAGTCTTGGGACATGCTGATGGTATCTGCTCAATTTACGTTGATGAAAACTTTGACATAGTGAAAGCCAAGAGAATTGTGGTTGATGCAAAGACTAACTACCCAGCTGGATGTAATGCCGTTGAACAATTGTTATTTAATAAGAATATTCCAGTTGAACAAATTAATGAAATTTTGCAAACTTTGATTGCTGCAAAAGTAACTATTCATGTTACTGAACAAGTAAAGCAAATCTTAACCATTGGCGAATCTGAATATATTAAAGATGCCGAGGAAGACGCTTTCGACAAGGAATGGCTTTCTCTTGACATTTCAGTTGACCTAATTGACAATGTTAGTGCCGCAATCGCCCACATAAATTTGCATTCTTCTAAACATACTGATTGTATTATTACTGAAGATAAAGCCAAGGCAAATTTGTTCTTACATGGAGTTGACTCTGCTGGTATCTACTGGAATGCATCTACAAGATTTGCCGATGGGTTCAGATATGGTTTCGGAACTGAAGTAGGTATAAGTACCAATAAGATCCATGCTAGAGGTCCAGTTGGGTTAGAAGGTTTAATGAGTTATCAATATCATTTGAAGGGTGATGGACATATTGCTAGTGAATATGTCGGTGCTGGAGGTAGAAAGCATTTTATTCATGAAGATATTAAACTTTAGTTTTATATTTTATAAGTACATATTAATTTTTAGCGTATTACTGCTTTTACAAACTCATCGTAGTCTTCTGGGGGATAGCTTGGGAAATAGGCAATAATATTATCAACGTATTGAAACTGGTTGTCGTACGGTGGAGCACTTGATTCAGGAATCAACTTTAACTCAGCCCACTGCTTCAAGCTAAAGAAATCAGTCAACGTTTTTATCCAAGTCATTCTTGCATCTATACTAACCAAATCGTCATTTTCTAACACCTTTTCACGCAATCTACTTCTAATCAACCCTAAGTTTTCAATTGCTTGATTAAAATCAACATCCTGTAACTCTTTGGCTATGTTATCCTTAATTAAACGGGACAATCTTGGTGATTTTCCATTCGTGCTTATCATTATTTGTAAATTGTCTTGGTTTATCATGGATCCAAAGTAAAAGTCACATAAATTTGGCTTGTCTGCAATATTCACAGGCAAACGAAGTAGTTTAGATTGATAGTATATCTTTGTTGATAATTCATAATCGTCAATGCAACAACACACAATCGCAAAAGTTTCATTGTATACCAGATGACTGATTTTTTCGTAATCTTCTTTAGTAATTAAATCGATATCTTTAGATATAGATATATTTTCATAAAGGGTTAAGTCGTTGGAATGGTAATTCCTTGCAATTAAACTGAATAGTTTACCTTGGTGGTTCAATTTAGTGATTTCAGGATGGATTTTGGAATCTCCTGTGACTACTGTGACCTTAGCCTGGGCTCGGATTAAATGTTCAATACGTGAAAGAGCGACATCACCGGCCCCAATGACCAAACAATGCTTATTACGTACTTGCCATGCAAGGAGTAACGAACGTGTTTGTGGGATTTGCTGTGATTGTGACTCTTTAGGGTGTCTCAATTGGGGTATTCTCAGGTGTCTAGCGATTTCATGCGACATGGCTGATATCTGGTGTAAGGGATAAAAGTCAGATCGGTGTTTGAATTAAAGTTTGGATCTTTTTTTTTGGTTGTAAAAAAGGGTTCTGAGACGATGGCGTAGTATGAGAATGTAAAGCGAAACATCTCCCAATGTTTGCTCTTTTGCCTTATTCAATTGACATTATCAGGTAGGTATATCTATACTTTGCGTAAAGTGTTATGTTCCAATTGGTTGACTGGATGATATTGTGCAGGGGGGGGGTATATTCCGCACCAAACCTGATTCTAAAGTGTTGCCAAAATACCTTATGGAAAAGAAAGAAATTAACGTGTTTGTTTCGAAAAATATACCAAAAGAAACCAACAAGTTGTATCAGTATCTAATTTGGCGAAATTTCTGTCTACTGACACCAGATTATAGAACTAAACCATACAATATAGGGGTAAGTCTATACCATTTTTAGTTAATTGCACAAAGATCTTCATTGGTATACATGGCAACCAACGAATGAGTTCTCGGCGTTTTAAAACTCACCATTTTAGATTCCTCGACTACTATCGTCCAATCCAATCAAATTCAAATTCAAATTCAATCTAATCCAATGTAACAATGAACAACTTAGTGCCTGAGTTATCATCTAATATTAATGAGGTTATCTTAATTGGAATATATCACGTGATACCGCTATCAGTTATTTTTTTGCTAATTTTAGTTTTTGTGTTCATAACTGATAGGGAAAAATTTTTCTTCTCACTAAAGCAACGTTTCCCACCACAGCCAGGAAAATTTTTTTTGTATTGCGGCACTCGCGGTGGTGGTGAGTGGTGAGGTCAACGACAACGAAAACACAAAAAATTTTGAGTGGGCCCTAGAAAATTATGTTAGTATAGAAACAAAGAGAATAAACTCAACACAATAATAAAAAGCACATCCCACACACGTTTTACAACACAGTCATAAATTTGGAAACCTGGTTTACACTACACATATACATATCGGTTCTGAAAGTTCCATTCTTTAATAAGACTACTGTTTTGTCGCGTTTTAATCTTGTCAATTTGAGCACAAGACCCAATTACTCCACACTTTTTTGGTTACCCACGTCCGCCTCAATTCTAATTCCCCCACCATGGCTACTCCAATCTCTTCTACCCCAACTGCAACATCGTCCTTTTCCAAAAGAGAACGCCGTCAGTCAATGGCTGAACGTAGACCTTCTACTTCATATACACCAGCAGTCATTCCTCATTTGGCTGGTTTAGAAACTCCTCAAGAAATGTCACCATTAAAATTGGAAGAATGTGATGTTGTCATTATCGGTACTGGATTATCTCAAAGTATCCTTGCAGCTGCTTTGGCATGGCAGGGTACTCAAGTTTTACATATTGATAACAATCATTATTACGGAGATTCTTCCTCGTGTTTAACAATTGACCAATTGAAGAAATGGTGTGTTGATGTTAATCAAGGAAAGTTTAATCACTTTAAAGATGCACAAATCTATATTCCTGGTGGTAAGAGATCCAACAAGTATACCCTGAGAGACTATGGTATTGATTTAACTCCGAAAATTATGTTTTGTCAATCAGATTTATTAAGCTTGTTGATTCAATCTCGAGTTTATAGATATTTGGAATTTCAAAGCTTGGCTAATTTCCATGTATTTGAAAACGATGATTTTAAACAGAAAATTACCAACTCAACTTCCAAGCATGATATTTTCACTGATAAGACCTTAAGTTTAATCACAAAGAGAAATTTAATGAAGTTTTTGAAATTTATATTAATTGAAGAAGAACACGTTAGAAGAGCATTGGTTAAACAATATTCGAATCGTCCAATCCATGAATTCTTGACTCAGGAATTTAAATTAGAAGAATCTCAAATCAATGAATTAGTTTATTCCATTGGTTTATGTAATAAGCAAGAAACTACAACTAAAGAAGCAGTCATCAGAATTAGAAGATTCCTTTCTTCATTTGATTGTTATGGTAAATTTCCATGTATGACTTCTAAATTTGGTGGTCCAGGTGAGATCCTGCAAGGTTTCTGCCGAAGTGCAGCAGTTGCAGGTACAACATATAAATTATCTACGACAATGACTGATTTTGATCCAGTATCGAAGACCGCGCATTTCAGTGATGGTTCAAACATAAAAGTTAATGAAAAGATTATAATTTCACCTACACAAATCCCCAAGTTTCTAGTTCCAAGTTATCAAAAATTGACTGAAAGTTTACCTTCATATTATATCACTCGTTTAATTACAGTAGTTAAACGTGATTGTAAGGAATGGATGGACCCACCACAACTGGCATCTGCTGCGATTGTGGTATTCCCGCCACATTCTCTTCCAACAGATAATGAAAGTGCAGTACAAGTTATAATTCAAAATGGAGATTCAGGAGTGTGTCCTGAAGGTCAATCTATATGGTATAGTCATACATGTGAGCAAGATCTTGCCCGGGCTAAACGAGACTTGGAATGTGCATTTGAAAAAATGGAAATGGCTTTATTAAGAGGAAGTGCAGCTGTTGCTGCTACTTCTTCTGCTGCTCCTGTTAATACTAGAGGAAGTCCAGCACCTGGCACCATTCCTGATGTGTTAGACGACATTGATTTATTCTCTGCTGGAACAACACCCATGGCTGATTCATTCAAATTAGGTAGTTCCTTGGCTAATTTTATGCCTAAGGAAAAGGTGGAAATTGTTTGTAAAGTAGGATATGTTCAACAAACCTACATTAATCCTGATTTATCGAATGTTTTCAAAGCTAATCCTAACAATAGTATAACTTGTAAAAAGGTACCTACTGGTGTTGATGATGAAGATATGATTATTTTTGGTAATATGCCATCCAGTGAGTTAAGTTATGATGGAATCATTACCAATGTCAAACAAATATATGCAAGAGTTACCGGAACAGATGATGATTTCTTTGATGTTGATTTCGAGGATGATGATGAAGAAATGCAAGACCATCAACAACCTCAACAACCTCAAGTCAACCAACTGGGGCAAGTACTTGGTGGAATTGTAGGTGGTGGTAGAATGGATGAAGATGCAATTGATGAAGATGTCATTGAGGATGATAGTGATGATGATCATAAGCCATTTGGTGTGGATCAAATGGAGTTGTAATCGGTGCTTGTTTACCTTGTTTTAATTCTTGTAACTGTATCCGGCGCGCTGCCATATTTATTCTTTTGTTCATAGTAAAGTTTAATAATAAATATAGATTATTTTTGTTAAATTGACCTAGTATTATTTGTGTAATGGTTAGTTCACTTCAATGATAGTTGATAAATATTTAGAGCGCTTGTATAATGTTTGCCATACCTTCTGATCTCTAATAATAGGATATAATTTGAGCAATAACTCCAGGTCGATGATCGTTGATACTAGCTCTTATTTAATACTTTTTTCAATTATTTTACCAAAATCATAAAGAACGTATATACAATTAAAGGAAGGACACAAGCTAATATATTATATCAAAAACCGAAACAGTTTATAATGCGCTAATAGCCTGAATACAACAAATTCTACCAGTTTCTCTGAACATTAAGTTGTGGTACATACTTTTCGCAGCCATTTAACATGTATCACGTGCAAGATATCAATAGGGCAGCAGCCCTAAATGGCTTTCTCTGAAAAAAAAATTTTTTTGTCTTGTGGATGCGATTCGCACCAGGCAGGTCAGAATGAAAAATATCCAGTACCAACCAATGTTTCTTTTCTTTCCTTTTAGAAAGTACTGAGCAGTAATCAAATTTACCTGTCGAAGAAGTCTATACAAATCAAAAATGTCTGACGTTGAACAAGAACAAATTGTCGAAGAAGTTGCCGTTGAACAAGAATCCGGTTCCATTTCTATCGAAGATGCCTTAAAGGTTGTCTTAAGAACTTCCTTAGTTCACGATGGTTTAGCTCGTGGTTTAAGAGAAGCTTCTAAGGCTTTATCTAAGAGAGAAGCTCAATTATGTGTCTTATGTGACTCTGTTACTGAAGAATCCATCATTAAGTTGGTTGAAGCTTTATGTAACGAACCAGAAGAAAAGATCCCATTGATCAAGGTTTCCGATGCCAAGTTATTGGGTGAATGGGCCGGTTTATGTCAATTAGACAGAGAAGGTAACGCCAGAAAGGTTGTTGGTGCTTCTTGTGTTGTTGTTAAGAACTGGGGTGCTGATTCTGAAGAAAGAAACATCTTATTGGAACACTTTTCTCAACAATAAATGATTTAGATGAATAGGTATGAATGATGATTCATACTATTTATAATCATTATTGAGCACGCAATAGTGAATTTGTATTTGTATATCAATTTATAATTTTTAATCAAACGGTTTACTATGGGAATCTTTTTGAAGTGTATTTTATGATTTATGTTTATTACCAAGTGGGGGAGTTGCAAGAAGGAAGGCCCCCCTCGGTGTTTTTAAGATTAATCTAGCCAAAGCATAAGTGATATACAGGCAATCTCTCTTCTTTATTTTGATGCAAGAATATATTACCCCTAGATGTGCAAATTCAGTTGATCTGGTGGTATCAAATGCAATGTAACTTTGTACGATATATATAGATAATACTATATTATAAATCTAAGTTACATTCAGAAATGGTCTATCATTGAAATAGCATATTAAACGGCTATCAGCTACCTGGTTATATGTTTCATTGATTCTACATAATAAACATCAAGTCAGTTTTAAAAATTAACTAGCTTGCAAAAATCATTCATATGTCTATCCCTGATGCGACTGCAAGAAAATTGTTTCCAACAACATTTGCACTTAAATGGTTTAGTTCTAAAATGACCTAGAATATGTTCTCTAACTACGGAAGGTGATGAATACTTTTCTCTGCCACAACTTAAATAAATACATTTATAGCTTTTATTGTTGTCTGGGCCTTTCCAATACCGTTCCACTTCTGCTTGCGGAAGAAACGCTCCCATATTATCTCTACATAAATGAGCTTTAATATGTCTTTGTTCATTGGAACAAAATCATAAATCGGCTTCTGTAGTCATCGCATGTACATGTAAACATTTTGACACCATCTGATCCCTTTATATGTTAATTTATTTCATCTATGGGTGGCTGTTTCTTTGGTTTAATGATTTTGCAGCATCTACAAAAGAAAAAAAATCAGAAAATTAACTAGAAAAGGTATCAACAATTGAACAACAAATAGAGCATTTCCTAATATAATTCAGGTGACCTGCACTGAATTTAATTGATTTAAAGCAATCATGAAGGACATATAGTGAAGTCCAATATTCAAAAATTTGCTCTGGAATTGGTGTTCTGTCAAGTGACTTATCAATAGACACAATTGCTGGATTTCTGGCCATTACTATTTTCAACCATTGAACAAGTTCTTCCTTGATTGGATCCTATAAGGGGATATCATCATCCTTTCTCCCTATGAGATTACCTTGTGGAGACTTTAGACAAAATAGTCTAAGGCTCGTGTACTTCTCTAAAACAAGGTTGTCGCAACAAATGACATTTCTATTCTGTTGTTGGAACGAAAGTGACCTCGCATGGTACATTTCTTTTGTCTGTGAGTTTGTGAAGTACATGTCTAGAAATGCCCAAAGGAACTACAATTGTATTACTGAATATACCAATTAAGAAATCATGAAAGTATAAGTACTGCTCCGTAAGTGATATGCATTTTGGAGCTTCTGGAGTGGTACATTGGTTGCCTTCCGCGCCTTGGTTTGTACCACTATTGCACAACTCCGGTACACCCAGACCTATTAGCACTGAATTGGCTGTATTGTTCTTTATAACCATATTATATGAAACTCCATTCAAGTAGCTGCTATCAGCCACGTCTGATACTACAGTTTTCATATAAGGAAGCCTGGTGTGACGCGAATTATTTTTAGTTGTGGAAAAACAACTGAACCAACTCTGGTTGCAAGTATAATAAAAGAGATATGCAAAGCTCAATTAACCTAGTCCTAATACCTCCTGGTTAAAAGTTTCTATGTAATGTGATTCAATCCTATGCTTTACGATCGCATACAAATCTACACCATTATCCTCATATATATTCGGAACGCCTATCACACACAAATCAAGATATGAGAATCTTGTTGTAATGGGGTGCGCGCGCATAACAAAAAAAAAGTATAAACAAACACTAGACACAAACAACTAAAGCAAGTACTAGGCCATACAATACCTAATGGAAGATCGAACACTTAGAAGGGAGGCAAGAGTAAGAGGACTGGGTCAACGAAGTATTCGCTCTTCAGTTACTTTGAAGATAAACTCTCCCAAAGGAGGAAGGATGTTACAACAGTTGCAATCAGCATTTGTGAAACCAGACGATTTGAACTTACCACGAACAAGGAGGCGATCTACTTTGAGCAATAACACTTCTTTAGATCTTGCTGAAGCTAGAATTGAAATTGATCATAATAGACTTGATCCAAGTATAGAAGAACATGAAGAAGAACTAGAGGACGAACAGGAAGATGATGATTATAAAGTGGAAGATGAGGACGATGAAGAAGAAGAGGAAGAAGCAGTATCAATGCGTCACTTTAAACCAGCAACTGGAACCAAATCCAGTTCACTCCTTAAAACCCTACCTATTGGTGGATTGCTTTCGAAGTTATCAAGGTCTCAAGAAAGAGTCACCAATGATATAGAGCAAGCCCGGAAAAAGGTCAATTCACGACAGAAACAATTTAATGTTGATAAGGTAAAAGATGATTCCAGAAAGAAAACAAGAGATGCAGGTTCTAAACGAACAAGGAAAAGAGTAGAGGAAGAGGAACATTCAGCTCCAAAGAAAAGAAAGCAAATTATTAGTGGACGCCAAGCCACTGTTCAAACACGTAATTTGAGAAGACGTAGTAAACTGAACAATGAATATGAAGAAGAACCACTTATAGAAACGTCATCACAATCTCTAGTTCCAATAGGTACCATGACATCGAGAAGTGTTCGTTCTCAGCGAACTATAAATCCAGTTAGTTCAAATTCAGAAACTTCTGAATCAGAAGATGACACCCATGACCGAAACTATCTGGATACGGATGCTTCCTCTCCACCTGCACCCACACCGACTGGTAAACCCGTCCCTTTATCCCAAACCAAACATTCGCGTACCCAGAAACCACTTACTGTCGATTTTCAACGACTTGAAGATTCCAAGAGGCGGCTTGCCCCTAATAAACGATTTCGAGTGCATACAATTGACGTATTGCGTCATTTGTTCAAGCTTCATGAACCTCGACCCACTTCTGAAGCATTGGACGAAGATATGTTACATAGTGGATTTAAAAGAGTGGCGATGTTGCATTTGGATAAAATGCGAGATTTATACGCTGTTGTTGATGATCTTTCATTGGAGATTGCCAATGTCCAACGAAAAAAGAACCAATATCGTCAGATGATTTTGGATTTGAAAAAAGAACATACTAATGTTGGAAATGAGATGAATAGGTTGAGGATTGGAGCAAGAAAGACTATAGAGGAAGCTGAAGAAGTAAATCTTATTCACAGTCAATTAAGTACATTGAAGCAAGCAGAAACTGATCCTGGTGATTCAATATCGTGCGATTCTGAAGTAAATTTAACATTGAATCGATTATCCCGTGTAGTTAATCCAGAGATGGGGATACTTCCTAAATTAAAATGTGTTAGCAACAAGCTTACGAAGATGAATGAAAAATTATAGTTAATAGATGTGATATTTTATTAAATAACAAGCATGATACATATGAGTATATAGATCTGTCTTAAATCCTTGCTGGAAGAATTTCTTGGATGCAACCTTCTATTCACCTCCTGTAATGGCCCATTTAATTTTCATTGACAAGGGCCATGATCATTCTATACAAGTAAAAGAAGAACATCAACAAATGGAATCCTAATTTAAGGAAACTTTCCTTCTTATGCTTAGACAAAGTTCTAAAGATTTCAGTAGCATCCAACAAGTGGTTCTTACCGATAAACTTGTTGACATTATAAGCCAATAATGGCAAGTTTAAGACAAATGGGAACCAGTAACCATTAACCAAGAATAAAATGGAAATGAATGCATGTAAACCAGCTTCTGGAATGAACCAAGGGTTTAATTTGTTACATAATTCAATTGGATTAATGTAGTCGCATTCCAAATCGGAATACATGATGGTGAAAAACACTTGAGAGAACAAGTTTACTGCATTGACCACAACGGCAAGTATGAATAACCTGGATACATGTTAGTACATTTGTTTAGGAATTTGGCATATTTTGAAGCTCACTCCAACTTCCTTATCGATGGACCTTCATCGACAGTGTGTATCAAGGAATCTCAGAACTTGCAAATCAATTCCAGTAAATAAACGTGAGTAGTACAAAGAGTAATACATACCAACTTTCTCCATTCATTGTTTCTGTTGATTATGTGATGATTACGACAAATGAAATGATCTGGTGCCTGATTTTATTTATTGCCGTTCGCTTCATTAAAGTTATCCTTCGTTCCGTTGAAAAAAAAAAAAGATTTTTTTTTTGTTGTGACTTGTGTGAAAGTATCTTTATGATTTCCTAATTTGGAAATACCCTCCAAGTGATACCATCATTGCTTATCAACTATGATTTGCTGTATACGAGCACATTAACAATTTAATTATTGCAAAACCCAATATTACACCAGATGTAATCTTCTCACAAATGATACAGAAATTTGATTGAATAGAAAGGAGATTGATGATTGAAGAATAGTTACTATACTTTTGCGGCAAAATAAATAAACTTGTATTCTAAGCTCTAAAGACATAAAAGGCATACATATATATATTTCTATCATTATTCCTTACCCTTTAATTGCTTCCTTCTAGCAAACTCAACCATTGCACTTTTAAGCAATTCGCCCCTCTTCGGTTCCGTCAAAGGACCCCCATCCAATTTACTCATCCCTGGGAACATCCCGACGCAAAACATCTCGTACTCTGCACGTCGTCTAACAACTATATTAGTCTGGTTCTTTATCAAGAACTCTTCATCTCTTCTTACAAAATCACTAGTTTTCTTAATTGTTTCATAATGCACAAGGAATCCATCAATATCCTCAACATTCTCAATTTGAATTGGCGCATCGAGCTCATCAGGACTGATCACATAAGGATAAATATCATGTGTAAGCGGGTTCATTCTGAGATCTAATGAGATTAAACTGCTTCTAGATTTGCGGAGACTGTTGTACAATGTGCAAACTAGAGAATCTGAAATCAGTGGCTTTCGTGGGAGTTCATTTCCGACTAGATATAACTTTCTTAATTTGAGACTAGCAAGGTGGGAAATATCATTTAATTTGTTAAAGTTCAAGTTTAAGTCAATAACACTGGGGAATAATGTTGCGAAAGTGCTGGGAATAACTTCGAGACCAAGGGCAGAAAGTGTTAACTTGGTGACTGCACCCAATGGAGTTGGTTGAAATATAGGACTGTTGAAATAATACCCATTCCCAGATAAATCAAGATTAGAAACACGAGGAGTCGATGCGACAATAGTGGATAATACGTTTGGACTTTGTGACTTGGCTGAAATATCCTCGATATTATGTAAATTCTTTAGACTACTAATATGTTCCAATTGATTCCCATCAATTCTCAACGTTCTCAAATCAAATAGTTTGTCAATATCAATCGCTTTCAAATTGTTGAATTTCAACCCCAACTTCTTTAAGCTGTAGTTAGGACGAGCAGCTACAAAATTTGTAAGCTGGTTATCGTTCGCAAGTAACACATTTAAATCTGTAACCTCTTCCCATCCAACAAGACTAGTTATTTGATTATCGGAAATATTCAATACTTGTAAATTGGGCCAATAAAATTGACTGAAGTCCAATTTCCCACTAAGCTTGTTTCCTGATACGTCTAAAATAGTTAGTTTCACCAATTCTTGCAATCCATCTAGACTAACAATGGAATTATTAGCTAGGTGCAACTCGCTCAAATGAATATTACGGCTGAGATTATTCAATCGAACAAGTGAATTTTGAGAAAGGTCAACCATCAGCAAATCAGATAAATCGCGAAATGAAGTTATATCACTAATGTTATTATTCAGTAAATCCAAGTCCAAAATTCGAGAAGGGATTCCACTCAAGTACTGTATCTGATTATTTGAAATATCAAGACGTTGTAAACCAGGAAGAAACTGGTCTAAATCCTTCGTGTTTTCCAAGTCAAAATGACTTAAAGTAATTTGCTTAATCCGTTCCCAATGTTCTTCACCTTCCAAAACTTCGTTAATAATCGAAATCAACTGCTTGTGGGATTGGGTAAACGTCATGTCCTCCAATTGTGACATACGAGTGACATCATAGCTTGCGTTCTGGGATGATTTAGCATTGGATAAATCAGCATTTGGAAGATGAAATGAAACTTCTAGTTTGTTTGTCGATCTTTTCTTCTTTGTTGGTGTTTTTTTGGACATATGCTTCTTAATGGGCGAGCTATGAAGTTGAGATGATATTTCAGGCTGGGAGGTTAAATTTTGGGTAGCAGTCAAATCATCAATAGAATCCAAAGTATAATGAACACTATTCTTCTTTTCTTGCCATTTCATAGTCTTTTCATCAAAAATCATATTGCCGTACTCCTTAGGTAAATTTCTGTCAGGTACCACATGTCCCTTTATCACTTGACTCTTGGAATGCTTAGGTGATGGTTCCAAATGGAGTTGAGATATATTCTTCCACTTTGGTATTACAAGACCATTGTCATCATCATTATCATCGGATACAATAGAAACTTCATGATGTTGCGGTTGGTGTTGTGATTGTTGGGTTGGCTGAAGTTGCAGAGGCTGCAATTTGGTCATATTTTCTATTCTTTGCTTCAATGCAGCATTCTCTGCTTCCAAATTCATGTAGTGCACAGAAGGAGCATTATTAAATCCATGATTATTAACTTGAATTCTATGTGGACTACTTAATCTCTGTGTTCTCTCGGTAATAGTTCCATTATCATCATAATCTTCATCAAAAGTATACTGTGAATCATTTTCAAATTGAGTACTGTTTGACCTAGTACTTTCTTGGGTATACAAGTCAACATCTTCATGTACAGTTTCTCCTAGTTCATCTGGAACTCTTTCATGTTCGTCGTCTTCTTTGCTATTAAACCCACTCGAAAATGATGAGTATTCGTTAATCTCTTCTTCAATATTTCTGACATTATTAGTAAGTGGAGTTGATGTAGCTGTAGTATGCAGTTTACCCTGACCAATATTATAACTACTGGCCCTATATCCTTTTTTAAGATTCAGGAAAACATTATTGGCATTCTGCATATATTGTGCTTCATTATAGTGACCATCTTTTGTAAAATCCTTAATATTAGGTGGTATATTGTGTTGTTCCAGGTTCGGACGGACCGACTCAATATTTAGTGCTGGTGGAGGTACCGCCTCTACAGTATGCGGCCTATTTTCTTGTACGTTCTTTGAATCTCCCGACGTTGGTGTATTAACATTTGATTTATTTGAGAGATTTTCCAACAAGCCATGAAGAGCCTTTTTGGTGAATGTGTCATAGTTTTTTCTAAATAACTTCAACGGCGATTGTTCCACATGTTCTTGTTGTTGTTGTTGCTGCTGCTCAGGAATCATTTGCCTACTCAAAGTGGCAATGGGAGTGGATAATGTTGACGAGTGTGTTGACTTGGCAGTGGTGGTGGTGGTGGTAACTGGTTGCTTTTGGCCCGTCGAATCTATTGATTGGAAAATGTTGGCAAAATTATTTTGGTGCTGTTTGTTGATATACTCTTCGGCAGCACGTTTCCATTCTGCAGTCTCATGGGTGTCGATTTTAGAATTATGAATCATAGTGGTAGCAAAACTAGGCTGTTTGAGAAGGATTGGCTGGCTCTTTGTTATTCTCACTGATGAATTAAATTCATTCGAATTTACCGAAGGTATTGGATCCAGGTTCAGGGTTGATAATGGAGTTGGTTGCATATGGGAAGTTTCCGAGATCCATCTGTCCCCTAATACCGAGGGCATCCAATCTGCTGTTCCAGTCGATTTATGCTGATCTTCCTCTTCTTCCTCTAAAATCTCAGCTCCTATTTTAGTTTTGGTTTTGGCGTTAGGATGTGATTTATATTTGAAGGTGTTAGGAATGGAAGGAGGAGGTGATTTTGTTGTGGTTGGCCCATATTCGCCTGGTGGAAGAAATAATGAACTTTTGTCGTTGGCAGAGAAGTCTTGGTTAAGGTGATATCTCAATTTGGCTTGGTAGGCTGATTTCTTGATAGGGCTATGTCTAGGGGATGATTGTTCTAAAATTGAGAGATCTTGAGAGGATTCAGGTAACAGTTGTTCCTCTTCTGGTTGTAAGTTGATATCTTTCAATGTGAATGTAGATTGGGACAGTGAAGTAACTGCTGCACGATCTGCTGTTACTACAGGAGGTGGTGATGGTGGTTTTTCAGATAAAGTGGGTATTGTTGAATAATGAGAAGAAGAAGGAACTTGTAGAAGTGGTTGTGGAGGAGACAATTGTTGGCGACTAAGTTCATGATCTTCATCAATGGGTCTTAAATTGGATATTGAGGCTGCCTTTTTGGGCTTAGGCAACATAGAATTAGTATTGATTGGTTCTGGAACATTTGATTGTTGAATGAACTTCTTTTCATTCATTATTGTATTAACATTGTCGTCCAGTGATGGTGGTTGATTCTCTTGATCCAGATCCAATTTTAATGGATCTCCATTGACAACAGTAGACAACGGTGTGTTGTTACGTAGTGTGCTAGTCATAGATATTGCGTAGTACTTATCTGTCCGTATGAGACGTAAATTGTTTGTGGTAGAAGTTAACTAGTTGTTTTTGATTTGTATTTGGGTGTGAAATCTATTTGTTTACATTTCAAATTAAGCGCTATACAAATGAAAAAAAAAAAAAATAACAAAAAATAGCTTACATGCAAACTGCAATTAGTCATGTGACTTGAATGGAATGGGGGTTATTTTGCAGGTTATGTTAAAGTGCTGTAGCCCCTAAAAAATAGAAGAAATTTAGAGTTTGTGTATGATACGGGAAATACGGGGCTACAAAACCGGCAGAATTGGACGATTTAGCAAGGAGGCAAACGTCATGTTGATTGGTTATCAGTCAATTCAATAATGTTGCATACTCTTAAGTTGCTTGCCTTGTTTTCTGTCATGGTTAGCTAGACCATCTCTTTATTTTTTAAAAAAATTGTTTAATTCTATTGTGAAAAATATCAATTGTTCTCCCTGAATACAAACGATCGGAGGCTTTAGATAACTGAATTCCCTCCTCACCCCCATCGTAATGAAATTGTTCCTTATATACCGGCTCTTAAAAGTTTTGTTCTCAGCGCCATTCTGGTTTGTTCTGTTTATTTGATTGAGAGGCGGATTTCCCCAAACCTCAAATTTTACAGCCTTTGTTTCTCCCTAATATTAAAATTCACTCCCTCCACGAAAAATTTCAAACAGTGACATTCCCCTAATTAATTCTTAATTTTTCAAATTGCACTGCTAAGGAATTTTGAACATCATTTATCTTTTTAACTTGCTACAGTGACTATATAAAGAGTTCAACTTTGTACATCTTCCTGTTTTTGGCACTGTGCACTACCGATATCATCACATCATCTATTTTTAAAGTCAAGAAATAGACCCAAAGATATAACTATTCTTTGCAACACCATCTTAAGTCTTTGCACTTATCCCTTGATATTGTTTTTTTTGTTTTAATTCGTTTGTGTTTTTTCATGTTTGGTTTTGCTTTAGCTGTTGTCTACTTGATTTAAATATAATACCTTTGTTTTAGTTCAGTTAGTTCACTCCTTTTCCACCAACATTATGGCATCGTATATCCCTGGAAGCACACCACCTCCTGGGGCTCCACAACAACAATCTCCGCATTCTTTCCATCACCAACCTACGGCATCTTCCGGATCTAACTCGTCATCGAATACAGTAGGGACAGCCACTACTACCACTTCATCTACCGCACCGGATCAATCTACGTCAACTCCGACCACTGTCCCTAAAATAACTATTAACCCCAATGCCACTACTTCAAATACTGCATCCCATCAGCACCAACAAGAGCAGGAAATGCTTTCCAGTTTCACTGTTCCCAATCCTCCAGTTTCTACACAGCAACTGTCTGCGGTCGTTGCTGCTGATAACAATACTGATAGTGATTATGAAAGACCCCGTACTTTATGGATGGGTGACTTAGATCCATGGTTAGACGAGCAGGGGATCACTGACTTGTGGTGGAATATCCTTCATAAACGAGTTGTGGTTAAGATTATCAAGCCTAAATCGTCAATTTCCAATCTTGACCCTAATTATCAAGGGTTAACCAATTCAGGATATTGTTTTGTTGAATTTGAAACTTTTGAAGATGCACAACAAGCACTCAGTTTAAATGGTCAATTATTACCCGATATAGCCATGCCTAGTCAGCAACATTTCCCTAATAATCCTGATAATCAAAAGAAGTATTTCCGGTTGAATTGGGCTAGTGGTGCTACTTTAACAGCTCCAATTATTCAAACTCCAGAATATTCATTATTTGTAGGTGACTTATCAGCATCGACTACTGAAGCTCATTTATTGGCATTTTTCCAAAAGAGTTTCCCCAACTCGATCAAGACAGTGAGAGTAATGACTGATCCAATCAGTGGGAAATCCAGATGCTTTGGATTTGTTAGATTTACCGATGAGCTGGAAAGACAAAGGGCATTGGTTGAGATGAATGGTGTTTGGTTTGCAGGAAGACCATTGCGAGTTGCATTGGCTACCCCTAGAACGAATCCTAGAAACAAGTACGGTGGTGCTGGTCCTGGTTCTGGTCCTGGTGGTGTAGTTCCTGGCGGAAATATGACGCCTCAACCTGACTTTGCCATGACTCTCTCAGTTCAAGGAGGTGCCAATGAAACTTTCCCTCCTCAAGAAATGATGTTTATCCCACCACCTCCTCCTCCTCCGCCTGGCTCTGGTCAATTGCCTGGTCAACCGATCTATCCTCCAAATTATTATACCCAAGCACAATCTCAACAACAGCTGCAACTGCAACAGCCACTGCATCAACAATTACAACAACAATATGATTTCCCTCAACAGGATATTGACGTTAATCTTGACATGATGATGAAATCACCTCTAGCTCCCATGCATCACCAATTGGCCCAGCCATATGCTGATCCAACAAATACTACGGTTTTTGTGGGAGGATTACTGAGTGAAGTTAGCGAACCTACTCTTTTCACCCTTTTCAAACCATTTGGTATTATTCAACAGGTGAAGATCCCACCAGGGAAAAACTGTGGATTTGTAAAATATACTACTCGTGAAGAAGCTGAAGAGGCAATTGCAGCTATGCAGGGTTTTATCATTGGTGGTAATCGAGTGAGGTTAAGTTGGGGCAGAGTATCACCCACAAATAAAAAGTATCAATTACAACAACAGCAACAGCAACAACAGCATCAACACCTTCAACAATCCCAAGTTCAGCAACAAGCACAAGCTCAGGCTCAACAACAACAGATGCAAGCTGCTGCTGCGTTTTCAATGGGTATCGATCCGGGGCTTATGGGATACCCACCCGTTCCTGGCCCAGTACCACCTGGTCCTCCTCCCCCTCCAGGAACAATTCCTGGATCAGGACAAGTTCCTCCTCCTCCTCCGGGTGCCACTATGGGAATGATGTTTCAGGAAAGCTCTAGTGGGGAATACGAGTCGCGACTGAATATGTCTCCTCCGTTCTTCATTCCCATGCATGGACCTCCGGGACATGGTCCAGTAGGACATATGGGTCCTCCTGGCGTTGGTGTGGGTGTAGGTGTTCCTGTTGGTGTACCTCCACTTGAATTTATGTCCTCGCAACCAGATGATTTAATTCGGGCTATGAAGGATGCTAATTTGGATGAGGACAAAAATGAAGAGCAACAAGAAGGTGATCTGAATAACGAGCAAGATAAGAAGGAGGAACATCAAGGAAATGATGAGGAGAAGTCTGGTGATTCAGACGAGAAGAAACTGGACGAAGAGAAGAAGCAATAGTTTATGTTTTTTATGTTTAGTATTTATATATTTGTCGTCTTTTAAGTGTTATTATTGTCTTTATATAATGTTATTTGTGTATAAAATGGATATAACCGGAGTAATCTATTGTTTTTAATATCAAATAAAATCACATTTACTAAAACATATATAACAGATATACATTTATCAACCTATAACATAACAAAAAAAAAATTAGAAAGACAAAGAAGAGAAAACGATTGAGACACAAAAATGATATACCGCTAGCAACATATCATACAAGGAAAACACAACTAAGAACGTTCACCTCTTAATCTTCTTGCTAACTGGATATCCTTCTTTTGAATAGTAACTCTCTTGGCATGGATAGCACACAAGTTAGTATCTTCAAATAAACTAACCAAATAAGCTTCAACCGCTTCTTGTAAAGCACCAATAGCACTACTTTGGAATCTTAAATCACTCTTGAAATCTTGAGCGATTTCTCTGACCAATCTTTGGAAAGGTAACTTTCTAATCAATAATTCGGTAGACTTTTGAAATCTTCTAATTTCTCTCAAAGCAACGGTACCTGGCTTATATCTGTGTGGTTTCTTGACACCACCTGATACTGGAGCTGATTTACGTGCAGCTTTGGAGGCAAGTTGTTTACGTGGAGCCTTACCACCAGTTGATTTTCTTGCTGTTTGTTTAGTTCTGGCCATTATAACTTAATGTTGAATAGTATAAAAGAGAATTAAAAGATAGTACAAATTTTTGTAAAAAGAAAAAGGGGAAGGCAAAAAAAAGGTGGGAATTGTGGAAAGTTTTAAAGAAAAAAGCAATGCAAGGGGGGTGTGTGATTACCGACGGGAGAGGAGATTATCGGGGAATTAAACTGAGGGAAGCGCTTGTCTCAGGGTCAGGACTCTCAGAGATCACATGATTAGGATTGCCATAGTTAAATTCAAGGAAATTGGGTGGTCACCATATCATTCTTTTTTTCGGGTGCACTGATAATTCCACGTTTTATTGAGCGCAGGAAAAAAAATGCGCAGACAAGCAAAATTTATTTTTATTTTTTCTTGTTCGTTTAGCCAATCTGGGAAACGTCATTGATTGCCTAATTAGGAAGGGTAAGTGGAAAATTGATATTTGGGATTTATTATTTAATTTGTAATTGATAGTAAGTTATATATATATATCTAACTTGGCTAAATAATCTGGTAACTTCATGATACTTACAAGAGTAGCTCTGTATAGAGTAGTTTTAACTTTTCAGTTTTTATTTTAAAAGAATATAAACTGTGTAAAGTTATGGCAAAATTTAGTCAAAATATATTCAAATTATTAACAAAGTGCAAATGGTTACCCAAAAAACAATATATATAATATACAACACACCAATTACTTATTGCAAATACAATTATTACATATTATTGCAGTTAATATAAAAAAGGGTCTATAATTGGCTATATTACATAGCTCCAATATCTTATTTCGAGTCCCGAGAACGGAACATCAATACAATATTTTTAAAAAATTGAATTTAATTACCTCGAACGCATAATGATGTATAACAAGAAATGTATATGCATAGCTACGACAGAATTTCCAAGAACTACAAGAATCCATATACTATATATGGATTCCATATGGTAGCGCCCAAATATTTGCATACTTCTAAAGTTCAGTTTACATAAACGTTTACATTATAGTGTAAATCGAAAGAAATAACAATTACGTCATGTAAATGCAAAAATAAATCAAATTAATATATAACTAATATACACTGGTTAGTTTCTGTACCATAATCTTGTGATTCTTGTGCTCATCATCTTCTTTTGTAATTGGAAAACACCATACATCAAAGCTTCTGCAGTTGGAGGACAACCTGGAACGTAAATATCAACAGGAACAACACGATCACAACCTCTGACAACGGAATATGAATAATGGTAATAACCACCACCGTTGGCACAAGAACCCATAGAAATAACCCATCTTGGTTCTGGCATTTGATCATAAACTTGTCTTAAAGCTGGTGCCATCTTATTGGTTAAAGTACCGGCGACAATCATAATATCTGATTGACGAGGAGATGCTCTGAAAATAATACCCAATCTATCTTGATCGTATCTAGAAGCAGAGACATGCATCATTTCCACGGCACAACATGCTAACCCGAAAGTAACTGGCCAGAAAGAAGATTTACGAGCCCAGTTGGCAATCATATCAAGGGAAGTAAGGGCATAATCCACAGCATTCGAAGCTGTCTTTTCTGACATGAGGGGGATGTTGGTTGGAAGTTGTTGTGGTGTGAGATGTTTTGAAGCAATGGTACGATGAGCAATTATAGGAGCAGCACGAATGATATTACGGCTGAGGCCATGACTAAGGCCAACTGGAATTGATCTAGTTAAGGAGTGCATGGTCTATATTGGTGATGTAAGTCGGTTTTTATCCACTAGTTGTACTGTTTGCTACTATTTGTTTTTTCATTAAGAGTTTTTTTTTTTCTTAGGATCAGCAAAATTTTATTGATGGTGATTGGCCGCGACAATGTCGCGGGTGGGGGGAGGGGGAGACATAATTACATAAAAAGTGTATGATGACAGTAGTATATTGGATTGCATAAAGATAGCAATTCTTCGGCTAATAACTATACCAATGCCAACCTTACAGTTAAAATAAGGTAATCTAATCGTACATATTAAACTTTATTACACATCCTGTGTACTTTTTTATTGAATAATTTCATCCAAATAAGCCTTTATCCTTTCTAGAACCTCATGCTTAACTTCACCAGGAACCAATTCAGTAGCCTTTGGTTTAACAAAACTATATAACAGATCGAAGTTTATTTGAGGATTATCTTTAAGTTCAGTATTTGCTATTTGTGACACTTTGTCAAACCAACCTGATTCATATAACTGCAATTTCAACTGTTTATTTATAGTATCATAATGACCAGATGTTATTAAGTGATCTTGTATTTTCGACTTTATGGTGTCTAGTTCTGATTGGTTCATGGTATATTGTCTATAAATTTGTACGTATAATGCGGAGGAAATCTTAACCTACTGAATCACAAGTTGCTCAGTCATCAGTTTTTTTTTGTTTGTTTGCTTCCCACTCTCAAAGGTTGAACACAAAGATATCCTTGTAATATATATGTATAGATTCCAAACAATACTCAGAGCTATGTCTACTAAACCATCACCACATCTCGCCAAAATTACTTCAGTAACTCCATTATCTAATGGTAAGTGGATTCAAACCAGAAAAATTGACTATGTTGATCCTCTGGGAACTCCCCGTGTTTGGGAAATGGCAGTCCGCACGACCAGATCAACAACCACTGCAATTGATGCTGTATCAATTGTATCTGTTTTACATAACCATTCTGGACCTAAAGAAATTGTATTGGTTAAACAATTTCGCCCACCTACTGAGCAAGTAGTGATTGAACTTCCTGCGGGGTTAATTGACGAAAATGAAACTATAGAGACAACTGCGGTTAGAGAACTAATTGAAGAAACTGGCTATCATGGGAAGTTTATAAGATCCAGTCCAATCATGCATAGCGATCCTGGATTGACCAATGCTAATATGGTATTGGCTTATGTAGATGTTGACTTAAATGACGAAAGAAACAAATCACCTAAGCCACAGTTGGAACAAGGCGAGTTTATTGAAACTTTCACCTTACCTTTAGAAGGGTTAATCCACAAGTTAGACCAAATGATCAAGAATGACAAGGTTACCGTCGATGCGAGATTGTACCATTTAGCCCAAGGATTGCAATTAGCAACTGAATTGTAATTGTTAGATTTTCTTTTGTAGCAAAATACATAAGACAAAATTATACAAAAAAAAAAAGAAAATAATATACTGATTTTGGTTATAAGTTTTTAAGCTTACTTTTAACCACCCAAATAACATGTCAGAAGACACCTGCAGTTTCTGCCTTGGAACCGATACGGATATTCCGACGTTTGGAACCTTGCAAGATGCTCAAGATTTTGTACATCCATGTAATACTTGTTCCTTAGTAACCCATAGAAAATGCTTACTTGATTGGTTTAATTCAATTCCCGTTGACGAGTTAATGATTGTTCTTGGTAGAAGACACCATAGTGATAACGGCCTGAATCTGAGTCTCATAAATGAAATTGGTGTTGCTACTCCTTCTGTCGATCAAAATCTGTCATTTCAATTTAGATTCTATACACAATTACCGCGGTGGTTAAATAGTAGCAATATAGAGGAAATCGAGATAACAACCGAAGCGTCAACAGCGCCTTCAACAGCAATCACAGATGAAATTCCCGGTGGGTTTCCTGCATTAGATGAAGATAATGACTCGGTGGCTTCAACTCCTACTCCTACTAGTACGGCTACATCATCCCCACCACAACCAATTTTAAATTCTTCGTTGCCACTTTCAGATATGGTGTTTATAATTGTTCCGTGTCCCCAATGCAAACAACAAATAATATTCTCCATGCGTCGATCCAAATTCATAAGTTTTCAAAACTCTGCTAGAGTCTTTGTTACCCGGGTTGTAAACTATGGTGGAATTTTCCTTATAATCACATCGGCAATAACTGGAGTCTTGTCAATGGGATACATTGGGTTAACTACGTGTGGATTAAAGATTATGGATTGGATGGTACCTGGAACAGCGTTGGTACAAATGTTAACTAAAACCACGCCAAAGAAACTGACCCTGAATTATATAAGTTCTTCCTTGAAGCAATTACTTTTTGGGGAACAATCCCACCAGCTGTATGCGATTGATAATTTAGAAACTGCATTGGTTCATGGATTGATTGACCCTTTCAAGTTTGCCCGGATACCTACTATTCCGTTGGTGTTATATCGTATGAGAAGCAGTTCAATTCTTGAATGTTTCTGGGGTAAGGATAGATGGAATACAATCTATGAGGAAATAATGATCCTCGGATATTTTTCAAATCTTGGTGATAATGAATTACTCAAAGGCATTTTCCATAACTTAGCCCAAAATTTAAAACATCCAACTAAACCAATATCGTTATTGTCGGGAATAAACTTGTTTAAAATTAGTAACTTGATTTCCATGATTATTCCAGTGCGCTGGGCATACGATGTACTATACCGATTAACTATCAACAGAATGTATTTTGATCTTGCCTTGAAGGCACAACCACGACAAATTGCCAATCATTTACCCCCACAAGAAATGGAAGAACTTGAAAGAATATACTCTGATATAAACCAGTTAAAGGGACAGATCCATAAACTGACGTCTCCATCATTCATCAATTCTTCACCGTTGCTTTCTCTGATTTATAAAAAGTTTCAATTAATGAAATCCAAGAACTATCTCCAACTCAGGTTAATGTCCCACTATTATAAAACTATTGCTTGTTTACGATATGATTATTCAAACACTTTCACTAACTATAGCACGACTACAAAAGCAATAACTACAATCTTATGGCCATACGTTGCGTCTAAAGTAGGGAAATTTATTATGAAATTACTTGTAAAGAATCAATCTGATCGGAATCTTGTTCTTGTTAATATGGCTAGTATGATTATTGTTGCTGTTTTTAAAGAAGTATTTAATGTATGGTTGAGTAAAATCAAGTCAAACCAACGGAGTCAAATTAAAACTGTAACTATTGAAGAGGTAGATGTAATTACTGACGTGGAAGATGACTAACTTCATCGCAAACATAGTTATCTAGATTTATTTATTAATGTCATAATGTTTACTATACTTGCTGTAAGCTACACATTCAATTACAAGTAAAATACATAATAATTTTAGTACATACATTATACAAAAAAACATTGTCTCTTTTATACAAAAAAATATTAATCATCATCGTAATTTTCATCTTCTTCAACAGCACGCATTGGAGGTTCAACTGTACTGCTCTTTACTGGTTCTTCTACTTCTTCTTCATTCTTTGATGACTCTTTAACAGGTTCTTCGGATTGGGCTTTTCCAGTTACATTAGCAGAAAATAGTGGCACTGTTGTAGCTGATCCATCTTTTTCTGTACTAACACCGTTTGATTTCACTTCAGGGGTTGATTCTTTAACTTCTGGTTTAACCGGTTCAGCAGGGGCAGCTGCAACTTCAGGCTCTGGGGCTGAGACCGAGGCTGGCTCAACAGCAGGAATAGGAGCTGGTGTAGGTTGTTCTTGTTGCGGTGGATCGACTTTAACTTCTTCTTTAGCAACGACAGGGGTTTCTTCTACTGGCGCAGGTTCTGGTGCTGTTGGAGCGGCAGAAGTAGTAGTAGCAGCAGCAGGTGCGGGTGTTTCAGCAGCTTCAGCCTGTGCAACGGCATTCATTAATGAACTCAATGAATTTCCAGGGTTACCACGTTTTACAACACGATCATCATTCTTGTCTTCTAAATCATGTTTTGTTCCTGCGACAGGAGCAGTAGGTGTAACTTCTTTACTTGGATCTTGTGGAGTGGCTTCCACAGTTGATTCTGGAGAGGTTTTCCTAATTACTGGAACTGGTTGTTGTTGTTGTTGTTGTTGTTGTTGTTGTTGTTGTTGTTGTTGTTGTTGTTGTTGTTGTACAGCAGCAGTTGATGGAACAGGAGCAGAGGCTTGTACTGGAGGAGGAGCTTGTGCTGGGACAGCAACTTGTTGTTGTTGTTGTTGCTGCTGTTGTTGCTGTTGTTGAGGTGCGATTGGAACCACAGTTACTGGGGTTACTGCGGCAGCTGGTTGTCCTGGTTTATTAATGGCCAACTGCAGAAGTTGTGGTGGGGTCAGTTGTTGTGGTTGTTGGGAAACTTGTTGTTGTTGCTGTTGTTGTTGTGGAGGTGGAGGGGGTGGTAATTGTTGACTTGAAGCCATCAAGTGAGGAGGCTGTGGTTGTTGAGCTTGTTGTTGAACTTGAACTGGGATTTGTTGTCCGGGTTGTTGTGGTTGTCCCGGTTGGCCTGGTTGACCTGATTGTTGTTGACCAGTTTGTTCAAGAACCATTCCTTGAGGTAATCTTGGTTGTTGACTAACTGGAGGAGGTTGTGGAGGATGAGTATTTCCTTCCTGTTGATATTTTATCAATTGATCTAATCTGGCTTTAATATGAGGATTTCCTGGATCTAATCTTTCAGCTTGTCTGTATGCATCCAAGGCATCACTGATTTGATTATTACAGGTTTCATATAATGTACCTAAATCATACCAAACTTCACTGATATAAGGATTCAATCTAATTGCTCTAGTATAAGCATCTAAAGCATCCCTATACTGGGAAATTTGATAGTAGAGCACCCCAATGGAACACCAAAAGGTTGGATTTCTTGAATCTCTATTGACAGCTTGTTGGAAGGCTTCATATGCTGCATTGAAATCACCACGAATCATATGGACACGCCCAAGGTAATACCAAGAATGGGCATCATTTTGATCAATTTCTAAAGATTTGGTCAAGTACTTGAGGGCAATATTCAAATCTTGTTGAAGTGGTTGTCCTTGACCTGAAGTGTTTGGAGTGGAAGGATTTGATTCCGCTTGAGAATATAAACAACCCAATTGTTGTAAGACTTTTGCATGTTGAGGGTTGACCTGTAACACCTTTTCATAAGCTTCCTTGGCACCATTCCAATCCTTTTGTTGTTCTAAAACAGATCCAATTTGGAACCAAACATCAGGTTGTGTTAATGGATGAGGTGGAGTTGACAAGATATATTGGAAACACTCTAATGCTGATTGCAATTTACCTTGGTGTTTGTAAATAATTCCCAATCTAAAGTAGATTTCATTTGATTTGTCAAAATGAGGGTCCAATTCTAATACTCTTACAAATGCTTCTTCAGCGTATTCTAAACTTCCATAACGATCATACAAGATCCCAATTCCATGCCAAAGCTTAGGAACATTAGGATTTTCCAAATAGTATAATGCCCTTTGATACGCGGCGTAGGCACGTTGTAAGTCATCAAGCATCAAGTAACAATGACCCAATAAACCCCAGGTATCACCGTTTTCTGGATTAAAGTTAAGAGCTTGTTCATACAATTCAGCAGCCTTAAAGAAAACATCCTTGGAACGGTAGATGTTACCTAATTTGATCAAGATTTCTGGGTTATTAGGTGCGTGTCGAAGGGCAGAATCATAGGATGTCAAGGCGCGATCGACATCACCTAATGATTCAGCAAGCAGACCAATGGCTAACCAGGTTGCTGCAGTAGTTTCTTCAAGAACATTTTGTGTGGCACTGCCATTTCCAGTGGTTTGATTACTGTTAGCAACCGCTGATGCACCTGGTAAACCGCCGTTCAATGGGGGAGGTGGTGGCGGAGGTTGTTGTTGTTTCCCCACTGGTTGTATTTGCGCAGGGTGATTCGTAGTATACATAATGATTCACCTAAAGTTTTGAATTGATTCAAGCCGTGTGTGATAGTACTAACCGTCTAGATGAAGTTATTTCTGATATGTGTTTTTTTGGACTTTTGGGGTTGTCTTTTGTTGTCCATGAAAATAAAGAAAAAAAAAAAGACTTGAAAAAAAGAAAAAGCGAAAAAAAGGATTCTAAAAAAAAATAACATCGATTATTTTTTTAATCTTTTAAGTTTCCGGTGGAACTGACACAAAAGGGGAAAAATATAAGCCTAAGCAAAAAAAAAAAAAACAACTGGAATTAACGTAAAAATGGGAATAAACAGTATGCTAGACTAAGCCCTTTGACTAGGGCAAACCATTGTCAAAATTAGCTCAATGGAATTAACAATTACACCCCCTAGACTTGTGCATACTGTTCGAGCTAGTTCCCCGTTCCGGAATGTCCCATCCTACCCGAGACAATCAAAAATGAAACATAGTCCATCAATTGATAGCACACACCTTCGCCCAAGAAAAAAAAAAATAGAAATTGTTAGTTGGCTGGCTAACACGGGGTGTAAACGAAGAAAAAAAAATCCAAGAAGGCTCAACAAAAAAAAAAAATATCGGACAAATAACAATTAAAGGTAATGACTATATTTCAATTCTATACGTAGCGGTGGATGTTGGTTGTTAAGCCTGTCGATAAAGATGGTTGGAAATACCAACAGTGTCGAGATGGCGTGGTTTCTTTGTTCGAGATTCGTCTATATCGATTACGTCAACTCACTTCTAGTGGTTGTTCGTTCAAACTGTGACACACGCATCTGAAAAGGGGGGGTGTAAAATAAGCATTCCTTTGTGTTTTAGTGCCTTTTTTTTTTTGTTTGTTATTAGTGGAGCAAAAAAAAAAAAAACAAACTAGTGGTGACAAATGATTTGTCCAGTGGGCAAGGTACGTTAATTACCGGCTAAGCTTGTAAGGAGGCACGGCAACGGATTTATATTAACGAACAGGATATATATATATGCAGGATTTCTTCTATTATTGCAAATCTACGAGATATTTGGGTCCCATGCAAAACTAAGAATTGGTAAACATTTTCTCTAGGAACTTACAACGAAATATGGTAGCTCCGGCTACATTTGTAACTACGATGTAATATAATTATTGTTCATGCCATATATAAACAGGATTTACAAATTCGACTTTCTATTTGTTTGACTTTTAAACCCACTATTAAATCCTAATAATTCATTAATATCTTTAGTCCAATCATTTTTACCTTTGGCGATACACATTATTCCATTTACTGGCTGTTGTTTGTCATGATCGCATTTGATTTGTTCTTCCAGCCTGACATGTAATTCATCACCTGGTCTTAAATCAGGCTGGGGTATTCCGTCAATTGTTAACTCAATTGATTGATTTCTATTGTTATTTTTTGATAATCGGATCTTAATGTCGGAAGAATTTGGGAGAATCAATGGACGGAATGAAAGAGATCTAGGACAAATCGGTGTAAGCAAGATACAAGGAACTAACGGGTGAGTAATTGAACCACCGGCAGAAAGTGAATATGCTGTTGAACCAGTAGGAGTCGCAAATACCAACCCATCAGCCACTGTTGTGGTAAAGAACTCATCATCAATAAAGATATCCACGGCAGTAAGATTTGGTAAATTACCTCGGTGTAAGGAAATGTCATTCATAGCATGAATCATTTCAATTGGTTCTTCGTTCTCACAGTCTGGCGTAACACAATGTTCACGATGCACATGACATTCAAGACGATTTCTATGTAATGCTTTACTTCGATTTTCATATACCATTTTAAAAGTATCTTGACAATGTTTAAAATCAAATGGCAATAAGAACCCAAGGGTCCCCATAGCAAACAGCAACACTGGAGGAACAATTGAATTCAGAAATATACTAACCCCACGTAAAATTGTCCCATCTCCACCTAATGTAACCATTAAATCAGTCTTGTCAACAATTTCCAGCTTTGTACCAGTATATATTATATGTCGAATACTGGGATCAAATAGCTTTGTAATTGTGCTTGTTTCGTGCACTAATTCATCTGCAACATCTTCACTAACTATAACATTCACTGCAGGGTACTGCTGGTGTAGATGGTTTATCAATTCAATCATCGCCTCCCGGACGGTAGTATCCCACGGCTTCTTAACAAGGAATACATTCTGAGGTGGCGCTGATCTCCATATGATATGGTATAGCCTACCTTGAGTTGACTTGATATATTCGGGTAGTTTTGCTTGTGGGAGGTCACCACATGACTTGACTAAAACAAGTGGCCTGTTGCTATTGTTGTTACTGCTACTATTAGATAACGTCAGGGATACGGCAGAGTGACTCATCAGCAAACAACGAACTAAATTCTGTGTTGGTCCTAAAAGTAAAGGTTGTCTAGGTAGGAAAGCACGTAACATCATACGTTTTAAATATGTGTAATTTGTAGGGTAGGTCGTATAAAAGGGTTTGGATATCACCACCACACTACAGTGAAATGACTAACTAAGCAAAAAATGTTTATGTGCAGGGGGGAAAAATGGGGCTGATGAGAAAATATAGAATTATACATCACGTGATACTTTTATATACTGTTACACATTACACTACTTTCTACTCACTGTTCAACTTCTCAATCTCATTCATCTCTTCGTCTGTCAACTTTGAAGTACCATTGGTGGTCTCATCTATATTCTTTTCCCCCTTATCTTTGTCATCTTCTTCATAAAATTCATTGTCTGGTTGAATTTGGGCATCTCGAGCTAATTCAGATCCACCTTTTGTGTCCATTGCTTCTTTAGTGTCTTCTTCAACATCACCTAATTCTTCTGCATCATTAGGAACAACATTCATTTGAACACTTGGTGCGTGTTTTGTATTCTCCAAATTTGAAATGATATTGGTTAATATCTTATCCAAAAACTCTGGCGAATTTGAATTATACATATTAGAAGGTCTAACATCTAACTTATAATCCGGAGCATAGTATTCATAGTATTCATTGTATGGTAATTCTGAAGGCAATACGACGTTATTCAACAATCCAGATTCGAATGCCCAAGTTCTAGCAACATTTCTCATAGTATAACCACCTCCACCAAGAACCATCATAGGGATATTAAACGATTTAACAAAATTAATACAATTAGCATGTCCCGACATTGATAAATTAAAACATCCTAATCTGTCTCCACTCAAGGAATCACCACCACATTGTAAAACTATAGCTGAAGGTTGGTACCATTCAACAATCTTGGTGATTAATGGTTCAAAGATAGATTTATAGGTAGCGTCATCAATCCCATCTCGAAGTGGAACATTAACACTATGATACTTCCCTTTACCAACTCCGATATCTCTTAATTCTCCAGTACCAGGGAAAAATTCTCCATATTTATGGAATGAACATGACATAACTCTATCAGTTGTATAAAATGCTTCTTCAACACCGTCACCATGATGGACATCTATATCAATATATAATACTCGAGGATGATATCTCAACAATTCAATTATTCCAAGAACAATATCATTTAAATAGCAAAACCCACTAGCTTCGGATTTCTTAGCATGATGTAATCCACCAGCATAATTTATAGCAATGTCACATTTGCCTCGGTTTAACCTAGCTGCACCTTCCATACTCCCACCTCCACTAATCCCACAATATTCAAACAATCCGTCGAAAACAGGACAATCATCACCGACATTAAACTTAATCTGCTCCTTAGCAAATAATTCTAAATTATCAGGAGAAACCCTCGATATAAAATCAATATATTCATCTGTATGAAATTGACACATTTCCTGCTTGGTAGCTGGTTTAGCTCGGTAGATTTCCATCTTCTTATATAACCCATAGTTCATAATCAAAGAATGTGCCATTCTAATACGATGGGGCTTCATAGGATGACCGGCTCCATAGGCGTAATTCCCAATATCGGCATCATAGAAATATGCAATACGTTTTTTCTGGGTTGGATCAACTTTTAATTCGTCAAATGGAAGTTGAACGTACATGTTTGTTGTGTGTAGTTTGTTGATGTTGCTGATTGTGTTGGAGGAGTTTTGGTTTTTTTTATTTTTTCACCTTGACAAACTCGGCCAAATTTGGAGGCGCCGTGGCACGTGATTGGAACTACTCCGTTTTCTTTCGCAATCCCAGATATTTTTTTTTTGCAACAAGTTACATAACCATAATTCAGAAACAACAGATGATCTTAGATATCGTTCGTGGCATGTGAGTATTGGGAAATACAAGTATTTATGACCAGGCATGTTATTTAAAAGACCAATAAAAAAGACAAACACTTAGAAGGAAAAATATATAAATTAACCACGGAAGTTTTTGCCACAACCCTTTTTCTTGATCCTTATCAATCAAACTCTGGTCGTCGATACTTACATCTAATAACTCCGAACCGTACCTAGGAAAACACTGAAAAGATATAGAAATCAATTTAAGAGCTTAGTTCACATTGATTATCAAGCCAATTATCATTAATCATTAATCGCCTCTGTAAAAACGAAATATCCTCAGAATAGTGACTAAATATTATGTCACGGGAATCAAAAGCAAAACACTTTCCAATGGCTGTGATCTACATTTCTTCCATAGGTTAGCAATCTTCTTTCGAATTACTTCAATCAGATCCTTATTTTCTGGGAGTCTTAGTACAAGCAGTATTAGAGTTCTATAGTTATTACATTGGAAATAAGTTTTCGTCAGTTCCCCAAAAATAGCTTGTGAATTATGAAATATAGCTTTCAAGGAATCCCTTACCATATCTTCAACACCAAAATCAGTTCAAATAAAGATATCAGACTTTGCAGACTGGAATAGCAACACATCTGAAAGGAGCAGCTTGTTTGATTCTTTTCCTAGGTAATAATAACCAGAGATCAATAGTTATCTTCTTTGTAAAATCTAGCGTGGTGTTTTCGGGAAGTGTGATGAAAAATAAGTCATTCAACAATTTGGTTTGCATCAAAGACGGAGTTTCAACTAAACTTACCATTTGATAACTGCTTAAAGAATCCAATCTTGACATAATTGAAATTTTTTTGAATTGGTCAAGCTCAGATACAGCCTAAAGGGATAAGTTTTCAGGACACTTTATAGTATTATGGGCCATTTCTGTTTGTTCTTTAATTGACTTGGAAACTGAAAAGCAGGATTCCTAGGGTGCATTCATTTTAAAATCTCATTTATAATATCGTAAACCTTTTGAATAGTGGAAATTAATATTGAAAACCTAAAGTGATAATGGCTTAGAATATATAACATGAAGAAGGGTAGTTTTATATCAAAGAGAGAATTACATGCTGGATCTAGTTAAGAAGGCACTTTCATAACAATTGTCTAAATCGTATACAGGAGATCTGAACTGTTGTGCTCTCAGAAGATAAATATTCCACTTTAGTAAATTTAGAATTAATACTTCCTGGGGCTAGTGGGGGAATACAAGCTTGCTTAACTAATTAATTTGAAAATAAGGGCAAGAAGAGCATTATACCCAAGAACATGCCCGGACAGATCACATAGTTAAAACATTGCGATAGCACACATAAAAGGTATCACGTTCTTAAATGTTTGCAGCCTCCCTTCTACAAGTAATTAAGAATGTACTCTTTTTATAATATAGTATTTAGTTAAGAATGGTTACAGATCAATCTAGAATTACCTAAAAAATACCTGCTATACATATACACTAGAACTACTCTTGTTGTCTTTCCCTTCTTAATCTGTGCTTATAATCTTGTAATTGTTGATTCAATTGGTGTTGTAATTCGGCATTTTCACACCATTTAGAATAAATCTCCTGATTAACTTTAAAATTAATTCCATTTTTATCAAAAGCATGAATTGATTTAATATTAATATTAATTGGTAAAATCCAAGTTTTCCAATCTGGTCCCATAACCAGCTTCCAATTTTCCCAAGCACCCAAATCATAAATATTACTGTTTTGTACTTTATTCGTAAACTCGTAGTTGTACCCCCTGTCGGAGCTCCCCCATCGTTGCAGTTGAAATTCAATTGTAGTTAAATTCTTAAAGATAAGGTATACCAGAAACGCAGCAAACATACTCACTGCTACCGAAAATGCAAATGATAACACACAAAGAATTACCAAATTCAACGATAAAAACTCATGGTGGAATCTTTCACCCCACAAGAACCCATAAACCACGAGAAATGAAGTTACAAACACAAACGTACTATATATGGCAACATATATCAAGAACTGTACGAAAAATTTATGATTGAAAAACCCAATACAGGTTGAAAACCAAGGGCAATAATGGTCCATTTTTAATATACATCGTCCTGATGAAGAACAATGATGGGTTCTGTCTGGTTTCCAACATTGGCATTTATCACAATAATGGTACCCTTGATTCCCGTTTATTTGTGCTGTATGTACGGTCATGATATGCTTTGGGGGTGGTTGTTGTTGAGGTTGCTGTTGTGATGAAGGGTTTTCAGTATATGGGTTCTCATGCAATGGTTGGTTGAATTTTAATTCAGGATAATCTAATGGTGAACCTGGTCCAATCATTATTATCCGGTAGTATGTTACGATACATAGGATATATAGTATGGATGTTGTCGTATTTATTATTATGGACGTGGTTGAAGATTCAATATACTTTGGCAGTACAATAAATATAATGACAAGGGTTGACCATGTCAACGTGAGTGTACAGAATAACTTGGGAAATAAACCTGCTAGATAACAACAGAATGATTCGAACGATTGTAGGCCACTAGAGACTGTCATTGCTAACTGAGTAAAGAATTGTTACTCGAGTAATTTTAGGTCTTACAATTTTTTCTTCTGTTGTCTCAAATTTGTGTCTCGCTTATCGTGGAGTCGCGAATTCCTGCTGTCTCAGTATCCCGATTGCTGTTCGTAGGATATAGTTGAAGGTTTCTATTGATACTTTTTACAACACTTTTTTTTTTTGATTTATCTTCTATAAATATCTATTTAAATATTTTTACTCCATTTTCTTCTGCACACTCACCTTCTTTCCGTTAAATTTGATCATGGATTCATACCCAATTCCTCCAAATACCAACAACACACCAATCCATTGGGTTACATTTAATGTATGACCAAACAATATCACAGAAAGAATCATACTTAACATTTTTCTAGTTACAGTTGCCGTTATCAACACAATCGAATCAAACTTTTCCAAGATTATAAACACAAAAATCTGTCCAATTGCACCACACAACGAAAACGATATAATATCCACCACTAATTCATGATGCTTGTGAATAAACAATGTTGCTTCTTTGACTTCGTCAAATTGGAAGATCAAAGTGTATGACAAACTAATAATAAACACAAACAAATTAAGTAAGCACATCAATTTTGCCCCTGTGAGTCTCACCTTGAACTTCTGTTTAAATAACTGATCTTGTGTCAGATTAGTTAATCCGTCCAACAACATTGATCCAAAAAGTAATGACATCCCATATAATGAGTTTCCGTCATTAATACTGGTTTTTTTTGCTCCATGGGATATTGTGAATGCAATGACTCCAAGAGTAATAAGTACGGCAACCAAGTATTTATACCATGGAAATTTGGTTCTATAAAACACAAAATGAATAAACATTACTGGAATTAACTTTGAAGATTTGGCCAAAAGATAGGCAACATAATCCAAGTGATTTAACGATTTGTAACCTAAGGGAGACGCCAAACTGGATGTTATCGAAATAATCACCAACGACTTAAATATACTCATACTTGACTCATAATCATTCTTAAAGAAAACATCAAATGGTGAACTATTATTCGCAAATATAGTATATATAAATCCCACTAGGGAGGCACATAATGCTTGAATTATATTAATTATTAAAGGTGACTGGAAGTACTCTTGCTTATCACCATATGGTTTCGTATTTATTCTTTCCTGGAGAATGGACCATGTAAGAAAAGTACCATAAAGTCCCAATACACACGTTATTAATGTTATTACTCGTCCACGTTGCTTCATATTTTTGTTTGGTTGTAGTTTAGTGTCTGTGGGTTTGACTATTGTCAGGGTCATTTTGCTATGTATTAATATGCAACTGTTTAAACGCTTTGGTATGACAGAATCATTCCATGTTTTCTACAGTTTCTTTTTTTATTTTTTTTTTCCAGCATTAATTTTCTGCACCGCAGATATTGAACACGTCTTCGTTATATTTTTTATTACGTCACAATATGTGTCACTATATGCACACTACTATTCCACTATACGCTCTAACTACGACCAAATATTCCCCCAAAGAACCCACCGCGCTTCTTTTCTGGTTGTGTTTGGTCAGATTTTTGCTGTGGCAATTCGCTAGTACTAGGATTTATAGCTAATAAGTCACCTTTCTTCAAATCATAAGAAATGTAATTGAATCCAATATCAAACAACACTGGTTTAGACAAGATTGGTTGGATTTTACCTTGTAAATTAATAATATCATCAAGTTCGCTTGTAGCTGGGAATTTGTTTATGTTTTCAACAACATATTTCGAAGATATTCTTCTTGAGTTCGAAAATTGGGCACTGATATGGGATTGTAAGGTTTTAGTTTGTAATTCTTGTTTCAATTGGGCAATCTCTTCATTTGTACTTATATTGAATGGGAAATCAACCTTGTAAAACTGCTCCTCAGAAGTCAAGTTCTCATTGATGTGATTATAAATTGATAATGCTTCTTTGAACAATTCACGGTATTGATAGGTTTCAGCGAGAACAACATTCTTTCTGGTATCAAACAACTTTTCCAAATTTTCTAAAGAATAACTCAAATCTTCATCATTGAAAACACCAGGAAGCTCTTTAATTTCACCCACAATTTGAATGATACTGTTATATAATCTAACCACATCACGGTTCTTCTCAATACTTTTGTTTGATTGTAATTTATCAATCAATAATAAATCTCGTTTCAATCTAGTGAATAACAAATTATAATTTATAAATGTCAAGAAGATAGCTCTATGTTGAACTTGTTCAAAATCATCATCTTGCTGATTCTTTTCTGTATCTAATTTATGTAATTCCAAAACATCAGTCCAACCGGTAATAACAGTATCGAATTGATTAGGGTCAATGAATCCAGCCCAGTCCTTGTTCTCGGTCAATTTCATAATTTTGAATGCAATTTCATCATTGTAAATTTGGGCTTGATGATTTCTCCAGTTAATTTCCTTAATCAAAGTAACAGAAGACAGAATATCGGATACAAATTCCGGATCTTTAGATTCAATTAACTTAATAACATTAGTCAATACTGGTACCTTCTCTTCATGACAATATTTCCTGGAAATTGTCTTTAAGTCACTGACTAATTCAATATCAGCCTGAGAGATTGCCAAATTTAAAGAAGGATCAACCAAATTATCAATTAATTCATTGATCAAGGTCTTGCTGAATTGCTTTTCTTCACTTTCATCTTGACCATATTGAACATATAAGTAATCCAAAGCACATTTTGCGATTGAAAATGTGTTCAATGCCTTGTCCCATTGTTTCTTGATAATATTCAATTGTCCTTGAATCAATGCAGTATAAACATACAATTCAATAACCTTGACAAAATCTTCATCATTACTACTCAATTCCAACACTTTATGAGCATGTTGTAAAGCTCTTTTCACTTTTGAAACCATTAAGGTCTTATACTTACCTGCTTTTTCATTCTCATTGCTACTGATATCCAACAAACTCTTAATTTCAAGAGCATACAAAATATCACGTTCAGCTGTCAACAAAGAAACTAACCCAAAGTTATCATCATTTTTATAATCATCTTGACTAATTTTAGTGATCTTCTCCTTAGTCTTGTAGTTCTTGGTATCACGAGTGATTAACCCTAATTCATGACGTAACTTATACAATCTTCTATTAACTCTCTTTCTTTGTTTGCGGAAATCTTCAGATGTCACTAAGTAGGCACTCATACGAGCACCAATGGTGGTGTTCAATGGACTCTCCATTGCTAACTTGGTTTGGTGGTATGAATTTGAAGGTAAATTTGGTTGTCGAAAACAAAAAAAAAAAAATACACTGGAAAATTTTTGGTCAGACAGAAAAATTGTGCGTGTGCACGACCTTGGTGCTACCAACTTTGTTCTTTCGATGTTATAACATTGGTTGTGAATACATTAGTTATAAATAAATACAAGAATTATTATTGCATTAGTTATACTTTAACTATTTAACTAGGATCTTGCAAAAAATTATGGAGTTTGTTCATATTCCTGTCGAGACATGTTTCCTCAAACCGATTTAGAGTCTTGAGTGTAGTATAAAACTTCTATCTAAGATATAACCACGAAGATGTTCCTACAACCTATCGGAAATTAGACGAGTAATATACCAGAGGTGTTATACTAGGTTTGTTTAGTTTTCCGGAGACAATTTACAGTGTTCAATAAGTTATTCCGGTCTGAGTGAGGTTAATCTGATTGATCTGTTTTTAGTTACTCCAGAAAAGTGTATATTTGGTTATAGATATTGAAATATAATCAATAAATGCCTTTCTCCTAATGTAGATTTTCTATTTTGCTCAAATATGATTATTTCAAGTAAACTGGCTCATTGTTTGCTATTTAATGTTAAAAATTTGGATTCTTACTTAATTATTCGAGCAATTATTGTTGAATTTTTCTCAAAACTTTGCCCCACACAATATACTTCATTTGATGCTGGACGATAACAATTTCTGTAGTATAAGTATCTAATGGCAATCATGAAGGCTGTAAGATCTATAGATACATAGAAGTACCCCATCTAAGTCCCTAAGACGACTTTGAAAATTTTAACTTTATTCACAATTGGTTGAAAAATTTAAACCTCGAGTTGCAACAAGTTCTCCTGGTAGCTTAGTTGGTTTAAAGCGCGAGACTGTAATGAGTACCTCAAAGTAATCTTGAGATCGGGTGTTCGACTCACCCCCGGGAGATATATTTATTTTTATTGTTTTTTTGACAAGTTTCCAGTATGATCAGCATGTATTCTTGTTCTTTCACTTTTTGCAATTGTATTTAAAGTTGCTGAAGATAGATTACTATATTAGGAAAGTGGGGTGATGGAATTTGAAATTTTGTTTTTTCTGCTGGTTCGTTCGTTGGTTGCAAAAAAAAAAAAAAATAATTTAAATATTAAAATGTTCATGAATATTAAAATGCGAGAAAATGCTATATAATGTCACTAAAAGACATCACTAAAATAAATAAATAAATGCGAATAAATGCTAAAAATTGAATATAATTAACCCACCAGCCCAACCGCAACAAAGGGCAACAATAACAAATACACTCCATGATATAATTTGATGTTTATGAGGAATCGGAGTATACCTATAAAACATCAAATTAACACTAATTAAACTGAAAATCAAACTTAACGCAATTCCTAAAATAAGTATAATCATTAACCCGATATTATTGACAATCAAGAAATGATGGTCTTGATTGGAATTATCGAATATCAGATAGATTATACCCAACTGTATACCAGACAAAAACAAAGCAATTAAATTCAACAGGAAATAAATATATGATAGCGTTTGATCATATTCTAATTGATACTTGATTTGGAAATCATTTCTATGGAAATATGATGGTGGCTCTTCATTTATTGAATCATAAGGTGAATGATAACTATTATGATAACAAGCAAGTAACTTTGTATAAGGATCAAGATATTGTTCTTCTTCATTATGATAGAAAAATGGATTCTCAGCTTGTTTAAATCTGATTTGCTTCTTCTTCTTTTCAATCTTCTTGAAAAGTCTATTCTTGAAATTAAGCAAAGTGTCAATGAATGCATTCAAGGAAGAATCTCTTGCCGGTTCTGGAATTTCAAAATAAATTCCATAATCTTCATCATCTTCATCACCAGTAAGGAGTGTTTCATCATTGAATCGTAACAATTCATTTGGAGATATACTTAACTCTTCTCCGTTTGCTTGACCTGGTTCATCAAATATGGAATTATGGACACTTGAACCAAATGAATTCTTTTGGTTATCATCTGGTGATGGTGTTGGTGTGTTTAATGACTTGATAGACATCTTGTGTTCAATGATTCTCCTTGATTTTTGTTTGATCAAATCATTTTCTTGACTCAATTGGTTATTCAAACTTTCAATATTTTCATAATTTTTCAATAAATTGATTTCAAGTAAGTTTGTGTAATGGTTGTTAACATATTTGCCATCAGGGATAACGTTATAATAACATGATAATTGATATTGGTAAAAGTTTAACCCTTTAAATAAAGTTAAACTATTATTGGTTAATATCGATTGGATCTTCTTCGGTAAATTTCTCATACAACTTGACGAATATTTATTACGAATCACTTGATCTTTGATATTGATTTTTGTTTCAATTGAATCTTCAAAGTTTAATAATTTGATATCATTGGAGTATACAGCAAGATGATTATGTGGGAATGGGTCTAGATCATTGTGATTTTCAGGAAATGTCAAATCATTGACGTATTTTTGGTTATTAGTAGTTGAAATTTCTGAATCCAAAGTAATCAAATAGTGATTATCTGGATAACCACTAGCCAAGGAATGGTCATCACCATCTTCAGAATTTTCTTCCCCTGGTTCTTCGTCTTCGTTGATAATATATCTTGATCTTTTACTGAATAACTTCAATTTAGGTACCAAGTTATGAGAGGTTATATGATCAATGGTTTTCTTAGTTAAATGATTGACTTGATGAGTTTGAAAATATTCAATCAATCTGTTCTTGTATTCCTCATTTTCTCTGTCATTCAAATGATGAATGAAGAGTTGAACAATATCATTTGGTAAATAACAATATGAATATTTCCTTAAACCACCAATATGTGCAATTATTAAGGAATTTTCTTGAGAATTGGAAGATATAATCACTGAAGGTTCAACGAATATATCTTCTTCTTCCTCACTCATCAAATAAGTATATGATATTAAATCAGTAGATGATAAGTTTTTCAAATTTAAATAGATGCTGAAGTTTAATATCAAATCATTCATGGTATTTGAATCTTGAGGTATTAATGCATGGGATTGGAAGTTTTTCTTTAAATATACCGACAAATCAAAGTTTGACTCCAAGGTTAAGTTATCATGTTGGTGTGGTTGTAATTGTGGTGGTTTTTGATGTGGTAGACTCTTTGAAAATATAGAATTTTGGTAATAAGTGTCTGATAATAATGTGGATGATATACTAAACATGGACGTTTTCCTTGCTAGACCGACCGAATTACCTTCAACTAAACTATTCAATCGTTTACGTTCATTCTTGATTTGGTTGATACTATTGGTAATTTTCATTGTTAAAGGAGACAAATCAAAATTAATTAACGAATTTGGATTCTTAACCAAATAACTCTTTAATTCAAGGATAAACTTTAAACTTTGATTCTTGACTGGATAGTATTTAAGTAATTTCTTGAAGATCTTCTTGATGGCAATTTTTTGAATAACAACGAATTTTGACAAGTTTTTCAATACTATGGAAATTTCAATAATTTGGTAGAAAATTTCATCCACTTCAACAAGACAATTTCGTAAATCATCATCTGTTTGATGACAAGATTTAACAATCTTTTGGAGACACAACTCATAATAGTCGAATTTTCGTATTAATTCTCCATATTTGGTCTGAATGAATAAGTTTATATAGTCAAAATTGTCCACGAATGATTGATGCAACAGATCCAAGTTGGTTGATTTAGTCTGAGTAATTTCTCTAATTTGATATTTTAAATCATTATAGTCTATATTATAGCTTTTCCATTCTGGAATTGATAAGTGTTGTAAATTATTACCAAATTTCATTTGATAATGCCTTTATAATGCTCTTTTGAATTTTTTTTGTTGTACACAGCCTTTTTTTTTAATTTTGTGCAAAATGTTTTGTGATAAGTCACGTCCTTGTGTTGTATTTATATGGACGTATCCAGACTTTTGATGAAAAGATAAAGCCGAACAGTGGAGAACTAATAAGGTGGATATGAAAAGGGATGAAAGTGCCTTTTGCCAAGGCGTTTATCTAAAAAAAATGCAGTGGTAATTTCAAGTGAATCTATCAAATAACCCCTTTTGCTGATATGCTACTATGTTGCAGAGGACTAGTTTATAATAACAGCGGAATTTATATGTATAACACCCTGAAGCAGGATTGAAATGTTTACAGTTGAAAGACGCTGTCGTTGAGGTTTGGAGAACGTTGGATGTAAAAAACTTGTCAATGAACAAAGTAGAGGGGATCCCTGTCTTTTTAAATTAACGACATTAATTCTTTTTTTTTGTGTCGAGTTTTGTGATTATTTTCCAATGCGGCGACATACAAAATATAAAATTTTTGTCGCATGTCCAAGTCTCACACTCTGCCTTACTCCTTTTGGTAGATCCTGCACTACCTGTATATAAAATAATAATGTAAACAATGTAACAATTCATCTTTATGTAATATAATAATTCGTAAACAAAGATAAAGAATAATATTTTAATTATTTATTTATCTAGTTAATTATTAAAAGGATTCAAATATCTTCCCACGTGGTCGCCTATTATATGTTGAAGCACCAGCCATAAAAAAAAGGGATCAAAAGGGATGAGCTAATTTTCCATAGCGAGATGCTACAATGTCGTAACAAGAAATACTATCTTCATAGTTTAACTCTAAAGACTGTTGGATATCTTAAAGTTCGATTTCTTTCTTTTTTTTTCTTATGCATGCTTGGCATTTATTTTAGTCGTTTTACTGTGACCAAGAAATTCGCTAGTCCTTATCAGCATTATTTGTCACATGTCACATATTTGTAATTTCTTTTTTTTTTTTTTGCCTTCTGTTTTCTGGTATTACGACATCACGGAACTGGGCTATGAAAACAGGAACGATCTAATTGTTTGGTTGTCTTTGTCACAAAATTTTTTTTGAAGTAGTCAATTGAAATTTTTCTGACACAGAATTGAGAAAAGCCAATTTCATAAATTATTTTTTATGCATTAACCAACCTCAAACCAAAACTAATTCTAATAGCCCCTCTCAAAAAATCACTTCCGAACGCCCAGTCTATGTCGATCCGAACCAGCCAACCAACCACGGATGAGGTTAGAATCTGACTGAGAGCCATGGTTTTTGGAAAGTTCTTGGAAATTGATACAGAGAGGTCCTGCATCTGAATTTACTTAAGCACAAGAGATGTTACATTTTAACTAAGATTTTTTCTTAGATCTTAGGAATTCGGGCTAGACCCTGATTTGCAAGCCACAGTATTAGTCTGCTTTAAGAACATTGACGTCTCGCCTCTTTTCTAGCAGTCCTAATCGCCCATCTGAGGAAAAAATAAACATGTATCGATACTTTTTTTTTTTGATGCCTTCCCTCCCCGCCACCCTTTCTCAAATCTAGACTTTTCATGTCACACTTTCGCGACATATATAATAATCATGACACAGATAAATCATACGAATAACTAAAAGGGGGAAAAGGAAATATTTACATTTCAAGTTATGTCGTGACATAAATTTCCCGTTTATCCCTGAGGATTCACGTCCCGCCTCATTGCATACCTCATCGCATCCCTTATCGTCATTCGCCCTTACTACATGTGTCATTTCTTTTTTATGTCTTTAAAATATTTTGAGACATTTTATTTTCTAGCGAGTTTTCAATTAAGAATTATTTTTCGTATGCTCGCCTTGGAAACTCTTCCCTTTTAAGCAATTGTGCTTCCAGAAAAATGCAAGATAAATCTGGTTGTTTATTGCAAGAATTAATCTACTAAAAAACTCAAGATCGGTCCAGGATAAATCAAATGCCGAGACTGAATCATGCCATAAAAGGAGACAGTGCTGGATCAACTCCTAATGTAAACAAAAGAGAAAGGGGGTGAAGTGGTGCATTTACTATGCTACCTATTTTTAGTAATAACTTGAAGCAAGCTCATCCTTGTCAATTTAACTCTTCTTGCATTTCCGAAATATGTCCGACTTCTAACTAATCCAATAAGGTAGCATTTAGGAGGGTGGGGGGCTTGAAATTCTGACTTCCTTTAGACAAAATCGCACACGACCAAAGGAAAGTTTATTGTAGTGATTGTTACAAATTTTTCAATCATTCGTGTGACATATTACCTGAAACGTGGGCCCCCCTCTCCTATTTGTGTTACTTTTAAAATTAAAAAGAATAAATTATTTTTGCGAAGCCATAATACAATTTTTACGAAGCATCGCTACCATATATTGAAAAACTTCTCCCGAGATTGTTTATTGAATATAGAATAATTTACACGACTCGCTAATCGTCTAAATAACCTTTTTCTGGGCATACTCAGATATTTCAACTAGAATAGTACCTTGAAAGATTAGTATTTAAACTAAATGATGTAGTCAATAAAATGTCCATGCTGGTCAAGTGCCCGGGGAATTTGATTACGTTTGTTTAATAACAAAGGGTACTTAACAATATAATCATTATACGCAGGGGAACAATATGGGCTGAAACAGTATTTTCTATTGATTTTTTTTTTTACATACGAGCTTTTGCCCTATTTGGAGCGAAATGCTATAAACAAGGAAGGAGCAAGTTTTGTGAATATGCCTGTTTTCTTACAAGTCCTCTTATAGATGGCAGGATAACAATAACTTGCGATGTTTCTTTAACTTAGGAGCACATTACTGGCAATAAAATCCGTTACCAGCGGGTTACTCTCCCCAATGTAAACAAATATGTCTTTTTAGAGTTCGCATAAAAGAAATGAGTTTGGATGCAGTTTCCCCGCCTTATGACACTTAAGAAAACAATGCTCAGAACTAAACTTGAGGCTATTGTAGACATCCTCAACTGAATTAAATATAGATTACGAAAGGTCTAAGCAGGCACTTGGTAAAAAGGATCTAAAGTTAACTTGGAACTTATTCGTTGCATATTAGTGCATACGTTTTGGTTACTGGGTTGAGATACGTAACACGAAATGAAATTGAAACTCTACCTGATACTGCATGAAAAGAAGGTTCTTTAGAATCTCTAGTTTTTGAGTTGTACGTTAAGCCACATTTTGGGACTCAAGAAAATACACGGAGAAAGATGTTTTCCAGAAGAAATTTCTATTGGGTAAATGACACCTATGGCAAACAGCACATTGTTATTACGGGTTACTAAATATATAGCTTTATATTTGAAAAAAAAAAGTTATCCCAACCTGTATTCCCCACTGCTCTGCACCAAAAGTTTCTCAAAATGTCCTTCTAATTACGTATATTTAATTATATGGTTGTTGTCTGATGGTATATTTCTTCTCTGGTAAATAGTTTAAGAATTGGGGTATTTTTACTTTTAACTCCGTTGAACTTACTTGTTAACAGCATAGTTACTCTATCAAGGTTTTATTTAGTGAAAATATAAATTTAGTAAAGCATACTATCATTGATGTTGCAGAGCTAAATGATTATTTAGAATCTTGTTATTCGCATCTAGTTGGAAAATGTCCCTGGATTATCTGATGAAAAATGCTGTCATAGTGTCATACCTACTGGTAGTGTCTTTGGTTTAGTACTGTACATAGACAAAACAGAAAGCATTCAGAAACCCCTTTGTAGCTCAGGGCTGTATGATTTTTTTTTGCCCCAGTAGAAGGCAAATTTTTGCACTGTACAACATAAAAGAAGACTGTATATTACATGTATTTAATGGCTTAGAAGACATTGTTGAGAAAGTCTTGTGACACAAAATAGTTTTCGAGTTCGAGGTTTCTAATATCTGTTTAAATAATTGTATGTTCTAATTAGACATTTCCAAGCTTAAACAACAAGCAAGAATATTATTGGAGTATATGTTATACAAGAATGAACCCTCAAAAGAAGCAAATTTTCTTGTGATACTTCCCCACCCCGCATTTTTTTGTGTTAAGTCAGTTGACATTTAACAACATTTAGCTGCCAAGAAAATAAACGATCTGTTTACCAAAACTTTATTGGCGAAAAAATTCAATTTTTCTAGTTTTTTGTTCAATGTTCTCGTTTTATTCTTATAAGTAGATTGGTATAATACCATATTTTTTTGTTCACATTTATAATTGCACTAGACCAGTTTGCTACAAGAACAGAAATCTAACAAATGTCAGAAAATTCTTCCAAACAAGGAGCTGAAGATACTTCAGACAACAATATACCTAAAGAAAAGTCTACAGACGACAAAGAAAAAGCTCCAAAGGTGTTGATCAAATTTTTGAATAATGATGGAACCGTAGATCTAGGTCCATATAAACCAATGATAAAAACTGACGTGCCTCCCAAAAAAGTCAAAATTACTTCCCTCCCTGATAATATTCTCCAGATGGTTTTAAGTCTCCTCAATCAAGTTGACGTAGTTAATGTCAGTCGTGTAAACAAGAAGCTTAATAAACTTGCCACCTCAAAATTGTATAAATCAATCTTTGTTTATTTACCAGAAGATCGAGCACTCGATCCACCCAGACGAGTTTGCAAGAGTACACAACTAGAATTCCAAAAGAACTTCACTGTTGTTAATGGATTTAAAGAATTCTTTATGATTGTAGCTGAGCCTGAAAAATTAAAATTAACCGAGCGCGTTGTTCTAGTCATTGAACAACCAAATTTCTATTCAAACTTGTGTTATTCCTATCTTGTCACCACTTGCCCTTGGATACTTATTGATGTTGAACTGGGTAGCCCTAAGATGCTTCAACAGCAGCTCGCGAGACTTGATGTTATTAATCAACTTCAATTATACAATGACTTGAGATTCAGTTACTCCATGGAAGATAACTATTCAATTGAGCGATTGTACATTGAAGGTGTTGAAAGGTTATACTCAGACCCGTTGGCCATCATTCCCCATTTGAAAGCATTAACCACCCTTTGTATATTTGATGTTACAACCATAAATATCCTTAAAGTATTCAGGAGGAGGAACATTACTAATTTAAAACTCAAGAGGTTATCATTGCAAGTTTGTAAAATTCCGATCAGGGAGTTGGGTGAAATTTTCGATTTGAGAGAGATCGTCTATTTTGAACTTGTTTTCTTTAAAAATGTTCGACCTTATTCAGATTTGAAATGGCTTGCTTCAAATATGCCCAAACTCAGAGATATTAAAATTGTTTGGTGGAATGCATCTTTTGAAAAAATTATGGAACAACTTGCAGGACATAGGATAGTAAACGTCCGATTACATTCCTTACAACCAAAAAAAGAAGGTGATATTCAGCGTTGCGAACTGACAATGCCTAACCTTATCAAGGGCCATGAAAGATCATTGACCCATTTCAGTTTGTACTCTGGTATGGAAGAAATCACTGGAATTTGGGATCGTCATAAATGGTATACTAGAAAAGATCCATCTGATAATTCAAAGGTGAATACACACATAAAGATCTTCTCGAGAAGAAAGTTCTTTTTAAAGATGGATGCATATGGGCAACAACAAATCGTTATAGCAGGTTAACCAACTATAACAAAATTTTGCTTTAATATTTATAATTGTGTTATATCTTGTACTTTTCTGTCTCAAAGTTTCTCAAAATTTTATTATATATTCTAGTATTCAATTGTATAGATAGTAACTGATGGATCGTTCATTCCTTCATATGCAAAGAATTATTTTCATTTTGAAATCTCCAGAGGCTTGGCTGCAAAAAAAAAAAAAAGTAAAACTAGTTTTGTTATGGTTACCAGAATAGTCTAAATAATTGATACAATAATTTGCTTAATAATACGAGACATAAGAAAATTTGGAACTTTGATTAATAATTCTATTTCAATTGAACATGTTAAGACGTATTAAATACAAAGGTAGAATAGCAGTTAGTAATCAATCGCAAACGAATGGCGGTACATCACACCCACACTATAGTAATAGAGATGCCTATATCATCACTCAATTGAAACTACTAGAACCATAAATTGTTTTATTCAACTTTCTTTCAAGTGAGGTGTTTGAAGATTTTAAAACTAGCTGAAACTATGTTACTCTCTTTGTTTTCCAAATCAAAAATACCTAGTCTAACTTTTGAAATACTTAATCAAGTTGATCATGTAATCCTAGAAAATTGACCAAGAAACTGTACAAAGTATAGATATTTTTGAAGTTATTTCAGTCGATTTGTGTTTAATTTCCTATTAAGCGGTTATTTCGAACAACACAAAGAGTATGTAAAAATCCATAATTTCTATTTAGCAATAAGTCTACAGTGGTCAAGGAGTTTAACTTTTTTTTATTATCCACGTTTTATCTTAATGATGTAATTTTTTTTTGCGCTACATAACCAAGCTGATGGATTCGTCTACTCTATAAAATTCTATTTGGTAACTTTAATTGCTTTTACAAATACAGGAATCATACCACCAGTTCCAACAGCAAATGATCTATGACCAACGGCTAATAATTGAGCTCTAATACTACCACTATGACTAGTTATAGCGACAATTTTATCATTTGGACTTTCATTAAACAATTGTTGTAACCCTTTGTTAATTCTGAGAGCTTGCTCACCCACAGTTTCACGATAATCATCTTGATAGTAGATATCTTCTTCAGCAAATCCCGGTTCTATAACAAATCCCTTACCAGTATACTTATAGTCAATGATTGTTCGAGAAGAACGTTTATCACATGTATGTACTCCCATGGTTTCTCTCCAGTTTTCTTGAATTAAAGGTTGCACATTTTTCAAGTCGACTATATCATTCCAAGTATAATACATGGTATCAATAGATCTACTCAAGGGAGAAACCAAGAATTTAGTAGGAATAATCAAGCTGGCGTCATTATTTTTGTTATTGATTTGTTCTTGTTTCCAAATATAATTGTTGTCCTTGGCTTGCAGGATACCTAATTCAGTCAAATTTGCATCCGGACCCCAAATTATTTCACCATCGCCATTTAATTTTGACCAATATTCGTTCCAGGCATTATCGCCATATTTAGTATGGGCTAAATTGTGGAACCCTTGGCCGTGTCTTGCCAAAAACATGATTTTGTATTGTTCATTAGGGCCAGTAGAATTATTCAAATGGTTAAGATTTTCAATTATATCATCCCATGAGCCAATGATACCGAAATGTTCTTTCAAATAGTCAAATTTTCTTTCATCAGTGCTAGGATCAGATTGTTTGAAAATACCAGGAACAATTTCAAATTTCCAGTATGAATCGAGAGAGGAATGGTATGATTCAAGACGGGTTTGGTAGTCTTTAACGTTGTCCGGGTTGATCTTGGAATCAAGAACGTCAAGTGGGTTGGGGTTAGACTTAGAGGTGCTCATTGTTGAAGCTGCTACTGGTTTAGAACGTGGGTTGAAAAAATTAGCGAGATCTTTTAGTCGAAATTTTTTTGTGTGATTACGCGCAAAACTATACTACGTAAATTTGTTGACTGAAACGATTTCTTGATTTGATGATTGCCTCCGTGGGCATGGAGGAATATATACCCAGACACATAATTGAGAATCTAGAACTTATTAATCTAACTTGTAGTCCAAATAAATATTATTACTCAATTACTGCTTATATCTGAATTGATATCAGATATATTTCTTTAAGAAATCACAGCTAACCCTACCAGACTAAATTTAGATTATTGTACCTGTGATTCTTCTGATGCTCTTGGTGAATGTGGTGACTACCTATACCTAACAATGTCGTGAATTGCCACGACATCCCATTTATTAAGAAAAAAATGTCTCCTTACTATTTTTGTCCAGGAGCAAAAGAAAAAAAAACAGTGTCCAACAACTTTGGTGAATAAAATTTCATTCAATTTCCACACGACGACACTCTCACAAAAGAAAACACCACAATTTAATACATTTGCTTTCTATATTTCCACCCATATAACCATCAAAGTCAACTTAAATCCATCACATACACTTACATACACTCACTATTACCACCAATTGGTTGATTTTTTACTACACTTACCTTACTTTGCAAACCTAACTTACCTCCCCCTTAAGCATATAAATACACACATACAAATATGGACAACTACAATGACGATTTATATCCATTAGCATTGTTAATGGACGAATTGAAGCACGATGATGTTTCCAATCGAGTTGAAGCCATGCAGAAATTGGACACAATTGCCATAGCCCTTGGTCCCGAACGCACTGTCAAGGAGTTATTGCCATTCTTGAACGACGTCGCTCAAGATGACGAAGAAGAAGTGTTTGCAGTTTTAGCTACCAAGTTGGGTGATTTTATCCCTTTAATTGGCGGTCATGAAAACTGTGAACCTTTGATTTCTATATTGACTATATTGGCAAGCATGGAAGAACCCTTGGTTCGAGATAAAGCAATTGCGTCTTTAAACAAAATTAGTTTGGACTTGACTAATGAAGAATTGAATGGAATATTCTTGAACTTGATTCAAAACTTGAGTCAAGGTAACTGGTTCCTGAAGAAAATTGCATCCTGTGGATTGTTTGGTTCCATTATATTGAAAGTTGATAGTAACACTAGAAAAGATTTACTTAAATTATACCTTAAATTAATTTGTGATGATTATCCAATGGTCAGAAGAAGTGCTGCTACCAATTTACCTCATTTAATTAATTTATTGACTGAATTTACTGAAACCAGTCCTAATGATGTCAATAAGATTAATAATCAAGATTGGGAAATCATATCTAAGATGTTCCAGCATTTAATTAATGATGATCAAGATAGTGTCAAATTCTTGAGTATTGATGTTTTAATATCCATATTAGAATTTTTCAACAAGATCAATGAAACTAGTTTCAATTCTGATTTCTTGTCCAGTGCTTTGAAATTGATTAAAGATGAAAGTTGGAGAGTTAGATATACTGCTGCTGATAGATTTAGTAAGATTGCCGTGAACTTTGTCAATAACGAACTGGACTTGTATCAATTAATTGATCCATTTATAGCATTAATGAAGGATCATGAAGGTGAAGTTCGAAAAGCCATTGCTAAGCAATTACCTGATTTCACAAGATTATTAACAAAGTACCCACTGACTAAGGTAACCATTATAAACAAAATCTTACCTATAGTTAACGAATTAAGTCAAGACCAACAAGAAGCAGTCAGAGCATCATTAGCATCCACTATCACTGAATTATCGCCAATTTTACAAAAAGAAGCCACCATTGAGAAATTATTGCCCACCTTCTTGATTATGTTGAAGGATGAATTCCCTGATGTCAGATTAAACATTATATCCAATTTGTCCGTGGTTAATGAAACCATTGGTATAAACTTATTATCAACAAACTTGTTACCAGCTATAACAGAATTAGCCCAGGATCATAAATGGAGAGTTAGATTAGCCATTATAAAGTATATTCCTAAATTGGCCAGCCAATTGGGTGAACCATTTTTTAATGATGAATTGTTGTCCTTGTGTATGTCTTGGTTATGGGATCCTGTGTTTGCCATTAGAGATGCTGCTATAAACAACTTGAAGGAATTAACCGTGATATTTGGATCTGATTGGGCCACTAGAGAAATCTTGTCAAGATTATTAGACCAACTGGATAAAATTGATGAAGATAAGATTGACTATTCTAATTTCATTATCAGATTAACTTGTTTATTCACTATAACCAAGTTGATTCCTGTGCTTGACTTTAAAGTCATTGTGGAAAAGATATTACCATTTATTAACGAATTAATCACTGATAATGTACCAAACATTCGTTTCAATGTAGCAAAATCTTATTTGGTGTTGGTTGAATCTTTTATTGAGAAGAAACTCGAGTTACCAATAAATGAACAAGAATTGAAAAAGTTGATAAACTTAGAAATCTTGAGTAATTTGGAAAAATTACAAAATGATGAAGATGTTGATGTTAGATTTTATTCGACAAAGAGTATTCAAGGGATTAATAAGTTGATATAATTTTGGCTAGTTGCACCTAAAATGTACTCAATGCGTGTTTATGTTTGTCTTTTATGTTTTTATATCGTTTGTTAGTTTTTATATATTATAATCGTATCGTTATCTATATACACTTGCTCTTAATTACTTCTTTTCTTTCTGCTTTTGTTCCAACTTCTCAAAATCAAAATCAAACGAAGATCCACATCCACATGCTGTACTGGTGTATGGACTCTCAACAATCTTAAATTGGCTACCAATTAACTCATGTGTATAATCCAATTTGGAATCCTGTAAAATAGTCAAACTGGAATCATCCAATACGATTTTCCCACCTTCACGTTCAAAAACAAACAATTCATCATCTTCGTCGTCCTTCATCTCCTTGTCCAAATTGGATAATTCCAAATTATATTGAAACCCATGACATCCTCCACTTTCCACTTTGATCCGAAGGACACTTTTGTCAGGTTCTGCCTCACTGGATGCAATTTCGTTAAGTTTATCGCGGGCTCGTTCGGTTATCCCAATAGACATATCAGTAGATCCGTGAACTAGCTTAGTCAAACTGAACTCATCTGTTTGTTCTGGTTTTATTAATTGTGATTGGGCCAAGGTCGGATCCGATTTAGGTAATGAAAATGAAGATGGTTTTAAAGTTTTCACGGAGTTAAATCTTGCAAATTGAAGTGTTATAGGGCGGACTACTAAAGTGCTTCTAAGCAGAATTCTTGATATAGCTAGCCTTGGTATCATATTGTATATGTGGTTCACCGGTGTTTGGTATTAATAGCGAATTAGTAATGGTGAATTTTAGGGGATTCTTTTTTTTTTATTTTTTTTTTTGCTACTTCCGTGCGGCGCTTCTCTTTTTAGTAATTGTCGGATCTTGACTGGATCTAACAGATTATAGTACATTATGTAAGTCAATTTCAACACAAGTGCATTCTACAGAATATCTTTACAAATTATTCATTTGCAATATAAACAGATTTTATACTAAATAAAACAAAATAAACAGGAAACAACGTTAACCACGCCACTCTCAACGGTAATTATCATCAGCAACTCTCCAAGATCTCAAGAGTTGCAAATGTTTCCAATCTTCCTTTGGTCCTTCCATACCAAATGAAAAGTATCTGAAATAGTAGAATGTACCACCAACCAAGGCATACAATCCAAGATAAAGGGCGGCGTAGGATAATTTACTAGCGACACTAGCGTTCCTATCATTCAATCTTCTTGAGAAACTGTCAACTTCATAACAGAACACAAGCATGGCAAAATAAAGGGCAGGCATGTAATGATGGACATACTTCACACGACCCATAATCACAAATGGAACATAATGCAATCCCCATCCAAACATTGGATAGATACCACCCATCAAGAATCTCTTCAACTTATCTGGGTTAGTGCTTGGGAAATCAATAATTTGTCTTTGCCATCTAACTAAGTAGTAAATAACAAGCAATGCAAATGCAAACACACCAACAGTGGAAGTCCAAGTGGTGGCTGGTGATCCAATCATGAAATACTTAGGGTTCTTGCTGCCCCATCCACACATTCTAATACCAACGTTCAATGATGGCCATTGCCAGAAGTCGGAAGCCAAATCGTCTTGTTTTTCTTCATCTGGAACCAAAGCATTGTTGGTTGCCATCATGGCTAAATTTAATTGAATAAAATCTTTAATGAATTTAGTCTTTGGTAATTTAAAGTCTTCAGATGGTGGTGGCAAGATTGGATTTTCATTATCTTCAATTATCCACCAAGTACGCTTATCCTTTTTGAATGGATCCTTGTGACAAACAACTTCACCTTGTCTGAACCCCCATTGTGGTAAATTGCTTCCAGAAGTAGCCAAGTAACAACCCAAATAGGCATGTCTTAATCTGAATGAAGTGGTCAATGGATGGATTCTCATTTTATCTTCATTACTATTTTGTTCCATAATTTCAACAACCCAATTGTCTTTAACATCACCTAAAGTTAAGTTACCATATGCAGCAACTTCCCATTGTGCTTTAGATACTGGAGCGTCGACTTCATGAGAATGCAAGTTTCTACCGGTGTTCTTGTGCATTAATCTAATAGTCATACCATCAATAATATATTCGATATCAGTATTGTTGTTAGCAGTGTCATAATGAGGAACACCTCTAGCTCTTTGGAAAACCCAGTTGTTGTTGGAATCCTTGTGACCATAAGTAGTAACTTGTTGTTGTTTAGAACCACTTGGGAAAGTTTGCACGTGAGAATGTAACAATCCTCCACTCAACCCTTGGTTCTTGATGGTAACACTAGAATGAACAATGGAAACTTCTCTTGGGCCACCACCAACACTAGAGCCAACTAGATTAGCCTGGAAAAGTGGTGACATGTTGGCATCTCCGGTACCGGACTTGTATAACAAATCAAAATGAATCTTGAATGATAACATGAATACGGACATTGGGATAACAATTAAGCCAAAAATTCTTGCAGCCCAATGGCCGAAAATGTATTTTCTCCAAGAAATTGACTTATCACCTAATTTGGTCCATAAATCAGCAATGGTATATAATCCAACTAAAGCAGTCACGAATAAACCAACCATTTTAACTGAACAGGTACATCCAATGGATAAACCTGTCAAAATAAGCCATTTCCACCATTTTCTACTAAATTCTTGATTTTTATTGTTAAAGTTATTAAATCTGGAAAAGCAGAAAACGGTAGTAATGGTGAAAAATAACAACATGGAATCTAATAAGATGAACTTACCCAACGTGACATAAGTAGATTCTAAACAAACCATCAAGGAAAACAACCAAGTAGCATAGATTGAAAATCCAATTTCTTTACAAGTGAAATAAGCAAATGGGACACATAAGGCTGAGAAAGTAGCATTGAACAATCTCATCTTAGTGTAGTCAATATAGTCAGGGTATTCTTCACCACTGGGGAAATCCCAGGAACCATTGTAACCGGCCAAGTAACCGGATAACCCGACCAACATTTTCCCTAAAGGAGGATGGACATCATGGTAAAATTCGTGTCTTAAATAGTATGACCCAAACTTACCAAAATGCGCTTCATCCCAAACAACATGGTTATTCTTGGAGATCCGGTAGAATCTGACAAAGAATGACAAAAGGGTGAGCAAGATTGGGGCCAATATGGTTTCCAATTTCTTTAATGAATCAACAAATTCTTTGGTTTCGTCATACTTGGTTCTTTTCAAGTCAGCCTTATCTTCGTCGTATTTTTCAGCAACGGTAGACTTGCTGTTGTCGACCTTACGTTGACGAAGAGTGGTATCCTCGTTATTGGGTTCAACAGACGTGGACATTGTTCAATTGAATAGTTGTAATTGCAATTGATGATTAAAACAAAGTAGGGAGAAATTTGAAAAAAAAGAAGCGGGTTTGTTCTTTGCTGTCTTTGTTGTCCTCAAAAAAAAAAGAATGGCTGCAGTTTTTTTAAAGTACAGCAAATAATTTCTAAATAATTATTTTTCAATTAAAAATTGTCAAGTTGTTCGATTTTGGCTTAAGTTGTCTTTGTTTTATCAAGACAATTATCGTTCCTCAATTCTCCTTTCAATTGTGTGTATCTGACAGACTGGATAGAGAACTTGGCTGAAATTGCTTGGATTGAGAAAGTCAGTTTTAAACACGTCTACATTTTTTTTTCCTGTTTTGCTGGCCAATAAAAGATCCTTGCATACGCGAAAGTCTAACTTTAAAACTCGCCTCAGTTATGACACCCTGTTTCACTTCAATTAAATTAAAATTAAACTATATGTAAATCCCTAAAACTACTACTATTACAATGTTTTGCCCCTTATAGACTCAACCAAACTCCACACCAACTCTTCTTGTACATCGTCATTCAATTTAAACCTCCCATCCTGGGAAACATTAAGCAAATGACACATAAACTTATCCACCTGGATCTTGTCAAACTTGACTTTACTGGTATTGTACAAGAATTGACAGATATCATTATACAAATTCTCGTTAAATAATTTCTCAGTATCGGCTTTGGGAATGTCAATAATAAAATTTCGTAAGGTAGAATTACCTAACGGTGGAGAATAAACTAGTTGCATATGGCCAACTTCAGCCACATGCGTCAGTAGTTGGTTTACTAAATTAGGTATGAAATCTCTTGGGAACGAAAATGGCTTGATCAATAATGGTGAATCATTTATATCCTCAAGCAACTCAATTATATAGTCGTTCACATCGGGTTGGCTGGTGATTTTGTTCAACACTATGGAACTCTCATTATTACTTGTCGTGTTGCTGACAAAAATAATAACATGTCTTGCCAATAACGTCTTGTTTGAAGATTTCAAAATAAGATATTGAATTCGATTGTCTGACTTGTGGACTGTTCCGTTGTATATAGTAATATCTGTAATTATATCACGATACGTCTCATATCGAGTGATCAATTCATCATTATATTTGAGCGATTCTCGATATTTGCGATACAAGAATTTACTTAATGATATTCGAAATCTTTCAAGTTGCCTATGGGATAGTTTGGTGGTTGTTGGTGTTAAGGTAGTATTGCATCGGAACAACTTGAACGTCTGATTTAGCAATAGTCCTGTTATATTCCTATCATCTGTCATCGGTATGTATTATCGTGTTGTATAGTTTAGTCTTGTTTGTTTACTTTTTGCGCTAATATTTTTTTTTTTCTTGCTTCGTCTCTCTGTTGATAGATCTCAACTGAAATATTTTGTTTTCACTTGCATATATGCTATACTACATCAATCATTGATTGAAATTAAACTACAATCTAAAATAGATCTTCTTAAATTCTCATTTATTTTAAAGCTAGCTATTATAAATCATATTTCAAACAAAATATTTGTTTCTACAACTTAGCACCTAGTTAAGCCTTAGCAACGTGTTCCAATAAGTCAACGACTCTGGTGGAGTAACCGAATTCGTTATCGTACCAAGAGATCAACTTAACGAAGGTTGGGGACAATAAGATACCAGCCTTAGAATCGAAAATAGAAGAGTAAGTAGAACCCAAGAAATCGGTGGAAACAACAGCATCTTCAGTGTAACCTAAGACACCCTTCAATTCACCTTCAGAAGCAGCCTTGATAGCAGCAGAGATTTCTTCGTAAGTGGTTGGGGTCTTTAATCTAACAGTCAAGTCAACAACAGAGACATCGACAGTTGGAACTCTCAAAGACATACCGGTTAACTTACCGTTCAATTCTGGGATAACCTTACCAACAGCCTTGGCAGCACCAGTGGAAGATGGGATAATGTTACCAGAAGCAGTTCTACCACCTCTCCAGTCCTTGTGGGATGGACCATCAACAGTCTTTTGGGTGGCAGTGATGGAGTGGACAGTGGTCATTAAACCTTCTTCAATACCGAACTTGTCGTTGATAACCTTAGCTAATGGAGCTAAACAGTTAGTGGTACAAGAAGCGTTGGAAAGAATGTTAATGTCAGAAGTGTACTTGTCTTCGTTAACACCAACAACGAACATTGGAGCATCAGCAGATGGAGCGGTAATCAAAACCTTCTTGGCACCAGCTTGAATATGCTTGTTAGCACCTTCAATCTTGGTGAAGACACCGGTGGATTCAATAACGTAATCAACACCAGACTTACCCCATGGGATGTCAGCTGGGTCACGTTCTTGGAAAACGGTGATCTTTTGACCATCAATGATCAATTGGTTACCTTCAGAAGTAACTTCACCCTTGTATCTACCGTGGGTAGAATCGTACTTGAACATGTAAGCAGCGTAGTCGGTAGCAATGAATGGATCATTGATAGCAACAACTTCAATGTCCTTTCTTTGTAAAGCAACTCTTAAAACTAAACGACCAATACGTCCGAAACCGTTAATACCAACAGTGATAGCCATTGTAAATTATATATATATATTTGTTAATGTAGTAAATCCAATTGAATTGATACTGAAGAAAGGGAAAAAGAAAGAAAAGAGAAAATGAATTTTTAAAATTTTACCGGGAATTCAGGGTGAATTTATAAAATTCATGAAAAAATTCAATTGGTTGTCGTGGAATTGAAATTGAAAAATTAGGGGGGAGCCAGGAGAGGGGGATGGATGGAAACGCAACTAGAATTACATAGTTAAAAATAAATGATAATTAGTTTTGAGCAAAAAAATAATAATCCATAAAACCCGGTAAACTGTAACGTGCGGCATTAAACTGCAAATTTGCATTATTGTTGGTACCTTGCCGGGGCAAAGATATCCATTTTACATGTTACACATTTTTATTTTCCACTATGTTCTACGGTAATGGTTATACAGGTGACGTACACTAACAGTTACAAAAGTATACAACGCGGAACCGTTTGCAACACCTATTTGCAACATCTCCTTATGATTTACGTTTCATGTGTGGTAATAACGCCTCGTGATTATCACTTGCTCCTAACATCCCGGTGTAATGGACTTTGAACACATTCCGGAACGTGCTAGTACTTACAATATAAGAGATTTTCATATTACTGATTAGTAATTCAATTCAAATACCGTTACTCTGTATGTAAATGACCAATTGAGTCTTTACGTCATTTTAATCACGCTCTATGAATTAATAATGACTCCACCGGTATGATTTGTAATACTATTTTTTTTTTTTGCCACCACGCGGAACTTGAGTCATCTAACCTGCAAAATTCACTGCCCTTTTTTTTTCTTATGGAGGAGGTTGTCGCAAAACAGAACTCCGAGACCGAACAAAAACTAGAGCACAAAATACACACCGGACGGACTTTCTCCTGAACACGAATCGACCTTACCTTTGTTAAATTATGAGTAATCTCAAAAACAGCTAAGATCAATTGGTTCGATTATGAATTTGTAAATTGACAAAATCAATCAACCTATGATTGCTGAAAAACGGGTATATATTTTTTTTTTACAATTTCTTAAAACGGTTTTAGTAAACTGTTTGTAATCACACCACTCACACATGGTATGTTTTATGCAACATCCCTTACGTTGCACTACCACATGAGCAAAAATACCGCCACACCACCCAAAACTGCCTATCTGGCGAAAAAACGAAATGTTGAATTTGTGTTGTGGTTAATTTGCAGGTTAGAGCACAAATCTTGTTATATTTTTACAGGTTGGTTTCTGTGTCCTATCAGCTCCGGTACATCAGGTGTTGTAGGCCGGTGGTCCGCGCAAGTTTACTCACAGTAAAAAGTGGCTGGCGTTTGGCGCTCATTTTTTTTTAACATTACTAGAAAAATTAAACACGAAAACAGAAAAAGTAACCTCGGCGGTTACCTTGTATCAAAATGTTGAACCCTGGATTTTCCGGGGTAGTATCCCGTTTAAGTTATTCCTCCGAGGAGTTAAGTAACCTGGGGTAATCATATGCAAGTGTTCTTCCCTCTTCGGAGATTTTTGTGTTTGTCGGATGGCAATGCCGTATATTAACGAAGCAAAGCGGGCTTTATTGGCCGGGTATCAATTGATTGTAAGGCTAAATGAATTGAATCGCAATTAACATTTTTCTTAAGCAATTAGTTCCATTCCTTAAGAAAGCAAGCAATTCAAATGACAGCTTGTAATTGTTGTAACTATTGTTGCATAAGGTTTGTATACGAAGCAACAAAAAATCCCAAGGGGTGAACGAAGTAACCGCACAAACTAAAAAATCCAATTGTCTTTACTCTTCTCTCTTCTCATACACTAAATTCACGATGTCATACAGACTCATTGAACTCAATTCAGGAAAGAAAATACCTTCAATTGGATTAGGGTGTTATAATATCCCCATTTCTCAAACTTCAAACATTGTTTATGAAGCGTGTAAAGTAGGATATCGTCATTTTGATACTGCAGTATTATACGGGAACGAAGAACAAGTAATTGAAGGTATATCTCGCTATTTACGTGATCATCCAGATGCAAAGAGAAGTGATTTTTTCTACACTACCAAACTTTGGAATAGTCAATTAGGACATCAACCCACTATAGATGCTATCAATATTATGAAATCTCAAATTGGTGATTTGCAATATATTGATTTGTTATTGATTCATTCCCCATTGCCCGGTAAAACTAAACGTTTGGAAAGTTATAAAGTGATGCAGGAGTATGTTGATAAAGGTTTGCTTAAAAATATCGGTGTCTCAAATTATGGTAAACATCATATTGAAGAGTTGTTGAATTGGTCTGGATTAAAGTACCCTCCTGTAGTTAATCAAATTGAAATTAGTCCCTGGGTTATGAGAACAGATTTAGCTCAATGGTGCTTGAAGCAAGGTATTCAAGTGGAAGCATTCTCTCCATTAACTCACGGACAAAGATTAAGAAGTGATGTCTTTTCGGATATCAGGAAAAAGTATGATAAATCGTTAGCGCAAATTTTAATTAAATGGTCATTGCAAAAGGGTTATATTCCATTACCAAAAACAAAGACTGTGTCTCGATTAAGTGAAAATCTAAATGTTGACGACTTTGAGTTGACTTCCGAGGAAGTATCTACTATTGACCAGCCAGATTCATATGATCCAACGGACTGGGAATGCACCGATGCGCCTTAAGTCATTGCAAGGCGTCTATCCAATTAAAATTTTTAGTGATGCAAATTTAATTGACAATTTTAGTAGATTCTGTAATTCATGTGAGCTAATGTACATTGTCAATGTAACTAAAACTTTTAGTCCAGCTTCAAGAATCAGAAAATCGCATCATTGTTCTTACGGAATAACTTCTGATTATCAAATCTGATACTAAAATTATAAAAGTAGAATTTGCTATCTGCAGGTTCAATTATGTCATTTTGCGTTCACCCAGAATCTCACAGCCTTCACTAGTTTTTACTAAGGCATTCTTTTGGATTTTGCAGCATGACATTCGCATGACTTTTTTTTTGTTGTTGTTTTGGCATCATCCAGATTCGGAACAAACAAATATCAGAAATTTTTCCGTTCCTGATATTTTTTTTGTCACAGGCTTTTATTATGTCAACAGAGTATTTTTAGTAGCTAAGTTAACCTCATTTGAGCTACCATCTCTGGGAATCATCGGAACAGCCGTCTGAAAAGCTTTGCTCGAGCTCATCGGTTATTTATACCAATCGATTGTTTGATCTGCAACAACCCGACTAGTATTTATGCACGCTCTTCAAAGAAGACCCTTAACAAGATGTCATCGTTACGACTCGCCAGTAAATGACAAGCCACCGCCTTTAAGAATAGTCTAAGCATGAAAAAAATATGTATATGTATCTCTACTATGCATGTATTCAATAATTCCAGATCTAAATAGAAATCGGATGTTCATTGAAAAAAATACTCGATTCGAATGCATTTTGCAGATCCTTCCCCCAGGAAAATACCTGACACAAAAATGCAAAAGAAGGTTTACTTGCAGATGTATCATTGTTACATCGGCAGTAAATTTCCAAAGTCATGCAGCAATCTTGATGTCATAATAATAAATTCGTAATAGTGACTCTTTGAAATGGATCTACTTTGTCTTGGCTGCTGCTGCGGAAATCTGCTCCATCATCTGTCAACTACAAGCGAACTATGGCACTAAATTTATTCCTCGGAATTTATTGTATTGTTTCTTTGACCTTCTTTTGTTTCTAGACGCAATACTCACTCTAGATGTTACTCCTGTATATGGTATGACAATCAGAATCGTATGTTACTTTGCATATGGCTATAGTACCTTTTTTTTTATGTTTTCTTTTTATTTTTTAAGTCGTTTACTTCGATCCGATTATCCTCGGAAAATCTCTTTTTTAGGGTCATCAACTTGCGTGCGCATTCATTTTTGGGAAAAGTTCTTCTTATCAGGACAGATTACCGAGGGAGTCTCAACTTATTCTTACCTCCCAAGCATATTCGAATTGGATGGCATTCAATTACTATCGATACTTAGACATCCCATACATTAACAATTTAACCCACTATGCATTTCATAATAGGTCGCTAGTGGATTTACGTAAGCATAGCAATTGTAGCCTGGTGTGCGCACTCTCGCTTGAGTTCTATTTTTTTCGCATTTTCTTTGTCCTGCTGCACCAGTCGTATCGGAGAATAATCTCCACTGAACGTTTTTATTCTTTATGCGCGCGAAAATTTATCCGAGAGTATTTTATTGCATATGAATGGGTCCCTTGATTTGATTAAGCGCAGTGTCACATTTCCTTATTTTTGGTTCAAGCAAGGTCACTGATGTCACACTTCCATTAACAGAAACCAGATTCCGCGCTCGTATGTTTTTGACCTACGGCGGATCAAATCACATGAATTTAGAAAAAAAGAACGTAATACTTATCCACTCCCGAGGGCATTTTTCGAAGATATTTTTTTGACAATCATCCACGGTGATGAGTGCTTCGTTTCCAGATTCCTTAATTGGCCACGGCTTACGACTTGGGTTATTGTTTCCTCCACGGTTTTGTTAATCAGATGAGATAACTCCGCGGTTCTACTACATTTAATATGGGTTTCTTTTTGTCGTGACAGGTTACAATCAAATATACAATATGCATTGCCCATGACAATTCATTAATGTATGACTAGTTAATTGTGGGGAACCGTGGCAGTGTAGAGTTCTGATGCAAAAAAACAGGGGAATTTATAGTTCAGGGTTTGTGATGACCAGAATAGGTGTAGTAAATGATCATAAATATTTTTTTCCATCAGGAACAATTTTATTTTATTTTTCTATTATACCAATGACAGAAGAATCGGAAAAATAAATTATTTTTCTCCGGATTTGTTCTTTTCTTTTCGCCGCTAAGGTTATGCGTTTTGTCTACTTGCGAATTTCTAAATCGGAGTTTCTGCCCAAATCCCCCCCTCCTCCCTTTTGATAGTCAAAATTCTCTGGTTAATTCTACAAGACAAGGTCTTTTTCTTGGTTGCTCGATTCAGTCTATAAAGACATGACAATGTCTACCAAAAGATCTAGCATTAAACGTATTATTAAAAGGGATCACATATATATATATATAGTCTAATAAAAAACAATGTAAAAACGGTGTAAAGATTTATCGTAAATCATTAAGGAGGAAAGCAAGCATTTAGTATCTACCCGGGTATTGGTGGTCATTACTCATAAACGTATCAAAATTACCTTCATTCACCACAAGGTCAAACGATTGGTATGGTGCAAACGTCATCTCTGGTGGACTAGGAATGATTACTGGTTGGGGATTCAAAAACATCTTATCTTCAATAAAAGTATTCAAGCCAGATTCATCGGTGGGAGTGAACAAGGTTGTGGTTTGATTAGGTGTAGCAATCATCGACGAGGTGGTTGAGGAACCACTGTCACGCTTAGAATAGTCTACCGACTTGTAAAGATGATGCTGATGTTGTGGTTTATGAACTCCGCCATTGTTTGAGTAAGTTCTCCTCCTTTGTGTCATTGGTACAGGAGAAGGTTTATTCAAGTATACTGGGGATGCAATGGGTGAAGTGGAAAGGATAGCAGCAGCAGCAGGAGGCGAAGCAATGCTATGACCATCGTAGGTGTTAGTTAATGATGACAAGGATGCGGTTTTAGTTAAAATAGGAGCTTCATTGGAAAATAAGGATGCAGTACGGTAGTGAACTTGTTGGAATTCGTTCACCGGGGATTGGGTCTCACGAAAGGGAGCACTGCTCATAAATGGCATGGTGTTGGAATCACTATCAAAATCGGAACCAGATTCTTGCTGTTGGGTTGAATTCAACAAGTTACTGTTGTCAACCACAGGCAAGTGGAACAGGTGATTGCTTACTTCGCCAGTAGAGTGACGCTCTCTTTTCACTCTAGGGTTGGTAGCATTCATGCGGGGAGAAACCATAGGTGAGTTCGGATTCACAGATGGGGAACCCCTAGCTTTATGTTCGGCAAATAACTTAGCAGATTTATACATATTAGATGAATTGAAATTAGCAGCAATCATAGCACCTTCTTCCCATTCCATGGGTATATTCCTCAACAATCCCTTTTGTTGAATCAAATAGCTAACAACTTTGTTAATAGGAACCACATCCTCTCCTTGTCCTTCTCCTTCGTAGTCATCGTCTTCCATGGACGATATATCGTCGACCTCGCTCATTTGTCTCTTCTTTTCTTCCATAATGTCTTGGATAAATTGTAAATGAGGTTGAGATAATTCAATCAATTTCTCAAACAGTTTAGTTAAAATGTCTAATCTAGTTTCTAATAATTCAATGTAACCACTGGGGTGGTTCTTTTCCTTCAATTTCTTCTTTTCAGTGAATACACAAATCTTATTGTCTAGTATACAACGGTTGCATGGTTTCTTACCGTCGCACTTTGTCTTTTTAATTCGACAGGAGTCGCAAGCCTTACCCACTCGCTTCTTCTTGATATGTGCGTCTTCTTGAGGGTGCATTTCGAATGTAGAGTATGTGTACAAGTAGTAGTTGGATCAATTTGTAGTTGGCTGTAAAATGTATAATGTGTTCTAGTTGTAATTATGAATTCACCTGATACCTTATATACGATGTTGATAGGTGAAGTATTAAGCGATATAATATGTTAAAACGTCTTGACGGGTTGCAAATAGTAAAAAGGAAAAATAAAAATGACCAGGAGGAAGGGGCAGGATACTTGATTATATATATTTGTAATATTTGCAAAAATATTTATGGCGTCATACATACTGCAACAAAAAAAAATGTCAAATCCTTTTTTAGGAATACGATTATCAATGCTATTTGCTTGCAGCAAAAACAATCGAAAAAAGGTAAAACGTTAATTAAAAATATCGAAGAAAATAAATCTTACATGGTCATTGTTCTCATGCCCATTCCGATGGATGTAAATATTGCTATAGGCTCATGGAATGGCCGTGTAACCACTGGAATAGGAGCACATCTAGGCCAGTTAACCATTTGAAATCATTACAAAACCAGCAATATTTTTTTTGTTGGCTTGCGTTTCTTTAATGTCATTAAAGTGATGGTATTTAATAATATTTTTTAAGATTTATGCACTAGTGAATCCTTGAATTCTTTTTTATTTTTTTACGGAATTTATTTTTTTTTGTGTTTCTTTTTTCCCTTTCTTGCGCAGAAAAAAAAAATAATAATTTCAGAAATAGTATTAGATCCGACTTCCGAAGTATGACAAATTGTATCCACCTCTGTAATCAGGATTACTAAGGCTCGGCTGTTCATTTTCCTTGTAAAATCAAGGATCCTGCAAGAAATGGCGCAAATATTATACCCGAACCCCCAATTCACCCCCACTACACATAGATCAATACTAAAAAAATATAATAGCTACTACTACTGTAATGTTTAATCTCATTGCTAAACGCTCGCCTTTGCGTGGATGGTACTACAGCTGTTGTCAGTTCAAGCAATATCAACGCTGGGCATTATAATTACAGTGTAAACGATTATGTAAGCACCGAAAACTTCGGACATAAGCTTAAAGTTTATACAACATACATCAAAACTTCAAGTTTGACTATTTTCTGGAAGAGTTAGAAAACGGTTAGTAAAAAGTTAGTCATGTAAAATTGGTTTTATTTTTCTTCTGCGCCCTGTTGGTTTTGTGTGGGGGAGGGGTTCTTTTCTCTATTTTCTTTTTCTGGATTGGTTACATACACACAGCAATTATAGCATTCAGCCGTTTATTTGGCATCGTTATGCAGACGTGATGGAGGGGTTATGGTTTATCAGAATTTAGAGTCAGAATGTAGGACCCATCGATACTAACCAGTACTTAAGAATGGGGTATGTGTATCTGGCGGATGTACGTATGAATCTCACAAATACCATGTGAAATTAAAGAGAACAATGGCATTTACCCATCGGATCAAACACTTCATTTTTTTTCTGTGTTAAAAATAAATTATTATTCCGGTTTTAATTATGTCCCTCACACAGTAAACGATAACGATATACTATTCAATTTCCGGTGTATTTATGTCTATTCCCGTTTAATTAAGATCTGGTGTTGCAGTTCTAGTTCTTTAGGTTCGATTTCTAAATTTCACTCAGCCGCTTAAACTTAAACTAGATTATTCTAGATTACTTCAGCCGTTAGTATAAGCAATTATAACCAATTTTGTTTTTTCATCTTTTCTTTTTTGATATTACGCGATAGCCAACATATCTTATCAAAGTAACCCCTCGCGCTTTGATAACATAGCCTGAGTGGATATGGAATGTGGTGAATGATATAATCTTAAATTTCTCCCTCCCCCCTCATCCTCCTCTGCGTCTTTATGTGCCGATAACCTTGTTCGGTTGTGTTTTCTTCTCGGGGATAACGCAATTGGCAAGAAAAAAAGCCATCGCTCGTTAACCCCGTTTGCATAAGAAGGGTCTTTTTTTTTTTTTGCCAGGTACCATAACCCAGATCCATATGCATAGGCGGCTGAATTTGATTACGTGAATCTTAGTAATCATCTTGTAATATCGGCACCAAGCGTGGTTTGGCCGACACACTGGGCTATTTGAATTTCAGGGACATATGTGGGGCTAGTCTATTTCAAAAACCCTCATGCCACTTAGATTGTTGTTGGTATATTGAATATGCACTGGAGGTTAAAAGACATCTCCCCCAATTTGGAAAGTAATAATAATTTTGCGCTTGCCTCTGTTTTAGTCAGTTGCAAATAAGCCGATCTATTGTCGTTGCCACCACAAAGTTGGACCATGCCAGCCGACAGCAATCTCGGCCTGATACCGAAAAGCTATATTTTATCTAAGCGTTGTATGGCTGCAATTATACGAATCTGTTCACTCGCATGAAACACTTTGTTTCGCTCCGCTAGCCGCCTTGATTGCATTAGTTGTGTCGGGCATTGTCTCTCATGATACACATGGATATAAAATATTCTGGAACCCATTGCTCCGTTTGTTCTCAACTAGCCTTGCTTAGCGTTTCATTTCCGCTTTCCTCTTTAGTCTTTGGTTCTTAGTGAGTGATAACTTTTTTGGGAAAGTTTTGATGAAAACACGCGGAAAAACGATTGCGAAAAAATATCTCAACAACAATATGATCAACACAAACTCATAACCATATTTCAGTTTTGTTTACCTAGATATAGCACGATTTACAGATGTAACATACACGTGAGACTTCTATATACTATTACTAAAAATTAATAATATTATGTTAGTGTGGGATTGGAGCTGGTCGGACTGTATACTGGTAAGATGAACTTGCAAGAAACACACGACCTTTTGCAACTGTACAAAGTCGGCTTGGTTTGGCGTTTGATAATCTTCTCGGCACGCACTTGGTCGCCTCATATGTAGATCAGATTTGTATCATTATTTCTGTAGCTTGCTATTTGACTATTCGTATTGTTACCGAATATCCCGACCTGGAAGACGAAACTAGCTTAGTAAAATGCAGTTTTAGATAGCAAGGTTGAGGATAAACAAAGAAGAGGCTTAGAATTAGAGTCATTGAGATTAGCTGCAATGTGACGATCGTTTCTAGAAGATTCTGATAGTCGTAACCCCTATTTTCCCCCTGAAATTCCCATAAAAACTTCGTTTTCTGGCACGGTTGCAAAAACCTCACGAGAGTCAATTTTCAGTCGACTCAATGTTCTATAATGACAGGTAGCTAGACGTATTATATACACAGGAATACAGGAACAGATTATCTAAACCGAGGCTCGATTCTAGATGCTTGAGCAATTGTAGATTGACTAAAGAAAAGAGATATGAAACTATAAAACACAAAGTGAACACTTTCACTTTAAATAGTTTGCAAATGTCACTATTGTGACATTAACCAAACTTATTCAACACGCGTCACTCTTGACACGCTGTGCAGTACTTGCAACATGGTCACGTGGCAAGTGTGACTGCTTAGCTGTAATCATATTTCTAATCGCACTAGTGCGATTATGGAACACTCAACATCCAAAGGATGCGGTGGCTCAATTGGTAGAGTTTTGGATTCCAAATCCAACGGTTGCAGGTTCGAGTCCTGTCCGTGTCATTTTATTTTTATTTTTGCATGAATGTGATATTAGATTTGACGTATTGTCCAAGGCAAACCATTGTGGTATTGTTCTGGGTTGATTTGAGATGGGGGATCAATTTGCGTTACTGTTTTAGGAACTATGATACATCCTTAAATCAATAGATTATTTTTTAAACTAGAATATTTGCGCTTATATTGTGCGACAAAGCCGACTGGGAGATAGATGTATATATATATGTATAAGATTTTCTAGGAAAACTTTACTGGAGAGCCACTTCACGATTATCTGTTTGTTGATCTACTTACTCCTTCAAGCATGATTAGTTTGCAACTTTTGTGTCTTTTATTACTTGACGTGCCTGTCGCATCTCCGCTGGAAAAAAAATAAAAAATAAAAAATAAAAAAAAAAAAATAAATAGAGTAAATCAATATCGACAACTCCATCATCAAAGTCATGGCCAAGAAACCAAAGAAGCAAGAACAGCCTTCGCCAGAACCAGCCAAGACTAAGTCAAAGTCCAAGTCGAAATCATCCTCCCCAGCACCACCTGCTGCAGCCGAGCCCAAGAAGCCCGCTCGTGGACTTGCAATTGGGGAAAACTTTGGCTGGACAGGTAAGCTTCCAGTGACTTTGCTCAATGAACACTGTCAGAAACAGAAATGGGGCAGGTGCAACTATGACATGCTCAAAAAGCCCAAGGGATTTGTTTGTGTGGTGACTTTGCACTGGGAAAACCCCAAGACTAAACAGGATGTTCCCATCAAGTATTGGCCCAGTTATGAACCTAAAGAAACCACCAACGAGGCGAGACATATGTCGGCTACTTTTGTATTGCATAGAATTAACTACATCAAGAACATGAAGATGTTGTTGCCGATTATATTTCGTGATTATTGGGGCGATTTGGAAGTGGAAAGAACCCAATTGTTGAAAGAGAACAGGACTTTGCATGATATCAAATATAACATTAATCCGTTTGCTGTTCACTTGCAACAACAGGAAATAAACGAGAAACGGGAGAAGGAGAGACAGATTAAACAACAAAACGAGCTCAAGGTAAAGAAACCTACTATCTCGTTAGGATCGATCGACAAGCCCAAGACAGCAGCAACCACCCGCAAAAAGCTCATTATGGAAATTACACAAATACCAAAGTTTCCAAGAAAGGTATGGGACAATGCTCCGTTCATAGACATACCATCAGAGGTCAGAAGTGCCATGGAAGTAGCCATCAGACAACATATCGACTGGATAGACGACGACAACAACGAACAAACGTCAAACCTTCTCAAGGCAAATGACCGTGTTGACCAATATCGTAATCAACTTGTGGAATTGGGATTCAGAAAAAGTCATATTGATGAAGCATTTGATCACACTAGTAAATTTGTGGATGCGTTGGAATGGTTGATCTTTCATGTACCTGAAGATGATCTTCCTCCTGCATTTATGAAGAGTGATCGGGATACACTGGTGGAATTGAAGATTTCCAAGGACATACAAACTGAATATGCATTGAAACGATTGGGAGAATCGGGGTTTGATCATGATGAGATTGTTTCAGCATTGAAAAAGAATGACAATGACGAGTTTTCTACGTGTGTTAAGTTAACCCATAGTTTGATTCCACCATCATATGTGCAATCCCGAGAAGATAGCTTTGAGGATGATTTCCTGCTTTGGCAGGATGAAATTGAAGCAATCGAAATGTCAGGAACCAAAGTCAATATTGAATCCAACGACAAGAAAACAATCTCGATTTTGCTATCACCAAAAGATATCCCGCAAAAGAATGTCCTCAGTGTTAAATTATTCAAGAGTGGAAACTACCCGCAACAAGTTCCTGGGATTCATATCGTAGTGTTGGACTCCAAATACAAATTGGCAAATTATGTCAAATTATCAATTGTGAGACAGTTGATTGAATACTTATACGAGAATCATTTCGTGGGTGAATGTATGATCTTTTCAATTGTCGAATGGCTCGAAGATAACATTTCTCGAATTATCAAGGATCCTGGCCAGTTAGTTCCTGTTATAACCAAGAAAGTAAAAACTACAGCAAATGGAAAACCGGTAAAGAAATCACACACGAGAGAAAATAAGCGTAGCTTATCATCTAAAGACCTCGACGATTTAAAACATGAATATAGTGAACGTCAAGCAAGTTCCGAACTCAAACAGTCACTAGCAAAACGTGCCAAACTCCCAGCCTGGAACAAACAGCAAGACTTAGTATCAACTATAACGTCTAACAAAGTCACCCTTATCACTGGTGAAACTGGGTCGGGTAAATCCACACAAGTAGTCCAGTTTATTCTTGATCATCTAAATGCACAGGGAGATTTCACCACTAAGATCATGTGTACTCAACCAAGAAGAATCTCCACTATTGGTCTTGCCGAGAGAATATCAGAAGAAAGAGTGGGTAAAGTCGGCCATGAGACTGGGTATGTTATCAGAGGTGAAAACAGGACCAATCCGAAGACAAGGATTTCGTTTGTCACCACGGGGGTTTTATTACGTATGCTCCAGTCATTCTTGAGCGGGAAGGCAGGAAACAACAATGTGTTTGACGAGCTTGGTTATATATTTATTGATGAAGTTCATGAAAGGTCCGTTGATGGCGACTTTTTGTTGATTATCTTGAAAAAGATCAGTAATAGATTTAAGAATTTGAAAATTGTGTTGATGTCAGCTACAATCAACATTGAAAAGTTTGTCAATTTCTTCAGCACTCCATTACAACATATCCATATCGAAGGGAGAACTTTCCCCATCAAGGATTATTACTTGGATGGTATTCTCGATGAGATTGATTATTCAATTCAGAACAATGATGGCGAGATAATTAGACCCCTGGCCGATTCACACTTCTTTAAGACCGGGACGTTGAATTATGATTTGATTGCCAAGCTTACGGCACATATTGACAAGAAGCTTTCTTCCGAGAACAATAATGGTTCGATTCTTATTTTCATGCCCGGTATTATGGAAATCAACCAAACCATACGGGCAATCAACAATGTGTTTGAATCCAAAGTGTTAACCCTTCCCTTGCACTCGGCATTAACTTCCAATGAACAGCGTCGAGTATTCAAGACCCCACCCAAGGGAACCAGAAAAGTGGTTGTCTCTACAAATGTTGCCGAAACGTCTATCACCATCCCTGATTGTGTAGTCGTGATCGATACCGGCCGGTCGAAAACCATGTTTTTTGATGCAAAACTAAACACCACGAAGCTTATCGAGAACTGGTGTTCTCAAGCAGAAATCTCCCAGAGACGAGGAAGATCCGGTCGTATTACCAACGGTAACTGCTATCATTTGTACACGCAGACCACGGTTGATGCCATGATTCCACAACCAATCCCTGAAATCAAGCGGACAAGATTGGAGAATTTGTATTTGGTCGTTAAAGCCATGGGGATATCCAAAGTGGAAGAGTTTTTGCAGAGCGGATTAGATGCACCTGACCAGACCAGTTTGGCCACCAGTAGGAAATTCTTGCATGACTTGGGTGCGCTTGTTGATGATAAGTTGTCTCATTTGGGTGAATATTTGTCGTATTTACCTACTGACCCTGCCAGTGGGAAGTTGTTGATTTTGGGGTGTATATTTGGGTGTGTTGATGTATGTTTGACATTAGCAGCTATAAGTTCTACAGGTTCACCATTTATAAACAGTTTTGATAATAGAGACAGAATCAAGCAGGTGCAACGAAGATTTTCTGGTGATCAAGGTGATTTGATAGCAATGGTGAATGCATATTCTGCATTCCAAGAACAAAGAGAGCAAGGAAAGAATACCAAGAAGTTCATTACTGACAATTTTCTTTCGTACACCACGCTTAATGATATCACTTCGACCCGATCACAATATGTATCGTTACTCAAGGATCTTGGATTCATTCCCATCCATTATAAACCGAGGGAAAGCAAGTTAAACCGGAATGAGAATAACTCGTTTATTATTAGGGCAATAATAACTGGTGCGTTCTACCCCCAAGTTGCCCGAGTACAATATCCTGATCCTAAGTATTTCAAATCTGCCCAAGGGTCAATTGCCATGGACCCTGATGCTCGCCTGATTAAGTTCTGGGTCAGAAATGAAGAGTACATGAAACAAATGGAGTCAGACAAGGAAGTCAATGAACTACCAGCATCCAGAGTGTTTATCCATCCTTCATCGGTGATCTTTAATGACAACAACTCCAATTTCACCGTAGATGAAGAGTTCCTTGCTAAAGTTTCCAACGAGGATGGGACCATTGATTATCAACAGGCTCGTGAGTTAATGAACTTGACGCCACAAGTCAGCACCACCAGCTCGCAAACGTTACGTTCGTCATTTGTAGCATTCAGATCGTCCCATCATACAACCAAATTGTACGTGCGTGACATTACACCTACAACTACACTCATTTCCTTGTTGTTTGGTGGCGACATTCAGTATAATTTATCAGATACAACCACGACAACTCCTGGTATTGTGGTGGATAGTTGGTTGCCTATCAGGACCTGGTGCAAGAACGCAGTGTTGATCAAGAGATTGAGAAGGTTATTGGACGGTTCAATCGAAGAGAAATTGAGAAACCCGCAATATGAGATGGAATCAATGGGTGCAAATAACGACGACGTCTTAAAATTGATTGAAAAGTTTGTATGTGTCACGTGATATGTTGCAACTGTCAAAAAAAAAAAGAAATAAACGGCTGAGAAAAATGTCAGCGCAATTAGTAAGCACTCCACAAAGTGTATATATAAATAGAGCAAACTATCTTATAGAGCTTACAGAAATGCATACTTTACACAAATAGACATCACAATGACACAAAGCGAGACTGAAATTACCGAGACAGAGTCACTTGTACCGAGAAAGAACGTCAAATACGGATCTACCAAAGAAATAACACAAGTAAGCACGGACGATATCGATGAGCTTCCGTTGACGATTAGAGAAGTGGTTCCTTTACAAGATGATCCCACCATACCTGCTATTACGGTGCGGTATTTTATCCTTTCCATAATATTTATTATCCCTGGTGCATTCATCGACACTATGAACGCATACAGAACCACATCTGCGGCATATTCGATATTCTTTGTCCAGATTGTATCACACTGGGCGGGGAAATGGCTAGCAAAGACATTGCCAAAGAAGAAGATCAGAATACTAGGATACGGCATTGATCTAAATCCGGGTCCATGGAGCATTAAGGAGACAGCCATGGTGACCATCACCGCAAACAGTGGTGCTACAGGTAACATGGCCACTAACGCAATTTCGCTCGCTGATTTGTACTTTGGCGAGAAAGTGAATGCGCTTGTCAGTCTAGGATTCATGTTTGCCATTGTGTTTGTGGGTTATTCGTATGCTGCGCTAGCTCGAGGGTTGGTCTATGATCCTCAGTTGACCTGGCCCCAGGCATTGATGCAGACGACATTGTTGCAATCCCAGGCTAAAGCTGACGGGAAGAATAATAAGCAGATGAAGGTATTTTTTGTGGTGATGTTGAGCATCATGGTGTGGCAGTTCTTTCCCGAGTTTGTGTTTCCGTTTACTTCTTCATTAGCGGTGTTGTGTTGGATTGCACCGTATAACGAGACTGTCAACTTTATTGGCTCTGGTCTTGGTGGTATGGGAGTGTTGAATTTCTCATTGGACTGGGCAAATATCACTAGTTCGATCATGTTGTATCCTTATTGGATTCAAGTGATTCAATTCATTGCATTTGTCATCGGGGCTTGGATATTGATTCCATTAGTGAAGTTCACGGGAATTGTTGATTTCAAGCATGGATTGATGTCCAATAGCTTATTCACCACTAATGGTACGATCTACCCCACCAGAGAGTTGTTAACATCCGATCTTCAGTTGAATGTCACTGCATACGAGATTTACGGTCCGATCCATTTAGGTGCTCAGCGTGCGTGGAATATGTTCTTTGATTATGCTGCGTATATCAGTGGTATCACTTGGGTGGTATTATTCGGATGGGATAAGTTTAAACAGAGTTTCAGTAGAGTTAATACGTCTCCTGTCAAGTATACTGACCGATTGAATAAACTTCAGGCAAAGTACGAGGCCGTACCTCTGAGTTGGTACATTACCTTGTTTGTTATTTCATTCCTTATATTAATGACAATTTTCCTCAGTGGGAATATGTTTATGCCATGGTGGGCCTGTATTGTCGCGTTAGTCCTTGGATCAATAATCATTACACCATTAGCTTGGCTTTACGCCTTGTCTAATTTCCAACTTGCTATCGGGACATTCAATGAATTGGTTTATGGATACATGATTCAATATTCAGGCACAGCTTCCAAACATCCAGCCGGAGCATTAGTATTTGGATCCATAGCAGGCAATGCATGGTACAGAGCACAGTTCCATTTAGAATGCATGCGTCTTGGATTCTACAATCATCTTCCACCCAAGGCAGTTTTCTTTTCGCAGCTATTCGGTGAATTCATTGGGATACCGATAAATTACATTGCCCTTCGTTGGGTATTACGCACTAAAAGGGAATACCTTACTGGTGAGTTAATTGACCCCTTGCATCAATGGACAGGACAGACAATCAGTGCCAGCCATACCAACGCCATCCAATATGTCGTGTTGGGTCCCTCACGTCTTTTTGAAAACTATCCGTTACTCCCATATGGGTTCATTCTCGGGTTCATTGGCCCATACTTGATATACAAACTTCATACCAAGTACCCTGCTTACAAGTTCAATCTTTGGAACACCACTGTTTTCTTTTCATCCATGAGTAAATTCTATGGGAATATCAGTACGGGATACTTGTCACGATTCATTGGTGGAACAATCACGATGTTTTGGGCATTTAGGTATCACCATAAGCAGTGGAAGCGATATAACTATATTTTGGCGGCGGCGTTGGATACGGGGTATAATTTAGCGGTATTGTTAATTTTCTTGTTGTTTTCGTGTTTTATCAAGGTGGAGATGGTGCATTGGTGGGGGAACAATGCAGATAATATAGAGAGATGTTTTGCATTGTATTAGGTTATTTATAGATGTATATTAAGGTAATAAACTTATGAAAAGGAGGAGTAACATTCCTAGTGCAAATTGAGGCTTGTAGCATTTAGGCGTGACATTAGCGGACAGCTGGCCAACTAAATTAATTAGACAATAATTCTGCTAGTACTGATATGCTTGTGGAAATCAACAAAAGTTATGGTGACTGGTCACATCAAAAGTTGCAAGAAGAGGTACTAGAAGCTTCTGCTACTGTTGCCGATAAACGAAAGCGTCGCTTCGAAAGAGCAGCTTTATACAAAATAAAACGTACGGCTTTTATGTGAGTATGGGAACTTGACTGAACTGCATATGATACCTGATTAGGTGAAGGATTATTCAAATCAATCTAATCAGTCTTTGCTTGCGTCTAATAATAAAAGAAAATTACAAGACTCGAAGAAAGAAAGAAAATAGGAAAAGACCACGAGGAGAAACAAAAAGAATGCTGGACAGAACCAAGATGGTGCAGTTGCATAAAAGAATCCACAGGCCAGGAAAGACGCCAAATCTACTACAAAATCCTCAAGCAAACAGTAAGTCACGCCTAAACTGATAATACCCAAAGATTCCCCACAGAAATCAGAAAATCTGCAGAATAAGAAAAGAAAAAGAGATACAAAGTTAGAAGGTGGAATTGGCAACACTATAGCAACAATTACAGGGAAGCTTATATGCCTGCTGTATATGAAAATTTCCAGAATCTTTGTTGGAGGATATTGAACTTTACGTTTAAGTTACTACCCACGGTACTTTCTGCTCCTTTTATTGCCTGCATGTCCACAAAACTACCAGTAACTGGTGCTTTTCGATTTATTACATTCATTGGAATTACTCAATATATTTGGTGTTAGATTTAAGTTTGTTTCAAGAACCTTTTCCCAAGCGAACGACAATATTACAAGAGTTGCCTGGTCAAATAATAGCTTTCTTAACACAATGAATTTTGTTTTTGCACAAAGAACAGGAGAACCTGACCTGTGCTACATCAATTGCTCGGATTTAATCAAATTTATATTATTTATACAAATGTATATAATGCTAAGACTTACTGATATAACCTTCTGTATAGTATATAAATATTTATTAGTGATATTTAGCATTGGCTAAGCAAGTGGGTCTGTTAACATGGTGATATTATCCATTTTGCACGACCTAGATTTTTTCTAGTGTTTCACACCACCGTAAGCAAAAAAAAAAAAACAAAACCAAGCACACTATATAACCAGCATATATAAACCAACAATGGAGGGATCAAGCAACATAGATCCACCCAAGGTCACACCAGACCCCGAGATCAATCAACAGAAGGCCAAAATCCTACTTCAGAAACTTAAGGAGGAAATAGCCCAGGCTAAAGCAACCACTGATCCTGCCAAAGCCAAACAACATTATCAGGTTGCTGAGAAAATCAAACGAGTCTTGCTTAATTACCAAGCACTGCAAGCTAAAAAGGATGGAACTGATACAGCAAGTGCTGTTCCTGTAACAGGTCCCAGCACTGTTCCTCCAAGTGCTGGTGAATCACGTAGCACCAGTCCAGAAATCAAATCTCCAGTTCCTCAACGACCTAGTTCTGTGCCCGCTCCAACAACAACAAGTGCGGCTACACCACCAGTGAATAACGAATTACAAGGACAGAAAATCACAATTGAAAGATTTAACCATGTAAAGAATCGTATGAAGGAAGTTTACGAAGGTGTAAAGAAGTTGGAACAAGCACATAGTGACGAGAAAGATGCTGCCAAGAAACAAACCATCAATGAACAAATGGAGAGGTTAAAAGGTCAATTAGTTAGTTTCCAGAAATTGGCAGTTTATATGAAAAACCAATTAGTTCAACAGGGCAGAATATCAGGAAGCACAACTCCTGTAAATGTCAATACCCTGCCAACTCCGGTACAACCGCCACAAACCCAAGCACCAGCACCAGCACCAGCACCACAACAACCACAACAAGCACCACCACCACCACAAGAAATTTCTTCACCAGCCAAAACCAAATCTATCAAGAAAGAAGAACCTGCCGTGGTATCCCCACAAAAATCCAAATCTAAATCAATAACTCCAGCATCAGTAACAACTTCAATCACGCCTAAACCAGATTCCGTCCGTCCAGAACTTGCCAAATCGGTTTCTGTCAAATTAAACATGACAAAACCAACAATAACACCATCAATCACATCTGCATCAACAACTCACCTCTCATCACTTGCACGGCCCGATATCTCCCAGCTATCATCAAACACAATAACACCCAACAATATACCCGACAATGGTGGCCGCGTACTCACAAAACGGAAACTTGTGGAATTAATAAACAATCTCGGTGTAGATCAGGGTGACTCCAAAATGACAATTGATGGCGATGTCGAAGATTTATTCTTGGATTTAGCTGACGATTTCGTGAGATCAGTCGTGGGATTTTCATGCCGCTTAGCCAAACATCGCAAAATTGATCGTATTGATATTCGTGATTTGCAAGTTAATTTAGAGCGGAATTGGGGTTTACGAGTTCCAGGTTATTCTAGTGATGAAATTAGAGCCGCCAGGAAATGGGCTAGCCTGGACGAGTATAGTGATGTTGCCAAACGAATTGAACAAGAGAATAGAGGACCTATCGTTGGAAAGAAGGAAAAGAAGAATAGTAACTAATCTATGTATATCATCTGTATAATATTAAAACGATTCATCATCTTCATTAGCAATGTATAATGTGCTTGTAAGTTTCATCAACACTTTTTCATCAACCCAAAAATTTAATGCCTGTGTTGCGGTGTATTCACTGATACTTAATTTTGTAGCCGCATCGTTAACTGAAACTTCATCACTTTTCTCATTAAACAAATCGATAATTGCAGCTTGTAATGGTGTGACTACAAACAGTTTTGTTTCATGATTAATTTCAAGCTCAAGCGTGACCGATCCCAAACTAGGTATATGCTTTACAGTACGGCCAGGTTTATCATTAATGAACTGAGATTTAAATTCATCAAATCGCTGTTGTATCAAGTCCGGAACAGAAAACGAATCATGCTCAAGCATGCTAGAAGGCCAATACAAATGAGACAACACCGACATACGTAACAAATCTCCTTGATATAATCCACTTTGTCTGATATCACGAATCATAATATCCAACATGGTAAACAAATCGTTGCCGAATCTTGACTTGAGAAGAACTAACTTCTCTTCTATATCTTGCACATCTCCACCTTCAATCAATTGTTTTCCAAACAATCGCGTAAATTCATCGATAAATACTTCCTTGGATGTGAATATGGAAAGAAGTGATTCAATCACGTCGTGTTTTCCCCGTTTGAAATCGGCAAGGGCGTCAATTGGATCTGGTGTCCATTTGAGTCCTTCATCTCTGACAATACTCTCTTGTTTTCTTGTCAATTCAACAGCCAACTCATAAAGTTTACTAGAAGGATTGTTATTCAACATTCCGTGAACTAACTTAATCACAACATCGTCTCTGGTTCTCAAGTATTTTCGAGCAGGTCGAATGACTTGATCTAGTAACACCCCTCGAGGATCAATGATTAGAAAAGATTGCATGGTTTTGATGTAGATGTGAATTATATCAACAGTGTCTGCGCCTGAATGAAGCAAGTGTTTTCTCATAGAATCTATAAACAGGGTGGTCAACTGACGACGTTTTGTGGATGATGTAAGACATAGGTGAAGTTCTTCAAGTGCTGGTATGGAGCTGGGGTATGTCGACACCATGGTATATATCTCGCTTATTCGAAGGTGGACTAGTTCATCATGGGCAGTTGTATTTAGGGAAGAGAGATAGGATGCAGCTGGTGATTCCGTGTATGATGTAACCAAGGAAAATGTTGGGTAAATTTGAGTAGTTATGCAATTGTTAATCGAGTCTAGTATGGGAACTGTCCATTTCTCGGTGGCTATTTCTTTGATATTTCTTTTGATTGTGGATATTGCCAATTGAATCATGGTAGAATTAAGTTCATTGGTCAAATTTATAGAAGTCAATGTAGTTATCACATCAATAAGTTCGAAATGCAGTTGGCTTGACAAATCTCCAAACAACCGTTCGGCAAAGTATTCTTCCATTTTGGTATGTGATAGTTTGCTATTAATTAGCAAGTTTAGTTTTCTAGTGAAGATCATTCGGGAACGGTTTGTGAGGTTTAAATAATCCAAATGACAATTGTAATAGTGCAGCAATTGCCTAACCATGTGAATATACTCCAAAAACAGAAGGTCCGCCACGAACTTGGTTTCAAACTGAGACGATATAGTGTTTATGTAAACCATAACAAACTCAATCTGGTTCAGTTCATGTTTCAAATAGCCATGTATAGCTTTCTTGACTCGTACTGACGGATCAACAATCTTTGTAGGTTTGTTATTGTTTAGGTTTTCTGGATAGTATGGACTCAACCAATCAAGGACAATCTGGATATCATTGTCTAAGTCACCACCAAGATCGTACAATCCCGGTCGGGGTATAATCTGACTGATTACCTTTGATGTTATTTCAATGTTCATGGAGTACTTATTAGACGCCAGTTTGGCAGCACTTTACCAATCTAGCAGATCAAAAAAAAAAAACGACGTATGGATTGTTCTAAAACCCACATTTTTAAGGAAGCCCAGGAAAACACAACCAACAGCGTCTAATAAAAAAAAATGGTACGCATTGCTATGATAATATGAGCTGGTTCAAACGTATACTAACGTCCTTCAAGTCTAAGCAGCAAGTGAAGCGCCAATTCCAAGAATTGACTGGTGTTCCTGGCCCCCAGGCCCAACAGTTTGTTGAAAATGCAAATTACAATTTGAATGCCGCGTTGGACAATTTCTATAATAGAAATGCCAGTCCTGCTACCACTACTACAACCAATCGTAAACCTCCTGTGAAGAGTGATAAACGATTAGTAAGTTTGTTCAAGAAGTATCGGGAGGATGATGAGCATATAGGTATTGATGGAACGTTGGCATACCTTGAGGATTTGTCAATCACTCCAGAAGACCCTCTTGCACTTACACTAGCATACTTTTTGAAATCACCCAGGGTAGGGGTTTTCAATAAGGATGCGTTTCTTACAATTTGGCAACATTATGAATGTTATACTATTACACAGATGAAGAACGTCATATTACATGTCCATGATGATATTCTTGACCTGGGTAACCAGTATATTGATGTAATGGAAGACAAGCCATTGACCTTGAAAGGAATGTATGAGTTTACATTTGAGTTTTTAAAAGAAGTAGAAAATCAACGAGTATTGGATGTTCAAACATGTATTGACTACTGGAAATTGTTGCTTCCCTTGGTTTTGAAGAAAGTTGGTGCTCCAGTTAAACAACAGGTAGAAGAAAGACTCGACCAATGGTACGAGTTTGTACTTGAAGATCACAAGAAACCATTTAGTTTTGACGGCTGGTGTCAATTTTATTTATTTGTGCAGGACATCATAATCAAAGATCCAGTGGCGTTTAAAGATTACGATGAAATGCAAAGTTGGCCCAATGTAATGGATGAGTACATAGAATATTTACGGGAAAACGGGCTAGTAGAAGGTGTAAACTAAAAATTAATACTATATAGAATTGAAAGAAATATTCCTACCTTAATTTAACAAGCTATCAATACTTGATTTTCGTAAAGCTAACAATGTTTTCAGAGCATCTTGATCTTTATCTTCGTAACTATCTTCTTTAGCGAAACTGGCATTGCTCTTGGACTTGAAGTACATTTTGCGAGGTGGTACCAACTGTTGGTCAACTTCAACGGCTGGTTCAGGTAATCTGAACCCATTGGCTTTAGCTGAAGAGGAGGAGGACCCGATCATAGAAGGAGATGTAAAGGCTGAACCAGATAATGTAGATTTCATAGGGATGGTGAATGGAGAGGGGTTATTTGACTTTATACCTAACATGTTTGGAGAAGCATATGAGGACTTTCGAGATATAAGGTTTGGTGATTGTGATGCGGACGAGGCTGTTTGGTATTTGTTTAACATGGTTAGTATTGGTGCGATATCTGGAGTGAATTCTGGTGATGGTAATTGTGGTTTCTTGAGTTCGGATATACTTGAGGATGCACTCATCGGTATAGTAGATTGGTAGTTGGTGGGGGTATTAGTTGTGGTAGGACCATTGATAGTGGCAGTGCTTGTGCTGCTAGTATTCCCTTCATCGTCTTCTTCTTGTTCTTCCACTATCGAATGTGTTCTATAGTCAAAACTCCTTCCTGATGATGACATTTCACTCGATGAGGTGGAAGGACTTGTCCCTTCAAGTAGTTCTTTAAAATTGAATTCTTTGTCGATATTTCTATACTGGTTGACATCCAAAGGAATCTTGGCAAAATCTATATTGAATTTGGAATATGCTTCGTTGTTACTCTGTTGTAGTAATTCATGTTGCTTTTGAATGATGTGGTGAAGGTATAAAATATATTCCACAGAAGATTTCAAGATAGTCAATTTGTACATTCCATCAATTTTGTTCCCGTTGGCATTACCGGGATTTGGTTGATTCTTTTTAGCGGTAGCAGTTGGTTGGTTGGCATTGGAGGCTCTACAAGCAGGAATCAAATACTTCAATGCTTCAAACTCACGGTTGATTTTAATTCTTCTTCGTTTTTCGATTATGGAATGTAATTGTTTAGTTTCATGTTTCCGTTTGGCTAATTCTTCTGAGTCGATATTAGCGGATGATCTTCTTCGTTTCTTCTTGTTGTTTGAAAGGGAGGATGAACCCGATCCTGAGTTTATTATATCCACGGAGTTGTTGGTGGAGTTATTTGTATATTCATTCGTTAATATTTCGTAATTTTTATCATCGGAATCCAACTCTTTATTTAGTTGGATGATTGTAGTTTTCAATACTGGAGGACTTGGAAATACCATTTAGATTGCAAAATAGGTGACTGTGGAGGAGCTAGAAGTTTATTGCAAAAAATAGAATTTGGGGGAAAAGTGACAAAAAAGGATAAGTCGGAAAAACTCTAGTGATTATATATCAAAATCAAACTAAGGTTTAATTATACAATTTAATATACAAAAGGGTAGTGCCTGTCTTGACAGTTTAATGTTGCCTGCTCCGCCGCCCACGTTTAATAAGCCCAGATATAAAACAACTAAAAAAAAAATAAATTAAAGTTAATTATTTTTTTTTTATTTTGCTAATTTTTTTATTATTATGTTTTTCTTTCATCGTTTCACTTTAGCTGTTTTAAGATTTCATGTAGAGTAGAAGAGAAGATCCAATGAGATCGGACCTATATGGGGTGGAGCACCAAGTCAATGGAGTCTAAGAAAATAACTGGAGCATATTAAACAAGACACAACATACGTATGCCCATGACATTGAGATGAAACGTTGGTCAGCGTATTATTTATTGAGCCAACAATGAAATCGCATTTTTCTTTCTTCTCCCCCCCTTGTGTTGCCATCCCCCCGTGCCAGGTTTAGCCCAAGTAATAAGTCACACGATAACAAAACGTGTGACGAGACACTATAAAGTGTGTCCCACGAGACTTAAACAACTGCACATTGCATTATTTTAGACAGAAAATAATTACACAAAAAAATAATTCCGTGCCCCACGTGCGCCAGACAATAACTGTCGTACTTCGCTTCTGTTATCTTGTAAGACTCGCACTTTAAATAGCAGTGCAATTTTTGACTTTTTATAAAAAAAAAAGCTGCACGTTGGCTATAGCTCACGTGGATAAGGTTACCACGAGTGATAACACATTTGCTAACCAGGGTATAAACAATGGTTGCGGTGTTTCCCTTAGATCCTTGCTGGTGCCATTTTCACACCCCCTGACACTCTCGCTCTTTCGCTCTTTCGCTCCCTCTCCACATCTCTCAGTAATAACTTCTCTTGTGACTACTGCAACATAGGCGAAATAAATCATTCCTGGGCACATCACTACACATAAACAGCCTGTGATTAATGTGTTAAGGCACCGCGGTTATCGCATTAATTAATTGTTATTTGCCTTGACAGAATTGGACGATATTCCGCTTTTGTGACTTTATCGTTTGGTCTTGTGAAGTTTAAGTTTACCACATAGCTTTTTTTTTTTACAGCCATTTTCTCACTCCCTAATTTTTTTGCCTTTGTGTTTACATTTGCAACTGTTTTACAACAAATTTATAACTCCTTTCTATTCACACACCAGGTTAGCACAATGGTCAATCGTCTATTACCAGCACCTCCCCCAACTGTCAATGCATGGTCCTTGAATCAATTAATCGAAAATAACCCTCCTGTTGAGTCAAATGACGAAGTAGTGCCTAGTTTAACATCACCGCTTATTTCCCCAGAGGACCTGCTGCCATTCACTCCTCACCTGGCGCCACCACTCACCAAGAGGAAATCAAACAAGAAAAATAGTGGATCGGTCATGATTCGTATTGGCAAGAATACCACTATTAAGAAACCCACTAAATTTCCTCAAAATCAAGGTAATATCAAAGGTGGAACGGGCGCTTACAAATATAAAATTGCTACCAGAACTGATAACTACCACTATACCAATCCTTCTATTGTGTATCCTATGGACACCAGTCGTGATGAATCCGAGTCAAGCCCTATCCAAGAACAAACAAGCGAAGGCCAGTTTACAAGTCCGCTTCAAACTCAACTTTCTAGTCCCATTGAGTACGAAGGACCAGTAAGTCCACTTGAAGGTCAGTTTCCATTGGTGTATCCTTCACCATTTCCTATTCCTGTATTCCCTATATATCCAATCTATGAATACTATCCTGAAGTGCAATCTCCAAAATCTAGCAAACACGATATAATCAAACGACAACTCGAATACTACTTTTCCACCGAAAACTTATGCAAAGATTTATATCTACGTTCATTATTCAATCCCATTGACGGCAGCGTTAAGCTCCAAGATCTAATCCAATTCAATCGTCTCAAGAACTTAACCAAGAATGGAACTGATATAACATTGTTGATTGACGCCATTTCCGACATTGATAGTTTGCAATTATTAGAAAATGAACCACGAGTTAGACTTAAGAACTGGCGGGATTGGGTGAATTAGTACATTGGCTATTTCTTTCCGTTTGTTTGCAACATTTGTATCCCCAGTTCCCCGATTCATAATAACTTCCAAACACTGAGGTATGATTCAACGCATACACGTCTTCAGCATATCGAGATTTTATCAACCCATTCTTATCAAGCTCGGGTTTTTCGTTCAATTTCCTTCGTTTAGCTTCTTGCTTCATTTTCATCATCATTAGCGTTGGGCTGGCCTCAATGCTATTATTCAAATCTGCTGGGTCATCTTCACCTCCAAGATCCCAAGCGAATCTTTGTAATTCATTCAACTGCTTACCTTCCCCAGTTAGTTTCTTGACAAATTGGTTCAGATCATTGATAAACCCAGCACTTGGATCTTTAACCAATCTAGACTTTGGGTCGAATTCAAGCTTGATTTTATTATTGGGGTTACTAGTTATATTGTGAATATATCCAGGTATATCGTTTCTATCGCGGATAAGTTTCTCCAAAGGGTGTTGTTTTGTATTTACAAGTTGGTTTTCAAGTAGGTCTAACTCAATAAGTTCTAATTCGTAATCAGGCTCATCGGACTTCTGCTCTTCTTCTTTCTTCTCAGTCCATTTGTCAAGATGGGCAAGCCATTCATCCAGGGTGTATCCATACCATCGATCTCGTTTACTATCGTAGTCTTCATGTTGGATACGGACGTCGGAGTCTTTTATACCGTGACCGGTGGTGGGGATGCTATGGTCTACTATTTCGTTGTTGACACGATGGTGCGACAAGTAGTCTGTTGAGTCGTCATCTTTGTTACCCTGATACCATGGTTTTGATGTTATATATTTCGGTATGTATTGATTTGGTTGTGACATTGTGGGATGGTCATTGAAAATAGTGTATGTTAATTTTTTTTGGTTTTGTATTTGCGATTATACATTTGTTGGAAAAAGTTGGCAAAATTTTAGCAAATTGTCAACAACAATACAGGCCATAGAACTCTACTAAAAGATGCAAAGAGCAAAGTCTCACTGTACGAAAATGTTAATTTACAATACTTTTGGTCTATATATATATATATATGCTAATTAGAACCCCTTCCACTCTTCTTCATCCGCGTCAGCTTCGTCAGCTTCAGCTTCGCTTTCTTCTTCACTGTCATCATCTTCAGTCACTCCCCAATCTTTCAATCTCTCATCATTTAAAACTTCTTCTGCACACTTTTCTCTCAAGGTCTTCAATAAAGCTTCCTTGTTTAACTTGGCAAATGGAGAAATCAAAGCAGTCACAGGAACATCATCCACAATTTGCAACTTCTTCTTGAAAAGCTCTTCATACTTTTCAGCATACCCATCTTCACCCTTCAGCTCATCAACATCATCCTGCTCCTGTTTCAATTCTTCAAAAATCACCAATTCCAATTCATCCAAGTATAAATCACATAAATGGTAAGGCAAAGCCACAGGAACATCCTTTCTCCCACTCAACACCCCGCCTTCCAAAACCTTGACAAACTCGGCAACAACTTCTTCGTTCCAGTTCTCCTTCTTTAATCTCTTGAATGAATGACGCACCACTCTTCTTATCAACAAGTAAAACTTGTCGACTCTCCATTGATCAATATCGCTCCAGGTCAAGATCATAATGTTGAAAAATGCATCCAAGAAAGTAGGAAACTTCAGTAATGGAACAACGTCACTGTATAATCTTCCGAGACTCTCACAAAGACGTTCTTGGGTACGGGGTCTGTCCGAGAACCATACAGAATAGTACATTCCCTTCCACAACTTTTCATATTCGAGAAGACTGAGTTTGGTGGATTTGGAAAGGTATGCTTCAAGCGATTCTAAAGCAGCGTCTCTTGTCTTACGCGAGTTGGACGCTAGTTTTTTCACAAAGGCTGATGTGGACATGGTTGACTGCTAATTGTAATGAGATGGAGGGAAACCAAGAGATGCGAAATTTTTAAAAAAAAAAATGGTGATGGAGGTTTAGAAAACTGAGCCGCACGGAATGTGTGTCTGGTCAGTTACCAAGTGAGGTTGAGCTTTGGCATGCAAAGGGCAAATCGGATTCAATATGTGAATCGCGTGGTTGCATTTCATAAATCGGCAAGAGTAGGCTGAATTGGAGTACGGTTGAGTGGATGTAGTGTGGAACACTGGAAATTGCCTGAATATCTGGCATTCAACACCACAAGACCTATTACAAATATTGTTTCACGTTAATCTATTATTAAGTATACAAAAATATACATTTATTCACCATCCAGGGTGCTTGCTTAAACAATCAAGTATCTAATTGGGATATGCAACAATTTAACAGCATAACCGACAACACCCATCATAATGAACCCAACACCAACAGCCTTGACAATCTTTAAGTATTCCTTTTGATCAGGCTTGTGACATTTCTTGACAAATGCGGAACCGTCCTTAAAGAACTCTACTGGAACTTCAGTGAGTTTTTCTAATCCTTCGTTGGCCATATCTTATAGTTTGTGTGATACAAGAAGAACTGTTGATTGTTTCCCGTTGTCCTCTTTTTTTTTTTTCCTTACGTCCAACGAGTGGAACCAGAAAGTGACAGCACAATAACTAATTTCGGTAACCGCACGACAAAGCTTACACTATAAATTTGGCAGCCAAAATTCAATTTTATTTACAACACAATAAATACTTCTTCTACATCAAGCTCAACAACGAATCATCCTCATCATCCTCCTTCTTTAAGGTCATCATAAACTCTTGTCTCTTCTTCTCTCTCAACCTCTTAAATTGATTCAATTTCTCGTGCTTGAACCAATCACTCAATTGTTGTTTCATGGCGGTATCAAGGGACCATTCATCAATCAAGGGTTGGCATTGGCCTATGTACAAGGATTTCCCCTTGATGTCGATCAATTCCTTCATGGCCGCTTGATAAAGTATGTATACCGATTGATGCTTTTCATTGACGGGTTCAAAGCCAAGGTTGGCACGTCTATTAAACGATTGTGATGTGGTGTGGTATGCTTGGTATTGTCTTAATAATGCTGACAAATAATCATAATATTTCTGTTCTAGATTATCAGCTATTCCTTCTTTCAAATAGTTCAAATATGTGGAGTAGATGCTGTGGTTGAAATCTATTTCGTCAGTTTGGTAAATATCCCATAGCTGTTGAAATGCCTGGTTTCTTTCCTGTTTAAGTTTCTTGACGAATTCCAAGAATCCCTCATAGTCAAAGTTAACGTCATTGGAAATTTCATTCAAGGTAGGTGTACCGTTGGTTTTCACATTGGTTTGTCTCAAGAAATACAGCAAGGCACGATCTTCTTCAAATTTAGTGGACATATCGCACCAGCTGAAAATCAGATCGAAAAACCTCTTGTCTAATGCATTACTTCCAGTTATTTCGTATGATTTCTGGAATTCACTAACAAACTTCATTGCGTCAAAGAAATGACCGTTATATGCAATACTAGAAAATATACTAATAACAGTGTTCATGGTTGGATACCTAGAATCATTCGGTTTCAATTTAACATCGTCGGAAATTATTTTCCCAGTTTCGTCAACTCCCCATACTGACTCGATAAAATTAAAAAGTTGTGACAATTTACCTTCGTACCCCAAACTGCAAATCAAAGTTTCATGGAATTCCAATCCCATCTCGGCAACTTGCAACCCAGATTTTCTGAAATCGGCCAATAAGTCATTGGACTTGATGGAGTCGACAAACCTACTATTCTTTGGGTCATACCTAATTGAGGCCAATTCTGTGCTTTTCAATTCCCAAAGATGTAAATTCCCACCGCTGTAAATCTGGAAAACCAATATCCACATCTTGGGCGTCATTTTCCCAACATAATCATACGGGGATTCCCTCTTGAATGTACGGAACCACTTGGCAGCTAAATCCAATTTACGATTCATGACTTCTAAATGCATCAAGTTTTCATAATCTGTAGTGGTAAACTTATACCCGGTTAACTCCAGGGTGGCATAGATATCATGTCTTCTTTCCTGGTCATAGAACTTAATGTTAGGGTTGGTATATATCAATGCACCGTAGATGTCACGGATGGCTTCAGTCATGGAATGTACTACTGCTGGTTGAGTAATTCGCGATTTGGGGTTGATTAATCGTAAAATTGGTGCTAAGGACAGGTACAGCTTTAAATGGAAGTTCTTTTTAGAAATTAGCAACCTCATATACTCAGTAAACTGGTGGTGTCCCAATACATCCAACATGGCGTTTGGATCATGTTGGGCCCATGATAATAGGAGTTTACTCAATGAGTCAAACTGGTTTCTTTCCACCAAGTCAATGATCTGCGTTTTAATTTTATGGGATTTGTCGTCAGATAACCGGGGTGAGCTGCCACGACTGGCAGTATATGATTTAGATGCACGAACGGAAGGCATGGTTTGTAATTTGTCACCGAGTGTAGGTGTCTTGGGTATGTGTGTGTTTGGTCTCGTCTCTTGATGAGCAGGAAAAACTTCTTCCGAGAAGGTAAGCGTGGAAACACTATACCTCCTCCTTATGGTCTTTCTAAGTCCATTAGCTAGCTGCCCGCTTCTTATTATTCCTGTCATACTACCCTACACTATAGCTTCAATGCTCACACTGTGAAAATACTGAAAAATTTTGATATCATAAAAATAAAAAAAAGAAAAAAAAAATCGGTTCCGAATCGGGAAAGATTACCCGGATATATTACACATACATAAAGCTTACAACTTAGTATTCATACCAGCACGAGCAATATGAAAAGCGTTATACTTTTGAATAGACTTCAATCCATCTTCCATGGTGCCTCCATTGAGAATATCCTGGATATGTTGCTTAGTACCACGCAAAGCCCATCTTTCCAGATCACATATCTTTTCTCCCCATGCTTTAGCAATCTTAATTCCGGCATCAATGGAGTCAACAATGCAACTTACGTAACCTAAATCCAATGCCTCTTGGGCACCCCATTTGTCACCCAATAATGCGTGCTGGAACAACTTAGACTTGTTGTTGACTAAACGAGGGACACGTTGGAGAGTACCTATATCAGCAGCAATCCCAATGTTGATCTCAGCAATGGAGAATACGGCATCGGACACGGCGATTCTGATGGTGAATGCCGAGGAAATGTCGAGGGCAAGCCCATAGTTGATTCCATTCAAGATCCCAATTGTAGGAGTGTTGATGCGGGCAGGCACACCAATTGCATCTTGAAAGTCCTTGATGTGGGTAAACAAGTGGGCTTCACTTTCTTTCTCCGTACGACTAGGGTCAAACACTTCCATTGCCTGTTTCAAGTTCAATCCACTAGAGAAGGAACGAGCCACACCGGAAGTAACGAGAATGAGTTTGACGTCTTGTTCGGCGTCGAGTCTGGTGAATATTTCTCCGTAATCTCTCCAATTTTGTTCAGCAAACGCATTGAGGGTCTTGGGATGGTTGTACACAACATGAATGAATCCTTCTTGGATCTCACTCACGGAGAAGTATTCGTATTTATAATCTGAAGCTTTAAAGGTCATGGTTGGCGAGGAGTTTACAAGAATAACGAAGAAATAGAGAAGGAGGGTTATATTTATAGTTGAAATTTATATTGCAAACCTCGGCTTCTTTTTTTTTTTGTGATTGCGGGGAGAATAATAATGTGAATTTTTCAGCACTTGATATTTTAAACTACATATCTACCTCCAGGAACATTCGTCTCTTGTTGAGCCGCCAATTCCAATCCTTCAATCATTCGTTCTCGTATCATATTGTTAGCTTCATGCACCGACGACTTGTCTAACCCTTCAACAAGCAAGTAGAGTTTAGCCAACAGGTCTTTATTATTGGGAGGTGGGTTTTTACCAGGTGGATAAAATTGACCTCTGGTGGTGATTGACGTTCGAGAAGTTTCAATAATCTTGGACAAGTGTTCACGATTGACGATATTCCATCTAGCAGCTTGAGGCAAGTCATTGATGATAATCCTCGAATAGAACTTACACTTGTCGGGACCAGACGTCTCGGGGCTGTTTCCTTCAATGATTTCAAAATCAGGTAAGGCGGCAGCAGTGGCATTGGGTGTAGCATTTGGAGTGACACTCTTTTCTTTAACTGTCTCCGTAGTCAGCTCATCATACATGTTCTTTTCCATTTGCAATTTCAGATCACGCACTTGTTTCAATTTGTCCAAACCTTTACCTCCAAACCCATAATGGATCTTCTCTTTGCCTTGTTTAACCTTGCTCGAAAAACTCTCGGCAATTTCCACTAATCTCGAATCTATTTCTTCCACTTTACTCATACGCAACGCTCTCACAAGATTGGCAATTTCGTGTTCCTGCTTATTCCACACAAACGTGATTGCCGTTCCCTTCGATCCTGCCCTACCCGTACGGCCTACACGATGAACATAATCTTCCATATGATTGGGCGGATCGAAATTAATCACAAGTCCCAAACTTTTAACGTCCAATCCACGGGCAGCCACCGATGTAGCAATGAGAATGTCGACACCACTGTTGATGCTTGAAAATTCCTTGATGGCGTAGCGTCGGTCGAGTTGGTCTTTACCTCCATGGATCGCTACACAGGGCAAGTTGAACGCAAGGAGTTGTGTGACTAGATCATCGGCGTCATTTTGTTTCTCCACAAATATAAGTACCTTTTTGTATGTCTGGTAGTCAGCAAGTATAGAATGGAGTTTGTCAATTCTGTCCAGTTTGAACTCTTCCGCAGTGACGTTTTCGAAAAGGATGATTTTTTGGGTGATTTCTGGAGCGACGACACTTATTCCACCCACGATAATCTCAACGGGATCAACAAGGATGTGTTTTGCCAATTGTTCCATCTTTCTCGGGAACGTGGCCGAGAACAAAATAGTCTGGCGGTCAGGTCTAATTTGAGTGAATATCTTGCTGATCTGGGGCTCAAACCCAAGGTCAAACATACGATCAGCTTCGTCAAGGACGATATATGTTGTTCTTTGTAGATTAGTTACACGGCCTGAATTAGCCGCCAACAAGTCAATGACTCTACCGGGAGTACCCACAATTATCTCCACGCCACTTTTCAATTCGTTAATTTGGGGTTCTATGGAAGATCCACCATAACAGCAACAGACTCGCAAACTCTTGCTGGTGAAATTGGAGATTTTTCGCTGAATCTGCAATGCAAGTTCTCGAGTGGGACAGAGGACAACACCAATAGGCCCATCATTCTCACGTATTGGTGGCTGGTCTTGAATGTGTCTCAACATGGGAATAACATACGATAATGTCTTTCCTGATCCGGTTTTGGCGACTCCGATTACATCTCGGCCCGACATGATTATAGGAAGAGCTTGACATTGAATTGCTGATGGTGATTCAAACTGTAGCTTGTCAGTAATGACCGTAGATAAGTTTGACGGAAGTCCCAAGTGTGACCATTTGGAGATTGGAGCGTAATGCAGTGCATTGTTTCCCTTGACACGAACATTCCCTAGTTCTTTGCGGATCTCGGATATTTGTTCTTGAGTTAACATTTGTAGCTCGTATGGCTGTTGGTAGAAACTCTTTCTGAATGGTGCATAAGTTTCAAGGGTGTGATCAATTGGCTTGAGTTCCTTTCCCTTGGTTTGAAGTTTTGTGAGTGATGTTAGAAGTTTCTGTTGTTTTAGTTGTTCTTCGTCGACTTCTTCTTCCTCATCGAGATCGTCAGGTTCGTCTAGTTGGACTTTGGTTGTGTTTTTCGTTTCACTAAGAGAAGCCAAATACAAGTCTAATTCATCCACTTCTGGTGCATCATCATTTGCCGGTGTTTCCTGTTGATCAAGGGTAGGCTTCTTGAATTTCGGTTTTGCAGAATCGCTTTCTTGGTCATCCTGTTGCAAGACAACCCGTGGTCTCTTTAGTGGGGCCGTTGTTTTGTTGGTCTTCTTCAAAGTCAATGTGGGTCTAGCTGATATTGGTTTCGCCACATCTGGTTTTTTGACTGGTTCTTGCAGCTGTTGTGCTCTTGCCCTCTTCCATTCTTCAATACGTTGCTGTCGTATTCTCTTTTTCTCATCAGCATCGACTTGACTAGGAGTAGGTGGGACAGGAGTTGCCGAAGTCGGCACTGTAGTCGGCGCTGTAGTTGGAGCTGCGGTTGCAGCAGTGGTTGCAGGGGCAGGCTTCTGATTCTTCTCCTGACTCTTCTCCTGCTCCTTCTCCTGCTCCTTCTTCTGCCTCCATGCTAGCAACTGCTCTCTTCTCTTTCTCAATTTCTCCTCCTTGGATTCACCATTTTCGTTCTGGATTGAAGTTTGGTTAGTAATGCCCTGGGATGTATGTCCGTTCATGTTACACACTCTATATCACTACTGTTATTACACTTGCGATGTGCTGGTGCCTTACAATTTTTTTTTGTTTAATTTATTATGAATGCGACAAAGTCATTGTTTAAAAATCTATGTATGTATATCAACTATAATGCAGTGGTGACAGTAACAGTCTGAGAGTTGAGAAGCATAACAGGCGGCAAATCATCTAACCACACAGCAAGATTATTGGTATACTCAAATGACTCACCTTCATCTAAATGTGTGCCTATCGGTGGTGCCGGCAACGTCGAGAAGATCACATAGGTTTCTCCAAGCACCGAGTTCCGCTTCATCAATTCGTTAAGCACGATATGTTGTCCCTTTGCAGGTATGTCGTCAAAACTTAACCTGTTCAACTCTTCTTGTAATTCACGTCTCGTTATGGTTTTCTTGTCTTCTTGTTTTTGCATTCCTCTCGCTTTGTAGAACTCATCTCGCGACCCAGAAGGACCAGTAGATGAAGTAGCACGATAGCTGCGGTCAGTAGGCGCCAACGGTGGAATATCCTCGTCATCTTCTTCTGCCATAAACTGCGGCGTTCTCATTTGTTGAATGATATCATCGTCATTAGCGAATATCGCCGGTGATTTCGCCGGTGATCTCGTGGCATCAGCGCGAAGCTTGGATGACGGCGATCTCTTGACACTCTTCTTGATATCAGTTGGTGGTTTCAACTCTAATGGTTCCTCCTCTACATTTTCTTGTACTTCCCGTTCTTCTTGTTCTTCTTGTTCTTCTACTTCATCATCAGCAACAAACTGGATCGACTGTTTCACATCAGCTTCATCTGCATTGTCTTCCCCTTCATCATCGTTGATCTGTGACTCAGGAATCTTAACCGACAGAAAGTTAGGACGAAGATTCGACACCGATCTAATCGACAATTGATCTGACGACCTGAACATCGAATGATTGGTCTGTTCCTTCAAGTTGGGACGATAATGTTTTGGTGGCTGGGGCGTGCTTGGAGAAAGCAACGGCGTGTGCAGCGGGGTCTTGTCATAACCCGACAAATTCAACATGCTGTTGTTGACACTGTTGGTGGCCGTTTCCTCGTCATCACTACTGTCACTCAATGGATCTTCATAATTGAGAAACTGATTCGCAGCTTGTGACTTGAGATTAAACGAAAGCGCCATTCCCTTTTCTTGCAAGTTCGACAAGGTGTATCTTCTATTATGCTTAAACTGATCAAACTGACTAGGCTGAGACGGACTCAAATTCAAGTTCAACGGGTAAAACTCTTCGACCCCAGCAAACGATGCAGTAGATGCATTTCTCGTTATATCCAGCATGGGTTTCTTCTTCATGGCCATCTTCTTTCTTGCTATTTTCTTCTTTTCAATCTCACGAAGCGTCTCCCTGGCATTAGACAAGTTAATCCACCATTGTTCGTCGTGAAGTATATTATCCACTCGCTCACACACGGCTCTATTGCTTTGCGTCTTGGTATATCCCTTCACCATATAGTTATACGAGTCCAAACTTCCATCGTCCAAGCATACAATCTTGATTTCCGCCGCGATACGAAGACTCGAGAGCAATTTACTCAATCTTGATCGCTCGTCTTCGACTTCTTGTTCCGCTTCGACAAACACAATCACACGGAGTTTGAAATTGTTTAATTTCCACTCTTGGACTGTGGATAAAATCCACCCCAACTGAAGAATCAAAGTATACGTGTCAAAGTTTGTCGACAACACCAGCTGGCCATTGTCCAATTGGTTAATGGACGACATTTGAATAGGATACAAGTCGATATACTTGCTTACACCCTTGTCGACATTCGGCTTGTGGAATAACGTCTTCCAGAACCCATTTTCTTCCACTTTGGGCAATTTCAACTTTGAAAAGTTGGCAGCAACAGCCACGGTTGCCTGCAAGACAATCAAATCCTCGACAATCTGCACCCATTGGCCAATACTCACCTTCTTCTCCTTACGACAGGTGTCAGTGGGCAAGTCAGTCACACCTTCTTCAAAAGTGGGGATGATTGGCATCTCAATGCCATGCTTGACAAAATCGTAGAAACCAAGAACAGTAATATTAGGTTTCATTCCTCCTAACCCTGATCCAAGGTAGACATTTCTCACCCCCCAGGGCAATGTGGGACCCAAAGCAATCTGGACAAACGCCTTCACCTTGGACATGTCTCGCAACTTAATCCATGCTTGCTTTTGCTTCCTCACTTCTTTATAAGTATTCACTGAAAATACAGTGCTATTCTTGCTGGAGTTGGATTCCGGAGCAGTATCATCATTCATCATAACCACATGACCTAGCACATACAATCCACCTTTCTTCAAATGATTACAGAACCCAATCAAGTTCCACGACGTTCTGGGATTGTCACAAAGTAATAATATCTGTGGCCGCCAGTACTTGACGCTCATCTCCAACTTGAGTCTCAACAAGTACTTTCTAACCTGATGATAAATGAGCAACTGGGAGATATCACCAAACTTCAGCGGGGGTGTCAGGTAGTGGATCATCAAGATGAAGAACGTCAAGCAGAAAATTACAAGCGTGGCCGAGATCCCATCGACGATAAACATGGCGATAAAACACACAATGGCACCGGTGAGTGCAGTCCTTGTACTAAAGTACTTGAACGAGGGCCTGAAGTTAGGTGCTGAGCCAATCTTTAAAAGAAAACAAGCAATGTTTGTCACGATAAACGTCATTAAAAAAGCCATGGTAATGAACGTGGCAATCTGGTTAATATCTGCAAATAAGAATATCTGGGCAATGAACCACGTCAATATGATACTCCATATCTGGGCCTTCTTCTGGTCCTTGATTGACTTTTTGCTCGTGGTGAAGAGCGATAACCCAGGTATGATTTTGTCATCGGCAATAGCGTTAATCATGGATGATGCACCCACAATACCCATAATCACGGAAAACAACGATGTCGAGAACTCACCAAGGATAATGACAATGCTCAGCAAGTTCACGGTCTGAATCACTTTGATATCAACATGCAACAAATCACGAGGAATGGCTGACCCCATGGACACAATCACAGCCGTATACAAAATAAACGTGACCAAAAGTCCACGTAACGTTCCCAATGGAATAGACTTTGATGGTGTTTTCAACTCTCCTGACATCGATGCACCAGCAAGAATACCTGCCGTGGCTGGAAAGAAAATCCCAAACAAATCACGAAATGTTTCCGGCACCCCTGGCGGTAGCACCGACCCTGCTGCACCGCTGGTAAACTTTGGGTACAAGTTATCGGTGAATGTCTTCCATGAAAGCCCCGTATACAAAATGGCATCGTGCGGAGCCGGCAAGGGATGATAAGGCTTGACGAAAAACGTAGATATTGGAATAGACACGGTACTGATTGTCAAAATAATGAATAAAAGCAAAGCGGTTTTCGAAACCAACAGAGATCCAACCATGGCTACACACGTACATATCGCCAATAGAACTGTGGAGTAAAGAACCAGCCACATGTATCCTGTCGGTAACAACTTGACCATATCTCCGTGCTCCAAGCCAAAGTTTTCCAAAAAGGGTTCAATGAAACCAACCACGTTCAATGACGAATTAAGAATCTGGCCAATGACAAATATGATGCCGATGGCACCTCCGAATTCGGGACCTAATGATCGGGAAATCATATAGTATGCTCCACCACCTTTGACAGTCCCATTAGTGGCGATGGCACTGACTGACATTGTCGTCAATATATCAATTGCGTATGAAAGGACCAACAAAAACATGGTGCCTAGAATCCCCATTTGGCCAATGATGAAGCCGAATCTCAAGAACATCAAGATGGACAATACATTAAGGGACGTAGGGAGGAACACCCCTTCGAATGTTCCCAACTTGCTGACGTTGTTCTTGTTGTTGCCCTTGCCCTTCTCTGTTAGCTTAGATCTAACATGAGTAGTTGATCTGTAGTTGGGAGGTATTGATCTGCTTCTCGATGAAGGAGGTCGGTTCGGCAGTAGTAGTTGGGTAGATTCTGTAGGGGGATATCTCAGCGATACCGAAGATATTCCCATTGAAGACATGTGTGCAATCACTTGTTGTCTAAACAGAAAGTAGTTTGAAGGAAGAGCTCTTATCAAATCATGTCGTAAAACAAAATTAGATTGCGCTTCTTTGACCTGAAACGTGAATGTCGCGAGCACGCGCTACCATGTTCCGTTCCCCAGTGTCGTTGTCCAACGACGTGTACCAGCTTCGGGCAGAGGCAGACGGCGATCCAGTGATACGTGTGGAGGTGGCAATGGCGATGGTCCAGAGCTTGAAGCAGTCGCGTTCCAGTGGGGGGGCAAAGAGAGGGGGAGGGAAGCACGTAGTTTAACGAACTTTCGTATAGACAGCTGCGTGCATGACCACATGATATGCGATATGCTAGCCACACATTGTTGCGTACACCACACAGTGATCGATAAGCACGATATCGATAAAATTTTTACGGAGTGCCATGTGCCATTACGTGGTAAGACGACTGTGTTGCGTGTGAAGACAGAAGTATTGGGGGGTCAGACTCGGATCAGATTAGTTAAGTCCGGACTTATCCGGCTGACCCCTTTTCTTCGGTTTACATCTCTATGGCGAGTATACTCAGAAAGGAAAGATCCGACGGCTAGACCTTCCTAGACAACATACGAACATCAGCAGATATGCACGATTATCGTATATTGCTATGATTGCTCTGTAGAGAAGAGGGATAAGAAAGATAAGAAGGATAAGAAGGAGAAGGAGAAGAACAAGAATCACCCAACAAAGCTACCGCGCCGGCTCGTGCGTTCACTGCATAAAACAAAAGAAAAAAAATAACTTAAATAAAAAACTAAAAAAAAAAAAAAAAAAGAAAAAGGTAAAACATTCCGAACGAAAATCCGCAGAGGCAAACGAAAAAAAAAAAAAAAAAATTATCATAAAAGTCATTTGATTCATCTTCTCTATACGATCACACTTATTCTTACCACATAACTCATACCTCATTACTCTATTCACTATATAGACTAATGTTCAAGTTAATCACCACAAATACGCAGAGTCTGTTGAGACCAGCGTTATTACAAAAGATAAAAAATGCAACAGCTAATGCCTCCCAGTTATCCACCAGTCTTTCCCACACCGCCATCTCTCCTGTGGCTGCTACTAGTCCCCAAATTTACCCTTTCACCCACCAGTTTGTCAGAAACAACTCAAATGTAGCCACTAAATTGAATGAGCCAGTAAATGTCCCACCACCCAGAATCATCCCAGATGTATCTAAAGGTGGCGACCTTCACGAAATTAAAAGTCAACTGGAACCTTCCCTTCTCCTGGAAATCGATGTTAAACAAAAGTTGGACCAATTTGACCAGATAAATCTCCGCACCAAGTACAACGGATCTCACCCATTCTACTTGGAAGAACTCGATACCTCGTTGGAATTACTTGAAACCAAGGCTGTTCGTGACCGTCTTTCTGAAGAACAACTCACTGGTTTCGTGTACAACATCGAACGGATGATTTTCCACCAAAAGAGAAGGAGATTGAGAAACAACTTCAACAGAGATAGAGATACCCAAGGTGCATTCCAAACGGAAATCATGATCCAGCTGGCTGCATTGAAGTTGTTTGACATGATCAACGCCGGCAGTCTCACCCACTGTCTCAGTGCCGAAGCCTTGTACCGTCTCTTTTTAATCTTGCACCTGTTTTATTTGCGTTCGGAAATCGTGTCGTACTGGGAAGCCGGGGTCAGCAACCCTGATATCGCCAATTTCTTTGTCGACCAAAAAGTCTTGTCCACCGCGTTATTCATGGCTTATGAAATCAAGAGATTTTCTTACGAAGAAATCCAACAAATTTACGACTTGAATACGCCCGACAAGACCAACGTTTTCCCAGATTTGCTTACATCCGTGGGAAAAGTCGCCCTTTTGGAAAACGACTACGATCGCGCCTTGGACTTGTTTGAACAATTGATGATCTCGCTTGAGCGTGACCACAAGAATACCAGCACCGCCATTGCTGAAATGCACTTGAACTTCATCAGTATGTGCCGTGAAGTCGACATTGCCAAGCATTTCTTTGACAAGGCCTATGACAGCCGTAAATTGCCATATACGGTCAAATTAAAGGCTCCACACATGATCTCATTCATGCGTAACTGCTCAGAAGCTGGTGAATCCATGGATGAGATTTTACAAATTTGGAAGAAGTTGTTAATTAAATCAATGGAAACGGCCAAGTATGACCCCAAGGGTGCCAAGTCCGCCAACTTGAACTCGGGAATGTTCAAATTGTTATTTGACAAGTATCCTGAATACACCGAAGAAGCCAAAAAGTATTTGAACAAGATGTTTACCATGAATCCGCAAATCAACGAAATCTTCATCAATGCAGCCATCTCCAACTATTCTTGGCAAGACCGCCAGACATTTGACATGTTGGTGGACGCCTATGACAAGTACGGCATTCCAAAAACCATGATGTCCAACAGAATCATCTTGAAGCAAGCTGGGTTATTCGACCATTCCAATGAAGAAATTATCGAATTCTGGAACAATTTGTTGTACCTGTTGGATGAACTTAAATATTCTCACATTGCCGTGCCTGATTGGGCGGCAATCAGAGACGCTACCATTTTGTCTGAACATTACGGCGATCAAAGAACCGGGTTGTACATGTCTATCTTAAAGGCTTACAAAGATTACATGCAAAATGATTTCGCCTGTGTCAAGTTCTTGAGAGGGTTTGGCAGAAACGCCGAGCATGTGCGATTACTCAAGAAGTTCACCGAGGGAGAACCCCACTTTGACAATGAAGTGGAGATCACCGTTCCTGGAGACTTGCACAGCTTGAAGAAACACATTGACTTTAAGGACTGCGCCAAGCGTTTCTACCAGGACCAACCAGTTTAAAATAATAATAGTTAATAAGTTGTATATAGAAAGTAATAATAATAATAATAGTAATAATAAGCCAACTAGACGAATTGAAGAAAAGAAAAAATAAATAGTCCATTTTTTGGGACAAAAATAAAAATAGTTAACCACACCAGTTCAAGATCTACACAGATGGGTAACGAAGCATCTAAACATAAGCACAAGTCGGTGAATAAGCTAGGGGCGGCACCTGTACCAGCTCCAGTTACTTCTGCTCTGAAGCAAGTATCCCAGGCCACGGCAAAACCCACACCTACGCGTAGTTCAAAGAGTCAACTAGTTAGTGAAGCTCGTCCAGTAGGAACCAGCGGATCTGGATCAAGTGTAGCTGCAAAAGAAGCCCTGGCACGGGCTGCTGAAGAAAGATTCAAGAAATTGCAAGAACAAAAACAGGGACAAAAGGAAAGAATTAGAACCAAAGCCATGAGAGAGAAGGCTGTATGATGTGTATAGTAGAGTATAGTTAATACATTGTTATTGTTATCACCCACCTACTATTTTTGTAGACAATAGAAAAAAATAAAAATGTGTGCTAGTCTTTCTTCTCTAATTATGGGGAAGTCATTCTACGAAAAGGAGCAAGAGAAGATCAGAGCGTTGATCAAGATACCGTTGCTTGAACTAGTGCTTCAATTCCTTCCACATCTCCAACCAAGCCAACGCCAGCGGGATGATACCTGGGAAGTGGTGGCAATTCAATTGGGTCAGCAGCGGTTTAGCGAGGCAGTGCACGAGAAAAAGTCCATGGAGGAAGTAGAGGCCATACCGGAACTCAATGGGTTCTATATCCGGGAGATGTATGAGCAGTTGTTTGCCAACTTCAAAAAGGAAATGCAGTTTAGATTGGCCATGCAGACGGCGGCGGTGCCCAACAGTAGTGCTGGCCTGCCTATGAGAACTCTACTGTTTAACCCACAGGATCGGGCAGAAGCTCTTCTTTTCACATTGTACCAGATGCAATATTGGGACGTTGAGATGATGGCCAAGGTCAGTCAGGAGAAGTTGGAAAAATCATTCCGGAGATATCTTGAACAGCAGGAACTAGGTGAAAAAGACAAGCTCGAAGTGCCGTTACCTGTGGTACACCAGTACAGAAAAAGCGTTGAACTAAAAAAGAATGAAATCTTGAAGGAGGAGATATCAAAGAAGGATAAACGATTAGAACAGCTAGCCCAAGAGAATAAACGTTTGTTAGAACTAAACCATGACTTACTCTCGCAACTCCAGGGACATAACAATCCATAAGCTTTTTTGGTTTATGTGCACGACGACGTTTTCTCGGGTAGTGCAGTAATTAACTGTACCCGCCCCTGTCGGCAACGATAATAAAATTAATTACTTACACAATATCAAAAATAAAATTAACCACAAACTCAACAACTCTCACCCCCTCGACGTTGCTACGCCCCCCACCCCCCACAAGTTTGTGCATACGTGTAGTTATTCTTTTGTTATCTACATCTATTGCTTCTTGTTTCTATATCTTTTATAACCTTTACCCTCTCCCCCCTTGGTCTAACACCGTTAAGACAGATACCATACTTTATTCATTGCCTTTGTTTGCTTTGTTTTTATTTATTTATTTAATTATTTTTTTTTGCTGCAACGTGTTTTGTTCTAGTCTGACCACTTGTCCTTATGGTTCAACACAAACCTAATATTGTATTTTTCCCCGTGGATTTCACAGAATTCGACAACTTAATCAAGAAGTCATTGCCAGATGATTCCAAAGAGGTGATCAGATACTTACACTCATGTTTTACGGTCTACGTTATTGTTAACCAACAAACCTGGAGATCAGCTGGAGGCAGACCTGATCCATTCTTGCCTTGTTTCGAAAAGATCCTACCAAGATGCATACTCCCAACATACTTCAAAGACATCATTCGAGAAATGGCCCGACCAATGAAGACAGTCAATGCAATCTACATTCCCGACATCCCGTCCGCATTGGCTGATCTGTCACAAGAGCTAATCATGGGAATAGTCAACCAATACCCCAACCTCACCACCGTTTTCAAGAAACTCGGCTTGCCTAGGTTGGAAATTGAGGAGATTGAACCTGCGTGTTTCACAATGTACCACGAGCAGGAGAACTTGATCTCGGTGCCTCGTGACGGTTTTGTTCCAGCGTATAGACTCAAGGTGGTTAGTGTCTTGAAACACATCAGGTTCCAGCAGTATAGGTTGGTGACTAGCGAAGCATCCTGGGTCAGTTTGGACCGAGGCAATGGGAATGTCGTCAAGGTGTCTAACGCCATTGACATTTTCCAAAACACCAATTTGACTTGTGGGTTTTGTGTATTTCAACATCATGGTGGAGTGAGAATAAATTCAAACAACTTGATGTGTGCCAGTGTGGTTGGCTACACTTTGCCCACGCATATTTCGACCGAGAGATTCCCTACCGAGCCTCGATTCTTGAAGACTGATGCCGAGAATAATCATCGCGTCGCTAAACCAAGACGAAAGTCGAGAAACAAGGGAAAGATTGTTCCGATCTTAGCCAAGCCTGGTGTTTTGGTTAATTTGAAAAAGAGTGTCAAAACTGTATAAGCTATATAGAATATAGGGCGTGATAAGCTAATGGTGTGGTTGCTGTGTTTTGCAGCTTATTGTAACATGTAAAATATCCCAGTTTGCAGGTTAAGCCCTCAAACAGTCATTCGTAAACTGGAAAAAAAAACAACAACCAGGCAGCAGTAGCAGTATCAACTGAGGATCGATCAACTGAAGCACACAATGGACTCCAAAGTACCCTTGTCGCATTCATTGTGGTCGCCATACGACACAGTCAAGGACGCCGCCGATTCACTAGGGATAAATTTGCCCGATGAAGCCGCCAAAAACCTAGCCATGGATGTTGAGTACCGCATCCACGAGATTCTCGAAACCGCCATCAAAATCATGCGTCACTCCAAACGGAAGCTCCTCATGACTACCGACATCAATCACGCCCTCAAGATCCTCAACGTCGAACCATTATATGGCTATGACAACTCACAGCCGCTTCTGTTCAAGGAGACGTTGGTAGGCACCGGCGGGCAGACGTTGTACTATATCGACGATCAGGAAATCGAATTTGAGAAATTAATCAATCAGGAATTGCCCAAGGTTCCTAGACAAACCACATTCACGGCCCACTGGTTGGCCATTGAAGGCGTGCAGCCCATGGTTCCCCAGAACCCCTTGCCTTCGGAAATCAAGAGTCTTCCACCTATTATCCGTGGTGCCACCTCGTCGATTCTCGGCAATGACATATTGAGTTTTGCCGGTGGTGCTGGTGTCGACGGCAAGGATGCACAACCTGGTAAGGACAAGAAGGACTCCGCTTCAGCTGCGGCGGCTGCGGCCACAGAACGAGAACTCGAAGTGAAACCATTAGTTAAACATGTCTTGTCCAAGGAATTAAAGTTGTATTTCGATAAAGTCGTCGAAGTTTTAATCTCGTCTGACCCAGAAAAAGAACCCCTCAGGCAAGCCGCATTGAGTTCGTTAAGAAGCGACCCGGGTTTGCATCAATTAGTGCCCTACTTTACCCAATTCGTATCGGCGCAAATCACGGACCAGTTAAGAAACATTGACATTCTCATAACGATGCTTGAGGTCATTTCCGCACTTGTGGAAAACAAAACCATATTCTTGAATCCCTATGTGCATGCACTAATGCCATCTATCTTGACTCTTCTTTTGGCCAAGAGAATCGGACCCGTGATCAAGGAAACCACCACTAAGGAATCACAAGAGTTGTTGATGCGACAATTACAAGTGAGAACATTCGCTTCCATCTTGCTCAAGCATATCATTGAAGTTTACGGATCGTCATATTCTACATTACGTCCAAGAGTAACCCGAACTTTACTCCGAGCACTATTGGACTATTCCAAGCCGATGGAGACCCACTACGGTGCCTTACTCGGATTGAAGAACATGGGTCCTGAAGTTATAAAGTTGGTTCTCATTGGTAACTTACGGGTATGGTGCAAGCTGGTTGTTGAGGACTCTACAAAAACGAGCGAGTATGAACAGAAAATCTTGCTCGACACCGTATTGGAAATCCTCCGCAAGTTAAAAGTACAAAAGGAGGAATCAGACATGGATGTAGATATCTCTGACAAGTTGAAGGAAAAATTAAAGGAGAGAATAGGCGAAAAGTTGGCTGATTTAGTGTTGCTGCAAGACGACGCCAAGAGCATCGTCGAAGGTATATTCTTTGGCGAGTTAGTTGTATAAATAGTAGTAATATTACATTGTATAATTATTCAGAATCCGAATGTAATAGTTGTTGATCAGGAAGCGACTCCGACCTTTTGAATAAGCCGGCAGTGTAAAATGGTGAATCTTCCAAGGGGATTGGTTCCCCTGGTCGCTTCTTTCGTGTAGATGATGTGATTTCTTTCAATGGTGACGAATTTACTGCTTGTAATGGTGTCTTTTCTATAAATGGAGATTTGATCTTTTGTGGTGTTACGGCAACTAACGTGGCACGGTCATCTCGTTTTCCCGGCTTTAAGAAGTTGTCATTGGGAGTCTCGGGAATTGCATAGTACGGTTTCGTCTTTTGCGGAGTAGCTTCGATGACAATATTAGGTTTCTTAATTGGTGTTGCATCGATCTGTGAGAACGATCTCAGTTTGACAGGAGTAGCAACGACAATTGGGTCTGTACTTTTTACCGACTTGCTTCGTTTAGCGTTTCCAAATATGAATGATGGTTGTTCTGGCTCTGGCTCGACAGTCACCGCTGCCTTGACATTCAAATCAACCTGTCGTCTCGTCAAACTCTTGGATGATAAATTAGACTTGGATCGTTTGAGTGAAGTTAAAAAGTCATTCAGGTTGGATAATGTGGAATCAGATGCAAATGTAGCTGCATTTCGAAGTGTAGGTGGCTGTTTCTCCAAGAGCACTTTTTTGAATTTTGAATGCTTGTGTTTACTTTCATGTTTTGGCTGATCTTCTGACGTAGCCTTCTTTGTTCGTTTAGCTGGTTTCGAGACTAGCTTCATATTCAGTCCTTTGATATTATCCACGAGATACTTCACCAAATGTGGTAGTTTCTTGTTATAGTACGGAACAAGAACATACGCCATGAATCCGTAATTATTATCACTTCTCGACGTAGTTAATGCATCCCAAAGCCCCATTCGATCAATAAGGTTGTTTAATGTAGTATAATATTCATACATTTCATCAACGGGTTTCGTATGTGTCACTTCCGGTTTCTCGATTTCTACACCGACGCCCATACCAAGGAATGTCGGTATGATTTTCTTCTTTCCCTTTCTAGATCTAATCAAGGATCGTTTCGAAAGTTCCTTCTCTCGTTTTCGACGAAACTTGTCGAGTTTTGCCGCATTACTCTCGAGGAACTCCTCTTCATTCACGCCAAGAGTGTGCAAAATCTCGAAGATGACAAGAATTTGCAATTGTGCCTCGCGGATCTTCAAATCAAGTACGAGTTGGCTAATTTTATCCACATCTGCTTTCTCATCACTGAATTCTGGATGTGTCTGCAAGAATAAACCCTGATTCTCCTGTTCTGCAAGGGCTGTCTTGTCATCGGTAGTCGAAAGAAGTCCCTTATGTCCGGTGTGTCTCCTATCTAGCATCTTAATATTGACAAAAATAGACTTGAGTATCTTTGCAATCTCGCCTTGGTCCTCTTTGCAGAGAATGCGTAGTCTGGCAAGAGCAGTTTTTGGGAAGTAACTAAGTGGATTCTTGAGGGAGTATAACGTGGTGTAATATCGTGATTGTATGAATGTTAGTGGGTTTTCCTCTGGTTCTAATGGTACAATTGGCTGTTGTTTCGGAGGTGTCATTGAAAACCTGCTTAGTATATCCTGGGAAGAAGGTGATAGTTCTCCTATAGGTTCATCCACACACATCTCTATCAAGTCTTTGCTACTCCTGACCTCAGTGGGCTTTTCCTCCGTGGACTGTTTGTCATCTGGTTGAAAAGACAGCGGGATTCTAAACACCCCGAAGTGCTGATCGATTATATGGAATGCAATCCCAGAACACTTCCTATTCTGGTATTCGATATTAATAAGATATGCATCTGCCGCCCAGGCTCGGGTAATTGTGAATATCGCGCCGTAAGCACCATCGATGATGGAAGCAATGTCTCCCGTATCATCATGCGTGAGCGTGGATATAGGAAGAGCGGTGACTATCGATGACGATATCTGTCGTAATTGGCTTATCCTGACGCCACTGCCTGACTCCTGGTCGCTCGGCATTGCTGGGGAATGATGTTGTTGTGCTTGTTCAGATTGTGATTACAACTTAGTTGAAGGCTGAACTTTATTTACCGAGCTTACTGGTCACGTGACCTATACAAAGCTGCAAAAATGAATAATAAATTAAAAAACTATATAAACCTCTATGTAACTACTAATTTTGTAACCAGCTATCATTGACAATATCCTCGATAACAGGTCTTTTATGAATATCCCGCACGAGAATCTTTCGTATAAGCGCCAAACTGGCATCGCTAACCACATACGGTATCCTCAAATCTCCCTCCATGATCTCATCGACATTGTAAAATGGATTCTCTTTGTACAACATCGTGTAGAGTAAGATCCCCAACGCCCAAATATCCTGGGGTCGTCCTTCATACTTCTCGCCTCGGAGCACTTCGGGAGAGGCATAGTCGATGGTGCCGACAAACACGTCAAATGGACCCAGCTTGACATACCCTGCTGACCCAAAGTCAATCAACTTGATAACTCCGCGTTCGTCAACAATAACATTCTCATCCTTGATATCTCGATGCACTATTCCTTTTGAATGTAAATGGGCAATCGAAGATACAATTTGCTTGAATATGTATTGACACTCTGCTTCCGAGATATCCTTCTTGATTTCAATAAAATCAAATAAATCTATGGCTGGTGGGTTCCCAAATATCGGTGTTTCCAAATAGTAATATTTGTCGTCTTCAAAGAAATCAATGATCCTCATAATGTTTGCATGTGGTGTAGTATTCAAATATGCCATGATTTGAATCTCTGAGGGAATTGTGCCCAACTTCCGGTCGCGCACCCATGTATCTACAAGAATACGCTCCTTGTCAATACACTTCATGATTATAGTATACTCAGGGTCGGACTTGTGACGCACCAACACAACTTTACCGTAGGCACCTTCACCCATCAGTTTTATAACTTCAAATTCTGAAAACTTTTTACTACGACGAACCAATCCAACTTCCTGGGGCCAGTGTGTTGAAGCCTTCATCTTTTCCTGAAGGTGTTGATTCTCTTGTTGTAGTATATCTTCTTCGGAAACCTTCAATATTGGTCGTACCTTTGTTTCAGGCGCCGGTTCATCCACGTCCATGGGCGACTGCGGGACTATCTCCTCAGACCCTCGTCTATTTTCGCGTTGTGGGGAAAACTCTAAAATGTCTTGTTCTTCATGGAGCAACTTCAACTGGGATGGAAGATTAGCACCAGAATCCACACCTCTATCTTTAGATTCGCGCGATTCATTCATGGTGGAAGCTCTTGTCAACCCCGACGGCGTCAATGGTGCCGACGAAGCCAAGCTGATTGAACTAGTGGACGCGCTTAACTTGTCCAACTCCTTCAACATGTGTCGATTCTTGCTCAGACGCGAATACGTGATCCACAAAACCAATGTGTCCAAGCTACTGGCTCGCAATTGTATATCCACAAACACGGTCTTTCCATCACGATGCACCCCTGGTACACCATTGGAATGCAAAAACAATTCTTGCTCATCTTCATCAGCAGTACATCTAATCATGGCATCGTACTTTCTGAAAAAATGTTCGGGGAGAACTAAGCCCGGCATCAATTGAAACTTGTCGATATTCTGATCAAGCCCAACTTCAAGAATCGAAGTAAAGTTAGGGATAATTTCATTAATCAGCTTACTCTTGATTTCATCAAACGATTTCCCAAACAAGTTCTTGGCAATGGCATTATTACACGACAAGATTTCATAACTTTTACTGCTAATAACGAAAATACCAGCAATATAAGGCATGGTGTGGATCTTCAACCTAATCTCCAATCTGTCTGGATGTATTTCAAGCGGGTTGGATGTGATGGCACACGGTATATTTTCATTGGTATTCAATTGCAAGGTAAAGTATCTCGTAGAATTAATATAATCACTATCTTCTTCATCGCGCTCATCTTCATCCTGACCCTCCTCAGCCAACAACACTGTGTTTAACGACTCACTCAACTGTTCCAAACCGTGCAACTCACCAATCTCATATTCCTCCACAAGTTTCCCCGCGATCTCATGCACGGAATCAATTCGATACTCTTTATGCTGCACGGGGCTCAGAATGCACACGTCAAACGCATCACAAAGAATCTGGTCAAACATGCAAATGATGATGCCGCCCTTTTTCTTGGCCCATAGCGAAGTCCATGCATAGTTCTGGTCACCTGGTCGTGAAATGGCAATAATTTCTCCAGCAAATAAAATATCCTTGACACCATTGTCACCTTTGTTCCTGCCTCGGCGTCGCATAGACTGCTCCATGCTCGTTTGCAAGTACTTGGTCAATTTGTCCATAACAAAATCGCGAAATTGGGGCGCAATCAAATCCATTAAAGTAAGGGATTTAATTGTTGACTTCAGCACACCAAACATAAGACAGGCCAAGTCATTAGCAGCAATCACCGACCATGGCATATCTGGTTCAATTGTAAACACCGACTGTGGGAGAGAATGTTTACCGGCAAGTAATGAATGAAATGGTCTTGCTCCAGCACTAACTGGAGTAGTAGCTGTCGCATTATTATTCAACATATTCAATGCTGTCGTCGACAGTCTTATAGGTGCATGTTTAAGTGATCCCTGTGTACCATCAGATTCCAAAAGTGACGTTGTTCTTACCGAGGTTTCCATAAATGGCATAGCCAATGCATAGAGCAATTTGCTTTTAACGAAATCATGCTTCAATTTTAATTTCCGGTCATCGTCAGTGGTTTGTGCTTGCTCGAGTGATAAATCTTGCAATGTTTCGGATCCAATTTGTGAGTTTTCCACGAGAAAGTCAAGGTCGTTTTCCAACAAATTTACAATTTCCTTAAGGTCATTGTTGGAGTAGTGACTGTTGTGGTGGCTATGATCTTGGGATGGCTTTGTGGAATCATTTGTTTCTTGAGAAGATACAGATCTCATGGTGGTCTGGGGAACTTTCCTCTCTTCGGTTTCAACCAAGGGTAAACTACCACTACGTTTGATCGGTGGTCGGAAAAATGCAGCTAACGCGGCTGATGATGCATTCGATTGCAAATTATACTTTTTGCGTATTGCATCATGATCAGTCGCAAAATCACTAGCTCGTCTCGGTGGTGGTGGAAACGTTGGAGGAGGTGCCGGTGGCTTCGGCAATGACAGGGTGGACTTTGTTGCTGCTGTATTCAGATACATTGGATGGGTAGTTGTCTTGAAAAGGGGTTGACTGTCATCCTGTTGCATATCCACATCGCCTTCCTCGTCTTTAATCTCTTCATCCGAATGTGATTCTTGTTGTGGTGCAATTGATTTGAACAAATCAGGTCTGTCCTTTAAGATTTCCAACGATCGTCTTAAAACATTCAATCTTAATGCAAGTGAGTTTGGCGATAAATGTGCATATGAATATGCATGCGATGATTCAATCGGAAACTTTAAAATATCTTCAATTTCAGTGTTATTACTGGTGGTAGTATTGGCACCACCACTACCACCACTACCACTACCACTACCACTACCACTACCACTACCACTACCGCCACCGCTGCTGCCGCTGCCGCTGTTAAATGTGGCATTCTGGGTTATAGGAGGTGAATAAAGGGCTGGTGGTGAGAAAGTAGACACATCAGGTCGTTGTCGCTTATTAACAAGGGTATTTCTTATTGGTGGTGGTGGTACTTGCCCGTGAGCCGTGTGTGCAGTGTAGGGATGGGTAGGAAGTGGAGGTTGTGGCTGTTCGTCGTCATCATATAGCAAAAACAGGGGGGTTGACTTTCTATAAGGCGATGGCATATTTGGAGTGGTTGGTTTGCCGTTGTTTTGAGATGTGGTGAATAAATCTTTAGACAACCCTTGTTGGGACTGTGGTTGAGGTTGATGCGGAAGTGTATGCAGAGGTTGTGGTGAGAAAGTTGTTATATTTTCACTCATGCTATAAATGTATGTGTATTAGAAACACACGTTTGTTTGTGAATGATTCAAGATAGGGGCGATTGGATTGTACTGTTGTAAGTCCAAATGATAAGCCCTTTCCCAGGATAAAGTTTTTCTCTGAAAAGGCAGTCAGAAAGATGTGCTAACGGGGATAGTGCTGTAAAAAAAGATCCCTTGAACTCTAAATGGGTAATCTATTGTCGTGTGTGCACCGATGCTGTGAGTAATAAAGGTATGTGGCTGTGATGTGTGTATGTATGTCTATCTATGTACAGCACAAGGAAAATACTACTGGGTTTCCTGAGAGTGACGCAATATGAATCAATAGCCCTTTTTTATTTTAAAGCCTTTTTTTTTGCTCACGAACGTGATGAAAGGATTTATTTTTTTTTTTCTTTAAGGAGTGGAAGGTTTTTTAGGTGCGAGATTATGTCACAGAAGTAATAAGCGACGGCTGTTGCTTGAACTTTCTGTAACAGTATGACACATCGGCAACTAAGAGAAGGGATAAGAGCCTGGTGTGGAGATGTAGAGGTATAATATGTTTTCAATTTGTAGATCAGTTGGTGGAATGCGTTGTCATTGGCAACGCCAACAATGGAAAACAACCATTCCCCTTAGCTCACGGCTGATAGGTCGAAGCGCAGAAATGAACAATATCGTATCACTTGCACTAGATTCCATTCCATATGCAGTTTAAAAAACTTGAAATTGAAATAATATATGCAGCTACAATTTCCTATTTTATTATAAGTAACAAAAACAGTCAAATCAGATTAATTGCATTTCAGGTGCTACTGTCCTTTTTAGGCCCATTTCTTTTTTGCATTTACCAAAATTAGTCTGACCTTTTTTTGTTCTCTCTCTACTAAAGATCCAAATTGTCCTGTATATTGACGATACTATAACTAACCAACTAACTAACCAACTAACTAGCGCTTTAGGAAACAGCCCTCCTGCCTGTCTAAAAGCATGTGGAAAATGTGGAAAATGTGGAAAAGCATAAATCTCACAATTGGCTGTTACTCGCATTTTTTAGTCTCGGCTTTATTGCTACAATCTAAAACTACATTGTCCTGCTAACTACTTATTCGTTCACTTCTTTTAACCCAAATATCACTGCCTTCTTGTTCTCTCCATAATCTACTTATGGTTATTCCCAATTCATACAGACGTTTCCTTAATTCATCCTGCTTTGATTTCAACTTGTCAATTGCTCGAGTGATTTTATTTCTCGTGTTGTAATCAATTTCCACATTATAAGGTGGAAGTAACTTTTCAAGAAACTCGATTTCCTTGTCTATCTTGGCAATTTTCTCATTGTACAAATCATATTTGTGTTGAGCGTGTCTCAATTTCTTAGTCTTTGCACCATGGTCGGCGTCGGCTGCCGAGAATGAATTGCTCGTTGCAAGCTTGTCAACACCATGGTGACCTGCGTTGGTGGTGGGGGAAGGTAGTGGAGATTTAATGATTTCATGCGAGACTTTGCGTACTGTGAACTTCACTGGTTTCCTATCGCCCGGTGAGTAGCTGTGTTTCTGTTTTTCCAACTCGGTAGCGGCTTTGGCTGCGGTGGCCGCTGCTTCTGCCGACAAAGAATCATAAAAGTTGGTCTTGGACTCAAATGATTGGGGAAGTGACACCTTTTTAACAATCACTTTTTCACCCGTCTCTGCGATACTAATGTTGGATTGCGTGTTTTCAATCGAGGACAAGGACGAAATGGATGTGTCCCTGCTGGCTTCGCCTACCTTGGCTGTTTGTTCATCAGATATCCCCGCACTATTCTCCTCTGTAGTTGGCGTGGTTTCAACGGAGCTTGACATTATAAAAGTATTGATGTATGTTTACGCAGGTGTGTGTGTGTGTATCTAGAATTTTTTATATTTAACTTGACGATTCTATTGTTGGTTGTAAGGTGTAGGTTGTGGTTGTTATAATGACAGGGGTGTGATGTATTTTCTGTTTTTCTGTTTTTCTGTTTTTTTTTTTTTTTCATGTGTATTTTCTTTTTTTTTTCTGCGTGTTTTATTCAAGAATTACGCGTTTCGTGAGTGCGCCAGGTTTGTGTTTGTTGCATGTCGTGTTGCAATTTTGCTTAAATTTATGACCAATTGTTGCAACGGTGGTTTACGACAGGATATACGAGATGCAAGGCAAGATTCAGGTTTAAGTCCAGGCACCAATTAAAGAAGATTTGCATGAGGTGGATGGACCACCTTTTATTAGAATGCATCCCGTTTCAAAGAGTTCACGCTAGCATAGGTGTTATGAGATTAAACCAAGGAAATAAATTCAGTTAGATTCTATTAATAGTGTCCCCCGTGGCTCAAAGTTGAATGCTGCTAATGGCACGCCTTGGTGTTGGGGGCGTCGGAGCAATCGGATTGACTTCCAGTTTTCCTTGTTGCTCTAGGCACGTGACTGGTTTTATTTTTTTGCAGGCAGCTCACACTTGATCAGAGAAGCCCATCACATTGCTCTTGACAACTACTACATTCAGCATCAGCAATGGGGGAAATTATCACAATTTCACATTCCCAGTTCTCGGGCCATGTCACTACTCATTTGTATAATACTCAGGAATCACTCATCCCCTATACCGCCAATACAAAACTTTCCCATGACCTCACCACATTCCTTAACCGAACACCACCACCAACAGGAACCAGCGGAGTAACATACACTCCGCGATCACTACTCTATGATCTCCGTGGTGGGTATGGTGCATTGAATAAATATGAATATCATGAAACCATCGAATCTTTAGCCGCCCATGTGCAATTGAACACCCATACAGTTTCCAAAAGTGAATATCAATTAAGACTAGATGCCGGTGAACCACCGTCAAAACTAACTCCCGCCAATACCAAGTACTGGACCGATTATACTAGATTGATATTTTCACCGAGATCACTCCAAACGATAACTTCATACGAATATGACACCGACAAGGGCCATCATTATCGGTTCCCGCGGGTGTCATTCGATACATTCGACAAGGGGGCCGAGGAGTTCAAGGAGTCATTTGAAGACGATGAGTTTCGATATTTCTTGGAAAAGTGCGATTTGTTCACTGGATTGCAAGTGTTTACCGATTTGGAATCTGCGTGGGCAGGATACACCTCTCAATGGCTTACCGAGATAACCGATGAATATTTCAACAAGGTCGATGTGTGGACTTTTGCACTGGCCAGTTCAAACGATAATAGCAGGTCTACTTTGAATAGAATCAAGGGAATTGTAGAGTTGTACAAGAGTCTGAGCTTGATGTTTCCATTGATTGACCAAATTGAGTCTCCTTTGGTGGACTATGACCTGGGCTCTCTTTGGCATCGCTCCGCGATTCATTCTGTATTCGCAAACTCCCTCTGGGGTTTGCTTAACCAAATTGAAGATAGAGAAACCATGATCTCGATCGAAGATGGCTTGGGTGGGAGAAAGATTGCCAATGAAATCAAAGTAATCGCTACTGATGCTTCCACCGCAACTGATGCATCCACCACAAATGGCATTATTTCCGATATCGCTGATGTTAGTGCTTATTATGCTCACCCACCATCTGCACCAACAAACCCGGAAATACATTTGGGAATTCAGCAAGAAAGCACTGGTAACAAATACTTCAGCAAGAATCTTGTTGTCACGAAAGACTACGTTAATGATATACAGCAACAACCAACGCCCAACATTTATATCAACAATAGTATTACCAACATCCTCGGCTCAGACTCATTCCCCAGTGACATTCTAAAATTCTCCAAATTCCATACTGAGTTCAATGTGCATCCTGGAATGTATGACCAATTGAAAGGATATCGACAAATCGTTTCTCGCAGCAATCATCCCGACTTGATTAAAATCGTTGAGGATAAGAGCGAGCTTGTTGAAGATCTCAGCAGTATAATGGAAGAGTATCACTGGGGAGAGTACGATCTGGATGATGATGAGTTCTACGACTAGTTTCATACTTAACAGTGTTAATACAATCTATATAGATCTAAGAAATAGTCTTTTCAACCAAGTAAATACCATAAACGTCCTTCAAGGTCTTCATGATAGGGTCGTTGATGTCAGAAGACATTGGAGCCAACAATCCTCTCTTGGATAAAGTACCATCCAAGATTTGTTGAGTTGCAACGGCACATGGAACACCAACCAACTTGGCCATAGAAGAGTAGCCCTTTGGATCACCATAGTCGACTAAGGTAGAAGTTCTAACTTCCTTTTCACCATTGGCATGTTCAATGCCGAATTTGTGTTGTAAGATAACCAAATCACGTTCACCTTCTTCGTATTGCATCAATTCTTCCAAAGTAGCACAGAGGGTGTCTAATGGGTTACCTCTTGGGGTGATGGTCTTGGATGAGAATAAGCCCAACCACTTCATACCAGAAATGATACGTTCTTGGTCTTCAGGAGACTTGAACTTGGTCAATTGGTTGATCTTTGCAATGATATCAGCTTCACTGGCAGAAGCGGCTCCGACTAATTGAGCAGTGGCTTCATTCCAAGGACCTGGCTTTGAGAAGATTTCACTGGTTTCATCCTTCAAGAAACCAGTGTCGACGAAAACCTTGATGAATTCTGGGAATCCTTGGAATCTTAAAGTACCTCTGATGACAGTTTCAGCTTCTGGAATGTTATACAATTCCTTATAAGTGGTAGAATCACGGTTTGGGTAAGCGACAAGAGCATAACCTGGGTAGATAAAGTATGGCTTGGCAGAGGCCATCAAGTCTTCAGAAGAAACGTCAACAATCTTGCCGTCCTTCCAGTACTTGGCAGAATTTCTCAATGCCAACAAGACACCTCTAGAAGACCAAGAGAACTTGTAACCTAATGGGTTATCGGAGTTTTCTGGAGCTGGTAACCCACCACAGTAGGACAAGAAGGAAGTAATCTTACCACCAGCAGCATGCACTTCTTCAATGGTCTTGACAGCATACAAGTGATCGATACCTGGGTCCAACCCAATTTCATTCATGACAGTAATGCCAGCAGCTTCAATTTCCGGTTCCAAAGCCTTCAATTGTGGGTTGATGTAAGAAGTAGTAACAACATGCTTCTTGTTCTTGATGGCGGCCTTGACGACATTAACGTGGTAAGTGTATGGAATCAAGGAGATGACCAAGTCGAATTGGGCAACTTGAGCATCAAGAGCAGCTTCGTCGGTGACATCAAGCGAGATAGCCTTGGCCACTGATCCAGCCAAAGCTTGGGCCTTGGTGAGGGTACGACAAGCAACGGTGACTTCAACACCTGAAGTTTGGGCCAAGATGTCGACGGTTGGCTTGGCAACAAATCCGGAACCTAATAAAAGAACTTTTTGAACCATTGTATTTGAATATCAATTACACTGTAAAGGGAAAAAGAGTGATGAATCAATTGCAATTTTTCACGATTTTTCAAATCCCTCCTTGACGGGCAATTTTCCGCGGTGCGCGGCAGTTAAATTTTATGACTCAGCGATTTAATTGCGGAGGGTTTATCTTTTAGTGCCGTGGGGCGCGCGCTTATCTTTCCCAATTGGGAACTAGGCAACGGTAATAGACCTGGCAATACTTTAACAAAACATGAAATTACGTCATACAAACTATATAGAATTAAACAAGTTTCGTGATACTCAGAGAATCTCTGTTGTTATCACTAGGAGACTCGTTGTGATTAGGGCTCAGTAGCTCTTTGTTGTTACTGCTCAAGGATTCACTAGGAGAAGCCTTTCTGCCAAGTTCAGACTCTTCATCACCATGTCCCACAATCTCATCTCTCAATCTCAACTCCTTGTGGAATCTTTCCGGACCAAGGAAAACACAGATAATCATGTAGATAAACACAGCAGCTGAGAAAATACACATCACTTTTCCATAGTCATACACGTCCGGAGCACCACCTTTAATGGGGAACCGTTCCCCAATCTTAGCTTCAATCGTAGCCGAAGCCGAGGAAACCAAGTTTCCCAACTGATAAGCCAACCCTGATAACAATGTTCTATGAGTAGAATTAACCAATTCCAAAAGATGGATTGGACCCACTCCCCATCCTCCCATGACACCGAAATTAAGTAAAACATAGGCCCACCAGTTGATATGAGCATTGAAGAACGAAGGATAAAGCCAGACACAGCACCATATCAGACATACCACAATTGTCATTCTTCTTCCAAGAAGTTCAGATACGGTTCCCATGGTAGTACCACCAAGTATACCAGCTATGTTACTAACAACAATAATCACAGTCTTCTTGTTAAGACCAACATTGAACTGCTTGGTTAATAAAGTAACATAAAGATCTTGAGTACCATGAGTGGTGAAATTAAAACCAGCGTATAAGAGAACAAGATAGGTAAACATTAACCATTCGGTTTTAAGTGTAGTGATCACGCTATAGTCAAATTTCGAGAAGAACCCCTTCTTTTCAACCTTGGAGTTGTATTCGCGCTTCTTACTCTTCATAGCAACGTAATCTGGAGATTCTGGGAAACATACTCTCCATGCAATTAAAAGCACTGAAAGTGCACCAGAAAACCAGAATAATGATCTCCAGCCTTCCCCTGGCTTATAAGTGCCTGCAAAAGCACGATAAAAGACCAGTGCTAATGTGTAACCTAAGGAATAACCTGGTAAAAACAAACCAGAAAGAATAGATCTGGCACGAGTTGGTTGACCTTCTAATGCTGTAACCATGGCAACTGGGTACATACTTCCCATAAGAATACCAAAGATAGCTCGGACTCCCAAAAATTGACTAAAAGTTTGCACAAATCCAGTACCAATTTCAACAACAATAAATAAAATCAAAATCAAAATATAAGTCCATTTTCTTCCAAAATAATCAGAAGCAATACCAAATATAATGGCACCAACTGATCTAAGCATAAGCACCAAAGTGACACCCCAAGTAATATCTGTAACACTAACTCCCAATGAAGATGCAATTTCAGGTGCGGCAACCGAAACGCAGAAAAAGTCCATAGCATCTAAAGTCCAAGCAAAGAATCCCATAAAATAGAAGTTCCAGTCACTTCCTGTCATTTCTTTTAATCCTGGAATGGGGTTGACAACTTGGTACCATTTTTTACCCGAATGGTACAAGGGAAAATCCATCAAGGTGGAGAATCTGGTCGAAAGGTACCTATTAATTGATTTTTTTGAGAAATCGGGTTTGTCATTGAATAACTGGTGGTCGAGATCCTTAGGTGGTTCAGTGTAGATGTCTGATACTGGAAGTCTCTGAGAAATGGTGCTCATACGAGTACTGACACGAGACAAGTGATTGGTCTCATTCCTTTCAGACATGGTCAGCTACTTGTTTATCTCAGTTTGCTGTTAAAAATACGAGAATAAAAGTTTAGCTGTAGTATAATTGTTCTTAGCAGCTGCTTTTTCGATTCTTTATTCAATGTAGAGTCAATCGGATAACCTAACTCAGAAATAAATCGATCCAAACAAGAGCTAATCACTATTTGCTAAATTTCCCCAGATTTATATATCTCGTTTGATATTTATAATTCAAATTCTAGTATAAAACTTCTCCGCTCCATATAACCTTTGATAGGTCCAGGTTGACTCTGCGTGTTCTCATTCTAGGCTATTCTTAACTTAATATTTGCAACCTGATTCAGATAAAATAAGAAAAATCAACACAATAGGAAATCTAGTCCGACCTCCTCAGCGAATGAGATAAGGCATTTCACCTCCGGTCTCCTCATACTCCAATAAATACATTCCGGGATGTATCTAATCATCCCCATCTACCTCATTGGGGCAACCTAATTTGATGTTCTGGACTAATTATTAATTACGAGATTCAGCAACACTAACGAGAAAAAAAGTATCTGAATAAAGTTACACTTTTAAGACGTTGTACATCAAGCAATTATGGCACTTACGTAGTGTCGTTAAGAGGGCTAGAAATACTAGCAATTTTTAAGCATTCCTGAACTAATATAGTTTATACCTTAATTGCACAGTATTTAAGATTCAAGCACGGCACACGGATACAGACCTCCGAACTTCTTCTGACATAAACCAATACACCTTTCCTCTGGATGGCCCCAATCCTTTTTTAGGAAGCCGCTAGTAAGCATAGTCTTATACGGGAATTAAAATCCAGGTCTCTCATCACACATTCTTGGCTATTACCTAACCTTATCGCTTATAATATATAAAGATATTAATCTTTGTTCGGTTATTAAACTCCGTGAATCACAACATTCCTAAGTGCTACTTGAAAAGCATCCCATACAAACGGTAGCTAATCTCTGGTCTCTGCATAATCCAGAATAATGGATTAGGGAAAAATTAACAAGCCTTGTCGAAAGAAAGAGTAATTGATATCGGCAATTGAGTCCTCTCAGGTGATGTTGACCAATTTACAGCTTACAGTACACAATTCTAGATATTATTGAGATCCTTGTAAACAACTTCGTGCAATTATCTAATAATTGCAGCCAGGGAAAATATATCTTTGAGCTATGCCTCGAAAAGAACAAATAATATTTCACAAATGCATAGGTTAATGTTTAGGTTGGAAGGATTGACAGAAATGCGGAAAGCGGAACCTTATCAGAAATTGTGGGAGGGGTGTTCTGCATATAAGCATTAACTATAGTAAAGAAGTAATGGAAATGTGACAGCTGTAATTTTATCAATGTCCTTGGCAACAAAGACAGGTAAATACCCAACAATATTAATATAACGTATTATTTCCCCGCTTAGCTTAAATTTTAAACTTCGGGAACGAATAACTTCGGCTCCAGTTGCTTAGAATTGCGTTGTTTGCAGTTTGGTGGTACTATAATTCTAAAGAGTTTCATGCACTCAAGATCTTTTTTTTTTTTTTCTTCAAAATATACTTACAATAAGCGAATATAGAACTGATTTCTACCATGCAAGCCAATTTCAAAAATATTGATTGAAAGTCCTCTTCAACCTCCACTGGCACCTCTAATCCTTTATCCACTTTTATCTTTACAATTTTTGATAGTACTTAAATAAAATATTCATTACGTTACACATAATACAGAACTAAACTCTGCGAATCAGGGATTCACTTCCAGAAGTTTCAATCCCTAATTCAGACTCTTCATCGGCGGTTCGAATAACCTCATCTCTCAACCTCAATTCTTTGTGGAATCTTTCTGGTCCAAAGAAGATACAAATAATCATATAGGCAAAGACACACCCTGAGAAAATACACATAACTTTTCCATAATCATAAGTTCCAGGAGCCCCGCCTTCAATTGGGAATCTTTCACCGATTCTTGCTTCGATGGTAGCAGAGGCAGAAGAAACTAAATTACCCAATTGATAAGCCAACCCTGATAACAAAGCTCTGTGTGTTGAATTAACTAATTCTAAAAGATGGATTGGACCAACACCCCACAGCGCCATAACACCACCTGTAAGTAAAACATATGCCCACCAATTAGTATCAGCATGGAAGAAAGAAGGATAAAGCCAAGCACCACACCACAACATACAAATAATAACTGTTAATCTTCTTCCAAGAAGTTCTGAGACAGATCCCATTATGATCCCACCAATAATACCACCAAGGTTACTGACAACAATAATCACGGTTTTGAGGTTGAGGTCAACATTAAATTGCTTGGTTAACAATGTGACATAAAGATCTTGAGATCCATGGGTAGTAAAGTTCCAGCCAGCGTATAAAAGGACAAGGTAAGTAAACATCAACCATTCGGTTTTAAGAGTTGTAAGAACACTGTAGTCGATTTTCAGTAAGAATCCCTTTTTCTCAACCTCAGCATTATATTGTTTCTTCTTATTCTTCATGGCAATAAAGTCTGGGGATTCTGGGAAACAGATTCTCCATGCAATCAAGAGGAGTGAAAGACCTCCAGAGAACCAAAACAAAGATCTCCAACCTTCCCCTGGCTTATAAGTGCCTGCAAAAGCACGATAAAAGACCATAGCTAAGATGTAACCAAAAGAGTATCCAGGTAAGAACAAACCAGAAAGAACAGATCTGGCACGAGTTGGTTGACCTTCTAATGCTGTAACCATGGCAACTGGGTACATACTTCCCATAAGAACACCAAAGACGGCTCTGACTCCCAAGAATTGTTGATAAGTTTGCACAAATCCAGTACCAATTTCAACGACAATAAATAAAACGAGAATCAAAATATAAGTCCATTTTCTTCCAAAATAGTCAGCCGCAAGACCAAATATAATAGCACCAACTGATCTAAGCATAAGCACCAAAGTAACACCCCAAGTAATATCTGTAACACTAACTCCCAATGAAGATGCAATTTCAGGTGCGGCAACCGAAACGCAGAAGAAATCCATAGAATCTAAGGCCCAAGCAAAGAATCCCATAAAGTAGAAGTTCCAGTCACTTCCTGTCATTTCTTTTAAACCAGGAATGGGGTTGATAACTTGATACCATTTCCTATCTGTATGATACAATGGCAAGTCTAGTAAAGTTGAAAGTCTGGTTGCAAAATACTTTGTGATAGCAGCTCTAGAAAAGTCTGGTTTATCATTAAATAACTGATGGTCGATATCCTTGGGAGCGATAGAATAAACATCGGTTTCCTGTTGATGTTTGGATATGGAGTTGGTTGGCGACAAATATTCAACCTGTGGTTTCTCAGACATTTTGTATTGCTAATTTGTAGTACTGATTTTCTTTTAGTTGAAACTTTTGACGACAAGTCGGGTCTTATTTATAACAATTATTTCAGCTAATCCTGCCCCGCCACAGCATAGTAGTAGCGGAGTTATTCATCATTTTAACTAGTTAGACCCGCATTGTATTATCATTCAGACTAAGTATAATTGTTGCTATTTCTTTTTTTTTTTTTTGTCAATTTCATGGGGGATAAATATTTTTCCACTACGTAATTTAGAACAATAGGAAATCGATTGAGATATTAACTTGGGGGAAAATGAAAGAGGGGGCGGGCGGTATGTGCCGTTAGTACTCCGGGGTCAGATTATTTGGTGTCTAACCCCATATTCCCCATGAATATGACGTCAGAGTATGGTAGAATTCGGGGGCTTAATCCCAGTGGTTGTCGTGGTTAAGTCTTTAAGTAATACCCTATAAAAGTTTGTCGGGAGTTTCATATTTATCTATCGGTCGGCACTTTTGAGCGGGGCCTACGTTTGTGTCCTAACTACACTGAATTCGCGGTATGCAACAATTGATTTTAGATAATTTTAACAATGACATGAAAAAAACTGAGCGGAGGGTTGCATTAAGGAACAATCGGAGCTTGGGACGAGCAGTGGAGGGAGTTTCAGAAAATAATATGGACAAAAATAATATTACTCACTAAATTCCCTCGGAGTTGATGAGGCGTTTTTCCATAGATTGAAACGTTTATGGGACGTGTTTGTGAAGCAGAAATGTTACCTTAAACGAAGAACATGTTTTATAAGAGGTTCACTAAACTACTCGAAAGGAATAGTTGGTAACACAGGTGCAAGATGCTAAATATTGGTCCAGGTTAGAACACATCTTGTAAACTGAAACTGTAGTTCTAAAGTATTGTATCTGCTTAGTAATTTTTAATTAATATTATCTCACCCGCTAAATGTGTCCATTTTTGAAAACTTAGTTTAATACGACCAATTAGGATGGGTCACTTATTATTATCCTGTATTAAAGTAGAGTTACGAAATCTTAGACTTGGTAAAAAAAAATCCCTTGTATGTTTCCAGCTCCCCACAGCCACTCGTTAGGTGGGGCTATAAATATGCATTTACAGGTACACACGGCGGGGCCGGTGTTATAAACAATAGCCCTTATCTTTAGGTGCAATATACATTAGTAATAAGGAAATCAACCTTCCCCACAAAATGATTGTGCTCATTACAGAATTTTTTTTGGCAATCTTCAATATGCCGTGTTCATTGTTTAATCTTTGGGGGAACAATAAAGTCGGTTCGGTTTTTTTATCAACTTCAAATATGCATCCTTTAAATTAGTTGCTGCCTCCAGTTACGAATTACTAATGGATAAATACAAAAGCCACTATATTCGTTTATTTGTGCTTGATCAATAGCATAATGAAGATGTATATGTGAGGAGTGAATTCATAATCATTCTTATTCCTTTTAGTTCTTTATTTGGAAGAAATTCGACTTTAATCTTTCTTGTTCAATTCAAAATAGCCATCCTTCCTTTTTTTTGTGTACCCTGGCAACACTTTCATATTGTTTAGATCTATTAAGGGACGATGGAATCCATGCCTTCATCGATGTGGAGGATAAATCTTGCGAAAAATAACTGTGTAACAATATAAATTTTGGTATATTAGATCTGTTTTGTGATATGAACAATCACTAGATTAGAAATATTGCATTCGTAATCTATAAATTGCTACATTAACGATTTGGCAGGTTTTTTGAATAGGTTTATGCGAAATTTTTGACAAAGAAAAAGCTAAATTACGATAACAAGAAATAGTGATACTAAAATACAAAATATTCATTCCATAGTGCTACAATCAAGGAAATTCGACATCATAGAACACAGTAACGTAATATATAATCTTAGCCTTACAACCATTCATTTGACACACATTTCGCAACCTTTCAAGATTTTATTGCCCCACAAAAAAAAAAAAAATCAGATAGTCACTGTGATTGCCACAAAGTGAAAATCGAATGGCAAAAAAAATCACATGCTTTCTCAGTGATTTTTTTGGGTCCTCTACATACCTAATGTTGACTTATTTTAATTAAGCGAAATCTAAATTCGCTGTCAATTGTCAAGTGGACATCTTTCTTTTCTTACTAATCGTCCTTCCAAATTAAGTCAAACCATATCAATTGATCATGTCCTTAGCTAAAGAACTCGACACCCTCCCTGGTGATCTCCAATACCTTTTCCAAAACTTTAGAAGCTACATTGATTTCAATGACAAATTATACTTTGCGGTTGCTTGTATTGCATTCAATCCAATTTTCTGGAACATTGTTGCACGTTTAGAATACAACACTCATTTCCTCACCAAGATATCCGGTGGAGCCAGGAACGGATGTTATTTACTTGCTGCTACTATCTTTGGATTAGGTATTTATCGTGATCACGTCTATCGTGATGCACTCTTGGACCAACCAACTTACCAACCATTGGTTGATTCAGTGATTATCAAGGCTCTTGCTGTGTTTACTTTTGGATTTGGAAATGTTTTAGTTTTGACTTCAATGTATGCCTTGGGTGTCACTGGAACTTATCTTGGTGATTACTTTGGTATTTTGATGGATGAAAGAGTCACTGGGTTCCCATTCAACATCAATGATAACCCAATGTACAATGGATCTACCTTGTGTTTCTTGGGTACTGCCTTATGGTACGGAAAACCAGCTGGTCTTTCTGTGGCAGCATTTGTCTATGTTATGTACAAGATTGCTTTGCTTTTCGAAGAACCATTCACTGCCAAGATTTACGCCAACAGAGATCAAAAGAAGGACGTTTAAACTTTGTCTTGTTTTAAAACTTCAGATAATATAACATGTATATAGCTGAAAAAATAAGAGGAAGACCACAAGAAGAAACGAAGAAAGTATATAAAAGTAACCAAAATATAGAAAACAAAACCAAAATCATTAATGTAGTCTCGTTAAAATGAAAAAAAAAAAGCAAACAACCTAACCAACCCAACCAAACGAACCAAAACACAATTTAGACAAATTCAAAAGTATTTGCAACTCCATGATTTTCAACATATCGAAGTAATAAAGATTGAAATTTTTCTGAAGATTTATGGTAATATAATCCACATATTGAACCTGGATTTATGCTATTGGAAAACACATCTTGATTATCCAGAGAATCATATCCTCCAATATTCAAAACAATGTAGTAAAACCCTTCAAACGAAGCCCCACTGATTTGTTTAATTCTTGAGTCAGGTAACAAGAACTCTTCTTTCCATCTCATATAAATGAACTGATTATCTTCGTGCCCTTGTTGAATCCGAATCAATCTTTGTTGTAATTGTGAATCAGTTAAATCTGATGAATTTGTCAATTTCTTCCAATGTTCAAAATCATTCTTGACAAATGATCCCCACTGTTTATTCTCGGTGATAAACGAATAATTCTTCAACTTCAAATCAGAATATGATTTCTTATCAGGACTGGTCCATTGGTATTTGTGTAAGGGGTTATTGATGATTTCACCTTTGAAACACGTTACTATTTCTGAGTGATCATCAGTTAATCCAGAAATTTGCAAGAACCCAGTAACTATTGAATTTATTAAATCAACATTCTTCAATTCAACTTTAATATGAAATCTAGACTTTCCTGACTCTTGTACTCCGGTAAACAAGGCATTTGGATGTAAATACTTGTTTTCAAATATGGGGATTTTATTCCTAGGATTAGAACTGTCAAATTGCTTGAAATAATCTAAGTTATACTTGTTTGGATTATGATTAATGGCTAATTTGTTAATGCTGGTGTTGCTATTGTTGTGGGGATCACGTAACGCGTCAAGCAGAGTCAGCAGGAATTTGCTTTTTGGTGATTGTTGTTGTTCAGGATGAGTCCGATCTCGGATTTGGTGATGTTGCAGCTGTTCGGTTTCATGACGATTTGTTGGTAATGGGTATGGAGGAAGGATAGTGGAGGTGGAGATGAAGTCGGTATCACCAAAGGAAGATTGGGCATCCTCAAACCCTTCTTGGGTTATGGGATAGTCTGCTTCACTTTCTGGATTATGCAATGAAGATGAATCGTCAAGGACAATATCGGAGGAGGCACTAGCAGCTGAAGACTGAGTTAACTTGAGTTCTTCTGGAAGTGGATCCTGTTGATGTTGTTGATTGCTGTTAGTTTGCGCGTCTACCTGATCAGACGATTCTGTTTCATGTTGCAGTAGTTTGTGAATTTCTGTAACAGGCATGGTTAAAAAAAATGATTACTAATAATTAGTACGTGTTCAATATAATATGAACTCTATTAATGGTAAATTTGAAATGCAAGTATGGATATTAAGCGGAATGCAGTTGATCCGGACGTGAACAGGAGGTGATATGCTAATGGTGGTTGGGAAAGAAAACCAATCCGCGTAATTTTAGGTTTTTAGGCTTTTAGGTTTATCTCTGGTTTTTGTGTGGATGTGTGGATCTTTGTGTCAAGATTTGCTGCCTCAGATCTAAGGAGGGTACAATATTTGAAACAAGCAAAAATGTGTCAAGGATGAATGGTTATGAAAATATTATAGAAAATTGTACACCGTATGCATATACAAAGACCTGAATATCGCCGTAAAGAAGTGGAAGTTTAAATGAAAACTAGGATGCTAGACGAACGGTATCGTATAAAAAAGATAAAGAACAGAGCAAAAAAAAAAAAGAAGTGATCAAAGTGTGATGACTGATGGAATTATATACTACTGCCATTTTTTATTTTATTTTTTTTTTTGGCTTGGATTTTCTGTAATTCCGATTTCAGTATTCCTCCCCACCCCTCCTTACCACCCATTGGCGCATTTCAGTACAAGAAACCATCACCCGCCCCAATCCAAAAGCCGCAAAATACGACAACCTTTTTTATGACACTTTGGAATATTTATACTATATTGGAAATATTCTTAAGCTTGTACATATTTTTCTTAGTGTGACAGTTTTAATTTTACTTGCGTGTTGCTATTTACTATTTTTTGCCATGGAAATGCAACTTGACCATTTGCATTGTTGAGTTTGTCTTGTGATGCAAATAAGGCGTTTTATGAGATCTTCTCGGCCTTTGAGCGGCTAACGAGTAAGCTTTTGTGGACATAACATTACCTATGTGAGTAGAATTCGATTCTGGATTTACTTTCCAGATGAAATTTGATCATCTAAAGCTTAAAGTTGATATAATAATGACTCACTGATTGCTGCTGTTGCTAGGTCGTAGAAACCGCACACCGTGTCTCCCGATGATGTCACATACAAAATAAGTAAGAAAATACCGATCATGCGTAAAAGAAACTTTGCACCCATACTTACACCATTGTCTCGATAGGGACGACGAGAAAAATACTAATTCGGGAAATCATCCAAGTATTGCATTGCATGTTCTTCTTCTACAACAATTACATTTTTCAATGGAAACTCTGTCAACACCACCCACCCCAGTACATCCTGGGCCCAATGAGGAAGTAAGAACTCTACCTGATGAAACAATTCCTCAATCTACGTTAGCTGATATCGATTTAAACCCCGACTTATATGATGACAGTCAGACTCCTACCCCATCGGTGGATATTTCCAAGCCTGTCCCCTCCTCTAGTAATGCAGTCGGACCGAGTCCCTCGGCTCACCCCCACCATCACGAGGTAACACCCACACAACAGTTACATCAACACCAACATCAAAATTCTCATATACCCCATGTGCTGTCCACTACTTCAATGGATGATAGTGAGACTGATATGGAAGAAGTTGACCTATTTAAATTTCAACAAATCACCCTTCCCTTTGATGAAGCATACCAGTTATTCAAATTAGATTTTGAGTCAATTGAACAACATGAACCGATTTCCCATCAACAACAATCGAAATTTGTTAATTATATTGATGAACAATTATTGCAAATCCAACGGAAATTTATTAAATCACAAGCAGAAACAAACGAAACATATTCATTTGGTCAATTGATTCAAGAATTAACCGACGTGATCAACATCATTTGGGTATCAGTATGTCAAAAGAATACTCTTTTCGGTCAAATGGATTATTACATTAAAATACTAGGAGATTTAGAAGACTATCTTGAACATTATCGAAACATTTTCGATCTGGATCTTACTCAATATAATGTGAAAATTGATGTTAGCAAAATGGTTGCATTTTTTAAATTTTTCCAAAAACTAGATTTGCAATTGTCATTATTGATGGATGGGTTTACGGCAAATACAAATCAGACTACAAAAGCAAGTAATACCGAATTGATTCGATTATATCCTATAATATCACGATTGAGAATATTGATAATTTCAAGAGTGGAAAATTTACGAACCAAGTTAAACAAAAATGTGACATCGACCAATCGACAGGATTCCCAAAATTTACTTAATCTATTTGAATTGGAAATAAGCAGGTTGTTTGAAGGTATTTTAGAACGATCTTCATAGTAAGTGTGTACATACCAAAAGTTGCTTGTATTTTTTTCCTACTGTTTTTTTTTTTCACAGCATCTTTAGCTTTGTAGACTTGTAGTATTACATCGACTTCGAGCAAATCATGTGGCCATTTACCTCATCCAAGCCCACCGAAGGCAAAAAAACTGAGGATATCAATAAAGAATTACCAAAAGATCTTCAGGAATTCTTTAAACAAGAAAATCCAGATAAGAAACACGCAAATTTATTTGAACAATCATCACCACAAAACCACATTTTTGAGGTTTTGAACAAACATAAAGATGATCCCAAAGATCCAAGACTAGCTTATTATAAATCTTCTCAGGATATAAATAATGCATGTGCAGTTAACTGTTCCGAGATTAAGAATCAAGTTGTGGAATGCTCTAAGCAAGTGACCTGGTTACAACTGGGATCCCCATGTGCTGATATAATCAAGGCCATGTCTGCATGTACCCAAATTCAGAAAACTGCACTTCAAACGTTACATTTTGATGAGTGTTATAATGTAAAGCAATGTCAAATGATGAGATATTATGTTGACAAAATATTTACTGAAAATTTCGGTCAGTATGGTAGTGAAATGAACGACGAAACCAGAGCCAAATTTAATAAAGATATTGACGATGCAGTCTACAAAGTATGGATATAACAGCAACGTGCATAGCTAGAACTATTCTTGTATATAATAAATATCCTTGGCTAAATTGTCCCATAACTGTTGTTTTTCTTGATACTTCATACTTGCAACCAAACCAGAGCTGCTTGGGAAAACATAAACTGTTCCCTCAACTTGTTCGTACAATCGGTCTAATATCTTATTGTATAGCTTATCTTCTCCGGTTGCAACCTTCCCCCATACAAAATTCTCTTTGGTAAGCTTAACCTTGATCTGTAGTTCAGTGGCGATATATTTAACAATTGTTTCCCAAATTCCTTTCCCTATAAGTACAATAAACTTAGAACCTTGTCCTTCATTATGAAACTCTTTAAGTAAACGCGGTACATTCTCTAGTTTTTCCTGTGCTGATAACTCTTCAGCTCGTTTGGTGCATCTAAGTACCAAATCCGTGAACCCAATTCCATATTTTGCAATATCCCAATCGTGTACATGGTTGGCACCTTCATGCACAAGTTTGCTTAAGAAAGAATCCTCCTCTATTTCAATTTCTCTCGCATTACAAACATGTTCTAGAACATTAGATGCATTGAATAGTTTCCAGAATAAGTTACTGTGATGGGCATAATGGTGTTGCTGTATTGAAGATTCTACTCCAGGGTTGTATCCTACAAATAGAAGTGTAAGACCGGGTGCAAGTGATGGATTGAGATTTGGAAGGGAATTGGTAGATTTCACCGGAAATGACTGTCTTTTCTTTACTGTTGGTTTGGTTATTCCCTTTTGTTTGACATCTGGAGTATATTGGAAAGTTTTGATTATAGACTTTAGGTGTTCTTGCTTTGACATGGTTGTGCTACGGGATTTGCTCTCAAATTGCAGTCGAGATTAATTTTTTTTTTTGTTTTTAAGATCAATAAAAAAAAAATATACCAACTGTGAAATACAAGTTTGCATTAACTTAATGTCATCTGAAGACTTTAATAAGAATATAACAAATGATAAACAAGATGGTGACATGCCTATAAATAATTCCAGTATCCGTTCAAAAGCAACTTTTTTAGATGTATCACCAGACAATAAAGAAAGTGACTCTATTGACAACCAACCTCAATTACAGATGCAAAATCCAATAGAACAACAAGTATTATCATCTAATACTATCCCTGTCGAATATCAACGAGAGTCATTGGTACGTGAAGTTCTTTCAGACCCTAGGATACCGTACACCCTTGCCTTATACCTTCAGCTCATATCAAATGCTGTTCTAACGTCCATTATATTCTACCTTATCTACATTTTTATAACCACAATAAGAATAGACATCAATCAACGAATGCAATCTACAGCATTAGAAATTCTTCAAGAGATTTCTTTTTGTTCACGAGAGTATGTGCGTAACCGATGCTCACCTGAGAGTGGACTACGTGTTCCTGCCTTAGAACAAGAGTGTACTGAATTGGATAAATGCAGAAATAGAGATCCTCAATTGATTGCCCGTTCAAAAATTACAGCTGAGACATTTGCTGAAATAGTTAATGGATTTATTGGCAAGATCAGTTGGAAATCAATTATTTTGATAAATATATTGATATTTGGTGGGTTAATTGTGAGTAATGTAGCGTTTGGAAATTATCGGACCCATTCGGCTCCTTTCAGTTCTAAAGAAGATCAAGAGAAAATAAATCAATTGGAAAAGAAAGTAAGAGAACAAGAGCTTATTATCAGAAATTATGAAAATGGTGATCAGAGGCAGGTAACCTAAACTTGGAATACTAGTGCATTGCAAGAGTTTCCAGAGATCGTAAAATCATTATCATGAAACAGTACGGGTTTGTAGCCCAGATATTTTCCATATTGTCGCACCTCAATTTGGTAATAAAAAATATGGTTGGTTGCAATTCTTGATGAATGCGAAAACTTTAATCACTCTAGATATGGGGGACCTAGTCATCTTATCATGTTATTTCATATAGAATGATTATTAAACATGGTTTAATATATATATATGGGATTTTTAAACTAGTTCGAGCTCTTTTTTATATTATTTAATTTATCAAAGTAATTCTAACGAAATGGAAAAAGAAATTGGAATGGCTGATCCATGTATGGATCCCCAAGAAGAAATCATGCCTAGTCCAAACAGAAACATTTTAATGTTCTTCAAAAAAGAAGATATACCATTGGCAATACTAGGTACTATCCTAATGTGCTTCTCTGCAGTTTCCACCCCATTACTGACTATGATTTACGGTGATACAATTGGATGCCTTGGTGAATTTTACACGGGGCAATTAAACTATCATGAATTTATCACCAAGGTTAGAATCTTATGTGGAGCATTGATGGGGATTGGGGCTGCTAAGATGATACTCGTCTGGTTTGGGATTTCTGTATGGATGAGATTCGGTGAAGTGCAACAATTACGTGCTAGAAAACAATTATTCAATAAGTTGCTCCATGAAGAAATAAAATGGTATGATAGGAAACAAAACCTTATGGGGAATATATCTCAAGTCAATAGATGTATTGAAGAATTGCGTGGTGGTAATGCAGAAGTCATGGCTATGCTAGTACAGACTTTTGCCTTGATTATTGCCCTTGTGATAATGTCCTTCTATCAATCCTGGGCTATAACTTTGGTTATCTTAGCATCGGCCCCAGTTATGGCATTTAGTGGTTGGTGGTTTGGAAGATTGACTTACAAAGCTGCCGAGGTGGAAAATGAAACTACGGCTGAAGGGTCCAAGGTTTTGGATTGGTGTTTGGTGTCTCCCGAAATTGTTAGAGTGTTTAATGGGAAATATGTTGAGTTTTCTAAATTTAAAGCTATTGTCAACAGTTCAGCCAAAGCCTATTATAAGTTGGCTAATGCGATATCTGCCAATACAGCAGTTTTGAAGTTTTTGACTTTGATGATGTTTGTTCAAGCATTTTGGTTTGGTATATATTTAATGAGCAAAGGAACTATCACAATAAACCAATTGATTACCTGTTTCGGTTCCTGCTTGATGTTGGGATCTACTGTTTCTGGAGTTACTGAATTGTTGGCTGTTTTAAATACTGCCCATGCTGCAGCAGGTAAAATATCAACATTCTTGGATATGAAAGACAAAGATAAAGACAAGTTTGATTTCAGAGAGAACTTAAATATATATCCAAGCACATGCAACGGAAATATCTCCTTTAACCATGTTTACTTTCAATACCCTTCTCGAGATGAGTTGATACTCAAAGATATAACTTTTACTCTTGAACCAAACACTATGAATTTCATAATTGGGAAATCGGGATCTGGTAAATCGACTATACCTTTATTATTGATGAATATATACGATGTACAATGTGGATCAATTGAAATAGATAGCCACCCAATTCAATTGTTGGATCCAAAGTATATAACTCAGAACTTGACTCTTGTTCAACAGAATCCAACTATTTTCAACAAGAGTATAAGAGAAAATATTGCTCTTGGAGTCCTGGATTTCTTCCATCAACTTGAACACGTACCAGAACATTTAATCAGTGATGCTGCTGAATTTTCCTTATTGCATGATTTAATCGAGGACAAGGGATTAGATGTGCAAGTTTCGCTGTCTCTGTTATCTGGTGGTCAACAACAACGAATTGCAATTGCCAGAGCTAAATTAAGAGATCCTCCGATTCTAATATTGGATGAAGCATTTAGTGCCTTGGATTTCAAGAATAGGAATCTATTATTTGACAAAATACGTCAATGGAGAACTGGCAAGACTACAATTGTTATTACGCATGAGTTTAACAACATTGAATCTGAAGACTATGTGATATTGACTGAAGGAGGAAAAGTTGTTTCGGAGGGTCCCTTCAGAGTTCTTCAAGATGAACATTTTATCCAAGCGTATAATTTTGACGAAACTGAAGTTGAATCACAAGAAACACTTACCCCAGACTACAAAGAACTTCCCAAGAGTATATACTATAATTATAAAACCAGTCCATATATTTTGAAAGATCTAGAAAACCAAAAAGTCAAAGAAGAAGAAAAGGAAAATATCATGGGAGTATTTGCAATTCTCAAATATTGCAGTAAATCAATTGAGACCAAGTGGGTTATTGTTGTTGGGATTATCATATCAATTCTTAATGGAGCTACTAATCCTATTTTCTCATCCTGTTTTGCACAATTACTTTCAAGTTCAATCGATGCATCAATGGGAATTGGAGTTAATGAGGAATTATTAAAATGGTCCTGTATTTCAATTGGAGTTGCCTTTTTTATTGGCTTGTCCGGTTATGTTTCACAGTTCATTTTGGCATATGCTAGTGAAAGATGGATTGTATCACTTAGAAAGACTTTATTTGAAAGAATAAATGGTCAGGATATGTCGTTTTTCGATTCAGAAGTAGTTAAACCGGCTGAAATAACAGCATTATTAATGAATGATACTCGTGATTTGAGAAACCTTATTTCTGAGTTTTTGCAACTAATTGTAAATCTCATAACTATGGTTCTAGTGGGTCTTATATGGGCAATTGTTGTTGGTTGGAAGCTTTCATTGGTTGGTATTGCTTTTGTTCCTCTTGTTCTTATCCTTACCGGTTTCTATGGTTTAGTGTTAAACTCGACTGAGAATGATTATAAATCTAGCATTGCCAAGTTGGAAAATAATCTTTACCAAGTGGTTTCAACTATAAAAACAATCAGAATCTATAACATGTTAAGATACTTCCTGAATTCATTTGATAATCGTGTTCATGAGGTTCAAAATGTTGGTATTGGAAGGGCAATCAAAACTGGGATTGGCTTGGCAGTTAACGATTTGCTTGCCTCTGTTGCTACCGCCACGGTGTTATATTTTGGTATGACATTGGCTGGTAGACTGGAATATACATCAAATCAGTTTATGCAAGTAGTTTCACTTTTAACTTTTACCTTGACCAATGCAAGCAGTTTGCTTAGTCAACTTCCTGAAATTTCAAGGGGACAGAGAGCTGGAACTTTGATTGTGAAACTATTAGAAAATTCTGCATTATCTAAAGTTGAAAATAATGGAATCTTGAAGCCAACAGTTGTTCCAGATAATATAATTACTTTTGATCATATTGAGTTTGCCTACCCTTTCAAAAAACAACGAATTCTTTGTGATTTCAGTTGTGAAATCCAAAAGAATGAATTAATTGGAATCGTGGGTGAGTCTGGAGCAGGCAAATCCACCATAGTCTCCCTTTTGACTCGACTTTACGGCACACATCTGAACCAGGTGAAATTCTTTGATGAAGACATTGCCTCAGTCGATATCGATTGGTTAAGATATACAATCGGTTTGGTACCACAGTTTCCAAAATTCTTTGAGGGTACAATCTACGAAAATTTAACCTATGGAATGAGTCCAAGTGTTCAGATATCCTATCCCCTTCTTGAAGAGGTACTTAAAATGGTGGGGATTTATGACTTTGTAGTGACATTACCTGAGGGACTTCAAACACAAATCGGTGAAGGGTCCAATTCCTTGGTTTCTGGTGGGCAATTGCAACGACTTTCAATAGCCCGTGCACTCATTAGAAGACCAAAAGTTTTGATATTTGATGAGTGTACTTCTAATTTGGATCCATTAAATAGTCAACATATAATCGAACTTATTAAAAAACAATTGGCAGGGAACTATACCATCATAATAATTACTCATGATAAAGAAATGATGAAAATCACGGATAGATTGATCGTATTGAAAGGAGGAAGAGTATGCGAATCAGGGAAATATAATCAGTTATTAGCTACAAATGGTGAATTGACAAGAATAACTAGGTCTAGTATATAAAACATATAAATCTCTAATATGTAATTGTTTTATTTATATATCAATCAAATCTTTACACAAATAAATGGAACTTCAACATCTTCACCTTCTAAATCGTCACAACAGATTTCGAAAATCAAATAGTGAACATGAGGTGGAACCTCCTTCTTACTGACTTCTTTGATCAACTTGGTCAAGTTCATTGACAATCTATCCTTAACCTTCTTTGGTGGGAAGAAAGAAGCATACAAAAGAGAAACACCATATGATAACATAGAAATAGTCAATCCTTCCTTTTGCTCAAAGTGATCTAAAAGTTGTTGTAAAGTCATATCACCTTCAAGATCGAAACGGTCCCAAATTTGATCATACGTCTTATCATTATACTTAGCTTGAGCTGACTTTATTGGTTCAGAAAATCCAATAAATGGTAATGCCAAGTTGATAAATCCATTCTTGTATTGTTCAATATCAGTCTTTCCATCAACAACCTTGTAAAGCTCTAAACATACCAAACCAGTAACCAAAGCAGTGGTGGTTGCAATGGCGGGAATAATCTTACCAGCGATAAATTTGGTTTTACTAGCATCGGCAGTTTCAATGTTATAGTTCAATGCTCTACAGTTGGAAGCAGCAGTGATGAATTCAATATGATGGTTGGTATCATCATCCTTTTCAAATTCAACTGGGTTTAATCTATAACCAGCTAATGCCTTTGGTTCAGGTAATGAAGCAGCAAGTTGTGTGACAGCGTCATCATCTAAGGATCCGGAGAGCTTGTTGGCTTGCTCTTCAGCTTCAGCATCATTAGCAGCAATAACTACACCAGATTTTGGTTGGAAAGGCTCAATCTTAATTTGTTGTAATACCTTTTGGTATTCTTCAAAAGTGACTTTTGGTGCCTTTAATCCATAGATATAAGCTAACAAGTTGGCACCTCCGACAATGAAATTGAAATGATCCTTGTTATTAATATCAAACTCTAATGGAGTTGGGGCTCTCTTTGAACCAGTCCAGAATGGAGCACCGTTTGAAGTAGTGGCATCATGAGGGAAATTGTATAATAATTGCTTAATATCGTGGTTAAATTTAACTTCAAATTCGTTTCTAGCCCAAACAATGCAGTCTTCAAAAGTGTATGGACGTTTGTTTAAGTAATTAGAAATGTTTTCCAAGGCACCCTTGATATCTGGATTTTGTTTCAAAGTTTGTTCAACATAATCTGGTTGAGTCAAGTATAAATTAACACTTTCTGGAGAATCACTAAAATAACCTTGGAACAAAGACTTGGCCCAAGCAATGGTATGATCAATCTTACTTGGGAATGATCTTAAGGTACACAAAGGAATAGATTGTTCTGGAGGATCTTGGGAAGATGAGTAAGATTCAGTTAATCTAGGAATAACAACTTGAGTGTTACCTTTGGTACCCAAAGTACCTGATTCCAATAATGCCTTCTTGTAAAAGATACAACGACGATCAATATAAGTTCTTGCTTCAACGTTATCCAAAGCATTGGTGACGAAATCTAATTGAGACCAGAATCCATCATCGAAAATGTCTTCGGTATCAGGACCAACCTTGTCTAACCTAGCATCGATTTTATCTGTCAATTCTGGGTTCATATGTTGAACGGCAAGAGCAGCAACTTCAGACTTATTCTTTCCAACATCTTTTGGTCTGAATAAGAATTGACGGTTCAAGTTGGATTTTTCAATAGTATCGTTATCAGTAATGAAAAGTTTACCTTCAGGACCAGATCCTAGTCCCATCATTGCCCAAGTTTTAAGCATTTCACAACCAATGGCACCAGTACCAACCAAAAATACCTTCAAATTGGAAATTCTTTGTTGGAAATCCTTACCGAAAACAGCAATTTGGTTATCATATCTGGATCCAATGGCTTGGTTATTTTCGGCATTACGTGGGAACTTCTCAGCAGATGGTAATGATTCTAAAGAGTCAAAGTATAACCATTGCTTGATTGGGGTGAACTTAGAAGAACAATTCTTCAACACTTCTTGAGCAATTAACCCACCATAGAATGCAACAACACCTGGAATATCACCTCTGGCTTGATAGAATAATTCCTTCAAGTACTTTTCATCGAGCTTGTCTTCACCTAATAATTGTGGGTTTTGAGCAGCCAATTCTTGGGCATATCTGAATGCCTCATTGGCATTTTCTTCATTATAAGGTAATGGCAAAACTCCATTTCTATTTTTGAAAGCATGCAAAGCTTGGAAACCTAAGTGTAATTGTGCTGGTTTATCAAATTTAGCAAAGTCAGAAATGACGTACTCTGGTTGTTGTAATTGTTTAGACAATGGTTCAAAAGCTAAATCCTTTGGAACTTTAACTTGTGTATATAACCCACCTCTTTCGTAAGTTCCATAGGACTCATCAATCTTAATTCTAAACGCAAAAGGACCCAAGACTTCAATCTTGTGAGGATTGCCATCATTCAATTTTGGCATACCTTGAACTTCACTGAACTTAACATAATCACCATCTTCCAATCCGTGTCTATTGTCGTCCAACATGGTTACAGTACCATCAGCTTCGATATCAGAAACAATTCCTCCTTTAGGTTCTTCACCAGTTTGGTCAATTATTGTGAATTTGGGACCAAAATCGACAAAGAGCTGACCAAACAACCCTCTAATATCGGCGTTTATAAAACCAATGTCGCGGTCATGGGTGACGTTGTTTATTCTAACTTGCTCTTCCAACGAGATATTTGTGGCAACAATACATTTGAATGTGACAAGCGTTTCTTCATTCAAGTTGTCAATGACGTGAATAGGAACATAAGCATTCAATTCAGCTAAACTTTCAGCACTTATTCTATCTCTAGGTTGGCCAATGTGGGATTCACGTAAAAAGAATTGAGAAGACAAATCAGCTAATTCTACTGGTTCAGGATCATACAAGCTCAAAGATTTAACCCCGGCAAGAGCAATGTTCTTTGCGATTTCAACCCCTAATCCTTTCAAACCAATCACCAAGACATTGGCGTTTTGCATTTTAAGCATGGCCTCCTTACCCAAAACATACAATTGACGAGAGTACAACCCTTCGTCAATCTCTGGAGATGGAGAATCAATTTGCATGTTATCACTCATTTTGTATATTCAAGCTCTAGGTGATAGTGTTGATCTGGTGGGAACGTTTTTACTAATTCAGAATATTACAAATTCCATTTTCTTGCCACAGAATATTTCATGAGGTAGTGTGAAATGGCGAATTTTTGTATGCCGGAATATCTTGTCCGCCCACCACCCCCTTGGTTAAGACCACAGCAAAGAGGAAATCTACAGCAACTAAAGTAAATATATTTGCGTGTTCGTGCCGATTATGTGAACTACACATAGCTGTTTACTAAATTTAGAAATATTTCTTGCGAAAAAGTAAATAAATATTCTCAAAAATGATTCTTCAAATCATTTGATTAATGCCATGCCATATTGTTCTAAACAAGCATGGACGTCGAAATCAGGATCACGAGGATCCATGGTCTTGACAACCCTACCAGGAACACCAACAACAATTGAATTGGCAGGAATATCCTTGTTTACTACACAGCCAGCACCAATAACACATCCATCTCCAATGGTAACACCGGGTAACACAGTCAGTCCTGCGCCTAACCAGACATTGTTTCCAATAGTAACTGGTAAGGCATTTTCCAACATCAGATATCTTAAAGTTGGATCGGTTGGGTGGGTTGGGGTTAAGATCGACACATTAGGTCCACACATTACATTATCTCCAATTTTTACAATTGAAACATCCAAGATTGTCAAATTGTAATTACTATAGAAACCTTTGCCGAGGTACGTATTGCACCCATAGTCAAAATACACTGGGTATTCCATAAAGGCACCATCACCCACATGGCCAATAAAACTACGTAAATGTTCTCTCTTTGCATCGAGGTAATCTTTGGTGGTTTTGTAATCTCTATGTCTAAATTTTTCGTAATCCAAAATAGTATCTCTAATACTCATTCTTACATCTTCCAATTCTTTCTGGTAGCAATTATAGCTATGTTTAAATGTTAGTACTCTAGAATTCACAAGCACTACAATTAAAAACATACACCAATCCACTGATCATTCGTTCATAGTTCTCGTCACCTTTCAACGGAATGTGGTTCAAGTTGTTGTAAGCAAATTCAATCAATTCCTTGTTGAGTTCTCCTTTGATGTTGGATTGTTTGCAAAAGTCTTCTTTAGATTCGAATTTAGGCATTTTGTCTATTAGTAGCTCTGTTTTTTTTTCTCTCGAAAAGAATCAATTTCTTTAGAGCTAGATCGGGTGATTTATACCTGTTGAACTGTGGGGATTAAAAAACTCAAGTTGATGTTATGTTTTCGTATATAAATTGGGGCGCGAATTCCTAAATAGGAAAGCTACCCTTACACAAATATCACCAATTAATCAAAAAAACCACCTGCAAGAGTCTCCTAGTTAAGACAATGCAGAAGTGCAAATCTACAACTGCTAAAGTAAACATATTCGTGTGTTCATTCTAATAGTATATACTATACATAGCTGGCCACTAAATTTAGTAATAATTCCTGGGAAAAATTACATAAATATTCTCAAAAATGATTCTTCAAATCATTTGATTAATGCCATGCCATATTGTTCTAAACAAGCATGGACGTCGAAATCAGGATCACGAGGATCCATGGTCTTGACAACCCTACCAGGAACACCAACAACAATTGAATTGGCAGGAATATCCTTGTTTACTACACAGCCAGCACCAATAACACATCCATCTCCAATGGTAACACCGGGTAACACAGTCAGTCCTGCGCCTAACCAGACATTGTTTCCAATAGTGACTGGTAAGCCATTTTGTAATCCGCTTCTTAACGTTGGATCGGTTGGATGGGATGGGGTTAAGATTGACACATTAGATCCACACATTACATTATCTCCAATTTTCACAATTGAAACATCCAAGATTGTCAAGTTGTAGTTACTAAAGAAACGTTTGCCAATGTATGTGTTGAAACCATAGTCAAAATACACTGGGTATTCCATAAAGGCACCATCACCCACATGGCCAATAAAACTACGTAAATGTTCTCTCTTTGCATCGAGGTAATCTTTGGTGGTTTTGTAATCTCTATGTCTAAATTTTCCGTAATCCAAAATAGTATCTCTAATACTCATTCTTACATCTTGCATGTCTTTCGTGTATGCATTGTAGCTATGTTTGAATGTTAATACTCTAGAAGTCCAAAGTGTATCAATTGACAACATACATTAGCCCACTAATCATTCGTTCATAGTTCTCATTACCTTTCGATGGAATATGGTTCAAGTTCTTATATGCAAACTCAACCAATTCCTTGTTGATTTCTCCACGGATGTTGGTTTGCTTGCAAAAGTCTTCTTTAGATTTGAATTTAGGCATTGATACGATGGCAATTCTGTTGTTCTCCTGTTCTCCTGGAGGCTGGATTTTCCCTCTAGAGATAGGTATAGTATTTATGTCTCTTGAATTGTGGGGATGACAACTCTAGCTGAACCTATTCTCTCGTATATACATGGGTGCAAATTCCTAAATAGGAAGTCTATCCGCACAGAAATATCACGACCTAATGAAAAATGAACAGCCAAGAGTCCAAATAATCCTTGCGAGTATTTCAACGAGAAATTTAACAGGTGATTGGATTGGGTAAAATAATCTCGCCGAATATCTTGACGAGCAAGCAAGGAGAATCGGCAGTATTACTTAGTTAAATCCGACAATTTGAAAATCCTATCTTGTTAAGAATAGGCGAAAGTGGGAGCAACGTTTTGGAAAAAAGTAGATGCAAGGACTAAAGAAACAAAAAGAACCTTGAACACAAATATTAAATAATAACTCATTTCCAATACGACAAAAAACATGCACTACAATATGACTCAGGAAAATGCGGATTGTCATTGGGCGCGTTTCAATTTGCGCACCAAATTACACACATCTGTTTAATAAGCATAAGCATGCTCTTTAAGCTATTACCTCTTTTGAAAAAGAAAGGTATATCCGAGGAAACCAGGTATAAAATTTATTCGAGTTTTCTGTCATTGTACTGTTCCAGTAGTACCTTACTCAGAAAATAACGTATTAGGCTAAAACATCGAGTGATTGGTTTTTCTTTAATAATAATAATAATAATTCTCTGCAGTTGCTCATTCAAGGAAGAATCTAAGCTAAAGTTGTGGAGGACAACTTGTATAAAGCATGGGACAATTGTCTATTGTTTTAAATCTACTAGCACATTTTGCAACCACTTTCGTATGCCCACATATGTACAAGCTACAGGTATTACAAAATAACATTCCAGCATCTCTTCCCGAGGATCTGTGCAATCATAGCTACTCCACTTTTCTTGTCCCTGATCTCGGCTTTCTCGCTAGAATGTATGTTGGTTTTGATCCCTGTCGGTTTAATAGATGATATGGAGTTCAAAAACAAAAATGCTGAGATCTAGACCCCTAATCATTTCGTAAAGCCGTTCTCTAGATTTTTTTAGGGGGCTTGCATGAAAATTATTTTTTTTATATTATATTGAATTATTTTTGAAATGTGTTTGTTCTGCCAATAGATGCGAAATCTTGCGCTCACAACCATATTTTTTTACACTATCAAAGTTCTTTACTAATGATTAATTATTGTATAACTTTTCTGGCGTGTCGAGTCAATGGTTTTTCACCTATTTAAGCGGTCGTATTATTTGTGGCTAGTGAAAGTTTATTTATGAAGCAACATTCTACCAGATCATTTCAGAGTACTACTATAACTTTACGCAAGCTCTGTAATGGGCTTCATCTTTTGCATTAAATGACACCTTGTCGTTTTCTATATCTTAGGTGTACTCGGGGTGCGTGTTGATTACACTGTGGTGGACAATGAGGGAAAACCTGAGACAATTGGATAAGAAAATATCGACAGATCTTTTGGAATTGGAAAATTATTTATTTTATTGCAGTTGTAAACTGTAAATTGATTTTTTAGTTTGATATTTTTTACGCCCCAATAATTTTTTTTGATGGGTTTTTATTTTTTTAGGGGTTTCGGGGTAGAGTTAAATCTTTGGTTCACTATGGATGATTAAGGGGGTGTCCTTTGTTGTGAGTATCATGACTTTTCGACTCGCTGTCTTAAGCGATATAATTTTGGGGTCAGACTACAAGGGAAAAGAGTTTGCACGAGTGCCAATGGCTAGTTGATTCGAAATTACGGTCAGTTATTTCCTAAAGCAACTTATTTTGGAATTGCTGTACGCAAAGGAGCTAAATCTGTATATAAAGCGCGTAGATAAGCTAGTTTTAAAATCAATAATAGGGGTATATTCTTTCTATTTGGATTAAGACTTTTATAGCTTTCTACCTGTTCCATAACATAAATCGTTTTTCAACTTTCTACTGCAACTAGTGGGGGGTTTAAAAAAGCTTGTAGTCACAGAAAAAACTTCACCACATTCAAGTTATTCGATATAGACGACACAACATGCCCGTAACAATCCATTGTTTAGCCGACGTTTGCCTAATTCCAGTATGTTATCTTCGAGAGTCCAAAACAAAATCAAATACTAATACTTAATCTAGATTGGAACAGGCTCTGCATCAGTTTCCGATGAAGTCACTGCAATCACCAAACTTGCTCAAGATTCTCCTCTTGAAACAACATTACATTCAGCAGGAACCACGATTGAAGGTCCATGGAATGAAGTAATGGACTTGATTGGACAATTCCACCAGCATTTGCATGATAAGCATGGTGTTGTGAGAATTCAAAGTGATATTAGAGTTGGTACCAGAACTGATAAGAAGCAATGTCCTCAGGACAAAATTGATGTTGTCCAGCAAAAGTTGAAGAATTTGTAGTGGGTGTGTATAGTAGAAACATATAGCGTATAATAAAAAGCATATGGAATATGAAATGGGATTGGCCTTGTAGGATCGTCAAGCAGACTCTCTGATTGGTCAAGGAGCTTACATAATTCGAAAGTGGTTGATAATTATTGATACCCTTTTATACAATATATAATAGAATTGAATGATAATATAAGCTAAAACGTTTCGAGAATTGAAAATATGAGCAATTGTGAATAATTGAATCAAAAGCAAAAAAAAATAAAAAGATTCAATCCTTAATAGAAAGGTTTGCCATATGAAAATTGATTAACTTGTTGTTGTGGTTGTTGTTGAGGTGGTGGTTGTTGCACCTGTTGCTGTTGATATTGTCTTTGATATGGGTGTGGTAAAGGTGGAGGGTAATAGTGGTCTTTCTTGTCAACACCGGCATTGTTGGCACTAGCAGCAGGTTCCTTCTTGGGGTCAACAAACTTACCTTCGACTATATCGGCACGCTTCTTCAATTGTTGATCACGTTGTTCAATCGATTTATCTGTTAATTTCTTTTCCTTTAAACATTCATTGATAGTCTCTTCATTGACACCAAATGATGCAGGGTTACTCCAAAATAACTCACGAATCATTTCACGACATTCCAAATCAGTGAAATTCTTATTAGAGGACTTATTTAATTCATTACTGATAAATCTCCATTTTTCTAATTCTCCAGCATCCAAAATTTCTTGTAAATGGACCTTATCTCTTAAATCCCAAGAACTGGAGTTGTTATTACCTTGTTGGCCAACAATAACTTGATATCTATTTCTAGCAGCCAAGTATGAACCAACATTGGTAATTTCAGCGATTTCAACCCAAGACTTACCCTTCTTTTTCAAGGAAACAATCATTTCATCTTGTTGTTTAGTAAATTTGGATTTCCTTTTGGCTCTCTTTTGAGAAAGGTTCATATTCAAATCAGGGCGGGTTGGAGCACGGGATAACGGAGGAATAGGTAACAATGGCTGAAGTCTTTCTGGGAAATCTGGATATATTACACTAGAAGCTGCATTGTTATTAGCAGTAGCATTGTTGCCACTGCCACTGGATGTAGCAGAAACAGCATTACCAGCAGCTGCAGAAGATGCATTGGCATTGGCACCACCTGGAACCTGTTGGTTACTACCAACACTGGCACTCTTGTGCGATATATTAGTTGGTTGAATGTGAGGATGTGCACCTTGGTGAAACTGGGAGTAACTTGGGTTGTAGAAATTTTGAGCCATTGCTTGTTGTGGAGTTGCATTAGCTTGATTTGGAGTCATGGAAAGGTTACCTTGATTTTGTTGTTGAATCAACAAGTAATTGTTTGGCATACTTGGATCAAAGTATTGGTTGACACCCTGTTGTGATTGTTGTTGTGCAACTGCCGCTTGTTGCGGTTGTTGTTGTGGCGCTTGTTGAGCATAATTAGCAATTGGTGGCGGTGGTGGGTACATCATTTGTTGGTTTAAGCCGTATTGAGCATTAGGGTTGTTCATCAAGTACCCTTGTTGGGGTTGTTGCATAACCATAGGACTGGTATAGTAACGTGGTTGTCCCTCGTAAGCATTGTCCTTCATTGTGTGAGGTACTCCAACTTGTTGGCCAGGATAATGAGGATGGTGAAAGTTCGACAGGTTGGTGTTGTTATTATCATACGAAGACATCATATGGGGTGGTATAGTCTTTTCCTGGATGGATGAGTAACAGTCGTATATCGGGTTTGGTTATAACGGTAACCCGGGTTTGATTGTGACAAAAAAAAAAGATTAAAATAAAGATTAGGCAGGATGTGATAAGTTTCAAATTTTAAGTTGCAAATTCAAAAGAATAACAAATACACTTTCAAAACGTTCTAATCTGAATTGTCTTCACGTAGTGACTTTAAAACCGATTATAAAAGCAAAAGGTAGTAAACTGTGATTCAAGTCAAAACAAAAAAAAATTGCTTGAATATATCAATTGAAAATATTTGGATTATTTAAATGAAGTTTTTTTTTTTATTTCCTTGAGTATGGAAATGGGCAAGCGTACAAAAAATAATCCCATTATTTTTAACCAGGCATACACACACAAAATCCTTAAATAATAATGGTAATTTTTTTGTAGTTTTGAGAAAATAAATTACTAAAATAAAAAAAATAGCAGGTTAGTCATTATTACAAATTTCATCTAATTCTTAAAAATGTATTAAAATAAATATAATATATCCAAGAAAAGAAGAAAATTTCTTTGAAAATAAAAAAAATGAGGGAAAATATAATTGCTTTAAAAAATATTTACAACAATGGAATATTTTATTGAGTAATTTTTAAATCCCAAGGATTTCTTTTTCTCCAATAATTTCTTTTACAGAGGGTGGCCCATAATGTTTAATCTATTCAGACATACATGTGGGTATGCACATTAGCGATGGCACATTCTTAATATTGTTATATTGAAATGGCTACACACACACAAAATAAACTTTTTTTTGACTTGATGTTGTCAGTTTTTTTGCCGGGGTTACAGGGACTTTTTTGAAAGGTTATTTCATCAAATAATAATAAGATTTACGAAAAATGTAAAAACTTAAAAATGAGGATGTTGAGGAAGAGGGAAAAAAATAAAATAAATTGCAGATTACGCATTGATTTGCTGTTTCATTTTTTTTAACCCAGGTTGTTTACGTCAAGGTAATGTTCGCGAAAGTGGGCCGAGGCAGTTTCGCGAAATCTGTGGTTGTCCAAAGTAGAATTGAGGCTATGAAGCAATTATCAAGCGAGCATCAACTGTCACAGTCCTTTGGTGTTATTTTAGATTTGAAGAACCTGTAGCTGTCACCATATCCTCGGATCCTGGTGGTTCAACTTAGTGTGGTTGCGTAGTGCGCATTAATGCATTACCACAAAGTTGGTTAGTGCGTGAAAATTACGTAAAGAGCCTTGTTGTTCTGTGGCGAACATGATCCTCCAACACGAAATGTGTTTGTGTTTCTTGTTTTTGAGCAATTATCGACTTTCCTATTGCAAGGGAAGGACGCACCATTTGTTATAAAGAGATTTGAACCTTAAAAACAATTTTATTTTCTAACTTTGAATCAAACGCTCACCCCCCGACCAAGAATGTCTGAAAATAATCTTGAGGTAACATCCAAAACTTCAGATGGTTTGGTTATTATTTGAAGCTATTCTTCTTGATCTTAGATCTTACACTAAAACGATGCCTAGTTAGCATTGCTATCGTATTTCTTCCACCTACCGTTAAATAGTTAATTGCAAATTAACTTTTGATCTTTGGGTCTTAATATTTTTTGATTAGTAGAAAAATATTTGAATTATTTTTTTTTTTGGTTCATGGATCACCAGTGCTAGATGGAGATGACAGTCGCAAAACTTAGAGGCGTGCACGACAAACACACTCAATTAGAGCAGGATATACGGAGAATCAAATTCCAGTTTCTTTTGTCGTCACAAAATCTGGCCATTTCTCGTGTAAGTGAATCATATGCTTTGTGGATAATAATGTCGATTCGACTTTAATTCTGTCTTATTTACTAAAATAGTGCACACCGGCTCACTTCATCAGCGTAGTAGCATGTGTGTACTTTTCTCACTGATAAGTCATGCAATAACCGTAAATCGATTTGCTAGGTGACGCCCAAATTGGCAAGAAGAGTCGGTTTCGTTGTTTTGCAGATTCCTAATCTGTAGAAAATATTTTCTTGAGAATCCCAACAATGAAATAAAATTAAAACAATTCCATCCTTAGTTTTCCTAGATGTTATTTCCTTCGTTAAAACTAGAAGATTTTCAAATCAGATAATAATGCAATTTTTTGAAATATTTAAACAAATGACAGTTCCAACCTCAATATTAAATAATGTCAAATAACACATAAGCGCTTATACGTTTGCCCCCTTACGCTTATGTTTGCATAAGACCATCTCACCTAGGCGGGGGCGGGTCATGATTTATTTATTTTTCAATTTACAAAAGAAAATTATTTTTACAGGTTACGTGAATGCAATATTTTTTTATTGTTGAATAATAATGCTTTTTTTTTTTCTTTCTATGGCGTTACTCCTTTAAAAAGAAAAAAAAAAATTGAGTCCCTCCCACTCGATTATTTTCAATAAGATCTGTTGCATTTCTATTATGGCATATTGGTTAATACGCAGCAAGGCCTATTTTTGAAGGTTATTTGACCGGCTAAAACCCCTCATCGGCAACATGAACACTTGGGCTGATCCGGGGTTAGTAATCGACATGTCACACATGTCACGCAACCAACCAGAAAAAAAAAAGAAAAGGGCATCCCTAATGAATGGGAAATCATTCCCATAGGTGCACCTTGCAACTAGAAAAACCGGACAAGAAAAACATGTGAGAAATATTATTACTAAGTATTATTTTCTAAATTGTATTAACCTCAGTTAACACAAAGGAAACACAAACATCAATTGTATTTTAACCAAGAGGTTAGAAAATGACATTTTCGTATCTGCGATTATTTTATTACAATCCAAGATGTAATCTTTGCATGAGAACTGAAGAGAAATAATCCCCTAAATGGGGGGATGACTATAAAATAATGTCTTGTTTTGTTTATTTGTTACTCGTTTTGTGTAGAACAAAAGATAATCCTGCCTCGTTGCGCTCTATTGTGGAAAGATTCACCTCTTTGTAATTGAAACAACTCATTCTTTTGTTTGGCTTTTTTGGACAAACGATGCAACCAACCAGAGAGTGGCTGTTGTTCTAGAACTTGTTTCGGAACTAAGTCCGTGTCTTTGTGCTTGGGCTATGTCGTGGCCATGGGTCATATACGAGATTTTGGACTTGTTTTTGGTAATTGTCCCATGTATACTCTATTTTTAGCTGTAATTACTCAATTCGTATTGTCAAAATAACACATTTCCTTGATGTGAACTAATTTTTGTTTCATATTGCTATGGTTGTAATATGAATAAACCTGATTGATTAAGGGTCCTCCAACCTTATCTAAAGCATGTCCCCATTTCCAGTCCAAAAAAAAATAATTTTAAAGTTTGTGTATTTTGCTAACAACGTCCTTTATATTATTTTTCGTGATTCTCCCCCCCCCCCTTCTCCTTGATAATAAATTATTTTGAGTTTATAGTTGCTTGAGATGGCATCTCTTTGTCCCCGTACGTTCCAGCCTAATATTAAGGTTTTATGGAAAAGTGACCGTATGCACAGCGGGTTGTTTTTTTTTAGAGAAGGTTATTGAAGCAATTTAGCAATATTTTATTTCATTGATTCGTAATGACTCTTGGTTATTGCTTTTGTTCGTTACGCTTGGTTGCAATATTTTGGACTGTTTAAGCGAACGATAAAGTTTACTAGGTTAAGGTGGAGGTAAATTGTTGATCGCAAATTTTACCCAAATTACGTGGGATGATAATCATTAGTAAAAATTATAAATGATTAGTAAGCAAATCTGCTAACACCACGAAATGCTTGTCAGCTGATTTCAACTTTGTATTCGCTTAAACTTGTTATTCTTTAATATTTTTGCTGTGATGATACTTGTAAAAGCGTAAACGGTTCAAATTATATTTATAAAAAATTTGAAAGAAAATCTGCGAAATTATGATTGATTTTGTGCATCAATAAAACATTTGATTAAATTGTCATGTCAAAACGCACTAAAAAAATCAAATGATAATTGCATTGGCTATAAACACATACGAAACAATCAAGGCTTGCATATAACCCAATAAAAATGAAATGTTATTAAGTTAATTAAGAAATTAGAAGAAACTGTCACGCGATTCAGATCTCATCTAACAGTCACGTGATACCACAAAATTTCGTAATGAGCCGGTCTAGTATAGTGGTTAGTACAAGTCGTTGTGGCCGACTAAACCCAGGTTCGATTCCTGGGACCGGCAGATCATTGTTTTTTATATTTTTTTGATTCACTAATAAAGATATTTACAAAATAAAAATGCAAATCTCGTGAATAATAAACCAAGATCAGGCCTGTATCAAGATCTAAGAAAATCTATGCATAGTTAAGATCTCGGGTTGTATTTACAACTCTTTTTTTTTTCCCTTGGTATTTTTTCTTCTCCAGTTTCGGCTTAGTTATTTTTTTTGTTTTGTGTGATCTAGATTTCGCAACCACAACAATGTTTGTTAAAAATTTGTGTTTATTAAAAGCAGGCATAACAGACGATCTATGTATCAATATTTACTGCTAATTAAAGTCAAGTAATAAAATTAAATAAGGCAAAAATTAAATAGAGGAAATCAAAGAAAAAAAAAAACTGTGGTATATTAAAAAATGACTGAACCAGAGATCTAGCAAATGAACTGAAGTGATGTAAGACTGTAAGTTTACTTACTTTTCTTCCTTCTTTCCTCTAGCTTTGGAGAAGAACTTGAAAGGTAATTTGGCAACTTCAGCTAATGATTTTTCTGGATTAAAGTTCTTGTCACCTTCTTTTTCAAAACCGTAGTTCTTCAGTAAAGGTTCACTCTTTTTTTCAGTATCCTTAGAAACTTTCACATCACCCAAGGCTTCAATGTTTTTCTTTAAATCTTCCTCAACGGCTTCACTGGAACCTTCTTCAACTTCGCCTGATGGTGGAGTGGTTGGGTGGAAAACACGAGTAGCTTCTCTCTTTTCTTCACGATGTTCCCAAGGGAAAACTGGAGAGTGAGATTCACGAGTAGGTTCACTGGAACCACCAGTGACAAAATCAACATCCCAAGCATTCTTTTGTTTACCGAATTTCAAGTTGGAAGCTTCACCACGAGGTAAATTCAACAATTTATATTTCAAATGGGCATCTTCACCAAAAAACCTGTTAAAGTCATCCCACCAATATTGATGGAAATTGGCTAAATCACTGGACAAAATGTCTCCGTAATGCCATGGTTTAACGGCACCAATATAATGCAAGATTCTAATTTGGTTGAAGAAACGATGGAATGCAGGAAGATATTGATAGTCTTGACGGTAGTTTGGAGTAACGTTGAATAAATAAGGCAATCTGACCCAGTTGTTACCACCAAAGAATTCGTTAAGTAACCCTTGATCAGCCCCATCAAAAGTGTTTTCTGGTTGAGAAGAAAATTCAATCAATTTTTCAAAAGTTTCTGTGCTTGGCTTGATTTTCAAAACACCGGAATTGAAAATATCTGGCCATCCGGAGTCTGGAGAGGCGGCAATTTCACCGGATTTTAATTCAAACGATTCAAAAAGTTCATCCAAGTTTTGCAAAGGCAACACGTCAGCGTCAAGGTAAACTAATTCGTCAAATTGAGTCAAATTCCACAACAAAATCTTGGAAAATGTAATGGACAATTCAGAACGGTCCAACTTTTCTTGAACCTTTTCCAATGGGGCAGAAATGACTTCTTCGTCAATTGGAATGATTTCATCATAAATGGATTGGATAACTTCCTTATTTTCTTCAGAAATTGAGCTGGAATCTAACAAAACAATCAATTTGTGTTTGGTTCCTAATTCCTTTAATTTTTGACCCAAAGTCAAGACACCTGGTAAATACGATTCACCTGTTAAAAGGGTAGCATATGCAAAATTAGACATTGTAGCTGGAGATAATAAATATAATTACAGAGAATTGAACTAAAAAAGAAAAGTGGAAAAAGAGAATGATTATATGGAACAGGAGGCGAGGGTAATTTTATAGTCTCACTTTATAAGGAGATTTTCGACCTAAAATGTGTAAATGGAATTAAATTTGACAAAAGGATTAAAAAAAAAAAACCACAACAAAAAAAGTTTAAAAGGAATGTGTGCCCCCTTAATCAGATGCAAAGCCTTATGGGTTTATTATACGCGGTTGTAAGTACAGTTATGTGTCCTTCTGCCGATAAACAAAGAAATTAACCCTTTTATTTTACGAATGGGTACATTGTCAAGAGTCAAGAAAAATGTGTAGATGGGTAATTCCTCTTTGTTTACTTCCCCTTCCATTGGGAAACATACACATTTACACGTATATAGGGGTTAGCAAGTGTATGTCTGTCTGTCTGATTGTGTAAATGTGTGAATGTGTAAACAAATAAATAACAACAACAAAAAAAAAGAAAACAAAAGTCTTATCGAAGAAACAAACGGAAGACTAAAAGAAACAGACACAAAGAAACAGGAATCAGGTAAAAAAATAAAATAAAATGAAACCCATAGAAAATATTCCACAACCGCCACACACAAATCAAAGTACAACCGACAAATGTCAAGATCAGACAAATTTGTGAAATTTCATCTGTGTCCCTCTTAGCAGAATTTCTTGTTTACATCAGATCATTCTGTGCCGCATAGTAAATTTCACAATGATTTTCACAATATATAAACGTAAGGCTCTTACACCCACTTTCTTCTAAACATACACATTTGCGCTACACATAAATAAACAAAGACTAAACACTCGTAGTTTGCAATTGTTAGTCCTCTTCACATCACAATGCAACAGCAACAACAACAACAACAACAAAAAAAGCTCTAAAAACACATTATTTTTCTATTATATATTACGTTAATTCTACACATGGGAAAACCTATATAAAAGTATTGGCACAGGACAAACATCTTTCTAATCCACTGTTTTAGCAACAAAGGTCCAGTTACCAGTTGGTGGATCATAACTCTTGAATTCCACTTCAGGAATGTTCTTTAATTTCTCAATATGAACCTTGACAATCTCTGCTTTTGGATCAACAATTGGTAAATTGTCCGCTTTATTGATAGGATAACATCCTTCTAATGTGATCTTACACGGCAAGTTCAATCCTTCTCCTGGTTTAGGCTTGTTATCATCAGGATAAACCACACATGATCTAGATGCAAATACAACAATCCTACCAGGAATATCTTCCAAATTAGCCAATGAAGTCAAATCAACAGGGCTGATATATTCAATCTTACCATAATTCTTTCTACCAACTTTGAAATTGGAAACGGCTCGTAACTCAGGCAAGGATTTCTTCTTTAATGTTGCCAATGAAGGCGACATCCAATATCCATTTTCATCAACCACATCTTCACCAGCAGGCATCACTGTAGGAGTTATTGCTGTAACAGCACCATTGATATTCACTTGTTTAACATCAGCTTCAGGTGTAGATTGTTTAATTTCACCGTCTATTAATTTTTCTTCTGATTGCTCCTTCTTGTCTAATACAAAAGTAGCTCGACGGGTTGGTCCAGTTTCTTCTGGATTATAAGTAAGGAATCTTGTGCTTGGGGTAGACTTATCCAACACCAATTTTTTGAAACTTTCCTTTGGTTTGAAAATGTCTGAGGAAATGATTGCTTGGTCGGTAGAAGATGAGAAAATGCTATCGGTATGATTCTTGAAAAGTGACTCTTGGGAAGCTTCCACTGGGACCTTGGTAGGTAATGAACTAACCTTAAATAATGGAGTAAGTTTCCCACTGCTTAATGTAACGGCTTTTTTAGTGGCGGTTGGGGACTTCACAACAATAGCTTGTGGTACAACACCTGGTTGTTGTGGAGCTGATCCAGTAATGCTTTGAAAAAGTGGATTGTTTCCATATGGGTTTTGAGAGTTGATATTAGCTAATGACTGCTGACTTGTTTGAAGTACACTATTGCTGCTGGATCCACCAAACAATCCACCACCTGTTGTAGTTGTACCTGCTGGCTTAGCACCGAACAACCCACCAGTAGCGGCAGTTCCTGTACTATTGGCTCCAGTATTACTACCGAATAATCCACCTGTAGTAGCGCTAGTAGTACCAAACCCACCAGATTGCTGGGCAGTTCCTGTATTGCCGAACAATCCTCCCGTGGTGCCGGCCGGTTTAGCACCAAACAAGCCACCAGTAGTGCCAGTAGCACCTGTATTTGTAGAAGCGCCACCAAACAAACCACCAGTAGTTCCGGTAGTACCAGTACCTGTTGTAGAAGCACCACCAAACAATCCACCTCCTGTAGTAGTAGCTGCAGGTTTGGCACCAAATAATCCACCAGGTTGAGTTTGTTGCTGTTGTTGCTGTTGTTGTGGTTGGCCAAATAATCCACCTGTAGTAGCAGTACCTGCTGGCTTGGCTCCGAAAAGACCACCACCAGTATTAGTTGATTGTTGAGCACCTCCAAAAAGACCACCACCAGTAGCATTATTTTGTTGCTGAGCACCTCCAAATAATCCACCACTGGTATTAGTGTTACTTTGACCAAACAATCCTCCGCCAGTTGTAGTCGTACCAGCAGGTTTAGCTCCAAATAGGCCACCACCAGTATTGGTATTACTTTGTCCAAACATTCCTCCGGATTGTTGCTGTTGTTGAGGTTGTCCAAACAATCCACCGCCACCAGTGTTTGTGTTAGATTGTCCAAACATACCACCAGTTGCCGGTTTATTAGCACCAAACCCGGTATTTTGCTGCTGTTGGCCAAACATTCCTCCAGTGTTCGTATTGGAAGTTCCAAATGCATTAGTGTTTGAACCTCCAAATAATCCTCCTCCTGATTGGGTATTTGTGTTTTGTCCAAAAGGCGTTGAGTTGGATGCACCAAATCCAGTGTTGGTGTTGGAAGCACCAAATGTACCAGAACCAGATGCACCAAATCCAGAGTTTAACGTGTTTGAAGGTTGACCAAAGGCATTGCTAGGTTGAGTAGTGGAAGATCCAAATAACCCACCACCAGTGGTGGTAGAACCACCACCTAATGTACTTCCGGTTCCAAATGCATTAGAAGATGTTCCAAACCCAGAAGGTTTATTAGCCCCAAATGCTGAGGTCCCAGTTGATCCAAATGCATTATTTGAAGCACCAAACCCGCCTGAAGTAGCTGGTCTACCAAACGGAGATGTAGTTTGTTGTGATTGACCAAACCCAGTGGCTGTGCTTCCAAATGGAGATGTAGTTGCTGGTTTATTAGCGCCAAATGCAGAACTTCCTCCAAATCCACTGGTTCCTGTAGATGCACCAAATGGAGATGTGGTTGTTGCAGAACCACCAAACCCAGTTCCTGTGTTTGTTTGCCCACCAAATCCAAATCCTGCACCTGTAGAAGAACCAGTGGTTCCAAATGAACCGGTTGGCCCATTTGCAGCACCAGTTCCATAACGACGTCCTTGCTCATAATCTTTCATTCTTAATTCCTCGAATGAGAAGTTTCTATATTCTGGCATGGAACAAACATTTTGAAAAACATTTAAAGTACCAGTAGAGTCCTTTTCACTAAATGGGGTGAATGGTTTAACGCCAGTACCGTTGTTGACATTAGGATCACTAGAGGCTCCACTCATGCCAAAACTAGACGTAGCGCCACTACCTAATCCAAATGGAGATGATGACGTGGTGTTTTGTGCAGGAGATGCCCCAAATCCCCCAAATCCAGTAGTGGCTGGTTTATTAGTACCGAACAATCCTGTTCCAGTACCCGATGAACCAAATGCAGATGTTCCGGTGTTTGCACCAGTGGCTCCAAACCCAGTATTGGTGTTAGCACCAAATGGTGAAGTAGTTTGTGTGTTGGAACTACCAAATAAATTACTACCGGTACTAGCTCCAGTAGAACCAAAAGGTTGAGATGCGGAAGATCCAAAGGCTCCTCCAGTAGAAGAACCAAATGCTGATGATGTTTGATTAGTATTTCCAAAAATACCACCAGTATTGGCAGTAGTTCCTGTACCACCAAATGGTGATGTAGTGGTTGTAGTGTTGTTTTGAGCAGCACCAAAGGGAGAATTGGCATTCCCGGTAGTGCTACCAAACCCACCGAATCCTGAAGATTGTCCTCCAAACATGATTAAGAAGAACTATGGATGATCAATTGATTCACGAGTGAAAAGTGAGGTGATGGTGGTTTATAAATTATGAGAGTTCAAATGACGGTAACCGATGTTTATGGTTAAGAATTTTTCGTTGTTTTTTTTTTCTCTGATGAAAGGTCGTGCAAACGCACAAATATTTTACTACTACTACTACAGGGTATATAACCTACTACTTAGTCTTTGTCTTTTTAGAAACCATGGTGGTAATTTCCACCTTGACAGTTCTCTTTTTAGTTCCAGTCTTCTTTTCAGACTTGGCAGTCTTTGCTTCAAACTTTTTAAGGTGTTCATCACGCTCTTTACTACCAAGTTTGGACAATTCCTCGGTTTTTGCGACAAATTCACCATCATCAATCAGTCTTCCTTCTAACCATTCTAGCAACTTGATTTCTTCTCCGTATACAGAATCATCATTACCCACTGGTGTCTCCAAGATTATAGGAATAGTTTTCAATCGGTCACAATTGGCAATCACTCTAAACACTTCCAATCCAAGGAATCCATACCCTAATTTCTGATGCAAATCTCTATTAGCACCCAATGGAGCCTTTGAATCATTCAAATGAATAGCAGAAAGGTATTCAGCACCAATTATATCATCAAATTGTTTCAAGAATGCGTTGAACTTTTCTTCATCACTAATGTCGTATCCGGCTGCAAATGAGTGGCACGTGTCTAAGCATACCCCAACACGAGATTTATCCTCGACCATATCTATAACATCACGAATATCTTGTAAATTGGACCCAATCAAGTTTCCATGACCGGCCATATTTTCAATAACAATCTTGACAAATTCAGTTTCCTTGATTGCCTTATTGATGTTTTTGGCCAATCTCTCAAGGGCTTCTCCGTGGTCAGAGTCCAAGCTTGAACCCGGATGGAAATTGTATAATCCAATATTCAACTTCTCACACCGTTTCAAATCGTCAAGGAATGACCCATATGCCTTCTCTTCCTTTTCTGGATCAGGATTACCCAAGTTGATAAAGTAGGAACCATGGGGTAAAATGTCGGTTCTAGGGTTGTATCCGTACTTTTTACAAAGTTCAGCAAATTTCTCAGCTTCAGCATCAGGAATGTCAGGAGACACCCACTTTCTAGGAGACTTGAGGAAAAGAGCAAAACTGTTGGCACCAATGTCCATGGCGTTGGTGACGGCTTTGGAGATACCGCCGGACATACCTACATGGGCGCCGAATTTGAATTGACTTGTGGAGCTTCGTTCATATTTGAATGTGATTGCTTTTTCCGTTGTCTTTGCCTTGGTGACTTTGACTTTTGTAGCTGCTTTTACTACAGTTTTGCTGGCGAGAGTTAGCTATAGTTTGATTGAGAATGAACATCTTGTACTTACGCTTTAGGAGGCATGTTGAATGGTTTGCCGTAACACTGTTGCTGAAATAAAGTCGCGGTGTTTGACTTCGCGTACGATGTCGTGATTCATCTCGTACGAAAATTTATGACTGATAAAAAAAAAAAAAGTTTAGCTGATTGTGGCTTCGGTAAGAAAAACTTTATCCATACGGCTTCATATTTCAACAAAGCTGATACAGCTATATACTCCATGACAAATCTAAGGCTTAATATACTTAGGTATCTACGGGCATTCTTTATCCCGGACTCTTCATTGCATTCCCGACAAAAATGGATCCTTGGATTGATTAATTTGGCAGCAGTGGTGATATTCTGGGTGCTGTCTAGCTTCTTGGTGAATGCTATTGTCGAAGACGACAGCTATAGAAAGCCATTCTTTATCACATATATCAATACCAGTTGCTTTTGTTTCTATATAATACCGTATTTGAAACTTGAACGGTTGTCTGTCAAGGAATTTATACAAAAGTTGAAGGATGATTATAATAGACCAAAAACTATAGCTGGGAACGACGAAGAGAGGATGCTCAGGTACGGATCTCAATGCGGATCGCAAACCGATTTGACGGAGGAAGAATCCAACGTTTTGCATATTATCGACTCAAATCCTGAGGCTAAACTGGATAACGAAATGGAGATAGGCAGTTATGAGACGGTTAAATTATCATTACAGTTTCTTATATTGTGGTTTTCAGCTAATTTAGTGACAAATGCTTCATTGTCATACACTTCTGTCGCATCTCAAACGATATTGTCATCAACTTCGTCTTTCTTTACTTTAATTATTGGATACTTGGTGGCTATAGAAAAGATTAACCAGAATAAAGTGGTGGGCATATTACTTAGTTTTACCGGTGTGTTGTTGGTCACCAAGATAGACACACAAGAAGACAATCCAAATACAAACATGCCTACATTACTCGTATTATGGGGAAATATCTTGGCATTATCAGGAGCACTAATCTACGGGATCTACACCATCCTCCTCAAGCACAAGATCTCCATCCCCAATTCCAAGAAGGAAAAGAACTTGAACACCCATTTGTTCTTTGGATTCGTGGGAATTTTCTGTTTTGTGTTCTTATGGCCAGTTCTCATATTACTTCACATTTTCGAGGTGGAAACATTTGAATTACCACCGACAAGAGACATCACTACCATGATGATAGTCAATGCAGCCATAACATTCATTAGTGATTTCTGTTGGTGTAATGCTGTGTTGTTGACCAGTCCATTGACGGTTACTGTCGGGTTATCCATGACTATCCCACTAGCCATGATTGGCGATTGGGTGATTAAAGGAATGAATGTCAATATTTGGTATATTTTTGGGGCTGGTGTAGTCACTGCGGGATTTCTTATTATTAACAAGGATGAGGAAGACGATTTTGTAATAGACGAGTAGTGTACATAGAGCTAACTAATATCATAGATTGACCGAAGTACTCCCAATACGCAAAGACGTTCTAGGCAAACCTTTCTTTGAACGTTACAGGGCAATCATTGGCCATCGCCTAGATGGGTACACCCGAACTGGTAGCGCAGAAGTTAAAATTAAAGTGGTTTGTCGCGAATGAAAAAGGCTGGAGATAATATCTTCCGTTGTCCAAACAAAACCAGCAATATCAAGACAGTCAAGTGGACACATGAAGTTAATAAACATTGTTGTCTCCTGGCTCCTTTGGGCACAATTGAGTTTGTGTTTTTCCCAGGAATCGATCCATTTGACAGAATTATCACACGCCAGTGACGATTTCATTATAGAAGTAACGGATGGTGACTTGTCATTAATCGACGGACCCAGAGATTACTTCACTGTGCTTATATTTACATCTACCGATATTGCCCATGGATGCCAACCATGTGAGGAGGCACGCGATATAATTTCCCGCGTCTCTAAATCGTGGTTCGCCGATTATGCCGAGTCGAATTATTTGGCGTTTATTAACATTGATTTGATTAACAAGCCAAATATGAATATTTTCCAAGTGTTGGGGCTCCAAACCATCCCCCACATTTGGTTGATCCCACCTAACCACTCGGTGGAATATGGTAACCCATATAAGATACTCCAAGAAGGGCATTTTGATTTTAGAGTGCCCAAGGCTAATAAAGATGAGCAAATCTTAGCATTTGCGCAATTTTTATCAGAAAACACCCAGAGAAGCATTTTAGTTAGAACAGAAGAGCCAATTGCAAAGTTCCTCAAGACTTTCTTGTTGACTTTGTCGTTTATACTTTTAATTAAGAAGAAAGGACCAAGTATAATCACCAGCACCAGGAAGAAAACAGTGACTGCCTGGTTTTTCATTGGATTACTCTTGTTTTGCATTGGTGGATATCAATTCACCATTCAGCAAGGTGTCCCATTCATTGCGAGAAATGATAAGGGTGGGATCATTTTTGTTAGTGGAGGAATGCTGTACCAATTTGGTATTGAAGTGTTTGTCTCTGGTGCAAATTACGCCGCATTGGCAATCAGTTTAGTTTCCTTGGTTTACATTGGTCAATACAAAGTGACTGATACTAGTGTCATTAAGAACGACTATGTCAAAACTGCATTGATCTTAGTTAACACCGGTGTACAATATTTACTTGTTAGCTGTTTAACTAGTTTGATTCTTAGGAAGGATAGTAATTACCCCTATCCATTCACTAAATTGTTTTAGTATAATACATGCATATTACTTAGACGCAAACAGAAAAAAAAATATGTAGTGTGAAAAACAGCGACGCGTAAATAATGGCCATTTTATGGAGGTCAATAATAGCAAGTAGAATTAGACTAACGTGTACGCAACAAATGTCCAAGAGGGTACTTATAACTGATTTCTTTAACAATCAAGGTGCTGCTAAGAACTTGAAAAAGAAAAAGGTGACAGCAAAAAGTGAGCCGGTGGTAGTTAAGAAGTCTCCCTCCAGCAAAGAAAATACAGATGTCAAGAAGGAAACTACTAAAGAAAAAGCCAAGGTGGAAATCGAAACTGAGAAAGTCGAACCGGTCAAAGAGGAAGTTGGAGTTGAGGAAGTAGTGGAACAAGCCAAACCCACATCAAATTACAGCGATTTGTGCAAGCAATACAACTTCAACAAGCTTGATTGGCTCAAATCATTAACACCAGAGCAACGAGAATTACTACAACTTGAAATCAACACACTCCATATCAGTTGGTTGGCACCATTGCATAAGGAATTAACCAAACCATATTTTCTCAAATTAAAACAATTTTTAAAGTCACAATCTGGCAAAACAATTTTCCCACCAGCAAACCAGATTTATTCTTGGTCTCATTATACGCCATTGCCAGACATAAAATGTTTAATCTTGGGACAAGACCCATACCATAATTTCAATCAAGCTCATGGGTTAGCATTTTCTGTATTGGAACCTACAAGACCGCCACCGTCATTAGTTAACATCTACAAGACATTAGCAATTGATTTTCCTCAATTTAAAACTCCTGACTATAAGGCCGGCGGTGGCGGGAATCTCTCACAATGGGCTAAACGCGGAGTATTGCTACTCAATGCCTGCCTTAGTGTTGAAGCACACAAGGCCAACAGTCATGCTAATCAAGGGTGGGAGATGTTTACTGAACAAGTTATTAAGGTTGCCATTGATCACCACATCAAGCAAAACCAAGGGTTTGTGATTATGGCGTGGGGAAGTCCTGCGCAGAAAAGAGTGATTAAGTATAATCAACAATTAAGTAGACACCCTGATGAGTTTCTTGTTTTGAAAACAGTCCATCCATCGCCATTATCTGCACATCGTGGATTCTTTGATCTGAAGGTGTTTAAAAACTGTAACGAATGGTTAGACAAGCATAATTTACAAAGAATTGATTGGGGATTGGTTGAGGGAAATATAGTTGTGTAAAACTTGTATAGAAAAAGACACTAGTTTTTCTTTTTTCTGCTGGCGGTGGGTATATGGCTATGCGCATTCTCATTGATATATTATGCAATATGTGCATCGATTTATTTATTTATTTTTTCTTTTCTTTTTTATGTTTGTTTTATTTTATTTATTTTTTTTTTTTTCAAAATTTATAAAGTTTGACCCGAAAGACAAAACCAACATACAAAACAAAAATTCATTTTCCCTGATTTTTTCCCTTTCTTAAAAAAAAATTTGAATTTCCCCTTTATTGTTCTTTTCTAATCCACAGTGAAAACATAATCACATTCCTTCCTCCATATGCACTAGCATCTATCCACTACTCATCTAAGCCAACACCAGATCACTTAAATATTCACATACATATTTCATCGGAAAAAAATATTAGGCTGCAACACACACAATATGATACGTCGGAAGCAATCCATCAACGGCGATTCCCTTCCACCGCATGAAACACCCGAACAAAGAAAGCAGCGCTTTCTTTTATCCACCGACCCAAAACAAGCCCGAGCCCACGAGAGGGACGATGCCACCAAAAGATTCCAGTATTTGCTTGGATTAAGTTCGTTGTTTCGTAAATTTATTGATTTGAACGCATCCAAGGACCCCGAGTTCAAACGAAGAATCAGGGAAATTGACAGCCAGCATTTGTTTCAAGAGGCACCCAAGAAGCGAGGCAGGAAAGGTGGATCACGCACGAGAAAGACCGAGAAGGAAGAAGACGCCGAGTTGTTGCAGGATGAAGAACACCAAGACGACGAAGATCAGCAGCACACTATATTGACAGAATCGCCTTCATACGTTCAAGGCGGGAAGTTGAGAGAATACCAAATCCAAGGGTTGAACTGGTTGATCTCCCTTTATGAAAATAGACTAAGCGGGATCCTTGCTGATGAAATGGGGCTAGGGAAGACATTACAGACCATTTCCTTTTTGGGTTACTTGAGATACATAAAACATATTGATGGACCTTTTATTGTCATTGTCCCGAAATCCACCTTGGATAATTGGAGACGAGAATTCGCCAAATGGACTCCTGACGTGAATGTTGTGGTTTTACAAGGAAACAAAGAAGTTAGAACAGAAATCATACAAGATAGATTGCTTGCTTGTGACTTTGATGTATTGATTACATCTTACGAAATGGTAATCAGGGAGAAATCCCAATTAAAGAAATTCAAATGGGAATATATTGTGGTTGACGAAGCCCACAGAATTAAGAACGAAGAGAGTTCCCTTTCGCAAATCATTCGACTTTTCTATTCCAGGAATCGTCTCCTCATCACCGGTACACCATTACAAAACAACTTGCATGAACTTTGGGCCCTTTTGAACTTCCTTTTGCCTGATGTGTTTGGAGATTCGGAACAATTTGACGATTATTTCGACCAACAAAAAGATTTAGACCAGGATGAAAAAGAGCGTAAACAAGACCAAGCAGTTCAAGATTTGCACCAGTTATTAAGCCCCTTCTTACTTCGTCGTGTTAAATCAGACGTGGAAACTTCATTATTACCTAAAATTGAAACTAATGTCTACATTGGCATGTCTGAGATGCAAGTTGACTGGTATAGAAAATTGTTGGAAAAAGATATTGATGCTGTTAATGGAGTTGTCGGAAAACGTGAAGGTAAAACTCGACTTTTGAACATTGTTATGCAATTGAGAAAATGCTGTAATCATCCTTATTTGTTTGATGGTGCTGAGCCAGGACCTCCTTATACTACTGATGAACATTTAGTTAACAATTCTGGGAAGATGATCATTCTTGACAAGATGTTGAAAAAGTTTCAAGCTGAAGGAAGCCGAGTATTGATTTTCTCGCAAATGTCGAGATTGCTTGACATTTTGGAGGATTATTGTATATTCCGAGAATACCAATACTGTCGGATTGACGGATCAACATCACACGAAGATAGGATTGATGCTATTGACAATTATAACATGCCCGATTCTGAAAAGTTTATCTTTTTACTTACCACAAGAGCCGGTGGATTAGGTATCAATTTAACCAGTGCTGACATTGTCATTTTGTATGATTCTGATTGGAATCCGCAGGCTGATTTACAAGCCATGGATCGTGCCCATAGAATCGGACAAAAGAAGCAAGTTAAAGTTTATAGATTTGTTACTGAAAACGCCATTGAAGAAAAGGTTTTAGAGCGTGCTGCTCAGAAATTGAGATTGGACCAGTTGGTTATTCAACAAGGTAGGAATCTTAATAACAACGCTAATGTTGGTAGTACCAAGGATGATTTGATTGGTATGATTCAACATGGTGCTCGTGATGTTTTTGAAAACAAGAAAGGAGCGACCATGCTTGATGATGACATTGATGCAATTTTACAAAAGGGGATGGAAAAAACAGCAAATCTTAATGCCAAATTTAATAAGCTTGGTTTAGAGGATTTGCAAAATTTCACTTCGGATTCGTCAGCTTATGAATGGAATGGTCATAATTTCGCCAAGAGAGACAATAATGGTGGATTGGGATTCACTTGGATTAATCCATCTAAACGTGAGCGTAAGGAACAAACTTATTCTATTGATAATTACTATAAGGACGTGTTAAAGAATCCACCTTCCTCGAAAGGTTCATCCAAGCAGAGTCTGGCAAAACCTAGAGCTCCAAAATCGTATAATGTACATGATCATCAATTCTTCCCTGAAGGACTCGAAGAATTACTTGAGAAAGAACAATTGGCATACAAGAAGGAAATCAAGTTCAAATATACCCTAGATGATTTTGGTGATTCTGATGAGGAATTTCTTGCCGAAGAGTATCGTGATGAATTATCCCGTGATGAAAAGCGAGAACGCGAGCAACAAAAGGTGAATTCCGCCAAACCGTTAACTCCAGAAGAAGTTGAATTAAAGGATAAGCTTCTTCTGGAAAGTTTTCATACTTGGTCTCGGAGAGATTTCACCAATTTTATTCACGCATCTGCCAAGTACGGCCGTAATGAATATGACAAGATTTCTACTGCACTTGGAAACAAATCCAAAGAAGAAGTTGAACGATATGTCAAGGTATTCTGGGAAAAGTATAAGCAAATCGAAGGTTATGAGAAGTACATCTCCCAAATCGAAACCATGGAAAAGAAGCGCGAGAAACTAATCAATCAACAAAAACTCCTTGCTATCAAGATGGAAAATTTAGAAGATCCCTTGCAAGATTTGAAGATTCAATACCCTCCCAACAACTCGAAGCGAGTCTATTCCAAAACTGAAGATAAATTCTTACTATTCTGTGTTCACAAGTATGGATTATCCGCCGAAGGACTCTATGAGAAGATCAAACTGGACATTTCCGATAGCGATTTGTTTAAATTCGATTGGTATATCCAATCCAGAACTCCTCAAGAAATCGGTCGAAGAATAAGTACGTTATTACTAGCAATCTCACGAGAAATGGATGGACCATTACATACAAAACGTAAGAGGCAACAACCATCTAATGCTAGTTCAAGAGCTGGATCAGTGGAACCTCTAACCAATGGAACCATCAAGGACGAACCTCGCAAGAAGAAGAAAATTGAAGAAATAGTACAATAAGCATTTTATAGATACACAATAAAAAAAGAAATAATATACATAGTAATAGCAAATGTTCATTTTTTGGAACATGTAGTCTGTGCAAAATTGATTGCTTCTAATCAAGGATAAACTTTAATGCGGAAGGAGAAGTTGGGGGACTGTTTGAAGGAACGGGACTATGTTGAGGACTTTGCTGGGGTGTGACGGTAGCACTGACACTAACACTTGCGCTAACACTGTCACTAGCATTAGTGGTAGTTGATCCCAGTCTAACTATTGGAGTAACTGATCTTTCAAAGTCATTACTTAAATATTCAGGCAAAATATTGTCTTCCACGGTGGAAATATAATAAGGAACTTTATTAGCAGTCCAACTAACAGACATAACATCACTCATTTCGTGTTTTTCAACTCGGAAATAATCAAACACAGTGTCAAAAGTAGCTCTATATCTTGGACTAATGAAATTTCTCAAACTGATGATCTTCGTACCTGGACGTAAACCAACTAATAACCTACCAACTTGAGCATTCAACTCTCCATCAAATAAATAATTGTTGATGATCAATACATCACAATCAAGACACACATTGCGCACTGCTTCATTATTAACAAAACTTTGCAGCAAGGCGAAATCTAATTTCAAAGATGGCAATCCCAAGATGGCCAAGTGTTTTTGAATTAATCCAGTTTGCAAATTGGTTAATTTCGATGCATGTTCCATTAATTCACACCCACCACTTAAACAAGCTCCAAACTCTAATGCAGCTTGGAATGTAGTGTTACCCACTCCCGAACCCAAATCATAAAACTTTTGAGTTGGAAGTAACTTGACTTTTTCCAACACTTCACTGGTAAATGAAGGTAACAATTCCCCATAAACTTCAGCAGTGAATGCTTTGTAAGAACGTAATTTTCTCGAATCAGTAGAAACAATTCGGGAATACACACGTAAAAGAATTTGTTGGATTGTGAATCTCGACACGGTGGTTTTCTCTTGGAATCTCTTGAACAAAGTTTCTTCATAATTGTCCGGTTTTAAATCCTTGACTTCATCAGAAACATTGATTGGCACAACAGCATGGCCGGGTCCAACTTCAGCTCGCGGTTCATTCTTTTCATCCAAGGACAACTCTCTGAGTAGTTGGAATGATGGACTTACCGATTCAAGCATGATTTCTCCATAGAAAGTTTCTAATTTCAAGTCTTCATCATTGATCACGGTTTTGATCTCCTGACTAACCAAGTACAGTCTTGGGCCGGCATTAATGTCTTTGTTGTTGGATAAAATTTCTTCCACAGCATTGCTATTTGGTGAAAGTTTAAGCATCAAGGTATTCCATTTATCAATCACATTCATGAACTCACAAAAATCGTTTTCTTCCACGGAATTTTCCAATTTATGACAATAATCTTCAGTGATAATTTCTCGAAGGACATCAGAATGGGAAAAATATAATGAATAATGAATCATAAACAATTTGACAATTTCATAAATTGGATCCAACTCATTAGATTTTGGTTCGGCAAGAATAAACAGTTCACAATGTTGTGGATAAAGTAAAAACCTTACCTTGATTTCATTCAAAGGATTGATTTTACCTAGAGGACTTAAGAATGGTGGGAATGAAATTGGTAAATCGCGATATTGTTTGTTATGAGTAGCAACAATCTCTGCCGCTAAATTATCAACTAATAAAATATCATCATTTAAGTCAGTCATGACTTTCTTGGATGGAGTCATGTCATCACTAGTCACAGAATCTTCTGGAACATTAACAAAATTCAATTTTGGAACACTTGGTTTCTCATCATAAAAGCTTGGAACATAGAGTTGACGACCGTTCAAAGGAATTAACGTATCTGAATTAATATCAATTGGATCATATGGACTTATAAAATCTTCTTCCTCCTCTTCAGGTTCCAGGGTAGGATCATCGTCTTCTATTTCTTCTTCAATATACTCCTCCTTAACTTCCTTCTTTTTCTTTGGTTTTGGACCAGGCTTCTTACGTTGCTTACCCTTTTCCGTAAGTTTCTTCTTTTTTTGCTTTTCCCTTAATTCCTGTTTAAGTTTCTTCTTTTCTGCTTGTCTAGCAGTTGTTTTCAACCTAACAACTTTCTTTTTGATATGAAGTTCAGGAGTATAATGTTCAGCTTGTATTCTTCTTCTCTTTTGTCCTTCTTCGACTTTTTTCTTATCACCAGTCACAGATTGGAAATATTCAGAACTAGAAACAAGTGCTTTCAATCCATAATGCTTAGAATCTTCACTTCGAGGTTTTTGTGGAATTAATCCAGCAGCTTTCCTAGCTTGATATTCGAGCCTTTTTTGAAGAGCCTCTAACCTTTTACGTTCTCTTGACTCTTGGATTTTGAGTGCATGGACTTTTCTACGTTCAATATCTTCCGGAGTTAATTCAACTTTTACAGGTTTCACGACTATGGCTGATTGTCGTTGCATTTCTTCAAGATCTTCTTCTAACTTTCTCTTACGACTGGCTCTTCGAGATGTACTATCACCAGTCATCATCATAGCCCATCTTGCTTCATATACTAACCGTTCTTCTGGGGTGTTGAAATGGGTAACTCTAGTGGAAACAAAATCATACTCTTTATATCTGTCTCTGACGTATTCTTCATCTCTTATGGGGAAATCATCAAGACATTCCTCCACGGAAATCTTATTTTTGATATTTGCTTTTAATAATTCCTTTTCTCCAGAAGTAAATGGTATAGAATCATTTTCTTCTTTTATTAGTCGGATAATATCTCCAATAGGTCTATTAGTGAAGGTTTCTTCAAGACCACTTAATGTTAAATCATTATTAATACAAGTTTGCAAATACTCTCTTTCATCTTCAGTAAGTGGTCCATGCTTCAATTCCGATGATTCCACTTTCACCTTTGAAATCCTTTTACTCAACTCCTTTTTGACGGATTGCTGCTGCTGCTGCTGCTGCTGCTGCTGTTGTTTTGGTCGATCTATCTTGGTTTTGTTCTTTGCCCTGAGCGTTACACGTATTTTACAAGTGATTGAATGTTGTGTTCTTAACGGTAATTCATGGGTCAATTCCTCAACTGGTTTATCTAGGTTATTTGTGAGATATTCGGTTTCCTTGGGAGTGAAATACAAATAATCGGCAAATTTTTGAACTAAAACTTTGCATTCCTCTATAGTCATATTTGGTAATGCGTTGGATAACCCAGTTCTTGTTAGATCATATGTGTACATTGAATGAAGGAGTTCTAAATCACTTTTATCACATTTTTTGGCTGTAACGGAATTAACACAAGATGTATACCTAGGTATTAATTGGCCAAGTGAACTGTTGCAAGACAGCATTACTGTTTTGATTCCATGTTCGCTCATATCAGGATGGTAAAGGCAGATGTAAATTAATATCTTCCTTACCCATTCATGATGAATGTTGGATATTTCCAAAACTTTTCTGGCAGCTACTTGCCAATCAAACTGCAGGAATTTGAAAACAATATTGACAAATGGTATTGGTTGCTTTATCAATGCCAGCAACGTATCATCATGCAGATCTAACCACTCAGAATTAGAGGTTTTTCGTGATGTGCTGTCTAATTTATATTCGTCAGCCGAATGATCTGAAGTGTCCGGAGTTTGTGCCTCACTCTCATCTATAGCTAACATGATTTGTGTACAAAAAAAATTTTAGCCGTGTGATCCAGCTCTTGTAGTGATGGATGGATTGTTTCTTCGTTAATCAAACAGAAGATAGGTAAGAAGGTTGAGGTATACTAATGTGGAAACTTTCAGACTAAAAACAAAGGAGAAAAAAAAATTAGTAAAGGTTTGTTTATGTGTTGCCGATTTTTGTACGTAAATTTCCACCTTTGCTGCTGCTGATTTTGTTGTTGATGGGGGAACGCTCGCAACTCACAAAGTGAAAAGACAAAGTTTTTTTTTTCTGCGCCTATTGTGTTTGCCCTGCATGATTTCGGAGAAATTTTACGCGTCACTGTGTTTTGATTTTTAGCAAGAACTTGCTACCAGTTGCAACATACGAAAGTGTACCTTTTCGATATTTGCGTAGAGGTTGGTCAACAGGTGGTCTTTTGTTGTTTCACGGAGCAACGTGTGGATGATTTGTGAGAATGGCAGTAAAACCCATTGCTCATTTAAATACGAATAATTGCAAGGTTTCACCCCCCTCCCCCCCCTCCTCCTCGTCAAACTCTAGCTAACTAAATTATTTGGTCCTCGGGCTCGATCTAACTAAAGAAACCTAATCTGATGATATCGCCAAGAACTCAGATCAATCGTTTATTAGCTCATTCGACTTGCCGAGGCATTTGTGGTTATCGAGATCACGCAACTGGTATGTCACGTGCAAGATCGGTGGCTTTTTATTGACGTTTTGGTGACGTTTAAGTCCTCTCACTTTCGTGATCGTCCTGCATGGCACCATTATTTTTCATGATAAGATTTCATTTCCGACCGGTCTACTAACGCTGCTGACTGGTTAACCGCAATCGATATTTCTCGTATTTCCTTAAAACCTTCAATTAGCACCCTATATTGTGTATTTGAACTGAGAGCGTGGTCTTATAGCTTTTCTATTGTGTTGAATTAGATTGTATTAGCGATAAGTTGAAGAATTATCTAAATACATGAAATTGTTGTAATTCTCCTACCAAAAAGGAATCCAAAAGCCCTCTTTTCGTATAAATAACCAAATTAAATATTTTCACCCACAGATGTGCTTTGTGTGACAGCATCTTCAATTCAGCCATATCATATCATTGCTATTTATTAACTCAAAAAATAGAACTTCTAAATAGTACTTGAGGCATGTTTATGCGAAAGTGTTGCCAAGAAAATTTTTAAAGAACATATTTTTAGATTTAACAGTCAGGGGAACCCCACGTATTGTAGTCAATACTTTAGTAACTCAATAACATTGTCTCGTGTTTCACTTGACCGGAAACTTGAATGATTGTTTTTTTTTTTGTAGCTAGTGATTCCCAAGGATTACTTAACATAATTAGATTAGTTTGTTTCTTGATTTCAATTCTCAAAAATTTCCCTTTCCCAACATAAAGTCATCACAATGCAATTATTAAGTACAATTATTATTTGTTTGCTTGCACAAACAGTTGCAACCGAAGAAACACTCGAAGTTAGTGCCACATCCACTATAGAAACCAGTACTATTTCAGAACCAGTTGTTGTTGAATCTGATGGCGTATTGAACCTTCTAAACATGGAGGAGCTTAATGCTTCTAATTTCCATGTTGATAACTCTGGCCAATTCTTGTTTAAAAGCAATGTCAGGTCAGAAGTGGACATCGGGTACTTGAACAATAGTGGATATATTTTACTTGATACCATAGAAGCAGATCGAGCTTACCTACATTTGGGGAACAATACCGAGAATAACGGAGAATTGGTTGTTTATGGTCAACATTTAAATGTCCACATGGATCTGGTCGAGAACCTGGGATCAATTACTGTCTGGGGATATGCAGGTGAGGTGACTATGGAACAATTTACCAACAAGAAAGATGTATGCTTTCACGAACAGTTGGTGGAATTGAAACAATCGAAGGGAGCCGGTTGTTTTGCTGTTTCCAATTCTAGTGTGTACATCTCTAACCCAGATGAGTTTCACCCAACAATAGTTCTAGAAGACTCGCAAAATCATGTTTACCTAGAAGAAATTTCCGAAGATTTAGTTATCAATCTTGTTAATTTTCAGAATGTGGTACGTGTAACTGCTCCAAATGATGGATACGAAAACTTCCTGTATACAAATGGCAGCTTGATTCTTGCCTATGAAGATTTCAGAATCACGTTAGAGATTGGTCTGGGGTACGACTCAGAGCGAATCTCAGTGGAAAATGACGATTCAGGGGTCCTTGTAAGCTATGATGGTTCTGCTCCTTCCAAGACATCCCATGAAACAGAATGCGGTTGCGCTTTGGAAACTGATCCACCTGTTAAGGAGGCTGAATCAAGCACAGTTGAGGCTGAGGACGAAAGTTCTTCTACCAACGACGATGACAACGGAAAAGGAAATGGTAATCAAAATTCGAGAAATTCCTCTGCATCTGTTTTAACACCTATTTATCTTGTGGGTTTGTCTTTTGTAGTGTCTTTAATGATTATGTTGTGATTCATGATAACACCATTCAACGTGGATTACCAAAGGGCAAAGACTGTGATAGCTCTACTATCAAATGTATGTAACATATTGTTTGACATAATTTATTATTCATAATTGAAAACATTGACTGTGATTTTTGCTGGTTTATTCGTGGCAGCTAAGCTGTTTAATAAGTTCTCTCTATTCTCTTTTAGATTCACAGACTCCAATTATTTCACTCAACTAATGACAAAAACAAAACACTCTTGAAATGATAAGCTGTATACTTTAATAGTTCTGATATTGACCTTATGGGGGTATATAGCAATTACTCATTAGTCTTGCTCTCTCTTTCAGTTTTCCTCAATCTACTATTGATCAAGGTAGAAATTACATTATTTATCCTATCAAGTCAATATTGGTTTTGTTCCCAGACTGGAAATATCCAATACATGAACAAGGTCAACTTGTAAGATTCTTTCTTGAGCCTCTGAATAAACTTTAAAATGCAAGGAAATAAGATTTAATTAACATAAGTTGAAGCATCGGAAACATAAAACAAAATGAAATTTACTTACGGTTTATTATTTTAGTTTAGATGTTCAGAGAATTTAATCCAATTAAATGAAGACATTCAAATAGGAATTTGCACCAATAAAATACCACGTACATTATTGTTACAGGGATTAATTTCAGGTGGTACGTAAAACATAATTCGTATATGCAGCCAACCAAAAAAATAAAACACTTGCAACCATATTTTTTTACCTTGCACATTATGATCGAGTTAACGTAAGTGGAAGTCAGCGTAACTGATTCACAGCACATATTCTAAAAATACACAAATACATGATCAAGACTTTATCCTAATTTTCGTTTTAAAACGGATGGAGAAATGGCATCCATTATAAATAGAGGATTTTTAGTTCAATCACAAGCCTTGCAAAAGCCTCACTCGCAAAACCGTAAAATATCGCAACAATGAAATTACTAGTCTCGGTTATTGCTTATTTGATTGCCATGGCACACGCTGTCAAAGTTAACACAACATCTTCGGCTACGACCTCTCAGATTTCAAAATCAATTAGTGTTAAATCTCGTGAAACATTGTCGATTAATACTAATGAGCTTCTTGTTAAGTCTTTGAATGTCAATAATTCCGGTGAATTCCTTCTTAACTTGGAACCTCCAGGAAAAATGGCCATTGAATCAGTGATTAATAATGGGTTTATTCTCATTGATACACGGCAAGTAGATCAGATAGACCTACCATTTCGGAAAGTTATTATGGATAACTATGGCGAGAAGGATAAATTAGTTATTTATGGAAAAGACGTGAACGTAAAGATAGACGAGGTAGATATTATTGATGATAATTCCATGATCTTCTGGGGGGATTCCGGAAATGTTTTTTTAAAGAAGGGCTACATTAGGGGAAATACTTGCTTTCACCTGCAATTAGCTATTCTTGATTATGTGAAATTGCGTGGATGCACGGCGCTTAGAAACTCCACAGTTTACATTAACAATACATCAGAAGATTTCCTCAATTTAGTTTTTGAGGGCCTGAACAACGGGGTGTGGATAAACACTACGAACGTCACTCAAATTGATTTAGCTAATTTTGGAAATGGAAACTATGTTGCCGTTCCAGATGATAGTTATGATAGATTTGGTTACATAGCCGGTGAAATAATGCTTTTTTTCAAAAATTACTATATTACGTTGAATATTGGCTACGATTACAACCTAGGCGATATTAATGTAACAAAAGACCTGCTGATGGTATATGTCAGGTATAATAAAGCTCCGCCTATTAGAGGAGCAAACGACCCATATTGTTCCTGTGTTTTACATACTAAGGAGGGCATTGAAGGAGTGGCGACGGAATCAATTGAAAAGGAAACTAGCGAGGTAGAGGAAAGTGCATTTGCTGAGACAGACGACAGCGATGACACTAGTTCTACAAATGTTTCTTCGGGTGTTTTCATGCCAATATATGCTTTATTGCAAAGTTTGATATTATTATTGATATATATCTGATAAAAAGTTTTACGGAACTAAGAACTAGTTAATTTTATAATATTACAGATCTTTGAAAGAAATTAATATTTTGTAAACGTAAATGCGAGGACCGTATCTACAATTACCAAGAAAAAAATAATGTAGATGCTAATTTTAAATAGTTTCCTTTAATATCATATAAATTGAAAGAGGTTTTCGTAGTTGAGAATTATGAAAACTACCCCCCAATCCTGAATTTCATCTGCAATTGAAACGAGATATACAGCATTTAAATATTTAAAACCCAAGAATGATCGAAAACATAAAAAAATAGGGCGATAGGTAATATAATACTGTGTCTTGATTTCAAATTTCACTACTATTGGATACCTTTCATAGTAGAACCTAACATTCACCTGAAAAATGACAACCCTCGCAACATTTATTGTGTGTTTGTTTGTGCAAGCAATTGCAACTCAAGCTGCTACACCTATTAGTATTGAAATACAAGTTACTGGAACTGATACCATGGAAACTAGGAATCTTTCGGCACTGGTTGATGTTGAATCTGGTGGCATATTGACTCTTTTGAATGTGGCTAACCTAGATATTTTTGATTTTATTGTCAAAGACTTGGGTCAATTTTTCTATAAAACCAACATTGAACCGGCAGTGAAGATTCAGAATTTAAATAATAGCGGATATATTTTGTTTGACACACTGGATGTGGAACTGGGTTCTATAAAAGCTTGGAGCGACAATCGTAATGATGGCGAATTAGTTATTTATGGTCAATCTTTAAATGTGCGTATGGGTCTGATTGAAAATACAGGGTCCATCACTTTCTGGGGCCAGGAAGGATCGGTGTATTTGGATAGTGTCGTCAACAACACAAAAGATATGTGCTTCCACGAGCAGGTAGTAAAATTAAGTTGGCCAACAGGAGCTGGTTGTTATGCTTTTTTGAATTCCACTGTGATTATATCGAGATCACCCGAGTATTTTTCCCCAACGTTTGTTCTAGAAGGCTCAAATAATCATATTTACCTAGAATCCACTTTTAATGATTTAACTATACATATTGTCAATTTTGAAAACGTGAAATATATCACTATTCACGATACATATAGAACTTTCCTGTATTCAAATGGCAGCTTAATTTTAGACTTTTTAGGTAAAAACCTTACATTAGATATCGGATCTGGTTACGATAAAAAAGGAATTACTGTGGAGAAAGATACAGACAAGCGCAACACGCACATAAGTTACAATGGGACTACTCCTTCTAATGGAACCAAACGTGCAGAGTGCGCTTGTTCCTTTGTTCCACCGGTTAAAGAAGCAACGTCTCCTACTCCTGTGTCTGAAGCTGAGAGTACTTCAAGCAATAATGACGATAAGGGGGAAGGAAACCAAAACTCGAAAAATTCCTCATTGACTACGGCAATGCCAATCTATTTTTGTCTTTTATCTTTAGCAATATCGTATATGATTATGTGATTACTGAAAAAGAAACCCCCAGTGATATAGAATTGCTCAAGGACCAAGACTTTGGTGTAGTACAACAAATTGGCATTTGTAGGTCTAATACTAAAAGCATTATATATTGTAACGAATGAAAATACCGAAAACAAAATCAGATTTCTTTGTGAAGTAATACACGTTGTTTCTTGTAGATCTCTCTGATTTCTTCTTATTTTTATCCTTGATGTTTTGCCCCTACTTCCCTTAGATTAGAGAATACAAAGCAAGAGCTTTTCAAACAACTTTGAGTATCATTTGGGAGCAAGTAATATATCATTTAGTAATCCATACAAGTTCAAATTTCCAGCTTGCAAAAAGAAAAAGAATGTAGATTTACTTGAAAGAATTGAAATTGGGAAAATTCCTATCCAGAAATGTCATTATCGACTTCTAGTTTTGTTTCTATTTTGCTTATTTTATTGTTATTTATGTGATTTTGGTATCATATTATGTCTTTTACTAGTCCCTTCCTCTACCAATTGTTTTATTATTGTATACATATTTTTATCAGGAATGCAAGTAAAATTTTCACTCAGGCGATATTGCAAAAAAAAATTATGAATTTGGGGTACTATTGCAATGTCAGTCCCTTTTATCAGTTCTCCTCTCCTGATCAATAGTATAGCAGCTCCTAAAAAGAGGTATTTTTTTTTCAACGTAAATGATGTTTGAACGCCTGCAAATAGCCAAGAAAAAAAAATTGTTGCAAAAATACTTTTTATTTGCTCGTAAGTAAATGTCAAAACGGGAATTCTAGATTAGATCACACTTGTATATTGCTGACAACTACAAGGTAGTACTGGCAACAATAGGAGAAATTTCACTTAGGTTAAAATATTGCTCTTTAGTCCGTAACAGAAAGTGGAGCAAAAAGCATATTCAGGATCTCCGTAAATTTGCCAAGTATAAATACCTCCATTGTTTTCATGCATCTTTCAATATCTCGTCTATGTAATTTGCAACAATAGTGAAAATGAAATTATTAGCTAGTTTATTCTTGTTTCTTACCAGTGTGATTGCACTCGATGTGAGCTCTACGACAACTATAACCAGTGCGCTGGTGTTAGGGGAACTGTATCTTATTGAATCAACTGGGGTATTAGAACTTTTGAATTCGATCCAACTTTATCTTACTTCCTTAACAGTTAGATCATTGGGACAGTTCTTTTTTCTAGCTGACAGTTTGACCAATATAGATATCCAAACCATGGACAACAGTGGCTACGTATTGTTTGATTTACCAGATTCTACTTATCTTCCATTTAGGAGTAACAGTCGAAATAGTGGTGAATTTGTGGTGAACACTGGTCATTCAATTGTTGATTTTACTGATCTTGATAACACTGGGTCTTTGACTCTTTGGGCAACTTTTTATACTGGGCCCATTGCATTTTTTCATGGACTTGTTAATACAGGAAATATTTGCTTGCACGAATTTGTGCTGAATATTGAAAATGCATCTGGGAAAGGATGCTATGCTCTTTCGCAATCAACGGTTTATATTCAATCTGCTGCTTCGGATTTTGAACCTACTGTTGTTTTTGAAGATCCGAGTAATGGGTTTTATATAGTAAATACCCCTCAAGTTTTGCGGTTGAAATTAATTAACTTTGGGAATGGAAACTTTATTGGTTTTCCAAATCAAGGTTATATTACCATGAACTACTTTAGTGGTAGTGGATACTTGGTAGTTTATATTGCGATTTACGAAATCTATGTGAATATAGGTTTTGGGTATGATTTAGGACTATTTATTGCTAGTTCCAATTCTGAGCAGGTGAGAATAAAATACGATGGCTCTGTTCCAAGCGGAGCGAATCAGGGTGGTTGTTCATGTTCTCTAAATATTAGAACTCCACCTGCACCGGAATCAACTATTGAGCTAGAAACTTCAAGTGAAGTGTCAACTTCATCCAGCATTGAAATTACTTCCAGCTCAGTGGTGACTTCAACTTCAAGCTCAGTAGCAGGTTCTACTTACCGTCTGAGCACTAAATCTCATTCATCCAGTAAGAGCTGCCCAACCCCCAAACCAACCAATGGGCATGGAAACAATGGAAATGGTCATGATAATAATCATGGAAATGGTCATGATAATAATCATGGAAATAACAGCAACGGAAACAACCATGGTAACGATAACCATAATGGTAATGGAAACTCAAATAATCATGATAATCACGACAATGGTCATGGAAAGGAACATAATGATGGTCATACTAATGGAAACGGAAACAATAACCACAACGACAATCATGGAAATGGTAATAGCAACAACAATAACAACAATCACGGCAACAGCAAAGGAAAATCAAATAACAATAATGGAAATGGTAAAGGTAACGATAAAGGCGGTGGTAATGGTAAAGGACATAAACGTCGAGACGTTCTCGATAATTCGGCCTGCTCAACTCACAAATCCATGTTGGTATTGGCTTCTCTAGTCTTTTTAGCTATTGTTTGAATTAGTCAATGGCCAGATACTAGTGATACTGATCGATTTTTGTTTACTTTGTATACTTCATTGTAAAGAAGTTAATCTATGTAGCTTATGTTTATTATTCAAATCAAATCTTTCAATTTAAATCCCCTTGGTTGCAAAAGAATTTGGTTAAAAATTCTACATTTAATTTCTATAACTCATATTTTATTAATGCTAGCTGTATATATATATCCTAAAGTTTACTAGACTTCAATCCCTTAAGTCTAAACTTCAACTCCTTCAAAACTTTACTATCTGGTTTCCACAAATCAAACAATTCATCCAATAATTTAATCTCCTCTATACCATTCTGGTAGTTCCGTTCGATATTGAATAACAAACTACGTAAACACCATGGAAGTATGAATGGATTAGTCCCAATTTTAGAAATATTAAATTGTTTCACAAATACTCGATTGACTTCTGGTAGACCCATTAATTCTGGTTGTTCTTGTATTGGTGGAATGATTATATCATCAGTGTCAAGAATAAACTTCACACCCAAATCATATACCTTACCATCATTGTAGATTTTGGAATGTCCACCACCAGTTAAATTTCCGACTAATGAGATACTCAATTCTTTTAATACATTACAATCGAAATACCCTCTATTCATCAATTCACAGCAAATACTAACCAACTTCAGAATAAACTCGGGGGTATTGGTTGTATAATCGATATAACAAGCTCGGTAGATATTAGGATGGAAAATGTGCGAAGCCAATGCTGAATATAACGGAACCAATTGATCATTTATACTTCCAATAAAGCAAATTTTGACATTGTAATTGATTACAGTTTGAATAGACTTGGTATATACTAACGATTGCTTACTTCCAAATTTTGTGAATTCAAATAATTCAAGTAGGGAATCATGTTCAATTGTAGAATATGCCTTCATGAATAATGATTGGTCAGTTCCATAGAATGGACCATTATTGATACCAGCCATACCTAAGATACCAATACGTTTATGGATTGCATCAAGTAATATTCCTTCACTTATCAACCTAGCAAGAAGTATCACAGATACTACACATCCTTGAGAATGGGAAGCAAAGAATATAAAATCAGCATTGTTAAGTTCCGTCTTCCATTTAGTTAATATTTCAGTAAAGAAATCAACACGTTCAAAAATCTTTCCATCTTTCTCCAAAGCAATCTTTTGAATGGATACACTTGATTCGGTTTCAGTAATCAAATTATTTTCAATGCAATATCTAATAATAGCTTTCTCTGATTCATTGGCAAATTTCAAGGATGTTCCCTTTGGTGCACCAATAATAGGTCTAATCATTTTAGTGGGAAAGAAGCCATGCACACCAATAATAAGTATATTCTTGATTTTCTTTAAATGAGTAGGTTTACTGGTGATGATTTGTGTTTTATTGGTATCATCATTAATGAGTAGATTTCCCAGTGAATCATTATCAATAGTGATTGAATTAGGATCAGTTGCATCTTCTTCTACTTGAGTCTGTTGGTCGAAATGATATTCTGTTTGGTAGTACTTGTTATAATTTGGCAAACAGCCTTGTTTTTCGTGAGGAAGTATTCCAAGTGATTTCCCATATAACTTGTACTCTTGATCTGACTTTTCATTCTTGCTGAATCCAATCTTGTTATATAATTGATGCAAGAATCCTTTCCAATCAGAACTCTGTAAAGGATTAGCCGTTGTGCTGCTGTTAAACAAACCAGTTGTATGCGAATTAGGCAAGCACTTGTTCCAGTCAGGAACAATCAAATTCTCTTTCAAGTTCTCATTCTTATGGGTATTGATTTGGTTAAATTGGGTGGTTTTATCGTGAGGTTTATACAACACGGCATCATCAGGAGTAACCTCTCCATTTTTAGTAAGTGCTGAGTGGTTAGATTTCACCACCGTGTTGGAAAGATGTGTGGGTTTGGGTTCCGTTGGTTGAGTTGAGCTATTCCAGAATGCCCAACTTTTACTTCGTTTCATTACTGTATCGTCCATTTCATCGTTGTTATCTTGAATCACCTCATTCACATCTTGATTGTTGACTATTTGGTCATCAGGCAAAGGTTGATGTTGTTGTCCTTTCCATCCTAACCAGTTACCAGAAGTTAAGGATGCGAGGGATGTAGTGGATGACTTGTGTTTTAGGGTCTGTCTTGCTTTAGGTGGTGGTGGTGGTGGTGGTGGTGGTGGTGGCGATCGTGTTGGAGCTGGAGCTGGAGCTGGAGGTGGTGGCGGTGGCGGCAGTCTTGAAGTGGTGGATAGCTTTCGTTTAGTGCGGAGGGTATTAGTAGTAGGTATTGGTGGAGGTGATTTAGATATTGGTTCTGCTTTGGGTGGTGAATCTGCTCTTGAAGCAGGTTCGCTGGCAGTGTTGTTGTTCCAAAGAGGTAGCCAACTTGATTTTGGTTGTGACATTGTAACTTACCTCTTACTTTAGTAGTTGATCAATTTTTATTAGGGTATTTCAACACAACTATTCACTGAAGGTAGCTATAACAGTAAGGATTGTTCAAGCAAGGTATATGCCAAGGAGATAGTACAAATGAATCATATAAATTAGTGTTGCCATTTTCTTGTACGTAAAACTTCCCAAATAGGAAAGCATGTGATAACAAGAAAAACAGAATCCGAATCTAAAAAAATTGTGTTGTCTATTGTTTACTTTCTATACTAAACTTCTATATTGTTGTAAAATCTCCTCGGTTACCCCAGACCCACCACATGCAATAACCACAACAATATCATCGGACTTAACATCAAACGATTTAAGTAAATCTTGTCTTTTGAAAGCTACCGAAACTGATGCACCACATGCTGGTTCAACCATGAGCCCAAAGAGATCGTACATGTCAAGGACACCTTGTACTGCATCTAAGTCTTCTATCTCAACCACATGGGTTTTATGAGATGAATGATTCTCCAATGATTTTTCAGAAAGGTATGGTGATGCAAGTGAAGTAGCTAATGTGTTCACTTGGGATAAATGAACGACTTTACCTTGCTTGATAGCTTCATTGAAAGTTGGTGCTTGTTTTGTTTCAATAGCAAGAATAGGAACTTTGCAGAGGGCAGGGTTTCTCTTTAATCCTTCAACTACACCATTATAAAGGCCACCACCACCAACACTACAAACAACTCCTTTAACTTTAGCGAGGTCCTCTGCGGAAAGCTGTTCTGTTAATTCATCAATGAAATTTCCATGACCCTGCCATAACAATGCATTATCGAAAGGATGACAATAAACAGGATATTCTGAGTCATCCAATCCAGCAACAAGTTCCTTCAAGTATGAATCAGCTTCACCCCAGTGTTTACCATGGATGATAACCTCTGCGCCAAAAGATTGCAACTTAGCAATAACATTAGCCTTGGAAGTATCCGGAAGAACTACAGTACATGGTAATCCATAGTACTTTGCCGAGTAAGCAGCTGCCAACCCAGCATTACCACCAGAACTGGAAAACACCCTGACGTTACTCTTTCCTTGGGCTTTAGCTTGGGAGATTGATTCGTGGATTAAATGTCCCATTCCTCTAAGTTTAAAACTTCCCGATGGCTGTTCATATTCATTCTTGAAGAATATTCTACAAGGTGGATCTTGTAGTTTATCAGTAACTTCAACTAATGTAGTTTTTATGGATGGTTGTTCAGACATAGTCATGGAGCTTATCTCTATACTTGTTTGATTTCTTTTTTATTAAAAAAAAATTAGCATTGAAAAATTGGTGTCGCGTTGGTAGTTTTCTTATCCGATTAGTAATACAATCATATGCCTCCACGAAAGACCAAGTCAAATTTAGATATATTTGAGAAAATAAATGCTGATACCGAAGATGAGATATTAGACGAGTATTCAGAGTTATTAGGTGACGATGACGACCTTCATTTGAAGGAATTACCTGAATTACTACAAAACCTAAGGATTCCAGCTATATTTACCGATGATATTGTTGAGTCAGTAGAATATTATTACAATTTCATACGAAATAGAGATGTTCTGATAGACCCATCAAATATTAAACAGAGTATGTCTTTTCAATTGATCAAGGCTTACACTATTACCAATGCCATACGCGCCCCATCAGATATAATAGACATTATAGATATAGACAAGCTCCTATTCAATGTGAATCGACTAGTCAAATTCAGAAATAACTACAAACACATTCGAGAAAGTTGGAGGTTGTTTGTTTCTGATAGTTCCAATATTGAACATTACAAACTTGCACTTCCTGATCTTAAACAGGTCAAGAGCAACTTGAACTTGGATAATGATCCTGAGACTAGGAAACCAATTAGTGAACTGTTCTTGATTGATATGTTGGGGTGTTGTTCTCATGATTCTAATGGTAATCTACTTAATTATATGACTAAAGAAGGGGCGTGTGTTACTATTAAAGACTTTGCAGAAATTTTGGGAAACTTAGGTGAATTGGACTAGCTTTCGATATTAGACTCTATCTATAAAAATCTGTTTGATACATTGGAATGGTTAGCTTGGTACAAACGGATTATTATGAATTTCAATTCTTTCTATCCATGCTTTATTCTTCCATTTCCCAACTGGTTTACTGGAAGGATGATCAACAACTTCAATGACCAGTTCTATTTGCTCAATTGCATGCCAACCGTCAATTATTTCACCAATGGCAGTATAGTTCCCTTGATCGAGTTGATCCGCATATTTAGTATCTAATAATATAAAAAATTGTGATCCAATGTTATCCTCATTATTTATAGTAAACAAGGTACCTCTCTTGACCTCTTTTTTACCGATTACTTCCTGATTAATTGCTGCATCAAGGGGATGTTCAGAATCTGCCTCTATTGAATACTTACTTCGATTATTCGGAGATCCTGTTTGTAATATAAACTCAGGAACAAATCTTAATATCCTGTTGTTTTCATATGAGCCTTTGGCGACATGTCGCATAAAATTCTCTAGTATATGACTATGTTGTTTTGTTATATATAATTCAACTTTAAAATTTCCTGTAGTTGTATAGAACTGATACTGTTAGTATTATCTCATATGTGTGGTACTGTTGTTACTTACAGTTAGTGACATTCTTTAGCTTTTCAGATAAGTATTTAATTTTAATTTTTATTTTTTTTTTGGCAGATCAAAATATATCCAGATCGATAAACACCAAACTAATGCCTATTCCACTAGAAACGATACATGTTAATCAAAGTAAATTCATAGATAAGTTGATACTTGATGATACAGACAAGGACTTAACCAACACTAAACAATTTGATGAACTTTTAACTCATTTGGAACTGACTTTGAGTCAGTTATTAACACCTTCTGTAGATATCATTAGAATACTATTTACATTGGCATCAAGAACTAACGAAGATACCTCCCTTAGAGACCGTGCTGTGTTTATACTAAACAAATACATTGAATCTGATAATGAGCCACTATATTCCAATCTTATTGAATTCATTGAAGATTTTGCTGAACTGCAATATGTCGTCAAACAAACTGTTAAATCACCAAAGAAGAAAATAAATACTACTGACGGGAGAACTGGTGATATAATGAACATGATTGAAACATCTCCAAGAAAGAAACAAAAACAGCCTATCATAGGTGAAGTCAGTGACTCAGAGGAAGAACTGCCAATATTGGCCAATACTCAAGACGAGATTGACAGTATGAGAGAAGAAGTTAGTAAGTTTACAAGTTTGGATACTACCAATAGTTTAGAAATGGAACATCCAGAAATTAACAACCTTCTGACATTTCTCAATCGAGTTAACGGGACCGTTTTGAAGAAGGAAGAAATCAAACTGATAAGTCATGATAAATGGGATAGAATAAAAGTATTTGGCGATGTAATCCTCAGCAAACGACTCCACCCAAAGAAGAACTTCACAATATGGAATTTAATCAACTGGACATTTTACTGTTGTGGAAAGAGTTCTAATTCGTATTCAAATTACCATGCAATATACACCACCCATAGTAATGTCCTCCAGTTAATATTCACCCTCGTTGAAATTGATCTTGTTCAGAAAGGTGATTTACTCCAAAGACTAATTACTCAATTGGCCCATTTTAAAGCGAGTTGGTACGATCGACTAATCGAATTTGTTTTCAATGGATTGTCTCATAGAGATTCGCCTATCCCAAAGTCATGCTACCTGTATGAAAAGGATTTACTTCAAAAGAGCGAACCAGCACTAACTCAAAATAAGCAAGATAACTTACATTCCTTAAATCTTCGTTTTAAAATAGTCAATATGGTCTATTACTGGTCCTTTCTTAAGAATGAGGATGATTCAAGTAGCACATCCATGTCTCAACTATTGAAGCAGCTAACACAAAAATTATTGACTATGGACTATAACTACTTGATTGAATTTTACTATAGCATACATTCCGAAAGCCACATCGAGCTTATGTATAGGAAAAGCTTTTTGGTTACTCTTTCACAGTATTTTCTAACTGAAATAACTGGGGTTCCCCAATTTGACTTTAGACTTACAAGTGAGCAAGATGAAAATTTGCAATTAGTATTAAAATGGATGGGAACAAGTAACATTTACTTGCTGATTACGGAGGATGAAACGTTTGTTTCGTTCAACAGTTTTCTACAAACCTGGCTCAAGTTCAACTTTGTCTTGAGTTGGTTGTTTACCCAAGTGGTTAACGATTTAGACGACAAGGACAGTATTGAAGTAGATACAATATTTGATATATGTGAAAAGGCCGATGTGCTTAGAACAGGTGTATTTGAAGAGTATGTTGATCAATGCAATGATCCATTGGAGAAATTTTCAATAACTACAGAACAAGCAGAAAAATATAAACAAGAAGTTTATTTTGAAAGCTATGTTGATATATTAAAAAACACATGGTAAGGTATATATAAATTGCAAACTTAGATGATATGCTTGACCTTGAAATAGTGTCTTAAATATTGAATTTGCCAAACACCCAATCCAATAAGGGCTAAAATAACAGTGATGGAAAACCATTTAACTCTAGAGTTGGTAGATTCATTAGTATCTCTCATTCTTTCTTCTCTGGCCTTCAAGTATTGTAATTCCTCGACAATTTCACTAGTCAATCCTTCAATCTTTCTCAATTCAAGTTCAATAGGCTTCAACTTTTCACTGGCTTGCAAAGCATTCCAATCTCTAGCAGCAGCACCAATTTCAATATCCAATTCGACGTTTCTAATAAACAGAATTTTGGAGTTTCTACCCCATTTCTTTTCTTGGTGGTTAGTGAAACAAATGTCAAAAGCAGCATTGTCATGAGATGTGAATGCAATCTTGACTTCACCGAGTATATCCCTCTTGTTTCTGTATTCGTTGCCGACCAGATCAGTTACTTTCAAATCCAATCTTTGTCCATCACCTTTATTACCGTCGGTTTTCAAGTTTATAACCACCATTTGATCCTTTTGTACAAAGTCACGGATACACACTGGAGATGGGTTAGGCGATGATGGGATCTCCATGTGCAATGCATTGATGAGCATGCAAAGGAATGATATTATGAGTATCGATAATGATTTCATGTTGCTTGTTATGTCGGCAAGAGTAAACTGTGTTTTTTCAAGTTTCATTTTTTTTTCCACCACGACCACACCAGTTGCTTCGTGTCCAAATTTTGTACGCGCGTGAGTTTTTCAAAAAGAATGAAGAGAAATTATGCCGTGGAACTCCAAATTAGGAAGTTGACGAGAAATTAGCAACCATAATATAAACCAGGAACTATAGGATTAAGACTTAAGCAATGTGTGTTACACCTATTCTCCAGACTGGCCAAGCTGTCCAGGCTTGCCCTTTTGATATTCCAAGGATGAACAGTCAGAAAATCTTTGAACCAGTAATCTAATTTCGTAGAATTGCAACCAAAAGCCAAGAAAATACATAGGTGAATGAATGCAATCAACTATGCTTCTCAAAACGTATATTGATCTCAAATTGTCAATTATATGGAACTTTGTTACAATTGATTCAATGATCTTATTCTTTTCCCCAGTTATTATACTTCTAAAAATACTACAATATTTGGTAGCGACCAAAAACACAAAGCATCAAAGAGAAATTTGTCATTTATTACTTAATTAGGAAATCAAGGTTTTGTATGGTTACCACTGAAAAAAAAAAAATCAATGAAAATTTTAACTCAAGCATTCGATCTCCAATTGCAAAACAACTTGTCATCCAATAAACATAAACTAACCCAGCTAACCACAAGATGGCCAAGAAATCAATTCGTACTATGGTGAAGTTAATCTCATCTGCGAAGACAGGATATGAAAAATGGTTTAATATAAAAAGATCCTCCCCTGATTTAAATCTTATATTATATGATCCTCGAGCTCAAAGACATTGTTTATTCACTGAAGCTAAAAAGAGAAAGATTGCCCATGTTACTCCTAAGGATTTTACGAGACTGCATCGTGTATAGTTGGGAGTTATTATTAGTTCGTGTACATAGAAATGAGTTATAGATGACGCATAATAAATAATGATTATTTTACATTCAGAAAGTTCAAACTGTGTATTCATACACAAGAATATTGAAAGTAGAAATTAAGATTAACTTAATGGCTTCTAGTTCTAGATTTATTTTTAACACATCACATCTATTACGTCTATTTACATTTTTTCAAAATTGTTTTCTCTATTTACAAGATTATGCCTTCAATTCTCTTACTTTCCAATCATCCCCAACTTTCAAAGCATCATTGTCACCAATAATAGTAATGGAATTAATATCACTATCCACCAAATATTTCTGAGCTGCATCAACCAAATCATTCGAATTAACACTCAAGAAATTTTCTCTTCTTTCCTGTCTCAATTCATCAGAAATTCCGTCAAAGAAAACAGAAGAACCTTGGCTAGAAACATTAATTGGTGCATCAACACTTTGGAAAATTCTCAATTTAGCCTGTTGCAAATCAGCATCAGTCCATCCCTTCAACCCATAGTCGAATGATTCAGTGAATGTTTCAATGGATTTAACAGGATTTGGGTCACGGTAGGAATAATAGTTTAAGATTCCTGATAGTCCGTCATAGTTCAATCCACCACCGTATGCACCATTAGATTCTCTGATCTTAGAATGAAGGTGCTTGAAGGTGTATAACTGCGATAATACTTGTAATGCAGCTCCATCTTTGCTTGCATAGTTTGCACCTTGTTTGGCTAATGAAGAATAGCCAACTTGATATGGCAAGTTAACCAATGTTTTCTCACTGGCTGTTAAACCTTTCCATGAGCTTAGAAGAGAGTCTAATCCTTCATTGGTAGATGGGAGGGAGTTCTTTGCAAGTTTTGAATCAAAATCTTGAAGCAATAATTCGTTCTCCTTCACAATTTCCGCATCACCAACAAGTCTATACTTGAATCCCTCAGGTTCTCCATACAAGATATGTTGTTGAATTTCTTGCAAAATAGGCAAGAGTTCACTGGTTAAGAATTCCTCACCTCTACTTTCAAGATTTGAATTTAATTCACTAACAAATTGAATTTGCGTCAACCCATTAGTTAAATCAGATACATATTTTGAAGGAGATAACTTGGAACTACTTACTCCACTGGCATATGAATGTCCCCTATCGGCAATGTTATTAATCTGATTCTGGGCCATATTCTTAATCAAAACTGACAATTTATCAAGAACGTCTTCTTCAGCTTCAAGCTTGGTTTGGGTAATTATTTCATACCATAAATCATAAACATGTTTGGCATCTTTCTTGAGTGCTAAACCACTAATCAGAAATCCCAACTTGAAATCAGAAGTATTGTATGGGTTGGGTGTGATTCGATAATTGAATGAGATTCCACCAGTTTTCATATTAATCTTGGTTTCAAGATCAGTAATTGGTGTTGAAACAGTACCTGCCAAGTTAGTCAAACAGTTGGTGAATAATGGAAGATATTTATGATACTTGATTGGTAAATTATTAATGCTCTTTAAGGCATAAGTGTACACTAATCCGTTAGTATCAACCACTCTTTCCAGAACAGTCTTTTCATTAATTGAAATGTTTTGCAATGGGTAGAATTCTCCACGTTTAGGAATATCATCCATAGTTAATGTAGGTAGAACATCAGTATCTTGTTCCTTGACTTGTTCTTCTGCAAGTTTTAAATTGCGGTCATAAATAGTCTTGACATCTTCTGGCTCTAATGATTTAGTCTTCAAGTCAAGTCTGGTTGATTCTTCTTCAGCAATAACTTTAGGAAAATCTTCTCTTGGTTCCATGGTGAATTTAAACTTCTTAGTTTCTGGATTCAACAAGGTGTCGTTGATTAAATCCTTGAAAATATTTAATCCATTCTGGGAATAATCTTCTTTGAATTTAGTCAAGGTTTGATCAACTTGTAATTGTTTAATTGGATCCAACCCATTGACCCAAGATGGAACAATCGCATTAAGTAATCCGAATCCAAAGTTTGCCTTATGTTTCTTAAAGTTTAATTCAATTTGATGAACGATTGCTTGGACTCTATCATCGTAATTGCTTTCAGGGCTTTCCAATTCAGGCAAAACTTTACTCTTGATAATGTCAACAACTTTACTTTCCAAGTTGGCGGCTTGCTCTTTAGTCAAGAAGTTAAGACCGACAGTAAGTGAGAATAATGAAGTGGTTATATCAACACCAGAGTTTGGTGAGAAATCTTCACCATAACCAGATTCAATAAGCTCTTGGTATAATGGAGAATTGTGACCATCAAACAACAAAGAACCGAGAATTTTCCATTTGAAAACTTCATATTTCATATTCTCATCCAATGGATTACCCAAGTTCCAGGTAATTGAACTATTATATTGTGAACTTGGTTCTTTACCACTCATAGCATCAATTGGTCCAGGAGCTACTATGTCAAATGATTTGTTATTGGTTTGAGTGAAAATTGGCTGCTTGATATCGAGTGATTTACTTCTCTTGCCAAATCTAGTATAAAAATCATTCAATTTACGTAAATGACCTTCCAAAGGCAAGTTACCATAAGTGAAGGATCTAGCATTTGAAGGATGATAATTCTTACTGTGGAATTCAATCAAATCTTCATAATTCAAGTCAGTAATATTCTTAGGATCACCTCCGGAATTATGCAACTGTGGGTAAATTGATTCCAAGAATTTAATATAGAAATAATATGCCGAATTGGAGTATTGTCCTTTCATTTCATTATATACCACACCTTTGAATGTAATTTTGGAGTTGATATCATTTACATCTTCATGTTCTAATCTCCAACCTTCTTGTAAAAAGTCATTGTAGTTGAGTCTAGGTTCAAAAACAGAAGAAAGGTAAACGTCTAACAAGTTGTTAAAATCTTGAGCGTTGGTGGTAGCAAATGGGTAAAATGTATAGTCATGACCTGTCATTGCATTCATAAAATTGCTCAAGGATCTGTTTGTCATCTTGAAGAAAGGATCTCTTACAGGATACTTTTCCGATCCACATAATGTAGTATGTTCCAAGATATGGGGAACCCCGGTTGAATCAGGAGGATTAGTCTTGAATGCAACCAGAAACACGTTATTAGTATCATTCTCAGCATGTAAATGCAAGTGTTTACCACCACTAGGATGTTGTAAACCAACTGCAACAAGTGAAAATTCTGGGATTGGTGTAGTTTCAGTAATCTCAAATCCATGCAAATTCAAACCAATTGGATATTTGGAAAGAATAGCACGATCGGGTGTTGATCCTGACAAGAACCTTTGGATCACTTGTCTGGTTCTATGAATATTTAAACCAGATCTTCTCAACATGGTTTACTGGTTGTGAGTGTGTGAGTCCGTGATGATGGTGATTTGGCAGCAGATTTGTTGGTCTGGACTCTTTTTTTTTGCCCTTCGCACAGAGTGATGGGAGTTTCCCACAAATATAAAAACAGCCAAAAACTTACAGCCAAAAACTAACAACCAAATTTCTAGATCTTTCTCATAACACTACATTAAGAACAACTAGAAATGGCAAGAGATTGATCGGTTTGTAATACTTTACCTACTATAGAATGCTCAATTTGCGAGTAACATCACATTCGGGTAACACCTATTTTTCAAACTGAATTAACACCAACTTGAAGGTTTTCCAGGAGAGCTTCAGTAACACTTTTTAGCTTCTTTGAACTCTTTTCCCAAGTACATCCAGCTAAGTTAGATGCTCTTGATGAAACTTGCCTGTTATACCGTGTTTAAAGCTTCAGCAAGAAGGAGTCAAGAAATTATCAATAGCCTCATCCTAGATTGAATTAACTTGTTGGCGTAGATACTGGCAGGAGAGGTGTTACCTGCAAGTTATGTACTATCATTGGAGATTCTTCGAAATCAGATTGGAAACACACCATGCTAGCTATGAAGGAATTACTATAGTTATCATTTCTAAGGTTCACTTACTAATAACCTGCACACAAACAAGCGAAATCTAGACAGTACAAAAGTCCTCAACGGTTGGGCACGTGAAACAATGCAAAAAAAAATTCCGGCCCGCTTATGGCCATTTTTGCAGATCTTTCTTTAATTTTCGTTTCTTTTTTTTTTTACTTATATGAGTAATTTTTCACCCAAAACACACAAAAGGTAAACTTAAACGGGTCTCCATAATATACCATGAACCAGGCTGAAAAGGAGCTGATACTTGTAACTGCAGCAGGACAAGCTAAAGCTATGACTATCCCTAAAAGAAAGAAGACAGCCCAAGAAAAGGTTTCCACATTTGGTGGTTTTCTTGCTGGGGGTCTTGCTGCCTGTGGTGCAGTAACGTTTACAAATCCAATTGAATTAATCAAGACTAGAATGCAGTTACAAGGAGAACTTTCAAAGACGTCAGCTAATGCTGTCAGATTATACAAGAACCCTTTTCAAGCATTTCTTGTTATTTATAAAAATGAAGGTATAAGAGGGTTACAACAAGGGCTTATGTGTGGATATTATTACCAATTAGGGTTAAATGGGTGCAGAATAGGATTATATGAACCAAGTAGAAAATTCCTTACTCAATACTTAACACCTTCCAAGTATGTCGAAAATGGAATCATACCACAAAATTTATCAATTAATGTTCTTGCAGGGTTCATTTCTGGTTCTGCTGGGGCTGTTTTGGCATCACCATTCTTTTTAATTAAAACAAGAATGCAATCCTACACAAAAGCTTCCAACTTACAAGGTGCAACCGTGGGACAGCAAACTTATTATAAAGGTGCATGGGACGGGATAGCCAAAATCTACACCAGTGAAGGATTTAAGGGTCTTTATCGTGGTGTCGATGCTGCCATTCTTAGAACTGGTGCTGGATCCGCTGCACAATTACCAGTCTATAACCTTACAAAGAACTTCTTATTGAAGCACGACATTGTTGCTGATCATTCAATTGGATTGCATTTTATTTCCTCATCAATGGCCGGTTTAGGTGTAGCTATTGTAATGAACCCATGGGATGTTATCTTAACAAGAATGTATAATCAAAAGGGTAACTTATATACAGGTCCATTGGATTGTTTCCGCAAGACAATTAGTATTGAAGGACCAGCAGCTTTATATAAAGGGTTCTGGGCTCAATTATTTAGAATAGGTCCTCATTCCATCCTTACCTTAATGTTCATGGAACAATGTATGAAAGCTATGGTAAGCATTGAACAAAGACTTGGTTATTAATAGACTTATTTATTTATATAGATAATACAACGATAGAGATTGGATGAGTAATTAACACCGATCTATGCGGCTCAAAGGCTCCTGCATACGAACGATTTGGTAAGTGGCAAAGGATTTTTTTTTTTCAAAGGAAAAAAAAACAATTAGAAGGCAAAAAAAAAAATTCCAGGATGTTTTCGTTTTAGTGAGACCGGCTGACAGAAAAAGGCAGACAAAGAGAGTCAAAATTTGACATATTGATAGCTTGTTCGGAAACAAAACAACCACCTTCATAGTGCATACGTTAACCGTTCATTAGTCTCTTTTGTTTCTACAGTGGGATTCTTGTCTCTTTCACCATACATTTTTTTTTTTGTTCCAAATTCTGAATAATTCATTGACAACTATATCCAGGTTAACAACATTGGACAAATCGAACCTCATAGATAATCATGCGTGATTCCAATTATAAAGCGATTTCCAGCAATAAAGCAGCAGTTACAATAACAACCAGTTTGTATGATAGACGTGCTCTTGATGTTACGTCCGACAAACCATTGGTAAATTCTTTAAATTATTTGACATATCTTGTGTCTTCACTGGCAAAAGTAAGAGAAACCTTATCGATAGATGGAGGGATTGAAAGATTAATTGAAATCTTACATGAATGTCATAATAATAATATTCAGGATAATACAAATAACGAAAAGAAGTTGTTAACAGCTTGGAAATGGACATTAGCTTTTCAATGTTTAGTTCTTGCAGGTACAAGAGGAACAGAGAAAATAAGACAAAAAGTAGTTGAAGCAGGTATTCTTCCAATTATTGCAACAGTATTGGACAATTATTTGTCGCTTAATGAACGTACATTTCTTCATGCAAATGCTAGACAATTATTACCTCAACAACAACAACTGCAACAACAACTGCAACAACTAGCACCACCACAGGGTGCCAATCCAGATCTTCCAGATCAATCAGACCCCACACATATTCCATTTACTAACCCATTCCCTCCACAAATGAATTCACAACCAAGACAAAATATCCGAGAACAATTTGCGGTGTTCAACACTCAAGTTGACACAAACATGATGCAGGCCGCGGCTCCTCAAGTTACTATGGATGACACAATAAACCAGACCAACACCACCAATTTTTCTAATTTTAACATGTCTGACGATGCCTACGCTAATCCGATTCAAGTAGCAACTGCTGCCATTGAAAGAACTTCCATTTCAAACAATAACCCCTCAGCATATTTCAACCATGTAAGTAATTTAACTTTTGATGATTATGAAAACCTAACTATAGAACAACTATTCAAATTGATTAGAATAGCAAATTTGGGTCCTCAATATGCCAATGGCGACCAACCACCTCCACATTATAAGAACAATACTATAAACAATGACATAAGAAGAAGATACATTATTGTCAATATAATCAATAAGTTAAAACAAGAGAAACAATTGGAAATGTTGGATGATAAATTCTTCAATGATTGTGATTATGAAATGGATAGCAATTTGCAATTTCTTTCTGATATGTATACCAAGGATTTTGAGAATAACAGAATAACAAAAACCTCATCATCAGTGAGAAATTTTACTGAAACTGGCGTGGTTATCCCTCGTGATGATGATATTGTTTGGTCATTACAATTATTAGCATATATTTCCAAATATCCTTATTTAAAAGATGTTCTTCAAAATACTCATTTGGTATTAGATATGAGTATTCGTGAAAAACATGCAAGGCTGAATTTGGAAAGGCAAATGAAACTTAAAATGAAGAAAAATTTGGCAATAAAATTAAGATCTTCAACTAATAATTCACCAAAATCATTGAAATTGTCTTGTTTAACATTTAAACCTTCACCTTCAAATTCACCACAAATGGTTAATGCAGATAGCTTAATTTTGGAAGATGAAACTATTAAATTATTGAATGATGAATCTACTGGGTTAACTGAAAATGCCGAAATTGAAGATGAAGCAGAAAGTGTAGAGGCAGATGATGATGACGACGACGACGACGATGATGATGATGATGAAAGTGATATCATTTCTAGTGCAAGTGTAAATACCGAGGAATTACTCATGGATGATTATGCTAAGCGAACAATTGAAAATTCTGATTATCTTGTAAAGCTTTATGATTCTATAATTGATTGTGAATCTATTGTTGATGATTTAGAACGAGAAATTTCCTTGTTTCAAATTAATGAAAGAATGAATAAGTTTATAGAATTGGAAAGTAAGAAATTGACCAATATAATTATATCCACCCGAAAGGAAAGAAAAGAATTATTGGAAAAGAAATGGGATTATGATAACTACAATAATTTTGATATAGACGATGATGGCAACACCGAGGATCAGGATCATTCGTTAGGAGAGTATAGACGAGTGAATTTGTTTCCTATGGTTGAGAAGTTTACATTTTTATCAGGAACAGATATGTATTATTGGTCAGGTATAATCATGCGAAATTCCTGTCGAAGAAATGATTTACGAGGTGGAGTAAGACAATGTGGTAATTTAGAATGTGGCCGTTGGGAAAGCTACCCTCGGGAATTTCTGAAATGTCGAAGGTGTAAGAGAACTAAATATTGTTCCAGGGATTGTCAGATGAGAGCATGGCATTGTCATAGGAATTGGTGTATTCCAAGTACTTCCAGTTCAACCAGTAATACCACAGCTTCTAATGCTCATGGTGGTAATACAGACACTTCTGCTCATTCAGCTGTAACTACAGACAACGATCAGGAGAATCAAGATCTTCTATGACGCACCCCCTAATTTTTTTTTTTGTATAGTATCTAGCATTGAAGAAATAATGGTTAAGGGATTTGTTTTGACAATTACTATTGGTGAAACAATGTAATCGGTTGCGTATTTACGAATGCAAATCTAGGCCTTCGTAAATCTGTAGTTCAAGTTTTAGATTGCGTTTTAATATGGAATGTTTGATCTTCGATATTGAGCGCAATGTTCTCACACGGCCAAAGTGTTTATTTACGAGGGTATAACTTTAGAAGTATAAATATAAACCAATTTCAGTGGCAGATACCTCTAGTATGGTTTTGCCCTGGTAAATTTGTACCTTGACAATGCTATTAGATTTAATATTATTACTTTTGATTTTGCAATGCTGTTTAGGAGAACCGTACTTGGTTTCACTTAAACTTGAAAAAACTTTTGAATCATTTTATGCTTATGATACCAAGTTCCCTCCAACTGAAAGGGTTCGGGATTTAATCACCAATACCTATTCATTTGATGACTTTAACGCATTTTCCGGGAATTTCCCCAAAAATATCATAGAAAGATTGGAAAAATGTGAGTTTGTGGCTGAAATTTCTCCTGATGCTAAGTTTAAGGTAGCAGTTATCAAATCTCAACCCAATGCACCAAAGCATTTGGCAAGAGTTAATAGAAGGACTCCAATGAAGAAGGAAAAGAAAGGGGAAAAGAAAAAGAAATACCCTTATATATATGACAGTGCATTCCTGGGACAAAATGTGAATGTTTATGTTATTGATTCTGGAATTCAGCACGAGCATCCTGAATTTACTGGTAGAGCTCGAATGGGAAAAGATTTTACAGGTGAAGGGGGGGATGATTTGCTAGACCATGGTAGTTATGTAGCTGGAATTATTGGTTCAGCAACATATGGAATTTCCAAATCCTGTAATCTAATCAATGTCAAGGTTGTAGACAAGAACGATCAAGCCGATGCCAGCACCATAATTGCTGCAATAGAATTCATCGTCAAACATCATAAAAAAGGCAACAATAAAGGAGTTGTAAATTTATCCATAGGTGTTGATGCCAATAGGCTTATAAATAGAGCAGTTAAAGTAGCCAAGAGAATGGGATTGGTGGTCGTGGCTGCTGCTGGTAATGATAATGTGGATGCATGTACAAAAAGCCCAGCAGGCTCACCCCATGCAATTACTGTTGGAGCTATAAACGATGTGGATGACAGTATTGCATCATTTTCTAACTGGGGTAAATGTGTTGACTTTTTTGCAATTGGGACAAATGTTGCCAGTGTTAATCCAAAGGATGATACAACTCCAGAAATTAAAAAGGGAACTTCAATGTCTGCACCGGTTGTTACTGGATTAGTGGCAAATTTACTTAGCAAGGGAATTGATCCAGGTAGTGTCAAGCACCATTTACTATCCATTGCAATCAAAGGTAAAATTCCAGACTCTCGGGATTTTGATAAGGGTACCCGCAACATAATAGCACATAGCGGAATCTTTCTAAATGATCTCCCTAAGTATATACCAGTACATCCGAGTTTATAAAAGCTTCACACTAATTGTGAAAAACAATATATATGATTTTAACTATGTATGCGAGTTGGATAAAGAATAATATTTGCACTCCCTTTATGAACTAAATGGTTCTGATTCTAAATAATATCTCCAGTAACAAATCATACCAAAAAAAGTTAAAACATACATTTATGTGTAAGTCCATTTGCTTTGATATCAGGAATATTAAATTCTGGAAATTGATATGTGATCATTAGATATGAAATTTAATAATGCCTGTCAAAGTTTGTTACGATTGTATAGAAATGTTTAGTATAAATAGAACCAAGGTTTTTTGCTGGACTAGTTGCAAAAAATTCAGTTTTCATGATGTTGCTACTCCATAATGATTTTGCGAATATGCTTGTTGCTTTTGCTTTTGCAATTTTGTGTAGGAAACGTTGATCCTTATTTGGTTTCCCTTCAATCTGATCAAAGTTTGGAATCATTCTTTGCTTATGATTTACAGTATCCGCCAACAAAAAGAGTAAGGGATTTAGTCACTGAAACATTTACCTTTGGAGACTTTAATGCTTTTGCTGGCAATTTCCCCAAGGATATATTAAAACGTTTAAAAAGATGCAAGTTAGTGGCTGATGTTACACCTGATGTTATCTTTCAAGCATTTGATATACGTGCTCAGAATGAAGCTCCTCGACATTTAGCAAGAATAAGCCGAATAAGACGCATGAATCCAGGAAAACAGTATTCATATTTATATGATAGTTCATTTTCTGGACAGCAGGTAAATGCATATGTTATTGATTCGGGTGTTAGAATTGACCACCCAGAATTCTCTGGTAGAGCTCAAATAGGTAAAGATTTTACTAATGAGGGTCCTGGAGATAACAATGGACATGGAACACATGTAGCCGGCCTCATAGGGTCCAGCTCTTATGGTGTTGCGAAACATGTGGAACTAATTGAAATCAAAGCTTTAAATAGCAAAGGTGCTGGTACTCTAAGTTCAATACTTGCCGCGATAGAATTTGCTGCTAAGCATAGAGAACAGACTGGTAGAATGGGGGTAGCAAATCTATCGCTCGGTGCATTCAAGAATGCTTGCTTAAATAGAGCTATTGAAAAGGCTACAAATACAGGATTAATAATTGTAGTTGCTGCTGGTAATACTGGTACAGATGCATGTTTGACAAGTCCTGCTAGCTCACCTCATGCAATCACGGTAGGTGCAATTAATGATTATGATGATAGCTTAGCTGAGTTTAGCAACTGGGGTCCCTGTGTTGATATTTTTGCTAGTGGTTCAGATGTTCGTAGTGTTAATGCTCAAGATTTTGAAACTTCACAAGTTCTTTCAGGTACTTCGATGGCAGCTCCTATCGTTTCTGGCGTGGTTGCTAGTTTGCTTAGCGAAGGAATAAAGCTGCAAGATATTAAACAAACATTAATTATGAGAGCTAATAAAGATAGAATTCCAAAAGCTTCTATTAGCTTCAGAAAGGATACACCAAATAGAATAGTATACAATGGACTCAGCTTGGACAAGGAGTCAGAACAAGATAAATAAAACTTGACTTGTTTTTCGAATATCAAAAATTTAAATCATGATTCAAATCTCTTAATAAATATATGCTAATCCATCGGATACTTTTGATGTTATGTAAGTGTTTGAGGTTCGTTTATATGAGTTTGCATTATTTTGACAAGTTTGATCTCTATGTATTGTTAACCTGCATACAGGTTGTACCATGAGCAGAAGCCAGTGTGTTTTTATTCTATTTTATTTTTTTTTTGTTATTTCCAGAACTGTATGACTCTGTAGCATGCTCCCCCTACAATAACCAACTCATGTCAGATTCCGAAGAAGAAGTACCAACTATGGAGTTAAAACTCCCAGATTATTTACCCCTCAAGTCGGAGTTAATGCGGGATTTTGAAAAACTGTTCCACAATCGTACTATTCCTGACATAATCAAAGTTCAAACGCGTCAAATCCAAGAGGCAGCAGAGAAATACATTCAGTATGTTTTAGAGCATCCTCAACTCGATTTCGATGAATCCATCCTATCACTGTTTGAGAAAAGTTTAGAAAACTTAATAAGATCTGAATTTGAATTCCTGAAGCTTGAAGCTATTCGCAAGAATCCCCTGGTGTCTGCGTTTGCTCTGCGAGAAGAATCTGATTTGACACTAGATTCTCTAGAAAGCTACCAAAATATCACTAAACCTAATTTTTCAGATGTAATTGAAGAGCAGTACTTGGAAATGAAAAGTCCCAAATATTCTAAAGGATACAAAGATTTAATTCACAAACACAAGTTTTATAACTACTTGAATGATATATTATTTGTCATACGAAATCCAGAGGATCAAATTCCAGATGAAAATGAGGATGAAGAGTTGAACGTTTCAGGTGGGAAGATTTCCCTTAAGGATCCTCTTTCATTGAATTATTACTCCGATCCAGTTAGATCCAAACGTTGTAAGCATACATTTGAAAGACTGAATATAGAAGAGCAATTGAAGAGAGGGGAAGCATCACGAGAGAGGATAACACATTGTCCTATTGCAGCATGTTCTCAGGTGATAAACAGGGCTGACTTAGAAGCTGATGTATTAATGATTATACGAATTCGTTCATTCCAGAGGTTACACAATAAGACCAGAGATGTAGATACTGTTATTTAGAGGTATTTCAATCATATGTTTTTGGCTACTTCACTTTATTCCGATGCTGCACATTGAAATAATGTAAATATTGTATCGGCTGGTGTAATTTAATGAAGTTGAGACATATAAGACTGCGGTTATAAGGCCCCTCCAGAGAGCTGAACTTGCCAAATTCCATGCATAATATTTACGATTGATGTTTGATCAATTTAATAAATAATCAGGTAAAATTTCATGCTTGCTGTTAATAAACTGGTTTCATGTAAGGAATAGAATTGGCTGTGAGTTTTTAGAGTGTTGATTATATTTAGTAGAATTAGTTTAGATTCTGCTAAATGGACAAGGCGGTAGTGGCGGATTAGTAACAGTTTCGGTTAAAGATTCCCAGCACACTCTAGAATCAATTTCAGGTGTAGCGGTAATATTGACTTCGTAACTTTATTTCGATCTATGTACACTTCATTTTGTGCAGTAGCTCAATTTGGAATTAATTTACAAGCACATATATTATGAATTGTGTGTTTATTTCTGTGGATTTTTTTTTTTGAGTCAAAGGCAATCGGTCCTAGTTTTAGCTAACAGGTGAAGTTTATTGTCAAATTAAATCAGTTGAAATTTATCCAATAAAGTAAAAAGGATGTTTATCTCAACCTTTACATAAAGGTGTTTTTTTAATGCTTTAAATTACATTATTTGTCTAGATCTTTTAACAGTTTTCATATGTGTGTTGAATTGTTTAGAATAAGGTAATATTTTGGTTGCAAATAAGCGAAATTATTTTAGCAAGCAAGTTGTTTAATTTCAAGATTCGTAAACTTTAAATTGCAAAAACAAACAAGTCTAGTGAATTATACAATATTCATAGACAATGTATCTAAGAACTTGGTACCCACACAATGCTTCTCCTATAAATACAACTTAAATTCTCTCCCTCAAATTGTTGTTACTGTTTCTTAATATTAATAATAATAATAATAACTCAATTCATGTTAAATTTTTTCATTTATTTTGTTTTAGTATTTAGTTTCACCATAGCTAAGCAAATAAGTGGAGTGTTTACTTCATTTGATTCATTGGTATGGAAGAAGGCTGCTAATTACCCCTTTCCGGCACCTCAGTTCCCCAGTTGGATAGCAACATTATCTTGGAAAATTAAAGGAAGTAATATGCTGGCTGGAGATACATTTACCTTGACCATGCCCTGTGTATTCAAATTTACAACTAGTCAGAGATCGATAAACTTGAGTTTAGGGACGACAAATTACGCAACATGCACTTTCAATCCAGGAGATATTGTAGTTGCATTTTCCAAATTAGAATGCGTGCTTCTGAACTCAGTTAATCCTCGGACCGATTCTTTTGGTACAATAAATTTTCCAATTACGTTTAATACTGGAGGTTCTGCGCTAGATACAGATATACAAGATTCAACTTGTTTTGTGAATGGTAAGAATGTTGTGACCTTTCTGGATGGAAATAATAAGATTTCAACACTGGTGTTATTCTCTGGTGGTTCAAATGAGGACCCGGAACAAGTTGTATTTAAATCTCGGGTGATACCCACCTTAAACAAACAACAACATTTTCTTTTAGCTGGAAATTGTCCTAGTGGTTACACATCTGGTACTCTTGGAATGCAAATAGTGAGTCTTGGCGCAACTATTGATTGTAGATCCATTCATATGGCTATAACTAATTCCTTGAATGATTGGTTTATGCCCAAGAACACCAAATTAAAATTTTCCCACACCTTTGTTTGTGATCCAGTAACTTTTGTTCTTACCTATCAAAATATCCCAAAAGGATACCGCCCATTCATTGATGCTCTTGTTAGTGTTATTCTTGGAAGTAAAGTCACGGTAATTTATCTTAATAATTACATATGCTCTAATAAATTGGGGCTAGTAAATAATGACAGATTTATCGAATGGGGACCATATACCAATAATGATGCTGGAGGTAATGGGGAAGCAGTTGAAATTATTACTAAAACTTATACTGGACTGACTACTCAAATAAGTACAATGCCATTTGCCACATCTCATGACAGAACAAAAACAATTGTTGTTGAAGTTCCTGTTCCTACTATTACCACAACTACAACCTACATTGGGATATCAACGTCTTTTGCAACACTGTCAGCTTTGCCTGGATCCACAGCTCGTGTGGTTGAATATGATCCAGTACATACTACCACCACTATTAATACTTGTTGGCTGGGGCAAACAGGAACCTTTACTACTACATATTCAACTTCTACATGGGCTACTGATACTGAACTTATAGTTATACCATGTTTAATCTCTTCTACCATTAGTCCGTATTCATCAACTAAACAACTGACTTCAGAAAAAGAGCATACTCCTTTCAGTGAAGAAACGCTTTCAAGTAAAGAATCCACAACAAGTGAAGAATTGACGAGTGAAGGATCTACTTCCAGTGAAGAATATTCCTTCAGTGAACCGCCATCAAGTAAAGAGATCTCAACAGAAGGTATAGCAATTAGTGAAGAACTACCATCTAGTGAAGTGTCATCCACCGAAGAATCCATTACTACAGATGACCCTTCATCTATTAAAGAACCATTAAGTGAAGAATCTACTACCATTGAGGAACCTACTGTCAGCGAAGAAACCACTAGTGAAAACGGCTCCTCTACTAACGAACCCTCTAGCAATAGACCTTCCCCAGAAGAATCTACTTCAACTGAAGATACATCTTATAGTGAAGTACTATCAAGCCTACCATTCATTACCAGTGAATCTCCTACTACTGATGAGCCTATTACTGATGAAACTACTACTGATGAACCTACTAGTGGATCCCCTACCACTGCTGAGCCTACAACTGGTGAGCCTATTGAAAACTCCACATATAGCCAACCTCTAATATCGAGTAGGGCACTGCTATCAAATAGCGAGCCATCATCCAATGTACAATCATCTTCCAGTTACGAACCATTGAACAGTGAAAATCTGTCATCAACTGAAAATCAGTTTTCTAGTGAAGATGAATCTCTAAGTTATGACATATCTTCCAATGAAGTGCGCTCTTCAAGTGAACACTTATCCACAACCAACCTATCAACAAGTGAAGTTTCTTCAACTAAACTTTTTTCTGAACAATCATCATATTCAACCAATGTAATCTCTGTTTTGTCAGTCAGTTCCCTGACGCCATATTACTGGAATTCAAGTTTTTCAATTATTTTAACATCTGAATCTGGGTTTACTGGTCCAACCCCAAGATCTGGCATTAATTCAGAACTGAACTTTTCAGAGTCAATAATTTCATCTGTCATTATTACATCCATAAAATCTGATGATTCTTCCACAAGTGGCATTAGTTCATTACCAATGCTGTTAGAATCAGCATCAGAGTCCAGCGTATTTTCAAATTCGATGAGCTCTACGTTTGAAGACACCGTTTCGAGTATAATTGAAATATCCGGCAAAAGTGATAATCTTTCATTTACTTCCTTATTCTCAACCAGTCTGATAAAACTTAATCCAGTCACTTCGTCTGCACTGTTAAATCATTTCAGCGCTCCTGAAATTACATCCGCAAGTATGAGAAGTTTGCTACTGAATATATCAATATCATCTTCAGGAGTGGATCGTAGAACTAACAGTTTAATTCATCGATCTATTTCTGAGCATTTCAGTCAATTAAAAAACTCAATAGTTTCATCTTTGGACTTAACATCATCCAAACCTTCAGAAATCCGATCAACTAAAACATTGTTCTCTTCATCCATACCCACAACTTCCTTCAGTCTGATCACATTTGGTGCATCCAATTCAACAATTGGCTCAGTTTTGATATTATCAACTGCATCGAAAGGTTCAATGTTTACTTCCAATATACAATCTCAATTTGATGATTGGATTGCAAGTGGGGACATTTTATATTCGAAAAGTTTTGATTTTAATGATAATAGGCTCAACACTAATAATGGTTCCATCGGTGATATATCCACAGATGCTTTTATTACCAACCTTTTATTTAATCCTTCTGATAGTGGAAATGTTAGCAATGTCAACTTGGGAGTTTCAAGCAGTATTCCAAATAAAGATAGTGCAAAAGTTCCAGCTAGTTTAACCGTTGTACAAAACCAAACTTCATCCTTACAAGCAGCGCTACCCGCCAAAGAAACGTCTTTAATTGTATCACAAAATCATACTACAGCAACACATGAGCAGACACCAAATGGTGCAACACGATGGAGTATTCCGATTAGTATGTTGATATTGCTTACTTGTTTACTATAATTGTTTCTTATCCCATGAAAACACTAAATATTTCTAAATTATTTGGTTAGTTGTACATGTACTCTAATAAAATTCCTTTTCCTCACTAACATAATAATTTGATTAGTTAAGATTCTCATCCTAAGTTTTGTATGTCTCTTAACCGTCGTACGTACATCAAGGTACAGCGGGTAAATGTAAAGCCGAATTTTTTCTTGGCGATCTAATGGTTGCAAACTCCGAAGTTCATATGGTAGCACAATCTATTTCAAAAGGAAGAAATGAGTTGGCTAATTTCATATGTGCGATAGAGAAAAATAAGTGTAATTATTCCTTAGATGATATAACTAATCTTCAGAGAGGCCGAGAACGTCTATATTTCATTTTATTCTTCTTGATTTGTGATACATAGTTGTTTGTTTTCTGCTAAAATAAATGCGAAAAGTTGACAAAATTGCCACTTCACCACCAACCAAAAAAAAAAAAAAAAACAGAAAAAGAATACAGAAATTTCACGACAAGTATAAAATGTCTCAGTTTATTTCGAAGACTAAGATAATAAACATTGAAACACAGTATAGTTACTAATAATAACACACAAGCTTAAATTTGTATAGGGAGACATGGCCAAATAGTTGATTTAATTGCGCTTATAAGAGTATAATTCAACAAAGTTATGTAAACACCATTATTTATCAATCATTCCTTAATTGCTCATATTGCCAAGAAGTTTCAGTTATTCCAATCTGAACGTGACGTCAGGGACCAGAAAAGATTACACAATCGGAGTTAAAAGTAGTGGAATTCTTTCCAACAACGACACCAAATATGGAAAAGAATCACAACTAGTATAAGAATCCTGTAGATGTAGCATGTTTAGTTACAATAATAACGAATTCGCTTGTATTGCTTACAATATAAAGGTTTCTCAAAAGATCAAGCGTTAATTGTTACAGCAGACATTGCATTGAGCATATTGTAATGAACCAATTCGACCTCCTAATGATTGTTTTGCTAAACTTTAAATGCATATATTGTTAAAAATAGAATTCGGCTGTACCAGGTATAATTGAAACGAGCTTCGCTTCTAGACTCTTTGAGTGATTTAAGCACAACATGCTATATAGTTAAAAAAAAAAAATTTCATGTTCAAACTAATGCCGTAATGCTGTTTCAGAACATTTGTCAGCGCTTTTGACTCATTCGTATAATATCCAAGCAAACCAGGATTCCACGTGGATTCGTTTATCTCAAATAGGGGGGAGGGGTTGATTAATACAATACCTACCGCCTGACTTCCATGCTTTATCCAAATCAAGCGAATTATAGTTAGCTTTCAAGGGATGAAAGTTCGTTTAGCCTTTGTGCAAATTTGCTACTAACTAGTTTCAGCTGTAGTATGATAAACTGCAAAAAAATAAAATATGCAGAACGGCAAAATATTTTGATTTCTTTTTATTTTTTAAATATTTTTAATTTCGGATTTCCAATTACGGTTCGTAAGAGCCATAGGCTCTGGTGGCTTATGAAATTGACAAGGTGGGGGTGGGGTACCCTTAAAGTTAACAATTTTGATATATTTCGTTTCCAGAACCTTGTAATACCTTGTAAAACCTGGGAATGTAATGCATTGATCAATCATTTAACCAGGTTGCATAATTAGATTTAGAGCCGATCTCAAGATCTCAAAAACAGAACAATGACAGATTTGCAGAGCAACATCAACTTTGCAGTGAGTTAGAAAAGCAATATTAACTAGATGACTATGCTTGTCTTCCGAACAAATTTCTAAGAAGCTAATCTCCCGAGGCGCAGGTTGACATAATTCCGCTGAACCGTTTATGAGGAGTCTATTTCAAAATTTCGGATTTTCTAGAACTTTCCACATGCAGGAATTGAAAATTGTGAAAATTTTTTATATTCTTTAAATTTTTTTGCAGAATATTTTTATTAACTTGTTATGAGCCCTGATTTCTTTGGATTTACAACAGATGTTCGCTGCAACATTTAAAAGGATTTACCTTCATCGTATGGCTGATTGCGCGATTAATTAGTGAATGCATTAGATAGGTGATATTCTTAAATATCATGTAGTGACCAAAGAATACCGAAAAAGTTCCCTACGATTTAACTGATAGCACAAAACCTATCAACAATGAAAATAATTGTCTGGAGCCGAACCCGCCTTAGATAATATTAAGTTTCTCCTCAAAAGGATTGATTGCTGACATATTTTTTGATTAGCAATTAGCAACATGTGAAAATCCGAAAGGGACCGAGCATGAAAGCTTCACAAGTACAAAGTGCTCTGAAGAGCAAACCATACCTATCAATGGCTATTACGTCAGTTTGTATCACAGAATTGCAGTTTTAGACTCATTAGTAAAGTTTGAACAAGCTTGGTAAAAATAGGTTTGTGTCGCATAGTAAAAAGCCCACAGGCCAATCAAAGCTTGGGCTATGTTAAGCTCAGGTTTTATATAGTCATTGTTTCAACAACACAAAAATGCTCGGTAGAATTTCCGTACAATATTTGCGCGCATTGAACAATAAAATTGTCTAGTTGGAAAATTTCTCGCCTGAGACAAAATACAAGAGAACATGTACAATGTTTAATTTATTCCCCAAAGCAAAAAAAGCAAAACCAAGCTTTGCTTCTAAATGTGAAGATTTGAACATGATATAGGTCCCTTAGGAGTGCTTGTCAAAAAGTTCTACGATTTACATAGTTATAGGTGCTATTGATATTTGATCGGACCGTCCAATTCCAGAACCTACTCCCTAGATACCAAAAATAAATGAAATTTGGAATTAATTTTTACTTTATGCAGTACTATAAAATATGACTAGAAGAAATTAATTTTTCTCGCCTTTTGCTAAAAATTACTGCAAAAAAATACTTTTGCATGTAGTTCAAACCCTTTCTCAACCACAAAAACCCTACTTGGGTATTCGAAAATAGCTCAAATTGAGATCAAAAATGTATTTATATAAATGTAGAGATATAATTCCAATCAAATTCTAGTTTCTCAATTTAATATCACATTCAACCACAAGCTAAATGTTAAGATTTTTCATTTTTTCCTTTTTGGTGCTTGCTACAGCCACTGCTGATCAAGTAAGTGGAATTTTCACATCGTTTGATTCTTTGGTGTGGCAGAAGGCTGCTAATTACCCCTTTGCCGGCCCAGCATACCCCAGTTGGATATCCACATTATCTTGGGCTATCAAAGGAACTGACGTCCTGCCTGGTGATACCTTCACTTTAACATTGCCTTGTGTTTTTAAATTTACTACTAGTCAAACTACGGTTAGTTTAAGTGTGGGTCTGACAAACTATGCTACTTGTACGTTCAACCCAGGTGATGTTGTTGTTGCTTTTTCCCAATTACAATGTGTGGTTCTGGATTCAGTTACACCTCTGACCGATGCCCATGGAACTATAAACTTTCCTGTTGCTTTTAATGTGGGTGGGTCAGCTTTGAGTACAGATTTACAAGACTCAACTTGCTTTGCTGATGGTACTAATACAGTGTCTTATTATGACGGAGATAATAAACTTTCTACACTGGTTCAATTCACTGGTGGTTACAATGGATCCCCAAGTCAAATCATCTATACCAATCGTGTTGTGCCTTCGTTGAACAAACAACAACATATGGTTATTGCTGGTGATTGCCCTGCTGGTTATAGATCTGGGTCTTTAGGTATTCAAATAGCTAATCTGGGACCTAAAATTGATTGCTCATCTATTCATATAGCCATAACCAATGCTTTAAATGCATGGTATTTACCTGAAAATGCAGACACTGACTTTAGTTATACATATTCATGTTCTACTACATCATTTACGATCAACTATCAAAATATTCCTGCTGGATACAGACCTTTTATCGATACACTTGTTTCAGTTGCTACAGGTTCAAGTATAACAACCACATATGTTAATAATTATGTCTGTGCTAATAGCATTTTGACTACAAACAACGGTAAGACAGTTAGCTGGGGAAACTATGATAATAATGTTGTTGGAGGAAACGGTCAAGCAGTAGAAGTTGTTACACATACATATACTGGTCTGACTACTCAAGTTTCTACTATGCCATTTGATTCCACCAAAGATCAGACAAAAACAATTGTGGTCGATGTTCCAGTTCCAACTACAACTGTTACCTCAACCTATATTGGTGTATCAACTTCTTTTACTACTCACTCAGCTTCACCAGGATCTACAGCAACAGTCATTGAGTACGACCCAGTTCATACTACTATAACAGTCTCTACATGTTCTCCCCAGTCAGGTTCATCCATAACATTTGTTCGCCGTGCTGAACCTGGTGCTACAGACACCGTATATGTATACACAGGTGAATGTCCTGTCACACATACTGAAGTTGAAACAACTACTGAAGCTACTACTGAATCTACTACTGAAGCTACAGATGAAACTACTGCTGAAGCTACTAGTGATGAAGCTACTACTGAAGCTACTACTGAAGCTACTAGTGAAGCTACAGATGAAACTACTGCTGAAGCTACTAGTGATGAAGCTACTACTGAAGCTACTACTGAAGCTACTAGTGAAGCTACAGATGAAACTACTGCTGAAGCTACCAGTGAAGATTCTAGTGTTGAAAATAATACTAGTACTGCAGCTGATTCCACAACAAATGGTGAACCAACTGGTGATGAAAGTACTGCTACTGATGCTGGTACTACTACTGATAATGCTGAAACCTCTGAAAATTCAACCACAGATGACGACGCTTCAACAGTTGGTCCAGGTACTTCTGATAATTCTTCTAATACCGAAGTTTCTGAAACAACAGATTACTCAGATTCTACTGAAGGAACTATTACATCAGAAAATTCTTCCGCAACCGATGAAAACACCAGTGATGACGGTTTGTCTTCTGATGAATCTCAAGCTACTAATTCAGATTATTCTGATACTGATGCTTCTGAAACTACCGATGATTCTTCGTCTAGTAATGATGAACAAACAACCGATGTCCCAAATACAGAAATAACAGAAACTAGTATATCTTCTACTGCAGAAGAGTCTAACACTAGTGATAATGCTACTGACAACTCATCTGAAGTAGAGTCTAGTGAAACTACCAACGATACATCCACCGATAATAGTGAAATCAGTACTTCTACAAGTGACAGCAACGAGAACACAAGCGATTCAGCAACAAACGGTCAATCTACTCCTACTGATGATTCAGGTAGCAGTAGTGAAGTGGATACTACCTCTATTGATTCAGATGATTCAACCGCTACACATGGCTCAGATAATACAGATGATGCAACTGCTACTAATGGGTCTGGTTCTTCAGACAACACAGAAATCACTGACAGTGCAACAGATAGTAATTCTACAAGTAATACTGATGATTCAACTACAACTGAAGATTCTACCAGTTCTGATAATACTGGAAACACCGATGATATAACTGTTACTGATAACAATTCATCTACTGTTGATGGAACTGAAAGCACCGAAGATACCACTTCTACCATCGAACCTTCAAATTCTGATAATTCTGCTAGTAGTGGATCACCTTCCAATACCAATGACGGTTCTAGCAACACTGGAACAGATAGTTCAAGTGATGGGTCCCAAAGTACCAATGATGCTTCTGCTACTGACGGATCTAGTAATCCTAGTGAACCAACAACTGATGATTCAGGAGAAACTGATGGATCGTCTACTACAACTAATTATGACAGCAACACCGTTTTGTCTTCTACTGGTGATAGTTCTAGTACTGATGGTGAGTCTAACCCTACAGATGATTCAAGCAACACTGGTGGAAATTCTGCTACAGATGGTACACAATCCTCCGGCGCTAATAGTTCTTCTGATCCATCTGCTTCGAATAATCCAACAACTACTAATGTTCCATTGGCAAGTACACCAGGATCACCTTCTAGTACAAACAATCCATCATCAGCCATCCCACTGTCATTTATAACATCTACTAGATCATCAAATACTCCTCCAGAATCAACTGTGACTGATAATGGAAACGGAGGATCTGACAACGGAAACGGAGGATCTGACAACGGAAATGGAAATGGAGGATCTGACAATGGAAGTGGAAATGGAGGATCTGATAATGGAAATGGAAATGGAGGATCTGACAATGGAAGTGGAAACGGAGGCTCTGACAACGGAAACGGAAACGGAGGCTCTGACAACGGAAACGGAAATGGAGGATCTGACAATGGAAGTGGAAACGGAGGATCTGACAACGGAAACGGAAACGGAGGCTCTGACAATGGAAGTGGAAACGGAAGTGGAAGTGGAAGTTCTGATAACGGAAATGGAAACGGAAACGGAAACGGAAGTGGAAGTGGAAATGGAAACTCTGCTAATAATGACTCCTCTGGTGGTAATGGATCAGGAAATTCTGGAAATGGATCCGATCAACATGGAAGTTCAGGAACCACTGCTGGAAATAGTAATGGATCTAGCGGAAATTCAAACAGTGCTGGTTCAGAAGATTCAGATTCTAATAGTGATAACAATAGTTTCAATAATGATAATGGAAATGGTTCACCATCAATTTCACAATGGAATGGAAATGGCATCGGTGCCGCTGAAGACAATGGCTCTGGTGCTAGCAATACAAATGGAAATTCTGCTGGTAACACATTATCTATATCTCAATCATCAACTTCACCACCAAGCCCTGTTCCTCAATTCGAAAATAGTGCTTCCAAGTCTAAGTTGAGCGTTTCGGTTACTTTACTTATTTTGTTTAATTGTTTATTGTAAATGCTTTGATAAGCATTTAATGTTTGGATTGCTTTCTTTATTTTCTTAAATTGTTTTATTTTAAAGATTTCGATAGAGATATTTATAGGGAGATGTATATCGCCATAAGTAGCTTTAATATAATTGTTTTATTTTTTTTAAAATGGTTCTCTTTACATTCAAGTTTTTGTAAGTTAAAACAAGCATCACATAGTCAATAACCGAATCTAATAGTTATAATTCTTTAATAAAAACTCAAAAATAAAAGGAGTATGGCTAATAGCACTTTTTTGATGTATTCAGGAAGTCACACAGAAGTTATTATTGTATTGGAAATACAAAATATGAAGATTGTTACAATATGAGAATTTAAGGCTGCAATATGTATCAAATATACACCACCCGATCTCACCGCTGGCGAGAGTATATAAACTATAAAATTAAGTAGTATATGTTAGAGCTGTATTCTTAACAATTAAAAAAGGAGCTTAGTCATATTTTCTTCCTTAGGGTTGCATAGCAATCCGAGTGCAGAAGCTTATTTAATTTATGTGTTTAAAATGAATTTAATTCGCACTATATGCTTACTGCAGATACCATGATCCAATTAAAGAAAACTAGATTTTGCTCAACTATATCAAATAAAACTAACTGTAAAAGAGCTGCAATAAAAATTAGAAACAAATGGCATAACGTGTGCTGGGCAGGGAAATGTCCGAGGACACAATAGTAAAGGTTTCAGGACGTAAAGGTTTGATATTATCATAATTCATTCACAAGGTACCTCGAGCAAAGGATTCTAAAGTTGGATCAGTAATTTAACCATCTGTAGCTCTCGGAGTCCTTATTTTATTGTTCATAATTTCACCTGTGATCTTTCGCCATCCTTATCCATAAACCAGAATATCTTAGCTCCTGTTCTCTGATTGGATCATTCGAAGAATCAAGAAATTTTATTAAAATATTCATAGGTTGGAAATGAAATTGAAGAAAGCTCATTTGAACTTAAACCCAAAGAATTCAATCATATTACTATCAGTAAACACAAGCCATACTTGCTGTTATGTATCATCACTACCATTAACCGTTATAGTTGAAGTTGAAGCAAAGATAAACTATGATAATCGTCTTGTAAATAATATGAACTATCAATTAGTTCGAATATTATCTCTCAATTTCATTTGATATATCTCAAACACAGATGTAAAGTTACCTTGAATTCTATCTACACCAAGTGGATTAATGTGAGGTGCAAGCGTAATTCAAGTGATGTTTTACTGGGTGCCCTTATGTGACTCCCGGGACCTAGAAATGTGAGCTCTGATTATTGCAGTAGTTATTCATTAAGTTTGGACACTGTGAAATTCTCTACCTATTGCAGAGATGTTATACTGTCTGAAACTTTGGAAAATTCAAACTCATTGAGTGTCTGATTAGACATTCATTCTGACTTTTCCCTGGGTTCGATTTTTGCTAGACGAATTATACCAGTCCTACCTGATTCTCGCTTCTTTGTACCTTTCTAGAATTTCCACATACAGGATCTGACAGAATTCTCTCAGAAAATAATTTATTGTGTAATCTTGCTTGCATATATCATGCACCTGGTGAAAGCAATATATAAATTAGGAATGAAAATGCAATGCGATGATACTTGGAAGTTAATCAGCCCATTTTCTAGTACTTGACACAGAAAAGGAATTCGAGTTCTCAAAATTGTTTAGGAGAAGGTATAAAATGAATTGAGCGAATTCCAGTCCATAAACATGCTTCCCCTTTAACCCATCAAAAACCTAGCTGCACCTCGTGTAAAATTTCTATAAAATACACTATTTTTTTTTGCGAGAGATTGGATATAAGGAAGATACAACTGCAAGAAAATATTTCGCTGCCCCCAAAGTTTCACAAAATATGAGTATCATAACCATCGTGGAATATGCTGCTCATAACCACATTATAATAAACGAGGTGATGAATATAATTATTTGAATTGTAAAACATAAAGTTAAAATAAAACGAACAAAACTACAAAACCTTCAGCATCATTGTAGACCTGACATACTACAAAGCATCGAAATAGTGACATAACTATATCTAATATGTAAATTGTTTAAAACTTGTCAAAAATCTTAGCTTAAGACCACTGAAATCTACCTTTGCCAAAAATAAATGAAATTTTGAGTAGGAAAATTTGGGTGATATTTTGCCTAGCTAATTTACATTGTACGCATGGTTTAACTTTTTTTTTTGCAATAAAAAATTTCTGCAGCAATTTTGTAATACGAAAGCTTCAATTTTATTCACAACTGCAGTAAAACAGGTGCAATTAATGTAAAACTTGTTGAAAGGAGTGTCCAATAACTGGGCTATAAAAAAGAGGTTGAATCTCTGCCCAATTCACATCTTTTTATTAACTATTTTATCTTTTTGTTTTGTATCAATAGAACAGATGTTAAGGTTTTTCCTATTTACAATTTTCCTTGTTGCAGCCTCGGCTGAACAAGTCAGTGGTATTTTCACATCTTTCGACTCATTGGTATGGGAAAAAGCGGCCAATTATGCCTTTGCAAGTCCTGCTTACCCCAGTTGGATAGCAACGTTATCTTGGAAATTTAAAGGAACCGAGGTGCTGTCTGGTGATACATTTAGTTTAACCTTGCCATGTGTTTTTAAATTCACTACCAGTCAAACAACTGTTAGCTTGAATGTTGGACTGACAAATTATGCAACCTGTACCTTTAACCCAGGAGATATTGTGGTTTCCTTTTCACAATTGGAATGTGTGTTCCTAGATTCAGTTACTTCTCTGACCGATGCTCACGGTTCAATTAATTTCCCAGTTGCATTTAATGTAGGTGGTTCTGCTTTGAGTACAGATTTACAAGATTCTACTTGTTTCTCCGATGGTGAAAATTCAGTGTCTTTCTATGATGGTGACAATAAACTTACAACTCAGGCTAGTTTCTCCGGCGGATCTACAGATGATCCCAATAAAATTACATATATTAACAGGGTGGTTCCTTCTTTGAATAAACAACAACAATACCTTCTTGGTGGAAATTGTCCTAGTGGATATAAATCTGGCTCTATTGGTATGCAAATTAGAAACCTGGGATCTTCAATTGATTGTGATTCGATCCATATGGCAATTACTAATTCTTTGAATGATTGGTACTTACCTCAAAATGCTGATGTTGATTTTTCATTCACTTATACTTGCAGTTCCTCCTCGTTCATTGTTAACTATCAAAATATACCTGCTGGCTACAGACCATTCATCGATGCTCTCTTTGAAGTTTCTAACGGGGTTAGCGTGTCGGTAAATTACGTTAATAACTACATTTGTACTAGTTCTAGTACAACAACCAATAATGGGAAAACTATTACCTGGAGTGCCTATGAAAATAATGTTGCAGGAGGTAATGGGGAGGCCGTAGAAGTTGTGACCAGTACCTATACTGGTTCCACTACCGAAATAAGTACAATGCCGTTTGTTAGCTCCCATGATCAAACCAAAACTATTGTTGTCAATGTTCCAATACCAACAGTTACTACAACCACTACTTATGTTGGCGTTTCAACCTCATTCACTACAAAGACTGCTACGCCGGGTTCAACGGCTACTGTTATAGAATATGATCCTGTTCAAGTTACTATCACTATCACTTCATGTTCTGTTGAAATAGAAAGTGAAATTCCATTTTTCTTGGATTTTAAGCAACTTGATTCAGGTGAAGGAGATGGTACGGTAACTGAAGTTGCTTATGTTGAGTGTTTTGCTTCTTCTACAAGTGATATATCTTCTCATAATGATGCATCCACAAGTGAAGATACAACTACTTTTGATGATTCTTCAGTTGACTTTGAATCCTCTACTGATGATTCAACTACTGTTCAGACTACAAACAGTGCCTCTTCAGAATCCGTTCCAGTGAAAACTACAATCACTGTTACTTCTTGTTCAGGGGAAGAAATACAAACTGCTGTTGCATATTTGGTGGATATAAATGAGTTAGATTCTGGAGAAGAGGATGATATTATCACCGAAACTGTTTATATTCAATGTCCTAGTTCTACAACAAGCGATATAAATTCTCTGAATGAAGATACCACAACTGATATAACTTATACCACCACAAATGAAATTTCAAGTTCTTATGCGCTTTCAACAGGTGACTTCAGTTCTGTCCCTGATGATTTAACCACGATAGAAACAAATAGCACCCCTTCTACAGAGCACGAACCAGTAAAAACTATTACCATTACTTTATGTTCTGGACAAGAAATTGAAAGTGATATCCCATTTATTTTGCATTTTAATCAGCTTGATTCAAACAGGGAACAAGATATCGTGACTGAAACTGTTTATATTCAATGTTCTGATTCGGCAACAACAGATATAGCATCTTCCAGCTTAGAATCTACAATTGATCTTCCTAATACTACACCAAATGATTTATCTAGTTCAGCCACTATTGATTCAACTACCGTTGATAATAATAGTTATTCCTCAGAAACTGATACAATTCAAACTATAACAATTACGTTATGTTCTGGGCAGGAAATTGAAAGTGATATCCCAACTCGTTTGCGTTTTAACGAGTTTGATGAGAACGAAGGAGAGGATTCAGTCACCAAAATTGTTTACGTTGAATGTTCTAGCTTTACAACAGGCGATATATCTGGTATCAGTAGTTCAGATGATCTTACTACAGATAACTTCAGTTCTTCCTCTGCCGATTCAACCATTATTGAATCTAGTGATAGTTCTTCTTCCAATAGTTCAGATGACTTTGAAACTGACGATTCTTCCACTATTGATGCTTCAGATATTATCACAGGTTCTGTTACTACAAGTGAGCTAGTAACTAGTGAACCTTTGACAACCACAGATGATTATAACAACACAGATGCTACAGAATCTAGTGATGAATCAGTTACTTCCAATTTTGTATCTGGAGATGAAACTGTTACTAATGAAACTTCACAATTAGGTGAAGTTTCTATTTCTACAGATACATATTCTGCGTCTGATTATTCAACCAAGTTTGAAGATTCCACTACCGAGACCTCTATTACAGGGGAATCTACGGTAGACGAGTCTGTGTCTAGCCTGATTATTACAGATGACTCAACTACAGAAGAGTTACCAACTACTGATAATTTCGATACATCTGAAACCAACTTTAACACAGAAAGTACAATTGAAACCGATGTTTCATTAAGTAGTGATACTACAGCACCTAATGATGAATCTACTGCAAATTATAGCTCTAATGTGGGTCAAGAATCAAGTAGTATTGAGCCCAATCTTACTGAAGATCTTTCCAGTACTGAAGATCTGGAGATTTACACAACTATTGATACTTCAACTGAAGATTATGTTTCAAGTGCTACTGATTATGAGTCTACTGAAATTAATTCAATGACTGATAATGAAACCACAAAAGATAGTAGTAGTGATATTGCTGAAACAACATATGTATCTAATACAACTGATGATAGTGACAACCATTCTCTGACTATTAGTTCGGATACTGACAGTGAAACAACTAACATTCTGTTAACTACAGAAAATGGTGAAACAAGTGAAGGTTCTACTACTTTAGATGAAACAACTAACGATGAAAACTTAACAACAGAACAAACAAGCTCACAAGAATTAGAATCTACAGATTATGATACTTCTACTTATGGTTCAAACGTCGTTGTTAGTTCTTTTACATATGAGTCAACAGATACAGACAATTCCGAAACTACAAATGATATTTCTGATGGTACTAATGGTGAAACTGAAAATTCAGGAAATGAATCTAGCACTAATACTGAAATTTCTATTTCTACAGATGACTTGGAAACTAGTAAAGACTCAGTTATAACTGAAACTAATACCAATGATGCTACAATTACAGATTATAATACCACTATTGATGTTACTACTACAAGTGATAGTGCTACTGATTCTGTTGATGAAGTCACAACATCCACTGATAATGGTTCTTCTGCTCCTGCAGATTCAAGTTCGGATAATGTTTCAGGTTCTTTAACATACGTTACAGATGAAACAACTGATTCAAATGTTAATACCGATGTGACTGATAATGTATCTTCTACTTCCGATGATGGTAATTCCACAGTTGACTTCACTTATTCTAATGACGATAATAACACTGATTCAGTTAATAACAGTAATGACATTTCTACCAATACGGATCTTCAGTCATCTAACGTTGATTCACAAACTGCAACTGATGGTACTAAGACAGACAACGACGGAAATCCTAGCAATTCAATTAGTAATGGCAATGGTTCTTTTACGGATGGTTCTCCAACTGATTTGCTTACTACTGATGATTCTTCTGTTACTGATAATAATGGAAATCCTACTATATCTTCTACAAGGGATGCCTCCTCCTCTACAAATGATTCAAGCAATACAGATGCTTCAAATACTCATTTTAGCTCGAATACAGATAATTCAAGTTCTACTGGTGCATCTACAACTGATAGAGATTTATCAAGTGTATCTGAGTCTTCTGTTTCAAGAGAACTGGATGAAACTCATGAACAACCTTCCACTAATGATTCTGGAAATTCGAATAGTGGCTTCTCCACTGACAATGCTTCTGTCACCAAAGGGTCTAATGGTGGCAACTCTGACAACTCCGATGTGCCATTGGCTACTACACCCGGATCTCCCTCGACTAAATTTGAGACAACTTCAATTATACATCTGTCATTCATTACCTCAACAATTTTATCGATTGACATAGTCTCAACGACAACGGATAGTCAACCAGTATTACCTGGTGATAATACAAGTGGTGGAAATGGATCAGTGGATAACAATGATGGTTCATATTCAAATGATGGTTCTGTGAACAATCAGGATAATAATGATTCCAACGGGAATAATGGCAACACAGGATTAAATGAAGAAACCGGATCCGGTGCTGGTACAATTGGAAGTAATGGTGACCAAAGTTCAAATGGTTCTGATGTAGTTAATGTAGGAGATAACAATAGCAACTCTCAAACCAACACCGGATTAAATGTGGATACTGGATCTGGAACTGAAGGTCTGACTGAAGGTAATACAAACAATACTGGAACTGGAAATGATTCAGAAAGCCTGGCTAGTATTGGTAATGTTGAAGGTAACGGAAATGATAATTCTGCAAACCCACCAGCAATTTCGGAATGGACTGGAAATGATGTTGGAACATCTCAAGGTGAAGGGTCTGGAGGAGACAACATTTCTTCAGATACAAATGGTGATGGAAGTGGTAGTGAAAATGGAAATCTTCATCCAAATGAATCTGATGGAAACTCATTATCTCAGGGATCTACTGCTACATCGCACACCGTGGTTCCATTTGAAAATAGTGGATCTAAGTGGGGTGTCCCAATTACTTTGTTGATTTTGTTGAATTGCTTAGTCTGATTTTATATAATTTAACTTTTTTTATATAGCTTATTAAAATATATCTAACAATTATTCTATGAATTCTTCTAATATAACAGACAAATCTAACATTTTCATAACAAAGAGTATACCTAATCACTGAGGTCTACATCCTGTTTAATGCAATTAATAGATCAATCCAAAAAATCCTTTTTCTCGTTTAGACACAACGAAATCCAATCCAAATTCAACCTTTTGTACCAGTATAACTAAATCTCATGATAAATAATATGGTCCAAAATAAGATAATGGCCATAGTAAGGACAATAACAAAAAAAAAAGTAAAAGAAAAATGCAAATAGGGTAGTAAACAATAATACAAATGGTAGCGGTCAATATAAAGGCAACGCTAATTTTCCTGTACGTAATATTGGTCATAATAGTGTTAATGGCAATGGTGGAAGTAATCTAGATAAAGAAGATGCCAATGAACCAGGTTATAGAAATCAAGGTCAAAATAATGACATTGGAAAACGTGTTGACCATTAACTGTCCATACCTTTACTTAACTATCTGATGTGTTTTTCTGAAGTTACTCTTGGATCAGAACATAGATATCTACTTTTGACCTCGAAGACCAATTCTTTCTAGCAAGGAGGTACTTTAGTTTATTTAAATCTCTATTTATTTTTTTTTAATTTCTCCTCTTTTCTATAATAGTTTATGTTTTTCTACTAGTATACAAACATTATACGAGGTCCCAAATAATATTGTAAGGTTATGCAAGAATATGCTTGTTTAAAAAAAAACATTCTATTTGTATAGAATATTTGCGGCAATATTTTTATCGTTTCGTAATCCTTGATTTGGTAGCGTTGAAGGGAAAAATGCCAGCCACAACTTTTTTTTCACTTGGAACGAACACCCCACTGTTCGCCTTTGACCCTTTTTTTTTCATACAAGAACTCAACTGTCATAAGTATCTTCTTTTGTTTCTCAATTCACTCCTATGATAATGAAATTGGTCACTGCTTTTGCATTAATTGCCTCATTAATTTACTTTTTCCTTGGTACTGGAGCTTCTGCCGCTGCACCAGAAAACCCACCTGTTACCAACAAGGTATTTTTCGACATTGAAGAAGATGGCAAACCAATTGGCAGAATCACAATTGGGTTATTTGGAACTATTGTTCCAAAGACTGTTGAAAATTTCCGTCAATTGGCCATTCTGACTGATCCTAAATTTGGATACACTGGTTCTATTTTCCATCGTGTTATTCCTAAGTTTATGATTCAAGGTGGTGATTACGAAACTGGTCAAGGATATGGTGGTAAGTCCATCTACGGTGGTAAGTTCGAAGATGAAAACTTTGAATTAAAGCATGATCGTAAATATAGATTGCTGATGGCTAATGCTGGAAGAAACACCAATGGTTCCCAATTTTTTATTACTACTGCTTTAACTAAATGGCTAGACAATGCTCATGTTGTGTTTGGTGAAGTTCTTGATGGATTCAACGTTGTTGATTACATTGAAAATGTAAAGACTAGTCGTGGTGATCGTCCAGTTAAGGAAATCAAGATTGCCAAGTCTGGTGAACTTCCAGTTGAAAACACAGGTGCTACTAGTGCTGCTGAATCTTCAGCTGAAGAAAATACAGTTACTGAAACTCCAAAGCAAGTTGTTGATGATGAAGTTCCAAAGGATGAACTTTAGTTGCATCTATATAGTTTATATATGATTAATCAAAATTTGTCTTTAAACCTAGCATCTCTACTGTACTTCCTTTACCATATAATGGAATATCGTCAAGATATACTAGTTTATTATCTTCGCTCTCAATTGAGAAGCCAGGGTTGCCGTTGACGCTAGCAATCTTTTCATTTCCTGATTGAGAAACATTGTTTAATAACGTATCAAATACACCGCTAGTTATTTCTGTTTGGGAATTTGATGTAGCTAACGCGTTGGAAGATGCTGCTGTACTTGGAGGTAATCCTGTTCTTGGCCCAGCTAATGCTAATCCTGGCGTGTTCATAGTAATTGGTGTCATTGTGTTCATGACATTGGTATTGGATACAGTCATTGTTAATGATTTCAGTTGGGCATTTCCTGGTAATTGTGATGAAGATCCCGTGGATGTTACACCATGGATAGAATTATTATATGAATGTCCTCCATCCAGGATATGATAACTTGTCATATTGTTTAAAATGTCAATGGAGTTACGTAATGACAATACACTAGATAACAATCGTGACAGAAGAACATCGTATATTCGAGGAGCTTGGTAAACATTAGCCCCTATAATATAGTAGTCCTGTAAAATTAATGTTGATGTTGGGTCTAATCGACGTTGTTTCCTAACAATCCAAAAATCAGGTTCTCGAGTAAATGCAATCACAAATTCTATTCCTGTCATTTCGGTAAGTCGTGATTGAAAGTATTGATGGAAGGTCATATTCATGGGGATTTGAATTTGTTGATATTGAAATTGCATCATGAGTACTTGATTATTAGAAGTTCTATCATAAAATGGAGAAAGTGCAAAATATTCAAGGACATTGTTACTATGAAGACCACGTTCTTGGATGAACTCAGGTGATTTCCATTGGATTTCGTCTAATGCTTCCATGATTGGGACTAATGTTGATATCTATCCAGCAGTTTTCTTAGCGCAGAAAAAAAAAAAATCTATATATTTATCTACTCACTACTTTCTTACAACCACTACAAGAATCAAGTAGTTGTTTCAATAAACTTGGCAAGTTCTTGACTCAACCATTCAGCTTCATTTTTCATTATTTCTTCCAGTCTTTCCATTCGTTCTTCGTCCTTCTTGGCCAACTTATTCTCATGAGACAGATTTATAAATGCCTCTTTCCTCCTTTTAAACTCTTCATACCGTTTCTCTAAATTCTCTTCTTCTAATAGAGTATAAATCCGATCACCATAACCATCTGTAGCATACCTAGGAATGACATGGGTGTGCAAATGCGGCACACTTTGTCCAGATTCTGGACCATCCTGAATGGCAATGTTTAACGCATCAGCTTTATAAATGTATTTTATGAACTTATGGATGAGTTGAAGTGTATTCATGTAATCAATGGATTCATCAGGGGTTAAATCCGAGAATCGGAGTATGCTAGTTCGAAGGGGAACCACGAGTATATGACCTGGAACGAGCGGTTTAAGATTGACTAAGGCATAAGTGTGTTGTGATTGATAGAACACTTGCGACGTAACTAAATACTTGTAGAAGTACACTTCCGTGGATTTAAGTGTCCGCAACGACATCTCCATGGGGTTGGTCATGATCTTTCGTGGGGGGAAAGAGCAAACAGCAAGACTGTGTTAACAAGTATTTTTTTGCGTTGGCCCAATTGGGAAGTGAGTTAATTTGGTTATCTCCAAAACAATGCAACGACTTGGATACAATGGATCAAGTTGTCCAGTGGCATGTGGCTTGATTGCTACGCGTATTAGCAATTATCGTCAATTGATAATCGATCAAACCTCAATTCAACAGATTATTAGATCATTCATACTTGAAATAAACTCTATGCAAACGTAATTAATTAAAATTCGATCCGGTAATAAAATAGTCTCGGAACAGCTTCCGTTTATTATATACCTAAGTTCTCTATTTATATCATTTGCATAATATTTCGAGGAATCTCGTACAAATGGGAAACCAACAGTCACGCCACATTCTACCGCATACGAAAAAAATTAAAAAAACGAATCTATCTATTAATATATTACTTGAACTATTTATTTGTTAACCTTGTTGAAGTATTCCTTGGAAGAGTCAACTTCTGGCTTGATTGTTTCAGCACCTGGTTGCCAGTTAGCTGGACAAACTTCACCATACTTTTCAGTGAATTGGAAAGCTTCCAATAATCTCAAGGATTCATCCACAGATCTACCAACTGGTAAATCATTGATGGTAATTTGTCTCAAAGTACCCTTTGGATCAATTAAGAAGATACCTCTTAAAGCAACACCTTCTTCTTCAATTAAAACACCGTAGTCCTTGGATAAAGAGTGGTTGGTATCAGCAAGTAATGGAATGTTAACTGGACCTAAACCACCATCTTTTCTGGCAACATTGGTCCAAGCCAACAAGGAGTATTCGGAATCAGTAGAAGCGAATAAAACTTCACAGTCCTTTTCTTGGAACTTCTTAACAGCTTCAGAGTAAGCAATGATTTCAGTTGGACAAACAAAAGTGAAGGCCAATGGAATGAAAGCTAATAAAACCCATTTACCCTTGTATTGTTCCAAGGAGATTTCTTCAAAGACACCATCAACGACGGCGGTTTTCTTGAAAGCTGGAGCTGGTTTTTGGATAGTTGGAGACATTGTTATTTCAATTGATTAATGATAGAAAAAAAAGAGAAGAGATTAAATTAAATTTTGAAAAATTCAAACACCGATTCCGGTTCTTTATATAGTCGTGAATTTTTCATGGGCGTGTTCTTGCCAACAAATAAAAAAAATAAAAAAGTTTGTCCGGGGAGTCTAGAAGGGCCGCTCCATTACTAAGTTGGACGCGCAAAATGGCACACAAAATAATCATCGAGAGATAGCAATTTGAGCCAATGACATAATCAAGGTCCCGAGAACGGAGTCTGATGTTTAGTAAGCCATAGTTGAGAGTCACCATCTTGCTATTTAGTTGTCACAACGGTTTTTCGTTTATGATGCGTTGGCAGTTTGATGTAATGTAGCTTGCAGTCGGCTAAAAACGCCACAGTTTCTTTTTTTTTTCTTTCCAACAGTGGACCTCAATCGGGTCCATCGGGCTTGGTACCCGATGATGATCATGTTGGCGGAATTGGTAGTAAACACGAGCAAATTAAAAGGTTTTAAAATGGTATTTCATATATTCCATTAATTACCCCAAATAACCAGTACGGTAGGTCTATAAATTCGCTTGCTTACTCATACAAATTAAGCATCGGAAAAATAAGGCTAAAAAAGGAAACGAAATCAGGTACGTTCCAGCCACAGTGCAAAGGCCGAGGCCGAGACCAAAAGCCTGAGATGTCCTGGTAATTCTAGAAACACATGACTGTATAATCAAAAATTACCGACCTAATTAGATCTCTGTTACGTGACATTATATTTCAGCCAATGGTGACTAAGTTTGCCACATAGTCCGATACAAATCATCGTGAAAACCCCTGGGCACTACCATGTGACTTTCAAAGGCCATCTCGATTTTTTGTTTTAGTTAATCCGATTCATTTCCTACATTACTAAAACAAATTTTATACCCAGTATATATTAGTATATCTAATTCTAATTACGTCTCTTTTTAACTCTATCCCAAACACTAGTTGGTTTTCTTTTTCTTGAAGTACCAGAGCTAACTTGTCTATCATTATTAAACATAGCCCAATCTTCACCAGCAAATTGATTAGCCATATCTCTTTGTTTCTGCTTGAACGATTTTTTGGTTTGTGCTTGAGGCAATCTAATAAAGTTGCTTTCTTCATAAGTCTGAATCTCTTGTTCTTTTCTTCTATCATGTTGAGTCTTGACTCCACCACGACCATGGTCAACAATAGTTGAACCAATTGATGCTTCAGCAGTAGGCATTTCTGATTGTTCTTGAAGATATTCTTCCATACTTTGTAATTTCTTGGTTTTTGTTGGTTTCTCCTTAGGGATGGCTGAGGGAGGTGCCATGGCAGAAATCTTAGGAGCAACGTACTTCTCATCACCACTTGGCTTGGTGTCTTTACCTTTAGGTGCTAATTTGGCTAATGCGGATGCATCTGGTCTATATGCAAGTCTATCGTCTTCTTCTTCGCTGTCTTCCTCGTCCTCATCACTGTTTTCATCACTATTGTCAGCTTTGTTCAACTTATCTTCTATTTTTCTTTCGTCTTCTTCCATTCTGGTGTATGCTCTAACCATCTTGTCTAATTGATACCCAATCTTCTTTTCTAATGGCTTAATACCCTTTTCCAAGGTAACACGCTGAACAATACTCCGCTTAACGCTATCTTCCCATAATTGCACATCATCAACTTCTTCTAATCTCGCTACCTGGCCCAACACGACAAGAGCAATATTATTGATGTATGAAAGTAATGCCTGGTTCTTGAGTGAAAGAAGAGATACTCCTTCAACATTGGTTGTTGATGTCTTTTCAAGAAGACTAGAGATTAACTCGGGGTGTGGTTGGGTAACATGATCCTTGATATCATCTATTGATGACTTGGTTGCTTTAACCGAAGTTATTATATCATTTAATAGGGTATCTAAATTTGACATTGCTGGTAGTATTGTTTATCAGATACGATGTTCCTGATGAGCTAAATTTTTTTTTTTCTTTCTTTTTGCGAAGAGATACAGAGAAAAAAAAAAATATAAAGAAAATTCTATAGTATACTACCTACACGTTTTCTTTATAGATACATATACAAATACTTCAGGATGCCTCAAAACGAATATATCGAACAACATATAAAACAGCACGGTCGTCGATTAGACTACGAAGAAAGAAAGAGGAAGAAGGAAGCCAGAGAAGGCCACAGAATCGCAAAGGATGCTCAAACACTTAAGGGATGGAGAGGTAAACAATTTGCCAAGAAGAGATACTCTGAAAAGGTCGCTATGAAGAAGAAGATCAAGGCCCATCAAGAATCTAAGGTCAAGGGACCAGCTACTCCTGTAGATAACGGTGAAGCCTTGCCTACTTATCTTTTAGACCGTCAAACTAATAATACTGCTAAGGCCATTAGTTCTTCCATTAAACAAAAGAGATTGGAAAAGGCTGACAAGTTTTCAGTGCCTTTACCTAAAGTCAGAGGTATTTCTGAAGAAGAAATGTTCAAGGTTATCAAGACTGGTAAGTCAAAGACTAAATCTTGGAAGAGAATGATTACCAAGCATACATTTGTTGGTGAAGGTTTTACCCGTAGACCAGTTAAAATGGAAAGAATTATTCGTCCTGCTGCATTAAGACAAAAGAAGGCTAATGTCACTCATCCTGAATTGGGTGTCACTGTCTTCTTACCTATTTTGGGTGTTAAGAAGAATCCACAATCCCCAATGTACACTCAATTAGGGGTATTAACTAAAGGGACAATTATTGAAGTTAATGTATCTGAGTTAGGGTTAGTTACTGCCGGTGGTAAAGTTGTTTGGGGTAAATATGCCCAAATTACAAATGAACCAGATAGAGATGGATGTGTCAATGCAGTTTTATTAGTATAGATCATATATATATATATAGCAATATTATTAGTACAAGCAGTTTAGGTTATTAATACAACATTAGGTGAACTCATTATCAAATAGATCCAGACATAATACACTCTTCTTTCCGATAGATCTATATCCGCAATTCAAAATTAATTTGGCATTTTCACGAATAATTTCCCATTGACTAGTCATTAGCTTGGTTCCAACAAGGAAGCAAACACCTGAGATATTTTGCTTATTGGAAATTTGTGGAAGTAAATCACAATATTTGGCCATAACCTCATTAGGAGAATAGGTTTGTTTATCACTACTACTTGGTGGATGCAAATTAAACTCTTTATGCAAATTGTACTTTCTTAAGTTGGTCAAAAACTCTTGTTTTACTCGCAGTAAATATTGATATCCATCTTCTGCACTCATTTGAACAAGCTCTTCATATTTCTTATCGCACAATCCCTCATCTCCAATCTCTTTAAACCTATCACTTTCTAATCCACATGTTGAGAAACAGTAACACCACAACACTAATGTGGCCACTGATACAGCATACATGCAATCATAATAATCACAATTGGGTTTCCAATCAAGAAACTCATTCCCAACCATATTATTCCCAATTTCTACTGGTTTAAGCATCAATTGCCAAAGTAGCAAATAACAATGTACCACGCTTCTAACATTGATTATATCAGATATAGCTCGCGATTTTGTGTGCCACATGGAATAAAGCTTTCTCAGAACAATGTAATGATCGTTGGTGGTGGCACTTACACTTTGATTAGCAGGTGATCCTCCGAAGATCGCAATATCGTAATGATTTATGTCTGGAAGTCCAATGATTTGCGTAAGGTGATAAATAGGTAGTGGCACTTCTGGAGTTTGTATGTCCAGGAATATCAGAAGATTGTTTAGGCGTTGGTTTGCCGAGTATACATTCATGATTTCGAAATTGTAGTTGTCAAACGCCCGAACAAGGATTTCCTTCCATATTTTGCGCTTGGAGGCAGATGGAGCAACTGATGATGTCGAGTTTGATGCAGTGGTCGAAATGAGAGACACCGTGTTTTGATCATCAGCCTGTTGCATTTGTTGCATGACTGAGATCAACCCAGCAAGAAGGATCTTTCGTGTGAATATTGAAAGTCGACTGGGTATGTCCTGAGAGTTTAGCTTTGTAGGTTTAAGGAATTTCTTAAGCATGGACAAGAAATTCTGCAGGGACAGCTTAGGCTTAGCATTCCCATTAGCCTTGCCATCCTTTTGTCTTTCCAGCAGGATTTTCTTTTGTCTTTTAACCACTTTTCTGAATGACCCATTGACATCTTTCAGTTCCCAAAGCATCTCGTCATCACAGGGTAAATTTAAGAATTGTAATTGGTGAACCAGAATAACTGGATTGTGTCTGAATTTAATATAGTCAACTACATCCAAGTAAAACGTCATGAACGTTACACGTTTCATCAGTTCCGATTCTACCCACTTCACAAATAAATCATAGTCAGATGTATCCTGTTCTCCTTCAGTTTCTTCATCGACACCATTGTTGCCATCAGATTCCTCGCCGGCACTGTTATTACCACTATTATTATTACTTCTCTTCGAAACACCAGGATTCCCACCTAATGCAGGCGATCTTCTTAATAATTGCACGGTCGTTCCATGATGTACATGCCCACGTTCATGCATTCTTCGATTGAGGAAATTCTTCTCGATCCATTCTAACATGTTTAAACTTTGCAATACCCATAACTTGACTGGTGATTGGAATCCTTCATCTTGAAAAATCATGAATCGCAACGGTATTGCGCATTTCAAAGTGAACTTAAACTCGGGTGATTTCCGATGCACTATGGCAAGCTGTTCAGCTGTGGTTGGAGAGGCGTATGATGCACCTACGAGGATCATGGCTGCGAGTAATAACGGATGGGCTGATTTGGTGTCAAATGATGGCTTGTGTAGTATTGTGAATTGTTTGTGAAATACCGTCCAGTACATGGAGAGATAGTATGATAATCGGTCTTCTAGGGTGTATCCAACAGGCTCAGGGAACAATGCTGCTATTTCATCTCGCGTGAGGTGTAATGACCGGAAGATCAGTTCTAGGAGTAGTGTGTCGAGATAATGATTCCTATTTTTGGGGAAATTGCACCTCTCAGCATGATGTACTAGTTTCAACTCAAATTGATCATGTGAATAGTTTTCAGGACATTGTGAAGGGGATGCGTTAGATTCTGTGGCTGTAGCTGGAGATGTAGATGATGCTGTTGTCATTGTGAACGGGTTATGAGGTAGGTTGTTATTATTATTATTGGCAGTCATGGCCTGATAATTTCGAAGAAATACTTCATCTAACGGATTGTCATCATTTAGGAAGATGTTGACATCTTGTAAACCATACATTTGGTTGGTAAAGTCAAAATTGTTCGAAGTCAGATGAATTGGAACTTGGTTAGTGGGTGAAAATTGGTTATATGGTGATGATATAGGAATATTGATAGGAACCTTGCCATTATTTGTTTCCAATGCTGATGGTGGTGAATCTGTAAACAACCACGACAAAATATCGTTTTGACTTTGAGGCACAAATGGCTGTGCAAGCATCAGGTAGTCGATAGGTTGGTTTTGAGGAAAGGTTGGGTCTACAGGTGGAATCATTGGCATAGGAACTGGTGTTACTTGAGCTGATTGAAATTGTGGTTGTATTTGTTGTATTGATTGTATTGGTTGTTGTGGTACTGGTACTGGTACCGGTGCTGGTGCTGGTGGTGGGACTGGTGGTGGGACTGCCACTTCTGCTTTAACATCAAAAGAGCTATTGCTGGTGGTATCTTCACCAGCCTGCTGTCGTTCAAGCTGCCCCTCCATTTCATGTCGTTTCATGTGTCTCTCCATTAAGTCTTTCCGTACAAAACTTTTCCCACATACTTTTGTTTCATCACCCTTGGAAATTACTAACAGACAACGAAATACTTGTTTGGGTTCGTGATTCAAGTTGTGTCTTGCAAGATGGTCAGATCTGGTAAATACCTTGTGACAATGCACACAGGGGAATGTGCCTAGCGTGCGCCTCTTCTTAGGTGGTGGTGCTGATTCTTGCTTCATTGGCTATGGAAAGAACAAGGTTTACGAAGGAATAAGAGGAGAAGAGGTTTCAATTATAATGCACCAAAAAAAAAAAAACTTGACTGGCAAAACAAAGGGCGATCCCCACTTTGGTAAACAAGATAGAATAAAATACAATGCAATACATGAAACGTGAATGAGGAGGCTAATTCAGTTTAATTGTGTTAAGTAAGAGATATATGAAAGAAGTGACACCGTATTCAAAGTCTTGGCTCGAACGCTGAAACTTTATAGGTAAGACACTTTGTTTTGATCCAGATGTTGCCAAAAATAACTCTTAAGGTTGGAAGCTGAAACAAACCAATCGATCACTTATTGGTCCTATTAGAGACTTCATATTACTGATAACTGTTCGTCAATGCTGTGTAAAGTTCAAGCAGTTTTTATGTAAGTGTTGAAAGCTTGCTGATTCGAGCAATCAAAGCCGCTTGCTGTGTTGCTGATGCGGCGTTCTCGCGGTTGCATCGGCATTTATTGGTGCGAACTAAAATTTAATTTTTGGCTGCTAATCGAGGCTAAAGCTTATTGAATCACAAAACTCGGAGTTCCAAATTACAAAGATTATCTTATCAATCGACTTTTATATTATCCTGTATAAACATCTATTGAACATAAACTTTTCCTACATTACGTGATCCACAGGTAATCGAGGATCAAGTTTTATAACATTAATATCATCATTAAATCTTAATCGCTTGGGCACGCTTTCATCGATAAATCTAGGAGGTGAAAACTGGTAAATTTGTCGAACTCTCCCAGATGTGACCAGGTAATTACTGTCTGTTTCACTAAGCTCCTCCAGTTGCAGTTCATCTTCGTCTTCGTCTTCATCGTAGGGATGATTCATTATGTCCCTAGCGAAATAATGTTTGAATCGGGTATAATTCAAAAGAAATCCGTTCTGGAGAAACAAATTTTGAATTGAAGTAGCATTTATATAACAATCAAAGAAATACTCTTGGTCATAATATTGGTAGTTGTTTAATTGAAGTTTCCATATCTTATAATACTTTTCATAGAATTGTGGATTGATGTTACTGTTGATGCTCGCACCAGGGGAGATATTCAACACATTACAGAAATAATCCATGAGTGAATCGAGTTTCATTTCCTCATACTTTTCAATAAACATAGTTTTTACCCTAGATGTCAATTGCAGACGGTATTGTTTATTGATTAATGTTTGACAGATTGTGGCAATGTCTTGATCACCAAATGATTCCAAAATGCAATTTACAACATAGTTTCTAATCTCAGGAAACCTATCATCATGCGATACTTGTGAGAAATGTTCATTAATAATCGAACAGATCTTATCACGAGACATTGAAAAGGAAATATCGGTAGATTTGCTTCTGTGTTTTTTAAGTGATGACCGTGGTGGTTCACTTGGTATGAGAATGGGACTAGGAGGAATGACCTGCATATCCTCTGTGTCATCATCTTGTTCTTCTATGCTATGTTGTTCCTCCTGTAGTTCCTGTCGTATTCTTTCAAATTCTTGTATTTCTTTCATATCAATCATACCAAATTGTATGGTTAAATCTATTCCGTGGTAGATCAACGTGGGTGAATCTCGAAGATGTTCATCAGTACATTGGTTAAATGGAAATCTAGTATATAGTGGCAGTGTTTGCATGGTAAAACCCAGCAGAATAAAGAAGCAGAAAATGTTTAAAACATTATTTGAACATGATGATTATTAATTAAATATTTATTGTGAAATCAGGTACAGGATTAAACGTGGATGATTTGCAGTTCACGTGGGGGTGACCGGATCGAATGGGGTGATGCATGAAAATACCACTAAAAAAAAAAAAATAAAAATAAAAAAGAAAAGACAAAAAGCAGCAGCAGCAATTACAAATCAAATGTTGCCATATTTTCCACAAGACCCTAACAGGGTTAATTGTGGAGTATATTCTAATCAATTATTCATGTATTTGTCTAGAGGCTTTCTCGTTAGTAATAGTAGAGTCTGGTGTAGTCTAATGTACAAATAATTGACCCGAACCACCAATGCCGGAGTTGAAACAACAAAAGGTGATGACATTTGTAATTGCAAAGAGGTGGGGGGGGGCTGTTTATCGATAGTAAAAGTCTTTTATTGGCTATTTTCTCTATTTATTTTACTTTTTGATCTAGTTTAATGTTTCATGTTTATACCCACCCTTATTTCGTGGTCTGTTTTTGTCCTAATTTGGGTGCGAAGAATAGACAAAATCGAAACATAATTATAATTGTACCTTACATGATCATACAGAAACAAAACACAACAATTCAAACTAAGGTTATGATAACATAATACAAAGTTGCTTAGTTGTCTAAAAAAGAAACTCAGAGGTCATGAGGGATTATGCTTAGATAACCATGCTGGCGTGAATAAATTACATAACCAATTACTAACCCTTGCCTAATCAAGGTATACCCCAAACACACAATCTGGTGTCCCTGAAACCTTATTACTTCTATACTGACATAGAAAGACGAATTCGAATCTATTTATGTAATATTGGCTGAGTAATGCTGGATCAGTACAGTTGCCAGAAGCAGTTTTATTTTGGATAACTTACCAAAGTTAAGGTTGCTTTGAGGTTTACCATAAGACGCATAATGGATTTCCTTACTTCCATATAGACGTCTGGTTTGACTTTCGCTCTCTGTATTTTGAAATATTCCTAGTCTTAATTTAGATAAGCTCTGCGGCTGAGTAATTACAGCCTACCTTTCTAGTGGTGCACGAAACACTGTTATATGCAGCACCTAATTTAAGTACACGCTACACGTAAAAATATTTTTTTAATCCCATGTCAAATTTTTATTGTACAAATTGAAACACCCAAAAAAAGAAATTTACGAATACACACCTTTTTTTTTCCATTCTGGCAGCCAGATAAACCACGTCAGACCCTTATAACTACTTTGCGCTGAGTACTAACATTCGCTTATAACTTTACATAAAATACCCCCGTATGAGAATGTTAAACACAAGAAACCTTAGAGTAACATTAATAACATTGACGTTAGTTGGTATCATAGTGTTCTTTGCTAGATCCCTGGATACATTTGGTAATTCTATCCAAAAGATTAAGCCTGCTGCCCAATATGAATTAGAAACCGTCAAGAATACTATTTCAAATTTGGGTAAAGTCAACGCTGCTGCTGACAATGCTGAATCTTCTCTTGATGACGATGACGCTCCAGTCGACGTTCCTCCTATGCCAAAGGAAACTGAACCAGCTGCCAAGAACTTTAAAGTCGAAGATGTTAAAGATACTGTTGCTTCTGACACTAATATCGTCAAGCCAAAGAAGAACCCAGTCACTGCTAAGCCATCCAAGGTTCCAACGAAAGCACCAGCTAAGTCTACTGCCAAAAGTGACACTTGTAATGATGTCGAGTACGTTGTCATGATCGATGCTGGATCAACTGGTTCTCGTGTTCACGTCTATGAATTCAACACATGTACCCAACCACCAAAACTTCTCAGTGAAGCTTTTGAAATGCTCAAACCAGGATTAAGTTCATTTGACACTGATACCGTCGGTGCTGCCAAGTCCCTCGATCCATTATTGAAAGTAGCCTTGGAAAAAGTTCCTGTTACTAAGCAAAAATGTACTCCTATTGCCGTAAAAGCCACTGCTGGTTTAAGATTACTTGGGGAAACTAAGTCCAATGCCATCTTGGCCGAAGTTAGACGTCATTTAGAAGAAGATTTCCCATTCGCTGTGGTTGCAGATGATGGCATTTCCATCATGGATGGTAGAGATGAAGGTGTCTACGCTTGGGTTACTGCCAACTACTTATTAGGTAACATCGGAAATGAAAAGAAGTTGCCTACTGCCGCCGTGTTTGACTTGGGTGGTGGTTCTACTCAAGTTGTTTTTGAACCTCAAGATGGAGATTTATTACCTGAAGGTGAACAAAAGTACAAGTTTACCTTTGGAGATGACGTATTCACCTTGTATCAATTCAGTCATTTGGGTTACGGTTTAATGCAAGGTAGAAACAAGGTCAACAGTCTTGTTCTTAAACGAAAGCTTGAAGACTTGACTCTTACCAAATACACTCGTGCTACTGCTAAAGATGCTGTTGCAACCGTGTCCGTTCCTAATCCATGTATCCCACCTGGAACCGTGGCCAAGAACGTTGTTGTTGAAATTTCTGAAGATGAAGTTTATGTTGTTAACATGAAGGGTCCTTCTGATACTACTTTAGGTTCAGCACCAGGTGCTCAATGTCGTGCTCTTGCCGAACAAATCTTGAACAAGGAAGCCACCTGTGAAACCAAGCCATGTTCATTCAATGGTGTTCATCAACCATCTCTCACCAAGGGATTTGCCCGTAGTTCAGACATGTATGTGTTTTCATATTTCTATGACAGAACTCATCCAATTGGTATGCCCCAATCATTCACCGTGGAAGAATTACTTGACTTGAGTAAGGTTGTCTGTAACGGAAACTCCGACACCTGGAGTGATGTTTTCCTTGATGACCATATTAAGGAATTAAAGGACGAACCACAGTGGTGCCTTGATTTATCCTTCATTACTGCTATGTTACATACTGGTTACGAAATTCCACTTGATCGTGAATTGAAGACTGCTAAGAAATTAGATGATAATGAATTGGGTTGGTGTCTTGGTGCTTCTTTGCCATTGTTGGATAAGACCAACTGGAAATGTAGAATTGATCCAGTTAGTAGTTAAATGTACATTAGATGTTATTTGTATTGACTATTTTGTAGTACAAAATCTGGTTGCGAAAAATACAAAAAGACCTGGATTTACCCGCTGGTGTATTCTTTTCTCACCACAACATGATACACAAATCGAAATCAGTACCCACTTTTGCCTTGTTTAAAAAGACAAAATGTGCTCCTGTTACAGATAAGATCAAGAAACTGCCATCGATCTTCACCAGAGTGCATCATCTTTTGTTTGAAAAAACCAGACCAAAAAGTGAAGAAATTGATTCAGTATCCTCATTTGCACCAACTACATCTTCACCTTCAGCATCATCGGCTTACACTACTGAACCAAGAGTTAGAGAAAAACCACTCATTCTCAAATGGAGAGAAAACAGCTTTGAAAAAGCATTCTCCAAAAAGTCAACGCCAATTAAATCGTTACAGAAAATGTTGTTTAAGTTAGAACATACTGTTGATGACAGTGGAATATATGTTTCTAATAACAGATTACAGATGAAACCATTAGAACCAATTGGACTAGGGCCAGAAAGTTTCATATACTAAGCAGGAGTTTCTGTATGTGAACCTTTACTACAATTACCTAATGTTTTACTATCACCTATTAAGGGATAATCGTTTTGTTTTGCTGAGTGCAAGCAACAATATATTTTTAAAAAAAACTATGAGGTATACAAATTATGGAGTATATCAACTGTAATTAGAATAGATAGATTTGGATATTCCTATTATGAGGCAACGAATAAAAACTAGAAAAAAAATACACAGGTATCTCTATTCTTGCTCTGTATTTTCAGCAGCAGCAGCAGCAGCAACAACAGCGGTGTTCTCCGCCTCTTCCTCTTTATCTTGATCGGCCTTCCAGGCTCCAGCAAAGTTATGACTGATGTAGGCTAACGGATCGTTTTCGGGGTTGTACTCTGCGCGCATAGAACTTCTTGGTAAAACCATAATATCACCCAAAACAAATGGATTTCTTATGTATTCCAAAAGAGGATATTCAATAATAGTTTCAAAGCGATCAAAATCAGTTTGAAGAATATTATTCAAGTACTTGTATGTCATGTCAGTAAACCGTCCTGGACCAGTCCAGTCAATAACATTATCTCTGGGGTTTCTAAAGATTGCCTTTAGTTGACCTGTTTCCTCTCTCCACAATGTATGTTCGGTAATTTGATTAATAAGTTCTGCAAGCATAGGGTGTCCCTTTTTGGAAAGAATGGTCCAATTGTTAATTCTAGCCCCTTCATCATTCTCGATTCCAACAATGATACCAGGATCAAGTGGTCTATGCAAATACAGCTTTTGGTTGGTGATCCATGTATCAATTGGTTTCCACAAAATTGTGTCCAAGTCAGCATAAATCCCTCCATATGCGTATAAAAGCAAGTATCTAGAAAAGTCACACTTGAGAATTGTTTGAGGTAAGATGTTATATGCGTGAAGTACTTCGGGGATGTCTGCGTATAGCTCATTCACGACTGCGTCATATTCGTCATTGGTTTTAAAAATATGTTCATAATCGGAAGCTTTATCTAGCCATGTTTGATGATAGTCCCTATAATCGCCTGGAAACTCTTCGTGATCAAGTGGTACTTTCCACATTTGCCAAACCATTTTGGGAATAGAAACAGTAGGATCATAAGGAACTTTCGCTTGTAGCTGTTGGAATACCGTTGTGTTATAAGGAACCTTCCCTGGATTGATTGGTTGCAAATTGAATCCAGTTACCTTATAAAATGGTTCATCGTGTAGTTCTTTGAGAAATTGTTCCTTAGGATAAATATGTCCTGGAAAGGACTTTGGTGGAGCTTTGGGTGATTTGGTCAAAAAATTTTCAGGCTCTGGTGGAGCTTCTGTTGATCCAGCCGACAAATTTTCAGCAAATATCATTGTGGATACCTGTGGTAATTCTGCCCCTAAATGAAACGTAAGTACATATAACAATACTATAACACCAGTTACTCCCATCAAAATTCTTGTGTTTCTATACACTAGTTTACTCAATCTCTTCAAAGGTTTGTTCATTTTCTCCGTGATTGTAAAAAATTAGAAATAAAAGTGGTTCTTGTAATTAAATTGAAATGGTTCAATGTGCCTCTTCTCGTATTTATGATATTTAAAGGTGTTGTAAACTACATGGGATTGGTTCTATATTTAGAGTAAGAACAAACCTGCAGATTTTTCAACTTAAATTAGACACGTATATCATATGGGATAGGGGATAAGAATAACTAAGGGATTCATTGTCTTTTCTAGAAAATAATATAATTCGCAGCCCATTATGGATGGGTTTGGGGCAGATTGTATTTATTTTTATTAGCGCCTGACTAAACAATTTACGAACCTTTTCACATAGTTAAAACTTTTTACTTATGATTTAACTTATACAGAGCAGGCTATAAACAGGAACCACATCTCAAAAGTTGGATATTCAGTTGGTTGTACGATCGATCAACGAGTTATTTTTATGGAGGTAGAATGTATCGTGCACAGATTCTCTTCTGTAATACAGTATAACTACACCTTTGGAGCAGGATTTTTCGTTCTCCCGCAAGATGGTTTCGTAAATTAGTTCGTCAATAGGAATGCTTGCATCGAGAATAATATCCTGTTTCAGCTTATATCAACAAAAGAGGAATAGTGATAATTATAACCTGCTGGGCAACTGAGAATATATATTATACCACCTTGACAGCTTAGTATAAGGGATGGAGGAGTAATTTTATTCAATATCAAATATTTTCAGAAACAATATAAATTAAAAGAATTATTATTTACGGTGCGCCTCACGATTATCAAAAATAATCTGAAATAGATTTGTTCCCCCCGCCCCCATTGTATTTTTGTTCTCAATGTGATTTATGATTATTGATTTTGCTGTCCTTTACAGTAATTTACGAGAAGGATAGAAAGTTCTTACTTAGGTTTAATTCTACCGGAAAGTTAAAAATTTAATCTGAGTCTAGCAAAGCTTGCTTTATGAGTGTCAATTTTGGTAGTCCGAGCTGAAGGCAAGCATGTGCTTTTCGCATCAAACTAGTGCTGCCAGAAACCATCCCTAAGTAGAAACAAATACAAATCAGATTTTAGGCGGGGAAAAATAATCTGTTACTTTCGAAGTATTTCCGTCAGCAGCAAATGAGTTTATGGGATGTATAACGAAACACTATTCTGGATCTCAATCCTCTTAGTGTAATGGAACTATCATTAAATTTAGGTGATGGATATGGACAAGAGTGATTTGAATAAAGATAAGTAAATAGCTGCCACATTTATGAGAAGTCAAAAAATGCGTTTCAACCCCCGCAATCTGGTGGTAAATTGCTCTCAAACCTACTTTTCAAGTTTGAATTGAATCTGGATCATAGGGAATCTAGAACCATGTGGTCGTGTATCCATCAGTATGGTTTATACAAGATACAGGATGCTTTATTTTCAGCTCTTTGGTGGTTCCAGGGGATCCTCTAGTATGTTTGAGGCGAATGCTCACAGAGAGCAAACTATGATTCTCTGTAGATATCTTTATGCAGTCTTATAGTGAATGGGATCACGCTCAACTTTGCTTATATAAGCAGTTGTTCTAGGTTATCTTCGAAAACCAACTCGATCAATAATTAGAAAAAAAAACGTAGATGACCCATTCCAAGAAAATTATGTTAATTTTATACTAAAATAAGTAAAAATCCTAGAGAAAGAAGAATAAAAGAGCTAAAAGAGATACTATTTTGTTAAAGAGCATCAATACTAACACTCTCAGACTTGAAATTCTTTTTACTGGTCTAATACGGAATGAAATAGTTGCTTGGATTGAAGGAATGATCGGATCAACATTTTGCAGTCATTTACAAACCTTTTTGTTGGTGGTACTACTACTACCACAAAAAAAAAAAACCTCTATGCAGAAACTACGAAGCTTGTCTCCTCCATGTGATACGTAGTTTGTTTATCTAGGGAAGTTCGAAATCAATATCTCATCATAATAACATGAAACAAGCTATTTGCGCCATAATAAATGTTAAATGTGTGGTCTGATTTAATCCTGGCACGACCTGTCATGAGAGCAATTACGGTTGCTTTTTTATTGTTTTTCCGTCGTTCAGATCGTTTGTTAATTTCCGTTGGCTGTTTGCCGCCGCCTGTTAATTTTTTTGTTTTTTTCTTCTGGTTAATTCCGGATATATTTCACAATGCCATTGAACACGGAGTGACCCGAAATTATTTATTATTATTACTACACAATAAATATATAATTCTGAATCTTTCTTTCTTGCCATGTCGCCAATAAACACACGTTCTCAACTCACCCAGCAGATAAATATGGCCACCACCAATGTTGCTGCAGCTACTGCTACTGTTACAGATACTAATATTACCAGATCCAATCGTACTTCTGGCACAGTAACCCCTGAAGAGATGACTAATTTATCCTCAACACTAAGTAATAAACTTGCACTCGGAAAACATAGAAGCAATTCTACTGGAAGTACTACTAGTTCTCTGTCTACTAGTAGTAGTTTGCATATGAGACCGATGCAAGAACACCATTTTCCAATCAATAATAATATAAACAACAACTCGATCATTCACCCGCAACCACAACATGCACCTTCTCCTTCTTCTTCATACCGTCGTGTCAATATCAAACAGCGTCTGTCGAGTGGGAATGCATTCACAAACACCACCACTTGTCCTGCTTTGACAAATAATACCAATTGTCCTGCTTTATCCAACAGTACCAATAGCACTAATACTACTGCTAGTAGTTCACCAAGTTTCCATATGACTAGGGAGCAACCCAAGATTCACAGCAAGCTTTACTGTGAAGAGATTCAAATGCTGAACACTAAACCAATAACTAGAGACGTTCTTACCAAATTGAGTAGTGATGACCTTCGTTCGGTTAAATCGCATACGGAATTGGCGGAAACAGCCAATGGGGTAAGAATGTTGGCTAAGAACTTGCAACGTGCTACTATTCAATTGGATGTTAAGGCAATCATGATTGTTACCAAGGCTAGAGATAACTCGTTGATTTACTTAACTAGAGAAGTGGTTGAATGGTTGTTTACTAAGGACAAGGAAATCACAGTGTTTGTTGATTCCAAATTACAAGCCTCAAAAAGGTTTAATGCTCCTGATATCATTGAGAAAACACCAAAAGCAGCTAAGTTATTAAAGTACTGGAATAAGAAGTTGGCATTGAAATCACCAGAGATTTTTGATTTGGTAGTTACATTAGGTGGTGATGGTACTGTCTTATACATCTCCAATTTATTTCAAAGAATTGTGCCACCAGTTATTTCATTTGCATTAGGATCACTTGGATTCCTTACAAATTTTGAGTTTAATGAATTTAGAGAACGAATGAATCATTGTATTGATTCGGGTGTCAAGGCTAATCTTCGTATGAGATTTACCTGTCGTGTTCATGGTAATGATGGTAAGTTAATTTGTGAACAGCAAGTATTGAATGAATTGGTTGTTGATCGTGGGCCTTCACCTTACGTTACCCAATTGGAATTGTATGGAGATGGATCTTTGCTCACCGTTGCCCAAGCTGATGGGTTGATCATTGCTACTCCTACTGGTTCCACTGCATATTCTTTATCTGCTGGAGGTTCACTTGTACATCCTGGCGTCAGTGCCATTTCGGTGACCCCAATTTGCCCTCATACCCTTTCATTTAGACCAATTTTACTTCCTGATGGTATGTTCCTTAAAGTTAAAGTTCCAGATACCAGTCGTGCCACTGCATGGGCTTCATTTGATGGGAAGGTACGTACTGAACTTAAGAAGGGATTTTATGTAACTATTCAAGCTTCTCCATTCCCATTTCCTACCGTGACATCTTCCAAAACCGAATATATTGATTCGGTTTCACGTAACCTTCATTGGAATGTCCGTGAACAACAGAAACCGTTCAGTTCATACTTGACTCCTGAGAACCAGAAACGACTTGAACGTCATGATAAATCTGATATGGAGAATTTCCTGAGTATACAAACTACTAATGAAGTGCACGCTGATTCCGACAACGAAGAAGCATTTGATATCAACTATAGTGACGATGATGGTGAGAATGAGAAGGAAGAGGAAATAGAACACGAAAGAGAGAGTTCGGATGAGGATTTTGCATTCATCCCTGCCGACAGTGGGACCCTGACTCCAATGAGCCTGAGTTATAATAATATTGATGATAGATGTTGTTTTGCCCATCCCCATGCCAGAATAAGTTTAAATCAGAGATTTTGAGCCATTGAATGGTAATGAATAATGTCATGAGTAATGTGTAACTGTGGCTGATGATCTAGTCATAATTAACCAAATGAATTGTATATGTCTTTTATCTATATTTTGCAGTTTAATACTACGTTAATAACGCGTACATTTAAGCACATTCGTAGACCAATCGTAGAACGGTTAATCACGTGCCAAGACTTTATCAGTTTTTCTTTGTTGTGATCTACCACAGCAAAAAAAGCAATTGTGGTGACTCGGTACACGACTCTTTAACTAAAGTTAAATTTCTTTTTTTCTTTTTATCAGAAAAAGAAAAAAAATTTTTTTTGCCCTTCAATTAAAAAAATTTTTTTTTAGGTTGGTTGCCATATAAATAAAAAAAACACCTTTTTTTTTAATTTCCTACACTTACTTTCTTTTAATATTACTAAGTATAATGTCTGACATTACTCAAAAGATGGACAACTTGTCTGTTCAAGATAACGCTGGTGGTGAAAAGCCACAACGTTCACAATACGTCCCACCTCACTTGAGAGCTGCCCGTGCTAATGCCCCAGCTGACGTTCCTTTTGGTGGATCTCGCCGTTCTGCTAGTGGTGGTAGTAACTTTGGCAACAATGGTGGTGACTATGATGGTGGATACCAAAGAAGATCCAACTACAATCAAGGTGGTTACAACAACAACAACAGAAGAGGTGGTTTTGGTGGTGCTCGCGGTGGCAGCAATGCTGGCGGTAGATACCAAAGACCAATTCCTGGTGTTGGTAGATGGGTTGACGGTAAACACGAACCATCTGAACCTTCTAAGCAATTGGAACTTGAATTATATGGTACTCCAGATGATACCAAGATGCATTCCGGTATTAATTTCGACAATTACGACGATATCCCTGTTGAAGTCTCTGGTAACGATATTCCAGAAGCCATTACCCAATTCACTGCTCCTCCATTGGACCCATTGCTTGTTGAAAACATTACCTTATCTAGATTCACTAAGCCTACTCCTGTTCAAAAGTACTCCGTTCCTATCGTTACCGGTGGTAGAGATTTAATGGCTTGTGCTCAAACTGGTTCCGGTAAGACTGGTGGTTTCTTATTCCCAGTTTTGTCTGAATCTTTCAAGAGTGGTCCTGCTCCAATTCCAGAAGCTACTGGAACTTTCTCATCATACAAGAAGTACCCAACTGCTTTAGTTATGGCCCCAACCAGAGAATTAGTATCCCAAATTTACGACGAAGCCAAGAAGTTTGCTTATAGATCTTGGGTTCGTCCTTGTGTTGTCTATGGTGGTGCTGATATCGGTGAACAAATTAGAAACATTGGTAAAGGTTGTGACTTACTTGTTGCTACTCCAGGTCGTCTTAAGGATTTATTGGAAAGAGGAAGAATTTCATTGAGCAATATTAAATACTTGGTTTTGGATGAAGCTGATAGAATGTTGGATATGGGTTTCGAACCACAAATCAGACACATTGTTCAAGAATGTGACATGCCTGATGTCAATAACAGACAAACCCTCATGTTCTCGGCCACTTTCCCAAGAGATATCCAATTATTGGCTCATGATTTCTTGAAGGATTACGTTTTCCTTTCTGTTGGTAGAGTTGGTTCTACTTCAGAAAACATTACCCAAAAGATTTTATATGTTGAAGATGACGAAAAGAAGTCTGTTATTTTAGATTTGTTATCTGCAGGTGATGCTGGATTAACCATTGTTTTCACTGAAACCAAGAGAATGGCTGATAACTTAGCTGATTTCTTGTATGATCAAGGATTCCCAGCTACTGCTATTCATGGTGATAGAACTCAATATGAAAGAGAAAAGGCTCTTGCTGCTTTCAAGAATGGTGCTGCTCCTATTTTAGTTGCTACCGCTGTCGCTGCTAGAGGTTTAGATATCCCTAATGTCGCCCATGTTATCAATTACGATTTACCTTCTGATATTGATGATTATGTCCATAGAATTGGTCGTACTGGTCGTGCCGGTAACGTTGGTATTGCCACTGCATTCTTTAACAGAAACAACAAGAATATCATTAAGGGATTGATTCAATTGTTATCTGAAGCCAATCAAGAAGTTCCAGATTTCTTGACCAAGATTGCAAGAGAATCTTCATTTGGTGGTAGCTCCCGTGGTGGTAGAGGTGGTAGAGGTGGTCGTGGATCATCTGGCCCAAGTAGAGATTTTAGAAGAGGTGGTTCATCATCAGGTTCTTCTGGTTGGGGTGCCAGCTCTGGCTCTTCTGGCTGGGGAAACAGTGGTAACTCTGGTTACTCCAACTACAATTCTTCAGCTTCTAGTGGTTCTGGCCGTCGTACAAATGATTACAATTCAAACTATGGTAATGCCACTTCCAACTCCTGGTGGTAAATGAATAGCTAAGTAGCTATTTTTGTTTTGGTTTTGCTATTGTTTTTTTGTTACTATTTTTTGTTTTATCATTTGTTGATTTTTTTTTATATTTTGTTGATTTTACAACTCCATGTCTCAATCATTAAGAAGGAGGAAAGATTTTTCATCCATATTATTTATTTTGTTTGTTTAAACAGAATTGTTGCTAATTATTCAGTTGGTATTTTTTTTATATATTAAGGTTGCTTTTTCAAATTTTTATTTCCCCAGGTAAGAGAGAATTCTTACTCCATTAATTATTAGTTGGTATTATTATTTTTATTGATTTTTGTTTTATTCATTTTTGATAGTGATTTATGGAGGAACCTTTATCCCCCTTTACAGTTTTGCATATGCTGCGGGTTCAATTCATAAATTGTATTACTATATCATAAAGAAAGTTTGATTTTTAAAGTTTGGAAATAAAGCATAGAAAAGGCATAGAAAGTTATAGAAAAAGAAGAAGAAGAAGAGGAAGAGTGGAGGAGCTGTGTGAATGTTTGGAATGAGTTATTTGGTTAACTGCGTTCTTAGTGGAGATAGCATTTTCTTCTTGTTTTTTTAGGTTATTACTTATAGGATTTAGACATTGGGTCAAGTTATAAAGTTTATAGTTTCATATTACATATGAGTTAATTTGAGTTTGTAGTTCCTCTATATCGTAGAAGTTATATTCGTTCTAGAATTTGTGGAAGTTTGTCGGTACTTAATTTATCCGCGTTGAGATCTCATTTTTTTTTTCAGGAGGGGGTCAACTGATATCAAAGCTATATCTATATTTTTTTTTTTCAAAATAGTAAATACTCACGTTGATAAGATCGATCCCACGAAAATGGTCCAACCAGGTCTAAAAAGGTTTATATTCGCCTTACTAACCCTATGGATAATATACTTTACCATTAGTTCTTTATTTACTAGTCACACTGAATCAGTCAAGGAATTCAGTAGTGCCAAACTAGAACTTGTCAATGCATTAGAAACACATTTCGACTGGAAGAAAACAGGACTAAACTTCCAACCAACTTCCAGGATTGCCATAACTAAAGATACAATTGTCCAGCAGCAATTATCATCTGCATTCCCCTATGATCCCAATGATTCCTTTCCCAAGAAAATCTGGCAGACGTGGAAAGTTGGCCTTGATGAACATGATTTTCCTCATAAATATAGACGATATCAAGGTACTTGGGAACAAAAGAACGCTGGATACAAACACTATGTTCTTTCAGACGCCGAGTGTGATGTTCTTGTTGAGAAATTGTTTGTTAGTGTCCCTGATGTGGCTCATACGTACAAGATCATGCCCAAGAGTATTCTCAAGGCAGATTTTTTCCGATACTTGATCCTTTTCGCTAAAGGAGGAGTTTATACAGATATAGACACCACTGCATTAAAACCCATTGATGATTGGGTTTCGAATAGTCAAGTTTATTTAGGAGTTGTTAATAATGCGGGATTAGTTGTGGGTATAGAAGCTGATCCTGATCGTCCTGATTGGGCCGAATGGTATGCTAGAAGAATTCAATTCTGCCAATGGACTATTCAACTGAAGAAAGGACATCCCATGTTGGGACAATTGATTGCAAAAATCACGGAACTTACATTACAAAGAGAAGAACAGGGTACTTTAGAAAAAGTATTGGGAAAAGATGAAGGAGGAGATATCATGAACTGGACCGGACCTGGGATATTCACAGATTATGTGTTTGCATATATTAATAGCATTCTTGAATCTCGTGCTAGCTTCAAACTGAGGAAATATGATGGAGCAGTGGATTGGAAATTGTTTACCGGGATGGAACAGCCCATTGTATTAGATGACGTGATGGTATTGCCGATAACTTCATTTAGTCCTGATGTGAATACTATGGGTGCTGGTGATTCTAAACATCCTATTGCCTATGCCAAGCATATGTTCCTGGGCTCTTGGAAGAAAGACGATCCAATGCCTGGAATGGAAGATTAATGTATTTATGTTTGTAAAGTTTAAATTTGTACACTAATTCTGAATAATTATCACTAGAAGTAATACTTCTGCTTACACTAGACTCTTGTGACAGTTCAACACGTTCAAAAGGTTTGACATATTTATCAACGAAAGATAGGTGGTAGATATATTGCCAGGGCTAGGAGGGCCATCATATTTAGTTGCGTGTGGAAAAAAGCTAACGCAGGTTTAAGCAGAGTGATAAAGCCATCCGCATAAAACTAATTGGACTAAATTTAGATCTGCATGGAAGACCTTTTTTAGCATTGTGAGATCTTGAGATATATCAGCTTATCGTACGAGTGCCAAAAAAAAAAAAATTACTCAAGTCAATAATCAGATATTCATAAATAGGTTTTGACCACACAATAATACACGTGTTGCAAAATATTGAGAAGTCTACAGTGACTCAAAAAAATATTTAGAAAAGATACAAACTAAATTTTAATTTTTCATTGTTTTCGCAGTCAATCTAGACTAAAAAGTATTGTACGGGAAATGAATATTCAGGAATACATTGTTATTGCTGACTTGAAAAGGGTTTAGTTGACTCCAGCAACTAGGAGCCAGAACTGAGATTCTGCTACACAAGCATAGTTTGGAACTCCTTTCAATACATTCGATAATTATTTTCCACCTACAAGACAATAATAGTCCTGCAAAATCCCAGATTTCCCTAACGACAGCTTTTTTAGCCACATGTTTTTTAGAAGCTGCATATTCCAGATTATAAAAATAAATAGATCCCACGTGAAGCTGATTCTTCTAGCTCAAATCTGATATACTATGATTAAACTTAAACAAAATTAATTAGATAAATAATTCACATACAAAAGATATCCTATGAAAGTGACTCGGATATTAATCGAGGCTTAGAACCACTACTAGCCACATAATGTTATCAAAGGCAATAGAAGTGATATAAGCCCATTTGTTCTTACCCTAATTCCTTTTGAAATAAATTATTAATGCTAAACAAATTCATTGTTCAAATTAACACATACACTAATTAATATTCGTAAATGTAAATGATGAATTGTTGATATTCAAATCTCTAATTTGGGCACGATTCTTTCGGAAATTTTTGCAAAAGTACGAATTATAAATAGCACCCCTTATATCTACTTAATACTTTCAATTTACTCATTCAAATATAATCACAATAATGGCAAATAAAGAGGAAGATCCAGAGCTTACTTTCACCATAGAAGATGATTCAGTGGAAGCTATTCCACTACAATCCTTGGGAGAACTGTCTATGAATTCCAGTATCTTTGTTGACTCACCTCTAGAGTATCCAAAACCCGGTATATTTCAAACTGCAAACAAGTATTTCCACTATATATTCAATATACTTAGTTACCAATCAAAGTGCGTTGGTACTTTTTGTGAACTCCATTGCAAGAAAATATTGGTCTTGATTATTACAATTGGTTTATCATATTATTTGATAACATTCCTTGATTTGGGCCCTCCTGCAAGATCTAAAACAGAATATAGTTCAACAAAGCTTCAATTTCTTCGCTATATGGAACACTATCCTGATTATAAGAAAAATGGTTTAAGTTTTCAGACGGAGTTATCCACTAAACTTTCAACCAAAACAAGACTTCGCAAACAATTGGCACATAGTATCCCTTACAACCGAGACACCCCATTACCCAAACAAATATGGCAAACTTGGAAAGTGAATCTTGATGACCCAAATTTTCCAGCCACATTCAAAAATTATCTGCAAACTTGGACTGAGAAGAACCCTAATTATACTCACCATATTTTAGCTGATCAAGAGTGCGATCAGCTTGTAGCTGAATTGTATTCTGGAACTCCCGATGTGATCCATGCTTACCAAATTATGCCTAAGCCTATTCTCAAAGTTGACTTTTTCAGATATTTAATTTTATATGCCAAAGGAGGAGTCTATAGTGACATGGATACTAAAGCAGTAAAACCTATTGATCACTGGGCCTCCAACTTAGAAAGCAAAAGATTCAATTCTACTATTTATTCCGATGATCCTAAAAACCCTGGTTTGGTTGTAGGAATAGAGGCAGATCCCGAGGTTGACCAGTACAAATATTTCGCTCGGTCACTCCAATTCTGTCAGTGGACAATCCAACTGAAAAAGGGGCATCCCATGTTAGGAGAACTAATCGCAAGGATTACTGAAACTACATTGGAACGTGAGGAAATGGGTCTACTTGAGCACAAGTTAGATGTTATGGAATGGACTGGTCCTGGTATATTCTCAGATTATGTATTTGATTACCTAAACAGTATTTTTGATGCATCTTCAGCTGTGGCCCGTCGGAAATATGACAGAATCTTTGATAGAACTTTTTTCACACATATGGAACAGCCTATTCTTATTCAAGATGTATTAATATTACCAATTACATCTTTTAGTCCAGATGTTGGATGGATGGGTGCTCACGAATCTCTGGATCCCATGGCTTATGCTAGGCATATGTTTCTGGGTTCTTGGAAGGTGAATTCCACTGCTCCAACTTAAGTGGTACAATTAGCGGTTTTGTATAGTATGATTTCCGTTTGCAAGAGAATTTGCATAAGATAATTTAGATATGCTGAATCATGACATACATATTACTGCACTATCTGGAGTCAATTCTTATATATATATCCCACCCTAAGATATAATTTACTATAATATGTTTGTGATATTGGTGGAACAATAGAGGATTATTATTTTCCTATTCTAGTAGCACTTTACTTACAACAAAATATTTAAAATTAGAATCTTCACTGAACCCTTTGTGTCAATTTGAAATTTTTCGTAAATAAACTCATACAAAAATTGTTTAGATTGTAGCATAAACCAAAAGTGAATTGTCATTACTTATAATATAAGATGTAAGATCACAGGTAGAGGTTTGCATACTTAATTAGGAACGTATTACTGGTCATTTACCAAGTCTAGAATTTTGAAATAGGAGTGTATTCCTGAAAAATAATCTTGCAAATCTCAGAAGACCCAAGGCGTGTGTGAGTGAGAGTAAAATTTTCCATACCCCACTATAATAAATTGCGAAAAGTACCAGGATATTTTCAAAATCTTCTAGAAGCTAAGGGAAATATAGTTCCTATATTGTATTCTATATCATATCGTGATGAAGTACCTAGAATTTAATCATGGAGTTCTCCATGAAGATAGTAATAGAAAACACTATAATTGGAGAGAAGTAGCCCCGTTTTAAAATTTGTTATTTTGGCTTCTCTGGTCAATAGGAAGACATAAGCCACCACCATTGTTCATAATTGCCACCTAATCAATTAGATTCGTAAATGAAAATTAAATTTAATAGCATTAAGAGTTCTCAATTTACCCTCTGAAAGTATAGGTTTATTAAAATAATCTGGATTTCAGTATTGTTTTTGATTATTTACTACCTTTAAATAATTGAGTTTATGTTTTTAAATTATAAAAAAGTTACTGGACAAAGATCAATAGCCAAATACGAAAAATCTCCGCAGTTAGACTAAACCAATTATTTTTTAATCCAATTAGTATAGATTTGTATTTCACATTTATAACTAATAATCTAAGGCAGGTAAAAATAATTTTATAGCAAACTATTTAGGGTTTGTTGTGGTGGCCAAACTTCCTTTTTTTTCTCGTTATTATTAAATCAATAAGGGATTAATACACTATAAATAATACTTAAAGCCCACATCAGAATTCTTTCGAACCTTACTCTTCTTAATTGCCGATTGTATAATATTTGACGTACTTCTGCTTTATAGTAATCAGGTTTCACTATTTTCCGTATAAGATTTGGAATCCTTATAATTTAACTCGTTACATCGTCGATTATCTGTTTTGCAACAATCCGAGTAAGTACATTTTCAAGAAGCAACCAAAAACTATACAAAAACATTCTCTAAAATTTTAGAGAGATTTTGAAATATATCTTATTCTTCATCACTAGCTGCTCCGACCTCATCCAAATAACAATTCCAACTTATGATTATCTCACCTAAAGCACTCAAATCAATCGTAATCGGCTTTGTTACCGCGTCAGCTTTACATTTGCTATATTCAATCCATACCGCTTCAGGATCATCAGCTCTATCATCCTTAACCTCAGGATCAAGCAGTTTTGGGATTTTAAAGTCTCTCACGAGAGGTGTATTTACTTCCCAGCAAAATGAAGAAGAATACAAACTTGTCGGTTATCATCAAGATCGTCAAACAAACTTAATAGTTTTACAAAAGAGTTACTTAAACGAACTAGATTCTAGTTCTTCCAACCAGGTGTGGAATTCTATTAAATCAGATATTGATAATAATGTTGATTTTGATTTGAAAGTAATTAGCGGGTATAATTACAAAGAAATGATTGAGCGTATTAATTCGGAAAATGAACTAAGCTTAAACAATTCAGTCATTGAACAGTTTGAAACTGAACAAAAGTTTATTCATGCATCAAGAGATTTCTTTACAAAATTAATGCAATTCATTCAATCACACAAACCAGATATTGGAGGAATCAACAATAATGAGCATTTTCCAAATGGTAAAAAGATCGAAGAATACTACCAAAAGCAAAAGCAAGTGTCCGATGAAGAACTTGCAAAGATAGATACAGAAGACTTATTGCATAAATATGGTCATTTGCCTGTTTATGGTGGCCATCTTAGGGAACAATATTCTGAAGAAGTTGTAAGAACTAAAGAATACTTGTCTTTATTCATTACTTTAAGTCAACAAGAAAAAGACAGTTTGAGAAATTCTCATAATGCTTTTGTTCATAATATGATGACTCAATACTCTGACGAATTATTGCAATTTAATAAATTCAACGATTTTATGAAGGGTGACGGTATCGTTTATTTAGGAGGTGGTAGCTATAACCAATTAGTCTTGGTTTCTCTCAGAATTCTTCGTGAAAATAAATCTAGATTGCCAGTTGAAGTTCTTATGCCTTATGAACAGGATTATGATCAAGAATTTTGTCACCATATTTTACCAACCTTGAACGCTAAATGTAAGCTTATGACTCACTACTTGCCCAAGAGTTTTATGGATAACGTTGGTGGTTTCCAATTAAAGAATATCGCCCTTTTAGTCTCTTCGTTTGAAAGAGTTCTTTACATTGACTCAGATAATATTCCAATTAAAAATCCCGATTCGTTCTTTGTGAATAAACCGTTCACAAATAAGCATTTGGTTATGTGGCCAGATTTGTGGAGAAGATCAACTTCACCAACTTTCTATGATATTGCAGGTATCCCGGTTGATGATACTTTCCAGGCTCGCAATTCATATGCAAAAGGTGATCCTCGTGGAATTAATGAAGATACCAGCAAAATTTCCTATCATGATCTTAAAGGTGCTATTCCAGAAGCAAGTTCGGAAACCGGGCAAATTTTAATTAACAAGAAAGTCCATTTCCAAACCTTAATCTTAGCAATGTACTATAACTATTATGGTCCTGACTTCTTCTATCCATTGCTTTCCCAAGGTGCTGCTGGTGAAGGTGATAAGGAAACATTTATTGCCGCTGCTCATAAATTAAATTTACCTTATTACCAGGTTCAGGAATTCTGCCGTGAATTGGGACCTGTAGATCCAAACTCCAAAAAACATAATATATTTGCTATGGGTCAATATGATCCAATAATTGATTATATTCAAACTGGTGAAGATCCAAGTGTTGAAAACCACGCCCAAGGTTCTAAGCAACACGTGGTTGATTACTACAGTGAATCAACTTTGAAATACCCTAAACATATGAAGGACACTAGTATGTCAAACTACGATTTTCATTACTTCAAATCCTCGTCACTAGCTTTCTTACACGCAAATTGGCCAAAATTGTATCTTCATGTATTCTCAGATCAAGACAGAGGTCCAATTATCAAAGAAGGAGAAAGAAGAAGATTGTATGGTATGGAAATGCTTAACGAATTATCAGGGTACGATTTTGAATTGCAACTCACCAGAGGTGTTTACAGCACATTCTGTATTAAACCTTATCTTATTATAAGCAAGGGTGATCATGCAGATGATAGAGATAAGATATGTGAAAATATTAACGCGCAAATTCAATTTTTGGAAAAGAACTAGAGATAATTTATATTAGACTAATAATTACAAAACTTGGGAGATATATCTAGTGTAGTTCTGCAGTTAAGTCACCTTGCTATTGAAGCAAGGAACAATAACTCGTGATTTAATACACAGTACTCTCTATTCAAAATGTAAATATCTATTGGTTGTATATAGCTTGATTTTAGATCTTCTGACTAAATGTTGATTCTCATCAGGATACTCATATATTCTACATGAATTTCCGCAAGCAACAATAACCACAATATCAAATTATTGCTAATTACTTTTATATAATATATTCATGTATTGTAAGCAACTGCCAAAGCTTGTACCTCATTATGCAGTTACATAGCTATGTTTCAAAATGAAGAAAGGAATAATAATGGTTATTTATAATGCTATAAAATACATGTTATCTCAAATAGCCACAAAGAAGAAATTGATATACAACGTATCCATTAGCCCCAGCTAGCTCTCCATAACTTCATTTTTTTTCCTTTTAAACGAGGCAAACAAGCGTATGTTAAGATATATATCACTGAGATCTTCTCTTTTGGTCGCTGCACATTTCAGCATAATGTATCCTAATCGTAAAAACATCCGATTTTTCAGGAGACTGTTACAGTCTATTCAATATAAATGCTAACAAGCTGCTTTGTTAAAGTGGTTATGGCAACCTAGGATATGGACACAGTTTCCATTTAGTAAACATTATGCTACAATATTACAACCACCTACGTATTCAGCTGAAGAAGGGTAAAAAAAAAGTCGATAGTAGCAATGTTACAAGTTATTGATTCCATAATAATACTTTTATAGGTGTTAGATAATACGATAGAGGTGTGATTAAGTGCGAAAATATTTCATACTACCACACAATAATAACTTTCTAAAATTAAGAAGATAATATTCAAAAATGTTCCTCAAGTGTCAAAATATTACGATGCCAATTTTATATAGGGGTTAAGTGTCTTAGATTTCCTTCTAAAGTTTATCAAAAGAAATAGTAACAGAAAACAGCTACATTAGAAGGGGTTAGCCCCGTTCCGAAAATTCTCCTAAATTTTGTTCTTTGGTGAACAGAGAGACAACAGCCACAACCATTGTTCATGAATGGCACATAATAAATAATATTCGAAAATACAAATTAAATCTGCTTAAATTAGGGATTTTTAATATGTCCTCATAAATTGCAGAATTATTAGCGTGATCTGTAAATTTTGTGTTTCTTTCAGCATTCCTTTTCCCATTCTATTGTTCTTTTTACATTTCTGCAACTTTTGGAATAGTACAACCACTGCATCCTTTATCAAAACATTTTGAAACTTACAGGATTTGGATTTGACATCATCATTAAATGAATCTTTAGATGCGATTTCACCTAAATCTACTTCTCAGAAAACAATATTTCTTTTCAATACATCAGAAGCCCTAAGTTCAGGATTGAGATTTGCAGTACATCTAACTTGTATTTAACGAGACTTTGTATTGTCAGTCATGGAAACACCAAAAAAACATCGTGGCCCTAGCTCAAATCTGGCTTTCATATTACATAATAACGTTTGTTGATTTCGGTCCACCGGCAATAAATTGAACTTATTAAAACTTACGCAGGCTTTAATTACTCTGTCAATTAGATGAAAATCCCGATTATAGACAAATTTTTTATAATCGGGATTTTCATCTAATGCAGGGAGTAAATGAGGTTTGGTTGAGCTATAATAGTACTTCCAACTAAAGTTCAAAGTCGCTCACGGCTTATAATTATTGCCTCACAGCAAGTAGCCGAGACATAAACACGTGAAAGAGTCAAGCCACTACCTGAATACATATTCTAAATTGGGCTCAATATGAATCTCAACAACAAATCTCTACACAGATAACCCTGATTTCAAACATGCTCAAAAAGATTAGAAGGATCACAATGCCAGATATAAATACAATATATTAATTGACGACGAACGTCACAGTGTTGAACATAAGTTACATGTCAATTTCCTAGATGACAATCCTGTCTGAAATTAAGTTACTATTATTGGAGTTAATCCTTTAAGTTACATGTTCTTGTTTTCCAAGGGTGGTTATTAGATTGGCACAGATAATTAAGATTATAAAACTATCAAGGATTAGACGTTGAGGACGAAAATTATAGCCATGTATTTGTTGCTGGACGTGAATCTCTCGCTAGTCAAACTGCTTTGTTTCGATGAGGACACATCAAAGACCAAGAGTCGGTGTTCAATTAGCTATTTTCTATATTTAGAATGAGACCCACTAGTTTGAAGTATTGCATAAACTTTGACGAAGTAATTGTTGCCAAATTAAGCTTACTTCACCTAAGTTGATTTATAAAATATATAAAATATTACTTTTTCATTCATATTTAACCTTCTTGTGAAAGGGTCGATTAAGTTACAAACCAAATCATAGTGTATAACGCAATTTAATAACGAAAAGAATAACAATAGTTATGACGAACTGTTCCAGGTTAGTTTGTGCATTAATTTCTATGTCATAAAAGATTCAAATATGATTCGAAACCGTCCTCATGTATTATTATTACAAGAAGATACCCAAAACAGAAAAGATAACTCCTTGGAAATTAGAATATCCATTGAATTTGTGCCTGGAAATAGGACCTCATAAAATAATTTATATGCTAAGAGGTCAAAAAACTTGAATACACTCAATCAATAATAGTTTTTGTGAAGTTAAAATTGAGGCTCTGACAATCTTCTCCTCGTTTATTAATTGTCTGCCAAAAAAAAAATGGAAAACGATCTACAGGAGCTAATAAAGTTAAAAACATTTCCTAGTTGGAACCTCTACCCGGTCATTCTCATAAAAATATAATAAGCAAGAAGCAATTTTGGGTGGAAAAGGCAAAAAAAATTGCCAGACACGAAACAATTTCTTTTTGAGATGAAGATGCCGGGATTTTGTCAATCCGACAAACGGGGGTCAATAATAGACCAAATCAAGGAGGCTCTATATTCACAGCACGTGGAAAAGCTTAGGTCATCGTAAAATCAATCTCTTTGATAAACTTTTTTTTGAAAGTACTACATAAATGGGATCCCATGTAGTTCTCTCAATGTTTATACCAAAAAAAAATTACTATATTTGTCTAGATATATTGAAAGTTAATTAAAAGTGAACATTAATTGAAAAAAAAACCGTGGACACCTATATGATCGTAATTGAAATTCGACAGGTTAACAAAAAGAAAGTGGGATTGTTGTTATGCGTACAACATTAAAAAAGTGTTTCTTGGGGGCGTTTTTTATTATACTTTTGAACAGTTATAGCCGAAAATATAATTCTAAAGACAAATGCTACGAAGAATGTAGTTTTGCGGAACAATCTAATAGCAGAGAACTAAATATTTTAATTCAAATAGAAAATTATTGACGTCAAAGTAAATTTTCAAGGTAGTATCCAACAGGTCTATCTCCCAAACACCTCCCTTCAATTGATCCAATTTGACTCTCGTTGATAGCTTCAGGGCGGAAAAACAATAATTTTTTATCCTTTTTTTAATCAAAAATCATGACTAAATTAAAATACTCTTTGTGATTACTATATATTTCATAATACAATCATTGTATTGTTTTCAGGTTAGAAAATAAAAAAGATTTTTCTTTTCTATTCCTGGAATTAGATGTTTGCAGGATATTTCCTTTTCTTTCAATCTTGTTTCGATTAAGTTCACAATTAAGAAATTTGTAATTAACTCAAGGTAGTGACATTCTCTATGATGTGGCTTTATTAAGAAGCTGGTAAACAAAAATAAATTATGATGGCTCTGCAGGAAGGTAATTGCAAATTTCTAGAATTGGACACTGTGGGTAATGCCAATGAAATTTTTAAAAAAAGATTTCGAAATTTAACATAGGGCAAGTAATTAAACAACATATGTTTAATAAGGGACGTGGTACTAGTAAATCCATTGATAATCGTATCATTTCTTTGAAATTATCCAAATTTTTGCAACCAAATTACATGTGAAGGTAAGAATTTCTACTCTAAGATTTTCCAAGTGTATCTTGTGCTATTATAATAATGAATATTTGCTTTTAATACTAGAGTGAGAATGCTCTTATTCTAGGCAGGCTCGATAAAAGGTATATTTTTATTATTTTCTTTTAACGTAAGTTGTTTTTTTTTTTTTTTTGCAATTAAAAAAATAACTTTACGAAATTATTTTCTAGTTGGTTAATGAACCAAGGAGGAAAATCAAGAAATAATGCAGGACGAATTTTCAGTTCCGATTACATACTGCAAAACTACTTATGGTAATAATATTTTCAGTTAACTAGTACAAACTCATATTTTAGTGATAACTATGGGAATGGGCTCTTTTTCTTACACAACTTAACTTTAATTCTAGTAAATAAACTTGCAACATTAAGTAATTTAATCAATGTAATGTGACTGGAAAATAAAAGAAAACAGGTCTTTGTACAGCAACATCTTAATCAAAACAGAACATAAAAAAACCAACAGAATGTATTTCACATACACACTAAATTAATTAAACAATAATACAAACAAATATACTACTAAAATTTGTTCTCGAGGTTACTACGATGGTATTATGGATGGGGCGGCCGGATGATATTGATTGATTGTTAATTTTAACAATAAAGAAATTTTATTATTCCAGGAAGTGTGGATAAATTTACTACCAGCTATTCACATGTTAATTTTCTTGATATAGTAAATCCCTAGTTATCTAAATATGAAAGGTTTAAAAAAGTTGTGAAGACTATGCTCTCTTCTTTTTACTAAGTGAAATAGTGTGATTCTCTTTCACAATTAATGAAATACCCACATTAGTTTTCCAATTTCTCGTATCGCTGACAATTTTATTTTATTACTAACCCCTTCATAACATGTACTGTATTGAAGATATTTCCAAAAAAAATGCTGTAATATTTTTAAAAACTGAGGCCACGCTGATACAAGATGCAAAAACTCAGATTTATCCCTGATGTTTTGTCCCGCCTGTCGATTTTAAAAAGATTAAAAATACGAATTTATCTCCCAAATTTATTTGATTTATTAACCATTGTTTTACCAGTTCAATCATATTGATTTAAGTAATTGGCAAGAAACATGCTGTATAAACTTCTATTCAACTTGATCAACCACAAAAACCGGAGGAAAACCGCCATACTTTGCATAGTATTCATCTTATGCGCCTGGCCATTATGGACATTTTCGCATCAAACCAGGAACATTGACCGATACATAAAAAACCCTATTTACAATTTCCACAGTAAAATATTTGGCAAGCTTCAACCGGTTTTATCGATTGGTGATCGATTTGTTGTATTTCCCAAGAATGGTGCTTCGAGTGCTACCCTGTTAGCCACTGAAGAAGGACGATTTAAGCTTGTGTATAATGGTAATTCATCTGCCGTTACTTACGACCTTATCACCAGAGAATATAAAGGTCTTCAATTTGATTTATACACTTCATTGCAAAATACAGAGCAAGACTACTGTGGCACAAGAAAGAGTGGGATCATATTCAATGTAAAAAAGCTTCACGTATTTAAAGAAGAATATGACCAGATGGCTGACGTGTTGATTGATCAACTTTCCAATGATGAAGCATTTCAGGAGCTAGCAGAGTTCTTTGAGGGTAAAGTTCCCAAGATGATACAGGATGACAATGTGTACAAATACTTCTACAAATTCGCCGGTACCTCCGTGTGGTTGAAAGATTACGGGGTGCATCTTATGGTTAGCAGGGTATTATATTCTAAATTTGGATTAAAATGGGATGCCCATATGTCGTTGCTTTATGCCCAAGTGTATAATGAACATTGGGAACTTTTGCATAACGTTGAGTTGAAGTTGCCTAACTCTGACACGATTCTTCAATTCCCACGATTCATGCCCATTCCTTTATACCATAATTTGTATGGGGGTTGGTTTGGTCCTGAAGATGCTCGTCTCTTTCTAGTAAAGAATAAAAATGGTCATGAAGAACCTGTGGTGGTTTTTAATGCCCAGCATGAACAAGTGATTGTTGCTGATCAGGGAGAACCGGCCAGATGTCATAACTATCGAGCTATGTTTATGGCGTGGCTATTCCAGTTTCAAAAGGGTAAAAAGATAGCCGAGTGTAATCCAGACAAAAAGTATGATAATATCACTTATAACAAAATTCGAGAATTGAAGATTGATGGACTGGGGAAACCCAAGGACATAGAAAAGAACTGGACTCCATTTACTGATCCTAGTGAAAGGAATCCCTATGATACACATATCTACTTTATTTACGAATTTCACAATCTTAAAGTATTGAAATGTGAATTGGCCCATCTTGTCCTGGATACTCTTTCCAACTGTGCAGTTGTATTTGAAACTCCTAGTTATACAATTGGTCCTATTCGAGGCGGTACTGAACTCTTGCCCTTGAGCACAATAAGGAAAACCAAGAAGTCCATATGGATTGGGTTTGTGCGGACCCATTTGAACAAATGGGGATGTGAAAAGGAAATGTACCTTCCTCACTTTTTTCTCCTTAGTCGTCAAGGATCCAATTTCAAAGTCACGTACATGTCTAGTTCGCTTGCGTTCGATGTTCCTATCAGAAGTGAACATCAAAAGATTAGGCTTTGTGATTCAGAGGATTTGAATATTATCATTCCCAACGGGATTTCCAACTGGGAATACCACAAGGAATCTGGAACTGATTATATGACACTTACTTTGAGTACGGGTGATTCCAACAATATTTTGTTGCACTTGAAAGATATAGGAAAAATGATCGATGAATTATATACTGGGGAATGGAATGAGAATGTTAAGGACATAAAGATGAACAAGTGTGTATTGGACAGTGATTTAGACTTTTGTAAGACATATGGAGACGAGATGACGAGATTGGGACTTACTGAAGCACAAAGATTAGAAAACGAGTAGTAAGATTAATTGAAGACACCTAGAATATTGTAGCTTGTAGAATTATAAAACAATATATTTCATAAGATCTGCACCCTTGTATTACTCAAGTGAGGTATAGTGTAGCCAAAAACAGACATTAGAGGTATTTTGGGCCATTATATACTAAAAATTTGAATTTATTTCAAAATGCTTTTAGACATTTTTGTACAAGATTTTTTGTTACTAATAAATGGAATTCCATAGTTAACTGATCATCACTGGCAGGAATTCGACTTTGCTCAAATCTCGGGAACTACGAATAACATTTCTAGTTTTAAAAGAAGTAAAAATTAACTAATTTAGGCAATGCAATAGTTTGTACAGTTATCATGTAATTGGTATCTTTGAACTCATAGTCGTTAAATAATATCATTTATTAAAATCTATTATTCCTTAGAGGAGGTTTAGATGTAGGGAATCACACTCGTGGGATTCTAACGGCAAATTCAAAGAGATTATAAATTCTCACCCACTGTGTTCTCAATAGAAAATTTATATTGGATACCTACACAAAAAGTATACCACGATAAATCCATTGTATTATAGATCTATTAGAAAAATACGTTATTGTACTATTTATGAAAACTCAATCTTGGTGTAGTAAATTAGAAGCTCGTGTATAAGCGTATTTTGTAATATAATAACTCTACTTTTGTAAGAAAATAGAATGATCTGTTAGTCGGAATAGCTCGTTCAGGAGGCAGCTTGAGGACTTTGCTGCCTCCAACCACCCAGGCTGGAATGAAGGATAACTTCACCAGCCATCACAATTGGTGCAATTTTTCTATGGCCATTTTAATATGAGTATGATATTGTTGAGAATCATAACATCACTGGCTACAAAATTATATATGATACGAATGGTGGCAGCTCTGTGAACTTGGAACTTGGCTGGCTGATCTCAATTTAAAAAATATATGGCTCTCCCGGTATTTTTTACGGTGATAGTAAACAATTGTAGATGAAATCCTAACTAATAAAGATTAAATAGATTAGATTCGTTTTGCTCTTTTATTTTTTTTCATACCTTCTCCAATCCTATTACTGATGACGTCATGATATTGCCTATTACCTCATTTAGTCCCGACATTGGATGGATGGGTGCAAAAGACTCTGGTGATCCAATGGCCTATGTTGGACATATGTTCCTGGGAACTTGGAGAGGTCACGACTAGTCTCAAGGAGAATAATTCCATTGTGGTAAAAAAAAAAATTACTAACCTTTATGATTTTACATGTTTATCTATACAATACAAAATTTCACCAAGCTAGTTGTTCGATAATTATATTTTTTATGTCAAGCATTTGTTTGTACTCATTTTGACTCCTAAATTTTTTATAGTACACAGAACAGTCCTTATTCGAACAGTTCTCAGCAGACTGGTTGGTTATATTGTTTCCTTTATTACCAAATGCACTGTAAACGCAGTCCTTACATAGTTTCTCAAGTTTCCTGACTCTCAATTCATTCTCTCGACATTCCAGACAAATAGTTGCAACAAGTTGTTGTTCATCACTTGTGCAACTCAGACAAACCATTGAATTATTAAGATCCAATTTCTCGTGACAACTAAGGCAAGTATGGGAATTAAGTACTCCACTCTGCAACAATCCGTCATTTCGAAGTAATCGACTACGACTTTGAGAAAATGAAGGCAACTCTCGATACCATCCTTTCACATCAACTCCAAGCAAATTAAACACTCGTGCCAAAGGCGGGATAAGTACTCTAGTGATATAATATTCATAATCCAACATCAAAGGTTTATCTGTCTTATATGAAGCTATGAGATCTTCTGGTGAAATACAACGATCTTTAATCCTGTGTTTGGTAGCATCTTGTATGATTACGTATGGCACTCTCTCTCGGTATTGAGGTTCTTTCCGAGGATCATCTTCCACCATCTTATTAGCAACCACTGCCCCCGGTGGTAAATATTTTTCATTCTTGTACGTACCATACCTAACTTCCTTAGCAAAGCAGAAATCCTGAACCGAAATTTTGTTGATTGATATTTTGTAAAATTGTTTCAAAGTGTATTCCTTAACTTTAGAAAGGTTTTGTGTTTCAAATAATATTCGTAAAGCCTTCTCGGTCATTTTCAGCTGAGCAGGAATACCATCCCTTCTTACAGTCTCTATACCCTTGGCGTCAAATTTGGGAACTTTTTGATCTTCATACTCATATGCATAACCTACATAACGTTTCTTCGTCAAAAGCACACATGGATGGTAGACCTTCTCAAACTTTAATTTTACCGGATCAGGGAAGACGCTAGTAATATATTGAGCAATTGATTTTCCCAATTTAAACGCTTCATCTTTAGATTTACCTGGGAAATAAACAAATAGCGAATCGGTATCACCATAAACTACTTTAGCACCATAGTTACCAGCTTCAATTAATTCAATAGACTTCATTAGGATTTCTCTCCCAGTCGATACAATAGCATCTGAAATATCAGAGTTGGGCATTCTTCCACTGAATGTAGCGGAGGTATACCCATACGTAACATTAGCAATTAATTTCAAAGCAAGTTGTCTCGAGTTATAGACTCTAGTCAATTCAGTATCGTCCCGGAATGACTTTGTTACTGCTTTCACTTTAATTCGGAGAGCTAAGAATTCTTCCAACATCTTTGCCAATATCGATTTTCGAACATTACTTTTCACAAAGATAAACCCATTTGGTGATATATTAATAGCATTGTCTTTCTTAAGTAGATCAATCATACCAGGTGGGATCTTGAGGTTGTCAAGATAACCAATATCATTCATGTTGGGACTGAAGTTGTTCAATTTTCCAAGCAACGTCGAGTAACAATAATTATAGGCAATCATAATGGAAGGATATAATGATTGAAAATCCAAAACCACCAAGGGTGATTTCTAGAAATTTGAATTAGGTTCCAAAATTAAAGGAATGCATTCAATAGGTCTCATTTCATGTACTTGTTGTTTAGAAGGAGAATTCAATAATAAACTCTCCAGTTTGGTTAATCGTGCAAGAATCGATTCAACTTTGAATTGAGAACCACGATAGAAATTTGCATTGAATTCGATCCCGATCAACCGAGAATGTTCTACGTTCCTAGTAATTAACTCTTGGACCTCAATAATCTTAATCACCATATCAATTCTGGTGGAATAGTACGATAACGCCACAAGGACATTCAGAAATGTTCCAGTCAGTAACCATTGGCTCAATTGATAATTCAGATATCTGGGTAATGAACGATGTAACAAATGATAAGACACATTTTCTAGTGAATAACTAGTCAAACTAAGATCAGATCTTAATAATCTCCAAACATTAAACATATGACGTCCGTTAATTTCAATATTGGAGGTATGCGTATATCCCCATCTATCTCCAAATTTACCATTGCTCTTATCAGATCCACGACTGAAGTCAGCCAATATGTTAATATCAAATACATTGCGAAGTCTTTCAATGATATAACCCCATGACATTGCATTGATTTCATAACCAGCTAAAATATCAGGATCAAATATCTCGATTAACTGAACTAACCTAGCTGTCATTTCCACTTCATCATCAAATAGTTCAATATTCTTTTTTAAACTAGAAGAAAGTTGCGAAATAAATTGTTCACTATATTTTCTAGTATTAAATATCAAAATACCAGACGTGTATTCAAAATGGTTAAACATTCCATTCTTGTCATCAAAGGAATAAAACACTATTGAAATAGGATCACGTAATGGATCTACTGTTAATTTGGAGTTAGGTGGATCAGCATGAATTTCCATCAGGAAACAAGTCAAGGAGTTGTACCCATTCGGGCGTCGGGCTATTTTCATCGAGTTGTAACTAAATTTGAAATCATAGGATTGGGTTATTCCTGGCTCATCCTGAGATCCGTATTTTAACGCCCTGCGTTGCAACTTCTCTTCCTCTAATTTAGCCCAAGTTTGAACATTCTGTTTCAGAGGAGGATCCTGGAGATATTGCCAAGTATAGAATTTCCGCGATCTTATACATTTTCTAGTTTCTGTATCATCCTGGAGATTATCGTGGATCATTTTAGTCAGTGACGTCATGGGAATCAGACTTGAATCCTTCAATGGCACTACAATTTTTTTATTTGCAAACACAAATGGTTTTGTAGGGATATCATTTAAATTATCGTAGAAAGGGTCCTGGTAGTTAATTTTCAATTTCCCTGCTTTCTGGAATGTGTTGTTTATATTCTCGGGCTTAACTGAGTCTGGAATAACGACTTCATAACAATTATCTCCAATATTTAGTCCCATGTGATTAGTCCCTTCCAATGATGGGGTGAAAGTGATATCTTCAATGGAAGAAGAAGAGTGGCTTATATTATTCTGAGTAAATGATGGAGCATTTTGCTGTTGCTTCTGAGTCATTTCTTTCACCATAGCTTCGTCAAACTCTTTCAATTGGGTCTCATCGATACCAGAGGCATCCAGTTCTTCCCTATTCTCTTTATCAATTGGATTCCGATTGCCATAATTTTCAACTATATCCTCCGTTTCATCTTCTTCCTCGGCTTCTTCAATATCTGAAAATCTGGTTTGTTTTGGAGATGTGACAACATCGGGTCTTACCATAGGTGTTGCTTTGGTGCTGTTTTGTGTTAGCATTGGAAGAGTTTCACTCATATCAGACATCGTATCAGATGAATTAACTTGTGATTCAAATAACGATTCAAAATTTTCCCATCTAACAATATCTATTCCTGGTCTCATTGGTATATTATGATATTGAAGTTCCTTCTCATAATCCACTAGATCAAATGAAGTTTTGAACTTGTCAAACATATCATTCCCATTTATTTTCCTTGATTTTAAGTTAGTCAAATAAGTATCGGCATACTTCTCCATATCCAACTCGTTTGAACCAGTTAGTTGGATTGCATATTCAAGTAATTCATTCAATCTTTGTTGATTAGACCAATTTGTTGACCCGGTTCCAAAATACGAAAGTTCGTTTGTAGTGGCAAGCACATCGCTATATAATTCAAGCAGCGAATTTCTTATATCACACTGGTATTTCAAATCATTATATATCTGTTTTAATGAGGATAGGTAAATTCTTGGATTGCCAAATTCATCATATTTATACCCATGTTGTGGATTTTTACCGTCTTGAATCGAGGCATTATACTCATCATACTCTTTTCTCTCCGTGAAGTTATCGTGTAGTTGTCTTGGAGATAACCATGTTCTATTGGTTATACCACTGGTGCTAATATCAATCTCTAATACTGATTTTCCAATTCTTGTGAATGGACCTATTCCCTCGTTATCCAAATCGTTTCCCTTTAATACATTGTCGTGTGTGACAAAGTTAGTTAGATACCGCAATAACACGTCAAACTGTGTCTTGGTATACGCTGATTTAAGAGCCTCGTTAACAATTGGTGATCGGAAATACAAACTCTTTGTATTTGATCCATCGCGAATATGATCTTTATCAATGTAGAGCCAACCACACCCAAAGAGGTTAAAGTCAGTTAAAAATTGCAATAGATGTGGTATATGAGCCTCAAACACATAATGTGCGTCATAATTTCTTGTTTTATTGTTATCTTCTCTGCCAATATTATGCAATGAGAGTTTGTTCTCTTGAAATAACTTGGTTAGTCGTGGTTTGTAGTTTGGTGATAGTAAAGATATTTTATAAAATAGATTATATCCTATCTGAAATCCATACATTGGAACAGCCTTACAAATTGATACATTGGCAATATATCTTCTTTTGGTAGAAGATTGTTTGTAGGAAGTGGTTGATGGTGCTTCATATTGGTCATCATCATCTTCCAGTAAGTCTTCCTCATTTTTCTTTCTATACCTTCCATTTGCGTATGATATTTTTAAAGCTTCTTCCAAATGGTCTATAACTTTGTTAATATGACTTCTCTGGGATAATTTGGCATAATCTTGGTCTCTGCAATCCACGTAAAGATATGGGTAGAAATTATGAACATGAATGACGACGTTAAACACATAAGAAGGAGTGTCTGATTTGTGCTTATGTTTCTTCTTAGTTGGTGACAAGTAATTTCGCGAGATAATATTCTCATCAACAGTTATAGATCCATATATTCTAATTATAGGAACTTGTAAGACCTTACTGTAATACTGGTCTAAACGCGTTGGGTAGCTTTGATACGTGTCATAGTCATTGATTTGAACGCGCAACCTCGAATCAGTTTGTGAGTCATCTTTGGTTGTGTTTATGTAGCTGGTACTCGAGTTGCTATAATTATTCCAGCCATAGTTACCGTTCATGAATTGATTGCTCCAGTTGAATCAGAGAAGCTGTAAATTTTCTTATTAATTATTTTTTTTGTTAGTTCAAATGCGCAGTGGGGTATCTATTGTAGTGTTGCAAATAACTGACGTTGTACTTAGCAACCATCACTTTAAGAAAACAATAGCTAATGTTTCTTTTGGAATAATTCAATTGGTTTGATTGTCCTGTTGGAACTTTCAGATTGAAGTTGTCTAGGTGAATTTATTACAATTTCTCCTATATGGGTTTGTATTACTTTCCTGCAAATTTGAAAGGAAGCAGCGATAGCAACAGACTTACAGGTCAAGTGATCTCATGGCACAAAGATCAGGGGAATCCTCCAAAATAGATTTCTACTAAAATTAGAGAGTTTAGAAGTGCCTGCAGGCCAAGATTATGATTGATTAATCCATTAGAATTGTGTCATTTATATCAGTTTGCAACAAATTTGTCCTGGTTACAACAAGCATGACAACAAGATAGAACCCACAAAGAAATAACTACGCCTACACCAGAGAAACTTTGGTGTTTCCAATGTCAGTTTCTGTAAAATTCAAACAAAAAACTATCGGCCAAGAATAGTCAGTGGTCAGATTTTACGGGAAGGGAATAAGGAAAATACTAAAAACAATTAGGCGGTAGTCAAGTGAACGGTCAAGCTAACTGTCAACCAAAGGGCAGAAAGACAAAAGATAAGGTTTTTTTTTCTTGTTTTCCAAATAACTTGCTTGTTTACAGTATTTGCCTCTAATATCAAGGCGTTAATACAGGTCCGCCTAGAAATTTAACATTTTAATGATACCATTAAGGTTTTTGAAAGTATGGAGTATGTTTACAAATCATAAGCTAGCATCCAGATTAAAATATAAAAAAACAGGAGATGTTCTTGAAAATGCCTTATTCTATCTGGAACGCCTTGAAGCTTTTAGACTTCGTAATCTTAATTTTATTTACTGGAGTCACTAGATTTTCGGTTGGGACAAACTTGATCTCCACTTGCATGACTACTAAGATCAGGGCGGACCACAAGAAAAAAAATAAATTTACCTTAAAAAAAGTTTTTGCGGCTTTCCTTAACCTTATAGAAAAGGCACCGGAATAATAACTCCCTGAGGGGGGGGGGGGGAGGCAAACAGTTCTTGGCAGGCCACAACAATCGACTATAACCATTTCATATTGACCAACTAAATCAGTAAACGTGGCCATAACTTGATTTCAAGTCAGTGATTTTTTAGTTATTAAATTTGATTTTAGGCGGATGTCGCCTCAGTCACACTTTGAAAGATGCTAAAATAAACCGAAAATTTTATTATTTGTCAGGGTATCGGATAAACCTAAAGTTCCCAAGTTTTGCCGGTAACATCTATAGAAGGAGTAACTTTGGCTAATAGTACTGTTTCAAAGATAAGACAAATTTCTGGAACAAATAGACGTGTTTCTACACGTGAAATTGTAAATGTGTTTTACGTTTGAATGCGGTCGATTCTTCGGTGAAAGTGATACAAATTAGATTTTGCAGTGTTAAGTTTGAAGAAGGAAATACAATAGAGCAAAAAAAAAAAAACAAAAAAAGAAAAAGAAAAAAATAGCACAACAGTGAACGAAGAAAAAAAATATTCACCAGCAAATAAACAGGAAAAAAAAAAAGTGGGTTTTAGTTTGAAGTCACCCTAAATAAATACGTTAAACTATTTCGTTTACTTTCCAAGTGACTTGTAAAATTACCACTATTCACGATTAATTGAGAAATTGTGGTGTTTTTACTAGTCTATTATTCACTCACAGCATATTTACATCAACAATTTTATATATATAAAGGAAACTATACTGTATCACATAATCAAAGTGATTATAAATCTAAAACATAGAATTTCCGAAATAAACAACCATATTTGCATATATCGACATTTCCTTCGTAACAATCCGAGGGATAATAGCACTGTTTACATTTTCTACAAGTTCATTTATCACAAGCTCAGCTATAACCAATCCACATTCCACATTCCATAATGTCACATAACACTTCTCAACTGCATGATGAACAGAAAGTTGGAGGGTACACACCCGATGATCTACCTATAGATAATTTAAATATAAGCATGACTACTAATACTCCGCAACCGCCCATAAATCCGTTTACCTCCGCCATGCACAGGCCTATGCAATCACCACCTATGCCACCATCTTCACATGTGCATTTGAATAGTGACATACAAGCTCGATTAATGGCATTCCAACAGAAAAGAACGAAATTAGGATCCGAAGCTAACAATTCAGCAACTGCATTATCCCCTTCCTTATCAGGATCGACCAATTCATCCAGTATAAACAACCTGGGAAATTGTTCTCGAGATGAATTACTGAGAATACTGCCGCTTGAAAAACCACTTCCTCCATTACCTGAAAGTGCCCCACCTGATTATGTTAAACGATCATTATCAACTAATGACAAATACGCCCGGGCTGCTGCTTATGGTATCAACGAAAATGCAAATGACATCATAAAGTCTGCTGCCAGCTTATCTGGCTCCACATCAAGCCCAACGCTCCCTACATACTCCATACCGACAAGAGGAAATTCAGTAAGTGCAAGATTGCCTGCGTTGGCAAGTCCTAAGAATGTACCTACCCTGATTGATCTTAAAAAGAAACCATCATTGTCGCAGAGAAGAGGCATGAAATTAAATGTGGGTGATTTAGCTATAGGTAACACTGCTAAATCACCATCCCCAAGATTATTAAGTCCTCCCATAACATTAAGTGAGAATAAAACTGAGGAAAGCAAGCTGGGAGGGGAATATATCGCACAAGCACCAATTGCATCACAATTAGGTACTCCCGGTGAATTATCAAGAAGATTATCCGAACGGAAAAAGAAACCTCATTTCAAATTGAATCTCGATGGTACCAATTCTGATATAGCTTCCTTGTCTCGCAGTAGTAGCTTAAACAGATCTAACCCAACCACCAGCTCATCCGAGGGACCAACACCAGAATCCGAAAAGAATAACAACAACCAGGGAGAATCACAACAATTGCATGGATTATTTGCCAATTATTCCAAATATGTAGATATCAAATCGGGACAATTGAATTTTGCTGGTAAAGCATCATTGCATTCCGAAGGGGTTGATTTCCTGAGTGGGTCTTCCTTCAGAATTTCCATTGATGAATTGGAATATATTGGTGAATTAGGAAGAGGTAATTATGGATCGGTCCTGAAAGTGCTTCATAGACCAACTGGTGTATTGATGGCTATGAAAGAGGTTCGCCTTGAATTGGATGAAACTAAATTTACTCAGATTCTAATGGAGTTGGATATTTTGCATAAGTGTAATTCTCCATATATTGTTGATTTCTATGGAGCGTTCTTTGTCGAAGGGGCTGTATACATGTGTATTGAATACATGGATGGGGGTTCACTTGACAAGATATTTGGAAATAACATTGGAGTCAAGGATGAGTGTACATTGGCATATATTACAGAATCTGTCGTTAGAGGATTAAAGGAATTAAAAGATAAACATAATATTATCCATCGTGATGTTAAACCTACAAATATATTGGTAAATTCGCAAGGTAATGTCAAACTTTGTGATTTTGGAGTATCGGGGAATTTAGTGGCATCCTTGGCTAAAACCAATATTGGTTGTCAATCATATATGGCTCCAGAAAGAATCAGAACATTAAGGCCCGATGATGCCACTTATTCTGTACAGTCGGATGTTTGGTCACTTGGATTAACCATTCTTGAGTTGGCAGTTGGCCATTACCCATACCCTGCTGAAACATACGGAAACATTTTCTCACAATTAAGTGCCATTGTTGACGGAGAACCACCAAGTCTAGACCCGGAAATTTACTCCTCAAAAGCACGAGCTTTTGTTAAAGCGTGCCTTCAGAAGAAACCTGAGTTACGTCCTTCATATGCAGAATTAGTTGAACATCCCTGGTTACAGGAATATAGAGGCAAAGATCCACATCTTGATGCAACAGTCAAAAACCGGTTAACAGAGATTGAAGCTGAAAATACTCAGCGTAATTCTAACAAGGTCAATAGCATGAAAGTGGCTAATATTCCTATGCAAAACATTGAGAATGTTCAATCATTATTAAGAAATAAAGTCAAGGCACCGGCATTGCATAGAGGAGGATTACAAAGCATAAATAGAAGTTTCTTAAATCATGACAAGTCATGATTATACTTATATATTCCAAATGTATATTCGCATTATTAACATAGTACTAAATAATAACAAGTTTACTCATCATCATCCAACATCTTGGACATGTAAGGACCGTCTAACTTATATCCCAACTTAGCATAATAGTTTCTCACACCAACACCAGAAATAACACTGATCTTCTTGGATCCATGTTCTTCCTTGGCGATTCTAGCAGCTTCTTCCATCAATAAAGTACCAAATCCTTGATGTTGGAACTTTCTCGGATCTCTTGAATGTAACGGCACTACTGAACCGTAAACGTGTAATTCTCTAACAATGGAAGTAGGTTGAGATGTGAATTCTTTTCTATAGGTATATTTTTTGGTGGCTTTTCTCAATCGTAATAACCCAATCAAGATATCCTTCTTGGGATCTTCGTAACTCAAAAATGTTTCCCAACCACCATTAGCATAATAGTCTCGTCTGATTAATTCAACTTGATCAGGAGCTACTTTATGATGAACTTCTTGTATACCGACTTCTCTGGTACGCACGTCTCTACAAGAAGTCCCGAAATCTTTCATTCTAGCAAGAGCCAATTCTCTCAAGTTACCATTTTCCACCCCTGAAGTGACCAATGGCATAGGAATATCTCTTTGAACACGGTAAATACGGGTCCAGGGAGGAACCAAGGCCAAAATTCTAGCGACTAAATCAATCAAAGCGTTGGCATTGTATGATTTATAAAGACCCTTTTTCCACAATTCATACAAACCAGTACCTCTAATGACTAATGTAGGGTATAACTTCAACCCGTCAGTTCTGAAATCGGGGTTCTCGAAATATTCTTTAAATTGTTCCAAATCTCGTTCCATTCCTACATTAGGCAAATCGGGCATCATATGACTGACAACTTTGTACCCAGCATCTTTGGCCACTGCAAAAGTTTCACATACGGCCTTGACGGTGTGTCCTCTATTAGTATCTCTTGCCACGTCTTCATACACTGATTGAACCCCAATTTCCAATCTTGTACATCCATATTTCAACATATCACTCAAATGAGTCTCGGTACAATAATCTGGTCTGGTTTCGATAGTGATACCGACACATTTAGTTTGAGATTGTTGTGAAAACTCAATGGCTTCGTCGATATCACGACCATTGAACCCAGTAAGGGCATTGTGTAATTGAGTTATGAAATTTTCTCTATATTCAATAGGCAACGACATGAACGTACCACCCATGATAATATACTCCACTTTATCGATGGAATGACCCAATTGTCTCAATTGCTCGATTCTTCCTCTTGCTTGTTCATAAGGGTCGTATCTTGCTCTAATTGCACGCATGGATGTGGGCTCATACCCGGTATATGATTGAGTGGAGTATTCGAAATCGGAATCGGGACCACCAGGACAGTAGACACAGATGTTACCGGTATACGCAATATGAGGACATCTGTGAGGCTTACACATGACCGCGACAACGGCGATACCAGAAGCAGTACGAACTGGCTTGGCTTTAAGTTTGGGGATAAGATATTTCTTATATTGATCAGGGATAGATGAGATGATGTCAGTAAGACGGGGTTGTTGTTTCAACTTGTACTTTTTGGCATACCGGATGACAAGTCCATTAAGGTTGATATCTTTGGAGTTCTTTAATGAGGCCACAAGTTCAAGGGAAATATCCCCACAACATTGGATGAATCTTTCCTTTTCAGGAGCTAACTTCTGCTTTCCTGGTTTTTGTTTTGGAGCAGGCATGTTCGTTGGTGTATGTGTAATGGTTGTCTATTCTCATCGCTAGATCTAAAATTCTTTTTTTTTTTTTTTGGGTTAGCAGTTGAGCATCACAGGGAACCAACCAGTTCGTTGCTGTTGCTAACCAAAAAAATTTTCCAAGATACAGGACAATACAAGTACTAACATCTACAACAGCTCGCACTATGGTTGGATTGAGACCTATACACAATGCACTTCTGTGTGGTGCTTTGATTGCACCTGGTATGAAGTTGGCTCCAATTCTTGCCAGATCATTTGCTACTACCACTCCCAAATTCGCTCAGAAACACGTTGATATGGCCGACATTCCTATTGCCAATATCGGAGCCATGGCCGACTTCTATGTTCCACCAAGGATATGGAGTCAGCCTATGAAGTACTGGCCTGTATTATTAGGTCGTAGATTCCTTGTATTTGCCAGTAACACCTACAGTATTGTCAAATACAAGCAAGAAACTGGAAACAGATTAGACTTTAATAGATGGAAGGACGAAGGGATTGAAAAATTTGTCAAGATGAATAAAGTGTTTGCTGCTGCTTGTAATCAAAAAGTTGGGAATCTTGCCAGAGAAAAATACCTTGTCAAGAATTTGCAACATGAATGTGGATCTCAAACCATTGCTCGTTTATTGGAAAGAGTTGTAACTTTCCCCTTGGATTCCACAGTGAAATGGGATTTGGTTAGTATTGAAAAAAATCCAAAGATTGTTTCATTCAATGCTATTCCTGATAGAAACAATGTTGTAGTCTATGTTCAATTCATCATGAAGTTAGTTACCAAACAAAAAATGACAATCACCACTGACGACAAGGAACACGTTTCTGAAGTTACCAGTACTGATTACTTGGTGTATACTTTGAACCCACATACCAAGGAATCGGTTTTGGTTGGAAAATTGTTTGAATCAAACCCAGTTAGAAAGGTTTCTCCAGATTATGCTCAACAAGCCAACCCAGTTTGGTTAAAGAGATTCACCGCAGAAACTGCTGACATTTATCGTACTGATCCACGGTTGGAATCAAAAGATAATTAGTGGTACATAGATAAACTTGTATATAAAGCATCAAAATAACGATTTACACTACAAAATAGACTTTCTGCTAAACGTTTTATTTTCTGTATCACTATACCTTTTTCGTTTTTTAATACTAAAACCAAAAACCAAAACTAAAAAACAAAGTTTAAAAAAAAAAATAGTTATTTTATCGTCAATGAAACCTATAATGGATTTTTTAGGATATCAGCAATGTTTATCCCTTTTTATTTTAACCAAAAAAAAAATACAAATTTTGTTCTCTTTTTATTTTACCAAAAATTGCCAGCTTACTCCATCAAGAATACATCTTCTTGATGAGCACCAATTCTCCCATTATCCTTCTTAAATGGATCTCTTGTCAAATTTATATTTCTTCCGTAATCTAATCCAATCTCAACTAAACCTCCAGTATCATTGGGATTTCCTGTCCCAATCAATGTATTCAACTTAGGTCTAACTGAAAGAGTACCACTTTGAGACCGTGAATCACGACGTTGTAACTCTTGAGGAGTCAAAATCACTTCACTTAATGATCCCGGAACGTAATCCTCTTCATAAACTAAGGATTTGGGCAAGTAGTCTGCGTCATCTTGATAATCATCATCGTCAACAATTGCCGAACTATCTTGGTAGAAATAACCTGCTGTGGCACTTGATGAAGGTGTAGCTAACCTCGAGCCAAAAGAGTATCTTGTAACTGTAGAAGAGGCAGATGGTGGACCATTGGTGAATGCATTGATATACACTGTCTGGGGTGGCGAGGTAGTATTCACGGGATAATCTGTAGTAGAATATGACCGAGCCAATGAACCTTGAGTAGCCATTGTACTATTTGTACTAAAGGCACCCGAGTAAGAATTAGATCCAAAGAATAAAGGTTGTTGAGTTTTCTGTGATTGAAACAGATACAGCAGCAGTTGGAGTGACATAGATGGTTGCGATAAATTGGCAGCTGGGAATTGGAATTGCAGTTGCAGATTCTGACGCTGGTGCGTTGTCTGTGTTTGTTGTGGAAGGAAATAATTAGATTCCTGGCTTCCGAATGAACTTGATCTGTTGACAAATTGATTCAGTTGGGGAGTAAAAGATTGTTGTGGTTGCAACGAAATAGGTTGTTGTTGTGGTGCAGGTTGCACTTGAGCTTTGAGTGGTTGTTGTTGTTGTTGCTGCTGCTGCTGCTGCTGCTGCTGCTGTGGCTGATTATTTCCGATGTTGATAAAAGTTGCAAAGCTGTTAGAACTAGATATTTGTCTATTAGTAGGAGAAGTTCCAATGACTGTTTGCTGGTTAGTAAAAACCGAGGTAGAGTCACTGGATTCTAACAAGGTATTATTGTTCTGGTGAGAATTTGTATTGTAGTTATTAAACGAAGCAGATCTTCTAGCTCCTGGGTGTCGAGTTTGCGAATTGCCATTACCATTACTGTTATAATTCAACAAGTTTTTGGAATTAACTCGAGTTCCATCAGGTAAAAAATGGGCCAATGCACATTTAAGTCCAAACTTGCAGTTTCCCTTCTGGAAATACTTGCAGGGCAATCGATCCGCAGCCAAGGACCCTTCCAAATTATGACTAAATGGACAAGAATTACCCGCTTGGCAGATCCCCTGCTTGAAGAACTTACAGGGAACATGGCTTAGATTTTTGTTTGCAGTTGAAGAAGAACTTCCAGAGTTGCCATTTGGTGACGTGATTGACACAGTGCCCGGGGGTCCGGTATTAGGAGGTAAATCTGCGGCAATGGCAGACATATCGAAGGAATTAGACATTGATCTTGGATGGGAACGATTAATTTCGGAGTTCAAGTGATCTGAGTGCTTATTATTATAGTGACTGGTGTGTTTTGACGATTTCGATTGTGGCGTTTGTGTCAAATTAGTTGCCGTGGTTGCGGTGGTGATTGTGGTGGTTGCAGAAGACGAATCAAGTAAATTTTTAACGGTAGTGGGGTGAGAATTGGTCACGCTGTTGTTCACATTCATTGACTTACAATCAGCAAGAATGATTATGTAGGAGTGCAAAGATAAATAGTCAATGTAATAACCCCAATCCGATCTAGTTTAGAAGTAACCCACAAGAGATAACGAAATCCACAAAAAAAAAGATAAAGGAAAAAAAAAAAAAGCTGTAAGGGTAAAAATAAATTTTAAATTATATAGACTGGAAAAAAGAAAGAACACAATGATAAAGGGGGTAGACTCTGGTTTAGTAATTTGCTCCTTGTAAAATAATACTAGTTAAAACATTAGGAGTTGTCTGGCGGTTGCTAATTAAATAATATTGTGGGTGGTGGGTGTGGTTTTCTTCTGACCATCCAATTGAGTTTGAGTTTTGGACCCCCCTCATTGTTTCTACAAAAAATAATTCGAAATTTTACAAATTTATTTTCAATCAAACGTTTTCCAAAGCCCACAAACTGTGGTGGTTAATTTGGAGATTACTAATTGATATCCCCAAAATGTAACTCTGTGACACCAAAAATACACATATTCTTCATTACCATCAAGGTCGTTTCAGGTCTTGGGTGGATGATCCTAACTGAAAGGAGGGGAGTGGTTATGGAAACCCAAAACGGTTTTTGTTTGTTTCTTTTTTTTTTTGAATTTTGAATTTTGGTTTTGTGTTCCAAAGGAATTTTCCACTTATCGTCCTGTATATAACATTAGATAAGCAAAACGCTCATACTTTGACAGGTCTATACACCAAAATGTGCTAATTACTCTGATTAGTCTATCGGATAGTTCGTATGATCTAGTTTCAATTGTATATAACAATGGAATCTGAAATAGATGATCAGTTTTAATGAATTGGAACCTACAATATACGTTGTCATAGATAAACGGATTCATTGCCAAGTTGGGTAATTCTTAATAAAATATGACAAGAAATTCAGCAAATACTTACAAAAATTTATCCTAGCGTTCTAATCACTTCAAAAAGTTCCAGGTAGCGAGGGGTTTTATCGAATTCATATTGGATACGTTCTGGGCAATATCGTAAAGCGATACCCCCCCCCGAAAAATCGATCTTCTCTAAAATCGTTCCATAAAACCCGAACTAGAATTGCTGCGAAATTACTGTAGAAAAACAATTTACGTGCTTTATCAATTAATATTCAAAACAAACAGTCACACTACTATTCGACAGATTTTAAAATTTCAAATTTTATCAGACATTATCTCTACCTATGAAATATCTAACTATTAAAAACAAACAAATAATGTACAATAATAAAAAAGGACACCACTTCTAACGACGATCAGTAGATCCAATACCTCTCTTACCACTGAACAAATGCTTAGGTAACATAGCAGTAGAATGACGATCACCTTCACCTTGTCTGGCCATTCTATTACGTTCTCTTCTTTGGATCTTGGCCAATCTTTCAGCTTGAGATCTCAATGCACCATCAGCCAAACCGTCATTAAGACGATCGCTTTGATGAGCAGCCATCTTCTTCTTGGCCAATCTAGAGGCTTGTATACCTTGGTTCTTCTTCAAGATATCAACACCAGATAATGCTTTACCTTCATTCTTCTTACCCTTACCGACCTTTTCTCTCAACTTATCAGTATCATGACCAATATTGTACATATGTTCTTCCATTTCACCAAATGATTTCTTAACTTGATCTCTTGGCATAATGGCTTTATTCTTCAAGGACTTTCTATTTCTTGCTTCGATAATCATAGTCTTTTGTTTATTTCTAATCCAATCAGCCTTTTCTCTGATTTCTTCAGTTTCTTCATCTTCGATATCAGAATCAGAATCATAGAAACCTTCTTGTTCCAATCTTTCTTCTTCATCTTCCAATGCTTGCAATTTAGCAGCGATATCTGGGTCCAAGAAATCGTAAACATTCTTACCATCCAAGAATTCAGGCATGACATCATTCTTCCAGTCTTCATCTTCCAACAAGTACTTGTCCTTCAAGTTAATGTTGAAAACACCAGCACCACCGTTTTCAGCTTCAATATCTCTAGCCAATTTTCTTCTGTTTGGATCATTGACATCATATTTACCCAATTCCTTAACGGCATCAGGAATGTATGGAGCTCTATCAACATCATCACGAGCTTGTGGCTTAGCAACGTGAATCTTGTTCAAAACGTTGTTAACACGAGCAGTACCCTTCAATTTCTGTTCAATTCTGGCAGTCAACAATTTTTCACAAGCGTGATTACGAACCTTCATGACATTTTCTTCTTCGTGACAAGAAGCATCCATGATTTCAACACCAGGGACAGTGCTGATGGACTTCAATAATTCTTGTCTTTCAGCATCCAAGTCTTCAACCTTGATAATATCGGACTTATTCATGACAACCATAACGGACTTATTAGCGAATAAAGGTTTGATGGAATGGAATAACTTAACTTGGGCTTCAATTGAGAAACCACACTGTTCGGAAAGATCCATAAAGTACAAAACACAAGATCTTAAATGAGCAATAGCGTAAATAGATTGCATTTCAATATTGTTCATTTCTTCAGTTGGTCTATCCAAGATACCTGGGGTATCAATAGCTTGGAATCTCAAGTATTTGTAATCAAAGTGACCAACATATAAAGATTTAGTGGTGAAAGCATATGGCTGAACCTCGACATCAGCCTTGGTGATGCATCTCAAGAAAGAAGACTTACCAACATTAGGGTAACCACAGATAACTAAAGTTCTGGTATTTGGATCAATACTTGGTAAACGACCCAAATGTTGTCTAACTTGTTCCAAATAAATGAAAGCATCCTTCAATTTCTTGGTGATGGTGGCCATTCTACCCAAGGCTGCACGCTTTAATTGTTTACATTGATACAAAGATTGACCGAACTTCAATAATCTAACGTAATCTCTAGAAACTTGTTCAATCAAGGTCTTGGCTCTGGAAACAGCTGCTAAGGAAACCTTATAATGATTCTTTTCATACAAAGTATCCATTAAATCACGATGGAAAGGATGAACATCGTTGATATTAGGGAATCCACTTATGATATCGTTAAACTTTTCGGTGAATCCTTCAGCGGTAAACTTAACTTTTCTCATATAGAAAGCACGAATACGAGTGATCTTAAACCCAGGTCTAATGACAGTTGGAGTCTTTCTTTGGGTTCTGTTCAAGACAATGTCCAACATATCGTTGGCAGTTGGAACAGTAGGTATGTCCTTCCATGAAAGTTGCATTTTGATTATGATTATGGGTAGGTAACTGAGTAAAGAACTACTTGTAGCTGAAGTAACAAGTATTTCTAGATAATTTTTTTTTTAGCTCTTCCCTTTATTGTAAATCTCTTCGCAAATTTTTTTTTTTTGATTTCTTTTTTGTTTGAATTTTTTTTCATACATGCGGCGTAAGATACTTTCCTTATTGGGATGATACTTACACGGTTTTTTTTTTTTTTTACAGATATTGTACTCAAGCTTTATATATTATCTTACAAATGAGAAGTCTTTCACATAAGTCTCTGATTACTCATTGTGATGATACACTAAATAATTAGGCAATCCAAATACTTCATACCCTAATCTCTTGGCCATTTTAGCAAAACCTTCAGTTTCAATCAAATGGTAGAATGGGAATGAAGGGAACATAGCTCCGTCTCTATGCACATCAGCTTTAACCATGACTGCTCCACCCCCTACACCATCAAGTGCCATTTCTGAATTAACATCTCCATTAGCATCGTAAAAGTGAGCCATTAATGGTCTATAAGTAGCCATTTCAGCATATCCTTCCACGATGATTTCGTCATCAGCCAAACCGCTGGCGATTTTCAATCCTTCTTCTGATTCCACCCAGTTGTTGAAATCATATGGTCTAATTGACTTCTGGTTAGTTTCCGGGTCAAAATATCTTTGATAAACATTAGCAGACAATACTGGTTTGTTGTGAGCAGTCAAATCTTGGATCAAAGTAGGTGGTGTCTCAACAATATCTGCGTCTAACCACAATACCCAAGAAGTAGTTGGAGAAATAGTAGTGAAAACCAACGAGTTTCTAGCTAATGCCATCATTGATCTTCTTTCCTTTTGAACTTTAAATGCATGTCTATCTTTTTCAGCTTGACTCTTCAATGAGTTTGAATCTTGTCTTAACAAAGTAATCTTCTTGAAATTCAACTTGTTTTGAGCTTTAGATCTCTTCAATGAATCTTCCAACTCCTTTAATGCTTGGTCTCCTTCTTGAGTTCTTGGGAAGATAAATCCAAGCGAAATTAAGGAATGATCATAGGTCAATTTATTCAAATTTTCCCAATATTCAGGTAAGAACTTCGACATGGGGGACAAAATCAAAACCTCTTCCTTCTTGGTCAAGGCATCCGGTGAAATTGTCAACTTGTTCAAGTCATAATGACTGATATGATTCTTGGGTAAATTCCTGAGTATTACCGAATCTTTATTCTTGCCAAACCAGGCACTGGACTTTTTGTTGTAGCTGTATTTGGCAGTATCTTTCTTTCCTGATGATGAGAAGAAGAAAAGGTAGATCATGATCAAGACCGCAAGTGGACCTACTAACGCCAAGGGCCTTCTTCGCACATAGTTGAAGTATGGATTCTTATAGTAAAGCATGGTATTAAGTAAGTGAACAAACAATCAAACAATCGAACACTGGTGTTTGAACTTGGGTTCTCTAGTTCTTAAATCTATAAATATGCAGTGTAAGCAAAACAACTGAAAGGAGTTGATTTGATATGAAAACGGCAGCACTATTTTTAAAACACGACGTTTTTTGTTTTTTTTTGCTAATTGAAAAGGTCGTGCACAATATCAAATTTGAATACACACTGCAAAAAATGAAAGATCTGGCAGGGGAAGATTAATATCACAAGCAATAAATTTTTACATATATCAGAGATGTAAGAATTATAAGACAAAACCGGGGTGAAAAAACGTATATATGTTGTCAAAACACAAATGCGACTATCATACTATGGTTTATCTCTCCTTTTCCTTCTTTGGTGGAACATATTCCTCAGGTTTTTCTCTAAACTGATAATTTGGAACCAATTCGGCTAAATATTTGGAAGTCATAATGGTCTTCCACCATCTGGTAACGTTGGGGTGTTGTTTTCTCCATTTAGCTCCAAAGCACCAGTCGAATCCTCTTTTGAAGAATGTGGCAGAAAATATATCACCAAAGGTGATTCTTTCACTGACTAAATAAGTGTAGTTAGCCAACCTGGCTTCAAAAACAGCAACAACTCGTTCGAGATAAACACGAGCTTCCTCAACATCCTTCTTCCTATATGGGATCATGCCAGTAACTGACTGATGAATTATCGCGACATTTGGCAAGAATTCAGTGTTGCAAAAAGAAGCCCATTTCAAAATTTGGGAATATTCCTCAGGGTTCATACCCAATAGTATAGACTGTGGGTCAGCTAAGTTAATTACTATAAGTTCTGTTAGTAAAAGACGAATATATTGATCATCATTCGTTTAAAGTGTGTTACTTTATCAGTCATTCTGTAAGTGATACCAGCAACCCAAAGTTCTAATTAATTGTAAAGTAACAACACTTTGTTCACGGGGGAATCAACAGATTTACATACAGTAAATACAAACCGCAATGATCTCATGTAATTTGAAACCTTTGGGTCCGATAAAGGCTGGAATCTTATTTAACGGGAAATATTTATGGTAAGTTTCATCCTTATCAATTATTTTAATATCTAGATTAAAATGTTTGACAATAACCTTTGGAGAAAGACTCCTAATTTCGTAAGTACAATAGAGAGTTCCTTGTGACATAATTCGTTATGTTTAAAAGTATCTGGGTTACACGCGTCTGATTTGTTATAGCAGCAAATCATGGTCTATGGGTTTTAGTCTCCTACTCCCCCCAAAAAAATATTATATGCTACACGTTCCATTGTTAAGCTACAGTATTGTGGACTTGTACTGCAGAACTTAACAAGTATAGAGATATTCCTTAGGGGCAAAAGCTAAATTTTTGTAACATTATGACAATATGTAATTGTAGCATAAACACACCAAATCAGTTAACATAGAATTTTATATTTTTACTGTTAATTTGAAAAAGTCAAAACATACGTTAAAACAATAGTATAAAACTATTTAGAAGTATATAAAAAAACAATCACAATAGAGGTGAATAAGCCCAGCTTACTTGAAGACCTTACCGTCGGCAATTTCTCTCTTTTCACCGTTGATAACAACTGGTTCATCCCAAGCAAACATGTTGTTGATAAAGTTCTTAGATTCTTCATTAGTTGGATCCAACTTAGTGAATTCGTAAGATTCCCAATCAGGAGCAACATCGAAAGCTGGCTTGTAATCTTGACCTCTTACCAAGAATGCACCAGTGATACCATTATTGTTGTTTTCACCATAAACAACCATACAACCAAACATGTACTTGGTGGAAGCAGATAATCTGTTAAAGAAACCACCAACTAAGTTGTTGGACATAAAAGTTAAAGTCAATTCATCATTGTACTTGTAGTCAACTTTCCACAAGGACCATTCTTCTGGGTCAAATTGGTTCTTCCAGAACCATGGAATGGCAGTTTCTCTAGTTTCTTCATTAGAGTAAACTCTCTTCCATTCATCTAAAGCAGCCTTTGGTCTACCTAAAGCTTCCAAAGGATGCTTTGGCTTAGGAGCAGCGGCCGGTTCTTCTTCATCAGCAGCTGGAGCAGCAGGCTTCTTTGGAGCAGCTTCTTTCTTAGCAGCAGGTTCTTGCTTCTTCTTTTCCTTCTTAGGTGGAACATATACTTCAGGCTTGTCAGTGTATTCAAACTTAGGAATAACATCAACCAAGTATTCAGAGGCAACCACAGTATTGAACCATCTAATAATATTTGGGTGTTGCTTTCTCCATTCAGTACCAAAGAACCAGTTGAAACCTCTAATAAAGTAAGTGGCGGCAAAAATATCAGCAAAAGTAATTCTTTCACCAACTAAATAGGTATAGTTGGCTAATCTAGCATCAAAGATAGCAACAACTTTGTCAAGGTAAGCAAGGGCATCATCAACAAGCTTCTTGTTGTATGGAATAATACCATTGATGGACTTGTGAGCCGTGGCAATAGTTGGCAAGAATTCAGTGTTGGAGAAGGAAGCCCACTTTAAGATTTGAGCGTACTCACCAGCGTTCTTACCCAACAACTTAGACTTTGGATCAGCTAAATTGATTACTGAACAAATGTTAGTAAAGTTAGACATAAACACAATTCCAATTGCGATTGAGGATAGATTAAATCTCAGATTAAAAGTTCTCGACATAATTTATTAAGACAGGGATAACTGTATAATAATTGAAAATGTTTCTCATCATTATAGTAAAAAAAAACAACTCAATTCGCAGTAATATCATAATATACATACAGTAAAGAGAAATTGCAATGATTTCGTGCAATTTGAATCCCTTTGGACCAATGAAGGCTGGGATCTTGTTTAAGGGGAAATACTTGTGGTAAGTATCATCCTTGTCGGTGATCTTAACATCTAATTTGAAATGTTGGACAATAGCCTTTGGAGCAAGACTTCTAATTTGTTCAGTAGCATATAAAGTACCTTGAGACATCTTTTACAATTGAGTTGGTTGTCTTTCTTTTATATTGGTGACACAATAATTACAGGGGGAGAAAAATTTTCAGGGTTCTTGGAAAAAACACATTAAATCCGGGTAATTTTAAAAATGAAACTTCTAGGGTTAGCAGTGAGCCACAGTAGGCAACAAAATACCGCCATAAAACGTTATGATTGGTCATAATCTATCGCTAAGACCTTAGAGATCCAGTAATCATGGAGATCTTCACTGTAAGCTCTGCTAATAACTACTAACAGTGGTCACATATCACGAAGAAGACATGCACCAGTTCCTATTACGAGAAGTTCGTAATTTCTAGATGAAATTGTGGTGAAAATATCACATCGGGAAGTCACACCGACAATGGATTTTGCCTCTCGCTACCAAACCTTTTCGGAAAAAATGGAAGTTCTTGTTTCTTCCCCCCCATTGGCCGGAACTATACGTGAAACAGGTAGCAACTTCCATGCAAATGCCATGGATGTGTTTTGTGGATCTGGGAAATGCCTTTTAAGTAGACATGTATCTCAGAGTTCCCATTACTGACATTACACATATTTAACTATAATATCATCAAATTTATTCTCTTCTAATAGTATATGGACAACAATCAACCGCATTTATATTGTTTATTGTGGTAATTTGATCTATTAGATATGTAACACGGTGCCAAATACTATATCTAAAATCCCTATGAGGCTGCATGTCGCAGTTATTTTTTTTTAATTTTTTTAGCTAAGCAACTATCTGCCTCACGGCAATGGTTTTGAGCACCGCGATCTATCATAAAAATCTAAAATTGCCTAAATTGTCCATATATATTCAATTCACAATGAAGAAAATACTCTAAAATTGTAATAAATGTATTCCAAGTAACCAGGGCCTTCCCAAACACTACCATCAAAATTCAGGCTATCTCATCCAATGAATTATATTGACATATGAACAGAAAGCTGGACTCATACTAGTGAAATAACGGTTTTTTGACATCTCATCGAAGCTGCAAGATTTGGGAATGCATTGACAGCTACAGTTGTGATCATACACTTTCCTGAAGGCTTGCTATCATGCGGAGCAAGTAACAAGTACCATCTTGCTTCTGCTACTATACCTACTGTCCTTATTTCTCCCATTTTCATATAAAATCGTAGTAGTTTCTTCATTATTCTTTTACGGTGGACAAGAGCATGAGCAGATATATTTAATGTTGCGGGTAGGATTGATATCTATAAACAAATGCACAGGCTATTCCTACCGCAATATATTAGGTCTAACTCTAAAGGGTAACCTAATTATGAATAAATAATAATCAAATATAATACATAGTTTCAACTAATCCGACCCACTTTTAAGAATCAAATTCAAACATTTGAATTGTCGCCAAGCATAGCCCACCCAAAACAGCATTTCCATTGCAACTTAGTTTGCAGATCTATTAAACTGCTGTCAATTTGGTCAAATATATTCCTGATTTTACAATTGGAGTTCTGAATGGCGGTTTGGTTGTCCTGATTTAGTAACTTGGCTATTACCTCAGTTAGGATAGCACAAACAGTATGTCTGTCACTCAAAAAGGGGAAATCATTTGTCAGGGAGTGTGACCCGCTCAATGGTTTTATGAATGGTGAGGTATCTTGCAAGTTATAGTTCGGAAGAATATTAAATGAATTGATATGTGGTTGGGGTGTTCCGTCCTGGGAGGAAGCCGGATTCTCGTGTTTGGAAAAGAAGTTATAATCTATTTCAATCCCCTGAGCAGCTTCCGGGTTGTTCATTATATATGTCAATTTAATAAGATACCAAAAATATTCCCTGAGCTTAAAAGCATCGCTCTTGTATTCTTTCTTTGAGTCCGAAGCAAATTTCAATTGGAGGAAGTCAAAATCGCTAAACGAGTTGTTTAAGTTGTGCTTATCAAATTGGGTCAAGTTCACAAATGATGACATATCCACAGGGTATGATAATGGATTGTTTTCGGGGTACTGAATTTCTTCGTCAATATCTTCCAAACTGTCTCTTGGGATTTTGAAACTATCTCTATCGTGGTTTAAGATTGAATCAAAGCTTAACCTGTTGTCGAGAGTGTACTTTCTGGTAAGAAGATATTTTAGAATAGACACAGAATGAATGCAACCAATAACCACAACTGTTTTTCCAGACTTCTTTCTAAGCAACTCCCCAGCTTTAGTTACAACTTTGTTGAATAATCTCACTTGATTATTCAAGACAGACCTGTGATATCCCGTAAGTTGTTCCTGTGGCACCCTTAAATATATGCTAAGTAGTATCAAGCATACACTAGCCAATAAGGTTTCGAGTAAGGGCAAATGTGTTTCACATAGTGGGACTATAGATCTGAAATTGTGCCATTTTTCTAGCTGTACCTGGGTCAACTTTTCTAGCAATAGGTCCCTTTGGTTTGAACAATTAATGAGACAATCTAATAAGAATAAGTCCTGGTCCTGCTCAGCTGCTTTCACGCATAAACTGGGAATGATTGATTTCCACAAATCTAAGTCATTGGTTAAATCAAGAAGCCAGTAATACCTTTCAATCTCTAGTAAATGTATATACCCCAGGGAATCCATTTTATTCAGTGACTCCCCGGTGTACAATAAGTTTCCATAGTGAAATCTTGTCGGGTCAAACTGGTTTCTATATTGCTGGTATTGTGATCCTTGTTGAATAGGAAATGGTTGGGATACGAGTTGGTGGTTGAAATACACGCTAGACTGAGGATAACCATATGTGTTTACCGGCTGGGAGTACATTAATGACTGTTGGGTTAGTTGATTAGGTTGAAATTCTTGGTTTGGTAGTTGGAAGCCTGATGATTGGCCACTTTTGAAATAACTTTCTTGTAACAACTGATTACTTATTTGGTAGTTTTCACTGATTGTATTCCTGTTAGCGCCCAGTCTGGCAGATAGAGACAAGTTAGGATAATTCGATGGGCCAGGAATATCCTGTAGCGGTACTGAAGAACTGGACGGATAAAAGCTATACATATCCTGTTGGAACTGAAGGTCTGATTCTCTCAAATCTTCCTCTGTGTGTAAATGTAAATATGGCTTATAGCTCCTCCTTCCTTTATCGTACAATGATGCTATGGTGATGGACTGGTCTAGAATTCTGAATTGAAGATTGGGCGGTTGTCTCGGCCTTGTTCTTCTAGAGCGTTCATTAGGATTGTATAACGTGTATTGAGTAAAGTTCAATCGAATACCTCTATAACATTTCCTCTTGGACTTGATACAATTCCTACAAACTGGTTGTTGTTCGTCACATTTAATATGTCGATCTCGGCAAGTAACGCAACCTGATCTGGTTCGACTACGCTTTATCGACGAACCAACCCTCTTTTTCGCCATGGCTAGTTCAGGTATTCGCTGAATGTATTAATGATTTCAAATATTCTCTTTCTCCACTACGGTTGGCCCTCCTGTTGATGTGGCTGATGTATAACTTGATTTTGAAAGATTGACACACCAAGGATTTTGCGCTTTTTCCGGTGTTGTGATTATGCTAATGATGTGATTCCGAATTAATTTTCCTTTGTTCAAGGTTAATATTTTTCCAGGAATTGCTTTTTAAATCGTTATATGGTTTATTTATAAGTAAAGTAGATCTTATTTTGCAGATTGTTTGTCCATGTTTTTTTTAAATTTTGAGACCATCCAGAAGTTGTTATATATTTTTTTTTTGGATTATTTTTTTTTTTTTTAATTACGGATGCCCCTCGGTTTACAAAACCTTTCCAATAATAAAGTGGTAATTTTGCGCATGAGGAATAAGGTATTTAATTGTCATTAAACTTAAATTTATGGCAAATGCGTTAAAAAAATGAATTTGATGCCTTGTCACAGCAATAAAGTTTGATGAAATGAAATTGTGTTGATGGTTGCGGAGCTATCTTTTTTTTTTTGCAATTATATTTTCGATATTATAAAAATGGATCTTTTTTAGTGTTGGTTAGCAAAGGCTTTACTAAGAGCTCGCTATTTCCTGTAAGTTATTAAATCTTTTGGCGATTATGAACAGAAAATCGTAGTTTCGAGGGGTATGTGTCAGGACGAAAGTTGGTGATCTAATTTTAAATGCAGCAGGGGTTAAATTTAAAGTTATGCACAGTTCGTAAGGCAACGTTTTAGCTATGACACTTTGATGGTTTGGAGAAAATCTACAGGTAGAAAATATGAATTGTGCAACACTAGAATCCGATCCCCGCCTTTAAATCGCAAACGTATGAGAGTTATAAGTACAATATACCTACATATGCACTATGTCTTAGTCATCGAAACCGAATATTTTTTTCGCAACCGTTCGGAGTTGAGAACCTTCATGGTTTTGACCACTGGCGTGTTACATGAACTAATATTTAATGTTGGGAAAGTCTTGGTTAAGGTATCCAAGACGAATTGAAAACACCAGATCTGGAGAACAATCACGTGAGTTGTATGGTCGATAAGAAAATAAATGAAGTTTAAAAAAGGACGCATAAAAAATATCATTAAAAATAATTTGTAAAAAAATAATTAGGGCATTGTTGCAAATATTCTGAAATCAAAATCCTTTATCCTGCATAAATTCGCCCTGGTTTCTCTGCGTCAAATGTGCAAGTTTTACCGAAAATCACGAAATGGGCGTATCCACTATTTCATGAACCAATCAAATTTCTATTAGGTCGTGCCTTTCGAAAGTTTTCTTCCTAAACTGGAAATTACAAACTTGACGCGGAGCTGCGGCACCTGACATTGACAAACGAATAAGGTGTTGGTTACGATATTCATATTTCCAGCACCTTATTCGTTAGACCTCGGTTATGCATTTACTAAGGGTCCTATTGTGTCCGTAATAAATAGAAGGATATATATAAAACCGTACAAGCCGTTGCTAAATTTGTATGTTAAGAAACTATTTATACGAAACGAAGTGCTCAGGCTACATCGTTATTCTACGCGCGCCCAATGACGATTTTCCCAATCCCCCTTTTAAATCGTTCAACGCTTATACTTTACCTTTTTTATGTCAGCTGTCGATTAATTAATATAGAATTTCGAAACAATGCTCTATTCTGAGTAATAAAATCATACAATCTCCAAGAAAAATTTAGTTTTGAAACTGAATCTAGTTTAGTTCGAATTATGTTAAAAAAGCCTAGAAAATATCTGTTTTGAGCACACCACAGTAACAAGTGTCTCTTTCTCTCCGTCCAACAATATGAAATGATCTGCTGGAATTTCATTTGTGGGTTTCTGATTTACTACATTTCACGCCGCCTAAATTTGACCACAATATGACACTTTTTGAAAATTTTTTTGGACAACTTCGTTTCTTCCCGCAAGACTTGAATTATATCTTAAATTCCAACAACAACAACTTACAAAGGTGTGTTTAAATGATCATTCATTCAATGGGTAAAACTCAGTGCTTATACATAATTATAAAGGATAATAATGATGTATTCAACCGACTGCTAGCCTGAACTTCCAGTTCTTACCCCTACATAAGTTACTACTATTACATGCCCCATATAACGAATTGAGAATAGGATGCTGGTTGAAAGAAGACATGAAGCTAAAATTGGATTTATCTAGAGTGAGCATGGCCCTATACTTATTGAGAATCATATGTCTTGCAACAAAGTGTGTGTGAGTTATATATCTGGCATCTTACAATATTGACTTGGTTTGGTGTACATCAGACTAGATAAATACCAACAGAAATTTGCCACAAAGCTTCCAATAGTGGTTAGGAATAAAAGTAGGTACGATCATGGGGGTTTATTTTACTGCATTGATACCGATAGCCTCTGAGCGCTTGGATGATCAGTGACAATATCACCTATTTGCCAGAACCCATTCCAGTCCATAATTTAATGCAATCTAGATCCGTAAAAGTTACAGGTTGCTTGTGGTGTGAAGTAGGAAAACGTTTATTACAAAATTTAAACATCCAGGACCAAGACACTAATGCTTACCCTATTTAAATGTATTTCAGAAGAAAAACCTTGCTGCCAAAAATTAAATTGATCCACAAACATTAGGAGGGTTATAAGAGAGAAAATTGTACCTATATGGATGATACAGCCATAATTTATTCCACTTGGCAGTTGATTGTTAAAAGCGCATTTTGTGAACTAACAATGAAAATTCGTAATTACAACCTGTAATTAAATAATAATTGACTTCATGAGCAGAAAAAAAAACCGAGCAAATTTTCATGCAGATATTTTTTAGGCGTTATAATCCCATAGTAATAGCAAGAGTAATATTTTTCGAGTGTTTGTTTCGCTTAGGCAAAGGCTATGAAATAGAAGTATTAAATTAATTGTGCATTCACTGGCAGTATAATGAATAAGCCTCTATCAAATATTTAGTATTATTGACTCCTTCTACTTCAACGTTAACAATCAGCTGATAATTGGTCGCAAAGTTTTTAATACATGGCCAATGCAAGAAATGGATTCATTAGAGAAGCTAATTTAGAGGTATATGAATTGAGGGTTGAAACTCCGGGCTTAAGGGCATCAAGAATAAATGTTGGAAACGAGTCTATTTGCATTTGGTGTTAGTTACATTATTTGAAATGATTAGATGTAAACATCTCAAAAGTAGCTCTTTTAATCTTTCTTACCATACAGTGGTTCTTTCGAGTTAATTGTAAGCTTTGGAAAAATCACGACTTGGAAAAAGTTTACTTTCAATTGAACTACAAAAATCTATGGATTAGATCAGAATTCAGAAGCATCACTATTAATGTAATGAAAAGTAGAAGCATAGATAATTATTTTTACTTATCTCTAATTCTCTGCTCTACTTTCCAGTACTATAACAAAGCCATTTCATTCCTGACAATTAAGTAGAACGTCTTATGGATTCCTATCCGCAACAAAACAGGTTGTGTCACGTGAACATAAAACTTTTTTTTTTTTTTTGCAGAGGATGTGAGATTTTACACATTTGTCATATATTTGTCATACAAATAGATAACTGAAACATCAATCATTCATCCATCCAGCACCGTTGAGAGCACTCATTGTACTGTATAACCTAAATCCATCACACAATGACTTCCGAAAAGTCCAAGGAGCGATCTACCCCCGAGTTCGTAGACGATGATATACCACCTTCTGTTCTAGCTATATCAAACTTACGTTGCCCTTCGCCTCCACCGATATTGAATAATGGACCGTCAAGAACAACCAATATATCTCCACCATTCCAAACTTTATCAATTTCTTCTCCTTCTAACGATGGAAGTAAGGAAACAGGCGATGAATTGCTGCAACCAGGAAGCGCTAAAGCGGGAGATCCAAAATCCCCGATATCTCCCTTACATATGCTACAACTGACAGAAAGAAATGAATCAATGACTAGTCTAGACTATATGCTCAACCCACCAAAGGAAAGCGCTCACCACAAAGCGCCGTCCGTCCATGCCCACTTTTACATTGATGATACTATGAAAACGGGTAAGCCAGGTAACAGATCAAGAAGTGGCTCAGCTTCTAGCCAACCTCGTTCTTCCCCTGTAGTGCAAAGTAATCTGGGTGAACTACAGAAGCCAATAATTGCAAACCCTCAGAGTGCTGGAAGTTCAGCTATATCATCTAGGGTCCCAAGTAAACTGGGAACTCCGCAACCGCTGTTAGGACCTAACGAACAGAATCCAAATATCGATCCCCGCTTGCTTCAAGATGACGGCAAAATCCACATATTGCTAGGTGTATGTGGTGCTTTATCTACAGGTAAGATAAAAATGATTATATCCAAATTGTATGAAATTTACACACCAGAGAGAATAGTGATACAGTTGATTTTGACCAAATCTAGTGAAAATTTCATCTCGCAAGAATTGATAAATATTTTGGAAAATCTGAAAAAGGTTAGAATTTGGAGAGATGCCGATGAATGGACCTGGAAGAATAGACTGGATCCAGTATTACACATTGAATTACGTCGTTGGGCCGACATCCTTGTTGTATGTCCATTGACAGCGAATACTCTCTCGAAAATTTCTTTAGGGATATGTGATAACTTGCTTACCAACGTGATTAGAGCTTGGAACACCTCTTATCCAATTTTATTGGCACCAGCAATGGTAAGTTATTCTTATAATGCAGTCACTACCAAAAGGCAATTGAAGTTGATTGCTGAAGAGATGCCCTGGATTGAAATATTGAAACCCCTGGAAAAAGTTGTTGGCAGTTATGGTGACATTGGAATGGGTGGTATGATGGATTGGAATGAGGTTGTGAATAGAGTAGTTCAAAGGCTAGGTGGATACCCAAAAGACGACGAGGAAGAAGATGAAGAAGATGAAGCAAATAAAGAGTCTCATGGGGACGCCGTTGACGATGATGAAGACGAGGATGATGAAGATGATGAAGATGAAGATGAAGAAGAAGATGATGATGATGATGAGGATGAGGTGGATAATGATGACAATGAAGAGGACGACAGCAACCAGGCTACCGAACATCAGTCAAAACAGGTTCAACGTGGTAGTGCTCGTGAAGTTGGCATGCATACTCCTAATAAAGAAACTAGTATAGAAACCAAGGACGCAGTAGAACAACCCCAATAGAATCTTATCAAGTTGAAAACTACAGCTAGCTACAGTTTGCGGTGTTAAGGTGATCATTCAATTCTTCATATACTACATAATTATTTACAACATTCTCTAGAAAACCTGCTAGTTTAATTACCATGATATTGACGTATTCTCTCTTCTCTCCAATTTTGGTACTCGTCACCATTCATTGCAGAAGTATCACAAGTATTTGTGCTTAACCTTCGATCAATATCCTTTGGCCTTTCAAAAAAATTTGATTTAATATTTATCGGAGAAAGATGAAATGGTGAGGAGTTTTCTTTATCCTGCTCCTTTTCCAAACAAGGAGAGTCCAATTTTTGATTAGGAGAGTGGTTTAATCTCAACGGTGAGTTTTGTTCACTTAACATATCTAAGGGTCTTAACGGGCGATTAAGCGGCTGCAATTCGGTATGAGGATATAAAGCCAGAATATTTCCTAATATACGCGTAGGGCTACCCGAATTTGACAGCGCTGACAGGAACAGCGATGTTATTGCATTCGAAATCTTTATGGTTGTTGGATTGTTGTAGGTGCGAGCTAGCTTGACTTGAGGCTTAGCAATTCGAGTCACCTTAGTTGGGGATTCTCTTGCGTGTTTGAGCCTAGATTCAGGTCGAGAAGTTGGTTGGACTTTCCGTTGTGGTGAGATTCTCTGGACTGGCTTTTTAGTTGGAGAAACTCTCAGACTGTTTGACACATTTCTGTTTCTTCTAGGACCATTCAGTTGTTGTTCTGTTTGTATAGACAATAATTTTTCATAGAGATCTTCCCCATTAATTGCAAGAGGATGGCTCCCGTTATTGTCCGAGTTATTATATTCATACACCAGACTAACGAGACTGTCAATCACCCGAGGCATGTTTTTATTGATCTTCTTCCTGAGCTTTTCTTCATTGAGAAGTATTTTGCAAGAGTTCTTACTCATGAGTCGTGATGAATCTTTTGAGGCTTCCTTCAAGAAATCTTGATCTTTAAGTAATTCTAGAAGCTCTTCATATAGTTGAAAAATAGGTTCTTTGGCAGCATATTCTTCATTCAATTTAATAATTTCTTCTTCGTGCTTAGCCAAAACAGTTTCTTTCTCAACATCACTATTATCAGGATCATAATTAAAGAATTCAAATTCGCTTCTCAATACCCTTGAATAATACATTTTATCCCAAAGTTTTTCTATTTCGTTTCTAGCATCAGCAATGAACTTTTCAATGCATTCTGATCTTCTGATGTACAACTTGTTTAACTCCATTTTAAAACTAAGTAGAGAAAGTTCAGTCAATGAGCTATTTCTTTCCATGAACGAATTGACATATTCTTCAGTTTCACCAAGTTTATTCCATAGTTGCATACATGTCTTAGAATATTCATCCCATTGGGATTTTCTAGTATTGACAGTTGAAGCAAGGAGATCTTGGATACCGGACAAAAACTCAATGTGAGAATTGTGTAGTCCAAACTCTAACGGCTCTTTCTGTATAGTCTTTAAGGTTTCAATATCTAAAAGCATATCATCGTTAATATTCTCATTGTGTTTTTGCATTTCTTTGAACTTATCATCAGTTATTTGTAAAAGTTCCAAGGACTCAAGTATTTGATTTAGGATCCTGGCAACAGATTCTTTTCTTTTATCAATTTCAATTTTGCAATGATCAATTTCTACTTGAACCGAAGAAAAAAAGTCCAGGGTAAATTTAGTGAACCTTAATCCTCTTATTATTCGGATAATTTGGTAGTTAATATTCCTGAGATGATCCAATACAGATTCGGATGTTTGTTCCTCTGTAAAATCTTCGGGTTTGTTACGGTCATAAACAGAGTTCTTCCTAGGACTACCTAGTATAAAGGTATTATAATTCTCGTTTTCGGTAAAATTTTTCTCTTTCTGGAGGTTAAGGTGTCTAATGCTAGACTCAAATTCGTCTAGTATTTGCTTATGATATTCGGCATCTGTACTGGAAGGTAATATATGAACTATATTTGAACTAGAAGTTCTGAAAGGTCCAATTAAATCAATCAATTCGGTGTATTCCAAATTCAAGTTATTTAATCTGCGGAATGATATCATGAACAGCTTCAATACTTTGAGAAATATACCATTAAGCTGACTTTTTTGTTGTAATAGCGTTAATCTTGGGATATTATTCAACATGTTATCGTATTGTTGTTCGATAGACATTGACAGGTTGAGCAAACTAGAATCAGCAATGTTAAATGGAGAACTCGTATGGAAATTGGTATTGCCCCGTATGTCCGAAAATTTGGTCAATACTTGTTCTTTATAACCATCTTCATATTGGTCTTGGTTTTTAAAGGCTAGTCCTCGTTCAATTAGACTGAGAGACTTGTCTCCTTTATTATCATTAACCATGGAAAGAATAAGTTGAATCTGTTGCCTTAACCATTCACATTCGTCTTCGATATTGGCTCTCTCTTGGTGTATTTTAGCTTTTGAGGTAGCAATGGTGTCTCGAATAGATGTAAAGATTTCCTCTTGTCTATGTGATATTTCAGGTTCTGTAAAACCAACAAGTTCACACTCGTCAGTAACCTCCGAGAGGGCTTGAATTACATCAGATCCTATTTGTTGCATACGTTTGGCCAGCATCTCGGCGAAGGGGTTCATCTTGACTTTAGATTGTGGTGGGCGTTGGGTAACCAGTGATACCAGATCAGTACCTGTCGGTTTTCCTAGTATGCTTTCAATCTGGGATGGTGTAGAAGTATCTGATATCTCTTCATGTGATGAATTGAACTGCTCTAGTATTGTATGCTTCACTGGTGAGGGGTCATCCAAGGTCGGTTTTGAATGATTGTTTGTCAAGCTCATTTCCGTGCTTATTTGTGGGTGTTGGTTTCTAATTGCTTATGTTGGTATGTGGTGTGTTTGTGTATATGTTGAATCGACTATTATGATTCAGTATGCGCTAACTCAATTGATTGCTATCTTCTATTTGGTACCTGCTTTTAATCTCGTCTCTGTTTTCATGAAGATTGTGATGATTTGCGTTTTCTTGTTGTCTAATTTCCTAATTGGGATGAATTAAAAACAATGTTCTTTGCAACGAATGTCGCAAATAATAATAAAAAAAAATATGTTGCGAGTATCTTACAACCTATCTATTATTAAGTACATTAATTGCTATTTACATGTCCTCTTATTTAGTTTCTTAATCTCATGCAATGTGGCCGCCAATTCACTTCCAAAATTAACCGCGTTAGGTTCAGATTGACCAGATTTAAGGTCTCCCTGGGGAAAATCTTTGCCAAGGAAACTCAAACTACCACTATGTATAGTAGCCATCGCTTGTCTATCACGACGATGTTTCTTGGTTATCCCCCATTTGTAAGCATGACCAGTAACAGGCCAATCCATTTTCCGGGCTATATCGAAAAGCGAGCGGTATAACGGACCCACATATTGTGCACCTTGACGTACCAACTCGTCATACCAATGTTTAGCAAGGTCATACTCGGATTTCTCGTGGTGATATTTGACAAAGGAGTATATTTGAGGAAATGTAAGGTTACTTTGCTTTTTGCGGTATAATTTCATGACTCTAGTTGCAAATTCGTAGTCTTTGTGCACTAGCAACGCAGCTTGAATCAATAGGTCGATGTTCACCGGATTGATTTCGCCGTAGGGTAGTGGAACACGTTCATAATATGTAAAAATTCTCTTTGCAACTGCAAAGTTTTCATATTCAGTTGAAACTTGTAGCTCAGTAGAACTTGTATCTTTCAAGAGATGCTTCAAGAATACTCGAATGACGTCATCGTTGGCATCTAGGGTGGTTTCAGGGGTTTGAATAACCCTCATATACTCCTCGAAAAGTTTATTAATCAACCGAGGTAATGTTGTTCCGAGCGGGATAGATGAAAGTAAAACATTGTATATGGATGCAAGAACCTCGGTGGTGAACTTATTCCCAGTCAAGCTCTTATCCACCAGAGCAAGCTTCACTTCTTCGAAAGAGTGTAAAGGCTCGAGTGAACCATTTGAATACACTATTGGCAAGATTTTTAAATCATTAAAAAGTGCCAAAACTCGGTGTGCTTCATCTCCATATAATGCTCCCGCGTATCCAATAATGACCTTTGGAGAAGAAGGAAACTTAGCTCTCATTAATAACATGATTTCCTTTGCCCATTTCTTTTTAAAACTATTAGAGATACCATTTAAATCGATGTTATTCATAACTACAATAGCTTCATTGTAATATCCCTGTAATCGCATATTTCGCATTAAAAGCAAATATGTGTCGTAATCAACGGTTAATCCTTCCTCAGTCAAGTATTTCAAGACTTGTGCCGAATGAGACACTCCTTTAAACTTTGTTACAAAGTTTAAGATAACTAAAAGTAGTGATTGTGTATCTTCATGAAGGGATGTATCACCTTTTAGAAATGCTCCTCTTGAATATTTTCTTTCATATTTTTCAAGCAAAAACTTCAAATAAAGTATAGCATTAGCAGGATCTTCAGAATCAATAAACATGTTACAATAAGTAGACAAATCTTTCACGGTGTAAAACTCGATTATTCGTTCATTATGTTCTCCAAAATCGGTCTTATGCAAATCATGCCATTTGGGGAAAAGTAAACCAGTTCGGGAAATTAACTTCTCGATTGAAGTACCATGATACAAGATCTTCTTGAACCGTTCCATCTTGTTGGTTGCAATGGTCTGAAGGTTGACACAGACCATCCTCAGAAAGAGTGCTGCTCGTTTTTCACGTGGAACTATTTCTAGTATCTGATGATACTGTTGGCCAGATAATAATAGTGGCATGCTATTTATCACATTAGTTCTGCTTAGCTTTTCTAGGAAGTTTAAAAGAATATGGCCCTTGTGGGCCTTATCACCTTTCGTCAATTCAAGTATTGACATAAATACCTGGAAAAACTTTACGCGGAATGCGGTGGATGTGGGATCTATTATGAACTGTATAATACATGATTTAACTTCGTCATCTTGGAACGATTTGGCTAATGCACTTGTTATGGTTTCTTTAAGGGTAGTATCGTTAATTTCACGAATGAGCCAGGATACTAACCTAGGATCTTCGGTAATTTTCTCTTGCACTATTTCTATAATATTAAGGCAAAACCCTGACATCTCTTCCAAGGTCCCATACGATAAGCCATTCAAATGACGATATTCCTTTTGTGTTAAATTGACTATTTCGTCTTTTGAAAAATCAATGAGAGGGTTATGTGGGTGATCATTTGGTAGACCGAGCAATTCTGTTTCCCAAGGTTGACTGAATGGCTTGTTTCTTAACGATGGCTTGAATGCAGTAGGAATGATAGGTCGAGCTTGGGTAGGTCGAGCTGCTGTTGCTAATTCTCTATAGCTTACACTTAGTCGCTTTATAGTTACATTTGACCGTAGCCTCCTTATGATCGATTTATTCATGGCTTATGTCGTATTCTTGCAGTCTAGTAAAAAAAAATTTTGTTAGTCTTAAATGTTGGAGATCAATTTTTTTCGGCAATGCGATCTGCGATTTGGTTGCCAAAACTTCGACCTTAGATATCAATCAAGATCAACAACATCCACAAGATATATCGCGTTTCCTTTACAATACATCATAAGTACATTATTAATACTATAAAAGACTCTATAAATCTATTAAACTTGATGAACATCTATCTGACTCCAATTCTCCAACACCATCACCGAAGTGTTCTTGCCTGCACCTCTATATATATACTTCTGATAAAAATATGCAACGTCAAATATAATAGTCCCAGAACTACCAATGATATAAGGCAATTCTCTCCATATAAAATCTGATCTGGAATCACCAAACAAAAACTCACAGCTTGACAAAATAGAAAGTGTGTATGTCAAATTACCAAGCAATGCTGCCCCAAACAATATTGGAGATATTCCTTCAACCGACTTTCTCTTGTAGTTCTTGTATAATTGGGGACATCTCGAACTACAATATATGACAGTACAGCTCCAAGCAAGTATTATCCCGATTGTTTCCACGGTGGAACTCGAACCAGAAGATTCTTGTATGAACGCTTGTATGGGACTTGCTCTTGCTCCACTAGCATTTAGTAAAACCCCGGCAATGGCTGTTCGGACTAAATGGGAAGACTCGCTGTCAGAAGTAGAATCATAACTGCTAGCTCCTGGTGATAGTATGGACTCTTCTGAGGTAGTAGCAGACATCTTGGCATGTCTAATATGCAATCCTGTCTTCGAGTGCACATTAACGTCTTCAGTATTTGATTCATTGTTTGGTTTCACCTCTGGTGCAGGTGCTAATTCCGTGTAAGCTGTTTGTTTTCTTGGGTATACACTGTTGTAATAGTAGTATTGAAAACACAATGTAATATCATTACAAAGGAAAAAAATACTCAAATATACTTGAAATCCCAACACTTTATTCAATAAACAACTGGTGAAACTCAAGAAATCCCCCATAAACCATAAAAGTAGGAATGACGGTGATATGCCTTCTGCAGATTTACTCTTATAATTCTGAATGATTTGCGGAAGTTGGGCAAACATCCAGCTGAGACATGATACAAAACTGAATGTATGCGATATGAATGATATATCTGAACAAACTACCATGGTGAACTAGTTGATAGTGTAGTTGTTAATTACTGATAAGAGATACGTTGTGTATTCCAAAAAGAGGAAAAGAAATCGGGCAAGAAAAAGAAAGAAAAAAAAAAAACTCTGATGCTAACCGCGCTTGAGGAATTACCGGATTAGTCACCTTCGATTTTTTTTGGATGTAAAATTGTAAAAGAAAAGTTTTTCACTTTGCAACACAAAACTATACTTTATACAAGGTGTCTAAAAATCCAACAATTAACCTGTCAGCTACTCCCGATGTCTGTACACTTCCAGCAACACCATACATGGCAGCTGTGTCACTAGTGACTGTGTTATTAGATACTCGTTTCTGAACTGCCTCTTTGGTCAGAGAAATCAAATCCTCAATCAACTCTGGAACAACAGGAATGGTCAATCTAGTCAATGCAAAGTGCAACCCTGCTGGATTTTGAAGAGCAGCAAAATGCCAACCTTTACTGTTTAGTAAATCTCCAAGTTCATAGATATTGATATTGGTTGCCTCGGATTCTTTCACTTTGAATGCAATGACAGAAGCAATAGGATCACCAATAATCTCCAAATATTTACTTAAAGTTTCTTCCGTCTTCAATGTAGACTTGAGTTGCATAGTAGCATCCACTATTCTCCTACAAGACTCTTCATATCCATCTTTACCAAATTTAACAAGGGTAGCCCAACACCCCACCATTAATGCCCCAGGACGTGACCCAGCTAATGTTGGCGATCCATACATACCACCTGTCCAACTGCTCAGAATATAATATTGGCATTCACGTAACTTACTATTTCGGTACATGATAATACTGGATCCCTTAGGTGCAAATCCGTATTTGTGAGTATCACATGAAATAGAAGTAACTCCCGGCAATCTAAAGTCAAATTTTGGAATAGGTCTATCTCCATGAACTTTGGATCTTTCCAAGAATGAAACAATAAAAGATCCCAAACATGCATCCACATGAAGGGGGATGTTGTATTTTAAGGCTAGTTTTGAAAGTTCTTCTATATTGTCGATTATTCCATGAGGATAATTTGGTGCAGATCCAACCAACAATACTGTATTCTTATTAATAAGTCTCTTCACTTTGGAAATGTCAACTTGATAAGTCTCCGGGTCAAGATCAACTTTATGAAGAGTCATTCCAAAATAAGAACATGCCTTGTCAATACCGGCATGAACAGTAACAGGAGCAATTACTTCTGGTTTGATAATTCCTTTATTTTTCTTTCCATATTCTCTAGCTGCCAATCCAGTTAACAATAAAGACTCGGTACCACCGGATGTAGTTGACCCACATCCTGTTTCTGGAGCATTAAAAATATCCAATACCATAGAAACAATTTCAGCTTCCATCTTACGAACACCGGGAAACACATCAGGATGAAGCTGATTAGCAACTGCATACTTGTGATATGCTTCAGATTGCAAGTCTAAAAGTTCCTCACCCCCGTGGTACACGGCCCCACTGACTCTACCATTATTCCAATCGCTATGTTTTAAATGCTGAAGTTTATCCAACTCTTCCACAATTGATTCCTTACTTATGCCTTCTTCAGGCAACTTGGGGAATTGAAGTAATTTGTCATCGTTTTGCATCAAGGAAGTTTCGATTTTTTCAATAGTTGCTTCCAACTCCTTATCGACCTTTCTTTTAATTGGGGGTAATGTCATCACGAAGGAAAATATCGAGGCATTTATGGCTCTCCATAACCTTTTTATACTTCCAATTAAGCCATATCCCCATATTATGGTGAAAATGTCGGTGATTTTATTATACAAGAAGTACGCTATCCATATGTCTCTGACTAGTCTGAGGGAGCCCCACAATTTTGAGTCACCGAAGTAAGTTTGCAAAACCGCAAGTTTCGTTGTTGATATCAACGAGTATATGAGTGTAGTTACCTCGTCAAAACTCTGTGGAGCCTCAATCGAACTGAATTTTAACTTAAGCTGATTCATGTTTGCTGTTTGACAACAGGAGATGTAAGTTGTGTCAGGTTCAGAAAAACTCGCACTTTAAAATAAGGAGCAGAATTTCGCGGCTCGGCCTTTGGCCCAGGTTATAGCCGACATTAGTAAAGTTTGACATATAATACATTTTCATTAGGTAATATATAGTTACAAATTAAAGTGGTGTAGAAGATCTACTAACTCGATTGCTTGGTCGGCTGCTGGAACCAGAATTGGATGTCTCCATAACTACTTGTCGTTCCTTGTACAATTTATCAATCTTCTCATTGAAAAGTCCCGACATGAATTGGTTCTCCTTTTGTATTCTATTCAATTGAGATTCGTAGTTTAGTAAAGCATCTTTCTTCATTAATGCAGGTAAGGAAGTTAATCCTTGGCCGTTTACTTTCTTGTTTAGTTCACTATCTTTTTCCTTAAGTTGGGCAAGCATACTTGAAAGTTGGACGGCAGTAGCAGAACTCATTTGATAAGACAGCCTGAGTGTTTCGCATTCTTGATTCAATTTATCAAATTCTTCAGTCATCTTCGCCAATTCCTGATGAAGCTCTTCGAGTGAGGCTTTCTGCTTTTGCAAATCTTCTTCGGTGTGGACATGATCAGTGTGCTCTTTTAACTTGTCTAACCTCCTTTGTTTTTCGGTTTGTATTTCTTCAACTTTTACTAAATCCAGTTCAATTCGACACAAGGTTTTTTCTTGAACAGTGGCTTCGTCACTCAACTTTCGTAATTTTCGATACCCACTCGATATAAGATCTTCATCGTCATCGTAATGTGACTGACGTGAACTTTCATACTTCCGCTTCTCGGGAATAACATTATTGTTCAATTCTGCTATTGTTTCTTCAATCTGGAAAAGCTTCCCATGTAATGCCTCGGCAATTTGTGATCGATAACTCTTGTAGTCAAAATCACCAAGCAGGTCAAATCCGCCGTTTATACTCTCGGTAAAGCAAATATTCAACTTTTTAATTAACTTATCATCGGTGAACGTAAGTGCTACTTTTTCCGTGTACTTCTTTATTGGATTTTCTACTGTTGATTTCTCCAACCACAGTTTAAATTTCTCCATTTTACTGCCATAATTATCAACAAAGAAATTGGCCCCATCAATTTCACGAACATGAAACTTGTTTACAACCAACGCTTTTATCACTTTAAGCTTGTGCTTATACATTGGGTCGGAAGTATCGTTTGAAAAATTTAACGATGATGTAGGTTTAGGAAATTGTTGAGCAATATGCTCAATAGAATAAATTGGCACGGGAATGAATATAGGACATTCCTGCGGATTAGGTCTCAAAATTTGAATGCTGGGAATGTCGACATCAAGTTCAGCATCAAACGAAAAAATCATGTTGTAATCGACGCTTTTAGTGCTGCTTGCCGACAAGTAGTTATTATACAATTGCTGTGATGTGATCAAGTTCAAGCATAACTTAGACTCGGGGTTTATGGCGGCTTTTAAATTGGGGATTGGACGCTTGTCGTCATATAATTTAGCACTACTGTAGTTTTCATAGTATAATCTTTTCCCAAGAATTAATCCTTCGATAAGTTCCAATTCCTTAACACTGCCGGCCACTACTAGCATGTAAAATCCTTCTGGGTAACGTTTCGTGTCTATTAAGGAATCCACTATTCTATTGAAAAGTTGAGATTTCCCAGATAAGTTGGTTTGGCGCTCATTTGTTTCCACTAGTAATATCTTTTTAGGAATGAAGTGATCGACTAATAACGACGGATTGCAGTTGACTTTCATCAACTGCTCATAAAGCAAGGAAATCTTTTCGTATGTGTTCAAGCCGTTCTCTTTGGTGGTGGGTGCAGACTCCAATAAACTGTCTATACTGGTACGTAAACGCTTCGACTTTACTTCATTTAACAACTCTGAGCTGAACAAATGTAATAGAAGATCCACGACTGATTGCTGGAATCTGGTTAAAAGTGTAGGTAAATAGCATACGGCATTGTCTGGCAAAACCTCATCACTGACAGCAAATGGGTCACGCGGCTTCAGATCCTCGTATGCAGTGTCAACACCATTCATCTGAGGGGAGTATAATGAAGACGGAGGATCCGCCGAGAGCATATCCATAAGATTCATCGTATAGTTTGATTGAATAAAGGCTGGTGGAAAGTAGAGCTGGGTCTGGGTAAGATTTTACATTCACGAAAGATAGGGTTATTTTTCGCTGGCCGCGCGCGCAGATTTACTTGCAATTTTGGGAGGGACTAAATCTCACTACTATGTACTATCGCCTATTTTTTTTCTTTATGGTAACATTCACCCCGATCCCACCCAAACTGTCCCACACAATGGGCTCAACTTTCTTGGGTAGCTTTCTTCCGTACAAACACTGATCTACAAGCCACATACCCACTAGGAACTCGTTCTTGTTAAGAGTTCCGTCTTTTCTGAAATCAACTAAGTTCCATATTTGTTCGAGCGTTTCATCGGGTAATCTACTTCTGCGCCAGATCCTCAGAACAATCACACCATGGATTAATTGGTTTATATCGGCGTTTTCAAGGTTATGAACATTATCTTTATCATTAATACTTTGTGCCTGGTTGTTGGAAGACAATTTTGCAGCCTTTGTGGAAATCTCTTCGTCTTCTTGCGCAACCTCAGGGACCAGAGAATAATCAACCCCCACCAACCTCGTGACAATTTGACTCATGTAGTTTCCTTTATTACTTGCCCAAACACCCTCATATCTCTTTCGCTCTTGTTCACTAAGATAATTCAAATCACTGTGATTCTTCCAAGGTTTATTCTCATTGAACTGGGTTTTCTTATCTTTTCGCCTCTTTTCTCTCATGGTTGTCTTGAACTGTACTGGCTGAACCAATGCCAGACTAGATACCAAAGGACTGGGTAATTCTTCAATCTCACTGTCCAGATCTAGCAAATTAAGCGGCGACTCTATTCTTTTAGATTTCTTCTTCTTGAATATATTGCTCTTACTATCTCTTCTCTTGGTGACATCTGGAAATTGTGGAAACGAAATGCTTTGACTTTCGCTTTCCAAGGTGTCATCCTCGGTATAGTCATACTTTTGATCCATTTGGTAGTATGTTTCATCTGCATTACCAAGCAGAGATGCGCTTGAAAGTGCATCAGAAGACCTATTGTTGACATCGGCAAGATAAAACGTCGTATCTTTAGGCTCCGTAAATTCTTGGTCTGGCGGCGGTTTCCTCTTTGGTTTGGACTTTACTGACGACTGTTCTAGCTCATCTGATCTGGTGATGTTGGTCTCTTCTATTACTTCAGGTTCCTCCAGTTCTTCCTCTAGTTCTTCTTGGTCCTCCTCCTCCTCTTCTACCACACTTTCACGTTCCAGGAAACTAGATCCAAAGGATGAGTAGGAGTTGTTGATCTCGGTAGCATTGTATACCTTGCTAGGGTTTGAAACCGATCTTATTGAACCTTCAGTTCTGGCGGAGCCAGTCGGGTGTGAAGAACTCTCGGAAACCGCCTTCATTCGGGTATCTATTCTATCTCGTATATCATTCAAGATCTGCTGTCCCTTAGGGCTCTTGTCATAATTTGACAAATTAGCCAGAGAAGTTTTCGTCTTGGAATGGATCGAACTGCGTAGATTTTTAATCATTTCTTGAGGTGAATAATTAGCCGATAATCGCTTTGCATTGGCATCATTCACAATAGCTTTGGAGTCGATCGATTGCTTAATATTGTTTATCATGTCTTGTGGATTCAGGTTAATCTTAGCATGTCTATTAATATCTGAAAAATAATCAGCAGAAGTTGTTGAGTTTGAAGAAAGCACACGAGGACTAGGATTAGGACTCTTACGTGAGCCTTGACTTTCGTAACGAGGCGATGGAGTACCTCTCTGGGAGATACCACCAGGCACATCGAGCGTACTGCTTCTTCTCATTCCATTATTGGGTAGCGATATCTGTAAAGATGGTCCTGTAGGTCTCGGACTAATCACTCTCTTGTGCGATTTGGGTTGTACAGGTAATGATTGTATAGATGTGTTCTTGTCAAGATTGTATGGGTGCAGCGGTAACTTGCTTGGTTCTGGTTCTTTGGCTTTGGATGTTGCGTTGAAAGCTGCCAAGGCCGCAGCACTGGCCGTTGAGGATATATTGGCCATACCCGGTAAGCTATAGGTAGTGTTGTCTATATACAGCAATTGTAAAACGGCAAGTGTCGTTTTAAAACAAAATATTTGTATCAAAACAATGAGCCGCATGTACCAGCTTTTTTTCACACAGGAAATAACTGAAAAAAAATCTATGGCAATTACAACAATCTATTTATAGAACTACTACTACTACTTCTTCTTACCCTTTGACGAGTTCACAAATCTTCCCCGTCCAACTCTTACACCTGATGGTCTAATATTGTTCATGTTTGTACTGAATGGTGATACGTAGTTATCAGCACTACCTCCACCAATCCATTCTTGAAGCATCTTCTCATTTTGTCTTCTTTGCCATTCGTCATTCTTTAATGCTTGTTGATATTCCTTTTGATCTTCTCTCAAGATTAAAGGAGATTGTAAAGATTTATGACGGTTTTCTTTATTATGTTGGTAACCAGCATTACCTTGTTTCTTCTGCAGGTTCTTACTTAATGGGGAAGGAAGTGTGAATCTTTCACCACGCTTGTACCATTGGAAATTAGCTTTCAAATGTGGAGTTACCTTACCTGTTAAGGTGTCTACAGACACAGCACATCTTAGTAAAGTATTACCACCACATTTTGGACAGAAATGTTTAGGTTGACCGTTCTTATTTATAGGTGTTAATCTGAAACATGCATGACATCTGTACATATAATTTCTGACTCTTTTGATTTGCTTACCTGACATTGCATTTAAAAGATTGATATTAATTTGCATGGCAACGTTTTGACAGGCGAAATCGCCGGTTGCCAATGCAACCTTAATTAAAGGACCAGTGGCACTTGCTTCTTGGGTTTCTTCGTTGTTGTCTTTTAACAACTCTTCCTGTAAGTTATCTGGGGTGATCCATTCTCCGTCATCATCCTCTTCGTTATATTCTTCGGTTAATTCATACGTTTCCGAAGTCTCGTCATGTGCTTCTATATTTACATCTTCGGTGGATTCGGTAGTGGCTTGGGTTTCGGTTTCTTCAGGCACGGTTGTTTCTTCGACTTGAGTGATGGTGTCATCTGTAACACTTTCAAACTCTTCACTGTTACCTTGTTCCATTTGTTTTCTCAATTCTGCTTCTCTCTTTTCTCTTTGTCTTCTTCCCCCTCTACGACGTGGTCTATTCGAATTACCTTGCTTAGGCTTATGTTCCACAACTGTAAATCCATCTTCTTCATCTTCTTTAGTCTTGGTAGCATCTTCTTCCTTCTTTTCTTCCTGTTGCTTTTTAAGTTGCAACTGTTCTCCTGGGAACTTTCTTAATCTCCAATCACCATTATTACGCTCAACTTCCAACTCGTAAGCAAGGGCGATAATATGTAAATCATTAACGGACAACACAGAATAATCACCAGTTAATTTAGCAAAACTAATCACCTTTTGAATAAACTCAGGTTTGGGATGTCTAACGTTCAACTTATCACCCCATAATATCAATTGTTGTCTGGCATGCTCATCTTTTAATTCTGCATGAACTCCTGGGGTTGTGTAATACTCAGAGGCGTATTGTTGTAATGCTGATGCGGTTTGGGTTATAAGAGGACCGGCATCTAATACTACGGCCTGGATCTTTGCTGTATCAGACATGGTGCTTGCAGTTCTTAATAGGTGGTATATAGTTAATAGATCAAAGAAAAAAAAAATTGCAGTAGAAAAAAAAAATTGGGATGAGATACCAATCACGTGACTGTTGTTTAAGATAGAAAATGATACCATGCAAATCTCTAAAGTAACCATTATGGAGGGAGGAAGTCAAATGGTTTAAATGTATGTTGCGGGGATCTTCTAGGCTCCTGAATGTATTGTATTACAATTCAGTCGAAAGAATTTTTTTAATTAAGAAATTTTGCTAAATTTTTGTAATAAAACAAGATAAATTACATTTTGTTGCAGGATTTATCTCAATACATCAAGTATAAAATCAGCAAACAAGAAGAAACAATCGATGATTTTACATGCACGGCACAATACCAATTTAGTCAAGTCCGTGTTCTAAAGTCACAAGAACCCCAGAGTCAACGGCTGAAATACTCAAAACTGGTAATAAATTAATCCCCGCAACGTAGCCACTGAGAGCAAACAAAACAAAATCCCTCTGCGGCGGAGAGGCTGTGCATTATTATCGCCGACATAACGGTTCACCCGGGGATACTCAACAACTATAAAAGGGGTTTTATTCATCCATTGATTCAACTATCAAACATTCAATTAATCAGAAATTACACCAGCAATTGATAATGTCCAAGGATTCAATTATTTTACATTGGTAAGTAGACTGCCACGGGGTATTGTTCCTTTCAAGAAGAGCAAGAAATATATACTAACTCAAACTAGGTTAAACGCATCTCGTTCTCAAAGAGTCGTCTGGCTCTTGGAAGAATTAAAGATCCAATATGAATTGAAATTTTACAAGAGAAATGCATTCCACAGAGCACCTAAAGAATTAGCTGCCGTTCACCCCTTGGGAAAATCTCCAGTTATTGAAGTTGTCAAGGAAGGTGGCGAAAAGACCGTGATTGCTGAATCTGGTCACATTTTTAGTTACCTTTTACGTCACTACGATCACGACAATCACCTTTCTCCTACGGATCCGGATGAGAAGGAAGAATTGGATTATTTCTTGCACTATGCAGAAGGTACTTTGGAACCTTTCTTAGTTGGTGTTCATGTCAACGAGATTGCCAAGAAGAAAGCACCTTTTGGAACCAAATTCCTTATGGGGATGTTAGTTAATGGTATCAACCAGGCTTATTACACTCCTGGAGTTGCATCAAATATGGACTTCTTGGAACAAACCATGAAGAAGCAACACGAAAAGGGAAATAAGTATTTTGTAGGAAACAAGTTGTCTGCTGCTGATATTATCCTTTCATTCCCTGTCAATTCTAACTTTTTTGCAAATAAAGAACAAGCAGATCTGATTGTTGGAACTGACATTTCCAAGAAATGGCCACACTTGAAGGAATGGTGTGAAGTAATTGACAAAGAGCCATTGCAAATCCAGGCTAATAGCAAAGTTGAAAAGTGGGAATCTTCCTTGTCTCAGTCTGTTCTTTAATTCTATTGTATCTAGGTTTGTTGGATATACGAATTCGCTTTGTTTTAATGTTTGTCTTCTTTCGGGTTGGCACTTTTGTGCACTTGACACCATATGTAAACTGCATCTAGTTTCTCATCGAACAAACAACCCCTAAATCTAATTCATGTGCGAAACAATCTCATTCGTTTTGTTTGCGATGTTAGTTTGATGATTTTACCTAATTAAGAAGTTCAATTTATTTTTTCTGCACCATTGATAGAAAAGCCTCTGGTTTGCAATCAACGAAATTGCCTAAATAGGACAACAGCGAAAACCAATTAGACCGACCCACATTGAATGATGGTAATGGATCGTGTATAAATAAGACATCGATGGCAATTTCCCCAGATTCGCAATTTATATTTAGAACACTTTCTTTTACATATTCCAATACTACATTATTTTTTCCTTTCAAATATGACGGAATTATCAGGACCCCAAGATAGATTTATTTTACATTGGTAAGTACACTTCTTCTTTCAAACCACATGTAATCCAAAAAAAAAACCATACTAACACCTCTAGGCTTGATGACTCCAGAGCAAATAGAATCCTCTGGGCATTGGAACTCCTTCAACTAGATTATGAAGTTAAAGTGTATTTACGGCACCCACAAACTTGGCGTGGACCATTAGAATTATTTAAAGAACATCCTCTTGGAAAAGTACCCATTTTAGAAATAATATTTGCTGACCCAAGAAGACCTCCTGTCAAGTTAGTTGAAAGTGGATTTATAATGCAATACTTATTAAAGAATTACGATCCTAATCACATTTTATACCCTCGTGATCCAGAAAAACAATTGGAAGTCGATTATTATTTACATTACTCGGAAGGAAATTTGCAACATTTACAAATTTCATTATTGATTAATTTTTCAGCTAAAGAAGTTGTTCCATTTGGATTAAAGAAAGTCACCAAATTTCTTACCCATGCGTTAAATAAAGGATACTACCTCCATGAATGGAGGCTCAATATGCAATATCTTGAAGGAAGATTGGCTGAAAATGGAACCGGATATTTCGTGGGAGACAAGTTAACTGCTGCAGATGTGATGCTTAGTTTCCCAGTTTTTGAAAATGTGTTTGATAATGAAGATGGGATTAAACAGATTACCAGAGATAAGCGAGACTTAAAGGTATTGTTCCCCAATTTATACAAATGGAGTAAAACAATCAAGTACAATCCAAGCTATAGTAAGATTTGTGTTATGATGGATGAAGAAGTTGAAGATTTGATATTAAGGAACCCTCACTTTGAATATTTCAAGCAAAACTAATATTTATGTACAATTGTTATTTATAGTTATGGTTTATATTTTACAGTACAGAAGGTTAATTCGAATAGTTACGTATTTCCGTGGAAGTCGTATATCTCGTGTTGACATGGTTACGAGCACTAGTATTAGCTTGGTATTTCACCAAGTGCCAAGTAAAGAAAAGCTTGCGGATCTTCACAATCGTTCTACGTTACAACACACCTATTCGCTGAGATTTATTCAAGAATGGTCCCACTCGGAATGCCCTACCTGCCACCCCCCCTGATTTCAGTAGAAAATGTTATGTAATAATCTTACCCGAAAAGGGACGCCAAGATTTAAAACATGGCTTAGTCCATGAATCGCGGTGGTGATAAAATGATCAGATTCAAGTTAAGACATCTGCCATTTAACGTGCATAATTTTTTTTAGATGCATTTAACTAATTCCAGTTGGGTGGATATTGTCTGTTTAGCATATGATTTGTTAGTCTCATATGTTCAAATTTAGAACACATACATAGTGACGCGTTTGTTTTCTAGAACTGTCAAATAAAGAATGAAAAATTTTGATTAACTTCGTGTAAAAATTTGTTGTTGTGTTTACAAGTCCTGTGAAACTAGTTGACGAAAAGAAAAACTATCGGGAGGTAAATCACATGAATACAACTCTACCACGTGCAATTTACTCTGCTAATTAAATACGATATATTAATAGTTTAGTCAATTCCTAGTTGCAACACTTTCTATTGAAAACCCAGATCCTTCTTTACATATAAAGCGACAATTGACGGTGAATTTTTCATCATCATTCGTTTCAGTTGTTTTACAAATATTTTTTTTATAGCTCAAAATTCCGTTTGAGGAAAAGTCCTAATTTTTGTTTTTTTTTTAATTCCGATTAACCCAAGAAAATCTTACCAACGAGTTGACAGCCAACTAAAAAAAAGAAAAGGTGTTGGGAAAGGGAAAAAAAATCACTACTGGAAATTTTTGTTAACATTTCTTTTACTTTTGTTTGATCTAACATCAATTCTCATCCCTGGCATCTTTTGTCAATATCAAATCTTTAAAATAGGCGATTTTATACTACACCCCAGCCTCATTTGTTGATTGATCGCTTACCTTTGGTTGCCATTACAATTGAAAAATATAGTTAAGAGGCAAAACACACGACCCACAAAAAAAAAAAAGGTGAAGAACGAAGGGAAAAAAAAAAAGAAAGGAGAGAACACACAACCAGCAATTACATCTTTTTTAAACTAAGCGCTAAGACAGACTAGTTACATACAAAACCTGGTTGATATCTTCATCCCGATATTATAACTATCCATCTACATCCACAGTCTAGAGAACATTTAGGTTGATCCTAGTTTCGTTTCCGTTTTTGTTCTGTATACTTGGTTTGGTTTTCTGAACTGATTTAATAGTTGTATGTCGAATCGTCAACAATTTACTTCCAATCCAGCCGCTATTGCTGCAGCGCAAGCATCTGTCCCATTAACCTCACCACTTAAAATGAATAACAGCAATAGTCATCTTAACAATTCCTCCACCGGCGGTCACCACCACCATCATCACCATAATGGCGGTATTGCTAGTGGCGCTTCCAATGTCGCTAATTCCAATACTCAATCAAACTCTAATAATAACCTGTCGGTTGTTGGCTTACATTACAAAATAGGTAAGAAGATTGGTGAGGGTTCCTTTGGGGTCATTTTCGAAGGTACCAATATAATAAACGGTGTACCAGTTGCAATCAAGTTTGAACCAAGAAAGACCGAGGCTCCACAATTAAGAGACGAATATAGAACTTATAAACATTTACAAGGTTGTGAAGGTATACCAAACGCTTATTATTTTGGTCAAGAAGGTTTACATAACATTTTAGTGATTGACTTGTTGGGACCTTCCTTAGAAGATTTATTTGATTGGTGTGGAAGAAGGTTTTCTGTTAAAACCGTGGTTCAAATTGCCATTCAAATGTTGACTCTTGTTGAAGAAGTTCATCGTCATGACTTAATTTATAGAGATATAAAGCCCGATAACTTTTTGATTGGCCGCCAAGGTTTACCTGATGAAAATCACGTCCATTTGATTGATTTTGGTATGGCAAAACAATATCGTGATCCAAGAACTAAGCAACATATTCCTTATCGAGAAAAGAAATCATTGAGTGGAACTGCTCGTTATATGTCTATCAATACTCATTTAGGTAGAGAACAACTGAGAAGAGATGATTTAGAAGCATTGGGTCACGTCTTCTTTTACTTTTTAAGAGGTCAATTACCATGGCAAGGATTGAAGGCACCAACCAATAAACAAAAGTATGAAAAAATTGGTGACAAAAAGAGAACCACCCCTGCAGTTACTCTTTGTGATGGCTTACCGCAACAATTTGCGGAATATTTAGATTCAGTAAGATCATTACCATTTGATGCTGAACCAGCTTATGAAGAATATAGAATGTTACTTCTTTCAGTATTGGATGATTTAGGACAATCCTGCGATGGCGATTACGATTGGTTACATCTTAATGGCGGTAAAGGTTGGGATGCTTCTATTAACAAGAAGCCTAATTTGCATGGATATGGTCATCCCAACCCACCTAATGAACGTGAAAGAAGACATAGAGACCAAAGAAGAAGTAGACAAGCTCAACAACAATTACAACAACAGCAACAACAGCAAGGTCAACCAATTCAAGCACAACAACAACAACAGCAACAGCAACAAACTGTTCAATTACATCAACAAAAATTGCAGCATTTGGTTAATCGTCCATTACCTCCTATTAAACAAGAATCTCAACAAGGTGTTACTTCTAGTGGCGGTCCAGACTTGATGAATAATATGACCAACCAAGCTGGAGGAAAATATGAAGGATACAATAATAGACAAGATCATTATCAACAACAACAAATTATTGATGATAATCAAGAAAGTAAAGGATTCTGGTCCAAATTATGCTGTCATTAAAAAAAAAAAGACTTCTGTTTTAGATTTTATATGCATTGTGTGTTGTTACCAAGGAGTTTAATTCAATAACTATAACTATTACGTTTCGGTTTTATTTGCTGTTTGTTTATATAAACTGCTTTCTTTATTACAAAATGTTATTATTTTTTTTTTACTTATATACAGTTATTTACATTCAAAAAATCACCTCTATAATTCTTCTTTATCTATTTATTTAGATCATGTCTATTAATATAAAAAAAATCTTTTTCCAATTTAATGTATGACTGCATTTGATTTTACAAAAAGTGGGGGTTTCCGCTGTTCATGCAAGTTTAGGTGGGAAAGTGGGTTACATAGGAGAATCATGCAAGTTAAAATCATGGTCTACTGTATTGGTGATTTTCAAAGCCCTTAGTGTGTTTAATTTGCTCAATTATGTCGCCTTCAACTTCCTGAGATCAGTTGCAGTCATACATTAGAATCTTGACAAAATATTTGCAGTAGTAATCGGATTTTGCGGTACGGACATTTGCGGGGGTGTTAGAGGAAAAATATAGTACTTAATTTTTTTTATTTAAAGCGGATCTAGCCAGATCAAGTAAAAAATGTGCGGATATATCAAGGCCCAATTTCCCAGTTTCTCAGTTTTGATTCTTTAACCCAACACCATATCATGACCCAAACTGAACATCAAAAGGTAATTGCTGCCAACAACGCTAATTTCAATGAAGATTTCGTAAAGGCATATGAGAAGCGTGATTCTCAACGAATTCTTGCTATCTTGTTTGTCAAGTACCTTTTAGAGTATGATTTCGAACATCCAACCACGAGAAAATCAGCAGCTGAAACTGAACAAATTTTAGGTGATCCTAATTTGGAAACCAATGGTCTCAGTGTTGCAAAGGACTTGCCTGATCCTAGCACCTATCTTACGAAATTCCCCAATTCAATCTTCAAACCAGGTATGAAATTGTTGGATTTTGCATGCGGGTCTGGGATAGTTACCGAATTGTTTGTTCCTTACTTAAAAGGTGGTGAAAGGAGTGAGTTGTATGGAATGGATATTAATTCGATATTCCTTGAATATTTTAATAAAAGGGCATCCCGCCATGCATCATTTGATCTTGACTTCAAGTCCTTCCAGTATGATGTTCTTGATCAAGCAGTTCAAGATGAATTGGACGACAAGTTTGCAAATCACTTTGATGCTATCTTTTGTACTATATCATACCATCATATTCACAATTATGAGCTTGTCACCAAGAAACTTGCTACTTTCCTCAGACCAGGTGGTTGGTTATTCATTATTGATTTTTACAATGAAGATGTCGAAACTGCCAAAGGTGATACAAGCCAAGCAGTTCAGCATATGGGTGGATTGAAAATTGATGCATTGAATCGTACTCTAGGTGAAATTGCGGGTTTGGTTAATGTTAGTAGTGCTCGTGAATTTCGAACATACAATTGGTCACCTGAACACTTTATCGTCAATCACCTGAGACAGGAAATCCTTGACAAGTTGTCAAAGGGTCAATTGCCAAGTAAAGTCATTGATGGTGAAGTGAATTATTTGATTGATTCTAGTTTGATCTATGCTGTTGGTCAAAGAGCTTAAATTTGCATCCTCTTGTTTATATACTTCAACAATAGATTAAGTAAGCAGTCGTGCGAGTGTACAAAATTTCTTTTCGCCCATAGTTAAAGGTCTAGATAAATCTTTCCAAAAAAAAAAAAACAAGAAAAACTTGGTCTAATCTTATCCTAATTTTTGACACGACCACAAATTTGTTCTTTGCCACTAACCGTTTTAGACTGCAACACACATATTATTATAAACCATGGCATCAAGACAATCGCAAAAGAGATTGACAAAAGAATACAAGTCAATCCAAGCCAACCCACCACCTTATATTATTGCTAAACCAAACGATGAGAATATTCTAGAATGGCACTATGTCATTACTGGTCCAGCCAATACCCCGTACGAAGATGGTCAATATCACGGAATACTTCGGTTCCCCACTGAATATCCATTCAAACCACCTTCAATATACATGAATACCCCAAATGGAAGATTTCAACAAAATACCCGCTTGTGCCTTTCTATGAGTGATTTTCATCCTGATACTTGGAACCCAGCTTGGAGTGTGGCTACGATATTGACTGGACTTTTAAGTTTTATGACTGGTGATGAAACAACAACTGGTTCTATAACCACCACTGATAATGTCAAGAGAAAATTAGCCAAAGATAGTAAAAAATGGAATATGAGTGAAAATCCTAGATTTAAAAAGCATTTTCCCGATTTAGCTAAGCAGAATGAAGAAGATATACAGAAGATGAAAATAGAGGAGCAAGAAGAAAAGCTTCACCAGATTAAAGTGGGAGGTGCAGTTGATCCAGATAAACCTATAGACTTAACTAAATTGGATATGTTGGATCCAGAGGATCGGGCTAGGATATTAGTTGAACAGGAGAAATTGGGTATGGTTGCTCAAACCAACGGGTTTTCGGGAATAACTTTGATTGGAGTAGCTGTGGCTGCATTTATAGCAGCTTACTTCACCATCTTGAGAAGAGGGTAATCTGATACCTTTATATTTGATACGGATTATGAAACAGGATACATGGAATAGAGAGTACATTGTTGAAGAAAAAAGTATGTGTACTTGTAATGATTTCTGTAATGAAATATTCAAATAGATTAAATTATATTAGTATGTCATAATTTTTAATATTAATAAAGTTGCACAAATCTAAGTAACATCAATGGGATTATGTAATTAGATTCGATTCGAATGGGCGATATGTTTAGGCTAGCGATAAACTCAAGGCGAGATGAATTTCCCCAATGTGTCCATTATGAACAATGAGTCAATTTTGTTGCCCCATTTTCTTTTTTCTTTTTTGAATATTTTTTTGAATACCAATTTCATAATCCTTCTTCGTGCAAGGTATTATCGTTATGATCCCCCTATTGTTCTGGTCAAGAAATCTTCCTCATTTGGTTGCTAACGCGTTTGTTTATTTTTTAAGGTCGTAAAGAGAATACAATGCGTGGTTCTATTGACTTCTTGGCTATGAACTACGGGGATATAAATTAGATCGCACACCTATGCTTATATGTGCAGCGACTCTAAGGGGAGATATGAATCCCTGATTTGGAAAGATCCGAAAATTCCATGCGGTTTCCGATTTGTTGGCTAAAAAAGCGCAATTCCCGATTTAGTCTTGGTAACTCGATTCGGAAGTCATGTCGTATTGTTTGTGATGTAAATACATGGTAATAACACAAGCTCAGATATGGGATCTTAATCTGAATGTAGTAATTTATGTCACTAATAATTTCCAGCGAAGCCTCTGCCTCTTTATGTCTAGGTGTGCTATTTTTGGAACTAGTGCTCTTACTCCGAAGTCAGTTTGTAACGAGTTAGCATCTAAGTATATTAATTAATTCCTACGTATAACATGTACGGAAGTCACTCCTAGATCTATCTTCCAATCAATCTACGTCAAAACTATCAGCTCATACAACATTTAAACTATTTACGTGGATTTGTAAACCAAAAGGTTAAAGTATCGCCACGTTGTGAACGGTATTTTTATACTTGGTTGCTACATGTGAGCGCGCGTCGAATCTTCCACCATGCCCCCGCATACACTAATTAGGCAAGTGTAATTACTTCAGCATAGTTGCAAGGCCATCAGACCTTGTCGTAAAATATTTCACTCGACGATTTACAAGCAGTTTCAAGCAAGTTTCTCCTATAACTGTATTATTAATGCACAACCACTAAATTTTTACATTAGGATGTAGTACCGGTTAGAATACATTTTCTTTTTTTTGCTATGCAGGAACTTGGCTTTTGAAACTGGAAAGAATATTACCATATTGGAATTAGTATTTTTCGGTGTTTCATTTAAAATAATTTTATTATTTGATCTTGTATATAATTGAGGATTATAATCAAATGTATAAAACTCGTGTAAAACGCATGTACACCTGGTGTATACAAAGACAGATCCAAAGATATTCCTACACGTTGCTAAATATAGCGAAATGCTACCTAAAAAAAGGAACAATGTCACCATAAAATTTACAATCACACAAAAATACGAAGCAAAAGAGAAGAAATAAAAATTTTGTCCCACCAAAACGCACTTTTTATTTTTTAGTCTGTTTACATGTTTGTGAAATTTTTTGGACTTTTTTTTTTTATTTCGTTCCACAGTAAAACTTTTTAGAGTACTTTCACTTTTCAGTTTAAAATTTCTTGAACAACCCCAAAATGACAATTTAAGAAACAAGATTGAATCACTTAAACACCACACTTTCTTATTTGGTAATTCTCTCAACAAGCTTGACACTCGACGACATTCGCTTACGTCAGATCGGCCTTCATTGAATCACTCTGACACGAATGCTCCTCTTAGAGTTAAAAATAACACACGCGAAAATTTGCAATAACTTTTTCCTGTACACCAACCAAGATTTATTTTTAGATATTTGGTAATTTTTTTTTATTTTATTTTATTAAATTATAATTTTTGATTCAATTTTTTTTTTTTTTGCTCACCATACTTCCATTTTTTATTTGGCTTTTTACTCTGTTCACATATTATCAAAGTGACCGTCATCCTTTATCCCCTATAGACATTTCACATCACATAGCAATGAGTAGTGCTACCCATCCATACCGTCAGAAGTTGGAAAACCCTCCTTATCCTGTAGACAACGCTGGATCCAGTACCACCTTGACGAACACCAACAATAATACTACCACCGCTCCCAAGTCCATGTTATTGGACAACCAAAAATACCACGACGGTGGAAATTCATCCTCTACCGACTCATCAACAGTATATGAAATAACTACAGGAATGGAAGATATGTATTTTTCTCCTACCCAGAATAGTAATGCATTACAAATGAACCTTCACAATACTAATAACCCTGGTATTATTGTCAACCAAACCACAAGTGCTCATGGTTCGAACAGTAGTACTAGTGCCCAAAACTCACCAGTTACACCACAATACAATCCACATACCCAACAAGCTATGGCGCCTCCACCACCTGCTCATAGCCTGTCGCAATATTCGCCTGCGCGGAACGGGTCGGGCAACAACTTGAGATCGGTTGCCAGCGCGCCATACCCTATGTACGAATCACAAACTCCACCACCTGTTTTCGCGTCCAAGGAAAGTGTTGTGGTATCACCCGTTTCCAATCCATTATCGGCAACCTCTTCAGTTACCAACTTCAATTTGAATGCTCCTATGGACAATCAGGCGTTCTCCCGGTCGGAAAACAACTTGGTCGCACCTTCCTTTGGCAAATTTGGTCATAATCGTTCAGTTTCTTCTACTTCATCGTTCTTTTATGATAAATCCAGCGATAATGCATCCATGATTGATTTCAATCAAAATGTGATTCAGCAATATTTAGGGGACAATTCCAGCCACTTGATGCCTAGAATCAAAACAATTGATTTGTATCGTAAAAATGCGAAAAAATCAAATGATCCAGCAGTTTTGTTTCAATATGCACAATATATGTTGCAAACTGCCTTGATTCTAGATGCTGAAGCTAATAATAACGAAGTTTCTACTTCATCTCAATCTTCGGGGTCTCAAGGAGCAGATTCCCCTGTTACCAGATCCAGTGAAAATTCACCTAAACGTGGTAAATCGAAGTCTATTGACTTGAATAATACTTCAAGTATGGATATGGATTCTGTGAATGACAAGAGATTGAAGCGAGCACTTTTAAAAGAGGCTGTTCATTATTTAAAGAGATTATCCGACAAGGGTTATGTTGAAGCTCAATATTTATTAGGGGATGCTTATAGTTCAGGTGCATTGGGAAAAATTGAAAATAGAGAAGCTTTTGTCTTGTTTCAATCTGCTGCTAAACATGGCCATATTGAATCGGCCTATAGAACAGCATACTGTTATGAGGAAGGCTTGGGTACCGGTAGAGATTCTAGAAAAGCAGTTGAATATTTAAAGATTGCTGCTGCCAAGAATCATCCTGCTGCTATGTACAAATTGGGTGTTTATTCATTCTATTCCAAGATGGGATTACCAAATAACATGAATACTAAAAAAATGGGGATTAAATGGTTAACTAGAGCTGCTGGATTAGCAAATGAATTGATTGCTGCAGCTCCTTATGAATTAGGGAAATTATATTATGATGGGTTTGAAGATATTGTGATCCAAGATAAAAAATACGCATTGGAATTGTATGCTCAAGCAGCTGCATTAGGTCATATTCAATCTGCTGCTATATTAGGACAGCATTATGAAATTGGTGATATCTTGCCACAAGATTCGAATTTGAGTATTCATTATTACACTCAAGCTGCTCTTGGTGGTGATGCCAACTCCATGTTAGCTATGTGTGCATGGTATCTTGTTGGTAGTGAACCATATTTACCAAAACATGAATCAGAAGCATTTGAATGGGCAAAGCGTGCTGCTTTGTGCAATTTGCCCAAGGCGCAATTTGCTCTTGCTAATTTCTACGAAAAGGGAATTGGTTGTATAAAAAATTCAGAAGAAGCACAAACTTGGTATAAAAAGGCAGCAGTCAATGGAGAAGAAAAAGCATTGGCAAGAATCTCAGATCCAGAAATTGTTCGTAAAATACAAAAATACATGAAGAAGAAACCGGCACAAATTAATCCTATGGATGGAACAGCTGCAAAAGCCGCTCAAGAGAAAGACTGTGTTATCATGTAAGTGGTATTTCAAAAATGTGTCTTTCATTTGCATAAGCTATATATACTACCCTGCGTGGTAATCTACATATCTCCACAGTGTACCATAATGCTGCAACTTCCTGGTTGCAACCGTTTCAATTATTACCCTAGTTTTTAAATTTTATAATTTAATGTTTTTTAAACTTTTTTTTATTATTATTTTTGCTATTGCTGTAAAAGCTTATACCTGAAATCTATTAAGTTACAAAAGAAAGGAGATTCTAACAGAATTGATAATAAGGTTGCAACAGCTTTTGGTTCTATGTGAAATAATGTACTTATGCCGCTGGTTGTGTTTATTTGCTGGCTTCGGTTTATTTATATATATATAAAAAAAATTCTATAGTTAATAAAGACAATTTTTTTAATCAATTGCAGTTGGCTTACAATCCCTGAGATGTTAACAGTTCAGGCATCATGCCATACAAGTGTGGTCGTCAACGCTAATTCAAGTAATCTGCCCCCTTTTCTGGCTATTGTGATAAGCGAAAAAAATAAACTCCCCTTCGGTGTTAAACCTGACAAAACCAAAAAAAAACATACACACTATATTTCCTTGCATGGGAACAATGACAACAGATTTTGGAGGCGCAGCGTCAGCATCTAGGTTACTAATTTATAGTTAGTTAGGGGGCTTTGCAATCATGTCACCTAGTGTATACCTCGTCAATAACATGTAGCATGGCAGAATTTTGCTTTCCGTAAATTAAAGACTGTCGCCATGACACAAAATCCTCGAGGATGACATAATTTCTTGGCTCGGCACCAAATTTGGTTCAATTGACACGTAGAAATGTCACACTCGAATCAATTGAACAAAGACTGAAACTCTTTTGAAATTGTTAAAATTGCTAGCGCTCCCATCTAATTGGTGGAATCAATTATATTCACAGGAAAACTTACATCATTTTCTTACTTCGCCTTAGGTAACACATATCTTGACAATGCATTAATCTAGCATAGCCTTTAATAAACATGTAAACTAAATCGAACAATTTTAAATTAGTATACGAATCAAAACACCATGTCGTGTACCACTCAAATTCGTATAAAATAATTTCTATACTTCGCAGCCACCCTTTATACCGACCTGAAATTATGGTGCATGAACATACAATTTGTCTATTGTTCGTGGCCATAATTTCATATGACGTAAGTACGAGTTCACGTGCCTTGCTTCCCCAAACTTTGTGGGTTAGCTGTGGATTTGATGAATTGAAATAATAATACAATGAAAACATTTTATCCGTAAACTTTTCACCCCTGATAGTATGGGCCTATAAATTTGGAAAATAAATTGAAACCAATATCCCCTTTTTCTTAAATATTTCTTTCTTTCTGTATCAGTAAAACAACTAGACATGTCTGCTAACGATTTCTACTCATCTGGTGAACAAGGATCCTACGAACCTCCAAAGTCAAACAACCAAGGTAATGACAGTGAAGGTGGGGACAGAGGATTAGGCTCTACTTTATTAGGTGGAATTGCTGGTGGATTTGGTGGTAATAAATTGGGTGGTAACAACCACGGAACATTAGGTACTGTTGTTGGTGCTGTTGGCGGTGCTATTGCTGCAAACAAGATTGAAGATGCTTACGAAGACCACAATAAACAAGACCAATATGGTAGACCTGGTCAGCATAGTGGAATTGGGGGTGGTGAAAGAAGACACGAAGGTGGATTTGGAGGTGAAAGAAGACATGAAGGTGGCTTTGGTGGAAGAGATGAAGGCCGTGGTCATGGTGGTTTCGGTGGCAGAGAAGAAGGACACCATGGTGGATTCGGTGGTAGAGATGAAGGTCGTCATGGTGGTCATGGTGGCCATGGTGGCCATGGTGGCCATGGTGGTCGCGGCGGAGAAGGTCGTTGGTAGATACAACAAGCGATTATTTAGGCTAGCCAAAAATGCTTTCTTTATGTAGTTGAAAACCACAATATATATATATATATATTCTATAAAATCTTGAAACCCAAAAACACCAGTTAATATATCTAATTAAAAGAGAAAGAAGTTGAATGAAACATTTCACTGTGAATTTACTCCAATGGCACTCTTCTCGGGTGGGGTAGCTTCACTAGCCTCCTGCAATAATGGCTGCAAATTTGTACCGCTATTCGTAGGTGTTACTATAACAGCAGCATGTCTATTCAAACTTGAATTGGTATCATGTAAATTAATCGTAAGTTTTTTATTCGTAAACAGCTTTGTGAGTCCGGTCGTTTGTTGCCCACGTTGTGCAAGACTTGGATCTAATTTCTCACGTTTTGGTAATGGAGGAGAAAGTATTTCGGGATCAAATTGGAAATCTGGTTCGTCATTCAAATTATCAAGAAAGTTCCCAGTAATTGGAGTCTGTTCAGCATCTGCTTTATCCTGTAGTATTGATTCATTCATGCTTGAATCCATCATGGTAGAATCAGATTTGGAAATATCGAAATGTACAACCTTTTTCGGTTTCCGTATAGGAGACAGCTTGATAATAGGGCCATCTCTCGTAGTTCGACGGCTTGGTGACCGCTTAGCAGGATTCTTTTTAAGAATTGAGTTCCTCCTAGCCGGTTTTGTTACCTCTTCGTTAAACAATACACTGGTTTCCATCTCTGTATCAGTGTCATCCGATGCTGGTGTGGTAGCATGACTATCGCTGGCTAGTTGACTCTTCACATATTCTGTTACGTATTTCTCGACTACAAGATCAAATGTACCATTCAATAAACTCTCTAATCCCTTTATAATATCTGTAGTTTGATCATGATCGTTGTCTATCAAAGTTTTCATCACTTCGCGAGAAAAATAATTAAATTCATACAAACCATGCACTAATAGGTCATGCAATACAGACGAACCAGTCAACTGATCCTTAATAACCTCTGCTCTTGTATCTTTAACAAATTCTTGAAATAATTTTGTATGATATTCTCCCCAACCGTCATTTTGTGCCAATCTTTTAAGAGTTTGCTTTGCGGACTCATTCAATATACGATCAATATCAGTTGGTTTATCATATTCAGTTTCCAATTCCTTGATCTGTCTGCTAAGCTTGGATTGTAGTTGTTCACACAAGCTGATAACAGTTTGGGTATGTTCGCTAAATTCATAACCTTGAGCAAAGAAGGCTTGTTCAAGCATGACATTTACATCAACCTGTTGAGCAACAAGTAATTTTCTTTTAGCTAAATAGAAATTCTTTCTCCATTTGTCTTGGCTATGATTGTTTAGGGCCAGTCGTATACCATCAATAGCATCACATAATAGTTTGAATGTTTCTTCTTCAATGTGTTTCCTCTTAGCTAGAGTTTCTTGTATTATATTTGCTTCCCTGTTTCTTAATTCTTCAATTTCTGTCTTTTGTTCCGTAATCATCTTAAGATAAGATCCGACATGACGATCTAGATTCTGTTGGTTTCTAATCAATTTAGTCTTGATTTCCTTGGCTCGGTCAGCGTATTTCAATGTGTTCAAAGTCTCATCATAATGTTGTGATGATGGAGAAATACAAACAATCATTACTGTTTTGCAATTTCCACCAAGGGAAAATTTCAACAATCTGGTTAATTTAGAATCTCTGTAAGGTACATGGTTACGACGACGAGGATCACATAATGCGTTGATACAGTTTCCTAATGCAAGCAAGGATTTGTTAATGTTGGCACCTTCGTTAAGTCTTACCCCACGGTTTCTTGTAGCGGCTGCTCTTTCACTTCCTGCAAGATCAATTATTGACAATGTTGCAAAAGTATGTTCTGCGGTAACATCTGCTGTTCTTGATCTTTGTGTTATGTTAATTTGTAATACTGCATGAGATCTACTGGATGTTGCATTTGCTTCTGTTGGTGATGACGTTCTATTCTTATTTCCCTCCATTATAAGTTGCATCACTTCTTCAACCGTGGTAGGGGTATGGCAAGATAAGTTTGACACTGAAATCTTACTATTTTCATCTTCTCTAATGATCAACTTTTTGAACTCGGTCTGCGGATTGAGTAGATCTCGTATGGTCTCATTATAGATCTCCAAATAAGACAATGTTAATTCAATAATCTTGGTATCTTTCAACTCTTCAATTCTTTGAAATAGTTCTTTCATGGTAAGGAAAATCACTCCAGGATCACTTGGGGTACCCAGAATAGTATGTGTCTTCCCACAGCCGGTAGCGCCATATGCAAATACAGTAGCGTTATATCCATCCAAAATGCTATTCAATAAGGGTCTAGTAGTATCATTATATACGTCATTTTGAGTGGCATCTGTATCAAATAATTTATCAAATACAAACCTGTGTTCGCGTATTCTTCCATTAAATTTATTGGGGAATGCACTTCGTTGCATCTTAACTAATGGATTTGTTTCAGGAGGATCAAAAATCAACATTTTATCGTCAACCACATCAACTATTTTCCTAATACCTAAAGGTGCAGATAATATACCCCGCTTCAAAGGGTTGGAGTTCCCATTGGAGGTATTATTAGCAGTGCTGTATGATCCAGCCCCTAGAAATACATTACTTTCTTCATAATGGATCAAGTTGTTGCTTTCAGCAGTAGTAAAAGGTCGGACTCTAACTGATACAGTGATAGAAGATTGTTTGGTTTCAGAACTAGGAGCTATCGGCTGCATAGAAGATGCAGTGTTCGCCCTTTCCACCATAACGTTTTTCAGCTGTGCTTGCAATGTATGGGTCCAAAAGTACTACAATTTTGATATTTTTGTTGTTTACCTTTTAAGATAATTTGGTACGCGCGCTAATCCTTGGTAGTTGTATGCAGGGTTCATTCCGGGTAACCGCTGCTATAGTATATTTTGCGGAAGTTATCGCACGAGGATAGATCATAATTGCATTCAAGTCCTGAAATAATGACTACCTGGGATAGTATTATTGGTTATAAGAAGTGCAACTACATATAATTGGTTAAAATTCTGTACTTATCTATGTATGTGAGTGAGTACTATAGCATAGAGTAGTTTTAACCGTGCAACAGCATCGAAAGGTCAATAATGTGTGCAGCATTAGTTTATTCCAATTATATAAGTTATGGTCAATACGTTTGCAAATTTTGCTTGTTCTTTAGTTTAGTTTAGATCCCAGTATGAGATTCAATTACATTGCAATATAATTTTATGGAAACTTTTGCCAAAAAAATAGTAAAATTAAAAAAGCAACGAACTCAGAGCAAGAAATTTGAAGAACTTAAATCGACATTTCAACTCAGATTCTCCTTTTTGTAGACCTACCAAATAAGGACCGCCTGTCACCTACGTAATGTTTATGCAAGCATATGTGCTTTGAAAAGAATCTGACTATATTTGTGGCATGAAACATATATACAGGAAAGAATAACAAGTCGGTTAAGTTTGAGATAAGATAATACCGACTTGAATTACAGCCATTTGTAGCCCTGTCGCAAAGACTAGATATTGTTTCCCTAACTCGGGTAATTCGCGGAATGACAGGGTCTCGGATGAATGACCCAAAAACTTAACACTATAATTGCTGGTATTTACGATGTTAATATGTCACTCCACTGGATTTAGATCCCATAGAAACCGAAAAATGTCGTACTATTAAACATTGTAATGCCAAGCGTGCGACATTTCTGTTGTTAATTACTGAGCTTCTTTTTCGTGGCCTGTTGACTTTGCAAGATAAACAAGTAACGCGAACACACTCACATGTACTCTTGGCGCCTGTTTCTGTAGTTTGCTACTACTCAAATATGGTAAGGTAATACTATTTATGTTGGTGATGATTGGTTGTTCTCAGGTCGACAGGCGCGCATGACGTGTCGTTCCCCCAATCCGCAGTACGTTACAAATATGTGGTGTGCTAAATTTTTTATTTTATTTTATTTAATTTTTTTTTTTCAAAAATGGACAATTAAAAAAAAAAAAAAAATTTAAACATGCATTTGACTCTTTTGTGCACAATGAATAATTAAACTGAAACAAATTGTATTGACAATCTCGGTACAAAATCATAAGATTAGTGCATGTCGTCGATATTAATATTAAGAGTTCTGCCCGTTATGAGTTTTAACACAATGACCGATCGTTCCTTTTTCTTTTTTCAATAGAAAACCTTATTTGGAAAAAATAGATCACTCAAAAGCTAGAAAAAAAAAGTGTTCCAAATTGAAGACGCCCACGCTTAAAAAAAAAATTCAAACATCAACAAAGAAATTGGCTTCAAATTTTTTTTTAGCATACTTTTATTTTTTTTTTCTTTAAACTCATTCACTTCACCCTTTTATCTTAGTTGTCAATTCTAAAAGATCTAACCACCCCTCCTTTCGTTTTTGCTATTTCTTAGTGCATAGGTGTGAGTATAACCATTCATAGATTCCATATCATATATCATAATAACCCACTGTGACTATGTCTGCCGTTCAACCAGACAGAAAGATTGACAGCACGACCCTATCAAGAGATACGAACTCTTCAACTTCATCCACAAACTCTTTCACAGCTGAGGATAGAAAGTACCACGCATCATTTCTAGCGTCAATAGAAAGAAATCAAATACGGTTATCACGTTCAATAATCATAGTTTTAACAGCATTACACTTTTCAGGAATACCATCTATAACAAAGTACACCTCCAAGTTTTTCCACTTGCAGAATCAAATTGGAGTTGCCAATAATCGCCCAATATATGATATTCACATTGACGACACTTATTATGTTATATTCTGGGTAATTGCGGTTACTTTCTTAAGATCGTTCCTCATGCAATGGTGTTTTAGTCCATTTGCCAAACATTTCTGTAGTATTACCTCACGAAAGGCCAAGATTAGATTTGCTGAACAAAGTTGGTCGTTTGTGTATTATACCGTGTCATTGATTTGCGGTTGTTATCTTTATTACAATTCTCCTTATTTCAATAACGCAGACCAAATTTTCGTGGGATGGCCCAATCATACCTTACATGCTTCGTTGAAAAGATATTACCTTATTTCAACTGGATTTTGGCTCCAACAAATCTTTGTCCTTAATATTGAACAACATCGTAAAGATCATTATCAAATGTTTAGTCATCATATAATTACTTGTTGTTTGATCATTGGATCATACTATTACTATTTTTTCAGAATTGGACATTTAATATTAATGACAATGGATTCAGTTGATATTCTTTTATCTGGTGCTAAGCTTTTGAAATATGCCAATTATTCAACTGCATGTGATGTGATGTTTATTTTATTTATGGTTGGCTGGTTAGTTACAAGGCACGGAATTTATAATTATCTTTTCTACCATACTTGGCATAATGCTCGAAGATTGATGGCTGAATCAATTTGTGATCCAACAAAGATACAAAAAAGATGTTGGACTCCAACTATAATTAATGTATTTTTGGGCCTACTTGGTGGATTACAAATCTTGATTATCATTTGGATGTATTTTATTTGTAAAGTTGCATACAAAGTCATTACTGGCTCAGGTGCAGAAGATGTCAGAAGTGACGAAGATGACACTGATGCAGAAGAAGTTGACGAAATTGAGCCTGAAAGTGCCTTTGAAGATGAAACCGACGAAACAGATGAGCCAATTGGAATCAAACTGGTAGGCATGGATGCATTCAGTTCTTCGTCCGATTCAACTCTTGATGACGAATCAGACCGTAGAAGAAGATTAAGAGGACAATAAACAAAATAAGGATGTATTGTTTTTGATAGACATTTTGAAAACGCTTGAAATATAAACGTTGATTGTTTCCTATTCTAATTTGTATAATAATTCTTTGCATCCCATTTAATTAATTTCTCTTTTTGGGTATGTTGAAAGAATAAATAATAAGTAATTGAATTATTTGTAGGTCATAGAATGAATAAAATTTCAATTATGCGTATGAATTAGAGGAGATAGTGACTTTGGCAAACACATGCTTAGTATTTGAAAGGTTAAGGAGTAATATATTATTGAAGTAAAACATCAAAGAAGTACCATTTTCTTTAGCATCTATATTCACAATAATATGCCTATAGAGTTCTGAAAACATGAAAGCTGTGTAAGATATCATATTGCAAATTACATTTCAGAATCTTACACAAAGATCTGTTAACGTTTATTTTTTATGTTACAGCTACAAATTTAAAAAGAAAAAGATTATAAAGTTAGTCGCTATAATTACCGTTTGAGTGAAGATGTGACCATTAAGAATATACTTGTCCAGATCTAGACCCCTCGTCAACACAACCTAGAGGTGACTGGTTTTGTATTAATATGGAATGCATGATCTCCAATATGAAAAGTACAGAATGTTCACGATATTTGTTTACGAGGAACCAACGCCATAAGTATAAATGGAAACAATTTCGGTAGCTGTAAGAGGTAATTTTACATTAGTACTAAGTACACCTTTGAAATGATATTAAAACTAAACTTGTGGTTTTTACTTTTGAAATATTGTTTAGGGGAACCACTCTTGGTTGCACTAGATTCCGATCAGACATTGGAATCATTTTACGCTTATGATGTCAAATTCCCTCCAACTGAAAGGGTTAGGGATCTAATTACCAATACCTATTCATTTGGAGACTTTAACGCTTTTGCTGGAGATTTTCCGCCGGAAATTGTAAAGAGATTAGAGAAAAGTGAGTTAGTAGCTGAGATTTCTCACAATGGTAAATTAAATCAAGCCGACATCAAAACCTAAGACAAAGCACCAAGGCATTTTGCAAGAGTTAGTAGAAAAGATCCGATAATTGATAGAAGAGGAAAATACCCTTGCATATATGACACTTCATTCCTGGGACAAAATGTGGATGTATAAGTCCTTGATTCTGGTATTATGGTCGACCATCCTGAATTTTCGGGTAGAGCTCGTAAGCTTAAAGATTTTAGAGAAGATAGTATGGAAGATTATGGAACTAAAGTTGATGGTATTATTGGTTCAATAAAATATGATATTTCAAAATCTTGTAATCTACTTAGTGTTAAGATTTTGGACAAGTATGGCGAAAGGGGATACAAGTGATTTAATTGCTGCACTAGAATTTGTTATTAAATTTCATCAGAAAAGCAGCAAGTTAGGAGTAGTAAATATATTCATAGCTAGCTCTTTCGGTAGTTTCATAAATCATGCTGTTAAAATGACCAAGAAGATGGGATTGGTGATTGTAGTTCCGGCGGGAAACAAGTTCCAGGATGCATGTATATAAAATTCACCAAGTTTATATTATGCAACCACAGTCGAAGTAATCAGCCATGTAGATGATGGGATAACTTCCTTATCTAATTGGGGGTAAATATGGTGATTTATTTTTACAGTTAGTACAAAAATGCATACTATATTAATCCAAAAGATCCTAGATATTCCAGAATTGCAGAAGGAACTTTAATGGCTGTACCAGTTGTTACCGGATTGGTTGCAAATTTACTTAGTAAAGGAATCCTACCAGAAAAATTCCAAGAAGTTTTACTACCAAGATCAACTAGGGATAAAATGCCAATTAGAGCTCTTATCACGGATGATACTCCTAATATAATAGCATATAGCGGAATCTTGATGTTTCGGTTGCGAAATCAAGACTACCTGTCTAACTTATAAAAAGTCTATGCCAGTTGTTTGTATATCACCTGAATAATATATATATTTCTTTGAAGCAATCACGAATTTATTGTAGATTATTTCAAAACTAAATAAAGAGACTTAGCAACAAGACGAATCATATTATACTTTGAACTAATAATAGTGCAGAATGTGTCATAAAGTGAAGTGTGACATTCACATAATGTAGACATTCAACAGGTACTATGCTTATCAAACCCACATAAAGAATAACACTTAGCCCACCTTATAAACTAATCGGACTAATTGTGTTAATTCTTGTTATTGCAGCAGGTACAACTCAAACCCCAAAAAAAATCAAACTTTTGATTATAACAAACAACCCCCCCCTCTTCCTCCCATTTTGAGTCAATATGAGATCATATTGTTAAGTTGGTTATTGTAGGCTTATCAACAATAGATGTAAGCAGTAACTATATATATGTAAATTACATTCTAGTAAGTAACATAACTTGCAATGCCTTTTTAGCTCCTTGCTCATTGTATCGATTCCACAATACATAAAGATTAATCATATCTTGCATTGCCTCCACCATTTCATCCAAATTAATATGGGAATGATCAAGAAAGTTCATGAATTTATTGATTTTTATAGTATCTTCATCTAGGATGTTTAAATCGTCTTGAAAATTAGTCGTTGGTTGGTTATCAGTTGACACTTGCTGGGGATGCCCAGATGTGCCTTCTTGACTGGAAGTATTCACTTTTGTAAGATTCATTAAATCGTCAATATTCATTACTTTGGCATCTAACTCTTTTGGATCTTGTTTGGTTTCATCGGTGTTTGCACCACTTCGTATTTGTGTTAGGTTTTTCTTAAGAACTATCGTGATATATATGGCCGCCATAGCAATTATATGAGGGGGCACTAATAGATGTAAATCCGTAATATAGCTGTCATTAATTAAACTCCACGCGTTTTGCAATTCTTCATCAGAGAACTTCAATCCAAACACGGTATAATTTTCAACCAAATAGTCTTTAATTTGTATGAGAGATTTGTAAGGATGATGTAATAACAAATACAGATCCATTTCTTCAATTAGATAAAATTCAAATTCAGCTAGCTTTGTTACATCATGAGGAATATACTCAGGCCAAATATTTCTTGCTTCATTTATAATTAACCTGATATGTTGTGGACATTCTTCAATTTTACAGGCGACATAAACACAGGTGGTTACTAACAAATAAACATTAATTTCTTTCAACAGAACTCGGGTAAGAAATCGAGTTAGGTATACTTCGGCAGTGGCCAACGCAATCTGTCTAACATTTAATCTTCGTCCTAATTTAATAAGTAAATTATGTAAGTATATTCGCATGTTGTAATCGTAGACTATATTTGGGTAATCTTTAATGAGTCCATTTTGTATCATCTTCCGTTCAAGAAGCAACACTTTCCTTCGGGCTTCGAGAAGTGAAAATCTAGTTAATTGCCATTTATTTCGTTGTGATGAACTCCAGTAATCTGCTGACATATTGTGAGAGTGTATCGTATCTATGGTTTGTACAATAAGAAACCCAGATCTTCACACGAAGTATCGAAGATTGGTCATTTTTTGGTGGAACTTCGGAGCAGTGCGGCTCAGCCAATGTTCCCCAACAAAAAAAATTATGGTGTTCAGATTTGTCAGATTCTACAGAAGTAGCTTTCAGAAGAAATAGAAACCCCCCCCCTCGGTTTTTACTAGAAGCCCTTGTAATCGACTGTGAATAGAGAGCTGTGAAATGTTTGTTATAAAATTTCTCTTGTTTATTGATGACGTCATGTACATTTAAACTATATTCGTCCCCAATAAGATTTGCAATTGTAGTTGCTAAGCAGTAGTGCAATATCTGACTTGTCTGAGAATAACTATACGATCAAGTGGAACACATTAGCATATTTGTAAACCCCCAAATTATTTAGTTTGAATCCCTCGGCCATAGGGTAAGAAAATCGTATGGTTATACGAGCAATGCATGCGGAGTTATTTCCGTTTTTCTCACTTTTGCTGCACCAATGACAAAAATCCTATAAGTAGTGACCGTTATTTCAACATCACAACCTTTTTTTTTAAAAAAACAGACTGCAATCGAAGGACACACTCAATCAACCATGTCTCCAATTCATCAAGTGCAATTCCATACTTCATTCCCAGATACCTCTGCGGCAATTGACCGTAGAATTCCTGAATTTGCTCCTGCTCATATCTCAGATGAAGATAAATATTTCCGCAACCATGAACCACCAGCTTACTTACCTGAAATTGAAAAGGAAATAGAACAGTTTATTCAATTCCACAAGGAAAACACTAATAGAAGAATTGTATTGGTTACCTCTGGTGGTACTACTGTCCCATTAGAAAACAATACTGTTAGATTTATTGATAATTTTAGCGCTGGTACCAGAGGTGCAACTTCAGCAGAATACTTTTTAGAAAACGGATACGCCGTGATATTTTTACATCGTGAATATTCATTATTACCCTACTCAAGACATTATAGTCATTCCACAAATTGCTTCTTAGATTTTATGACTGAAAATAACGGGAAAATTGAAATTAATTCCAAATACACAGAAGAAATGTTACTAGTTTTAAGAAAATACAACCAAGCACAAGCTAATAATACTTTGTTGCTTATTCCTTTCACTACAGTTAATCAATACTTGTACACTTTAAAATCTGCTGCTGAAAAAATGCACGTTTTAGGAAGCACTGCTTTGTTCTACTTGGCAGCAGCCGTCTCAGATTTCTTTATTCCCAAATCAAGATTATCAGAACACAAGATTCAAAGTTCAGCCACCGTTGATGGCCAATTACAAATTAACTTATCTCAGGTACCGAAATTCTTGAGTAGATTAGTTGACAATTGGGCTCAAGGTGCCATGTTTGTTTCTTTCAAATTGGAAACCGACAGCAATATTTTGATTCAGAAGGCCACAACTGCGTTGGAAAGATATCATCATCAATTAGTTATTGGTAATTTATTACAAACCAGAAAGAACGAAGTCGTGTTTGTGACACCAAATGATTCTCATTGGATAAAACTTACGGAAGACGAGATTAAAGATCATATAGAAATTGAATCTAGAATGATACCCGAAGTTATCAAACATCATTCTGAATGGATCACTCAACATCCAAACTAATTGTATAATTCTATATTTAGTTCTATTTACAAAAATGACACTCCGATACCGTATTGTATACCTTTTCTAACTGAATCCCTATCATGCGCTATAATAGGCACAACCAAGTTCAATTCGAATCTCGCCATTGGATGATTAAACAAAAGACCTATACCGTAACTTAACGAGTGCAGGTGAGTAAGTTGCTTAAGATTATCAATTATACCTTGTGACTTGTCCATTTTAACTAATTTCCCAAAATTGACAAAATTATGTATTTTGAAATTTGATTCAGTGTACCTGGGAATATCAGTTATTAAAGAGATACCACCATTCAAGAAAATGTCTCCACCAATAGACGAATTGAAATCTTTAGGTCCTAATCCATTAAGCATAAATGACCTAACATCATTTGGTCCACCAATGTAAAACCTATCCAAAAGTGAACTAGTTGTGCCCAATGGATACAACATTCCTGTTTTGGCAGTGGCGATAACAGAAGATTTGAATTTTGGAAGCGAATAACTGAATTGAGCTTGACCGGCCGTCTTAATAAACGGATATTTGACATATTTTGCCCACCCGTTAAACTCAACTCCAAATTGTAAGTACTTACCCACAGTAGGTAAATGCTTGTTATTTCTTGAATCATAAATTATGTTATAGCTTAAGGAAGATTTATATTGAGATCCTGCTTGTTGCAAAACTTCCAAACTTTTGCTACCATAATTATTCAATACTTTCCAATAATTCTCGAGAACAACCTCATGGTTCACTGGGCCATCAAACAAGGTGTGAATCTTGTTGGTCACCCCTCTACCAGTAACATTTGCTTGAATCCAATCAAACTTTCTCGTATTTACATAAAATAAGTTTTCCAATCTGTAATTAGCATTGTTAAATAAAGGTTGATTGTAATTCAACATATATGAAGATTGAGTCTTGGTTCCTGAAACAGCATCAAATTCTAAGTTTTCACCACCACCAAATATATTTCTGAGTTGAAATTGGATATACCCGTCACCTTCTCCATTACCAATATTTGTACCTGTTTTGGCATAGAACTTTTTGGTGGGGATGATATTAAATACGGGTACCACATGTAAGGATGTACCACGACTAAACATTGGTGGATTTACTTGCTGGACAGACACGAGCAAGTTGTCGATAATACCAAGCTTTAAGAAGTTTTTGGAAATATGTTCAACTTTGGTAAGAAACAGTTCGAGACTTACGGATTGATCGGAAGCAAGTAAAGACTTGAATTGACTTTGCAAAAATGAATCCCTAAATGTTTGAGCATTGGTGATTTGGACATTTCTAATTTTGATAGGACTAGACTTGTGATCTTGGAATAATGATTCTAGATATTGCTTGTTTTGTTCAATCATAAATGATTGCTTATCATTTTTTAGTTTTTCAAGCTCTTTCTCAGCATCAGTAAGGTTTTTAATTGAGTCTTTACGTTTTATATTGTCTATAAACTCGTCATTGTAATCTTGTGACATGATTAGCTTGAAGTTGTGATTTGAGCTAGATCTAGCTGAATTAAATTTTCATTGTCAATTTTTAAGTGCAAAAAAAAAAAAAATTATAGACGTATGGGCCACTACCAAATGCGCTTGTTAAATCTTAGTGCGAGACAGCATATATATAAGCAGAGTAGTTCGTTGGTTAATTAACAGATCCTATGAAGTATACTATCCTGCCTTTGAAATCATTCCGACAAACATCTACTATTCTTCAGGTATAACTTATAAAAAGTAATAACTCATTCTATCATAAACAAAAATTATACAACATAAAAAAAAATGAACTATTTCTGTCATTCTGGTGGTGAAATTTCCAATTGTGGAACCGGCACACCAGAAGACGGACTTAAGAAATCATCCATATTAACATCTACTTCACCTGTATCACCTCGTTTCCTCTTCTCGGCTTCTTCCTCCTCAATCAACACTCTAATACATTCTTTTCCTGCTTCAGTTTGAAAATGTCGTCTTAATGCATCAGCACGAGCAAACTTTCGACCACATCCATATTGAGTACCATCCTTGAGGAAACCTCTACATTGGAACTTCTTCTCACCAGAATGTAAATCTTCATGTCGTTTTCTATCATGTTGCCTTGCAAATGCCTTACCACATTGGGTACATATAAATGGCCTTTCATCTGTATGGGTTCTTAAATGTGATTTCAAGTTATATGGACGGGTAAATCGTTTATCACATAAATGGCATGCATACACACTTGGATGTTTTTGAACACGTTTGGAAGATTGATTAAGCAGAGCCAATTCCAACATCTTCTCTCTAGCTATTTTTTCCTCGTGCTCATCATATTCTTCCTCCTCATCCGATTCAACATACTTTCTAGCTGGTGACCTTGATGGTTTTGGAGAGGTAGATTTCATGGAATGACTCTTTCTTCTACCTCGCTTGATATTCTGATAATCAGGATCAAGTAAATGGTTATCGGAATTGGCACTAGACCCACTTGGTGACATCAATTCTGAGTTAGGAATAAGATTATTTGATTTGGTAGTATTAGCACTATCATCAGCGTTTAAATTCCTTACTGATGAATTTGCAGAACTATTACTAAATAACGAAGGTGTTCTAGCAGCAACAATCTCAGGTGCTTGATTTATAGATATTCTAATCCCCAGAGAATCACCTTGATCATGTAATTGGTTCAAATTAAGTTCAGTCAAGGGATTTGGTTGATAATTGGAGTTATTTGTAGCTGCAGTACTGACAGTATCAAAAGGTTGAGTCAATTTGTTTTGTAAAGGCGGTGTAACTAAAATATCAAAATCGAGGTTTTGGCTCGTATTGTAATCTTCATAAGGTTGATTCAGTTGTTGCTGATGCTGCTGTTGAACTCTCATTGATAATTGTTGAAACTCTTGTTGAATTTCTTGTTGCTGAATTGAAGGTTGCCATTTAGTATTATCCATGCTGTCTAAATTAGCCAAATTTGTAGAACTTATAGATTCGCCTAATGCAATTTCAAAATTGGCAGCTGCAGCAGCAGATTCAAGATATTGATCGGGAATAAAATTATTCTGCGGTACGTTATTGTTGGTACCAATGTCTGAGAAAGAGTCACGATTTGCTTGTGGAGGTATAGCTAAATTATGACTGGATCCAAATTGTGACATTGGTGAAATATATGGAGAAGCAGGATGCGATGAAGTATCTGAATACACTGAGTGAGTGGAATGTGCTGGGGAGCGTGGATGCAATAAATCGTCCTTCACTTGTAAATAATCGTTCTGTTGCAGTTCCAGTTGCTGTAGATGTGGAAATTGATTGGTGAATTGAGAAATTGGAGATAAGTATTCATTTGAAGTCGAGTTTGAATTAAATTGAGGATTGACATTCTGTAAACTGATATCTGAGGCTTCATCATACATTTTGGCATCGGGAGTAAAGTCAGGTAATGGATCATGATCGAGGTTTCTAACCGGTGCAGATGGTGGCTCAAATGACTCTAAATTATGCTGTTGTATTGATTCTTCAGTATGCATTTTCTGCTGATCAGAAACGTATGCTTGTATCCCATGTCTTTCAGTGTGTTGTTTATTAGAATTTACTTCTCCATATTCTTGTGGTTGTTGCGAGTAATCTATTCGTGTAGTATCAAATATTTCATTAAAGGCGTTAGTTAAAGAATCTGAAGTTCCTGTTGGTTTGATAGTGATTGTAGGGGGTGATATATTTAGTATGTCATATAGCTGTTGGTCTTCAACTTTATCTGAATAAGGTTGAGAAGACATTAGTGAGAATCAAAGGTATTGTTCTCGTTTAAATTCTCTGTATTGTTGATTACACACAATCAACTGATATAACCAATTCACTCTAGCTTTGTTGTGGTGCTTTATCTGCAGTGAATACAATACAAAATGACGCAACTGTTTCTAAACAACCAAATTTGAGTTGGTTGTTTTTTTTTTTTTACTCTGGAGTGTAAAAAAAAATTGACTAGGATAAAAAAAAAAAAATCACAAGCTTTAAACCAGGGGGACAAAATTAGGTGCCAAAATTAGACTAGTGTTTTAAAAAAAATGTTAAAATTAACTGAATAAAGTTGCCTAGATGAGTAATCAAGAGAATCAAGAGTAAAAAATTAATAAACGTCACTTCCGTTGGATATTTATATTAAACAAACACTTGTCCCCCCACATGAAGCTTAAACTGGATAAGAATAGATAGTCAATTCAACGAACGTATGCTGCTCGTCTTGAATATTTTCTAGACCTAGCAGTACCATGTTGACCGGTTAAAGCTAAAAATCGGGCCCTGTCAACTCGATTCCCTGACCCTGAAAAAGAAATTCGTATATTAACACAAAATTTCACTCACGCATTTTTCATCAAAGGTGCAGGCGCAGTGTCTAACCTGGAAAAAAAATTCTCCAGGTTTACATCATTATGCGTGTAACCTGTAAACATCCGGAAAGTATAATCGAGCCGAAACCAAGATTACCTAATTAACTATAACCTGGTTTAAAATCAACCATTGGCTTATGATAGAGATGGAATTAACGAGAATCACCTGATTTAGTTAATTTTTTTTGTTCCAGTTTGTCAAAGACCCTATATGCGGAATGTTAATCTAGGGTTTTTTAGCATCTGTTGTAGTTGAATAGCTATCTTCCGGCATTAAGTTTGCTAGAACCATAGGTCATTATCAATGCTCTTTATGAAAAGTACGGCTAAAACAAGATCACCCCTCACCCCTCTGATCTTGATTTAGCAAAGATATAAATCCCCGGAATTCCCCATACGATCGACTCGCCTATAGTTCAACATAGATTCGGATAAATCGGAACAACAAAAAATTCTATTTTAGTTGCGAGATACATATAATAAATTGAAAACAATAGTTTAATTAAACGTTCCGATTCCTTGGAATAACGCTGGGCTTATTTTCAGCCGCGAGGGGAGGTTTTTCTTGGCTTGTTTTAAATTTGCATTCAGTTTTGCAACAGAAGATCTGGAACTCTCGGATGGGTGCAAAAAAGGCTGTTGTGTATGACATCACAATTATATGCGCAACCATTTAGTAGATAAATTGATACGTCATCTTCTCCGAGAGTATTCTATTTTCAATTAGTTTTTATTTTCACTGTTCAGTTGAAATAAAACCGTTGTTCAACATACATTGATAAACTATTTCATGTGTTTAACCTTCAAGTGACCAAAACTAGAGGTACTCTAGGGTACAATGTTTCTTCTGACTGATTTTGCAACCTTTCGACATTAGATTCAAGACCACCTTATTGGAATCTAAACATTCAGGGTCTAGTATCTCAAAAATAAATGTTTGTTTCCATGCAGTATAGCTTGTACAAAACAGAAGATATGAAAGTATTAGTTCCAGTAGAATATGAAAACATCTATTAACTAATCCAAATAAATAACTAAAGTGACTTAAATTATAACATTAGAGGACTACTCAGAGCTTACTAGTTGTCTTTCATTGCGTGATTTGTTGTCAGGAAAACACATGCAAAATAAATCAATTGTATGTTAGCCCCAATGCACAATTCCCTGCATTTTTCCTTCCCTGATGCTGCTTCAATTGAAATTTTCTGGCAAACATTTTCAAACACCCATATGTTTGTCCGTCAGGAGAAACACCAAGACACCAATGTTGTTTTTCCTTCCAATGAACTTCTTTAACGTGTCTTGTTTTGTCTGATTTTCTAGTGAAGATTTTCTGGCAATCTTTCTCGTCACATTTAAAGATATTGTGTTTATGGACCAGTATAGAATGTTTCTTCATGTCTAAACTATTTGAAAAAAACTTTGTACAGCGAGGACATTTATCAAGATCCTTAGCTAAATGGTCTGGAGGGATATCGATAGACCCATCAAAATCATGTACAGGTATGTGCTGCAAGATCTCAGTGTGGGTATATCTGGCATCTATATCTTGTGGTAGTTGAGGTGAACTCACGGTTTCCTTGTCGAGACCGCAGAATTGTGCTGCCAATTCTGGGATTTGATTTACAATTGTAGATTTTAGTTCTTTCGGAGCAAGAGAAAGAGTATATTTTGCTTGCCTCAAGACTTCTTCAAGCTGAGAATAAAGAACCTGTTCCACGGTATGTACATTTGTATTATCATTATTCAAACCATGATGGTATGTTTGTACGGTAGCGAGTAAGTTTCTACATTCAGACAAGACCAGATTAATTTCCACTTTCAATTCTTCCAAAGTAGGCAGATATATAGTGGTGCCAAGTTGAAGCGGCAGATTATCAAAACAAGGAAGGCAAGGAACTGCATCATCCGATATTAATTTCGAATTTTTAGGTTCATTTAAGCTTGTTTCTATCACCGAAGGATTAGTAGTGGCTTCCAAATTCAAGTAACTTATGCTATCTCCAATTTCGGTTTCAAGTCCTGATTCCAAGGTATTACAATTTAAAGACAAGATGGATGCTAAGCTGGAACTGGCAAATTCGATAGCTTCATCATCTATCCCATTAGAATCGTCTGAAGGGATAATTTGAATAGTGGGGAGTGGTGGGGACGTGCTAGTACAGCTTCCTAATTTAAAAAGTGACAGACTGGATCCAAATGTAAACTCGTAGTTGGAATCACTATACATTTTAAATTGCATGCGCTAGCTGTCATTAATAGCACAATGAAGAAATATTTTACACAAGAAACCAAAACCAAACCTCCCGAATAGCTCGATTGGTTTTATCTAGACTGGTGCTTTTATCTGATTTATATACTATAAGTGTCGCCAATACTAGCCGCGTCTGAACTCGCTGCCAATTTCCCGATTAAGCGCACTTCCCCACTTTTTGCAGAAATTTATCTAAAAATTAGCTTATCTATGGTTCAATGGATGACTACTTTTTCGTTATCGAATTGTTTATTCATAGTATTATCTCCGAGACTATGATATAATTTTAATAACATACTAAAAACTTTTGGTTGCTAGTACCTTTCAGACTCAGTAGCTATATTTGATGATTATAATTACATTTTCATTACTTGTAATTTTCAGCAAAAGTTGTGAAATGATATACTAATAAATCAGAAGTTGATAAAATAATTCTCCACAATTCAGACTCGGAAATTGCTTATTATTTGCAGGACTGTTCTATTTAGGAAAAATTCAGGGCACATGACATTATTTGCACCCATATTTTTTACCCCCTTTGAGGCGCAAACAGGGTTTAAAGTTCTAATTTTTGGAATCAAAAAGAAAAATTTTGAACATAAACAGTCTGTCTGAGGGTATGGAATCGGCAAAGGATTTGAATATATTTGTTATAAATTAATATATATCTATATACTCCAATATCAATAAATAATTGTGCAAAAGAACAGTATGATATCCTCATAATAGCCATATCAAAGAATCTTGGTCTCTTTCAAATCTATTTTTCCTTATTTCCAGATGCATTGATTCATTGAATGGAATGGCCGAGAAGGATTTTTCTTTGGACAAGAATATATCATCAGAAATAGTAGAACTCATGGAAGAAGGATATCTGTGTAATTGAAAATGTTGTGCTATTGCAGTAAATGACAGGGGACTAGTCAATAGGTAATCAACCGATGCACATCTTGAAGGTGAATTAGGCTCGCTATCCAATAATTTCTCGAGCTCTCTGGTTTTGTCATTGATTTCACGGCCAAGGTCAAAAGAATCAATGGAGGTATTACTTGACAAGCTAGAACCATCATCCGATTTCAATCGAAGATAGCTATCAAAGTGATTTAATTCTATAATTGATTCTTGTCTCATTAAAGCTGAATCTAATTCACACTTTTCGGAATTAAATCTTGGAGCTTGCAAAAACCAATTATAATTAAAACTTTCTTCTGTGTCAGAAGTCAAGGTGGAGGTAGTCATCATACACCATGGCGGAACCAGTGGACTCCAAAATATGTCCGAATAGCTGAAAAGACAATCAGTAGGACTTGGCGTAGTAACAGAGCAACAATAATCCGTTCTAGTATCATAGTATGAGACAATACTAGCTTGATAATTTTCTTCTATTAAAACACTGAGATTTCTTTGGAGATTAGAAGAAACTGGTCTAGGACTTTGTATCTTTTGGAAGTATAAAGGTTCAATATTATTTGTTGTGTCAATATCAGTTTGAAACAGTTCGGTACTTATAACAGTGTCACAAGATCTAGAAAACACATAGGAGGATTCTAAATCATCATATACCATTTGAATTGTTTTATTGTTTTATAGTTTGTAGTAAGAGTGTTTTTGTTGAACTACACCAAATAATGTTACCAACTAGGACAAGATAGTTATTCACAAGTTAGTCATATTTATATAGATCTACAATTCATGATTACATATATATTTGATATTCCTCACCTATGGCCTAAAAAATATATATTCTACGCCCTAAATAATTTAATCTGAGGTTTTTATACGCCTTTTCTGCCTCGTTCAAATACAATGTAATTCAATTATTCAACTTAACGAGCCAAACCTTTTTATACACGTTGCAGAGCCACAATCTAGCTATAATTTAACTTTTAACAGGTATTAGAGGTTTTTTTAATTTCGAGGTTATTGCAAAAGCATTAAACAAAGACCACATGGTAATCAAGGCAAGGCTGAGGCTCTGACGTAATTTCTTTTTTTTTATTATAGTCATCTAAAAATCAGTAAAGAAATAAATCAACTCCAATTATAAACAGAAAAAAAAACACCACACTGTTTTCACGGCCGTGTCGGAATACCGAGGTGTTAAAGTAACATAAACCAATTATGCAATCTCTGTACTTATCGTAGCCAATCTATTTTTTATGTATCCAATTACAAAATTTGCTTAATTGATAGGAGGAGAAATATCTGATTCCCTATAGTCACTAATACCCTGCAAGATTGACTTACAATTATATTTCTACTCATAAATAACTTTAATTAGAATACCAATCCAATAAATAGAATATATAATATGGATACAATATTTATATCAGCCCTAAATGTCTATTCTTGTAAGCCAAAACTACATTCTCCAGCACCCTTTCTTCTCTGATGACTCAATAAATGATCCTTGCGGCTAAAGCTTTTCATACATCCAAATAACCTACCATCCGGTAGGTGTCCACAGCAGATGAACTCTTTCGTCTTATAATGTATACTTCTTATATGGCGGTTATAATCAGATTTTCTTTTGCTAGGCTTTTGACAGTAGATACAAATGTACATATAGTCTGTTTCATGAATTTGAATACAATGATCTTTCATTGTCTTGCAATTGTCAAAAATCTCAAAGCAATAAGGACAAGATTCCAACTGTTGAATTGGTAAATTAAACTGCAATTGATTGATTTGAAAACATTCTTGATTGAAGTCAAGAAAGGGATCGTTCATTTCGGAATGGTTGCAATGATTGCAAAGCGGTTCAAGCAGATTCAAAAGATCAAATGTTGAAGGAACCAAAGTTCTCCGATTGAAATACTTTATTCCATTCAAGTTTTAGATTGGAATCAAGGTAGTTAGAAAAACTGATTTCGAGAGGAAGGAGAAGCTTTGCTCTTTATATATTGGCATTGGAGCATAATTAGGTTGGCACAGAACAAATATTATTTTGCAACTACGGAAAGTTGAATCTATTTTTAATTCAAAAGAAAAAAAATCGAGGCACAAAAATATTAATTTGACTTGTATTTGCTCATGTTCAAACAGACTCCGATTAATGCTCAAGCATAACCAAGGATTAAATTGCACCTGGACCATTTACTTACATAATAAGTAACCATATAAACAATGTCCACTTTTAATTGATTGATGATAATACGATAAGATTTGAAATCTTTTGGAACAACGTATATTGTTTTGTAGTTATATATTTTATGATTCAGGTCATACATCGGGGCTGAATCATCAAGATATTACCATAATTTTGGTATTTTGATAAGAAATTATTTTACTCGAAACAGAATATAGAAGGGTTCCTGTTACCTTTTAAGAAAAGAAATGGCTCATTGTACAAAAAGAAGACACCAACGTCATCAGTGCTCAGTAAGCAATATTCATTTACCGAGAGTAGTTATTTCCATGCCAAACAGACTGCGTTCCAAGTTTATATTTCTATAAATTGATCCTAACCTATATAATATAGTAATAATAAATAATAATAAACGATATGAACACTAATAAAGTAAATATCCTAATCAAAAAATATCCAGATCATCTGGTCTATCAAATCTGTTCCTTCTATTCAGTTCTTGAAATTCAACAAGCGGCTGAATACATTTCTTACCGGTTTCAGTTCTGAAATGACGTCCAAGTCCATCAGACCTTTTGAATCCTTTACCACATCCAAAGATTTTCCCATTAGGTAAAACACCATGACAAATAAACTTCTTGACCCCACTATGTTGATTTTCATGACGAGTTCTATCATTTGGTCTTGAAAATCTCCAGTCACAATCAGGGTACCTACATGGATATGGTCTTTCTTCTCCATGAACCAGAAGACAATGTTGTTTCAAGTTAGCAGCACGGGATAAGGTATTACCACAAACGGGGCATATAAATACTTCTGAATGACGCTTAGTAATCCTGGGTGTAGTTTTCTTGGGTAACGTCATTGATAATATTCTATCGTTACTCATATAAACTGGTGGAGTTGGTGACGAGTATTCGTGTGTAATTATTGAAGGCCGTAAGGCAGTTGGACAGCTTACCCTCCTTGCAACCTTTGGCATGGGTGACGTTGAAAATGATCCGTATGAAGTACCAGTATAATCATATGATGTAACTCTGGACATCAAAGCACTGGTGGGATCTGATTTAATTTGTAATAATTGGTCAAGGTCAGAATAGTTACCAAAATCAAGATTAGCAGAACCAATGGAAACAGTTCTTGTTAATATGGAGTCATCATCAAGGTTAACTTGAGGAAAATCTTCCAAAGTTTCCTCTTCGATTTCTGGGATCGTTGATTTCACCGTGGAAGTTGATACAACCGGCTCATCTTGTTCTATCATTTGCAATAGAGATTCAATATCAAGTTCTTTTGGATCATCCAAATATTGCAGAGAATTAGTCATTAAACTCTCTGCGGGTACCATTGGGACTGGACTAATACTATTGTATGCATATGATGCATTGGGAGTAGGAGCAAAGGAACTATAGCTTGTCTTTTTGGAACTGGCTGAAGCAAGACTTGGGGAATAACTTAAATTGTCTAATTGTAAAGGATTGAGCTTTCTTGGTGATTGTGGCGGGATAGGAGCGGGAGTTAAGCTTTTATTGGTTAGCAAATCAGGAAAACGACTTAATTCTGAATGAGTAATTTCGCTCAAAAAGTAAGCAATTTCATCTTGAGACAAGATTTTAGCAGCCGTGGATTCATCTGGCTCTGTACGAATAACAGTATGTTCTAAATCGTCACCCAAAATTTTGTCATTTTGGTAAGGAGTCATAAGATATAGTATTGAGATAAATTGTACTTGGTGAGACAGAAGTTAAAAAGCAGTATTGGTACACAATAGCAACATCTTTGTACTTTTAACGTATTTATATTGTTTACGTGAAATCGAAGTCCATTAGATAGGCCGTGATTTTGTACCACAACCCCCCACTTTGTGCCCTTTAAAAAATATTGTTAACTGGTAAAAATGGACTTTAAAAATTTGGCTTTTGATTATACGCCTGTTTTTAGCTAAATGCATATAGAAACAATGACGTACTTGATAAGAGTGGACGTACAGGGGGGTTTTCTGGAATGAATGACCGTTTGATAGGGCTAGATAAGGGTTTGGTCGAATATAGAAACATTTCAAGTCATAGGGCGCGGCAGGCGCAGTCATACACGGTGCACCGTGATCTCTAGCCAATAAATTTCTCTTTTCTTTTTTGTGTGGTGACCCGGAACAATAGTTTGTCACAATTGTATTTTCCCCTTAGTCATTCAAAATTTCTAATTCCAAAACGTTTTTTTTCGTAATTGTGATTGTGATAAAAAATAACGTTGGATAACTCCGTCTGTGCTGCTTAGCTCCTATTTCATCGGAGATTCCTTTCATTACTTGAAATAAGTTCAAGCTAATGGACTACAGATTATTAAATCTTCACACAATAACTTAAACAATCCCAATAGAGAAAATAAAGTCAATTGGCAGCTTTTAAACCACTATAGTACAGACTTAAATCTACCCCACAAATGCACGCAAACCTTAAACCCTTTTTTTTTGCAAACCCGAAAACCCCCTAAATAATTAATAAAAACGTTGCTCCACTAACCACAAACCTTAATTGATCAATTGAAAACAAACAAATATGTAGCGGACCGAGCATTATTTTTTTTCAAGTTGGTCCTAATTAGGTTTATTGTGTGTCAAAGTTGGTCACGCGCGGAACGTTTTTTTTATAACCTGCCACATTAAACCATTTTCTCCTCGCTGAATCATGATAATGAGTGACATCATTTTAGGAACATTTCGGAAGATATGCCAAATCTCTTCCAATCAAAATTGTTTCTGTTTGCAGTGAACGTGTAATCAGAGAAAAATAAAGTAGTATCACGTATTTCGTGTCGGCTCGAGTTTCTTCTTCATGCACTTAATACCTCGGGCCTGGTCAACTGCATTTGGTCCTACAAAATCCATTTACAATATTGCGAATTTGGTCCATCCCCACACTTATGTTTTAAGAGCATGTGGTTCCAATCATTGCCCCGTTGTAAAACTACCAATTACACGAGGCGATTCACAGGACGGCTTGTATTATTTAAATTTTTACCTCTTGAAATTTCCAAACTTGCATCTACTTAGCAGTTCTATGACTACTTTGTAGTCTGTTTGTGGAAGAAAACACTAAAAATCAATTGTAATACTAATTTGCAACATCCAATAGAACTAATATTAGATACATTGGTTATGAAACCATAACCAACTAATCAAAAGTATTTTTGAGATGTTACAGAAGTGGTAATTTGGTTCTGAAGTATATCGTTAAAGTGAGAAAATTTAGCACGCACTAACATTAAATTCTCACCTGTAATTTTGCATTTCTCGCATGCTCTTGCACATCACATCCAAAATAATCAAGACCAAGAAAGAACCTAATTTTATTTTACTGGATCAATCTAATGTATGCCATATATTGCTTTTCAACTCAACTATTCTGTTTTCTCCACTATTGAGATCCAATCACTCGTAAACAATTAACTCTTCAGTTCAAGTCAGTTTCAATTTTGCTTCTTAAATCACTTCGATACATATTTCGAGAGTAGAGTTGATTTTGGTACAATTCTAGATATGTAAAAGGATGCTATATATACCTAAGTATTCAATTAACTGGAAAAGGAGAGAGAAAATAGTGGATATTTTGTTGTAAAAAATATTGAAGCGGGAATAGAAATATTTATACTTGCGAGCTTAACATATAGTAGGAACATCAAGTATCCTCCTAATAAAATTTTAGTCTAAAATATTCTGTGATCAATACTTTTTGTCTGGAGGAACTTCCGTTCTTGTTGTATGAATTCAAGCATGAAAGAATACTACTGAGTTTTACATGAAAACAATGTACTTATAAAGCTGTGCAGGAAACGTCTTACATGGGAAGATTTATAATGTAGTTGAAATTGGTACATAGTTTTCCATACTTGCTTGGAGCTATTTCCGACTCAATGATATTCCTTAGTAAGCTAGGAATAGTGCCAATTCCTATTACCACTTCAAATACGATATTGTTAATTATGTTAACATGACTGTATGTTTGTACTACTTTTTATTCTTAATATCAATTACAATATGCCAAATATCCGGGGCAAAAGTCTTTACTTTTTCCAAATGAACTATTTCCCCATTTTGAAAAGTTTCTTTTGATTCCTCTTGTATTTGGTCAAATTGTTCAATATGAACATTTTCGTGAACATGTACAATAGTTTCTCTTGTTGATTTGAATTTCAATTGATCGGCCATACCCCAGGCAAGCTTTGAAGTAGGTAACAAACCCAAATTTATATGACTTATTGGCAAGCTGTTTTCAGGAAACAGCTCTAGTCTTTTTGGGATATTTTCATTACTTTCAATAAATATAATCACATCCACAATTGTTTCTTGGTATTGTTGGTAAGAGAAGTTATCATCAGGACGGATGATAAGATATGTATACTTTGCATGTTCTAATGCTCTTCTAAACCCTTCTACTGACCAAGGGTTTAATTCCCAACACATGAGTCGAGCACCATTTTTAAGATATGATAATGAGAAATATCCAATTCCACAATAAAAATCAAATACAACGGTACCTTTAAGATTCTTGCATGTTTCAAGTACTCGCTTCTTTTCTTTGATGTTACCTCGAGAAAACATGGTATATCTTGGAGCCCAAGTTTGATAAATTCCATTTTGAACAACATGACACCAGAATGCATTCAGAAAATCCATTTCAGTGGGATTGTCAAATGAAGTCGCTGGACCAAAGTCTCCATATAATGGTAAGACATTGAAGGGTCTGCGCATAATGTCCGATTCTATAATTGGTTTATTAACCGCAATATGAGTAATTTCAGAAGTTCCAAATACATCTTGCTGGTGCAATATTATATATGTAAACAATTCATGTGAAGATATGCTGTTGAATAGTTCTTGCCAAGGTTGAGAATCAAATGTATTGGAATTGAATAGAATCATTGGTGGATAGATTGACCATCGTTTCGGTATCACTAACTCATTACAGATAGCAACATTCTTTAAGTTAAGAAATTTTTTAATTACCAGTTCTAATGTTATTTCTGCCTGTTTTGGTCTCTCTTCGTATATTTCGTAGTGGTATTGTGTAAACTCCTCGGTTATTTCAGGTAAATTTGTAAATATTTCAAACTTGTCATTACACTTTTGGATCTTGTATGATTTATTAAGTTGATTATTTTGTTCGAGACATTGTTTTATTCGTTTAACTGATTTTGGGTCTGATATAATTAGCTTAATCGGCATTGTCTACGGCTATACGAGTAACACTGGAGATGAGGTGGAAAAAAAAAATCAAGAAAATAAATCAGTGCTGCAACTGGTAGCTGCAAAATTACCTCGTATGCATATGTATAAACAAATTTATAAACATCCCACTCTACATGGTTACTGGTTAGTTTAAACTCTCTATGGGGTTATTATAGCACTTTTGTACTGCATTTTGTATCTTATCCTTTACCCACTCAACAGGATCTACAAAGAAGCACCAGTTTACTAAGAAGTGGGTTATACTTTTTAGTATGAGATCTACCGGACAACACTGAAAATCATTCAAGATCCTCGTCAATTCTGAGGTCACTTGCCACTCTAGATCATAACTTTATATTTTGACGGGACTAACCTCACGTTCACCATGTCAAACTGATCACATATCCCCATCAAACATAACAAAAAACTAACAACCGAAAAACTACAACCACCCGCGAACGGGAATCCACCGGCCTAAAAAAAACAATTGAATGCGTAAAAAAAAATAAAAAAATAAAAAATAAAAAAAAAAATCTGGTCGTTTTTGTTTTCTATTCTCGACGAAAATCGGAAACGTAAAAAGAAAAAAAAACTGGGACAACCACTTTAATCTAATTGACTCACCAGTTAAGACTTGTCCTGATATTTATCACACTTAGCTGATCCCTTGTCCATAGATTTACCTGTTAGGACTCTACCACTTTACTTTTTTTATATTGATTCATCGGTGTTACCATCAATCGTTTTTTTTTACAACGTAGCTAAACACCCACCCTTTTATTTTGCCCCACCCACATTGTCCCTTACGTTCATTTTTATCACTTGAACCCGACAATACATCAACAAAAGTTGTCCAATACGTCCATTCCTTACTTTTTATATCGTTATTTGTTTGATTTTATTTTATATAAGTAATGACTGAAGCTGAACCTCCACATTCTACTACCCCTCAAGTGGAAGAAACTGCAAACCAAGAACAGCAAGTTCAAAATGTTGATCAACCACAACAACAACAGCAATTAGACGAACAGCAGGAAAATCAAACTCCATCAAAACCAGACACTAAAGAGACTACACCAATAACTCCAGCTTCGGCTGTTGAAGGTGGTCGTGAAGTATCTAACAAGATTTTGTATGTTGGGAATTTATCCAAATCAATTTCCGAAGAATTCTTAAAGGATACTTTTGCCAGTGCCGGTGCAATCCAATCTGTTAAGATTTTGAATGACAAGAACAAGCCAGGATTCAATTATGCTTTTATTGAATATGAGAATAACCAAGCTGCCGATATGGCCTTGAATACTATGAATGGTAAGATTCTTCAAAACTTTGAAATTAAGATCAATTGGGCATTCCAATCTGCCACCATTACTACTGCAAATACTCCAGAAGACCCAAGTTTCAATATTTTTGTGGGAGATTTAAGTCCTGAAATAAATGATGAAAAATTGAAACAAGCATTCTCCAAATTTAAATCTTTGAAGCAAGCTCATGTTATGTGGGACATGCAAACTTCAAGATCTAGAGGATATGGATTTGTTACATTTTCCAATCAATCCGATGCAGAATTAGCTTTGCAAACCATGAATGGAGAATGGCTTAATGGCAGAGCAATTAGATGTAATTGGGCTTCTCATAAACAATTGAATAATCAAAATCAAGGATACAGAAATCTTAACAGCAACCATAATAATCGTCATAATCATCATAATAACCACCATAACAACAATAATAATCACAATACTAAATTCAGACCATTTAACAATAACAATAATGGTAATACTAATGGACATGTGTTCCCTCAACAATTAATTAACCCTGGTTTTAATAATAACAATCAATTTGCTCCTCAGGTTTTACCAGGAGGATTACAAGATAATGGTAATAACAATGTTAAGAATAATGGTCAACAAGGCGCAACTGGTGGTAACTCTGGAAACATACCAGCCATGTCTCCACAATCATATGACATTGTATTGAGACAAACTCCATCATGGCAAACCACAGTTTATTTGGGAAATATTGCCCATTTCACCCAACAAGGAGATTTAATTCCATTATTGACTAATTTTGGATACATAGTTGATTTCAAGTTCCATCCAGAACGTGGATGTGCATTTGTTAAATATGATAATCACGAAAGAGCAGCATTAGCAATTGTTCAATTGGCAGGCTTCAATATTAATGGTAGACCATTGAAATGTGGCTGGGGTAAAGACAGACCACCTCCACCTCCACCGGGACCTATGGGAGGGCATCAATTCCAAAGCTTTCCTCGTGGTGTAGTTCCACCGGGTCCTCCACCACCAGGTCCACCACATCCACAAATGTATGGACAAGGAAGACCTTAAATATAGACCTAATGCCATGCTCGGCCATAATTTAGATCATACCTTGTAGTTTGGACAAAGTCACCAATTACCCTTTTGTTTATTTATGCTTTTTTTGTTTGTTTGTTTTTAGTTAGAGCATTTATACTCTTAATATATTTTGTTTTAAAAAGTAATTGCTGTGGGATATTTCATGTTGAAATATAGACTTCCTGTTTAAGTAGTAGTGCCGAGGTCCCGCCACTGGTGCTGCCACCTGCACTACAAGAAAGAGTCCGAAAAGAAAGAAAAAAAAATTTTTTTTTTTTTTTTGATCGTAACAACATTAACCTTGACACTATTTGATATTGCAACATCAACAAGGTAATTTCAAACAAAAGTTGGTGTATTCTGTTAGATGTTTCAATCAAGAAACTTCATTATATTATCCATATCTATCATTTTTATAGCAACTATAGTCTCATCCAGTAACATCGATCCCACGTTGTCATTTACCACCTTTGTATCAACATTTATCACCACACCACCCAAAAACATACATCGATTAATCACCACTTCCACAAGTACCATCTTCATTATCGTCATTGCATACTATCTTAATAAAAACAGTAACATCCCAGCATTATTTCATAGAGTTTTATCATTAATGAATTCCAATTACAGGTATATTACTAATAGACAAGGAGGTCGTTTTGGCAACAAGTCAAAATATTACAAATTTGCCATGAAAAATGGTGGAGTTGTTGGAGGGATCAGCAATGAAGGAAACACATGTTTTATGAACAGTGTTATCCAATCTTTGGCTTCCTCGAGGGAATTGCTCAAGTTCATTAATTCCTATTTATATGAAGAAATTGCCGTGCAAAAACCAGATTCCCCTACTATGTTCATAAAATCTAACCAACCAAAAAGAGAATTGGTATTTACAAATGCATTAAAGACCATATTGGAAAATGTTAATGGGAAATACGGTCGTACGGGAAAAGAATTCAGTTCAAGACAATTGTTAAACAAAATGCCTAATGGTCCTAAACAAAATTTCTTTTCGGGATACAATCAAGAAGATGCTCAAGAATTCTATCAATTAGTTATGAATTTGTTGGAAAGAGAATACAAGAATGTAAGCACATCAAGGATGCCCACCCCTGAACCAGAATCTGGACCAACCGAAAAGTTTATTGATATGAATCATGTTAAGGAAATAGTATCGGGTGTGGATCAATTGGGTAAATTGGGAGTGGTATACGTTCCTGCTTCTCAGGTCGATCCTAATTTAGTCGATTGCGATCATAAGCTATTCCCATTGGAATTAATTACTCCAGTTGATGGTATAACTGCCGAGCGTATTGGTTGTTTGACCTGTGGTGAAGTTGGTGGGATCAGATATTCTGTAAATAGTGGATTAAGTTTGAATTTACCCCATGATGCAAGTTATTATTCGAGTTTTAACTTAAACGACTTGTTGAACCAATGGATTACTCCAGAAATTATCGAAGATGTTAATTGTAACCGTTGTGGATTAATACAAACAAGGGATTTCCTCAAAAATCGTCTTGAAGATTTAAGCCAAGGAGACACTCTGAGTAAACTTATTGAACAATTTCAAACTAGACTTTCGTTAATTGAACAAGAATTAGACCAACATCACATCACTGATGAAATTTTTGAAAAATTGACCATCAAGAAACAAATCAAAAAATCGAAAAAGTCCAAACAAATATACTTAAGTAGACCACCACCACTATTATGTATTCACATAAACAGATCTGTGTTTGATCCAAGAACTTATCTGATTGTCAAAAACCCAAGTAATGTTGATTTCCCCATAAAATTGAACATGACTCCATATGTGGTGACGCCAAATGATATTAATATGGATGCAAGATTACCATTCAGAAAACAAGACCAACACGCAAGAGAACCGATTGAATCTGTTCCTGATGTTTCTTCAACTCCTTCAAGTTCATCTTTGTCATCCGATGAAGTACCATCTACCCTGACTGCTGCCACATCAGCCAATATTGAAGATACCCCAGTCGACCCTAAATTATTATACAATTTGAAATCAGTCATTTCTCACTATGGTACCCATAACTATGGACATTATATATGTTACAGAAAATTACGTGGGTCATGGTGGAGAATAAGTGATGAATCAGTGTATGTCGTCAGCGAAGAGGAAGTGTTGAATGGACAAGGGACATTTCTCTTATTCTACGAATTTGATGATGGATATAAGGAACAATTGGAAGATGTTTCCAGCGAAGAAGAGGAAGAGGAAGAAAAGGGAATAAAGTTAATGGAACAACATGCAAGTAGTGAATCTAGTGATTTGGAAGATGAAGATTATAGCGACAGTGTTAAGGAAAGTCTGAGTTCATCTATGCATGAATCTAAGAATTTTGATGACGATGATGAATCAATGAATAGTAGCCACATTGACCTTGCTGTTGCTGAAGCTCAAGTTCATTTGTAGGAACCTTGTATAAATATAGAATAAAGGACTTTTACTTAGCAGTGTTTTACGTAAGAAATCGTAGAAGAGTCTATTCAAGATCCTGTTGTGAGACCGTTTGTTAAATATCATCCTGCATATAATTGTAGTAATAACTTGACTCTAGAAAAGTTGAAATATTTTGCGAAGATCATCTCAATATAATTCAAATCAGAAATGGTTAGAAAACTTAAGGGAAAAAATCTCCAAGGTAAAGGGCTAAAGGGTGCCCTTGCTCGACATCAAGTATCTGACAATCTCCAAAAGAAGCTTCAAAAGAATGCCGAAATAACTAAAGAGAACCAACTCAACAAGGCGAAATCCATCAAAAAAGTACCAAAGAAACATAATCAACCTCAACAGGTTAAGGGCCTCATGCCATTCACCGTTGATGACAGAGTATTGCTTATTGGTGAAGGTGATTTCTCGTTTGCAAAGTCTTTAATAGTGCAGAATTTTATACAACCTCAGAATTTGATAGCCACCAGTTATGACTCGGTTGAAGAACTTAATCAGAAATATCCAAATGTACAATCAACCCTTGATGAATTGACTGAGGAAGGTGTGAAGTTAATCCATGAAGTTGACACGACAAACTTACCACAATGTTTGAAACTTATAGCTAACAGCAAAACAAAAAAGTCAGGTAAGACACCACTGTTGTTTGATGATAGGTCCCAATTGAACTATATAATGTTCAATTTCCCTCATACTGGTAAAGGTATAAAGGACGTGGATAGAAACATTCGTGAGCACCAAAAATTGATCTTGGAATATTTCAAAAATTGTAAACAAGTGTTTGATATTGTTAATGACACAAGCAAGAACGATTTTGCGGGCTACAGTGTCCCAACTGAAGGAAAGATTATTCTTTCTACGTTTGAAGGAGAACCATATAATTCATGGGGTATTAAAATTATTGGAAAAAGTCAAGACTACAAGGTTGAAAGATCAGGAAAATTTGATTGGGCCATGTTTCCAGAATATCACCATAGAAGAACAAATAGTACCAGAGATACTACTAAGCCTGCTGAAGAAAGAAATGCCAGAATTTACGTTTTTGAAAAATTCAAAAAGAAGCAGGAACAAACTAAGGATGATAGTGATAGTGATTAGATATATTAAACTATGCAGGGAATACTCTTGTACAGCCATCTATAGAAAAGGTTTCCTTGGTTAATGGATCCTTGACTCTACCCATTCTCAACAATGTATTCTTTTCCGAAAGATGCTTATCAGAAGGATTAAGCAACTTGTCAAATGGATAGATATTACCATTTGGTAATATGAATGGATTATTGAAAATGCTGGTAATTAATTGAGCATAAGGTAAATTACGACTCAACTTGTATAATTCTGGTGAGCAAACTGGACAATTGTTTATCTTGTTTAGTAATTTGTAATAGTAATTTGGACCACGATATTTCTCATCTGTAAGCACTGTAGCATTATGATTGTGTACATTAGGTATTGGTAAATTTTCATCTCTAAAAATTGTATTTTCATTATTATAATAACAAGATTTTGTCTTTAAACTTGACAATCCTGCTGAAAGGTATATGAAAATTGGATAATTCTTGCTTATTCCATATAACTTTGTGAAATTCTCAATAAAACAACGAGATAAACTTTCCCATCGTTCATCAGAGAGTAATTTTTGATATTCGTGAAATTGTGGAGAATTAATCATTAAATTGCTTGAAAAAGTCATAGGTTCACTTGCCTTTTCATTACTTTCCATCGATCTAAATACAAGTAATCCTCCCATCCCCATTAATCTTTTCAAATTAGCTAAATGATTTCCATTATCATTTTCTTGATAATTCTCTTTATTTCCATAAGGTGAAAGGTTTATATGGGAAAACTTGATAGCTTCGTTAATATCACCTTTCTCAATCAAACTCAAAAACTTGCAATAATTAATTTCAAATTCTAAATTGGAATTACCCTTTTTAAGAAAGTTTTTGTTCTCATTGAACCATGATATAACCAATGACAAATCGTGATGTTCCACTATGGATACAAACACTTTATTAAAATTTTCGAACAAGTCAAAATCAATGAGTTTCATAAATTTAGGATTAGTCTGGGCTAAACTATGGAGTAGTAATATCCCACCGTTTGTATCGGTTCTGGAATTAGATTTGATTAAGTAGTCAATAATCAATAAATTGGTTTGATCTCGATACCAATTCAATAAGTTTGGATTGTGTAAATCTAAAAGTTTATCATTCTCACCCACTGAATCTTCTTCAGCCAGATCTTCCCTATTCTTTTTAGCATTGCCGTTGACAATACAATACTTGTCTAATTCCCGCAAATTATCCAACCGAGCCAGTAATCTTGAACGTAATTCTTCATCTCTAGCAACCGCTGCTTTTAGTTTGTGTTGGAAACTTTCAAACTGTTTGATTAGTTTCTTAATCATGGCCAATTTCATAGTGGTAGGTAGGTTTGGATTCTTAGTAATCTTGGCTACTTCGTCACCCGTTTGCTTCTTTTGTTTCTCGATTAATTTCTGGACATTCTTGAAATTCTTCTTGACTAGTTCAATAGGAACACGGAATTGTGTTTGATGCGTTTGTATATGGAAGTTTAGTGTAGGTTCGGTCATGTTGTTTGCATGTATTGACTGTGGCGGTTGTCAAGATATGGTTGTTACAAGTTAGTGCAAGATAAAGAAAAAGGGAGGGGGCGGGTGAAAGCGTGCGAGATCACAAAAAAACAATTAGCAAAAAATAACCTGGGGAAAATCCCGGGAAATTACAATGACGAAATATACAACCGGGCACCTCAATTTCAGACTTACATTCTTTCTTTCAAGCTTGAACTAAGAACTCTATATAATTCTATATTCAATGTCAAGTAATTGCTCCTGAAATTGTCAACAATAAAAAGTTAACGTATGGTAGCGGGTCTGGTGTTGAAATTTATAAGTTTCGTTGCATGTTTTCCTTAATTAAATCTACTTCCACGATAGAATAAATGGAGAGATATGAGTTATTTATAGCTGGTTAGGCGTTTATATCGCAACTTTCATTTATTTCTATTTTTTTGAAAATTTATACAAAAAAATACAGCGAAATGGCCAACAAAGTAAACTCTGTGAATGTCCATAAGAATAAATCCATATGAAAGAAGTAGGCAAGACAGAAGTAAAATATATTATGGGACAAAGAGTTAGATTATTCCAAAGTTAGAATCATTGGTTATATAATAGAATGGTTTGCGTCATAAAAGTTCCACAAGTATTTGCATAATACTGTGCATATTGCACTACCTTTTACAATTTATTTCAAGACCCTCAGTTCGATCAAGATAAGCCTTGGTCCTATTTATCTAATTCTATTTTTTTGCTATCCCCTCCTACGTAGTTCCCTAATTGATGATTTTTTTTCTTGTTTCTAACCCATATATCATTCCCCGCAGTACTGAATTTTTTTGCAGCCTGTTCTTGGTATTAAGTTTAACAATATCTAACACACAGTTTTAACTCTGCCTGGTTGAGATAAAATGAGACATGTAAAAGAATTGGATTCCTTCTATATGTCTATCAAGTTTCTGAATCCGAAGATTTTATCCAGCTAAAAAAAGGGCCACATCTATTTGAATTAGGGCTCAAGAAACATAGTTTCTTTTTCTTAAGGCGTTAAAAAATTAGGACATATAATATTTCATTACGAGACTTGAAAAATGTGATTAATTGGTTGGTACGATTGAGTCTCCTCTGATAAGAAATGACATTGCTATATATCATATTGTATATAAACAGTAACAATTTCCTCTTCTTTTGCTGATTTATTTTGCACTTGAATTGGTGCCCAAGAACATTACATATTGACAATTTTAACCATGAGAAATAATTCTCAGTCAGATTTAACTGACCGTTACGAAATAGCCTCCATTGAAGAGCGTGATGATTCTACAATCTCCTCAGAGCTTTCCATTGAAGATAAACGATCAATTGATACTATTGAACATGTCAGTCCCACCAAAAAGCAATCATGGAGAGAAATATTTATGTTATCATTTTCATCTCTTGGAGTCATCTATGGAGATTTAGGGACATCTCCCTTATATACCCTTAGTTCAATCAGGTATAAGAAGTTACCTCCTACCGAAGATGAAATTTATGGTGCTGTTTCAGTTATCTTCTACATTTTCACCATTATCGTTATTATCAAATATGTACTTATTGTATTGGTTATTGGTGCTAATAATGGTGAAGGTGGACAAGTTGCTATTTACGGCAAGATTGCCCATCAATTGAATATCGGCCCAAAGGGAGTCACTATGCCCGGGGCAGCCAGGGAAGTTTCCGATATTCAATTGGTTTCGAGACAAGGCACCATGGCTTCATCAGTTGAATCATATACTTCCAGAATTGAACACATCAGAAAGCATCCAAGAATGATTGTAGCTATAAAAGGTTTCATTTTGACCTGCTGTTTTATTGGGTGTGCCTTAGTTGTTTCTGATGGATTATTAACCCCAACTGCATCCATTCTTAGCGCCATAGGTGGTATTCAAGTTGCTGTTCCTTCTTTCAAAAGTGTTCTTGCTGTATCGGAAGTCATCTTGGTTGTATTGTTTTCAATTCAACAATTCGGTTCCAATAAGATTTCATTTTTGTTTGCACCTATTATTTTCATCTGGTTGATTGGGTTGATGATTTGTGGTATTTATAATATTGCTAAATATCAACCAGGTATTTTCGCAGCATTGTCACCACATTATGCCATCAAGATTTTACAAGAAAGTGGGATTGACGTATTAGGAGGTGCTATGTTGTCAATTACTGGTACTGAAGCTATGTTTGCTGACCTTGGTCATTTTGGCAGACTTCCTATTCAGCTAACTCTAGGGTGCTTTGTTTATCCTACCTTGATTATATGTTACTTGGGACAAGCTGCTTATCTCGTACATCATCCTGATGCATATATCAATCCATTTTTCTTATCATTGCCCGGTGGGACTGGTGGTGGTGTTTATTGGGCGGTGTTTGTTTTCGCAACCATAGCCACAGTTATTGCTTCCCAAGCATTAATCTTATCGGTATTTAGTATTTTTGCTCAATTAATTCATTTGGATTGTTTCCCCAAATTAAAAATTACTCATGTTTCTCTGGGGTATGCTGGCAAGGTTTATATTGGAGCTATCAACTGGATGTTAATGATTGGAGTTATGTTGACCATGGCAGGGTTTCAAAATAGTCATAGAACCACTGCAGCCTATGGGTTAGGAATCTCTTTGGATTTGTTTGTTACTTCTTTATTAATCCTCATTTGTATGTTCTATGTCTATAATTGGCATATAATTTGGCCGATTTTATTCCTTTTAATTTTTGGACCTTTAGAATTTAGTTTGATTATTTCCAACATGAAGAAAGTTCCCCGTGGTGCTTGGTTTCCCATAATGATTACGGTGTTGTTGAGTACATTTTTGAGTGTGTGGAGATGGTGTCGATCAAGAAAGGTTGAACAAGAGTTCAATTCCAAGATTAAAATTGGAGATTTGTTTCCATATTTCAAGAAAGCAGAAACAATTGAAATTAATCTTAATCATAAAGAATCTAACCAAGAAGATTCACACCAGTTTGGAAAGACTGATGTTAAAACAAGATTTGGAATTTTACACTTGACTAGACACGAAGGATTAGGCATAATGTATGTTGACTCCATTTTGACCAATTCGCCAAACACCTTGCCTGATTTGTATACTAAATTGGTAACAACTTTTGTTTCCATTCCTTCTCATTTTGTGTTTTGTGCTATTAGAGTAATGAGCATTCCTTTTGTTCCTGATGAACAACGATTATTTGTAGCACCGATGAAATTACCAGATCATTACAAGTGTGTCATTAGATTTGGATACATGGAACTTACCAGAATAGATAAAGCAATGATATCGCTTATTATGAGTAAGATTCCAGCACTATCTGGACTAAACGAGGATCAATTGGAGAAGTATCCAAAGTTGCATATTTTCGAAAATGATTTGATATGATGTCATGAGTATGAACCTACAAAAAATGTGTTTAGAAAGGTTGCTAGATTAATCCGGATGATTATTATTGAGCATTTCTTTAGCCCCTTGAGCTCACTCACTCTGGAATATGGTAGGTTTTTGAAAGTTCCCAATGCCGAGGAAGAACGAGATCAGAAGATATTCATTGGTCAAGTAGCTAGAATTTAAGTTTGTATTTAATATTTGTTTCTAGTTTATATGCAGCTACTATTTTTGAGTTGTGCTTGGACTGGTATTACTTGTCTTATTGATCAAATTAATATTTCAGAATATCAACTGTCGAGCAATGTATTAGGATTGCACCACAATAGCTGATCTCTTAGAGTTAAATATGAGGTTGGCAAATAACATTAACACAATCTCGTAGTTTTGTTAACCAATGCTGGAGGGTTGGTTTGAACTGCATGCACTCGCCTTAGATTTTGTGATACATGTTGGAAACTTCGTTTACTTTGCTTTCCTTGCTATCAATCCCTGGCAAACAAAAGGAAGCCTATATTATCCTATTGTTTTTCCGGAATAATTTCTTGACAAAACTTCAATATAACACCATTTCTCTGGTTCAAAACCACCTGATTTTCTTACAGCATAGATATTGATCCGATTACTATAAATATAAGTTCTATTTACCTTCTGACATATGATTTAGAGAAGTTCACACTTTGTGGATTCAGCTTGTTTCAAGAATCAATTTCCATCAACTTAGATTTCATCTGGATGCCTAAACAATTGTATTATTTAGTGCTTTATTACTCAGCAAGGCGTCACCTCTCCAGGTGCTAACAAAAGAGAAAACAACCACAGCGGAAATATTTATTTCAATTAGTCCTCAACTATATGGTATTTGACTCGTTGAATGAATGCTTTCCTGGGGAAGGACCTATTGTCATTTATCCTATTCATGGATATTTTCTTTGGAGGTTATTACCCAATGTGGCATTCCACCCACCCCCTGGCGGAACAACTTTTTTGTATAGTAGGCGGGATCTAATGCGGGATTATAATCGTATTTTTGGGCTGATTTTGCGGCGTTCCCCAGATCGGGTATCCCGGCCGCATATTTTTCCGAAAACACTATTGCCTACTAAGGGTTCCATTAATTACAATTGGATTACCAATTTCAACTTCCCCCACAAGAGAATGTTGAATAGGTATGGCTGAATGTAACTATATTGTGCAAATGTTGGGACCGCAGTCATCGTGGCTTTTTAGCGACTTACATGGTTCATAATTGTAATGTTATGCACCCCGCTTTTGCAATATCTGAATCATAAAGAGAATTATCCTTGATGATCTTGCTTTTTACGTTCAGTTGGTATAACAATAGAATGTAGTACTATACCATGAATGACAAGAATTGAGTGAAGCATAAGCAACAATGCATGCATAGCAGACAGTTTTATGTACTTCGGGTTGCGATTTTGTGGTCGCCCCCACTTCCCAGTGAATTATTCCTGTTCCTGGGGTAACTTAAAAAATAAGCTTATGTGGATAAGGAATTATTATGCAAAAAAAATTTTTTTTTAATTTACCTCAAATATCGTTGATTGCAAATCTTGAAATCCTTCTCCGCAAACAAATCCAAGTATATATAACAGTAAAATTCCTCTTTGTGACGATGGTTAATTTCAAGCCTCTATCATCGCTACTTTCATAAGCACGCTACACAATGGGTATTGAAGAAAGTTTATTCTTACAAAAGTTTATTAACTTTGGTGAAAAGAAGGCTGGTTCAACCACCAGAAGTATCTTGGTTGGTTTGTTTTCTGCGTTTGGTGGATTTCTTTTTGGGTATGACACTGGTACTATTTCCGGTATTTTAGCCATGGATTTCGTAAAACATCAATTTCCAGCCAATAGACTTTCAGCTGAACCATTCTTCACTGCAAGTGAAAGTTCCCTCATTGTTTCAATTTTATCTGCCGGTACTTTTATTGGTGCTTTGTCTGCTCCACTCTTTTCAGATAGAATCGGTCGTAAGTGGACTTTGATTTTGTCTTCATTGATTGTTTTCAACTTGGGTATCCTTTTACAAACTATTGCTGAAGCTATTCCACTTTTGGTGGCTGGTAGATTCTTTGCTGGTTTAGGTGTTGGTTTAATCTCTGCTGTTGTTCCTTTGTATATTGCGGAAACGACTCCCAAATGGATCAGAGGTGCTATTATTTCATGTTATCAATTGGCTCTCACTTCTGGTTTGTTGATTGCTGCTTGTGTCAACAAAGGAACTTCTGAAAGACAAGATTCTGGGTCTTATAGAATTCCAATTGCTCTTCAATTTGCTTGGGCTCTTATCTTGGGTGGTGGTATGATCTGCCTTCCTGAAACTCCAAGATTCTATATTTCCCAATCTAATGAAGATAAAGCTAAGAATTCGTTGAGAAGATTGAGAAAGCTACCTGTAGATCATCCTGATTTGCTTGAAGAATATGATGAAATCAAAGCCAACTTTGAATTTGAAATGCAATTTGGTAAAGCTACCTGGTTATTAGTTCTCAAAAATGTTAACAGACAACATCACAGATTGTTTGTTGGGGTTGCGATTCAAGCGCTCCAACAATTGACTGGTATTAATTTCATTTTCTACTTTGGTACTCAATTCTTTCAAAGTTCCGGTATTAAAGACCCATTTCTTGTGCAATTGGCTACTAACATTGTTAATGTGGGTATGACCTTCCCTAGTATTGCATTGATTGATATTTTGGGTAGAAGAAGCATGTTGTTGGCTGGTTCGGTAGTTATGGCAGTTTCTCAATTGATCGTTGCTATTGTTGGTGTTGTCAGTGATTCCCAGGCAGCTAATCAATGTTTGGTTGCATTCTCGTGTATTTTCATTGCAGGTTTCGCATCAACTTGGGGACCTCTTTGTTGGGCCGTTGTTGCTGAAAACTTTGCTATTAATGTCAGACAAAAGTCGGTTGCTCTTTCAGTTGCTTCTAATTGGATCTGGAACTTTGCTATTGGTTACGCAACTCCATATATGGTTGACTCTGGTCCAGGTAATGCCAACTTGGGATCTAAAGTCTTCTTTATTTGGGGTGGATGTAATGTTATTGGTTTCATATTCGTTTACTTTTTTGTTTATGAAACTAAGGGGTTGACTTTGGAGGAAGTGGAAGAAATGTATATGAAGGTTGACAAAGCTTGGAATTCTACTAAGTTTGTGCCAAGTGGAATCCATGAAGCTAGTTCTTCAATCGAAAAAACAGAGACTGAACAAATCGAAAAGGTTTAATCTTATATTCCATTTTACAAGTTTAATTATCGCATATAATCCAATATATGCTGTGTATATTGATATTCATTGATCTATTAATGGCGCGTTATACTCTTTACTCTTATAATCCCAATAAAACGTAACTTCATTAGGGGAATCTTCGGGAACACTACATTGTTGCACGAAATTAACACCCTCTAGCCTTTTGTTGAGAATCTCAAACAATTGGTTCATCTCACAAGAAAACCCTGGCCCATTGCTGCAATTTGGATAGGGAACCACGGCATCATTCATAATGAATCTAATAAAATATTCTTCACCGCACTTTAATTTCTCTGTATATACTCTCGCTGCTTGTGGGAATAATTCTGCCGCATTATACATGTTAGGAAACGGCACATAGTCAGTAGGTAAGTCTCTTGATGGTATAATTAGACCTAAGGAGGTTAAGAATATTTCCATATCTGAATCATGGGTGAACGAGAGCCAAATTTTATTCTCATCTTTCAAAAGTTTCATAAATGCTTGCACCAAAGGTGATCCGACCACTTTGGAATATGGATTTCCCTCGCCTATCGAGTTGTAGTTGTATAAATCGTTCCGATATCCATCTTTAATAAACTCGTCGTTTTTGAACAAGTTGCAAAATGGTGAGCTGCCACGCACATTTATTTCAAAGGCACACCATAGAAATAAGGATTGAACCTGTTGAGTAGATAATGGTAATTCTGGATTGGATTTTTGTAATCTGGTTAAAATGTCTTGCAAATAAGTCCTGTCATACTGGTTGATTTTATCTGTATTCACATGCTCGTCTAACTTAGGACAAGCATACCTCGGCGTCAACGAATTGGCCCCCATTTTACCATCCTCATCGACAATCACAAACTTGGCTTTGCTGATATCACCCAAGAATCCTTCTGTGAAGTATTGAGCACTTTTATGTACACGACCAGAATTGCTAGTAAATACGACCAAGTCTTTGTCATACAAGGAGCCATACTTCTCTCGAAAGAGTTGGCCATGACGAAATTCTGTCGTTGTCCCTGAATATGGACCTTTTGAGTTATTAACATCTGTCTCCTTTTCGTAGTACTCCTTATCCGATACAAAGTACGTATAATCATTGAGAAATTCCAACTCTCCTTGAAACTTATGAGGATATTCCTCAAACACTTTCATTACAGACTCAAAAAATACACCATCTCGTTTAGAAGGATATCGTTCACCATGTCGTGATAGCAAATGCACTTGTTCGATAGAACACTCTTCTGGGATTGAAGTGGATATACCAAACCCTGTGCGTTGTCTATATGGTGCAGAACCACCTAAATATTTGATGATGTTGTACTGTTCAGTAGATGCTTGTTGTGGTGATGCAACATCTTGGAATATGGACTGACCTGCTAATAGCAAGCTTGGATTGAGTTTTACTGAAACCATGGGACCATGGTTGGTTGTTACCACCACGTGTATTTGATTTTCGGTTTTCGGTTTTCAAGTGCGGCTCTGATAAGGATTGGAAAAGCTGGATATTTTTGTGCAATAATTTTTTTTTTTTACTGCAAACTATGCTGTTATCCTTCATTTGTAGAGCTCACAACTTAGCACATAATGGTACAATTAACAGTTCTATACCTGGAGGCTGTGCTAAGTAATTTCAATATATGATGGCTAATTTGAGTAAAAGTTTAAAAAGCAAATATGTAGTTTTCACATGTTTTTCGCTTAAAATTATACGAATTATTACAGAATTTTAAGGAGATTCATAACGAATACTAATGCTGGATAAACCAATAATTGGGATATTTTCATAGAAACAAGCCATTAAACAATATTGTTATTTATCATAATTTTAGTAAACATAACCCAGCTAACTTGCGTTTGTCTTTTTTTTGCAGCCATTTTGCTCCAAATATAAATTGGAGTAAAGATTCAAAAAAAGAAAAAGAAATACTATGTGCATATTACAAATATCAATCTAATTATCTACCCTACGCTAAAATGGTTTCTTCAACCTTAATACTCTTGTCCTTCAATCCATAGAATAAATCTTTCAAGTATTCAAGACCCTCATCAATTTCACCAACATATTGTTGATCCCTTGCTAATGGATTGGCACGACCTTCAGGGAAATATGGAGCTAATTTATCAACAAACTTTTCCTTGGCATCACGATGAGAGTAATAATGGAAGAAGATAGAATCACCTTTCTCTTCAACGTCTTTTCTTTCCCAATCCTTTTGTTCTTGAACGGTAGGAAGAGTCTTGGCACCTGACCAAACACCAGCAAGAGCAGCAGCACTAGCTTCAATAGTGTGGAAGTTCAATTGAGACACAGCAATACCAGCGGAACCCAAGGTTGGATCAGCTTGGTTGAAAGTGTGCAAGTACAAACCATCAACACGAGAGAGGTTACCTGGGTTGACAAGCTTGAAATGGTCAGCTAAGAATGGATAATGGTAGTGGTAACCAGTGGAGAAAAGAATCTTTTCAAATACATCAGTGGTACCATCTTCAAAGTGGACTTCTCCCGACTCTGGATCGATCTTGGTAATTTGACCCTTTGGTGTGATACCTTCGGAGACAAGGGCATCATTGATGAATTCAAAAACATAATGTCTTCCTCTCTTGGAGTTTACAGTTTTTTTCGCAACTGGAACAATGTATTGTAAAACATTAGCGGTTGAAATCAGACCACCAACAACTAAAACATTCTTGTCTTTGAATTCGTCAGTACCTCTGAAAGATTTGGCATGGATTAATACTCCAGGGTGCTTCTTGTTGAACTCGGCAAGACCTGGGATTTTAGGGATATGAGGAACAGTGTAGTGACCGTTGGATACAACAATAGCATCGAATTCTTCTTGGTACCATTCATTCTTGTCACCATTCTTTCTTTTGGCAGAAACAACCCATTTACCAGCATCATTCTTCTCAACTTTTTCAACAGTAGTGTTAAATCTGATGTATTTGTTCAATTGTTCTTGTTCAATAAAGTTACTGAATCTTTGGGATAATTCTTGGTGGTGCAAAAAGGGGTAGATCTTTCTGCTCTTGTCGTGGTACTTGTCTTCATCAGGCATGAATGAGTATCTAGTAAATCTGGCAGGAATATTAGTGAACAAGTTAGGAAAGATCCCACTTCTGCTCCATTCCAATTCATTACCATGCTTACCCACGGTTTCAACAACTGGACTATCAATACTGGCACCTTCGATACCCGTAGGTGGGTCCACTCTAGGACGGACAACTTCCGGCAGTTGGTATTCTTCCAGATCTAAAATGTGCTGAGGAGGAACAGGGAGATCAGCTTGCACACTAGCAGGAGTCCAAATACCACCAGCTTCTGCCTTTTGTTCGAAAGCCACAATTTTCGAGAATGCAGGATCGGCAGCTTGTGCACCTCCCAGAGTAGATGAGCCATCTTTGTTGGTGTGGAGGAATTCGTAAAGGGCAGCAAGACCACCTGGTCCGGCACCAATAATACCAATAGAGTCGACGTTGATCTTAGTCATTGCTAATGGTTTTACAAATATCTAGACTTAGATCTGCAGCGAGATCTGTGCCTGTTTAAATATAGTCCACGCCATCGCTACGACATCGCTGTGGCTGCAAGGAAATGTTCTTTACAGATTGATTCAACGGGATCCACAATTATTGCAAAAGCAATTCCCCAATAACCGATGCATTGTTTAAATTGGTTTAATTGAGTGTGAATTCGTATATTTGGTTGCACGTGACATGCAATAATCGTGGGACCAATTTATCGCATACCCATTCCCAAACAGGAAACTATTGTGGCTTCTAACCAACGTTCGATAGACCCGAAGTGTGGAACCTATAGTTCAAGATGAACCACTGTGTTAAGGCGAACCGAGGCATAAAACATATGGAGATTTTGGAGGGGAGGTCGATAAGTTAGCGGGAAAGTACATCTTTAATAAATATGTAAATCAAATATACTATGCAACTCTATCCTTCTCTCTATATATTTTTCTATAAACTTTAACACCCAGTCAACTTGTTCTTGGGGAAATTGTATCCTCCATGTTCAAACATGGTCAAGTTGACATTCTCATATATATTCAAATGCTCTTGAATATAATCGTATGTAGGGAAATCATCGGGATCACAACCAACATTAATTTGATCCTTGGGTTGATACACTCTAACATAATCTATGCTCATGGTAACGGGGAAATTCAAACTGTTCCAATCGATATAAGCCCAGTTATTAGAAATACCCAAGTTCATAATCAACGACATAGGCTCTTTGGAGAGAGGACGCCAACCAATGTTCCCGTTAGGGTGCAATGCCATGGAATGAACCGTCAATGTAGGATCATTTCCGACAAACCACGTCAAGTAACCTGTCTTCATATCGTTCAAATATTCAAACCCATAACGTTGGTAATTATGTTCCCCATCACCGAATTCATACCAAGTAGTATTCAAGGTGGTTGTAGCAGAAAGAGCTTGTTGGAATGGACCACCACAGTAGGTGTTCATGGTGGTGACGGATTTATTGTAGATTTCGAGGAACTCATAGTCAGGAATATACCAGATATCAAATGGAGCCAATTGAAGTGATTGCGATGCAACACCCAAGTTAGGCTTCTTACCGGTTGGATCACTAGACATTTCTGCTTCAATAACATCGATTTCAGGAGCACCTCTACCTACACCTGGATTAGGATGTGATTCACCAGGACATGTGCATGCATTCAAACGTTGACCTGGCAAATATGAGATACCATCAGCCGAGGACTGGTTAGGTGTAATACCAGCATCACAAGAATCATACGAATATGGCCACACCCCTTCAGTACTGGCCAAATAACCCGGTCTTCCTAAATTACCCATGGTCCACATACCAGGCCATAACCCAGAAACATCCCCGTAATTAGGCAATCTGGCACTGAATTCAATCTTACCTTGGGTAAAACAAAATTGGTTCCAACTTTGAAGCATTCCCGATCTATAAAATAAGTTGTGGTTTTGGAATGCATCCATTCTAAGGGTAACTGTACCGTTGGCAGTAGTGACAGCATCAGGATCATACCATTCTAAATCTTTAGTAGCATCATAGTGCAAGTCAGGAGCGGTGAAGAATTGGTCATCCCCTGGGTAGAAAGTTCTTCCTTCGGCATTAAACTCATCACTGAATACAATGGGCCACATCGATCCATCTCTAGCCTTCCAGAAAAGCGCATCTTCTGGAGTTTCCGGATCAACCAATTCTTGACGGATGGCACTGAGCATAGGGTAACTATACTGGGTAAGCACTTCGTATTCTTGTGGTTTCATGTAGTGAGTGATACTAGAATAGGTCATGGCTGGCAACAACACAAACACGAGCAATAACCCTAATAACAATACTATAAAACCAATGAGCCCACCAACGGATCTACGATCCATATTCTTTAAATCATGTTTAAATCTGTTTTTATCATACTCGGCATCAGCCACTGGGTCTGGGTTGTGCAAGTAGTCATCTGGCTCTTTTTCATCAATGTGAAGTGGGAATGAACTGGCAGGATAGCCACCAAATGGCGATGATGAGAATTCAGAAGGGTAAGCTCCAGCAGCGCCTGGATTTGCCAAGGAGTTAGTTGAACTTGTTGCGCTTCCATTAGACAAGGAAGATATTGGACGATTGTTGTTGTTATTGAATAAATGGGAAGCTAATGATGTTGATGAAACCACTCTTGATCCGGCCATGGATGGATATCTGTCAAATTCGGCAGGTGTATTGACAGGCGAAGGTCCGACAGAAGGTTGGGCTGCGGCCGAGAGCAATCCTGTGTGGTCCTCGGCACTGGAGTTATTATTAAGAAGAAGCATATTGGAACTGCCACTGTTGGAATAGTAGCCACTGTATTGGTCATATGGCGTGATGTGATGTGGTTGGGGCGCTATAGGGTCGATGTTGGAAGACGCGGATGAGTTTGATGACGATGGTGACGGATGGTTATTATTGTGTGGGTTGTGTTGGTGGGCTGATGACACTATGGACGCACTTTCAAATGGATTACGTGCTGGTGTGTCGACTGAAGATTCATCTCCGTCAGAGTTTGAGTTTGTAGAAAGGTTGAACTGAGGAGTGTTGGACGTCAAGTCTCTATGGGTAGCCATTTTGGACAACAATGACGGCTATTCAGGATAAATATGTAAAGCGAATGTAAATGATTGAAGATAACTTCCAATTGAACAGTTGTGTAAATATAGCAAAAAGATAGCTAGGAAAAAAAACAGTACAAGTAAAGAACAGAAGAAGCAGTACAAGAAGCAACGTCAATCATAAAATTGAAAACATAAATTGGATCAAACAATAAAAACGTGAAATTTTTATTTTCCAAAATCAAAGATCAATGAATGAAATTTTTTTTTTCTTTCTTTTTTATTTTTTTTTTTTTGCTAACAGCCATTTTTTTTTGTTTGTTTTTTTTGGTATGTGTCAACTCGAAGGGCAAGTCTTCACACGTCTATAGAAGATTATTTAGTCCTGTGAAGCAGAGTCTAAAAATAAATAAATCAGAACCAAATCGCGTGTAACCTTAAGTGAGACAAACGTCACATTTGTAAACTTTCTTGGGTATTAATAGTATGTGTGTATATTTGTTACCATTGCAGTGGCTAGTGCATAACACATCAAAACACATAACAGCAAGTGTCAAATTATATTGAAAGGGTCTCACTCGAAACCCTGCAAAAAGTCAATTCATCACGTTTCTTTTTTTGGCTGCATTTTCGCTAGAAACATACACAGAACGAAAAAAAATGTGTGTAGTGCGCGTCACGATCCGCCTTTGATTTTGTGGTAAGGTTTCATCCCTTGCAAATTGATGCAACATTCTACGTGCTTTAGGTATTGATCGAATTGATAATTAGCTAGCAAGCACAATCCTTCGTTGTTAGGCTTGTCATATGTATATTATGGTCTATTCGAGTCACGAATATAGTAGATCTCATGCTGATTCTGGACTTTTGGTGTCCATTGATCTGAAATTTCGTTGCATTGTAAATTATGCTACAACCATTGTTTTTTTTCTGTTTACATCAAGGCGGAGTTTTGGTGAGGTGCAAGAAATTTGTTTTTTCCTTTCTAAATTTAGATTGTAAATGTGCTGTTCTGGAAAGGCCGCATTCCTGCATAGAAATACGATGCCATATTACATCATTAGGTTGCAGTTGTTTCAGTTTTGAATTAGCCAGATGAAGCTTGGTTGCTACAGTTTTAGTCACTTAAAACTCCGAATTATACAACTATTCTACACATTATGAATATTTTTCAAGGCAATCGGTACAATGTACTTTAGTGTAGATCTCTTTTGGTTTTACTTACTTATTAAGGAAAATCATACAGTTATGCTCCTCGAGGCTCATAAAAAGTTCCCCAAGTAGAAACATTTCTATACCAAAATAATATTACCGGCTTCGCTTTGCAGCTTGAATATTTATCCGACCGAGTGACCACAAAAAAAAGTAAAGCAGAGAAAATTGCAGCCTGGTAATAATATTTTGGACTTTAAAATTTCCTGCGTCACTTTAGAAATACATGTATGCTTGTTATGAACAGATATTTGCTGGTCTGTTTAAAGACCTGGTCTGAGCTCTGGGTAAAACTGAAATGTAATTCATATTCTTAAGCAAACAGTTGACTTTATCCGATCAAAGCAGTCTAACATATGTTCTTTAAACTAAATGTTACCCCCATCAAATAAAGATCCGTAGGTGAAGAAGATAGCAGAAGTGCCCATGAAACAAATGAAATATATACTATAAAACATTGACCGTATAATACAAATCACCCAGCGTATTAATACCATCCAAGCGATAAATACAGAAACGATTTCAGCTACTACAGAGGCGAAGTTCTCAGTTACATTGTTACTTGATGATATTCTTGTTAAACACGTTAGGTCATCTCACTCAGATCCACATATGCGAAAATTTTACTGTTAGCTCCTTAATATACTATTTGAACAAACCAAAGTTGTATAATTCCATCTATGTGGATAGCTTAGGTCGTTACTACCATGTTTCTGCTGATATCTATACTCCCTTCTACTTCAAATATACAGTGATTAATAGTAATGACCCATTGACATGGTTTCCCAACGACGGGCACATTCATCTTGTTAAGAGGATTGTATTTAAATTTTATTACTCTATATTTGGCTCAACCTATTATTAATATCCATCGATTGAAAGTAATTTAAAATGTGAAACTTTGCGATACCGTTCGCTTTATCTGTAAGCAGACCCAAAATTTCCAGAAGGCCATACTATCTAGTTTTAATACCACACCTTGGGTTAAAATACCTAGCAGCTTAGAGAAAATTCTCTTCTTTTCGGGATTGACAGAATTATCCATGTATGACTGTAGTTATGGTAGTTTTATCAAACTACAATCAATTGTCTTCAGAGATGTTACGATAAAAACCTTGCCTTGGTAGTGGTGTAAGAAGCACAATGAGAATTGCTGGATGGTTTATTAGTTGTTTTATGCCCATTTAATTTTCAATATCATTTGCTGAAATCTGTTATACTATTATGTTTTCTTATATATCGTTATAATATTCCTGTATATATATGACTGAACTATATATGTGGCTGATAATAATTAGCAAATAAGTTACGTATAGAATGTTGTAAAGTTATTTGCAGTATATTTCCAAAAAATAAGTTAAAAGTTTTTCAAAATTATTTCTTTCCACCAGCAAGTAAATTGCTTTCAAATTGACTCAGCAAAAATTGACATCCAAAACATATTGTATGCATAGAAATTACTTAAGCAACAAGTTTTCTAAATTTAGTTTCACAATATCCCAAAATAAAGATTTTGTGCGACAATGTTTTACAATCAAGGTGGACGTAACATGTAAGAATACGACTAAAGACATCTGAGAATAAACTCTGTTAAATTGTGAATGTGTCATCATTATTCTCATTATTGCAATCTGTTCAAAAAAAAAAAGACAATAATGCAGTTTGAAGTTGAAAGGTTCATAGCCTCCTCGGTATGCCATTATATAGGAACTAATTGGTACATAACGAATTGCTACATATTTACTTCAGAATGAAGAATCAACAATAGTTTACAAGAAATTGAATGAATGGAAAGTCTTGGCTTATTCCCTTCAACCCTAAGCTTAATTTATATATCTTTATAAAATAAACGCGTTTTCTAGGTGGTAGTATTGTTGTCGTGGAAATTATGTTGCTTTCTTATTTTTTTTTTTTCATGATTTGTGTTGCATTTGCTCGCTTGACTATGAAGTTACAGCCACTCATGTTTAGCGAGAATATGCACAAAAAGACAATGATGGATAAAAGTCAAGTCTAGATGTAGCTGTTTATTAATAGGTCAATATCAAGTACCAGGTATCTGCGATCTGTGATTAGGTGTAGATCTCACGAGTATATACCCCACGTCAATTTTAAAATCGCGCAACTTTATCCTAAAACTCGTTTAGCCCACGCGCATATACCTACATGAGTTAGTTGTTCGAGTAGACCTAGATTATCTTTGAGGTTTTGTAAGAGACATGAATGAATCATACAAGTTCCAACCTTCCACCAGGACATCTAGTTCAGATTCCATTATCTGTCATTCTTTTTTTTTAAATAAATTGTTATTATCCACAGGACCTTGCCTTTTTTTAGATCAGCTATTTTCTTCTCTAGTTCATTGTCATCACGCTAAGCCCCAAAGACGATTTGGAAAAAATAATATATTTTTGATTCTATTTTTGCATTTACGGTTACGATAAAAAGTAAAGCAAAGAACGCCAAACTAAAATAACTAGAAAATAGCTAGTAAACGATGGCAAGGGACCTCACGTACAATACTCCACAGATAAGTGTTACCAACGATAATGGCGAGGAGCGCGAGTTCCAGTTCCAACCAGTAGAGAGTCCATTTGAGCCAAATGACATACCCTGGGAGGCACCCGAATATGCCACCGAAACTAATCCGTTCCTTCAACATCCAGTAAATCCACATTCGGTGTTAGACCAGTCCCCCAACATATACTTTCAAGCCAATCCAAGCCAACAAAGCTGTATACCACACCCCGGGTCTCCCAACTCGGGTGCATCTAGTTACAATAGTCAACAACCTCTTTCAAACTCAGCCTACTCGAATTATGACGATGGGTCCATGCTGTATTTTCTGAAGAATAGTGATTTGATGTCACTGTATGAGCCAGATTACTCACCGTTTGGTGGGTATCCAGCTACTGCGTTCCCTTTGTTCTTGCATGAGAAAGAACCAGATGACTTTTTACACAACCCCGATAAAAGTGATGCTGATTACGATAAGCACAGATTCTGGCACGATTTGCGTCACATGGACCGACGTCTGTTTGGGGGGCTTATCGGCTTGTTTTTCTTTCTTGGGTGTGCCGTGGTTGCGTTTGCCGTATTCCCTATATTGACATTCATGCAGAGTTCCGTGCTTCATAAAGAGGTGGTTGAAGTTTTGACTCCATACAGTTATCCAATGCTAAGTGCAATAAGACAGGAGTTGGTTGATCCAGATACACCCAAAGAGTTTAGAACGAATGTAGCTCGAGATGGAAGTAAATGGAAGCTTGTGTTCAGTGACGAGTTTAACAAGGAAGGAAGAACATTTTACGAAGGAGACGACCAGTTCTTTACAGCTCCTGATATTCATTATGCTGCAACGAATGATTTGGAATGGTATGATCCTGACGCAGTTACCACAGCCAACGGTACATTGCAACTTCGAATGGATGCCTTTAATAATCACGATTTGTTTTATAGATCAGGTATGGTGCAAAGTTGGAACAAAATGTGCTTTACCCAGGGGAAATTGGAATTCTCTGCCAAATTGCCTGGTTCAGGAAGCGTCTCAGGTTTATGGCCCGGGATGTGGAGTTTAGGAAATTTAGGAAGACCGGGATTCTTAGCTACTACAGAGGGGGTATGGCCATATACATACAGTTCGTGTGATGCAGGGATAACACCTAACCAATCATCACTGGATGGGATTAGTTATCTTCCTGGACAACGGTTGAATTCATGTACGTGTCCCGGTGAATCCCATCCCAATCCAGGTGTAGGGAGGGGCTCACCAGAAGTTGATGCACTCGAAGGAGAAATCCATGGCAATGTGGGTCGAGTAAGTCAGTCATTACAAGTTGCCCCCTATGATATATGGTACATGCCTGATTATGACTTTATTGAAATACATAATTCCTCAGTTACGTTGATGAATACGTATGCTGGTGGCCCTTTCCAAGAGGCGATTTCCGGGGTGACTATGCTTAATACTACATGGTATGAATATGGTCAAGGAGAAGGGAATTATCAAAAATATGGATATGAATTAATGAACCATGATACCAATGGGTATATTACCTGGTATGTAGGTGATGACCCTACATACACACTTTATGCCAAGGCATTACATCCTAATGGAAATATCGGATGGCGACACATACCAAAGGAACCTCTAAGTATTGTCATGAACTTGGGTATTTCCAATAATTGGGCTTACATTAATTGGCCCGCTTTAACTTTCCCGCTGACAATGCGGATAGACTACGTGCGGGTATACCAGCCAGAAGATCAGGTCAATATTGGGTGTGATCCACCGGGGTATCCTACATTTGATTACATTGAACAACATTTGAATATATATTCCGATGCCAATATCACAAAGTTTGAGAAAGGAGGCTACAAAATCCCTAAGAATAAGTTGACAGGATGTTGATCACCCTAAGTTTAGTTCTTGAGCTATACAGACATAGTGCGTATTGCTACTATAAATACTTCAAAATAGATGTACAATAATACATTAAAATTCATTATATATGATCGAATGAGTTTTGTTTGGAAATACATTATCCAAATTATCACACTCCTTTAGTTTGAAGTTTCCTCTTGACAAGTTGACAAAATTGATAATACCTTGATTGACAATGGCAATCACCACAGTAACCAGACCATTTTTTAAATGCTGATCACGGGAATTGAGATATGCATTACGTTTTTGTATGGATTGGTCGAGTTTTGATTGACGCTCTGCCTGTCGTTTTGCACGAAGCTCCTTTTTCGACGGTGGCATAGAAGACTTTTTCTTGGGGGGCAGTTTCACTTGCTCCTTTGGTTTTATGTTGGTGCTACTTATTTCATCATGCAATGCTTGCACGTCGGCAAAGCTGGGGAATTTAGTGTCGGTACTGGTGTCAAGTACAACCACATGAAAGTCTGGTGAGGGTGGAGATTTCTTGGAGAAGGACGGCGTTGGTTTCCAGACACGGAAAGTAATTTTGAGATTTCCTGTTGTTTTAGGGATCAGTTCAGTATTTAACGAAAGAGACTTGAATATGTCTGTGTAGTTAAAGTAGTGTTTTGTTTTGAAATGCATGGGGTGAAATGATGGGTATGATAGTATTCCCCAGTTTCTAGCCAACCCAACCAAGTAATTTGGTTTCATCTTCGTTTGTTTTATTGGTTTGAACAATGGAATATGGTCCATTTTTGAGGTATATGGTTGAATAATATACCCTAACCGTTTTAAATATGAATATATTTGATATTGTGCTAAATCAACTTTGGCCAAAGCATACAAATACAGTAGATTAAGGGCAAGCCCCGTACTCTCTATATCCTCTTCCAGATTATTTCCATCTCCCAAGTAAACAGCCATACTTCCACGCTCTACTAAATACAAGCACTCGATTGCATTCAACACAACTCCACCTTTCTTACCACTGGGGACACCCATATCTTTGAAATAACCACCTCGTGGATGAGGTATATAACAACAATTATCTTCAGTCCTCCATATCCCGATAAGTTTCTGCTTGATATGATGCATTCGCAAAGAGTCTAATGCCGAGTACATTGCCTCTAGGGATGTTTGTAGTGCTGATTGCTGGATAGTGGTTCCATCAGGCTGGAATTCCTTTTCTCCTCTTTTGGGAACCAGAAGTTGAGAGTAGTCAGGAAGCTCATCTTCCGGCTCGATTAGATCAATCTGTGACATTTACGTATGAACTTGATTGATAAGATGTTGAAGTGCAATGCTTAGGGGGGTCGGTACTGTACAGTCCAGTCCATTGTGTTTGCATTAATTCTTTTACAGATCAAATTTTGCGATGGAAGAGCGAGCGGCTCGCCAACACTTTTTGTGCCGACGATTAGTAACGTACGTCAACTACAGTGAACAACAACAATACTTGCATCATGACCGAAGGAGTAACAGTACAAGAACTAGTAAGTAGTTCACGCTACAATATACCATTACATAATTTCACTACTAACATCCCAAGGCTGAATCTATTTTCGATGATCTCGTATTGGCAATCATCAACCAACAAACATTGACAAGTTATGCCAACCACACTTCCATCAAGAGTCAAACGGCCAGGAATGAAGAACAAGTTCAACAAATTACCAACCTCGAAGAAGGACTGAAACTAGATGTGTATGGACAGGATAAGATCAAATTGAAGAGTGCTGAGACTAGTCGATATTTTAGTTGTGAGAATTGTGGACGAAAGATTGCCGGTGGAAGATTTGCCTCGCATGTCAACAAGTGTTTAGAGAGAAGAAGGAAGTAGCAAACTTGTTATAGATCATTCATTGTGTATTTGACTACTGCATTTATATATGCAACAGACAGACCCAAGAACTGCCGAAATGTAGGGTACTAAGGAAACCTTGTTCCTGTGCTACAACGGAAAGGGTGTTTACAACGCCGATAACCCCACAGAAAGATGAAAAAAGGGGGCATCTCCGACTAAATGAACGGATGCTTGGAAGCGTGTCTAACTGACCGATTTGTGGGGGAGGGAAACACAATGGCAAGGGGGTTCTGCGGCAGAGGGGAAAACGTTGCAAGAAAAAAGGGGATGGAAATCATTAGAGTTATCTCCTCACTGCAGCCAAGACCATCTAACCTTAGATGCTATTGTATCTCTTGTATATAAACTACATAACAATAATCAAACTAGCTCCTTGTTAATATTATATACGGTTATATCGGGTATAACTACCAAAAGCAGTTTAGTAGCAAAATCAAAAAAAAGAAAGGAAAGATTCAACCTTTTTAGATTTTGCGGGGAAGCATTTGTTTGTTATGTTATACTTAGCCACTAATAACCTTGAATAACCGATTACTCGAGAAAGGCCAACTCCACCTTTGATATAACCGCTCTCCGCTTACTTTTACTAGTTCCCCACAGTGTTTGTATATAAATTTGTTGTCGTTGCCACTGCTAATTTTGTTCTGACCAATTTGCAACCAGTTAGAAAATGAGCTATCCCCTCTTTACAGATATTACCAAGGAAGAGGCAATCTCACGTCTTCCCTTCAATTCTGATATTCATGATTGTGTCCCCATTGGTCCTTCTGACAACCCGGACTATTCCCTGATATACAGGAACAAAGTGTTGCCTAGTCGTTTAATCAATACTATTCATGCCGATTTAGATACTCACCACAAATTGTTTAATAATGCAGTTGAATTGTTTAGTGATAGACCATGTCTTGGTGCCAGGGTGTATGATTATAAGAAGAAGAAATCAGGAGGTAAATTTGAATATTTGACATATGGTCAAGTTCGTGAAAAGCAATTAAATCTTGGGGCTGGGTTCATTCACACCCTTTTAAACAACCCATTCAAGAACAGTGAATTAGAATCTCACCGTAAGATTGACCGTCATTTATCCGATTGGAACACTTATGGAATAGATACTACTCCTTTGGAAAACACCAATGGTCAAATTGAACACAGTTGCTCGTTTATCTTGAGTATTTTCAGTATGAACCGTGTAGAATGGATGTTGACTGACTTGGCATGCTCGGCCTATTCAATCACTAACACGGCATTGTATGATACTTTGGGTGCCGATGTTACCCAATATCTTTTAGAATTGACCAATTCGCCAATTGTTGTATGTTCAATGGATAAGATTGACCTTCTTTTAGATTTGAAGGCAAAGCATCAGCTTGAAAGTCTTATTTCGGTTGTTTCCATGGATCCATACGAGTTGATTCCCCAGAAGACAATTGAACGAGCATACTCTTTGAAAGTAGTGATTAAAGACTTGTCCCAGATTGAAGAGATTGGGGCAAAAAACCCTATCGCTGAATTACCACCCTCGCCACAAACACTTTATACCATATCCTTTACTTCAGGTACAACTGGATCTCGTCCAAAAGGTGCCATGATATCCCACCAGAACGCAGCCGCATATGCCTCGTTCCTTATGTGCTTTGAACCGCAAGCTTCACCTGGTCAAGATACAGCATTTGTTTTTTTGCCATTGACGCATATTTACGAGAGGGAAACATCCACTTTTGCCTTGTGTACTGGTTATTACTTGGGGTTTCCGCAACTTACAGTGGGCAAAACTGGGGTGAACACGTTTGAAAATTTAATTGATGATTTACGGATCTTCAAACCTACTTATTTCTCAATTGTACCCAGAATATTAACACGATTGGAAGCATTAGTCAAGAGTAAAATCAATGAGCTTTCACAAGGCGAGCAAACCCAAGTCAACAATATCATCAACTACAAAATCACTACGCAGGCTCAAGCAGATGGTGCCACGGCATATCACTCTAAAATGGACAACTATGCTCCCTACAAGGCCCTTAGGTCCTTTGTCGGATTTGACAATTTGAAATGGGTGCAAACTGCCAGTGCGCCAATTGCTCCTTCAACGTTGATCTACTTAAAAGCAAGCTTAAACATGGGCATTAGACAATTGTACGGGCTTACTGAGGTGGGTGCAGCCATCACGTGTTCAAGTGCATACGAAGCCCATCCGGGGACGTGTGGAAGTATTTCCCTTTCTGGAGAGTACACTCTTCGTAATGTCTCAGAGATGGGGTACGACATTTCCCGAGGTGAGGGAGAGGTGTTGATTCGTGGTCCCCAGGTGTTTAAAGGGTATTACTATAATTTAGAGGAGACGAAAAAAACAATCACGAAGGATGGCTGGTTTCATTCGGGTGATATTGCCAAGGTTGACGGCTCTGGGCGGTTGATTATTGTTGATCGGGTCAAGAACTTTTTCAAGATGGCTCAAGGGGAATATATCTCTCCAGAAAAGATTGAAAACCGATATTTGTCTTCGAATCCAACTATTGCTCAGCTTTATGTCCATGGAAATTCGTTGAAGCCATATTTGGTGGGAATTGTTGGTATTGAATACGACAAGGGTCTTAAGTTCTTAAACTCGGAGTTTGGATATGGGAAAATTGGAATGTCACCAGAGGAAATGCTTGTTGAACTCAACAAGATTGACGTTCGGAAGAAGTTCCTAGAGCATTTAAACAGGAATGTCAGAGATAAGTTGAGTGGGTATGAACTCTTGCATAATATTCATATTGAGATTAATCCATTGACTGTGGAACGCGATGTTGTGACTCCTACGTTCAAGATTAGAAGACCGGTGGCCAGTAAGTTTTTTGCTCGTGTATTTCATCGATTGTATGAAATTGAGCAATCGTTGGTTCATGGGTCTAAGTTATAGCGTTATTTTATGTAGTTTTGAATTATTTTGTTGCAACTTCCTTATCTGTAGTTAAGTATAAATTTATATGCAGTTAGAGCAACTTCATTCCAATATGGACTGTGAATTGCGTTTTGCTAGAGAATGAATCGCAACCCCCCCTCCCCTGAAGAGACACTTACGATCTTATATTTCTAATATGCTTATCAGTTTATATTGTTGCAGCGACAACGCAGTCTATTTATAGTCCTCTGTTAAACGGCATGGAGTTCCAGATCGCGCTATCTCATTCCAAAAAGGGAACCTGTCACGCATTGACTCATAACTGGCACGAGTCCTGCAGACAGACAGATAAAAAAAATTAGCCTTGCGCAGAAAATTCCAGCGGAGAACAGGCGGACAAAAAAAGATGGAGAAAAGAAACGACATAAAAACGTTACAACAAACTTTTTGTTCTTTCTTTGCTAGATTGTAGTAACTACTCCACAAGATGACACCACCTCCTCCTATTGTCATAGATGCTCAGGCCATTTCGGGAATAACGGGGTCTATTTCTATCGCCTGTTGGATTATTGTGTTTGCCCCACAAATTTATGAAAACTTTAGAAGAAAGTCGAGTGAAGGGTTGTCGCTCCTGTTTATAATACTTTGGCTTGCTGGGGATGTATTTAACGTGCTCGGGTCAGTGTTGCAAGGTGTGCTCCCGACCATGATTATTCTTGCTGTGTATTATACATTAGCTGATATTGTTTTACTTTGGCAATGCATGGTGTATGGCCACGGTGAAAAGACCGACTTGATACATTTATCGCCAGCTAATCCCATGAGTGAAGATGTCGATGTTCTTGAAACGGTATTGTCCCGAGAGCATCATCACCACCATAACACGGAACAAGAGGAAGTAGACTATATAAGCAGAGATTTGGAGGCATCCAGTTCAACAAGCTCCACCAGCTCATCCAGTTCTAAACTCAGTCAGTTACAAACTGTGTTTCTCAACACATTAATGGTAGCTTTAGTCATCCTTGCTGGTGTCATTGGATGGTACATTTCCTACGTTAAAGACTCACAACATAAGAAACACCACCCAGGACATGTAAGAAGACCAGAAGACCTTGTGTATGATCCATTGGCGCAAGTGTTTGGATGGCTCTGTGCTGTGTTATACTTGGGATCTCGAGTCCCACAAATTGTTTTGAATTACGAGAGAAAAAGTTGTGATGGAATCAGTTTCATGTTCTTTTTGTTTGCATGTTTGGGTAACTTGACCTATGTCATTAGTATCTTGAGTATCGACACCAGCTTGCATTACCTCTGGGTTAATTCTAGTTGGTTAGCGGGAAGTTTAGGAACGTTGGGATTGGATTTCACGATTTTCATCCAGTTTTTCTTGTATAATGAGAGTATTGATAGTGAGAGTGAGAGTGAAACAAGTACTGAGCTGGGCAGATTGTTGGTGCAAGAAACGAGTTCATATGGAACTACCTAGGGCATGGTCTGTACAGACTCAAATTTTAAAATATTAATATATTCATATTGCATAAATAGACCAAATAAAACTAAAATTAATCGTTAGTACCTACAAGTAGCTAACTAATCTTATGTAGCAGTTGTTTGCAGCTATAGCCCAAATTGAATGCGATGGCTCTTTCTGTCTGGTCATTTACCCGAGGTCCATTCTTGAAATTTTCTGTCGTAAAAAATGTTGAAAAATTAATGACACAAAAAAAAAAGTCCCTGAACGTATTTTGGTCTTAACTCCGCGTTAGGCGGCATGTGTGGCAAGTATTGCGTTCCGTGCATTAAAAAAAAATTAGGTGTGATCTTAGTAAGCCCATTCGATTCAGTTTGATTATTCACCAACCATATCTGACTTGAAGGACTTACTACCGTGCTGCTATATGATACATTGATAGCATAGAATACAGCACTATCAAGTAAAAATTACAGTTCAGGTGATATAGTTTTACAAACATGGAGGAAGAGCGTGTTATCAAGAAGAGAAACCGTCCTAGTCTTGTATGCAGCGTGTGCAAAACCAAGAAGATCAAGTGTGACAGAGGCAAACCCTGCACTCAGTGTATTAAAAACGGTACTGAAGCCGAATGCACTTATGACGAGCGACTTTCCACTTCACGACCTCGAAAGAGAAAACGACCCGATGCAAGCCATGTCCTGTCCAATGAATCCGTAAGTTCTGAACCAAACACTTCTAAAGATGTCTGTGTTCTTATACCTAAGCATGAATTGGAGCAGCTTCAATTATCGATCAAGAGATACGAGACATCATTTGGCGTAGGCGAGAGTTCTCAGAGTATCAGCACTATTCACACCAACAACACCAACGGGGCTTCAAATCCAAGTTCACACCCACTGTCTGTTCCCCTGTCGGCCGCACTGGATGACAACGACGATGAGGTAGTATATAACCGAACCATGTCGTCTTACCCAAGAGCCATTTTCTCTCACCATGATGAACACTTACCGGGATACATCCCCTTGGAGAATGTAATGTATGACAAGTTTGAAGCATTTGAACCGGAATTATCAGTCACCAACCGAATGAAACTCGCTGAGTTGCCCAAGGACGAGCACTACATGGTTGGGATTAACCCCTATTCTAGCCCGGATGACGCTATTGATTTAGACAAGAGTCAGGCGCGTGGACGATATTTCTCCTCGCTTTCGTGGTTGTACATTACCAAAAATAGCCAGACGTTGTCGTTGCTTAGGAGTTATGCAGCTAACCAGAAGAAACAAATCAAGGGAACTACTGCCGTACCTGAGCCTTGTCCCGTTAGGAAGTATATGGTACCTGCGGATGACAAGATCAAATCGACCTTAAACTTGGATAATTCCCAACAGCAGCGATTCCAACAAAAGGTTAAAGAGACGGATGATGATGATGAGATACTTCCATATGATGTGAAACAGCTGATGCATATGTGTAACGCTGATTTAAGCAATGTTAATGTCCCATCTTTCACATTAGGGTTGACGATTTTGGGAAGTCCCCGAGATCGTGAAATGAACTTGCTACAACAAATTGAGGCAGCAATGCCTACTAAAAGAGTAATTTACTTGTTAACCACCAGATTCTTTAAGTACTTATACCCCTTCATGCCATACATCGATGAATTTGATTTCCGACAACAAACGCTGAAGATATTGGGAGCAGAAAGCCAAACTGACGTGAAACCTACTGTCAACATTGAAAAGAAGTTGGATATAGCCCATATTGGGTTGTTATTTATTGTCCTTCGATTGTCCTACTTGTCGTTATTCTACAATCGAAGTTTCCACAATGAGCAAATACTAAAGAAGGAAGAATTGACCCCTGATGAAATGGAGAAAAAGACATTATTACTCAATCCAATTAATATCCACAGTGTGGAAATTGCTCGTGAGTGTTTGCAGCATTTTCAAAGGTTGGGAAATGTGACATTCCCTGTGTTGCAAGGATCATTATATCTTCGGTTGTACCATAGTTTTGCTCCGGAGGAAGGTGATGGATTAGATGGATCTGAAAGTCAGATATCTGGTAGTATACTACTATCCATGTGTTACTCACTTGGGTTAAACCGGGAACCGGACAAATATCAGAGTCACTTGAATGAACGAACCAAGAACTTGTATAGGAAGATCTGGTTCTATGTGGTTGCTGCAGAGTATCTGAATGCATACTTGTATGGAGGTCCATTGTTTGCTCGTGAAGAATGTTTTGATACCAAGAGACCATTCTTTACACCTGGAAACTCCAATATCCGTGATATAGAATTGGAGAAATCTTGCCATTCCGTGTTTGCGTTTGGTACCGCAATGATCAAGGGTCCTATCAATGACATCATCAAGCTGTATTTGAATATCGGAAAGCCGATTAAGGTTATGGAATTGACTAATCATTTGAACCATTCTGAACAGGGAGTTGTCAAGATCATGGGCAGGGTCGGGGATTACGTGAATGTTCTCGAATCCAAGGATCAAACGTACCATACCAACAAGATTATGAAGCTCAATATCCGTCTCCGTCTCAACTTGTTCTTTGTGGTTAATTATTGTATCTTGTTTAATTATTATGAGTCAAAGAACGCTCGATTGGGATATTTCTACTTGAAAAAACTTATGGCCGTGCTTTTTGAAGAAACCCTTCCTTATTTATTACCATTGATTGTCAAGACGAATGAACTATTCGGAGAAGGAGCGGATATATACATCAATCCAACTATCATTCAAGCAATCAACCGTATTTTTGACATTGCCTTGGTTTCGTTGGTACGGACTAATTTTCTGTTGTATACGATGCTGGGTAATCCTGACCATCGTTCTCGTCTCAAACACGACCTTGGATATCGCGATATGTTTATGGCTTCGCATAGGTTTATTGTTTCCATGGAGAAATCATGTCGTATATGTCTTGCTGCACTCTCAATCTTGAGCAGTCGGTACTACTTTGCGTGGGGTTTAGTTAAGAGCAAAAACTACTTTTTGAAATTAGCTACAAGTCCTGAGTTTTACAAGGATAATGCAGATTGTGGATTGGATTTCTATGAGCCCAATGCTGAGGAAATCCACGAATTAGCATATATTGTTGATTCACTGATGGAAAACATTGAGGATTTGGTTAACAATTATTGCTCCGACCTTGATTTGCCTTCATTGTTTAAGAGGCTGGAAAACAGCGCACCTCCACAGCCAGAGCCGCCTCGACCTGAACCAATGCATCGCCCAGAAAGTAACGTTAGCCAATTGTCTGATTTCAGTACCTCGGGGTTTAACACGCCAGATTCGTCACATGGGCTTTTCTTTTCCGGGTTTGAAGATTTAAAGTTTGACAATAGTAATGAGATCGATAGTGTTTGGTTGCAAATGCTTTCCCTGAAGAATGACCAGTCTGATATCCCGAATGCCATGTTCAGCAATCCTTTCCCTAACAAGTATTCCGAGAATGTTGCTGACTATGTAGAGCCAGTAGTGCCAGCACAATCTCAGACTCTGGCCGAGCCACAAGCTAATCTATTGTCGTATAATGAATTGAACCCCCACCGAATCTTTGAGAATTTCGTGAGCCGTGAGGATGGGAATGACATGTACATGGATTTCTTTAATGATTTGCCCTTGGATCAAGTGTTCCAATAGTGTTTGTATTTTTTATGTATTATGTAACAATGCAGGTGTTTTATAGAGTAAGTTTATTATTTTGCAGCCTCTGCAGTCACAAGTCCGATATGAAATTGTCTGCTGCGGAAGTATCATCCGCCCATGTTCGGTAATGCAGACCAGAAAAATTAATCCCGAGTTAGCGCCCGGGTTTAAGCCAATTGATTTCCCAATGGAGCAACTTTTTTTTGCCCATGTTCAACAACTCCGAAATGTCTTAGTAATTTCCATCGCCCATTCTTTACACTAAGCAATACAATAACACAACCCCACAAATAGATACATGTCTGCCCCTCAACTATACACCTTTGACACTGGTAACAGCATCACCAAGCAGGCGGACAGCCAGCCCGCCTCTGCTGCTGCTACTACTTCTACTACTGTTGCGGTTAGGAAAAGGAAACGGCCAAGTTTGGTATGTTCCATCTGCAAGAAAAAGAAAATCAAATGTGACAAACAACTACCTTGCAACAACTGCATTAAGTCCAAGTGTTCCGATGCTTGTACGTATGACAGGAGTAAAAGTCCAAACAAATTAGAGGACAATAGGCACAGTGATGTTCCTTCGTTGCCTTATGTTTCTAGTGCAAAAAATCCGATTATCTTGGCTGATCATAGGGCCAAGAAACCAAAAGTGGTTTCTCCTGAGAAGAGTTCCGATGAACAAGTCACTGTATCTTTGAGTGAGTTGAATATGCTAAAGGAAAGATTGCAGCAGATTGAGAGCTCGATTAACGTAGCTCCTCCTACTTACAAGAAAGCACCAACTCCCGGTGTGCTTCCGCCACCGATTATGTCGTCCGCTTGGAATAGCGCTAGTCCCCAACCACAGGACGGTAGTCAAGGACAAGTGTTCGCTACAAGTTATAATATCTCACATACAAGAAGCCAGTCTCCACCAAGTAATGGCATACAGTTACCTCCATTAAACTTCAATCCTCCTCCAGTGGAATACCAACCACAAAGACAAGGTTCTCAGCAACTTCCGCAGCTCCTGTTTAGTACCTACCTGAATGACACGCCTCGTGCTACTGGAGCAACGCCCAGTGGGCCGTCTACCTATGCCACATATCCATCATCCACTGTGTCTACTATAGAACAACTGAAATATACCCCTTCCGAGAATGGAATCTCCACTAATGGAATCTCCACTAATGGAATCTCTCCCAACGGTATTTCTCCTAATTATGCCGGCAGTGCAAAGTCTGAAGACAGCTTGATCGGATACAATCCCTGCTTGAACCTGGAAGACACCATCAACTTTTATGAAAACTACACATCGATATACGTCAAAGGTCCACATAGACGGGTCAATTTTGGTCCATTTGCGTGGTCGTCTATGATGCGACGCGATCGTGCATTGAGCACATTATGGGACTACGTCGCCAAGCGGAAGGAAAAGGATTCATCACAAACGTTGGTATTTGCCGAAGTCACCAATGAAGTTAATCAGGAAAACAATGAGGTTGCCACTAATGAATCCAATGAGTCAGAAGCTACGTTCAGAAAGCGCGCCTTGGAAGCGGATGGGTACGGTGACTTGATCCCGTATACTAACATCTTGAAGAGACGTCGACCGGGTATTCAGGAAACTTCAGAGCTTAATAGGTGCACGTTGCCTTTAGGGTTGACCTTCTATGAGGGTCAAGTCGAAAAGGAGTTGCAATTGATTGATAAGATCCCTTTGATTTTGCCGAAAAAGAAGGTTGCTTGGAAGTTGATTGACCGCTTCTTCACTTACTTGTATCCTTTCATGCCGTTTGTCGATGAGATGGATTTCCGACAAAAGATCGCGGCTATTATTGGGCTGGAATCATTGGAAGATACTCCAATCAAAAACCTTAAGGTGGAGAAAAGATTGGATTTGGCGATAATTGGTACTTTCTTACTAATTATGCGGATGTCATACTTGTCGCTATTCTCAAATAAAACCGATGTCAATGAGGAAAGACTAACCACTACTGACCCATCGCCTGAAGCACAAGATGTCAAGTATCTCCTTCAAAACCCGATCAGCATCACCACAGCAATCGTAGCTAATTGTTGTTTATCACAATTTGAGATCTTGCAAAAGACCTCGTTTCCAGTGTTGCAACTTGCCCTTTATTTGAGAATTTACCACACTTATGCTCCTGAAGACGGTGGAGGTCCTGATGGAGGCGAATCGCAAACTCTAACAGCCGTGATCATCCAAATGGCCTACTCGCTTGGATTACACCGCGACCCCGACAATTTTAATGATGTGTTGAATGATAAGAGACAAAACCATTTAATGAGAAAGATTTGGCATCATTTGGTGTTGTCGGATATTCACAATTGTTATACTTTTGGCATACCGCCTGCCATTGACCCTGATTCCTACGATACCAAGATTCCATTCCATGAAGAGGGCAATGAGAATTTGAAAGATAAGACATTGGATAGGTTTACTACTGCATGCTACTTTCCTTCATACACCGACCTTGCCGGTATATTACGTCTGCTTCTTAAGTTAGTGTTGAATGTGCGGGGAAAGATAAAGTTGGAAGAATTGTGTAAGTTGATTAGTGAGTTTGAAGTGTTGATGACTCACAAGTACGGTACGTTGGAAGACTGCCTTAATCCACCAACTAAGGACACCCATATATTTGCCAGAAATTTCCCCACCAAGTTCTACATTTCCCTAAAGGCGTTCTGTGTTTCTATATTTTATCATATATTCATCCATTACGAGCCTATTGATTTGAACCTTTCGTTCTTTTACATGAAGAAGATCATCAAGATTGCATGCACGGATTTGATGCCGCATTACTTTGAGCTTTTAGGCAACAGTGATGTTATTTGCGACATGATGATCAATCCCAAGTTGCAACAGATTGTCCATCTGTTGAATCAGGTCAATCTCGCCATAATAGTGCGTGTCAATGTCACGGTCTACTACTTGAGACTGCACGCTGACCATGATGCCAGGTGTGCTGCTGATCCACTGTATTACACATACTATAAAGAGCTATGCAAGCTTTCATCCTGTCTTACCCGATGCGCTGAGTTTTCCATTGCTGCTGTGTCCAAGTTAAGCTCAAGATATTATCATGCATGGAGAATCACCAAGGGACACACGTATTTGTTAAGAACAGTGACCACCTTGGACTTCTATAAGGATAACCTTAAGAATAATCACAAGGATACACCTACAAATGGACTCCCTGGATACTCCACGGAGCAGATTGCGGAGCTTGTGACCATGTGTGAGACTGCTTTGGATAGAGTTGGTAAAAACTGTGTCATGGGTACTGAGTTCTGTACTGAGGTCAATTATAAGCAGTTCAACCGTGAACCAAGCTCGAATTCTACTGACACTACATCCTCCAAGAACACCGACACAACAGCAACCACGGCATCTACATTGGCCACTGATTCTCCTTCTGTCAATAACACGAAATCATATACTAATGAGTTTGGCTTGAATTTGGAGAACAGTTCGGAAATTGATAATGTATGGATCCAGATGCTTACTTTCAAACAAGAGTTTACGGGATTCACCCCAACTGACAGGAGAGATGGTGAATCAGCAGCTCCAACTCCAGGAAAGTTTGATTTTAATGACAAGATGTCGAAAAGCCCCAATAGTGCAGCACGTTTAAAGAATATTGGCAGTGGCGCTGGTATGGGACTTTCAGTGGATCAGGACTTGCTGCTTGATATGTTTGGTGATTTGGCGTTTGGCCTGATGTTTGATGGAGACTATGCTTTTTAATCAATTTTTTTGTATTTCTATGTATGTTTGTGTATTACTTGTTAACTGAGTTTATTTGTTTACCGATATTCTTGCCATAATAAACTTTGAAACCATTTAATTGAATGCTATTTGTATGGTGTATTGGGCACTACTTCTTGGCAAAAGATAGTATTACCTCACTACCGAATTTCTCCTGCAATTCTTCAGTCTTGATCAGCTTCAAGCACTTGGTTGAACTTTCAACATTATCAAACTCTATGAATGCCAACTTCCTCACCTTGACTAGTCTCACATTGGAGAACCCTTCAAATTGTTCAAAGTAACTTGTCAATTGCTCATCATCATCCAAGCGCTGAATAAGTAATAATTTATTAGGAGGCAAGCTCTTCCAGTCTTCGGATTTGACCTTCTTCTTCTTTTGCTTGCCACCAGCTGGGGTTGATTTCCTTTTGAGGTTCTGTCTCTCCTTTTCCAGTTTTCGTTGTTCAATCTTGTCTACCTCGTTGTGAAGCTCGTAATATGCGTCGGAATTACCCTTGGCATAAGTGATGTGCATGGGTTTATTGAAAAGAATGTGATTCTGCAAATCCATAGCTTTCGTTGACGACACCTTTGATTCGAACGTTATGAATGCTTGTCCTTTCATTTTGAGGTTCCTGTGTGCTGTTATTTGGAGGATCTTGCCGTAGCTTGTGAAGAGCAGCTCCAATTCAGATTTAAGTTTGGTGAGCGAGACCCTATCATTAAGATTGTTTATGTAGATTGTTTCTAGTGGTTGATTGGAGTCGCTTGCCATGATTACCGGATGGTGTAGACCATGGATCATCTGCATCTATCGATCTCCATAGTTAGTTTTGTCTGTCGCGGACCAGAGCTGGTGCAATTCCGGGTAACGGACACTTTCGCTGGCAGCTGGTAGCGCCCCGTTCTAGAACTTTTGTGCTTGCTCACTAATAAATATGTCAGACTTTGCGTCACGTCGCACCAAGTCTGGAACCAGACCGGGGTGAGTCACCAAACATGTACGTGGTGTTAGTCATGCTATGTCGAAACAACATGCAGCCTCGAGTAAGGGTATGGTCCATGCCGATCTAACACCTTTGTAAACTTATCAGGCAGCTTCGGAGTAGGAATCGATTCGAACAGTATTGAATCTCACGGCGCCAAACCTAAATACGCGTCAGTTGTCATGGTAATCCCGAAACAATCGATTCGAACGCCAAGCAGTTTTTCCGTATACAATAGCCGTGTATAGTGTTGGTATACAACAGAACATGCCAATTGATTAGTCTAAACATCTTAACTAGAAAGATAGTCACTAGTGACACCATAGCACAAGATCTCTCTTGGTTTAGTTGCAAATGGATTGATTATAAATGCATTGCTGTTAGTGGCTGCTAAACGGCAAAAGAAATAGTCGATCCACACTAAAAATCCCATGTCTGTGCGATTTCGGTTTTCGGCCCGACAAAAGATTCAGCCAATCACCGCATAGTCAAATGTAATCAATTGTTTGTCCACGTGACTATAGCCCCAATGCAGAAGAGGCAACAACAAAAAAATAAAACCTTCTACAAAGGACAAAAGCGACATTTCTTAAACTGGCGTTTCAAACCCCTCTTGTTAGAGCAACACTGGAGGCACTAGTCTCTCAATTGCAAAACTAAGGACAACGTCGACCGTTGAAAATCTACAAACACTCACGGGTCCTTGTAAGCGTGATTGGTTGAATAAATCGGAATAGGGAAAAAGAAACGTCTCCGAGATTAAACAGGTGCTTTTTAGTCTGCATGGTCATTACGCTGCTCACAAAATCACCAATAGAAGAAAAAAAAAAAAAAGAACAAAAATAAAAAATAAAAAAGAAAAGCTTATAAATTTATAATGATTGCCCAGACTTTCTCCATCGGTATAATTATTCAGTTTCGTCCTTTCATTTTTACTTGTCTTACAAACCACAACGTATTACCTTGTAACCTTATTACTGTTTACATCTAAGCTAATCTGACTAGTCACACTGTAACTTAACCACACACACACACACACACTCCACCCCCCATTTATATATATATATATATACGCACATACAAACATAATGTCGATAGTTGCTATAAAAAACGTGTTGGTAAAACTATTTCACAAACCATCATCGGAAGATGAAGAATTCGAACGTGCCAATGCATTGTTGAACAACAATCAACATCCATACGGTTCAACCACCGATGGGACACCAGATCGTGCCCAAGAAGTGGCCATACAAGAAGCATTAATCAACGCCGCTGCATCAATTGCTTCATCGGAAAATAAAGAAGAAGATCAAGACGGCATATCTGGATTCTTCAACAAATTTGACCCCCGTGTCATGTCCGATATGATTATCGGGTTGTCCGATGGGTTAACTGTGCCATTTGCCTTGACTGCGGGGTTATCTTCTTTGGGTGACTCAAGATTGGTCATTACTGGTGGTATGGCGGAATTGGTATCTGGTGCGATATCCATGGGTTTAGGTGGTTATCTTGCCGCCAAGTCTGAATCCGAATACTACAACTCGCAAGTAAAGAAGGAAAAATTGGAATTCTTTAGAAAACCAGAAATGATTAACCAAGAAGCAGCAGAAATAATGTTCGAATTGGGTGCATCCGAATCAACCATCATTTCGTTCTTGAAAGACTTGGACGCTCGTCCTAAGAACCTCATTGACTTTGTTATTAGGTTCGGAAAGGGGTTGGAAGAACCAGCTGAGGGCAGAGAATTCACCTCTGCATTGACCATTGGGTTGGCATACTTCTTTGGTGGGTTTGTGCCATTATTGCCTTATTTCTTTACCCAATACGTCCAGACTGGGTTGCTCATCTCGGTCATTGTCATGTTGATCACCTTGTTTGCATTTGGATACATAAAAACCGCGATATCGTTGGGAGAAGAATGCGGTACTCGTAAAAAGATACTTGAAGGGATTCAAATGGTGGCAATTGGATCAATTGCCGCGGGATCTGCATGGAGTTTGGTCTATCTTATCGATAGCCATTGACAGTGGCCCTGCATTTTACCAACTCGCTGATCATTTTCGTTTATATACAACACAGTATATATAAATTTAATAGCTGCTGTTTTCCCAGCAGAAATGAATGTCATATTTTAGATTTGAACTATTTTTCGCCGCAATCCCGAAGTGTCTGCAGAATCTCGTAATTATGCAGTAGCATGTAGACATTTTTAGCATGGACGGAATAGTCCGGGCGTATGGTAGCGCGTGTGCCGTTTCTTTTGAACGAGACAATTGTGCTTAATGTGTACTCTAAAACGTAAGAATAGGTGCTGGGGCCGATAGATTGGTTCGAGAGATACCATGTAGGTTCAGTGTATGTTAGCTCGCTGGAGATCTAACTGCCGGGTTTGTATTGTTGCACTTTTTCGCCCAAAAGAGTACCAATTCTCAAGTATTGCAGTGCGTTAGTATGTGTCTGTTTTATGGATTATAGCAAAACTTCGCTTCCAATATCATCGGTGAGAGCAATACGATTGGGCCGGATGTCCAGTGGTTAAGCGAATCTTGCTAGCAAGTGATTATTGCAAACTCCCCTTAAAAGTCGTGCCCCACACAAACTACCATTTTTTTTTCTCCAGTGGCAATTGAGATTTCAATTTTAAAAAAAAACGGGTAGCAAATGTTATTAGCAGCATAGTAAATCATACAACAATGTCACAACGTATCGCAGATCTCATTTCCAAAATTGCCGTTCCCGTAGGGTTAACCTTCTTCCTTGGGCAATCGGCCATCTACGACGTTCCCGGTGGGAAAAGAGCCGTTATTTTCGATAGATTAAGTGGGGTGAAGACGGATGTCATTGGAGAAGGGACCCATTTCTTGATTCCCTGGTTACAAAAAGCGGTTATATTTGATGTGCGTACCAAACCAAAGACTATCAGTACCACTACTGGTTCCAAGGATTTGCAAAATGTCTCCTTGACTTTGAGAGTGTTGACCAGACCCGAAGTGCGTCAATTGCCAAAGATTTACCAGAGCTTGGGGTTGGATTACGACGAAAGAGTCTTGCCTGCCATCGGTAACGAAATTTTAAAGAGTATCGTGGCCCAATTCGATGCCGCTGAGTTGATCACCCAAAGAGAAGTTGTCTCTGCAAGAATTAGACAAGAATTGTCGAGAAGAGCCAATGAGTTCAATATTCAATTGGAAGATGTCTCAATTACTCACATGACCTTTGGTAGAGAGTTCACAAAGGCCGTTGAACAAAAGCAAATTGCTCAACAAGATGCCGAAAGATCCAAGTACTTGGTTGAAAAGGCCGAACAAGAAAAGAAGGCTGCTATTATTAGAGCTGAAGGTGAAGCCGAGTCAGCCGATGCAGTTTCTAAGGCATTGGCCAAGTCCGGTGATGGTTTATTGATGATTAGAAGATTGGAAGCATCTAAGCAAATTGCCGAAACATTGGCCCGTTCTCCAAACATCACCTATTTACCAAATGGTAAAGGTGGAGATGGCGAAGAAGGATCCAAGAATTCCTTATTGTTAAACATTGGTCGTTAAACGAATGCAACATAAAAATTGTAAATAGTTAATAAATGCACAAACGTATATATATATACAAGCTTTCTATATGTCAAGAACAACTAGTTCATCATCTATACCTGGAGTGGTGCATTTCCCACTACTAATCAATGCTTCGATATCTGCGACTTCCTTAACACATCCACTGGTTAAATTAAGAATGTCGGCGCCAGTGTGACCTACAACAATGTCATCTTCGACTCTCACACCAATCCCGCGGAATGCTTTTGGCCATCTATCATTTTCCGGAATGTACAACCCTGGTTCAATAGTAATGACATTTCCAGCCACCAAGGACTTGTATTTCGAACAAGTTGGGACATCATGAAGGTCCAATCCTAAATGATGGCCAATATAATGAGGATAAAGGTAACGGGTCACTTCGGTAGTATTGACAATGAATCCAGTAATATTATTCAATTCTTGCGTCAATTGTCTCACGGCAAATTCTTGAAGATCATGCATTGAATAACCAAATGATTGGGCACACAACTCAATACATGCCTTGTTAGTGTTCAATACTGCCTCATAAATGTCTCTTTGCGGATCAGTGAACCCCTGGGGTGAGTTGGGCCAAGTACGGGAAATGTCGGCATTGTAACCGCCTACTTTCCCGGCTGCGTCGATAAACACCATTTCATCCTTGTATAATAAATCATCATTTCTGGTATAGTGAATTGTCAATGCATTTCTTCCACTGGCAATAACCGGGATATAAGCTTGTTTATCACAACCACCTTTCACAAATTGATATTCCAAGAACTTGGCCAATGTGCGTTCACTAAGAATAGGCAGATCCGAGCCAACTTTAGCCATAGCCTTGTTGATGGCCCGGCTCGAGATTTTAGCAGCAGCATGCATGACTTTAATTTCCGCAGGGGATTTGATAGCTCGTAACTCTGCAAGCTTGGGTGATAAAGGCAGGATTCTCTTGTTACTTTTCGAAATGACTCCGTTTAAATCAGATGTACCGAGAATGCTAAAGAACAGCTTAATTGGTTCCTCTTCCTTCGAGGCAAACTTATTATCATAATAAATAAGATCAGCATCGTGGATCAAATTCTTCAAGTATAATGGAGCCCGCGAGATATCCTCCACCAAATCAGCATTAAAATATTCGACAGCACCTTCCAATCCCAGCTTGGGTCCCTCCCATAGCTCCTTGGCTGGATTACGCGGAGGCACCAACATATGCAAGTACACATCATCCTCGTCATTCTCACCGCGCTTCTCAATCACGGCAATGGCGTCGGGCTCATTCCACCCAGTCAAGTAAAACAAATCATTATCCTGTTGGAAATCGTAAAACACACTCCCAGAAGCAAATTGAACAGTATTTCCCACAATGATAGCCACCGATTTAGCAGGCATTTGTCGAGAAAGTTGGAGTCTTCGCTCGTAGTACTCTTGGGCCAGTATCCCGGGCGTTAGGAAGCCAGGGGTGGGGAGATAATGAGGTCTTGTTTCATGGAGCGGTTGCCCAGCACGGAGGACGGATTGGTGGGGTGGACGTGTTTGGATGTTTATGAACCTTCTGAATATCGACGGAGCTTTGGTCTTGATCATTGCTGTAGTGTAAGTGAAGACCATCAGATCGCGGACTTCTTCTTCCAATTGGTGAAAAAAGGAAACTGGATCCGATAAAAAATTGCACCAACAATTAGTGAATATTAATTATTGTAATCACCGTATGACATAGCTTGAATATGGTTCAAACTTACTGTAGAGACAATCCGACTCCTGCTAGCAAAGGAAAGTGGAAATCAACGTCGTCACATGGTAGCACCGAGTTTTACTTAGCCTTCCCCCCTCCGGTAGTTGTCTCGGGAATACTTATAATGTTGCTATGATCTCGTCGTAACCATGTGACACGAGGAGGTATTAAAAAAAAGTATCCAAGGAAGGTATTGAAGGAAAGTATTGGGCCTGGAACAGGGTGAGGGCCGGGAACATGCACCGGTTACCACTTCTAGTTATATTTCAAGTTTAATTTTATTTTTATACTCTATTTTTCTTTTCACCATGATTCATCTCCACATAATTATACGTCAATGTCGATAATATATGACGACAACAAGGGATATTGCATAGACAACAACGTCGATGATCCAACCAATAGTCAGTCAACTATAATATCCAACGGATTCGATCAATTACCATGGGACGACTACCTTCCTGAAAAGTCCCAAGAACCCGAGCCCGAACCACAAGTGGAATCACCTAAAAAGAAACTCAGTAAACTGGAAAAGAAAGCAGTACGTCAAACCAAAAAGATTAACGCTGCCCGGAAACGACATGCACAACGACAACAAGAGTTGAGCAATGGAAATATTGCTCAAGATATACCCTTCAAACCATACTTGGCTAAGTCCGAGATAAAATCAATATTTTCAAAGCTTACAAAACTGAACCAGCTGGACTTTAAATTGTTTCAATATCATTCAATTGCGTTATATAAATCGGATATAGAACACATCCTCCCAGGGGAATGGCTCAATGATAACGATATATCGTTGATATATGAACTCATCCAGCAAATCTTTATTAAATCGGGCCATCGTCAGTTTAGTTACCAAATACAATTGCTATTCCCGTCATTAGTACAATTGTTCTTACATTTTCCCATAAATGACGAAATTGAAGCCATATTACCTGTGGATGAATTGAAAAAACTGAAATTTATCTTTATTCCTATAAATCTAATTGACGATTACGATACCGTTGATTTAGAAGGAGCAAATGTTGGTGATCATTGGGCATTGACCATGCTTTCATTACTTGAGAATAGGTTGTACGTTTATGATTCAATGACTACTGAAGCAGATGACTACCAATTATTAACTCAATTATGTAAACGGTTACAATCATGCAAAAGTATAGTCACGAGCAATAAACCCATCCAGATAGTTCATTTAAAATGTGACCAACAAGACAATTTCGATGATTGTGGTGTCTATGTCATCATGATAACCTGCTACCTCATAAATCAATTGCTCTATCAAGAACACATCAGTTTGGATTTAAGCAAAGTTAGATTCAACCCATTAGACGCTCGACTATATATTATGAAGCTTATATCCAGATTAGCTAACACTTTATAGACCTAACTAAAGAACTTTTCAATCAAGATTGATGTCATCATGCTTGATAATGTCATTCCCTTTACTTCATTATTCAATTCTTCAATATCTTCTTGTAATTCAACGGATTCTGCAGTCTTATTTGGACTAGTGTGAATAAACAATTCACTAGAAGCCAAATATTGAATTCCACCGTTGCCCAATCCTAACGCAGAAATAAGCACAATCAAGTTATTAGATACTTGATTGACAACCTCACTATCGGCTAAATCATACCCCAACAATTCAATTACTCTTGTTCGAGTAATTTGCTTAGTTACTGACATTATAACTAGAAAATTCTTGAAATCAATGATTTTCCACATATACTCAATAAATGTGTGTGTCGGGGAATATTTACTTGCAGCTCCAGTTGGCAAACTATTTTCCAAATAGGCGTACAATCTATCAAGAAACAACTGATCATGCAATGTAGTTTGAACGGTAAATAAGTCCCGTCTTGACAATGGAATTAACACTTGGTTATAAAACAAAAATTCCAAACTTGACTCATTTTCATTGAACAAGTCAATAATTATATCATCGTTCATAAATGAAAGTGAACAAGCTGGCTTTAAAAATATAGAAACAATACCAAACATTAGCAACAAATTCGATTTCAAAATTGAATCTCCCTTAATAAGAAATTGCAATGGATTTAATCCAGACACTTGTATTTTGCTTTCATAATTCAAAAACAAGGAATAAAATTCATCATAAAATTCAATAAATTTGAATTGTTTAAACAACATTGCCATATACAACATTTTAATCATCCAGTAATAATGCAATTCATCGTAGTTTCCTTCATTCTGTCTGGTACTAAACACGGCTTCATTCTTAGAGTAATATGTTGAAATTTTCTTATAAATAGTCTCCAAAGGTTTAAATGAACTTGAAGATATAACCTTATCTAAACTACTATTGCCAGTCTGTTCATCCACTGGGAACCAAATTGTTTGGAATACATTAGCAGAATATTGCAAGAATAAATACTCCACATATCGATTATTCTTCAATTCATCCGCAGATTTAGGCTGGGTCAGGAATTGAACCACCGTAGCATAGCTATTCAAGAAATAATGGGCCTCTGAGTATTTTCTCTCAATCAATAATATAATAACACACTTTTTTATGAAATCAAACAATTCGTGACATTCTTCAGGATTCATGGAATCCACGGACTCCTTATGAATGTTGGAACTTTTATCCTTACCCACTGTCAAAACTTCCTCGCTTTGACGTTCCACTTCTCGTGCCCAGACCGCACTATATTTTGATTTAACGCCAAAGTATTTTAGATGACTAATCATATCATGGCCACAAGGATGAATTGCTTGATAAGTGTCCATTAACTCAAGAGCACGTAGAGCAATTACGGTACGCTCCTGTTGATGTGCATTTTTGTTCTGAAATGAATTGAATTTTGTAAAAGTTGAAGCTAGTTGGTTCACATCGAGGAATCCAATATCGAATTTATCCAGAGTTAGTGGCATTGTATTTGATCGTGTGTGGTTGATTCGTTAAGGAGAAAGACTGGCGTAACATTTTACTTTTTTGGCAGCACTTTCTTAGTACCTGTTGATAAAGTGAGTGTACCATATGCAGGATACTCAATTCCAAATATCACTTCTTTAGTATCCACATGAGTACCAAAACGTAGTACCCAAAACTCTAAAGGTATCCAATGAACAAAAGGCATTCGTATTTCTCAAATATCTCTGAAGTTCCGCCAAATTGAACAAACAATCTCCAAAGAGGTAGAATCACTGATGTGAGTGATATCAAGTTTATTGCAACATATGTAAGTATATTTTCAACAGAATAAAAGCTTGCGATGATATCTGACAATCCAGTCACACTAACATATCATACAGCTTGGTATAACTTGTTGGTATTTTATAATTCGTCAGCAATATTGAGTCGCAGTCAGGGATTAGTGGTTCATTTCCTGTAAAATAACTTTCTAGCTAATACATACGCGTTTAAAATAAACTTTGAACAGGGACATCAGGTTACTCTCCCTGCTAAGTCCATGTGAACCACTAGGATCTAAATTGTAGTATAAATATGATCCAATTTCTATTGGTTGAATATTGCATTTGTTTTAGTATTCAATATTTTCTGTCTTTTTTGGAATACCATTAGCAAATATCAAACCAACTTTGAACATTTAGGATCATTTACAGAGGACATATTTGAATCTGACCTGGGACATCTTACTTTGAGATAAACAGCTCTTTTAACATGCTATATCAAAGAGATTATTTGAGCATCAATATCACTTGATTGTGCCATCTTGACACTTTAAGCTAGGCTCCATCAATAATATCATCTGTACATGTTTCTGATATATACACACTGTGCACAGAGAAGCGCTAATAATTCTTGATGTTTCTGTTGGTAGTACATATAGTTGAGGCTGTTGTTGCGCTGATGTTTCTAACTTAAGGGATTACCAAACCAACAACAAGAAATACACTAGAACTACTCACCTATACCTTCTCCTAAGGTCCCCGTTGCTTAAAGATGCATAGAAAATATATATATACTTTTACGTAATTGTATTTCAGATAGTAATGGAGCCTTCGCGCAACTGTGTGTGTGTGTTTATCTGTGCTACTTGTTATTCGACTGGTAGCCACAGAGTTACAGAAAACTCGATAACAAAATTGATGGCGACAATAAAACCACCAGAAGTTGTAGATCATCATTCTACACCTATTTGGTAACAAGTTATACTACAAATATAGACCAATTCCAAAATTCTATTACATACGTAAAATCATAGTATAATCAGAGTAGTCAGATACGAACTAGCAATATCATACAATACTTGCGCAATAGCCCAAGTCATAGGAATCCAAGTACTCATGGTTAAACTACCAGCGTTGTAAATCGCTGCAACAACAATTCCAACCACAGCACCACTGCAGAATCCTCTTGTTAACCCAATAATTAAATAAAAAAACACAATTGAAAATGACATCATGATCTCCACTCCCCCGATGTTTAGATTATGTCGCGATTTGTTGAGAAGACTGCTTGCAGCAGCTATTATTCCCACAATAGTGTATAGTCCCCCAAATAGTATAAGTGTCCACCATACTGTGAATTTCCAGATATCTATGGTATAGTATAAAAGGGCTACCTGATAAGCAGATCTAGTTGGTCCCAAGGGCCAAAATAGTGACGGAAACAGTGGTGTAGAGTATCCTATAGGAATATTCAACGAACTTATAAATAGTCTCATGATATGGTTAGTGTAGGTATTCCGTGGGTGGTTATATAATAAATGACCATTAAGTAAAAACAAAACTATTGTCGTATCCAAAATTATATGCGACATTACATTTTTCTCCCGCGACATCCAAATCTTAGAGGCGAAAAAAAAACCCAAGTCTGTACAAACACTGAGAAAAAACCAAAGTCCAACGTCTTGCCACTACAATTTAAACTACAGTTTACCCACATAATTTGAGTTGACTGACGCTTCAACCCACTCAATTACACTCATAATCATCTACCACTTCAGTCTTTAACTTACATCGCATAAATCATCATGTCAAGAAGATACGATTCTAGAACTACTATTTTTTCACCTGAGGGTAGATTATATCAAGTTGAATATGCTCAAGAAGCTATTTCAATGGCAGGTACTGCCATAGGTATATTATCATCCGAGGGAGTTGTATTGGCATGTGAAAAGAAGGTAACATCAAAATTGTTGGATAATGATGGATCGGCTGAAAAATTATACATTATCAATGATAACATGATATGTGCCGTTGCTGGTATGACTGCTGACGCATCTATTTTAGTCAACAATGCAAGAATCAACGCCCAATCATACCTCAAAACTTACAACGAACAAATTCCTTGCGAAATTTTGATAAAGAGAGTTTGTGATGTTAAACAAGGTTATACTCAACATGGTGGGTTAAGACCATTTGGGGTTAGTTTCTTATATGCCGGATACGACGACAGATATCAATTCCAATTATTTACTTCAAACCCATCTGGGAACTATTCCGGGTGGAAAGCCACCAGTATTGGGGCTAACAACTCTGCTGCCCAAACCTTGTTGAAGAAAGATTATAAAGATGACTTGACATTAAAGGAAGCTTGTGAATTGGCCATTAAAGTGTTGTCTAAGACCATGGATGCTTCAAATATAAATAGTGAAAAATTAGAATTTGCTACATTAAGTTTATCCAAGGTTGAAGAAGGTAAAGTGATTCACAAGATTTGGAATGATACTGATGTCAATGCTTTGATTCAAGATTCTGGTGTTTTGAATGACAAGTCTACCGAAGATGATTAGAAGTATAGTAGTAGTTTATATACAAAATTGATACATTTACCGTAAACCTTTTTACACGATTGGCTTGTTTCGTCTCCACATTATTTCTGGGCCAAGCAATCATACCAGCACAAAGAAAAAAAAAGAAAAACACGCAAAGGATCTAAAAAGTGTTGCCAGATTTTTGTTGCTACTTTTCTTTTACTACGGACCAACCATGGAATTCTTGTCATTGGGTCTTTCACCAGGGTCTAGGAAGTCAATTAAGGTCATTAAAGAGATCAATAACAACAATCGAATCTCTCTATCCATCAAACAAAAAGTAAATGATTTAAATTTGCTTACGAAATCTTTCGTGTCTGAGCAATTGTCGCAATATGATGAGGCAACAATTTCATTAGCCAAACAGGATTCAGCCAGTTTCAATGCTATACAAGAGGCATTTGGTGAGTTATACTTTTTACTTGACTGTGAAAACTTTAAATTTGAGAAATTCTCTACTGTGGGGTTGCCCAAGGTGAAGCAGATCTACCAAAAGTTTGCTAATTATGATTCTTCTGCACCTGGTGTTTCTACTCAATTGAACCAGGTGAATGGTACTGCAGTTGAGTTAGTGAATAATTACATGGTCTTGCTCCTGACTTTAAACTTGTCAAGCTCTTTAATCTACAAAACATTAGTGTTAAAGAATCAGCAAGTGTATTGGGAGAGCATTCACAGCTCCACTTACAATAAACTTATATATTTCATCCAGATCTCACCAGTTCGATTATTCAAGTTTGTCCGAAGTATCTTATCCAAAGCATCTGATGTTTTAGAAACCAAGGAGTTCAACGATAAAGCATATGCTACACCATCTGAAACTCCTGGTACTGAAGAAGACAATGAAGTTTATGGAACATGGACTTTAATCAAATATTACACAACTGCATTGTATCGCGTGATGGGTAGATCTGTCAATGCTATGTTTGTGAAGGAAGTTCCTTCAGTCTCGTTCCTAAACTTGTCGAAATCAGCCAGATCTTTGACTTGGTATAAGAATGCTTTCAAGTTTATTATTAGATTCCCTATAATTACCGCAAACAATGACATCAAAACTAAGCTTAAGATAATTAACCAAGAAATTGAAAACAACACTGCCAGTATTGATGCTTTGCTTAAAACTAATTTGAATGATAAACAATCAACATTGAATTCTCTTGAATCAATTTTGAAATTAGAAGGAAAGGATAACGAATTTGCAAAAGTATCAGGTATTATTGATTCCATTATTGAACTTGACAATAAACGTTACAATGAAACTGATAAACCTTCCTTCATTACTAGATATTGGGTAGTGTTTGCTATTCTTTTAAGATATGGCCCATTTGAACTTTTAAATGCCTATAATAACCGATTGGAAATAATGGATTGGATAAATGAAAATGGTATCCAACCAATTATTGGATTTTTCAAGAATTGGGTGATTAAACCAATGACAGAACTTGTAAACATTCTTAAACGAGATGACGAAATAACAATCACTACAAAAGATAGTTTAAAATCGGACTTCAGCTCCCTTGAAAGAATGATTGTGGAATTTGCCCAGGATAACAAGCTTGATACAACTCCAGAAATTATCAAACAAGATGTTGCGAATGGTGATTTAAGTCTTATTATGACAAGATATGAGAATGAAATCAGAAACCCAATAAGATATACTTTGTCGGGATCATTGCTTAGATTATTACTTATTCAAATCCAAAAGGGTAAAGTTGACGGAGGGGTAGCTGTGAATGGAATTGACAAGGTATTGAAATCACAACAATTGGTGTTTGGTTTTGTTTCAATGAGTCCTTCATTATTTATCTTGTATCAATTATACAAGTATATTACAAGTCCTGTACCAATTACAGTCAATGGAAAACAATTGAACATTGTTTGTTTGAAATCGTTGAATAATATTGAGAATTTGTTGGTGTTGTTAAGTCAAAGTGATGGAAAAGACCAATTTGAAGGAGAGTTATTGATTGAAATTATTAATTTAATTGTCAGTTCTGATTTAATAATCCCCAAACAATTACACGAAGATTGGGTTCGTGATTTGAATGAATTGAATAATATTGATTTTGACATAGCTACAAAATTAAATCTTGTTCATAAGATATGGAATATGTATGGACCTTATTTCAGATGATATGTATTAAATAAATATTTCTATTTAACATCCCAATAGTTGGTTCTTGGGGAATGTATATCCGCCTTCTTCAAACAATGTCAAGTTTGCATTATTATAAATATTGGCATGTCTATTAATATAATCTTGAGTGGGGTATCCAGCTGGCTCGCAACCAACATTAATTTGATCCTTGGGTTGATAAACTCGAACATAATCGATTCTAAAAGTCACGGGGAAAAACAAGTTAGTCCATTGAATATAAGTCCAGCTATTTGAAATGCCTAAATTCATCACCATCGACATTGGTTCTTTACTAATTGGTCGTTGTCCGATATTACCATTGGGATGTAGTGCCTGCACAAGCATAGTCATTGTTGGTTCATCGCCTACAAACCAGCGAATATATCCATCATTATCATCGTTAAGATATTCCAATCCATACTTTTGGAAATTTCTAGCACCGTCACCATATTCAAACCAAGTTTCATTTAAAGTGGTTGTAGCAGATACCGCTTGTTGGAAAGGACCACCAGCATAAGTGTTCATAGTTGTCACAGATGAATTATAAATTTCTACGAAATTATAATCGGGAATATACCATATATCAAACGGTGCCACTTGTAAAGATTGAGATGCAATTCCATATACTGGACCCGTGGGGTTAGTACTTACTGTACCTTCAATAAGATCGATTTCAGGTGCCCCCCTTCCAATACCAGGATTAGGATGATCTTCTCCAGGACATGTACAAGAATTCAATCGTTGTCCTGGAAGGTAACTGATACCATCGGGTGAAGATTGGTTTGCAGTAATTCCTGCATCGCACGAATTGTATGAATATGGCCAGATTCCTTCCGTACTGGCTAAGTACCCAGGACGGCCCAAGTTCCCCATTGTCCATAAACCTGGCCATAATCCACTGTAGTTGCCATAATTTGGAAGTAATGCAGACATGACGATTTTTCCCTGAGTGAAACAGAACTGGTTCCAGCTTTGAAGCATACCTGATCTGTAGAACAAGTCATGATTCATAAATGCATCCATGCGTAGCTGTAATGTTCCGTTAGCTGTGGTGACTGCATCAGGATCATACCATTCCAAATCATTGGTAGCACCGTAATGTAAGTCTGGAGCGGTGAAGAACTGGTCATCTCCAGGATAGAACGTCCTTCCTTCAGCGTTAAACTCGTCGCTGAACACTAAAACCCAGGTTGAATTATCTCTGGCTACCATTGTCAATGCTTCTTCAGGTGTATCTGGATCTATAAGGTCGGTTCGTATAGCCAGTAGTGCGGGAAATGAATAGGCACTTAAGAGCGGATAATAATCATATACGATTTTTGGAGCAGGCAGTTCAACATTGGCAAATGTTAATACTGGTAAAACTATAAATAAGCCCGCGGCTAATAGTAGCAATATTACAAATCCAAATATTCCAACATATGTTTTCCTGTCTGCATTTTTCAAATCATTCCAAAATCTATTCTTGTCATAAATAATATCATGAATGGGGTCGGGGTTATGCAAGTAATCGTCTGGTTCTTTCTCATCTATATTTAAAGGAAACGAGCTTGCAGGGTATCCTCCAAATGGGTTCCAGTCCAACGATATCTGGGAACTTGAATTTGTAAGTGATCTTGACTTTGGACTTGAATTGGAGCTGGACTTGGTGGTTGTACTTCCTATTGAATGTCGATAGTAATGCGCCATAGGGATTGTCCCTGTTGAAACTCGACTTGTTCCTGCCATTGAAGGGTATCTATCAAAATTCAAAGGTTGCAGCACCGGCATGTACTTTTTAGAATTATATCTATAATTGTCTAGAACTTTTTGAGAAATATGATGGTTCTCTTCTGATGAAACCGAACTACGTAATTTGTTTATAAATTGGAAACCGTCACTTCCAACACTGAAATTTCGAGCACCTAAAGGGACTTCTTCCAGGGATGATATTTGCGACGGTTCGCTAAATTCAATCGAACCTATTGCGGCAAATTCAGCTTCGAATGGATTGTTAAATTCTATGTTATTTACCTCATCATCGTGAGAATCCGAAGAATTGGATGTCAAATCACGGTAGGACATATTAAAAGGTGAAGTGTAAATTGGGTGCGAAAGAACTCCACAGTATTTTTTTTTCCTTCTATTTTTTAGGGGTTTTGTAGCAGTGATTTATCTTGGATTAGATATTTGGTCAAACAGATGCAAATTAGTGATTGGGTTTCTCGAAACGATTGTATGATATGTAAGTTAAGCTTTTGAAAGATTCGAGGGGTTCAAAACTTATATAGACCCGCCTCCCCCCTTCATCGCAAGATAAGCAAATATTTCAGGATCTCGTAAAAAAAAAACATGATGATGGCATCTCTAATATTTTTTTCACTTGCCCATTTTTCCACTTTTCACCCCTTTGTTTCAAATAAGGCTTCCGTCAAAATCTCAATTGTAATTGTTTTGCTGTCCTTTGTTTCACATCTGGAGTGCTTCGTTTTAGGCAAGTGATAGTATATATTTTTTAGAAGTAAAAGGCATGACTGGTGTTTAGTAAGATGGGGTTAAATTTTAAATCTAAACTTTAAGGAGTAAAGAAGGTAAGATCCTGATGAATGACTGAGAATATTGAGCGTCGTTTCTTTTAGGAGTCATAAAGTAAATATAGAATAGAATAAATGACTATCGTAATAGTTGCAGTAAGGCGGCGGTTAAATATAGTTTAGAACGGCTATGTTTTCGGTAGCTGACCTTTTTTCTTTTTCTTCTTCGGAGTCTAGCCATTCTTTTATCCGATCCCGCAAATTCCCTCATCCCCTCCATTTGCACCCAGTTTTTTTTTTGTTGTTGTTGTTGTTTTTCTCTGTCAATGCAAAGCGTCTAAATGAGAGATTTAGTGCTAGTTTTAGATCAACTAGCGTGCAAAGTTTGCTGGTTACCGGTTAAATAATCGCGTCTAATTGAATGCGATGTAAACAGTTGCTAGATTTATTCCAAATGTAAACAAGATTTAGCAATATTTTGCCAGATGAAATTTTCCCCAAAATTTTAGCAAATTAACATGAAAAATAATAGAACTAGCTAATCTTAATGCGTTGCTAGCATATTATAATTTATACAACTGTAGAAGCAAAACCACAATGTTTACAGAATCGTTTTCGCTTTAACTAAATTACCGTCAATTTTGTTGATTTATAATCATCGATACGTGTTTCGCGATTTTATGCGAGTGAACGAATTCCACTCTTTGCGCTACTTGTATAAAACCGTTGCATAGTTGAAGTTGACACAATAACTAATAGCAGGGAGCAGTCTCTAGAATTAACAACCCGGTTTCAACCCCCCTCACTGCTCCGTGTGCTCCGAAAGGCAAGTTGACGATGAAAATAAAAACAAAAAAATTCCATGACACAAAAACCCCTCGTTGTCTCGGATGTAAATTTTCACCCTATTTAAAGAATACGAATTACTCTTTGTGAATTCTTATATATAACAAACAAATATCCGTATAAACTACAAAGCAAAACAGTCTATAAATCAAAATTATCCATTGCAAAATGTGCCAGCACAATCAACATCCAGTTAATTTATTCTTGGGGAATGAGTAACCTCCATGTTCAAACAACGTCAAGTTAACATTTTCATATACGTTTAAATGCTCTTGAATATAATCATACGTGGGGAAATCATCAGGATCACAACCAACGTTAATTTGATCCTTAGGTTGATATACTCGAACATAATCGATTCTCATGGTAACTGGGAAATTAAGCGATGGCCAATCTATATAAGCCCAACTATTGGAAATACCTAAATTCATAACAATTGACATTGGTTCTTTTGAAAGGTGACGCCAACCGATATTTCCATTAGGATGCAATGCTTGTGGATATACAGTGAATGTAGGATCTTCACCAACAAACCAAGTTAAATAACCTTTATTATCATCGTTCAAATATTCAAAAGCATAGCGTTGGAAATTATGATCATAAGGGCCAAATTCATACCATGAAGAGTTTAATGTGGTTGTTCCTGAAAGTGCCTGTTGGAAAGGTCCTCCTGCATATGTGTTCATGGTGGTGACTGATGCATTGTGAATCTCAATAAAGGAATAATCTGGCATATACCAGATGTCAAATGGTGCCAATTGAAGTGATTGCGACGCAACCCCGATATTAGGAGTTTTTCCAGTGGAATCTGTTCCGATAGCAGCTTCAATAACATCAATTTCTGGTGCTCCTCTTCCTATTCCCGGATTTGGGTGAGATTCTCCTTTACACGTACATGAGTTTAATTTTTGGCCTGGCAAATAAGAAATACCATCCGAGGAAGATTGATTAGGAGTTATCCCGGCATCACATGAATCATAAGAGTATGGCCAAACACCTTCAGTGCTGGCTAAATATCCAGGTCTTCCTAAATTTCCCATTGTCCACATCCCTGGCCATAATCCTGAAACAGTTCCATAGTTGGGGAGTCGTGCTGACATAATTATTTTACCTTGTGTGAAGCAAAACTTATTCCATGATTGAACCATTCCGGAACGGTAAAACAAATCATGATTGTTAAAGGCATCCATTCTTAAATTTAACGTCCCATCAGCAGTTGTAACGGCATCAGGGTCATACCATTCTAAATCCCTGGTAGCAGCATAATTCAAGTCAGGAGCAGTAAAGAATTGATCATCACCTTCATAAAATGTTCTTCCAACAGCGTTAAATTCATCACTGAATACCAAGACCCATTGAGACCCGTCTTTAGCAGTTATAGTCAACGCATCATCTGGGGTGTCTGGGTCAACCAAAGTTTGTCTTATAGCACTCAACATTGGATATTGATAATTTGACAACAATTCATATTCTTGAGGAGAATGGTGTACTTCTACGTTAGCAAAAGTCAATACTGGCAATATGATAAATACTGCCACAGCAGCTGCAAGTAACACGGCAAAACCAAAAAGTCCCCATGCCGATCTTTTATCAGCATTTTTCAAATCATTCCAAAGTCTATTCTTGTCATAAATGGCATCGTGTATTGGGTCGGGATTGTGCAAGTAATCATCAGGCTCCTTTTCGTCTATATGCAAAGGAAAGGAACTTGCTGGATACCCTCCAAATGGACTGAAATCAAATGGCACCCGACTGTAATTATTTGATGTGAAAGAACTGGCGGTATCGGAATTTTCCTTAGAAGGAAGAAAATGTTGTAAAGAGCCACTGGAACTTAATCTGGAAACATTACCATTGCCCATGGTGGGATATCTATCATATGCAGCTGGAGCTCCCAGGATGTTCATACTAGAATCAGAAATATAAGACCGATGTGGGAGTGTAACTGGCGTAGCCATTGTTCTTGGTGGATTGAGAGGTTTTCTTTCTTCTTGGGACGAGCTATCATTATTCAGTACTGGATCACTGCTGCTCAAACTATACGCTCTGAATGGACGTTCCCCATAGCCAGGGGCACGGGGTGGTTCGTTGTCATCTGGTGGTGTTTCCGAAGACAGGTCTCCTCCAGAACCAGAACTGTAGGAGCTAGTTGCTTCATTACTGTCTGTGAATTCAAAGGGGTTGTTTAAGTTACTTTGCGCAACATAATCTTCATCTAGCACCGGCTCCTGAGGTATCACCGGAGTATTTGAAGTTAAATCTCGAGCCATTCAAACGAGTGTGTCTATAATAAATGAGGGTAGCGAATGTTTCTGTGAGGGTATGTGTGAAAGAGAATTCTGGTAACCAAGCAAGAAGCAATCAAGGGGTGGGGGGGGAGTGATTCTAAAGAAATATGGCCGCTTTTTTTGTGTGTGGTTTTGTTGTGGGTTTTTTTTTGTGTTGCTGGACTAAATGGAATTCCGCTATTGTTCTGGCGAATCTAAGGGGAGTATGGCCGTGTGGGGGAATGAAAGAGATAAAGCGGGAGGTGGTTTTGTGAAGAATAGGATGATTTTTTAAGTGTGATGCTAAACCACTTCAAATTACGAGCTCTGCCAATTCGGACAAATTGAAGTTAAATATGTTAGTAACAAGTAGCCACTAATGAACAAATTTCCATAATTTAAATTTAAATGTTGCTATTTTTATTTTCCTAAAAAGGACTCGTTTTTTCCCGTTGATGTTTTCTTGTTTTGTTTTATTTTTTTTTTTTTTTTGCACTTTATTTTCTATAACTGTCCGACCATGTAACCCCCCTTAGAAAAAGTAACACCGACATCATTATACAATCCTTGACATGATACACAATATTGCATAGAAATCTCGTGATGTAATTATTGACTTTCCAATTCTTAGACAGAATATCATAACCCCCGTTTTGGACTAATGGTAGCACTGGCATGTGTCACCTCCCTGAACTTACGCTCATTTCGGTAATCTTTGGTTATTTTTAGGCTTTTTTTTTAAAAAAAATATAACCCGAGCAATTTACCAAATTTGGCCAGGGAGAGTATGCCGCACATTATCTATCTTTTAGGTTGACTTTATTATACGGTATTATATATAAACTACTTATTGATTATACAGATGATATATAAGAACTATCGAAGCAGTTTTGTATTAGTTACTGACTTGTATAACCATTAATTGTAAGAAGGAATCTATGACTGAAGTTGCAGCCAAACTGGTAATTTCCGAGTTTGTGTCATAGGGAGGACTAACTTCAACCACATCGGCACCAACCAAATTTATCCCCTTTAACCCATTCAAAATACTTAATAATTCCCTACCAGTAAAACCACCAATTTCCATTGTTCCTGTACCGGGTGCAGTCGAAGGATCCAACACATCGATATCAACAGAAATGTAAACTGGATCTTCTGTTCCTAGTGCCTCTTTTAAGGTTTTGACAATACCTTGAACTCCAACTTTATCAATATCACTAGCTCGTATAATACTGAAACCACACTCTGAATCATGCTCAGAGTCATATAAACTATCTATTAAAGGGGCTCTGATTCCAACATGGAAATTTCCCTTGTTAGTAATATACCCCAATTCATGAGCATAATGTAAGAAAGTCCCATGATTCAACTTCATATAATCTGTAACACCACCTCCTAACACGGTAGGATCCCAGGTATCGATATGTGAATCAAAATGGATAACCTTGACCGGTTTACCAAGTCTTTCACTAATGGATTTCAAAGCCATAAGAGTGATTGTATGATCTCCTCCCATAGTAATAGTTTTTGGGTGGGCACGACTGGCACTACCAGGGTTATGCTTATGAATAGCCCGTATTCCTCGATATAACTGATTCAAAGCAATTCGATTGTCAAATGGTGTCATAGCCACATCACCACAGTCAATAATCTTAAAATCATGAGTAGTGGAATCATATGGGTCAAGTGGGTACTTTTTCCCCTTGTGCTTCTTATCAACTGCAATCTCGCCTAATCTTCGCGCACTACTTCTTATTGCCTCTGGACCGAAACGGGCACCAGGACGATAAGACACCCCAGTATCAAAAGGTGCACCTACTATAGCAATATCAATTTCTTTATCGTCGTAAAATTCAGGGTTAAAGCAATTAAAATGAGGGAAATGGGCATAAGTGAGAATTCCTCCGTACATATTTTGGTCTGATTGGATATCGGAAGTATCATCTTTATCAGGAAGATTCAATTGTGATCTCATGCTCAAGTAATGATTTACTGATTTTTCATAAAAATTAGGTTCCCCAGAAGCTTCTATATCTTTGGGTGATATGTAACCCAGATTGAGAAGCAGTTGGCGATGATTCAAACTGTCTTGGTCATGGACAATTTCTCCGTATAATTGATCAAGTAACGAAACTGCATGTTCTTCAGTAGAAAACACTTGTTGCTGACTAGCAGCAGCTGCATATACAAAGGGGGTTAATGATGCCAATCTCATTACAAATCTTGATTCTTTTTCAAATTTAAATTGTATCACTTGCGATATCTAATCTGACCTTATATACCGATGAGATTCCGTTCCCCGAATTCGCGGGAACTTCCAAAAGAGGAAGTGAATATTCCGCGCGCATTCGTAAAGTGTTTTGCGCTTATTTAGTTATGCATGTCACTAATTCCGTAAAAGCGTCCTCTTTAGGTCAAGTAAGTGATTAAGAGAAGCAAGCAAAGTCACTTGTTTTTTTTTTGAAATTCCCATTTAAAATTGAAACATGTTAGATACGCCCCTTTGTATGATAAACACGAAGAACGCGTTATAGATTCGCGCAAAAATTTTAGAAACCCGAAACTTGCATAAGTTTGGCAGCTTACTTGCATTACATTTTAACATACTAGTTCCAGAAAAACTGAACCATTAGAAAAGGGTATATCCAGATGTGTCATAAAAATAGTCAATAATCAATTGCCAAATAATGACCACTATGGAATAATCCTATCCTAAAAAAAAAGTCTGTAATTCGTTTCTTAAAAATTCCAATCTTGCAACTCAAGTATCCAGGCTGTCTCGCAAATTTCTGCTTATCGATGGTAAACTTTATGCAAAACCTGAATCAAAATACCTAAATATAATCGTGGAAATATCAATCATATTTGTATCTAATAAAACTTAAACTAATCAACCTCTTGGAAAACGTAGCTCCAAGTCGATCTTTGCACCCATGATGAGCAAATACAACTATTAATAAGGTTAGGATGTTCAAGAAAACCTAGGATTATTAACCAATACTGGCTATATCAAATTCAAATTCATTTTTAGAAAGTGTATGTGTTTCGAATTATTAAATGATAGCAAATAATTCATATCATTCGGTTCTATTTTACACTGTTTTAGTATAACACATATAACAGCAACTTTAGCTTGATATCTCTTTAAAATTTCCCTTGCAAGTTTAAATGAATTTCCTAATTGTTTGATAACTAAAAGTTTGGAAGTAATATCAAGAAAATGATCCATGAAACGGCAAATAGATCCTCATACTATCAAACTTAATGTGCTTAAGTTTGGGATGCGTTCCATAGTGCGGTTCTATTGTAGGATTTATTATAAAATAAAGTTGGCTACTACAACAACAACTTGGGATTGTTGTGCGAATATTCTCATCAGGAAATTTTCTAAAGAAATCAGGAAGATACCTTAATGATAGATGATACTTTAATGATAGAATGTTGAATATAATGTTTATTATTTCATTAAGCAAACGCGGGAAATAAGCTTCTATGAATTTTGACTAGATAGTCATTGTTTATCATCAGCATTTTACCTTTTCGTTAGTTTCAAGCAGTAGTGGATTGTTTAGTGAGGTTATTAGTTAAATTTAATGTAATAAATTCATCAATTCAGATTGTTCAGTTGTGCTATTGATTATTTGATATGCTAGGTTTTGTAGATTTATAAAGTTGAAAGCAATTGTTCAAAATATTCATAAAAAAATACCATGTTACTGCTACGAATCAAACTTACAGGAGGGTTATTATACATAAAATGTTGTCCATCATTTCTCTTGATAAGTAAGCCCCCTTATTCTACACTTGGATTGACAAGGAATTTAGTTCCGAGCTAGTTTCTTCAAAGATGTGGCTAATTATAACAAATCAAAACTTACCAGTACACCATTATCATTTATATGTATAAGCAATCTCCAAGATTTATCTGATGTCTTTGTTTCTAATTGTGAAATAACATGTTGTAGGCAGAAGCATTAACAATTTTTTGCTATATATTAGCTAATTCGCGATAATATCTAACACAAATGGTAACTTGATGTAATAATAACAAGTATTCAAACAATTAGTTTTGTTTTACTTGTATAAGGCCAGTTTTATAGTGTAACTTTTCAAGTATCAATTCCATCTAACAATATTGTCCCAATTGAAAAATATCACGAACTGAACAGAAACCAAAACAATCAATTGAATGAGCATCAATGGATTTCTATTAGGTTTTGGTAGATTTGGTTGGAATTGCTGTTTCTCAAAGTCGAAACTGTTGTTTACAAGTTTATTGTCTAGTTTAATTTCATCTGACGATATCACATTTAAAGGTTTCTCTTCATTCTGAAAGGGCTGATAGTTCCTTACCACATAATTCAGTCGGGCAGCAATAATACTATAAGGAGTCATACACATTTTGTCAAATATAGTTAAGGTCAAGAATCGTGTCGGGTGTATATCAACTAGTCGTAATATTAAAAGTATTACTCAGTCGTCAATCATAGTTTCAAGTTTCCTGCATGATTTTATTTTTTCGGGCAATATTTTGTCGTTGCTTCTGCACCATGTAATAAAACTGCTAAAAGGGTAAAACTTATTATTAGAACCCCAGAGTTGAAATTAAATGTTTAGTCGTCGTAACAAATAGAATACATCAATTATCCACAAATCTGTTATTATGGTTATTGGTGAAGTTGCAGAATATTTGTTTTTTTCTACACGGCTGATCCAGCCAATCCAGGATGTTTAGTTACAACGTCATAAAAATAGTTTATTATATGGTACTATAGGAGATCCCATAATGCATGTGTTGTCATTTTGCAAAGGTGGGGTAGTGCAGTTGATGGCAGATGCCATTGTTGCAAAATTAAAAACACCTCAAAATAATAGTAAGCTGCACTTTTAAATGTTGTTGTCAGATCGTTATATCTATAAAATATTCCAACTCATGCAATCGACTACTTTGACGATTATCATACTCTTCAGTTGATATTGCTATATCGTAAAATAATATTGTGGTCGTTTAACTCGTGCTTTGGCGAAAGAAAATTAAAGTTGATCTTGCTCGTATATACACACCATGTCTCTCTCTCTCTCTCGTACGTCAGAAATAAGCTTTTTTTTTGTTTCTTGTTTCATTAAAAATGGATATACATTTACATACTATAAACGTATACTTAGCATAACCATAATAGTTGCTCATAATTTGCTTCTTTAGTGAAGCAGGATGTAAGTTTAGCATATATCTTCTCATTGAAGGTATCTAAAAAAAATAAATTTCTACCCATGACGGTCAGCCGCGGGTCACCAGTTTTTCTTCTATATTGCTGTTCTATATTTTTTTTTAAGCCTGAGCTAACAACCGCACAAGATGCTAAACGACCAAAATAACACGCCTTTGTGAAACTTTAAAATAAGTACCTGTACTCTTTTCTTGGGGCATGGTTGCGAGGACACCCAGTTACAGAAACCTAACCAGTTTTTTCTTATCGGAAACATATACTGTATGTCCCTCCTCTGGGTTGTAGCTCCACATATCATCATTAATATTTGAAGTAGCATTAAGGCTAGTACCTCCACTAGCACTAAGATTAGTATTGACCTTTTTCAAATTCATGTCAATAGTCAAATCATGCAGAAAGAGAAAGTTATCTGTGCCATCAAACATATGGCTATTAGTTGTGATGTAGTTTGCGTTAGTAGGCAGTCCTTCAACTGCTGAATATGATATAGATGACGAATTGGATGCAGATGAAGATCGTGATTGTGCAGGTGATAATGCAGTAATGAATTCTGTGTGAATGGTAGGAACGACGGGCAGACTGCTGTGTCTCACTCTACCTGCAAGAGCCATTGATGAAGGTATTGATTGTTGCACTTGTGCTCTGTTTATTGTAGTTGGCTTTTTGTGTTTTTTTGACTTGTGCTTTGGTACTTGGTCAGTAGAAGACAGTACTGCCTTTGAATTTATTCGTGGTCGTTGTGAAGAAGTTGAGGTTCGCAGTGGCGAAGGTTCTTGCGGTATTGACGGTGTGGAATTTGAATGTGCAAGCTTGTTCCTTATGTAGGTTACCCCAATCAACTTGTTAAACATGATTAATAATTGGTAAGAAAGAAATCCAAACCGACTTGAAACTGTATGATCTCTTTTTTTGAAGTGACAAGTGTATTGTTTTATATAGACTTAGAAATAATGAGATTTATTTTCTTTAAGAAAATCATCTGCAGGAGAACGTTTCAATCCCTTTGTAAACAAAATATTTTTTCATTATTAATAATATCAAACAAAGAAAAATTATTGATGTTATTTCCGCCCCGCGGATATAAGCCCCTAAATGGTTTTTACTTCACCCGATTACACAAACCCAAGCAAAGCCCTTTTGAATCTCGCAAAAGACAAGTCATTGTTAGTAATCTTGGCAATAACATTTGATGACAGTGTTAAAAAGAAGATTATTTGAGTTGTGCTACAGCCTTAACATGGCAAATCGTCTAGGCGGATATGTGACTAATACTGAAAGCATTTCATATTTTTTGATTTTTTTATTTTCGTTGTATTTTAAATGCCTTGCTGACAATTACCCCTTGTCCTAAAACAGTTCACAGCCTTTCCTTGTGGCTGGGTCATACATCTGCATCGGTCTATTGTTTGACGAAACAAATGTAAATTATTGACGAAAATTTTTTACTGTGGTTGGATTTCGGATTTTACAAGATAACACAAATTCAAAATTAGATAGCAGCGGAATATTCTTTCAACCCGACGGCTATACCGCACCTGTCAAGCTCCGTACAGTATGTTGTCTAAACGACCAAGAAAAGAAACAAAAAAATTTTTTTTTTTTTTTTTTTTGCGGGAAAACTTTAAGAAAAGAAATCAGTCAGCATTAGTAAGGACACCGTTCAACCCGATAAGTAAGCAACTTCTTTTTTACACCTTGTTGTGCTTAGCACAAATTGACGTCATGTAATAAGCCGGCAACAAAATTTAGATGTCATTTCTTCTTTCATTTTTTGATTGCTAAAAGTTCCTCTAAAACTGATCTATCTAAACCTTGCAGGAATATACATGCACAGATCTTTTATGAAGTGAATTTATCAATTGGAAATCTTTTAGGTTCTGTGGTTTATTGTAATTCTGTTTGTATTCAACAATGCAATCAGTCCACTGGCATATTTTCAAAAAAATATATGTTTTCATCGATCATGTTTGTTCGGCTGAAATGACTGGCTTCCGGGTATTCTTGCAGTTTATCACGCTAGTTTCTAGAACTGACTCAATTACCCCGCCAAAATTAAGGGCTTTGATAATCGAACCATACCTATAAAAAAAATAACTTTATCAGAGCCCTTATAATTTCGAAATTGTGGTTCGAATGAGGTAGTGTTTGAAGTTAACAAAAAATATAATTAAGATTGGAGAGAAAACATTAAATTTAAAAAAATCTACCCCACAGTAATGTTCACCTAACCCTACAGACACAAATAAATAGGATACAATTAGATAGAATTGGCCGGATCTCCGATAGAATGTACATAATGTTTAAATCCGAATAGCTTTGAAGTTTAGATCCCATTCATATTTATGTGTCGGGGCTAGTCTTTCTTGTTCAAGCTTAAAACCGTTGAGCACAATTTCTAACCGGACAATATCGGAGTAGTTTAATCTTCATGCGATTGTATTTCGGACAATGAATTAAAGCTCCGGGAGAAAACTACTAAATGAGTTTCAAGTATAATTATATAATAATAAATTTAATCATCTAAATTTATGTAATTATATGTCAGCGTTTTTCATTTTCTTCTGGAGTTAACGTCTCGGGTTTTATTCGGGTTTAGTGAATTTTTTTTTGTGGCCAGTTATTTTTTATTTTTTTGCAGCCGAGCATAAACCCGATACTGGTTTGCCATCTCAACAATGGAAAACAAGATTTCAATAACCAAACACTGATTCATTTCCACTTTTGGTGACTTTTTTCTCGTATTTTAGGTAGTTTTTTTTTAAACTTGCAGTTGGGCTACTTTTCTTCGAAAATCAGGATCAGTCTAAAAGTTTACGATTATAGTTGACAGCCCGACCGTCAACATGCATGCAAGCTCAATTTGTAATCAGAAAAATGTTTTGCCTAGCAACTAAACTCCGCAAGTTCTGTCCTTCCTTAACAATTGAACCAACGAATTTCCCCTATGTTTTAGGTAACAGTAATTTTTTTTTGTTGATACAGATTTCCAATTGATTTGGAGGGGTTCTTCACTATCGAAACTATCTCATCCAGCATGATAATCTAAGCTGTTAAGGATAACCGGAATAAGTATGCTGCATACTTAAGCACGGTAGATAATGCTCCACAATGTCCGTCAGAATAGGTAATATTGGACAGTTGAAAAGGTAACTATTTGAAAAGTGTGACAAAGATAATGATGTGGTTGATCTAAGATATTCTTAGCTACTATGCTAGGGGGGTTTTCATTTGGTTGTACATTTTAATGTATAATGGATTAAATATAAGCTATCCAAAGCTTACTTGACAAAAGAGGAATAAAATAGGTCTATTTATAGATAAATCTTTTATACGCACCGTCTAATGATGAAATCGAATCATTTCGTTGTGTGTGTAACTGTATTATCTTGTGCAAATTTAACACCATAGCAGTCGTCTATGTAACTATATTATCTTGTGCAAATTTACCATCACAAACCACCACTTTAGTTTATATCATCTATGTCAATTATGAGTATGGCTTTCTATCTGTTTAATTTCTATAAGTTTATTATGGGATCTGTTTTAGATTTTGAATAGTAGAAAGGTCGTAGTTAGTAATAAGGTCTCCAGTAATGAAAGATAGACAGAGTTGTACCATACATAAACATATAATGTTCAGAATGAAGGTTTTTAAATCCTAGTCCAGAGAGGGACAATGGTGATTTCTTTCGTACGATGCTTGCTTTAATCCACAAATGCTTTTGTTAAGACATATCCCAGTAAATCATCACTTGTATACCATTTTATTGTTGTAGATATATATTTCTTCGAGGAGACTGACAAACAGCAAATATATTCTGGGTGATTGTTCTTTTATACGACTAGGAAACTCAACTTTGTCGCCGATTTTGACTGTCTAGCTAAGACATGTTTATTAATTCTAATTGAGTTATATTATGAATAGAAAATCTAAATACCAAGATGTTTACAATTAAAAAAAAAGTATCAAGTGTACAAGAATGTTAAAGCCATTAAGATTAAAAAAAAACCTAAATCTAAAGAATCATTCTTGAAACAATGCTTGAACCAGGATTTCCTTTGTTGAAAGAATATATAACTCGATCTAATGGTACAGGAAACCAACTGTATTATTCCAAAAGAGTTTGACAAGGTTTCTATGTGAAAACACTATTTTTCGCTGTTGTAAGTTAGAATTTTATCAAAAACAACAAACTTGGGTTCATCCAAGGCGGTAAGGGACGTATCTTTAGACAATGATGACAATACCTTCATAATTTTCATCCTGAGAAGTTCTAGCTTGAATATTTCTGTTACAATATAAAGACATATTCTCCCAAAAAAAAAGGTACAAAGCAGACATTCTTTTTCTGTTAACATTTCTTCAGGTGTGTTGTTACAACCTACCCAACGGATAGATATTTATGGGCACGGTCCTGTTAAAAATAACGTATACACATGTTACCATGTTGGTTGTGAGAAACAAAAAAACTACAAATAGCTCCCAGGTATCAGAGGTTATATTAAGACTTGTCTCAATCCAGGCAGTACAATGAAAGCAGAATTTTCAAAGCCAAAAGTAGATTGGTACTGGACTAGTCTTGATGGAAATAAAAGGATTACATGTATATACAAATGTTGCAAACAACAGATCAGTAGTCGTACTGATGTTTGAAAACATTTCCAATTTTATTTATGCACTGATCCTGAAAGACGCATGTTTCCAAGTACAACTTCGGATCAATATTGGCAACGTCTGTATCACAATAAATTATTTGCATGTACATGTGGAGCTTATGGGACTCGGTGTAGTCGTCTATGGGGCTTTGAAAGACTTGTCACGCATAATTCAAGTGGAGAACTTTCATCTAAAGGAAATTCTCAATCGTCAGCATGCTTCTCAATATATTTGTCCATTTATCAGTGAAGCCGTTTCGAGTCAAATTGGTAGTTTGGTGGCACGATGCGCTGCGCATTGTAAAAGAAAGAATTTTAGCGCACTTTCCTAATTGGGAAATACGCGCGGGATTTCACTGGGATCGGTGGGGCATTGAATATTTCCCGGTCTATATATATTCAACAAAGATTGCCAGTTATTTGCCTTGTTTTTTGTATTATTTCCACAAAGCTCCCCCAAAATGGCTCCTAAATTAAAGAATCCAGAATTACTTTGCATCAAACCATTCATCAATGGGAAATGGTACGACTCCAAATCTAGCAAAACCTTTGATGTATTTGATCCAGCCACCGAAGAGCTTATAATCACCCTTCCTGACCAGACCCCCGAGGAAATTGATGAAGCAATTCAATTGACCCATGATGCCTTTGTACAATACAAGCATACCTCTCCCTATGAACGAGCCAAATGGTTGCGTAACATGCATCAACTTATGCTTGAAAACTTGGATGATTTGGCAACTTTAATTACTTGGGAAAATGGTAAAGCCCTTTGTGATGCTATCGGTGAAGTCAAATATGCTGCTAGTTATTTCGAATGGTTTGCTGAAGAAGCTAAGAGAATGTATGGTCATACTATCCAACCCCTGAATCCAAGCAATAAAGTGATGACTTTAAAGCAACCAGTTGGGGCTGTTGGTTTACTTTGTCCATTTAATTTCCCACTGGCCATGGGTGCAAGAAAGGCTGCTCCTGCATTAGCCGCTGGGTGTACCTGTGTCTTGAAACCAGATGCCCAGACGCCATTGAGTTCTCTTGCATTGGCATATTTGGCCAAGAAGGCTGGATTTCCTGATGGTGTGTTCAATGTTGTATTGGTTAGTGTGGAAAACACACCAATGGTTGGATCAAAATTCTGTGAACTGAAGTTGATTAAGAAGATTAGTTTCACTGGATCTACACCAGTAGGTAAGTTACTCATGAAACAAAGTTCCTCGACTTTAAAGAAGCTTTCTATGGAATTAGGTGGTAATGCTCCAATCATTGTCTTTGACGATGCCAAATTGGATATTGCAGTTGAACAATCGATTGCATCCAAGTTTAGATCTCTTGGACAAACATGTGTCTGTGCTAATAGAATCTACGTGCAAGAAAAAGTATATGATGAATTCTGTGAGAAGTTTGCTGCAAAAGTTCGTCAATTCAAGATCGGTAATGGTTTTGAACCCGGGGTAACTCATGCATGTGTCATTAATCAAAAGTCTATTGAAAAAGTTGAAACTCATTTGCAAGATGCTTTGGATAAAGGTGCTAAGTTGATTGTCCCCGGTGGTAGATTACCTGAATTGGGTAAGAACTTCTATGCTCCTACTGTTATCAAGGATGTTACTCAAGATATGAGAGTTGTTCAAGAAGAAACTTTCGGTCCATTGGGAGCAATTATCAAGTTCAGCACTAAGGAAGAAGTATTGCATTGGTGTAATGATACTCCATTTGGTCTTGCATCATATGTCTTCTCTGAAAATTTGAATAACGTTTGGTACATGTCTGAATACTTGGAAACTGGTATGGTTTCTGTAAATACTGGATTGTTTACTGATGCCGCATTACCATTTGGTGGGGTTAAAGAATCTGGTTTTGGTAGAGAAGGTTCACTTTATGGTGTTGACGATTATACCGTGATTAAATCAATTACTTTGGGTAATGTATATCACTATGTATAGAATATTACATATAAATAGAATACAACTTGAGTTAGATCTAATTGCAGTTGCTTACACGCTGGTTGGATTGTAAAACAAATCTATCATTGGGCACACACACACACACGCACACACTTAATCCTTATACTTTTCAATAAATTGCTTGTGGAACTTGGTCCATCTATCAATCCATTCTTGGCCAGGAGGTAAGAAAGTGGTTCTTAAATGGTAAGTACCTGGTTTTTGACCAAACCCATTACCAGGAATACAACAAATACCAGTGTTTTCCAAAAGTTCAACACAGTAAATATCATCAATGCCCAAGTCTGAATTCTTAGCTCTAGAATACAATTTATGGTATTTTTCTTCATCAAAAGTCAACAGAGGGAACAAGTACATGGCACCCATTGGCTTATTACACTCAATGTTTTCCATTTCCAAGAATGCATGATATAATAAATCAGCTCTTTTTTCCAAATCATTGTGAATGGCCTTGGTCTCAGCTTTGTATAATTCATAAGATTCATCACCAGCTTTAGGTGGGTTGATCATCAATTCCATCAATGCTTGACCCGAAACAACGGAACAAAGGTTGATGGATGCCAATTTGAAGACAATATCTCTAACTTCGGTATTGAACCCGACTAATTCCATGTATCCCCCTCTTTGACCACATTCACCAGAAACACCCTTGGAAGTCGAGTGTAAAGATGCTAATTGCACGTGCTGATAAGTTTCTGGTTCCATTTCCAATAATTCGCAAAGAACACGCTTGAATGAAATGAATTTACCCTTGAAAATGTTTTCTTGGTAAACTTCATCGGCAATCAATACCAAACCATATTCGGCAGCAATATCAATGATTTCAATCATATCTTGAGGAGACAAGATGGAACCAGTAGGGTTACCTGGGTTAATAACGACTAATGCCTTAATGTTAATTCCTTCATCTTGGTTCTTCTTGATCAATTCTCTAATTTCTTCTGGGTTGGTTGACCAATGGTTTGATTCATCCAAGTAATAACCGATTGGCTTGGCATTGTTAAGAGCAATTGTAGCGGTATATAATGGATATTGCGGAATAGGAATAAGGAAACCTGAATTTGGATCAGCAGACAAGATTTGGATTAAATATGACACAGCGGTGGAGGCACCTGAGGTTAAGAACAAATTGTGGGGATTGGAAGGATATCCGTCTCTGCGTTCAATGAAATCAGCAATTGACTTTCTGAAATAAGCGGCACCTTGTGAATGACTGTATGCCCCCAAGGAACCAATACTCTCAAGAATGGTCTTGGCACGTTCTACCACATCCTTAGGGTAATCAACATTGGTTTCCAAAATGCCTGGATATTGTAAAATGGATAACACTTGACGGTACCAAGTTAATGGACGTTGATCTAACTGTTGTGGGTTACCAATGTTGGCATTGATAATCTTATTGAACGGCAATCCATGAGATTGTGGTTGAGATTTGATCAAATCTTGAAGACCATCTGCAATGATAGGGATCTTACCTCTAACTGCGTACTTAGCAGTAACGGTATTTGGGTTTATATCATGAATAGTTAATGGATCGGCTGGTTTGAATGTCGACAATGCACGTGAGATCTGGGTTGAGCTAGGAGACATCTTGCAACCAACAAATGATCTCAAGATCTTGCTAGTGATGGGTGATACTCGTGATGAATGGATCAACATTGTGGACAACTTGTACAGAGTTTTTTTATATGATGCAATGTCCTGTAAAAAGGGTTAAACCAAAAGATTGTTTGATATCCAACCACCAAAGGTTTAAAGTCAAAATGAAAAGGAAAAGTGGAGTAAAAAATCCAAAAGGAAAAAGTGAGTTGATTTTTGTTTCGTGTGAGAAGAAATTTGGTGGGGATTTAAATAAAAAAAAATTGTTTTTCTTGTTCGTAGCCGTGGGGAGGGAACAAACGGTCGGAGTGAGATGAGACAAAGTCCGTATTGCCTTACGTGAGGCACATTGACTCAAACGCAGAAGGCCATACAAAATTAGATCTTAATAATAATAATAATAAAAATGAACCAACAGTAAGCCACAAGAAGAGGAAGATCTGCTCCCGGAGATTCATCTCCGACACATGTATTACTGGTGAATCTTTTTCGGCAATTGACGGAGTTTGGTTCAACTTTTTACGATTTGTGATGCAAAAACGGATCCACATCTCCGAGATGCCTTACCGGTTTTGCTATCTGTCTGCACTGTCCATCAGACGAAGAGAGGGGACAATTCTAAACAGAAACTTTCAATTTTTTTTTCAACTTAACGATTTACTAATCTACTCTTATCTTAATTGATTATTTTACGCAAAAATTAATTAAACTTTCGCACAAAAAAATAAGAGGGGAAAGATATCAGATGAAATCGAAGATGGGGGGAGCCTCAAGATGCAATTGGTTTTAAGCACTGGTGTTTTTGATCATGCGAATCAAGATTCATTACATTAATTAATGATCCAGTGAACGTCCCCCCCCCCCCCTGGACGTTGATTCAAGACATGTCTGAGCGCTTAAACTATTAATTTCTCTCCCGATATAACCATCTCGAGATTTAATTTTAACTTTAATCTAGATTTTGTTGATATGCCTATTTCATCTTATTATAGCATATTTTCTTACCTGTTCTAGGCCAATGCCCGTATGTACCGTATTAGTCAAGGTACTCTCCTATACAGTCAACAAATATATCTTATCTTTATGGTATAGTAGAAATACCAATCAGTTATAACTGGCTACCGCTTCTGTGTCTGGTTGTTAGGCTTGGGCTGTTTCAATTGTTAAGAGATATATTTCACAAAGCATATGCAGGATCTTGGTACATGAAATTTCGTGATATTTCTTCTGCTTACGGCGCTACCATTTGAGTGGAAATTATGGGACGTAGTTGAGATGGTTTCTCTTCAGAAGTCCAATATTCTGTATCTAAGCTAGATATTGGTCTAATACAACTTCCATATGTTCCGGTTTTTGTCAAGAAAAACTAGATTGAAAGTAGGAAATTTTCTTGCAATGCATTGATCATGAGATTTCTGATACAGAAACAATTTCCAACTACTACAAAATAAGACAGTGTTTTACTGGGAAGGTCGTGGAATATTTTATCATATCCACTATCTAACCTGTTTTTCTTGGTATAATAAAAAACGTCATTCTTCTAACGTCAAACCGTTGGTATCTACATAGCCACCTTTATTATAAAAACGCAATACTTGCGCAAAACTAAATACGTCATGACTGAAAAATTGACGATTTTCCGGAAAATTTCTCTTGAAAATTAATCAAGTTCATCTGCCTGTAAAAAAAACGTTCCCTCGATTTTTTAATCTTGCTTGGTTGCTGTGAAACACAGGGTGTTGATTCACTACTTGACGACATGCCAAACCATGCAATAACATGTGAGAAAATCATAGTCGATTTGGGCCTTTCACATGTGATGAGCTGTGTACATTTCGAAGTTGAAACGGTCATCTGACTATGGGTATTTTCATTTTTTTTTTTTTTCGCAGTTAGTTTTTGTATAAATTAGTGGTCATCCTGATAAATCTTTACCTATTCCAATTACTTAAACTGGGTATAAATTTATGCAGACTTACAAGATTTGATTTAAAGTTTTTATTGTACATAGATGTAGAGCATGTGTAGATGAATCGATATCTTATTAAAATAGAAGAAAGTTTAATTTGTGCCTACTTGTTATGGAACCATTTAAAGAATCTATAAATGGATTTTAGGTATGCATGATTACTTTTTTTTTTTAAAGCTTAGATTATCATAGTTTTTTTGCAACTATATCCTTGGAAAATTAGCGAGTGGCTAATTCCGGAGTTGCTTCCGAAGCGTACGTGACTGCCATAACAGGTGAAAGAGAAACTGCGGAACTGGTTGCGGGAACTATTATTTTCTTACAATTTTGATAATTTGTTCAAGTTACTATTGCTGACAGCAAAGGTAGGCAGCAAGAATTGTACCACCTGGCCAAGAATTTATACGAGTTCTTTGTTATATATTTAAATCTTCGTGTCGATCTTGGCTGTGAACAAACAATTTCCAAATCTAAATTTTCTGTGGTTTACATCATCGTTATTATTTTAATTCGCACGGTATGCTTTGCCAGATGTGTCCGGCAAGCAAAAAAAAAAAGAAATAGCAAAAAAATAATATTTTTTTTTGGTCCAGATTGTGATGTATTGTGAGGCATTGTTTATTTGCTTCTGTTATAAGTTATCTTGTGGAGATGTGGGCATTTTATATTTTTTCAAATATGTGGCATGTTTAATTTCAGTTATAACATCACTCGTACGTTTTAATTAGACGACGGGTAGAACAAACGTCCGTTTATCATCATCTACACGTTACTACATACCTCCCCCCTCCTCTGCCATTGCTAGGTACTTTCCCCACTATCCGGGTGGGATACACGCGGGTCGATATTATTGAAAAAAAAAGTATCCGCGCGATGCAATGTGTGACGTTAGAGCGTCATTCCATTATTGCTTGCGAACCCAAATAAATAATAAAAAGAAATAGAATCTAATTAATTATTGTTATGCATCTAGAACTGGCATCTAATGTTTATGTTAGCTGCATAATGAGCCATGTTTAGTCTAAGTTTACTCCTTTTCCAGTATGCCCTAAATAAAAAAATATAAAAATTAAATAAAAATAAAAACCTTGATTGCCCAGGGGGATGTGGGTTAATATATAAATCACAGTTTTTTCTCTTCTAATATTTTTACTTCTTGATTTGGTTTCGGTTACTTTACTTCATAATAATACCTTGCATTTTACTACAAAGTTGACTTCGATAATATAATACCTACCATTTATTTTGGTTCATAATGTCACGCAAATGTTCATTGGCCATAGAGTCGCCCATGGAAACCAATGGGTCAAACTACCCCTTGAATGCATTCCTCGTTTATAATAACCCCGTGGCAGTATCACCATGCTCGTCGACTTCGTCATGTAGCTCTTCTCCAAATGCTTCCGCCATGGTGATTGCCGATAACAGTTCTCCCCCTCCTCCCCATCGTCATAATCATAGTCATCATTTACAGCATCGTCTACACCATGGAATGAGTCGTCGTCATAGCAGTCTTGGAAATGGCCCCGTAAAATCACATTCGCTTCCTAATTTGAATCTGGAAGATAACTATACCCACCACTTGGGCAATCGCCGAATTTCCATTTGTGATTTGAATAATTTTAATGATGAAGTATACAACGTCTGTTCCAATCATTATAGCAACCTCAGTACTTCTGATTTAACCAAACCAGATGATAACTCCAGGATTCCGGGTGGTGACAATAATATGATTCAAATTGACAAGCTGTTGCATTCGTTTAAGTTCAGGAATCATAAACGGCGAAACTCCATCGCTTTGAGGTTTGAAGCACCTAAAGTATTATAGAGATTTTTATTTAGTTTGATTCGGGGGCTTATTTTTAAATTTGGGTAACGTGTATGTGTGTGTGTTTGTGTGTTTTTATTAGTTTTAGGTACATACATAATAATGGCATTCTTTTTTTGTATCTCAACCAGATCCGTAGTATAATGTGTCTATAAACCTGTTACGGAAATGCCAGTGACTATCTAAGAACCCTTCTTTATTATACCACATGTTGCTTGGTTCCATACTGGATAATTTTCCAATAACGATATTGATCTTGGGAAATACGTTGACTATTCGTCTAATACCAATTTCAGTAGCGAGATAGCATACCAAAATGATATCGTCTTCTTCAACTTTATGATCGAGCAATACTTGAATGGCCATAATTGCACCCGCCCCACTTATAATCTGGGAATCAAATAACAAGATCTTCGATTCGTACTCATTTATATTTGCAGGAAGTGATTCAAAATGTAATTGAGGTTCACCTGTGGTTGAATCACTTTGAATCAAGAGCTTGCCAAGCTTGATATCAGCAAAACATTTCTTGATTGACTTCATAAATGTGTCACCACTCTGCATTACTGTTATGGCAATATAGTCTTGATTCATCCGAAGTCCATTGTACGACATGTTGTTCCCGGTAGGTATAATTTCATCTGTGTATTCATTAAAGAATTGTTGTGCTACTTCAATAAGTAACACTGACATTCTATCCATGTAGAAGATAAAGTCACTTCTAGAAGTATTTTCGCTAAACAAGATCGAATTAATCCCTCTCACTTGATTAGTATCGGCCAAAATCTTGATATTGTATTTGTCTACTTCAAACTTCATATCCACACCCAATTGCTTCAAATGCAACAAATGGTTGCGTGATTTCAACGCAAGCTGTTTCTTAATATGGTTAATCATCAACTCTATCGCGATAGAATTGTCCAATCCTCGCGGGATGATCAAATCAGCGTTTTTCATCGTGGGATTGACAAACTTGACCGCATTAGGTTTAACAAATTTCTCCCACTGCTTAATCGCTCCTGGTAAATCTCGACCTCGATACAATATGTCTCGTGTTAGACGTCGCGCAAGGCATATATCCAAGTCTGTGTCCACGTAAATCTTCAAATCCATCATGTCCAACAATCGTTGGTCATACAACGCATACAATCCTTCGATGATGATCACATTGGCGCCGTAGATTATGTTAGTTTTCGAGGTACGATTATGCAAATTGAAGGAATACACTGGGATGGTTGCCCTTCCTCCATGCTTCAATTTGTCGATTGTAGCAACTAACAAATCCAAATCGAGGGAATTCGGATGGTCAAAGTCGAAATTGTTCGAGAATGCCAATACCCGTTCTTCCGGCAGGAGCGGGTTATAGAAATTATCAAACGAGATAAGGATAGTCCATGGCTGGTTTATCATATGAATGATTTGTTGCGAGATTGATGTCTTCCCCAGACCTGAGTTTCCAGCAATCCCGATAATGTAGGGTGTTGTCCAGGGTGGTATATACTTCAGGATAGCTTTATCGTCAATGTTACGATCGTGGTCAGCTATGAATGACGTAGTATTACCACCTTCAGGGGTTACTCTGCTTATACGGCCTCCATTACGTGGGGACATATTTGTGTGGATGTAGATTTAGTGAATGAAAGATAAGACAATTATTTTTTTTTGTTGTAACTGCAATTGTTATAGTGATGCCGTTATTTGTGAACATAATGAACATTCAATCAGGAAAAGGTGTGCGAAGAAGCCGACGCGAATTGTTCGGAGAGGATGGTCACAGTGATCACGAGGAAAACAACGTTTCTGTGATTTCTGAGCAACACGAGGTTACCCCACGTGAAGAAGTACCACAACCAAAACAAGATGAGCATCAACCGAGCCAACAACAACAACAACAACAACATCCAAGAAAGAAATCAAAGTATAATCAGCATAAATCTAGGGATCAATACGAGTACGCACTTCCTGAAGAACAATCAAAGAAATCATTACTCCGTCAAAACAAACAAACACAAAACACATCATGGGAAGTTGAACAATTCAATAGAGCCAGTCAACTTCCACTTGCCAACGAAGACAAAGTAACCGAGAATGCCAACGATTACGAATTTGTGTTTGATGAATCTCAGTTTGTCACTTATGATGAAGCAGATATACTACCTGGTGATGAAGACGACCAGGTAGCAAGTCCATCTTCTGCAAGCGATGAAATGGCTGAATTAAGAAAGAATCTTCCAGTATATGCCTATCGTCAAGATTTCCTCAACACACTTGAAACCAATCAAGTTCTTATTGTTGTTGGTGAGACTGGGTCAGGTAAAACTACTCAACTTCCTCAATACCTTTATGAAGCTGGTTACTCCAAGAACAATCTTGCTATAGCGTGTACGCAACCAAGACGAGTAGCGGCAACATCTATTGCCACCAGAGTAGCATATGAAATGAATGTGAAACTAGGCCAAGAAGTAGGGTATACTATTAGATTCGACGATAAATCATCCAAGGATACCGTGATCAAATACGTCACTGATGGTATGTTGCTTCGTGAATTCCTCACCGACCCACAATTGTCCCACTACAGTGCAATCATGATTGATGAAGCCCATGAACGTACTATTTCCACGGAAATTCTCCTTGGTTTACTCAAAGATATAACCGTGACTCGACCACAATTGAAGATTATAATTGCTAGTGCCACTATTAACGCCGAGAAGTTCTCGCTGTTTTTCAATAATGCTCCCATTTTGAATATCCCCGGAAGGAGATTCCCCGTGAAAATTCATTATACTAAACTGCCTGAGGCAAACTATATTCAGGCAGCATTAACTACGATTTTCCAGATTCATACCACACAAGAACTGGGTGACATACTTGTGTTTCTTACCGGTCAGGAGGAAATCGAAACTATGGAAGAAGCACTCAATGATTCGATTGATAAACTTGGAGATCAGATTGAACCCATGATGGTATGTAGCATTTATGCCAACATGGCCTCAGAAGTTCAATCCAAAATATTTGATCCACCACCTCAAGGCACCAGGAAGGTCGTACTCGCGACAAACATCGCCGAAACATCCATCACCATCGATGGAATCAAGTATGTTATCGATCCAGGGTATGTGAAACAAAACAAGTATAACCCAGGAACAGGTATGGAGAGTTTAGTAATTGTGCCATGTTCGCGCGCCAGTGCCGATCAAAGAGCAGGGAGAGCCGGGAGAATTGGGCCAGGCAAGTGTTTTAGATTGTTTACGAAATGGTGTTTTTATAATGAATTGGAAGCCAATCCGGTTCCGGAAATCTTGCGGACTAATTTGACGTCGGTGATTCTCTTGTTATTGTCACTCGGCATTAACGATTTATTGAAGTTTGAATTCATGGATCCTCCTTCCAAACAATCAATTATCAAAGCATTGGAGTTGTTGTATGCTTTAGGTGCATTGAATTCCCAGGGGAAGTTGACCAAGACTGGTCAAAAAATGACCGAGTTCCCACTTGATCCCATCTTAACTAAATGTATTTTAATGTCGTCGAAATTCGGAGTCACGATCCAGACATGCGCTATAATCGCCATGATCAGTGAATCGACAAACCTATTCTATAGACCCAAAGGGAAAGCAGAATTGGCCGATGCTAGAAAAGCCCAGTTTCATCATGATCTAGGTGATCATTTCACGCTACTTAATATCTGGCGGGCATGGAAAGATTATGGCTATTCCAAAGAGTGGTGTCGTGATTGTTTTATAAACTACAAGACATTACAACGAGCCAAGAATGTGTATGCACAATTAATCAGACTTTGTAGCAAAATAGGTGGAGCAGAAATGTTACAGGAGAACAAAGAGGACGAAGATCGAATGATTCAAAAGGCACTTATCAGTGGGTTCTTTATGAATGTATGTCGATTAAGCCGTATGGGTGATGGCTATGAAAGATTAAAAGGATCAACTGGTGGATGTTTCATTCATCCTAGCCTGGCATTGTACAAGACCAAACCAAAGTTGGTAATTTACTATGAATTGGTGTTGACTAGTAAAGAGTATATGAGATGTTGTAGTGTCGTTGATGACAAGTTGGTTAAAGAAATGGCGGGACATTACTATGTAAACAAATAGATTTATAGACTGCAAAAAAAGTATATGGATGCAACTAATCACAAGATTTTATAGTAGAAGAGTCAACTTAGTCATATTTAGACCGTACAGATTATGTGTCCCAAGTGTTGACACACAAGGCTTAATCCATAAGCGGATTTTTACCAAAGAGAAAAAATCGCCCCGAATGTTTTGTGAAAGAATCTAAGATTGATCCTAGTTGTCAGATCCAAGACAGAAGATAGCCCCCTCGTTTATTCTTGTGTTTATGTCAATGTAATACAGTGCCCTCCCCAAATCGGTAAAAAAAAAGTCTAGACACTTTAAGTTTAGCCGAAAGGAGTTGACTATATTTTGACTAAGCCTAAATACACGATGAATTTATGTAAACATAGGCAGGCGCCCACAAAAAATATTCGCGTCAGAAAATTTTTATTGCCAAAAATAAATTAAGATTTATTTTAGGTTCATTCGCACGACATGTTTCACATCCATACTGCAACGTGTGTGGAAATTAATTCTTTTTTTTTTTGCCTTTTCTTGGCAATCTTTTTTTCTTTCTTTTTCAAAGTGGTGGTCAAGTTAAGTCTGTCTCCTTACCACAATATAATTAGAAACCAGACACTTTTTTTTTGAGCTGGGTCTTTCTTTATCGACTTATTCCACAGTATTACTATCCAACTACATTCTCTTATACACATACTCCCACCTAGCCTTTCGTTAATACCATCTACACATACAACTTATACCTAATACGAAACGTCATGAAATACCTATATAAAACGCTCATACTATTCCTTGCCGTGATATCACTAGTGAAGTCAGACGATGCACCATCACTGCTTATTGGTTGTTTTGGAAGTGCCAGTGGGCAAAACAAAGGAAGTTATGAATATCAAACGTCGTCCTATTGTTCAAAGCAGTGTTCAAATTCCCAGTATATTGCCGTTAAGGGACAGCAGTGTATCTGTTTGGACAGTTTGCCCTCTAACAAGGTTAGTAATAGTCAATGTTCTACCCCTTGTCCTGGGTATGGGACGCAAAATTGTGGTGGAAATAACGCATATTCCGTATTCCAAGGACCTAAGTATAATGCTGATGATTCACCCAATTCTGAATCAAGCGACGCGCCAAGTTCAAGTACCAGTGACACCAGCAGCAGTGTCACTTCTCCACCTACGCTGAGTAGCACCGGTCACTCGTATCTGACCACAACCTCACTGGGATCAGTCATTGTCAAGACAATCACTAAGGATTCCCCCACTCCTACCGAAACCGAAGACGCAGAAACTAGTACTGCCACGGATGGCAACAAGGACAATAAGAAGAAAGAATCAAAGACTAATGTCGGCGCAATTGCTGGTGGTGTAGTCGGAGGTGTACTTGGGGCAGGGTTAATTGGAGCCCTCATAGTTTTATGGCTTAAGAAGAGAAATGACGATGATGATTATGACGAAGAAGAATTTTTTGAACAAAAACCAATGTCAAGACATCATGGATCTACCAGAGGCACCAGAAGAAACAAGAATCCTTTGGACATGCCCATGTCTAATCCGTTTGTTGACCCTCATGAAAGAACGAACGAATCAGCATTTGTTGATCCACGGGTTAATCCAATTATGATGGGACGTAGACGTTTAAGTGAGGGCTCATTGGTTGACGCGGCTGATTATTCGCGGAAGGTATTGCAAGTTGCTAATCCAGATCTGTAAGTGGGTTTAAAGTTGGGTGTTTAAAATACGGGTTATTCTTTTTTTTTCTTTATAGCGGTTTACATTGTTTGTAGTGTTTTTTAAATGTCATATTTATTTACGTTCTAATGATTTGTGGTAATTACTACTGAACATGGGATCCACCGAGTTGGACAATAGTAGTTAGCTTGCGCTGGTTAAGAATTAAAGTTACACATAACCATGTGTTGCCAGGCGGGGGCTCATTTTGACACTGTGGTGGCGAGATATCACTCCACCCGACAATAATCAATAACGTTCTACTAGCTAATGCATAAGCCAGCCCCCTCTCCTAAGTACTTCGATACATACTAGTGAAAGTAAATCTCCTACACCAGATATATTCCTGTTGTAAGCTACTTCTTATTTTCCTTATCTGGAAACTGACAGTCCGACTTTCGCACCCTTAAATTTGTAGGCACAGTTAAGAAAAAAAGATGACAAAAGAAAAACCACATATTTCTAAACGATTCGATTCTATTTCTAAACAACTCCACGTAATACAACAATAATAAACACATATCGATGAGTTATGAAAGGGTATGTCTGAAAATCTCCTACCAATGATTTATTGAAACATTCATTACTAACAATCTTCTTTAGATACCCTCTGAAGCAAACAACGAGATATTATTTGAGTCGTTTGAACAGGGTCAACAGGAAGACGACACTAGACTAACCCTGTCCAGTTCAGAAAGCACCCCTAGTCTACAAGAAACTACACACACCAGTTCCCAACGAGAACCACAACTACATGAATCGTCATCAAGCTTAACCGCAGACTTGGAGGCTGGGTTTACAACCGATACCACCCACGCCACTACTGTCCGTACGAGAATAATACGCTTCTTCAACGCTATTGTCCCCATAAGGCAAACTTACGAACGTATAAACAATGGATTAACTACAGGACGCATGCAACTGAACCAACCAGGGAGATTTATTGGCCAAGGGACTGACGGAGTATTCCGGAATCTTGCAGCAAAACCAGATACTGAAGCTAGCTTACAATTGAAAGAAACAAATCCACCCTCATACGAAGAAGCTGCAGCTGATTCTGCACCAGAATACTGGGAATCACTGGTGATTTCGCCCATGTATGAAGATGAAGTGTTTGTTGAAGGTTTGCCTGTGGGTAACATAGCTAATTTTGTCTGGAACGCCTTGGTTACTATTGCCTTCCAGTTTGTCGGGTTTGTATTGTGTTATTTATTACATACCAGTCATGCTGCAAAGCATGGACTGAGGGCAGGTTTGGGAATAACGTTGATCATGTATGGTTGGTCCATTGTGCCTACTAATTTCGGTCATCCTGATAAAGTGCCGCTGAGATTCATACCGCAAGATCCGAACTCATTTGATATTGACAAGTCCTCCAGAATCGGTGGGAAGATTGACAACTATACACCCACAGGGGTATTTGTTCAGAATGATGAGGTTGTTCAGGATTCTGGTAATGCTCCATATGTAGCGTATGGACTTGTTGCCTTTGGATTATTTATAATCATCAAGAGTTTGATTGATTATTACCGAGTTAAAAAGACAGAAAGAGCTATATTGTCCCCACGAGTAGAAGCCGCTGCTGCTGCGGCAGCGGCAGCAACAGCCACCACTACCACTACTACTACTGCTGCTGCTACCACAACCACCAATGAAAGCACATCACCAGAACCCCAACAAGTATAGAACATATAAATAGAACTATTAATGTATTATTTTCTATATTCGTTATTTATCCCATCAATACTAACATCTTTTCATAAATAGTAAATACAATACCTCCACTCAATACCAATCTTCCTAATCTTGGAGTAGCACCTTTCCAGAAAGTTAACAATCCTTCTTGTTTGAAAATCTTGACAAAACAATCAATCGTGCTCTTGTATAACTTATCAGCACCCAATGCTTGCATTCTCGTCTTGACTGTGTCTATAGGCATGGTAGTGTAAACAGTGATGATACCAGCAAAGGACCCAACTGCGAAAGTGGCGCCTGAATTCAAAGGATCAGTAGGCTTTTGACCCTGGGCTTGCTGAATCATGGTTTTAATAGCATTATAACTACCCAATCTGACGGCTTGGTTAGAAGCTTGTCTTAAACTTACAGGGACAACACCGGCATAAATTCCTTTGAATCCCATATCTTTGACTAGTTTAACAGTTCCTGATACCAACCCATTTTGATATTTAGGTTTAGCTGTTTGTTTATCATCAATCAATGCCGTCTTAATGGCTTCAAATGGAGTCACGGCAATGACACTCTCCAATAACCCGGCACCTAACCCGGCAATCACACCTCTCGGTCCACTCAATTTTCCATTCTTATCCGCAAGCAAGGCCTTGATGGAATCAAACCCAAGGAATCGTACTGACGCCTTGACAGTGTTACCCACCACGAAAGCGGGACAGCCTACGTATAATGCCAGAACACCTTGAGTTTTGGCAATTGTGTAGATAAGAACAAGTGGATTACGTGAAGTGATGGCGGATTTCAGCACGAGTTGAAGTCTAGTTTTAGCGAATTCAAATGGATATGTGATGACACCTTCGACTGCACCGGCTGTACCTCCGGCAATAAACGATTTGAATGGATCTACTTTCTAAGATCATGTTAGTATTTGCATTATATATATATATTATGCAATTGACATACTTTATCGGATTTACTCATGGTTAGATATGGCTATGGATATAGATCTGGTGAAAGTTTTCAGATTTTTCAGTCTTTTTTTTTATTGTCCGTTATCGCTCCACAGTTGACTCATTTGCGCAATGCCGCAAAATTTAAGTTTGGTGATGCAAAACCGTACGATACTTACACACATACTCTCTCTCTCTCTCTCTCTTTGCTAATTTGTTTATTCTACAATATAATACAAAGCTATCTTAATCTAATAGTCACGAGCAACTTCCCTTGCACAGGATCGTGTTCATACTCTACCATGTCTTCGTTCACTTCAATTTCAGGTGTAGGTGGTTTATAATCGGGGTTCCTAATTTGAGTTCGATTGATGTATATCTCATTGTGTTCAAACACGTCCGGAACACCTAGATCAACTGCACCTGGTAAAATAGCCGATGGCGCAGGAGTTCTGAACGTCTTGGGCAAATCAGTTAAATCAGGCAATGGCGGACCACCACGTCCTGCATGGGCTGCAATACGACGTGAGGTTGTACCACGCGGTTGTTGTGCTTGCATCAGTAAAATGTCTTCGTTGTAATTATGACGCCTTTTTCTTCTACTGTCACGCTCAATCTCCTTATCGAGTCTTTCAACTTCAAGTTGAGTGAGTTTGATTACTGATGGGGAGAAGTCTGCCACATTGGCAGGATTTCTCAAAATCGAAAAGAAATCATCGACAACGGTATAATCGGGAGACACAAGCCTCAATGATGGCAACAAATGATTTCTGATTTCATCTTCATGAACTGGACCACCATCATAATTGTATCCCACCAAGTTTAACGCCTTGTGGTAAAATTGCATTTGTTCACGAATAGTGTGTGCTATTGAAGTTGTGAATTCTCCAGGAAGACAAAGTTCATCACACATCATCATGGCAAATTCTTCAGGGTCTCCTTCGTGGTAGTTCAAGATATCCCACTCAAATTGGTCAATTAATTGAGTGTTGTTTATAGTTACTTCAACTTTAATAGGAACTCTGATTTCTCCCATTGTTCGCACGGGTTTTTTCAGATAATCACTGATTTGTTCTTTTATCGCCAGACAAATTATATCAAAGTATCCTTTGGGTATGAATTTGTAATCTTCAATCAATTGTTTGGTAAATGTTTCCACGGTCATATTTTCTTCATTTAAATCCCATACAAACGTATCTCTCAACTTAAATCTGTCTCGTTCTTGATCAAAGTCTAATCGTATAGGAACATAATGCTTAGGCTTCTTATTGTTCTTCATAACACGCTCATTGATAGTTCTGTCAGTTAAATCTCTTTCAGGAAGAATTAATTTGGTGGAGCTGTTAGTTATTCCATTACCATAGCCCTGATAACCTTCACCCCAAATACTATTATTGAATTGATTCTTATTGCTCATATTAATTGAGTTCATTCGCAATTGTTTCACATGATTGTATGCTTGTATATCACGACTCATTCCCTCTAATGTCTGTTTATTATTATTCATTTGTTGTGACAACTTCATCATAAACTCGGAATCCTTACGAACCATGGTCTCATATACTTCAACATCCAACGGAACCTCTTTATCTTCCGCCTTGAGTTTATCCGACCATTCATGGAAACTGGTGAGTGCCTTCATGGATACCTTGCTGGCAATCTCGGGAGGAATGCCACCGGTGGTTGGGACTACCGGTGTTGGGATCATACCACCCGGGGTGCTCAACCCTGGTGTAACGCCAGGTGCAACTGCAACACCAGGAGGTATGACATTAGGCAGCATGCTTGGCATACCAGGAGTAGGAAGTCCATCAGCAGAAGGTGGAGGGATGGCATTGACAGGAATAGGTCCATTTCCAGGCAAACCTCCAGGAATGGCGCCTGGCACTCCACCAGCACCAACAGGAGGCATGCCACCAACACCCCCTACTCCGCCAATAGGAACATTCCCCATCATTGGTTGAGCTCCAGGAGGCATCACCATACCTGGCATTCGTTTGTTCATGAGGTTGGCAGGTATTTGTTGAGGTTGTGCTTGTGGAGGAACACCCATTCCTTGCGGTGACATTTGAACTTGCTGAGCTTGTCTATACATCTGCGCTTGATTGGGTTGCTGGGGAACTTGTTGTGGTTGTTGCTGTTGTTGTCCTGGAGCCATCCCCATACGTTGAGACATTTGTTGTTGTTGTTGCTGTTGTTGCTGCTGTTGTTGTTGGTTTATCAACATTTGTTGTTTCAACATCTGTTCTCTGGTCATTTGTTGAGGTGGAACTTGTTGAGGTACTTGTCCGAGTTGTCCTCTCTGCTGTTGTTGTAATGCAAGCATTGCTTGTTGTCTTTGTACATATTGTCTCATTATGTCAGCAAATTGTGGATGGTTCTTGAATTGTTCTAGTTGTTGTGGTGTGAGCCGTGAGAGCATCTGTGCATTAATTCCACCTGGCATTCCACCACGACCCTGTTGTGGTTGTTGTGGGTTATTCATCGGTGGCTGGTTTGATCCACCTGGTTGCTGATTGTAATTCATTTGGGGGGGGGGGGTGGGTGTGGTCTTAATCCTGCTGTTTGTTTGTTGTCTGTTTTTTTTCCAGTTTGTATCGTTTGCTGGTTAAGGCTTTTTTTAAAAATGAAGATTTTGGTAGACACACGAAAATTCAATTACTGCAAAATAATTTTGCTCTATTCTATTTATATTTAATTATACAATAACAAACTATCGAGCCATAAACTCAAAGATTGATCCCATGTTAACATATCTACGACCACATTCAGCTAAATATTTCTGAACCACAGCTTGACAATAACCAAACATCTCACTATTTTGTTCCGCCAAAGCATTCACTTGTCCCTGCGCCAATGGAGCTTGTTTCTTCTCGCCATTATCATTATCTTCTTCTTCTTCTTCAATAGGCCTTAATTGATTCTTCTTTGCCTTGTCAATATTGAAAATAGAATCAAAATACAACAATTGATTATACAATGCCTTATCACTGTATCTATATCTCATAACACCTTTACAATCCATGGCTTTACCACTACTACCGATACATCTTCTTCCATATACCGATATTTGTCTCGTCATGATACCACATGCAGGATCATCACAAATCAACCAACCGCTATAGTAAAGAGCAATGTGGTGTCTTATAGCCTGTTCCAATTGCGCTGTGAGTTTCAACACTGAGAAAGTGTGGTCACATTTAAGACATGTAACACCATTGAAGCTGACCTTATAGTCCTTGGAAGCAACAATACCACCAAAACGGAATGAGTGTCCACATTTACACTTGAGAACCAAGTAACTACTTTGTCTGAAACGTTCGCTGTCGGAAATATTGGATTCTAAAGGCGCAATTTCTCCATTTGGACCATCGCTGTTTCTTACTCGAAGAATATATTTCTTGGTGTCAATGCCTAAACTGGTGGCAACCCTCATCATATCCACCCCTTCAATTCTCTCCAATAATCTTTCAACTGGAGCGAAGATTTGTTTTTCCAAGTAGTACATTGCATCAGGCTTGTATTTGTCCTTGTTGGTGATCACTTCTTGGATAGATCTTGCACGTTCACTTGCAGTAGACTTATCACTGTCATCTGCAGGAGAAGTGATAACATAAGTCACCACATTACCTGCTTTAATAACTTTACCTTGCTTTCTTAATCTTAATGCTACTTGAACTTGAGGCATGGATTTCCCATTAGGGTAATTGGCTGGATCTTTGGAAAGTCTAGTGTTGATCTTGAATTTATCCATGAGTATCTCATTAGATATGATCTTATTCTTTTGATCTTCCAAATAATCGTAGATTTCAGAAAGTGCTTGTTCAGGATCCATATTAGAAAGAATCTTCATCAATACAAAAGTAGAAATATCCTTGGAAAGTTGACAATACTCACGACGTCTCATATCTAACCCTTTAACTTCAAGAGAGGTACTTTCAACGCCATTTTTAATAGAAACATTCATGGCGGCATACTTCTTCTTGGCATGCAACAACAATCGCTTGAACACATTATCAATATCAATTTCCAATAATCTGTATCTTTCATTAACTTGAATCTTGAATTCTTCACCAACTTTAAGAGCATGTTGGAAATTATCAGCACCAGTGTCAATCATGACCGAATCGGTATCACCATAAACAACTCTTAATCCTGAAGACTCGGCCAATTGTCTGGTATCCATCAAGATTTCTCTACCTTTATTAGTAACCAACATAGCCAATGGCTTAGCATAGAACCTGGAATTTACATAACCTAAACAACCATACATGGAGTTAGCAGTCAATTTCAAAGCTTGTTGTTTAATATCATATTGAGCTCTTTGGAAAGGAGTATTCTTTGGGTCCTTCAACAATTTCTTGACTTCACGACGACGAGACACTAAAGTGTTAAGTAATCTTGGTAAGACACCAGGTTCAGATTCACGTTCAGGAAGTACTGGCAAATCACGATCTTCGTCATGGGATACATTAAACCTGTCTCTGTCCACGGTAGTGAAACAAATATTGAATTCTTGGATAATACTAGGATACAAGGAGTTGAAATCCATAACCAAAATATAGTTCTTGTGCAATCCCTTTTCTGGTTCAAACACTAACCCACCTTGATACTTTGGCTTCTTGTTGGAAGTAGCTGTTGTTGCATCATCATCAATATTCTCCAATCTGGCTTCTTGGTTGTATGAAGTGTTCTTGTGGGTTTGATCTTGTTTGTCAGGAACGATATAATTATTTCTCTTGAATTCATGAACCAAAATATACTCGTTTCTACCAGCTCTTGTACCACTCAAGGTATGGCTCCATGCATTACCAGCAATATTCGTCAATTGCTTAGACAAGGATAAGATTTGAATAGCAAAAGCGATTTCTGCCGTGACCTTCACATTGAATTCATTTTCCTTCAATGCCATCAACAACATATGGGAATCTTCACTATAACCTGGTTGCATAAAGTTAATTTCTAAGGGAGCGTGCGTCTTTCCCAATACAACTTGGAACATTTCATGCAAATCCCAAGATTGACATTTCATAGTCAACGACTGACCCATTTCATTGGCAATATCACAAAGCAATCTCCCGGCGAAAATCTCTCTGATTAACAAATTGTTTGAAAATCCTGACCCTGACTTATTGATACTATGTGGCCATCTCTTTCTGTTTCTTCTTCCGAATGCCGACCAGGTTGTAACATTGTGGGCATGCATTCTGTGTACTAACACATCAAGGGAGATATTTTCTAAACGATGACCGATAAACACGTCTGGATCGTGACTTTTAACCATGGCTGCAAGACAATTAAGAAGAACTTTTTCATTGGGACATATTCTTAATTTTAAGCCTGTCTTGTTGGCAAGTTGTTGTAAACCGACAGGAACCAAACTTGATTGAACTGGACGGACCAATGTAATTATATCATTTGGTTGTAAATTTTCATCAATTGGTGCATCTTGAGGAACTTCATAATAAGTTGCTAATGAAACACTGACGATTTCTTGTTTGTTTTCTTTGGGATTCATCATAGTTTGCACTGAAATCGAAGTAATGGTCAAATTAGGTGGCTGTGGAGTATTAACACCAGATATCACGGAAATCTGGGATGGTGAATCAACTGCAACTTCAACTTGACAATGAGACGTGTTTTGAATAGAATGGAAATCACCACCTTCAATAGTCAACCAACATGGACCCATAACGTTACGCTGAGTAACAAATGCCTCGAAGATGTTTTGATTGGTTCCAAAGACATGATTGAATGTTTCACCTTCAATGTTTGCTGGCATGATCATATGCTGATTCTTGGGAGTTTTAAATGGAAGCAAGACTTTCAAATATTCTGTTTCCTTGGGAATTTCAGCTAATTCAAAAGCATACTTCATAGTTTCAGGCTTTGCTTTCAATTCTTGTAAATTATATTGTTCTAATAAGATTGGAGTCAATTCATCAAGAACGTCAAGGGGACCAACTGGTTCGTCTTCGTTTTCTTCACCGTTTTCCATTCTGTATTTACGTGGTAAAAAGTATAATTCACGACAAAGCCCGTTTACTTGAACCACACCTGAAGCTAACTTGCCATCCTTTGTTAAGATCTTCCCGAATAAGAGCAAGGTATTGTCAACTTCACAATAATCCAACCAGAACATCTTGAATGAATCGGTGGATTCAGTGTCCATGATTATAGATTCATCTAATTTGTCAGTATGGTTTGCAAACAATGTAGTTGGGGACGAAGTGAATTCATCGGCTTTGACAGAAGATACGGTCTTGATGGTATGTTTGTGTGTAGCTGAAGCCCTTGGACGCTTACTATAAACCACATCATCTTCCGAATCATCGTCATCATCCTCCATGGTTATATCTTCCAGTTTAACTTCTTCCAAGATTGGTTTCGTTATAGTTTCTGGGGTTTCCAGTTTTACCATCTTAATTGGAGAAGATGGTTGTTGCTCTGGCTCTGGTTCTGGCTCATCTACAGTATAATCTGACGAAGCATTGAATTCTTCTACAATCTGACGTTTTCTTCTTGATCCAGTAGTTGAGAAATCAAATGGCGATGCAGTGGATTTTACCTTTGGTGAACCTTTCTTGATAGTCAGAAATGGAGTAGTAAACTTTTTCTTCTTACTGGTAACTTCCTGAAAATCGTCAAGAATATCATCGATATTGGTGTCTATCTTTGTGGTAGCATTTACTCTGGTGGTTGGCTTAAAATAGTTGTTGATCTGGGCCAGTTTCGAAACTTTGACAACTTTCTGTTTCTTTCTCTTCTTGGTTGGTCCTTGATCTTCTTCGTCGGAGTAATAGTTTGGTCTGGAAGCATCATCCCATTCATCAGCACCATTGTCAACATACCCTTCACCACCATCATCAACAACAAAATCATCATTCATGAGTTGGTCACGTTTGTGTTGACGATAAGTTTCTTCATCAACTTCATCGTAAATTGCTCCATCATGGTCATCATCATCGGAATAAGTTGTTATTGTTCTTCCTGTTTTCCTTGCCTCCCTTAGCTCCTTGAGCTTCTGGAGTTTAGCAGCTCTTGACAGCATTAAATGGTTGTAACTCCTAAGAAAGAGAGTTGTGTTGTAAAAATTCAAGTTTTTTGTTTTTTGACTACGAGTGTTGGCAACATACGCGTGTACTCAAAAAAACGCGTACAAAAATAAAAAAAAAAAATAAAATATTTGGGTGCGAATTTTTGCACCAACCATAGAGAAGAGTAATGTAGTAACAGCATAACATTCAAGTATATATATATATAGTGTAGATATAAAATCAAGCATCGTCAAATAAATTTTTAGGAATAATACCCTTGGCAATTCTATCAGCAATGATTTGGCCAAATTGACTCAAAACATCAGGATTACCAAGAATATCACGCAACAAGTTCCAAATCAAATTGGATTGCTTCAAAGCATTGAGCAAAGAAGTCAAGGAAAGCGCATTTGATCTTAAAATCAGTAACAAGAAATGAGCATTTGGAGCAGCCAATTCTGGAGTGGTCAACAAATGTTGAACGACACTAAGCGCCAATCCCGATTCACGAAGTGCAGTAAATAAGCTATTCATCACTTCACTTTCACGCTTACTCAATTCAGCGAACGCTTGTTCAGGAGATTCGGTGCTTACAGCTTCTGCAAACGCATCACGCTTGGAAAAAATGTCAATCCCACTTTGCTTCAATAATTCACGGCCAATTCTCAATAACCCAGGTAAAATGTCTGGATCAGACAAACTCAACATCAAGACATCTATAATTAATCCCGATTGTTCAAGAGCAATCAACAAGTCAGTGAGATTAATCAATCCAGACTCAATCACCCAAATCGTTGCATCAATAGTGATATCCAACAATTCTGGTCTTAACAAGACATAATCAATAACAATGAGGGCCAATCCGGAATTATTAAGACCCGATAAAATTGATTGCAAAATAGGAACATCTGCTCTGGTGACAAGTTGATTCAATGGAACATCTAATTGGCCATCTCGTTTGACAAGAGCAAACTCTGAATTGAATTGCTCGAATGACGAGACAAGAGCTTTAATTTCAGCAGTGTTTGTTGCGGAGATGGCATTGATTTCAACTGGAGATCCTGAAGAGACGGTACAGTAAGCTAAGACAAGCAAAGCTGAGAACTTGGTTAATTGCATGGTTTGATGGTGTAGAGTGTTGACATTGATTACATTTCGAGAATTTTTGGTTGAATTTATACCAAAATCACTTAAAGTGTATGGTCTTTTCTCTTTTTCTTGGAGATTCCATGCTTAAGCCTTTCTACTTGCAGCTTCCATAGAATAAACCTATATTCCTGTTAATTAAGGAAGGGTTCAAAGGTAGTTACTGTATATTATTCTTGTCTAGTGATTTGTGTTTTTCATGTAGAGAAGGTTTACCGAAATCGGTGCAAAATCCTGTAAAGTGAAACTATAAGAAATCTCAACATTTATGCTACCGATTAGAGATTCCAAATATCAAATATAGATACACTTTCTAATTCTGCCTCTTTTTACTAATATTCCTTAATCATTCCATATATCTATGACCCAGCCTACTCTAGATAGAACACCATTTACAGTACTGTATACAAAGCTCACCTAATTGGGAACAGCAAGTAAAAAAAAAAAAAAAATAATCAAATGATAGCGCTACACAATTAATCACCTAATTATTTCCTACCATCCACACAAACCCTCCATTCAACATGTCGTTTGCTAATTTCGACTTTGAATCTCAGAGGCCGTTACTGAAGAGAAGTTCAACAGAAGAAAGTATAGATCCGGCAGCCAATGAATTAGACGTTATAATCGAAAAGACATCCGAGCAGTTACAACTGTTTGGTCATTTGGTATCTCAATTTGATAACCAACGCAAACAAATTGGGAGTAAACGTGATTGCACTCAGTTACGGGCTAATATAGATTCATCAGTGGAAACCATTGGCGAAATGAATAAAGCTATTCTGAGTTTAATTCTGGACTTGTCTCAACTTATCAATAAAAGCCTGACAGATAAACACAAGCATCATGATGACGATGAGGAAGTTGGCAGTAGCATATATGTTACCAATCGACAAATTGTAATCAAAGAAAGATTAGTTACCGAATTTAATGAATTAGAATCACAATTTAGAAAATCAGTTAGATTGTATAATGAAAAGAGGAGAGTTACACCGGTGAGAGAAGAAGTATTACAGGACAAAACCGACGAAAGAACACCTTTAATCCAAGCAGACAGACAAGAACAGCAACAACAACAGCTTGAGCAAGAACTTATCGAGGAAACAGAACTTCAATATCATTTGCTACTTACTGAGGAAAGAAACCGAGAAATTGAACAGGTAAGCGAAGGAATCCAAGAAGTCAACGCCATATTTAAAGATTTACATCAGTTAGTATCACAACAAGGAGAACAGTTAAGCACTATCGAAGATAATGTTTTACAGTTACACGGAAACACCCAACAAGCGGAACGAGAACTTCATAAAGCTCATGAATACCAAAAACAAAAGGGCAAATGGTCCTGCATTTTGCTTGTGGCTCTTTGCATTGTAGTTTTGGTCATAGTGCTTGCTGTTATAAGTTAGAATTCTACAATTTAGACGTTTTTCTTAATGAATAATAATGATATATACTATCTGTAAACCGTAACTAAACCAAAAAAATACCCAAGCCAAGTACCCTAATCCAAACTATCATTTTCAAGACGATCATCGTCTTCTATTTCAGAAAACTCAGACATTTCAGAAAACTCAGAAAAATCACTAGTTTCAGGAGTGGAGATTTCATCATAATCGCTCTCATTGGTTAATCTTGAACCGGTACTTCTTCCCTTGGTCTCATGCTTTTCATCTTCTTCATCTCTGGAAAACAGAAAATCTTCATAAGCATCAGCAAAATGCATTTCATTCATCTGTTTCGCTTCATTCAACTTATTTCGACAAAATTCAGCACCTTGCTCAAATAAATGTTCGGCAGTTTCTAAAATGGCTTCTTTATTATGAATAACCGCAACCGATGCTCCAACTACAGCACCCACTGTAAGGGCAATCTTGACTGAAAGGGGAACTAAGTACGGTTAGTAAATAGCTTATACCAGATTCAAGTAAGACACATACTCATAAACACCATTTTGAACGTTCAGTTGTAAATATATTACGTAAAGTTTTAGATAACGGTTGGATCATTTAAAAAAAACATAGCCCTGTTTGTACTGACCCACTCATTTTGTTTTCTCTGGGGGTGGCAACATTTATTTGTGATGCTACCATATGGATAAGTTGTCTGTGTGTTTTCTTGATCCATGTGATTTAATGCAAAATCCCAACATCGATTTGATTCATGGATTTGGTAGACTGAGTCATGAGGTATGTTGCAATGTTTAGTCAAAGCCCGAGTCAAGTTGTTACGCACTCTAAACTAAATATATCTTTAAATTTCACCTTTGTGAATATTTTCCACCATTGTTCTCTATGTGGCTTTTGGACGGGTACGCCTTACCGAAGAACGTTGAGTTTTTCTGACTCAGAATCGGCATGGTCTATATAAGCAGGTGAAATTCACCTGATATTCGTAACAACATCTTGTCTTATTCATTAATGACAAACAAAGACATTTTAGTAACCCGTCCTTTAAGCTTTTCGGAGAATTTCTTTCGGTCCCGAACTGCTTCTGGATTGTACCGTAATTTTCAATTAACTGCAACTTATAACCAAAACCTTAGACTGGATTTACGGTTATTATTTGCAGCCATTAGAAAGACCGTCATTGATTATCATTTATTGATTACCAATGTACAATATAGGTCAGTTGAGTATGTGTATGAGCCGCTTAAGAGATTAACCTTAGGTAATATTTTGTCGTTTACCGATCTGAAGTACTTGCAGAATGGGGTCATTAATGAACAATTCATGAAGGAGATCAACGAAATTAGGTTCAAATTGTACTGTCAAGATCCCTTGTTCAAGTTAATACTCGTGGGTGATTTTGACTTATGTGCCGTTTTTGAACACACAATTGCTGATGGGTTGGTTGGGAACTATATTCATGAAATACTACTTGAAAATCTAGCTTATTGTCAAGAAGCTGGCGAGCAATATGATTCACTTTATGGCTCAGTTCCTGCTGATGTCACTTTTGATACTGTACTTTTTGAGTACAAAAATGATTTAAAATATTTAAATCATTCCTTACCTCCACCAGTTGATATATTTCTCGAAGATATTGATTTGGACTATAGTTACGGTGATCCGAATTTCCACGATAAGGTAACACCACCTGGTTTAAAGAAATGGAAGGGAAGATCTAATGCATCAGTGGACTACACCTTAGCATTTAAATTAATCAACTTTACACCAACAGAAACCAAGCATATACTTGCTCGATGTAAACAGGAAGGTGTTTCTATTACTTCATACATTCAAGTGATTGAAGCGCTCACCTTACAACCAATTTACGGAGATACCGAGTATACCACACATAAAGTAGCCATGACTTTACGTCGTCATTATCGTGATCTTGGGGAAGCAACAGCTCCATACAACAAAATCTTGGCTGATAAAAACTACAAGATTTTAGGAACACCAGCCCACATGGGGTTCAGTAACAACCATCCACCAATAACCGAGTTTTCATGGGATTTAGCTCGTTCCATCAACGCAAATATCATCTCTGGTACCAAGAACACACGAGCTTTGAACCAAATGAAGCCATTTAAGGATATAGCAGATTTGAAATCTGACAACATTGAGTTCTTTACTCTGCAACTAAACAAACCAAAAGCTGATGCAATCAAGATTTCCAATCTAGGATTCATCAACTTACCAGTATATCCTACGAAAACAACCGAATGGAAGATCACTAATATGATTTTCTCTCAAGATTTGGCACCATTTGCAGCTGAATTTATGTTGAGTGTTGTTAGTACACCTATTGGTGGAATGAACTTTGTATTGAGCTATTGTGATAATTCTTTTGATGATTGTCCATATGATAATTTTGACGGTTTAGTACAAGACTTACGTAACAACATGGTTAAATATTGTAAATAGTTAATTTAATTTGCAACACATTAACTTTCTTATCAGATCTAAAGGGGAACTACCACCCTAGTGAGCAAAAAAAAAAAAAATATAAATACTGCCACGTTTTGGCAACACTTTTTATTCTTTAGTCAATTATGACAACATACCAACAACTCAGTCAGGAGTCACAGTTGTCATCCGAAACTGGAGGTAACGTAAGATCACGTATAACAGGAGAATGGTTGAATCAAGAAAACGTCCGTCAAGTTCAGCGGTTCCATCAATTTCGTACCATTGATTGGGTTGAAGATGAATTGGACGAACAAAAACAACGAATAGCCAAGAATAAACATATCACAAACAGATCCAACAGTTTGAAAGATAGAGTGTTTGCCCAGATTCTTAATTGGCTTGTTTTAGGGATCATGGGGGTCACAATTGGTATTATTGCCAGTGCAATTAATGTGATAACCTCTTTCTTAGCAAACATCAAAACTGGACATTGTCAAGGGAATTTCTACCTAAGTCGAGCATTCTGTTGTTGGGGTCAAGACGAAGATAAATGTACCGATTGGGTTAAATGGAGTGATTATGAGTTTATGAATTACGTTGTATTTTTATTGTTATCGATATTGTTTGCATTGACTTCTGCCACACTAGTCAAATTTTATGCTCCTACAGCAGCAGGATCAGGGATCTCGGAAATTAAATGTATTATTTCGGGATTTGTAATGGATGGCTTTTTGGGTTGGAAAACGCTCATCATTAAAAGTTTAGGATTGCCCTTAGCTATTGGATCAGGATTAAGTTTAGGTAAAGAGGGGCCTAGTGTACATTATGCCGTGTGTGTTGGTAACTCCATTGCCAAACTGATTCAAAAGTACAAGAAATCTGCATCAAAGGGGAGAGAATTCTTGACTGCAACTTCCGCAGCCGGGGTTGCAGTGGCGTTTGGTTCTCCCATGGGTGGTGTATTATTCTCGATTGAAGAAATGACTTCGATGTTTCAATTAACCACCATTGTTAAATCATACTTCTGTGCCATGATTGCAGTTACCACTTTAGCTATGATTAATCCATTTAGAACAGGTCAATTAGTCTTGTTTGAAGTCACTTATGATACCAATTGGCATTATTTTGAAATTCCAGTATATATCATTCTTGGGACATTTGGTGGATTCTATGGGATTATTGTGTCGAGATTCAATATTCAAATGGCAGCATTCAGAAAGAAATATCTAGGAAATTTTGCCGTACGTGAAGTATTCACCCTTGCATTACTCACAGCTAGTTTTGCGTACTTCAATGAATTTCTTCTTTTGGAAATGACAGAATCAATGCAAGTTTTATTCCATGAATGCGAAGAAACTTTCCATCATCCATTATGTGATCCCAAATCAAACAAGACTTCCTTATTGCTTACACTTTTATTCGCCACCATTGCTCGTATGGGACTAGTTATTATAACGTATGGATGTCGAGTACCTGCTGGTATTTTCGTTCCTTCAATGGCTGTGGGAGCAACATTTGGCCGTGCATTAGGTATAATTGTCGATATGATCTATCAAAAGCACAAGGATTCGTTTTATTTCTCAACTTGTGCTGATGGTGGAAGATGTATTATCCCAGGGACTTACGCATTTTTGGGTGCCGCCGCTGGATTGAGCGGGATCACTGATTTGACCGTAACTGTGGTTATCATCATGTTTGAATTAACTGGAGCATTAAGATATATCGTACCTACAATGATTGTAGTTGCAATTACCAAAAGTGTCAATGATAAATGGGGTAAAGGTGGGATTGCCGATCAGATGATCAATGTCAATGGGTTACCCTTAATTGATGCCAAGGAAGAGTTCTCATTTGGTACAACCGTAGAAGCAGCAATGTCTCCCGTTATAGTTGCATTCAGTACGGCTGAGCCAATACCATTATCTCAATTGAAACATATTTTGGAAAATACCAGTTATGATGGATTTCCAATCATTCATTCTGGAAATAATCCAAAAATATTTGGATATGTGTCTCGATACGAAATTGAATATATTTTGAATAATTATGATGGAGTTGATGAAAGTATGTTGTGCAGTTGGGATGCTCCTGGAGTAGATAGAATCGATTTCAGTCCTGTGGTGCATAAATCTCCAATATCCATAACCATATCCACCTCGTTGGAATCAGTAGTCGACATTTTCGTTAAACTCGGGCCAAAATATATCCTTGTTGAGAAGGATGATTTATTAGTGGGAATTATCACACGAAAAGATATACTTAGATATGAGTACACTGTTCACGGACAGGATCAAAAGGACGCAAGAGAACAGCATAGAATAGAAACTTTCAATGCTACAATATGGGAATTCATGACCCACCTTGGTCTTTCGGCAAGGAAAAATTTAGGGAAATTGTTATATAATGATGCAGGGCGATATTTATAGACTTTGTATATACAAGCAACACACTTATTGATCTTTCCATTTTCCGTATTCCTTATAGTCATTGTACAATGTTTTGTAAAATGATTTACCCGGATTGTCCAATGATGCATTGACCAAAGTTAATTCAGATTGTGAAAGAACGTCAAAGATACTGTAGATACCAGTTACTAACTCATCATTGACTTGTTTTGTGAAATGGAATTTCAAGTTGAAGTAGATGTAGTTTACCATCAATACTGGTAAGTGTTTTCTAAGTGCACGCTTAAATAAGTTGGCAGTGGTGGTTAACTTTGTAGAGTCAGCCACGGTTGCTCTTTGAGTAGGTTCACAAAGATTACCTAACAATCTGGAATACGAAGCAGCAGCATCTCTACTACTTGCAATTGGCGAGTCTTGACAGAATGGTCGAAGTAATTCGGTGGCTATGTGAAGGAGTATATGATGTCTGGTGGATAATTTAAATCTATGGTAAAGTAAGATATGTGAAGTAACTTGGGTAGTCAATATGTAGATGTCAGGACCAGTAGCTGAATGTGCCAAGTATGCAATTATGACTAATGTCTTTTCAAGTAAGTATTGGTTGAAAATCCAAGCATGGTCAACAAGTGCAGTTCTCAAAGTTTCCAAAACCAAAGGGATAGAATTATTCTTCTGTTTTATAGCTTGAATGAACAATGTCATACACTTGGCAATTGATACACTTGAATAATTCTCTTTGTCTATGTTAGAAAAGAAATGACAAGCAATAATTACATAGCTTTCATTCACCTCATCAAGCGAATTGACAAAGTAGTCCAATACTTCCGAATACACTTCTTTGTCACTGGACAATCTATTGAAGAACAATTCCATATCAAGATTACCAACTCCCTCAGAATGTAAAGCAGTAAATAAACTTAACACATAGATTGCATGGTTCAAATCAATTGAAATAGTATGACAAATTAACTTGAAAAGGATAGATTTCATTTCATTTGTTTTAACGTCAGCTGCGACTTTCTGTAATTTGGGGAAGATTTTGGAGTAGTCCACTTCATCAGAGACTGTGATTAATGCACGTAGGTTCCAGTTGACAGTCGCTTCATCATCCAGTTTATCCAAGTTTGAAAGACAGGTTTCAATGAACACTTGTTTAAAGTTATTAAATTGGGATTCGAGTTCTTCAGGAACTTTGGCGGAAAGAATTATTAAACATAGTTCAGATTCTCCAGAAATCGCAGTTTTGGCTTTCTTCAAATATTTAGTCATCAACTTAATAGCATTAATAACATAATCTTCATTATCCTTAATTTGTTGAATATGGTTTGACCAAATTATACGAGCAATTGCAAATGAAGTAGTTGATCTAGATTCAACCAATTTTATAAGATTCTCGAACTTAAGTTCAAGTTCAGATTGATATGATGGTTGTGAAAGTAAGTACTTGATAAAGTCAAGTGTGCTTTCATTTCGCTTTATGTATAAATGAAACAATTGATTCATAAGATCCTTCTTTGTGGTTCTTGATATACAGTGAATTGGAATAGAATCTAAATAGCTCATATTTCCTTGTAAATCCTTCATGATCAACTTAAACAAAGCTGATGTTAATTTCCTTTGTTCAAAAAATGTTTGATTTAATTCAGATACCTTCACCTTTGTGAATAACAATTCAAGAAGCTTGACAAGAAATTGCTGGTCAAAGAAGTTATTCAAAATCACAAGCCATCTCTTGAGTACTGTGGTTGCCAAATCAGAATTACTCTTTAAAAACTTCAAAAATGCCTTTTGGTCGTCTTCACCAATAGCCTGAACAACACCCAACTCCAAAAATCTAAATAAAGTAAAGAAGTAATACTTTTCATTAACTGTTTTCATGATTTTATTAGACACCTTGTACTCCTTTCCATACAAACAAAGTAAATTGAATCTAACATGCCAGAAATCAGATGAATTAAAGAATTGTGAGTTTTCAATGAACTTTTCTTTCACCGATTCTATCATTTGAAAAGTGCAGGTAATTAAACCTGTGGTTAAAGCTGTAAATACAGATTCTTGATATTGTTTGTCTAACTTAAAACCCTGTTCAATAACGTAAAGAAGTTGTTTGCTGGTGAATGTACTAATGGTTGTTGAAACAAAATTAACAAACTCGTTTGATTTCCAAACCTTGTCAGATTCAATAGCTTGCGGCCAAACCACAGTTATGAATTCGATCAATTCTCTGTTATTCACATAAGCAGTCACAATAGCTTTACCGACTTCAAATATTTCAATATTCATCTTAGAAGAATAACCTTCAAGCACAAATGAAGACTTTTCCACAGCAAGGTCATTATCTAGTGTAAACAAATATTTAACCATATTCCAATTAATATCTCTGAACATTTTGCCGTCCACTTCATTGCCATATACCGATAAAGCAAATTCGTGAGTTAATGTTTTTTGAGAACTTGCCAATTCTGACAACAATGATTCTGAAAGGGTGCTATACTTTTTATTTGAGGTTATAATTGTGTAAATTTGTTGGCAAATATCCATATGTTTTGATGCTAATTGTTCAACCACTAGTTTGTAAAGTAATGCAATAGAAGGAATATCCGTATCCTTCTTTAATAATATCTCTATGTTTGAATTTAAATATTCAATAAGGTCCTCATTGAACATTTCTTGTTTGAGAATATCTTGAAAAATATCGGATGCATTTGGGGTTGTTAAATATGACAAAATCGAAGGAACACAATCTTGGAAGAATTTAGAATAAGTCTTTTTGGAAATTTCACGAGTTGATTTTAATGATATACGATTGTAAATGTCTCTAATGAGGTCATTCCAGTTCAAAAGTAGTTCACTAGACTTCTCAGGTGCAGCTTGCACAAAGCTTTTTAATAACATATAAGTCGAGTTCTCGTCAATTTCAACATATGCCTCGCGATAGATCAACTCAAGACCAGCTAATGCAGACTGGATAGCTTTTTCATTTCCCTTGTCAAGAATATTACAGACAGCTTCAATAATACGAAATTTTTGAATGAGTTGATTCCTTTGTTCTTTACATCTGTACCATACTTTAGTCAATAACTCCCAAACACAAGGTTCATACTTCCAATTGTTAAATTGAGAACGATCATTCAATCTATCTACTAACAAAGTAAGAATGAATATTTCTTTTTGAGGTAAGTATATGTCTAGCTTGCCGTCCAAGATCTTGTTGGCTGTTTCAATTATTTGAACAACACTCTCTTTGGATCGTAAGAACTTTGTTGCCTTCTCAGCTGATAGTATCTCAGACATGTCTTTCAACTGTGGTGGGTCTTAAGATGTGTGGTTGTGGTGCCCTGAATCCTGGTTGTAAAAATTTGGTTGTAAAAATCTTAGTGTTTATTTACAACAAAAAAATTTGGCACCATGTAAATCAGGCATCGCACTCATCGCGAAGTTTAAACTTATACCATTACAGTGATTTGAGCTACACACAAGTCAGACAGAAACCAGAAGAGATATGTACAATATTTAAGTAGAATTACAGATCTTTAAACACTTACAAGCAATATATATATATATATATATAGTATGTTTTTTATTTATTATTTATACAAAATGTAATACAGTGGATGGCCCCAACTGCTTAGATCAATAATGTTTCAATCTTGTCCTTGATGGCGTAGATTTGGTTCTTGATAGCAGAAGCATCGTTAGAAGTAACAGAAGCAGCAATGACTGGTCTAGAAACACCACAAGCTCTACCTAAAGCAGCCTTACTTGGAACGAAGACGTATGGAACGTTCTTATCTTCACACAATAATGGCAAGTGCAACAAAATTTCAATTGGTTCAGTGTCAGCAGCCATGATAATGAACTCAGAAATACCTCTGTTTAAAGTCTTGGTGGCTTCGTTGGCACCCTTCTTCAATTGTCTCAAGTTTTGAGATTGTTGAACAACATCCAAGATTTGTTGGGTTAATGCAGAATCAGCTAATGGGAAAGCCTTTGGGTTTGGAGCGGACATTATGAGTTTACTTTGTATAATTGGATTGCGGTTCCTTGCTGTGTTAGCTCGCCAGTAAGTTGTAATGAAGAGAAGAGAAGAGGTATCAAGACAGACAAGATGAGCTAAATTTTTTTTTCGGGTTGGTAAAGTCAGCTATTGTTAGTGCGGATATTTACTACTGTGTAGGTAAAATTCATACCTCTCTCACGGTTAAGGAAAAGGGAGCAGCCACCAAATGCTCACCAAAAAAAACTCACCCATTGAACGAGAAACATTGACAGTTTCAGTTGAGATTTTCTTATATAACCATCAAGTTTAATTCAATAACATATAATAACTAAAGATGTCTGATTTATGGTATGTATATGGCATTGTCTTATGATACAACTGCAAGCTCAATTGATGGATAGTTAGGATTGATGTGCGGTTATAATTGATAGCACACCACCAAGTTTTAACACGCATACATCGCAGACCTACCAACGTCAACCAGATAAGAAAAAAAACCCGCTTTAATATAGCACTGAGTAAATCTCAATTTCGTATTCATTTGGATATCAGACGTTATAGGATCTAATTGATTTGCAATTCAATTGATTGTGAGCATCTACATCGTATTATGCAGTCTAAACGTGGGCCTCAACCCTTGTATCAATTGTCATGTTCACTTTCCAGTCATTACTAACATCCCCCTCCTCTATAGTCCAGTTTATGCTCCATTCTTTGGTTCTATCGGTTGTGCATCTGCCATTGTCTTCACCTGTTTTGGTGCTGCTTACGGTACTGCTAAATCCGGTGTTGGTATTTGTGCCACCTGTGTCACCAGACCAGATTTATTAGTTAAGAATGTTGTTCCAGTTGTTATGGCTGGTATTATTGCCATTTATGGTTTAGTCGTTTCCGTCTTGGTTTCCGACTCCTTGGCTCAAAAACAAGCTTTATACACCGGTTTCATTCAATTAGGTGCTGGTTTATCCGTTGGTTTATCCGGTTTAGCTGCTGGTTTTGCCATTGGTATTGTTGGTGATGCCGGTGTTAGAGGTACTGCACAACAACCAAGATTATTCGTTGGTATGATTTTGATTTTGATTTTCGCTGAAGTTTTAGGGTTATATGGTTTGATTGTTGCCTTATTATTGAACTCTAGAGCTTCTCAAGATGTTACTTGTTAAGTTAACTAAAAATCACAGTTTCCGCATTTTTATATATATTTGCTTTGTTCCTTTATGGGGAAGTCATAGACGTTATCCCATTTGTATAAATCAATATTACAATTATACATTATACACTTACTGTACATAAACTTTTGCAATTCTAGCTGCAATTTGGTTTCTTAATGTTTTGGTAAGACTGCTGACGTCAGAAGGTACATCTTTCACGATCCTTCTCCAATCATACAGAGTGCTCTCCTCTTCAAAGTGATTTATACAGTACACGTATAAATCAGCAGCATCTTTCAACTCCTCTTCGTTAGTTTCATTTTCAAAATTATCGATAACTTCAACCATTACTACTAAGTCAGGTAACAAAAATTCCGAGCTTGGTCTTGTCAAAAATGGCAAGAATTGACTTAATAACAATGGCATGAACTTCTTTGGCATGTAATTGAAACGTAATAAATGTAACAATTTAGACAACTTGACACTGAACTTAATCAGGTCATCCTCCAAGCTATCAAAGAAAGCTTTCAATACAGCATAAGGAGCAAGACATTGGCGAATGACAGGATGCATATCGACAGTGGTAGCTACTGATTTGGTAACCAAATTATTTATTAGTTCATCCTGGAATGGTCTATTGTTAGTTATTGAATCAAGGAAGATCAAATCCCATATAATGAAATGAACCTTTTCCATTGCTTCTTGATGAATTTCACCACCGGTTGAATCATAGCAATGAACAAAATTGTTTAATGATTCATAAATATATCCTTCGTCTAATGATTTTAACCCATAATTGTAATATAATCGTTTTGCTGCAGTTATCAAATTTAATTGAGCACATATAGTCAATGCCCATTCCAAATCATCATTGGTTCGACATTGATATTCTGGCAAGAAGTCACCAATCACATCTCTATTGTGTGAATATGAACTACGACAAATTGAATTGTTTAGTAAAATTCCAAGTCCAACAGGAACCAAGTCATGGATATTCAACAGTTCGTAGGCATGTCTGACCAAGAAATATTCAGATATAGTCTTGTTAGTCAAACGAATAGTCTGTGGAATATTGTAATAGCCTTGGAGAAGGCCCTTTAATTCTAAAAGTTGAGCGATATATGCAGTAGTAGTTGGTTCTAATTCGTGCATTGTCTTTAGCATCTTGAGGAAATTTCGTTCAAGAATATCAAGGTAACAACCATCACTAATATCTTCCAATGAAGAGTTTGTGTATTGTGGAGGCACTTTCTCGTTTATAGCTTGTTGGAAATACTCAGGGAATAAATCATCGTCATCTCTGACCTTGTACAATGCGAGAGCAAGATATACTTCATACCAGGTATCACAGTATTGGGAAATAGTCTTGGGAAGACCTGAAATTATGCTGGCTAAGTCATAAATTTGCGTCAAGATAATACCATATTTGGCATCATCAATCTTGACATTGGCTAATGAATCTCTGAATTCACAAGCTAATAACTTCCACTGTGGGAATTGTCCCTTGAGGGCAAATGAAGAATAATCTGCTAATAAGGTATCTAAATCGGAAATAATTGAATATAATTCCGGGCATGATTCTTCCAATTGATCATATTGACTGTGTTCAATAGCTTGTGTAGCTTGTGTGAATAACCCTCTGGTTATTAATTGTGCCATATATACGTTCCAGAATTGGGGATGGGAGTATGGTTCAGGATTGGAGATCATGATTGTTTCAGTTAGTTCTAGATCTGGCTTAGGGTGAAATGTGTTGACCCATTCTAAAACCAATTCAGGCTTTCTCTTAATGTCAAAATAGAAGTAGTTTGCTCCTAAACATTGTAATATGAATAGAAAATGCTGTAACTTGGATGCTTCCTCCAGTCTACTTTCTCCGGTAACTTGAATCAACTGTTTTAACTGTTCAACAATTTCTTGAAATGCTTCATCAATTTTCAATCCGGGCAGATTGACTAGCTTGTAAATGCTTCTTTCAGCAGTGATCACGCCAATTGGCTCTTCTTCTTCTTCTTCCTTTTCTTGCTCGGCGACATCTTTCGTCAATTTATCCACAAGTTTGTATAATGACTTGGTATACTCTATAAATGCAAATTCAAACTCACTGGTAGGTTTAAGACTGTGATCATATTGATTGGAATCAAATTGGAACTGTAATTCCTCATCCGTCTTTAACCATTGTGAGAGTTCGATATATTCCTTGTTTGATTTAAACATGGTGGTTAAATTTGATTCATCGGGTGTATTGGAACCAGAAATTCCTTCGGTATCAGAAGAAACGGAAATGTCTTCATCTTCTGGGATTTCTAACATTTCAATGTCTTGAAAGTTGGTTAATCCAAGTTCACCCATGATTGTATTGTTTACTCTATTACTTTGCGGTTGGTTGTAAACATTCAAAAGAAGAGAAGATTGAAAAAAATAACAACAGCTGAAAAAGGTCGTGCGAGAGGGTCCAAAATCTACTTTGGTTTTTTATTTTTTTTTTTTTTTTGTCAGCATTAAACGCAACTATTTAATTATAGCGAATGACATTGGTGGTGAATGTCTTGCAATAACTGCTTATGTCTATAAGATTGTTTGTATGTTGATGTAAAAGTCTCTACTTTCTGGTTATTCTCCATACAACTTAATTTTCCTAAAAACTCTGTCGATACCCTCTCATCGAACGGTGCAAATTCATCATCCAATTCTTCGATGTCCTTGTCTAATACCTTCCAATGGGTAACGGAAGTTCCAAATTGTTCAAGATTTTTCATTATCTTCTTTCCAGAACTTTCAAAAATCTTACTATCTGATTCACTTAATAAATAAAGTCCACCCAGAACAGTTGCAATAATGGCAAGCTTGGGGTGTTCTTCCTTAACCAGCTTTATCATATTTATCTGATCATTGAGATTAAATTGGCATACAATTACCTCGTTTAACAAATTTACAACGGCAATATTACCCAAGGAATCTCCAGAAACCAAATACCTCAACTTATTGAAAGCGACAATATCCATACTTGTCAAATATTGATGCTCTATACCAACCTTAACAAAAGTTTTCCGTGGATCTTCAATATCGCATTTAAAAATTCCCTTAACTACATCTCCCACTAACATCATATTATCAGCAGTAACTGTGCTAATTGCATATGCTGGAACATTGTAAACAGACCTAGGTATTACTTCCCATTTTATCTGGAAGGGATCACTTGTATCTAGCTCAACTTGAACAACTAAACAAATTTGTCCGTACAAGATATATGTTAACTCTTTTTTGTCCATCAATTCAATAGAGTCAAAAAGTAATTCATCAAAATTGTAATTGCTTATGGCCAATTCTTGAACTAACCCTATTTTTTTATCTTTAATACGGAAAATTCCAAAATGTTTTGATGAATCAAACAATGTTATAAGCCACTGATATTCAGTGCTATCTTCTAGTGGTAAAAACACAGCATGTTTAATTTCAGACTCAGCTTCATATTTATCAAGAATTTGTAAACTCTCTTTATCAATCAATAAAATCATTGTAGTTTCATCGGCATCTCGCGTGAGAACTATACAATAATGGGTGTCTGGAATATCTATACATTTGAAACACATTTGCTCAAATTCTAAACTCTGGAAAGTTAGTGAACCTATTGATGGTCTAATGTTGTATTCAAATAAAGATATTTTATCTGGAAAGGAAACAACAATCCGGTTTTCCAGTATAAATTTGACATCAACAATCCCTCTCATTTGATGAAAACTAGAAAAATACTGTTTTATAATAGGGTCTCTCTTTAATGTGAATATCCCATCAAAATTAAACAAAAGAACGTTACTTTCGTATTTTGCTATTGAGAATGGTTTGATGTTGGTGTGAAATGAATGTCTACTTACTTCGTGGGGATTTGACAAGGAAAATTGGATATGTACTGCATTATTTTCAAGCAGTATTATGACCGAAACAAAGCCGTCTTCTTGAACTAGTACTGCAGAACAAAATATCCTATTGGAGTCTAGTTTCTCTTCAAATATAGCTTGTTGTTTTATTCCACTGATGTGCCATATTTTACAGCTGACGCTGCTTGAAACCATTATAATAACCTCGGAAGGCGATTTCACGACCAAATCAAGACCAATTATTGGCCCCTTGTCGAGTGGAATAACAATCACGGGATATTCCTCTTGTAAAATATGTAATTGATTATCTTGTGTAATGATGGCTGTAGTACCTTTAACTGTTTTCCCAAATGTGAATGAGCCTTTGTAGATGTTGGTTCCGTTTCTTGTTATATTGTCCTTTGTAATTAACCATTGAGAATCACCATTTGTATAACAGTCAATAAATTCTGGCGGTTTTTCAACAGAATTTTTGGTGAAGGTAAGCTTTTCTAGCATAGCTTGTTCTTCCTTTCCATTGATCACGATATGGTTGCCAAATATAGTTGTAGCTAGAACCCTAAAATCCAATTGTTTGGTGTGAATATGTTCAAGAAAATAACCTATTTGTTTGTACTTTCTTAATTCACTTCCATAATTACCTCCTTGACACGTATATATCTCAACATGTCCGTTTCTCGTACTAGTGAACATATCTATTACTGGAGAGTTAATTTCCACAGTTGAAACTGTCTTCAAGTACGGCATGTCCGACGATATCAGGAACACAACAGATTTTGAAGTACGACTAGAAGCAAAGAACATGTTATTTCCAATATGGTGCAATCCATTTGATGGCCCGTTAGTGATTTTGCCCAATTGTATCAACTTCATATCATTGACTATTAGGAACAGCAGAGAAGGCTGTATGTCTAGAAAAAGCATAAAACAAACACCAGTTTCTGCTGATATTAGGGTTCTTTTTTTATCTATTACATCAAATGATACAAACTTCTCGGGTGCTCCTATTGAGAATATTAAGTAGTTCATCTTATCACTTACCATAACATTTGAATCCACAGTTGTGGAAAGAGTGACTCTTTTGTTTGGTGGTGGAAAATAGTAAACATTGGCGTCAATTGCTAAATGGCCACCTTGTTCTATGGGGATAATTAAGGATGGTACCTGCTCAAACTCCGAGAATTGTTTAATTATGGTAGATGAACTGTCGTTTAATTGAATGTATCTCATAGAACATATGGAATTCGTATCTCGATATAAAACTGCGATTGAGGCATCGGGATTACTTAAAGATATGATCTTTTGTACTATGATATTCCCCAATTTACTATTCCATGGAGTCCAAAGACCTGGATTGGTTTTTCTCTTTCTCTTGGTATCTTGCTTCTCTGCGACCATCTCAGCCCTGTCATAATCTTTGTTGAAAGTGAAAATAGTAAACACTTCGTCAAATAAATAAAAGACAATATATTCAGGATTATCATACTTTTGTGGTATGATAGCAGGAGGGCATTCAGATGATAAATGTCTCCCAGTATCAGATATCTGACCTATTTGCATTCGACTTGTTACAAGTTCATCATCAAAGTGTAACATCCAAATGGAATAATTCTCATCTATGTATACCATAACATCATTGTTGAAGGGATTTAATTTGCATTTACAGATTGCTAATACCTTCCGTTGCAATCTAATTCGTTGATTCTCTACTAGCTGATTGTTTATGAATTTGTGTACTATGATCCATTCTATATTGGTTGTAACAATTAGCTTACCATAAACATGTGATATCAGTAATGAATGCAAGATTGCAGTTGGAGGAACTAATTCTGCTAAGATAAACATTATATCTACCAGTGAGGTCTCATTGTGGAGAGCAATTGTAGTTGTTCCTACAAGAAGCTTGTTGAGATGCGCATTGTCTTTTGCGCGCGCAAATTTAAAAAAAAAAAAATGGATGCAACAATTATTTATATTTATGAATACTTTACAATCTACTACTTTCCAGAAGTATCAACTCCAAGAAACCACAAATATCATTGGTTTTGACTGAGGGGGTGGTGTTTAAGTGAGCCTTCTTGTAAATAGGGCGATCCGTATCTTCTGTCCATTCTAAATAGTTGTTAATAAGTCTGGCATCAAGTAGCATGGAATGTAAACCAGACCTTCTATTGTCGATATGTTCAGATATATATTTCCAGTCTAGTGTTGGCACGGAATCTGCATAAGCTACTGTTTGCATATTATTTTGACAGCGTTTTAAATCTTCCTCTTTAATCCCACTTAGATTGTTCAAACTACTCAATAAGTATAATCCTCCCAGACTAGTTCCAATAACTATCATCTTTAAAACGAGATTTTGTTTGTTGCCTGGTATAGCCTTGATAACGCTGATGGAATCGCCAATATTAAATGCAGCTACTACTTTATTAGAAATTCTAGAATTTGACATTAAAATGGAAATATTTCCCAACGCATCACCACTAACTAAGTACTCGACTTGGTCCAATCTGACAGAATCCATGGTTGATAAATAATGATGATTAAATTCCAGCTGAACTTTCTCAAGAGATATCTCGCTAAACCCTCTCTTCACTTCCAATACTCCATCTAAGATATCACCTACATAACATTTCAGGCCCATTTCTGTGTTTGCAACAAGAGCATGGGGAACTTTAAGATTCGCATCCTCTGGCAAAAATTTTGCTTCAAATGTATGTGGATCAACATGGAATCCAAAAACTTGATTCCTCCCAGCGCATATGAAATGCAAATATTTCTCTTCGGGTGTATATGGATCCATGTGAAATCCAAAAGCTTGATTGTTTCCAGCACTTATGAAACGTGATGGTGATTTCTCAAATAGATTGATATAACAGAGCTCGGTGGTGGGAATATTCTCTAATTCAATCTTCTTTAATAATGAGATCTGATCATTTATGATCTTGAAAATATGAACCTGGGTTTTGCTTTCTATCAAAGCTAAAAAATGACCGCCTTCTTCAGTTGGAAAGTAGCATACATCTTTTATTGCATCGGATGGTGTAATTAGCGGGTATTTCAGAACAGTCGTAAACTTATATTTATCCATTAACAAAACTTGGCCATCACGACATAGGCCAACCAAGTATTTGCTGTTCGGAATATCAACGCACTTACAACAATTCTTAGGATAATCATTTGGTTGAGTAGTAATTGATCTCTCTTTGAATAGGAGAATAGAAATATCACCATTTTCAAAAGCAACAATAACCTGATTATCCACTAATGCTTTGGCATCAATGATGGGTCGATTGGATGGAAACGAACTATAATTCAAAAGCCCCAGCTTACAAGGTATGTTTACCACAAGAATCTCTTGGCGGTTGAAGAGTATTGCTTTATTCTCTTCTTTCGTAATGGTATACGGTGGTGAATTCATCCTCGGATGAAATATATACAGATTCTTTAATTGGCCACTACTATCAAATACATCTTGCTGTATAGATCCATCATGCATCAGTTGAATAACAGTAAACATGCCACCGTCAATCCAAAGTAAAGCCGATGAGAAAACCTCATTTGTTCCTGGTTTATCCACGATCAACGTAAACGTTGTACCTGCACTCTTATACACCCTATATCCCCCACTCCAACTGTAAATCATCACCATTTCATTGTAATACAGATCTAAAACGTCAATTTCCACCTCTTGATTATCAAATACACACTTAAATTCAAAGACTTTTTTGTTTCCACGATAGATATGACCAACCATATCGTCAGTTATAACAACAACTATGCTCGACTTTCCAGCAATCAGTGCTTTTACAATCGGTCTAGTTTTAATAATTTTTTCTTCTATGCCCATTATTTCATTGATACTCGATTCAATTTTGATAGGTTTGTCTTCCATTATTATTGAATCTGGAGAAACAAAACATTCAAAATCCTGCGAAATATAAAAATCAAGATACTTCTGGTGTTTAGGGATTCTATTCTTGGTTTTGGCTTCTTCGAGGGTCTTCAAATCAAGTGTTAAATGCCCCTTATCTATAGTGTAAATAAGTGCTTTCCGATCAATGAGTTTTATGGAAGAAAATTGATGCTCAGGATAGCTCTTAGTAAGAGAAGATTTAATGAAGTACGAACTCCATCTATACTTTCTCAACTCAGCATGACCAACTCCACCATGGCTGACAAATAACTCTAAATTACCAACTTGATCCAAAGCAGGTTCTAAATCTAAAACAGGAGGATTAGAATCAACAACTGACGTTATTCTAAAATCTTTGGAAGAAATCTCAAATAATACCGATTGGGAGAACTGAGATGATTGGAAAAATTTGTTGCCTATAATTTGATCCAACCCAATTGGGTTAGGAATAGTTAAATATCCCATCGGCTCTAGCTTAAACTCTTTGAGATAAACTGTTGTCTTACTTTTTTTAGTTCCAACACAGAAAGTCAATTTGTAGGCATTGCCGGTTTGAGAAACCAATAATTTACTCGTTTGGTCAATTCTTGTAAACGATACGAATTTCTCACTACAAGCATCTCCATCAAGTAACGATTTCACAAGGTAATTCTGCTCTTGGTTTATAAAAATGGTTTTATCTTGCGGTTCTGCTACATTCACTCCTCGTGGGTAGAATTGTGGTGCTTTTACCTCCATTCCCTGGGGATAGAAATAAAAAATTCCTCCAGTCACCGCAGCCAAAACACCACCTTGAGACATTGGTATCAATATACTCGGTAATTGCTCAAGTTGGCCGAAATTTTGAGTAACATTTATCTCTCCCTTGCGTCTAATTTCAAAAAAGCATAAGGTATAATTATAATTCTCACGACATACGGCTGCAAACGTTTCACGGGGTTCAATTAACGGTACAACTTGTAATATAGATAAGTACGTGCCTCCGATAATAGTTGGTGTTGGTGGCACTGTCTCTTTGCCTTTATTTGTACCTAAGGAAGCGCGTAGTTCCTTCACACTCAATCGAAAAAGCGCCCCTTCAAATATATGTATTAAAAGGTAATTGGGGTTATAAGTCCTTTGAGGCAAGACAGCAGGTGTGCAGTTTTGGGATAGTTGATAACCATGAGAAAATATAGGTACTTTTGGAGAGTGAAACAACCTAAAATCACCTTCAATGAAAAGGAAATACACCTCTAAACTTTCAGTTAAATAAACAATGGAATCATGTTCAAATTGGAGTGAATGAAATCTGGCAATTGAAATGACTTTGGAACTTGTAGGTTTTGAAGTAGTGGCGGCTTTGTCAAGTAATCCAAGGGCGTTATCATATCTATAGATATCAATGGTATGTTTACGTACTAAGGCAATGCATTTCAGGGTACCATGGTTAAATAATATTGAATGGGTTATAGCATCGGCACTTGCTAACTCAGATAGGACAAACCAATTCGGCAATTGGTCTTGAACCTGGATTTCGCTATACATGTCATGTCAATCCTTGTAGTTGTATATGGCAACCAAACTTTTTTGATCTGTTATAAATAATTTTTTTTTTTTTTGGTTTGTGCAAATAAAAGGATAGGAAAGACGAAGAACGTACGCAGGACAATGGAATGTCCAATATATAACTAATCAGTAGAAGCTCTCTTTAATCAGATCCTAGATTGGTATGTTTGTTTTAGCAATTTGTTCCGAAATGAGTCTTTCAATGGGAGAAAAGCTGTAAATATGCCAAAACATAGTTCGTATACAGTATTTTAATTCAAAGAATTGATGCAAAAAGATTGCAAATAATCTTCATTGACAATTTATATCATTGACTCCATGCCTAGAGTCTGGCTCTATTTCTAACTAGATTTATTTACATCTTATTTGTTTCATTCTTGTTTACTATCATTATTGATCTACATATTGGTTAGATTCACCTAAGGTGTTGGTTTTTATTAAACTCTTAATGATTACAATGTTGCTACAATTGCTATCAAACTTTAAGATACTTCAATAATATAATTGATGTTGGGAAACTTAATGGAAATAGTCACATGTATAATATATTGTGTAGATTAATTAACCCAATAATATTTAATTTCTTAAATGAGGGATCATCCCAAATTTACTTCAAGTGGTTACTGAAAGGATGACTAGTTATGGACAAAAGATATTCAACTAACAGAAGTAACTATAAGCATTGCAGATAATTATCTCAAAATCATATATTTTGTCAACAAGAAAGTTCAGAAAGATAGAATTTCTCATTCAAAAGCATGTGGCATAATCGAAATACCTCCGTTAAGATCAAACTACAACAAGAAGAATGCTGTGACACCCCATACAGCCTACATCATTGTGGTTTAGTTGACAGGTGAATGAAAAATTAGTGCTGAAATCTCATATCTTATTTACACTTTGGTTATTCTGTTCATGCTACAAGTGAAACTAGTACATATCGCTTCGATATATTGATCCTGAACATCTTTGCTTAATTTTTTGCTGACTACTATACGAATCATTGTTCCACAAAGAAGAAACAATGCCAACAAAAGTTCAGAGCACCAAACTTTAGATCTTTAAGTCTTAATAAACTACAAAGACATAAGACCAGTCAAAGCTCCGAGCCTAGTAAAATAATTGCTATTATTATGGATGGTGCTAGTTCTACCTTTTCCTAGTAGAATCGGTTGCTAGTCAAATTAACACCAGATGCTTACATAATGCTGCTCAACATGATACTGAAATTGGAATTTTAGAAGTTCAAGATATTGGTCTGCCACATTTGGTTGGGATAGCTGTTACTTGGTTTGATGTTCACATAGAACATTTATTGGAAAGTTATTTGATGACAATGATTAGTTGACTGATGATAGTATAAATCCGACTTACAACAACTTTTAAAAATGAAGATTTGAGTTAGGTAAACTACTTAGACATTTTAACAACAGACAAATCCTTGATCAAATTAAAACACAAATCATATGTCAAAGATACAAACAAATTAATCAAATCCTTGGCGAACCATTAAGATAAAACTTCTTAGTTCTCACCTTTTCTGACCTCCCCCCCCCTCCTCCATCAAGTACACATTGTGTGGATGGTTGCAAAACCGGGTAACCCCTTGAAAATCCAGCCAATAAAATTGGTGGAAAAAAAATTACCCAAACAGAATGCGACCCACACAAAAATAGCCCATAATAAAGCGGTTGCTCCTGCATACAGTCACTGATGTTTTGTTAACTATTGGATTTTCCAAATAGAAAAAAAATTCAATCTTTAACTCAATATCCACTGTACAAGTATCAACAGTTATAGCATAAAGAACCCAACCAAAATGTCATCTCTTGCTTTCAGATCCTTGAAGAATGGTTCATTATTGAAGAGTATGTAGTAATTGTGCCATATTTTTCGAAATCTTATGTTTTGAATACTAGATCCAGGTCAATTGAATGGTATTAAATCTCAATGTGAAAATCCTGCAGTCCCTTGGCAGAATACACCAATTAAACTAGATATAAAATGAAATTGAAAGTACCATGGGCTGGATATACATTTAGACAAACATAAAATATAAATCATGGAGAATCACTTACTAACGTCTGAATTTAGACTCTTTAAGAACTTTATCTTCTACCACTTCCACTTTAACCAACTACCAACACCCAGACTACAGTTCATACTTGAACAACAAGAGCCAAGATAGTAGCAGAAACTTTGCTTACTTCATGGTTGGTTCTATGGGTTTATTATCTGCCGCAGGTGCCAAGTCCACTGTTGAAACTTTCCTTTCTTCCATGGCTGCCTCTGCTGATGTCTTAGCTATGGCCAAGGTTGAAGTTAAGTTGGGCGCTATTCCAGAAGGTAAGAACGTCATTATCAAATGGCAAGGTAAGCCAGTTTTCATTAGACACAGAACTGCTGATGAAATCGAAGAAGCTAACAAGGTTGATATTTCCTCTTTGAGAGACCCTCAAAATGATTCTGATCGTGTTAAGAAGCCAGAATGGTTAGTCATGTTGGGTATCTGTACCCACTTGGGTTGTGTTCCTATCGGTGAATCTGGTGATTTCGGTGGTTGGTTCTGTCCATGTCACGGTTCCCATTACGATATCTCCGGTAGAATCAGAAAAGGTCCAGCCCCATTAAACTTGGAAGTTCCACAATATGAATTTGCTGACGAAGAAACCTTAATTGTTGGTTAAGCAGGGCCCCATTCTGACTCCCATTCCTGTATATCATGATCATTTTGTAAAACAAAAGAGCAGAGAGAGATTTATTCATACTTTTCATCCTTTGTACATTTTTGCCAATTCTCATATTTATTGATATGTGAATCCCTCTACCCATATAATTATACATATAAAAAAAGAGTATACATGGCATTATACATACCAGTTTATTTTTGATTTTAATATTTGAGTTTTGTTTGTGTATATTCGTAATAAAAATATAAAGCTTTAGTAACTAGATTTCATTAAAGAGCAATTATAAGTGAGGATTTTCTTCAAGAATAGCACTTAATTCGTCTGGAATCACTTTCCAAATTTGTGAACTCCAATCTTGTTTGATTTTGTCAATAGTTAATCCTTCAGAATAATCCCTGATGGTATTAAAATTGAAAAGCTTCAATTGCAGTAACAGTTGAAAGAATTTTTCCCCAATATCGGGAGGAAGATTGGTGGGATTATAATCTGAAACGTAATGAAGTCTATAAAAGACACTCCAGTGAAGAATACAATCTTCAGGAAGTATTCTGGATTCTCCTAAATTTGGGGAAACGACACGTTTACGTTCACCATACCGATCTTCAATCTTGTAGCTTATGGGCAATAATTCTAACGCCCACCAGAATAATGATTCAAACATGGTAGTGCTTCCTCTTCCGTCAAATCGGCAAATAGGTGCTTTTGGAAGATAGGGGTATTTACCAACTACTCCCGTTGCGCGAAGCTGATCAGGATAGTGTTGCATGAGTGCTAAAACATCATGATGATATGACAACAAACCCAAATAAGAAGGAAAGGTTGTTGCAAAAGTACCAATAGCTCCAAGTTTGAAAACAACTTTGAATTTAATTGCTTGTGCCAACATCCATCTAAGTGAAACGTTGGACAAAAGTTGATTGCCATCATTAGATTCCCATCCCCCGCCGATATTACCATGATTTCCGGGAAAGAAAACTTGTACTAAGTCGTTCTTTTGTTGTGGTTCTCTTCTCACTTTATGTTGAGTTCGGGTTCTTCCGATCAAGCTCAAAATAAGATCACTAATGGACTTAAGGGAAGAATCCAGGTTATAAGTGCTTGTTGTTTCGCAAGTACTACAACTGGAATCGGAATCGGAATCGTTGGAATTAAACAATTGTTGTTTCATTCTGGATCTTCTTTCATCAATGCTTACTGCGTGTCTTATGTGATCTACATTGGAACTTCTAGTAGTATAAGGAAACAGCTGATCCCTTAAAGTCCCCACTGAATTGACCGAATCCCATAAGCCCATGAAGTGGATTCTAATATCATTTCTAGAAAAGGTTTTCTTGAATTCTTGGGCAAATTTAGCTGACATGTTTCCATCTAATGGTTGTCCAGCATTTTCCCAATTGGCATATATAGTCCACGCCATAGGAATCATATCTTCAAGGCCCTTGTTTACCAAGCCAACTTTTTCAATCATTCCAGCAACAATTCTGGCTATAAAGCTTCCACGGCTAAATATATTGTTAGTTGATACTATACAGAAAGCATATATGTATCGTGTAATACAAACCTGAATCCAAAGAGGTATATCTTATCACCATTACTGTAGAATCTGGAAATGAACTCATATGCGGCAATAACATGTTTTTCAACAGTGAATGCAATCATAGAATCAATCTGATTGGTAATGTGAGTAATCTTAGAACTAATAAAGTTAGACTGACGTAAATCATCAGATTCTGCTTGAAACCCAGTTCCAATACCTGGTTGGTAATAGCATAATTGAGTATCACTATCCTTTTCTAACATTCCAAACAATTTGAGGACGTTTGTGAATGGTTTTGGTCCAAACTCATTCTCAGTACCATCAAGACAAAGAATCAAACTCTTTGTTTGGTTCAATTCCTTTTCCAAAGAGTGAAACTTTTCATTGAGATCTCTCAATGAGTATTCCTTATCTTTGTAATGAATGATTGGGGTGTCTTGGTTTGTCATTTACTTGAATTACTACTATTGCTCTCCTTGTTTAGTAGTATGGGCGGTTAAAATAAGTTAAAGAGGAGGGAGGAAAAATTTATGTAAATTTTGCAACAAAAAGTTCAAGAAACTAAAGGAGCTTTTCATGTAGAACATTGAATACTTACACATTTATAGCTTCCATACCCATAAATAAATACATATTTCCCTGCAAGCATTAACCTTTGAAAGAATAGTGAACATAAAGTATTACTTACCAACACTGACTGTTTCTTCTTCACAATGTGCATTGTAGAAGGCTGTCCGTAACATTACTAACACTTGTCCTAGCAAGAAGTCTTAATTTTCTGGTTGGCATACTTCCTAATTTGACCTTTATGTCATAAATTAAAGTCTTGCCAGTGCTGTTGTTGAATACACACCCAACTTAGTCAATGATCTATTGGTATTTACTTCATTATGTTGGTTCTGCTGGTCCAAATCCAAACGAGAGTAAAACCAAAAAAAAAAAAACAAAAATTGTGTTGCCAATTATGGGGAAAACTAAAAGAACAAAAGACCCATTTACAATCAATACTATATACTTAGATGAGTGGAACTATCGTCCATGCCCTAAACTGGGATAATGGATATGAACAGCAATTCATCGCCGTCAACCCTATGGGTGATGAAGTCATTCTTTACGAGACCAACCACGACAACGACCCAACTGTCGAATCCAATGCCATTGTCCAACTAAGCAATCGTCTGGGATTTGAAAACATTCAATGTTCATCCTACTCCAAGATCAAGCGAGGTTTAGTTAGTGTAGGATCTATAAATGGGACAATATCAGTCTTTGACATTAACTCTTCCACAAGTTCCATTTTAAACTTACGTCCCAAGCAGAATCGACCATGTAATGCAATTTCATTTAATCATAACAATTTGATTGTGGCGGGATTTGATAAGGGAAGACAAGATAATTCATTACAAATCTGGAATATTGAAACTTATTCATCAACTGGAGGCAATAGTCACATCAAAAGACCGCTTTCAACTTACCTTCCTAATGAAGCTATCTTATCAGCTACTTTTTATCCAGATCGTGAATCAAGTATTGTTTGTGGATCGTATAAATTCTTACGAGAAATAGATTTACGTTCAGACCAACCAGCATTCCAAATGGCTACTAAATGTACCCTTGGATTAACAATTGATCATTTCCAAAACCACTTATTTCAATCGTTCAGTGAAGATGGATCCTTGGCAATTTGGGACAGAAGAAAATTAACAACCACCAAATCAAAGTCACTAAGTTCAGGAAATGTCATTACTGAAACTCCAATTCTTCAATTCAATAAATTATTAAGTGATGCTTCTTCCAGAAAGATTTCACATCCATGTGTACGATACTCTACTGTGAGAAGAGGTGAATTTGCTGCTGTTTTCAATGGGGATTTAATAAGACGATGGCATACAGGGAGAGTTCCTGCTGATTACAGTCTTTCACCAATGAATGATACATCTTCATACAGGTTCTCATCTAATGAAACCAATACCCTACAAGGATTGAAACAACAAGCAAGCCAATTGTATAAGCCATCAGAAGATTCATTGTTCGTGTCAATGGTACTTGATGTGAAAACCGATTATGAACGAGTGGTTTCGTTTGATTACTCTCCTGATATAACTTCACATACATCCACGAATTTTGTATGTATGAGGCAATCAGGTTCTGTATTCAGAATGCCAGTGGTTGAATCCATTGAATCTATGGATTTCAATGTTTTGAATGAATTTTCTATTGCTGGTCCCGAAGGTACCATGACTAAGTTCATAGACTTAACAAAACAACAAGAGCAAACTGAAGTAGCCAACAGGAATCTAAGTCTTGCTAGAGTTGGTGGGTTATCCTTAACAGAAGACTTAAGAAACAATGATGGTGAATTCTCAGAAGATGTTTCGTCGACCGTTGATGATGAAAGTCTGGATGTCAATAACAAGAACAGCAACCACCGTCATCCCCACCATCGTCAATTGGCCAATCAACGACTTTCATTTGACGGGTTTGAAGAGATACCATTAAATACATTCCTCGACTCGTCTGATATAATAAGTAATGATATTTGTGCAATAATTAGAAAACGAGCTCACATGGGGTATTCGTTTGATTGTGATTTCAATATTTCTCTTTTAGAAAGATTGGATACTATGGATAATCAATTATTTTTAAGAAATACTTGGAAGTGGTTAAGTCTTGCTCGAAAATCACTTGAGAAGGGAACAATGATCTCAGAAGGTATTGATTTAGGGTTTCAAGGCGTTTTAGGTATATGGAAAGGTGTTGATGCGTTGGATGGACAGAGTAGAACCGACACAACCCGAGAGGGCCCCATTACTGATAGTTGGTTTTCACAAGCTGTTAGATCCATTGTTTCTTCCAAGGGGAAGAAAACTGCTGCGATTAATATCCCGAGTAATAGTGAGAAAAAAGCACAACGTAAACTCGGATTGATTGTTTCTGGATGGTATTTGGCCGATAATGAATTTGAAGAGAAATTGAATGGATTAGTTGCATTGGGTAATTGGGAAAAAGCTGCTGGTTGGGCGGTATTCCACGGTAATGTACCTAAAGCTATTGAAATATTGGCTAATTCCCAAAAGGAAAGATTACGATTAATGGCCACTGCTGTTGCTGGATATTTAGCCTATAAGAATTCGAATGTGAATAGTCCTTGGAAGGATCAATGCCGTAAGATGGCATCAGAATTAGATGATCCTTATTTGAGAGCTATATTTGCATTTATTGCTGATGATGATTGGTGGGATGTCTTGGATGAACATGCATTGCCTTTGCGAGAAAGGTTGGGTGTTGCATTAAGATTTCTTTCGGATAAGGACTTGACTGTTTATCTTGATCGTATGGCTGAATCAGTAGTGAATAAAGGCGAATTAGAAGGATTGATTTTAACAGGTATCACACCAAGAGGTATAGATTTGTTACAAAGTTATGTTGACCGTACCAGTGATATTCAAACAGCTGCATTAATTGCATCATATGCATGTCCTCGATATTTCACTGATCAAAGAATTACTCATTGGATTGATTGTTACCGTAATTTGCTAAATCGATGGGGATTTTTCAGCATAAGAGCAAAGTTTGACGTGACTAGAACTAAATTGTCCAAGACTTTCAATGGTCAAACTACAATCAAAGCAGCTCCAAAACAAGTATTTTTGCAATGTACTAGATGTAACAAAAATATGGCCAAATTTAAGAATCCAAATCCTGTGAATAACCAAGCATTAATGAAACAATTTAATAAGATGAATGGAGGGAAATCAATTACTAATGATATTGTAAATTGCTGTCCTCATTGTGGAGCTCCATTACCTAGATGCGCAATTTGTTTATTAACGTTGGGCACACCTATACCTTTAGAGCAGGACGAAAGGTTGGATGAAAATGATAAAATAGGTAATAAGATTGAGAACAGGTTTAGAGAATGGTTCAGTTATTGTCTCACTTGTAACCACAGTTGTCATGCATATCACGCTGAAGAATGGTTTTCTAAACATTATGTATGTCCAGTACCTGACTGTAATTGTCGATGCAATAGTAAGTAGCATAGAAGAGCAGAATATACAATCACCTTCTCATTCGAGTTATTATTAGAAACATGTTTTCTTTTGGGTTGGATCTGTACCCTCCCCGTATATCTATAAATAGGATTCCAGAAACCTCTCGTAAAAAAAAATAAAATGCAGCAGCCTCACAAGGCGTGATAACCAGTGATCTATGTGCTAGTATAACTCCAACATATAATGTTGTTACATTAGAGATCTCAAAATGAACATGTAAAACAACACAGCCCATACAATATAGATTCCGTTCAAGTTGTCATTTACCGACATACATTGCAAAGGGCTGCACGATCTTTCATCATGTTGCATAAAACTAAATGGAACAATACAAAAGAGGCAAAATGAGCCGCACAGATACCAACACCCAAAAGCGTACGATTATCACTTCAGGAAAAAGAAATAGCAAATTCTTAACAATGATATGTCAAAGCACTCCTGTTGAGATTATTATACGTTATCAGACTGTCCAAGCCTTTGATGGAAGTGTGATCTGACATAATTCATATGTAAAACCCCCATAGCAAACTAACACAACCCTCGTATGTTACCTTTGAATGAAAAGGTCGTGTGTGGCTCAGGCGTGTTGTTTTTTTTTTTTATTTTGGTAATTTGCAAATACGGAAACTTTCGAAAAAAGAAAATTACATTTGATTCAGTAAAAGGCTAAGTTTAAAAACTCACAACAATTTAACCCTCAAAGGCAGTGTTGGAATTAATTTGAGTTAAGTAGCAATTTACTACTTTCAGAATTTCAATAATAAGACCACGTACTAAACAAGCTTCAGATTGACCGTACTCCAAAGATCTGATCTCCCTGTTTCCCAACCTTTTGCTAAGTTTGTTTGGTTTTTTGTGATTTGGAACGCAAAATCAAAACGACAAATCGACGCCAACAACTCAAAATTTACAATCAGGTCACCACCCTTTTTTTTTCTAACCCAGTCCCTGAACTGTACCTACAACTAACACAAAGGTTTTAGCTTTTGAAAGGTGATTGGTAATTGATTCATTCCCTTTGTCTTTACATTGTATTATATTATTTTTACCACAAAATCAAGTTTTTTTTTTTGAAGTTCGTTGAACCTCACTATACATTATGTCACAACAACAAAAGACTGAAGACGTAATCAAAGACATCAAGTCTAAGATTGAAGTCGAAAAGAATATTGTGGAAGGATATCAGAATGTTAAACGAATGTCCCAGAATGCTGAAGTTGTCCAAAAATGTAACTCCAAGATTATAGAGTCACAATCAATTATTGATTATTACCAAGATTCTTTAAACAAGTTAACGAGACAGTTGCAAGACTTAAATACAAATGGTCATCCAACAAATGGAAATAGAAATAGTGGAACTGAGAGACCTTCTTATTCGCGTCTTGACCTTATTAAGTATGAATGTCCTTCTGTTGGTCACAAGATACATCACATGTTACAGCAATTGCAGTTTAAATTACAAGTTGAAAATCAATATCGCGAAGCCAACAAGAAAATCTCGCATCTTTATTTAATGGATGGTGATCGTTCCTCCTCGGACGCTGCTGAAGGTGGTAAGGCTGAATCGGATCAACGTATTCAATTATTGGAAAAGGCATTGAAGAAATATCAAAATATTCATATTGATTCTGAAGATTTTACACGTGATTTTGCCTTGATTAATACTCCAAAACATGCTAGAAAACCATTAAGTGGGAGATTATTCATATCCGTTACCTGTATTAGAGATGTTGACCACATTTCCTCACCAGTATTTGCTAAAAAGAGAGAATCGGTAATTGTTATAAAAATTGATGATTTGGAGCGAGCAAGAACAAAGCCTTCAAAAACCGATAAATGGACCGAAGAGTTTGTGGTTAATGTTGAAAAGGGCCATGAAATTGAATTATGTGTATTGGATAAATCTGGAAATAATATGGTTCCAGTGGCCATGAATTGGCTATTACTTTCAGACGTGGCTGAAGAAATCCGTAAGAGAAAAGTAGCTAAAGAATTGGGCAATAGTGGATGGATCACAGCATCTAATTTGGAAGGAGCAAATGTACCTTCCCGTGGTGCAAGTTTTGGAGCTACCTTACCTTTACCACCAACTAGCTCTGCTGGTTCGACATCTCCAACGACCAGTGCATTTGCTACACCTGCTCCTACTCCTGCTGCTGCAGGATCTCCAGATAAGATTCAACTTAACACTTGGCTCAGTCTTGAACCATGTGGTCAAATGTTAGTTAGTATGAACTTTGAAAAATCCACGGTTCCGGGCCAGAAATTCATGGGTCCTCTTGAGCGTCATGGTGCCATTCGTCAAAAGAAGGAAGAAGTGTTTGAACAACAAGGTCATCACTTTGTTCAAAAACAATTCTACAATATTATGTGTTGTGCATTATGTGGAGAATTCCTTCGATACACTGGGTACCAATGTCAAGATTGTAAATTCTTGTGTCATAAGAAATGTTATTCGAAAGTTGTCACCAAATGTATTTCTAAATCTGGTATTGATTACGATGAAACTAAATTGAAACACCAAATTCCTCATAGGTTTGAGCCAATTACTAATCACGGTACCAAATGGTGTTGTCATTGTGGTTATATCTTACCATGGGGTAAAAAGAATGTTAGAAAGTGTACTGAATGTGGTGTCATGTGCCACGCTCAATGCACTCATCTTGTCCCTGATTTCTGTGGAATGTCCATGGAGATGGCTAATGAAATCTTAGCTACTATTAAATCAACTAAGGTGTCACCCAAGAAACCTCAAAAGCTTAATTTAGCACCTAAATCTGAATATTCGCTCAAGCCACAAGTTTCTCCATTGCCTGTCAAAGAGGAACGTCGTATGTCTGAAGATGACGAAGCAAAGACAAGATTAGCCACCCAGACAACAAATATGGTTCAAGAACCTATCAGATTACCTCATCACATCGCTAAACCTAAACAATACCCTTCAGAAAAGCGTCCATCGTTTGAAGCTGATATGTCCTTTGATCAAAATAGAGAAAATGAAATTCAATTTAGAAGGCATGACAGGGTTCAACAGCAGCAAGAACAACGTCTCGAGGCAGTTACTGAAGATCAGCGTAAGTCTCTTGAATCCTCCAAAAATCATTTTGACCAATTTGATTATCAAAATGTTCAAACACAAGATCAAATTATGGCTGATGTTGATCAAACCAAGAACCCATTCCAAGATCAATATCACCATGCTGATGTTACCGCAGGTCATATCACTAAACCTCACAAATCACATAAACAGAAACGCAAGAGAAGAAAGGTTGGTCTTGATGACTTCCAATTCTTGGCTGTATTGGGTAAGGGTAACTTCGGTAAGGTTATGTTAGCAGAATCAAGACACACGCTGACATTATGTGCCATTAAGGTTTTAAAGAAGGATTTCATTGTTGAAAACGATGAAGCCGAGAGTGTCAAGTCGGAAAAGAGAGTATTTCTTACCGCCAATAAGGAAAAGCATCCATTCTTGTTGAATTTACATTGTTGTTTCCAAACTGAGAATAGAATCTACTTCGTCATGGAATATATTTCCGGGGGTGATTTAATGTGGCATATTCAAAAGTCTAGATTCCCTGCTAAACGAGCAAAATTCTACGCGTGCGAAGTGTTACTTGGGTTGAAGTATTTCCACGATAATGGAATTGTTTATCGTGATTTAAAATTAGATAATATCTTGTTGACAACCAAGGGACATATTAAGATTGGTGATTATGGGTTATGTAAAGAAAACATGTGGTATCAATCTACTACATCTACCTTCTGTGGAACTCCTGAGTTTATGGCTCCTGAGATTGTGGCAGGTAAGCAATATGACAGAAGTGTAGATTGGTGGGCATTTGGTGTTTTATTATTTCAAATGTTATTGTGTCAATCTCCATTTAAAGGTGATGATGAAGATGATATTTTCAATGCTATTGAACATGATGAAGTTAAATATCCAATTAGTTTATCTCGTCAAACCGTTCTAGTACTTCAAGCATTGTTAACTAAAGATCCAAGTCAAAGATTAGGTAGTGGACCAAGAGATGCTGAAGAAATTATGGAACATCCATATTTCCATGATGTTAATTTTGATGATGTATTCAATTTAAGAATTCCAGCTCCATATATTCCTGAAGTTCAATCCGAACATGATTATTCTAATTTTGATCAAGAATTTACTTCGGAAACTCCAAGATTGACGCCAGTAGAAACTGTGCTTACTGCTGAAATGCAAGAACAATTTAGAGGGTTCTCACATATTGCTGAGAATGCGGTGATTTAATGTAAGGTGTATAAAATGTTCTATAACTATGTATAATGCAAAAAGGATTCTAATATATACTACATATATATATATATATATATAAGGAAATCATGAATAAATAAGACTCTATAAAATGCAAAGGGGGTGTAGCTAGAGTGCTACATGATGGTACAAGTATTGATATTACTTGGTTGGGCTTTCAACATTTCTTTCAAACGTTCATTTTTACCATTTAAGTTGGTTGATGATTTTGAATTGTTTGAACTTGAAAGTGAAGTAGTTTCTTGGGTATCGGCATCTACGACTTGAGAAATCACTGATTCTGATGCGGAAGCTGTTTGAGATTTGGATGGCCGTTGTTCTTTTTCTCTGTATTGGAATATTGAATTGTCGTCGCAGAAACTAGGAGCTGACATTGTCAAGACCAATGGGTTAGAACTGTTGAGTTCATCAAATTCAGAAGCAGGTGTCACTAATGCTGAATCTGATGCCTTTTTACGGACAACCTTATCAACCACAGTTTCAAAAGCTTCCTGTATACCTTGACCCAGAACGATAGAACATTCGTGGAACGAAATAGCTTGTACGGAATTAGCAAAATTTTGACCATCTTCATAACTAACCTGACGACCAAACTCGTTATCTACAGTTGTTCCAATAACAGCTATAGCAGGTAAGTCTGTAGTTAATGTTGCAAGAAGGCTTACACAGTCCTGAACAGATAAAAATGAATCGAGATTTTCAGTAGAATAGACTAACACCACAGTGCTGGTATTCATAATCTGCATCTTTTGACTATTGGAGTACATATCTCCAGCATAATGTGAATCAAGGATGGTTATGTCATAATGTCTGTTTTTATGTCTTATACTTTTAGTGTATATTTGTTCCATAGAGGTGTCTGCATCTTCAATATATGTATGGTATAGGTAATGCAAAATCAAGGCAGATTTACCACTGTGATCCTGTCCCAACACACAGATATCGTATTTCTGAGTTAGTAGTTGTGAACTATCCTGTAATATGCTCATATCTGGTGCTGTGTTCAACTGTAAACTTGCAAAATTTCCTTCTAGTGCTCTTTTGTTATCTTCGATATTGTTGTCGTTTCTTTTTTTTCTTTCTTGCCGGAAAAGTTAGTAGTTCTCCGGGATACGAGTGGGGTTAATTAATTAATGACAGGTTCTGTAAATAACAAAGATCTAAGTAACCAAACTTGTAATTAGCCTTCTAAATTTGATGCAATATGTTTATTGACTGTTTAAATTCTATAAGAATTTTCAAATGGGAGATGTTAGTGTAATTTTATATTCGGGATTGCTGAAGAAGGTCAATTCTAGGAATTAATAAATAAAAAAAAAAATTATAAAAAAAAGAAAAGGAAAAAAAAAAAAAGAGAAGGCGTTTTCCATAGGGAAGGACAACGAGGATAAAAATATTTATCTCATTAATTAATTGTTGTCTGACTCAAAATAAATTCTCAATAGAATAATAGAACTTTTAACCAGAGTGAAAATTAAACTCCGGTATTGTGTAACTTTATCGTTAAAATTTCAAATCCCCTGTCGCTAGACACTAGTGCATGGTGGCACAACGTTACTAAACGAAGCACGTCATCTTTCTCCTGATTACTTTTCGCTTGTTTTATCCCTTTTAGATATATGTGAGGCGGTGAGGTTTAGCTTCACCTTAGGGTGCAAATTTGCATTATCAGTGTTTCAATCATTTCGATTATTGACAGTGACATCGTCAATTTAAGGTTTTGGAGTTGCTGCCAATATATGTAGGCTTAAGCAATTTACAATCCTATGAAAATATAGGAGGGGTACATGAGATGGACAACTACTGTGTGTATTGTTTAGGTAATCGCAGACATGTGGACAATTGGTTCTGTGTCTTCCATGAAACCGTCAAAAATAAGAAAATTGCTCATTACAAATTTTAATTCTGTGTCAAAGTTTACTTCATCGCTTGTACGTCAAGTTTATCAATTAGATCTTCAGGGAACATCGGGCCAGCACAATGCGTGTAAGATGAATCATCTGAAATTGTGGTTAAGCTTTATTTTTCTCTATATGCACAGTGCGTTATTATTTAGGTGCCAGCGGGATGCAACGGTAGCTAGTGCCGCCACTTATAAAATCCAGAGCAATGGAAAAACATCTATGGCAAACAATATACAAAGGAAAAAAAGAAACGTTGTGGTGCAAAAAACAATAAGGCATTAATTTTTTTGGCGGAATAACGGTTTATTTTTTTATGCACGGTCCAACGGTTGTTAATTCCAAATTTGCTAAAACAGCCACAAGAGTGCGAAAATTCCGTGACATTTTAAAAATAAAGATAAAAATTCCGGTAATTTTTCCGCGGATTATTACATCAGATAACAACTATTGCTAATAATAGTAATTGATATGCTGATAAACTATGGTTCTATTTAACTGTAATCTTCATCTTCTGAATCTAAATATTGAGAATAATCGTCAACGGAAGCAAAAACAGGTAAGTCCTTAAGCTTGGTCTTCTTGGACTTTTTCTTTCCTTCATCTTTGTCTTCTCTGGCACGCTTGTTCTTCTTCTTTGGCTTTTCTTCTTCTTCTTCTTCTTCTTCTTCTTCTGATTCACCAAACGCATCACCCAACATTTTAAGTTCAACTTCAGAGTCACTGAATTCATCATCTTCATTGATACCAAAAATATCTTGCTCTTCACCTTCAAACCCTTCTTCTTCGTCGTCTTCTTCGTCGTCTTCTTCGTCGTCTTCTTCTTGCTCTTGTTCTACTTCGGCTTCAACTTCGAACTTTTCTTCAATTTCTTCGTCTTCCACTTCTTGTTGTTCCTCATTGACTTCTTCATCTTCGTCCTCTTCTTCTTCATCCATGTCTAAATCTGAGAAATCTTCTTCACCAAAATCAGAGAAGTCATCTTCAGAATTGTCTTCAACGTCAGGTTTAGACTTGACCAAAGCCTTCCAAATTTCATCATCTTCCATTTCAGCGGCTTCTTCATCATCCAACAATTCCTTCTTCTTTTCATCTTCATCCTCCTTGATGGTCTTGATCTTATTGACCTTGGTAGTGAAATATTGATGGAAAAATTGTTCATTTGGTCTAACGTCTTCAACCTTCTTATTCAACCAGTCCTCGGTGTTTGCAGGAACAGAAGTGTCCATGAGGTTAGTTGCTCTGACTAACAATGAACCAGTATGTAAACCTCCCAAAGGTTGCATAATGGATGAACCCTTGGTTTGTGGTTTCTGCTTCGAATTCTTATACACGAATCTGTCCAAAAAGTGGGCAAGAGTATATAACCCTAAATCTGGCTTAACTTGTTCAGTTCCTTCAAGTAATGAAGATGCGTAAATTGCAATTGTTGGATGATAATGGTTTAAGAAATGACCTATTTCCCATAATGATGACTTGTCAGCATTGGCGTATTGAGGATCACGCTTCTTTGGGTCATACTCGGTATCTTTGGCGGATTGACCATCTTTCTTTGGTTCTGATTTATCTTCATCAGCTTCAGCATCGGGTCTGGAAGCCACGTCAATCATTAAGTCCGAGATTTCTGGGAATGTCTTTACAAGTTGAATTAACAAGTATAACATACCGGAAACAGCACCAACATGCAACCAATGAGAACAAATTTGTAAGATTCTTTTAACAAATGCTAAAACACGAGCTTTGTTGGTATCGGATTTCAAAGATTTGAATAACAAGTTCAAGTAAATACCTTGTTTGGAGGTGTTTGCTAATCTTTGATCTAGCAATGATTCATATAAGGTCTTGTAGTATCTGTCGGAATCTAAACTTTGTTCAGTAATGATATGATGAACCAAAACAAGAGCTTGAATAGATGTGTTGAAATTACTACTATGAGTAATCTTAAACAATGTATCTAAATGATTTTGGAAAACTTCTCTAGGCAAGTTTGAGAATGGGAAAGCACGGTTTAAACCAGTTAATAAAGCAGAAAACAATTTGGTATTCTTTTCTTCAATGATTTCTTGTTCAGACTTTTCTTCAACCTTGACAGACTTTCCACCCTTCTTACCCTTCTTGAAGTTCTTTCTATTATTCTTTCTACCCTTGGAACTTTCACCTAATGTCTTGTCTTCTCTCTTTTCCTTATTATTGGCGTCATTTTCAATTAAAACTTTTTCAAAAAGGGCAAAGTAAGTCTTGACCAACGAATTGGCCAACTCTTCATCCTTTCTAGTCAAAATAGTTTGGTTCAAAGTAGTAATGGCATAATACTTGGCATGGGAGTCACCACCACCATTCTTGAAGATAACGTCAATGACAGCATCAGTGACGATTTTCTTCATGGCTGGATGAGCTTGTTCCAACAACAAAATTTGATATGAAGTTTTCGAGGCAACTTTGTTATCAACATCACCTAACTTGTTAACACCCAACTTCAACAAATTGGCTTCTTGTTCTGGTTTAGCCTTTAACAAATCAAATATGTGAGATACATCATTCATTCTGACGTGAACGATAGGGTCATGGGATAACACTTCTAAGATAGTAATTAACTTAAAGTAAGCTTTCTTGACATAATCTTCAAAATAGTAGACTGCTAATTGTACGTCGCTGGCATCCTTGGTCAATGGCTGTTTTTCAAAAGGTAATAACTTTCTATCTGGTAAAACACCATTCAATAATAAATCCTTTAATGCATTAATAGATTGAAGGGCAGCGGTTCTTGATTTCTTTTCACAATAAGAAAGTAAAGTATCGAATGCTTTTATATTATGCATAGGAGCTTCTTGGATTAACAAAGTCAATGCTGAGATTTTATCGTTCAAGGTACCGTCGGATAAAATTTGGGACAAGAACTTTCTTTGGGAGTTGTTGGCTGCGAATTCTTCCAAGTAGGTCTTGTTGTCTTTGTCTATAGTAGCTTTAGCTCTTTCTAATAATCTTTCTCTGGCAAATCTGTCTAATTTTTCTGGGGTTTGAGATGTGGTTTCAAATGGAACGTTGTACCAATCTGTACGAGGAGGAATAACCAATTTTGAACTTGACACAGTTGCTACGTCTGTTACTTTGTCTGAGGTTTGAGCTTTTGCTTTCTTGTTGTCAATCTTGGATTCCTTGACAATGACCTCATCTTCAGATTCAGATTCTTCTTCACTCTCATCGGATGATTCAGATTCCTCGTCATCCTGTTCTTCCTCCTTTTCTTCTGCTGCTTCTTCGTCCTCTTGGTCCTCCTCGTCTTCTTCAGGAACATCAACTAAATCAGGGATATCTTCATCCTCTTCTTCTTCTTCTTCGTCATCGTCAACAACAATAGGTCCTCCACTGCCCAATCCAATACCTTTCATGAACTGACTTAAATCGTCACCGAATGATTTGTCCAACTTCACACCAGAGTCATTGAATTCTTGCTCACTTTCTTCGCCTTCATCGACGTCATTTAACAAGGCTAAATCTTCTTCAGTTGCACCTAATGCTAAAGCTTCACGGCGTAATATATCTTCTTCTTCGTGATCTGGCTTCTTGTCCTGTTTCTTTCCTTCCTTCTTGGTTTTTTTGGATGGTTTCTTCAGCAGGTTCAATTTGCTGGATATCTTGTCTTTCAAAGACGTCAAATTCAAGCCTGAAGTATCCATTCTAGCTATTGATTTGCAGCTTTACACTAACTAGCAACAACTTCAAGTGTCTGCATTTTTTTACTCCATCTCATCTGCTTCGCAATACACAGGAATTGAAAAAAATTTTAGTGTCTGATCACGTGCTGCGGCTGTTTCCTTTTCGGACAATTATCGGAACAATTGGAGATGTGCCCCCTCCCGCCCAGGACACCCCGGAAAAAATGTGGGAACAAATTTCAAGGACGCAAAAAATGTGTAAGTGCAACCAATCTTGGCTGAAATGACCCCCCCTTGCCCTGGCTCAAAATAATGTCACCCGCCTGAGACTTTCCTATATAACACTTTGTTACAGGTTGTTTCCTTTAGAAGTCTGCTTTAGGGTATTAACGTATCCACCACCATTATGAAGAACCTTTTCCAACTGAATATCCATGATTGCTGTAAGGCAAAATATGTCCTTTGCAAAAATGAAATAGGAAACGGATCGTATTCGCTGGTTTTTGAGTGCAAAAATTCAATAACAGGAAGACATTACGCTGCAAAGAAATACCTGAAGAAGCTAATGCTAGGCTTGGAATCTATGGTTAGAAATGAATTCAAAGTACTCAAACAGGTCTCCATGACAAGCTCAAACATCTTGTCTTTGATAGATTATTTTGAAACCGATGATAGTATATATCTTGTCACTGATTTGGCCATGGGTGGCGACTTGTTTGACAAAATAGTCCACAGTCCTCACGAACGTCTCAACGAAGACGATACCAGAGAAATCACATATTCTTTGGTGTCTGCGATATCGTATCTTCACAGCAACTCAATAATACACCGTGATATCAAGGCCGAGAATTTACTATTCCAGACTCCAAATTCTAATTCCATCCTAGTGGGTGATTTTGGATTGGCTAGAATATTACCACCAAAGGAGAAACTATTTGATGTTTCAGGAACTCTAAGTTACATGGCGCCAGAAATCCTTAATAGAACAATGGGATATACTGATGCGGTCGATATATGGGCTATTGGAGTTGCTGTATATTTCATGCTTGGTGGTTATTTACCCTTTGATTGTGATAGTGATAAAGAAACCAAGCATGCCATTAAAAACAGATTGTACCTATTTGAACCACGAGAATATTGGACAGGGATATCGTCACCAGCGAAAGATTTTATACGATCTTGTTTTGATATGGATCCCCAGACAAGGCCCAAAGCGTCGAGCTTGCTACAGCACCCATTCTTGCTCTCCTCAAGTTTGAAAATGTCAGACAGTGTAGAGAATCTTTTACATACTTCCACCTCGCCATACAAGGACCAGATTCGACTTATTCTTGAAGAAAATCCAAATAGTTCGTCGCATTCGTCGACCTCCAGATCCTCATGCAGCACTTTGTTAGAACGAGCCAGATTGGAATCATTCACTGAGGGTGCGTCTCTGTTAGGAGACATGTGTTTATCTCCCGAATGTGTGTCTACTTTTACCTCGCCATTGAGTTCCCCAAGCGTATCCCGGACTAGTTCGTTTGATGATTTGATTAAAATGAAGGAGAAGATTCAAGTGAGTGTTGCAAACAAGTCTGCCCGGTTTTATCTCTAAATTTTTAGCGCCACTGTTGATGCGGCTCATTCTCACCACAAATTTTCTTTTTCGTTCCTCGGATTTCCGTTTGTTTTCATCTTCAATATTTAGCAACAACTTCACCTAATTACCCCTGTATATATATAATCAATTCAATATAGAGCTTTCCGACAGATCCCGTTCATGCATGCAAGAATATAAACGCCATGTATCTGAGTTATACCCCTAATAATCTTCCAAACTACACATCTCCGTTGGACTATACCTTGAAGCCACGAGAAGAACGAGATTTCAAAGAATTGTATCCTGATCTAGATGAAAATGAACAACTACCGGTATTCATATCAAACAACGAGGAAGAAATCATGGAGCGTCAAGACTCCAATATCTCCATGATAACAGAACTCAAACGGCCCACATTTAAGAAGTCGGAACGCGAACGACCTAATCAAAATATCAGATTTAATAAACAGTTACTAGATTACGGATTCCAAGAACCAAACAAACCCAACACCAAGAAACCGCTTATAAGTGACACATACGTTCGGCCATTTCAGATCCCTACTAATGCAAACGCAAAGGATCTGTCTATAGACAGTGTAGAGAAGTTGCTAGTTAGGAAAAACAACCTTGTGGAATATGATATGGATGAACAAGATTACATGTTTCTCAATGATCGAAATTCAGATCCCAAGAATGTCGTCAAGATAACGCCAGAGATATTCGAGATTATGATGACCACATTAGAAAACGAATGGGATAAGTTGGAACACCAAATGAACTCAATAACGAGTAATGTTGGTGGTCTCAATGGCAGTGATGGATTTGAAAAGCTATTAACCTTGGGGCATAACAATCACAAGTACGGAAATGATGATGGTATTGTTCCTGGGTCCATTTATGATCAGAAATGTGCCGTTTGCAACGATAGTGACTGTGACAATTCGAATGCAATTGTCTTTTGCGATGGCTGTGATATCGCGGTCCATCAAGAATGTTATGGTGTTGCGTTTATACCCGAGGGACAATGGCTCTGTCGAAAATGTATGATCAACAAGAATAGGCCAACTGAATGTGTATTTTGTCCCAGCACAACTGGGGCATTTAAACAACTTGACAATAGTTTATGGAGTCATGTGATTTGTGGTCTCTGGATTAATGAACTATATTTTGCTAATCCAATTTATATGGAACCAATAGAAGGAATAGACAACATCCCCAAAAGTAGGTGGAAGTTAACTTGTTATATTTGTCGACAAAGAGTGGGGGCATGTATTCAATGCTCTAATCGAAGTTGTTTCCTGGCTTATCATGTCACATGTGCCAAACGAGCAGGGCTCTACATGGAAATGACTAAAGGAATTAAAGGAGCCATTACGAACAAAATGACATTGAAAACATATTGTGAAAGACATAGTCCGCCCTCGTATGATGTAGATGCGGTACTAACAGGGATAGAACGGACAAGATTATTCTTCCGTGATACCAAGATTTTGAACGAGCAGAATGCACGTTTGAGCTACAACCAGAAAGCGGAGAACAGATTGAATATATTCAAATGGAAAACCGAAGCGAATACACCCATTGCCCCAAAGCTTTTCTCTGATGTTTTGATGGAAATCTTATTGCGGTTGAAAGTTGAGAATCAAATCAGTTTACCAGAGGAATCAACAGTTCAAGTGTTGGATTTGGCTGTTCTTCCAAATAGGACCAAGCAAGATATACTCGAGGATTTGCGCGGGATTAGCGATCTGGTGTGTCGTTACTGGTGTCTCAAGAGAGAATTGAAACGAGGCGCTCCATTAGTTCGGAAAAATAATAACCTCATATCAACCAGTTCTATTTTGTATGACGCCAACTCGTTAGATGTGTCGGGATTCCATGATGAAAGTAGGATTACTGAAAAGATCAAGTTTGCAAACATATTGGTGGGTGACTTGGAAAGACTTGGTTCTATGGGCCGGGAAATGCTTGCACGACAAACGGTATTAAACCAACTCCATGAATTAGAAGTGAATAATGCCGATGTGATTTACTTTCCCATCAAAAGTTTGATTGAACTATTATTGAACCGCATCAACGCTAAGATTGATATTACGGAGTCGTTGCAAAACTACAAGTTCAGAACAAATGAGGGTATTACATTGAAAGAGATCCAAACAAGAGCTTCGAAATATGGCTATGAATCTGTTGATGAATTTAAACAAGATGTTGAAGCCTTCATTGCTGGGGTATTTGCCGAAAATAAACCAGCTAGTAATATTTACAAACGAATGAAGAACTGGAGCCGTGAATTTGCTCTAGAGTTGCCTGGGTTGGAAGCCAGTGAAAAGTCTCTTTTGAGAGACGGTGGGATATTCAATTCGTCGGACTTCTGCCTAAATGGTACTCAAAGTGGATTTAAACCACTTGATTACCGCAAAATATTATCAGAAAATGATCTCAGCGAAGTTGAAGATATAGAGTCACAAGAAGACCGGAGGTTGTTTCAGGAATTCCTCGGCTCTTCTGAAAATATGTAATTTTATGTAGTGATTGAAAATACTCCTAGGTAGCAAATGACGAACATGAGCTATTTTTTCCGTAAAAAAAAAAATCAAAAAAATAACAGAACTTGCTCATGTTCTATTGTAAAAAGAATAGGGAGTCGATATTGAACCATGTCTGTACTGGCGCGTACAATACACGCGTATCACTTGTGCCCACCGTATTGCTTGCAGTTTGTGCAAAAAAAGCGCCATTGTACTAACCCGTTTCAGGACCCTTGTGACAATGGTTTTGAATATTTCAGGTTTTGGAACTAAAAAAAAAAATTAAATTAAATTAAATTATTGAAAAAATAATAAAAAAAATAATAAAAAAATAAAAAAATAAAAAAATACATCTCGCTCCAAGGTACCCCTGACATCATTTTTCGTATTGTAGTAAGCCAGGAATAGGATACCGCTAATCAGATGATGCTTCCCCGAAATGATGTCATACACAAAGCATAAACTTTGTTTCCAGTGATGTCATGCAAAATTAAATTAACTTCCAAAGACTAGATCTTAGATTTGTACGTTTTTGGAGGGGGCCGACCCCTGGTCAGCCGCTGTACTTCGTCATGACCTGTAGTCGACCACAAGTTTAATTTGCGGAGTTTATTTTCAGGGGTATATCATATAACACAAGCTGCGTTTGGGGCTGAGGAGCAGATAGTGATATGAAGCAGCCATAGTTTCACTCCATATTAAAGTTGCACTCTTGAGCGATTAAACTTTTTTGACGAAAATTGTGAAATCTATCACCGAAACACCCTAAAGTCTATAATTCCACCAAAACCAATTTCACCCCGATTCCGGTTGGCTAGTGGCTATAATCCACTAGTGTATTTCTCCGAAACAAAGGAATATGTCAATTCTAGAAGTGCAAAGAATAAATTTTCTAAATTGGTGCATAAGAGATTATTTTTTGCTATTGTGCTACTTCCTCTTTAGTTGGTACCTTAAACCAAATGGGTATATTTTAAAATTTCGATTGTTTAGCCCTAGAAGCAGTAAAAGGTTTGGTCTAAAAAAAAATAAAAAAAACTTTTGGTCGTGTTCTCCAAAAAAAAAAAAAAATTAACTTAAAAATACAATAAAAAAAAAGAAAAGCAAACAAACCAAATCAAATAAAAGCTGCCAATAACCTCCGCTTCTTAAAACAGCAGTCGATTCACATACATGGAATTTGCGACTTGCCAACGCAGTATATATTATATTCCTTTTAGCCTACTATAGTTCACTCTTTACGATACAAGGCTTATATTACCATTGATCTAGGATCAGCCAATCGACCCTGCTATTTTTAGTGAAACAAAACAACCAAAAATATTTTACTAGACAGCAATTAATATTTGTTTGGCTTAATTCCTGGTTTCAGACACACACACACACGCACACACAGAATGTCTCAGGTAACTCCCACATCTACACCTATCAGGAGTGCGAACCAGAAGAAACTCCCACTAATAGTGGATGTTGCCATTGATAACAACACCGGGCAACAACTATACCAAGTTCACGAATCGTCTAAATTGGTACGGAAAGAGATGCCCAAATCCAACCACTTTTCGCGTACCGTTATAGCTGAAGAGACAGCTTTTTTTGACAGCAACAACACTAACAACTCCAATACAGAAAAGACTCCTACTAGAAATGTTTTAGGGACTTTAAGTCCCTCGTCACTTAAAGAGAGAAAATATGTAGACGTTGCCAACTATCCAGAACCAATTCCTACTACAAAGAGATTTAACGGAGTTGAATTCCATCAAGACATGCTTGCCGGTGTTCCTGCTGGATTATCTGGAAATACCGATGTGTCTAGTTCAGACAGCGACATCTGGTCTGAAGATGTTGAACAAGCATTTGAAGAAGTATTGAAACTCATTCCCAAGAACGGACTTACTAAAATAAAAATTGCCGGTAGATCATGTGGTCGTAATGAATTAATTTCCGATTACATCTTTACCAAAACTGGAAAATTTAGAACCAGAAAACAAATTTCGTCGCACATTCAAGTCATCAAGAACTTGGGGGAAAATAAAAATGTCATCAACTTAATCAACGAAGGTCCTGTCTATGCCAATGAAGAAGAGCGTATAGACGCAACAAAAAAGTTTGAAGAGATCTTCTCTAAAATCAACTTGAATAAATCTTTGGGGTTCAGTGATTCGTTAAAGCGCAACGGTAATTTGCCACAACTTCAAGCACCTAAAAAGCGCAAATCTCAAAAATTGATTCCTAAATACAAGTTTGAGAATTTCTTCATGGCCGTTACTGATCAATATAATTTGAATCCTATTGTTTTCTCCATCCAACACAATGTTATTGAAGTCAAAAGACTCAAGGTCAAATCCAACGCAAATATTTCCCAGAGATTTCCTGGCATGGATGAGTTCAGAACTTGTGCTAATACGCCTATTATTCACAATATGGTGAAAGTAGTATTCCCACCCTTGCCAAAAACTCACTCGATTGAATCTGGATTTAATTCGAGTTTCACATTAAAGCGTGAAATACCAAATGAAGGTTTTGATAGCACCTCGTACCCTCAAACATTCAGTTCGTTTACTAGTATTTATTTGTTTGGAAAAGAAAGTTTGAAATTTAATACTGATGGTCTTACATTCAATGATCCTCATGATTTCTTGGTCAAATTTTGGAAGGTGTTTCTTCGTAACTTGATGGATAAGAAAGATGCTGCTATTAATGATACTTTGAAAGGTCTCACGATTAAACAGATCATGTATGAAAGATCCCCTAATAGTGTAAAGCAAGTGCAGGATGTAAGCATGGTAGCTAAACTGAAGATAGTGCTGGTTCTTCTCTGGGAATTTGCAAGAGTTTCTGACTTTAGCGAAGCCGTTACTACAACTACCAATTTGGTGTTGCCTCCTTTAACCATTGAGACTGCAGGTGGAAACATCTCTTCCCAAACTTTTGAGTATAGCAATCCAAATAATGGTGCACCAATGGCCGGACCTTCGAGTTTAGATTTATCACATAGTAACTGGACTGCTACTTCGGCTGCTCTTGATTCTACATTTACCAATGCACCAATGCAATCTTCTTTACAAACCAGTGCTGCCACGATTTTATCAGCCGATCAATGGGACCAATCTCAGTCAAGGGTACAAAAGAAGTTCCAACAATTGCAGCATGATTCGCATCAGCCAGCATCGCTGCCTGGGTATCCGGGATTTAGTCCGTATTCGAGGCCTGCACCATTGCCTGTAGCACCACCGTCAGTTATGGGGCCGCCATCAGGGTCAATGAATCATCAAGGGTCTATGCCGCTTGCCAATGTTCAGCATTCCACTAACATGGATCTACCAATCCCCACTGGTGGGGTTGTTTTAAATGAAAGTACTATTAATAATAATAATAATAATAATAGATCCAATGGTTTCAATATGAGCACGAATGGATATCAAGGAAATGGTTTCTAGTAAAATTTTCGTAATTGTTTTCAGTATGGGTTTTTGTTATTGCTTTTGCTATTGCTTTTGCTATTGCTTTTGCTATTGCTATTGCTATCGCTTTTCGCTGTTGCTTATCGCTGTTGTTTTTCGCTATTGTTTTCTGCTATCATGTTAATTTCTACTTCTTGGGTTTGCTTGATTTATTCCATTTGATGTTTTTGTTTGGTTTTATTTATTTGTTTTGTTACTGGTCGATCTATCGACAGATTTATTTCCCTGATGTGTTATTTACCCAATTCTAAATCGATTATATATATAGATTTGCTTTGTCTTGTTTATGGTTTTAATGAATGAAGTTCCTTGTAATTAAATGTAAATTGCGCCCCTACAACAGGGATCAAATTAGCCACGTGACCAGGTCGGTTAATGAGCCGTTTGAAATTTTGACTCTTGTCAGCTGCCTTGATAAGCCATCGCAATTTTCCTCCAGTAGAAAATAACTCTGGTCCCCCCTTGATTCTTTATCAACTCACACATCACACAAGCAATCATGGATGGTAAAACTGTCGGTATCTTAGGAGGTGGTCAATTGGGTCGTATGATCGTTGAGGCCGCCCATAGACTTAACATCAAGACTGTTATTTTAGATGCACCCGATTCTCCAGCTATGCAAATCAACGCTTTGGATGAGCATGTTGCGGGCTCTTTTAAGGAGTATGAATCCATTTTGAAATTGGCTGAAAAGGCTGACGTCTTAACTGTTGAAATTGAACATGTGGACGTCGAAGCTTTAAAGAAAGTCAAGGAAAAGTTTCCCAAGATTGAAATTTACCCACTTCCGGAAACCATCAAATTGATTCAAGATAAATATGTGCAAAAAGAACACTTGATTAAACATGGCATTGCCGTGACTGAATCTGTTGCTGTGGAATCCAACACTGAAGAAGCCTTGTTGAAAATCGGTGAGGAATACGGATATCCTTTCATGTTGAAGTCTAGAACATTGGCTTATGATGGAAGAGGTAACTTTGTCGTCAAGGACAAATCTTATTGTAAGCAAGCTTTGGAATTCTTAAAGGACCGCCCATTGTACGCTGAAAAATGGTGTCCATTTACTTTGGAGTTGGCAGTCATGGTGGTTAGATCGATTCAAGGTGAAGTTTTTGCCTATCCAACTGTCGAAACTATTCACAAGAATAACATTTGTCACTTGGTTCATGCTCCAGCTAGAGTCCCAGACACTGTTGCCACCAAGGCTTCGATTGCTGCCAAGAATGCTGTCAAGTCTTTCCCAGGTTGCGGTATCTTCGGGGTCGAAATGTTCTTATTGCCAGATGGTGAAATTTTAGTTAATGAAATTGCCCCAAGACCTCACAATTCTGGTCACTACACAATTGATGCCTGTGTAACTTCTCAATTTGAAGCCCACGTCCGGGCTGTAACTGGGTTACCTATGCCGCAAGGCTTTACCGAATTTTCAACTACAACTACAAATGCAATCATGTTGAATATTTTAGGTGATAAGGAAACTGCCAACAAAGAATTAGAAATCTGTCGTCGTGCCTTGGAAACTCCGCATGCTTCAGTATACCTTTATGGTAAGACCACTAGACCAGAGAGAAAGATGGGTCACATTAATATTGTTTCGTCTTCGATGTCCGATGCTGATAGTAGATTATCTTATATATTAGGTGAAACTACTGAAATCCCTGAATCCATCCAATCTAAGGAACAACCTTTGGTGGGTATAATAATGGGATCTGACTCTGATTTGCCAGTCATGGCTGTCGGAGCCCGTATCTTGAAACAATTTGGTGTTCCATTTGAATTAACAATTGTAAGTGCCCATAGAACCCCACATAGAATGGCACAGTATGCAATTGAAGCTCCACAAAGAGGCTTGAAATGTATTATTGCTGGTGCCGGTGGTGCTGCCCATTTGCCAGGTATGGTTGCAGCCATGACTCCATTGCCAGTTATTGGTGTTCCAGTCAAGGGTTCTACGTTAGATGGTGTCGATTCTTTACACTCAATTGTTCAAATGCCAAGAGGTATTCCCGTTGCCACCGTTGCGATTAACAACAGTACCAATGCTGCCTTGTTGGCTATTAGAATTTTGGGCGCTGTTGATTCAAAATGGTTAACCAAAATGAGTCAATACATGTTGAACATGGAGAATGAAGTCTTGGGTAAAGCCGAAACTTTAGAAGACATTGGGTATGAAGACTATTTAGTTGAGAAGTTAAAAAAGTGATTAAAACTTGTACTCCTTTTATAAATGAATATATTGAATGCAATAATGTTAATATTTATCTGTAAAGAACTAAAATAACAACCTTTCTTTTAAATAAGTATCAAAAACAAAACATTTGACCTCGAGACTTGAACTAATATACACTGGATTAATTGAATTAATGCAAAAATTGAAGATATAATATGACAATGCAATTTAAAACTTGAGGGACTTACCCTTCTTTTTGAGCTGTCTTTGTTTGTAGATTTGTTTTCTTGAGTCCCTCCAACCAGAAGTGCTAACCTTCTTCTCGGATTTCTCTTCATCAACCTCCATGGTTGGTTCTACTGGAGCTTCATCCTCGGTGGTCTCCTTCTTGGCTTCATCCTGTTTCTTAGTTTCTTGTTCTAATTTCTTAGCGATTCTAGTGTTTCTTGAATCGACAAACTTGGTGAATTCACCTTTACGTTTAACCGATTTAGCTCTTAACTTGGATTTGGATCTTAATGATTTGGCCATTGTGTATTATTCTATTATCTTGTCTATGCTATGTAAAGATATATTGAATCGAATCATCTGAAAATTATCTTTATCTCATCGCAGTGGTTACAAACATATTTCGTCACGTGTGATGTGTTAGGGTTTTGCCCTAGTTTTACACAGTCACATGACTACTGATTATATGCAGACCGGCTGTTTTTGATTGTCAACCATAACCAGCAGAAAAAAAACGTTCAATCTGTAGATCATAGTTTATTTTTTCTGTGGTGGATTCTGCTCACGTGAATTCGTGCTACCAAACAGAGATCTAAACTATTGTGCGAAACATCCAAACCTACATACTATTCCGGCACCACATCAAATTTTTTCTCTGAATTACAGTGCGAAAAAAAAAAATTTCATTGCTCACTAATCCCCCTTTCTGCTTAAAAAAACTTTTCTTCTCTTTTTTACTTTCTTCCTAGCTGTATAGTACTACATTGAATTAATCAAAAATGTATGTTATAATGAATGAACCATGTGCGATCATGAATGGGGAGACAAAACAGATGAATGATGTATCTATTGAGACTTAAATTACACCATCTTCCCTCTCAGAAATTGGAGTAGTTCTACAAATTGTGAAGAAGTGAAAACGGGGTGAAATCAAACTCGATCAGAGTTTCTAGGATTATACAAAAAGGAATCAAATTGACATTCCACTACCACTGCAATCCATGTATTTCGGGATTGCTATCATCTTGTTTATGTACTATCCGTGGACCCAATTATGTGCCACATGAAGCTTCCTCATCAAAAGTCAGCTATACTAACATGTTTTTAGGGCTAATCTTAGAACTCAAAAGAGACTTGCTGCCAGTGTCATTGGTGTTGGTAAGAGAAAGGTTTGGTTAGACCCAAATGAAACCACCGAACTTGCTAATGCTAACTCCAGAGCTGCCATTAGAAAATTATACAAGAACGGTACTATCGTTAAGAAGCCAGACACTGTCCACTCCAGATCCAGAGCTAGAGCTTTATTGGAATCCAAGAGAGCTGGTAGACACATGGGTTACGGTAAGAGAAAGGGTACCAAGGATGCTCGTATGCCATCTCAAGTTTTGTGGATGAGAAGATTAAGAGTTTTGAGAAGATTATTAGCTAAGTACAGAGATGCTGGTAAGATTGACAAGCACTTATACCACACCTTGTACAAGGAAGCTAAGGGTAACACCTTCAAGCACAAGAGATCTTTGGTTGAACACATCATCCAAGCCAAGGCTGAAGCCTTACGTGAAAAGGCTCTTAAGGAAGAAGCTGAAGCTAGAAGAGTCAGAAACAGAGCTGCTAGAGAAAGAAGACAACAAAGAATTGCTGAAAAGAGAGAAGCTTTCCTTGCTGAAGGTAACTAAGTTCTTTATTGAATTCATTAAAATTTTAAGGAGTATCTAGGAGATTCTTTTATCGAAGTTGTGGAATATGTTTCTATTGTATATTTTATGTGGGGGCATATAGGATTAATTTCATATTAATGACTATATAAAAGTCAATAAATATTAACTTGCTTGAACATTTATTCTCAGCTTTGATAATGGTGTCTATTTAGGGACTTCCCCTGTGTCATTTTATAATTTTGTAATGTATTTAATAAAACCTTTTTGATGTATGAATTTTTTTTTCATAAAGTAATAAAATCAATCTAAGGTGAATTTACTTGTAGAAGACGTGTGTGGTGACTAGTTTTACGAGGCATGTATAAATTATATTACTAAACATATTAAATAGCTGAGAAGTGAAAGATTCCTAAATCAATCATAATCGATGACCTGGAACTAAGCTGAATAACACTGTCAATATTGCAGTGGCCAATAGAATCAAGAAAAGCACCCAATGACTTCTCTTTAATATAAACCGATAGATGAATCTCTCTCTAATCTTGATTAATCTTGATTGTGAAGTCTTTGAAAAGCCTTCTGAAAGTCCAAACCAGGCTAATACTGGATCAATTAAGTATATGGATGATATGATAAGAAAGAAACCAATGATATAGGGAACTAGAATGACCGGTCTTAGGGACTTTCTATAATTTAAAAAGATAAATATATAACTTACCCAAAATCCAATGAATATGAAAAAGAATCCAATCAAGACTCTCCAAAATTCTGAATGATTAATGTTCCTAGTTGCCATACAATCCAAGAATTTAGGTAAATGTTCATTTTCAATCCTGTTGAACACGTAGTTTTTAACATGATTGAACACTTCGGGGTCATCACGTTCTTCTACTTCGATGGCTTTGATTATTGAAGAATTTATTCTTTCAGGTAAATTTAAGTTCTTTTCTGAATCACCCATAAAGTACTTCAATAATAAGTTATGCGATGATTCTCTTAATCTGTCCCTGGAAATAAATGCATTTTCCTCCATTGTAACATCCTTAAGTAAATTTTCAAGTAAATTTGGGGTTATTTGTGCTAGTTTTGCATGGTGGTGTAGTTGCAGTTGTTGTTGTTGCTGCTGCTGCTGCTGTTCAACAAATGGGTTTATTGGATCTCTTTTCTGTTGCTGGGCGATATACTGTGAAGGGCTGACTGCGCGATCAGCCTGACTCACTTCAAAGTGAGTCTGATAAAAGCTTTCAGAATAACTATCCCCACCGATTCGTTCCTCATCCTCTCCACTCACCAAACGTGATTTTGAATCAACTCTTTTTGCTACTCGGGGGGAATTAAGCCCCGTTGCGGGACTGGGCATTGTAGCCAGGTTAGGTGATGATTTTTGACTGCTTGCAAATTTTGGGGAAATTTGTGCACCAGGTTGTATAAGTTTAGGCGATTTCTGGAGCTCGGTAGTATACTGTTGTATGAGTTCGTTTAATTTGGGATCTGGATTTTCAAGATTAATATCACCACGTAAGAATGCTGATAATCGAGGTGAATCATTTTCTTCCAAGATATGGTCATTAATAATTAATTCCAACAAGATTGATGAACTTAATGATTTACGTTTCGATGTGTCCAGTGCAGCTACTGAATCTCTGATTCCACCAGAAGGTGCTGTTATACCCGTTGAACCTGATAAGTCTCGATCTTTAGGTGAATAAATCTGAGAATGTCGAACTATTGAATCCCGCAACCCTTTTACATAGTGTTTACACAAGTTTAAATGGTTAACCAAGTCGAACCAAAAATCTAGGTAATCAACTTTTCCTTCAACTTCCTCCATAAATTGATAGAATGTAAGTAAATCAACCGGTGATTTGGATTTGTTAGCTAAAATCTCTCCCAAGGTGGGTAATCGATTAAGGTGTATAGTTTGGTTTGTGGCATTTAGATTATCCAAGTTTGCCAAGTAATGTGAGTTTGGATAGTTCAGTTGATACTTCTCATTATAACTGTTGTGCGTCATTGTAGAGCCTCAGCTGGGTATGAAGTATGCAGGGTAATAAATGTGTATCTGGAAGTTGGAAAAATGCAAGAATAAAAACCCTATTTGATTAACTGATTTAGATATGTGTATTTGTAGTGATGTGCTGTATTAAAATGGCCTATTTCAGGAGATATTTGTAAATGTATTAGGTAGTGTCCGATGGCCGTGTAAAATATTGCCCTTGTTGTCAATTGTTCGATCTTGAATCAATTTTTTTTTTCTATGCGAATGTGTTTAGAGAAAAAATGTTGATAGTTTTTTATGCCAAGCCAGACACGGATTCGTAACACGAGAAACGAGCTGGTTGAAATAAGTAAATATAAGTTATACTTTTTTGTTGTAATATTATGGTTTTCCTTTGGTTAATGTAAGATTCTGCTTGCTGTGTATAGCTCATAACTCTTGTGATTTTCTGAGCAACTTCTTTACCCCCTTAATCGATTGAGTGATAGAGCCCTTCTAATAATTTCGCTTGTTTCTCGTTTGCAGATATGTGCAGGAATTTTTTCCTGATTGAGCGAAATTGTAAATATCTTCTGCTGCAAGCAAGCTAATGCCAGCTAAGGGCGATCATGATGATGACTATCGTGTTACCTTGACCACTCAATGAAATGACGAATTCCAAATATTATTCCTTAGATATTTAGGCGAGATATTTCTATGGCAAATTTAAATAATGTTGTCAGGCTACATTGGGAGCTAAAACGTCTCTTCGTAAACGACAGTCAACAGTAAAAGAACGATATTCTTAATACCCTGACAGGTTCTTCCCATTGGCTAAAACAATAGATCGCATTCCATTTACAGCGGTTCTAGAATAATTGGATTTTTTACGTTGTTAAAAGAAAGTATGCAACGTAGTTTTCCCCTTCTCAGACCAAATTCTAGAAGGTTACAACTTGAATTTTCTTATGAATAGTATTTTTGGTAGCATATCTCAAGAAACTTAAAGTTGTTTTCGTTTACTGGAATCATAATATCAACATTCCGTTTTTGTCATATTTTGTTAAATTTTGAGATTAATCTCCAAGAAAAGTTTACTGGCAAGAAAAATAATAACAATCAAAACAGAAGTTTCTTTACTAACATGAGATTACTTAATATGGATAGATACATTAACTTACTTGGACTGGATCTTTCGGTAGAGATTTTAGGAGTGTACTTTTATTTCTGGGAGGGGGATTTTGCAAGGGGATGCTTTTTGTATGGGCCGGCTGTAAATTTTCATTTTTTTTTTTGCCGCATGGCGCCGTGAAAGCGCAATCAGACCACACCAACCGTAGACTATAGGCGTTTTCAATACAACACCAAGGGTATGAACCTGGATACATACACGCCTGATAGTTGTAACATCTATACTCGTCAAGACAATACGTTTTGAAGATGAAATTAGTAAGAATATCATAGCTACATATAGCAGATTATTACTCCCCCCTCTACGTCCATCAAGCGCAATATCTAAAAAAATTTAACTATTGTTAAATAGCAAATGGAATTGTTAGCAAGACCATAGAAGCCTCCAACCGGAAGCAATACAATCGATCCCGAGGAATTACAATTAGCAATTAACGTTGCATATGCATTTAGCCGCAGAGTATGTGGTTTTGTGCCGCTTGCCGAAACGTTTTCCAGTTCTTGTCCGTGCGCAAGGCATATTTGTTAACCCACGAGGCGAAACTCGGTCCACGAGGAAGGCAATTTAAAAGCGCTACACCCCTTCTAAGGGCACGGCAAAGCAATGTGATGAGCAAACCCGTGGCTACATTGGCATGTATAAATATCAGCCAATGTAGCCCCAGTTCTGAACTTGGCGCAAAGTTAACAAATTTAACGTTTTACAAATTTACTCGTAACAATATATACACAACATAATAAAAATTCTAAAGAGTTTATGTGTTAAGTTTCAAAAAGATTTTACTGAGAAATAAGTTAACCAAATGCATCAACATAACCAAAGAAGTGATCACCTTCAACCAACCTTCGATTGTAAGCAATAACAATTTTATGGAACAACACCAAGCCAAATAAATAACAAAACGTAACCTAATGTTGCATCGAAAGTCTGAGTATATAAAGCCACCTGAACTTCAAAAGTCAAACTTCTAAACAACATCGTAGAAAATGCAAAGAAATGAACAATTAAATGAAATGAAAAATAAGAAGAAATGAAGGGGGATTGTTTGAAGAAATAAATAGATTAGTCAAGGATGTCATGGATCTCATTTTTGATATAATGAGATGCGTGACTGTTCATTTCTTGCCCGTATTCACTCTTGATAGAGTAATACGACATTTCATTATCATGGCCGTGTGTAGTCTCTGGGTCCAGCTCTTTACATTGAACTGTTCCCAGACATTTGTTTGCTTCAATATGAGTTTCTAACCATAAATGGTTGTTTTCAAAATGTTGGAAACATCCAGCACATCTACCGCTAAAGTTATTTCTTTCATTAGATTTAGTGCCTGGAGGGTAGATGAAATGTAATGCTTTCAAGTGGGTTTTAAAAGTATCTCTTCTGCTAAATCCACCAGTTGGATGACATTTGGTTCCTGAGTTACCCTTGGTTGGTTCTTGATAGAATGGACAAACAAATGCCTTGGTGGAGTTATGCTTCTTTAAATGACGAGTTAAATAACCCTTAACTTTAAAAGTTGCATCACAATGAGGACATTCAAAAGTGTTATCAATAGATCCGTCTTTGGTTGCATAGGTCTTTTTGCGAACAACAGTGTTATTGGTAGTGGTGGTTGTAGTAGTAACAATAGTAGGTTCATCATCTTCATTATAAATTACAATCTTTGATTTCTTGGTTTGAGGCTTTTGAATCTTATTAGCCTTCTTAGTGTGCTTCTTCTTTTGAGAAACAGAAATATCCGAAAACTCAGAACTGCTTGGAGATGATTCAACTGCACGTTTTCTATTGAATAAGGAAGATTCATCATCAGATGAGGTTTGCCCTGATTCTTGAACATCGTCATACTTAGGGAATAAATCATCACTCAAAGGACTCATGGACTCGGTGGAAGAAATTGAAGCAGTTGAAGCCAAATATGATTGTTGAGTAGTCGTCCTTCTAGCTGGGGCAAAGTCTTCGAAATATGGAGTATCCATGATCTCAGCACGACGATGGTTGTCATTGGTAGTTGGAAGCAATGATCTAGTTGGCATAATTCCGAAATCACCATATTGGGCATAACTGAGTTGGGGATGAGCCAAAGTTTGCAGTAATGGGTTGGTACGTCCACTTTCAAAATCGGGTATAGTAGGTTTTGGTGCATAGTGGTTATAGTTGTGGGCTTCAATAAAATCATCAAACATTGGAAGCTGATTCATAGAATTACCATGCATGTGGTTAGCATTGGTAAAATCGTAGTGGAAAGTGTTGGCGTTAGGCTTTCCGTTGTTATGGTCATTGACCATATTGTCAAAGAACTCAATTTGATCAGAATTTCCAAACCCTAAATCTAAATCATCAGCAGCACAAAGAACAGGGAAGAAGTTCTGAAATTTGCTATTGTTGATGTTCTTAATAGTGGAAGCACTCATTGGTGGGAATAGTTCTAAATATCTTTTGGTACCATAGACTAAACGATTCAAGAATTTGAATACACCAACCTTCATGGTTAATAAGTTTGTAGTGGTAAAACCTTGGTACCTGGTTTTAAGTTGTGAAGCACGCAATGGAACGTCACCACTGTTATTCAAAAGTCCAACTGGGAATATCATTTTGCTTTAATTGTTTTGATTTGCTCTAGAGGTTTAACTTTGGGGCCCTGAATACAATCTCTGTAGATGTTTCTATATATATATAAGAAGTCTTTGGTATTACCTTTTTAGACTACAAAACAAGCTTTTCTGTTGCGATATAATCTGGGACTTAATATTGCCTGTTCAAGAAAATCTAATTTTTGACAGGGTCGGTTGTTTTTTCTTGGTTTGTAAATAAAAAAAAAGTGTTGCAAATATTTTTATGGTTAGGTTTTGTCCTGAGTTAAATACTTTCGACGTTATCTCTCTCAAAACGTTGTTATTGTAGTTTGCCTTGTGATACCAAGAGATAAGAAGTGATAAATAAACTTGATTTTAAATCTCAAAATTGAAAGATTGAGCAGCAGTGTTTTTTTTAATAAGCCTTTAGTAAAAAAAAATTTTTCGATTTTTTGGAGATATCAGAAATTCAAATCAAAATTGATGCCGTACGATATTTTGCACTTTACTGCAATTTTTACATATTAGGAGGGTTAGAAGTGCAGTTTAAAACTATGGATGCAAAAAAATATTTTTATTTCGACGACCTCGCAAAAAATAAATTATTTGCTAGTATAACGTTGTTCTATTGGATTAATTTTATTAAATAATATATCAGATGTTCCGAGGGTTTCGAGAAGCTTAGTCATCTGACGGTAATTTATAGCCTGCAAAATAAAAGAAACATTCACTGTTAATTAGTACATATATGTTAAATGGAAGCAGTCATGGGTTATCTTCTTCGGTGTTGGTTGCATATTACATCCAAGTCACCCTATCTTGATAGTCCTTCCCTGGTGGAGTAAAACAAGATATGTAGGGCGGTTAAAGAATGTACAATGCTTGGAAAAAGAACTATGAATTGGGCTTAGTTGGAAAATCAATAATCTTATTATTCAGATAGGTATTGTTTTACGGTTTTGTACTCAGGTTACATTTTTTTGCCCAATCGGGGAGATTTGGTGCGAGAGAGAACAATAGCTTTGCACTCCTGTCGAATCAATCCACAATATGAAATCAAATGATTTTCCAAATAATAGCGAGCTTTAGTCTATACGTGACAACAACTGGCCATTTTTCATATGATAAGGAGATAAGCAAGGTGGTATTTTATGGTAAAGAAGCAGGGGGGAAAGCTTAATGTTCATAATGTTTGTTTTTTTTGTTATGTAGAATAAATTTCTTTTTTTTTTTTGCTGTGGGAAGCGCGATCCTTCATCTGCCCAAGGAAGATGAAAAATTTTTGAAGGGGGGGGGATAATAAATCCCGCCACTATTTGGAAGTTCCTCGGAGTTGTTACCAGTTTCAAATCCATGAGACCCCTCACGATTGTTTTAAACAATCCCCAATCGGGGTTTGACCGATTTAACCGAAAAATAATACTGCATTGTTATAAATAGTCTCAGGTCTAATCTTTTTACAGGTTACAGTTATTTTGGAATTTTCACTGTGGATTGTATTTTTTTGGTGTGGTGCGTTTCGCGCACGGAAAATTTCAATTTTATTCCGCCCTTAGCTGTAGCAATCATAAATGGTTAATTATTGTAATCATCTAAGTGGTAGATCATTTTGCAGCCACAGATAACAAACATAGTTGCCACAGATAACACATATAAAAAAAAGACAAACAAACCAATGTTTGACGATAATCTTTGCCGTGTCATCGTGGTCATGTCCTTTGTTGCTGCATAAATTCGCAAAAATTCTTGAAAAAACATAGCATGGATCAATATCACCAGTTTTTAGAGTTTTCAATAATACTTATAGACGGTGTTGATTACTATTCACATGCAATACGCAAGGATTTAAAACTTTTACTTCACTATAATAATGTCTTTCTGCGGAGATATTGACAACAATTAACGAGTATACCATTTTGACGCTGTTGGACTAAGATATTCTGCCAAGATAAATATCAACTTCCAGAACAAACTAAATCTTCTAGTTATAAATCATATACCAAGTTGACTAGGTTACATCATTCCTTGGCAAGAGAATATTCCGATATGGCAGATCACGAATAGTCTAGTTATAACACACGCGTAAATCTGAAACCAATGGTAAATCGCGTACCGAGGGCGGTTTTTTCTTGTCGCGTCGACAATTTCACCAGCCAGCTCAGTTCCACAATTTTTTTTTTACATCCCATACAACAGTACCACATCTTTTTGTAGTTGCACAATTAATCACAGTTTTTATAACAAACAAACACAAAAAAGTTCACAATGTCCGCCTCATTAGATAAATCTTTAGATGAAATCATTTCTTCTACCAAGAAGCCATTCAAGGGAAGAAGAGCCGGTTCTAAGATCGGTGGTGGTGCCAAGCGTGTGGGTAAGAAAGTTGGTGGAACTACTCAAAAGAAACCTATTGTTTCTTTCAAGAAAGGTGGCAATGCCGCTCAAGCAGCAGCTGCTGCTAAAGCTTTTGATTTGAGCTATGCTACCAAGGTTAATGTATCTGGTTTACCAAGGGATTTAAAACAAGAAAATATCAAGGTATGTTTCAGTGTATAGAATTAAAGTCAGTGGTTTAAAAATATGTGTCTTAACGGTTAGTCATAAAAAGAGAGAATAAATTGATCTTATGTTAGAAATGTGGGATTCATCCAGATGGTTGGTTTATCGTTATTTTTTTTTCATTGATTCGGTTCATATGAAAGATATGCACACTTTCCAAATGCGGTTTTGTTTTAAACAAAAACACGAAGCAAGCTGAGATGCTACTTCTATAACCTTGCCAACATCAACGTATGGAAGGTTTTTTGTATCGATTTTCAGTCGATATTTGACAAGGTTCTCAAATGAAAGGATTTTTAGTTCAAATTGGAACCGTTTCTTTTTATCATGAAAATTATGCTAGGGGCAATTATTGTACAAGCTCCAATTCGAATAAAAGCTACATAGCTTACTTACCCATTATTCGAGGAGATTATGGTTATTCCATACATACAGAGTATTTCTACTATTTGGAATACCAAAGTGTCTTTATTTTTTTTTATTACTATCAATTAAAAATCAGAAAGGAACAAAATGCAGAAAGTTATTCCAATTAAGTTTGTGAGTAACTGAAAAGTTTGTCTTGGCGGATACGTGACTTTTTTGTTTTTGTTTTTTGTTGTGATTGCATTAATGCACTGCAGTTCTGAGTATGATTTGATAGTATCTCCCAAAGTGGAGGTGGAAATTGCATGCCGGCCATGACGATTCTACTTAAAGCACTTGCCCCTATCCCGTGTCATAATAACATAGCTTCGGTCTTTACTAAATTTCAGTTCGTTTCGAGTGTCGGTGTTTTTCCAATTCCTAACATAATAAGAATCAGCAATTTGCTCTTGACCAACAACTTTGCTACATATATTTTTCACTTCTTTTTTATTTCACGAATTATTTCAACTAACATTTTTTTTCTACAGGATTTTTTCCAATCACAAGTTGGTGGTGTTCACACTGTTGCTTTAAGTTACAATGAAAAGGGTCAATTCAAGGGTCACGCCACTGTTATTTTCAAGACTAACAAATCTGCTACTTTAGCTATTGAAAAATACAATGGTGCCCCAATTGACAACGGATCATCTAAATTAAGATTAGAATTAATTGTCGATCCAAGTAAAAGACCATTAGCTACTAGAATTGCACCAAATAAGGTTGGTGCCGCACCAAAAGTTGCTGCTGCCAAGCAAGTCTTGAATAAGAAGAAGACCGATGCCAAGAAGCAACAACCAAACAAGAAGAAGCCAGCTAAGAAGACTAAGAAGACTATCGAAGAATTAGACCAAGAAATGGCTGATTATTTCGATAACTAAGTACTATATCTCAGGTTCTCTCCTCTGTTTTACGTTAGTTAAATAAGAGAAGCTAGCTCTTCTCGTATTTGTGTATTGTAATATAAAAAAAAGAAAAATTTAACAGTTGTGTTGCATATAGGGCAAACGCGCTCAATTGTAAGATGTAATTATGAAGATCGAATTAATCAGATCATGTGAAATTTTCCTATTCAAAATTAGAGCTATAAATATAGTTCTAATTGTCTCTATAATATATTTAGACTTAATTAATAATCAATAACCATCCCTTCCGACACATAGCCTGTTTATTGATATTTTTCATTCCAGACTAAATCATATTTTTTCCTGCACGCGTTAAAATTCTCGCTTAAAGTTTTTTTGGCACCACATTCACAAAAGAAAGAGGTACGACGACGTCGATTAACCATGTCCAATATTGAATATATAATCACAGCCCAGTTCGATATCGATAAGGGGCCCTCCCTTATACACCAGTATCCTCATGAACTTGCAGGGAGCAAGAATTTATATTTTCTCCCTGAGCTAATGATTCCTGATCAAATTCACAAACGTGACGAAGACTACACTTTGTTCTTGCTATACAAAGACATACAGACTGGGGAGTTCCAGTATAAGTTCGAGAAAGATAAATGCGATCCTTGCCCTTACTTCCTTTATACGGTTGTTGTTAACCGAACTGATGATTCTTTCAAGAGAGGGTCACAAATCAAATCCTTGTCTATAGTTACCAAATTGTCTTATTTTAAAAACTTTAGACCCTTGCTTTTAATTTGCTTGGACACATATTTTAAAGAGGGCAAGATCGATATATTAGAAATGTTATATCATTCAATCAATGAAAAGAACTTCAATATTGCCAGTCACCAATCAATGTCCATAATTAAAAAATTATTAATCACGTCTATACTAGATTTACCTATCAACGACAAGATATACACCGATGCCAATTTCAGAAATAAAATCTTGGGTATACCCACCGGGATTGCCACCAATAGCGATTTATTTATTAGAAAGGATTTAAGTTTCAATTCCGTTGTATCCTTCAACGGTATGAACATCCCGGTGAGAATTCCGTTGTTGGATTTACCCGATACTATTGGAGATTATCTAAATCCTACTGATTTGAACTTTAAACCCAACTTGATTAAATTATTACGGGCTAAATTGGCCAGTAATTATTTGAATAATGAATTGACAGTGTATGGTCTTCAGACACCACCTATTATACTCTTGATAAATGCATTTTTGACGGGGAAAAGAATTGTATTTTTGAGTTATGAAAATTCCTCAGAATATATTATTGATTTCATATTATTAGCGTTAAAGCTTATAACTGGTGGTGGGATATTAACCGGGTTTTTAACAAATTATAACGTGTTTCCTATGATCGATGTTTCTAAAATGGACTTATTAGACCAATGTGAGTCCTTTATAGCCGGAACTATAAATCCATTCTTTAAACATAATGATAAGTTATGGGACGTTATGTTTGATTTAGATTCTAATGAATTTTATTTAAGTTCGCAAATACACCATGAAGATGATATTGTGGGTATTAAAAGCTGTATTATATCCGAAGATGCCAAATTTATTTCCAATTTACAATTATCATTGTTTACTTATAATGATGATTTGACTACAATTCAATTGATCTTGAGAAGACATATTAATGAGACTATACGAATCTTTTTAAGTTCCAAGAACTTTAGTGGAACAGACTTGGAAGATGATACCCCTATTACATTGTTGCTTGATGGCGTGGGCTACTATTGGGCCAGTGATGCGAATAAATTAGTGGAAATTTCATGTTATCAATCAATTTCGAGGAAATTTAAGGATTTATTATACTCAGGAGTATTATCGTATAGTTTGTTATTACCCAACTTGAAGAATGAATTGAATTTAGTTATCGACATCCATCATCATTTGCAGATACTACACAGTTATTCGGTAAATTCACTGGCGTCTTCGAAGATTGATGAACGCGATATTTGGTTTAATATATTGAAATTCCTAATTAGTGGGCCATCATTGGAATTATTCTTATTAATTACATATTTAATGCCCCCAAACTCGTCAACAAGCTTCCAATCTGGTAACGGTGGAAGTTTTACAATATTCGATAAAAATAAAGGGATTGAATTGTTATTGATTAACTTGTTTAATGTGAATGATCGGGTTAAAACAAATATTGTTTTGATTTTACAAGAACTAAAAGATAATTTCGTATGTGGATGGTGTATTGACAAAGTTTTAAAGTCAAATATTATTTATGAAATGGCATATAACGATTTGATTGAATAGTTTCGATTTTATATTTATATACATGAATAAACAATTATGAGTACACTCTTGTTTTATTTGATAACTTTATCCAGTCTTGAAGGAGTATAATACTTTGATTCTTCTTCTTCATCAGAGAAATATTTCATTTTAACCCAAGTATACACCGATAATCTGTCCCCAGGTCTTCTAGAAGCGTAAGCATTGCCACCACCTTCGAATTTTGATTTTCTATCACCTGCTGTATAATCCAAGGTTGGATTGTTTGTAGGGAACCCTGGTCTTTTAGCCAATATTCCGAATTCATTATCCTCAGAATCAATTCTAGCGTCAGTTTCAACTCGATGTCTTTCATCTTTATGACGAGCGATATGTCTCTTACCAATAATAAACAATGTTACTGCAGTTGTGCAGAAAAACCCTAATTTGGTGAAGAATCCTCTACGCGTCTCCATATTGTATTATACTTGAAAGGGTAAGACTTTATAAAGATCAACTGATTCGGGGTTTAAATCGTACCAGGGATTTGAAGCCTGACAAAAAAAAGACTAGAAGGTGAAGGTCGTGTGAAGCGGGAGAAAAAATTGGAATCACCAAATAGTATTTGACATTCTCAAATCATACCACTCAATACAAGAAGCAAAACAACATTAGCAAAATAAAAGGAATGACTTTGCCAAGAATAAACAATTTGTATAGTGGGAACTGATTATATTGAGAATCAAGTTTAATTAATGAAATCGACGGAGAAATGTAACCAACCTAGCCAAGACATTAGATACAACGAAACTGGAGAAAAATGAACATTGCAGTTTGAGATAAGCTCGCAAATTATAAGTCAAGAACATCCAATCTGGGCAAACCGCTTGTTGATCTAGACACGCGCTAACATTCCGAGGAAATGCTACTCACTCGAAAACCCGCCGAGGAATATCCGGGACAATATTATTTTTTTTTCCTTCTCACGATCGACGCGGCAGCTCCTCTCACCCCCACAAATTGATAAAACTAAAATTCCTACACATGTGAAAAAAACGTTTAATCTGAATCTCAACCGTGGATGAAAATTGTCAATCAATACCCGAGACTTTATAAACTCAGAACGAGATTCTTTTTTTTTTGTTTATAACTTTTTACCTCTTTTTTTTTTTCAATACTCACAAGTTTCTTCCAGATCATCTTAATCAATAATTATGGCTGAAGTTCCAGAAATTGCCCATGCTATTGCCGGTGCCGGTGGTGGAGCCTTATCTATGATCGTTACGTATCCTTTAATTACATTATCGACCTTGGCCCAAACTGCAACAAAGAGAAAGGAAGCCGAAGAAAAGCCTGAACCAGAACAAGAAAAGGAATTAAAAGCTTCTATTAGTCCTGTAACTCAACACAAAATTCTTTCTGCATTGGAGAAAAACTCTACCTTTGCAGCAATAAGAGAAGTTATCCAAGAAAAAGGTGTGTTGGGGTTATACGCCGGTTTGGAAAGTGCCTTATACGGTATCACTTTAACTAACTTTATTTATTATTATTTCTACGAATTAACTTCCAATGTCTTTTTAAAAGCCAAAAAGCAAAGATCGAAGGGGTTAAGTACTATTGAATCTATCATTACTGGAGCAATTGCCGGTGCCCTTACCTGTGTTGGTTCAAATCCATTGTGGGTTGCAAACACAAGAATGATGACTGAAAAGAAAAAGGGAGCATCACCTTCAACTTTGAAAACCTTTATTGATATTATTGAAAATGACGGTGTTGGTACTTTATTTGCTGGTGTATTACCAGCATTAGTATTGGTGATTAATCCAATTATCCAATATACCATTTTTGAACAAATTAAAAATGTGATTATTGCCAAGAATGGTAAGAAGGCATTCACTCCAGGTAAAGCATTTTTCATTGGTGCTTTCGGAAAATTAATTGCCACTTCTTTAACTTATCCATATATCACTTTGAAGGCTAGAATGCACATAAAAAAGAAGAGTGCAAAGCAAGGCAATGACGAACCTAAATTGTCAATGATTCAAGAAATTAGAAAGATTATCAGAGAAGAAGGTTTAGAGGGATTGTATGGTGGATTAGTGGTTAAAGTACTTCAATCTATTTCCACTGCTGCCTTCTTGTTCTATTTCAAAGAAGAGTTGTTGACTGGAAGTGTTAAATTGGTTGAAATTTTCAGATTAATGACCATCAATAAGAATAAAAGATTGTTAAAGAATTAATAGTGGATCGAATATCATTATAGATTATTTAGTTCTTAGTTTGAATAATTACAAACTCCTCCCATGGGATTTTATAAAGGCTTAGATATCTGTAGTTTAAGTTGGATTGTCAATTATTGAAAAAAACGTTATCTCATACATGTGATTGTAACATTATGGGGGTGGGGTGCAGCCCACTAAATTTGATTTCTAGAGGAACATGAAGTCTAGTCAAATTGGCTCGAATCGACCAAGATTTCCCTTTATATGATCTTCCTATTGTTAAAAAGAATAATAATAAAGATCAAAACAAAAATTAAACTTAACTTGCCTTGTTTCAAGCTCTTTCATGGCCATCTTACAAGAGAATTGGCCGAATTAGGTTGCGATATAGAAAGCTAATATGATTTATATTATGCAAAAGATACCACAAGCAAATAATATGTGTATGTATCATACATTACACAGAAATGATATTAAAATCTTCTTTTTAAGCTTTACAAGATGCTTGTTTCTCTTCAACATGAACAATATATAAGGATTTATGAAGTCAACAGATCGCCTCAGGTGAATTTTGCAGCAAATCTCCGCGCCGCAATTTGAATTTCTCTGTAAGCATGTCAAACAATACATATAATGGTTCTTTTCGACTACAAGGATTCAATATTCCGTAGTTTAAGTTATAGGAAATCTTGTTATGAGAATTTAGTAGTTTTGTTATGTATCAGATGGCACCACCCCGGTTAAACTTGCTCTTTTTAACCTCCAATAATGTCATACGGTCAAAACATTTAGACATGAATTAGTTCACCACAATCAGATGATTATATTTCAATCTGGTTACAAGATTACAATATTCAAGCCAGGTTCCACTTAACAAAACTCTTGTTCTCACAATGAAAAAGAACAAACCACTAGTTATTGCCAAAAAAAAAACAACTGATGTTCAATTCTTTACACAGTCTGACCAGCCGAGACATTCGAATGACATAAAAACTAACAATTTCACTTAAATAATAAACAATATAGGGGGTATTAAATATTCTATTTGAGGAGTCACTTCGGAAAAGCCCCGAAATTAGTTTGTGCAGTAAATTCTTCTGCAATATCTTTTAGTGAATTATCAGATGTTGCAAAACCAACTAAATAATCATGACCACTCTCTATATAAAGTTAGGTATTGGCGCATTTAGTTTCATATATGTAAAACTTGAACAATTATCTATAATGTTATTTCTACTTCTATTATTAGCTTTACAAACTGCCCTCGGGGCCACTAAATATGTCAATGCTTTTACAAGTTTTGATGATTTAAAATTCATGACACCAAAGAGACCTTCCCAACCATTTCAAGTATATTGGGAAGCTACACTTTCATGGAGTTTAAAAAGTTCAGAAATCCAGCCATATGATACCTTCGGTTTAATATTACCTTGTGTATTTAAATTCGCAACCAATGAAAATACTTTAACACTAAAAGTAAACGAAGTGGAACTTGCCTTTTGCAGCTTGATCTCTGGTGAATTAAAGGAGACATTTTCCAAACTTGATTGTATTGCATTACCTGGTGTTACTTTGGGAAATTCTAAAGGTGGGATTAAACTTCCCTTTACATTTAATGTAGGTGGTTCAGCATTATCTACTGATTTAGAAACTTCCAAATGTTTTACGGCTGGTAAAAATATTATTTCATTTTATGATGGCGACAAGGAACTTTCTTATCCAGCATTCTTTGAAACTATGTTTGAATCTGGAGGGAAACATGATGCTGATGAGGTTGTATATGGAGCAAGGTCATTAGAAAATATGAAATGGCTCCAGAATTATTTATTGGCAGGAAATTGCCCCCAGGGATATACCTCTGGAAAATTGGGATTTACTATTCTCCAAGGAGCAAAAATAGACTGCAATACTATTCATGCATATATATCAAATAAGTTTAATGATTGGTTCTTTCCAACCACTTTTGAAGAGATGAAAATGACAATAAACTGTTCCGAAAATGAAGTCCTAATTGAATATCAAAATATCAGTCCAGGATACCGGCCATACCTAGATGGTTTAATTTCTACCAGATTGGGCCATGATACCAAAATGAAATACGTTAACCAGTACACGTGTAACAATGAGACTGTAAAATCCAATGATGTGATAGTGAATTGGGCTAACTATCAGCCAATATATCCCACGAACACTGGTGGAACATTAGTGGTGCAAGAATTAATTTCAAGCACCACCACCTCCGATGGTTTATCGACTATTGATTCTGAAACATACGAAAATGAAGACCCTATTCCAACCGTTGCTACAAACAATGAATATAGTGAATATTCTTCTATCAATGAAGAACACGAGCATACTGAAATAAACATTGTTTTCGGAACTACAAGCCTGGTAGAATTAAATGATCACACTTACCGGGAAGATACAATTGCTTATTCAATTTCTACTGAGTCCATTGATACAATCATTTTGGAATACAGTTTACTGGATACTACCGGTATAAGCATTCCTTACATGGAAACTTTGATAACCCAAGAATCCAACTATAGGGAAGAAGTCACAACTACTGAAGATTCACTTGAATGCTCATATTCTTGTTACAGCAGTTTGGATCTGGCAAGCGATGAGCTCTCATCTAGAGAAGCACACTCAACTACCGAAGAGCCCTCAATATCTTCTGAAGAACCTTATTTTATGACAGACTTTGCATTGTTGTTGTCCGACGAAGTTGAAACCAAGGCTATGATCTATACTCAAACCCATTCCAACGAAGAAACTATAGATATTACAGAATTGAAAGAGGTAGTAAGTACTTCTCTGGAAGAATATGAATACTCATCTTCTATTTTGGAGGCAGGAGAGCTTCATCTGTCTATGCAAAGTAATGAATGGACAACTAGTGCCAAGTCTACATTCGAAGCATCACAGACCTCATTGGCTGTTCCAGAAACTCTGATAATAAGTGAAATCACAACTTATGAGACCAATATAACCTATTCCATGGGAATCAATAGCGGAAATTTGGAATTAGAACTGCACACCGAAGTTGAAGAGTATACCAAAAAACCTACAGATCCAGCTATATTTAGTTACATTCAGGGGTTTCCTAATAATGTAGCAGAAGATCAAGCATATATTGCCCAATCAATTGAAGATAATCTAGTTGTGACTTATGTGGCTTATAGATACACTTCATTGAATTCTGATCATCTAACAATCGTGCCAATTGAACATCCATCATCCAAATCAGACTATAACAATTTAAATGAAGAGAGTCATAATATAGGTTCTACAGTTACAATGTATAACGAACAATCCGTCAACATCGAAGGACAGACTAATAAGGAAATCGGGACTGATTATCGACCCTCAACACTTCTGTCAAGAAATGGAGAATCAAGTGTTACAAAGTTCTTGGATAAATCTATAGCATTATCTTCTAGCTTGACGAGTGATACACTTGCTGATGGAAGAGCTAATATGGAAAATGGTCACAATTTTGAAACAAGTATCCGTATAAATCCTAAAATACTTGAAACCAATTCATACCAGAGTCCCACTTCTGATATTTATGAAAAGGGAAGCGAGGATACAGCTCTACCCGTATCAACACTGGAAACTAGACAAAGCTCTGATGAGTTTGTTGAATTCGATAAGGATAAGGAACAAAATGCAGAGATTGAGAAATCATACACCTCGAGAATTCCGAATTTTACAATGGAGCCAGTAAATGATGGCTCCTTAAAGAGATCATTCAGTATATTATTCTTGTTATTTTTTATGTTCTGGTAAATAGATAATCCCACTAACAACTATTAAGGATATTGATTACTGCGATTTCTATTCTCTGTTGTATTCTCTGTAAATACTGTGATAATTCTGCGTATTGATCTGGAATAACAATTATACAAAACACCCCTAAGAAGAGTGCTTGAAGATAGTGTAGAGAGCTTGCGCCGCACTACGCACAAAAAACGAGAGTTCGGGCACAACCCACGAGGTGGATCATTTTACATTTGCCATAACTACAAATAAACTTCTGTCAATTGCACCATCGATCTTTCTATTCCATCTACAATGATCAGTATATTCAGGCAACGACAAACCCAACAATGTCCTTCATTCATGAGTGAAAGCACATTCTTAGGAAGTAACAGCAATTCATATGAAACTCCGATCTTACCTGTAAATTATACCGTGGAAGATCTAACCAGAGATGTATATGTCAAACCACTCCATTCCCATAATGATTACTGGCGCACAAGACCTTTATTTGATGCAATGAGTGTTGGTGCAGTTAGTGTTGAAAGTGATATATGGTACTTCCCAAACGGGTATGAAATGACAAGAACAGTAACTGAAACATCAAGTAGCGGCAAATCAAAGTCAAGAAATATTACGTCTTATTTCAAAAACAACGAGATATATGTCGGGCACAGTCAGATCTTCCTAGAACCCATAAAGACGTTATTTAACTTGTATTTAAATCCGTTATTTCAATTCCTTCAATATGTTAATCCAGAATTTGCCTATATTGATGGCAACAATATAAGGCATACAGATGAAGTCAATACTAAGAACAGTGTTTATTACAATTCTCCAGAAGTGCCAATGTATTTCTGGTTTGATTTTAAAACTGAAGCTGAGGCCACTTATGAAGCCCTTCTCCCCTTGTTGCAACCGTTTATAGATAACAATTACTTGGCATATTATGATACCAAGACTGACACCTTCCATCCTGGTCCATTGATCCTCACTATAACTGGAAATTTACCTACCGATAAAGTTAAAAGTGAACCTATTAGGTATACATTCTTGGATGGACCCTTACAGAAATTCAAAAGTGGAACAGATTCTAACGAATTGGAACAGCTTGCAAAATTATCTAAAGTTGCAAGCGCTTCTTTGGAAGAGTTGTTGGGTGATGAATATGAAACATCACAGAAAGCTGAATTTACAGCTTTACAAAAGAAAATCCTAAAAGAATATTTTGACACAGCTCACAAGTATAGTGTCAAGACAAGAATCTGGGGTGATGTGACCTGGCCAGAACGCGTACGTGATTCTCACTTAAAAGATATGTTTGAGTTAGGCTGCGATTTGTTAAATGTTGACGATTTGAATCATGCAAAGTCTATGTTTTAATTAAAAAGTGTCTAGTTCATGAAAGTTACGATAAGTCTATATATCAGTCCCTTAGAAATTCCGTTTGAGTACCTCGTAACTGTAAAATATTAACGCATTAGCAGGGATACATCTAACCATTGTAATGCCTAACCCCTTATATAAGTTTTTAACACCTCCATTTTTAGAAATGAGTGATTTAAATATTGACCAGAACCCAGCATTAATACCTTGCTTGTTATAAATACCTTGGGTTTGGATATTGGATTTGACAGTGTCAACAGGAAACATAGATAAATTGAATGTTACACCAGCCATTGCACCACTGAGTAAAAGCTGTATGTCATGGTTCTTAATCCAAGGATCTTTTGCTGTCTTATAATAGTCATTGATATACTCATAGGTTCCAAACCATATAGATGTTCCTATAACTTCTCTGGTCATAGTTGAACTTAATCCGTTCCATAATCCCGTAACACCTTCGTTTCTCAATGTAGACTTGATTAATGAAGAATATGATGCAGTACTCTTACCTTCAGACACCAAGTTTACAACTTGAAGCTGACACTTGATGAGTTCAACTGGAGTTAATATGAATGAAGCAGCAAACCCTGCAAACCCACCAGATGCACATTTAGTCCAAAATGGGAGACTATCAACATGATGTCTACTCGATTTATCATAATCATTAAGGGTATTGACAAAAAAGGTGGATGCTAAATTGTACGAACTAAACAAGATTGCTGTTTCTAAACACGCCCCATATAATGGAGCCTTTAACCCTTTATAAAACCCATTAAAGAATCCTTCGTTCTTGTAAGTCAGGCTGATCATCTGAAAAGTAGAAATAGGAAGCACCGAGTTCGAGGATTGTAAACGAACCTTAATGGTATCAAATGGGAACTCTACTAACTTCCCGATCATACCCGAGATGGCACCAAATGTGATCTCCTTGATTGGGTGTATCTGTTCACGTTGTGTATCTGATGCTATATGTTGCTGCTCATTATGTATGGTTGTTTGGGAAATATCCATAGCTGTAGGACAAGGATGTCAAACTTTAAGTGTTCTCTCTAAACAAAATCTGGTTTTGTAGTGGAAAAATTTTTGCAATTTTCGAACCACCACCACAGTTGACGTATAATTTGCTCTTGATAAGCAATACATTAGTGTATTTACACTTCTCATAAACTACAAGCAAACACTTATAATACGAAATGTTGTGTTTATTCCCTGTTATATGTAAAGCATACGTATAAACAAAGTTATTTTCGATTTAGACCATTATGACTATAAATTACAAATATATATTATGTGAGGAAGCTTTTATTTAACCAATGTAACTTGCTTATCTCAATGGCATGAATCTGGAAGAAGCGTTACCGGCTCTACCGTGTCTGACTGGGGTATAGGTGATAGAGAATTCACCTAAGTAGTGACCAACCATTTCTGGCTTGATTTCAACAGTGTTGAAAACCTTACCGTTGTAAACACCAACAACGGAACCAATCATTTCTGGGACAATGACCATGTTTCTTAAGTGGGTCTTGACAGTAGCTGGCTTTTCGTTTGGTTGAGTGTTAGCTCTGGCAATTCTCAACTTCTTGATTAAACCCATTGGCTTGGAGTCTAAACCTCTGGAGAATCTTCTTCTAACTCTGGCACTACATAACTTAGTGAATTCTTCAGTTGGCATTTCAACCAAGTCTTTTAAATCAACACCCTTGAAGGTGAAGGTCTTGAAGTTTCTCTTCTTTCTTTCAACTAAAAATAAATGTTAGTAATTTGGGCTTTATTATAATCTTTGAAGACGATGAACCGAGTTTGTATTGTTAAACTGAATTGAAAAAAAGGTCGTGGTAGGTAAGTATGTATAGGAGGACGACTTAACGAATCAAGGAAACTGGCTGGTCTGAAAAAAAAGGTCGCTATAAACAATAGACATCTTGCAGAAGTTCATTCAATCATTCGTCATTATGTTTTAAACTTTGGTTAACTCTTAATTGCTTTTGCCAGGGGTAGGTTTTTAGGTCTTGTTGCAGTTTTGTTCCTTTCTAAGAATATTCATATGGACCTTCACAACTTTCTCTATGTGTTTCATTCTTTCATATATCGTGATTAAACACTCTCTTCTGTTCATCATTCATCTTTCAGGGTCACACATATGTGGGTACATACCAGCGTCGGACATATTGATTGGATCTTACTGAGTACTATATGGAAGATTGTAAAAGGAAAATTTATGAAATAACTTTTTTCAAATTTTTTTCTATAGTGAAAACAGTGAGCATAGTGGAAATTGGTGGGAGGAAACAAATTTGCTTGGGATGAGAACTGCATATAATTTAATGTTCTGTCACGTGACAAACTTTTGAATTTTTATTTTACTAGCAACATTTTTTTTGTAGAGGAAAATAGTGCGTTTCGTGACTGTTATTTCCAAACCCTAAATGTTTGCACGTGACGAATTGTTCATTACCCACTGAGAAGTCCTGCATGTAAATACACAGCTGAAAAAAAATTTTAGCTTTCAGATTGTCTTGTTTCTGTTACAATAATTGAAGTTTTTCTATTCCCTTTTCCTCATAGTTATATTCAGCAAAGGATAGTCTGCCGTTTGTTTGCTTAAAAGTGATTATTCTAGTATATTAAGAAACAATGAAGTATTTAGCTGCTTACTTATTATTAGTCCAAGGTGGTAACGCTGCCCCAGCTGCCGCTGATGTCGCTGCTTTATTAGAAGCTGCCGGTATTGAATCTGAAGAATCCAGAATCTCTGCCTTATTATCTGAATTAGAAGGTAAGAACATCAACGACTTAATTGCTGAAGGTAACACCAAGTTAGCTTCCGTCCCATCTGGTGGTGCTGCTGTTGCCTCTTCTGGTGCCGCTGCTGCCGGTGGTGCTGCTGCTGAAGAAGCCGCTGAAGAAGCTGCTGAAGAAGCCAAGGAAGAATCTGATGACGACATGGGTTTCGGTTTATTCGATTAGAGGAATAACTTACTTGAATAGAGATTACCATATATTGTTACAATAGTGGGGGTTAAAATTTGTACGTTACTAATTAATAAACAATCAAAATAATAATAATAATAATAATAACAAGAATAACTTGAGCTAACTTGATGAGTTGATATCCATCACCACTTGTCTCAACTCAGGGCCAGTAATACCAGTGGTAGTAACTTTGTAAGATAACTTTTCTGTTAATACGCGAAACTTATTAACCTCTGCGATGACATTATCTGGATTCGTATTCGCACTGGTGGTAATTAAGTTCGTTTGTATGCCATTAATATCATAATCACCTTCCCCTTCTTCATCACTATCATAAACTTGATCATTGCCATGAGTATCGGCTTTCAATTTGGATATTCCCAAGGATCCTTGAATATTATTTTTCAACCCCTTCAAATAATTCGATCTATCATATTTGTATCTAATTGATTCATATAGTTTTAACAAATTGGCTCTTAAGTCATGGTACCTTTCCACCAAATTTTCGTCTCGGTTCTCGGCCTGTTGGACTTTTTGAATCACTTCCCGTCTATGTTGAGCAATCTGCTTTCGTTGAGATGGCTTCTTCTCTACTATGTCTTGGTCATCCTGAATTAGTATATTTTCATCTGAAGCTTCGTCACTTTCTTCTTCCAGATCTGGTTCCTCTTCAGCGGTATTACGAACTAGAATGTATTGTGATTCTGGTAGCTCCTTAATCAAGTCACCCAACTCCATGAGCTTCAGTAGTTGTGTTTTATTTGACAAATGCTCAAAATCCGGTATTAATATTGGTTTCAAGACATAGTGGATCTTGGTCAATTGTTCATTGACGATTTCTAGGTTATTTTGCTCCAATTTTAGTACCTGTTGGACTATTTGGTTTACTATCTGGGCTCGAAATATCACTTGGTTCCGATTTCGTATCTTGGTATTAAGCTTGACTAGCACCTTCTTGAGTTGGGCTTCTGTTATGACTTTGTCTGCATTCTCGTCTTGCTGTTGTAGTATTTGTTTTAATGAGTCGGTAAGTCTAAGTGGTTGATTAAGTATCTTCACTTGCTCGTCTATAAATCTTTTAGTGTATAAATAGGAATGATTCATGTGTGTGTTGTTAAAAATAGGTATCGATCTGGAGCAGATTTAGTTGAAGGCGCGTGTTTGTTTACATAGATCTGATTGAGGGTCGTGCGCGGTGACGAAGGAATGTTCAATTTTTTTTTGCAACCAATATCTGTGAACAGCTGATTCTCAGCAATTCAATCTGCACCGACGATATGAGGAGGTAGATATCCCTTCTGTGGTTATCAAATATGTCTTAATACATCAACATAATTCTTTTGATTATTGTAATAATGTTGTTCTTATCTTCTTGCTGATGTTTCCAAATAGGCAACCGCAATTTCCGTAGAAAAACCACGAATTCCATGATAAAATATACCTGTTCACTTAATTATAAACTTCCTGAAAGCTTAGACTTCCATCTCTATTGGTATCATCTCAATATCACCAAATCAACTGGCTGTTGAACCCAATTGTTGTCTTGGTTCGCTCCAAGCTTATTGTGTACGTGACAACCCCTCCTTTGGTTGCCATTGTCAAAAAAAAAAATCAAAATTGGTCAGCCATTGTTGTTGGTTTATTCCTAACCACAGGAATGTCCATTACTTCGACTTAATAATTCAGAATCTAATAGTTTTACATGGAGGAGAGCAACTCAAGCATACAGAGCACTTCCAGCAAGTCATCCTCCAAAAAGACAAACTTCCAGTTTACTTATGATGCCGATAATTACTTACTAGATTTAATCTACAGAAACAGAGAAGATATATTTACCAGGGGAAATAAACTTAGAACATGGAAACACATATTGACTCAGTTCAATTCTAGGTTTGATTCTGGGATTGTCCAGACTCGTACTATAAGCCATAGGTTTCAAAATCTAATTGCAAACCTTGAGAAAAAGCTTATACATGTCCCTCTGATGCTTGAACCTGGATTGTTGAACGAAAATGAAACAATTTTGATGGAGATAGTCGAGCTCATGATCAAGACTAACTCAGGTATTAGTTTCACTTTGGCTGATCTAGTTAAGAAGGTGTATAGACCGACAGAATCTCATAGCCACGATAGTGGAACAAACTCAGAGGTTAGGATAAGTCCAACACCCAACCCCAGAGCAGCACCGACCCCAGTTCCAACAACAATTCATCAAAACCACTTTAATACAATAAATGGATATGAAGAGCAACTTCGTTTGGCAGAAACTGCAAATAATTATGTTCAACTTAAGAGTCAAAAACCATTGCAACAACAGCATAATAATGCCCAAATCCCAGATCAACCAATGCTTATACGTGGGAAATCACACGAGTTTCACGGATGTAGAGATCAGTATATACCCGACCCTTCCATCCGTCCCCCTGAACATAATCACAACAACATACAAGTTTTGGAATCTTCGTCACTGTACAAAGACAGATCGAGCTCTAACGGACTGATTGAACGAAACATGTATTATTCAACACACCGGGAGGAACCCCATGTACAACACAGTAGCAGCACAGGAAGAAACCCCGATCCTCGTTCAATGATGTCCCACGACCAGGAAATTTTCAGCAAGTTTCTTTTGTTGAGAAACGAATACAATGCACAAATGAATAACATTAAGCTTGAAATTCGTCAATTAAGAAACGAGATTGATTTCAAAGTGAAGAAGATCGAAGATTCAATTGCAGTTTCTAATGATAGTATGGATGAGAAACTAGCTAATTTTTATGAGCTACTTATGGCTAAGCGGGATTGGAACCATAGGATTGACCGCATGTCAGAACCCAACGAGAATAGAAATATAGAGCAAAACTTCGGAGCAACCAGCTCTTGAAGTCTACAGGTATTTATAGAGATAACCAGCCTTTCTAATACCTCTTAGGCTGGTTTAATAAATGTGGTTTATAGAGTTTATCAGTCTCACGTGATGCGGGTGTTCCGGGGGGTATGTTTTTCAAAAAAAAAGTCTTATCGTCAGTTAATTGTTTCCTAATAAAATGTTACCCACAACACACTAGGACGCAACCCACATCATGCTCGAAGAGTATTCCGTTGCAGATGTACTACTAAGTGTAAATAAACGATTCCTTGAAGATGGAGGTCAAGAGGATGGACGATATAGACCTCCTTCCACTAGGGTTGCACGATATCAAATAATAATTGCATCCACATTGGGGCTATTTGCCCTAATGGTATTCTCCCTACTACGAATCAAGTACCCCAAGATATATGTGGCGAACCTCAATCATACAAACTTCAACTATTTGCATTCCAGTTCCAGACGACACCTACCTAAGATACCAGCAAAGTCATTATTTGGATGGATACCCATTGTATATAAAATCAATGAACTGCAAGTGCTAGAACACGCTGGATTAGATGCAGTAGTGTTTCTAGGGTTCTTCAAAATGTGTATCAAGATCTTAACTGTGTGTTTAATATTTGCCATTGTGGTGATATCTCCCATCAGATATAAATTCACGGGCAGATTAGACCAAGATTATCCTGATGACGATGACGATAATAATGGAACAACAATAAAAATGATAAAAAGAATAATCCTTTTAGGCACTGAGATTCCCACCGAAGGAGAGGGCGCGACCTACAAGGCATATCTTTGGACCTATACCATTTTCACCTACGTTTTCACACTAGTCACGGCTTATTTCCTATTCAGCCAAACTAACAAGATTATCAATATGAGACAAAAGTATTTGGGTGGTCAAAATTCAATTACTGATAGAACAGTAAAAGTTTCAGGAATACCGGCATTCCTAAGAGATGAAGTGACATTAACGAGACATATAGAAGGACTCGGAATTGGAGAGATAGATTCAGTATTAATCGTCAGGGAATGGCAGAATTTAAATAAGCTATGCAAATTGCGAAATAGGGTATTGAGAAAATTAGAACAATATTGGATTGAATATTTTCATCAAAATGGAATAATGAATAAAAGTCAAATACTTTCAGCAAGCTTTCAGCCCCAACCTACTGCTACATTGGGATTAGAGAATGGGTATCGTGATGAAGAAGGAGGGGAAGATGCAACACCAACCAGTTCAAATGAAGAAGATAGACAATCTCAGGCGAGTACATTGATGGATCAAATATCGGAGATTATTGAAGATGCAAACCATCCCTCTTTGGGGTTAGTAGACGAGGCAGTTTCGAGACCAAAAATCAACAAGGGTTTATTTGGAATATTTGGAGCTAAAGTAGATGCCATAAATTACTATGCCGAACAGTTAGAAGTTATAGATAAAGAAATTGTCCGAGCAAGAACGAGAGAGTATCCTGCAACTTCTACGGCATTCTTGACCATGAAGTCAGTTGCTCAAGCACAAATGTTAGCGCAGGCGGTGTTGGATCCTAAAGTCAATCACTTGATTACTAGTCTTGCTCCAGCTCCTCATGATATCAGATGGGATAATCTATGTTTGACAAGAAAAGAAAGAAATACTAGAATATTTACTGTTACTATGGCGATAGGTCTTGTGAGTATTCTAATGATTTACCCAGTTAGATTCTTGGCCAGTTTTTTAAACATCAAGAGTATTTCTAAAATTTGGCCATCTTTAGGAAACGCACTAAGAAAAAGCAAATGGGCTACTACATTGATTACCGGTTTATTACCTACTTATGTATTCACGATATTTAACATCATTATTCCATTCTTTTACGTTTGGATTTCCGGCAAACAAGGATTCACTTCTCATAGTGATGAAGAATTAGCTTCAGTGGCCAAGAACTTCTTTTACATCTTTGTCAATTTATTCTTGGTGTTTACCACTTTTGGTACTGCTTCATTGAGTGACACCACTAAGATCGCCTATGAGTTGGCACAATCATTGCGAGACTTGTCATTGTTTTACGTTGACTTTATAATTCTTCAAGGATTGGGTATATTCCCATTCAAGTTGCTTTTACTTGGTAACTTGATTAGATTTCCTATAGAGTCACTATTTTGGTGCAAAACTCCTCGAGATTATTTGGCATTGTACAAACCACCAGTATTCAATTTTGGGTTACAATTGCCACAACCGATTTTGATCTTCATCATCACATTAGTTTATTCCGTCATGTCGTCAAAAATCTTGTCTGCAGGGTTGATATACTTTATAATTGGTTATTTTGTCAGTAAGTACCAACTATTGTATGCATGTGTCCATCCACCGCATTCAACGGGAAAAGTATGGCCATTGGCATTCAGGAGGATCATTTTAGGGTTACTTATATTTCAATTGACTATGGCAGGAGCCTTGGCATTGCAAGAAGCATTTACATGTGCCACATTCTTGGCTCCATTGCCTATTTTGACATTGTATTTCCTTTGGAATTTCCAGTACCAATATATCCCATTATCGATGTTTATTGCATTGAGAGCTATTGAAAATCAGGAAGTGTCCCCTGATAATGATCTTGAAAATAATGGCGGTGATAATAATAATAAAACGTTGGATGAAAGACGAGAACTTAATACCAAGTATGAATATCCTAATTTGGTACGAGATTTGGATGGTCCTTTGATTGCCATTGATGGACAAGATGTATTGACGATTAATAAGGACGGGCAAACTGTTCGTAAATTCCAAGATTTCAGCGAGTGGTATAGCTAGAACTAGATTAATACACGTATAGTAGTTTGATAATTCTTTAATGATGTAGTATCCTAATGTTGAATTCTTCTCCAAGTAGTAATAAATAGTCGGTGTCTGTTAAATAATGTGCCACAAACGAATGAATTAACTTTGATCCGCATAATTCGGATAGTATAGCGATTGCCAATACGAACGTAATTGTGGTGTATTTGTAGCTCGTAACAACATGAATTGCTTCTATCAAATTGACAAAACAAATCACATCAAACCAGGGACGAGAAATGAATGTTTGATCATAGGGCCAAATAAGCATCAATATTGGAAATAGCTTGATTGAATTAGCCATCATGACAGCAATGATCAACACTGTATTGGAATATCCAAACTGAAGATTTTTCGGCACGTTTGTGTTAATGTTTGTGCTGCCCCACCCACAGACCCAACGAAACAAACTAAGAATGACGATATTGAAAATCAACTTTTCCACTAGCAGCTTGGATATAAAATAAACGTACTGGATCAACACTGGCTGTTCTAGTATCGCTGTTATTGCCATCAGATGATCTGGTTTCTTTTCTTCTTTGGCCCACATCAAGTACACCTCAAACAAAACAATAACAAACATAACCTTCATCAATTGTTTGTACTTGTTAAAAATTCCAACCATTCTGCCATTGAAACGTTGCTTCAGTTGTTTGAGCAACTCAATTTCGGTCAAATTGAACGCTAGGTGGCGGTATGCTTGTTTCTTCAACAAGAGTATGTCCAAGAACAAAATCACCAGGTCATATTCGATGTATTTGTCAGCAATCTGTCCACAGTAGGGACACACGGTCAACTTAATGTATTCACTCTTGTAACGGGAGAACAAGCATTTTATATCTGGATTTCCACATTCTATGCAAATCATGGTTATAGTTAACACGTAAAATTTATTCATTAAAAAAAAATCTAATTATACAAAACTAAAATTTAATTACACAATTGTGCTGGGGGTGGAGCATCAGGTATTCTACCCAAACTAAATTGTGGTGATCGGAATGCCTCAATCACAGAAGGATCAAGATCTTCTAACTCTTCAGTGGAAAGATCTGAACTAGGTATAGTGGAAGCTGTGGTTGCTGATCCAAATGGATTCTGGACAGTGCTGCCAAATACATTGGCAGAACTTTGTACCGATGCCGATTGTGCTGATTGTCCAAACGGTGAATTGGATGCTCCTATTGTAGATGTGTTTCCAAATCCAGAATTTTGAGTTATAGTTCCAAATGGAGATGATGATGAGCCAAATACAGATGTAGTTGTAGGTTTAATAGTTCCGATTGGCAGTCCACCCAGTTGTGCTGAACCAAATGGAGAGGCATTTTCTGGTTTTGATTGGTTTGTAGATCCAAAAGCAGATGTCGGCTGAGTTATAGATGATCCAAATGCAGATGTTGTTTGATTTGCAGACAATGTGCCAAAAGGAGATGCTTGGTTAGTTGATCCAAAAGCCAGAGGCGGGTTTGATCCAAATGCAGACGTGTTTGTTGTTGTTGCTGCTGTTGTTGATTTTGGAGCAAATGGATTAGCAGCGGTACTTGTACCAAATGTCGAGGTTCCTTGGCCAATACTACCAAAAGGTGATGATTTATTGTCTGATTGTGATGCAAATGCCGAAAATGCCAGTGGCTTGGAAGAACTCAGTAAACTAGAAGATCCAAACCCCAGTGTAGTACTTGTTCCAAATCCAGCAGATGCTGGTTTGCTCATGGAAGCACCACCAAATCCGGAATTGGCAAATGGTGAACTATTAGATGTATTGCCAAATGATGAACTACCAAAACCAGTACTGCCAAATCCAGATGCTCCTGCATTTCCACCACCAAAGCTAGAAGTTCCAAATCCTGACGATGAAGCAGCTGGCTTAGAAAGCCCGGCACTGCCAAAACCAGGATTTCCAAATTGAGATTGCCCACTTGATTGAGCTGCTCCAAACCCAGGTGCTCCAAATCCAGAACTTGTTGTTGAAGACTGGGCAAATGGATTACTTGCTTGTGATCCAAACCCCCCTCCCGTACTCAGTTTGCCAAAGCTCAGTGTTCCGAAAGCATTACCTCCTTGGTTTCCAAACATTTCTGTCTATAATTTACTAGGGTTGATTCAGTTGTTGCTGTGGTGTTGCTTACTTTTCACATTTGATGTCTTGTCCTGCATACTAAATTTCAGTTTTCATTTCTCGCGCTACCACATCTAAAATCGTTGGCAAAAACTTCGATTTACACTGATAAAGGAATACGTTGGTATTTGACATGATGTTTCTATAATATATATATATATAAAGCTAATACTTGATCTCATCTCATTAACTTTTGACATTCGTTGGTTATGACACGAATGTTTTCATTACTTTTAGCAAACGCCTTTTTATAAACTTCCTTCACTTGAGCAAATACTTCAGCTTTGATTTTAGTGCCATTGACAATATCTTGAAGTGATTTTTCAAGCTCTCTTCTCAAGAACGGTTTAGAAAGTGATATATTCTCAAATTCCAACTTATCAAATCCTTCAATTAGACCCATACCTAATTTCGAGGGCACAATATACTCATTCTTACCTACTTTCTGTTTGGCTATGTATCTACGAGTCAATATCTTTTCAATATGTTCAGCAATAGTGGCGTCAGTGCCAATTCCATTGGCATCCATAAGGGCAATTAGTTCTGATTCGGTCATATGGTTAGGTGGAGCAGTCTTTCCTTCTTTCATTTTACCACTGGAAATCTTGATTTGTTCTCCTTCAGTGAAACTAGGCAATTGTTTACTACTTTCCCATTTCTTGTATATGAATACATCCAAGTAGTTTCTTTCCAACACCATTAGTCCACTAGCAGTGAACAATTCATCTCCCCATTTTAGGGTAGCCGTAGTCAGCATACCCACAGCATCCTTTGAACAACAGGCAAGGAAGCGTCGTACCACATATTCATAAACTTTCCTTTGATCTTGATTATCAAGAGCAGCCAAATTGACGTAATTTACAGGGTGGATGGCTGGATGCGCTTTATCATCATGAGACCCATTTCTAGGCATTTGATGACCAGACGAAAGTAGATCATTAGCATATGATCCCCAACGAGAATCTTGCTTTTGCTTTTCAAAAATTCCTCGGAAATCCATGGTTGGGGGATACTTATCAGTTTCAGTTCTAGGATACGAGATGTACCCATTATTATACAACTTTTCAGCCGCATCTAATGCTCGTTTTGCCGACATTTTGAAGTATCTTGAACAATCCTTTTGTAGTTCAACTGTGGTCAATGGAAGTGGACGCCAGTTTGTTGTTGGTTTCGATTCAAGTTTGACAATTGTACCGAAATCATGTTTCAAACATCTTTCATATAGACAAAGCACATATAGTCTATCAAAGAAGTGACCCTTTGTCCAGTTGAACCCAGATTTTGTTCCATCTTTCATAACTTCGACATCAATAAACCAAAAGGCTTCCGGAACAAACGACTTGACTCTTTTATATCTATCAACAATGAACCCTAGCGTGGGAAATTGACACGTACCATAAGACGCCACTTCCTTGGATTCAATCAAATTATGCTGCCGCAAGCTTTCAGTTAATAATCTTGTAAAACTAGTTCCTACTCGGAAATCAACTTCCATTCGACAAGCCACGGCAGCCACTGACTTCATATCTAATCGGATTGGGTTATTGGCTGCACGTATAATATGATTTCTTTCCAAGTGGGAGAACTTCCCTCTCCATATATCAGCAATTTGAATTCGTCTATTACCTTTATTTGCTGCTTTGAATATTTCAAATCCAATATACTCTCCCTCTCGATCACAATCTGTCCATATCATCAACTTATTCGCGGTGGCTGCCTCTTTAGATATATTGTCAAATACATCCTGTTTATCCACTAATTCCACCAAATCGCAATCGAACAATTTGCCGTGACTGCACATCCCCCATCGGTTCTCTGGTTTGGTTTCTAGTCTGATGATGTGACCAACCACAGAAGTCATGGTGACTTCACAATTTCCGGCTTCGGCGAAATTGAACAGGAAATCATAATTCTTGATATATTTCAGATTAGATTCTCGCATATTGACATTCCCGCCTCCAAGTATGTTGGCTACTGCTCTAGCTATGGATGGTTTCTCAGCGACACATAGCACTCTCATGGTGTGTGTGTGTGTGTGTGTATACTAATACGTACCACTAGTATGATCTAGTTGCCATATTTTTTTTCGCGTTATATATACCAACGCGTTTTTATACTACACAATTGATAAGTGGACTCTGCATTCAGCACTGGATTAATTTAGACGAATCACGGTTTCGTTACTGAGGAGATGGTTCTTACAGGGGCGTGTTGATCACACCTTGCAATGTATACACATTGTCATTTACCATGCTACCAAGAGAGAGAGAGAGAGGATTGCCACTGGCAAATTGCGGTAGGTCTTAAGAATGTGGCTAGATCGTCTACCAATTGCTACTGGTTGTCCATATGATACATGTATAGTGTAAAGATAGCAAACCCCCTGGTAACCAGGTGATGATGTGTCAGAGATGGCGGCGTTGTTTGGTAGCGACAAGGTTCATGACCTGGCGCTACACGCAAAGCAAAAAAACAAATGGCAACTGATAAGACATTCCACAATAACAACCCCATACATAAACGATAACCCAACCAATGTCAGCTTCAAATGATTTTGAGTCCATTAATCTAGGGTTAAGTTCACATCTAGCTACCAGAGTAGCTACGTTGCATTCAGTTCCCGATTCTACTTCTGGAGATGAAGATGACGACGATGACGATTTGGACCCAGAAGAATTCATTTCCCCAGAAAGAACCGATACAAATGTTATTGATGGGATCACTAATTTAACAAGCACTATAAACTTAAAGGATCAATTGCAGGACCTGGTTCCCAAATTCACAATGTCAAACTCGTACGATACGATACGCACGGGTGACTTTCTATCTCAAGATAGTCTAATTGGAAACTCAGTCGTCTTTCCTAAAGAGTACATCCCCAAAAAATTAGCTTCTAATGACGATGAAACTCCATTAGAGTTTATTTCCAGTAGGGTCAAACTATTAACTCAGGAATTAAGGGATAACGCACGAAAGCACGAATCCTTCTTAAATTCAGGCAATCCTAATTTATATCGTATTCGAAGCATGATTGCACAAAATTATGATCAGTTATCAGACGGCTATTACTCTTTGAATGAGCTATATTCCAAAGATTTGTCATATACTGAGACTTTGCAATCTACATTCAAGAAGTGGGATTCAAGACGAACGAAAGTTTTAGGTAAGATTAGTGAAATAAAGAGTGAAAAGAGTAAATATGGCTCAAAGTTGGTTAATTTATTGCATAGATCGGAAGAAATAGACACAGAAGTTTATGCTTTAGAAGAGAAGTTGAAGGAACTAAAGTCAAAGAAAGAAGTTATAAACAAGGAAATCCAAGATACAAGTAGTGTGTTGGAAAGTAAAACAGCAAAATATGTTGATATGTTTAAATCAATGGAGGATGAAGGGAGAAATGCAATTGTTGGATTCTTACAATCTCATGGTATACCCGACAGTGAAATCCACTTGCTTGTCAAATCTGCACCCGTTGACGTGACATTTCAATCTAACTACCAAGACCAGAGAATAAGAGTCAGTGAAGTAATACCGAAAAAAAATCCAGGGAATTCTATGAGCAAAGGAGTGCAGCTGATTACACATAATCCAAAGTCATCAAGTAGTTTAGGAATCCAAGCATATGTTCCTCCAGAATCTCCAGCCAACCTAGGTATACAACCATTTGTTCCCAATGACGATCCAGTGGTTATTCCTCAAGATACCAGGGAAATGAATTATGGTCATGGTCCCACACCATATGAAAAGGGATACGCTAAAGGAGCACAAAATTCCGTGGCTGTGAAAAAGCAAATCAAAAAGGCCATGAATGCATTATTTGAATCATTACCAGAAAAGAAAGCCGCCAAACCTCAAACAAAAACTCCTAGCGTTGATGATTTGTCAAATACAATAACCAATAAACTCATACTAGATCCTATACTGAAGTTCTTGGACCATAAAGTTGAAGCATTAAGTGATTTGATATTACAACTGTCCAAGAAAGCTGCTCTTTTCCACGAGTTTGGAACCATATGGAAGAACGCAACTAAAGTGTTGAATCTACTGGAAGGAAAATTACTGAACACATTGAATGAATCTACCCCTGACGCCAATGTTAACCCCGTAGTGGAGATATTAACATCAACTTTAGCCCAGATGAAACAATGCTTGGAAAGTACACGGTCGGTGAGTGTGGATAATAAAGATAATTTGGCGCAACGGGATATTTTAGAGAATATAGTGTTGATAGAGATTCATGGGATAATAGAAGGGATCAAACTAGTCAGTCGAGGCACCGAGTACAATGATTTATTAACTGAGTATGAAAATCTTGAAACTCGTGGTGCATCGTCATCACTAGTTAAAGAGAAGGATAAGCTTAATTGAAATAAATATAATTTTATGTTCATGATCTCTATAATATGACGTAGATTTATGCTCGTTTATGAGGTGGTTTCTTCCGTTGTATGAAAATACCACTGTTTGTTTTCTTGGGTGGTGGCTTTATCGTTCCCGAAGATGTAGGTTTTGTATCAGCTGAGGGTCCTCTATTAATAAATCCTGAGTTTGTTGGAATAGCTGGTAAACCATTTGGATTAGTCTTTTTCAAATAGCTAGATTGTGTAGGAGTAGGTGTATTAGTTTTGTGAGCCTTTTCAGTATTAATTTTATGAGCGGCCGCGATTAAATCCGTTTTAGAAGTTTTCACATGTTTAGGTACTTTCGGACCATCAAAAATTCCACTTCGTATAGCATGGACAGTGCTTACCTCAGGTATTTTCGGAACTGAAGGAGGCGGAGGCGGAGGTGGGGTTTGTTTATGTTTATTCTTTTTCTTTTTCTTTGGTTGAATAGAATCAGATCCATTGTCATGGATGGAATTACCAGGTTCAATATGCTGTCTTTTAACACCCGACATGTTCAAGAACCCAGGATACGCCTTGGAAATACAGTCTCTATTGGAAGCATCCTCTAATAATCTTCTCCATACGTTGTTTCTTGACAAAGAGTCCTTATTACCTAAAATCCAAAGGGTGGTCCTGGCACGGGTAAGCGCCACATTCATACGACGGACATCACTCAAGAACCCGACGTTACCACTAGGACTTGCTCTTACACATGACATGATAATGATTTCCTTCTCCTGACCTTGGAACCCATCCACGGTATTGAAATCAATATCATCCTGAATAGCCCTACCGTACCTTCGTATGAACTCGTTCTTGATACTCCTGATTTGTTCCTTATATGGCGAAATGATCCCAATTCGGCCCCGGAATTTATCCTGGGGTAAGATCGTCATTAACTTCTGGACAAGCTCTAGTGCAACTCTTGCTTCTTCAACATTGAATAATGATCGTGATTGGTCATCTCGCTCGTGTTTACTGACAATATCAAAGAATCGATATGGCGTCAATGGTGGATCTTTATGCCATGGACGGTCGTTCTTTTCCAACATTCCTTCACCATCTTTCAATTTAGAATTGTAGAATTCTGCGCTGGGGAATTGCGAAATTTGTGGGTGCATTCTGTATTGCACGTCTAACAAGTAAACCGAGTCTGGATGATTCTTTTGCATACGGACAAACAAACTCTGTTCGTAGTTATAACTGGCAGCTGCTTGAGATAACACCGTAGGTGGTAATTGGTTCGGATCACCAACCATAATACACGTCCTGCATCCATACCGTAATGGAATAATAGCTGACAATTCCACACACTGACATGCTTCATCAACAATGACTTTATCAAATTTAAGCGAAAGACTAGCCAAGAAATCATGAGCTGATCCAGATAAGGTTGAACAAATGACTTGGGCTTGGGATAAGATTCTCGCTTGTGCGTTACGACGTTCAATTTCCTTGGTACGGTACGCGATCGAGGCCCGTTCTCTCTGTTCATCTAACCGTTTTGCCAATTCACTTCTTTTCTTGTTGACGGTACGCAACCTATCTTCCAAGTCAGTCATTTCCTTCTCGCTCAAACTTTCATTGACTAGTCTAGCACGTAGCGCGTCTCTTTCTTCAATACATTTCAGATGCTGTTGCCTAATGGTAGGATCGATATTCACATCCACAGCCTTTGTTTGTAACTCTTTATCTACCAACTCTTCCAACGTCAAATCACGAACTGAAGCATTGATAGCGTCACTTCTACCCAATCTCACAACTTTCAAATTCATGGTTTCCCCCAGGGAATTCTTGACCCCATCACGCAATCTAAGCACCAATTCATCAACAGCAGCATTACTTGGCGCACAAATCAAAATTTTGGCTGGGTCAGTAGTAGGTGTGTGTCCCGGAATGTCGAGAATTTTCTCATCTTTTTGTGAGAGGGAATAACCCACGATACCCAAAATAGTTTTAGTTTTACCAGTACCTGGTGGACCTTGAATAAGTGAGAATCCTTCACTCTGATGTGTGCCTAGAATAGCCTTGGCTTGAGAGACGTTCAAATTGAACTTCTTACACATATCTTCGGTAGCAGAGTCATGTATAGGAATAGGGTCGTTGGGTCTAGCTTGCAAAATTGGGAAGAGTAAATCATAATATTGTAAACCTCGCAATGAGGAAAATTCTCTCTCTACTGTTATCATCTGCATGACTCTCATACCGACAATGATAGACTTTGGTAGCAAAACCCCCACCATGGATCCACTAGGATACACCCTAAATGTAATATCACAATAATCGGTATTGTTATACTTGATTTCCCTAACCTTGGCCAAACAAGTAGTGGCTGATTCTGATTTCAAATGGTTCATTATTTCCCGGGGTGATTTTGTAACACCATCGTGAATTCCAAGTACAAGCAAATCTGAATCCCCAATCTTTCGATCCTGGATGGTCTTCTTCTCCACAGAGGCAAACACATCGAAGAACCCATCAACACTGGTTCTTGTCCCAATCAACATCTCAAATGGTTCTTCAACCCCGGTGGCTTTCGCCTGCTGGATCCCCTGCCAACATTCTAACATGAGCAATGGTTCCGTAGTAGACACGTAATCCTTTACATTATCGTAGGTGTCTTTGACCTGGGTGTAACTTGACTTGTCTTCACTAGGGTAATCACTGTTAGTATTGTATCTCCAACGTAAAATCGTATTATACAATGGTTTCAAATTGACATTCAACCTTAATCTCATTCGTTCCTGTTCGAGCTTGACAGGATCAACCATCTTCTTTCCTAATGAGCGATGCACAGGGTTCAAGTTCATATCCACTTCCACAATCTTGGGTTTCTTCTTGACTTTATCGATAAACAAATCGGAAACATCTGTCTCAAGTTCATCATCGGACGAGTCTGAATCGTGCTTCTTCTTCTTTAATGCATTAAGGGAACGGCCGACCACTGGTGGCACTTTCTTCAGGTTGAACCCAGCTGGACGTGGTGGGGCCGGGGCAACATCACTCTTGGGGAGTGGTGACGCTCTGGCACTCTTTAATTCTTTTCGAATAGCCTCAAGATTGGATGGCTTGTAGTCTTTAGATGGCGGTGGTGCAATAGGTGCTTCTTGAGTAACGACTCCGAATCGAGATAACGTCTGTTGCTTAGGAGTGACTGAGCGCGATTGGTACCTGTATGCTGCGGGTTCCGGAGAACTTGACGGTTCCAGAACATCGATAATTTCAATGTTTCGTTTGGCACGATGCTTTGTCGCTTCATCAACCACTCTATCAACGATTTCAGGATTGAATTCCCTGGCTTTGGATAATATTTGCTGACGCTGTACTTCAGATAACTTATTGTTGAACTTCTTGGCCTTGGCACCAAATTTAGCAAATGTTTCAATAAACCCGGCATCAATGGGGAAATTCCGTTCACTGGCCAATTCAAACCCTTTAAATACGAGGGAAACACACGAGTTCAACAATGACAAATCACCAAGTCGTAACCACGGTATAACCGAATCAAATGCATTCATGAAATCAATAAATAACGTGTGCGAAACATCAACAGTTTCACTCTTGACATTGTCCAATAGTATACGATAAGATGCCAAAATTAAATGACTGAGGTCGAGGGTATCTCTGGTAAACTCCACTAATTCATCCAAATGGAACTGGTTAGCCCAGATGAATGTTCGCTTATACACCATGATCAAGAATTGCCAAATCAGTTTCCAGAATTGAAGTACTTCATCTACACAATCTTTTGGCGCCGACGCAAGGATTGGATTCAACGGGTCAGCTAATGCGTTAATCACATCCATCAAAATACGAATAGCCTTGGGACTCGGCTCATATAACCCCATTTGCGTCAAAACGTTCAAATTAGTAGTTATGGCATGGAGGGTCACCTTTAAATCCTTTGACAATATAACTTGAATAGTCTCAAGTCGCCCACCAGCGTCAAATGCTTCATTCAAAAGATCCAATGCCAGTTGACTCAACTGCGGATTGAATACACAACTCCATATGGCAATCAGACATTCTGGTTCATTAATCAACTGTTTGAGGGTGGATGGGTCCGCGAGTGACAATTTCTCCAAGAGCTGATTGACGAGCTTGGTCATCTTCTTCATGTTGTCATTGTGTTGAGTTTTGCAATCGGCCAATTGTTTGTTTGGGTCGGGGTTTTTGGTAGGTGCGAATAGAGTACAGTTTATGCCAATGGTCAATACCTTGATAAGTTCATGTACTAGCAATGTGTTTGAGTAGATCTTCCGTTTAGTGAGTGAATCCCAAAGGATAGGAAATGTGTCGAATATTGTAGGTACAACACCTTGAGCAAACATACACGTGTTATGAGCCAATATGGAAAGGTCATATTGCATGCATCTAACCACCAACTTGACTGCTAAGGTCAGGTCTTCCGAGTCTAAAGCTAAATCAACAATTATATCCGCTTGATTATCCACGGCATTTCTAACATCTCTCACTGTCATCAATCTCAATGAAAAGTTCTGTTCTCGGAACTCGCTGTCTAGCGTTTGTAGTTCCAGGTAGAAAATCCGACACCCTAATTGGCGCAACGCCATGACTTTTCTCATTCGAATATCCTTTGAACCAACGTCGGATATAGATTGGTTCAACAAGAACGTCCCCATTCGTATGCATGTAGATTGACGAGGCAATTGACCCAACGAGGGAAGGATACTGAACATCCACGAACTTATTTCAGACAAGTTGTAATCACTTACGTCAGATTCTACTATTGATGCTGTTTGTAGTTGCTTTGTGAATTCAGGATTGGATAAGATTGCATCGAGCACTTGGATGCTTTGAATTGGCATGGCTGAAGTCCAAAATTTGGTTAAAAGTCGGGATAATAATTTGTTGAAACATTTGAGAAGGACTGGCAATGGTTCTTTCAAGTATGACAAAAGACAATTCATAAGAAGACGGATGACAGGATATAGACGTAGCTCGGTAAATTCACTCATGACACGGATATCCCTGGGGGTGTTGAATCTCAAGATAAACAGTTCATCATCGATAAAGTCCACAAATCGGTAAAAGTTGTTCCAAAACTTGATGGCGTTTCTGTCATTGTAAAACTTGGCATTTTGAATTTGGTACAAATGGATGCTGAATTCGTAAACTACCGGTTCCTGTAATGTTGCTTTGGTGAATCGGAAATTGTCGTGATGGAGCTTGTTCAACCATTGTTCTACCCAGTACTTTTCTTCCAAACTTCCTTCAAAGGCCATGTAGATTGTCCCAGGGAGTAGCTCATCCGGAAGTGGTAGCAGTTTCTGAGTATGCAAGTATCGTACGATTCTGTCAAATTTTTGGCGTAACTCCAGATCAAACCTGAGGATGTTGGGGTTGTACAAACACCAATAGAGGGTATTGACATCGTATCCTGTTGAGATGTCAGACATTGTGTTTTCCATGTCTTCCAACTTCTTTCCAACTACTGTGACTTCCCATTGGATGATTGTGTTCAAGAACTGATTGACCTTATCTAGTTTGACGCCTTTGTTAATGGCAAAGTTGAGACGGAGATCAGCTTTGCCACGGTTATACAGTTTCATACACTCACGGCACTGGCTCAAGCTGTTGGCGATGTAGGGTTGCAATTGGCAAAGAGTAGGATTATTAGGAAACGAGAACAACACTAGCGAGTGCACGGTTATCGGATACATGTATTCGTCACAGAACCAGTGTTGCCTGTTCTTGTTTCTGAGAAGATAGGTTACGGCTTGTTTGAGGACGAGTTCTTGAATAGAACTGTTGCCTGGCTCCTTGTGTGACTTGTCTATGTTTGCCACCAATTCATCAAACCCCTCTGGCTTCTCCATGATTGCAGCTTTGTAGTTTCTAAGGAAGAGGTAGAGGGAGAGGGATGGTGAAAGAAGCAAAAAAAAAAAAATTATTGGTGGTGAATGGAAATGACAATGGTGACGATGATGAATGGTGATGATTTTGTACGCGTGTTATTCCGTAAAGTTACAAAAGTATACACTGTAAAGCTATAACAAGGTGATGTCCAAGTCCAATTGCTTGGCAGCACTGATCCAATCTTCGTCTGTTTCCCAGCATCTCTTCATGATTTCTAACCCTCTCTTGGCACTGGTGTTGCCCATGGCTATCAACTTCTCAAACCGTTGTTGGAAAAACTGTCTCATGTCCTGATTCAAGGTCTCACAACCAGCAGTAAAGAAACAGAAAATGCAACAGACATCTGTGGGAGATTGCGATTCAATGTGGTCTTTAGCTAGTTTTCCTATTCCATTGACTAGTTCCTGCACAAGTGGCGATGTTCTCGGTATCTTAAGCACGCGTCTGTACAAGTGTATTATCCCCGTATCACAAAATATCCTATTCGTGTACCGCAATATCGTGTTTTCCTGTATCATAGACACAATTTCTGGGGGCGACGTTTGGTTAGTCAGACTATTCTTGCGTTTCCTCTTGTCCTTTTCCATCTGTTCGTGTGCTTCCAACATGACATCGTCGTCTTGGGCAAGGATCCCAACCATGGCATCCTTCACTTCAAGTGCTTCTTGCACTATGCTTATTGGTATGCTGGTTGACCCTGGAGCTTCTTGTAAATATCTCTCAGTCTTTCTAATAAGCAAAGTGATCTTGGCAAGATGAGGCAAGAACTTTACATCAAACCCCATAAGATGATCAATAGCTCGTTTCGGATCATGATGATCGTCGATTTCATTCAAACTGGTAACTGACTCCACTGGTTCATAGCTGGTGACATCATCAGCCACTAATAAATAATTATCGGAATTCCTCGCAGAGCTCAACGACCCAATGATGTCAATATACACAAACCATCTCATTAGGAAGAATGTAATGTCTCGTTCAGTACCGGTATCGGGTCCTCTGGACATGGGCAATGCCGATCTTGCCTTTATAATCTGTCTGGCACCAATAACATGTGTTCTGTGTTTTCCAAAATCCTTACAATTGAATGCTTCAAAGCAGGAGAGTAGTAACGAAGTAGCCAATGCCACATTAGATATCGCACTGGTTCTATCACGAAGAATCTTCAACATTTCCGTACATGACCTAGTCAACAACTGCTCAATGACAAACTCAGGAGTATCATTTGAGTCAATGAGGACAGATCTGAGTTTTGCCGAGAATGCTAATAACGTGGTCAATATCGAGGGATACTCCATGGCCATTTGGGTAAGGATCATCTTGAAGGGATTGTCTTGGTACACTTTTACCGGAGCTGGAACTAGATGATGTGAGGCGACATTAACCCAAAAGTGGAGTAGGTCTCTATAGAATGGCACTTCCAATAGTAATGTGGGCAACGGTGTGATCTGGGGAGGTATGGAATAGACAGCAGTTTCCTGCGACTGTTCTTCCTCATCCTCGTCAAGTAGTTCTATTTGCTTGTTCGTTTCCTTTCTGAACACCAGTCGTATAGGTTGATAATCTCGAGCAAAGTAACTAGGTGTTTCTGGCATGTACAACTCTGCTCTTGCTATATCTTCTTCATAATTTGTCAAGAAATTGTCTTGCTTCTCGGGGTCGTTTGTATGCAAATCGAAATGAACATTTGGATCCTCTTGTATGCTATGTGGGATATACACTCCTTCTTCAACAAATCTGTCTATTGCGTTAAAGAACGAAGCCATAGATTTGGGTATGTCTGGTATGGCAGTTGTAAAGTCATCATCACCAGACCTTATGCCAGAGTATCCCTGTTGGTATGAGTAGGAGTCTAGTATGGAATCTCCACTGGGTGTAGAGAACGTTGTTGGTAGATCCAAGTGTTGTCGTTTGGCTCGTGGTTCATTATTAAACTGTGGCAGCAGAATGGACCCAGTGGTTGTTTGTGGAGATTGGGGATCATGCGTCAGTGGGTCAAAGCTTTGCACTACAAACTGTACAGTGTCTAGCGGTGCCGGTGTACTGGCTGCTGTGGTTGGTGTGACGTGCTGTTGTCTTCGTTTGGTGGAGTCTTTGTATGGTCTTCCACCCCAAGTTAACTTCAACGAGTAGTCACATTTGCTGGCTGTCTTGACGCAGTATGAACAACTTGGCTTTAGTTCATCGCATTTGATCTTGAGACGTTTGCAGTTGTGGCATCCGTTTCTACTTCGTTTGATCTTCTTCTTTGCTTCGGTCATGGGGTGAGTTAACCATGTAGATGAGTCAGTGATTAGCTTTTACAACTGAGATTAAAATTTTTTGTGGCTACTGAATCTTGCAGAACAATGGACAGTCTACAACTAGTGCTGATTGCTACGATACGTGATGCATATACTATCAATCTATACAGTACGCTGGTCTACACAGCGTGCTAGTCTATTCAACATGCTAATCTACACAGCGTGCTAATCATCGCGGTTCAAGTCTATCTCCAGATCAAGCAACCCTCCGTCTTTCTTTTCCTTATCTTTCTCAACATACTTCTTGCCAAACACCACCCCAAGAATCTTTTCATACAATCTAAATAAATAACTGGCGGTGATCAAGATCCCACCAGCAATAGTGGCCAACTTGGCCACAAATTGCATAAATGGCATTCGCTTTTCTTTAATCACCATCTTAATCGGTTCAAAGTCATACTTGATGTATATACCGGGCACACCAATAGGCACACCTGTTTGCAGATTTTTTTGCAACACCTGATGATTCTCCGTAACCGAGTACTGATTGGTTTCTACAATCAAGCCAAGTTTTTCATAACTGGTAGGAACAACTTTGGCACTGTACATGTACTTTTGAAACTTTTCCTCTGTGACTTTCCCAGTGGCATCCAAAGGGTTGTTGATAAATGGGTAAAACTCACCGTAGGAAAACTCTTGAATCACATGAGAGAAGTTAAGTTTGTCAATGGGGGCAGCAATCACATCACGATACCCATACCCCTTAGCCGTGATTCTGAAATCACCCTTGACCTGGTTTATAGGAATAGATCCAAAGATATGACACGCAGGGGCATTCTCATTGACACGCTGTCCTTGAACCCTAAACTCGGCTCGCAAACTCTCCTGCATGATTTCGTCTAATTCTGGAGTATCATGGGCGTCATTGGCGTTGTTGATGTTAAAACTGGCAGGAATAAAGAAATGCATTCCTTCAAAGTTCAATGTCTCACCTGCGAGATACCTATCCAAAGTGACATCTTCGACAGTAGCATGGATAAATTCACACGGCATGGCCACAATCATATCAATATTTATGCTTAAGCCAGGTTTTATCACATCATCCACGGAAAACTGTCTATCGATGTAGCCACCTAAGAATCCTCCGATTTCAACCCAAAGAAACATAAGTCCAAATATATACGTCATTAAACTGGACAATCCTCCTCGTTGCGATCGCACCGTGTTCTGGGAGTTGACCTTGGGGAACGCATCAAAGGTTCGCAAGGATCGTACAGGGTTACTCATGTTGGTTGATTGGTTGGTTAATTGGCTAGTTGGTTAGTTGGTGAGTGTTTTGGTTTGTTACTTGGTAGGTTAGTTGGTTGGTTGGTTGGTTGGGTCGTTGGTTCGTGTGTCTGTCTGATGTTGATACGTGTTTGGAATTTTCTGTCTGAGCTTTTCTTTTTCTTTTTCTTTTTTTTTTTTTTGTCTGTCCGATCTTGACTCATTTTGTGCCCTGGGGAAATGTCAGATGTTTAACCTTACCATCTTACCAATACCATCCACAAAGTATGTCACCATGGATGAACCCACATTCTCCGACGATATAAGAATACAAGAACTCGAATCATGTCAGACCATCTACCCCAATCTCCGCATCTCGAAGTTGTCCGGCTCAATCGACATTCCTATTAAGCTAGATACCGAATCGGAAATTAGACTAATCCAAAATTCAACAGTATTGGCCAGCAAGCAAGTGGTTAACTTACCTGCAATTACGCTCGATTTTACTCTCCCAGAAGGATATCCTTATGACCATCCCCCACAAATCAAACTATCTTCCCAAATCATTCACCCGGATAAACTAAACAAACTTGAAACGGAGTTAAGCTCTGTTTGGTTCGACTACAAAGACCAGGTCATATTCATGCTTATAGATAAACTCTTGGATACGACTCAAAACAATATAGATGAAATCCTACCATCCCCGATAGAAATTATAGACCACTACCAGCTCTACTACGATATTATCGACTACGACCAATCCACGAAGCAAGCCGAATTTAATAATCTGACATTCGCCTGTGAAATATGTCAAAACAACTACTCAGGACTACAATGTCTGAAGTTTGACTGTGGTCACGTCTTCTGCAACGATTGCTTGTATGAATACTTTTCTTCAGTCATCACCACCGGCGAAATTGACAAGGTTCATTGTCCCGATTTTGAATGCACAAAACTACACATCAAGACACGAGATCTGTTTGCCAAATTAGAAACGTGGATGGAGAACGACAGCAAAGTCAAGGAGATGGTCACAACAATGTTGACGCCGACAGTTCCACTCGCATTGCTCACCCACATCTTCAAACCCAAGACCGACCAGGCTAATGAACTAGTCAAGCGATACATGACCTTATACAAGAAATCCCAGTTTGAATTCATCGGCAAACTCCTCCCGAATCGGTTAGTAAGTTGTCCTCGAATTGGTTGCGATGAAGTGATATTCCGTGAAGATCTACATGAACGACTCGTCCGCTGTCCCAAATGCCAATACTCATTCTGCAATGATTGTCGCATGTCATACCATACTCGATTCAAACTATGTAATAAGGTAAACGAAAATGAAAATTACTCGGGCATACCCGTGGCAGATCTTGAAGCATACCCCTTGTATCCTAGTGATTCATATGAACGAAAGACATTGAATGCCAGGTATGGCCGTATTACAATATTACGTGCCATTGAAGAATATAAGATGGATAAGCTATTCGAAGCCATGCTCAAAGAAGGCAATCAAGCTAGAGAATGTCCCGGTTGTAAAACTGTCATTGAAAAGAGTGAAGGTTGCAATAGAATGAAATGCTCGGAATGCTCCACCTTCTTTTGTTTCAATTGCGGGAACCAAATCAGTCGAAACTACGATCATTACTCAGACACAACATCTCCCTGCTACAGATTGTTATTCTTTGGTATGCTCGGTGCCGAACAAGATGATGATGATGATGATGAATTTATAGATTAACTATTTTGCTCTACCATATCTAAAACAATCTCGCGATAAACGCCTTCTTCTGAATTCGTAGACGATATCCTGTTCGACATTCTCCATATCATCATATATCCATTCGTCGTTCTTTAATTTGAATAACTTGATATCGTATGATCGTTCAGTGAGGAACTTTACTGGCTCTTCGTCAACTTTCCATTTGTTGACTAATCCAAAATCAAATTTCCAGTCATGGGGCGGTAACACCTTAGAAAGATCATCAACCCCTCTTGGTCTCTTGCCGGCAACTCTCGACTTGTTGCTCTTATCATACAACGTATTGGTATACCTATAAAACTTCCACTCACTCTTTAATATACTCTTCATTTGTAATTCAAACACTTCAACCATTCTCACTTCAGGAGAATCATCAACGATAATATCATTTCGATCAAAAGGTTTGTCTTCTTTAACCGCGGGTTCAACCTCGGTTTTCACTTCATCTTTTGGTTTTTGCAATTTCTGAGCATTTACCAACAATTTCTTGGCTTTAGGGTGCAATAACAACATGACTGCCCACCCAGACTGAATGAAAATCAACCTCCAGGGAATAAACTGGCCCAAGAACATAACAATTCCAGTGGCAAGCACCGTCCCATAGAAGATAAACGTGGACAACCGCTCGTCTTTAAATCCTCCGATGTCACTATAAAACTGTTCTCCCTTTTCAATGCCAACTAATAAATCCGTAGTCAACCCTTGCAAATCACGCAAGTTCATAACTATATCAAGTTGAGACTTGCGAGTCTCGATAGTTTCATCATCGGGTGTGGTTATTTCTGTTACTACCAGCATTTCATCTGAAAGCTCGTCCGAGTCTGGAGTAGCAGGTGACTCATTGAAATATTCCTGCTCATCCATGAACTCTTCAAGCACGCTGATTTCATCAGTGTCAAAGAAATAGTTCCATAAGGATTGCCCTCGTCTCTTCACTTTTATAAGATCGGGCCGTCTCATTGGATGCCTATGAACATACCCGGGTATAAATACCCCAAACAATACGAAAATCAACGGGTATACCAACACCAAATGGGGCCAAATACAAACAGCAGTATACAATACCAACACACTCAATGTCTTTGCGGGTCGTTTCCAAGTCAATACGTGGATCCCACCATAGTAGACATGAAAGAAAATCGACATCTTCACAAGTAATTTACGCATATTACTAGTCAATATTGCAATCGACATTCCGGGTTGCTTGCTTTCCTTCAACCGAGCTTCATACTTGTCCCGGTCAGGCACATTCTCAGGGAGTGAAGTCTGGATTAACTTTTCGATTAATCTGTCAGCAAAGTGTTTGGATTTGGGTTGTTCCTGGGCTGACTCGGCAATTGATTCAATTTGGGAAATTTGGTCCGAGGTGAGTATCGGTTCTTCCTGTTTGTCGTAACTTTCCAACCCCATTTCTAAAAGAATCGACGCGGTTCCTGCAGCAATAGCACGTTTGGTTCCTGGGTTGGACTGGGCGATGGTATTGCTTTTCTCGATTGCTTGGGAAAGTACACCAAGCGCACGTTCTCTATAACTTGGCTTATCCATATTATGTGCTGTTTAGGAGTGGTGGATAATTTTAAAGTTGGTAATGTGGAGAACTTTTTTTTTATAGTGCATATTTATGCATATGATATTTGGCAACAAAAAAGTTGTCTCCTTTTATTTGCACTTTTCTTCTTCTTGTACTCTTTAGTCGAATTGATTTGCATATATCCACATTCGGGATCTAAAAGTAACTCCTATTGCGACAATTTCGTGAGACCTGTCTTGACCCGGAGTTATTTTAGCTCTGATGGGCGAAAATGTCAACTCATTTTGACTCATTTTGCTATACAAGGTAAGTATTAACTTGAATGTCGTCTTCATTCAAAGAGTCCATTTTGGGCACTGTCTTCAATTCGAAAGTCATTCTTCATTGAATTGCAAATCGTGGTGCAGTTTCCCCATTGGAACAATTGAATGTGGATGACAATTCAATTTATTGTATACAGTTGACTTTACAATGAGTCAGTTTGCAGTTGACTTTACAATGAGTTAGTTTACAGTTGACTTTACAATGAGTCAGTTTGCAGTTTAATTCTGAATTGTGTCTTCATTCAAGCTGGCGGGAATGGAAACACGTTATGATTCAACTCGATGCTTCTTATCGGTTGGCATATCGGCATGTTTCTCCTGTCCTGGTTTTAAAGATGAGGAAATCAACTCACTTTTGGAGTTGAATTGGTTCATTGGGATTGACCTGAACGGCTTCTTCATCTGCAGTTTCCATACATGTGTGATACATCTTACTCCAACTTGCTAACCTCTATTAGAAATTGGGTGAAGTTGAGATCACCTTTGTTGCCCCCTGATGAATGTGGTGGACAGTTCAAGTTGGTCATCCATCTTACTAACACATAGTAACGGTACAAGAATTCGTATGTGAGTTTTACCTATACATTTATTCTAACTGCAATAATCAGGATATTCAAAGTGTTCAAATATGATGACTCAGTTAGATGAGTTCTCTGCTTTTAAAAGAGATGGGATTACATCTATATATTTACTACCAACTTTCCTAATTCAACCGGTTTGACAGTTTGGCCGTGGAGCCTGTAACAACAAGTAAGCCAGGTTATATGAGCAGTGTCAGAAATATAAACTCACCAGTCTGTGCTTACTCTGCGGTCAGTAGCTGGCGTTGCAATTTGACGTGGCAAGGTATTTACTGCATTAGTAACCAGAATGGGGCTATAATCAGTACAAAGATTGCATATTCTAACATCAGACTTTAAGGGAAAAGTTGCATCTAATTTCATTGATCAATTTGAACAACAGCTTATATAGTCACAAGCTCTGGATTGGCAGAGAACCACCAACATGGATATTAAATATGGTTGAGGTAAAATCGTAGTGGCAGTTCTACATAAAATATGGTTGTAACGTCTAATCTCACGAGTCTCAAACTATAAATATTGGGTGGCGTGTTAGAATTGTCGATTCCTCCGCATTTGATGTGGAACTGCCACTACAATTTGATATTACTTAGCCGAAACAACACGACTATATTGAAGTTACCAATTTTGATATATTGTCTTAACTGTCGAAAATAATATTGCTGCAATAACAGCTTAGACAGTCTACAGTGTTCCATACTACAACAATAATCAAAATGATAATAATGTCTTTTTACTATTACCACGCCAAAAAAAAAACTAAAAACATATTTAATTACTCAACAAATATTGTTGATTTACAACAGTTTATTATCTGCTTGTTCCTGATTGGTACCAGTCTTTTATAAAGATGGGAAGTTGTTGGAGTTGAGGTCAGCAGCTGGCTTTGGGGAACCTCTCTTGGCACCACCTCTGGCACCACCTCTACCTCTACCACCTCTGGCGCCACCTCTGGCACCACCTCTCTTGGAGAATTGTTGTGGTTGTTCGTCAGCAAAAGTAGCATCAACTTCTAAGAAAACCTTTTCCTTGTGAGCCTTGGACTTGGACTTCTTGGTGGTGGTAGATTCAAAGAAAACTTCTTGTTGCTTTTCAATCTTTTCTTCACCACTCCACTTGGATTCGGCACCTTCGTTAGCTTGTCTTAACTTCTTGTTACCTTCTAATTCTTGCTTCTTAGCTTCTAATTCGGCCAAGTATTCTTGTAAGGTCTTTTGAGGAGCAGCTGGTTCGGCTTCTTCTTCGGTGGCTTCAGCAGCTAATTCAGCAGCAGCATCTTCAGTACCTTCAGCTTCACCTTCAACAACTCTTTGAGCGTCTTCACCCCAACCTTGCTTGAACTTCTTCTTGGAGTCAGTCTTACCGGTTCTGGAGTGACGGTCAAATGGTTTCTTGTAATGCTTGGAAGCGGTGGATTGAGGAGCAGCAACGTCCTTGTTGTCGTTCTTGTTCTTGAAAGCACCTTCGTTACCAGATGGCTTGGACTTGTTCTTCTTGGCTTTGGCTGGGTCAGCGGAAGCTGGAGCAGCGTCAGCCTTCTTGGAGCTGGTGTTTGGCTTAACAACTACCTTGGATGGCAATTGAGGAGCAGCATTTTCGTCTTCGACGTCATTACCTAACAAGTCGTATAAGTTCTACAGTGCTTTTGTTAGTATTTCTGTCGGTACATGTACAATTTAGACTGAACAATGGTTGGCAAATGTGGCGCACACGATGAGTATCCAAAATAGCCTCAATTTCACCTCAATTAAATTGATCGCAAGCTCTGCATCACACTTTGCGGCTAGTAGAATAATATAGTTGACATGAGTCGCATTCTCTGGTTGGAAAGGAAATAATACATGCCGGTGCATTAATTGCAGTCAGGCAAACTAAACTGGGGGGGGTGGGAGGAGTGAACCCTGTCAAATTTACAACGCAAACTGCTACTTCCATTTCCATCCCTTTCCCGCACCATTGACGCTGCGCCATCCATTCAGTCCCTAGCTAATCACACATACTTTGTTTTGGAAAGACATTTCTCTAAACTTATTTCAATACTTTGATTCTTCTTGTAGATTTAAAAGAGGAAAATGAAAACTTTCTTTACTGAAATTTTCGCTCATTTTTTCTTTGGAAAATTTTTGCTGACCCGTCGAACTTTTTTTTTTTGTTCATGCTTTTCCCCAGTGGAAAATCTGCCACTATAAAAAGACAAGCCTCACACTCTCAGTCCACAAAAAACGTCACCCATAGAAAAAAAAATAATCATCTCTGTAGTAAACCACATACCGCTAAGTATATCCCATCACTAACTTTATATGGCGGGGGGTGCATATCAACCAGGTCTAAACGATACTATTATCATTATTATTACTACTACTACTACCACTACTACCACCACTACTACCACCACTACTACTACCACCACCACTACTACTACCACCACCACTACTACTACTATACACCAACAAACGCTGGAAAGGTTACTCTGCCACTTTAATAAACTCTTCTCCTACCCTGGCCAAAAACGTACGTATAGCCAGTCTCAAGTCTGCCGACATACTCTTAGAAAACAATCTCAACGTTAATTTATACATCACAGGAGTATACTTCGTGAAATCTTCGTCGTCTAACTCTACGTATCCTTGGAAAATCTCAACAATGACCGGCTTCCAGGTGGATATGTTTCTTTGTTGGTTGGTTTCATCAAATTCCGAATATCTTTCCGTGATGGTGTTACACAATGGGATGATATAATCCATGATTTCTCTCTTGTTACCAGGTGATACTTTGTCGTCATCGCAATACATTCTAAACATAATGTTAATGAAAACAGCCGCAGACGACGATTCTTGCTTCAACAAGTTAGGAAGACGCTCGATAATACCGGCATTCCATAGACGAACTCTCAAATCGTAATCATCATTAAACTTCTTGGCAAAGTTGTAGCTGCCATGCAATAATTGAGCCATCTTCATCAAATATTCATAAGGTATGGATTCGTAAAAGCCATCATGTTCAAACAATTCCGACAAGGTTTGAATGAGTAATAGTTGTAACACACTCTTGACAACAATCGAAGATTTTTCTCTCGACTTGGCCAATCTCTCCTCGTCATCAAAGTGGCTATTAGTAGTATCTTCGGAATCAACTTTGGAAGCAATATCCTTTTGTGCATCTTCTTCGTCGTAACGTTTATTTCTTAATGGATCAGAAGTGAATAATTCCCTAGCAGTAGTCAAATCAAACAATGTAGAAAAAGCTTCCGTGATCTGTTTCCAGTGTTCCACATCAAACTTGTCACAATTGTCAACGAGCAAAGTAGTTAAACATTCACGACCAATTCTAGCGATGGTATCATTCTCTTGACAAATACAAGAAATGATCAACTTCATGTATCCATCCAACAATCGACTTAATGCATCGAAATAATGACTAAACAACGAAATCATGCTTTTCAAAGCTTGGATCAAGGTTGTCGACAACCACACAGAAAGCATATCATCAGAATCATCCAATTCTAATTCCCAATGTTTGTTCAAGACTCCAAAAATAGGGAATAACAACTCATGGCAAATCATATCCCAGAATTCCAATTCAAAGTATTTACCATACTCCAATAAAATGTTAAACAAGCAATTCAATCCTCGTGACCTGACCTCTAATTCTTCACCAGTCATGATAATATCATAGAATGCAAAAAGAACTGGGAACCACAACTTGACTAAATGTTCGTTTCTCTCGTGCTTAGCTTCAGCAGTATCATCTTCGTGTGGCTCATTCTCACTGAAGAAACTCAATTGGGCAATTTCATGAATCAATCTCAGAAGAACATCCAATGATAACAAACTCAATTTTTGGAATTTTTCATTCTTGGCAATTTCTGTGAAGCAAATAACCAAATCACTAAATGAATCTTGCTGCTTGACTTCTTCAATGTATTCTTTGTTAATTCTATTAGCAATCTCAAATCCTTTTCTAACTAATGATTCTTTGTTCTCCTTAGCAGCGGCAGTACACACCCCAAAGATCGCCTTCCAACCAGACTTAATTTGCCCTGCTCTGGCCATCATCATGTTATTAATACACTCCAAAACCATATCTTTAACTTCGAGAGAATCATTATGAATTATAACATATTCAAACGGTTTCAAAAACTCCTTTTGGAACTTAAAATGAGTCAATTCTTCAATCTCCAAGAACCTCATAGATAATTGACGCAACGAGTCCAAGGCAAAGAACAGAATGGCAGGGTTAGTATGGCATCCAACAGTATTGAAAGTTTCACCAATGATAGCCCAAAGGTGTGACCATTCCAAACGAATACGATTCATATTGTAATAACAAATATCAACTACTTTTTGTAATGAAAACGTTCTTGGGTTGCTACTCTGCCCTGATGATTCAATTTCTTCATTGGCGACTTCGGAAAGGGCACGAACAAAATCAACAATACTTTCACCTGATAAATTGGCACTATTGGTATAAACCTTGTCAATGGCAACTTCAAGTTCAGTCTTGGTTAATAGTTGTGCAACTTCAGGTGATAAATGCTGGTTGTAAAATTTAGAAGCAGCAGATTGTGATGGAGTTTGTGAACTATAAGTAAAAGAACTAAAGAAACTTGTACTTGTTCTAGGGTTCTCCACGGAATTACGGTTGACCAACTTGGCAGTAGACACATCAGGAATAGAATCTTGATCAACACCTTGAGCAATTAATTGTAATCTTTCCAATTGAGAAGTGGAAAGCAAAATTTGTAACCAAGCATCACCTAAATGATCCCCTTCACACACAGCCAAATCCAACATGATATAAATGGCATCAACATTCTTTTGCTTCATTTCTTCATAATTGTTAAGATTTTGGAATTGCACTAAAGCACCAATGAAGGAGGTTCTAGCATATTCTAAACCAAACATACAGGCTATACGAATGGATAATTTAATACCTTCTAAACAAGTTCTGGTGATATCTTCTTCGTCGTATTCCTTGAATGGAGGAGTAAGTGCAGCCAAGACTGACATCCACATAGTATCAAAGATAGACTTGACGTGTAAAACACTGGTGGCGGCGTAAAACACCCCGTCTGATTCTTCATTCTTTAACTTCTTACCCAAGTTTCTCACCAACCTTTCAGTCTTGGTGGTCATTTCCTTGGATGCGTGAATGTATGCCTCTCTATTAACATCCCTACTTCCAAAGAAACTTATAGATTGTGGAGCAGGTGTTAATGTAACATCACCAGCTAATAAAGCAGCATGCTGTTCTGATTGTAACTTGATTTCATTATTTTGAATTTCCTCATAAATCTTGTGCAAGAAATCCCTTGGTAAGTCTTTACCATCATCAATACCAGAATTATTAATCACGAAATTTTCAAAAGTCATTCTAACCTTAACTTGAGGTGAATGTTGATCAGTGTTTAACATAATAACCGAATATGCCAATACATAAGCAGCATCAGCATTGGAGAAAACATCTGGGTTTCCCAAGACATATCTTTCAGCAAACTTCAACATAAATCTATCAATCTTTTGTGCTTCACCAGGTAATCTGAATGATTGCAAAAATAGTCTCATGGCATCAACGAAATCAGTATTGGTAAATTCCATCTGATCGACAAAAGAATGCATGATGGCAATATTCTGGGGATCACCTTCACCAAGATACTCCCCAATCACAGACTTATCAAGACCGTCGGTTTCCAACAAAAATTTAGCCATTTCTTCCGGTTCTTCACTCTTGAGGAATCCATTGGCAACGAAATATTTCATTCCCTTCTTGGCTTTTTGGTTGAATTGTCGAATACCTTCCAAGAATGCTTTCTTACGTTGTTTTTGATTTTCAAATTGTTCTGGATCGTCGGTTTCATTGGAGTTTTCAACTGGGTTGATAAACGAAGTGTTTCTGGAATTGCTCATGGAAGTGTTGTTTGACTCGGACACAGTTTTGCTAAGGGATAATGCTGATCCGTTTGTGGTAATGGCAGGCAGTTTGGCAACTGGAGTAATGTTCAACCCCTTTTGAGCCCATGAATATAATGAACGTAAGAATGCCACTGAACATCCAATAGAAGTCATTTTCAAGGCATACTCCAATGGGAATTGGTTATAAATTTCTGGTTCAGGTGGTTTGGATGACATGGTGCTGCTAGTTAAATTAGCAATCTTACTAACGTCATATACAGAAATTCCATTTCTTCTATTCTCCCTGAATGCAAGCTTCTGCTGCGGTGTAACATCAATACGAATCAATGCCAATCTGGTCAAATAATCAATAATTTTTTCACAAATGTTAGGCATGCTACTGTCACAATCATAATTCAAGTAAAACTCTATAATGCATCTTGAATCATTACACAATCTTTCCATGATCGACAACAAGTATCTCTTTTGGTGAGGACTCGAGGTTTTCATTTCAGCCACGGGGAAATAAATTTCATCCCAAAACACGGGGATTTCTCGCTTGAATTCAGATCTCAAGTTTGAAATGATCAACCAAAAGATTTCTAATGAGAGCTCAAACACGGGTGCTAATGGTGAAGCTGCATTCTTGGAAAGGGCAAGGTTGATATATTGTCTAACGGCATTAATCAATCTTATTTGTTCATTGGAGTTGGAGGACAAAATCACAACATCATGACTCAAAAAGACTTCGATGTGTTCCCTCAAAATGGTGTGGATGATGTGCAATGATAACAATTTTGATCTGACTGAATGAGATTTCATATCAATAGTAGTGGAATCTAAAGACTTGACTGAAAGCTTACACATGGCTCTAAACACTAAAAATGCATCCTTGACTACAACATCTTCATCGCTTTCAGTTGCCAAATTCGCTTCTTGAACACGGTCATTATCATTGCCATTATCAGTTAAATTTTCCAACCTCTTCAAGGTAAGCTTTTCTTCGGAAGGGTTTATATCATCTGATGGAAGCTCCAATTCTTCCTTGCTGAAAGAAGTTAAGGATAATCTAGTTCCACTTGCTGCTTTCCCATTCTTGTTGTTCTTCATAGCATCTGATTCTTCCACTCTCTGGAATATGGCTCCAATGACTTGGGTTAAAATACCTTGGGCCACGGCTTGGTTTCTTGCAGTCAAAGAAAAGATAAACACGTTATATATTTGTCTGACTGCTTTCAAAAGCGAAGCACCATGGCAAGGCATCAAGAGAATACTATGCATCAAAGCTCTGACCACTTGCAATTCCAACTCAGGATCAGTACCTTCTCCGTCAAAACAGGCCGAGATGACATCAACCGAGTCATCCGTCATGGTGATTTTATCGTCATTGTCTTCAAATTGGGCGTAGTCAAATAACTTTGCAAACAAGTCGACTGCTTTTGATTTTAAATCATTGCTTGAAGTCTCGCAACATGCCTTCAAAGCGGTGAATAAGACATGGGGATCTCTTGAGTCAACATCATTCAACGAGTCAAGAGCTTTTTGGATCACGGTTTTAAATTGCTCATTCTTCTTGGCTTCTTTTGAAGTGAGAATCAATTCAAACGTTTTCTGGAAAAGTTTAGTGTTGTCGACAGTAGCACCGGTTGAAGACACGGACAAGTGGGAGATGTCACGTTGATGATGGTGCGCTGGGGATTCCGGTATGTTTTGGCTATTGACTTCTGATGTATCGTTACTTGATGGTTCTTCTGGCAATGAGGAGCCTGGTGCTGATTCGGTAGGCGAGGTCTCAGTAGAAACCTCGTGGGTAGGTTCTGCAACTTCAGGTAGCTCTTTCTCTTTGACTTGTACGTCTTCCAATGGCTGTTCCTCAAGTTGTTGTTCTGTGTCTTCAGTATATTCTGTATCTGCTTCCTCTTTTGGTCCTTCTGATGTGTCTTCCTGTTGCTGTTCTTCTTGGTGTGTTGTCCCGTTTACGGGTTCTGCCACAACTTCAGACTCAGTCACTTCTTGGTTCTCTTGAACGTGATCTTCGTCGATGTGTTTGGTATTTTGTAAATCTTCAGTTTCAGTGCCTTGTGGGGCAGGATCGGACGGAGCAGGTGGTGCTTCTACTGAATCAACGACGCTGTCGTCTCGATTTTCTATATCTCCGTTATTCAGTTCTGACATTTCCAAACTACAACGCTTTTCTGCTTCAAGTTTGGTCCAATAGTGTCAGTGACTGGTGTTTACGTGATTGATTAAAGTATCAATTGATAGTAGTTGTACAGGAGAATTGATTAATACGTGTGTGGTGGGTAAATTGTCAGGGCAAGACAAAAATCCCGCTTTGTTTTTCGTCCGGCTTTCGTGGTGGTTTCAAAATTTCTCAGCCTCTGCGGTTTTTGTCTGTGCGCGCGGTGGTTGACACATTTGTGCCTTTGGTTGCAGACACGACATTTTGTTTTAATCCGATCTACGACATTGGCAGCGTTCGGTCCAATGTGGTTGTAGTTGTAGTTGTAGTTGTCGTTGTAGTTGTCGCTGTAGTTATTGCTATCATTGTAGTTATTGCTATCGTTGTAATTGTCGCCGTAGTTGTCGCTGTAGTTGTCGCTGTAGTTATCGCTATCGTTGTAATTGTCGCCGTAGTTGTCGCTGTCGTCACCGTCACCGCTACGCTTCCCCGTCTACCTATACTTATTCTTATTCATACAAACTTATATATCTACTTAGAATTCGCTTAAAGCAACAGCAGTGGCTTGGAAGTCATCGTGTGAAATAGAAACATTGACATTCTTAACACCAGCTTTGGTAGCAGCAACCTTGGCTTCACCATTCAAGAAAACCTTTGGTGCACCATTGGCATCACGAATGATTTCAATGTCAATCAAAGAAGCTCCAGCACCCTTGGACTCAACACCTAAAGCCTTGAACACAGCTTCCTTGGCAGACCAGGTACCGGTGAATGAAGCTTGTGGAGATGAAGACTTTTGACAGTATTCACGTTCAGCATCAGTAAAGTTTCTTTCAATAAACGTTTCATTCTCCATATTGATGGCAGAAAGTAATTCAACATCAACACCAACTCCCTTGGAAGACTTGGTCAAGGAAGTCAAAGCCTTGGCAGTCTTGTCAGCAACTTCACTAACATAAGACTTGTTGTTTTGAATAGACTTGTTAGAGAAAACAAGTTGTTGTTGCTTGGAGCTTTCAACACGAGCCAATGGATCCAAGTAAACTGGTTGTTCCAATTCATCAGAGTATGGAGCCTTGTCCTTAGCAACAAACATAGTGTTTCTAGTAATAGCATTGTGCATGTAACGGTAGGTCTTCTTGTTTCTAGCAGTAACCTTGGCAGCATATTCGTGATAAGTACTTTGATCCAAAACAGCATACAAGTAATCTGGATGAATAACAATAGCTTGAGCACCCTTTTGTCCAAAACCGAACGAAGTCACGGAAACAGCCTTAATACCATCAGTTTGAATGGATCTGGATGGATACAAAACGTATTCAAATTGTTCCAATAACTTATCAACATTATCGGCATTTCTGTTACCTGGAACAATACCAGATTCCAAAATTTGAATACCACCGTTCAACATCCAAGCACCAGCAGCACCCTTTGGATGACCAGTCAAGTACTTTTGGAAAACACCAAAGACTGGGTTACCTTCAGATCTACCCAAGTGTTGCATCATACTGTTGATAGTAGCAGATTCATTCTTATCGTTAGCAACAGTAGAAGTACCGTGGAATGAAGCAACTCCAATATCATCAATGGTCAAGTTGAAAGTAGCCAAGGCTCCTCTCAATGGAGCGATTCTTGGATCAGACTTGTAGAAGTGGTTACCCCATTGCTTCTTGGCATCAGCAATTTGTCTCTTGGCTTCACGGTGGATTTCTTCAGTTCTTTCTCTCATAAAGTCCTTGATAGAGAATTCATCTCCATATTCTTCCTTGGTCAATTCAGCTTCATCTTGCAAGTAGTTGATTTCACCTTCTTCCCAAGCCTTAATTTGTTCTAATCTCTTGGCCAATTGTCTCTTTCTGTACTTGATGTTCAACAATGGAGATGGGTACTTCAAGTCACCGTGGTGTTCTCTGGCAGTGGTCAAGATACCCTTACCTGGAGCTGGAACAGATCTACCAATCTTATCAGTGGCAGTAGCAGTCATGGCCAAAACAGCATGGATTGGAACACCCATCTTAATAGCCAAATCAGCAGTCATGATAACTTGAATACCGGAACCTTGAGCTTCCATGAAACCATTTCTGGTAGTGGTAGTTGGTCTGGACATTTCCTTTGGAGTTCTACCGTGCTTGAATTCTTCAACAGCATTGGAAGTAGCATTCATGTTGGCGAATTCATAAGAACCTTCTTCTTGGAAATCATCGTAACCACCAACAATAACAATCTTGGCCTTACCAGACAAGATAGTTTCAACACCGATATCAACAGATTCAACAGCAGTAGCACAAGCACCAACTGGAGTCTTGATTGGACCAGATGAAGATAACAACAACATGTTAACCCAAGCAGCCATAGTGTTGATAAAGGATTCTTGCAAGATATCGTTTTGGACTGGTCTATCAGCATATCTGTCCTTGAACATACCTCTCAAGGCAGAAACACCACCCATACCGGAACCAGAACAGTTACCAACTTCCGAAACATGGACATACTTGTAGAATTCATATGGATCGGTGATACCAGCAGACAACAAAGCTTCAACAGTAGCAACCAAGACGTACAAAGTGATTGGATCAACTTGGTTAATAGTGTCTTCTGGAATACCATAAGTACGAGCGTCCCAACCAGTAGGAATTTGACCGGCAACCAATCTGTCAAATCTCAAGGCCTTTGGAATGAACAAAGTAGCACCCTTCAAGATTCTAACAGTGTATTCACCACTGTCTTCAATTTCAAAGATTTCACACTTGTCACCATGTTCGTGCTTGTATTGTTCGGCAGTTTCCTTGGAACATTCAAATGGTTCCAAATCGTGTTGGACAACAATTTCTTGAATCATTTGCTTCTTCTTTGGATCATAACCATGGAATAATTCTGGTTCAATCAATCTAATACCAGAGTGGTCCAAGATTTCTTCTTCGTACTTGGCCTTGATTTCCTTGTCATCAACAGGAGTTTGAGTCTTGGCATCAACCCAACCAGAGTATGGCTTACCCTTCAAGTTACCATTGTGGTACTTGATCAAACCCATAATCCAGGCCATTTCAATAGCACCTTCCAATGAGAATTCACCCTTGGATTCCATTTCCCATCTGGTTCTAGCGTTACCCCATGGACCAACTTCAGCAAAACCAGTAACAACGATAACACTTTCCAAGTCTAACATACCTTCCAATTCTGGAGCAACAGCCTTGATTTGATCATAAGTCTTCAAGGTTGGGAAGTCAAACTTCATGTTGGCTCTTGGTTGAACAGTAACCTTGGAGTAGTTGGCGTCAACATTGTCACCGTTGATAACCTTTTGTTCAATGGAAGATTCAATAGCAACGGCTCTTCTGATGTCAGCGTTTTCAGTCAAATCAGTTCTCAACTTGGAAGTGAATTCCTTCAAGTTTTCAATAAATTGTAAACCACCGTTCAAATCAGCCATAACTGGTTCTTCTTGACACAACTTGACAATTTCTGGGGTCAACAAACCCAAAATGTTGAAAGCCATTTCCTTTTGGGAGAAGGTTCTAACACCCAACTTTTCAATACCTTCGGCAATGATGTTGTTACCACTCATTAAACCAGTACCTCTAGTCCAACCAATGATAGCACCACAGATGGTCAACTTGGTACCCCAATCTTCAGAGTACCATCTGTTGAACAAGGTTTCCAAGGAAATCTTGGATTCGGAGTATAAACCATCGAAACCAAAAGTACCGTGGTTTGGAGATAATGGCAAGATACATTGAGCTGGTCTAGTGTCAGTGGTCTTTCTGGCCTTAACAGCACCCAATAATCTCAAAAGGTTGGTCAACATGATTCTGTGAGCAAATTCAGACTTGGAATCAATGTTGTCAATACCGTTACCGTTTTCAGGGATAGCAGCAAATGGAATGATGACATCCAAATCCCAACCTAAACCACCCTTCTTTGGTTCATCGTAAATGTATTGCACTAAAGCTTCAACATCTTGCTTGGAACCTTGGTTGAATGGAACAACAGTCAAAATAGAACCAGCAGCACCATATCTGGCGTACATGTTTTGGTAGTATTCGGTAACCTTCTTGGAGAATCTAGAAGTAGTGACAACAACCTTGGCACCACCACTGATTAACCCTTGTAAAATTTCAGCACCAATGGAACCAACACCGGCACCAGTAAGCAAGACATACTTGTCCTTGAAAGTTAAACCATTAACGGCAGCAGATTCTAAACCGTCCAAATAAGTGGCGGATAACTTACGGTCGTATTCCCAACCAGTCTTGGACTTTCTTTGAATGTGCAAGAATGGAATAGTTTGAGCTGGAATGGTGGAAGAAACTGGTTGCAAAATAGAAGTTCTGTCTGGCAATGAGGCAATTTCGTCGTCTTCATCATCGGAAGCAGTAGATAATTCATCTTCAGAAACAGTGGTGGAAGTAGCAGTTGATTGTAAAACATCCTTGGTAAGTTGTTGAGTTTCAATCTCAGTAGAGGATTCAACAACCTTCAATAATTGATCGTAAACCTTTTGTAATTCCAACTTGTTGCTCTTGGAAGCTTGCTTGGTGATAGCCTTGTAAACTCTAGCCAAATCTTCTTGGATGGTTGGTTGTTCAATCTTGGTCATCTTACCACCTTGAGCCATTTCGTAAACATATTGCTCAAACTTTCTAACAGATTCCTTGTTGGCTTCTTCATAGTTGATGTTACCCTTGGCACAAACAGTGGTCTTTGGACCAGTGATTCTAGAGACATCCTTGTAAACTGGATCCGAGTTCAAAACTTGTTGACAGTTGTCAATTAATAATTGACCTAATCTCTTGGCCAAGTTGTAAGTTTCACCCTTGTATTCTGGACAGTGGTCAATGTGGTATTGCATAAACTTGATTAAAGTTGGGTTGGCTCTGTTCATGATTTGAATACATTGGTTGATGGTTTCTCTGTCAACAGAAGTTAACTTACCAAAGATGATGTCAAAGTACATGGATAAAACATCTTGTCTGGCCCAATTCCAGTAAGAATCATAAGTTCTTGATTTCAATGGGGAGAAGGTTGGTTTGATACCGCTAGCGTAGAATTCACCATGTTCAGCTTCCCATAAGTCTAATTCCTTTTGCAAGACGGCAGAAGCTTCCTTTTCTTTGATGAAGGATTTAGCACCCTTGTTCAAGTCAACTTGCAAGTATCTAGCCAAGACTTCCAATTGTTGTCTGGCCAAGTTCTTGTTCTCGGCAGTCAAAGCATCTAAAGCAGCACTGTCAACAACGGCACCACCAGCAGCACCACCGGCACCGCCAGCTGGAGCAGCTGAAGATAATGAAATACCAGCAGTGGAAGCATACTTGTTGGCAACAGAGTCCAAGAAAGCCTTGGCTTCAGCTTCAGAGGCCAATCTGTTAGCTGGTTCATTGGTTAAAGCAACTAATAAAACGGAATCTTGTCTACCAGCACCTAAACCAAATCTGGTTTCTAAATACTTTCTAGCAACGGTGATGGAGAATCCACCAGGCATCTTAGAAGACATTAATCTACCGATCAAAGAAGTAGAAGTCTTACCTAATTGACCATTGAAAGTGTCTTGGAATTGTTCGGCCAATTCTTCCAATGGAGTGTCTTCTGGCTTTTCTGGAGTGGAACCGAATTCCTTACCTAAGTCACCAAGAATTTCATTTTGGACAGTGGACTTACCGTTAACCAAATCCTTAATAGCCTTACCCATTGGGACAGCTTCTAATGGCTTCTTCAACTTTTGAGCAACCAAAACATGTAATAACAAGGAAGCCTTGACTGGTTCATCTGGAATGGAAGCAGCAGGACCGGCAGCAGCGGCGGCTGGGGCAGCGGCAACTGGAGCGGCGGCAACTGGGGCAGCAGCTTCAGCAGCTGGAGCAGATTCAGCAGCAGCGGCGGCTGGTGGAGCAATATCAGCTGGATCAGGAGTGTAGTAGATTTCCTTGGCGTCCTTGGAGTAACATAATACTTGACGTTGTAAAGAAAGAGCAGCATCGTAGGATTCGTACTTGGCCTTGATAGTTCTGGAAGCCATACCAGCTAAGGTTGGAGAAGGACCAATTTCAACGACTCTTTCGGTGTTGTGTTGCTTTAAAAAGACATCTTGGGTTTCAATCCATCTAACAGGAGAAGCGAATTGATAAGCTAACAATTCAGTTAACAAAGTATGAGATAATTCTTGTTCGATTTCTGGTCTCATGGTGTTTGATTAAATGAAACGTCTGTAGAACAGTGAAGAGAATAAGAGAAAGGGAAAGAAAGAAAGAAATTGAAGGAAATGTAAAATTTTAAATATCGGCTACACTAAAACTGTCGGACATGGCGTTCTTTGATTATACGTGTGTGTCTGATTTTGCCAAATTTATTATTTATTTTTTCTTTTTTTTTTTGATTTTGATGGGTTCGACTAGCGTTAATCTGTAAGGTTGTTTGCAAGTTGGTGCATCTGCCATACAAAAATTATGTGAACCTGCAAACTGTTTTACATGTTCAGTTCGAACCAACAAAATATTTTGCACAACAAAAATTCGAAATTGTTGCAACGGGCGGTAAAAACGTTGAAAAGAAATTATTTTTTTCTTTTTTATCAGACAATGTGCCAACAAAAATGCACACCTTCTTTTTTTTTTTGGTTGAGCTCCGTGAAGACTCGACTCCGGGCTAACACAGGCAGACACACTGAAAAATAAAGTTGTTACCCGGACAGAACTGAAAGCCAGAGCTAAAGGACAACAGAAATAAAAATGTTGTGTGCAGAAAAAGATTTTCACACTCTCTTCTTTCTCTAACCAACACACAACTCAACTATTCTATAGTATATAGATACTCAATACATATACTATCCCAACAACCCTTCTATTTATTTTAATTAACCTGTTTTATTTTTCATACTTACCCAAAGCTTAATGCCTTCTCGTTTACCCTGATTATATTCGTTTATTTTCAGTTTAAAGTGGTACAAGAGAACACTTTTGCATTTGGAATATCAATAAGATCATCTCCACCCTGAACTAATGTTTCTTTATGAAATGCCTTTTCTGTATTATTTTGGGACTATTACACATGATCTACAAACTACTTGTAAAAAAAACAAACGATTTCTAATTTTTCATTATTATGGGCTCTATATCGCTTCTACTGCCATCGTGCTTCATTACTTTTCCCTCGTGATTTTGGTATAAATAAGTTTTGTTTGCCTTTTCAAACCCACCCCATTTTAGTTTTGGTAATTTTTGGCCAAATTTCTCAACAATTGAAACAAAGCGAGCGTGATATTTGTTTTCTCGAACCATTTGAAAAGTTTGTCCGTAGTGTTCACAAAATATAAGTGAATTCTCAATATGATCCGGAGATAAGCATTGCACAATTAGCATTTCCAAACTCGATGGCAAATATGATGGTAAAACCAACATTTCTTCATCGGTTACTGGCAAGCTCAACATCTTCAATTTGGAAAATGCGCCAAGTAACTTCAAGCTGCTGTTTGGAGAAGTAGGGCACTTGCCACGGGAGGAAATATCAGATGTTGGACAGATATCCAATCGTAGTAATGACTCCAGATTCACTTTTGCAAGTATCAATCCCAAGTCAAACTTGTTACTGTCACATAATACTTTTAATTTTGAAAGACCCAAGTATTTCAATGAAGGAAGCAATCTGTGATCAGTGGCTGTAAATGTTAACTCGGAAAGGTTGTTCATATATGCAATCAATTTGATCAAGAATTCATTATATTTCATAGGATTGCTACCGTCACAAAGCGGAACTGACAATGATTGCAACTGGTCCAATTCAAGATGTTTGTTGAGCAAATCAGCTATCGTAATATCCAAATACAGGTTTTCAATAATCAATTTCCGCAATCGGATTTTGCTTGTGCTGTTTTTGAATAGATTATCAAACACATTCAAATCGGCCAGTTTTAATATTGCCAACTCTTGTAGGTTCTTCATACAAAATGTTTTGGCACTGCTCAGATCGCATGTGTTTATTAGTCCCAACGACTTTAAATTGAATTGATGAGGAGAACTTCCAACAAGTCTTCCTTGAATTTCACAAATTCCCTGATTAAACCATTCTAAGTTAACATTTATAGACTTCTTATCCAACCGGAATACCTTTAAATTATTCATCTTGTATAACGTATGTTTTAAATATATGAACAAATTTGAATCCTCAATGTCGGGGATTTGAGATTTGAAAACAAGGACTTTGACATAGGAACAATATTCAGGATGTCTAATCAAGCATTTAAAGAAAAGCTTAAGCGCATAAACTGAAGTAATTTTGATCGAGGATAAATATACATTTCCAACTTGAAATCTGTCTTGTTGGATTTCTGAAATCAGTGAATCAGCTCCTGAATTTTCAAAAACCTTCGGTGTTGACTCTACTGTAACCGCCGAGTATAACCTAGGAAGCAACAACTTGTTAAAGAACGAATTTGTTCTTGACAAGCTGACTATCTCTTGTTGATGTAGCTTTTCAGCTATATTATGGAGCAACTCCACTGGTAGATCTTGAAGCATGATACCGCACAAAATCTGATACACATTTACAAATTCACACCAGAATATCTGTATATATATATATAATTTTTCACTCCACATATTCACGCGTCTTTTTTACTTGCAAATTTGAGCCATTATTCACTATAGATCAAACAAAACAATAGAAAAAAGAAATAGCAGCAATCCCGTTTCTCGGTTTTTGCATCCTATAGCAGTTGCGAAAAAATTTTTATCTGATCGGATATAAAAGGTAAAATGAATATTTTCTAGCATGCCACCACATTTAATCAAATACCAAATGCTTAATATTCACAAAATATTTTCTATTTTAATTTTAAATTCAGAAAAACTTTTTCCTGGGTTATTAAATACACACGCGGACTTTGAAGCAGTTTAGAAAAACACGCCTTCGTATAGATCTATACGATCGTACAAAGTTTAACAAACTAATCAGTCACATACTAGAAGTTATAAAAAGAAATCTGCTTCGTTGAATAGTTGTAAGGACAACCTTTAGATCTAAAAGGAACTTTGTTCAAGAACCTTTAATATCCCCTCCGGAAAGTATGTCCGAGATATGCCATTTGCTTTTCCGAAAAACGGCCCTGAAGTGTCCCGCAACAAAAGAATTTAATCCTACCATGTCACATGTAAACGCAAAACTTCACATTTTGGAAACTTTTTAGGTTATTCATTATAGAATTTGCAACATTGTAAAATGAGTGAGCCGCAAGAAATAACCCGGAGTGATTTTTAAAGATTCTTCGTGCTACACGAGAAGTAATTATACTAAGTTTTAATATTGGGAAACACTAAGAACCAAGCTCAAATAGGCCAGGCTGTCTAATACCATTATGTAACGCAAATTCTAGAATAGCCCATCTTCTTGAAGTTTTAGCTCAATAAACTTCTTTTATATAATTATAGATTTAAGTAGGGATCTACGTAGTATATAGAGCGTAATAATATCCATCTTCCAGTATATGAAGCTGACTGTAATCCAATGGATTGATACAAGTATTTGAGTTGTGGATTCTAGTATGATCCTTTAATTTCCTTGCCAAATATGTTGCAAAACAAAAAAAAATTCATTTATTGCCAATCTTCAGAAAACTTAGCGAAGAAAAGACGTTTGCAACTTCTATATGTTTGTTGGAATCACGAGATAAGGTTAATTGGCTTGTATACTACCTGTAGCCAATATACCAGGGAAGTGGAGGTTGGTAGCTTTGCAGAAGTTATATATCGCTTTTTGAAGACATTATACAACTAGTTGCGTATTAAACAAAAAGTTTTAATATTGATCGATTCTAAACTGTTTAACTAAACAACTAGTTAAGGCGAATTTGAGGCGTATTTATATAACCCTTAATTTAACCAACCAATTCACATAAACTTGCAGAAAGATCACCTAATATTCACGCTCACAGTTTGATTAAGCGCACTTGCATGATACGCGAAACAAGTTTTATGAAATACTAATGATAGAATGGACCACGAGAGAACAGGATATCTCAGAAACAGGCTTTAACTAGTCACTGTTCGCAAAGACGCTCCACTTGCCATTGGGAACAAATTATCAGTTATTGCCGGGTAATACCAATGTCCACATGAATGCTATCATGCCACAGAGTATATAACACAATTTGGGGGTAGTGATAATAGGCCTAGATGGAGCAAGTATTATTGCCAAAAAAAAAAAGATTATTTCAACTTGTTGGGGTGTTTGCCCGTGGTGTCAGGATATTGCTTGCATATACGTTTCGCATAAAATTTTATTATGCAGTTTTTCGCAACAAAAAATAAGCGCACCAGCATATAGAACTGAAATTGGATATTAGGTAATCTTACAGTTTTAGAGTAATAATATATACTCACTTAAAACTCCATAAGGGACTATATAAGCCAAGATATAATTACCACTAAATCATCACCAGTTGCAAAGAAAAATATTCTTCGAACAAACTGTATTGTTAGCATGTGCATCCGTCGTTTGGAAATGCCTATAAACGAGGGAGAAAAGGGTTAACGAAAAGCCTTCTAAACAGAACGATGATTTTCTTGTTTTAAATCTAGAAAATATTAGCCATTGCCTGGTCAACAACGCACACTACCCAAATCGTAAACAATAACCTAATAATAACGGAGCACAAAATTAATTATTTGTTTTGTGTATGGCCAATATTTAAACAATAGGGTAATACATTGGAGATACAAAAAGCATCTACTAATTTACAGTAAATTACTTTGTGATGAGTTACAAAATCTATGTTATTCTACGGTGACAATTCTAGTTTTGGTTAGGAACCAAAAGCTTGGCTAGAGGTTAACGGTTTTCTTACATGGTAATAATAGAAATTAAGGAATCGAGCTTCCATGGGGATCAACCGCCTGAATGAATTATAATATCACGTTGCATTACAAGGCTATATGAGTTTTCGGTAGAACGAGAAATCGAGTATCAGGTTGTTCCTGACATGATTTACGGAAAAGAGATCGGGGGGATCAGCCTTTCCATGGAATCCGATACATGACTGCTAATTTATCAATTTTGCGAGCAAATATTCCAGAGTGATATGAAAATTGCTTTTTAGTCAGGTCATCAGGAGAGATCTGGTTTATACGGGGAAATAGAACAAATCCGATACGTCACTATGAAGGAAAATAAGCGGAAATATAAGTTCGTTTAGGTTGAAATCAATCATGAAACACAATTTAAGTGACCAAAAACTAATTGGATTAAATAATAGAATTTCAAGTACTCACTTAAACATCACGTCATAATGCAGTCGTGGGAAGGGTAAACCATTAGATGCTGTACGGCGAATTAGTTAAAGTGAAACCAAGAGTTCAATTGCTATATTCATTGTGATCATTCCTTGCTGAATGAGCTAAGCTTCGTTCTAATGACAAGAGCTAGAATCAAGAAACCACCTATAAAATGAGATGATTTTGGGCAATTTAACCCGGAAAGAAATAAAAAGAAATTCATACAATGCATGACAACAATAGTAATCAAATGTTGGTAAAAAATAATAGGTAGTGTACTTGCGTTTTGTGCAACTAAATACGAAAAAATAATACATGGATTTACAGTAAAGGTAACTTTCCTTCATATTAGCCATTTGTTGTACCGAACAGATATATACATTTTCTGTAGTAAATCTGGATCTAACGAATTATAAATACAAAAATTAACCACCAACAGTTAGATGTAGAAAATTAATTTTAGTCATAGATGGTTTAAATTAGGCACATGATCAATACCGACCTTAAACAAGATTCAAGCTTTTTGGGTACAAGCCAAATAAGGTTTAGCATCTTCTCCCGAAAGTAGCTTAATTATTTTTATTTTTATTGTTGTTGTAATTTATTTTCTGGGATTTATTTTTTTATTTCTGGGTCTGTTTTCCCTGTTTGTTTAACCGATTTCCAAAGTCCTTTCTAACATGCTTAAATAATAACCAACTTGGCTTTTTTAATTCGTTCATATACCCAATACACCTTCCCACTTGATTTGGATAAACTTTTTTTTTAAAAAAAAACAAAATTAGAATCAACCATACCACAAGGCAGGAGAAGAGAAACCCCTGATTGACACAACTTGGGTCTTATCTATTTGAAACTAAGGGTATATATCATCTCACTTTGTTATCATTTTCTTTTTTTTTTTTTGTTTGTGTGTATTATCTTTTAGTACGGAATTTTTATTTTAGTGTGCAATTGCCCCTTTGGTCAAATTTCCTTAACTGTGAAAAATTTCAGAATTCATATTTCCTTAATACAAATCTAAAAAAACAAATCTTTCTTATCAACTTGGTTACCAACTAGTACCATCAACCCCAAAGTGTCCCTCCCCCTCTAAAATAAGACACACCAAAAATCACAACAACGAAGAGATATCTACAAATAGAGGGCTACTGCATCATCCTACGTCTACCTATTTGATTTGTGATTGTATTCCCACATCCTAACGGTTTATAACAAGAAAAAAAAGAATAAAGTGTTCCCCTGAAAACACAAAAGTTTGTCAGCAAAAAGTGTATACCAAGTGTTGTTCTCCCCCTCCCCGCTGAACCGTTATTTCTATTCCAACACATCTACACATCCTTAGAGTAAATTTAAGCAATAGCATTTCCCAAAAAAATCTACCGGAACATTCTTAGCTATTGAAATTTTAGATCATCCGAATTAGCGAGAGAGCGAAATCCATACGGAATCAGGTTTTTTTTTCCCTTTAGCAGGATCATAACTAAGTTTCTAATTTTTTTTCGTTATTGCCACTGTACAAAAACATATACATATCAATCAATCATATCAATATCCCTGGCCAGTCACCACTTGTTTAGCTTTGGGTATATATTTTCATTTCTGAAGGAGTATAAAAACGGTTATATCATAGAATTTTTTAAACAAAGGATTACAACGGAAACAGGCTTATTACAAAAAAAAAACTCAGACGAAGCTAATTACAACAATGTTTAACACTAAGATATTTGAAAACTCCAATCCATCAGGTTCTCCTGCCATAAACATACCGGCAGCCTCAGCCTCCGACCAAATGACCACTAACAATCCAAACAACATACCACAACCCATTGACATAACATTTAATCACCGACCTTCCATAATAAATAATAACGCCCGTTTTAGACGAGAATCGATGGCAAACTCACAAGGAGCTGGTGCTGTATCTTGGGGATCGGTTACTATCGGGTCGTGGTTGAAGGATGAAGTTATGATGTCGAGTGGAAGTAACTTTATGCCATATAATGCCCATCACCATAATCATATGCAACCCCAGCAGCAACACTTGATTAACCCCCGAAGAGGGTCGTTCAGAGCCGGTCATCCAAGTATGTCTCCACATTTGCAAACGTCATACTTGCCTGATTTGGAAGCTGACTATTGTAAGGATTACAGTTGTTGTGGTGAATTATTACCTACTTTGCATGATTTATTGAGACACTACGAAGAAGCACATATATCTGCATCACCACCCCCAGATACTAACCATTTGTTGAATACCAACCGGAACCGGAACAATTTTAATATTCATAATGTCATGGAGACAGTTTCCACCAATGATGTGTTTCTTAATAATAATCATCACAACAATAATAATTCTAATAATACTATCCACCCCACGGCGACTACCAATAATCTTGAAGGTAGTAACTACCATTTTAATAACCACCAATCCCAACAAGCCATCCACCTTCAACAGCAAAACCCACAATTTGGACAACAAAATACCCAAAAGCAACAAAGACAACAATCACCCTTGATGAACTCACCTACCCCCAACAACGGTGGCACTCCTATGCAAACTGACGATGATGAAGATAGTATGTATATCGATGATCCTGCCCGTCATCTCTATGTTGTTGATAACGATGAAAACAAGCCATATAGATGTCCAGTTATTGGCTGTGACAAAAATTACAAGAACCAAAATGGTTTGAAGTATCATCGTTTGCATGGACACCAAGGACAGAATTTACGAGAGAATCCTGATGGAACTATCTCAGTTATTGATCCTGAATCCAATACTCCATATTTGGATGGAGCTGCTTTGGAAAAGGACAAGCCTTATCGATGTGAAGTTTGTGGTAAGAGGTACAAGAATCTTAATGGATTAAAGTATCACAGAGGACATACTACCCATTGAAGAAACGAAGAAGAAGAGAGTCAAGGCATAACATGTATCATATTATTTGGTTATTTATATTCTTTTGTGGTTAAAACTTTTGCATTATTTATTGTATCTTTTATTTTTTATTAAGCCTTGTATAAAAATCTGTCTTTATGGGCTTTCTCTTGATTTACATATATATATATTTGACTCTTTTTCTTACGAGAGATGGCCGAATGTTTATATAAATTTGTTTTAATATATAGTGGAGATTTTCAGAAATATAAGTTGTGAAATTTAAAATGTAACCAGGATAAAAATGGATCATTTTTCGGGTTTCTCCGAGGTATAAACAGATACAAGGCTACAACATACACATGGACACCAGACCCAACGACGACAGTCCAATTGTAGACTGGCTCCAGTTTCTCGGATTGGTCATACCCTCCCAAGTTACTCGGAGTTGGTTGTACTTTACAACGAGTGCATCAACCACGTTCTTGGTGTTGCTACCGTTGGCGATCCTTCAATACAACCACTACTACAACACGCTTATTCCCAACTCATCCTCGCCGGTGATTCCATTAAACTTCACAACGAATAGAACCAACTATCTCAGTAACTATATCGTGCCCCGATTCCCCGATTTCGAATTTGATTCTGAATTAACCTACATTTTCAACATTGATTTGGAATTGCTCTGTCCCGATCATAATCCCGAGAACACCCTCCATAAAATATATTACCAATTGAATGATAACGCCGGCGTATTTCATCAGGGTAGCTTCATATTGGATTGCAACCCCCAGCTAATTTATTCCGTTCATAACATTTACGTACCCTACGCTTTGCAATCGTGGGTGTCTCCCATTTTCCTGTCCCAGGCGCGAAATCATCCTGTGACATTGCAGACTTATGAACTACGAGGAAGAGAACTTGCGCTGATTCCTCAATTCACGATGAAACTCGATAACAACAGGCAGTACCTCATTGATGATAATGAATCACAGCTTAGATTCGATGTCAAGTGGACTGGGTTCAGGTATTACTTGGTCAAGTATTACTATAGCTGTTTTGCTGTGGGAACATTTATTTTCTTTAGTATAAGTTCGGGAGTTTCGGTCTTGGTTAGTTATGCATTGTTGTTATACAACGCTAAGCAGAGTTAGTCTGTAGTTTATAGCTTAGATATTTAATTATGACACTGACATACGAGCTTCTGTCTCTGTTTATTTTCTAATGACACTCACCTCGCATAGAGAAGGACTAAGTACAATGACACTACAGAAACTATAACCCCAAATAATATATATATATATATATATATGCACGTATAAATGTCTAAATAAAGTATGCACTAACTAGCATTCAATAACTTCAATTCATTAGAAGAGTCAATGGACAAGAATGGAATAATCTTCTTGAAATAAACAAACTCATTTAATTCATTCTGGTTGAAATACTCCATATTGAATGAATCAACTTCAATTCTTGCATTCAAGAACCGTCTAAACTCCTCTATAATCATATTCAATTCATTAAGAGATTTCCCTAAATTGACCATATTTATTAATGATCTATCAAACACGACCTCATCTTCACTGACATCAGTTTCATAATTTTCAAAGAAAAGTGAATCTTCTTCATTGATGTAGAAATTGCTACTAAATGATTCCGAATTGATAAATATGGAAATGAATGGTAATTGCGGTGGCATAGGAAAGTAACTAATTTGCGGTGGTTGACATGGTGCTCCATTCAAAACTATCCCCGAGGCAACCAAGGCATTCTTTTGTTGAATCAAGTTATACTTTTCATTTAGCGATTCATGGTCAACAACAATATCAAATTTATAAATTGGTCTCACGATATCCGGTGGTAATCTCGACAATTCCGGTGGTGGAATATTATAAGATTGTAAAAGCTGTTGCTGTTGTTGTTGAAGTAATTTGCCAAGACTGGCGGTTTTGATAGTATCAATTGAAGTGAGCGACTCCGAATCAGACTGGATTGAAGATGATGTTGAGTCAGTCACCGTGGTTGTTGATTTATACGAAGACATGCTTGGACTGGATGATCTTGACTTCAACGATGAATAAGTTGAAGACAATGAAGTTAGTGATACTGAATTTCTTCTCATTTGAGGTGGAGAAAATGATAATTTTCGTTTAGAATCAGGAGTGGTTGAATCAAAAGTACCATTTTCTTGTATATCATTCAATTGATTGGAATTGTTATCATCAACGGAAAGCATTCTCAACAACTTTCCAAGCGAACTAACAATGGGATTGCTACTACTTTTGGGTCTAGAAGTAATCGAACTTAATGAACCAGCTGAAGATGACCTAGGAACTTCTGGCGGAACGCTTGATGAACAGGTATATATCGCTTCATCAAACACTTCATATGGATGGGTTTTTTTCAATTCAGACGATTTCAAAGTTGCCGGTGGTAAGAAATCTGGGGAAGATTCTTCATTAATTGACAAATAGTCATCGCGAACATTTATAGGTAAAATACCAAATCTTCTATTAACCAAGGGATTGTCGGATTTATAATTCATTTCAAATTTTCCATTATTGGCATTTGTAAACTCATGCAAAACATCAAATGCTTGGTTCAACTTCATTTGCACTTGTCTCGTAACACGAATCATGGTTGATGATTGATAATTATTCACACCGATAATTCTCCACACTAATAAGCGAATATAGTATGAACGAATGACTGGGTTCCAATGACAAAAGAATCGCTGAAACATTTCCAGACCCGTTAAAAAGTTGATGAAATTGACCTTGAATGATTCTTCAAGATTTGTTAACCATTTATATGGTTCCTCAGTTTGACTTATGGATACTTTGCCATCACCCAATTTAACCAATTGTGATAAGGTCTCGGGAATCATATCCCAGATATTAAATAAAAATGCAAAATTCTTGAGAATTATTTGAACATGATCGGAATGTTTAATCATCATATAATTACACCCAAGCCAAAATTCCCAATTGATTAAATAACTGACTTCATTGGTGGGATTATTATTTACGATATGATTTATGAACTCATTCGCAATACTCATAATTAATCCATTCTTGTTAAAATCATAAACCGATGTTTCTTTAGCCATAGAAATTAAGCACAAATCAATCATCCTTACCAATGATGCAGTTGCACCATCAATAGATTTCTCATTTAAAGTAGCACAATAAGCTATATCACGAATAGTTTTGAAAATTTTAATAAATGAATTATAATAAATGTCACTTTGTTTCATGTTGATATTGAACGAAACTGGTGGTGGTAAAGGTGGTAAAATCTTATCACTAGTTCCTCTCAATTGTTGTTTTGGAGAAAGATTTGTGGTTTGAGCATGAATAGGTCCCTTGGTTGGATTAGGATAATTATTGGAAATTCTCGCCACGGCAACTTGAAGTATTTGAAACACATGGGTGATGATAACGGTAAATCCAGGACAGCTAATCAAGTCAACATTCTTGTCCTCCTCTTCCATGAGCTTTTGAATGATATCTATGTAATGACGAAAAAACGAATTAAATACATTTGAATCAGAACAACACCAGCGTCTAACCCAATCTCCATTAGGATCTTTGATACCTTTTACTGGGTGCTTAGGAGTGGGCATGCAATTCATACATGATTTCTGCCCTTTTGTAACCAAACCTGTTGATATACCATTATAATTTAGTATTGAATGCAAATGTTGCGCAAATAAGGATTTATCTATACTTGTGCGCTCAAATCCGGTTAGCCTCTTCATGCATGTTTCAAACGTGATTTGCTTGACATTTAATAAAAACAATAATGCATTGGATACATTTGGTAATTTGAAAAAACTGTAAGCAAATACTTTTCCAATAAATGCAGAAAATGAAGCCGATAATGTTTTAAATGTCGACATTTTGTCTATGCAGTAATCAAGGGTACGAATAAGCAAGGCGTTGTAATCGTTAGTGTCATCTTGATAATATTTCCATTCTTCTCGAGATATAATCCGAGAAATACATTCTAAATATGCATTTCTATCCGAAGCAGAGATATTTGAATAATGGATCGTCTCCACATGAGCTGAAGTGGATGCTGTTGAACCTGAGGGTGACATTGTTGTAGAACGCATACTTCCAGTACTTCCGCTCCTACTCATTGAACTAGGACTAGTAGCTGATGCCGAGGGAGTCAAAACTAGGTTCCCGATCAAAGAGTTCCACCATTTGATCAATATAGACACGATTACACTAGTTAAACTGATGTAAATTGGTGAATCTTTACTGAAATATTCATTCAACTGATTGGCAGTTCTTAAAAATGGTAATAACGAGGTACGTAATATGTTTCCCTTTAATATTACTCCATTGTTGTTGTGATTGAATTTTCTTGAATTAAACTTATGCAATTCCACTTCTAACTTTTTAAATTGTTTCAATAACGATTTAATGAGCTTGTCGGTATCAGGAGAACTTATTGAATTTGCCGAGTTGGATCTTGTTACTGTAGGTGTGGTGGTGTTAGCTACGGCAGCGGCAGCTGCAGCAGCGGATGCTGCATCTAATCTAAAACTTGCATTGGAAGGCGACGAATAGTACCTGGGAGTAGTATCTTGTGCCGACTGTATAGTCAGCGGAGTTGTAGGTGCAGCTTTAATATTCGAAAATCCAATGTCGGATGCCCTTAGAGACTTTGTCCTACTTCTTGTTGGTTTTATAAGAAGTATGGCCATAGTACCTTATTCAATATCCTCAAATTCCAGAAAGAACACCCTTGCGCTTGACGGAGTAGTAGACGATTTGTTGTGAATGGAAAGACAAGCGATTGAGTTGAAATTGGCTGTGCTAGTAGTTAGGCGAGAAAACAAACGTAACAAATTGACAACGAGTAAACAAAATATCGAATGAATATGCAATGTACTGTTGTTATAATAACAAGGCAACAAGACACATGAAAGTTGAAAGATTTCAATGAATGGTTTTGATTAAGATTGTGTGCGCGAATCGTGGTTTAAAATATCAATTTCAAACGAACGTGTAAGCTGGTGTAATGACTGGGAATGTGTCAACTAAGGGATTATGTAAGATCCACAGATGAGATTTTCACAAAGACAATAGGCCAGATCAAAAATGATGTAACTGGAATTAGTACGGTTGGGACTAGGCACTAATATATGTGTCAAAATAACCTGAATTGAACGTGGTAGTTAGACAATAATAGCCCTTGTGAAAATGTTTGTGGTTGTAAAAAAAAAAACAGAGCGACTATTGTGTGTTTCTTTTTGCTGGTTCTAAATAAAATTATTTTTTGCGGTTGTTCCCGTGTGTGCCTTTTTTTATTTAGTGGCTTACGGTAATCTGTTTTTGCATTTGGGTTTTTTTTATTTATTTTTTCTTCGTGCTTCTTAAATTTTCGACAAGGGGAGGGGGCGGCGGCAATCTATTTTTAACTCCTTCGCTTTTCTTCTAAGTTAACAAATTAAGCATTTAGAATCACCCTGACACTTTGAGTTATACGGAATAACCATAATGTAAAATATAATCAAACTTATTGTCAGAACAATATGACATTCACTCCGCAGAAATCTAGACGTTGCTCTTGGAGGTTTAGCTATCTATTTGTTTACTAATTTCAATCCAGAGCAATTTTTTTTTTTTGCAACTGAAAAAATTTCCTGAAATTAAGGGAGACCAGAACAATCTCCATTGTTATTTGCTTACTTAAACGGGATTACCATTGTCTATTTTGGGAATGAAGTCATCACAACCATAATTATTATCGGTTTATGCATGATTGACGAATCTTCCTTCTGATTACTTGCTCGATCCTCACTGATTGTGTCAATGATCATAACCATATATAATTCTGGTTATAATCTCTGTGCCGAGAAAATTTCATTTCCTAGATAAGTATTACCCGCCATTTCTCATCCCTTAATAATAAAGCTCATAACACAAGGAAAAATTGTAGTGTACGTCATCCCACATTGCAGTCCACACGAAGTGGCAATTGTGGAATCCTACCACGATTGGTTAAATCAGATTTTTCTTAGCAGTGTCCAGTCAAACCTACCTACTTGTTTCATAACCTCTACATCACTTACCCCCTCTTATCTCTTTAGATGTGTCATGCATCTCCGTAACCTCCTCCGTGTAGTGAAGAAGAATTAGAAAATAATGGATTATTACAAGATAATATTTTTGCAATCGTCTAGTGATTAAAAAAATAGAAGAAATTCCCCAAACAAAAAAAGAAAAACAAATTAATTTCTGCAGGGAGTGGTATAATTGCGACGCACACATACGGATCTTAACTTTAGTTAATTTCCATATATGAGATATCGATTATACTCATATCTGATACTCGAGCCAAATCTAGTCATTTAATCTATTCAGCAACTTTATGCAAACCTTGTAAATATTTTTTTTGAACCCCCCGACAAGAAAACTCTCATCCCCCATGTTCGTCAATTGTTCTCAAGATTTTTGAAAGGGGGGCGCAAGTTTAACCATTGCATAAACTGCATATACAATTTCAAATTCTGAAACTGGGGCTATTCCACCGAGATCAGCCGCATTTTCAGAAGCCTGAGTGATGATCATCTGATCTGTCTGACATATTTTCTTTGATTGTTGCAACTTGCTCCTTATTACACCCCTCTCTCACCACTCCTTTCGTAACTTGATTTCAAGGAGGTTGCAAAAAAATAAAACCTGGAACAGATCAATGAAGTGGGTTAATACAGCCAAGTCTCAACTTGATCGCAAGCATTGGCTATAAATTGAGCTACTTATCCCGAATCTGATTTTATTGAATTACGTCATGGTCTTTTCACTTCGTAACTAACTTCTAGTCAACCCAACCTATAACTTTAAAATTACGAACGCTTATCTCACAAATGTAAAACTTAATTTTTAGTATATGGAATTCATATATGCTTAATTCTATTGATGGAATATTAGGTTCAACTGTAAATATGGTTCATTTTGTCATTAAAAATCTTTTTGTTTATCAAGAGGTTCAACCCTATACTCATAATCACAGCTGGTGCTTACCATTTGTTTTCTCGGAAATATCCATATTTAGTTCAGACTCTACATCAGTTATTTGTTACATTGCATACAATTCTAATATATTAAATTCAAGGTTTCTACATACTATTAATTAACTATAAATAAAAACGATCCTATAAAAGGTTTATGAGGGTATTTATCCTTGATGTTCATGGTGTTCACCATTTTGTTCAGTTGACTCAGACTTCAGGTGCTCCTTTTGACTTTTAAGTTCTTCTTCAACTTTGATCAATTGGTCAGCCTTTTGTTTAACTTCATCTTCTAACTTATTAACATGTTCGGACTTTTCAGTAAGGGCTTCTTCAAGTTTCTTCAATTCTTCTTCTTTGTTTTTAAATTCTTCACCTACTTTATTCAATTCACTTTCAGCGGTAGCTAATTTATCCGACTTTTCTTTAAGTTCGTCTTGTAATTGTTGCAACTTTTCTTCTTTATTCTTCAACTCCGCTAATTTTCCATCCTTGCTCTTGGCTTCTTCAACTGCAGCATCCAATTCAGTTTGCTTACTCTTGAGTTCTTCTTGTACCTTAGCCAACTCTTCACTCTTGCTATTGATTTCATCTTGTTTTTCCTTTAACTCACTCTTTAACTTTTCAAATTCTTGCTGTTGGGCACTAATTTCATCTTGAGCACTCTTGGCTGCTTCCTTTTCACTACTAACTTGTTGCTCTAATCCAGTCAACTTTTCCTTTATGGTATTCAATTCTTCATTGGATGAATATAACTTGGTATTTAATTCGTCAAGACTCTTTTGCTTTTCAGCGATTGTATCATCTTTCTTTTTGAACTCAGCAACATTGTCTTCAGTAGCTTTCTTCAAGTGATCTCTTTCCTGTCTTAATGCTTCGTGGTTTTCACTTAATTCAGAAATTTCTTTGTTTAACTTGTCAAGAGCGATATTCTTCTCTTCTACTTCCAGTGCAAGCTTAGTCTTTTCGCTTTTCAACAGGTCAAGTTCAGATTGTAAAGATTCTTTACTTTCAATGACTTTTTGAACAGATTTTGACTTATCGGCTAAATCTTGGACTAAATTATCCTTCTCTTTGGTCAAATCTTCAATGGTTTGTTTGTGTTCAGAAACGGCTTGCTCATGCTTGGAAGTTAATTCCTTCTTGGAATTTTCATGCTCAGATTCAATTTCTCCGAGCTTACCTTCCAAATCAGTGATCTTTGATTTGTGGTCGTTAAGTTGTGGTTCTAATTCAGAAATCTTATCATGTAATTCTTTAGTCTTGGACTCATGGATCTCTTTAGGTATGGAGTTTTCAACCTTTGAAGATAATTCTTCGACTTGCCTAGAAGAAGCAGTTAATTTGTCTTGAGCTTCGTTGTGCTTTTCTTTTAATTCAGAAAGCTCGTTTTGTAATGATTCAATTGCTTTGGCCCTTTCTTCAAGCTCAGATTTAGTATTAGCATGCTCGGTGGCTTGAACAATAATTACTTTATTTCTGGACTCAATTTGTTCTCGGAGGTATTCGAAATAAATGCGTAATTTTTCAAAAGTGGCTGAGATTTTGACAGAATTAGCACCAAGTTCTTTGGCATTAAGCGATTCCTCTGGTTCTTCTGGAGAATAAGGAGCATTTGGAGTTTGTACACCAGTTTCCAAAGCGGATTCTGGGAGTGGGAACTGGTTTTTCTTTAACTCGGTAAAAAATGTTTCGAAATCAAAAAAAGCTTGATCAAAAACTTGAACCTTGCTAGATAAATCTTCAATTTCTTTGGTTTTTTCATCAACAGTTTGATTTAAATTGGTGGATTTTTCGACTTCTTCACCAAGCTTTAATTTTGTGGTACCCAACTCTTGGGTTAATTCTTGTTGAGTTTTTTCCAATTCGACATTATGTTCTTCAAATTTGACAATGACTTCTTGAGAGTTTGCCAATTCTTCCTTGACATCCTCCAAAGTAACACCTTGCTCTGCATATTGAGCTTCTAAAAGGTATAACCGTTCTTCGGTATCAACGTTCTTTTCTTCAAGAGACTTGATCTTTTCTTGATTTTGTTTAGATTCATCAGTTGACTTGGTAACCAATTCAGTGTACTGTTTAACTTTGTCGTCATATTTGGCATTGGATGCTTCAAGTTCCTTCTTGATTTCAAAGATACTAGCTCTGGTCTTGTCTTCCAAATCGTTGTATGCTCTTCTTTGATCTTCGAGTTCCGTATTGACTTTAGCTAAATCATTTTTCAATTGGGTAATTTCCAAATCTTTGGCAACAATTAATTTTTCAATTTCAGTATTCAACTTAAATTCATATTGTTTTTCCAAATCTGACTTTTGTTTTTCCAAAGCAACTACTTGCTTGTTTAAGTCACTCACTTCAGCCTCATACTTTGTGATTTTAGTCAACTGATCCTTTGTTTTGGAATGCAAGGATTTTTCAGATTCAGTCAATTTCTTGGTAAGTTGATTCAACTCAGTAATTTTCTTTTCTAAATTGCTGATATCTTGTTTGTAGGAACTTACAGTCTTGGAATGATTCAACTTAGTGTCCTTACTTAATTGATCCAATTCTTTTGTCTTTGAATCCAAATCAGCCTTGACACTAACCAATTGTGATTCAAGTTTATTCTTGAGATCAGTCAATTCTTTGGTCTTTGTTTGATACAATTGAATTGAGATAGCGGTGGAAATCACCCCACCGGCAGCAAGGATAGTACTAACTGACATGTTGATTCCTGATGGATTAAGCAATTTGAAACAGACTAGTGAAAAAAAGGGTAGCTAACTCGTGGCCTTTTAAAGTGTGTGTGAAAGGAGACAAAAAAAAATAATGTGGTTGTAAAAAAAAAAACTAACACATTTTTTTCATTAACTGTGTGTTGTTCTGTTTGACTGCCGCGTACTTCGCTTCCCCTCTGGCTGTTGTCCTGTTCCTGATTTAGTGCGACTTTTTTCTTTTGTTTTCTATTTCGTTTTAGTTTTAGTGTTTAGACTCTACGGCAGCTGCGGGTGCATGTGTGTGGTGTAACAATGTCAACGTCTGCGTTTCTTGGTTTGTGTGATCTTCTACTATGCGATATTCTGATTTGATTTGATTTGATTGGGTTGTCTGTTTGTATTGGTTGGCCTCAGGTTTGGAGCTTTTCATTATCGGATCAATGCGGAGATTGCAGTCCGTAGATTTCCTCGTTAAATCTCGTATGACCGAAAAAAAATTCCCGACAATAAAAGTTTTCACCGATAAAGGAAATTGCTAGAAGTCAAAAACCGACAATCAGCCAAAGCCAAAAAAAAAAAGAATCTGATTGTTTTTTTTCTATTTAGATAACTTGCAACAAACTAGTTTATGTACTATCAGTTACTGATATAGCTAGATATAACCTTCCTAATTCAAAAGTATACTTTGCGATGAGCACCCAAATGGATATCACCCCTTCCCAATCGAGATCTAGATCAAAATCAAGAACTAGAAACGCAACTAGGTCTAGATCAAACAGTACCAATAGAAGAACTCTTCACCCTAGATCGTTATCCAGTTCTTCTTTAACCAAACTAGTTATAACCAACACTGAAATCGAGGGTGGCGAACGTTCCATCCCTTCCGTAGAAGCCAATTTAGACAACTCCTTGCCATTGGATTTTTTCAAACAAGATATCTTGGCAATCATCAAGACGTTAAAGATTCATAAATGGCATAAACGTCAATTATCAATCGCAAACTTGACCGTTACGAGAATTTCCGGTGCGTTAACTAATTCTATTTACAAGTTGGAATATAAAGACGACACACACAACTTGCCATCGTTGTTATTAAGAGTCTATGGTAAAAACGTTGATGAATTGATTGACAGAAACCGTGAACTAGAAACCTTGGTCAAGTTATCTCAAAAAAGAATTGGTCCTAGATTGTTGGGTATTTTCACCAATGGTAGATTTGAACAATTCTTAGACGGGTTCAACACCTTGAACAAAGAAAGCATCCGTGATGAAGTTATTTCACAAATGTTGGGTAGAAGAATGAAAGATTTGCATTACAAGATCGAATTGGATGACAAGGACCTCGGACCTATGCCCGCCTGTTGGAACTTGATTGAAAAGTGGTTGAAGATTTTTGAAAATGATTATTTGCCGGGATATGCTGCTGCCAACAAGGACGTACAAGATATCTTCTGGGTGGACTTCCAATCTTTTAAGCAAATTGTTCTGAAGTACAAGTCGTGGTTATTCGAAAAGTATGAACAAACTGACTTTTCTTCCAATTATAAATTCTGCCACAACGACACTCAATATGGTAATTTGTTATTGCATGAGTCTTTCAACAAAGATGACATCATTATGAGCACCCCATTATCTTCCGCTGCAACCTCCTTGTCGTCATTTGAAGAGACTGCGGCAAAGTCTACTTCCAACAAGAAAGATTCAAGTTTGGTTGTGATTGATTTTGAATATTCGGCAGCAAACTTCCCAGCATTTGACATTGTCAACCATTTCTCAGAATGGATGAGTGATTATTACCATGAAGAAAAACCTTATTACATTTTCAACGAAAACTATCCAACCAGAGCTGAACAAATAAACTTGATTAGATCATACGTTGAGTATGATTTCCAATTCCCAAGTTCCAGTCTCAAAACCAGCAAGACAATTGAACAATTAATTAATGAACCTTCATCTAATCTTTTACAATTTGAAGTTGAGAAAATGTACAATGAGTGTATTTTATGGAGAGCTTCTGTTCAAATTTACTGGTGCCTTTGGGGGTTAATCCAAAACGGACCAATCAAGCCAGTGACTACTGGTAAATCGGAGGAAAAAGGTATCGATTCTACTTATAGCATTACTACCGATATGGAAAATCTTACAGTTGAAGAAGCCAGTGAAGAAGAATCGATTGCTTCCAGTGATGATGAATTTGATTATTTGAAGTATGCAAATCAAAAGGTTGCTTTGGTCATGGGAGATTTAATCCAATTTGGTTTACTTCAAAAGAGTGAAATCCCTGATGCTCATTGGAATGAAATTAAGTACCTTGACACTGCAGCCTTTAACTTATAGAAATAGAGATTATCTTATACATAGAAATTATAAATATTAAACAGTTTAGTGGCTCTTTATAGTAGTTCTCTGAAGTTTACTGCTTTAATCACTATCATTTGATAGTTGTCGTTGTTGTTGTCGTTATTTGAGTTGTGTTGTTCCTGCATACAATCGTGGGGAAGATCTTATCTCAATTTTTTGACTCCCACCAAATGTCCCTCGGGACATTTTAGGTTTTCCAATTAAAGTTGAACCTAAACATACCCCACAAAACTGGTACATAGTAACTAATCATGTTATCATTCAGAACTCAGGGTTATAATGGATACGGAGTACAATACTCACCATACTTTGATAACAAAATTGCCGTGGCCACGGCAGCAAACTATGGATTGGTCGGGAATGGACGATTATTCATCTTGAACATAAATCCCCAGGGCATAATTGGTGAGCAAATCTCATGGGAAACTCAAGATGGGTTATTTGATTTAGCATGGAGTGAAATACACGAAAACCAAGTTGTTGCCGCTAGTGGTGACGGTTCAATTAAGCTTTTTGATATAACCGTAGGGCAATTCCCCATTATGAATTGGAAAGAACATCAACGTGAAGTTTTCTCAGTCAGATGGAATCTCGTGGATAAGGCCAACTTTGTCAGTTCAAGTTGGGATGGTACTATGAAAATCTGGAGTCCACAACGACAAGAGTCACTTCTTACTTTATCAGCTCCTACATCGGATAATAAAGTAGCGCCAGTTGGAACGGCCAAACCCCAATTATCACACCAACCCCAGCATCAACAACAACAAATCAACACCGCCAACTGTATTTACTCTGCATCGTTCTCACCCCATTCTCCATCACAAATCATAAGTTGTAACGGATCATCGCAAATTCAAATGTGGGATATCCGAGCTCCCAAACCATTGCAATTACAATATGTGGCCCACCGAGGATTAGAGACATTGTCTTGTGACTGGAACAAGTATAAATCTACTGTGATTGCATCTGCCGGCACTGACAAGTCAGTACGTATTTGGGACTTGAGAATGATCTCCAAATTGGACCAACCTTATTCTCCAATATCAAACACACATATTAGAGGTCCCACTCCATTGAATGAATTGCTCGGACATCAGTTTGCGGTAAGAAGAGTACAATGGTCTCCCCATGATTCCAAGGAATTGGTATCTACGTCGTACGACATGACAGCAAGAATATGGCGAGATGAGTCCGACGAAAGGGCAAGATTCTTAAACACTAAACAAGGGGGTATGACTGGGGTGTTTGGACATCATAAAGAATTTGTCATTGGTTGCGATTATAGTTTATGGGGTGAACCTGGTTGGGTGGCCACTACTGGTTGGGACGAAATGGTTTATGTATGGGATTCTAAACGTTTATAGATAACAGATGTGTTCTCGCTCTCTTGAAATTTACCCTGGTATAATCAGCAACAATTATAAGTCGACACTTTGTCGAATGCAAACTACTATAATCAGTAATAAATATTGGCTAATCCAAGACTTTGTAAAAATTAGGGATAGTTTAAGATTATACAATAAAAATTATATAAAATTGTGTGTTGATTGGAGGAGCTTATGCCTATATGAAAAAGTATATAAACTAGCTTGTGTCTCCTTGCTACTCCAAAGTCGGGTATCCCTAAGTTATACATTCAAATTGAATTTGAGCTAAATCACAAAAACATATATATATATATAGCATTTACTGTGGGGGTGGGTTTGTGTAGTAATATTTTATCAGAATCTAATTTATTACATTCAGTGTAATTGCGTATTACATAAAACTCAACAGGTTTAATTGCTTGATAAAACAATGTTCTCGCCAGTAGCAAAACTTGGATCATACTATCCATATCTGTCATCTAAACATAGATTATGACAATTATTGGTTGTTAGACATACTTCTACTAAAATATTTACACCTCTTCCCTGGTGATGTCCTAATTCAAATCTTTGACTTGCTCAGACTCCGTATCTTGTTTAAATTTTTTAAATATTTCCCTGGTGAACATGTGTATATAATCTGCTTTTCCGCTATTATTACTCCTAAGCAATTAGTTATTGTGACTAAGGAATTCTGGGGGGAGCGAGACAGTTATTGGAAGTTTATCGTGATGTTGGTGACATAGAAGTCCCCTTAAGCTCTTGTAAGCTTTGCCCAATGGATATCAAATATTTATTATTGGTAGATAATTTGACAAGGTTGAAATTATCAGAAATTCCTGGTTATAGTATAATACTAGAATTGAGTTTCATTTAAAAGTTCTGTAAACTCCCTAAACTTAACAGTTTTCAAGTTAGAGGGTGACGATTTAGAGACGATTAAAACAGATTATTTACCATCAACTTTGTATAAATCAAAGCTAGGAAAAACTGAAATCTGCAGGATTCTGGGAAAAACATGGCTAATGAATCTAGATGAATTGTGGCTAAACCATGATAGAGAATTAGAAGTAATTAACTGCACCATGGGATGGCCGAAACGATTGTCTAAGCTAGTTTTACTATTCAATCGATAAACTGTCAAACTTTCCGAAGCGTCTACAAGATTTAGATATATCAATTAATGGATCGGTTGATTTGGATGCTTGGGTTAAACCTCTTAGCCTTGTTAGGTTGTCTTTACGTAAACCTCAAATGGATGATTACGATCCATATTTTATAGCGGAACTAAACTTTTGCTTCCATAATAAGAACTGTTGATCTTATACGTTGATTTATATACTCGATGTAAAAAAAAACTATCATTCTTACTTGTACATATAAATAGATTCTCGTATTAGAACTTTTCGCTGACACACAACAGCACACATTTTTTGAAATTCCTAACCGCACATAAGCGGAATCATCCCAACCTTACAAATTTAACACCAAATTATGAATCTCTAGCAACTTTTTTTTGATCCCTAATTTGTAATTTTCCGGATGAATCCTTATTCTGATCTTTAGTTTCCTGACACTTGAGCACTTAAACTTCTCTGGTTCTCATATCCAAAATTAAATTGAATTGAATATCACAATAGAATTTTTCTATGTTGAAGGATATATTAAGAACTGTAGTAAAATGATACTAACTTCTTGTTTCGTGTGTTACTTCTGTTCTCACATCACAATAAACAGTTCAATCAAAGTTGCAAATTTGGTATTGTAAATTTATTGTTGTGTGCCTGCATATAACCATGTAATGATAAGGTTGTATGTTCCTGTATGTAACAAAAAATATGTCAATGTTTATACCCCGTCCCAATTAGGAAATTCTGTTTCCCCATCTCCTTTGGTTCTTTTATAATGCCAAACATGAATTACCCAATTAGTCCAAGCCCAATATAGACAGTTTGTGTACACAGAATCTTTCTATAAAAAGAATGCAAAATTCTTTCTCCATGTTTCATCTCTTGGAATACAACACTAGCCAAACATCATGTCAACTTCCGTCATTTTCAATTTAGAATATTCATTCGTGATAGACCCCAAGTATTCTAATCCAAACATTCTCACATATTATGAAACCAATAACGGATTATGGAAAAGATATCAATCAGACACGGGGTCATACTTGATTATAGACAATTTAAACATCCTCCATCAAGTATCCAATCAAATCAACTTGCTCCAACAGAAACTATCCACAAAATCTAATTATATCCGTATAATAGATCCATCTGTCACTAACCAGTTTATTTCTGTGTGCTGTCATGGAGATGAGGATTTTGTCACTGTATCCCGCCAGAAGTTGTTATCAAGCTATACCAAAATCAACCAAAAGTCATTGTATTTACATGAACAAGAATTTTTATCAATTAATGAAAAGTTCACTAGAGAATTGAATACGCTATGTGATCGCTACCATGTTGAGGTCATAATCAACAATGATATGACTGGTGCGAGTGCTCCAGGGTATGCCATACACATCTTAGGTGATGAGGATGATATAATCAATTGTACTACTTCTTTACGGGTTCTTGTTGACAGGTTGTTGAATAGTTATATGGTTGATATGATACCAGTTAACTCATCTATAATACCAATTATTGGTGGTGTGGATTTAGTTAATTTCACTCAAATTACCCAGCAAACACAAGCTAATATCTATATACCTAATCTATTAACCCAATCCGATACCACTAAGCAAAGAATTTACATTACTGCTAAACATGCCAGTGAAATAATACTTGCAAAACATATTATAAACAAATTGCTCGAAAGTAATGTTCAGTTGGTAGCTCAAGAGATTTCCATTAGCAAGGCCAAGCTCGACTTGTTGAACTTATTTAACCAGCAAAGTATATTCAAGCTCATGCTTAAGTATGGGGTTTTCATTCAATTGGCCAGCTTAAGTGAAGATGACAATTACACTGTAACTATTCGAGGCTCACTTGTAGAGTCAATCAATGAATGTATTAATGATATCAACTCAATCACTGAACAATACTACTATGTTGAAGCTAGTTCGGTTGAAATGTCGGAATATGACCTTGTACAAATGTCACAAAATCAAAAATCCTGTATTATTACTGCTAATGGAAATGGTATTGGAGTTTTTGGTACCAACAAAGAGATTGTGTCTGTTATGGAGACAATGTCGTCTTATACAAAGGTTCAATTACAAATTGAATTAAGCAATCAACATAAAGATTTCATAAGTGGGAAAAAGAATGGAAAGCTAATTAAGATCCTCAACCAACTAAACCAACTTCCAGTTATAAAATTCGGTAACTATAATGAATACAGCTTCCTCATCGATGTGGAAATCTTTGAAGGAACTGATATTTCTGTGTTGATTAAAGCGCTCGAATTAATTGAATTGGAATTACCTGCTGAGCTCAGGTTTAATATCCCTCAAGTTTTCCATAAATCAATCATAGGAAATGGTGGTTCAATAATTCAATCTATAATGAAGAAATATAATGTATTTATCAAGTTTTCATTTGCCAGTGTCAACACTAACAATTATTCACTTACTCGTGGTAGTAATGTTTTGATTAAATGTCCAAGAAAGAATGCCAAGAATATTGAGCTTGTTAAGATTGAACTTGATAACCTAGTTAGCCAATGTTGTATGAATAATCAACCAAACAGAGCAACAATTTACCAAAGTGTGACATTTCAATTATTGAAACAGCATTATCTTTTGTTAATAAACAATGGTAAATTGCAACAGCTTAGTCAAATCGAAAATGAACACAACTGTTACGTTGAGTTCCCCAATTCATTAAATCAATTTCAAAGTAATGCAATGACAGTTAGTGTGAGGGGTTCAGAAAGCAAAATCAGACATTGTTTTACTCAATTCAAATCGCTTTTGCCAAATAATTACGAGTTTAAATTAACATTGAATCCAGAATTATTCCGAGAGACTTTTGTTAGTAATAACCAGGAATTCGAAGAAAAAGTAATAATTCCTTTTAAGATCTTACTTGGAATTGAACTTTCCGTTAATAAATCCTATGTACTGGAGTTACAGCATCATCATCAAATAATATTATCCTATTATAATGCTAATTCCTTGCAAGCTGCAATCCATTCACTCACACTGTACTTGACGGAAAAAGGATTCATCATTTCAGAAAAGCAAGAGGTGAATATTGATTTGTTGATTCAACCAGAGCATCATCTGCCTTTGCAATCAAATGTGGTGCTTAGGCCAATTACAAATTCGTACGTGTTGAAGATGTCACCTACCAGAGAAAAAAAGCAAATTTTGCAGCAACAACAACACTATGCAACCCTGCCGATTAAAAGTCCGAAGAAAACCTTAAACCTTAACCGGGCAGCCTATGCGTAGAAAATATTCAAATGAATCAAGAGACATTTCTATTGCATTTTACATTGAAAAATTGATTCAATTCAATTGTTATTGACGAATTTTACATCCTCGGTTGAAATTGGGGATTTCATTATTTTTTGGCCCTCAGAAAATAATTTTTCCATTTTGTATTATATTTTATTTCTTTTTTTAATGTAAACTAAATTGTTTATGGTTGAGCATGTACGAGTTGTAGATTCGCTAAGATCAATTGACAACGTTAAGGCAAGTAGAAGCATGATGTCACTTGTTCGGCCGAAGGTAGAGTCCGGTTGGTAGTTCGGAGTATGTTCTCCGTACTCACTATGCGTAAAATTCGATCAAATCAAAAATGCCCTAAAAAAATTGTGCCAAGAGAAAACTTTGGCCCCTATTTTGGAAGGAATTCAAAAGTTTTTCCAGGGGTTGTTCGGAATTATCGCAAATACAGCTACAACTACGTTAAAGTTCCGTGATAATTACACACGGAGCAGAACATTTAAATTAGTCTTCTGCGGAGAAAGTGGTGTTATTCCCAGAGAAACATAATTTAGCCCTGTCAAAAATTTCAAAGCCCAACGTTTCTAGAAAATACCCCCAACTCAGAAATTTGGATCTGTTTATTTTTTTTGTTGGATTCTGCGCCAGTACATTAGTCGGCAGCATTGCTCGCGTGTAGATTTTTTTTTTTTTTCCGCCTTGGGAAGAGACATTTTTCACTCTTTGGGGTAAGACTATAATATATATATATATATTTCGCCTTCTTTTCTATTCGTTCTTGTTTGTTTCTTCGTTTTCAACTTTGTTTATAGCTCGATGTTAGTTAAATTTGGTTTTCCTTCTGCGGATCAACTTAGGATTCCGTCCTTATCCACTGAAGTTCCTGATTCTCCGTTCCAAAATGAATTTCTCACCAAGATCTTTGATTTGTCCATGCATGTTACCACACCATTAACTATTGCTATAGTTTATTTTTCAACCGTACATTTCCTTAATCCGATCTTGAGATCCAGACAAATTTCCAAATATCTCAAGAAGAACCCCCAAGAAAAGGCTGAAAATTTGACTGAAAAGCAATTAAAGAGATTACCTTCTGCTCCATACTACATTGCCACTACTTCATTATTCAAATTATTCGTTATTTTACACAACTTGTTTTTGTGTGTTTACTCATTATGGACTTTCCTTGGCATGACCAAGACTATCGCCACCACCATGAATGTTTTAGCTGGCGATATCTTCCCAGCCATTGCTCAGATTGATTCGTTCAAGAAGGTTGATTTATTTTTCCAAACCATTTGTTCTCCAAACGAAGGTGTGTTTTCCAAGTTCATTACCAACAAGGGTCTTCACAACTTGGAATTCTTAGGTTGGTGGTTCTACATGTCGAAATTCTATGAAGTTTTAGACACCATAATTATTTTATTGAAAGGTAGACCTTCTTCCCTTTTACAGAGTTATCACCATGCCGGGGCCATGATGTGTATGTGGGCCGGGGTTAGATTCCAATCACCACCAATTTGGATCTTTGTTGTCTTCAACTCATTCATTCACACCTTGATGTATTTCTACTACACCTTGAGTTGTTTACACATCAGAGTTCCTATGATTTTCAAGAGAGTCTTGACTTCTTTACAAATTACTCAGTTTGTTGTTGGTGGAAGTCTTGGTGTTGTGCACTTGTTCATTTCCATTATTGATACCACCAGTACTGATCAATTAAGATGGGTTAATTGTATTGCTACTGCCGATCAAACCATGCCATTGCTTTTGAATGTGGCTTACTTGACTCCTTTGACCGCATTGTTTGCTGCTTTCTATATTGAAAGTTACTTAAAGAGAAAGTAAATGAAGTTTTTACCAATAATTAATAAAAGAACTTTAAGTTGTATTTAGAATAGTTTAATATACGTTATCTTTTTAGATTAAACTTTCCCAAAAGAGAAAACAGGGGGGGGGAGGGCGAGCAGTAAAATTGCTGGACGCAACCAATCCGTGCCCGGCACTATCGGAACGAACATCGTGGTGTGGTTTGTTTTTAGCAGCAATATTTGTAATTGGGTTTAGCAATTCAAGGCTTAAATGTGGGGGCTAGTAACGATCGCCCAGACAACGTTTATTTAAAGTGTACGTCTTGGCAGAGAATGGCTGCGAAAAAATTTTATAAGAGCCGATCATGCCGGGTTAGCTAATTTTTTGATCGTGGGGCAAACACATCGGAGTGTATTGTGTAATAAATGGCTTATCTATAGATAAGGTAAGAAGAATATTATTGACTTATCTGTTACAGTTTCATCGTGGTATTTTCAAGATATATTTTCAAAATTTGCTGAAATTTTTAACAAATAGTTACTAAATCCCACTTTCACAAGAACATAGGAGAAAGTTCTAATCTATTTAAGCTACCATCTTTGCACATGCTGTAGATTAATGTAACGCACCTTTGTAGTTTACTAGATAAGCATGTGGTCTATACTCGCGCCTCTAGAACAATTACGTCATTGTTTCTGATAGCAATTTTGCAGAATCTACACACGAAAAAAAAAAAATAAAGGGACCAACAAAAATAGCAACTTTTAGTTGCAAGTATTTCTTAAGCGAACCTAGCCTGTGATAATGCCTGAATATAAACCTGTCGATCAAAAGGTAGAGAATCCCTTTAGTGATGACACAGCAGATGATGTCGACACTATAGTTCCCAGCTCGTCGTCACTACTACCAAAACCAAACTATACCTCTCCAGAAGATCTCAACACACTAGCAGAATCAGACGACGAAGAAGAAGATGACGACTACGACGACCCAATCCGATATAAGCACAAAGAAAATTCCACTACTGATAAGCATGGTAATAGCTATAACCATATTGATTTTGATAATAAACGGTACACGTCGAAGCTTTCATTCAAAGGCAACAGATTAGTATATTTCACATCAGCTTTTGTGAGTTTATTCGTTAGTTTGTTCGGTTATGAACAAGGTGTATGTTCCGGAATCCTTGAGTTTGACACCTTTAACAAATATTTTAATGACCCAAGTGCTACTACTGTAGGTGTTGTTATATCCATTCTAGAAATAGGGGCAATGCTAAGTTCTTTACTCGTGGCAAGTATACTGGATAGGTTTGGACGAAAGAGAACAATATTGCTTGGTACATTTATATTTATTATAGGAGGATTGTTGCAAACATTTTGTGTCAACATATATATGTTTGGTGCAGGGAGAGTCCTTTCGGGAGTAGGCGTGGGGATATTATCAACCATAGTTCCATCCTATCAATGTGAGATCAGTCCTAGCGAAGATCGAGGGAAATTGGTATGTGGAGAATTCACGGGAAATATCATAGGGTACTCACTTTCAGTATGGGTTGATTATTTCTGCTTTTTCATTCAAGATATTGGTGATGCAAGAACCAATCCTCATTCATTCATGGCTCATTTAAGTTGGAGATTGCCATTATTCATGCAAGTTGGACTTGCTGTGGTACTATTCTGCGGTGGGTTTTTCATTGTTGAATCTCCCCGGTGGTTACTAGATAATGACATGGATCAACAAGGGTTCAACGTTCTCGCATTATTGTATGATTCTGATCCAACTATAACTAAACCCAAATCGGAATTTTTCATGATCAAGAATTCAATATTACAAGAAAGAATAACCAGCCCCAAATCAGAAAGAAGCTGGAAGAAATTGTTCACCAATCATTTGCTTCGAGTTGCAATTGCTTGTTCAGCCATGGGGTTTGCTCAATTAAACGGAATAAACATCATATCATACTATGCACCTATGGTTTTCAAAGAAGCTGGGTTCAATGACGCCAATGCAATTTTAATGACAGGTATAAACTCACTAATCTACCTCATGTCAACCATAGCTCCTTGGTTCTTGGTTGATAGGTGGGGGAGGAAACCTATCTTAATAAGCGGTGGTGCAGCAATGGGGATATGTCTTTATATGGTTGCATTGATCATGTACCTAAACGTATCTGCCACCCCATCATTAGTTGCTTTGCTAGTGATTATTTACAATGCTGGCTTTGGGTATAGTTGGGGACCCATTGGGTTCCTCATCCCACCAGAAGCATACCCACTTTCAGTTAGAGCTAAGGGAGTATCATTGGCAGTTTCCACAAATTGGTTATGTAATTTTGTGGTTGGGCTATTGGCACCCATTTTAAAACAGGATATTGGATGGAAGATGTATTTGTATCCAGCAACCCTGTGTATCATCAGTATATTTATCGTGTTGCTATTCTACCCTGAGACAAAAGGGGTTGAATTGGAAGATATGGATAAAGTGTTTACTGACTTTTACAAAGATACTACATTAGTCAGAGTTAGCAAAATGAGATTAAGAAAGAGAAGAATGAACAAGAATGATTATAACCAGAACTTCAACCAACCAAATTCCTTTGAGAACCGCGAAGGGTTGAATGAAATTGAATTGGAGGATATTAATGATTTGGATTATGAGCGGAGGCAGATGTTGTAACAATAGAGAGAGATATATATAGAGCATATAGATTAATGTCGTGTGATCAGAACTAAAAAATTTCACCTGTAAGAACGCGTGCAATTTCTTTTTGTCGGTGCGGTGCACCACCACAAAATTACAATTCTTTTATTTTTTTTTGTTCTCGGCCGAAGGTTTTGGATCTGTTGCAGGGCTGAAATTATACCAAAGGCCGAGCCATGTTCCATCTGGCATAGTTAATGGAATGATTCCTTGCTGGAGACTCGAATGGCTGAGGGCTTAGACATTTGAACCAGGAGTAATGTGTTGATTAGTAATTCATACCAATATGCAACTCCGCCAAAACCTTTTTTTTTTTTCCTACAGTGTGGGACCTTTTGTGTAAACCGGGCGGAAGTTGCATCCAGTAATAAATAGCGCGGACACAATGAATGACTTGTATTGTCTTATTGACTCATAGCTGAAATAAGAATGTGGTGGAAGTGTCTATCTATTGTTAGTTTAATGCGGAATCTGACACATTCTAACATATAAATGAGGAAAATAGTTGCGGTTAAAGGGGGTTACCAGTGCAGTAAGCACAAAACTACACACCAGTTTAGAGGGAGGAGGTTACAAAAAAATCTTGAGATATTTTTTTTTTTGGCGCTCCGTCACTCCGACTTGGTTGGGAGAATTGGATCAGCCAAGCAAAATTCCGCATCCACATGTGGGAGTGGAATTTGTAATCGAAAATTTTTCAAAGGGATGTAACGACAGTGAGACAACGCCTTAAATACAACGAGGCACTTTTTTTTTATAGTGCTTGGCTATGATGTAACTATCTTCGTCTCGGATACAAATACTCGTGGGGAGTCGTGGTGGTGCGAAAAATAAGCGTACGATGCGATGGGCCACGCAACAAATGGCAAAAATCCGCCCCCAAAAAAAAGAAAGTGCATGCTCCACCGTCAACCAAAGGCATAACCATATTTTCTTTTTTTTTCTTCTAAAAGCGCTGTACATTTCTCTTTCCATTGACTTTTCATTTAACTATAATTTGTTTATTCCACAAATCCCGGAGTATTGTCTTGTCCATTTCAACTTTATATACCCCAGATTCTGAGCTGGCAACATAGCACTTTACACCAAAGTTCATTCTGTTGCTAAATTTTACTTAGGGTATAAATAGCAAACAGCAAACGATAAGGAAACTTTTACACACTCAAATTCTTTGTTTGTTTGCCACATAAGAATTCACAATCAGCCACCAATTAAATATCATTTTCTACCATTGCATGCATAGTATGGCCAATAAGTTCATTGCTATATAACTAGAATATCTAATAAAATGGCGGTAATAAACCATCACCACACCAGTGTGTTTGCTCATACACACAATGACAGAAGTCCGATTTTAATTCCAAAGAAAATAAATACAAACTTGCATAAACATGAGTACACCGAAAAGAAAAGAACCAATCATTCTCCCCACAAACTCACTGTAAAGAAATCATTCACTATCCATGCGATAAAAACAACCGCAGACACCAAACTCGCACATCCATTAGACGAAGATACTCTTTCGGCCGGCAATGACGACGAAAATGAATACGATGACGAGGATGAATATACTTATGATTCTTCTGACGATTACTCCTTTTCATCCTGTTCTTCGCAATCTACATTGAGTTCACCCAATGATAGCACATCCCCTACCAAGTTAATTCCGGATCGCAAATTCATACGAAGTGAATCTAATAGTAGATTTTCATTTCATTCATTCAACAACGACCGATACTCATATTCATCGCAAAGATCAATCATAAGCATACCAGTTAACAAATCCCCTTGTTCATGTTCCAGTTCAGTCACCTCAGTTTCATCAGTCTCACCACCCACTTCGATTGTCTACCAATCAAGATGCACACCAATAACATCTACCGTATCCACCACTTTTCAACAACTGCCCACCATGGAAAAGTCTACGTCTACAGATTCTCTTTATAAAATATTACAAAAGTCAACCCCAATTGAAAAGAGGTCGATGTATTCCAATTTAACCACGTCAATCAAAAATTGGAAGACCAAGTTATCGAGTAATAAAGATAACTTGTTACGAGTCATTTTGGATTCCCCCAGATTAACCGATGATAAGTTGCCAACCACCATCACTGTACATCCACCACAAGAATTGATCACCTTCAACAAACAAGAACCTCAAGTAAACACCAGTTGTATTACCTTGAAACCTAATTTCAAGAATCGTGATCAAAGAATTAATTCTGAATTTTTAAGATTATACGCTTTTGATTACAATGCAAGAATTAAATCAATGACTTTGCCCCACAATGGGAATCAGGAGGAACTAATCAAGCTTGTTCAAAGTAATCCGTCTCTTAGACAATTCCATTACCAATACAATATCTACCGCGTATCGTGCATGTCAAGAGATAAGCTTTGGAATAGCGTGATTTTACCACCCAGAAGTGACGAGTCGCCAACTTGGGAAATTGATCCTGCCGAATACGTCTTTAGAGGTAAAGAAGATGACGACGATTTGAATTATTCCATTATTAGAAAAGAAGGGAAATATTTACCTTGGGATTCAATTATGAAGCCAAGCATCAAGCCTGCTGGTGTATTGCCCAAGGGAAGATGTATATTTAATGGAATGGCTCCAAATTCTGGAGTTACCAAGACGCAGTTTACGGTTAAAGGGTGGTGTAATTCTAGATGGGTTGATTGTTCCCAAGAAGAATAGTTAATATTGTAATTGGTATGATGTTATATGAGAGGGTTATTATTATTATTTATTTTTTTAGTTATTTATTTATTTATTTATTTAATGGATGGGTTCTACGTTTATAGTCTCTTTAATAATACATTTGATAGAGATTTGAATTTTTCAAAAAAGCAGTCACATTAATCACGTGAGTAGTTTCTTTTTGGATTTTGCTTTTCGATGAAATGTCTCGACCGATGGGGTTCGCGACATTTTTCGTAATGAAACCGCACGACATTTGAAAATTTTTCTAAACTACTGGGACAGCCTCAGTCCAGTGCGCACATACCCTACTTAGAATTTTTTTTACTTCTATATATCCTACAGGCATCTGTTTCAAAAGCTCTTGATTTACCAACACCTCATTATCAAACATGGCTCCAAAAGGAAAGAAGGTTGCTCCAGCTCCATTAGCTGCCAAGACTAGCAAGACCGCCTCTGCTAAGAACCCATTAATCGACTCTACCCCAAAGAACTTCGGTATTGGTCAATCTATCCAACCAACCAGAAACTTGTCTAGATTCGTCAGATGGCCAGAATACGTTAGATTACAAAGACAAAAGAAGATCTTGTCTTTGAGATTAAAGGTTCCTCCATCTATTGCCCAATTCTCTCAAACTTTGGACAAGAACACCGCTGCTCAAGCTTTCAAGTTGTTCAACAAGTACAGACCAGAAACTGCTGCTGAAAAGAAGGAAAGATTAACCAAGGAAGCCGCTGCTGTTGCCGAAGGTAAGTCCGCCAAGGATGCTTCTCCAAAGCCAGTTGTTGTCAAGTACGGTTTAAACCACGTTGTCTCCTTGATTGAAAACAAGAAGGCCAAGTTAGTTTTGATTGCTAACGATGTTGACCCAATTGAATTGGTTGTTTTCTTACCAGCTTTATGTAAGAAGATGGGTGTTCCATACGCCATTGTCAAGGGTAAGGCTAGATTAGGTACTTTAGTCCACAAGAAGACCTCTGCCGTTGCTGCTTTAACCGAAGTCACCGCTGCTGATGAAGCTGAATTATCCAAGTTAGTTTCTACCATCAACGCCAACTTCATTGAAAAGTACGAAGACAACAGAAGACACTGGGGTGGTGGTATCATGGGTTCTAAGGCTAACGACAAGATTGCTAAGAGAGCCAAGGCTGCTGCTTCTGCTGCTACTGCCAACTAAATTTAAATATAAACCATATTGTATATTTTGATTTTAGTTTAATGTAATAAAAAATAGTAATTAAGACAATCAGACACGTAGTTGTATGCGCCAGTGTACTGTACTAATCTTGCAAGAATAGCCTTGTCAATGTAGCAGCTATTTTGCAATAATTCTCAAGTCACATGAGCAAAATCACGTGCGCAAACATAAAATCTTCCAGCCAATAAAACTGTTGATTTTTCGCTATTACCATTGATTTGTTAGTGATGCTAAATGGCCCAAATATCTGACTGAAAAAAAATCAGACACAAGCAAGACTCGACCAAGGTAACTTCACCACAATCCTATATATACATACCAAACACAATGTCATTCTTAAGAGACTTAATAGAAGCTGTTGTTCCATCTGCTCACGCCGAAGAAGTATGTATCACCTCACTGTAATCTTGCAGATTTCTGATCTAGCATTGTCCGTTTAGACATAGTATACTAACACAAAGTACAGCCTGAAGAAGAAGTTGAAGAATCCGTTGAAGCCGAAGAAGAAGAAGAAGAGGAAGAAGAAGAAGAAGACGAAGAAGAACTCGTTGACCCATTGGACACTTTGCGTGAAGAATGTGAAAAGACTGAAGTCTGTAAGCCATTCGCACACCACTTCCACGAGTGTGTTGAAAGAGTCACCAAGGAACAAGAAGACGAAGACTACCACAAGAAGGACTACAAGGAAGATTGTGTTGAAGAATTCTTCCACTTGCAACATTGTGTCAATGACTGTGTTGCTCCAAGATTATTCCACAAATTAAAATAAGCTCATTTGCAAGCCCGCCAAACAATTACATTTTCCTTTCTTTATCCAACTTACAAAAGTTGATAATTCGTATATAACACCTTGTATATTTGTGTGGTTTTTATGTTTATGTTTATATTTGTTGGATAGCTTTTAGAGAAATAGAAGAGGAGAGATCTTAGCATAGCAGAAACAAACCAAAATATATCATTATTAATGACTACAATTAGTTGTAAGTGCTCAGATCAGAATTGTGCTGGCGAATGTAGTGCTGCCATTGAATGCAACAATCTGTTGGTTGTGAACACCCCCCGTCTCTCTCTCCGACACAACTTAATTTTAAGTTTGAACCGTGCATAAAGAGATTTCGTGCAGGCTAAAGAGAGGTAGCGTTCGATTGAAAGTAACCTTAAGCTCAGACTAATCTATTAGATTCTCTTTTAGTTCTGGGTATCTTTTAAGTATTTCTTGGGTATACCGAGCCTCGGCAACCCCAGGTATTTCCCAAACTAGTAATTTCTCAAGGTAAATACCAGATTGCACTACCCAGATCTCAGTCGAAACACTAGTTTACTACTGTTGATCAGTCTAAACAACGACGTACCTTAACTAAAACTGTAATTACGTGCTTGCAACCAAGAGAAAATCACGCGTTGCAAAAAGTGTAGTTGTATTGGCACACCAGGGAAATCCACATTCACATTTTTTTCCCGCCTCCCCTTAATCAACCATACACATTTAAATTATGTTGTGATTTTTGCTCATGTTCTTTTTTCTTCTTTTTGTTTCCAATTGTGATTACCAGATTGAAATCCAATCCAATACGTGAACCAATTGAATACTGAAGAACAGTGAAGACGTTCCTCTTGCGTATTTATTGAATAAATTTTTGTTGAATTAACGTGAATACGGAGTATATTGCCCGAGAACACAAGTGGTGAAATACAATTGAATTAACATCAAGAAATGGCTGAAGAAACTGCAACTACTCAAACCAAGCCAGTTATCGAAGATAGAATCTACATCGGTAACGTCGACTTTAAGGCTACTGAGGAAGAAGTCAAAGAATTGTTTAAGGATTTGAGCGTGTATGTATTTGATATTTTTTTGCCATCATAAGATGTGGCTGGCTGGCTAGTTGGGCGAGAGGTGTTTATGTTGCCGAGCAGCGCTACAGTTGTAGCAATACATAAATTCCGAAGCAAAGTCCAGATTGCATGTCCTGGTTATAAGTGATAAGTTCAATTACTAACAATTCGTTTAGAACTGATGTTGAAATTCCATTCAAGGAAACTACCCGTGGCGACTCCACTTTTAAGAGACATTTAGGATTTGCCTTTGTCCAATTCGAAACCAAGGAAGATGCAGACAAGGCAATTGCTGAATTCAATGGAAAGAAGCTTCAAAGACGTAACATTTTCATCAAGAAGGCCGTCCCTCCTCCAACGGAAGAAGAAAAGAAGGAACGTGCGGAAATCTACAAGGCCAAGAGAGAAGAATACTTGAAAGAAAAGGCCGAAAGAAGAGCCGAAGCACAGAAGAAGAGAGAGGAAAGAGCTGCTGCTGGTGAAGATGGTGAAAAGGCTCCTGATGGTAAACCTTCTACTGATACTATTTTCATCACCAACTTGGATTACAAAGTCACCCATAAGGTGTTGACATCCTATTTCAAGGACTTGAAGCCAAAATGGGTTCATGTTCCACTTAGAAAAACCCACAACCGTATCGCCCACAGAAGACCATTCAACCGAGGAATTGCTTTTGTTAAGTTCCTTGATGAAGAAACGCAAAAGAAGGCCGTGGAAGAATTCAATGGCAAGGAAATCAATGGCAGAAATATCATTGTTGACATTGCTGTTGATGCTAGAGTTCCAAAAGAAGGTGAACTTGATGAACACCAAAACGGGGAAGAAGAGGAACACAACGATGAAAAGGATTCTGGTGAAGGCGAGAAGGAGGAAGAAAACGGAAACTAGATGAATTGACTTTATCATTCCCAAGTCAATGCTTAGCATTGATTGACATTTTTATTACATTTTCCATTCTTCAATTTGTCTAGTTTATCCGTACTTCTTAATGTGTCAACTTTTATTTCTCTCTATTTCTCCTCTTTGTTGGGTTGGGCTTATTTGAAGTTCAGCCTGAATAATACTACAATCATCTATGAATCCCACAAAATTGAATCTCTTTATATAAATATATATTTATATGCTGGTGATAACCATTTGAGTTCTTGATTGAATGATCTTATGGTTATCTACAAATGACATAGTAATTTGTTTAATAAGTGTCGATAGTACTAGGTGTTCCAGGTCACCTGACCGATGTGACTGCTTTTTTGTTTTCACGTGACTTTCTCAAAAACCCTCAGCAAAAAATCTCAAATTTTTCACTATAGTTTTGGAAGAGTATAAGCTAGAAGAACTTGCTTGTTAACCAAGAACTATATTGAATAATGGGTATGTAAACGCCTATGAAATAGTGTATACGTTGGTGTGTTGATATGTTGAGAATGCATACAATAATGTCTGAACCTGAGAGAGAATGTGAATTACAATACGTGGCCTGCAGTGGGTTGTAAGTTGAGCATGAAGAATGCTTATACTGTCCAAATTCTTAGATCAACTGTAAGAATTGCATGAGATCGTAGGGTACAATAAGAATACTTGCATTAGTCAGTGTGCAACATATCATATCATATCAAATCCAATCCAACACGCACTTTTGAAAGAGATTATACTAACAATGTTACAGGTAGAGTCATCCGTAATCAAAGAAAAGGTGCTGGTTCTATCTTCACCTCCCACACCAGATTAAGAAAAGGTGCTGCCAAGTTAAGAACCTTGGATTATGCTGAACGTCACGGTTACATTCGTGGTATTGTTAAGCAAATCATCCACGATCCAGGAAGAGGTGCCCCATTAGCCAAGGTCGTCTTCCGTGACCCATACAGATACAAGTTGAGAGAAGAAACCTTCATTGCCAACGAAGGTGTCTACACTGGTCAATTCATTTACGCCGGTAAGAAGGCTTCCTTAAACGTCGGTAACATCTTACCTTTAGGTGCTTGTCCAGAAGGTACCATTGTTTCCAACGTTGAAGAAAAGGTTGGTGACAGAGGTGCTTTAGGTAGAACCTCCGGTAACTACGTTATCATTATCGGACACAACCCAGATGAAGGTAAGACCAGAGTTAAGTTACCATCTGGTGCCAAGAAGATCATCTCTTCTGACGCTAGAGGTGTTATCGGTGTCGTTGCCGGTGGTGGTAGAATCGATAAGCCATTATTAAAGGCTGGTAGAGCCTTCCACAAGTACAAGGTCAAGAGAAACTCCTGGCCAAAGACCAGAGGTGTTGCCATGAACCCAGTTGATCACCCTCATGGTGGTGGTAACCATCAACATATTGGTAAGGCTTCTACTATTTCTAGAGGTGCTGTTGCCGGTCAAAAGGCTGGTTTGATCGCCGCTAGAAGAACCGGTTTATTGAGAGGTACTCAAAAGACCCAAGATTAAACAGGCTGATTCTTGAAGTTTGATTTCTTTTTGTATTTATAGTTAAACAGGGATTCTACTGGAAAGTAGAATAACTATTGCATTATATAGCTTCCTTGCAAGGAATTGTAAGTTTGCGAAGAATATATATATACTAATATTGGAATATATTTGTAGATTGACAAAAAAAAACACATCCTCTTACAAAAGTCTGGGTGCGTTTGGAACCTTTGTCTAACATCTGTCTAATGCTTGCTAAGGCTAGTTTAACCGAGTTTACAGGACAACAGCCAATGGAATCTAAGTGTAACCTTACTATGATGACATTAATAATGATGATAAAGTTATTTGGAGAACTTGCGTACAGTTCCCCACCCTACTAGTATCCTGTATAGCTTGAACGTAGTTGATGGGGAGGGGTGCCAAGTGCCGTAATGTAATATGTGGCTATAACATGAACAAACTATGCTATACGAAGTGGGGTAACTAAAATGAGTCAATTAACGAAAAGTAAATATAAACACATAATTGAGTGATTGTTATCACTTATTAACTAAAATTGACTTCTTAGTTTGGTGCCGTGCCTTTGGCGGAGTCGGATCGATTTACACACATTTCTGATTAACCAGCGAAGTTTCTACCTAAACAACTCGTATCTACGACAGACATGTTTAACTGTGGGATGCTGCAGCGAATCGTTTACCTACTCTAACTGTGTACAATAGACATCAGGTAAAGTTTTCACCGACAAACGTACACAGCGCAACTCGTTTGTGAAATTGTACCGAGATTACTATAATGGCTTTTTATTGCCTATTGTTCCCACTAAAAATATCGCATCCCTCATATAACTAATTTTGCACCAAACTATTTTAATAGGTGAATTTCACCTCTGTCTTCCCTTGCTCTTTTCATCAATTAGTCATTAGCTTTGTTATTAACTTATCCATCAGTACTATATTAGATTAATACCATATTTATTCAATCCTACTGTCAAACTATATCCAAACTATTTATTTTTTTTTCATTTTCAGCATCTTACACTCATTGCATATTAGGTAATCATGTCTAATACTAGCACCACCATATGTCCGTTTTGGCACTATGATGACATCACAGACTGTGCAAAATATAATTTGCAATTATATCCGGCTGCAATAGTCGGATTAGTATCGTTTGCCATCTTACTCGTGAAGTCCACCTTTTCCTACGTTAAGTCCGTGAGAAGATCCTACCACGACTTGCCGGAAGAATCCAAGCCACTTTTAGACGTTGCAACCAGCTACGGGTCGGCCACTCAAGAAAGCATATCGGAACCATCTGCCAAGAGCCAGCATTTTGATCTCGCAAGATTGCCAGAGACAAACGAAGATGGAACTCCCCATGGAACTGTAGAGTTGGTCTACAAGAGCATTCTGGAAAGAGCCAGGGTATCTATTGAATATATCCTTGTTATTGCCGCATTAGCACTCCACTTATTGCCATTTTTTGTTCACGCTATTGCTCGTGAGTTTAAACACGCCAAGTATGTACCTTATGTTCAATCTGGATTATGGACTTATTTGTTTTTGATATGTACTATCAGAATTGTCAATTTAAAGAGAGTTTCCATTAGATTGCCAAGCTTATGGATCCATTCAACTGCCATCTATTTTTTCAACTTCTTTCCAAGTTTGTTCACATTCAGATCGGCATTGGTGCACCATGGTCTCAAATCTCAAGTTAGACAATACTACATTGTTGAATTTGCCATCAATGTCATCTTGTTGTATTTGAATTTCACTGCTAAAGTTGGTGACAAACCATCTCAATTATATCGAACTCCAGGTGTTGAGCCATCTCCAGAAAATGTCTCCAGTATTGCCTCGTTTATTGCATATAGTTGGATAGATAAAATGATCTGGAAAGCCCACAAATCTCCATTAAAGAATGAGGATATTTGGGGGTTAAGACAAGATGATTATGCTTTGCATGTTCTTAAGGGATTTGAAGCCTCCAAGTCAACTTTCAGATTCACATACAAATTGTTTGCCCACTTCAAGTTTTTATTTGCCATCCAAGCATTTTGGGCTGTGTTGGAGTCCATGCTTGTTTTTGGTCCTTCTTTACTTCTTAAGAAAGTTTTGGAGTATGTTGCTGATCCTGAATCCATTCCACAAAACCTTGCCTGGACATTTGTCTTGTTAATGCCGGTGGTTAAGATGGCTGATTCTATTTCTTCCGGTTGTTCGTTGTTCTTGGGTAGACGTGTTTGTTGCAGAATGAAGGCAATCATCATTGGTCAAGTCTATGCCAAGGCTTTGAGAAGAAAAGTCACCGTTACTGAAACTATGGAAGATGAGGAAATTGAGCCAAAGACTGATTCAGATGAAGGCAGCAAGAAGGAATCTAAAAAGACTGCAGAATTGGGAGCAATCATCAACTTAATGGCCATTGATGCGTTTAAAGTTTCTGAAGTTTGTGGTTACTTACACTTTTTTGTTAGTGCCATTCTCATGATTGTTATCTGTACTTTGTTATTATACAGTTTGCTCGGATGGAGTGCGCTTGTTGGTTCTTTTGCAATTTTTGCACTTTTGCCAATCAGTTTCAGTCTTGCCCGTTGGTTAGGACGTTTACAAAAGAAGATGTTAAAGGTCACCGATGCCAGAATCCAAAAGTTGAATGAAACTTTCCAAAGTATTAGAATCGTCAAGTTTTTCGCTTGGGAAGACAAGTTTTTTGAAAATGTCATGGGGATTAGAAATGAAGAACTTTACTATTTGAAGTTCAGAAGTGCTGTTTGGTGTGCCTCTGCGTTTGTCTGGTTCATCACTCCAACTTTAGTTACTTTACTTTCCTTCTACTGTTATACCATCATTGAAGGTAAGCCATTGACCGCTCCTCTTGCGTTTACTTCCTTGTCTTTATTTACCTTGTTGAGATCTCCATTGGATCAATTGGCCGATATGACATCATTTGTTATCCAATCCAAGGTTTCTCTTGATAGAATTTCCGATTTCTTGGATGAACCAGAAACTACAAAGTACGATCAATTGAGTGAGAAATCCGGTAATCCAAACGCACCAACTATTGGATTTGAAAATGCCATCTTGTCATGGAACTCCAAGTCTGCTACTGATTTCAAATTACGTGATTTGAACATTGACTTTAAGGTTGGGAAATTGAATGTCATTATTGGTCCTACTGGTGCCGGTAAAACTTCCCTTTTACTTGGTTTATTGGGGGAAATGGACTTGATCCTGGGTCATGTTCATTTACCAGGTCTTATACCTAGAGATGAATTAATTGTTGATCGTCATACCGGGTTAACTGACTCGATCGCTTACTGTTCTCAATCGCCATGGTTATTGAATGAAACTATTAGAAATAACATTTGCTTTGGTACTCCATACATCCAAGAAAGATACGATGCTGTTGTTGACGCTTGTGGGTTATCTCGTGATTTCCAAATTTTGAGTGCTGGTGATGCCACTGAAATCGGTGAAAAGGGTATTACTTTATCTGGTGGTCAAAAGCAAAGAGTTTCTCTTGCCAGAGCCTTGTATTCCAACTCCAAGCATTTACTTTTGGATGATTGTTTATCTGCTGTTGATTCCCATACTGCGTTGTGGATCTATGAAAACTGTATTTCTGGGCCATTGATGCAAGGCAGAACTTGTATTTTGGTGTCTCATAACGTGGCATTGACTGTTCAAAAAGCGGAATGGGTTGTTGTTTTGGAAAACGGAAGAGTCAAGAGTCAAGGTACTGCCGAAGAATTATTAGCTGCCGGTGATTTAGGTGATGATGATTTGGTCAAGTCCTCAGTTTTGAGTTCTCGTGAACAATCATCTACCAATTTACAATCGTTACTGGATAAGAATGCTGATATGAAAGCCAAGGCTGCTGCGATCGACACGAAGTTGAGAAAGATTCAAAGTCAGCAAGAAGAAGTAGCAGCCAAGACCGACGGTAAATTAGTTGAAGAAGAAAACAAAGCTGAAGGTGTGGTTGGGTCCGATGTTTATCTCGCATATGCCAAGTATTTCGGTGGTTGGTCTACCTGGACATTGGTTGTTATCGCATTTGTTGTATCCCAAGGTGTATTTATCATTCAAACATTCTGGTTGAGAAAATGGTCGTCGGAAAGTTCAGCTGTGGAAGAAATCACTATGCGTGCTACTCAATTACAACAATCTTATGTTGTTCGTTCATTGATTAACCCTGTTGTTGCTTCATTTAACGCCATTAACGCTTATAAAGAAGCACATACCACTCTTTATTATATTTCCATGTATGCTGTTATTGGGTTTACCTACGGTTTTGCCTCATGTTTCAGGCTTTATGTGACTTTCTTTGCCGGTATTAAAGCTTCTAGCAGAATTTTCGAAACTGTGTTGAAAAAGATTTTACGTGCCAAATTGAGATTCTTTGATAAGACACCATTGGGACGTATTATGAATAGATTTTCCAAGGATATCGAAGCTGTTGATCAAGAATTGACTCCATTTGCCGAAGGGGTGTTTATGTGTTTGGTCCAATGTGTGTCTACTTTAGTCTTGATTACTTTTATCACACCTGGGTTTTTAGTATTTGCTGTCATTATTTCCTTCCTTTATTATTTGGTAGGGTATTTCTACCTTACTTTATCCCGTGAATTAAAGAGATATGAATCGATTACTAAGTCACCAATCCATCAACATTTCTCCGAATCGCTTAATGGTGTTGCCACCATCAGAGCTTATGGTATTGAATCTAGATTTATGAAGCAAAACTTGAAAGCAATCGATGCTAACAACAGACCATTCTTTTACTTGTGGGTGGCCAATAGATGGCTTGCATTCCGTATTGATGCCGTCGGGTCTATGGTTATGTTGTGTTCTGGTATCTTTGTCTTGTTGTCGATTGGGAAGATTGATTCTGGTCTTGCTGGGTTGTCCTTGTCTTATGCCATTGCATTTTCCGAAAGTGCACTCTGGGTGGTTCGTCTTTATTCCACCGTCGAAATGAATATGAACTCCATGGAAAGATTGCAGGAATACCTTGATGTTGAACAAGAACCTCCTTATGAAATTAAGGAGACTGAGCCAAGATCAAGCTGGCCGGAACACGGAAGAATCTCGGTCAAGGATGTTTCATTGAGATATGCTCCAGAATTACCTCGTGTTATCAAGAATGTTACGTTTGACGTCGAACCTTGTAATAAGGTTGGTATTGTTGGTAGAACTGGGGCTGGTAAGTCCACTATCATCACGGCATTCTTTAGATTCTTGGACCCAGAAACTGGGTCAATCACTATTGATGGTGTCGATATCACTTCTATTGGGTTGCGTAACTTGAGACAGGCCATTACTATCATTCCCCAAGATCCTACCTTATTCAGTGGTACCATCAGATCCAACTTGGATCCATTTGGCCAGTACACTGATGTACAAATCTTTGAAGCGTTGAGAAGAGTTAATTTAATCAGTGCCAGTAGCCAAGTCGGAACTTCCCAGTCAAACGATGAAAACCAAAACAAGTTCTTGAATTTGGATAACAGCATTGCTGAAGGAGGAGGTAATTTGTCTCAAGGTGAACGTCAATTGATCTGTCTTGCCCGTTCGCTTTTAAAGAACCCTAAGGTGATTTTGTTGGATGAAGCCACCAGTTCTATTGATTACAAGTCTGATGCTATGATTCAACAAACCATCAGAGAAGAGTTCGGCACATCCACCATCTTAACCATTGCCCATAGATTAAGAACTATTATTGACTACGATAAGATTTTGGTTATGGATGCCGGTAGGGTTGTCGAGTATGATAATCCGTATGTGTTACTTACCGACCAGTCTTCGTTGTTTTACAGCATGTGTGAGAATAGTGGAGAGTTGGATTCGTTGATTAGATTGGCCAAGGAGGCATATATCAAGAATAAGAATTCTCTTAGAAAGTAGTTGTATAGATTGCATAATAAACATTGAACGTTATTTAACTTTTGCAGCCATGCAATAAGTACAAATTACTTTGAGAATTGGTGTGCATATTGCGTGCATTATGGCGTAATTAGCAAAACAAAAAAGAAAATTGATAACGCGCAGTTTGTAAAACTTTAGTAAAAATTAGCGTTATCAGCCACACAACACCAGCATATATATATATAACCGCACTTCATAACCGGAATTTTACAAATGCAAACTGGTGATTCTCCACGCACGCATTCAAATTCCAACTCTAATAAGCCCCTTCCTGCTATACCTAAGGAAGTTATAGAAATGCAGGATATAGATAAGACTGACTATAATGAGATCGAAGAAACCGCATCATCAACATTATACGACGAGCCGAGTATAGTACCAGGGAAAGTCTCGCACTTGCAAGACCTAGAAGACCTACCTCAAGGACGACATCTTGGGCTATTCTCTACGATTATTCTTTTTGTGTCTAGAATTCTCGGCAGTGGGATATTCAGTATCACCGGTGGGATATATGCTGACTGTGGACAATCACCGGTCTTGTTCTTCTTGGCATGGTTTGTGGCCTGTGTGGCTTCATTTGGCGGGCTATATGTGTTTTTGGAAATGGGATCAATCGTACCGCGCAGTGGTGGGGCCAAGGTGTTCCTTGAGTTCATATATACCAAGCCGGAATTATTGGCACCGGTGGCATATTCCGTGTATTCGGTGATTTTTGGATTCACGATTTCTAACGTGTTGGTGTTTGGCGAATATTGCATACATGCTATGGGAGTTGAACCTACCGATTTGAATACAAGAGCCACCGGACTTGTGTTTTTATATTTTGCTGCATTTGTGCATGGTGTTCATGTAAGTCATGGAGTGAGAATTCAGAATATACTAGGTGGATTGAAACTAGTACTATTAGCAGTGATGGGATTAGCGGGGATATACGCCATAGTATTCCCACAATCACTCACCGGAATAGAAAATCAATTACACTGGTCAAACTTTTTCACCACTAAATCCGAAGTCAGTGTGTCTACTTTCGCCAGTGCTGTCATTAAGGCCTCGTTTGCATTCAGTGGCTGGAACTCCGTTCATACCGTGTCCAACGAAATCATTGACCCCGTACGCACATTCAAGATTGCCGGTCCTACGTCGTTGGCTATCATCACTGTGGCTTACTTATTAACCAACTGGGCTTATTTGGCCGTGATCCCCAGCGAAGAACTCGTAAACAGTCATACACTTACGGGAGCTATCCTTTTCGAAAAGATATTCGGTAAACGCATAGGTCAACAATTTTTGACATTTGCTGTGGCATTATGTGCCGGTGGGAACATCTTTGTCGTGCTCTATACCATCTCTCGGGTAAGTCAAGAAGTTTTCCGTGAGGGCTACTTGCCAGGTTCGAAATTCATGTCATCCAATTGGCCATACGGTGCGCCATTGCGCACCCTCATCTTAAGTGTGTCCATCACTACTGCCATTGTGTGTCTTTCCCCTCATGGAGGGGATATTTATAACTATATGGTTGCGTTAGAGGGATACCCGCAACAAGTTGCCATTGCATTGGTCGCCATTGGGATATTCATTGTTCGTAAAAGGCATCCTGATTTACGTGCACCTATACGAAGTGGTGTCGTGGGTACATTACTCGTTTTTTTTATTAGTTTATATTTGATCATTGGTCCATTCGTGTCAAAGCATAGTCCAAATCCACCAGGTCTCGAGAGCTGGCCGTCATATGGAATCACAGGGACCATTGCCATATTAGCATGTATATTATTTTGGGTTTTCAAATTTAGATTATTGCCTAGGTTAGGCGGGTATGAGTTAGTTCAAGAAGAACGTCAATTGCATGACGGGTTAACTATTAAACAATGGAATAAGGTATACCACTATTCGCAGTTATAAATTTTTGCAATCGGATCAAGGGAAGTCTTAATCGCCGATAATGAAAGTTACAGATACAAGCACAAACTTAATTTGCTCTATTTAATAAATATACAATAACGTAAAAGAACTGAATTTGATTATTCCTTGGAAAAGTCTCTTCCGAATAAGTAAACCTTCAACCAATCAACAGAAACCAAAACTTGGTTCTTGACACTCAAACACATGTAAATGTAAGCACTTCTCCAGAATAAGAAGGTAAGACCACCACCAGAGGAAATGTTACTCCAATCACCCCAAACCAAATCAGCAACAGCCTTTTCAGAACCAATGTAGGCTAAAGAACCTTGGTAGTTGTAAATAAAGTGTGGCAACTTGTTTTCCAAACGAGCCAACTTCTTGGTTAACTTGTCAGTTTGTTCAGGAGAAGCAGTGGTGACAGAATGTTTAAGAGATTCAACTTGGTGTAATTTTGCAAAGTAATCAGCAAGGAATTGACCTTCTTGGAAGGCAACTTGGGCAGTTGGTGGGTACTTGGTAAAAGTACAATCACCTAAAGCGAAAACATTATCGGTACCATCCAATTTCATACGTTCATCAACTAATAACCCACGACGAGCATTCTTTTGTTCATCAACCTTGGAAATCAAATCACGAGTGAAGTCTCTTGGAGCATTACCAGTGGCCCAGATCAACATACCATATGGAATTTCGTAAGTTTCGGAAGAACCATCGGCTTTCTTTTCGGTGGCAGTCAAACTCTTTTCGCTGACCTTCTTAATCATGGTGTTGGTCAACAAGTTAATGTTAGTTTCCTTGAAAACCTGCTTAGTATATTCAACTAATGGCTTACTGAAGGAGTTCAAAACATTTGGTAAAGCTTCAACCAAGGTAACCTTTAATTCGTCAGCAACTTCAGGAACCCACTTCTTTAAATCTTGGTCAATGTAATCTTGGATTTCACCAGCGGCCTCAACCCCGGTTGGACCACCACCACAGACAACAACGTGCAATAATCTGGATCTATCCGGGTGGCCACGAGGTAAGATGTTAGCGGCTTCAATGACATCCATTAATCTCTTCTTGATGGCTACAGCATCGGAAACTTCCTTCAAGAAAGTGGAGTTTTCAGCAACACCTGGGATACCAAAAGTGGATGGTTGAGCACCAACACCGACAACAAGATAATCATAGTTTAAAGTGGTAGTGATTTGTTCAACACCGGTATATTCAGAAACAGTAGACTTGGAAGAACCAGTATCCTTACCGGAGTGACCAGAGTGGACAGTGGTGGATTGCTTAATGGTAATTTGGTTTTTCTTTGGGTCAATTTCAGTGGCTTCGGCTTCCAAGTAGATAACCTCACCAGGAGCTCTTCTGGTGATGGCTCTAACTGGTTCAATAATAGACTTGACATCGACGGTACCGGTAGGAACAGAAGGTAACAATGGAGTGAAAAGGAAGTAGTTTCTTGGAGAGACGACAACGACGTTGTACAAAGTGGTGTCCAAGTTCTTCAACAAGGAGATGGATCCCCAACCAGAACCTAAAATGACCAAAGTCTTCTTCTTTGTTCCATCTGGGAAAGTTGGAGTTTGCTTGAGTTGGTTAGCAGGGTATGATTCTTGGTAAATCTTGTAACCGACAAATCCAATTGAACCGACGGTAGCGGCAATGGTGGACCAGACAGTGAATTTGACGGCTCTTTTGAAAATGCTTGGCTTTGGAGTTGCTACTTTTGGAGCCTCATTGAAGAGTCTTCTTGATTGAGATAAGAATCTCCTAGACCCAATTCTACCAATCATGGCTTAACGTGAAGATAAAGTATAGAGTTAACGCTAAGAAAAGCAAGATACGAATTTAAAAAAATTGTGAGAAAATTGTGAGTTTATATATCGAGCCAATTAGTTTGTCTGTTTATTTTTTTTTTTTTTTTAGAAAAAGTTTAATTAGAAGCAGACACAGAAAAAATTGTGACCGTTATGAATGTAACAAAAAAAAACTGCGTTATTTCTCATTCATTGTGAAATATTAGATGTGATAAAAAATATTTAGGTAAAATTATTGTTCGAGAGAACGGTAAAATTTGGCTGACTGTCCAATACACATGGCAACTCAGCAACAGAAGGTTGAATCAATTTTTTCATGTTTGTGTTCGATCGGAGTTTATTACACCGAAAATTAGATCTGAGCAAATCTGCCATCTTCCGTCTCTCCGGTTCAGGATTTGCTGGACAGTTACTCATTATATATATATGTGTGTGTGTGTGTATGTGTCTATCTATCTCCACTTATCTTCCTTGTCACCTCCACTGATAGCAAGTGGGGGCGTGTTTTACAGTGTGAAATTCGATGAGAAAATTTTTTGCAGCAGGAACAAACGAATAGTTTTTCCATGTCCGGATCGGTGGAACTTTTGCTCTGCACTCCGAGGCTTTTAACTATTGCGCCATACAGACTACATTTTCCTCGTCAAATGACATCGTTCCTACATTAAACATCTACTATACACCATCAAGAGGCTTTCGATACTTCTAAAGGCCGAAATATTGAATAATTATCGGGAAAAGTGGTAAACCATTGTCGTGTTAATTTTTTTCTCTTTAAAAAATATTTATAGAAGAGGGGAAAATTCCATTGCGTCACGTGCTGTGGATGTAATGGCTGGGCTGGCCTGCCGCTGCTGTTGCTACTACTGCTATGCAAATCTATCGAGTATTCAAAAAGGCACCAAAAAGATCCAGCTGCTTGCAAGCCAACATTCATAATATCTTACATGACTATTGCCAGTCCCGAATAGTTGCGATGAGTAAATCCCTCATATCAGTATCCCCCCGCCCCGCTTGCCCTTGCCCCCAACTAGACTTGCTGCCATCACTGCATTAACCGCGCGTTAAATTTAACCAATTAATACCTCACCAACTTATTTGATCTGGACTTAGATTTAGACTCGAGTGACACCACACATTACAAGAATCCTCCTACTCTTTCTTCGTTCCAACGATTCAATTTCTCTTTACGATAATGATAAACTCGTCTATTTGCTCTAAATCTCTCGATAAAATCACTGAATTCACCATTTTCTTTACTATCCCCAAAATCAAACTTCAGCTCATCTTCAGTCAATTTCGCAAATTTATGTTTCAAGTTCTCAGAATTGAAATTACTCGATAACAATTGATACTGTATTGTTTCCAAATTGACAAATTCTTGATATATAGTGGAGATACTCTGGATTTGTTGGGTGATCTTTACGATCAACTGTTGGTATTGCTCAATCAATTGGGTAATGTCTTTCAGGAGCAATTCATCAACAGTGCTTAATTTCTTGAGTAGTTTGCTTTGATGGTGTTTATACGCTTCAAGTTGTTTGATGTATCCTTGGATTAGCTCCTTGTTTTCGACAAATTCTTTGATGTTGGAATTTGGCAATAGTTCGAGATTCTTGGGAAGTGGAAATGCATTCAATTCCGAATCTTGAAGTGGATTGAGTGGTGGTTGGTGATGAAGTTTCTCCATTGTGCTGGGGTGGATATGTATGTCTGTCATATTTTGCTTGCTTGCTTGCTAGTTTGTTTGTTTGTTTATGTTGTGGAGTTAGCGGTTGCCACTTTTTTACGCTCGTCTGAAAGAGTATTGGCTGAGAAAATTGCAAAAATTCACCATATCATAATTGGCATCAACAAGCAGAATTCTGAACTCTTGTTTATACTATAATTCAAAATTGCCAAGTTTCCTACAGTTGGGTAAATTTTCTATTTCATATTAATCATTACTCTATAAAACTCCAATAAAATGCTAAATAAATAATTAGTTACCAATTCTCTTATCAGCCCAATTTCTAATTCTTTCACCATACAAATAACAGAAAATTGGGAATGGAACACCTAAAGCAATTCCAATAAATGCACACATAGTGTTAGCCCAACCATAGCCTAACTTACCATACATCTTGTTGGCAAACAAAGGGAATGCAAATCCAAACAAGGATCTGAACAATGCAGCAGCAGCCACAGAACTAGCAGCGTATCTTACATTCATGTCAATCAAATAATTTTGAGTGGTTTGGAAGACACAAACTAACCCAAAACTAAACAAGGCACTTCCAATACCAGGCATGATCCAATGCAATTTCTTTTGAGCGGACCAACCAAACCAAATCAATCCAACTGGGATAAACAAGGAACAGAAGATGAGACAAGGTAATCTGAACTCTGGTTTTCCTTCACCGTTATTTCTGACAACCAAGTATTTGTATACTTTGCCAATGCAGAAGGTCCAAAAGACAACACCCAAAACGAAACCGAAACCCATAGGGAGATACATTAACCCAATAATGTTTTTCTTGAATCCATATTGCTCACCAAAGATTTCTGGAAAAGTGACAATCATCAAGTACATGAACCCATAGGTGAAGGCCATGAATGAACCAAGTCCCACAATCATGGGATGCATGAATAACAAGGTGATTGGACGAATCATGCAATGGATCATTTTTTGTAAAGTTGATTCACCAGCTTCTTGCTCCATCATTTCATAAATAGTGTGCAAGTTGTCATTGCCGGTTTCTTTTCTCAATTTATCAGCCTTGCGCTTTAACAAAGTTGGTGCGTATGTTTCCTTAAAGAAAATAAGGGCAGTGATGAAGACAGTACCGTTAAAAATACACAACACGTAAAATACCCATCTCCATTGCAAGTTGACGACAATGAATCCAGCAACCAAAGGGGCAATGACTGGTCCCAACAATGGAACAAGGGAATAACTGGCCAAAGCGACATTTCTACCATTGGCATCAAACATATCGGAAATAACACCAGCACAGACATTCATGGGGACACATCCGAAAATACCAGCCAAGAAACGGAACACCATCATTTCAGCGGTGTTTCTAGAAAATGCACATCCAAGATTGAATAAAAGACTCATTAAACAACTTCCATCAAGAACTAGTTTACGACCGATGTTGTCGTGTTCACTCAATGGTGCAATTATAAGGGGGCCAATGGCCCATGCAAGAATTTGTATAGACACAACCATGGCTTGTAATGGAGACCCAGATTCTATATTGAACTCCTCACTGATAAAACTCATGGCTGGGGAAAGGATAGATGATGACATTGGTGCGACAAAGGCGTAGAAAGAAACAAACATCAACATTATGACTTTAGTGCGAAGGTCCCAGTTTCTTGGATTAGCTGGATCTTGTTCATCCTCCCATGTGATTAATTCTGGATCGATTTCGGTAAACTCTTTACCATCATCAGGAATGATAATTTTCTCTTCCTGAATCTTTAAATCATCGTGGGGGAAGTTATTAGTGGCAATCTCTGATAAAACTGTGGCTCTAGTTTGGGTACGTTTAATTTCAATTTTTTCATCAGGTAAAGCTCCATAAATGTGATGGACGGAAAACTGATCGATATTACTAGAAACACTGTTGGATCTGGGACGGAATATCGAATCTAGGGATTTTCGTACTCGTCCTTGTCCTTGTCCTTGCTGCTGCTGTTGCTCATAGTTGGACACTGTGAATGCTAATACCTCATTGGAATCATTCGAAGATGAAGATTCAAGTTCGCGATTATATATTTCAAGAGACTCCTTAGATTTGTTCATTATTACTTTACTTTACCATTTTTGAAATTTTTTTACAAAATTACGGGATATCACTTGAAATATATACATCTATAATCAGAGCCACTGCAAACTGACAAATCTCGGTTATAGGAGTGAACTATAGGAAGGGCTGCATCTCGGAATGATATAGTTGCCGAAGAATTTGCAGCATTTTCCTAATTCTTCGGCCTTCGATGGGCTCGGTTATTCACGGAGTTTTCAGTTTACATCCACACATCAATACTTTACCAGTGAAAATTTTTTCCTCGGAGTGGTAAAAAATAGATCTCGGGTGTGCACGTATCTGTCAAAGCCCAATCTTTTGCCGTGTCATTCGATGGATTGTGTTAGATAACCGCTCGGGTAGATGCGGCACATCTATGTAAGATTTTACTACGCAATCACCTAATAGGGTAACATTTTTCACGCGTTTGGGTGTGGAAGGGGGTGTTGCATAGAAAAGCTAAGGCAAATACTAGAAACTAAGCCTACACAGTCCAAGTGTGGGTATGTGGGTATGTGGCATGCGACTAGATAGCGCGGCTGTTGATACCTGTAAACGGTGTGACGGAGTTATATGCGGTGTGTGTATTATTCTATTACTTCCTTAACTACTAAATTTCTGACCGTATGCTTTACAATAATCATCACTGGCTTGCATGGCACACTTGTTGTTATAATCATACCCTCGCTGTTGGAAAATTGAATCATTATCAATGACAGAAGAGTCTTCAAACAATGAAGGCAATTTCAAAATATAATTCAACAACCCCTTGACATGGACTATACTAACATCAGAATCGGCTGCGGAAAGAGTGACCCCCATATAATCATTTATAATGACATCTCCGAAAATATTTGATCTCTTGAAACTACCAGCCTTTTGCTTCATAACCTTGGCAGCTTTTTTATCCGCGATTTCTTCATCGGTTGGAATTCTATGGAAGAATTTTCTAGGGTACAAGATGTTATCCTTGATAATCCCGGCGATGTCCCAGTAGGCAATCGAGTTTGGAATAAGCACGTTTCTACCTTCACACTGCTTTGGATATTCTTCTTCGATTAAATTACCTTGATCGTCGAGTTTTGGAGTGACCCAAGGTGGGACTGTGGCTGCAAAATCAAAATATTCAGAAACATCTCCTAATTTATAAAAGAACTTGTCGTTGGTGGCATCGTAATCTTCAACCAAGATGATCATGTTTGGACGATACATTGATTCACCACACCCACAAGCATTAAGATGGGCACGGGCCCAACCCAAGTATATTTGACGGTTATCAGGTAATGTAAACTTTTCCTTGATACTGGCTGGTAAAATATCTGACAATGGCAATGGAACCAATTGGGTACCTCCTCTTAAAGGACCAACAAAATCGTAATCATCCTTTTCTGGTTTTTGAAGGAAATCACAAACTGCAGTGTCGATTTCACAAACCAATACTTCAAGAGGCATGATTGAGTAGATGAAGTTTAATTTCAAATCCCCTGGTTCTTGTTGGTTGTCGTTGACCGACTTGATTTTACTAATGAATGGAGTCCAATTCTTTTCAATATTTGCGTATTTTTCCGTACGCTTACGCAACACTTGCATCTTGTTGGAAAATGGCAAGTAGGTATGCATGACACGCTTGACCAATTTCAAATCCTTCATGTTGAAGACAATCAAAGGCTCATCGAATCCTAAGGGGTTGGCACGCAAAACGACACGGGGGTCTTCTGGTCCGTAATAATATTTCCCGTTGGGAACATCTAATTGATAGTCAAATGAAATTGGTAAAATATAAGGGAAGGTTTGTTCTCTAAAATTCAAAATCTTGGACATGATCATTTCGTCAAAGGTTCCGTCGCTTCTGAGACCTTTCTTTAATACCTGTTCTTCAAAGGGAACCTCCAAAGACATTGTGGGAATTTCTTGCCAGTTTGTGTCGAATAATTGAATGTAAAGAAAACTGGCAAAGGCCTTGTTGGGAATACCAGTAGGAGTCCACAAGACTCTACTGACCATGTAATGGCAGTTGAACTGGGGCAACCAGACCGAAGAGCCGGCGAACCTAAGCCATTGCTTTTCTTCGGGGATGGTTGGCTTGAACTTATCCTTGGCTTGCTTGAGGATATTGACAAATTCAACATTCTTGTTTAATTCATTCATGAAGATTTCATGGTTGGCATTCAAGTAGCTTTGTTCGGAGACCTCAAACGAATCTTCAAAAAGGATGTTTCTGCACATGTTGGCTTCGTTAAACACGTAGTCTCGAGGTTTGTCGTTGATATACGGGAAGGGGTCGGTGAAGGTCTTTAACGAAACGGTCTTGAAAGGGGAGTCGATTAACCCTTGGGCTAAGGGGAAGGATTTGCTCTTGTCGTATGACGCCAAATGCTTCAACTTTACTTCATCTTCGGGTTTAATCTTGTGGTTGAGTTGGTTGACGTTATCGCCCTTGGACAAGGTATTCGGTAAGTATGATGTTATATGTCTATTCAGGGCTGATATAGTGAGGAAAATGGCGAATAATGCAGCCACTAGAACTAAGAGTTTGGAGTACCTTCTGGCCAACCGTAAGATCAACCTATGCACTGACTTTTCACTATGCATCATGTACTAACTATAGTAGTAAGACTAAATTTTCAGCAAGAACCAAAAGAACTAAACAAAAGTTAGAAAAAAGTCAAGGGTTTTCAAATGAAATTAGCGTTGATGTGTCAAGGGGAATCAAAAAATGGTTTTCATGTTTTTTTTTTATTTTTTTTTTATTTTTTTTTTTTCTATTCCTTTTTATTATTTTTTTTCTCCCTTATTTCTTCGCTTTGTGTGTGGCTGATGAATGAACCCTTGAATTGGTCCTTTGTTGTCAACTGCATTTGTTTGCTGACGCTAGTCAAAGACGTGTTTGTTCACCACGTGAACACAAAGTGCCCCTGGATAGATTACAGTGAGTGGATTAATTGCTACTTTTAATATGCAACTCCGCAAAAATCTGATAATATGACGTTTAAGAGAATAACCGACAAGCTTCTGTCCCTCAGATTGATTTTCCTGCATGCGCCAATCTATAAATAGTGCTGATGTGTACCTAGTAGCTACAGCTGTGAGCTATTGGTCTAAATAAGGTTATATTATTTAAGAAATAACCTTAGATTTTGACTTTATAAGGAAGATCGATAATAACAATGCTTATTGTCGTGTGACACGATATTTTGTATCTGAATAATAAATTTCAAGTGCTAATTTTATGTATTGTTTTTTTTTCTTTCTTTTTTTTTTTACTTTATTGTCTTAGGTGGTTCTGCGTCGAACCTTGTCGCGATTACCCTTTCCGTCCTAGATAGAACCTTGGTATATATGGATACTTTAAGCACAACGGCTAAATTATAGTGGTACATACCAAGTAGTAACATACGAGGGGCTACCCCCCTCAACTTTAAACTTTGACATATGCGTCCCTGCTTAGCCGAGAAATTTTTCAATCTTACTAAATTTTTATTCTTACATTCTTTAATAATACAATATTTCTATTTACTTGTCAACGACTGTTCAATTAGATCAATCGAACTCTCAACCTCATCTATACCCATCCCGCAGCATATGGCTATTAGTTGACAGTATTTGCTCAACTTGTCATTGTCTCCATACTTTGACATAATCAGGTTGTGGCCCTCGCGACATCGCGGAACATCTTTTTCTTGGTTGAAAATCTGGTCCAGTAACTGTCTCTGTTTTATGATTTGCAGCTGCAATTCTTGGGTTAATGCAAATTTGTCAACGTCTTCCCCGTCATCTTGATAGCTGCTTATCAACCGATTCAACGCGGCAGCATGCGCCTTAGCTTTGACTTCCTTATACCTACTCATCACCTCGTCCAAGTCATTGCGCTTTTGCAAATATTGAAACGTCAAATCGTTAATCAACCGATAAATCTCCTCCTGAACTATTTGATTCTTGCTTAAATCAATGTTCAAGTCCAGTTGTTGACTACTGCTCTCTTGGCTACTCTCGTCCACGTTACCACGGCCCTCCTTTTCTAGTTCGTCAATCAAAAAGTCTAATTTAAACAACGACAAGACTTCTCGTTGTGATGCCAACTTGTCTTGGTTCACCTTTTGCAAAATTTTAAAATAGGTTAATATCACTTCGTCTTTTTCGCTCAACTCCTTGTCCACTATATATGCCAACTCTGCCATCTTCTCCGTGATTAAATTGGAAGTGGTGTTGTGGAGATTAACTGCAAGTTTCGATTTGTACAAATTAGCTTCAAACGATTGATTATTGAATCTGGACCCGTTCGCAGAAGAAACTAACAAATGTTCTGACGTGGAAACCCCGCCGTTCTCCTCATCCTGGTCGTCGTCTTTATCCTCCTCATCCAAACGTAACACGTAATTATGACTGGCCAAATAGTCTTCCACAGTGCATGAGACCAAGTTCCGCAAATTGAAATTGATGTATCGATGATAGCTGATAAACACCTTGATGCACTTTTTATTCAAATTATAACCTGCAATATGAAATGCCGTGTTTCCATCGGCATCCTGATGGTTTATAAACTTGGCAATCAACTGTTTTTTCTCTTGATCTCCCTCGGGCTCTCCTTCCTCCTCGTCATTCTCTGTATGTCCTTCTTCTTCAATTATCTTATCAAACAAACATTCCATGTAATATCGCGCGAACTTCTCCTTGTTTGCTTTCTTTTTGTCGCTTTTGTTCCCCTCATGGTCAATGTGGACTATATGATGCAACACCGTTTTTCCTGATGCATCAACCAATAAAATCGACTCCAATAATAGCTGTAAAATCAGAGGAAAGTTGTGCAACTGGTATGAATTATTAAACCGCACAAGAAACATCAACGGTGTTTCACCATGATTATTCCGTATATCTGGAGTAATAAATTCCAGAAATGTCAGGAGCAAGAATTCAATCATGGGTATATTGGCCATGGAGCAGGCCCAATGGAAAAGTGTGTTTCCATCATTATCTATCGGTTGATCAATGTTAATTTTACTCAATGGTTGTGGTGGGTTGACTAGACTTTCTGGAATGGCTGTTCGTGCCTTGTTGTTGTCCTCATCGAGAAAGTATGTCAACAAGTTGGAAAAGTATTTGGAATAGATGTCTTGACTAGACGAGAATCCACTCGGCTGGTGATATTGCTGTAAGCTGTAAGGATCATTTGGTCCTGCTGGTCTCCCTGGTTTTTCAAATGATTCTCGTGAAACTCCAAATAATTCTTTGCTAGTAAGCAAGTCATCATGATGGGATACCAAGGGATGTAAATCGCCATTCCCGCTGGGGTAATATCGTCTAGTACTGCCAGTTATTCTAAAACCGGCCGACTCTTCGTTTCTGTCATCGTCATCAACTTCACTATCCACGGCCTGTAAATCCTCCTGTTTAAGATTCATGTTCATTAAATGAAGTGGGGCATCTTGTTCAGTGTCTTGTCGAGTCAATGCTGGCAACATACCCACGAATGAAGTCTTAATCGTGGAAGCGCCTCCATTGGGGTTATACCCGGTATAATTCCCGGAAACTTGTGGTTCCAAAGGTGTAGTATCTGAATGTTTTAAGGTTGGTGTTTGGCTGAGGGCAACACGTTTAGGTCTTCCTCTTTTTTTGGGTTCAAGTGGAGAGCCAGACTTTGTTCGTTTATTGCCTGCATGCAGTTGTTGTTGTTGCTGTTGCTGTTGTTGCTGCTGCTGCTGCTGCTGTTGTGCTTGTCGCTTGGCTACGTTTAATGCCAGGGCATGGTTGTGTTTGGGAGCAGGTGGGGGAGTTTCAGATTTCCCCTCGATATATCTAAATTCAAAAATCGGTCTTAGTACCTCATACACCCCGAAATTCTTGGCAATCTGTTCGCCAAAGTCGAGCGGAACATACGTCCCTTGATATTTCCCATACCCACCTTGTACTTTCTCGTGGACGCCGATCTGGACATCCTTCTCCAAGATTCGAGTACGTTTGGCCTTGGGGAACTTGGCGATTTTCAAAATGTGGGTGGCATTTATCCATGAATCCAGTTTCCGTCTCATGATTGGACCTTCGGAAGTCACGAACTCGAACACGGGCACGTTCGAATACGTGGCGGAATATATTTGTGTGTTAGCCATTACTTGTTTTTGTTTTTTTCCAAGGGTAGTTAGATGAAATTGGGGGGGGGGGGGGGAGGGGGGTGATTGGATGGGTTTAATTAGAAGCCAGCTAGCTAATAATGATCGAAATGAAGTTGTATATATTGGTATGTGGTTTTATCGTCGTCGAGGCGATTTATCAATTTGATTTATGGATGGAATTCAATGCTGTTGTTGTTATAGTTTAAACAGAGTAAATCCAATTTCATGATTTTCGTTGTTTTTGACTTTTGTATGTGCGAGAAGAGTCGACCACAAAAACCCCGTCAGTTGTATGCAGGTCGCCAATGTCTGTCAATTGCAAGGCTGTTCAAAACCACTCCCCCTCCCCAGGTGGGCCGGTTACACATGCAATTGAAAGTGCAATTGGGTGTAGCCCCATGCAGAAACATACGTGTGTCTTAGACCAAATACGTTGATCGAGTTAAATGTGTACAGTTTTATCGACAGTAGCAGAAAGTCACTATGCACACGTACGTGACACGGCTCTTGATAATGCAGGGGAACGTAGCTCCTCCTTCTACGCCAGTAAAAACAAAAGACACTCTAATTCAATACGGTAGCACCTTCTATACACAATCTAAACTATAATTAAGTTATACTACCCATATCTATCTATCTGGAAGTCACCAAGTCATATAATCGTAAACATGCAAAACTCATTAATAACCCAAATGCAAGAATTAATATGATCCCAGTATTCATATACTTGTTTTTACTTTCTTGGTGTTCTTGCTCGGTATCAAATGGGATGACAATGCATTGATATTGCACCACCAGAAGAAGTTGTCTTCGGTATATAAACGTGCAATCCTCCACGGTGATTTCGTCAGTATGGAAATTCTTGGCGATAACTCGAAGGAAATATCGTATCAAACTTCCTTCAAGGACTAAAAATGCATCACGAAGAACTCTTTGTTCGCCAATTAACCGTTGGCTTGCTTCTTCTAAATAAATCAACTCTTCGTCGGTCCCGGACCAATGCTGGACTAACCGAAGCTGGTTTCTTACTCGCGTAACCGAATGCAATACTGCCCTGCTCTTGTTCAATGCTTCGGGAATTGCCAACCCGCTAAGGTTACTGAAGTTTTCAAACAACAAGTGAGTGCAATTTATCGATTTGTTGGTAAGCTCAAGACCTTCAACCGCGGCATCTAGCAATAATAACGTCACTTCCTTGATGTCTTGGTCAATCCCCCGCTGGTCCCATCTGGCCATGTTCTTCGGAGTAATGGCATCATTGAAATCCTTCTCTAGCGACTCCATGTAGATCTTGGCGGTGATGGCCAACAGATCGACATCACGAAGCGGTGGTATCTTCTTCAATAATGTGGCGTATGTGAATAGGATGTCGTAAAACACCGACAATTCTCGCTTCAAGCTAATGAGATATTGGCCGGTGCCTCGGTAGTACACGCGTTCGAATATTTGAACTTTGGTCATTTGCTGTTGTTGGTGGAAGTCAGCTTGAGTGGTGGTCGGGAAATCGAACGAATCTGCTCGATCTCTGAAGTTGTATGACATTGTCTTTTGTATATGCGTGAGCGAGGTGAAATCGGAGTATTACTAATACGATGTATGGTTCAAACTTTTGTGTTGATTTTGTGATCTGTGTTAATTTCTGGTATAATCAGTCTCTTTCTGAGATATATAATGATCTTTTAACTATTTCAAACGAGTCGATCACAATTATTCTGTTTGATTGTTTTGACCACCTGACTCCATCGGTAAGCGTTCACGATAAACAGGCAAAAAAAAAAAAATGAAAGAAAAAAAAAAAAAAAAAAACTAATTTGTTGTCATAAATTTTACAGCAACCAGAAATAGCCACTGAAATTACAATTCACCACTTCATTCCTTTGGCCACACCAATTATTTCACAATATGGGTGTGTTTAATATCTTCGGAAAAGGTCAGGAGTTTGACCCTAAGCAATTCGAGAAAGACTTGACTGCCATTGTGGAAAAAATTACCAGTACTAACCAACAAATATCGGGGCTACGGTCTAGAGACAAGTCTATTAAACGAGCGCTAATTCAATACTTGACTATCTTGTATGTGCTTGTATGCACCTACACTTACACCAGAATACCCTATAATACCGTAGGACGGAACATCATAGCGAGGTTTATTAGCGGACAAACCCCAAACCAATTGTTGGTAACGGTGGCGTATCCTGTGGTGGCAATATTTTTTGTCAAATTAATTCACTATTGCTTCCAATGGTTAATAAATGGGAGAACACGCAAATTGGAAGCACTTAAGAAGAAACATAAGGATAAGATTGAGGAATTAAAGAAAATCTCTAATTTTAACACAACTAGTGAATTGATTAACAAATACGACAAACCAACACAGCCACAGCAACAACCGCAGCATCCACAAGCTCAACAACAGCTGCAAAAGAGCGAAAAAGCTCAGCCTAGCCGCAATACAAGGCCAATGTCACCACTTGAGAAGCAAGCTTTAAAGGAATTAAATCTCAAACAAGCACCACCTTCTTTGGATCAGTTGCAACCGCCAAAGAGAAACTTACAAGATAGACTATTGGATATACTTATAGGATCAGACAATAATGAGTCAATTGAGAATAGGTATGCATTGATTTGCTATAATTGCTATACCCATAACGGATTGGCTCCTCCAAATACAACCGATCCTATCCTTGTCAAGTACCAATGTTGGAAATGTGGGGTCATGAATGGACAGGACATGCTTCTCCATGAAATGAGCAAGCTAGACCAACAAAAGAGTAAAGAAGATCTACCAGAAGCGCAAGAGGAGAAGGAGGAGGAGGGGGAGGATGATGATGATGCTAATGAGGACGACTCTAAAACTGCTACAACTCCAGAGTCGCTGGTTGAATCTAAAGAGGAAATACCAGCCGAGTCAAATTGATTGCTAGTTTGTGTATAGTTTGTAAATTTAAATAAATGTTCGGGTTATCTCAAAAAAGGTATATTAAATACTAAATACGATATTCATACTCTAAACTTAAGACAAGTCCATGATAGCATTGACCATGTCACCGTCGTGCTTTCTTAAAGCCTTGACAGCCTTGGCTCTGGAAACTTGGGTTTGTTCAATGATGATGTCAATGTCCTTTTCGTCTAAGCCGGAAGCATCAACTTCACCTTCTTCGTCATCGGCTTCTTCTTCCTTGTTTTCTTCCAAGGTGGCCTTTTCCAAGTCAGCAGTGATATCTTCTGGAGACTTGTCAGCAGTAGCAGCGTCAGCGGCAGCCTTTTGTAAAGCTTCTTGTTGAGCTTGTTGGGCTTGAGCTTCGGCAATTCTCTTGTTCATGTCATCAACCTTGGCTTCACCAAAGACAACATAAGTACCAGCAGCAGATCTGTATACATCTGGGGCGTCAATGGCGTAAATCAAGTTACCCTTTTGCTTGAAGGTAACACGAGAAATACCCTTGATTTGCTTCAAGTTCAACTTCTTGATCAATTCTCTGGCCTTCTTTTCATTCTTTGGGATGACATTGACGTCAGCACCTTGTGGGATTTCTTCAACGGACATTGTTAGTTTTTGTTATGTATGACTATATATGAAGAAATAAGGGTTGGCAAATTTAAATTTTTCAAAAATTCGTCGACAAAACTTTTCTCGTTAGGTCTCAAATTGGAATTGGCCTGAGAGTGTTACCCGGATCGCCACTGCAAATATTTTTTTGATCTTTTTTTTTGCTATAAATACCCAAGCAATCCTGGGCTAGTTTTTGTAAATCTTTTTCCCTTTCTTTTTCTTTTCTCTGTCGACGTACTTCATAGGATCATTTCTATAGGTCACGTCCCTCTTTGACTCTTCAAAAGAGCCACTGAATCCAACTTGGTTGATGAGTGTGATTACCCTTGTACCCTCAAAGTGAGAAACTATTTAGCTTGACTGTGATTCTTTGCAATCTGGTCATCTACTTATATTTGCCTTTATTCAATTAAAGGAGCGATGATCTTTATCCTTTTCATTGTACCTTTTCGGAGGGGTTTGGATTGGATGGGTACAAGTGGCTGTCTGACAAGTTACAATATTTCCCGTTTTAGGGGTATTATTGTGATTTATAGTCTAAACTTTGTTGTGTGTCGACCGGTGCATTGATAGTTGAGCCCATCATCGCAAAAGTGATGACGGTCTCTTCTGTCGGTGCCAAAGGCGTAAACTCGTTGGTCTTCTCTTTGCGCTAGCCTTCTGCGTAGATATGTTTGCGCATATGCAAGAATGAGTAGAGTCATGTTGGCTATGTCCAATTTTCTTTTACGAAAAGAGGAAACAACATTACCCTATGAGGACCCCTGTGGGACCGCTTGTATCATTGACTATTGTGTCAACCCATAATCTTGGCATAAGCGGCTGTGTAACATTCCCTCATCAACCTCATCGGAAATACCCACTTCCGTTTTGGTCTAGTTCCGATGAGTGGTCGTGAAATTATACAAATTGGTAAACAATGACAAATTAACTTACGGTGGAAAAAATAACCGGAAATAAATGATCTTACTAATTCAGGACAAACTCTTCTAAATTGTTCAGCCTTGACTTTCTCAGTGCGAAACGGCCATGCCGGATGTTTCGTCTTGGTTATTGCGCATGCTAGTCTCCGTAAAATTCTTACTTTCCCATTAAAGCCGAACGGCAATAAAAAAAAACACACACACAAAAATTCAATTAAAAATAAAAGCCAGAATTCCCTGCTTGTTTGTGTTTTAAATACCACAGTCAATTTCACTTCCTCTTTGATTAGCTATTTTCACATTTTGTCTTCTTCTGAATCGTCACTACAACTATCCTTACATTTGCTACTTAATTCCATGGCAGTATACACCCTGCACCTGTACATTTAATAGATCCCCCCCTCCCCTCCCCACCCCTTGCATTTAATATTTAATTTGGCTGCATCACCATGGAAGAACTTAAACCAGAACAATCCGACCCCATCAATCCTGACAGGGTGTCTGCTACAAAGGGTAACTCATACAACAGTGAAACCACTAGTAAATCCACCGTCTCCAGTGCCGTTAATGGTAATGGATCGACTGGAACCAGGAGATCTCCCCAAGATCTCATAAACGCTGCACCCCCAACATTTAGGGCAAGAGTAGAGAGATACCTTTTCCAAAAAGGTTTAATAAATAACCGACCAGAGTACTTGCAAGAAATCTACGATAACATCCCCAGAACGATTTATTTCAATTATGACTTGCCGGATGACATGAAAGATCCCCTGGGTCATCCAATCATCCTGTACCCACGAAATAAAATTAGAACAACAAAGTACACCCCGTTATCTTTCTTACCCAAGAATATCATCTTCCAATTCACCAACATTGCCAACTTCTATTTCCTTGTGCTTGTGATTTTGGGTGCATTTCAAATCTTTGGGGTGGCATCCCCTGGTCTTGCTGCCGTGCCACTTATTGTCATTGTCTGTATTACTGCTTTCAAGGATGCATTGGAAGATTATAGACGTGGGACTAGTGACTCCGAATTGAACAATTCTCCAATCCATTTGTTATCAGGCACGCATAATCCAAATGTGTTGACTACCGAAGTTGGTCCCTGGAGAAGATTCAAGAAGGCATGTACGAGAGGTACGTTTGCCACGTTCAGGGCTTTCAAGAAGTGTGGAGTATTCATTTGCGGAAACAAGAAAAAGAAACAAGAGTATATCAGGCAGCAAGTACAAGAAGAAGAGTATGCCTTACACAGAGTGTCTACTGTTCATTCAGAATATTCATACCAATCCCAACCCGAACCTAGATTAAGTCTAGACTCAAGACGGGCAAGTATGTTATCGGGTCCGAACATAAGAAAGTCGATGCAATCAGGAAGATCCCGTCATCGTCCCACCGTGGCCCTTCCTAATTCATTGTTAAACCCTGTCCTCAAGAAGGAAAACGAGAATGTTGGAGACGACAAGAGACCTCTGTTTAAGAATAGACGCTGGAAAGATGTCAATGTCGGTGATATCATCAGAATAAGAGCCAATGAAGAAGTGCCCGCTGATGTTATTATCTTGTCTACTTCCGACCCAGAAGGAAACTGCTTTGTAGAGACCAAGAATTTGGATGGTGAAACTAACTTAAAGACGAGAAATGTGTTGAAATGCGGTGGTACCAACAACTTGAAGCATTCTGATGACTTGGGGGATACGAAATTCTGGGTCGAATGTGATGCACCAAACCCAAGTTTATATACCTTTAGAGGAACAATCCATTATGAAAATTATGACGGTAGTGGTAATTTGGTCAATCCCGATGAAAAGGAAGCAATTACTCCAGATAACGTTTTGTTGCGTGGTTGTATGTTGAGAAACACAAAATGGGTCATTGGTCTTGTGGTTTACACTGGTCCAGAATCGAAAATTATGCTTAATTCCGGTATTACCCCCACCAAAAAGTCAAGAATATCCAAGGAATTGAACTTGTCCGTTATAATCAACTTCTTGTTGTTGTTCATATTATGTTTTATTTCGGGGTTGATTAATGGGTTGTTTTACCGTAGAACCGATAATTCCCGAGCCTACTTTGACTTCCAACCATTTGGAGGTACACCGGCAATTAATGGTGTGCTTGCATTTTTTGTGACGTTGATTATCTATCAAGCATTGGTTCCTATTTCGTTGTATATTTCCGTGGAAATCATCAAAACTCTCCAGGCATTCTTCATTTATTCTGATCTTAAGATGTATTATGAGAAATTGGATTTCCCGTGTATTCCTAAATCCTGGAACATTTCTGATGATTTGGGTCAGATTGAGTATATTTTCAGTGATAAAACCGGTACTTTGACTCAGAACGTTATGGAGTTCAAGAAGTGTAGTATTGGTGGGAAATCTTATGGATTGGCATATACTGAAGCTAAACAAGGGTTGGATAAACGTAATGGATTAGATACTGTGGCTGAAATGAATAAATGGAAAAAGAGAATTAGTGACGATAAACAAGAAATGGTTGAGCTTTTGACAAAGTATAGCTCAAATGATCAATTGCGTGAAGAAAATGTCACTTTTGTTTCTAGTGAGTATGTCAAGGACACCATGATGGAAGATCTGTCCCGTAAAGAAATCAACGAACGTTTCATGACAGCATTGGCATTGTGTCATACCGTGGTTACTGAAGTGAGTGAGACTGATCCTGGGTACCGTAATTTCAAGGCTGAATCTCCTGATGAATCTGCATTGGTTTCCGTTGCCAGAGACTTGGGTATTGTGTTTAAAGAAAGATTAAGAAAGTCGGTGATTATTGACATATATGGTGAAGAGTTGACATATGAATTGCTAGATATCATTCCATTCACCTCAGCTAGAAAGAGAATGTCGTGTATCCTTCGTGCTCCAGATGGTAGAGTAATTGTATACACCAAAGGTGCAGATAATGTAATTTTCCAAAGATTAGACCCCCATAACAACTCCAATGATGTGATTTCCAAAACTGCACTTCATCTTGAAGATTACGCCACTGAAGGGTTGCGTACATTATGTATCACTGAAAAGGAAGTTGATTACGACTATTATAAAGCTTGGAGTGCAAGATATGGTGAAGCTAATGCATGCATTGATGATAATCGTGACGAATTAATTTCCAAAGTTGAAGACGAAATTGAATCCAACTTGATCTTGTTGGGTGGTACCGCCATTGAAGACAGATTACAAGAAGGTGTGCCTAGCTCAATTGCGATTTTGGCCCAAGCAGGTATTAAATTGTGGGTGTTGACTGGAGATAGAATTGAAACTGCCATTAACATTGGATTTTCGTGTAATCTTTTAGAAAATGAAATGAAATTATTAGTTGTTAGACCAGAAGAAAATGATTTGGAAAATGTGGCCTATGTCGATGCGTTGATCACGGGATACTTAAAAGACCATTTTGGTATTGATACATCTGATCCAGCATCTATTCCTCCCTTGGTTGAGGCCGCTCAAAAGGATCACTCTGCTCCTAATCCAAACTTTGCTGTTATTATTGATGGTGCTGCTTTACATTTAGTGTTCCAAGATTTGGTAGAACTTGAAGATGAATCGGTCAAGGCGTTGAAGGATAAATTCTTGTTATTGGGTAAGCAATGTAAGTCAGTCATTTGTTGCCGTGTGTCTCCTTCGCAAAAGGCCGAAGTGGTGAAGTTGGTCAAAGACTCGCTTCAAGTCATGACTTTGGCAATTGGTGATGGTGCCAATGATGTCGCTATGATTCAAGCTGCTAATGTTGGGGTGGGTATTGCTGGAGAAGAAGGTCGTCAAGCAGTTATGTCCTCAGATTATGCACTTGGACAATTCAGATATTTGACTCGATTATTGTTGGTTCATGGCAGATGGTCTTATAAGAGATTGGCAGAAATGGTTCCCTGTTTCTTTTACAAGAATGTGGTTTTCACATTGACTTGTTTCTGGTATGGTATTTTCAATAATTTCGATGGGTCATACCTTTACGAATACACCTATCTTATCTTCTATAACTTGGCATTCACTTCCTTGCCAGTTATCGTGTTGGCTGTTTTGGATCAGGATGTTTCCGATACTATTTCCTTGTTGGTTCCTCAGTTGTATAGAAGTGGGATCTTGGGTTTGGAGTGGTCACAATATAAATTTGCGTGGTATATGTTGGATGGTCTTTATCAATCGGTAATTTCATTCTTCTTCCCATATCTTTTATACTTGGTTTCGTTCCAAAATCCTCAAGGTACTACTATCGATCATAGATTCTGGATTGGGGTTGTTGCCATCAGTATTTCCGTTACCGCATGTAATATCTATGTGTTGTTGCAACAAAGAAGATGGGATTGGTTGACGCTTTTGATTGATGGTATTTCCATCTTGTTGGTTTACTTCTGGACTGGTGTCTGGAGTGCTAATGTGACTGCAGCAGGTGAATTCTTCCGTGCTGGTGCTCAAACATTGGGTACCTTAGCAGTATGGTGTTGTATCTTTATTGGTGTGCTTGTCTGTGTGTTGCCTAGGTTCATTTATGATTTCTTGTTCAGAAATTTCAAACCTAAGGATATCGATATCATTAGAGAGCGAGCAAGAATGGGAGAATACGATGATTATCCTGAAGGGTATGATCCTACCGATGCCGAAGATGTCGAAAGACACAGATTGTTGACTGAGATTATAGACCACGATCCTAAGATGTTGGAACAATTGCAAAATGAAGAAAAACAGGCACAAGAAAAGCCGGAAGAACTCGACCATAATCCATTAGCAAGAACTTTCAACACAATCAAGAAACGTGCTACTATTCAAAGATCGAGAAGAAACACAGTCAGATCAAGAAAGAACACCATAAACGACCAATTCCATCGCCCTATTGATATCAATTTGTTGAGACAACAGATGATCCAACGGGGAGAATACCAAACTGCCAGAACATCATTGGAGAGAATTAATACTACCCATGAGCTTCCTGGTTTAACCCAAGCGGAAACTTTGATCCAGTATCATACCAGAAATAGTATGACCTTGAATAGGTGATTTTTTGTATAATATATTTGTGTATAATAGTTTAATTCGAGCTTAACTGATAAAATCGTAATTTTGCAGCAGATTCGTATACGCGAGATCTTTGTGTGAACTGGTAGCGCCTGGGCTTTCGTGTCCGGCACAATTTCTCAAAATTTCAAAATGGGTCTCCAAAATTTATCTGGCGACACAACAGCACTTGTTTATTAGCAGCAACAAACGAAGACGGGTCGATCTATCCATGTTCTCATTCTCCTTAATCAGTCCACTGGAGGGAGATCTTTCGTTCAAGGCATCGTTGCTTTCGTTTGACAATGAATTCAAGTTGTTGGCTGATCCATCTTGGGATGGGAAAGATGCCAATGCTGTCTTGTTTATGGAACAACATTTACTGGAAGTCAATGCCGTGTTGTTATCTCACTCCACTCCTGATTTCATAAGTGGATATGTATTATTATGTTTGAAATTCCCTAATTTAATGTCCACCATGCCCGTTTATTCAACATTGCCTGTTAATCAACTAGGTAGAATATCGACTGTGGAATACTACAGAGCCAATGGTGTTTTGGGTCCGTTGGATTCTGCGATTCTTGAAATAGACGAGGTGGACAATTGGTTCGATAGGGTGACTTTGTTGAAGTACCAGCAATCAACCAATCTAATGGATAATAAAGTGACCATAACCCCATACAATGCCGGACATACCCTAGGTGGTGCCTTCTGGCTCATCGTGAAAAGAATAGATAAGGTGATATATGCCCCAGCATGGAACCACTCCAAGGACTCGTTCTTGAACAGTGCATCATTCATATCGACATCCACAGGAAACCCATTACTCCTGTTGCTCCGACCAACGGCATTCATCACAGCTCCCGATTTAGGATCCACCATGCCCCATAAACGAAGAACAGAGAAGTTTTTGCAACTAGTTGATGCCACTTTGGCCAACGGGGGAGCTGCGTTATTGCCTACGTCTCTATCAGGTAGATTTTTAGAGTTATTTCATTTAATTGATGAACATTTGCAAGGTGCACCTATACCCGTATATTTCCTTTCTTATTCCGGTACCCGGATATTAAGCTATGCTTCGAATTTGCTTGATTGGATGTCGGGGAGCTTTATCAAGTCTTGGGATGAAACTAGTGGGGATGGTGGTAGAGGCGGTGGCAAGGCATTGCTGTCGATGCCGTTTGATCCTTCCAAGGTAGACTTGTTGTTGGACCCCAGTGAATTGATTCAGTTGAGTGGGCCCAAGATTGTGTTTTGTTCCGGAATTGATATAAAGAGCGGGGATATTTCATCAGAGACGTTTCAGTATTTATGTAACAACGAGAAAACTACAGTTATATTGACGGAGAAATCCCAGTTGGAAAATGGCGGATTGAATTCTATGCTTTATAAAGAATGGTATGAATTGACCAAGAAGAAGTTGGGTGGTAAGATTGAAGATGGTACTGCTGTACCGTTAGACAAGACAGTTTCAATTGAAGATTGGACCAGAGAAACTAATTTGGAAGGTAGGGAATTGAGTGACTTCCAAGAAAGAATAACCCAACAGCGGAAGGAGAAATTGCTTGCTAAAGTGAGAGATAAGAAGAATCAAAATATATTGAATGCTGAAAATGTCGATGATGAAGATTCTTCTGAAGATGAAGACGAAGAAGAACAAGTACCGGAAGAAGAAACCAAAGGCGAAGCTGCCAAATCTGTCACAACAACAGACGCAATAGTAACAACAGCTACAAGTGTCGTTGATGAGTTAGCTGCCCATGAAGCATTTGTTATGGATCATATAAAGCAAAGTTTGAAGGATAATATACCAATTGATCTTAAAATCACACATAGATTAAGACCAAGACTGGCTATGTTTCCATACTTTATGACTACTCGTAAACAGAAATTCGACGATTATGGCCAAGTAATCGATGTCGCTGATTTTGAAAAAACAGACGAAACTTCCAATGCCAAGATCATCATGGAAGGTAAGAAGAAGTTTGATGAAAAGAGAAGGTGGAATGAAGAAAAGAGTAATGATGATAATAAACAGAAAAAGAATCAAAATAAACAACAGGCAAACAAGTTGACACCACAAGAACAGTTGAACCAGCAATTAATTCAAAAGAACTTGGATACTTTGTATAATCCGAGAAAGAGAGTCCCACTCAATGCTGCTTCTTCGTTTGCTTCGCAATCTCAAATGTTGAAGATCAGATGTGGGTTATCGTTTGTTGATTTGTCCGGGTTGGTTGATTTAAGATCTCTTGGTATTATTGTCCAAGCACTTAAACCATATAATTTGCTTTTGCTTCCTGATTTCAATAGCATTCCCGAATTGGAAGTCAATGGGTTGAAACAAGTACAGGAGATGTTTGATCATCAGCAAAATGAGCAATTGCAAGAAGAAAGCAAGAAAAAGATCTTGACTTCTTCGAGATACTTGTCGCTCTCTTCGATTAGAAGTGGGCTTTCTAGTGCCATATCCACTTATGGTGGTAATAAAATGAACGTTTTGGTGGTTGAAAGTGACAAGCCGGTGAAGATCGGTACCGAATCCGAGTCTGGAGGAATTGGATTGAATAATTTTGAAATCAATTTGGACGATTCCATTATCAAGGATTTGAGATGGCAAAAGATTGGCAGCAACTATCGTGTTGCTAAAGTCCATGGGGAATTGGAATTACAAAATCCGATTGCGAAAGAAAAGACAGAGCGGACCCTTAGTGATTATATAAATCCCACCACCTACTTCACATTGAAGAAACTGGATGATGAAAGTCTCCGAAAACGTCGCAAGGTTGTCAACCAAAGATTGCAAGATCCGAAATTAAAACCATTGATTTCCAACGGTCCTAAGTTGGCGATTGGGAATATCAGATTGCCGGATTTAAGAAAGAACTTGCAGGAAAAGAATATGAATGCTGAGTTCAAGCAAGAGGGTACGTTGGTGGTTAATGATGTATTGACCATAAGAAAAGTTGCATATGGGACTAGTGAAAGTGATGATTCCGGAGATATTGTTATAGAAGGTAATGTCAGTCCTTTGTACTATGAAGTGAAGGAATGTATTAGAGAAATGTTAGCATATGTTTAATTTGTATTATATAAATAAAATGATTGCAAAATCACAAGGTAGTGCGCCTGGCTCAATTTTTTTTTGTTCATCCAATTAGGGTGCCGAAATTATCAATGCGAAAAACCTTTAACGTATACAGTATAGTAGACTACACCAGTACACCAAGATGAGACCATATTCTAAATCAGGAGGAACTGCTAAGTGTTTCTACGAATTCCAAACCTTCGTTGCCTGCTACACATCTGCTGAAACCGTCAACAGGAAAGAATGCACCCCAGCGTTTGAAGATTATGCTGAATGTTTGCATGGTACCAAGGAAAGAGAAAGAGCCAGATTGATGATGCAACAGTTGAAAGAAAATGAACAAAACAAGAGTGGTGTCACTGCTTCTGATTTGTACAAGTCATCCGGTAGAGTCTACGAAAACTTGGATTTGATCAAGCAATAAGTCACACCACTAACTACCACAAACAAAGTGTTGATTCCAGCAAACATAATCTAACGACAAGGTGTTGATGCTTTAGAAGTTACCATTTTCCATATTTATTTCATTTGGTGTGTGTCCTTTTTTGCAAGGTTCGCTCCAACAAAGTCCAGCTGATTTTACGTCACCACATCAAGTTCAATTAGTGCATTCAACCTTTACTACCTCCATCCCCTGTAAATTATATACGTTTTTATTCATGAGATAAGGAATATACATACATTAGTTAAAGCGCCTGTTGGATTTCCATCTTGTAGATGTAGCAATTCCATGTAGCACTGGCAATCGTGTTGATGTTGTTGTCAGTAAATGTGGATGTTTACAGTGCTGCCAAAATTTTGTTAATAAATGCGCATCTCTTTTTCTTGCAACAACATCCAACTATCACCAGGAGTATTCACCATGGACGCGGCTGAGGCTATACCGCCTAATCAAATAACAAGCAAGGGGATCCTTCAGGAAGCGTACAAGCAGAAGGAATCCAAATTCACCCGGCCACAGCAAACAATTCAAGATCTTGATGAACTACAATCGTTCCAACAAGCAAAACGTAAAGAATACGAACAACAACTAAACAAGAACCGATTAAACTACGGCGAATGGCTCAGGTATGCTCGCTGGGAAGTGCAGCACAATCACGATTTCCCTCGTGCTCGGTCTATAATGGAACGAGCATTGGATGTCAATAATCAACATGTGCCGTTCTGGGTGCTGTATATTCAATTGGAATTGTCCCACAAGAATATCAATCACGCCCGGAATTTACTTGACCGTGCCGTGAAAATACTACCTCGAGTTAATAAATTGTGGTTTCTTTACGTTCAAACTGAGGAATCGTTAAAGAATTACCATGTGGTGAGAAATGTGTTTGAACGTTGGTTACGATGGCATCCGGAGCCAGCAGCTTGGGATGCGTATGTCTCGTTTGAATCAAGGTATGAAGAGTACGATAATGTCCGTAATATTTTCATAAGATACATTCAGGAATACCCTAAAGGGGAAACGTGGAACAAGTGGGTGGATTTCGAATTAGAAAACTCAGTTGAAAATGTAAATTCTATACGAGCAGTGTTTGAATCGGCGGTGGACACATTGCTAGTTAGAGTCGATGAAAATGACCCTTACTTGCCAGTAATCATATCTAGATGGGCTGATTGGGAAGTCTCATGCGATGAACTTGAAAGAGCAAGAGAAATATTTGAGTTAATAACTGGAGATCGATTGAACTTACCGGCAAGTTTCCGTGATTCCATAAATGAATTGTTTACCCAATTTGAAAAGGTTCATGGCACTAAAGATTCAATCCAATCAAGCACAGTTTTAAAACGCAAGGAACGATACGAATCGGATATTGCACAAGATCCAACCGACTATGATTCCTGGTGGAAGTACATAACCATTCTACAATCAAATCAGAGAGTGGCTACTATTCAAGAAGCATTCAAGAACGCACTATCCAACGTTCCTAAGGATAAATACAAGTCCATCAAGTGGAGACGATATATCATGCTCTGGATTAGATTTGCATTATGGGAAGAAATACAGAACGGAGACATCGAAGCTGCTAGGACAATATGGGATGATTGTTTAAAAGTAATCCCTCATAAATTATTCACTTCCGGTAAAGTATGGAAGGGCCTTGCCGAGTTTGAACTAAGAAATAATAGTACTGAAGATAATCTCGCAAAAGCCCGAAAGGTATTGGGTAGAGCAATTGGCCAAACAAGTGCTAATGGACCAAAAAACAATATTTTGGAATATTATATAAATCTTGAAACAAAATTAGGTGAATGGGATAGGGTACGGTTGTTGTTTGAGAAATGGTTGGAAATTGCATTAACTACATCAACTTCTTGTCTTGATATATTGAAGCAATATGTTGAGTTTGAACAATCTTTGGGTGAGTACCAGCGTTGTGAATCAATATTGTCTTTGTTTCTCGACTTATCCAACAATAAGGCTACTGCAGCCTCGTTTGAACCTGTTGACAAGTTTTTCCATTTCTGTGTGGAATTCTATAAAGATGAAATGAAGTACGATGAAATTAGAAAAATGTACCGAGACTTGTTGGAAAAGTCACCCAGTGCGTCTAATTGGATATCTTTTGCTTTGTTTGAATCAACGATTCCCTCTAAAGAGCAGTTGGAAGAGTATTTACAATCTGAAGCTGACAGTTTTGAAGTTACTCTACAAGACGAGCAAATTGAAAACACGAGAAACTTATTTGAAGAAGCAGAAAAATATTTTCAAGACAAACAAGCTAACGAAGATCGGTTGGTTGTAATCGAAGCTTGGAAGAATTATGAAGAAGTTCATGGCGACGACGAAAGCTTCGATAGAGTGTCCAAGAAGATTCCTACTATTGTGAAAAAGACACGTAATGTAGATGGAATTGAACAAGAGTACTTGGATTATGTGTTTCCAGAAGATAAATCGGATGTGTCGTTCTCAGTCAATGCATTCTTGGCCAATGCAAAGAAGTGGGCGGCGCAATCCAATGATGTATAGAATTTGTATCAAACATGGTAATAATATTAAGGCAGGGTAAAAAAAATTGATTAAACGAGTAAAAACATCATGTATATAGCTCTATTCTAATGACCACCTCTTAAAGTTAATACCAAGTGTAACGAGGCACCAGCCAGAATACCTGATTCTTGAATAGTCTTGTCGTCGTCTAATTGGGACCCATTGAAAATCAACCGTTGTTGTGCAGGAGAGATACCTTCTTTTTCTTCCATCATTTCCTTGACTCTGATGATCTTGTCGGTTGGTTCAACGTCAACCAAGATATCTCTACCGGTCAATGTCTTGACTTTAACTTGCATTTTAATGGAGGCAATTTGCGTGGTAAGTAAAAGACTTTGATATTTTTTGTGAGGATTGTTTTTTGTCAACCATCAAATGGATGAGGAAAATCAAAGAAATTGAAACAGACAAGAAAAGAGTATGTGTTAGTGATGCTACCCACTCCTGAAGTCAAGGATATTGACTATGACAAAGTTTACGAACCATCAGAAGACTCTTTTCTTCTACTTGACTGTTTTGAACAGGAGCAAGACTATATAAGAAAACGGTTTGGCAACACAAGTCTGCCCTTGATTACTGAAATAGGCAGTGGTTCAGGAATAGTAAGTACGTTCTTTGCTAAACACATCCTACCCAAATCCGTTGTCTTGACCACGGATGTGAACCCCCATGCATGTCAAACTACATTGAACACAGCTAAGCAGAACCAAACAGAAAATGAGACACTTCGGCTTGATGCTGCTCAAATGAACTTGACTGATGCCATTAGACCTAAAGCGATTGACGTATTGATCTTCAATCCTCCGTATGTGCCTGCTTCAGAAGTTCCAGACATACCGAAGGACGAAGCTGATCCAACCTGGCTTGATTTAGCATTGCTTGGGGGTGAAGACGGTATGGTTACCACTTGGCAAGTACTAAATAATTTGCAAACAACCTTATCCCAAGATCAAGGTGTCGCATATATTTTATTCTGTGCTAGAAATAAACCTGATGAGGTTGCTGAGAAAATGAGGCGTCAGGGCTGGCAAGTTGATCTTATCATCTCCCGTAAGGCTGGATGGGAGGTCTTGAGTGTTTTACGATTTGTTAGAAACTAATTTGCATTTCTTGTAGTTAGCATTATGTAATACTGAAATAGTACACCCCAAAAAAAATTAAAGTTTATTCCATCTCGTTTAACACCTTATTTTACATCTACTTTCTATACCATGTCACACATAGAACGAGGAAGAGACTTCCAGACCCATCTGGATAAGCCTACCACGGTCAGAGAGACAAGATGGTCAGGTACACCCACCAGATACAAAGATTTCGATGGGGCCAAGTACGATACTATCATCAGTGGCCATCTCACCCAAGAACAACTAGATGCATACCAACAAGTGTTTAGAATTGAAGAGATATCTCACTACTTGCGTATCTCTCAACAACAGCATCGATCAATCTTGGAATTGTTACCTTCTTCACAAGCGGATTCCAATATTGTTTACAAGAGAGATCCTTCGCCTCCACCAAAATATGACTCTACTGGTAACAGAATAAACACACGAGACCAAAGAACAAAAGATCAGCTTGAAAAGGAAAGACATACCTTGGTTGAAACTGCTGCTCGTAGTATAAAAAATTATATGGCCCCTTCAGACTATAGAAAACCGGTCAAAACATTTGAAAAATTGTATGTTCCTGTCAAGGATTATCCCGAAATTAACTTTGTCGGGTTCTTGATTGGCCCTAGAGGTAAGACATTGAGACGATTACAAGACGAAAGTGGGGCTAGATTACAAATCAGAGGTAAGGGGTCGGTAAAGGAAGGGAAATCTGCCAAGGCGATTGACGATAAATCTATGGCTTCCATGAACGGAGCTGACTCCGCTGAAGATGACTTGCATGTTTTAATTACATCTGATTCCCAGCAAAAGATCGCCAAGGCTGTGCAATTAACTAACGAAGTTATCGAAAAGTTGATATTCTCGCCCGAAGGTCAAAATGAACTTAAACGAGAGCAGTTGAAAGAACTTGCTGTTTTGAACGGTACTTTAAGAGAAACAAAACCATTCGACCCTGAAGCTTATCAAAAGAGACAAAGGAAAACCATGGATATTTCCCAAATCATTTGTAAAATATGTGGAAACATTGGTCATTTTGCTCGTGATTGTAAGCAAAACAATGCAAATGGTATGAAGCGTCAATTTGATACATATGAACCTAGACAGAATAACCCACCACCTCCAAGTGGTACATCTTACGAAGAACAACCTTGGAAGAAATCGAGGCCTGATATATTACCACCTTGGCAAACGGCTAATACTGCTCCACACAGTCTTCCCCCTCCTCCTCCTCTGTTGATACCAGTACAATCAGGAACATACCCACCACCATCACTTCCGGTTCAATCTGGAACGTATCCACCTCCTCCGCCTTCATCACAAGCACCTCCACCTGGCCCTCCTGCTCCACCTCCGGGAATCGACACCAAGCCAATTAATCATTTACCACCACCTCCTCCACCTACGAAAACCAAACCACCACCACCTCCTCCAGGTTCAAAACCTCCGCCTCCTCCTCCATCGGCAAAATCCAAACCACCACCTCCACCCCCGCCTTCTGGTGCTTAATAATTAATGTTTATAGAGTAAATACGAGAAAGCTATATTAGCCTTTGTAGGTATGTATTAATGCAGAAATCTCTGCCCTGGATATAGAGCACAATTATAACACATTTCAGTGTTATAATCTTACCTGTCCCATTCGATCTTGTGATCATTATACTCAGCTTTTTGATAAGGGTATTGTAGAGCTTGATTTGATGTTCCTCATTATCGGGTAAATAGAAAGATGCCTATATTGGGAGAGGTTGAACTCCAAATTGACCATAAATAGCAGCAGATTTTCCCTTACAAAATGTTCATCTAAATAGAATCAATCATGTCTACTTTACAACTGTGACATGCCTTCCTGAAGCACTTGTAGTGATTCTATATTTACACAACAGTTGTATATGCTATTCTTAACTAAAGCGGTGTGAGTTTATCATTAGACAAAGTATAGCAAATTTAGCTATGAGTTGACTTGTAAATTCTTAATCTTGAATATAATGTTTAATAGAGTTTAAATAATGGCGTGGTAAACCAAAATGAAATGACGAAATTTCTTCACTAAAGTATCCATATCAGACAATTCCTGGTATGTAATACCGGGTATTACAATCATTACCATGGCCGTTGTTGTTGTTACTACGGTTGTCGTAAGATGAACATCAATTATAGAGCATCATTCTGGGCACAACTATTATTGGCTACTGTTACATAGTGGCAGCGCAATAAAATTCTATTGATAATTTGATAGAATGTCTATTGTTCTTCATGATACTCTGTTATTGGAAAATCCACAAAGATATTGCGGTACCAATATTTGAAAGTAGTCCAATTTGCAATCAATAATAATTATGCTTCTGCTATTCATAAGACACCTTATCAGACTGATTTTGGTGACTTTCCGTGGTTGTATTGCTATGTTGGATATTAACATGAAAATCACTAGTTCTGACTGTTCGGACTTTGGATAAAAAAGTCACAGTCGTTTGCAATCAGGTCCAAGAAACCATACGGCTTCATCAAAATCAGATGGAACATAGGTTTAACGGGGGAACGATGACCTTTATAATGTTAGTGGTTTAGTATTGTTACATCGTGAAGCATAGTACAAAGCTGTTGAGTGTAAAAAACTCACTTGAGTTTATTGGGGTCTTGTCAGGCTGGTTAAAAAAGCTAATAAAAATGCCTTTGAGGTGAATCTCTCTTGAATTCACCCAGACTACTCAGAAGTAACGGTCAATATACACCACGAAGTCAGCCAAGCTCGTATGGCGCAGTGGTAGCGCAGCAGATTGCAAATCTGTTGGTCCTTAGTTCGATCCTGAGTGCGAGCTAATGTTTTATTTTTGACTACAAAACAGCTTATGATGTTTAGTTGGTGAAAGTTTGTTGATGTAACAAGAGTATTTACTGGGTTTTTTTTATTTGGGTATGTGCTTTGCATACATTTGCAGCAGAAATTTTTTATTTCCTTTGGATTCACAGAACAATGCGTGGAAGGTGTGTGAACTAGCAAAGACTCGAGTAGCGGCTGGAAAGAAAAGTGCTTTGAATGTTATCAAACCTAAGGAAAATCTTTATTCATTGCTTGGGCACTTGGATCCACCTATAGAGTTGACTCTAGAAGATTAGCTAGAATATGACGTTATTCGTAAGGATTTAGAAATCGTTTTTTTTTGTTGTTATAGTTCTGTCATTGTGTGTATGTGTAGCAATGAAACCGTCTAATACAATCCTTCTGAAGGATATTTTGACACCTAAATACAGTCTACTTAGGCTGGTTGTTAAAGGTAGAAAACGGAAGCTTTTTCTCTCCCCCCTGGCTCGTTTGTCTCCTGTGGCGTGTAAAGCACAAAAATGTTTTGAGTATGCTTATATACGACCATATTGATCACACTACAGAGTTAGATGGACGTTTCAGACGGGTTTATACCAATTGTTGCAGTTTTCTATGCAGTGTTCCATCCAACGGAAGGAACCAAGATCATTCATCAAGTTCCTGAGAATTCAATTGTAACTACATCACATCAACGAACCAAGGTGGTGAAAAATGTATCACGATTGTCGATGGATTCAACCAACTCCGACTCACGACAACGACAAGAGGACGAAGACGAGGATGATGGATTGTTTAATTTTGATACAGTTAAGAATTACGTTATTCCCAAACCCCAATTGTGCAACCGGTTGATTTCGTTCAAGATCAACAAGTATAAAGTTATTGGATACCCTGTGAATATGGAAAACCCTCGATATTCCCGAAACTCATTCAGTTTCAACTTTTGCTTTGTGTTTCCCTATGATAAGGGTGACATATCACCTTATGAACCGGCCATCAAGAGGATGGGACAAATGTTTCAAGTGTTGGAAGAACAAAACTTTATGTTGAGCAAACTTGACAAAGACAATTCGTTCTTTAAAAAGGGGAGTACCGGATTGAGTTCCAATGGAGCTTCTTCGGATATTTCAAATAATATTAATATTGGGATAGACTTGGAATCATATACAAATGCAACAAGTATGTCTCCAGCTGCTAGTAATGATGCTACCGTCAATGCCCCAGGTCATTCGAAAACTAAACGGATATCATTGTCTTCCATAGAATCATTGGTGCATCAAATATATCAAGATTTAAACAATTATTCCGAATGTTGTATCCCTTTGGATAGTTCTAATTCTGTGGATATCAAATTGTTCCCTATATTGCCTGCCCCAATTAACCTCAAAGCATATCAGGTGCCTATTGCAACAGTCAAGTTAAATTCCTTAGTCGATGTTAACTGGGACCCCACCATGGTTAAAATATTACCATTTATCAACGGATTAAACTCGGTGAAAAGAATAAGTGAGCTAGCCAATGCCAACTACTTATTAACCAAACAATGTATTCAGCATCTAATGCATTATAAATGTATCGAAATAATCGACATTTTCCAGTTCAGTAACATATATGCACCCACAAATCATATTGGAGATTTTCTCAAGATAAACGGTAAAATGGCCGAAGAATGTCAAGCATATGTTGTCACTAGTGAATCCAACATTGAAGGACTGTCATATTTTTCCCATACACCGTCAACTTATCATAATAACAATACCTCGTCATTCCATGGTTCCAACAGTGTTTCCCCTTACTCGACTGCAGGTCTAAAGTACGATTCTGTTTCTTCGCTGTATCCGAAACCATCGTCTTCATACCTTTCCAAATCTCCTAAAACCGTGGGGAACTCGCCTAATATCTCGGTTAATGTTAAGGTTCCTACGAAAACTACATTATTTTACTTGTATAGGTCCTTGAATCAAGGGCAAACTGTCAAGGAATGGTACATTCAGCATAGAAAGTTATTGACAAGTATTGACATTAGAAGGTTTATAAACTTTGGAGTCTTACGAGGGATAATATACCGTGTTCATTCATATCCCTTGGTGAATTCGCTCACTAGATCAATTGAAAGTGGGGACTTGGCACAATATGACGAGTTCCTTGGGCTGTACAAGGAAAAGAAGTCGAAAAAGAAAGTCAAAGTGAAACATACCGATGAAAGCTTACTAAAAACCAAAGTCAACGAACAAACTATTAAGACGGATAATAAACGAAAGGTTAGCTTCCTGTATTCACAAAGTAACTTACACGATGCAAGAAAACTGGGATTCTCTTCACGAGAAGTTATTCTTGAGAATGATAGCGAGGATGAAGATGAGGAGGAAGAGGAGGGGGAGGGGCATCTTGTTCATCCTAGAAGTAGAACAATTTCGAGAAACTCTTTTGCTTCTTCTACTGGGTTGAAGTACGCCTCAGGAGGAGAGGAGAACGCCATTGAGGACTCCTCGGACGACGACAACGAAGTTTCCGAGGAAAAAGAACAAGAAAAAGCGCAATTGTTAGATTTAGTGAAGATGTTGAAGGGATATCAAAGTTTTGACTCAATTTGCACAGAATTGCAAAAATCACGCTTTGAAGTGGAAAAGATGATTGAAAAGCTAGGATCCTACAATAGCGTCAGCAGCTAACCAGTGTCACAGGATGTAGCCAGCATATCCGGGTAACCGCGCTTCCTCTCGCGAAAACAAAAACTGCAAAATTTGAAATTAACGGGGAATTTTTTTTTTTTCTTGCTCTCTTTTTTTTTTACACATTCCATTTGTTTGTTTACATTTTGGAATTTTCTGTTGTTTTGATTTTGCTTTCTTTTACTCCTTCATAATCCATACAAATTTAATTCGAAAATGTCTGGTAAAGGAAAAGTTCATGGTGGTAAAGGTAAATCTTCTGAGATTGCTAGATCATCCACATCACATTCTGCAAGAGCTGGGTTACAATTCCCAGTGGGTAGAGTCAAGAGATACTTGAAGAAGAATGCTCAAAATAAGATTAGAGTAGGTTCAAAAGCTGCAATTTACTTGACTGCCGTGTTGGAATATTTGACTGCAGAAGTATTGGAATTGGCCGGTAATGCTGCTAAGGATTTGAAAGTCAAGAGAATTACTCCTAGACATTTGCAATTGGCCATTAGAGGTGATGAAGAATTGGATAATTTGATTAAAGCCACCATTGCCTTTGGTGGGGTATTACCACACATCAATAAGGCTTTGTTGTTAAAAGTAGAAAAGAAGAAGCAAAAGTAAGAGTGAATGAATTGAGTTCAACCTTTGAAATGTTGAATTTGCAAAGGGATGTATGATTACTTTTAGTTTCTTCGACTCGTTATGTCCTAGGTATATTTCCAGGAATAATTGTACTATATAATTTGTTTTAGTTAAATTTTATTTTCATTAGTGTATTTTTGCTATATCTTTCTTTATATAAACATCTATTTACAGAATCAGTTATGTACAAGAAATTGATGCAAGTATGTTACGCCGGCTTAGTCTCTGACTTTGACTCAATTGTGCCCTCTGGTGTATTCTTTTTGGTATTGTCGATTTTGATGTACTTTGGCTTATACCCATCCGGAACGACGTAATCATCCAATTTGATATTGATATCCCCAAGTTTCGTCTTGATGTATTCAATTTCACTTTGTAAAACCGATATATCATCAGCCAAGGATTCACGGGCCTCGCTGGCCTTCTTTCTGCTTCTATAACTTTCATAAAAGATTAATGACCCCGCCACACTAAATATGAAAAATTCCGAAATAAAATTAGCACCTTGTTCAATGGCCTTAGTGTCATTCAACGGTCTCACTCTGATTTTCTTTTCTCCAAGAAGGGACATTCTCAATCTTAATTCACCAGAATGTAAAGTTTGGGCCATTCTAATACATATGTTTCTAAATGTCTCGTGTTCTTTGGCTTGTCGCTTTATGGCGTTGGCCATGGGTTTAGCCACGGTTTTAACAAGTAACGAAGTTAATTTCAAGGCAATTGAACTCATTTTGTGGGTTAAATCGTGTTTCTAGGTCGTTAGGTCTCACAGCGCTGGACGATGGAGATAATTTGCCTTTGGTTTTCAACGTAACGAATGTGATACAAAGACTGGCTCCCGGGTACTAAGAAAGCAATGGCAGTGATTTGGCGAGTGGTGGGATGATTGACTGGTTGCTTGTATTAACGAATATGAATGATTGCGTCTGTAGCGGTGCCTTATTGTCGTGCCCCTTTCATTGATGAAATTCCCGTCATGCACTCCCAGCTAAATTTTCCCCCTCTCCCTCACTGGAAAGTTTCGCACTGATATAGCCGAGCGATACACCAAGCCTCCCAAGCGGCTAAGAGGAACTATGTAACGGCTTTAGGCCCTCAATTTCTCATAGACCGAGAATCTAGGATCTAAGGAAGGACTTAGTTCAGGCAAATTTTGGGTATTCCCACTCTTGACAGGGGCGCACATTTAACTTTTGTTGGCCCATTTGCAATCATTATCGTGAAGCGCCACAACTTTCATAAACTTTGGTATTTGTATTGTAGCAATAATCTTCGTTGTTATTTTAAGGGTTTTCTATTCTATTGTGGTATTTCATATCAATTGTAACATGTTAGTCGACCAATACTATATTTTGTAAGGAAATCAACAAAGTAATTTCAGAAGATTGTTGCGAAAAACTTACAAAATGTGCTACAAAATAAAGAACACTTCTCCACGAAGCAAAGCAATGACTACTATGAAATTCAATGTTCTCTGCACATAACTAATAATCATATAACCTATTTGGAATGTTCATTATGAAGAAACCGGGCAAATATCAATAACTCAACGTCATTGAAGAAAACAATCACAGCACTAAACGTCACGTGCAAGTAAGTAACATCATGTGACTCGGAAAAATTCGGAAAAACACCTTCATCGAAACATCCGATATAGTGTAACGGCTAGCACGGTTCGCTTTCACCGAGCAGACCCGGGTTCGACTCCCGGTATCGGAATCATTTCAACATACAATTCTTTAATTTTTTTGGCTCCCTGGGAGAGTTCACTAGCTATCTATTCTTTTTTAGTTAGTTTGATAAGCTGGAAAGAGTTGAATTTTTTGCAAACCACATGTGAGAGTTTACCCGGGGAAAAACCAACAGTATACCAACAGTGTAGCAGTTAATTCCATGGATACTTGAATCACATATGTGTATGGTGCGACTAGTTGTCAGTCTGACCAAGTCATATGATTCAAGATCAAGGACAACGAGTCTAACAAAGGTATAACTGTTACTTATAACTATGTGAAATTCCTTGGCAGACTCTCTGATAGCACGAAATTTCATTGGCTGGTTAAACTCCGGCCGGAATGCAAAGTTTAAAATCAATCGATTTTTTTTTTTTTCGACCCCACAAAACTTTTTTTTAGAAAACCCCCCCACTTTTATAAATTATAAATACCCCCGGGAAAGTAACCTGAAACTTTTTCATTTCAAAGAGATAAACATTATGACCAAACCAGGTGCACACTATACGTTCGAGAACGAGGCCAAATTGCCTCGTTTGCCTGTTCCGCTGTTGATGCAGACAACTTCTCAGCTATTGACTGCGTTGAAACCCTTGTTGTCCAGTGACGAATATTACGAATTGGCTAATGAGTCCACCGAGTTTTTAAGTAATGGCTTGATAAACTTGGTACAAGACCATTTGGTTGCTGTATCCACCAAACCAGACTACTCCAGTTATTTGAATGTCGTTAATGGTGATTTGACCCCGGCCATATATGGGGAATTGAGATCGGATATCTTGCCCAGAAATCCATACCTTATCTTGGAAGAAGATCCCTATTCCAAGACGTTGAATCCTCCTAACCAAGCCCAAAGATCGGCTAATTTGATTAATTCGACGTTGAAGTTTATCATCAGTTTGAGAAATGAAACGTTAAAGCCGGATGTAACTCCCAAGAACAACAACCCTTTGAGTATGGCTTGCTACAGGAACTTGTTTGGTACAACTAGAGCACCCGATAATTCAGAGTTAGGACTAGGTGTTAGGGCTAAAAAGTATGAACATATCAATGATTCAAGACACATCTTGATTATTGCCAATAATCAGTACTACACCCTTGAAGTGATTACCGAGTATTCTGAACAAGAATACAACCAAACTGGAAGTAAGCACAAGATTTGGTTTAATGATCATGAGCTTTCTTTGATTTTGCAAGGTATTATCAATGAATCGGAAAAAGTAGGATACGTAGACTCGATCAAGAATTCTATAGGGTCAATGACGACCCAATCTTTAAAGCACTGGAAAATGGCCCGTTTAGAATTGGAACAATCTAATGCTGAAAACATGAAGAAGATTGACGATGCCTTGTTTGTGTTGGTGCTTGATTCAAACTCGCCCGTGACGGACCAGGAAAAGACATCGGTTATTTCTCATGGGTCTTCAAAATTGTCGGATGATAATGTGCAAGTGGGGACCTGTACCTGGAGATGGTATGATAAGTTGCAATTAATCGTGACAAAGAACTCGGTGGCAGGTGTGGTTTGGGAATCGATGATTATGGACAGTACTGCCATTTTAAGATTCATTAGTGATATCTTCACCGATTCTGTGTTGAAATTAGCAAAGAATATCAATGGACAAGAATACACCTTGTTTGATAACAATGTTTCCTTTGTTGATCCCAGTGAAACCAAGCCCGAGAAGCATTTGATTCAATTAAACAAGACCAATGAAGTGCAAAACATTATTCATCTTTCTGAAACGAGATTGGCCGATTTGATTAACCAACACGAATACAAGACTTTGAATATCAAGTTGGATTCCCACCTTACCAGTAAGTTCAACCTTTCCGTGGATTCAATCATGCAAATTGGATTCCAAATTGCTAATTATTCCTTGTATGGAAGAATGGTAAACACTTTGGAACCAATCACGACGAGAAAGTTCCGTGATTGTCGTACTGAGTTGATTCCTATTCAAAATGAGTTTATTTCCGATTTGGTCAAGTTGTACATCACCAGTGCCGATGCGTCGGAAAAGTTTGACGCCTTCAAGAAATGTTGTGATATCCATACAAAGCAATACCATGATGCTATGGTGGGTAAAGGGTTTGAAAGACATTTAATAACGATTGTGCAAGTTCTTCGTGATCCTAAAGTTGCCCAACGGTTGAATGAAATCAATTCCGAATTGAAGCCAATCCCAGATTTGACTAAAGTCAATGTGTTTGTTCCGTTGTTGCTTAATCCCATTATTGACAAGTTGCTGAATCCCGAATTGTTGATTTCCAATTGTGGTAATCCAGCCTTGCTTATGTTTGGTATCCCCCCCGCAGTTGACCAGGGTTTTGGTATCGGATACATCATCCATAGTGACAAGGTTATCATTACCATCTGTTCCAAGCACAGACAGACCAGTCGATTCTTGGACACGTTCCATCGGGTGATTCATGACTTGAAGGTGAACTTGAAGAGCAGATCCACGTTCTTGCTCTCGATGACAGACTCGGAACAACGGAAACTTGAACTTCAAAGATTGAGAATTGAGCAGGAGTTGAAGAATGTCGAGATTGATATCCCGACAAAGAGACACCCCATTGCATTGACCATTGATCAAGAACCCATCCCGTTGGAATCTATTCCGTTGGTTAAAGAGCCAGAATCGGCCGATACTATCAACGACCAGGATGAAGAGCACTACGAGTTGATGGGAGGATACGGATACTTTGACTATGGAGAGTTGGAAGAACGGTCGGATGAATTGTCGAGAAATGAATCGTACTTGACCAGTCGCACCCAATCGCATACCCATTCCCGTAACCATTCTCATCCAGGCAGTGCGCTTGGTTCTAGACACCATTCTGGCACTAACTTGGCCAAGCTTGTGTTGACAAGTTATGATATCAAGAATAAGCAGTCGCTTTCAGAGCAAATCAGAGAAAGGATGCTGAACGATAGCTCTGAGGTATTGCCTTCTTTGGATGCTGCCGTGAAGGAGGAAGAGGAGCAGGAGGACGACGAAGAGGAAACTACTCCAGAGATTGAAGTGCCCAGTCCTGTTGCTGTAAAGAGCAAGAGTTCAATTGGTAGGAAATTAGATATCAAGAGAAGATATTAGTTATTTATATATTTATTTAGTTATTTATTATGATTTGTTTGCAACTTTATATTGTAGCAGCAATTTACGCTACCATGTGCGCCCCTATAGAAAGTGAATTTTTTTTTTAACCGCCATGAATGCAGCAATTTGTAATCACCAATTCATCATGAGTTACTTGAGCAAAGGGCTAGCTAGCTTGAGTAAAAGCGTCATAAACGTCAAAGGTCCCGATGCAACCAAGTTCCTTAACGGGCTAATAACCACGAGACTACTACCTAACATAGTCAAAAAGAAACAACACACCATCAGTGCATCCGAGAATCGCCATGTCAATTTGAATGACATCATCGACATAAACACTAACTGGGGGTTGATGCACGAGGACATATACGATCCAGAACAGCGCATACTTATTGGACGACACGGGATTAATTCCATGTTTTTGAATTCCAAGGGAAGAGTCATCACCGACTGTTTCTTGTATGCCCATCCGTTCCATGGACAGAAGGGCGACGTGGGTGATTATTTGGTTGAGATTGATCCGGCGCAGGAACAGACTTTGATGCTGTTGTTGAAGATCCACAAGTTGAGTGCGCGGGTCAAGATTAAGAAGTGCCGCGACTTGTTCTCGTACTATTTGTACGAGGACAGTCCCGAGTTTGACGGATGGGTCGATGATGTGCAGGCGAGGTATTTCCAGAGCATGGACCCCGAGGAGGCATTGCATGATGCAAATAGGTTTATCCAGAGCGAAGAGTTGATTAATAAGGGGTTTGCTGACCATGTTGTTGGATTAGCATTCGATAACAGGATCCCTAATTTTGGAGTTAAAGTAGTGAGTGACGTTGCCATAGAAGAGCCGAGCCAAATATTGTCTCAGTTATTCACAAGCAAGTTTGACATAGGACTAGTTGCTGAGGATAATGTCACCAATAGAAGATTTGATAATGGTGTGTTTGAAACCCATGACGCAGTGGAAAACACGTCGTTGCTTCCATTTGACTGTAACTTGGACTACACCAACGGATTATCATTGGAAAAGGGGTGCTACGTGGGTCAGGAACTTACCATAAGGACATACAACAATGGAACGATCAGAAAGAGAATCTTCCCTGTCACATTTCACGATTTGAAGCTCGAGAATGGAGAGTATGTAACCGGCGCCAGTTTGGAGCTGGTCACTTCGCTTAATGAACTAGACAGAGAAGCCATCACAAAACTAACAGTCTCCCCATTGAATGAAGAATCGGAGGAGCCAGCGGAACCAGCGGAACCAGCGGAACCAGCAGAATCCGCGCCATCACCGTTTGGATCTTCCAAAACAGTGAGAAAGAGAAAGTCGTCTGCTGGTAAGATATTGGCCGTGCGAGGGCAATTAGGGTTTGCCTTGTTTAACATTGAAGATGTGGAAAAGAACAGTTTATATAAAACAGAGGTGGGAGGTGAGAACATACTTGTAGAAGCCAAGATACCCGACTGGTGGCCTGAATAGTCTTGTAAATAGCAATAGAAGCCGTTGTAAAGTTTAATCTTAAACCCATTTTTATTTTTTGCTTGGTGGAGATAAGAGCGGAATTTCAGTGACGGACGTTGAGACACACCATCACACTTTATCCAACATGTCTGAACTCATCCCAGCCAAAGAATACCTCGGGAAATTGAAAGAAGCCACCGAATTCGTCAAGGCCAAGGTTGCCAATGAACCACGCTTGTCCTCTCCACGAGTCATGATCATTTGTGGATCGGGACTTGGCGGAATCGCCGATATTCTTCATAGCCCCCAACCCAAGATTGAAATCCCGTACGCCGACATCCCTGGATTCAGAACTTCCACCGTCCCTGGCCATTCAGGAAAGTTGATCTTTGGATTAATGGGGAGTAACAAGGTTCCTGTTATGTGCATGGTCGGAAGATTGCATTTCTACGAAGGGTACAGTTTCCAAGACACAACATTCCCAGTGCGTTTAGCCAAAAAGTTAGACATCGAAACCGTGGTGGTCACCAATGCCGCCGGCGGAGTCAATGCCCAGTTCAAGCCAGGAGACTTGATGGTGATTAACGATCACATCAACATGCCTGGTTTAGCTGGCCATCATGTTCTTCGTGGTGAAAATTTAGAAGAGTTTGGCCCAAGATTCCAACCACTTTCTGATGCTTATGATTACGCATTAAGAAAGTTGTTCTTTACCAAAGCCAGAAACGAGTTGAAGATCACGAGAAATATATACGAAGGTACTTACTTTTTTGCCGCTGGTCCCACGTTTGAAACCCGTGCCGAGGTAAGAATGATCCGGATGTTGGGTGGTGATTCTGTGGGTATGTCTACAGTTCCCGAAGTGATTGTTGCTCGTCATTGTGGAATGAAAGTGTTGGCATTGTCTTTGATTACCAATGCCTGTGTGGGCGACTCGCCACCTAGTGCATTTGACGAAAACCCCGTGCCCATGGATTCAGGCATGGCTAGTCATGCTGAAGTGTTGGAAACTGCCGACGAGGCATCCAAGGACGTGCAAAAGATCATAGAAGCTACAGTTAACGCATTGTAAAAGTACATTTTTTGTTTGAAACTCTAATAGATATACACACATACACACACACACATAAACACTATTGATCAACTTCTCCGGCAGACTCCCACTTGCCTTGTAAATTCTCCTTCCATAAACTCACCTTGTTGTCACCGCCAGACACGGCCAAGATGTTTCCTGATAACGACCAGGAACACCTCCAGCACACATCGGGGAACTTCTCCTCGGTCAACAATTGCTTTTGCCAATGGCCGTCTCTATCCTGGGTCCAAATCAATACAGTACGGTCCTGAGATGCAGTGGCGATATAAGATCTCACCAAGATGGAAGGCGACCAATCGACATCTCTGACCCAATCGGTATGTCCTTCCAATCTTGCTTCTTCGACATAGGTGTTATGTACTGAGTCATATTTCCAAATCTTGGCCAAGTTGTCTGACCCACAAGTGACGAACCTGCGATGTTGTTTCAAGGTCTGGGGGTCTTTGGAGCTGACGTTGGAAATTGGGGCCCAGCTGGCGGAATTGACCCCGATGTTGTGCGCATTGAATATCACATGGGAGGTGGTTCCGTCCTCGTTGAAATCAACCACGGACACTTTGCCGTCGGAGGAGGTACATAACAACACGGCACCTAGTTCATGTGGTGCCCAGGACACGGAGTTGACACTGGCTTGGTGGACGGTGTGTTCGGCAATGATGGACCAAGTTTGGGTCTCTGGTGTCTCTTTCCAAATGAATGCCTTACCATCGTATGAGCACGATGCGAGGATGGATCCGAACTTAGGATGGGCCCATGACACTTGCCATACGGGTCCTTCGTGCCCCGTCAAGGTGGTTGACAATTTATAGTTTTCCGTGCCTTCAATTTCAAAGATCTTGATCTTTTTATCGGAGGAACAGGTGGCTAATCTCTTTCCGTAGTAATCTAACACGGCGTCATGAATCAAATCGTCATGAGCATTTGCTACTGTCACCATTGTATTGTTGTTGTTGTTGCTGTTGCTGTTGTATATGGCACTGATGAATGTCGCCGCACTGGTAGTAAACTTTTGTGAGATTCTTAAGACGTGTTAAAAAAAGGATTTAATTACCCGGAACTGCACCCTCCTACTACCACCACCAGTAATGGACAAGACATACGATGATCTACTGGCTATTTCCACGTTAGTCCAAACACTAACACCTCAAGTAACAGAATCCGGCGACCACATTGCACGTCTTGAAAAACTAATCCAGGAACTAGTCACAAAAGAAGAATACCAAGAGTTGATCAGGCAGCCAGCTGAAGCAACAACCACAATAGACAGCAATGAAGCAGCCATCAAGAAACTCGAAGAAAGCAGACTCGCAATAGTGATGGAACTTCAGAAGCAGGACTTTCTTGGCGAGAAATTACAAGAATTGATTTACCAAAACCAAGATATCGTTGATTCGGTAAAGGAGTACCTCGAGTCAAAGGATCACATACACCGAGAAGAAGAGAAACATGTCAAACAGCTATGCAACAACTTTGTCGAGAATGTTGTTCAGCCTACAATTGACCTGTTGGACACTGGGCTGCTAGAGATGAACAAAAACATACACAAAGCGCAAACTAAACTTGGCAAAGTGTTTCACGAGAAACAGCAGGCAGACGAGATGCTACAGTCACGAGAGTACCAGCAACAACTAAACGAATTAGTCAAGGCACTAAATGAGATATGAGTATGAATACGAATGTGAATAAGAATATGAACATGAATACGAATATGAACATAAACACGAATGTGAATATAAACATAAATACGAATGTGAATATAAACATAAATGTAAATATAAACATAAATGTAAATATAAATGCAAGTACAAATACAAATATAAACATAAACATATATATACACACATATTAATCAAGTTCTTCACGCACTTCTGTAGTTTGACTCGCTTGTACTGGCTGTCTATGCATATAAGAATACGCTTTGTTGATGATGGTTCGATTGGGATCCAACTTCCCCCACGCCGCTCTAATTCTATCCGCATTCATATTGGCCCGGAATATCTGGAAGTATGTCCACACAAACTCAAATATCATCATAAAGTATATCTTGAGGCCTCCTCCCCTGCTGTAATCGACAGTTCCTTGTTGAATGTACCTTTCGTCATCCTCACCTACCAACTTGACAATGATCCGTTTCCGCTCCTGGGGATCGGGATACACCAACTTGAACTTGGTCAGACGGATGAGATTATCAATCACTTTCGTCATCTTCTTTTGCGTATCGTCATTCTTCATCTCAAAAAACTGATAATTGTCCTCAAGTTCATCAATACGCTTCACGACAATTCTCGTCTCATAAACCAATCGGTCGATTGTCGTGGTCAACAAATTCATATTGTACTGCAAATGATCAGCAAAGCCTTCATCCATGATCTTGGCCCGGTGGGAATCCATCTGCACTCGCAAATTGTTCAACTTTACCAATTCTAAATTCATCAACTGATAAGAATGTTCTAGACTTTTATTGGTAACGTACTCTTTCTTGTCCTTTTCTTCAAAGTACAACTTGCGTAAATTCTCATACTTCATCAACTTATTGATATTCTTCAAGTATCGCTGAGACAACTTGGCAACTGTACTGATCTGTGGATCCGGTGCAACCGTCTCAACGCAAGAGTAACTAAAACTCCTAGGTCTCTTTCGTTCAATCTCAACCATCTCGGAGTTTATCCTGGTATCTACTTTGGAAACAACCAATGAGTTCAAATTAGCTTCATTTTCCAACATAAAAGGGAACGAATTCCTTCGGTTTAAATTCCGCTGGAACTTAACGATAGGATGGTTTAATTCAGTGGTGCTATTATACACCAATGAACCAGTCCCTCCTCCTCCTCCATTTACAACATTATTCTTGCCCGAACCAATGCTCTCAGCATACGACGAAGTATCGCCACCACCGATCTGTAAAAAAGTATCAACTAGCGAAGTGCTAGGTTCATCTACCCTGGAGCTTGGTTCCAATGTTCGTTCAACAACGGTGCGCTTTCTTTCAGGTACTAAATTCCGCTTGCTTTGTAAACCAAACATCTTGAAATTGAATCCTCGTGAGTATCGATAATCGCCTAATGCCAACTCTTGTGTATTGGCAATCTTATCTCGCAAACTTTCAAATACATACAGGTTTGTGTTTGTGTTGTCTGTGATTGATCTCCCACGTCGTCTCATATGATGGTGGTGGTGATGATGATGATCTGCTTCCTTTAGTCCAGTCTGCTCAATTAGTTTATCTGCCGTGGCTAGCGTGCTTGTTGCAGCGGCATTCACAGCACCACCAACTGTGGCACCAATGGTGCTTCCAAACGCCGCCATATTGGCCAAATGCAGCAGGGCACCGCCATTTTGAACTCCATAGAACAACCGTATTAGCACCTTACCAGTAAGGTAATTCTTGACCAAGTACTCCAAATCCAAAGTCTCGACATCGAGGGGACTTGACATATCCGCCAACTTGGCAATCTTATTCATGATCCTCCCTGTTGTTGGTCTGCTGGTTGAGTTCTGCGGCGTGGTTTGTATCTCATCTAGATCGGCTTTGCTGGCAATATGTCCCTGCACTGTCTTGACCACGTTAGTAAGCTTCTTCAATTCTTTCCCGTACCTTTTAGGCAAGTTTTCTTTCCGCTGGGGCGGAGACGAAGGAAATTCATAAGTGTAGTCAGAGTCATAGATGCTGTTGTCACCATAGGCAGAAGAATAGAAATAATTTGCGTGTTTCTCCGGCAATAGTCTCGCATTGGTGATATTGAACAATCGATTCAAAGTCTCCATGTCCAACTTTCTCGTCTTGTCTAGTTTGTATTGTCTTTGAAATTGACCTATGGCAATCATAAAATTTTCAAAATCAAATGGATCCTTGGGCACGTCTGACCCACCCACTATTTGAATTCGGAGTCTAACACTGAGTATGAGACTGATGATCGCGGCCACGGTCATGGCTGGGAGTATCCCATCTTTCCGGTTGGGCTTGATATTGAAATGCGGGAGTCCGACTAAGTTCCACCAATTGTTGATTGCTTCTTCGGTCTTGGCACATAGCAATCCATTACAGTATCTTGCATCGAGCAAGTCAAAATAGAATAAACATGTTTGCACGACATTGACTAGTTCTCGACTGGCGAACTTCACAGGGACGTTATAGATCTTGTACATTTGTCGAAACTTTCCTTCACTGGCATCGGATATCTTTTCGCTGATTAACGAGATGGATCTCCCGGTACAGTGTAGCTTCCGAAGGTTTGAGTTGATGATGAATGCTGATTCGACTTTGCGGACATCTCCATGGGGGATGGGTATTAAGTTAAGGTTTGAAGGAAGGGAAGTTAAATTCGTGACAAAACAAACCTCATTGCTGGCGTCTCGCTTTTCAGATGATAAAGTATTAATAACAGTAGAGGAAGTTGTCAGCACCTCGTTGACACTTCCGTTCCGACTCGGTATCACTGGTCTCCGTTCGTTCTCCATCTTCTTCATCCTCGAGTGATTCTGAATCAACTCATTTAAATACTCCTGGAATCGTGGTGGGTAATACTTGGACGGTTTCTTAATGATGGTGAACCGCACCACTAAGATTTTCGATTCGTTCCCCGTGTACACCGTAACCACGGTCCCTATGTTCCGATTATTGACCCATTGATCAACCAAGTATATTTCAAACCCAGTGACCTCCGATTCTTCAACCAAGTGGAACTCTCCAGACTTGATGAACTCCTTCTGAAAGTATCGCACTGCGTTGAAGTCAGGGATGATGTATGTGATGAAGTCATTGGAGTTGGAGAACTCAGTAGCCACTGATCCTCGTTTCAGGGACGCTGCTGACGGTTGCAGAATCAGCGGAACAATTCCGTTAGCGCCGTGGCCATTGGATTTGGGGATGTATGAGGGTATGGAGTTGGGCAGATATACTTGCCATGCAAATGATGACATCTAGCTGTGTTGAACAGATAATGATTAGTAGTTATTATAGTGGCTATGCTACGAGTTACTCTTTTGTAAGCGAAATTGATTTTTTTTTTTTTGTTCCACTGATTTATTTTCAGACGCACAAATGCGCGCAAATACTTTTCGCAACTTTAATCGAAGGTCATCATAGGAACAATAGATGTTACAAAGAGAACTTGGTCCATTGTTGAGACGATGGGAGGCGGCAGTTTCAAGGAAATTGGTCGTTGTCGTCGTCCACCAAGAAAAAAAATACAGAGCATGAGTTGAAAGCTGGGTGCTATACCTCGGATGTTCAATTAATGCAGCATACGTACGAGCCCAGGTTAGACACAAACTTCAAACCCCTTTAACGACTTTGCGTTAGCTTACTTCACGCCTACGAACTCGCAGTTTAAGCACGTCTGGGTATCGAAAAACCTCAAAAGTGGTGTCTTGAGATAAAACCGAGCAGTGTCTCCGGGCTACTATGACACCAGGATGACTTGCAATACGAAAAGCAGAATTCACCAATAAAAGTGGATGGTTAATAGCAACATGATCATACATGTGTTCTTTGCATAGCTAGCATAGCTGCACTATGTGCAAATTACATACGTATGTGTTTGCTGCAAAATTAAGTTTTTTCCGATAACCAATTATTGTCGCGAGGATAAAAATCTTTTAAATCAAAAAAATTCTTATCTCATCACCACCACTGTCCCGCTCCTCCCCCCACCATCCCCCACAAATGAGATTACTCTTCTTCCGATCGTTCTCGGTTAAAAACCTGGGGAAGTTCGTGATTCCATCATGGTACAAGCCTAATCGAACCTTGCTTAAAAAGCTTCCCTTGCGTCCCGCATTCCAGATCTGGCTAAACTCATTCAAACCTAAGCGTCTTGAACATTTACAGAAAGATCTCGTGGACTTAATGCTTCCAGAAACTCACGAGGAGAACCAGGGGATAGTTAGAGAGTTTAAAAGAGTTGTCATTAACAAAAAAGGTGATTTCATTAATGAAGTCGGGTTGAAGGTTGTCAATGGCGAAAAGTTGCCCACCAAACATATTGTATTTATTCACGGGTACGGTGCTTCACTAGGCTGCTTTGCCAGAAACTTCCAACTAATCAACAAGTTCAAACAGAGTAACAAGTATAACTATCATATCCATTTCTTGGACAATCTCACCTTTGGATTATCGTCAAACCCCAAGGTGGACAACAACAGCATCAGCTACTGGCTGATCCCGAGATGTGCTTCTATCCGGATGATTGACAATGAACCCACCAATTCCAAGAAACTATACAAGAAATACTACAAACTAATCGAAGGATACCAATTACACCCTGACGACTTTCACCTGTATAAACAGCACTTTCTGCCAATCTTGGAAGATCTTGAGAAGTTTTACTGCCAGGGTATCGATTCATGGAGGGAAAGTAGTGGCATTGACAAAATAGATTTCCTCATCGGACATTCATACGGAGGATACTGGTCAGGGTCGTATTCGTTACGCTACCACGATAAGCTCTCCAATTTGATCTTGCTTTCGCCAGTCGGGGTAGAAAGACATGTCCATGCAGTGACCAACGAAGTTTCCACTCGTGACATCCAAACTCCATCACTTGATCCTACGTCATTCAAGTTTCTTACTAGATTACCCATACTTTCAGCGCAACATGTCAAGAAATGGTACGGAATCCAACCATTTTTGCCTCGATTCCTCAGATTTCTTGGTCCATGGGGCGTGCAACAGTATTTCGGCATGTGGATGAGTAAGCTCTACAAAATCAATAAACTCATTGAAAAACATGGCGGTCCAGAAACGGTATTCACGAACCATAATGACTTGATCTATGGTAAGAAGAAAGAAATCAAATTGATTATTGAATATCTTTACAATTCAATCACCCTGGGGACACACAGTGACATTTACATAAAATACTTACTTACCCCTGCAACTGTCAGCAAGTGGCCGTTGTATGACAAGTTCCACAAGAAGCTTAGTGAAAACCCCGAAGATATCAAGTTCAACATCAATTTAATCTACGGACAATATGATTTCATGAATTCCGAAGCGGGAAATAAGTTGATCAGTGATTTAAAATTCAAGCTTGGCGAAGACACCAAGAAAGAGTATAGTGAAGTTAGCGAAGGTGGGCATAACCTATACATTGACAATCCATTTGAAACCAATCAAAAGATCTTTGATATTGTCATGGATCAAGAAGACAAGTAGTAGACTGTACATATTTATTTATTTATTTATTTATTTGATAGAACAATAAAACATAAGTGCAACCTTGCAGCCAAGCTAATTAAGAAAAACTTGACTTAGTTTGTTGTCGGAATGTGGTGCCGAGATTTTTCCGGAAGCTTCACCGAAATCGCCGGATGGTGAAGGATATAAACGCCATACAGAATTACTAAGAAAAAAAAAATAGGCTTTTACGGGGGGGTATATTTTAAAGAGTGGGGGAAGGGGGATTATTTTTGGCGGTCGTGCAAAAGAACATGAGATTTGTTAATTGTTTCCTGGGATTCGCTTCGTGCATTGTTTAAAGCATGATTATCGCAGGGGGTGCAAAAGTCAGCCACATATATCCGAAAACTAAGACGAGCAGTTGGAATTACGCTAGCGTAATGCTATGGGGTTACCTTGATGAAATTTGTGTTTGTGATGACAACAGTACTTTGTTGCATGATTCTATAAATACACAAAATTGCCACCACGACTAGCCCAAATTTATTTCCATAGGGCTGAGTCAGAAATTAACTAAAACGAAAAGAAAAAAATGCCTTGCATAGAACTAACCGGAATCTATGGAAGGCTTTTATATCTTCAATAGCACAAATAAGGAATCCCTCATGGGGGGGGGGCTGCGATATACAAATCTTAGCTTTTAGAGATCCTGCATGACTTTTTCCTTTATTTTTTTTTTGACATCATGTGTGACAAATGCTTTGTGCCAGTTCCAAACTTTGTGTTGAACAATCCTTGGATCTGGTCAAACCCAAACTAGAAGATCCCGTCTAATCTGTACAGCCACCTCCTATTTCAACTCGTCGCAAAGTTAACCCATTAAGCCAAACATTCAGGGCGGGTTAAGACATTTTATTTTTTTCAATAGTTTGTGATAGTTAGGGAAGAAAAAAAATATCACACAAGAAAATGTTATTTGTCATAATGCAACGGATTTTCTGTTCAGTAAAGTGTTTGTAATAAAACAAACTTCTTGGTGTTTGTGCTTGCATCCCTGTACGTTCCTTGCATGTGTCATTTTTGGTTGTGCAAAACCATCTACTTTGACCTTCTTTACAGAGATTTAGTATTATTTTTTTCTCTTCCTGAACTAAACCTCCTGCTTTTGTTTTATTTATTTTTTATGCAGAAGGTGCAATGTTATTTTGATTGCATTGAGTTCTTTTTTTTAAAAAAAAATAAAAAAGTCCCAATAATTATAAATATATCGCAGAAGTCACCGATTTTATTCATGGTGTCATTTTCTGTATACCGTTTTCTATTCCAACCGGCATAGCCCGTCTTTCTTACTACTACTTTACATACAATGCACATACACAGTCATGAGACCAGATAATGATATACATGTTGTTGAAAGTCCCATAAATGACCCCCACATATTTCCCACCGACAGCGGCGGTTCCACCGGTGCATCAGGTTATTCCAATGCTTCTGACTTGGAATCAGCAGTATCATCCTCCGACTCATCATCAGGGTCATATACATCATCTGAGGAATCGTACAGTCGATTCAATCCACGATATATAGCTCAAGATTTCATAGATTCTTTCAAACCGTTTGATTTTACAATTCTTCCCCCGGTATATTTCAAAAAACCAGAGCAACAAACAGATACCAGCAGTTCAGACGAGCCTAAACTCCACCCTAACCACCCGCAGTTCGACTACTCCCATTTAACCGACCTTGAACGTGACGCTTTAGTCACATCCACATCACCATTATCCAAACACTTAAAGACCCGACATTTGACCTTGATTTCATTGGGGGCGGTAATAGGTACCGGTCTATTCATCAGTTCCGCCAACGCACTAGCCCATGCTGGACCACTAGGTAATGTCCTTGTATGGATATATATCGGAAGCATAGTGTTCACCACCATGTCCAGTCTTGCGGAATTAGCCACCGCGTTCCCCGTAAGTGGAGCGTTCGTGACATACACCACATTATTTATTGACAGTTCATTTGGATTTGCCATTGCTTGGAACTACGCATTACAATGGCTCACCACCATGCCCTTACAGTTAATTGCTGCATCTCTAACAATCAAATTCTGGACCGACAGTATCAATCCGGCCGTCTTCATTACCATATTCTACGTTGTTATTGTATTAATTAATCTATTTGGAGTGAAAGGGTATGGAGAAGCAGAGTCGTTCCTTAGTGTCATGAAAATCCTTGCCGTAGTGGGATTCAATATTCTCGCCATCGTCATTGTCACAGGCGGTGTTCCTGGCCAGCCATACATTGGTGCAAAAAATTGGCACCCACCTGAAGGTGGATTATTCAATGATAGACAGCCATTCAAGCAAATGTGTTATATAATATCCAATGCATCCTTTGCATATGCCGGCAGTGAAATCTTTGCTCTTGCCAGTGTTGAATCAGCCACACCGAGAAAATCGATAAACAGGGCCAGATTGCAGATTTTCTATCGTGTCATGTTGTTCTACATATTCTCCATGGTGATGATTGGATTCCTTATTCCATACACGTCACCTAAACTTCTCGGATCGGGATCGAAAGCTGCAATATATAATGCCGACGCAAACGCATCACCATTTGTAATTGCCGTGAAAAATGCCGGTATAAAAGCCTTACCATCAATTATGAACGTTGTTATTATAATCACGGTGTTGTCCGTGGGTAACGCCTCAGTTTACGGATCATCAAGAGTAATGTGTGCCTTGGGATCTTTGCGTCAAGGACCACGTTGGTTGAGTTACATAGACAGGAAGGGAAGACCCATGGCGGCATTATTAGTCCAATTTGCATTTGGATTACTTGCCTATCTTGTGTGTATCCCTGGAACAAACGCCACATTTCAAGTGTTTGAATGGATGCTAAGTCTTTCGGGCCTTTGTGTCTTGTTCACCTATTTCGCAATTTGTGTCAGTCATTTACGATTCCGCCGGGCATTAAGCGTGAGAGCACGGGTCGCCAGTGAAGAACTAGTGTTTACCGGTCCAATCTGGTGTTCATGGTATGCGATAATTTCGATCATCATTGTTTTAGTTTTGCAATTCTGGGCCGCGCTTTGGCCACCGCCAACACCAGGATCACCCTACAATCCTAGTGCAGATCCGCAAAACTTATTCAAGATCTATTTGGGTGGAGTGGTATTATTAATTTTCTGGTTTGGACACAAGATATACAATTACAAAGTAAAGCACATCCCATTGACGAAATTATGGCTTAGTGCAAAGGAAATTGATGTGGACACGGGCAGGAGAGTGGTTGATTTAGAACAAGTTAAACAACAAATCGCTGAAGAGAAACTCCTGTTGCAGAATAAACCCTGGTGGTACAAAGTGATGGGATTCTTCTGTTAGTTGTATATAGACATTTTAATGGATAATTATAGGGTAGACCCAAGTTACTCTTTGCTACCTTGGAGGTTACATTTCCTTCGATGGTACAAAAAAAAAAAATAGCAACGGCCCCAATTAAGGTTTCCGCCCGCGTCAAAACTCTAACCTCCGTCGTATACGGCATTTCCTCTTACGAAAAATGATCTGATTTATAAGCAATTTAGTCAATTGGGACAGTTTCCCCGAAAATTTATTGCTGTAGTAAAGAATCTATAACCCCAACTCAACAATTAGACCATGTCCTGTACACAACTTCGGAAAACATGGAAAGTGCAAAATTCAAGGAGAAGCAACGGGCATAAAGAAAGTCTAGAATAGTCCCGCACGTTGTAGTTCCTATTTCAGGCAAGTACCTGGTAAACATACATGCAGCCAAACAATCCATTCTATGCTCGAACTAAAATCTTGGTAAAAGGGGGGCGAAACCAGCCTGAACGTTTTTTCCGACTATGGGGGCTGCTGTACGTTTTCGTACTGCCCCGCGCAAAAACAAGAAAAAGTTAAATTTAGATTTAATCCGAGGACGGACGTCAACACAACTAGTATAAGACCTACAAATATACTCTAAGTACAAGTGACTATATTAAATAACTAATAAATATCTATAAATAAGGAAACTAGAAGTTAAACTATCCCTAAAGTAAAACCCGTATCCCCATGTGCAACAGTATAAAATCATAACCTAAAATAAAAGTAAATTACCCCACAAAAAAAAATAACAGCCAATCCAGAAACAAAGCCAAAAAATTATCCAAATCTAAATCAATTAACAACCAAAAGTGTATTCAGTAGATACCAGTGGTTGTACTCATAGTTCATAGTAGTCGTAATCATATCAAAAAGTGTCAATGAAAGTATCACCATTAGAACGGCACATTTGGTGTGATGTTAAACAACCATTTTCTATAATTAGTTTGAATTAACTCGTTATTACTTTGAATAACAATATCAGGTTTTTCACCAGAAATAGTGGATAGGCAATCATGAAGAGTATCATTACTCATCTTTTGCTTGCAGATGCAACATTCGTACAACAAGTCAACGTTTTCTTCACTGGAATTGTATTGTTGATAATATGTTGATGACAACAATGGTGATTCTTGATGTATACTGTTTATGGAAGAAATAGTAGAAGCATCCGATATGGAATCAGTGTCTTCAAGTTCGAATATCTCTTCATTATCGTACTCCATATCTAGGTCGTTAATATTTATATGCTTGGAGGTGGTGTAATGATAATAGCTATTGTCAGTGGTAGAAGGCATTGTAATGCAATGGTTGAATATGTATATATATAAGAATTAAATGTCTATCAACAAACTTTGAAATATAGAAATTGTTGTTGTTGAAAAGAGAGTATTGCTTAAATTTTTTGGATATTTTAGTTCGGTTTTATACTACTTACGGACATGGTTTATTTTTTTTTTTGCAACGATCGCAAAATGTCATACATTTTTTTTTGTTGGGAGAGCGTGGTGGTTAAACACCACAAAAAAGAATTACAATAGTGCACGTGACCACATGGACTTTGATTTTTTTCCCATAACCACCACCACAACCACCACAACCACAACCATTAAAGTGGAACCACTGTTACACAATTACTAATAGATTTTTTTTCTGACTCATGCACATGGCGATTTCAACTATGACCATGTAAACTGTGTATTTTTTAGCCACACTTTCACAGAGATATATTAAAAAAAAAAGAAAATTGACTCATCAAACGTGACGTAGCCAGTAGGAATAAATTTGCTCTTTCCCTAGTTCGGAGAACAATTCCGTGTATGCGATAAGTATTTAGGTTATGATACTGATCAGTCATTTGTTTCCAGTTTGTGGATATTTTCAGATTACGTTACCTTACGATATGCAAAACCTAAACATTGAACCCCTAAGTCTATATTACAATTGCTTGGCTGGAATTTTTTTTTCCTGAATGTTTATTTCGAATTAGATAGCCTATTTCGGAATTGAATTGATGACCATCTCTGTCTTGTCTACGAATTTACCGCTAAGCAGTAGAACCCCTCTAAACACCCCTGTTAAGGAAATCTTTCCAAACAGAATTGTACCAGCCACATAAGGAGGACTTTTAGCGACTGTATCTATGTTGCACAAACGTACTGTTTGCTATCTACCGTTAAATTGTCTTACTCATCGCATAACTGAGGTTTTTTTTTCCTCTCCCTATCTCTAATAAATCCCTATCTAAATTAGCAAAGATAAAAGTTTGTGTAATCTACATTTATTGCTTGTGACAGTTGAGTTCGTCAGACTGGCTGAAGAAATGATCTCATAAACCGCACGATTACTCATAATACATAAATATCTCCACGTCATAGGTATTACATCAATATTTTTTTTTTTTTTTGCACACCCCGTTTTACTGTGGTTCAGAATTTAAACCAGTCTAGTTTTAGATCTTCTGACTCCTTTATGCTTCCATTTTTGTATTTACGGCAACTTTAACCAAGCACCGTCGCCACCACGACTACCTTCATGAAAGTGGTTACGTACACCACAGTCCTATATACGACGGGTTATGAATTGGGTTTGCTATCCCTGCCCCTATTTCGAAGCCACTACAAACATTTCTTTTTATTTTTTTTAGGGTTTTCTCACCTTTGCATCTCCGAATGTTCCTTTTTCCTCAAAGTGACATAATTCGCTCGTACGGATTAGACGTGCTATTTCTAAAACTTCCATCACCGACCTTTTTTTTTTTGCTCGCGCTAGTGCCGAGATAAAAATTAAGTATAAAGAATGAAACCGAACACGGAAATTAATGCTGCGGTCCTTATAGTTTGTAATCCACTATGAGTCATGGGAAGTCAGCAAGGATATGACTTCAGAAGACTCCAACAAAAGCTGAAATTACTTAAAACTTTTGTTGGGCTAGAACTATAATGATCCATCCTTTTTTTTTTTTTGCAACTGCGTAGAAGTAAATGCCTCAACAAAGCCTTTGCAACACAAACCCCCACATATCTACGCAAATGAAAGTAGATTGCGGTTATGTATATCCGAGGGAATTAAACACAACATTCCAAGTGTCAAATTGACATATTCTGAACTGATCTAGGATTGTTTCTCCGCGGCAACCCTTTTGGTTTGATAACTGTGTATCCGGATGTAAGTTATGTCACCCCTGAGAAAAAGAAAAGGATGTCCCCTTAGTGGTATGACTTGGGGAGAGCTAGCTTGCTGCCAACTTGATTATATTTAGAATATGTCTTTGGGCTGCAAAAGGGGTTCGTTTGCTTCTACCTTTGCAACAACTGGTGTTCTTCTATGAAGTAAAATTACCAAGAATATATCCACTTGAAATAGATAATCTATATACCGATTACTTTCAAGCTAAATAGCTTGAACCAACAATTAGAATCATATTCATAGCTCTAGTAATGAACAAACTGAAAATCACATGGACTCATCAGGATTTAGCCCAATATTTATGTTTGCAGCTTAGAATTAAGCACGTATGCATTATATGCGGTGATACCCCTATTAATATGCTTATTCATTCCACCTACAAAAACAATTGGTTACTGTATTTTATATCTGATGAAAATGAAACAGTGACGGGGGGAATTGGCCAGGGGGTTTCGATACTAAAGTAGGATTTTATTTACTTGAACATATACTTCTTCTCTTCAGCTTGGTAATTAGCTTTATGGAGTATACAAAGAGATACAAAAATTAATGTGTGTTTTCATATGTACATACTGGCAAGGTTTGTAATGTTTGGTTTTCTTGCTTCGTGTATTCTGCTATTACAATGAAAAATATCCAATTTAGAATTTTCTTGTAATCATATTGATACAGAAAATATAATCCATAAATTTCCAAAGGTGGAACGGTTTGAAGATCTTTTCGGGGAGAAGTTTGTAATCAAGTTGCTATTTCAACGAAAGGATATTATGACGTAACAGTACGTTGATAAAATTTCTCCCTTTACCACTCTCCACGTTTTGTAATTAATTAAATATCTGATTGTATCAAGTATTTCCATATAAGCTTGATACGAAATGGAAAGAGAGAACATAAAAAATATGCATGAATATACCTCTGACTGAAAGATATCATAGTTGGAATGTTAATTCACCTGCGTTTTTATACTGACATTACAAAAAAGGAAACAGAAGAAATAACCAGTCTGCAACCAGATTCAGTAACTTCTACTTCAGTTATTTCCATTCATTGTTTCGCTACAAATTAAATCCTAACTCTTTTTGTTTGTATGATTCATCAAGATTCTGCATTTGGTTATGTCTGGTAAATTTAACTCGTTTTATTTTTTTGCTCGTTCTGAAAAGCAGGCGAAATCAAAAACAAGAACCAACAAATCAATCCATTTAAGCCTGAATAAACCACAATGACAATATACTCATTCTTTATATTTGACCGTCACTGCAATTGCATCTATAATCGAGAATTCACACAAACAAGCGCGGCAGGTGTAAACAATGGATTAATCAACAAAAACAACACCTCACACTCATCCAAACTTCTCTTTGGGATAATATACTCGCTCAAATCACTATCTGCCAAACTCATATCCGAGAACGAATTGACATCATTCACATTAGGACAACTGTTTAGATTCCATTTTTGGGAAAGCGTTACATCGTATAAATTTGTGGTTGTCACGGGATATGATGTTGATGATATGCAACAAGTACTTGTGAGATTGCACCAATACTTTGTCGATTGCGTGGCTCTGAATGGATTGACGCCAGTTGAGTTCAAATGGAGTGCTAATGGCGAGAAATTAGACAATGTGGGGTATTCTGTCATATGTAATAATAGTTTTGTTGAAGAAACTGATCAATATTTACAATCATTACTGATCTATTAGAGGAGAAAAGGGAGCGTGAAAAAGGGAGAACCTAGTAATGACAACTCAGCATTACGTTAGTAATATCCACTAGTTGATGGTTTCTTGGAATAACATTTTAGTTAAACGAAACGCTGTTTGGGTAAATGGCTACATATAGCTTAACTTACATATAAGATATATGCTTCATACTACTTAGAGTTACAACATTTCAATATCAAGGTAGAGAGTTTTACCCGTGCTATTTACATATATAGAAAGATTCTTCAATGTAATGCACTATTATTATCTCAGCATGCTGTATTATTTGTCTAACAACTGTAAATAAATCGTTTCATATCTAACATAACAGTCCAAAGTTCTATGTTGTAAGCTGGCCAAAACTTACAACCACCAAAACTGTATAACCTTCTTTGTAACAGAGTTTTTATTTTTTTTTTTTGCAGTTTGTTTTTGTACAATTGAATCAATGTTTACATTTTTTTTCAGCCTGGTAAACAATCATCAACACAGCAAACAACTCTATTAATAACGTGCCCTACAGAGTGAACAAGAGAGTGTATTTGAACATTACATTATTTACTAAATCAATATCTGTATTTATTAGCTTCACCTGACCTTTTTCAGTCGCACATATATATTTGAGTGCATATTTGTTTCATTGTTGTTTCACAAAATGTCTTCTACAAACCTCCCAACCCCGACCAATAAACGAGTTCTTTCTGAACGATCTCCAAACGAACCAAGTCAAAGCACTATTTCCAAGAAACAGAGACTATTATATCTGCAAATGCTACCCCCAGATAGGAAATTCGAATCTAAAATACCCGCACCAAAATATACCACCACTATAACACAATCGTCTGTACAAGATCCACAGACTAGCACACCCACTAGGAATAGCCCCAGCTTTCCTAAAGACTACCAACAAACAGTTCTATCTATAAAAGACCGGTTGGCCCGAAAATCTTCACTTAATGATCCATCTACGTTCCTCAAGCCAAAACCACCACAAACAAAACGACCAAGTGGTGGTGACATCCAAGAAAAATATTACGCCCTAAATGAAGAATGCAAGAATGTTCTGAGTGAAGTTGATCAATTGACGCGTGAATTGGCCGAGATTAAGCGTAAAAGTAAGTCATTACAGTATAAAGTTGACGACGCAACAGATGAAGTTCAGCTTATGCGTGATAGATTTCAATTCACGGAAGAGTCTGTGGTAAAGAAAGTTGCTGATGAGGAAAAGTTGATGTTTCTAAAGTCCCAAGAGTCACAGATGAAATTGGAGAACCATTATAAAGAACTCGAATTTGAAATGAAGAATCAATTGGAAGAAGCCAAGAGTTTCGATAATCAATTCTTATTAGATAAGATTGAAGAGTTGAAAACCACCGAACAGAACTTAGCAGAAGAGATTGAAAAGTTGAAATCAGAGAAGGAACAACTTTTAATGCTGGAACAGCACTCTATGGAACAAGAATTACAAAAAAGGCTTAGTTTGGTAAAGCAAGACCAAGAAAAATCGTCTGATGAATTGCAAGTTGCGAATGAAAAAAAGAAGTTGATACAACTGAAATTCACCATTTCCAAGGAATACTTAGATCAACAACAAGCAAACTTACAAAAGTTGAAACTGGAGATTGGCGAAGTGGAGGCAAGTATGAGCATATTTTTATCGGAAAAGGAATCACTACTATCGGAACTTTCAACAATTGAAAGTAATTTAGACGCAGCTAAAGAAATAGACGAAAAAGAACAATCTGAGTTTAATTCCCTAGAGCAAATACATTCCAAAGCTCTTGCTAAGATGTATAAACATGACACTCACCGTAGAATCCTTGAGAACTCAATCATGGATTATGAAGGGAAAATTCGAGTTTATGTTGTGAGTAATGAAGAAGAAACAAAGGAAATTCAATCTCGAGGCAAGCTTTATGAATTCAATAAACAATTTCCAAAGAACATACCCGCCTCAGTCATCGCTGATGAGTTTTCATGTCTTTTGAAAAGTAGTTTAAGAGGATCAAACGTGTCAATAATTAATACAGCTCATAGCATACCGACACTGGAGTTGGTGTTGTTGACTTATAACCACATTTCGGACCCAAGATCTTCCACAAAGAATCGACAATTCACAATACGATACCAGTGTATTTCCATTCAAAACTTACAAGTGTTTGATAATCTTGATTCCAAGAAAAACGTATCATCTCAAGGAATCATTCAACAAATGCAAGCCAGTAAAATACAAATCGAAGATAAGAATCACATCGAGAGTATAGTACAGACTATACCCAAACAAGTGGAACAAGAACTCGTGGTACATTTATTCTCGGTTGAAACTGGATCGTCTGACAAACAATATGAAACCACAGTTATGATCGTGGATTTAGGAAACATACAACGACCAGATCAAATGGAATTATTACAAACATTCAAATTGACCACAAACAGTGACTCGCCCACAACCAAGATATTCTCATTTGCCCGATACAATTCCAAATGTTTATTCCTAGGAAGCGCGGATTCTGACTATGATTATGAATACTTGGATGAATTACAATTATTAAATTCCATGGATTCTTTATACAAACCAAAAAGTTGATAATAATACAGGGTTGTATATATTTATAAATATATAGATTGGCAATGAAGCATTCTGTCTATAAATTACATAGAAGAAATCAAGTCATGTAGTACCCATTTCAATTCATCTGTTGTTCCTATATGGGCATCCAGTCTAGGCACAGGTTGGGAATGTTGAAGTACGGGAGATAAGCTTGTATTTGTAGGCGATTTCGCATGGTTTTCTTGTGTTGATCCATTCAAGTTTGTGCCATTAGCAGGAACAATGCTGGTTGACTTGGCAGGAACAGATTTTACTATTTGTTGATTGGCATTGGAGGTGGAAGCCGTAATCTCTTCGTGGAACTGGGTACGTGGAGGTAACTCATAATCAAGTGATTCGTTGTTAATATCGTCATTTTCAAGCATGACACTAGATAACCTGTACTTTGGTCCACTTGGTTCGATTAAATGAGGAAACATTTCAAGTGTATCATACAAATCTTCAATGCACAAAGTGATATCCTTAGAATTTTGTTCTTCTCTGTCATGAAATGTTCGTTTTCGATCATTCAGATTTATCGCATCTTCTGAAGATGAACTGATTGCCATTTTATTCTCATATGGTATATAATCATTGTTGGTATACTTGTTTTTCCTGTATTTGGCAACATCAATTGCACTTTCCACAATATTTTTAAGATGAGTTTCTAATCCCAATAAAAGAACTTCAAGAACGCCCGCATTAAGTCCTCCGGTGAGACCATATTCTCTCATTGTCATCAATACTCGTTGTGACAAATTATCATAATCAGGAATTTCATAATTCTCAGTAGCGATTGGAGTGTTTATACCATTAACCACATCTTGTTGCCATTGCACCAAATTGTTAACTTGTAATTGTTGTTGCTCTTTGTCCTGAATCATAGGTATCTTGGGAAGTAAGGTATGTCTCGTCAATGTTATACCCGCATTCAATTTCCCTCTCTTTCCACTATCTCGAGTTATATTCTTTATTCTTCTTCTTTCTCTAATTGGTAATCCCATAATATTTTGTTTGAATTTTTCATATTGAGTGGATTTCACCTTGGTTGATTTGGCAGCCTTCTTATTCCAAAATGATGCAAATTCATTCAGGAAATCCAATGGACCATCCTTTAAAGAATTTGCAAAGTTCAATAACAATAATTTATTATGATATTTGAGTAATCCATCCTTCAATAACGGAGTGATTGTTGATACCAACTCAGCACGAGATAATTTCCCAATCAAGAAAAGACTCAATGTTTCGTGATACTTTTCCCAATTATTGCCCAACTTGGTTTGAAATTCTCGTATGAGTCGTTCCAATTCGAGCCGTTTATTGGATTTCCCCTTGGATGCAGGGACCGCGAGAACTGGATGCGGTGCGGAAGCCGTGGTGGTGGTCGGTGATAATGACGGGTTAGATGCTGCTAATTTACCATTGTTGGTAGTAACTGCGGGGTTTATGGTCACTGTAGCTATTTCTGATGTCATTACTGTCGATTTATGCTGTTTATTATTGGAAATATTCACGCGGATGTGTACTAAAAGACTGAATAATGATGTTGTGAACGCGATATTTTTGCAAATTTGGGCGATCTTATGTAATAATGCAAACGCTAGAAACACCAACAACAAAACTGGGTTTATTTAACTGTCTGAGTGGATCTATAAACAACTATACGAATGTAGACTTCGTACAGGCAGATATAGGCTGTGATTTTTTGATTGATTTGATTGATTGCTGCAAGCTATATCCTCCACCTTGCAAGAATGTGGCCGGGGTCTTCATTATTTGCGTTTTTTTTTCTTTCACATAGTGAGAGAAGAAAAATTCACAAATCAGTCACGTGATCAATTTTCTATACCAGGTGTTAGAATTCACTGATATTTCTTACAATAAATAGTTCTACATAAGGGTATACTAGTGTGAGATGGGAATATACTTTTTCAGGCTAAACATTTGAAATCAAAATGGAAATAGTGTTCTTTTTTTTTTATTTTTTTACAAGGCATTCCAAATTTTCAGCTATTGTTTGAATTACAGAATAACACAGTCCAAGAAATGCTTTAAAGATCAATGAGAATTATGATCAGCATAATTCGATTAATAATCACCATCTAAATAAGTTAAAGTTGGTGAATATCTGACTGGGACCGAAAGGTGCCACTAAGAGCGAATCTGCGGAAGATACGGTATGTAGTTGTTAGTAAGCATGATGAGTCATTGTTCATGACAACAGAAAATAATAGTCAACCCGTTAGAACTACAAAGATTCAAGATTTGACAAGCAGATATGGGAAGATATTGACGGCTTTATTCGGTGGTTTCGGCTGTTGCAAATTTCAGATAGTAAAGTTCTTTGTTGATGTGTAATGCAAAGCCTTTTCTTTATTAACTCTAACACTTTATCCATTGTTCTTGTTAACGAAAAAATAAGATTCAAACCATAGAAAAGTACAAAGATTTAAGATTTAACAGGCATGAGAGAGGATATTGAGGGTTTTATTCGGTGGTTTCGGAGATTGGTAGTTTCAGATGATGAAATTTGTTGATAGTATGCAATGAAAAGCCTTCCCTATAAACTCTAATACTTAAGGCCGTACCCCACAAGCCTATTCACAAAAAGTACCCGGGTCAGATGTTTAGATTAAGTAGTAAACTCCGTCTAGTGATTTCAGGTCAATTTTTCATGTTTTTCGGTTGTCACCTCCACCGGGCCGACTTTTCTTTTTATTGGTTTTTCCGTTGTTTTTTTTTTTGGGTTTTTGTTTTGGTGGGTTAACGTGAAACGGTTTTTAGACCCCTTGCAAGGCTCGTACCAATGCTATCCGAATAGATCTAGATATGCTAGCCCTAAGGTACATTACTGATCCATACCTATTATAACTCAAGTATATAATATTCGTAGCTTATTATACGTTTGCTGGTGAGAAACTGGAAATGTCGGGCCCGCCCCCATTTGTTGTGATCGGAAATTTCTTTTTCCGCCCGGCATTTAGAAGAAACAGGCTGATGCTGCTGATTATTAATATAATTAATCGTATAAGCCTATATAAATAAGCACTTTTCTTCGATATTTTATTTGACAACCTTCGAGAAAGCTCCAACAATAAGCCAAGCATGTCTGAAGACAATTCTGAATTAGCTAGGATATATTCCACCCTATCCATACAACCTTCAGTAGTGGAATCCATGCAACCGTATATCGGCAGAAGTTCGCAAGATACTGAAAAAGGTAATCTGGGAAGTGATGATATCGACGATGAAAATGAAAAGACTGAAACGTCAGGTGCTCCGCTTTCTCGTCAACAAACGTTCCTTCAAAAAGTACAGTCTCGATACTCCTTCTTTAATGAAAATCTCAATGAGCATAGAAAGAAATTATATCTTAAATTTGGGATGGTTTATTTGATCATGGCAGTTGGTGTCTTGTCTGTTTTTTCAATCTATTGGGGTTCTATGTATGGACGAGATGGAAGAATTAAAAACTTGAGAATGTTGGTGGTTATTATGGATGACCATGAAATAGAAGGTATACCACCAATATTTGGGGACCAAATGCAACAAGTTCTTAACACCACGTTGGCCAAAGAAATGGGGAATTGGATAATATATAATTCCAGTGAATTCAATGCAATTGCTCAAGAACACAATAACACAGCCGAAGAGGAATTGGAACGTCAGATCCACCACCAAAATTATTGGTCTTCAATATATGTGAAGCCAAATGCAACTTGGAATTTGTACAATGCTTTGTTAACAGGAACCAGAGGTTACAATGTATCAAACAGTTCAATTATTTCGGTGTATGAAACGGGTAGGGACTTGATTAACATGGTTGAGTATGTTGTTCCATCGGTACAAGCAGTTGAACGTGAATGGCTTGATGTAAATACAGTAACTGCTGATTTGATTTCTAAAATTGACAACAAAACTGAAGTTTTTGGCAATCCTGCTTCACTTGATATAGCGACCCAGTCATTAAACTTTCAATACTATGATGGAAGACCCGAAACCAGTCCTGTATTGATTGCGCCATCCCAAGTTGGTTTGCTTTACATGATTATCGTTACATTTTTCCAATTCAATTTCTTTGTTGAAATCCATAAAGAGGTGGCTCTAATTGTGAAAAAGAACCATTATTTATTCTACCGTATCTTTGCCTCGACCTTGTCTTATTTTATAATTAGTTTGATGTTTTCGTTAGTTACCTTGGCCATGCAAGTTGATTTCACCGTGGCCTTTGGAAAATCGGGTTTCTTGGTGTACTGGATGGTTTCGTTCTTAACTATGTGGGCCGTGGGGGCTGCAAATGAGATTGCCGCTATGCTTTTAATCACGGTATATCCTCCATTACTTGGATTTTGGTTAATTTTCTGGGTGATTATTAACATCACACCCACATTTACCCCCATGGCTTTGAGTGCTGAATTTTTCCGATATGGGTACGCTTTACCGTTACACAATTCGTATGAAATTTCCAAGGTTGTGTTTTTCGACACATACAAGGGTCAAATGGGGAGGAATATAGGGATCATTGTGGCTTGGGTGGTGGTGTTGACAGCTGCCACGCCATTTGTCATCGTGTATTTTGGAAAAACTATGGCCAAGAAGGCGCAAAAGGCAGCAGCTGCAAATAAAAAGTGAAGACGGAGTTAAAGTTAACCTTAATCTGAAGATTTATTTATAATCCGACTATTTATTAGTAATATAATTTTTAATTATTAAGCATTTTATAGTAAGATCACTGATTGTAGGCTGTTGTGGAGATTTTATTGTTACAGAAACGAGGGGATATTTCTTTACAGACGGAGATAGTACACCGGACTATCACCGGAGTGGGTTGCGAAATAATTACACAAAAAACCCCGTTTTTCTTGTTAATTCCTTTGGCAAACTTTGGCAAGATTAACGGATTTAGGACAGTTATCATCGAAATTTGCTGATAAATACTGGATCAAATTACCAGGTTATCAATTATATAAGAGTATTAATATTTGCTTAATAATTTTACAAACTATCTTCTGTAGATTTCTGCTACCATTACAATTTTTATTTTACAAATATGGACAAACCTACTAAAGAAGATGGGATTATTTCATCAACCCCGATGGACTCTAGCTCGTCTAGTAATATGACCATACAAGAGAAAGGGATTGACGAAGATACACCTAAACAGCAGCCCTCATCACCACCGCCACCACCACCACCATCACAACCACCCAGTTATTCATTCTTCCACGAAAAACTAGCCCCACACCGGAAAACAATGAAATTTGAGTTTTTCAAGATTTATCTAACCATGGCAGTGGGTGTGTTGGCTATATTCTCGATATACTGGGGGTCAATGTATGGAAGAAATGGTAGAATACAGAATTTGAATATGTTGGTGATAATAGAGGATGACACTACCATAAATGGTATCCCACCTCTTTTTGGTGATTTTCTCAAACAAGTATTGGATACCCCACTCGCTAGAGCCCGGGGTAACTGGCATATTTTCAATTCAACAGAGTTTGGACAAATAGCTGTGGAAAACAACAATAATATCGAACAAGAATTGGAACGACAAATTCACCATCAGAAATACTGGTCGTCTATCTATGTCAAGCCAAATGCAACTTGGAACTTTTACAATGCGATTATCACAGGTGATACCGGATATAACGTGACTAACAGTTCTATTGTATCGGTTTATGAAACAGGTAGAGATTTTATGAATATGAACTTATACATTACTCCATCAATTCAAGCAGTTGAAAGGTTATGGTTGGGATCTCAAGCAAACTTGACCGATACATTAGTGCAACATGTGAATGGCTCGGCATTGTCACAAGCTGGTGCTATTAATATCTTGGCTACCCCACTCAATTTTGTCTACTACGATAGAATAAAATATACGGATCCGGTATTGGTTGCACCATCGCAAGTGGGGTTGATTTACATGGTTATCATTACATTTTTTCAATTCAACTTTTTTTCCGATCTTCATATGGCGATTGCAAAAACCGGGATGCACAAGCATCATTATGTGCTTTACAGAATCTTTGCTTCGGTATTATCCTATTTTGTTCTAAGTTTGTTCTTTTCGCTTGTTTCATTGGCATTCCAAGTGGATTTCACTAAGGCTTTTGGAAAAGCTGGGTTCTTGGTTTATTGGTTACTTTCATTTTTGACCATGTGGGCAGTAGGGGCCGCAAATGAATTAATGGCATTGCTTTGCATACTCGTGTACCCTCCATTGATTGGATTTTGGATGTTATTTTGGGTGATTATAAACATTGCACCTACGTTCACTCCGATTGCATTAAGCCCTGAGTTTTTCAGATATGGGTATTCCATGCCAATACATAACTCATATGAGGCTGCCAAAGTGGTGCTTTTCAATACTTACAAGGGTCAAATGGGGAGGAATGTGGGTATTTTAATTGCCTGGGTGGTGTTGCTAACGGCCGCAACTCCGTTTGTGATTGCATTCTTTGGTAAGACGATGATGAAACGGGCACAAAAGGCTGCAAAGGAAGAGGCGGAGAAGAAGAAGAAGAAGGAGGAGGAGGAGGAGGAGGCTGAATCGGGAGGTGTGTAGTTTATAGATTTTTATTTATTGTGTTTGAATTTGTGTTTTAAGACGCAATGCAGCATGCATTTATTGTAGAAATCCAGATTTCTTGGATTTGTTCTTCCAGATTTCTTGGGTTTGTTCTTCCAGATCTCTTGTTAGATTCGCAGCAACGAAGAGTCTAAATTGCGAGAATGTGATTTCAGGGAGAATTTCAATGTCGTATCATATGTGTAGATTCACTAATTTGCTTTGTTGACGTGACTTTCCTTTACCCCCATTGTTCTGATTTTGTGTTCATGTAGAACCAATCTATCCGAGAATTTTGTCTTTATTTTAATTGGAAAAAAATGGCCCAGACCAGATCAATTACTAACATACTAATTACTGGTATCTAATCCCCGGTGGAGTGCATAGTAATCTCCACATGATCTTGGGGAACTAGATCGATTGTAACCACCTTTTCCGGGTATATTCCCATACACAGCAATCCAAAATTAAGTAATCTCTTAGTCATGGCTTAAAATTGCTTCTCTTGCATATTTCATGTGTACTTTGTGAAAAAATAAAATTTCGCTATTTTCAAATTATAAAAAGCTCCGTAAAGGATGGACCTGAAATTACGATCCATCCATCACTCTTCTTTCCAATCTCACCTTTTCCTTCCACTATGACGGGTTTAACTGCTGAAGAAATTAGATTACAGAATATACGATTCAGACAATGGGGTTCCTATGTTGGTGAACGTCAATGGGCCACCGTTCGTGAAGATTATTCCGCCGATGGTAATGCGTGGGCATCGTTCCCGTTTGACCATTCCAAGTCAAGAACTTATAGATGGGGTGAAGATGGGATCGCTGGTATCTCTGACAGACGTCAATTGATCAACGTTACCATGGCTCTTTGGAACGAGAAGGATGATATCTTGAAGGAGAAGTTGTTTGGTCTTACTAATAGTCAAGGTAATCATGGTGAAGATGTCAAAGAAATGTATTACTACCTTGATAACACTCCTTCGCATGCCTATATGAAGTATTTGTACAAGTATCCTCAAAGCAAGTTCCCTTACCAGCAATTGATTGACGAAAATGCCAAACGTACTAGATTAGAAGATGAGTATGAACTTACTGATACTGGTATTTTCAAAGATAACAAGTACTTTGATATCGTGTTTGAATGTGCCAAGGGCGATGATGCTCCTGATGATTTATATTTCAGAATCACTGCTTACAATAGAGGTAATGAACCTGCACCATTGCACATTTTGCCACATCTTGTTTTGAGAAATACTTGGGCTTGGGGGACCGAAGAAGTGAAGAGTAAACCCTCCGCTAAAGAAATTGACCAATACACTATTGAAGTTGAACAGGAAAGATTTGGAAAGAGATACTTGGTGTTTGCTCCTGCTCCTGGTTGTACTGAAGGTTCTCCAGATGTTGAACCTACAATTTTATTCACTGAAAATGAAACCAATACCCAAAGATTGTATGGACAAGAAAACAAGCATAAGTACGTCAAAGATGCCTTCCATGACCATATTGTTGATGGTAAGGAAGACGTGGTTAACCCAGACAAGACCGGTACCAAAGCCTGTGGTTGGTTTCAATTCAATCAAAATGGTGGTGTGGCCCCTGGCGATTACGTCACTATTCGTTATAAATTAACTCGAGACAAATCTGATGTCGATGAATACGAGTTGGATCAAATTTTAAGTAGACGTCAAGCTGAAGCCGATGAGTTTTTCCACAAAGTCACACCATTACCAATCAGCAATGAATTGAGACAAATCCAACGTCAAGCATTTGCTGGTTTGTTATGGACCAAGCAATTTTACCATTTTGTCCACAATTATTGGTCATACGGTGATCCAAACACGGTCAAGCCTCCTATTAATCGTGCCAATGGTAGAAACAAAGAATGGAGTCATTTATTTATTGACGATATCTTGTCATTGCCAGATAAATGGGAATACCCATTCTTTGCCGCTTGGGATTCTGCGTTCCATTGTATTCCATTTGCCATGATTGACCCTTGGTTTGCCAAGAATCAAATTGATTTGCTATTGAGAGAATGGTATATGCACCCCAATGGACAAATCCCCGCCTACGAATGGAATTTCAGTGATGTAAACCCACCAGTACATGCATGGGCCGCGTATAGAATTTACAAAATTGAAAGAAAGATGTATGGTGTTGAAGATGTTGACTTTTTAGAAAAAGTTTTCCAAAAATTGATGTTGAATTTCGCGTGGTGGGTCAATAGAAAGGATGCCGAGGGTCTCAATGTGTTTGAAGGGGGGTTCTTGGGATTGGATAACATTGGTGTTTTCAATAGATCCGAAGCATTGCCTACTGGTGGAAGTTTGGAACAAGCTGATTCAACTGGGTGGATGGCGTTCTTTTCATTGCAAATGTTGAATATTGCTCTTGAATTGGCCAAGACTAGACCAGTTTATGAAAATATCGCTTCCAAGTTCTTTGAACATTTTGTTATTATTGCTGATGCCATGACATTTAGAGGTGCTGACAATTTCGAAACTGGAAATGCCAAGAACTCTCTTTGGGATGAAAAGGATCAATTCTATTACGATGCAATTAGATATGGTGATCACAATACTCAATCATTGCCTGTTAGATCTTTAGTCGGGTTGATTCCATTGTATGCTTCGTTAACTTTAGAACCGGATTTGATGGACAAGTTTCCTTCATTTAAGAAGCGTTTGAATTGGTTCCTTACTCATCGTAAGTCTATTTCCGAGAGAAACATCGCTTCCATGGATGCCAGGGGTGTGGGTGAAAGGTTATTGTTGGCTTTAGTTTCCAAGGAAAGACTAGTTGCTATCTTGGATAGAATGCTTAATGAAGATGAATTCTTGTCTCCATATGGTATCAGATCTATGTCGAAATACCACAAGGATCATCCATTTGAAATGGATGTCAATGGTCAACAATTCAAGGTTGAATATTTACCAGGTGAATCCGATTCAGGAATGTTTGGTGGTAATTCCAATTGGAGAGGACCTATTTGGTTCCCTACCAATTTCTTGCTTGTTGAAGCACTTCAAAGATTCTATTTGTACTATGGTCCTGATTTGAAGGTTGAATGTCCTAAGGGATCAGGGGATTTCTTGAATTTGGCCCAATGTGCTCAAGAAATCCAGCATAGATTGATTCATTTGTTCCTTCGTGATGAAGATGGAAATAGAGCATGTAATGGTGACAATGAGTTGCTTAACCAGGACCCACATTTCAAAGATTATATTCCATTCTTTGAATATTTTGATGCTGATACTGGTAGAGGGTTGGGTGCATCGCATCAATGTGGTTGGACTGCTGTGGTTGCCAAATGGGTTCATGACAATGCAGCAAGTTCTCGTGTTCCAAAGACACCAAAGACACCGCTTCAAAGAAGCAAATCTTCCGTTTTCATGCATAATAGTGAGGATATTTTTGCTTGCAAGGCCGCAGAAGAGTTGACTCATCACCATCCAGAATCTTCTCCAATGCCTGGTAATTTAGTCAGAAGAAAGTCAGGTAAGTCGTTGTTGAATTTGACGGTGAATGCTCTTGATTTGGACGAGGATGAAGAATATGCCCATGGTAAGATTGATGCTGCTAGAAAATTAGAAGGATTAGACCATGGTGTCTGTGTTGCCGGCGAAATGTTGCAGAATGAATTGAATGCCTTGGAGGCTACTGAATCGAATGTTTCCATTGATTCCGATGCAGGCATGCCTAATCACAGTCTTTTGGATCAAGTCAAGGCTGCATTCGAAAGATACAAGAGTAGAACTGGTGATGAGGACAATGCTTCTGGTGATGAATTGGAAACAAGAACTCACTAGAAATGTTAAGATAGTTAGTCAATTTTAGTACTTTATAGGTGTATCACCTCTATTTTTTTTTTGCAATAAAAAGCTGTCATTGTTTGTATTGGTACATTTTGCAATTTGTTTTTGCACGTGATTCTCACAACCAATTTTGCTTTCCCCTTTTTTTGCCTCAATTTTGTAGTCACTTTAAATCCGAACCAGTGGTGATAACAGAACTATAGTTTAATAAAATTAACTACAATGCCAGAATCGTTTGAAACTTATGAGTCAGAGTTCCAGTTGGCTTTACAAGAAGCTAAAACCAAGATAGCTCAGATAAATTCTGTTGATGCAGGTAAGTAAGGTCATGACATATTCCCTCCCCCGTCTCCTAAGAAGGAAATACTAACTCACGTTTAGAACAACGGAAAACACAACTAAAGGCAATCGAAGCTGCTTCGGATGAAGCCTTGGAAGTTCTTGACCAAATGGGAATAGAAGTGTTGAACCTCCCTTCGAACCAAAGATCTTCGTACAATTCCAAAATACGTCAATATAGATCTCAAATAGACGAAACCAAGCATAAATACAAGGAGCTTTTAGACTCTCAAGACAAGTACGAATTGTTTGGAAACAGATACACCGATCAGGAATTTGAGTCTGGAGGTTTACAAGATCAGCAAAGAAAGCAATTGTTGAATTCGAATGCCTCGCTTGAGAGATCGTCACAGAGATTGCAAGAAAGTCAAAGGGTGGCGTTGGAAACCGAGGCTATTGGAGGAAACATCCTTAATGACTTGAGATCTCAAAGAGAACAAATCAGCGGTGCTAGAAACACCCTCCTGCAAGCAGACAACTATGTTGACAAGTCTATACAGACTTTGAAGTCGATGTCTAGACGGTTGACGGCGAATAAGTTTATCAGTTACGGAATTATTGCAGTTTTGATTTTGTTGATATTTTTAGTTCTTGCCAGTAAGTTCTCATAGGCTTGTCTACATCTTTTTTAATTCTTAACTTTAGCTTGTTCTTATCTAATAAACATATATCTGTTGCAGATCTTCCACGTGTAAAAAGAAATTGGATTCGGCTTTGATGCACCAAAACCAAAATATCGATCCGAAAATTTTTTCTATCCGCATTTCAAGAAGAGCAAGTGAGTAACAACTTCGAACCGTTACGAACTGCTAATAGACCTTTGAAGAGAAGAGTAGTGCTACATTCCGAAGAATAACAAGAAGAAGACACAGGAAGAAAAATGTTGAGGAGCTTAGCAAGAGTTGCCGTCAGGGCTCAACCAATCAAACCCATGATTTCTAGAATGACTAATAAACCCATCATCACCAAAACCTTCACCGCAAAATTCCACAACACCTCCATTAGATCCCATGGCCACATACACAAACCAAACCCAGGAGAAGAACTCCACATCACATTTATAACTAAGGATGGGGAACAGTTTACGTACGAAGTCGCTGAGGGTGATAACATATTGGACATTGCCCAGGCCCACAATTTAGATATGGAGGGTGCCTGCGGTGGATCGTGTGCCTGTTCCACTTGTCATGTCATTGTTGATCCTGACTACTATGATTCTATTCCTGAACCAGATGATGATGAAAATGATATGTTGGATTTGGCATTTGGATTGACTGAAACCTCGAGATTGGGTTGTCAAGTTAAAATGACCAAAGAATTGGATGGGATAAGAGTTGCCTTGCCTGCCATGACAAGAAACTTGCAAATAAAAGACATGAAATAGAATACAAAAGATGCACTATTCTTGTATATAGATATATAGAGCCTAAGCTATGCTAGGCACATCGATTTTCTTACCCATACAAAGTTTATTATTAATAATACTTTTACCAACATCATAACCAAACTTATCGGGATTTCGAGTGTATCCCATAAACAAACATTTGAGACTGGCAGGAAAGTGCCATTTGTCGTTCTCAATATCTCTAGCACGTATTCTGTTTCCGTTTATGTCGATCTCTAGCAACTTGTCATGAAAAGTTAGATCTCGATCATGTCCTATCAGGAATGCATTCAACTTGTTTAACTTATTCAGAGAAAGATTTAGAATTCTCAATTCAGTATTGCAGTTCCTGGGAAACGATATGTTTACTGTTTTCATGTGATTGAACGACAAATCCAAAACTCTAATGCACTTGATATTGAAATTATGGTCGAAAGTTTCAAGTTTGTTAGCGGAGATATTCAAATTTCTTAAACAATACAACGAGTTAAATGTGCTTGGATCAATATAGTTGATTCTATTACCCGACAAATTGATCGTTTCTACTGAAGCTGGGAATTTCCAATCGACTTTTTGCAACTTATTCTGGGCCAAAGAAATGTGTTTCAATTGTGAATTTGGTTCCCACGAAATGTTCCTAATAATGTCTATTTCGCAGCCAGTGAAACTTAGTTCTCTGATAGAAGCAGAAAAGGTGTAATCAGACAAGTTTGTAAAGTAACAATAGTCAAAGTTTAGAATATTCAAAGTTTTAGGTAAGTGAACATCTTCAAATCTCTCTAATTCATTATAATTCAAATAGAGAACTTCAATTTGTAAATCTTCTTCAGCATGATTCTTACTTAACTCCAAATAACCAGAAATACTGTTGTCTGTAAAGTACACTTCTTTCAAACAGGTTGGGAAATGTGGTCTAACAACTGTCGTGATTAGATTGCAACCTAGGTACAACGTATGTAAATTTCTGGGGAACACCACTTTTTCAATGCTAATAATCTGGTTGTTTTCAAGCGATAGCTCTTCTATTGAATCAGACAACTCAAAGTCTTCCAAATTCTCACCCACTAGAGTGTTGGTCAAGTTCAAAACTTTCAATTGGGGAAATCGTTTAAAGTTGGGAATGTAAGTGACCCAGTTAATAGGATTTTCGGCAATAATTAATACTTCCAAATTGGAAGGAAGAATCTTATCTATAGCTCGTATATCTACTATATTATTCCTCAGAAGGTTTACATTTTTCAACGTGGCAGGGAGAACTGAATGATCAAAAATATGAACACTTGGAACAGACAGAATAGTAACTGATTTTAAATTGCTTTGCTCGAGATTTATGGGGAAGTTCAATCCACTGATAGCAAATGACTGTAATTGTTTTAATCGTTGAAAGTTCTCTTGATTGTTGAACAAGATGTCATTCACATCTATCATTTCATCATCACCATTCCACATACATTGAACTGACAACTCCTGTAAATTCTCTAAATTCTGTTCGATCAACAGCTTTGCATATTGAGATTCTGGAGTTTGGTCTTTTAATTTAGTCAAGTGGATTGATTTCACATTCTGGGGGATAGGGTACACATGTGACAGTTCTTGAATAACACAATTACCAAGAACAACTTTCTCCAAGTCGTGAGGCAAGGACCGTTGTAAGTAAACTCCGTGATTGTTATTCCATCCCCATAGATTAGGAAACAATTTCACCGTTCGTAAGTTTGCCCTGGAATTAAACGACGGAAGTAAACTCACGTTACTGTTCTCCTGCCATAGATCTTGCAAATTGGAAAACTTGTCAATATCAAAATGAAGAGAGCCGGAGTAGTTTATTATTGTAATTGAAATAATTTTTGATCTCAATTCATCCGACAACGTATCAAAAGCCTCGTTTAGATTTACGTCGTATAAAAGTCCTGGTTTAAATTCAATTTCGATATTGTACTTAAGTTGACTGTGTGGGTTGAGAAAATCCAATAGTTCACAAATATCTTCGAGTGACCAAACATAGTAACTCAAGGTAACAGTAGTTTGGATATTTTCTTGGCTACAATACTCAATTGCTGTTTGCAACCTGGAAAGTGTGGGGACAAAATGTAATTCTCGTTTGTCAACATAGGTGTTATGATCTTGTAGATATTTAAGAAATAGTGAAGGTTGTCTCATTCGATTGTTAAAAGAGAGTTTGCTATTGCCCAACGCGTAATCAAAGGCAGCTTTGATATTTTGGTTATCATGGAGAAAGTGTGATTTATCAGTCCATTGTATGATATTTTCAATTCTGGCGTAGTTAAATATTTGGGCGAGTACCTCAACTGGGTATAGATCAAGGAGACAGTTCATGATATCAATGCTTGAAGTGTTATTCTGTTGTAGGTTGTAATAAACCTATTGGAAGTCAGAAGGTTATATAATTCCATCCCCCTTTTCAATCGGGCTTATGTGGGGGCAATCCAACAATGAAGCATGCGAAAAATACAATAGCAACTATGCTTCTGATAAGTTCAATAGTTGCTATTTTTCAAAGCATGCTTATGTAACCCAAGAGGTAATATGTCAATTTCTATCAATACACTCTTCTCCGGGATCTTGTAGTAAAATCCAGGTACTTTCTTATGCTTTTGAAGTGTTCAACCATGGCTCGAAGCCACAATGTCAAATTCACGAAATCCAAATTTTAAGCCATTAGCGTGAACAGTACAATTTTCATTATAGATCATGAGAGCAATGCTTCCATACAAGAAAGCACAATAGGATTAATCAAACTGCAGAGATACGTAAGACTTATACAGAAATCAAGTTATGTTAATTTTGCCGCCGTGAAGGACAAGAAATAACCGACATTTACGTTTGGCGGGTTCATAGTCGTGACGTCACGCACACGACGGTTAAAACTTCGCTTGGTAAAACACAGGTGGAGAACCTCCCAAGAAATTTATTTTGCTTTTTGGTCTTTCTTCGGGAACATGGGGTAAATTCTCGAAATTAGTCACTCTTGCTGAGAAAGGTCATTTGTTATGGTTTTGTGTATGTGTTTATTTATATGCAGTACCAAAATAATCGTTTGATAAGAGTGTAACACCCACAAAGTCCGATAAGAACAAGGCTACAAAATCACACACACGAAATCGTTACAACTTCACACTGTAACCACCAGTTTGCCCCTCAATCCCAACAAAGTTAAATTCTTGATTAATTATCGTTTCTATTCCAAAGCTTGTTAAGGACACGCCATATTTTCCAACCAATTACTTGAGGTTCCTTAGTTGCCGCTGGCCAGAACCCACTTTTTTACCACACCGTTTTTTTTCCCTCTTTCTAGACAGCGAGAACAATAGCTTCACCTCGTGGATCAGTTACATCCACTATTTAACTGTTATTTTTTAAGTTTACCTTTACATTTCAAGGGTCAAGAAGCAACAACTATCTGTGATTTGTTCATACCTAGCAATCTAGATTTCATTCATTAAACTTAGAAGGATCACTCCTTCTTGCTCCTATCAAAATAATTCTCGTTTACCCTTTTGCCTACGCGCTGGTCACTCTTTTTGATATACTTGAACTAAGTGTATACCATGTCTGATCTCCTCAATGACACGATCAAAATTAACAAGATGTATGTTTATGTTTTAATTGGAATATGTATATGTATATTTATATGCAATACTAACTAAAATCTTAGCCACACCAATCCTAAACGAGGTCATAAACTAGGTACTGCTAGTGCCACCTGGAAAAAGATCAAATCAGCAACCGTAACAGCAACACTAACTTCAACATACCCACTAGCCACCCCTGGTAGCTCCACGAACACCTCTGACGACGAGGCTATTGATTACTTGCTGGAGCCTTCCAAGAATATTTTGATTGAGAATGGACCCCTGGGTGCGTTTTTCTTGATATTTACAACCGAATATAAATTGGAATTGTGGAATTGGACATCACCTACCCAGGAAAATACCTCTGATTATGGAGATACCTTGTTTTTAAATCATCAGGTTGACCTACCCTTTAAATCTGACACCGAGATACATGCATTCAAAATATGTGCACAGAAAGAGGAGGAATTTGTATTTCTATTGGTAGTCTCTGATCAGTCCGGATACTACATACAATCCCATAAATTCGGATTAGAAGACCAGACAAGTACTATAATACTGTCACTTAAAATACAAGGAGAGTTACCGAAGATGAAATTAACCTTGAAAGCTAGCGACAAGTTCGTGGTTGTAGCTACAGAAACTGGCCTTACTTGGATATTCAAATTAATAAACACAAAATTATTCCCAGGAAACCATGATCTTCATCTAACAACTATACGGAAACATCTGTGTAATCCGATATTAGCCAAACATCCGTTTATGTCGAAAGTGTCGGATGAAGATTTAATTCTCCAGACGAGTATTAATTCCGATCTGGTTCCTATATTTGATATTGTTGATAATTGGTTGGTTTATTCCCCAACAAAGTTTGAATACAGACATCTCAAGGCAATAAATGAAAGTACAATTACTCAACCAGGTATGGATGAAGAAGACAAGGATCCCATTGTAACCAATACTAGGAAGTCGAATGGCTATAAACTAAAGAAGAATTCCATGTTCACACCTATGAAGTTACCAATATCTAAACCGTTGTTAAATAAAGTGTTTTCCACCGTGTCTAACACTGCTTTGGATGGTCTTTTCAAATTATCTGAGATTTCTTCTGCCAAATTCAAAGCTTATATGAACCAGTCAAATGGTACAACCACCAGCAAACCTATCGAACCAACCACTGTCAATTCCCTTAGCAAATCAGTAGGGAGATTGTTATATTCAACCGCATCAAGTACAGCCAACAGTTTACAAAACACCACCAAGAACTTGAAACCAAACGATAATCAAATCATATGTGTACTTGATCTTGGAAATGATAGAGTTATGGGGACATTCAAACCACCCGGAGGAATCTCACAACTTTCTTTATCTCCTTATGATTTACAATTGGTTCATGCAAATGCAAGAGGGGATTCCTTGTACATGTGGGATTTGTATCGATTACCGGTGGAAATATCACTTATTGGTAAATTCCTGAGAGGTAAGACGTCAGCGATTATCGAAGAGATATTCTGGTTTATTAACAATTACGAGAATAAACGGGATGAAGGTGAAGTGTTTGGGAATAACTCTGGGTTTGGGTGTATTTCTAAATCAACGGGTTCTTTGCATTGGTTCAATATAAACTATTTGGCGGGAAGTTATAATAATAACCGACCTAACAGTTTCAAAAAGACATCTTTTGCACCGGGAAAATTCATGGATTCGTGGATATTATCGTCTTTGAAGGCGAAGCAGTTTGTTTCTATACCTACAAATCAATGCAGTAATCTCAATCAATTGGCCATCATTGATGAAAACTTGGTCTTAAAATTGATAAGTCCTTTGAATGGTCATCATTTCTACCAATTCCAATTATCTAAAGTACCCGTGGATAGTCAATTTGTTCCCAAGACGAGTTCAATAGAAAAACCCCATATACCAAGTAGCCCCTATGTTAATCCTTTATCCCAAGCTGAAATTGAAACATGTGCTCCATTTTTGAACTTGATAAATAATCCACGTATAGAATTTGCAACTTTTGAAGATGACAATTTAGAGGAAATCTTTTCCGAGTTTGGCAATATGGTTCCTGAACAGGTGATTACATTCAGGTCTAAACCAAAATATAGAACTTTAAAGCCAAAGGATATCAAGGATAATGATCTACCTTCCGTAGATACATTGTTCATTGACCAAGATGAAGCCAGCGATGATTCCAAAGATGATTCCTGGACAGGCTAATCGCTCTTACAATAGTCACTTTGCTAAAATTGCTTAAACGTCGACCACACTTAGATTCTTTAGTATATATTATTCTCACCTATATAACAAATCAAAGAAACACAATTCTATAACCGAAAACATATTCATTAAATGGCAAAAATTACACATGATAAGAGTAACAAAAGAAAAGAACATTGCCACCCCCTACTCTGCTTATCAAAAGCAGATATCCCAGGGGAACTATTTCGTACACGTAAAAATATTTCAACATCGTCAAAAACCGTCAAATCAATTAAAAGATCAATCTAATCAATTCTAAAATGGCACCACCGCATACTAAGAACAACAATACAAACAACCATGTTTTAGAAACGGCAAATCCTTCTTCAGGTGCGTCTGGCTTCGGTTTACCCCATTGTTTAACGTTTTTCTTTTCAAACTTAGCGTTTGCTGCTCTTTGTTTTGGAGTTTGTAAGGCCTGGAAAAGCTAGTTAGTACATATGTGCTTGTGTATAATTGGAGTTGATACTACATACCATGATGTATTCTGTTATTGGATGGATGAAGCACTACCGGGGGTATATGAAACTATCTAAAAAAGACAGGGGGAGGTAAAGGTAGTGATGTGTATAAAAGCGTCTGCTAAAAATGACAACAGGTATATTTTTCTTTTAAGATGCATGCTCGAGTTGGAGACACGTCAGAAATAAAAAATCGAATGTGTTGTGCATTTTGTATGCAGGTTGTCACGTGAGGCAGTTCCTTTTTCTTTTTTTGCAGCAATCAGCCCCATTTGGATTGATGCTCTAGAACCCCGATCTATCGGACGTACGGGGATTAATATAGTATCCATTGAAACTCTGTGTCGGATGTAAAGTTTCTCTCTGTAAAAGTTATTTATCTATGTATTGAGTTTGTGGCTTGGATAATTGGGCTACTTCGTACCTTAATGTGTTTTTCCAATTATACCAACTTCACTAATGGTTAGAACAGTAAGTTCCTAAATATCCAAAGGGATTTTTTTGTAATTACATTGAGTATATTAACGTTCTGGAAAGATTTCTGTATTGATAACTTGAACAATGCCAACAATTTATATATGTAATGTAGTTTTGAAAAACTTTACGTAAAATTTACCAAAAAATTTCTCGATTTTAGTGAGACTCAAATTTTCAATATTTTTCTATCTTAAATACCAACAGCAACTGTCAATAGTAAAAAGTAATCACTAATCAGCACAATTCCTTTCAAGTGCACATCAGAAAGTGTGCAAAATGGGTATTTCTCTCACCAAAAATTTTGAAAAAACTATCGCACGTGACAAATATTCAAAACAATTAAGTTCATATCCAGAGCGTCGTGGCGCAGTGGAAGCGCGCAGGGCTCATAACCCTGATGTCCCCCGATCGAAACGGGGCGACGCTATTTATTTTTGGAAAATTTTTATCATATATCATAAAGACATATAAACAGAGTTGGCAAGAAAGGTGGGTGTAATTTATATAATTTTAAACAATGTAAGATCGTATTATGAGACTAAAATTTCTTTTTTTTTTTCCAAAAATTTTTTTTCCAAATTTTTTTGTTTAAAGCTTGATAGGTTGCCTAATCTTGATCAAATAGTCATTTGCGTCGTAAATCGCCTGATTTGCATTAGATCCATACGGATTATATTTAGATTGGGATGAAAAAAAGACAGAAAATGGGGAATTGAATGTAGTTGCAAGCTGTTTTGATTTGTATTTTTGTTTTAACCAGGTCATATCTGATTCAGGTACATAGTTCTACGTCAAAGTTATATCAGGCTGAGTATGATCTTATTACCATCTTGTCACCTTATATCTTTCTACTAACACCCACCCCAGATCCAAGAGCAAGAAGTAGCAAATAGAAGCAAGCACCGAGATTCTGGTTGAATAGTCAACTTCCGAAACTAACTATCAGAACAGCATCGCACGCTGAGTTTGAAATCGCTCAAATTCGTGTTATATCGACTAGCTGATGCTTAATAGAAAGGTAAATATAAGTCTATTCATGCATCTACCTTAAAAAGCACATGCCACATGTCGGTATAATTCTGGCGATGGTTAATTAATCTCTTCGTCCGTTCCCCTCCCCAATTCCCCCACATTTGCAAACTAAAAAAATCTTGAAAATTACACAAAACTAATTTGCGGAAAAATCCAGATTTTCCACTAATTAAAAAGCCATAAAGCAAGCATTGTTCGTATAGCGTAATCTTTAGCTTCGAACAATAAAAAGACACAGGGATTTGTAAACTTCTTACTTTTATATCAAATTTTATTCTGGTTTATCTCCTCTTTCGAACGAGATCGACCCCACTAAAAGCGGAAAAAAATTTACACCGTATCGTCAACTTAGATCTCTACAGTAATCCAACGAAGTAGAAACTATGCTGAAAATGTACCCGACGTGGAATCAACTTAGGAACACCGGATATAAGCGGTGATAGCACAAAAGACAATAATTGGCGATAGCAACGGGAAAGTTCGGACGTCCGCTCGAACTTCCATCGGTATAATTCGACAATGCCGAGGCAAAAAAAAAACTTTAGCCCAAGAATATATAAATATCTCGACGTCCGTAGTGCGTTTCAACTTTAAAATTCTTTGTAATTACCACCTAAATTTGTTTCCACTATGGCCTACTTATTCAAGGAACCAGCTCAGCACATTCGTAGAAGTATCGATAAGCATTTGCCTATGGATCGTGAAAAGACTAGTGATGCTATCCCTATTCCAAACACCAAAGAACCAGGATTTTCTTCAGTCTACAGAAATGCTTATTCTCCAGATAATTTGATTGGTGTTCCTTACCCTTCCTTAGACACCTTGTATAACCTTTTCGAATACTCGGTCGAAGTTAATGGCGACAAACGTGCTTTTGGTACCAGAGTCAAGAATGCCGATGGCACTTTTGGTGAATACGTGTTTGAAGATTACAACACCATTCACAAGAGAAGAAACAACTTCGGATCTGGTATATTCTTCGTGTTGCAAAATAACCCATTCAGAACTGATAGTGATGCTCATAAGAAAATGGACTATAATCCAAGTTCAACCGATTCCTTTGTTCTTTGCATATTCTCGCATAACCGTGCTGAATGGGCTTTGACTGATTTGACTTGTGTTGCTTATTCAATTACAAACACAGCTTTATATGATACATTGGGTCCTGAATCCAGTAAGTATATTTTGGAGTTGACTGAATCTCCAATTGTTGTTTGTTCCAAGGAAAAGCTCAGAGGCTTGATTGAATTAAAGAGAGACAATCCTGAACAATTGGCCAATTTGATCACTTTGGTTTCTATGGATCCTTTAACTCCACATGATGAACCATTGAAGGATTTTGCTCGTGAAAACAGAATTACCTTGTTTGACATTAAACAAGTTGAGCAATTGGGTGAAATCAACCACTTGCCAACCAAGCCACCTAAGCCAGAAACTAACTTCACTATTTCTTTCACATCCGGTACCAGTGGTGCTCATCCAAAGGGGGTTGTCTTGACCAATGCTAATGCTGTTGCTGGTGTTACATTTATGTATGCCACCCGTGAGTTTAAAAAGGCACCCGTATTTTACTCATTCTTGCCATTAGCGCATATTTATGAGAGAGCCACTATTCAATTTGCTCTTTCTGCTGGTGCTGCTATTGGATTCCCACAATCCCCTTCACCATTGACTCTTCTTGACGATGTTAAGGTGTTGCAACCAAACTTTTTAGCTTTGGTTCCTCGTGTTTACACCAAGTTGGAAGCTGCTATTAAATCACAAACTATTCATAATGATGACAAGCCAATGTTGAAGTCCATTTTCACCAATGCTATTAACAGGCGTTTGGAGTTACAATCTCAACAAGATCACATTCAGCCAAGTCATTTGATTTATGATCGTGTTCTGACCTTGTTGAGAAAGAAGATTGGGTTTGGTAATGTTGAATCAGTTGCTACTGGATCTGCTCCAATCTCTCCAGAAACCATCAAGTTTTTAAAAGCATCCTTGAATATTGGTATGGCCCAAGGTTACGGTTTGACTGAAAGTTTTGCCGGTTGTTGTGTTTCCAGTACTTTTGAATCCAATCCAGGTTCCTGTGGTGCCATTAGTGTCACTACTGAAATCAAATTGAGAGATATTCCAGAAATGAACTATACTGCTGATGATGAAGGCGGTCCTCGTGGTGAATTGTTATTGAGAGGTCCACAAATCTTCAAGGAGTACTTCAAGAACCCAGAAGAAACCGCCAAGGCAATTGATGAAGATGGCTGGTTCCATACTGGTGACATTGCCCGGATCAACTCCAACTATGGTAACAGATTGTACATTATTGACCGTGTCAAGAACTTCTTCAAGTTGGCCCAAGGTGAATATGTCACTCCGGAAAGAATTGAAAATTGCTACTTGTCTCAATTCCCATACATTACCCAAATGTTCTGTCATGGTGACTCGTTGCAAACTTACTTGGTTGCCATTGTTGGTTTAGACCCAACTACCATCTCCAAGTACATTGGTCATAGATTCCATGACAAGATTGTTAACCTTGAAGATGTGGCTGAATTCTTTAAGAATCCAAAGAATAAGAAGATCTTGTTGCAAGATATGAATGCTGCTGTTTCTAAGCAATTACAAGGGTTTGAAAAGATTCACAATATTGATGTGTCTATTGAACCATTAACTCTTGAAAAAGGAGTTATTACTCCAACTATGAAGATTAGAAGACCAATTGCTACTAATTACTTCAGAGAAACCTTGGATAAGTTGTATGAAGAAGGTTCCATTATTAGAAATGGTAATTTATAAGTGTGTGTAAAGTTATTATATAAATGAAATGTTCAACTATACATATTTGTAAGGGTTCATGATACCATTTGGATCATAATGATTCTTGATCTCTTTAATCATGTTGATTTCAACCGGACTCTTGGAATATCCAATGTAATTCTTCTTTTGGAATCCTAACCCATGTTCAGCAGAAATAGAACCCTTCCTACTTTGAATCCATTCGTATACAAATGGCTCCAAGAGAGATTCAACCTCACTAGAATATTTACGAACACTAACATTTAAATGCAAGTTACCGTCACCAATGTGGCCATATCCAACAGCAGCAACAACTGGTTTACTTTCATCTTCCAAACTAACAATACCAGCTTCTTGTAATCTTTCATTGCATGCTTCCACCAAGGAGTAAAGCTCTGGCAATGGAATAGAGACATCATATTTGTAGACACCACCAGTAGCGGTAACACCTTCAGGAATGGATTCTCTCCAAGACCAAAGAGATTGGATTTGACTTTCATCCTGAGCAATGATCCCATCATCGACCAACTCAGCTTCCATGGCACCAGCTAAAAAGTTTTCCAACTTTTCGTCATCGTGCTCCTTGTTGGACCCTGATGTTTCAATCAAGATGTAGAATGGGTATTCTCCACTTTCTATTGGATTGTCTAATTTCAAGTGCTTTCCAGTGAGGTATAAAGAAGTGCCATCCATGAACTCAAACGCAGACAAGATTTCTGATAATTCCTTACGGGCTTCCACAAACACTTTTTGCACAGCTTCATAACTTGACACAGCTAAAAAGGCAACATTTTGAGTTTGTGGTCTTGAAGGACACAAGATGGAAATACCAGTGATTATACCCAAAGTACCTTCAGATCCGATAAACAATTGTTTCAAGTCATACCCAGTGTTATCCTTACGTAAAGAATGCATTGAGTCGTAGATACTACCGTCTGGTAACACCGCTTCTAAACCCAATACGGAGCCATGTAAGGATCCGTAACGTAATAACCTTAATCCACCAGCGTTACAGGCGACATTACCACCGACATGACAAGAACCCTTGGCACCCAAGTCAAGAGGGAAGATGTATCCTTGTTCAGCCAAGTATTGATCAGCAGTCTCCAAAATGACACCAGCGTCAAGCTTTAAGATACCACTGACACTGTCGAAAGATCTGATCTTGTTCATGCTCGACAATGAGATGATGATTTCATCAAAGATGGGGTTGGAACCACCGACAAGACCAGTGTTACCACCTTGAGGAACCACGGCTAATTTCTGCTCGTTACAGTATTTCAAGATTTGTGACACTTGTTCAGTGGTTTTTGGTTTCAACACTAATTGAGATTGACCACGGTACTTTCTCATCCAGTCTTCATTGTAGAACAACAAGTCATCGGCATCGGTGATGAGTCCCTTGTCAGTGAGTACCCCTTTGAAAAATTCAATATCGGCATCATCCAACTTTTTGAATTTAGGATCACGTTGAACCTTGTGGGAATAGGTGTCAGCTGTGAATGCAACCGTCTTGGTTGAGTAACTGGCAGTAGATACAACGACTAAGCGTTGGTTAACCCTGATGTTTCTTCTGAGAAGAGAAACAGTCAGACTCAAGCTGTAAAGGGTTCTTCTGTGCATTGTGTTGATTGGATATCAAGAAGAGGAAACTTACTGAAAAGAACTGAAATTTTTTGGATCCAAATTGATAGGAGGCGGTCAGAGTCATCATTCCCCATACAAAATTTTATTAATCAATTGCGCGTGACTAATCGTCATATGACACCCATCACATGACCACAAATCACATGATTACAAAGCACATGACCGACTTTCCCCTCGACATTTTTTTCCGGATGAGGGAACAAATCCTCTGAAATTGGATTTCGTGCAGACAACACCCATCTCTCTTAACCCCAGTCCTGTGCTTATTTCCTAATCCTGGAAAATATATCGTGAATTCGACCTTTCAACAAGTAGGAGTTTGATTCAGCTGTTTGTCAATACTTTTTCATTCTTTTTTACCAACCTAGAGTACATTTCATTTGGTTAAAGGTCAAGGCTATTGTGAAAAAAAATGCAACACTTTCAAAAAATCGGGCTAATATTGACTTTGTTGGGCTTGTCCACAGCGTTACAATGGCAGTTCCCATTTGACATTTCTAAGTTCCGCCTAAATGGAGGTGATTCCACCCATTTACATTTCTCCACTGTTGATCCTAGTGACTTCCCCATAGATTTGTTGAAGTATCACGATGATTATGTTATTAGGGTGAATTACGGAGACAACGCCGAATTAAAGAGGTTCTTGTTGTCCAAATCAGGTGATTCCAGCAATGACACCCAGATTAAGTTTAGTAGATGGACACGTAACACATCCACTAGACAAATTGATTTACAGATTGATGAAAATAACTTGATCAAATTGATTGAAAAGTTTCCCTTGATAAGCTATGACATTATCATTGAAGACTTGTCGCAAAAGGTTTATGAAACTTACCCCAAGGACTTTCACAATTCAATAACCACTAAAGATTCTAAATACCAATACCAGTCAACCCATGATGTGATCAATGCCACTACTGCTAACGTCTTTTCGGAAGTTTTCTTTAAGGAATACCGTCCTTTGGAAACCATCGACTCTTGGTTAGAATTATTACAAGAAACATACCCCGATATCCTTTCCATTGAAGAAATTGGCCATACCTACGAAAACAGACCATACAAGGTAGTTCATTTTGCTGTACCGAACGATGATGTCAAACATGGTGACAGAAGAACCATTGTCATCACAGGTGGTACTCATGCTCGTGAATGGATTTCTGTTTCTTCGGTATTATACGCCATTTATGACTTGTTGCAGTTCTATGCCGAAGAACCAGAATCCAAGATATTTAAAGAATTGGACTTTTTGTTCATCCCAGTTGCCAACCCTGATGGATATGAATACACCTGGAAAGCCGACAGACTCTGGAGGAAAAACCGTCAACAAACTGTCCAACCAAACTGTTTTGGTATTGATCTTGACCACTCTTATGATTACCACTGGACCAAGTCTACTGATTGGGAATGTGGTGAAGAGTACAGCGGAGAATACCCATTTGAGGCCATTGAATCCAAGATCTGGGAAGAATACTTGAACAACACTAATCACGACCACAAGATTTGGGGATACATTGATTTACATTCATACTCGCAAGAAGTCCTCTACCCATATGCATACTCGTGTGATCAACAACCAAGAGATGAAGAAAACTTGATCGAGGCTGCCTATGGTATTGCTAAATCCATCAGACTCCAGTCCGGGGTGAACTACCATGTCTTACCAGCATGTATTGACCGTGATGCTGATTTGTTACCTGATTTAGGATCAGGGTCCGCGTTAGATTTCATGTATCATAATCGTGCTTATTGGGCCTTCCAGTTGAAATTGAGAGATAGTGGAAGTCATGGATTTTTGTTGCCTCCAAAATACATTGAACCTGTAGGTAGAGAAGTATTTGCTGGGTTTAAGTATTTCTGTTACTTTATCTTGAGTGACGAACGTCAACATTAGGACATTTAAACGTTTCTTTATATAGTTGAAAATAAATGCTTTATTAGCTACCCAAGACAGTCGCAAAAATAATAATAATAAAAAAAAATTCACATTTTCTCTTGCAACTTACGTGAGTCAGAGATCGACAATGAGAGTCGTTATCCAGAAAGTGAAAAGTGCTTCTGTAACAGTAGAAGAGAAGGTTATATCATCGTAAGTACCATTGTACCAATAACCCCCCAACGTCTCATAATAATAATACTAACATGTTAGAATCGGCAAGGGACTAATGCTACTTGTGGGTGTTTCCACCCATGACACCATGGACGACGTGGCCAAGCTCTCCAAGAAACTCCTTTCACTTCGAGTATTCGAAGATTTATCGCAACCACCAGAAACTGCTACGAAGTGGTATGGGAAACCCTGGGCAAAAAATGTCGTTGACATTGAAGGTGAAATTCTCTCGGTGAGTCAATTCACATTATATGGAACCATCAAGAAGGGAACCAAACCTGACTTCCACAAGGCTGCCAAGGGCCACCACGCGATTGAATTGTATGAATCGTTCTTGGACCAGTTGAGACAAGGGTTGGGTCAAGACAAAGTTAAAGATGGTGAATTTGGGGCTATGATGGATGTAGCCTTAGTTAATGACGGTCCAGTGACTATAATTTGGGACACCAAAGATATGTCCATATAGATTAAAATAATTTAGAATAGATTAGACAGTACATGTGCATAATATCGTTGATCAGATGACATATTTTCAAAAGAGGAAAATTTACAAGAGGAGATTAAGCATGTAAAAGTTAGTACATGATATATCCTATATCATATAAATCTATAATAATTACCACCCAAACAAATAATCGTTGCAAAGAGCACTGCTCTTATATTCCCATTAGCAAGGCCATGACCAACGCAACCACTGTGACAATCACAGCACTATACTTTATATTTTCAAGATCAAATCTTTCTATCGGATCAAATTGAAAGTCATTAAACAATCTTCCATCACCTGAATTTGCTGAGCTGCTAGTAAGGGTAAATTCTAGGGCATAGTTTACCAAATCATACCTTCGTACAAGGTAAATAACAATGGCAACATACAAAAGTGAGTGCCACCTGAATGATGGTCTTCCCACATGTGTAGGTTTATCTGACATTTCGGCTGTAGCTGTGGTATAGCATAACTATGAACAGTTGTTTACTCAATTTTTTTTCCGTCACTGTTTGGCCGGAGAATGCGATAAGATGGCTACACACAAAGAAGGAATGAATAGCAATTTACCACACCCCTGAAAACTCATTATTCTGAAACATCAACACTAATACTTTCCATCGTCTTGACGCCGTAACTAGGAACCATACGGAGAAAAACAACATTGATCCCAAGAACAAGCCCACAATCATTGTCGAAATAGATAGTCGGATGATACTATAGACGATATCTAGGCCAGCCAACAAGATCGAGAGAGTCACAATCATATAATTCACGACTATCACATCGGAGTATTGGTTGTTCATTATTGACGGGGAGGTTACATTAAAATACTCGTCGAATCCATTTGTGAACGGTGGTTGAAACGAATCAGGATTTATAATTAGTAGTAACGGAAACCGCTCGAAGATATTGGCTACTAAATCATTTCGGATATTCCTTCCTATTATCTTGAAGAGATTCCACCAGCTCATTGAAATATTGTATTGTATCAGTTGATTAGAGTGACTGATTTTTTTTTTCTGTGACTTTGATTTTAATTATTTTTTTTTGAACTACTTTAAGATGCTGCAAAATATATTTATCCTTTAGATGAGTAGCATTAACAGTTGCTTAAGTAAACATCAATTAAGCTTCTATTGATTCTTTAATATACAAGTGCATAAGCTTGTAGGTATTTAGTCATGATGAAATCGAGTTCCAGAGTAGACAGATTATTCAAATTTAATTCACGTGAAATAACCAAAGTAGGGTCCAGGTAAGCAATTCTGAAAATTGCTTGAGTGCATGTGAAGTTATGAACTGAATCTAAACACAGCATATTTTATTGTGGGGAATCCCTTTGAAACTTATGGAATTGTGTCTGGGAATTCAGGAAGGCAAAAGAAGAGGTAACACTATTTACACTATTTTCTATATATGCTAGGAGATTGGTTCTTTTTCAAAATTGGACCACCTACTTTTGGTGTATTGTTTTCCTGACCTTAGAGAAAACTTCCTACAGAAAGACCAACCAGTAGAACATCCAAAAATCGCAAGAAATTTTCGCAGTTCTCTGGATGATTCATACGATTTCAATTGATTAATTCTGATCAATGGGAACTTTTTCTTGAATAGTTTTATTCCCTACCAGTTTTTTCCTCATTTCACTTCATATGGTCCTTATTTCTTCCATGATTTCCCCAGTGAGATTAAATTCCTTTTGTTTCCCTTTACTTCATTTACTAAATCCTTAAAATCGTTTCAGAAATCCCATGCTAAGGAGGATTTACTATTTCCTTACTAGTTAGAGTTTTCGCAACAATCACTGTTGTTTAGCAGTGTACAAGCAAGATTGATTCATCTCAATCGAAATTCTACTGTGAATACCTAATTGTAACTATACATTGCAGCGTATCCATAATGCAGGTCAATAGGGCGAATTAATAAATTTATGACAAGAGAGCCATTTCGATAGTTTAGGGTTATCAAAAAGACTTAAACTTTGTACTCTCTGTAAATTAGAAGCGAAGGTTATTTCTTATTGAGAGTATTATCGCATAGTATCAACATGACAGATCATAAAAGAGTGAACGCGTAACTTGTAGATTCTCCATAACCCTGTGGTTGGTCCATAACCCTGTGGTTGGTCCATAACCTATGAATAAATCACTCTCCACTCAAATTTGAGAAGTAGTACATAGGCACAATATTGTAGAAGAGTAGAAGTTCAAGCTTATATATAGAGAAGTGCCATGGTGCTCTAACACACTTTGATTTATCTGATTTCGGTTGTAACTGTGGTAACCCGACCACGGACATTATTGAGGTAATTTTTTTCTGTTATTGTTGTGGCAAGTCAAACCCGGAGAATGAGATAAGGTGACAATATATAAGCAAGAAATGAGCAGCAATTTACCACACCCCTGAAAACTCATTATTTTGAAACATCAACACTAATACTTTCCATCGTCTTGACGCCGTAACTAGGAACCATACGGAGAAAAACAACATTGATCCCAAGAACAAGCCCACAATCATTGTCGAGATAGATAGTCGGATGATACTATAGACGATATCTAGGCCAGCCAACAAGATCGAGAGAGTCACAATCATATAATTCACGACTATCACATCGGAGTATTGGTTGTTCATTATTGACGGGGAGGTTACATTAAAATACTCGTCAAATCCATTTGTGAACGGTGGTTGAAACGAATCAGGATTTATAATTAGTAGTAACGGAAACCGCTCGAAGATATTGGCTACTAAATCATTTCGGATATTCCTTCCTATTATCGTGCAGAGATCCCACTTAGCTCATTGAAAATATTCTATTGTACCAGCCGACTGATTTTTTGTGTGACTCAAATTTCCTCATCTATAAATTTGATTTCTTTTTATTTTTTTAAACTACTTTTAGATGCTGCAAAATATGAAACGAAAGCAGGAGGAAGAAGGACTCTCACACAAGTTCCGCAAGACCAACCACGAGTTGTCGCTTTTAAACATACCTGATGATGTTTTAAACTTGATTTTATCCCATCTTAGCCTAACTGACGTTATTCATTTGTCTTGTTTAGATCGAGCATACAGATCATGTTTCTCCAGCCGAATATTCACTCAAGTGAAAGCACCATGGAGTAAACTAATAGAAGCTATGGACTCTAAAGAAAACTTTATCATCAAACACAAGAATATCATCCGTCAGTTGCGTATTATCGACAGTTATTCCTATGGAGAATGGCAAATTGATTTTTTCACCGATTTATTAATCAACATACCTAATTTAAAGAGACTTCTTATAAACTCCAAAAACTCATCCAACTGGATTAAATATAGAGGAAGTGATAATATCGAACAATTATCGCTTTATTTTGAAGAAGATAGCTTCAACCTAATAAAATTTTCCTTACCAAACGCAAAGCAGGGTAATTTTAATTCCAGTCCACGCATATTCCGGCTTGATCATGTTGCAAATTTTAAAATGTTGACTAAGCTTTCACTCACAGATTATCATTTCAACTGGGAAGTAGAGAGTGTGAAACCGGTGCTTATGATTCACGATATCTCCCTTCACAATTGTAGCTGGGAATACCCGTTTAAACTATCACAGTTTAATTATAACGACAATATCAAGAAGTTGAAATTGACTTATTCCAATCAGAATCCATTCCTTCTTTCGGAAAGGTTTAATACATTCTTGAATGATGATTATCATGAAGATTTCAAAAGTTTAGAAGAGCTTGCAATTGATATAACATTTGATTTTCGTAAGCAAGCGTGGTCCAAGTTTCTCTCAAACAGATTAATTTTGCGATTTTATAACCGCAAAGATTTTCCTAATTTGCGACAATTAACATTACACGGGTGGTACTTTGCGCTACAAAATTTCAAAGAAACAATCAAGAATATCTCATGCTCAGACAGTGATTTATACTTGCTCGACCTAAAAGTGTTTGATTCAGTAAATGATTGTAATTTAATTCCGGAAATAAAACAAGAATGGAAACAACTTTGTGTATGGAAAAAACTCAAGCTTGAAGTTTTATAGATTTGTACGGAAAAAAGTAATGACATACAAACATAATTTCTCTTTTTGTATTTGACTATGATTATTCAATTGGGATATGTTTTGTTCATGGCTGTTCTATGCTTGGCCAATACTGAGACATACCTAATCCGAACACCCTATTATTTCGATATTGTATCTCATCCTAGGGCTATCGAGAATAGGTTTAATTTCCATCGCGAAATTGTCGAGATCAATCAAACACATTCACTTATTGAAGACTACCCCATACAAACAATTGATACTTTCAATGTTGTCGACATATCTAATGTACTCAATCTCGATTACAACTCGAAAGTCAAACCCAAAAAGACTTTGCTTGTCAGAATTAACAACTATGGAGATTCACTTTTCCAGCCTGATGATCTATTAAATATAAAATTATGCTGGCCCGCTACTACACCCTATGACTTTTGGATTTCACATACATACCTTCATCTGAATGAACTATTATCCACTGAAAACGACAACTTCGATTTATATCTAAAGATAGATTATCAATTTATTGGAGAAACGTATGATCCAGAGAAGTACCTACACGATAACGACAATTTACAGTTTCAGCTATACATCAACAAGCTACCAAATAATTGGCTACCTATACCACTCGAATTATATACTTACTTGCTATACTTGATCGACTTGGTCATACTAACAGTGTGGCATGTACTTCCATATACACCCCAAGTTATAACCTTTGGCTTAAGATCACGTGATAAATAGACCGACCTGGTTTTTGCTATTCCAGATTGTTTTTTTTTATTGTAGTCCCACCCCTTTCTTTGTAGTGACATTTTTTTATATGTGATCATTTATTTTTGCGAGTCAGACAGAAACGTTCCCTCCCCTTTTTATATATCACCTGTATCATTAATTAGCACAGCACAATTAATATGTCATTAAGTGAAGATGATCCATTGGGACCACCCAAGAATACTCAGAACTTGGATTTATCCAAGCTAACACCACAAGAGTTAAAAATATACAAAATGTATGGGAAATTACCTACAAAGCAACAAATTTTATCAGGTCGATTCCAAGATAAGAAATACTTTGATAGTGGAGACTACGCCATGCAGAAGCAATTGGGCGGCGGTTTCAGAAGTGGTATGCCTGGTGGTATGCCCATGAGACACCCCAATGCTGAACGAATGAGGGAGATGTCAGTGAGGAATTCCATTAGTTCAACCAATGCCCAGATATTTGCCAACGGGAAGTCGGGACTTTTGAATGATGCTACTCCTGATAAAGCAGAGGAAGAGTCAGATGCTTCTACCGAGAAGAAGTAAATGTGTGTATTTAGTAATGCATACCATGATGAAATTGGAGATGTGCCACATCTCAAGGATACACAGCACTACAGATTTTGTGAAACCGGTTAAGAATATTAGGCAATTGCCTTTGCCTGGTTACTATATATATAGATGATGCTTTGTGTTTCCAACAGGTATTAATTTCTCTTTGTTTAGTTCAATTTAATATAATTATAATGGGATTTCACTGTAATCAAATTGGGGTAAAAAAAAAAATAAAGTTGAAGTTGGGCAATAGATATTGCAGACAGCCAATGCACAACATCACCAATGAACAGTTTAACAATTGTATAACAGCCTTTAATGAGGTACTCGTAGAAAATTTAATTTTTGATAAAGAGTACACTCTCACTATCAAGAACAATTACATTAAGAAGGTGAATTTTGACAAGTCCTACTTGTTTACAAGCATTGAGATGTCAAAGAAGATCGATTCTGAGGTCATACGAATTGACTTTACAGTTTCATATCATGACTTCTACCAGGTGCCTATACTTAACATTAGGCCGTATAAGGATGGTAGCTTTACAGCTTTGAATGGAATAGGTTTGCAAATTGCACCCACGGTAATTACTGCCCTAACTACACACCACATTCTACAAAAAACCTGGATTGAAGTTCATGCATGCGAGACATTAGAGGCATTACAAACACTACCAGAAATATATGGAACCACAGTCGATTCTGTGCTAGAATATCTATGTTGTTGGTTTGGATTCTATGGTCTTCCAGCCATCTTTCCAAACATCAGATTTAGACCGCACTTATATATGTGATCCCTCTTACAATGACACACCTTAGACTCTGTCAACACTGTTTATATCAATGTATATATTAAAAAAAAATAATTTACAATATAAAGACTTTCATGAATAAATATGCAATTGCGGTTAAGCAGAAGTACCAACTTTTTCATCAGTAAAGATACGACAAGGGTATCTTTCAGGATACATACCATGCACAGGTTCAGCCAAAATCTTCCATTTGAACTTATTTAAAGATGGGGCAACAATTGGTTCACCGTTCTTACCCAAAATTTCACCCTTGACAACACTCAGTGGAACTGAAGCTAAGGTAGTTGACAAACTGACTTCAGCAGCTGGGTCAATGAAGGTTGATAATTCTTGGGTACCTTTATCACCGATGGAAATTCTTGGGTTGGAAGAAGAACCTAATTGTAACAAACCAGACACTTTAGTTTGGTTGAATCCAACTACTTGAGGATAGTTTCTTCTGAAATCTCTGTTGTAATATTGGTTTCCCTTGATGTCAGCAGCAGGAACAGTTCCTGGGTCTTGATAGTTATTGGCTTCGTCAATTCTGGCCCCTGGTGGTATTTGTCTGAAATGAGCTACAAGGGGGTTACCAGTAGATCTGTTTGGTACCAACACAAAGATTTTTCTGATTATTTCCCAAATCCCACGGGATTGGGTGGTATATTTCTTCCATACTGGGACTGGACCTCCGGACATCGTCTGTTCACTACTGTTAAATGGTTAAAGTCTGTCTGTATTGGTTGAGTTGATTTTTTTTTTCGCTGTGTTTTGTATGGATATGAAAAAAAGAGCCAATCAATTTCAATTTACTAGTAATCGAATTATATGCAGGAAACACTACTGGTATATGATTTTACTACTGGTAAAGGGCTACATTTACATAGTGCAACATCACAATTAAATGTTTTAATCTCTAAATAAAATACGTATCTTCATTCAGTTGTTCGATTGAACACTTTTTTTTTGATCGAGGGATACCTCTTTACCAATGCAGTTTCTATATTGTAATATAATCTTTTGGTAGATTAGAACAATCCTCTTCCAATCTTACCAAAGATGATAATTCCACAAAAGAAGAAACTGGCAATCCATAACCAAAGAGCAATACTATCCTCGGAATTGGCCCCATAAAGCACCACAAATGCAAAGTTCTCAACGAAAATCCCTGCACAAGCGACAAAGGATCCCAAGAGTGAAGCCAAAAACCCAGAAAGAGTTCCATCCAACAATAACCACAACCCGGGGTTCAACAACGACCAAAGAATGGAAACTTGCAAAAACGAAGACCACTCAATTTTACGAATGGCATAACTAATACCTAAAAAGGTGATGCATGATCTAATCAAGTCATTAAACAAGTTGGAATACGTAGTTGAATAGGTTGGGTATGGGTTTGATGACAAAACTCGTCTTGTGAAATACGTAGGCAAAATACGATCCATGATTGGATGTAATAATCCCATTCCAGCACCTTGAATAGTAAGGGCCAACAATTGGTCCAATACCTTCCCTACATCACTATCTATTGGGATATAGGTGCTTATTCTAAATTTTGACAAAAACCCGCTGACAAATATGTTGGAGATGGTGACGGGGATATTTGCCAATTTATTATCACTAAAATGTTTATAATTGATATGTTTGGTTATTTCATTGTACAAAAATGCCGAGCCTGATAAAATCAAGAGTTTTACAACCAACGGTAATTTAATCAAGTTTTGTGGAGCAATCGTAGGTACGGTTGGTTTCTTCTTTTGGTTCTCTTGGGCTCGAGTTACAATTTCCATATCTTTCTCTTCAGTTTCTTTGCTGACGCTAAAATCGTCGTTGTCGTAAAGTCCAAACAACGAAGGCTTAGTGAGGTTGAGTACTGAGTCTGAATGTTGGAGTCGCGCGGAGGAATCACCACCTGATTCCGAGGTTGTAGTGGCTGACATTGACGGAGTCGCGTTTAAAATGGCTGATTTTCTTAAATTGCTCATGATGAAGTTTCCTACTTTGTTATCTGTTTTATAGCAACGAGACCAGCGGGGTAGGACTAAATGTGTATATCAAATTTCAGGTAAAAACAGCAAGAAGAATAAATAACAAAAAAACGAGAGAGTGGGAAAGAAACTGATGGTGCGTTTTCATCTTTTTTTTTTTGACTGTCGCTTTTTTTTTTTCTGTTTTGCCTCGCACTTTTTTGTCACAAGTTTGAATCCTGATTTAGGAAATACCAGATTTCTGGTTCCATTTTGCCGGAAAGTTCGGTATCACCGGATTGATGGGATGGTATTCTTATCGGAATCGAAGACTCGTGGTGTAAGGACTGATGGAAATCCAATGAGTCAAAATTTAGGGAATTTTGTGGGGTTAGTCAAGGGGCGTAGATTTCTGTATCAGACACTTTGTCTACTGTACAAAATATAATATTTTTTTTCGTATTTTTCATGTGATTTTCTGATTTAGTTGAAGGAGTATACATTGACGTGTGCCCATATTTGTTCTTGTTCCATTGTTTAAGCTACAATGGGGGGTCATTTGATCAATTGTAGAAATTAGCTGATCAATTGACATGCTATTTAGAAAAATTTTGCATATTCAGACCATTGCTAATGGCGCATGCAATTGCTTATACGAGCAAGAAACATTCCAGCTCGTTTAGTTGCGACATTAATCTACGCAACGAAATAAATGCAAAAGTAAACAAAGCTAAGAATTAGACAAATTGCTGTCAACATTCCATCAAAGATGATGCACGTTTAAGCTCGTAGATGAAACAAAGTACGTACTGGTTGGGCGTCTTATCCCCTCGTTTACAGCATTTCAGTAAGGGAAAACAGATGTTCGTGATAGACATTGGATCTCCCAACTACATGTCTAAGACACAGATCTTGGTACATCCCTCATCGTTTAGCTATCATACAAAGAGTCATTTCCTTCAGTCAAAAATGAGCCGCACGATCTACTTCGATTTGTTTTGATGCTTTTGCAACAGACAAAAAAATAAACTCCATCATTCAACCTTACACACTCCAAACAAACAAACAAACAAACAAACAAACAAACAAACAAACAACAACACCAATTGCACCACATGTCGTCAAATATATTTGAGACCGGTGAGGGTAGTAGTGTAGTTAATAGTGCCAATAAGGTAGCACCGAGTGACGAATACGACGAAGCTGATGACAAGCTTGATCGACTTCTCAATGAGATTCAAATTGAACAGTCTGATGAGGATGATGGGAATATCTTCTTGGACACATCCGATGATGAGCAGGAAGATGATTTTGTGTTTGGGGAAGAGGATGAGGAGGACGATTATGACGAGAATTATAATTTCAAAGACGCATTGAAAAGTGCTAGTAACTTCCGGGTGCGGAACCGGAGAGAGAAGTTGAACAAGGCGTCCAAGTCGTACTATAAGCGAAAGATGATGCGAGCTGATAATAGGGAACTAGATCCTGAAGTCAGGCTGAACCTTTCCCAGGCCAATGAGGCGTTTGTGCGGAATGATTTCCAAGTGGCCCAACTGTTGTATACCGAAGTTATTAAAAAGGATCCTAGGAATTTCAGTGCGTACAAGACATTGGGGGAAATTTTCAAACAACAAGGTAAACTCAATGAATGTTGTAATTACTGGTTATTAGCTGCGAATATTCACCCTTGGGATACCGAATTCTGGGGAAATGTGGCAGAATTATCCGCAGATTTGGGATATACCGACCAAGCTGTATACTGTTATACTCGGGCAATCACGCAAGATGTGGTAAAGAGTGCACCATATATCCTAGAAAGAGCAATTCTCTATAAAGAAAGAAGACAGTATGGTAAAGCCTTGGAAGGATTACAAAAAGTCAGACAGTTGTACCCAGCCGATTCCAACATTCTTAAACATTTAGCAGGGGTATATGTCGACCAAAAGAGATTAAACGATGCGATCAACTTATATGTGAAAGTATTGGACAGCAATATACACCCAGATCCGGATAATGAACAAATCTATCCAAAGTTCGGATGGGCTGAACTCAACATTTTGCTTGAATTGCATATCCAACATCATTCATGGAAGACCGGGTTGAATATCTTGAAACTTACAGCAAGATGGATTCAGAATCGTCAGAATGAAACGTGGTGGAACGATCCCCCTGAGAATGATGCCGAATTTGATATGAAACGAAGAATGGAAGCTATTGAGAAATTGCCCGATGAAGTGGAGAGAGCAGAAGCGAGAACCAAGTCGTACGATTTACCAATTGATATCCGATTCAAGCTTGGACATTTAAGATTGGGTCTTGGCATGAAAGAAGAAGCCATTCATCATTTTGATTTCTTATTGGAAGACGAAGAAGATATTGCCGATTTGTATTTTGATGCAGGTAAAGTTTTAGAGGAACACGGGTATCATGAAGAAGCATTAACTTTCTTAACACGTGCCACACTCAATGACGAATTTAATGAAAATCCCGAGTTGATTAATTTGCTAGGGAAATGTTTCTTTGAGGTGGGTGATTATACCCAGGCCAAACAAGCGTATGAGACTCTTTTGCATAATGAACCCGAGAACTTGGATTTCAAATTGGCATTAGCAGAGACGTTGTATCATTTGGGTGATGAAGCCGGTGCTGAGTCTTTGATTGAAGAAGTACAAGAAACAAATTATAGATTGAAAGAAGGAGGGGAAATAGCTGCTGAACCAGAAAAAACCAGCACCGATAAGTCATTAATCAGAAATGTACGCAAGATTCGTGCAAAAACTGCCAAGCTATCTGAAGAAGAAAAAGCTGAGATTGAACTCGAAGCTACGAGAAAGGTGCTTGAGAAGTTTGGTCGTATGGAAAGATTAGAAGAGTCCATAAACAATGGAGATAAATTCGCCATTGCTGCATGGTTGCAATTAGCTGCACCCTTGATTGAAATGTTCCGAAAAGTACGAGCGTTCTTTCCTCGAGACAAGAATAAGACGTTTGAAGGTATTTATTCGTATCGTCGTAAGAAAGATATGAATATTGATCAAAAGTTAGCTCGTGCACTTGATTTATTAGAAGGGATGGACCAGGATGAAGAAGACACGAGAACGAACCTAATTTCGAAAACAGAATATCGTGGGTTGAATTATGACCAATGGTTTTATGTATTTGTTCAACATGCTATACTTTGTGCCAAGTTTGAAATGAATGATGATTATGCAAATGAGCTTGTGGATATTGCCAGCTCGGTAAGTGTGTTTGTTCAAGACAAGAAGAAAGAGGCGTTCCTTCGAATGTTGAAATTGGTGTTTTCCATCAGGAATCAGGATGTTAATTCGATAACCCATTATGTTCGGTTCTTCTTGGTGGGAAATCAATTCTCGCCATACATTTGTAAATTTTTCCTTTGTTGTTTCGCCACGGGGGTTCATTCCTGGGAAACATTAACCAACTACAATCATCAGAAATTCTGGTTGCGTCAATTAAAAGCATACGATGCATCGGCCATGAAGAAGAAGATCACGGGTATGGCCAACGTCATGGCGGACATTAAAGATGTGAAACTTCCCGAAAACCATCCTGATTTGCTATACTTGTATGCAAACTTGTTAGGAGGCAGTAGAAGTTATTTGTCTTCCGTTGTCTACTTAAACCGTGCTTACCGCTCATGTAATAGAGACCCTATGATATGTTTAGTATTAGGATTGAACCATGTTCATAGATCCATGCAGAGATTGACCACAAACAGACATTTGCAGTTACTACAAGGAATAAGTTATATCCTTGAATATCGCGAGCTACGTCTGGTGAATGCTACCAAATATGAAATGCAAGAAATTGAGTATAATTTAGGGAGATTATTTCATATGTTGGGGTTGACCACTTTGGCTGTGAGACATTATGAGAAGGTATTGGGTATGAAGGAGGAGTTTGCTGATGATCCTGATTATGATTTGCTGTTCGAGGCGGCATATAATTTACAGTTGATTTATAACATCAACGGGAATTCCCAGTTGGCTAGAAAGTTAACCGAAGAGTATTTAACTGTATAGTTTAACAAATTTGTACTATTTAACACTATTGTTATACAATTTGTATCGATGGTCTGCGAAATTAATACCATAAAAAAAAAAGTTACTGGTAAAAAATTATTAAAATTCATACTTGTAGAAGACAACCATGGTTAGAGTTAAACAACGTTACATTCTCTTTGAGATATTGTATCCACCCGCATACGACCCTAAACACAGTGATGAAGACTTTACCAACTTTTCCCTGTCAGAACGTAACGCGTTACTTTCCCTTCATCAAACCTCATCCCTGGACATCAATCAAAAATCCATCACCAATGCCATCAGGAAAAGTCTCCAGATACACTATGGAGATTTTGGCGGGGGTAGTGCCGGTATGTTAATGACAGTAAAGTACTTCTCCAACAAGACATCAACGGGGATAGTTCGGTGTGGGCGAGGCCACTTTGAGTTGATTGTAGGTGCATTGGCACTAATTACCCGTATTGAAGGGTACGATGTTATAATTAGATGTACGCATGTTAGTGGGACTATAAAGAAGTGCGAGGAGTATTCTATACAGAAATCTAAACAATTGATGCATTTGATGAGTCAGAACGGGAGCGATTTGACTAGTTGGATGTCGGATGTGAATCACATGGATATAAATGAGGATGACGAAGACAGTTAAGCTTGACAATATTGTAAGAATTCCAATTGGAGTTTGTCAAAGAATAGTTGCATAATGTTTGTTCCGTCGAGTTCGTACTCGTCGAATTCAGGGATATACCCGACAACCACAGTGAGTTCGTTGTTTGGTGTTGTTGTCATATTAAGAAGGAAATTGTATACTACTCCTGAATTCAGACAAAAGTACATTTTCTCGAGCTTACACTCAGAATTTGAGTTTTCAACTTTGCCCAAGTTTGAAATAGTCAAGGTGAACCTACCTCCGATTTTACCGATTTTCCTTTTAAAGAACTCCCAACAGTTCATGTGATTATACATTCCAACAAGTTTGAACGAGACTTTTGACTTGATGTTTTCCACCATCTTTTGATGGAAGTATTTCATTGAGGAGGTTGCGTCTTTGACCGGTGGGAGAATAACCTGATCTCCGCAGATCATGGTACCATATCTAAAGTTCTTAATATCCTCGGAATAATATCTTCTTCCGTTAACAGCAATCAACGAACTGGTTGAAAATTCCAAGCTAGGGTCAACAGCTTTAAACACAGTTTCTTCTAATGTTTTCAAGAATAAGACATTGAAATAGGAAGTTAATGTAATACCTTGTGATCTACAGAACTTTGTTATTTTCACGACTTGATCAGGAGTAAAGTTGAGAAATTTGAACTTAGTCTCTAGATTCCTTTCCACTGGTTTTTTGGTGTGAAAGAGTGGTTGAATACCAAGGTTTGGTGTGAATTTCGTCTTTCTCGTGAAAATACTTGTTATCCAATTGGTAAATTTCGCCAAGAATGGCACATACTTTTCCAAATAGTGTCTAATAATCTTGAAATAAGAAGGAATATACAAATCAGTAATAATTTCCGCAGCCGGCATAATCGTCTTTGGTAAATACTCGAAATCTCTTTGATACAGGAAAATCTCTTCGATGAACTTCTCTTCTGCATTTGCTAATTCCTGGGTTAGATCTTTATGGAATTGAACCACGGCCAAACCATCATAATTCGAATGATCAACGTAAATACACAACAATTGATCCCCCAGACTCTCGTGAAACACGATGATTCTCCATAGCGGTAACTGTGTATCCATGGGAACCATATTTCTGTTTACTTCTTCGGCAATTTCTTCATTGTAGGTATTTATATTCCGGAATGTAACCACGTCAGAAAACTTAATACTATCTAACACACGAACTTCGTAGTTCTTCCCACGAGTGAGTGATCCATGAACATCTTCGGTTCGAAAGTAATTATGAGTCAACCAACTGTTCTTCTTGATCAAGCTATGCAATGCATTAGACAATAATTCCTTATTCACCTGTTTGCTATACTTGGCCGTGATGCTGAAATTGGATGAATATCCCTCGGTGCACCGACAAATATAGTATCTTTCGTTAAACTCTGGTTTTCGAATGTGCTGTGGTTGAACCATGTTGGTGTGCTGGTGAAAATTAGGAAAGTGATAGGAGTCTTGATAGCTTAAATAACAATAGTGAAAAATCGCAGAAATCGGATCGACCCGAATGAGTCACCCGCTAGTGGAGTGGGTCATCCTCAAGAACAATGCAAATGGAGCAAAGAAAATAGATCCAATAGAGGAAAACTAGGTTATATGAATAGTTGGTAGTTGTTTGGATATTTAGCAGTAGATTTTATTTCTATCTGAATTTTCTTATCTTGAAGTCATATGATTTTGAGTATCAGTAGCAATCTCTTTGATATGGTCAGATATTATCAGATTTGAGTAAACGGTACACTGTCCCCGATCTCCTAACAAATGACTGCTACCAAAAACAAATGTCGTACGATATTGCAATAACTTCTATTAGTATCGATGAACATTTAATGTAAACATTGCCTGGGTGTTTTACATCCTCGTCCCTGTAAGAGCATAATTTTCCTCGACCTAAAATTTTTCAAATTGCATATTCATTTTGAAAACACCTTCAAATTCAATCCAAAAATGGTTATCACTTTCTTCTCTTTCTTCATACCACTACCATCATGACAGTTGATTATTCGTTATATTTGGTGACAGACTCCACCATGATCCCCGAGTCATCCACATTCTTAAGACAAGTGGAATTGGCTATAGCTAACGGAGCAACCATAGTTCAGTTACGTGAAAAGAAGTTATCCACATTAGATTTTATCACTCGAGCCCAGCAAGTGCACGCCTTGACTAAGGCAAAAGGCATCCCTTTGATCATCAATGACCGTGTTGATGTCGCGCTTGCCATTGATGCCGAGGGTGTCCATGTTGGCCAAGACGATATGCCAGCCGAACTTGTCCGGAGGTTAATCGGGGAAAACAAAATATTGGGTGTTACATGCTCGGTTCCGGAAGAGGTGGAAGCAGTTACTGCCAGTGGGATTGCGGATTATGTTGGATTAGGTACTGTTTACGCAACAAATACCAAGAAGGACGTTACTGATCCAGAAGGTACTGGCCCTATTGGTATTCGTAAGATGCTCCAAGTGCTAGGTAGATATAACCAACTGCACGAGAAGAAGATCAATAGTGTTGCAATTGGTGGGATTAATCATACCAATGCAGATAAAGTGATGTATGAATGTGCTGTTGACGGAGAGAGAATTGACGGTGTCGCCGTAGTGTCTTGTATTATGGCCAGTGAAAATGCTGGAAAAGCCACCAGCGATTTATTAAAGATCATCGAGACTACACCAAATTGGGCTTCTCGTAGTTGTATCCAAGAGGCAGATATCGGTAAGTTTGTTGCTCAAACGCATCCGTTAGTGCATCATATCACCAACAACGTTGTCAAGAATTTCAGTGCTAATGTTACGTTGGCCCTTGGAGCATCGCCAATAATGTCTGAATTAGCAGCAGAATTCCACGAATTTGCCTCGGATATTCCTATGATTGCGTTAGTATTGAATTTGGGTACACCCACCCCAGAGCTTATGTCTGTATTTAAAACTGCTATTCAAGTATACAACAAGTATGCAAAGCATATTGTGTTTGATCCAGTGGCTTGTGGTGCTACCCAGGCTAGATTACAAGCAAGCAAAAAGTTGTTGAATAGCGGTCATGTTTCGGTTATCAAGGGAAATCTTGGTGAAATTCAGGGTATTTGGAAGTTGACTAGTACCTACAGCGAATCCTCCAATAGTGGTTCACTCATGAGAGGCGTAGACTCGATTGCTAAATTAACCGAGGAAAAGATCATACAAATTGGTAAAGAAGTTTCTAAAGATTTCAAGACAGTTGTAGTAATTACTGGTAAGGTCAACTATATTATTGACGGAGATAAGTATACTAAATCCGAAGGAGGAAGTGAATTAATGGGTTTAGTTACTGGCTCAGGATGTTCGTTAGGAAGTACAATTGCTGCATTTTTAGCCACTGGAGCAGATGTCTACTTGAGTGCTGTGGATGCAGTAAACCTTTATAACGAAGCAGGTAGACGTGCCGCTGGTTATTCTTCCACTCCTGGATCATTTATGATTTCCTTTGTAGATGAATTGTATAAACTTACACACTAAACTTTTTTTTTTTTTGCCTCCAAATAAACGCGAACCGCATATCACATTTGTCATCAGCTGTAAATTGATAATCTCTAGTAAGTATGGTACAGAAAGGTAGAGGTAGTTACGACAACGCGGTCAAGAGACCACCTAAACCGTCTCCAGTATCGAATATCGCCAAAATCGGAAGTCTAAATCGGTATCCCGACAAGGAATACGCCAATTCTATACTTCACGATGTTGCGAAAGCAGTGGCGCCGATAATACACGAAAACAATTTCAAAGTAGGCACACTATGCGAGATGTTTCCCAATAATCCTAACTTGTTAGGACTTAATGTTAACCGCGGCCAGAAGATCTTATTGAGACTACGGTATCATTCTAATGATCGGCTGTTTCTTCCTGTTGGGGATATCATCGAGACGTTTTTGCATGAATTAACCCATAATTTGTATGGAGCTCACGATAAGAAATTTTATGATTTTTTGGATGGGTTGAAAAGAAGGTATGATCTGATAAAGTATGGCGGTGCTGCATCGGGTTATCGATGTGAAGAAGAAAAGCTCGGGTCGAAGTTTTCAGTTACACCTAATTTGGTGTCGGTGCGAGAAAAGAGAATAAAAGAGTTAAGCAAGCCAAAGTACAAAGCAGAGGTGAGAGTACTAGGACTGGGCACCACAACTGTGAATACCATTCCTTCGAAAGTACGGAAACCCGAGACTGAGCAAAAGACAATGAGACAGTTGATTCTCGAAGCTGCTGAACGAAGACAACGTGATTCTAAATGGTGTCATAGTGAGAATGCCGAGAAGGAAGATGTTCCTGATGATAATGATCTTGATGTTATTGAAATTCATGAAGATGACGAACCTGTCGAACCAAAGAAGATTACAGATGTTGTTGATTTAACCGAGGAGGATGACGAGCACTCTGTTGAACAGGAAATTATAGTTATTGACGGATAAAACTAATTAGAAATGACCCAGAAAGAGTAAATACAATACAATAATGACCGTATCTTTCATTACTTCCCTCTATAGGCCAATTTGATCAAACGCGTTTGATCAATTTTTGGTAGCGCGCAAAATGTTCTGAAAGAAATAGAAGCGAAAAGTTTATGCTGTTGCCAGGTGTTCCTTATACTCAACACATACAATTGATAATGAATCTGAAATGGTTCACCCTATTAACTTGTATTTCCCTTTTATCTTGTGTATTAGGTGATATAAATACAACAAACAGGGTATCAGTCCGCTTGGAAGCACTGTGGAACTCAACCAATTTCCTCATCAATTTAATTGAATCAGTATCTGGATATGATGAATCATTATACTTTCCTACTATTGAAACGATATTTGGATTGACTGAAGAAGAAAATGATTTTGAATTATATGATGTTACTGAGCAGGAGGTCTATACCAGGGTTATTGAAAAAGTTGGCTTGTCTGCTGAATCAGCTAGCTTTGTCAACTTCAATTTAGTTAATAAGATCTACACTCCTAGAATCGCGTCCCATTATGAATATTACACGAATAAGGTATTAACGCAATTTGAAAAGAGATTGAATGTGGAGTGTGCACGCGATTCTTTTGGCAACGAGGTTGAAAGAGACAGTCATGGAAAACTTCAGACTTGGTTGCTTTACAATAACAAGTTTTACTGTTCAGCAAGTGATTTGTTTGCATTGCAGACTGATTCCACTGAGGTAGACGATGTGCTACAATTCGATCGTGTGATTGGTGATAATACAAAAGCACCATTGTTGATCCTCTACGGCAATCCAGCAAGTCCAACAACTAAAGAATTCTTTGTTCCTTTATACCATGATGCTAAAGCAGGAAAGATAAGATTTTTATGGAGGTATACCCCCCCTCTGGGCAATCAACTAGGTGAATCTCTTCTGGGATATGGTGTTGAGTTAAGTCTCAAGAATAAGGATTATCACAAAGATGGCAAGAAGGTCAGTGCTCTTGATTTAACCAAGGATTTCAAGAAGGTCAACGAATCAAAAGAATTATTACCTGTTCCAGAAAACAAGCTCGATCAAATTGGATTAAAGTTCACATCATTTGTCTTGTCAAACACCAAAGACAAATATGAACTTTTAAGAACCATGTTGAATAACTTTCCCAAGTTTCTTTCTCATGTGGCTAATATTCCTAAATTGATGAACTATGAACAAGTGAAAGCAAATGTTTTTGCTAATGAAGATCTTGGAATTTCTCAAGAATCATATGGGTTCTATATTAACGGATCTCCAATCCATCCATTGGAGTTAGATATTTTGAGCCTAAGTGCAAAACTACAAACTGAATTGAAAATTGTAAAGGATTTAATTAAGTTGGGATTCTCCACGATTCAGTCGAAACTATTAATCACAAAATTTGCATTGTTGTCCGCAGTGAAACAAACCCAGTTCAGGACAGGAAATACATTAATGGGCAACAACGAGAATCGATTTCGCGTATTTGAAAACGCATTTTCAAAACGTACCAAAGGAGGAGTTGTTTTCTTTAATGATATTGAAAAAGACGTGACTTATGACAATTACTCCACTGATCGTCAAGACACATACTTGGGGCCTAGTTCATTCAGACTTAAACCAAATCAGATTCCACCACTCAAGGAAAACATTCATGATTTAATCTTCGCGTTGAATTTCGCCAACAAGAATCAATTGAAAGTTTTTTTTACATTATCAAAGGTTATCTTGGATACAGGTATTCCTCAACAAGTTGGTCTCATACCCTTGATTGGAGATGATCCTATGGATAAGACCATAGCTGACGCATTCTACTTTCTTGTCCAACAAGCTAGTTCTAAAGAAGCCCTTGCATTTTTGTACAAATATCTCGAATCAAAGAACGAAGATGACGTCAACGAGATTCTTAAACTCATCCCCAAGTCACAGAAGTTGGAATTCGATTATAGTACCGTATTAAACAAATTCTCAATTGATACGCCTTCGGTCATTTTCAACGGGGTGATTAACGAACTCTCTTCTTCGAATTGGCAAATCACAATGGGTAAACAGTTATCTCAGGACATCAACTTGATCAAGTCTAGATTACGTGAAGGTGTGAGCATGTCGTTAAAGGAGTTGATATACTCCAATGCAAAGACAGAGAGGAATTTAAGGATTGTCCCACTCGAACCAAGTGAGATTTTATATAAGCCTATTGACAGAGAGATCCAAGATAAATCAGTGGTTTTTAGAAGTATGGATAAGTCAGATGATGTCGGGTATACTTTTTGGTTATTTTCTAGTTTCAATGAACAAAGAATGGTTGATCAGTTGGTATCTTTGTTAGAGATTGTGAAGAAAAGACTGGAGGATTTACAAGTTCGTGTTGTTAATACGGGTACGACATTTACCTTGTTGGAGAAGTTAAGCAAGAAGTATAAATTGAATATGTTGACCAATTCACAGATTAATGAGGTAATTGAAGAGCTCAAGCAAGTTGAAATTCCAAGAGAGGTGAGTTTGAATACTGCTTTTGTTAAGTTCTTGGAAAAGAAGCAAATTCCTGTTAACCATTCGTTTATGTTACTCAATTCAAGGTATTTCCGATTGGACAATCCATTTACTGCTGCGGAGTTGGAGCAAATTGTCATATTTGAACATTCTCAAAGATTAAAGCTATTCAATGACATTCTTGAGACATATCCAGATAAATATGATAAGAAAAGATTAGTTGATTTCAATATTGGTCTTGATCCACTGGATTGGTTTGATTTGGTTTGTTCGATAGTCACTAAATCATTCCATGTTGATGAAAAGTTGTTTGTTGTTGACGTCAATAGATTTGATTTTGGTACATTAGACATGTCTAACTCGATAGATATTGGAGAGAAAGAGTCGCCAGTGGATGTGTTGCTTATTGTAGATCCTGTTCTGGAATATTCCCAAAAAATGGTGTCTATACTTGAAAGTATCCGAGACTTTCCCTTTGTTTCAATTAGAATCTTACTCCAGCCAAAAGTAAATTCTGAGTTCCATATTGGTAGATTTTATCAAGGTGTTTATCCTGCTTCTACTCCACAATTTGATGGTCATGGAAACTGGATTAGTAGATATGGTGCTGAAAATGAGCTGTTGCCTAGTGATGAAACTTTGAGTATTGGTTTGGATGTGCCTAATAGATGGCATACAACTACCAAATCAGTATCCAACAATATTGACATTAGCAATGTCAAAGTCACAGAAGACTTTGGTGTCAAGTTTGAATTGACGAGCATAGTTCATGAAGGATACGCTAGAGATATCCATACCGCAATGGCACCTCTGGGATTAGCTTTCAACTTGGATAAGGATAATGTGCATAGTGACACGTTGGTGATGTCCACGTTGAACTATTTTCAAATTAGAACAACTCCGGGAATTTGGAAATTGAGTTTATTTGATAAGGAGAAATTTGACCTCTTGTCTTGTTCAGAGAACAAGTTTGATGCAAATCAGGAAGCGTTACAGTTTGCTGAAATATTTGTGTTTAGTCTTAGAGGACTTACCCTCTATCCAAGAGTGACTACCAAAGATAAGTCGGTAAGCAAAGAGAAGTCGAAGAAACAAGCAGATATCAATATATTCTCAATTGCTGGGGGTGGGGAGTATGAACAATTGTTAGGAATAATGATGGCATCAGTTCGGAAACACAATACCAAACTGGTTAAATTCTGGTTATTGGACAATTACATGTCTCCTCAATTCAAAGCGTTATTACCGATTCTTGCCGACAAGTACAACTTGGAATATGAGTTAGTGACATACAAATGGCCCAATTGGTTACGAAAACAAAAGGAGAAACACAGAAGTATATGGGGATACAAGATCTTATTCTTGGATGTATTATTCCCACAGGATCTAGACAACGTGATATTTATTGATGCTGATCAAATATGTCGTACTGATTTAACTGAGTTGGTGAATCTCGATCTTGAAGGAGCACCATATGGATTCACACCCATGTGTGATTCCCGGAAGGAGATGGATGGGTTTAGGTTCTGGAAACAAGGGTATTGGTCAGAAGTATTGAAAGACGACTTGAAGTATCATATTAGTGCGTTGTTTGTGGTTGATTTGAAGAAATTTAGAGAAATCAATGCTGGTGATAGGTTACGATCTCATTATCAGAAACTATCATCTGATCCTAACTCGTTATCTAACTTGGATCAGGATTTACCAAACAACATGCAACGACTGATTAAGATTTTTAGTTTGCCTCAAGAATGGTTGTGGTGTGATACGTGGTGTTCTAATGACAGTTTAACTTCGGCGAAGATGATTGATCTTTGTAATAATCCACTTACAAAGGAGAACAAGTTTGATATTGCAAAGAGATTGATACCGGAGTGGAAGGACTACAATATTGAGATACAAAAGTTATATGAAGAGGTTGCAAATACAAGCGAGATAGTATATGAATCAGGTGACGACGGTATTCTGACTGGTCAGTATGTACAGGAAGACGACAACGACGACGACGACGATTCAGATTACCACGATGAGTTGTAATACTAGAGTATATAGATGTACTGTACATCCTGCATATAATTTAGTGACTCACAAAAATTTCACATGATAAGCCCAAAAAAAAATTTATTGGCCTGAACCGGACATTTTCCACGAGGGTTCAAAATTTCCTTTTGTGTTAAGATAATTATTACCATCGTTCGTATCGTATAGTTAAGACAGACATTTTTTTTTCTGTTGTTCTCGACAGTTATTTTTCACCTTCACCTACTGTTTCTTTTCTTATTAATAACTAGAGATCAACCATGAAGATTTCACAAAAGTTGCAACAGGCACACGCTGGGCCCAACCCACCACCAGCAACCTTCTCGTTTGAATTCTTTGTCCCCAAGACTTCTCAGGGGGTGCAAAACTTGTACGATCGTATGGACAGAATGTACGATTTAAATCCAATTTTCATTGACATCACTTGGAATGCTGGTGGGAGATCGTCCACTTTGACTAACGAAATGGTGTATACTGCGCAATCAACCCTTGGGTTAGAAACATGTATGCACTTGACATGTACCAATATGAAGGTTGAATTGATTGATGAAGCCTTGGACAAGGCTTTCAAATCTGGTTGTCAGAATATTTTGGCATTACGTGGTGATCCTCCTTTGGATGGATCGGAATCAACTGGCGATTTCAAGTATGCCAAGGATTTGATTAAGTATATCCGTAAGAAGTACGGAGATCATTTCAATATTGGTGTTGCTGGGTACCCTGAAGGTCATCCTGAAGAAGAATCGGAAATCAAGACTCTACACTACTTGAAGGAAAAGTGTGATGTTGGTGCTGATTTCATTGTCACACAAATGTTTTACGATGTTGACAACTTTATCGATTGGTGTAAGAAGATTCGTAAGATTGGTGTTGAAATTCCAATTATTCCTGGTATTATGCCAATCTCCACTTATGCTGCTTTTGTTAGACGTGCGAAATGGTCAGAAATTGCTATTCCACAACACTTTTTAGATGTCTTGGATCCAATTAAAGATGATGATTATTTAGTCAGAGAAAGAGGTACTGAGTTGGTTAGTGACATGTGTATCAAGTTACTTCATTCCGGTTATGTCAACCATTTACATTTCTACACCATGAACTTGGAAAAGGCTACCGTGATGATATTAGAAAAATTAAATCTTATCGAAGCTGTCAAGTCTCATGATGTTGTCGGAAGCACTGAATTGCCATGGAGAAAATCCTTACATCCAGGAAGATCTAAGGAATCTATTCGTCCTATTTTCTGGCAAAACAGAAAATACTCATATGTCACCAGAACCGCAACCTGGGATGAATTTCCTAATGGTAGATGGGGTGATTCTAGATCTCCAGCTTTTGGTGATATCGATTTGTGTGCTACCGAATTATTAAGACAATCTCCAAAGAGAGCGCTTGAATTATGGGGTACCCCCCAATCTTTGAAAGACATGAGTGATATTGTTGTATCTTATTTGCAAGGTGACTTGAAGGCATTACCTTGGTCAGATGGTCCAGTTGGAGACGATACCAAGATTATTGTTGATGATTTAATACATTTGAACAAAAAGGGTTTCTTCACCATGAACTCTCAACCTTCTTTAAATGCAATTAAATCTTCTGAAAAGGTTTTCGGTTGGGGCCCAAAGAATGGTTATGTTTATCAAAAACAATATTTGGAATTCTTCTGTCACAAGGATGTTATTGCCAAATTATTATACAAGATTGATTCTTTCAATACCAAGGAAGGAGATACCTCTTCTTCTGTGATTTCCTATTATGCAGTTGACAAGGATGGTCACTTGACCACCAACTGTAAGGATGACGATATCAACGCTGTTACCTGGGGTGTATTCCCTGGAGAAGAGATCCTTCAACCTACCATTGTGGAAAAGACCTCATTCTTGGCTTGGAAGGACGAAGTTTACAGATTATTCAGTGAATGGGGTAATGTCTTGGGAAGTAACTTGGCCGGAGCCGATCCTGAAAAGATTAAGGGTTTCCTTGACTTGATGAACACTCTTTCCAATGATTTTGTCTTGTGTAATTTGGTCAACAACGATTTCATCGATGACAACTCCACCATTTTCAAGTTGATTGAAGAATTGGATGTGAAGGACTTGGCTTAAGCCTCTACACTTTCGCTTACTTGTTTGCTTTTTTTTATTGTTATTATTATTATTTTGTTTAATTCACTAACGCAGGGAAATCTTTATGTGAACACTCAACATGTTCAAACTTTAGAAACGACTTCAACACTAAGTTTCTAATTTACTAACCCACCCTTTTAGAATGCGTGATCCAAATGTTTATGACAGATTTATGGTTTATGGTTACGGTTTTATTTTGCATTTACAGTTAGAGGAAAGTAGTTATTCTACTTTTCCCTTGGGTATTCATTTCAACAATTGCATATTTTTAGTCAAATCAAATTTTATTTTTATCTTTATACATGGTCTTTTAAAATGTTTTCTTGTGTATAGTGGCATCCTCAACGGTATGGTTTATAGTAATAGAAGTTTTAATCTATTTAACAAAAATTGTAATAAGTATTAAAAATAATTAAATTAAACACTAATTTAATATAAACTATATACTTATAAAATTAATTAAATTAAAAACATAATCGGTAATATCACCAACCATTTCGAACTCAATGAAGAAGCTTTTCCTTCATATTCACTGACATAAGTGGCTGGTGCGGGCATAGAATTAGTTGACGATATCGAAACAGGCGTTGGCATAGAAACGGACGCGGATATAGAAACGGATGTAGAAACGGATGTTGGCATAGTAGCTAGTGATGGTACAGAAACCAGTGCTGGCATAGAAGCAGGTGCTTCAACACTTTCTGGTGCTGCGTTAGTGGCAGGTGTTGGGATTTGAGCAGGAGCTGGTATAGTTGCTGGTGTTGCAATTGGAACGGGTGCCTGGGTTTGTACACTATTCGGTTGAGCACTAATTAAAGATGTGTACACGGTAGTTTGACCTTCAACGGTAGCTGTTGAGGTTGTAGCAGATGTATAAATAATAGTTTCACATTCAAATTCACATTGGGTGCTTGTAACAAGTGTTGTTGATGCCTTGGTAACGGTAGAAGCATAGCTGAGAGTAGTTACAGGGATTATTGGGTAAGTGGTTGAACCAGTACTTTCAATTATGAATTCAGTTTCAGGTGTTTCAACAGGTGGTACTGCAGGCTTCTCTGGTACAGTATTTATTGGTGGAGCTACAATTTCACTTGAGACGATTGTAACAACAGGTAAATAGGTGGTTTCTGATGGAGTTGATGGTTTAATAGATTCGGTTGTAGCGGCCCATCCTGGATTTATTCCTTCAGTAATGCTAGTAGCAGCAACAGAACTAGATTCTGTAGATGTAATTTGGTAGTATGTTTCAACCGATGTTGGAGGACAATAAGTAGTGTATACTGTAGTAAATTCATTGGCACTCTGGGTGATTATGTGGATTCCAGTAGTAACTGTAGTTTCTGAACAACTTTCAGTTTCACATGTTGTTACCGTAATAACAGTAGAAGATTCTGCTGTCTTGGTAGTATAATGCGTGATGACTGATTCATTCGATTTAGTAGGTGGTACAGTTGAATAAGTGGTGGTTGTAGCACTTGTGATTTCTTCTGTGGCAGGTGTTTCTTCAATTGCAGTAGTTGGTCCTTGTGGTTGTTCAACTGTGGTAATATATTCAACTGAATTAGTAGGTACTTCAACTACAGTAGATGGAGCCACAACAGGTATTTCTTCAATCGAACTGGTAGGTGCAACACTGGAAGAAACAACGTTTGGTGTTTTGGTACAGGTAATCAGATAATATGTTTCAACCGATGTTGGAGGACAGTAAGTAGTATGAACAGTTACTGTTTGGTCCTTAGTACTAGTGAATACATGAACACCTGTAGTGACTGTAGACTTAGAACATGACTCGGTATCACAAGAAATAACAGTCAAAATAGTACTGGAAGTAGCTGTTTTGGTTGTATAGTAAGTGACAACAGATTGATGTGACTCTGTTGATGGAACAGTGGTATAGATACTGGTATTCGAAGTGGATGTTTCTTCAACTGGTAAGGTACTTTCAAGCTTGGTAGTTGGCACCTCAACTGAGCTGGTAGTTTCAACTGGCAGAGTAGATCCGGAATTGGCATTGGTGACACTAGTGGCAGCAACAGAACTTGATTCAGGGCAAGTGGTACTAGTAACCAGGTAATACGTTACTACAGTAGTTGGTGGACAATATGTACTATAAGTGGTGGTAGTTTCCCCTTTTGTAGTTGTGACGATATGAACTCCAGTAGTAACTGTTGTTTCTGAACAGGTGTTGGTTTCACAAGTAGTAACAGTGACGATCGTGGTTGAAGAAGCAGACTTTGTGGAAACATAAGTGATAATTGATTCATTAGGGCTGGTCGATGGAATGGTTGTATAGATTTTAGTGCTGGTTGTCGAGCTTTCTTCTACCGGGGTGGTTTGCTCAGTGGATGTTACTCCTGCTGAGGTATTTTCTCCAACAGTGGTTTCTCCAACTTCTGAACTAGATTCTGATTCGGTAGTTTTAACACTTGTGGAAGCAACAGTACTAGTTTCAGAAGATGATGTAGAAGTTACCAGGTAGTAAGTGATAGTTGAAGTTGGAGGACAATATGTAGTATAAGTGGTGGTTGTGCTTTCCTTAGTGGTAGTAATAACTTCAACACCTGTAGTAACTGTGGTTTTGGTGCACGAGTTTGTCTCGCATGTAGTAACAGTAAGAACTGTAGTAGTTGCGGCAGTCTTTGTTGAAACTGAAGTGATAATTGATTCACTGGATCCGGTTGATGGAATGGTGGTATAGAGATGTGTTGTTTCTTCTTCAGTACTAGCTAGTGGAGTAGATACAATAGTTTCTTCTGGTGAGCTAGAGGTAGCACCATGTGTCTTTGAAGTTTCAATTGACGACTCCTTGTTTTCAATGGAGCTTTCTTCAGTAGTTGATTCCTCGACTGCACTAGTAGGCACCTCGGATGGAGTAGTATACACTTCAATGAAACTTGTTGTTTCTTCAATTGGACTCGAAACTATTTGACCTGCACTAGTAGTTTCTGCAAGTGGAGATGTAGATTCTTCAACTTGGTTGGTTGTTTCTTCAACTGGCTTGGTTTCTGTAACCTGTTTAGTGGATTCTTCGCTAGAATATTCAACTGGTAACGTAGACTCTTCGCTTGTAACTTTTTCAACTGATGTAGAAGTTTCTCCAACTGGACTTGAATTCTCCTTAACTTCACTGGTAGATGCTCCAATCGTAATAGTGGTTTCTTCAACTGGTGTGGTTACTTGTTCAGCTATACTTGTAGACTCTTCAACTGGCACTGTAGATTCTGAGCCAGTAGTCTCGACTAATGTAGTAGCTTCTTTATTTGTAGATACTTCAACTTGGCTGGTGAATTCCTCTGGAATACTAGTAGGAGCTGCTGTACTTTCAGGACAGCTGGTTATGGTCAGATATGATGTTACTACACTGGTAGTAGGACAATATGTTGTATAGGTGGTGCTTGTCTCGCCTACTGTGGTAGTAATAACAACAACACCAGTGGTAACTGTGGTTTTAGAACATGACTTAGTACCACATGAAGTAACGGTAAGAACTGTAGTAGATGTGGCTGTGGTTGTGGATACAAAAGTAATAGTTGATTCAAAAGTTTCAGTTTCTTCTACTGTTGTTGTTACTGTTTGCTCAATGTTACTTGATGGAATTGATGTGACAAGCGTTTCCTCCAATGTAGAGCTTTCTCCATTTGTATTCGAAGTTTCAACAACTATATTACTCGATTCTTTAACTTGACTACTTGGGACTTCCATTTCACTAGTAGACTCTCCTACCTGGCTTGAAGGTAATTCAGCTGTGCTGCTCTTTTCTATAATTGGTGTTGTAGACTCTTCAACAGAATTAGAGGTTTCTGGAACTTGTACAGTAGATTCGGCATTTGTGCTTACTTCAACGGGTGAGCTAGTTTGGTTCACTGCACTAGTAGTTTCTTCAGCTTGCGTGGTCGATTTTTCTTCTTCGCAGGTAGTTTCTTCTATACTAGAGGATGTTTCGACTGGAACAGTAGATTCTTCATTTGTGGTTTCTGTAACCGTTGAAGACTTTTGCTCAGTTCCACTGGTAGATTCTTCAGCCGGAGAACTTGCTTCTTCACTTGAGGTAATAGATACTTCATTAGAACTTGTATTATTTTCAATTTGAGTTGTCGATTCTTCAACTGGACTAGTGTTTTGTTCAGCTGGTGTTGTCGATTCTTCAACTAGGGTAGATGATTGTTCAGCTGGTGAGGAAGTTTCTTCTAAACAAGTAGTCTCTTCAATAGGAGTGGTGCTTACTACAACTGATGCAATTGAAGTTTCAATTGTACTTGCCTCAAATGGTGTGGTTATTTCTTCAACTTGGGTGGATGATTGTTCAACGGGTTTTGTCGATTCTTCAAGTGGGGTAGTAGTTTGTTCAACTGGTGTTGTAGATTCTTCAACCGGGGTAGATGATTGTTCAGCTTGTGTGGAGGTTTCCTCTGAACAAGTAGTTTCTTCAACTGGACTAGTAGCTTGTTCTGCTGGTGTGGAAGTTTCTTCTGCAGGGCTAGAAGTCTCTGCGACTAGGGTAGACGATTCTTCAACTGGTGTGGTTATTTCTTCAATTGCACTGGTGGTTTGTTCAACCGGTTTGGATGTTTCTTGAGTTTGTGCGGTTGTTTCTTCAACTGGAATAGTACTCTGTCCTAAGGGCGTAGACGATTCTTCAACTGGGATAGATGATTGTTCAACGGGGGTAGAAGTTTCTTCCAAACAAGTAGTCTCTTCAACTGGACTAGTACTCTGTTCAATAGGAGTAGTACTTACAACTGGGGTAGTAGTTTCTTCAATTGGGGTAGTGATTTGTTCACCTGGGCTAGTAGTTTGTTCACCTGGTGTAGACGATTCTTCAGCTATGGTAGATGATTGTTCAATTGGTGTGGAGGTTTCTTCAACTGGTGTTGTAGATTGTTCAACGGCACTAGTAGTTTGTTCACCTGGGCTAGTAGTTTGTTCACCTGGTGTGGAGGTTTCTTCTAAACAAGTAGTTTCTTCATTAGGAGTGGTAC